CCACGCCCATTCCCACGCCCATTCCCACGCCCATTCCCACGCCCATTCCCACGCCCATTCCCACGCCCATTCCCACGCCCATTCCCACGCCCATTTCCACGCCTACTCCCACTTCCACGCGTGCGTATCATGGCGGTCATCAACAGGTTCAGCTGTGTACGACCACTCGAGGAATTTTGGTTTCCGGAGATTCCAAGGCTCTGGAACCCCCCTGCATAAGTTGATGACTCCAGGAAGTGTGATTTGCCTTGCCCGAGATCTGCTTGTTCGGTATAATCGCGCGTCATGTATGGAGAAAGGAGCATGGATTGGAGGAGCAGTAAAAGAGCGTGTAATGGGGGGATGTGAATGGTGGGGGGTTTGGGCACTGCTGTGACTCTGAGGCTGTGACGCGGGATAATTACGCGGTCCTGGGCGACGCATGAATGGTGGTGCATGGGGAAGGGACGGTTGTAAGATGGTGAATGGAGAGGGTGCGGGATGGCGACAGGGCGAATCAACCGTTTCGTCTGTCCGAATCGGTGGCTGGCACCTGCAGATGTGGAATGCCTGCTCAGCTGCCTGTGGTGGTACAGAGGCAACCGCCACAGCTGCAGGTACCAAATTGTCTGCAGCCGTCTGAGGCCGTGTCGTGTGGCCTCAGGCACGGCGGCAAGCCAGGGCGACCTGCGTGTGAGTTGATTGTTACTCGTAGACGGTGCTTGGTATAGTGTTTGTCATGCATCGACTCAGGTAGGACCTTAGGACTCCCGCTTTACGCGCGCACCTTCTACAGCACATCAGACGTGCAAGTGGTGATCATGTTGGCTGCATCAGGGTCGGCGCAAGAGGATGCTACATACTCGAGCAATGACTCGTGCGCCAACGAAGAGCATAAAAGTGGTACGAGGAGTGCTTATTGGAATGAGAGGTGCGCGGTGATCAGAAGGAGCATTGTGGATTGGTTGGGCGTAGGTACGCAGTGGTCTGTACAATTTGTGCTTTACATACGAGTACACCCACCATTGTTATTCACCAGGGCCTGCCTGGAAAGTATTGTTTTGCTGGGGGCTTCATGCACCTGAACATGGCAATGCCAGCCATGACGGGTGCCCTGCAGCGGGGCCCATCAAGGGAAAGAAATGCCCGATCCCTCGTACGAGACACGCACGGGACACTTGTTTTGACAGTGGAATTCCACGAGCGACAGCAGTCAACCTATTGGCATTCCCCGATCTATAATCTAAATTCGTCGTTGTTGATATTACTAGTAGCATTGTCGATTGTTCGACGGAGGACCCCGTAGACGAGTTCCAACGCCATGGACTCATGAGAGCTTCCGGGGAGTCGCACCAGCTGAGCTCCTATGGGTTTCAAGGTGGATGAGGTGCCCAGTACGAGAGGTGCTCCGTACACGATACTCCGGACTGAGTACGGAGACCAACACGGAGAACTACGAGTGCTGATTGTACGAGTCACGGGCAAGTGGGTAACTGTCCTTCCCGCCTCACAAGCCAGAAATTAGGTTGGTCCAGTCTTCCCGTTTAGGTGGCAGAGTGGTGGCACCGAGAGCCCCTCTCGGTGCCAGTTGTCGAAAAGAGGCGGTTTGGACTGAGACTGGCGCCGAACAGGTTAGCCTGGGACAATCTGGTCACTGGTCCCTCGTGGTCCTGGAGTGCTGGCCCAGTGCCCGAGGGCGCCCAGTGGTCTGAGAAGGGCAAGGATGAACACCTGGTTGTGCAGCCTGCAAGTTGCCGCAGCATCCTGCAGGTTCTGGGCTAACCTGTAACCGATGCTGTCGACATGATGTTCCTGCATTGGCGCCGACTTGTGGTTTGAAGTCATCGGACTGCAACCAATCGAACAGCTTGACGCCCGCAGAGTCATCAACAACACTAAGATGCCATGCGATGCGACAATGCGACAATGCGACAATGCGACCGCACAACCTTGGACAATGAGATGATGGGAAAGAACGGCTAGGAGGCTAGGGGCGTACCCGTAGGCTTACAGTAAGCCTGGGTTTGCGTTTAGGCCCTCGGCCTCTACTTGGGCTCCGGCTTGGGGGTGGACAGCACTCCCAGGAGCCAGCCCTGGCGAGAGTGGCAAGACAAATCTCGGCCTGGCGGGCGCACATTCGATCAGAAGAGCAGCGCAATGCCAGAGATGCAATCACCGATCGGCCTAAGGTGAGGCTCGGAACTAGTCCCCACCTTACGAGCACTCGTAGGCTTACCTCGTCGGAGTCAGGCAGGACGCAGGACATTTGCGAGTACCGTAGAAGCCTGGACGGTGGTCTGGTGCCATGGCCCATGGGTCCCCCCTGCCGAGCGCCTCTTCCGCGGCTCGCTCGGGTTCTGCAGTTAGTTAGGCTTTGGCAACCGGAGTGCCCTTTTGGCGTTGCGTTACGAATATGCTTCTGAAAGGCGAAAACAGTGACCGAGAGAGTGAGGAGTGAGGAGTGAGGTTCGACGTTTGGAGAGAAGCGCACTCTGAGTCGCCGTCAAGGATGCTTGAGTCTTGACCCACAATCCATCTGCCTGTCGCCTTCTTGTCCGATGTCCACTACGAGTACCACTACCGGGGGGTTCGACTGTCCTCTGCCCTTTTCCCTCTGCCCTCTGCACTCCTCTGAGTCTCCTCCCGGGTCCCTCTTCTTGTTTTGTCTCAAGTCCTCAACGCATGCTCGCCTCCAACGTTCAGGCCTGTCTTGCCTCAGCCCTTGTGTTCCCCCCTCCCCCTTCCCCCTGGTCCCTGAGTCCCTGGTCCCTGCCCGCTACTTGACTCGGCTCCAAGCTCCGTTCAAACCTCCACTCGCCTGGTTAGCGGCTATCCACCTGCCCCTGCTGGGCTCACTGGTCGAGGTCCACTCCTACAACTTGGACTGGTCCAGTGGTCCCTCAGTCTGGGTCTGTCCTTTCCTTGTGCTTAGCCCAGTGTTTGGTTTACCTTGCTCTTGTCTCGACGGCCCTCTACTCGTTACTCGCAGTGTGCGGCGTGTACTCCGTACTCGTAGTGTCTATGGTCGTGAAGGGCTCAACGCTTGGATCTACTTCACCACCAGAGACAAAAGGACGTGCGCTTCTGTTGCTCCAGCTGTTTCCGTGTCGCCCATCGACATCACTTTCCCAAGCTTCTACAGACTTTCGACTTTGAAATCCTCAGGCCAACCGTCCTCAACTGGCTTTCCGGTGTATACTTGTACGGATACACTGCCCGCTGAAGCCCTCCGAGTCTCCAGAAAAGCATCTCCAAGCTGGCCCTGGTCCCCTGGTCCCTGCTCCTCGTCAGTCTTCGCCTGAGCCTGATCCTGACCGAGTTCGCAGCAAAATCTAAAATCCCGGCCTAACCCATCCAGCATAATCTCCTCCTCCACTTTACTACCTCTTACCTCGTACTTCCCGGAACTCCTCCCTGGACGGCTTCCTTTGTTTTGTCTCTTGTGTCCTGTACACATCAGACTTGACTTCACGCCGACTCTTCAGCATCTGGACCGCCCCTCCTCCCATTCCAGCTTCTCTTCCAGCTGAATTCTCCACTCCGTCCCTTATCCATTCTCCATTGAGGCTACCAACACTCATTCGTTTTCTCTATACCAACTGGAGTCACTCTTTCCTAGTTCGACCAAACCACAACAACCTCCTACGTTGCTTTGGCACTGCATCGACCTTCAAGTACTCCTGCGGCACTCTCTCCATCTTTCGACCATCGCCTGCTCACACTATCGGCTTCGTTGCTAGCAGTGCACCGATCCCGCTTCTCACTCCAACAGCGACCTTGTCCTCGGAGGATAGCCTGAGGCAGAACGCCTGCAATGAGACTTTCATGAACGAAGAGTGCCATTAAATCTCTGAAGTCATGATGGATTCGAGTGACCAAGACCATTTTGGGCATCATCCCGACCAACGCGACCCCCGCGTCCAGCGGATCTACAGACCGAACCTCTACAGCCAGAACTCATACCTCCACGCCGCATATCAGATGAATCCGCACAAGGAAGATCAATATGCCTTTCCGCAACAACATCAGACACAGCCCTTCTACCAGGATACGTCCTATGGCACATATGTAGTCAACCCTCAACAGCCACTCGACGACTATTACGCATCGTACGGTCCTGAATATGCCGACTTCATGTACCCAGCCATGGTTCAGGATGAGTTTGGCGATATGGAGGAAATTTCAACCCGACCCAGATTGACCAAGGAACAAGTCGAAGTGTTGGAATCTCAATTCCAAGCAAACCACAAACCAAACAGTCAAGTCAAACGGCAACTAGCCATCCAGACCAAATTGACTTTGCCTCGAGTTGCGGTAGGTTGGCATTTCTCCGAGACGTCTTCACCCTGAGCTAATTTGTCTTCCGCAGAACTGGTTTCAAAACCGCCGTGCAAAGGCCAAGCAACAAAAGAAGCAGGAAGAATTCGAGGCCCAGAATGGTGGTTCTACACAATCCGGCTCAGACAGTCGCTCGGTCTCCAAAGCCACTTCCTCAACACCTTCATCCCCTTCTAAATCCATGACCTCGCCCATAAGGCATTCTGCTCCACGATCTGTGAACCAAGACTCACCCTCTCCAACCAAGCGGGCAGATGCGTCTAAAGAAGCAAGCTGGGCCTCCCTCCAGCGAGCCCTAAACCAAGCCAAAGCCGCCCAGGGCCAGCAACCTGCCCAGGCAAAAGTAACAATGGCTCCTCCAGAGTTACCGCCGCAGCCATCCGCAATCAAGCTCCCGCTTCGCATCAGTCAGGCTTTTTCTACCTCGCGGCTCTCTGGCATGGATTCTTTGTCACATCAGCGTGCAAATCTCGAACCCTATCCATCACCTATCACACTTCAGGACAACACGTTTGACTTTGGATTCGATCAGGATAGTTTCGATACTGCTCAAATGGCAGATCCCATCGACCCCAGCTCCAACTATTCCTCACAATCTTTCGTCGTTACCCCTGAAGATTGGGATGAGCCTTTGGCCACCCCGAAGAACAAGGTCCCTCAGCACGATCCATTGACGGCTTTGCCATCTCCAGGTCTTACCATGCCATCATATCCTGGGTCAAGACGGCAATCAACCACTGAAGAGCTTTCCAATAATTTTGGCAACTTTGCCCTGGCAAACAGCTCTCCCAACAATATTGCGGCTCGGCGTGATTCTGAAGTAATCCGAGCCCCTGAAAATGGAAGCCTCGATATTGCTGCAAGGAGGAAGCGACCACGGCCTGCCGCGCTGACATCATCTTCCTTGCGAAGTCGTTCATACGGGGCTATGACATCGGCATCACCAACCTTCCGTCAGGGCATGATCACGCCAACAGCACCCCACACAGTACGGCATGTGAAGTCTGCCGGCCATGGTCTAAATGCCCGTTATGCAGGCGTTCGAAAGGCCAGTTCTGCTCAGCGATCGCCCATGTGTGTAGCTAGCTTTGCTGAGGCGGAGGCTTTTCGCCAGTTGATGGGACAACAGGCGACTGTTGCTCAGTCCCTAAGTGAACTCCCTCAACCTCTCTTGTCACCCGATATCGTGTCTGGTAGACAGTTGCATGAACCAGAGAAGAACCCTCTGCACGCGCAGAATATTGACATCAGCCATCAGTTCCAAAGACCACTTCACATTGCAACCGCCTCGCCTCCAATCACACCAATGGCAGCGGACTTCATGACTAGAGGACTGTCGCAACAGTCTTTAATTCCCCCAGCTTCAGCCCCTCCACAGTACGCATCATTCCCTGACTATACGCCGCCCTATTCAGCTGGACCACTCACCGGGAGTAGCTGGTCTGATGCACCACTAACGTCACCTGATGTGCCATCGTTTCCACCTGTGACGTACGTTCCTTCTCTGGGATACCCGCAGCAGTCTGACATTCTATCAACCAATTTTCAACAATTTGTCCTGCCGTCAGATCCAACTACAGACTTGTGCTTGGATTCCCAATTTGACCAGAAAGGGACCGAATTTTTCATTCAAGAGTTTCCCAACCAAAAGCGGGAACATGCTCGTGTCGCTCAGCAACTTGCTCAGCAAAAGCCAAGGAGCTATGTCTTTAATAATTCGGCCCCTCACGATTTTGATCAAGAGTAGGCTTCGCGTAGGGTAATATTGGTTCTCGCTTCGTTTCTTGGGCTGTACAACTATGATCCTGATCTCATACCATTTGGGCGCAATTGGACCAGCTCGGGCGGCTTGGCTTGGTGCTTGCTAGGAGCATTGTCACGAGTACTCAGGAAGTGAGATGGATGAAATACACAAAAGGGGATAGAGTTGTGACCATTAGCACAGGCGTCACAGGGACGAAATACTCTACTATGTTGAGAATGACCTCCATGGAAGAACTATGGCTGTGGACTGACAGCTTTAATATGTGGCAATAAACACACAATGGCCTGGGTAAAAAGATTTGCCGGAATAATTTGAGTCGACTTGCACAGTCCACTTCTAGATTTAATCCATCACAGCCAAGAAGACTCACAATCATTTGAGATGGTACATCATTTAACCTAAATAACAAGATTATTCTCGAGTAGGCGGGAAGCGTGCGAGACGCACACTCCCAGCGATGCGAGCCCTAGGTTTTGCTCTACGAAAGAAAGAGCTTTTTCCTATATAAGGTAAATCGTCTACGTAGTCCCGTAATGAGATCTAAAATAGACGTTAATAGACAATATTATTATTATTCTCGAGTACTTATTTGCTTGCCACAAGGAACCGCACCAGTATGGATGCTCCCGGGCTCGTAGCATCGCGGTGTAGAGAGGTGCTGTGAATATACACTGGCCGGGGTGTAGCTCCCGTTCTACTTGTTCGAGAACGTGAATACAAGGTTGTCCCTTTGGAGCTTGCTATGATTATCAGTTATCCTGAACTCTTCACTAGCGTCCGCCGTCGGCTGAACTCCGGGTAATCCAGCCAAGCTAGTCCTCCCCGAAACCCAGTTCCTTGGCACCAGAGCAGCGGCCGTCTTTACAAGACTTGGCGCTCCGACGACGACGACGATAATCGGGAATCTTGCTCCGCTTCGGGAAAGATAGAAATATTTATATCGCGACCTCAACATAGCCTTCACCTGCAACGAAGTCGGTGACAATATCATGCTGATTGTGAAAATCTTCCTCGCGTTGAACAATGGTAGGCGCGTTGAGAACGAATTTACTGCACGAGTGGTGCTGGAAGGCGCTACGGTACAACAGAAGATCCTAGAAGTCGACTATACCGTGTCTTCGCAGTGAGCTAGGTAAAAGGGCTCTTTCGGAAAGGATACTGCTCCTATTTTAAAGGCGATGTGGGATTCCTGAAGATTACGAGGCTCGAAAACGCTTTTCCGGGTTCAGAATGAAACAATTGGAGGTGTGATACACTGCCTACTCACAACGGGGGTTGGATTGAAGAGGTTCTTCTGGAAGTGCAAGTGAAGTTCATAAAGACTGGAGCAATTTTTCTGAATAGTATGTTGCAATCAAATTATTGCGACTAGATAGTAAGTCCCTTGACGTGGGTGGTGGTAACCCTCCGTATCATCGAAATCGCAAGGGACTCTTCAAAGTCCCCGAATCAGGACTAAAACGGCCTCTTTTGATCGATCCAAGTAGTATTTGCTGGCCACATAAAGAGGTAGCTTCCTTCAGAATCATGATATACCCCTATCTCCCCCAGCACATCGAGAATTTGGAATGAACCCTATGCTTAAAAACAAAGCAGGGTTGAAAATGGGACTGACAGGAAAACGTACTGTTCTATCTTTGCTGGCTCTACTGTTTGCTTATGGTTGCAGCAACCCTTCCCTGGTCTTAAATGCCGTTTGGTGGCGCTTTCACCGCTACAACAAGACAGACATGCTGTCCACAAAGCGATAAATAGTAGCAAATGTTGGGGAAATCCTGGCTTGTCATGTCTTCCGAGATGATGAACCCTCCAAGAGGGCGCCGATACAGTAACCAAAATTCAAACTAGCAGTTGAAACCGCATGTGAAGATGTCAAGATCCACAGCTCTTCGGCTATTGCGTTCATCGGCGCTGGTAAATTCGGTGTCTCTGCTTGTCTGGACACGGTACGGACCAACCTACTGCAACTTGTGGCGACACGGATCAACGTACGAAGGTCTATCATCCGATCTAGCGCTTTGAAAGAACCATATACCCAGCCCAATATAGAATACTTTCTCAAGTACGATTATTAGCTGTGTTCAGCGCCTCTGAGCTAACACCAGACGACCATACTGATCAAGAGCAGCACAGCTCAACCACGCTCTTCTTGACTGGTAAATGATGCAATCTATGGAACGACGCCGGTCTGCGATGTTAACCCAAAGACGAAAATACTCACTTATAAGAAGGAAATTATCATCCACCCTATTTGGTCGACTACTATTCTCTCTTCTGTATCGTGGCTGTACCGGCCTCTATCGTCCAAGATGCGGAAGACTCTCGAGAATTTAATGGTCCAACAGTCTCTTCACTGTCTTCTCGAGTTTGTGTGATGGAAAGTGCGTCTACACCTTCATTTCTGTGCAAAGGGCTCATGACTTGTAATTCCACCGCTCACTTATCTTCTTCTCTTCGTGACGGATCATCAGTCGACGGTCCTCAGGTGTTTTCATAAAGCCATCTCTTAAAACCAAAAAGGACATGAAAGAGTGTACTAAGCCTAATTCAGGTCGACCTGGGAGAGACTCCACACAGTGAAACATGCGGTTTCGATTTGTCAGTCTTTCGGCCCAATCAGAAATGCTAGCCAGGTCCTCGAGATCGTGGAAGACTCACTATTCAGGAAAAGGCATGTATGCTTTGCCCGGCGAGAAAGGATAAGCTACAAATACACCGTAAGTAGCGGTCTCAACGCGTCAAGAGTCGTCCGTCGTAAGATGACTTTCGCAATAAGAGCATACCACGCCTTCGGTATAGGCCAACTTCTACAATCACCCAAGATATCCACGACAGTCAAGCTCGCAGAGTGCTTATTCGCACGTCTACATGAGCAGGCACTGCGTTCCGTACATGGAGTGCCAGGTGATTTCAAGTTGATCTTTGTTGGACTATATCGCGCCTGCAGGCTTACATTGGGTCGGTAATTGCAACGAGCTCAATGCAGGCTATGCCGCCGATGGCTATGCACGCATCAACGGCGTAGGCGCTGTCATAACGACGTTTGGAGTGGGAGAGATATCCGCCGTAAATGCGATTGCCGGTGCATATGCCGAACCAGCATTATTTGTGCATATCGTTAGCACGGCGGGAAGATCTATCCAAGATTCCCGGGCCAAGGCCCATCACACTTTCAATGATGGCAATCTTCAATGGTTTGCACAGATATGTGCCGCCATCACAGTTGCCCAGGCGAGCATGCGGGATGCCCATTCCACCCCGGATCAAATTGGTACGGTCTTAGGGCAGTGTCTTTCATCAAACCGCCCTGTTTACATCCAGATGCCTGTCGACATGGTTGATGTTACCGTTACGGTGGCAAATTCGAGGCTGCAGTCCTCGCTGCTGCATGAGAAGTTCACAAACATTTGGTTTGCACCATCCTACGACTCTGTCTTGTCAATTGTGTTGGAGAAAATAAAGACCGCCAAGCAGCCGATGATACTTGTGGAAGGCGAAAGCAGAGCACTTGGGATCACCCAGGATGTCCAGAGCGTTGTTGCGATCACGAATTGGCCAACCTGGACCAATATATTTGGAAAAGGTCTGGTCAATGAGGCTCTCACGAATGTTATCGAGGTGCTTATGATCCGAAAACAAAAGGCTGAGTAGACAGCGCGGACCTTGTCTTATGCTTCGGCCCACACTTGATTGGACAAACCATTTCGACGGCGCCAGTATCCCTCCGAAAGCCGTTACCATCAGCTTTACCGATATAGAGTTTCAGACAGGCGACCAAATTTTCCGGGACATACCGGCCAAGTTAGCCGTGTCTCGACTACGGCAAGAGCTGGAAGCCCTGAATATGCAGAAATACGATGGCCTTCCAGATCTACCTCGGAATGACAACAGCAAAGCATCTCTTTCGATGATCCCAAAGGAGCAACCCATTACACAGGATAAATTTTGGCCTCTCATTGCCTAGTTTGTTCGTCCTGGGTACATCGTTATGGACGAAATGGGCATCTTGGCTTACGGGTGCTGGAGGTGCTCCTGCCACGCCATGCCACCCTGATTACTGCTGTGGCTCGGCTCTCCATCGGGTACATGCTGCCTGCGGCTCAGGGTGCAGCCCTCGCCCATCGCGAGCTTATTGCCTGTTCTGCCTATCACGGCAGTGGCACAGCACGTACATTGCTATTTCTCGGCGATGGCAGTTTCAGATGGCCGCACAGGAACTTGGAACCATCATACGTGAAAGTTGCATATAACAGTCCTTTTTCCAACAACGACGGCTATACAATTGAGCGTAGCGTTCACGGCTTAAGCGCTGGATATTGTGATGTTGCTCGCTGGCGATATCTGGATGCACCACATCTTTTTGGCGCGGATGACTCGACACTCACGGCTTCTATACGGACTTGGTGAGATCTGCAGAAAGTGATCGAAGGACCAGAAATGAGCACTAGAAGTGGCCTGAGGATGTTGGAGATCGTGTTAGATTGTGAGGTTGTGCTGTAGGGCCCTTTAAATGATCTTCTCTAAGAAAAGAAAAGTCTTGCTACTATACCTCGGTAGAGAACGCCTTTACAAGAACAGGTAGAGACTTGATAAAATGCATGAAGTCATAGGAAGCTCTGGCTACAGGGACATGAGCTTTCTATCAGGCACAGTGTCGAAAATAATGAAGCATCCGATAGTATTTCTGATTTCAGTTGCCTCATTACACTATGGTTATGGTTGGCTCACGCACCTCCCATTCCCGCGCCTATCTTCGCTTATGATGTTGGCTTCCCTGGAAACCACTATGAATCGTGATATACTGCTCACAGTATCAACCACATATCAGATAGTCTAATGCCAGTACCCATTCTCTCAATATTGGGTCAGAAACAGAGCCCAGCAATCAAAATCGGCCAAGTAAGGTTATGTACACTGGGAAATATGTCCTCGGATCCCACCAAGTACGGCAGGGTGTAGAAGAATAGAACTCTTCACGTTTAGACCCATCGAGTTGCTTAAGATGTCTCGAAGCCTTGCCGTCTTCATCATTAGTCTCCCTACAAAACATGTTGTTCAAGGACGAGAAATGAGGTGGAACGCCCATCCAGCAGGGGTGGCGAAGGGACAGTAACAACCTTGGAAGGGTTTTAAGATTCTCTAGAATGTTTCCTGGCCTGCTGAAGATAACCGGAACGTTTAGTTTACCTTCTGGATAGCGGAAAGAATTGAAGCCCCGCAATTACATGCGCTACATGACTACCCTCTGCAGAGTAGAACTTGCAATGACAGGCTTATTCTGGCGGAGGCCACGCATGACATGCCACCGTTTGTCACTCGTTGTCATTCTCCCAAAAACCTCAACGTAGGTCTCCCATATTTGTCCGAATCAGGACTAGGCCTTCCTTTCTCGTCCATATTCATATGACTGAGTGTAAGACCTAAGGATAAGAAAACCTTAATCCATGGACCTGCTCAATTCATTGGAAGAGCATGGTCGGACTGCAATCTCCAATCTTGAAATTGGTAATTGATAATTGATTGAACGTTTTAAATGCTCCTGCACGTGCACTATTTCACGTATTCTACCATCTTCTTTCAATCAATGAGGGGACTTCTTGACATGAATCTTTCTGTATAAGTATGTCCATTGATTAGAGAAGCCATGCCAGGCGCTGCCTCCACAAGAGCGAACATGAGGGCACAGAGAAGATCCCTTCACACAGCATCCCCAAGAATTTCGGTAGTCTGCAAAAATGCCTTGCACCAGAAACGAGTGCCGATCTGTTTAAAGTTCAAGAAATGCTGGAGCTTCCACGATCCAAGATTGACGTTAGTGGATTCTTGAGCAGTGAAGCACGCCTTCGACAGCCATCTTCGTTGAAAGTCGGAACTACTGGCCTGCCGCCCAGCATCATCAGTCTCAGTGCTGGGAGACCATCACCGGATTTTTACCCTTTCTTGGGCATAGACGTTACGAGCATCAATCCGCAATCTGCGGTCCCAGTCGATGAAACACTAGCACAAATGGGTGAACCATTCTGTTCTGACTCGATCAAGATCAGCCTACCAAGGAAAGACCCAGGAGCCGCGAGTGACCTTTCAACAGCTTTATCCTACGGCTATTCCCTGGGACAGGAGCAACTAGTTCAATTTCTGATGACACATATTTCTCACATTCACTCACTACCGTACTCGGACTGGGAGGTCTGTATCACAGCGGGCAACACATCTGCCCTGGGGATTGCGTTTCGAAACCTTGCTAGATCAGGGGGCTTTCTTTTGGTTAAGCAAAGACTTACTCGGCCACCATTGAAGCAGCAAAACCGTTAGGCATCACGCCGGTACCTGTGCGCGTGGACTCCGCGGGCCTATGTGATCGGTATCTAGACGAGACCTTATTGTCATGGGCTGTGAAATTTCCTAGCTCACCAAAACCTAGACTCATTGTACACGACACCAGCAGGACAAACCCCCACGGGCATTACACAGCTCTTTGAATGCAGAACTGAGATTCTCAAAATCGCAGAGAAGCATGATCTCCTTGTCATCGAGGACGATCCTTATTATTATCTTCAGTTTCATTTAACAGATGGCCCGCTGCCCACGCTTTTATACCGCCTTACCTAAAGTTATGTGTAACAGGAAGAATTCTACGTCTTAACCCCGCCTTCAAGATTCTTGCTCCTGGCTTGAGGCTTGGCTGGATAACAGGTCCTAAAAGCTGCGGTCGAGACGTTCAAAGTCGCCCCTGACCTAGGGGTAGTTCACTCAAGTGGCCTCAGCCGAATTGTCGCCCACACTCTCCTTTTCAAAATGTGGGGTCATATTAGGTTCAAGCAATGGCTCTGCAACCTTGTAAAGGTGTATCAACCTAAAGCGATGATCGTCTTGGCCGCGCTTAGACAACCATTTCGGAGCAACGGCGTTGAACGACATCTGCAGCTGGACGCATATAACCGCTGGTATGTTTATATGGCTCAAGGTCGACTACGGGTGATACCCGGCTTTAGTTGACAGATCCATTCGAGCCTCGAATGATTATGATACAGTCACTCTGCAGATTGAGGACGAGATCTATGAAGGCCATGGACAGAGGGGTACATTGAGCCAATGGAAGCTGTGTCCAAGTCCCCATGTCTGTTCACTCACACGAATTCAACATACTGAGAGACCTCCAACCAACAGGTCCCTCAATCTACGGAGATGAATGTTTAATTTCCGCTCACCTTTCCGACGGTGGCTCCACAAGACTTTGAAACGGCAATTGGAATCCTCGCGGAAGTAGTTCGGGACGTATTCAACTTATGAACGGGTGGACTTACCGGACTTTGCGGTCTAGTGGCCGTCGAGAAACATAAGACGCTTTCGCGTTAACTCGGCCTCCATTTCCGAGCTGTATTTCCAAGCTGAAGGTTCATGGTAGAATGCGTATGAGAATGCTAAAGTTACGCTTGTTGTCGGTCTTCCTCTATAATGGGTTCCATTGGCTACACTTGCCTTCAATGATCCTTTGTGCAGCTTATATTGTAATGAACCATGGGCAGGCCCGTAAGCCTGTGTCTCGGGGGAAAGAATGTTGTTGCGCGACGACAAATAAAAGGAGAGGCCTAGTCTACAGTCTCTGGCCGCTGTCAAGCGGAACTGCTTCTGCACGTCCGCCAATCGCCAACAGACCTTGACTTACAGGCAACCGACGCGGGAGTGAGCGTGCAGGAGGCCGTTACGGTTGTGCACCTTTGACTGCATCAATCGCGTGGTCGACATGGGCCAGGTCTGGAGACTGACCTCTCCTCACCATGATTTGCTACCCTGGTCGAAGGCAATCCAACAAGCATCCTCCTCCTTGTTTCAAAGGTATTGCAAGAGGTTTTGTTGAGGTCCTCATAGTCACCGATCTTCAATCACGAGGACATTGATAATGAGTATATATATCTTTAACTACGGAGGGTCTCTCGATAGGTAGGGACGAGTAGGCATACAGGCTGCATAGCCATCGGGGGAAGAGATCCCTCTGCCACAAAAACCTAGAATCACTTCTTCCAGAAAGAAGAATCGAGCATCCGACTTGGAGAGACCCCGCCTTAGAATTAGGTCCATCCTATCGTGAATCCCAATGCATGGTCCACGAAATGACTTGCAAGCTCGTACATGATTCCACGCAACAGTAAGTGGGCGCATATCTCGGCCGAGTACAAATGAATGTTCAGAAGAGTGTTGTTCTTACTGAACAGTGAACAGAAGCCGAATAGAAATCAAGGCCGTATGGCAATCGATGTTGGATGTCTTGGGAATTAGTAAAGTTAGGGAAAGCAGCCGGAAGGCTTGATTATCCTCAAAGGAGAGTCAACTTCATAGTTTAGTTATCAGGCACGAGATCAGAGGGTATTTGGTCAGTATCAACATAATATCCAGCAGACAAGTCGAGTAGTTGCTCGATATTCAAGAGCTGACATCCAATAATAAGCGAATACCTCTTGGCTGATTTTTATTCACGTAGCTCATTCTCAAAGGCTAAATCACCTGGTGACTTAAGAGTTTTTGCTCCAGGACTTGTTTCCCTATGGTATTTATACAGAACTTGAGAGTACCAAATTAGAGTGTAGTTGGTAGCAGTGAGGGTGGTACCAGCAAGTTTCAAAGCCTGAGATCGGGTCCTTTGCCTCGATCGCACCCAGACTTTTGACAGAGGGACAACTTTATTTAGGGGCGCGATCCAAAAAGACAGTAAGATGCATGTCACCGGTTAGTCGATCGCTCTATCACCAGACCATGCTATTAATCTTCGCAGTCTCTACCGAGATGCGCTGTAAATGTGGCACCATCTCGTTGGCGGAAGAAATTACGATTAACCGGTTGCCATCCCCCAAACTGGAACGCCTCCCTCATTGGCTTGTTTTGTTCGCCCTGGCCTGTGCCGAGCCGAGCAGCGCCGTACGATTCACCACTTTATAGTTGCATGAAGGTGTTTGTGCTAACGCAAACATGTGGAGTCTACTTCGCGTGGATGTATGAAGGCTGAGTTACACCCTGGCAAAATGATAAACAGTGGGGATACTATTTGTGCTAGATTAGCTGCAGAAATGACCGAGTCTAGATCTCTTCATAGTTGCTGGGATTTCCGAAAGGAGGAGGACATGATATGTCATGCTAGAGGTCTTTCAGTCCCGAAATGAACCCTGCTGAGGCTGCATGTATGTCGGATTTTCAGTCCCAGTTCCTTATGGCAGAAGCTCTACTGGAGAAGCATTACCAAACTTCAGGATCTAGAACATTTCGAATAGTATCATTTGCCGCTTCACTATGCATCTTCCTGCATTTCTGCAAGAAGAAATCCAAGCAGAGTAAGGCATCAACAAATCTCGTTTCAATTTTCGCTGTCACTAAGAGCCATCACAATGTAGAACACTAAGCCTATTTGAGAGGTATGCGTAAACCGCCTGGCTCGCATGACAGCTGCTGCTCGAAGGATGACCAGGATATCGCCATAGTATAAGTTCCTTCATAACGGTGAAATCGTGATTTATGCCCCCTTTACTTCCGATTTTCCTGGAGTACTGCTCCTATCGCACCAAGTCCATTGGGTCTTGCTAGGTGACGCTTATTGTACGATGGCACTACGAACAGATGGCGAAGTTCTTAGTTTGCAAAATGGGACAAATTTTGAGTCAGATGGGAGTGTGCTGCCTGGCAAGCGCTTGCAACATATCAAAGAACTTATAGACTCTGTCAAAGTCCTCTCGGCTGAGGACAGCTTTAAACATGCCGACAGCATGTTTGACGAAATGGCGCACCTGAAACGAACAGTTGAGGTGAATCAGGATCAAGTTGGCGGACTTGAAAGCCAATTGCAACAATTAAAGACCAACTCCAGAATCGCACAGCAAGAATTTCTCGCAACACATCGGGAAACTGTGCGGAGTATTGTGGAAGAAAAGTCTGAACTTCAGGTCAAACTCGATCGAGCCCAAAATGAGTTGGAGTCTCAAGAAATGATCCATAAGAAACAACTTGAGACCCAGCAAGGGTTACAATACCAAAATACCACGCTCACAAAAGAAAGTCAAAGCCTGCGGGGATCGGTCTTGCAAATAGAGGACGAGGTCAAAGATCTTAAAGGCAAGTCTGTTGCAAAAGATAATACAATCACACAGCTTCAGCAGAAACTTGAGCGGAAAGAACGTGATATGTTAAACATTGAAGGTAATATGAGAGCTCTAGCACGGGAAAAGGACGACTTGAGGAATCAGTTTGAGGCCTCTGACGGAAAGCTCAAGATGTTGATGGACTTTAGTTACCCACTTTCTAGCGATTCCCGCGACGATGTGTTAGTATTAGCTGGCTATATCAAATCTCAGCGAGGCGACTAATTATGCTCCTAGTCGAAACTTGATCAGGGGAATTTGGCAATCTTGCTTGGACATTGTGAAAAGGAACATAGGAAAGGATCTCCCTGTTCCAGAGAAAGAAGAGGTATGTGTCAAATAATCCGTAGAGAGGTATACTAATGTCTTTGTTTAGGACCTCAGAGCGTGGACAACATTAAAGCATGTGCGAGAGGCGACACATGCGACTCCAATACCAAGCTCCAATACCCATGCCGCAAAGCAAATGCGTACCTTCTTGGTAATGGCGATCTTGGCGCGCTCATTGACAGACCACATTTTCACTCCAACTTAGATTATTGAACAAGAGGATGAGCTCAGGGACGCATTGTTCGAGATAACGGATAACCCCAAGAAAGCATTTCTACGCGGTATGATTATGTCCCTATTCGAGACAAGGCAGAGGGAGATTTCGACGAAGAGGGTTTCTAAGGTGGTTCGGGAAGTACTCAGCCCAGTCGAGGACCTTCTCGGGCTCAACGCCGCTCAAAGGTTTGGGCAGGAGCTGAAATTGAAGGTGATAGCGGCTAAAGATGTTTGGTGGCACCTACAGCGGCAGCAAAGTTATTTCGAAGCCGACAATGACACCGAAACAGAGAGTTGGGAACGGCAGTCTATCCAAGTCTCCACTGATGACGACCAGACGCGCTCGCAGGCTGTGAATGTGGAGGCCTTCGACACGGACGAAGCTGTCCTAAAATTGTTCCCAAGAATCTTCATCGTGGACGGCTCAAGGGATACTCCCATTTTTCCTGGCGTAGTGCTTCAAAAATCGCAGACGGCAAGCGCTGAGCAAGAAATATGTAAAGCGGCTGCATCTAGTCCAACCGAAGGGAAACAAGGACCGGCTTATCGCTTGTCAAGAGCAAGAAGAACGACTGCAAGTAATCCTGGAAAGCCCAGCAGAGATGAAGAGAAGGGCTCTTTTTTAGGCTCAAGGGGCTGAATATCCTTCACTTCAGACGAACTTCAAAGAGATGAACCGCTAAACTAGCCAGAATAAGGGATTTCGAATATTCATCCTATACCCATGAACTGCATGTTCAAGTAAACAACAGTATAGATGGCCTTTGACTTACTCTTGGCAACACTATATTCGGAACAGGTAGCTAATTAGTAGTCATCTGACACCGTAGTATAATGTAGGTTAGCCCGGAGGAATCGAACAGTACGGAAGGCTAGTTACTCATGCAGATAGGACTAGGCTCGGTCCAGGGCGAGATAGTTAGGATTTCATTTGTTCCAGTCCGCCAAAATTTGCACTCAGTCTAAGTCTTACTAGAGACAAGATCGACCATTGCAGAGCTAGTCGAATGGTTTCCTAGGTATAGACCGGCATTAGGCTGAAATTTTTCTACGTTGCTAGTCGAGAGCGGCCTTCGTGAGGGTATTTGAGATGCGTAGCCTAAAGCAGACCATTTCTAGGTTCTGGTATAGCTGAACCCACTAGAACAGCGTTTGTCTTGTTGAGGTAGCTAACCGGTGACCAAAACAAACGAATAAATGGTGAGTTATCAGGAAGGCAGTCATGCGACAAGGCATTGTGCAGGATATGCCCTATTTGTATATATCTCAGCCGCGTGAAAAAATGGATAGTCTTAAGTATATAATTTAGGTCATTCCTGGCTGATGACCCTTTGACTCCCTAATACATACAAGTCATAGTCTATTGGCCTCAACAGACGGTATTATCGATCAGGATGAAAACACTATTTAGACGAGCTAAAAAGTCCGTCTCGTCCATCACTTCAGCGAATATGACAGAGCAGGAGTTAGCAGCGCCTGCATCTGACAAGATATTGGCTACAGTCGAACCACTACTGCGTAACTGGACACAAACTCCCTCAAAATCCCAGACGCGTAACGCTCAAGGATCTTGGTCCGTCCCGCCTACATCGCAGGATCCACTTCCGCCCACGAGCCTCGCTGGTGGGAAATGCAAGACATGTGGGTCAGAGGGAGTAGTGCAAAGCATAAAACAAGGCAACCGCAATGGAAATAGTGGGAGACCGAACCTGCATTGCTCGAAACACGGTATAATACGATGGCTGGATGAGCGTGGCGTCCATGCGAATAATCCGCTGTGCGGTTGTGGTAGAAGCAGCAGACGGAATATCGCGGGGCCTGAGAAAGGAAGGACATTGTACTTCACCTGTGCAGAGGCCCAGTGTGACTTTTGGCAATCGGATAAGAGATCTGATGGGCAAAACTGGTGTGTTGTCGATGATAATATGATGGAACTACTTCGTCGTCTCCATATTATATAGCCTGGGTCCTGAGACCTGGTACAATCAGGTTGTCAGGAGCCGGATGCAGGATGTCGTGTTATGATTATTCGACAGTATTCGCTCTTGGATTTAATTGTAGATCGCAAGGCACTCGCCTGGATAATCTAAGAAGGATTGGAGATGAAGGTAAAAGAGAGGGCACCGATGAGTCAAGAGAAGGGTGCCTTTAGTGTCAAAAAGTGACGAACATACGTACTTGGGTAAGACAAGTTGATCACCCGAAGTACACCGTTGCCTCTTTCAGGCCGTCAAGGTATTGCTCGGTCGTTGCTCCAGGTGTTAGAACAGCTGAACCAGAGATGTCGAGAATAGATCCACCTCCAGTCCAGACCAAGAAAACAATGGACAGGAGGCAGAGATCAAGGATGTCTGGCTAGCTTTTGCCGTCGCCGCGAACCGAAACATCTGCCAGGTACACGGAGCACCTTACTGCTTTGCGGTACCAGCAGAACGTCGACACATAGTTTCTGCAAGCTATGCAAGATTTGCTTTGTCGATGCGGGCATTTATTTTCAAATCGTGGCCATAATTACTCCCTAAAAATGGAAGCCGGGCCATGTTGAGGTGTGTGCGATTAGGCTGAAAATGCGCAGGCGATGATCTCGGTTTACTGCCTCTTGGTTGCATCATCCCCTTGGCCTTCTACGCTGCTGGCTATTGGTCAATAGGATCCAGCTTTGTTTCGGGGCTGGAGGCTTTATTGGAGCACGCGAGGCAGCGGACTACCCTGCAACAAAATATTCGATAGCGCCTGCTGCCGCTTTCTGCGGGATTTGACTGGCTGATACTTACCTATCAACTGTTGCAAAAGCTCTGTCAAGTCCTTTGGAAACCCCCTGCTGCACTGCTCTGCAGCGCGTACGCCGCAGTGACTGCACTCTACTCATCCGCTCATTCACTCACAGAGGCTAAGCAGAGGTGTCAGAATTAACTTACCCCAGCTCATGCCTGACTATCGATGGAAATAAGACATCGTTCCGTTGACTTGCAGCCCCTTCTCAACCTTGGCGTCCTGTTGGCTGCTTTCTCCCGAAAGGCTAGGAAAATGAAAATATTGGGGGTTCCCACGAAGACCCTGATAGCCATCGACGACGCCATTGTCTTCTGTGGTTGCGCACCGCAGGTTTCGATTGCGTTCTGTCGGCTTTGGTCGGCGACTTTCTATGGTCAATGCAACACGGTATCTCCGGTGCCTATCACAACCATAGCTCTAGGGCTGATGATTATGTTATAAGCAGTATACTGTACTTCTGGCGATTTACGAGGTGATTGTCAGGTAAATATATATCACCTGAAGCAGCAGTGACACTACCGAAGAGCCATAGAAGGGGTTGTAGTCGAGGGGTTTTAGATCGTGGCATCGCTACATTGTGACTAAAATTACATTGTTGGTTTAGAAAATTCTACCTTCATGAAATTTAGATATTGACTACAATAATTGTAACTAGTACTATACATGCTTGAAATTAATTTCTTATACTTAAAAGTAATTTCATTCAGCACTTCTGTGCATGGTGACAAACGGCCGACAACCAAGCCGAAAATGGCCCTTCCGTAAGGATCTTGCCACGCTAGCCATGACTACGTGCCTTACTTATATTATGCTTTCTCAAATATTCTCGCGAGAAGGAATATAGATGTAACTACTATTGGTCTACATACGTCGCATGTAAAAAGAAATAGTAAGATGGATGTGGATGCCAGCCTCTTTCCAGTGACCTTAATGAAAAGCCAGAGCACGTTGGACTTCGTTCCACTCTTTGAATTCAGGGTTGGAATGTTTCCCTTAATGTCGGGTTCTACATTCTCTGCACCTCAGGGTCTCTGACTCCACTGCATTGATACATACATTGAATTCTGCTCCACGATGCCTGCAGTGGCGCGGATTTCGGATTTCATCTCGAAGGGATCGTTTGCAGCGTTCTGCTGACCACCTGCCCAGTTCCTTGGACAGTTGGACTGCAACCATGTAGCTCATTTACGCATTCTCTTTGAAGAATCTGGCTTCATTCCTCTTATTTTAATAGTGTTGTGCAATGTTAGACCACCGTTTTCACGACGATATCTCGCAAGCGCAGGTCACTTGATGGGGTCGTATTAAACAGTGAAATACTCCTTTTGCCAGGGACAGTGAGATCATCGTGTTGCCAGTATTATTCAAACCATTATTTGAACCGCTAACGGGCCAGATTCTTTAGAGGCCCTATATCCTATCCACCGGCCAAGTCCTATACTCGAACACCACTCCATAATTACTAGAGATCTGTCGTCCGTAGAGCCCTCCGCGTCCAGCTAATGTCCACTGCTTAAGTCATCAGCCCATGATTCTGGCCGCAACCCTCTCGAATCCGTCTGATTATCATCATATGTACCAGTATACATAAATGATAACATCTTCCTCGCACTATGCCCGTCGTTATTACTAAGATTGACAGTTTAAAGTTTGTTTTCCGGGATGGCGGTCAGCGTTATCTACAACATGGTTCTACCTTCTTTCAATGAACAGAAATGAAACTTTCCACTGCAGGCAGCTTGCAAAAATCCGGAAAACGGACAAATTATTGCTCCAAAACTCATCGTCCCGAGCTGTGAGTCTTGACGCTATGGCGCTCAGGCGCTCAGGGACTGTTCCTGTGACCAAGACTTCACGAATCCTGGTTATCCGCGGTATTACGAACTACGTGGAGGATGTGAGACAGGAAGAAATGACTCCAGGTTCACTGGGGATATGTATTGACCAGCCCTCAGAGATCTAAACTGCTGCTGCCAGCAAACATGGATGGCGAGGCTGGGATGGCGAGGCTGGCACGCCAAGCGATGATGCAAGGCTGCAGGTTTATCAATCCCGTCATGACTTTCCATATCATTCTCATTTCCATCCACCAATGCATCCTGGAGCTGTTCTCAGTTCAACTTGCAAACGTATCCTGGCCCTATCTTTTCCGCAATCTATCACAGCGTTGATCCTCGTGACCTACCTTGTTGCCGTAGCCAGTGGCGTCAATTCTGAAAAGCTCCCAGTCCTTTGCATGCACACAACTGACGCGAGACGCGTCGCCCGAAGGACCACCCTAAAATTTGCCGCGTTCCCCCTGAGTCAAGACATCAATGGAATGTAATCTGCAGAAAACATCTAACCCTCCGAGATTTGAAACATTCTCAATATGGCGTTCTTGATCTTCTTAGTTCTACACCGGCAGATCGGTTAAACCTCTGAACCACATTCCGAGAACATGACTCCGACTTGACGTCAGATCTGTATTATGTTCAATCACATCATTAAATGCGTAATCTGGGGACCACTAACCTCGCCTCACTCAAATCTAGAGATCGTTTATAACTGCGTACCGAACTCAACTTTGCCGAGGTGCCATGTCATGACGTCCCTGAGATGCAATTACCGGATCCTTCGACCGTTCCTATCTTCTCATTTCTTCCCCTGCCTCCCCTGGCTTCTCATCAGAGTGCCACTGACCTCCTGATATTTGTGATTGGCACAGTCATCTGAGTTTTGATCGGAACTAGCATCTAGCGTCCGAAGCTTGATACACGTTCCAACCGACTCCTTCCTTCCACTGGAAGTCCTACTGGTCGAGCCATATTCAAGGTGGAATTTCCCCCACTGTCGTTCAAACTAGTGCCCCTGGTGCCTGATTTTGCGATCTGATCGCCTGATTTATCCTAGTGGAAGACTTCATCTGTAGTCGATCAACCACTATCCCCCATGCATGATGAATCATTAAAGCACAATTCAAACCTCACCCACTCACCGCTCCGAGCGGGAGGATGGAAGCAATAGTAAGGCATCTGTACTGGATTGATGGGGACAGCGTGCTGAGGCGATTGACGACGTACAAGGTATGCCCAGGCTGCAAGGACTCAGAGGCACCATGTCATACCATGAAATCGCCTATATGTCTACGTCAGAAATGCTTTCGGTGGGCTCCTCAGGCACGAAGTCATGACGACAATGCAATGCTATCAAACTCGAAGGTACGGTGAGGAAAGAGCATGGGACTGGGATTCCGTGTATATAAACCTCCAAGATCCTCAGGCTCAGAGGTGAATATTCCGTTCTCATCACCGTCAATCGACTCACAAGATTCTTAAGGACTCATCGACAAAAAAAATCCAAACCACTCCCCTAAAACGCAGATCAAACATGTCTGACTACAAGCCTACTGGTAAGCTCCCCATCTGCATCCCACCTCCCTGCGCATCCGACTCGAGATAAAACCCCTCTTTACTGACTACGGCCAACAGAGCATGACGGCCTCCGCAAAGACGGACAACCTGACCAGCGCGTCGGCACGGGCGAATTCGCGCAAGGCAAGGTCGACCCCGTCCAAGCCGGCAAGCAAGGCGGCCAGACAGGCGGCACTTCTGGTGGTGGCTCCGACAGCAACTCTGGGGGGACCCAGGGCAGTGCTCACCAGGGAGGCGATGGGCTTCGAAAGGACGGTCAGCCGGATCAGCGTTTGAAGCAGAACCAGTAGGTTGGAGTGTTGCACAGCTGCAGCTTGACACGGGGGAGATGGGTGTCTGTATGCCAGGATACAGAGAAGTAGTACAAACCGAAAGTGAAACTCAATGTAGAATAGGGATTGAGGAATTGGCAGTGGAATCAGACAAGTCTATGACGTAAAGAATGATAAATCATTGACTTGGTTAAGATGTTCTTGCCCCAAAATCATTCCGTCACCGCTATCTCCTGCTTCTGAGAGATACGGTAACCGGAAGAGCAGCAAGCATATAGATATTTCCCCAGAATGGCGAGCCAAACCCGCTCTCCGAGAAGGTGCCAATCTTCCTCCCCTACATTATGTGTTCAAGCATGGCTTACAAGCAGATGCCAACATTTCGTCGATCTGAAGAAATGCAAACATGGGAAGGGGGTTCTCCCTCCTTGCAAACGACGAATAGAGGGTGGCAAACTACTATAAGACGGGATTGTAAACCCTCAGTTTCCACAATACATATAGTTCTACGCTTGATCATCTATTCTTGCGTACTAAGAAGGTATCTCAAGGTCTTCATGGATACAAGCAATGTGGGGAGGGAAAATGGATCCCATGAAATGAACGCCACCACATTTTCTCCGAATATGCCGCAGCCACCGAAGCGATTGGCTGATCGGCCGATACAAAAGATTCCGTGAACGCCACGCGTGAAGATTGAATAAAACGGAAAGAGGAAAGGGGTAAAACCATAGCCAGCAGAGCACAACGCTCGACAGGATGATCGAAAGATGGAGATCACAGGTAGCTGAACTCAGCCAGAGATCCTTGGGCCAATTATATTCTTCTTGCCCAACAAAATGGTCCCATTGTCCCATGGCCTTGGTTGCATTCATTCCTAGTTCTTTCGCTTACATGTCTAGCCAGCGAGCTGGTTAGCCCTTGCCATGCCAAGCAGTATGTCTGAGCCCAGCACCATAGACGCCCCTTCGTGCAAAAGGAGTAATGCCAACGCTAGCGTTCGATCTGAGATTGAGTCTTGAATAACTGCCTCCATCGTTGAGGGCCGGAAAATGGCCATATTGATGCTGGGGGTGTGGGATACCAAATTTGAGAGCTCGATAGTCCGGATCATTCGAACTTTTGGATTCCAAAACCGTCGACGGAAGTAGCTGATCAACGGGTCCGGGAAGAACCCTCCCTTTATTCTTCCTTCCGATCCTCTCACGGAACAAGACTTTCTCGCCCTCACGCTCACGGATGTCGATCGCTCTCCGCCGACGCAAGTAGCTCACCCAGCCAACACTGAGGAATAGCGTCAACATACCGCTGACGGTCCAGTAGATCCAGAACGGCTGGGTCACGATGATCGACTGGTGATTTCCTCCATCACTACCTGGTAATGGGAAGTTGAAGATTGGGGTATCGAAGAATGAAGCGACGAATGTACCCGGGAGGAATAAGAGAGAAACGAATGCGATGGTCATCATCGAGGTATTAGTGTTCTTACCTTGTCGGGCGAGTTCGTTATTGAAGTCGGCGATGGCGAGGCTAGCGCGTGAGTCTCTCTGTGTCGTCAATTGGAAGACAGAGGTCATGGCATTATTTAGCCTTTCACTCAACGAGTCTGCATCAAAGAGGTGGACGAATGTATAGTCCCAGATAACGTCCATGAATGCGTCAAGCTCTTCACATTCTCGTATAAAATGTTCGTAATCCTCGTCAGTATTTGGAAGAGAAGAAGATAACTCAAGACTCTGTCGGTATTTTGCATTACATCTGGAAATGAATTTGATCTGTTGCTGGAATGACCGAAGTCGGAAGCGGATATTTGTTAACTTTCCCGCTAAAAGATTGAACCCTTCGACCGCACGGTCATGATTTTCCCCAACACCATTACCTGGAACCATACGGTCAAGAACCCAGTTCCAAGTTGGGAAGCCAATGTCCTGTTCGAGTGCTAATGTCTCTCGATTCATATCGTCGAGCATTTCGAACGTGAAGGTCAGAGACACTTTAGTCTTAATATAGCCTAGAAGCATTGGGTGGGCGAGATGGGTCTGTAGTCTTATTAAATCTGCTAGCACCTCTTCTCGTCGTTCATCCCCGTCTCCTTCCCTATGAAACATTACCGCGGCGGTATGCTTCAGGGCAGGGCAATACGTCCACGTGATGGTCCAACTCGTCCCGCTGCAGTAGTACTTCGTACATGCTGATGGAGTGGTTCGAGCTGCATTTTTGCAAGGTTTTGAGATTGATGTTGCAGGAACACATACAAACGTGATATGAGCCTTGATATATGCCCCGAACGCAGCGAGCGGTAGCCCCATTCCACTGAAAATATCTGTGATGAATTCCACCTGGTTCGCTCTTTCACTAGTCTGACTCCGGCCGAAGTCATACGCTTTCTGTGGGCGTGCCAATGAGAGTGAAGGGCCCTTCTTCACCGTAGATTGGTTATGGGTTTGTATTAACAGGATCTTCATACTAGGGTCGTTCGGGTGGACCTTCTGGTTTCCAGGCTCTCGAAGCCAGTGGACGATGTCTTGAGAAGAGGTCGAGTGCAGGGGGTCTGTTCTAATTGATGTAGAAGAGGTACTACCATTTTCATCGCCAATTGAACGCGGAAGTTCGAATGTTTCCAATTGATGGTGCCCATTATAGCGTTCAAAGTCGGCAGGGGCGAAGATAAGGCTGTCGAGGCTGTGTGGGGGCATGTATCTTGATTCTCGTTGAATTTGAAGAAGCGCAGGGCAATTCTTACGAAGAGCGAGTGTTAAAATTCCGTGCAATTGTATGGGGGAGGGGGAGCATTCATATATCTCAATGAGAAAGAGTCATTGTCTTGATCGTAGGGCTCATAGCGTGGAAGTTAGTAGGTAGCCTGATCGGCGGACTCCGATTGACATTATTTTGTTTTTGGGCGGAGGTACAGGTCAATTCGACGCCTTTTATGAACGAGTCGAGTCCGCGAACCCGAAGGAGATAGGAGTGTTTGCCTGAAGATTATAGTCTAGTGCCAGTTTCTGGTGCGGTTGTCTCGGTGGATAGTGTAGCTATGTCACCTGCAGGTCTGTGTTCGCGATGCATGCAAAGTCCTAATGGTCTTTCTGGGGAAGCTCGTACGCGTCTACGGTTATCCTACCTCGTGGCGTGGGGGGTTGGGAGAGGAAGAAGACGTGCCTAGGAGGTCAAATGGAAGTTTGCCTGTCCTCAGGGAGAGCCATCTGGAAGTGTTCGGGGGGAGTGACGAAAGGTGCGAGGCAATGAAAAAGGGTCAGCCTGATTGGTTGTAGATCAACCTCCAATAGGCTTGGCGCGGGATGTCCGTCCAGAAGGTAGTATGGAGTCTACGAGTATATGTGTATCCGAACACGGATCTGGGTTCTGCGAATAGGACATCCTCATATGCTACTCCCATACGAACAGGGCGTAAGGCAGCCGACAACCTCGCTTATCTTTGATTGCTAGATTTCGGTGATCGCACTTTCTGAGTAAGTCTCATGCGAGATGACGGTACTCACTGACAACCTAATATTCAATTGGGTTTAGATCGTTAGATCGTACTGTTGACCAGTTTCAGATATTCAGCCACGTGTGACTGAGTTTGAGAGGGAGATATTAATGCGGGAGTAACGAGTAGTGTGGAAGGACAAGATAGTAGAAAACGATATCCCAACTGGGAGCACCTTGAGTGTTTCTACAATTGTCATACCACATTCAATCATTAAACCCGTGATCATTGGAAGGGACCAATGCTCGAAATGAGGCTACTAGCCTCCAATTTAGAAGAATCGGTGTGACCGGTTTTTGCCTGTCCCGGCGACCGATTGGGTTTCTATAAGACAGTAAAGGCAAGTCAGAAAAGTATCGCCCAATTGCCACCATTTTGGCGCTGAAAGCAGAAAACGTGATTTATGTGACCAGTGCAAATAGCAACGCCATCTGTACACAACGTCTTGCTGGCATGTCTCAACTCTGGTTTCACCTAATTTCCGTACCTTGTGCAGCCACGGGCTTTCTCTTGAACAGCTTCTTCATCCCACCGGAACTATCTGTTTGCGGATTGGGAGGCTGGCCCTCGACGAATTCGGCTGGCTCATCATGTTGGGAAGGCCACCCACCTGGAATCCCTTCCATCTCGCTTCGGCCTCTTGCGAGAATGTCATTGTTACGTGCGTTGATTAGCGATGCCTTTTCTGCATTTTTCGACGGGAATCGTCTGTCGATAGTGGAGCTTAATGTTCCTCGTAAGGTTTCACCCACGCCCTGCAACTTCACTGTCAGAATATCTTTACTCAATCATAAGCCTTCATGAGATGCTTACATGGATACCCTTTGCGGCGGCCTTCAAGTCTTTGATTGTGGATGGATTGTGCCGCAGAGGTTGATCTGTTGTCCTAATTGACGCCGCTCCAGAAGTCGACGGTGGAGCTCGGCTGGGATAACTGAAATTTTGTCTGGAGGGGCTGGCTGGAGGTGTTGTCCCAGTGGGTCCGTGGAAACCGCCTGGTACGTCGACAGGACTTACTGGATCCCGATCGTAGTATGAATCTCGTGGGTATTCTTGGGATTTGCGCATTGCACTTCGGACAGGTACGGGAGGAGAACCGTTTGGAGGCAACCCACCGCCAGTGATTGGTGGCGGAGCTGGATAGGTTGTGCTAGTTGGCGCTGCTGCAGGTTGAGGTGAATGAGTCCGGCCTGTGGATCCGGCAGGCATTTCTAGTAGAGGAGGTCGTGCAGGTTCAATTAGAGCAGATTGTGAGGGTTCGGGGAGAGGAGCTCGTGCGTTCTCTGATAGAGGGCGTGCAGCCTCGTATCCGGAGTTTGGCTGTACTTCTTGTGTAACAACTTCCTTCTTGACGTCTTCATGTTTCTTTCCACCTTTTGTCGTGGTGGTGGTTGTGGTGGTTGTGGTGGTTGTGACTACTGTGACCACCTCGCCAGTGTCCTCGTCAAATACCTCCCCAGTAGATGGCTTCAGAGTAAGGTTTCTGCTTTGATCAATGTTTGCGACCTCGCTGTTCTTCTCGGCTGGTACCATTTCATTGGGTGTATGGGTGCCATGGGCACTATTGCCTTCGCTGCTAACATAGGCAGAGTCGGGTAGGTTTGCGGGACGGGGTTCGGGAGTCTTTTCACGTTTCCCAAGGAGACGGCCGAGGCCTCGAGATTTCTTTTTCTCCTCTACTGGGGACGCGCCAGACATGAATGAGGCAGAGTGGGACATTGTGTTCTCAAAGAGTGTTTGATTAATGGCAGTTTGACAAGAAGAGTGATAACAGCGAGAAAGGGCATTCGCAAGGTAATAGCCATCTCTGGGCCTCCATTCCAATCCATGGCTACTCGCGGTCCCGTCCCCCATCCAAGGTTTGCGGGATGATATGATGTCACTTCTGCAAGCCACGTAATAATTGTATGTAGGCATGCATCCCAAGAAATCGAACGAAGCAGCGAATCGGCTGATTGATCGGGGGTGTCAGCCACAGTTTGCACAGCCACAATACGCCGTAAGGGATGCCATGAACCAACGTCAATTCGTTCGCTCATAACAACGGTAGCCATTGTCCATTTTGTGGGGGGTAATCAAATAATGGGCTGTCTCGTGGTTTGACCATGGTGTCCCCAGCGGAGCTAATCTGATGAAGATGGTGATATCAGGCCTCTTCGACGAAGGCTGGTATACGCAGCATGCAACTCAAACTCGACGTCGCATCTGCACTTGATTTCACAAATCAATGGCCATGTGCTCTTCTCCCCTCTGACACTCCATTGTTCCAATGTTCCCGGTGTTGGGTTATCAAAAAGGCTGATCAGGTCACGTACACCTAAGTTGGGTGTGATCGATACCTTCGACCACGATGCAATGCTCGGAACAACTTCGTCTATCAAAACACGCTGAAGAAATATTGGCAGGAACCCGAATCGACTAAATACCTCCAACCAGTGAAGAAGTTCGGACAATATGAGTCGTACGATGATTCCAAGTGGCTGGTAATAGTCTGCCCACTTCTGTAGTTGAATGAATGGCGCGACGTAAGGCCTTGTCTGAGACACGATGAAGTGATTGACATTGAACAGCTCGCCTATGCGTTGTAACGGTTTCTCGGGATGAACTGAGCCTTGCCGTTTGGTCTTATTCGCCGAAAAGTCCGCTGCAAAGTAAGTGACAACGGCTCCTGTATCACTTTTGCAGAGCAACCGCACCGGGGCATACATCTGCTTAGAAGTCGCAATCGACGCCACCACTGCAGACCAGATAAGTACATGCGGTGCCGTGATATAGTTGAGGAGTTGCGGTGTACCAGCCACCTCCGCCATGGCGATGTTGATGTTCAGAATTCTACCGGTTTTCTCATACGCCTCTTCAAATGTGATATCGCCCAGATTGTCTCTTGCACATTGTCTCAGCACATCGATGTCAAAAAGGTGCCTAGTTGCTCGATATCGTTTGTACCGTCGGCGAAGAGTGGCCAGGAAGGATGATCCAAACCAAGAGCCCAATCGACTTGTCGAACGTTGTAGTTGAGCACGTACAAACGCATCGAGGTTTATGCCAGAGCCTCGACAGATTGTTGGGAGGCCAAAGTCAGTGGTAGTGCAAACAAGAGCGGCAACCAGCGCCCCCGATGCGGTGCCGGTGATGATCTGAGGGAGGAGTCGTTGCTCGTGGAGCACCTTGACCACGCCGAGATGAGACATACTAACCATGGCACCGCCTTGAAGTAGCAGGCTCGTGCGACCAAGAGTCCTCCGCATATCATGTAACACCTGTCTCTTTTCTTGCACAGGGACAGGAATGTTGCCATTGTTGGTTGAATTGCGGTCAGCTAGGTAAGCGATGGATTGGCGTAGCTCGATAATGTAGTCGTGTATCAATCGTTTGGTCTGGACCGGGGATTTTCGATACAGAGCAGCGGATAATATCCGACACATATTGCGAGAGCTCTGAGCACGGAGTTGACTACATAGCCCCCAATCGTCTCCGAGTTGACGACATCGTTCAAGGTCACGTTTGAGCCCGCGCAGAATGTGCCAGTCGTAGGCAGGATGTCGATCTACCGCGGCCCAGTCAACTACACCATGTATGGCATCGTACTCAGACCACCACTCATACCAGTCTCCGTAATTCGACGGTGGCTTGGTTTCCAATCGAGGTTTCTTGGTCCACGGCTCTATCCAAATCACCACAAATAGGCAACGGAGAAAGCCCAGCACCGTGGCGAGAATTCTAGACAAGAAGTCCATCGTATCGGGCTGTCATGGGCCAACATCGCACGATGTGGGCGAGGCCTGTAACATCGAGCCCAAACAGGGTATGGGTTGTATGACTTAAATCCGAGAGATGCTCGTGTTCGTTGAAGTGTAAACATGTCAGCAAAGAACAGATGCACTCGAAGTTTCACATGCTTGCCAAGCACGGAGTGGAATACAGCTCGTGGGATCCTCGGGCTTCAAACACTGGCAGGAGCAACCCGGAAGGCAGACGAGCTTAAAGGGGCCGAGGGGGGCGCAAGGCTCTGGGGCTCGGGTTGGTCGCCAACCACCCAGTCTGCGAGCAAAGCTGCCTAAGTGTGGTTCCACTAGGCGTGGCTTAGGCGAGGCTTACAACTGCAGTATTCCGCCAAGACGTACCCCCAGCTTTAGCTATTCTCCGCCGAGTTGTCTCATGATATTGAGTTGCGGATACAGAAGTGAGAAGCTCTTCAACATCACCTGCACAAGTATCCGAAGCTCCTCCTTCAGTCAGCGAGGCAAAATGAAGCTATCACTTCGCCGACAACGACAGGATATTGCTCTCCTTTCCTCTATTCTCCATCTCTCCCGGCCTCTCTGTGCATCGTGCGCCCACGTCCAATTACGAAGCCATGACCGACCTCAAAGTCCTTCACTCCACCGATCCTTCTCAATACTCAATCGCCCTCCACCCAACTATCCAGGTCATGTTCCACTTACAAGTGTTGAGCGCGTCGGATTGGCTGTTGGCAGTGCACTCACATCGCTAATAAATCCCTATCGACATGACATGGTTGCAGCATGCGGAGAGGCTACGGCACAACCCTTCTTCATATCCCGGTTGAGAAATCGGATGCTTTCAGATCCCACCGGTAGACGAATCCTACGAGATCGACCTCGGATCACATCTACAACTTTACCTTTGGAGATGCTACGGCAGTTACCAGAAGACAGTGTAGGCAGTACATATGCAGCTTGGTTAGATCGCGAAGGAGTAACACCAGATACACGGGATGCAGTACGGTATATTGATGACGAGGAGGAAGCCTATGTGATGCAGAGATATCGAGAATGCCATGACTTCTATCACGCCGTGACTGGCCTGCCCGTATGGGTGGAAGGAGAGATTGGGCTGAAAGCCTTTGAATTCGCCAACACGGGGCTTCCCATGACTGGCCTAAGTTTAGCAGCCATCATCCGACTCAAGCCAGCGGAGCGGCGAAGAATGTTCGAAATCTTCTTGCCCTGGGCATTTGCCAATGGATGGAAAAGTAAAGACCTGATCAACGTTTATTGGGAAGAGGAGCTCAAGACCCCGGTTGTGGAGCTGCGACAACGACTGGGGATTGAGCAGCCTCCAGACTTGCGAGCCATGCGGAGGAAGCTGAGAGACGAACGCAGAGCGGCCAAGGCTGCACAGGAAGCCGCAAGCAACCAAGGCTAGGCAAATAATTCGTCCGGCGTGTGAACCATATAATGTCAATGGGTATCATGTACAAATTCGAGAGTACAAGGGGATTGTGTGCCGGTGTATCATGAATCTTTTAGGAGATCATCAAGATCATCGTCGTCGTCCCAACCGCCTCTTCGCACAACCTTGACGCTTTCTAGAGTCTGGCCAGACTGCTTCTCATGTTCAGAGAGGCTAGCAAGCATGTCTTTGAGTTGATCCTCGGTGACCTTCTGACGCAGCTGACCGGATCGGGCAAGGGTTATGAGTCTGTTCTCGACATCAGTGGCTCGTGACTCTTTGACCAGGCGAATTCTGCCCAATCTGTCCTGGGCTTCGGGTTCGAGGATCTGATTGAGGATGGATGACCGTGCTTCGGATTCTTGTTTCCTAGAGTACAGTTAATAATTGGATGTTCGGGTGACTTGAGATCCGCAGCAGACCTTTGCTCATCCTCATTGCCTCCATCGGCCGTTTGTCCGCTGCGCCCTCCGCCCTGCTGCTTCAATTGAGCAAGGCGGGCAGCTCTGATCTATGTTGAACCGGTGAGTACAGAGATAAAAGATTGATTTCTAGGGGATAATCACTTGTGCTAGCTCGTCATCTGCCATGGTCACTGGTGATGTGTTGAAGTCTGCTTGACAGGGGCAGGAGTAGATTTCGAGTACGTGCGGGGCAGATGATCAGCGGCTTTGGTATTGTGACGAGTGTGGAGATCACGTGTGATATCTGTGGCGGTGGTTCAGGTGTGGCGTCGCCTTGGCGAATGAGCATGTGGCTTGACCGTAAGCGGCTGCGGGTGGGTAGCTTCGGATGATGGAGGAAAGGGAAAGGCCCCGTGCGTTGGGCACATGGATAGGCCCGTGGTCGTTCCTTCCCTGTTTCTCCACGCCCACTCCGTTGGTTGAGCTGCCATCGCCCATCGCCCAGTGGGGATTCAGACTGCGCAGATTCCAGGGCGTCTCCTCCTGTTGTTCCTCCTCGTCGTTCATTTTTCAGAACCCCAGAAGGATCTCCGTCCGCCTCATCACTCCACTACAGTTTATCTCTCTATCTCTCTATCACTCCGTCTCATCGCTCAAATAAACAAACAATTATCCTCTCCATGTCACCTCAAACCTAGTCTTGTGGCTCAACCCGACCAGCCACCTACTTTCTCTCCAGACCGCGGCTACTTCCTTCGACCTCTTACTCGTCCAAGCATGAGTTGCACTACTCGTACTCTCCGTTGACACCTGCATAAGCCACGTCGCCGTACTCCGTACTCCGTACCCATTCACTGTCACTGCGACGGCCCGTCTGTCAGACCCAGACGCTCTCTACTCTCAGATGCACTCCTGGGTATATCATGGAGCTCTCCTAGGTCCTCATGCTCCTTCCCATTCGCGTTCCATCTCGCTCGGACCTCCTCTTGCTGGCTCGCCACGCGATAACCTCTCCAAAGCGAAATCCACCTCGGCTTTGCGCACCATGGCTACCATAAATGCTGAGCCAGAGCAGGTACAGTCCGATTCTCATCCTTTGCAGCCTCACGATGGCTCTCCAGAGACCTCGTTTCGCACCATTGTTGATCCGCGCACCGCAAGTACCGATGATCTCTCCAGATCCGACTCCACTTCCTCCAGACATCCCGATCTCAATAGTGAAGTTGCTACCTTGAGCGATAAACTTATAAGAGCCATCAACCACCAAACAACGTTGGACGATAGCCTCTCACAGACAAGACAAGAACTAGAAGCATCAAGAGCAAGAATAGCACAACTGGAAGCCGAGGCTAAAGCCCATGAGGCCAAAATCACCGGAGGGATTCTGATAACCAAACAATCAGTCGATGAACGAACAAACAAGCTGTCTGCGGAACTCGCCGAAGCGAAACGGCAAACCGCCCTAGTCCAGCAGGAGAAGAGAGGGATCGAGTCTGAGCTCGAGAACTTAACTGCCTCGTTGTTTGACGAGGCAAACAAAATGGTCGCCAGTGCCAATAGAGAACGTGAAGCGACCGAGAGGAAGAACCAGCAACTGAGGGATCAGATTATGGATGGCGAGGCTGTAATATCTTCGCAAACTGAGCAGCTCACCGAATTAAAGTCTCTGATGCAACAAATAGCCCCCAGTCCGGACTATCGCAAAGAACTTGAGTCCCCTCGGGTCTCACTTGCTCCATCAAGCCCCGGTGTATCAAGGGAGGATAGTAATCTGGCCCGGCTACTTGAGGCAATGAATCTCTCGCCAACCAGCCTTGAACATGGAGAATTAATTCCCAGCCCATCTACACAATTGACTCATCTGGTCCGGCCTCTATGTCGAACTGATATCCCAGCCTATGACGACTTCAAAACTCTGATCCAAAACTCTCATTTCCGTTCCCACAATCCTTCACACGCTCCTTCAAGAGCTGGCTCTGGCTCCTATGCCGGTCTCAATGTTATGGGCCTCGGCTCCTTGAGCAATAACTCGAGCTCAAATCTATCTCAGGTTTCTCAACTCCCCACATCTAAACTCGCCAATTCCCCCAACATACCGGGTTCGTTCAGCCCAAACCCTGAGCAGCCAAAAGGTCCTATTCCACTTAAAGACAGCAAATTCTATAAACGCATTCTGGTTGAAGATATCGAGCCAACTCTCCGGCTGGATCTATCGCCTACTCTCTCGTGGCTCAATCGTCGGAGTATTCTATCTGCCTTCGGTGATTCGACGCTCATTGTAGAACCAATCCCAGAAGCATCCTTGAAACTCTATGGCAAATATACACCTTGTGCATTGTGCGGTGAAAACCGAAAACAAGGTGAAAACGCCAGGACGCATGCGATGCGTCTGCGTGAGGGCGAAGGAGCTACCAAATGGTCCATTTGCTGCCTCTGCCTTACTAAAGTCAGGGGCGTCGGTGATTTAGTGGCCTATGTGCGAATGGTTCGCGAAGGCGTTGTCAAGATTGGGGATCAAAAGGATGAAGAGGAGGCTTGGGAGGAATTGGTACGGTTGAGGGAAAGGCTTTTCTGGGCGCGCATGGCGGGAGGAGTCGTTCCTGCGTTTCTTCCCACCCCGAAGCAAACACCTGTAGATGATCCGGGCGAGGGTGAGAAGGAAGACAGCACTTCTGATTCTCGACCCGCCCTAACTCCCAACGAAGCGACTACACCTCCAGAAATAACAAGTCACGAGGGTACAGAATCTGACAAAGACGAGACTTCTTCCGAAAAGGCTGCGCATTTGCAACTTCAGCAAGGGCTTGACGAGTCATTAACAACATTTGAAAATGTCAGAGATAAGCGCATTAGCACGCCCCCGACCACCCCCAGTCCGCGGAGGACAAGGGATACAGGCAACGAGTCCGCCTCGAAAGAGGGATACGCCTTCCCGAAGATCAACATTCCACGCTTGCCTCCAGGCTTTTGGGACACACAGGTTAACACGTTACATTAGGAGCGTCCAGCTATGGTCTAGGTGATCCTCGGGATATTGGGGACCAAGTCAAGCTGAAGATGTTTTTGGAGTTTTGGGCATATTTTCATCTGCAAGAGATGTTTTCGACCTCTAGATCAAGACGAAGGGAAGACGCAGCGAGCTTAATGTATTATATGTTCGATAAACGCACGGAAGCCTGGCGACCAGTACACACAGCCTATCCCAGGTGCTGCTTATCGAGCAACTGTATATCATAAATATTTTTCCAAAGGAACCATCCGAGGCCTATTCAATATTGCGTGACACGGCTTTCTCTTTGTGTTTCGACTGCTTCTTCTGACGAGCAGCTTGTCTATAGGGAAGTGGATGAAGTTCTACTCGCTGATACCGACCACGCTACATAGATGGCCAAGATATGGCGACATTTCTGTGACGAAGTTGGGACCATGTGTTCAATGGGGACGTGAATCTGATCACTTATCAGCACACTGCTTGATTTGCAGACCCATGCCCATCCACTACTCAATCCGCGGCGTCTCTCCTGGCCCGGCCAATTCCCTTTTGTGGAGATAATGCCGGGCGTGCCAGGGGCGTGCTCTATCACTCGAGGCCACCCACCCCCTCTCGTAAATGCGCTGTTGAGGCCTGAATCCCTGTGGATACTGTTTATCCCGGAACTTGGAACAGCAAAAGCTATCGATTATCATATTCCTTGCTTGGTCCTCGATGTCTGCGTTTGGGCAGCAATGCCAATCCCCGCCGTAGAAATGCATGACCATGAATGAGCGTGGCGTGTCCCATTCCGAACGGTGGTGATCGAAACTGTCAAGTTAAGTTTTGTGTTACGGGGAGGACCCGGGTTGCACCGTCGTCACCTCGGTCACGTATTCGGTACGCAATGTGCTACTATATATACTGGGTATTGATGTTATGTATGTACCTGCTGGTACCGAAGGGGACTTGGGCCCTTCCACGCTCAGCTTCCAACGCAGCTTGCTTGGCCTTTGGCCCTTTTATGACCAAAGTCCCCCAGTCAAAGAGACAGGTCTGGACAGACTCATCAGGCACGCAAAGGTGTACAGCACCTAGAAGTAAATACTCCGCAGTCGATTCGGCAAATAAGAAAACGTGCTCTGACTGGAACACTCTCACTACATGTACAAGTGCTGGCCCCCCTTGAACCCTTGTCTGCCTCTTTACCAAAGCGGATCGGAGACGACAAGCCGCCGTGGCATCCTTGCGTACTCGTATGTGTCAGGTGTGCATCGCTTACTTACTACTATCGGCTATTCATCTAGATTCGTCTTTTGAGGCCGGAGAAGAACAATCAAAAAGGCTTCTGGTACCCTCTTTCTTGCACAGTTTCTATTTCCTTTCTCTTTCTCCTTGGTTCGACCTTGAGCTGCTACATACGACGGGTTGTTGAGTGAGATTGACTAACCTTGAGGACTCTAGCGTCAGCTTACATATTTTTCGCCGCCCCCGTTCCTCCTCCACTGTTGAAATGGGAGAAGACAAGACGAACAACAAACCGGTCATCGTGATCGTGCCGGGCTCATTCTCGAATGCTTGTTCATATTATGCTCTGGTCGACAGGATCCAAGGCCTCGGATACGAGACATTCGTCAACAACCTCCCTTCGACGTCTCGCCATCCTCCTGAAGAGCCCGCGAATCTCCAAGACGACGCTGGGTTTTTCAGGAGTATTATTGAGAAGCTCGCGGACCAGGGTAAAAATGTCGTGGTTGTTATGCATTCGTATGGTGGTTTGGTAGGTAGCGAAGCCGTTAAGGGGACGGCGAAAGCCGATCGGCAGGCGAGTGGGAAGCCTGGGGGAGTCGTCAAATTGATCTACCTCACTGCGACGGTACTTCCTGTGGGAGGTTCAATGAAGAGTGAGTCGGGGGATCCACCATCCGGGCTGATAGAAATGGATCAGGTAAGGAGAAACCCCTGTTTCTTACCATCAGCTGTGAATTGATGGATTCTGCCGCTTTTATTGGTTTTCAAGCTGTGCTGACAATCTTCCTGGGTTTTCACTGAAATAGAATGGGTTCATGCGGATCGTTGGCGTGGAGGCAGTCGCCCAAGCAGCCCTTTCGGACGTCCAATTCGACAGGGCAGTAGATATCGTCAGAGAGATGCCGAGACACTCGGCACTCAGCTTTGCTGGCGAGTTAACGTATCCTGGTTACAAGCACATACCATCATCGTATATATGCTGCGAAAACGACTGCCTGGTTTCACCAGAAATTCAACGCAAATACATCGATAGGATCAGAGAAGCAACTGGAAAGGAGGTCGATGTCCACAACCTGGATACAGGCCATGCTCCGAATATCAGTGCAACGGAGAAGCTTGCACAACTGCTCGTCGATGTCGTAGGGGCCTCGGTTTGAGCGCTGATTTCGGAGACAAAATAGGACTTCGAGGGTCTGCAGGTACACAAGAACTTATCATGCAGGGTCCCCGCTTCGATCCTGGAAGACTTCGGTCCAGTCTACTCGTTCAAATTCCGCAATGTCGAAGTTCCCGGAGAGAAATATTTCGGAAGCCTCATCGAGATCCAGAAACGACTCGAAACTAAATCCTCTGCGTTGAGAATAGTCAATTCCCTCCCGGACTGAGTTGTTCGAAGTCGATTCTGTGGATGGGTTCAAGTTCGGATAATCCACCCTCAATTCATGACGCTCTTGAGCATCAGACATGATGCGGTCCGCCTCCGCCTGCTGGAGTGCAGGCACATAGTGAGTTGCTTCGTCACGGAAGAATGAGAAAATAGACCTTTCCGAGCTTTCATCAACTTGAAGGTTTTTAGTCCGAACCAGTTCCAAGAAAGCAAGAGCGTGATGTGCTTGCGGGTACATTTCTTTAAGTCGGATCATCGCCTGCACAGTCCACTCAAGACCTTGTTCAGCCGTATTGTGGAGTGTGGTTGATGACGATAGTGAATCCTTGATATGCTGCATTGCTGCAAATAGCAATGCAGTCAACCCAATTGGTGGTAAAAACCATAGAAGCTCCGCACTACTTAGGTAGTCGGCAATTTCTGAGATGCGCTTTGCAGCTGTTCTGAGGGTTTGTTGCGAAAATTCTTGAAGCGCCTTCGCCGCGGAATCGCCCAGATGTCTATTCAGCATCTGTGGGCGATGGGCCATACCAAGGACAGTCATATACAGAAGTTCCAGCACGGCACTGTGAATGCCCACTAAAGTGCTGTTACGTTGGGGGTCCTTGTCTATGGAATCGTGCAAAGCCTCACATACATCGTCACCCCACTTACGTAGCTCCTGATCTCGAGACATATATTCAGCGCTGGCGGAGCCTGAAAATTTCGGTATCAGCAGCAACTTAGATCGTGAAGAGGTTCTGCGTCGATGGCTGCTCAATTCATACTGAGTATGTAGAATCCGCCCAATGAGAACGCAAAGTCTGATCTTTTGGAGGCATAGTTCTGTGAGGATCTCGGACTCTTTGTCATGGTCTGGTATATGATATCGTTCCAGAGCTTTAGAAAGAGCACCACTGTCTAGATCGTCAATCGAAAGTGGAGGGAAATCGATTTCATCCCACGTAATACTACTTGGCTGTCGTTCGCTGAACGAAATAAGTTCGTCCCTCATTAGTGAGCACCACCACAGCCGACGTCGTAATCTTTGTTGGGCCGGCGACAGGCCAACCAATACCGAATTATGAATAAGCCCGATGTCAGTGGCAAATGATAATGCAATCCTCATCCAATGCGACCGTTTCTTTAAGTCTTCCGGTCTATCGTACCAGTAGGTCATCAGCACGAGGACTTGAATCAGGACCAATGAATCCGTCTCAAGGTCTGCATCATACAAGGTCTTGGCCACGAAATTAGCAAGAATGGCTTGCGCTGTTCGAGAATTTATACGCAGCTTACTCTAACTTTGTTGAAAAAGACTCCTCGGGTCTCCCGGTGAGATTTGAACCCTTGTTTTTCGAGATCGTTGATATCGACAAAAGTGGAAGCGGCGAACATGACTGCCTGGAATAGCAGCAGGCTCACAGTTTCAGAGCCGTTTTCATTGTAGACCGTGGAGAGGAAACCCTCAAGATCCAACAATGGTAGGAAAGGGTGGACGTAGCACGTGTAAGCACGAAGCAGGCTTTCTCTGAATTCTCCTTGCGGGAGTGAAAGTGCCCCTCTCCGATGCAAAAGATGGAGCATTTCTGGCTCCACGGCAACTCGTATTGGCGTGATATATGGTGGTAACTGGGTGCCCGATCCTAGCAGGAATATCGATTGCGGTGGAGGTGAGAAATTACCTTCAATTGTGAAAGGCGCTACCCTGGGTGCCACCAGCGGCGGATTTGTTGAGTCAGAGGAAAGGACGTGTGTCCAAGTGACTTGCCGGTGATCAGCGATGGACGACGTGTTCGAAGCCTCATCATTGATGATGACTGCTTCTATCGGCTGAACACTAAACGTGTGAACACTGGATAACGGTAATCCCTGACCGTGCTGGGCGGACAACTTCCTACTCTTCCTTGCATAGTTGACTGAGCAGGAAGTATTCAGCCGCACGCAGTTGCTGCAAGGAATGGCGGTGCTTGCAAAATCACATTTTATTTTTCGTTGGCGGCACTGAAGACAAGCTCGAGGAGCCCTTTGCTTCTGCATTGACGACGCAATTGAAACGCATTGGTTTCGACGTTCAAAAGAGGGCCATGGTATGGTTGACAGATGGAGATTGAAGTTGACAATACGCAAAGCTGTAGTCCACCTGGCTTGCCAAGGAAGCAGAAATCCTGTTCCGAGGTAGCGCATGCCTCAAACGGATATTTAGGCGGAAGGGCGATCCTGGTGGCCAGCCTCCAGAGCTTGACAGCTGATTCAGAGCCTGACCTCCTATCCGCAGCTGCAGGAAAGTCTGCCTTGTAACTCCAATGACATTCTTTCATGCTGAGGGATGCCGATGAGCGAGAGGAGCTTCCTTGAGAGTTCGTACACAGACCAGCCATTAAGAGTTTACGGCAAAACCGGTGATGGGTTCCTTTAGCCCGCAAAAGCACCAATGGGCGCACTGGGTTCAAAACCCTCGCGTTGTGAGGATGTTGTCTTTGTCATTGGCCTAAACACAAGCGGAACGAGCTCGGAAAATTCGTCATGTTCATGCAATTGTGCTCACCAAAGCGCGAACCACTATCTTGTTACGTGCCTTGACTACATGATCTTGAAAGGAGGTCGGTTTTCCACAAAAGCCCCCTTCCCCGATGTCCTAGGGAATCCAGTTCATGATGCAATTGTATTTCTGTCAATCTGGACCCTCGAATACTGGCTTGAGATATTGCCTAACTAGTTCGTGATTGGGAGGAGCGGGTTATAACGCTCGATGCAGCGACTATGTTTGGTGGCATGGAGTCCCTGGTCTGCTCAGATGACCCCAGGTCCCAATCCAGTAATTAGCCGGCATAAAAGAAACATTCCTGGGGTCCACTAATCAGAAGAGGTGGGTGGCTTTAGCAGGTGCACTGTATATAACAAGCTTGAGATGTCGACATTCCTGGATCCAAGAGCTTGAAGACTAACCATTCAAAAGATCTAATACTGCCGCTATGACAATCTCCAAAGAGGGCTTCGATGAAACAGTTTCCCACAACGAGGTAGCTATCTCAGATGCCGAGAAGAACCACCAGGTCAAGTTGAGGGATATACAGAATAACCTGGAGCATTTTGAAGAACGCAGGGTTGACCTCCGTACGATCTTAGCAATTGTGGTATGTATGGTTGGCAGCCAATCTGTCACTCCAGCGCTAATGAAGCTTCTTTTGTCAAGGCTCTTGCTGTTACATATGAGGCTCTTCTCTTCTCATTCGTCCTTCCTGCGGCCGTTCTTCTCACTATCAACAGAGATATTGGGCCCTCAACTCAAATATCTTGGATTGCCACATCATGGACACTGGCTGGCGCTGTAATGCAAACCGTTGCCGGCCGCTGTTCCGACATATTCGGGCGTCGTAAATTTTTCATTACAGGGAACATTTTGGCTGTGATTGGTGAGTTCAAGACATCTAATAATTGTTCTGAGCCACTAATTACTTCAAAGGATGTGCAGTGGCTTGCCGGTGTGTAGCAAAAGTCCGACATGACGTGCTGAAGCTGATTCGTTTTAAACAGAGCGTCAGCTGTAAACATAATCATTGGAGGCTCGGTTTTGATGGTAAGGGCCATGATAAAGCAACGACTAGCATAGTCAAGCTGACAATCGAAAGGGCGTCGGTGCCGGCCTGCAATTTCTTTCGTTTGCAGCAGCAGCGGAGATCGTTCCCAAAAAGCATCGAGGCTTGGTAATGGGGTGCCTCAGTATCGTATCGATTCCTGGATCAACATTCGGATCAGTTATAGGTAAAGGTTGAGACAAGTGCACTTTTCAAGGGCATCACTGATCATGCAACTCGTCTGATAGCTTATGCGCTGGTTGCCCATCTGTCCTGGCGTTGGACATTCTACTTGGGCATCATCATCAACAGCCTCGCGCTTCTGCTTATCACAGTCTGGTACTGGCCCCCGGGTTTCACAGGGCTTCATCCAGAAGGGAAAAGCCGTTTGACGCAGTTCAAAGAGCTCGATTTTATAGGCTTGCTCCTTTTCGGAGGGGGCTTGTTGAGCTTTCTCCTTGGGATTTCGTTTGGAGGCAATCCTTACCCGTGGCGAAGTGCCACGGTCCTAGCACCTACAATTATCGGAGGTAGGTCCTACCTTAGAGGGTGGGCTTTGATGAGAGTCTGATCCACCTGTTAGGCATCGTATTTCTGGTGGTATTCCCCTTGTGGGAGGTCCACGCGCCTAGGAGCACCGCCAAGTTATGTCCGCCCGAAGTTGTTAGGAACGTTAGAGGGGTCAGTGTTCCCATGTTGGTTATGTTCGTGTCGGGGATGACTGTAAGTGCAGCGATGTGTAAATCCATGACAATTCATACTCATCAACTGCCAGCTTATGAGTCTTCAAGTCTTCTGGCCTCAGCGTGAGCTTGACCCCTAGCACGGAAACCAAACCTGACAGTGTAGCAGAAGTACAACTCTTATATACCTCAGTTCCAAGTGAGATTGGGTGGTACAGTCTGGCGTATAATGCGTCTGCAACAGGCAAGTAATGCCTACCTAACCTTTGAGAACATACTGACTAACATGTCTTTGCAGCTGGCGTTGTGGCTGGCGGGAGTCTGTTTGCGGTGATCGGAAGAACTAAATATCAATTCGTGTTCTATGTGTGGTTTCAGACTGTATTTATCTCATTGATGGCGACGGTGAACCAAAATACACCTGCAAGAGCAATAACCTTTGTGGCACTTGCAAGCTTCTCAATTGGCGCATCGCAAACTCTGGCTATTGTCATTGTTGGTCTTGGTGCAGATGATAAGCACATCGGTGTAGCGGTCGGGTGAGTTCGATTATGTTCGTGGACACTCAGTTTGAATGACTGCTAAATTGGTCATGTAACAGATTACTCAATTCTCTGCGCTCTACTGGCGGGGCAGTCGGAATTGCAATTTATTCCTCGCTGTTCTCAAACAAGGTCGGCCAAGATCTCCTCCCAAGGGTCGCTGCAGCCGTCGTTCCGGCGGGTCTCCCTGTATCCTCGGTTGAGGACTTTATCTGTATGCAGGCCTTCTCTCTAGGCCTCCACATTCCCGTCTGGGCTAACAATCATATTCCCAGTGGCTCTTACATCAGGTTCACTTTCTGCAATCGAGACAGTCCCAGGCACCACTCCCGAGATTATCGCCACGGGTGTCGATGCACTGGGAGGAGTCTACTCGAGCGCTTTTAGGCTGATATACCTCGTTGGCATGGCCTTTGGCTTGCTGGCCTGCCTAGGAGCTTGCTTTGTCATCGGTGTGGACGAAAAGTTGACGAAGCAGGTTGCCGTCAAACTTGACAAGCCTCGTAGTGGAGGGCATGGAAGGAGTGGAGCCAAAGTTTTGGAGCACAAGGTATCCGACCAATCAATTCATAAAGACGGGTGTCCTTGACCGGTGTAGGTCTAGAGTGAGAAGTTCAGTAGCGCAACTTGTCTGTCCTCTTAAGGCGGACGGCCCTGCTGCGAAGCCGTGTCCAAGGGCTCTGGCTTAGAGGGCTCCCGAGTACTGTAAATAGGACAAGTGAGAGTTGACAGTGGCCATGTTTACACGGCTTGTCGTTCCATCCCTTCCCGAATGTTCACTCCGTAGAGCTGCAAATATTCGTCCACCCACTGATTGTCTGGAAGTCCATCACTCGATTCGAACCTTGAGGGCCATACCTTCCCTGAAGATCGTCCCAGTTCCTCCCGACAACAGTCTCAGGTCTCCAGCGGAAGCTATTCTTCATCTTTTCGTCGAGTTTATCCTCCATTGAATCCGTGATAAACCCTCCAATTGCCGGAATATGGGCAAATCCATGCCCAGATCCCCCCACGCCGAGTACGAGGGAAGGATAATTCGGGTGCTTTGAAATTAGAAATTCTCGGTTTGGCGTGCCTGATCACCAGCATATCCTAGCAAACGAGAATGGTCGGTCAGCAAGCTGAGGCATTGTTTCTCTTAAGAAACGCCGCACACGCTCCTCGCTCTCCAGAGGAATCTGGTGCTTTTCAAAAGGGACGCAGTACCGATCGCCGTCATGCTCACCTGGCCTCCAGTTACAATAGCCAGGATGCTCGTCGCAGATCTTCAACTCGTGGTTGTCTTCATCCGGCTCCTTGAAGAAACCTAACTCAATATTAAAGAGAACAGGTAAGTTTTTGTACAGCTGAGCCTCTTCGGGTGTCATCCTGATGTGGGCCAGCGTCCATGCGGTTGGGCGAAGTTGGTCATTCATATCAAGTAGCCTACCAGCGTTGGCACCCGCGCAGAGGATTGTGCGGTCCGCGAGGTGTTGAGTGCCGTCGAACGTGATGGCACCCTTGACGTCTGAATTTTCGTAGATCAAGCCCCAAACGTTGCCAGCTCCCGGCCCAGTTATGAATGTAACGCCGAGCCGTGATGCCTCCCTCGCAGCGCTCTCGATGCTCTTTCGAGCATGCACCCACCCAGCCCCAGTCTTTTTCCACCAGCCATCCCAGCCTGGGAAATCACCGGTCAAAACGTCTCTGGGCATTGTAGCTCTGAAGTCGTCCATATTCTTGAGCGGTATCCAACCCTTTGCCTCGCTTGGTCCGTCGCGAGAGTTCATATGGGCACGAGCATCCTCTGAAGTTGCAGCGAGGATGCATCCTGTCTCATGAAAATAGTCCTTGAATACAGGGTCGTTCAGCCAGCCCTCCGTTGCTGCTGCTAGCAGTTTGTTCGACACGTAGACCTCATCCTCATCATTTCCAGCAAAAGAGCCGAGTTCAAGTATTTTGTTGATGTCGTTGCCCGCAGAGATTGGCGAAGGTACTGGGTGGATATCGAGGACAGTGATTGATTTATATCCTCGACGAGCGAGGTGCAGGGCAGTACTGCAACCCCATGTGCCGGCACCTATAATGAGAATTGTGGACTCGTGCGAAAGAAGGTTGGCCATATTCGAAACTAGGGACGCCCTACCCGTGGCTTCAAGATCTAAAGGCAATGCTAGTAGATGCTCTTAGAGCACGGAGAAAGATAGGCTCCTAGTCTTCAAATCTAGGCCTCAAGCGACAGTAGGGTCCTCTACATGTACGTGATGACTGGGTCGAATGAAAACATGGTGTTTTTATCGATTCGATGAACGGAGATGTGAGTTCGACGGGAGCTTTGAGCTGAAGTTCCACCTGGTAGCCGGAACAGCTCATCGGTGTAATGAAGAAAGTGTTCACTGTCTGACGTGACAGTCTTAGATACACTAAGGCAAAGCCTATTGTCAGACAACCTTCATTTTACGATCATGACATATTAGGAAGCTAAGACGCGAAAAAGACCCACTGCTCAGTCGAGCACGCTCCCAACAATTGGTACTTATGAGGACATCACTTGGGAACGTCAAACAAGAACGCAGTCTGTTTAGGGAGACGACTTTTTTTGCCTCGTTGATGTGTCCATCCATTCTCTAGCACCTGTCCTCGACCATGGTTCTAAGACGCCAATATGGTCAAGTCATCTATTTAGGACAAACACGCCCAGACAACGCCTTCCACCTTGCACTATTCTTGACGTTTGCGGTCGATCCCATGAGATTCTCAAACTCCTCGTCGGGTGTTGAGTGACCGACCCCATTGCCTTCATCGTTCGGGCTCACATAGCCGGTTCCCTCCTTCGGAGTGTAATGATGCATCACTCTGGCAGAATAGTGAGACACTGTACGTTACCCTTCACACATTGATTCATAAGGCCGACATCAAATGCCTCGCCCTGCTCGGCACTAAGAAGCTGCAAAATTTTCCTTGCTCCCGGCCTCGTCACACCACATCCCATCCGTATCCGGACGGACTGGCGCTGGCAATTGGAGTCTGCATGAACTTCCTCACGGTGCCAGAAACCAACTTCAATGAAGTTTTGATATCGGTGTCCCAGTCGATATTATCTTCGATGATAAATGCGCTCGAGATACCGGAAGCGACGATGTACTTCATCACGTCAAGATGCGCCAGCCATGCCCTTGCAGATCCATGCCGTAGATGGATGCCCTGTTGCAGATGGGTATTGTCGATGCCCTCGAACGCGCGAATTAGATCGTCTGTGTTATAGGGCTGCTCAGGAACCTCTATGCTGAGTCCTGTCAGTTCCGCGGCGGCTATGAGACCACGAGTCCGCCAACTGGGCTTCAGTGGCACCGCCAGAATCTTCTCAAACTGTGTGTTCAGAATTCAACGATTAACGCGGGTAGATGTTTGCGGTGCACAGGCACAGGATAACGCCTTCGATCCTGACTTACCCCCAAAGTTGAGTTTGCGGCGATCTCCCGAGGCGATGGTTCATGACGACTGGGGTGCAATGGCGGTTGAACGCCTCTATTCAGGGCATGCTGATGGTAGGGAGGGAACCAAAATGGGAAGGTTATTGTTAGAAATGTGGCCGTGCACAGTCTTTGACGCAATGTTCTGAGACTCATCGATCAAAGGTTAGGCAGGAAAGAGGTACTCTGTCGCTCTACATAATGAACTTGAGAAAGCTTAGAAGTTAACAAGTAATGTAGTAAAACTATCATTCTAAGCACTGACGACAGCCAAGATTGATATTTATGCTCAGAGAACATGTCATCTACTCGGCACCGAGTACGGAGTCTAGGACGCGAGGATATTAGAGATGCCCGATGAAAAGTCTACGTGCAAGTTAGGGGGAAACGAGGTTGGCAGAAACCCTCTCGTTAATAGAGCTCGCCATAACCTGGTCTATAGCGAAAAGGGGCCAGGCGCGGCGGCGATCGGGGACGCTGCAAGTTCAGCCAAATATTATTGATTTCCTGAGCTCAGAAGATTTCAATGGCGAGTCTCGAATCTTGCCGACTGCCACCTACTCGTAGGTTGTTAATCTCGCTTATGCTAGAAGCTTGCAGAAGAGGGCTGACAAGGTGCGAGGTAACGTGCTTTGATCTATGAGCAATTCTTATCTGAAAGAGATCGTTAGTGGTGTACTCTGTACGGAGTAGAACTTAGCAGTTCACAAGTCAAAGCTCCCCTAAGCATGCTTAGCATTCTTGGTCCAAGAAACTTTTTTGGAATGCCCTCATCTAAGCTTAAGGAATCGACCCGTGAATCCATACTCTATGCCGAAGCCGCTAACCAGTGACCACGCTGCACACACTGCGTTAATGATATTTGAATAAACTGCATCGCCGCCTGCCAGTGCCTTGGCAACTACCTACCAAGTGCTATTATATATATCCTGAAGGCAGAAGATGTGGTGCTCAACTATTTTCATGCAGCCACGGGTGCTTAAAGCCAACTTCCTGGTTTTCAAAGGATTCATTTCCAGCACGAGCCTACATCATAGGCAGATCCCTTTCTTGCGCCCCGGACCTATACACCCTCTTGACATCAATGCAAGTGTAGGGAGTCCAGCTAGGACAGTAGATCGCAGAATCCCAGCGTGTTCATCAGACCAAACGTTCCTTCTGCCACAATAGCTCACGAGATGGCTACACGTAAATCACAGGCTCTTAATTGCAGTGCTGGGGTCGACGCAGTCATGTCCATCTTAAACGAAGACGTCTGCGTAGTTCTGCGGAAAGTCTTGAGCGCTGAGCAGGTCACAACCATGAACGCTGAGATCGGCGGGCCCATGTCGAAGATCGCTCCTGGCTCACTCCAGTCCGACCCAAACGTCCAAGACTTCCACGGAATCCATACCAAACGCCTCACCAACCTCGTTACACACAGCAAAGTCTTCCGTGGATATCTGCTAGATCACGACTTGCTCCACGGCGTCTGCGAAAGGGTCTTCAGGCGCGACTCAGGCGACTACTGGATGAATACTGCGCAGGTCATCGATATTGGACCCGGGAACAAGACCCAGCCACTTCATCGTGATCTGATGCAGTTCCCTATCTTTGCCAGACCAGGACCCGATGCTCCTGAAGCTACGACCAATTTCTTCGTTGCTCTGACCCAGTTCACTGAGGTGAACCGCGGCACGCGCTGTATCCCTGGAATCCATCGAGATCCAGATATGTGGGACACGAGAACCCCGGAGGAAACCGTCGCTGCGGAGATGGATGCTGGGGACATCTTCTTGTTCAGCGGGAAACTCGTTCACGGCGGTGGAGCGAACCGCACCGAGAATTTTGTTCGAAGAGGCATTGTGGTGAGCGTTCAATATTGCTGTCTCACTCCCGAGGAGGCCTATCATTTGATTGTGGAGAAAGAGCTTGTTAAGACTATGCCCAAGCGGACGCAGAAGATGATTGCGTTCCGCTCGGTGTTCCTAGCTGTAAGGAATCGCCAATAGGGGATTCCCCTGGTGTTTGGCAGAGTGATTATCGGGAGATTGCAGATGTTATTGGATTGTGACTTTTTGGCGCAGAGCTACGATGGTGATTAGGACACATTCTAGAATTTTTTCGAAGCGGTTCATGCCTGATCGAGCATTTGCTGAGATCTGGGGAGAGAGGCAGGTAAGAGAAAGCAAGAGAGCCTGATTAGGAGTCTACGAGGTAGAACAACATGAATTTGGAGGCTATGAGTAAGAAGAGGATTTTAGCATGTCTGGTGGTGTGGTCATACAAGGCTGGAGTCCACTGAATGTAGTGAGTCGGTCACGACCAAAACGCGTCTAGGACCAATCCTTGTACTATATTCTCGTAAAGTAGTTGACACTCAAAGACCACCTTCCAAACTTGAGTTTATCAGCCCTCCAATGTTTCATTCATAATGGTTCTCGACCTTCAAGCCCTTGAACTCAAACTGCGTGCCGGCTCGTTTATCCAAGACAGTCTTGTGGTGGACGTCCTTGACTCTCGCGCGGACGTACTCGGTTCCAGTTGGGACTGGTTTGCTGACATCCTTGTCTTCCTCGCTAATCAGGCCGAGGCGATCGAGAACTGGCGACGGAACCGTCCTTATTGGTGTGTTCGCTCCAGGACGGCTGAAGTACAGTAGGCCCAGGCGGTTGATGTTAAGTTGGTCTTTGGGCGGTGTCACAACTCGGTGAATCGTGGATTTGATGAAGCCTAGTTTTCATGGTTATAACATGTCAGTCCGACAGCGCTTTGGTAGAAAGCATCAGGGGGGTTGTTCCAACGAGAATAACTTACCATTCGTCAAGAATGACAGCGTATCAGCCGCATTGCAGGTGATTCCACCTTCGACAGGTTTGACGTATTTCCACTCTCCTTCGGGCGTCCGGATTTGCAGGCCTGCCACATGCTGGCTGAACAACAATGTCAGGCTCCCGAAATCGGTATGGCCGCCCTTGGAATATGCCTGAGCCTTGTCCCATTCCTCCTGGGTGCGGACGTTGTAAATCATGTAGCGGAGATGGTCGTCGGAGAGCTCGTCGTACGTGTGTGCGTCCGTGAGATAGTTCTCGGGCAATTCCAAAATGATAGACATTAGTACAAATAGCTTACGAACCACCTTCTCAAACACGTCTCGGTGGAAGGCACGGATCTCGTCCCAGTTTTCCTGCACGACTTTATGCTTGGGTACGTTGGCATGAGCGGGTATGTCTTTGTGGATATTGAGCTGGATTTTTGTGTAGTCAGAATGAGTAATGGAAGCGGCAGACTTTTTGCTGTGGAATATCTCGCCTCGCGGATTTGGGACAGAAAGAACTAGCCATCCACTTTGAAACTCACCATTTCAATGTTCTCCTTGACGCCAGTGTCCCCGATCCACCTCTCATTCTCACGGTATCCGAAATACTCACCTTCGGCAAAGTTACACTTGAAGAACCTTTTTTCTTCGAGGGGTTCTTTGAAAAAGGTATTTCCGATGCTAAACTGGCGCAGCACACGTTCATCGTCGAGCCCGGTATTGGTAACGACCCAGAACCCAACCCTGGTTACGGCATCATAGAGCTGAGCTGCAAGTTCTTGCTTGCCTCCAGGCTCATCGAACCGAGAGAGGTCGATCGTCGCTAAGGGTGCCCAACCCAGTGGTTCCTTTGTCTGCTGTGGTCTACTCCACGGCTTGATCAATGGCTGGGGGCTCTCAGTTGGAGTTGCTTCAAGGGCAATTGGTGCCATGATTGCGGTTTCTGGCAGTGAGTGAATCTAGCTAGGCGGTGGTTTTGGTCGCAGTGGTAAGTCGGAGAGAAGTCAGCAGTTCTAGATAATGTACATAAAGGGCATTCGTCCTGACACCCAGGAATGGATATATTTATTTGTTGTAAACGAGAACCATGCTACCAAGGTGCGGGGTTCACGGTTCGAACTCGGGTATCGCGGCCTGTGATAGACGAATGAGGTTCCCCAAGGGGAAGAACAAGCTGTTTCGCCATTGGATGGTTATAGACGCCCTGTTTCACGTAACTCAAGCTTTGTGGCTTTTGTATATGGCGTGCTTGTTGTCTCAAAGTGCGTGCTTCTACTCTGATGACAAGAAACACCATGTAGACTGATTCTCAACAGTGGGTCAGCATGCTCCTGTGAAATGATATCCCACACTACCTCCCGTATTTCATCTCGCCTCGAGTGTAGGTGGATGCTGGCGGACCATGATGGCCAAACAGTACGCCCTTTCGATTGCTCTAAGTCCCAAAAATGCATATTGGTGACTTGGTTCTTATCTTTCAGGCCGCTAGTTAGAAAGGAACAGCTATCTGGAGCGCTCTGTGATTCGGTCGGATGTTGCAATGTCCATGTTTGTTTTACAAATCAGGAAGGATACCGTGGGGAGAGGGGCTGTAACCCGCTTGTCGCCATTTCGAATGCTTCTGTCGTGATCTTCAAAGGTATTTCCGGGATGTACTCGATGGGTCAAAATGGTAGACAGGTGCCTGTAATAAATACTGGATTTTCTGCTCTGTTGCATAAACGGCTGGCAAATTAGCAAGCTCTGCTTCAATGCGCCCGTTCCATCTGTGCTTGCGTGATTGCTGTTTCACTTATCTCCATCCCGATTTGAGAATTTGGTCGGAGCGATGGCTGTGGATAAAGACCCGGTAGACAAGCTGGCGTACGTTTCCAATGAGGCTGCTGAAGCCATCTCCTCCTCGGATGAAGGATACCCAGAGCCAAACCAGCCACTGGATCCAGAGTTGGAAAAAAGAGTCCTGCTCAAGATTGATCATTGGCTGGTCGGCTTTTATAGCCTAGTTTATGTGTTTCGGGTGATCGATTCGGCAAACTATTCCAACGCCGCTATCATCAACCTCGAACATGGTACCGGAATCAAGAAGCAGCTAGGCCTCACGCCCGGGCAATGGGCCTGGACGCTTTCGATCTTCTCATATAGTTATTTACTCTTTGAACCGTCCAACACCTTGCTGCTGAAGCTGTTCAAGCCTTCACGATGGATGTTTGTTCTCATTCTGGCTTGGGGAATTTCCGCCTGTTCCAGCGCTGCAGCACAGTCGTTTCAAGGAATGATGTGTGTACGCTTCGCAATAGGCATGGCGGAAGCAGGGTTCTACCCAGCCGTGTTATACCACTGGAGCTTTTTTTACTTACCGTCTGAACTGCCAAGAAGGATGGCCTTGTTTTATTCGGTCGGGCAGCTCTCAAATGCCTTGAGCGGACTTCTTGCGTTTGCAATCGGCTTCATGGATGGATTAGGAGGACTCGCGGGCTGGAGGTGGCTCTTCCTACTTGAAGGGTTACCGGCCATAATACTTTCGTTTGTTGCCTTTGGACTTCCAGATTATCCTGAGACAGCTAGATTCCTAACCGCCGAGGAGCGGGCTTTTCTTGCAAAGCGTCTGGCAGCAACGGCCCCCAAAGGCACAAAAGGCCACTGGGACTGGACGAGTCTTCGAGAATTGTTCAAAAATCCCACACTCTATACTTTTTCTCTTTACTGGACCTGCCACGGGATCGGCGGATTTGGTGTGAATTATGCGCTGCCGACTGTGGTCTATCAGCTGGGCTTTACCACCACGTCAAAGTCTCAATTGATGAATATTGTAAGTCATGATAAAGCTTTGATCACTGTCAGGCTGCTGATATATTTGGTATAGCCTCCATATGTCTCTTGCTTTTTGTTCCTAAATACGATGGGGTATTTGATCTCAAGAAAGCGGATTAGACCTTGGGTAGCCGCCGCCACCAGTACGAGTACCACTCTCCTTCGCTTCCGATTTGAGAACTTACTTCTTGACAGTTGAATCCACCATAATCATCTGTTATATCATCCTCGTCACAGTCGATCAGCCAGTGGTACGGTATCTCTCGTTGATTGTTGCAGTTTCGTGCGCTGGGTCCGCTTATCCAGTGATCTGGCCCGAACGAATCCGGGCACTAGAGGGCACAGTAGCAGCTGGAATTGGCATCGGATTAACGAATGCATGTGCTCAATGGAGTGGCATTGTTGGACCTCATGTGTATTCCACCATCTATGGTCCAAGATATCGCGTGTCATATGCGGTTTGTTTGTCGATCCTGGTGGTCGGGATTGCTTCCATTTTGATCACATGGTCCCTTGTGCGGCGCAAAGATCAAAAACGCAGGGCACAGGCCCAAGCCTAGACATCCTAATACCAGCAACGTGAAGGAAGGTAGGAAAGATGGCCAGGGAAAGATCCCGGGTTCCTAAGACAATTAACCAAGAATTGGCGACTCAACCGGACGGTTCCTGGATTTTGGAAGAAGAATAGTACGCAAAAGCAACGCCGAAGCATCCTCAAAATACAAAGCAAGCCAATAGGAGGCCATGTCATAACCCTGTGATGACTCTGTAAGCATTCGGATCTGGTCAATGCCTGCCCCAGGGGGGTATGTTGGTCGATATGGATCAGGGAGCCTTAACATAGGATCAAGGGTTTTGAGTTCTGATTAAACAGAATTTGGTAATGTCAATCAAGAGTTACACATCGCCCTGGTAGGGAAGCTTTGTGTCCCTGTGGCTTGGGGAGATCCTCGACCATCAAGCTATTCCTCCTGGAATCCCTCAGGACGAGGGCTATGCAAAGCGCTGTATGAGATGATGTGATCGTGGTCAGCCAATGGTACCTCCAAACCCTACTTCCTGATATCCTGGTTTCTTAGAATTGCTTAGGTGGCACGAAAGGACATCTGGGCCGTAAAGGATTCACGCAGGAGACATCGATAATAGTCTCCACGAGTGGTCAATAGCACTCATATCGATTGTTGTTTGCCTACCCCATAAGTATGTACAACTCTGCTCAGTAACCTGGAGCGTCACCGTCTTCCTAGCTCTAGCTTCGGTCGGAGGATGGATGTAAATAAAATAAAAAAAGGTGCGAACTTCTCGCATACACTGCTCAATATCCTTCCTTGCCCCATTTGTTGAACTTATCATGGAGCTCCTAGCACGAACCATTAGGCTGAATATATATTGTGACCAAGGGAGACTACACACCTTGGGGAGGGTAACATTGGGGATAATAACTGTGTTCAATGCGCTGGGAGCATTCTTGGGAGATGCGCTTCGGTCACCCTTAGGGTGGTATTGATATTTGAAATGCTTGGACTCGTCCTCGTGGTCATCATGGTCAACTTCCCAGGGCATTGAGCTATTGGCGACTGAGACGTCGGCCTCAGAGGAAGCTGAGGTGGGTTTGCGTCCAAAATAGAAGCCAGCGAGGCCGAAGGCACCGGACATGACACCTAGCAAGATCTAAATAGTGTCAGTCATTATGGTGAGTGCCATGGAGCTGGAGGCGGGAAGGTGTTGTACATAAAGCTCGGGATCTCTTTGGGCTCCTTTCTTGACAAACGAGGTGTCCCTGGCGGACTTTGCAGCGGTGGAAGCTGCTCGAAAAGCAGTTTTCGGGATTAGGGAGGCCATTTTTAGTTGTTGCTGGGTCGATCGGAGGGGAGAGTGGTGGGTTGTAAAAGAGCGTCGTTGTGCAGTGGAAGAAAAGCGGCAACGCAGCTTGAGGTCAAGGTTCGGTGGATAATGGATGGGAGTGGTGTGAGCTATAGTTCACGTGATAAGACTACTATCACATGATTCTAAAGTGCGTGCGATTTTTGGGAAGATCACGTGACTCCAGAATGTCAAAATACCACGTGACTAGACAATGCTCGGAAGGCTCCGACATGCTCACTAGCATCCTCCTGGTGGCCCCTTCGCACCCCTATCTGTTTTCTGCGTTGGTGCAATCAACCTTCAGCTGTCTAGACTCTACCATCTGGTACCTTGGACTGCACATTCAGTTTACGCCTGGTTTCATGTCAATCATTGCCATCGTCATGGCTGATCCTTTCATTTCTCAATAAACCAACTGTACTTTTCACTCTTCCAGCTTCGCGTTGTTCTGTTTCTCCCTGCGCCCCAGCCGATCTAGTTGGCTCTCTATTCGCATCGCATCTCCATCGTCGCTGACTACATAACGCTACGATATGCGCTTCATGTCGTACCCGTGACGCGATTGATCGACTTACTACACAAATTACCACCATTTTCTATTTAAAATGGCTGGCCGACCAACTACAGCCCGAAGCGAAATTTCCTCAGCCATTTCTGAGGATGGTTATATTTCCAGACCTCAGTCCGGTGTAACACCTCTACCTGCTTTGCCAAACCCTCCCGCATCGCAGCATGGATACGCTCACTTGAGGGGAGTCACACAGCCCACAAACCGATCCATGAGGAGCAACCCTGCAACCGACAGCAACGCCGGCTCAAGCCGTCCGCAAAGCCCTATTAGCCAGGCCAGCCGCACACATGTACCTTCCTTGACGGCCTCGGGCTTCTTCAAGCCCATGAGTTCCCAACGGTTGCAAGCGCAGAGACTAAGGAGACCTCTCGGTGGAAAGCCTGTTCAGGCGCCAACAACCATACCGGATGGAGAGGACGATGAGGACGATACACGCAGTTTAGCGTCCAGCAGACAAGGACCTTTTTCTGCAATGCCTAGAAGCCATCGGCATATCCCGTCTATTGCCACCAGCTACTCTCAATCAGAAGCGCCCGATACGGTTGACGTGCACTTTGCGGACTTCGGCTCTCAAAACGAGGGCGATAGTCGACTTGTGGCGTCTGCATCTCCGCGAGAGCCTCAGAAACCACACCGTCCTTCTCGGCTCAATATCTCCAGCACGCAAAAAGCGGGCGATCCACCCCAAAAGTCACCGCTGTCATTTCGATCTGGCCTGAGTCTTGGTAGTAAACACCGACTAGAAGCCGGGCACCAGCAACTCCCATCAACCACCACATCACCACAATTCCCGCCCAGCTCAAATACCCCGGTCGCGGTCAAAAGTGCTCTCGGTAAGAACTATGAGTACTTTGAAGGCAACACAATATTCTGGTGGGGTGGTCGCCTGCAAAATGCTCGAGACCGGCCAATCAATGTGGCAACAGGTATCGTTCTGATTGTTCCTGCAATCTTGTTTTTCGTATTTTCGTAAGTCCATATGCGGTCGAAGTGTGGCTTGGATCTCGGCTGACGCAAGACAGTGCTCCGTGGTTATGGCATCACGTTTCTCCGGCGATCCCCATAGTGTTTGCTTACCTTTTTTTTATATGTTTCTCTTCTTTTGTTCATGCATCCGTCGTTGACCCAGGGGTAAGAGTTCGTTCGAAATGTTGTCCGCGGCTTCACTGACCTTGTGTAGATTTTCCCACGGAATATTCATCCATTTCCCCCTCAGGTTAATGCAGATCCTCTCGCGCTAGGTCCCCCGACCAATGACTGGGTTATGGTTCGACTAGCGACATCGCAGACGGCTGCGATGGATGTTCCAGTCAAATACTGCAAAACCTGCAACATCTGGCGTCCGCCTCGATGTTATCATTGTCGAGTCTGTGACAATTGCGTCGAAACCCTGGACCATCACTGTGTTTGGGTGAACAACTGTATTGGGAGGCGCAACTATCGCTATTTCTTTACTTTTGTCAGCACTGGCACTCTCATGGGCCTCTTTTTGGCGTTTGCTTGTCTCGGCCATATCCTTGCTTACCGCGACCAAGAGCTTGTTTCGTTCGGCACGGCAACAAACAAGAATCGAGTCGTATTCGCGATGTTTATATACGGACTTTTAGGGTTTCTTTATCCGTTCTCGTTGACGATGTATCATTTATTACTTATGGGGAAGGGCGAAACGACCCGAGAATACCTTGCGTCTCGAAGGTTTCCCAAGTCTGAACGGCATCGCCCTTTCACTCAGGGCAATTTTATTAAAAACTGGATTACTGTTTTGGGTCGGGCAAGACCACCGACGTATCTTCATTTCAAAAAGAAATACGAGCAGGGTGATAGGCGTTTTGGGTCCAAGAGAGGCCAGAGACAGGCCAAGCTCAATGTTGAAGCACAGGGTGGGGGAATGGAGATGAAGCCAGTGCAAGGAACAACGAAATCATTTGAAGGTCCCACGGGTAAGAAGTTCCCCAAGTTAGAGCCGAACTGAGGAAATGTACGATAGCTGTACTACTGGCGTCAACAGATGTTATACTATGTAGATATAAGGTTCGTGCTGGCTTTTGGACGAGTTCATATGGGTATCTGCTTTCTCTCCCCCTAAAGGTGAAACATGGACCTGACACACTGATCAAGAAGATGTCTGTGTGGTACCAGTTGCCCAGGGAAGAATGTTTCGGATGGGTAATGTTGTTCATGTCTGGCCCTGGGATGGTGCCATTGGCCAAAGTGGGCGAGGGAGAGGGTTGCATGGTCAATTGCTGGTCATGGGTGGTAGTGGTAGTACGTATTCATTTGTTGGTGGTGGTGTTGGCCCGCAGTTCATCCAGAAATGATAAGATTAAACATCTCGGCCTCATTCTAGTTCTACCTTCTCCCAGCCTCTTCATGGACCACACCAAGTACCTTCACAACACGCGTTGTAGAACTTGCCTCACTTCACCTTCTTATATTCTGCACCTCACCGTCACAATAACATCGTGTACCCCTCAGCTTTGACGCGTTCAGTGCCAAGACTCTCCTCGGTGAGCCTTGAAGGGGGCCACCCTCCACCTCCCTGCGAACGCAAACATGCCTCTACGACAAACCCTCCTAAACTTCTACAAGTCGCGCTCGACACAGAAGTCTGCAGCCATGACTCCATCGATGCGAGGTCGTCCCTCTGTCTTGCGGGCAGATAGCTCGACTTCATCAGATACTGACCCAGACACTATCGTCGTATCTACCCAGCCTCCACGGCAACTTCCAACTCCCTCTGAAAGTTCTCTCGACGTGTCGATCTTAGATGCACAGGTAGTCAGTATGAAGGAGGTGTCCAAAGGTCGAGCACGACGCGTTAGTCGACGATTGACCAAGACCCAGAGTCAAGACATCCTCATCGAGACAACTGAGGATGAATCTCTCAAGACCAGAACTGTTAGTGGAGAGACATTGGTCAACATGGATAATGCCAGCCAATCCACCTTAGTGAAAGAAGGAATTGCTGCCTTGGATCTTCCCTGGGACATGACCGACGCGTTCAGCAAGGGAGGTAAGCATGACCTGCTAGCAGTGACTAGTCCTGGACGGACCTCTACAATGGCAGGCCATGAGGACGATGAATCTGAAGAAGATGAGGCAGAACGCCTGGCCAGAGCTGCAGCAAAGAAGGCTAAAATGGAGGAGAACAACAAACTATGGGAAGCACGGCGTAAAGCAGCCGAAAAGCAAGCAACCCGGAGGTCTTCTCGCATGCCGGTGCTTGAAAAAGCAAGCGAAATTGTCTCCAGCATTACCAACAGCGTACTTGGAAAGAGAAAGGACCGCACAACACAATTTATGTCAACTTCAGCTCCTCAATCTACCGAAGTGGCTGGCGAACCTGACCAGAAGAAGCGACGACTCAGCCAGGCACCAACCCCCTCTGAGGAACCTGTACCGTCACCAAAAGTTCCAGCTCGGCGGCGCGAGAAGAAATGGCTCACCTCGGGACTTTTTGCTGGTCAACAAAGATCAGTCAGCAGCCAGAAGAACCGAAAGAGCGGAGCAACAGTGACGCCTCCAGTTAACAACTGGGTGCTACCATTGCCCATGTATGCTGGAGAACGACTCTTGAATCAAGGTCGGGACTTCAAACTTCCATTTGACATCTTTTCTCCTCTGCCCGCTGGCCAACCTAAACCAGACGAGTGGAAAAAGGTGAACAAGAATGTTTTTGTCGGAGACGCTGCACAAGCATGGCGAGTGTCCAAGTACGAGGAGACATCATTGTGCTTGTGCACACCCGAGACTGGTTGTGACCAGAATTGTATGAACAGATATATGTATTACGAATGCGACAGCCGCAACTGCGGTCTTACGGAAGAACAGTGTGGGAACCGAAATTTCGAGTTCCTAAAGCAACGAGTCAAGAAGGGCGGCAAATATAACGTTGGGGTGGAGGTCATCAAGACAGAAGATCGAGGTTATGGTGTTCGCAGCAACCGAACATTCGAACCCAATCAGATTATTGTCGAATATACAGGGGAGATTATAACTCAGGACGAGTGTGAGCACAGGATGAGGACTATGTACAAAAATAATGAGGTATGGAGGGTGACTGCATTGTATTTCGACTTGACTAACATCGACACAGTCCTACTACTTGATGCTTTTCGACCAAAACATGATCATCGACGCAACCCGTGGCTCTATTGCCCGCTTCGTCAATCATTCCTGCGACCCAAACTGCAGAATGGAGAAATGGACCGTCAACGGTAAGCCACGGATGGCCCTTTTTGCCGGATCTCGTGGCATTATGACGGGAGATGAGCTTACCTACGACTACAACTTTGATCCATATTCTCAGAAGAATGTGCAGGAATGCAGATGTGGTGCGGTCAACTGCCGTGGCTTTCTGGCTCCACGACCCAAAGAAGAACGGAAGCAGAAGAGCCCTGACGAAGATAACAAGAAGCCCAGTAAACTGGCAGGGGCCAAAAGAAAACTCACTGAGGCGATTGGAGGAAGCCAGAAGCGAATTGCCAAAAAGGTCAAGAGGAACCCCCCCACTGCGAAGGTCTACAAGTCGAATACTTCAAAGAATACCAGTCCCATCAAAAATCGCAAGGTCCGCCTGATCAAAAAAGCTTTCTCCCGCAAGACCAGTGCAACGACAGTACAGGGACTCGCTCGCCGTCCGTCGAAGCTTAAAAAGCTGGTTGAAAGTGCTAAGAGCAAGACAGTCGGTCGCAGCAAGACAGCCGCTAATACTCGAGCGGTTTCGACGTCATCATCCACAGCTTTGATCGCGAAGAAGACCCAAAAAGCATCGAATGGCACAATCGGCCGGTCGTCTAGTTTGCGAGAAAAGGCATCAAATGTCAAAAGCCGAGTGGTAAGGACCGTCAAAGGCGGCCAAAGTGGCATGGCACGGAGCATCAGGCCTGTAATGGACGATATGGACGACCTGGACGAAGTGTGAGTTCAATTGGAAGCTATGTTTTGGTGGTTAGGGGTGGACTTTGTCTGAGCGTTGGCGTGCAGTGGCAGAGCAGCAGGGTTCATGAATGACGCCTTGGTCGAAGCGAAATCGGGGTTTCATTGAGGGTCTATCGTTGTGGGCTGCCACAACAGTTTTGGTGTTGTGCAGTAAGCTCGCCGAGGCTCGAATGCGAATTATATAGGGACAAGCATCCAAGTGGCGGCAAAGGCGGACATCTCCTGTTGACACAACGTTCATGCGGAGAAGCAGATGATGAAATACAACAGGCTGAGAGGACTGATATCCAAAATGATGTTACTTTTGAGTTTCTCTTTCTCTACACTGCATTTAATTATCCTGATCTTTAAGCTCAACCTTGTCCTGCTAACTCGATCAGCAGCCGGAATCCATGATGGGCGAAGTTCGCGTCGCAATGTCCTCGCCGTTCGCGAACATCATCGGCAAATATCGACCCAAGCTCGAGTCGTACGAAGAATTGTACAAACACTACCACGCCAATGGAGAACTGTCGACACAGGAGAAGGAAACAGCTGCGTCCATCACCGAGCATCTGAAGAAACTGTCCTCCGATTTCGATATTCGGACGGGGATAGGTGGACACGGCCAGATCGCTATCTTGGAGAACGGCGAGGGCAAAACCATTCTGCTCCGTGCAGACATCGACGCTTTGCCAGTCGCAGAGAAGACAGGACTCCCGTACGCGAGCAATAAAACTCAGCTCGACACGGATGGCCTGGTTAAGCCGGTGATGCACGCCTGTGGCCACGATTTTCACATTACTTCGCTTCTCGCGGCGGCGGAGACACTGATCGCAGCACGCTCGGAATGGGCCGGAAGGATCATCTTCCTCTTCCAGCCAGCGGAAGAACGAGGCTGCGGCGCACAGGCGATGGTGGACGACGGACTCTATGACAAAGCCAAGCACGCCTGCCCGATCCCAGACGTGGTGCTGGGCCAGCACGTCTTCCCCTTGCAAGCGGGCAAGACGGGGCTAAAACCAGGGCCGCTGATGTCTGCGGCGGACAGCTTCAAAATCACCATCTACGGCAGCGGCGGGCACGGGTCGATGCCGCACATGACGATCGACCCGGTCGTCATCGCCAGCCACGTCGTCGTGCGCCTGCAGACCATCGTGTCGCGGGAGGTGCCTCCTGATGAAACCGCTGTCGTCACCGTCGGCGCCCTCCAGGCCGGCAGCACCGAGAACGTCATCTCCGACGAGGCGGTCCTCAAGATCAACATCCGCTCCGTCAGCGCGGAGTGGCGCGAGAAGATTCTCGCCTCTGTTCGCCGCATCGTCAAGGCCGAAACCATGGCTGGGAACTCGCCCAAGGAGGCCACCATCGAGCCGACTTCTTCTTTCCCGCTGACTATCAACGATGCCGAGACCGCTGGGATCATCAATAAGTCCTTCACAGAGCACTTTGGCGATGACCATGACCCCGCCATCAAGAATGTGCTAGGCAGTGAGGATTTTGGCATCCTAGGCTCGTATATCAATAAGCCGTATTGTTTTTGGTTCTTCGGCGGGCATGAGCGAGCGATGTTCGACGACCTGGTCAAGAGTGGGAAGGGCCATACCATCCCTGTGAACCATAGTCCGTTTTTCGCGCCAGCGATACAGCCGACACTGACGACGGGTGTGGACGCTTTAGTTGTTGCTGCATTGACCTATCTGGGAAAGGACAGGAAGTGAAGATAGAGGCGGCATGGTGTTTACATACCCTGCATCTTTGAGATTTTGGGTGTGGAAAAGTAGTTCCAATGTCCATGAGCATTGTTCGTGGAAATCTAGGGAGATACTACATATGTCTATATCGTCTCAAGCCAATGACACACTCTCACCACGAGCCTTCTCAATGCTATGCTCTTCCATTTTATCCAGCACTCGCTCCCGTCCGAGATTTTTCTCCTGTCTACGTGAAACAAACAGCTTTCCAACAAACCACCAATCAACAGTGACTCAAAGTGCGATTTGTCAGCACTGTAGGTAAAAGCATCAACTGCTGGCATTGAGCGTGGAAGAACGCAATTCCGACGTCGGATAGCGCACCCATCATTTCCCCATCGAGCGAACAGCAGCCCTCGGATCAAAGCCGAATACCCAGAAATGGGCGTTCGACGAACCCATCCATTCTTTCTCACTCTGGTCTCCCCCATCTGCCCAAACAGGAGAAAGGCCGCATCGTAGTAGTCATCATCGTTCTTACTCGTATCAACGACCGGCAAACGGAGGAATTCGAGTCCAGTTCCCGAGGATTGTGTAAGCATTCTTCTATGTAACTTTCATGGGAAGGTTCTTTCAAACACGGTTGGATTCCAAGTGCAGATACAGTTGATGTGGTTATCCAAAGGGTCTCCACAGCAGAAAAGAGGTCGCAGTTTAGATGTGATATGAGATATATGAGCAAAGCCACAGCGCGACTCAGTTCCATATCAAGTGCTTTTTACGCACCACTCACACCATCAGCCCGAGTACTATCCCACACGACCACAACCATGGCACCCAAAGGCGACACCATCAAACTCGCCATCCTGGACGACTATGCCTCCATCGCAACAACACACTTCTCGCCACTGCAGAAATCACACCCAAACCTCGAAATCCACAGCTTCCCAACAACCCTCAACGCGAAGCTCGAGCCCGAACATGCCGAGCTCATCTCACGCCTCTCACCCTTCACCATCATCTCATCAATGCGGGAACGCACCCAGTTCCCACGCTCGGTGCTCAGCGGGCTCCCGAACCTCAAACTCCTCATCACGACGGGGATGCGCAACGCGGCGATCGACGTGGCGGCCGCGACGGAGCTCGGCATCACGGTCGTGGGCACGACGGGCAAACGCAACGCGGCGCCGGGCTACGATGCGACGAACGAGCAGGCCTGGACGCTGATCCTGGGGCTCGCCAAGGACGTGGTCGGCGGCGACGCCAGCATCACGGCGAGCGCGGACGGGCTGGGGTGGCAAACGGGACTGGTGAGCTCGCTGGGCGGTAAGACCCTGGGGCTGCTGGGCCTCGGGAAGCTGGGCACCCAGGCCGCCGTGACGGGCAAGCTGGGGTTTGGCATGGACGTCCTCGCGTGGAGTAGCAGCCTCACGCAGGACAAGGCCGACGCGGCGGCCGAGTCGCGCGGCTTGCCGAAGGGCAGTTTCCGCGTGGCGGCCTCGAAGGAGGAGCTGTTCCGGTCGGCGGACGTGCTTAGTGTGCATTACGTGCTCTCGGCCCGGTCGAGGGGCATCGTGGGCAGCAAGGAGCTGGAGATGATGAAGCCCTCTGCCATCCTGGTGAATACCTCGCGGGGCCCGTTGGTGGAGCAGATGGATCTGATTGCGGCGCTGGAGCAGGGCCGTTTGAGGGGCGTCGGCCTGGATGTTTTTGAGACCGAACCCCTGCCCAAGGACAGCCCCTGGCGGAGGACGAAGTACTGGGGCCAACAGGGCCGCAGCCGAGTCCTTTTGTCTCCGCACAATGGATATGTCGAGGAGGAGACTATGAATTCCTGGTATGCTCAGCAGGCTGAGACGGTGAAGAGTTGGATCGAGGGCGGAGAGTTGCTAAGGAAGATTGAGTAGGGAAGGGGAGAGCTTTTGGAGGTTCGTGGCGGATGCAAAAGGAAGTTTACATAGGAGTTGAGATACTGATATCGTGGATTTATTGGAAATATAAACTCGATTGTGGCAGTGAACTGACTCTACTAACTCTGTAAGGGAATACCGTTGAGTGTCTCTTCTACCAAATGGCCTTACCAAGTGCGAAAATGATGCAGACCTGCCGGAAGTCTATACCCTTATATGCGAAAGGCGCGGGCAATGACCCACCCGAATCTATGCTTCTAGATAGCAGTTAAATTGTGTTTCGAACTATAAACTGTCATCGTTCTTGATCTGGACCTTAATAGCACCACTCTTTGGGTCGCTAGCCGTCTTAAATGCCTCCACGGCATCGCTCAGGTTATAACGATGAGTAACCAATTTGTCAAGGTTGATCACTCCACTTTCCACCAGTCGAATGGCCTTGGGCCAGGTGTTGCAATACCTGTATTGATACTGCAAGTCAATCTCCTGTGTACTGAGTCGCATGAACGGGATTTTCATTTCGTTCTTTCCCACACCAATGATGAAGACTTTACCGCCGAACTTCACGCTCCAGATAGCACTAGCCACGCTGGATTCAACACCGGTGCATTCAAGAGCCAGGCGAGGTCGGATCCCACCGAATGATTCAATGATTCCGTCTGCAGTTTCCTCTGCAGACTTTCCCATTGGTACTAGGAATGTCTTGGCGCGAGGCACTAGAGACTGGGCGAAATTGAGTCGCCCTTGGTCGATGTCTGTGATGACAATGGGAGTTGCGCCGGCTGCTGCTGTGCACAGCAAAGAGACCAGACCAATAGGACCGGCACCGGCGATGAGGGTGGGGTCTCCGAGTTTAAGTCCAGCGCGCTCAATGCCAGCCAGTGCAACAGAGAGGGGTTCTAGTAGACTTCCATCCTCAAAACTCATGTCTCCAATCTTGTGGCACCAGGTCGCAGGGTGTTTGACATATCTTCTCAATAGACCATCGATGGGAGGAGTGCTGAGGAACTCGACACTCTCGCAGCCATTGTATCTTCCGGTCAAACAAGGCTCGCACTTGAAGCAGGGAATGTTAGGTTCGATCGCGACGCGATCGCCCACCTTTAGAGAGGTGACGGAAGGGTGGATAGACAGCACGACACCAGAGGATTCATGTCCCAGAATGTGGTCGTCGGTAACTATCATAGGACCTATACATCCTGCGTGCCAGAAGTGAACATCAGAGCCACAAATGCCTGTGGACTTGACACCAACGTAGACCTCTCCCTCCTTCAGGTCGTGTCCGGCCTGGACTTGTTCTGTGGTGGGGGTAGCTTCGGCGATCCAGAGGTCATGTTTGGGGTTTGTGAAGACACCGATGTTGGACTTGAAGGGATTGGGCGTGGTATCGACTGTCTCGATGGTGGTTGGGATGACTTCGGTGGTGGTGGTTGAAGACATGGCGCAGGCGCCGAATTGATAGTGGGGGCAGATGCGGGGTAAGTGGGAACGAGGGCAGGTGCCTACTGCCTAGGCGTCCGTTCAGAGATGGGAAGGCACGAACTGCGAACTGAACTGCACTGCCCTTCACGTGGTTGATCTCGAGTACGAGGCCGAAGGGAAGGACAGGAAATGGCAAGGGCGACGGGGGAGGGTGACGGTGACGGTGACAGTTTCTCGAGGATGTAGGCATGAACTCGAGAAGCCGGCTTTGTATCTATACGACTAGTATATCTACCCCGTGGACCTTCGCCAGAGTCAGACAGATTCCAGTCTTTGTTCAAATTTTGCACGACACCACCGGGCCGTCTGTTTTGTTTGCTGGCGGCGGCTGGTTGCCATGTTGTTTATGTTCCGCATCTTGAGGTGCAACTCCCCACTCATTGCTCCCCATTGACTGCCACGATCCCCACTACCATTGCCAGGCACCGTTCTTCGGGAGAGTATGTAACTCTATGCCCACCGGAGATTTGCTCGTTCTGCGTCCGCCTCCGTTTCTTGTCCTATTCTGCGGCGATTCGGCCCAAAGATCTCCGTGTCAAAGATGTTCCAGGCACTACGAGTATGCTGCGGCTCGGAGAATAAGCCCCTTGGGCCAACTCACGTGTCGTGGCGCAGTTATGCATCTACGTTCCCGTCCTTAGTCATTGCAACACTTTCATCTGGCTCGGACATGCCTATCATACCATTGCTGACGCACACGACAAACTGCTCCTGAAAAGACATTGAAGACCTTTTCTATGTGTACGTTTTGTGGTTTGTGGGCGTCGACCGCTCCCTTTCGGGTCTTGGCAATGACATCATACCCCGATCGCTCATTGCCACCCCAGATTGGATTATGACGGAGCCCTGTGCCTTGACGGCGCCTTGGTCTGGGTGAAGGCAACTCTTTCAAGAGAGTGCTTGAGGAGACCGCCTATCTCACATACGCTCAACACAGTGACTCACGACGGCGGCTTCAGAAATTCCCCTTTGATATGGACCAGGCAGTCGGCTCCGGGCGGGTTCAAAAGGCGCCTCGTTGGAATTCGTGTGATAAACAATCAACCGCTAGACATCAGCTTCTCCCTTTTCTCAACCACTAGATACCAACAGCGAGGCCTCCATCCTAGGCTGCACACCTTTACTTTCAGCTTTACAGTGGGTTTCGGGCCGTCTGGATTTTAAACGCATGTTGCAGATCCCCAACTCGGATAAATTTCTAGTACAAGCTAGAGGGAGACAGCCTTCTATGGATATCGCTAACTACCTATTATGTAGCCTGCCCAACCTTATCCACTCCTCGTCTAGACTCGATCGAGTACTTTTCGCGAACCTTCAAATATTACCTCAACTGGTCCTATACGCAACAGGCATCACTCGCGGATTCATACGTATGCAGAACTCTGGTAAATAGTTATTGCAGATGGCTCTTGTATTTGTTGAAATGGTTGGCTACTTCGCAATCAGGCCTCCTGGCCACGGAGTCAAGCTCACCAAGCTCATTCCAAGCATTACGGCTGCACTCGCTGGATGGACGAGATATAAAGGTACGAGGTGAGTCGTCTTGTGAGCATGGTCTCTTTGCTATGTGCAAAATCTCTCTCTGGACCCCTCCTTCAAGATGCGTCTGCTACTCTGGACAGCAAGTATGTAGACATACAGCCCTCCAGGTTTGAAGCGACCACTGACATTGAACAGTCTTGGTCTGTGGGATACAAGCAGCCAATTCCATACCTGATACTTATGCTCCACGCTATGTTGATTGTCCAAATGGAATGGAACTCGCTCGAAAAGCGCCCGGCCTGTCGAGCACCGAGGCAACTTGGGTTCGTGGCCGGAAAGCTGTTGCTGCCGACGCGTTCAGTGCTTATCTCCAGCGCTTGAACTTATCCAACTTCGACGCGAGGAACTACACAGCGTGGATATTTAAAGATCCTGCCCACAACATGCCAACGTTAGGGTTTGCAAATAGTGGTGGTGGCTTCCGTGCTGCATCCACCGGCATAGGTGGCTTGAGGGCTTTCGATAACCAGCTGCCGGCTGCAGTACATGCAAAAACGGGTGGATTACTCCAAAGCCTTACCTATTTCGCTGGCCTTTCCGGAGGCTCATGGCCGCCTAGCTCCTATGCATTTCACAATTACCCTGCCATTGACGATCTAGTCAAGACCTGGCACGTGGAAATTGCACATTTCTCTGCCACCAATGATAGCGAGTACGCTGCCACGTCGCAGACATACTTCGAGCAGATCTATTCCAAGGCAGAGGCAGGATTCAATGTCTCTGTTGCTGATTACCTGGGCAGAGGTTTCGGCTACCAATTCCTCCCAGGTGAAAATGGTGGTCTAAATCTGACATGGTCTTCCATCACCGAGCTCAGCAAGTTCAAGAACTTTTCTGGACCCATGCCTATCTTGCAGACTAGCTCCCTCAATCAGTCTTCTTTTGTGGAAGAAGGTCTCTACGCTCCACTGGAAAATGCCACTATCGTATGTTTGGCGCTCGTCAGGGCACGACCTCGCTGACAGCCTCTAGTATGAATGGAACCCTTTTGAGTTTGGATCTTGGGATGTCGGTTTCACGCCCACCAAATACGTGGGTTCAGTGCCAAATGCCAATGGTAAAGCAGAAAGATGCGTGGAGAATCTGGATTCAGCTGGGTGGGTAACCTGCTCCAATTACTGCAAAAGCCTGTCTAACGACTCGTAGCTTTGTGATGGGTTCTGCTGCAGCCGCTTGGAACTACTGGTGGATCGGAATTGCTTCGAATAACTCTCTTGGACAGTTTTCCAAGCGCAGTGATTCCGGAACGACCCTTGAAAAGCGACAATCTGGTGAAAGCCTCGAAACGTTGGAGGCGCTCGACCACGCTTTCAATCAAACCTTCAATCTAAGTCTATCACAGATTGCCAATCCTTCTGTGCCTAACCCCTTCGGCGGCCACGACAATATCACCCTTGCGGATGGGTCGGAAGCAGGCCAGTCAGTCCCGTTCTGGTCGCTCATTCAACCAGCACGTAAAGTTGATTTCATGTAAGAGCAGCGAAATCTTTGGCAATGCTCAGAACTGACCACGTAACAGTATTGCATGGGACGACGATGGGGGAGAAACTCGACCTAATTACTGGAACAATGGCACCAATGTCTGGAATACTTACAATCTTGCTAAAGCGGCAGGCCTTCCGTTCCCTAAGGTACCCCCTCCAGAGACGTTTCTCGCGCGCAATTACACACTCAAGCCAGTCCTTTTTGGCTGCAACAGCAGCTTGACCACCACCGGGGACTCGAGGTCACCGATCGTCCTCTACCTCACCAACGCGCCCTACAGCTATTACAGTAATTTCAGCTGGCAAACGCCGAACATGACATGGACCGAATTTCATGGCGTTATGGTGAACAGCTTCGACTTTGTCACTCAAGGTAACGGTACACTGGATTCTGAATGGGCGCAGTGTATAGGGTGCGCGGCAATTGATAGGAGTCTGGAGAAGATGGGTGTCGAGAGGACCAAGCAATGCGAAAGCTGCTTCGCCAACCACTGCTGGGATGGGACTACATCTGAGCTGCCCAAGGGGTTTGTTTTAGATCCAAGCTTGCAGCTGAATCCGTCCCTGGGGTTTGTTGAGTGGAATAAGACACAGCCTTTCTCTGGTGGAGGAATAACTGGATGATCGGAGTTAGATCCGTTTAAAGGTCGTTTTCAGCCATAGGAGGCGAGCTGATGGCCAGCAGCCTGATACATAATAGCCTCATCTGAAACAAGGAAGCTAGGGCTGTGCCGCCGTGATGGTGGCTGCTTCAATCTGTCAGATTAAGTATTATTTATCTGGAAGCCACTTCAGTGCAATGGAAGGCGATTGCATTTTTGGTCATTGACAACTCCGAGAAACTTCCCATCACGGAATTATCAAAAGCTTGAATTCATCACTGTACCTAGTCTGAGATTGGTACACAATCCGAGCATTGTGCCCTGATGACGTAGGAAGTATCCCACGCGGTTTGCATATTAGAAGGTTGACTGTTTCATGTCATCAGGCATATCAGAGGAGTATTCACCAGCCGAAGACAATGACTGTTTGAGAGGCGCAACGTGAGGGTGAAAGCCGTGAGAGGCTACGAGAACCGGCAGTTACCTCTGTCATTATTGTTGAATGCTGTAGGAATGCGAACAGTCTTTGTGTAACTTTTGTGCCACAAAGATTTGACGAAGACCATCGTCAAACGGGCTTGCATATAAATGCATGTTTATTGGCAACCCGCGTAACTTAGAAAATTGAAACTACGAATCTTCCTTGTAAAAGAAATCCTGTACACCATGTTCCAAGCATATTCAAGTCCAGGGGATGGACAAATTACGGTTAATACCAAACCGACGCAGCCCCCCGCGTCAAAGGTCAACATAGAGCTTAGATTCCAATCTGAGTATTGTTCTGTTTCCGGAGGCCCATTGTGCTTCTTGCAAGCTACAGTCAAAACCATCGGTAGCCACAAGGTCATCCTGAACCGCGCACGCCCAATCATCGAATTTCTTGAAGCCAAAGACGACAATGAGCCTAGCGGGCTGCCACTACTTTCAGTCTTTGACGCTGCCGATAGCACAAAAGAACCAATCTTTTCCTATCAGTTGGATCTTTGCTATCAGACCGACAGGGAAATTCACCTGCAGAGCTCAGAGAAGGGTGTAAAGCCATGTGATTTCATCCTGTTGTCAGAACAAGGCTATACCTTCACTCATTGCATCAACCAACCATGGAGTTTCATCAGCACATATCATCAGATGTCTAAGATCTTCACCAATCGAAATTACAAGTTGGAGATTGGCCGGCATAGCCCAATACACCATGAGAGTGTCTGGTATCCCAAGGTTCAAACCACCGAAGTCAAGCCTGTGCACTTGGAACTGGATCCATTGTCACAAGCCAGCATCCGACTAATTAAGTGAGAGTGACGGAAACTGGTAGTTGAGGAAAACTGCCATGCATCATATTCACAACGGCCCAAGAGGCTCGATCTTGATCTACAAGAACAGCTCACGCGTGGTTCTTGCTTCTCAAGGGTGCTGATAGACGGAACTAGCGAAATACAATCAACAACGACAGCTATGCCTCTGAGCTTGAAGGCATCATATGCAAAAACACATCCCTCTTTCCAGTTTTGGACTGAATACTATCCGACCTGGTCCATGAAATTGTTTGTGATGATCTCTGTTGGAGGCGCTGATCTCTGTTGGAGGCGCTGATCTCTCGTTGGCTGGAATGAAGGCATGTCCACTAACTAGGCAGCTGCGGCCGCCCCGCCAACCCCTGCCAAGTGACAGCCTTGTCGATATTTGCTGGAATTTCCTGGTGTCAGTGAACAGCCAGACGTTCACTCCATAGGGCTTTCACTTGACTGCGTCAAAAGCTGTATTAAACAGCGGATCAGAAAACACACAGTCTTTCGCCTAGCGTCAGAAGTCGCGACCCTCGGAACAGGAACAACTATCTGCCGCACTCTTCGAGGCAGCGCCGTCTCGTCACTGCATGACCGCTGCCCAGCATGGATTCACGATCACAAAGATGGACTCAGCAAACAATAAATTTGAGACTCTTTCTTATCCAAACATCATCCCACAAACCTTTCTGTTCAATCTCAAACCCAGGCACGAGCCCAAGCAAGAGCCATCAGGATTCGGAACGCCGCCTCTCCGAGTCAGAGTCTGCGCCCAGCGGATAGAGTCACTGCGCAATCAACTCAGATTCCCACACGCGATTGCCGACTCAACACTCAGATGGCATCTCAACTATAACAACTGGGAGTTGAACTGTGCAGCCCAATCATTCTGGGAATCAGAAGAAGCAACACAAGCAGAGGCCCCAACTCAAAGACCCGCAAGAACTGTCGAGCAGGGGAGAATCTTCCGGATTGTCGACGGAGCTGATCTCATGGAAACTACACAGCGCTCTAGGACGCAGTTAATCCACAACCAACCACTGAGAGCAGCAGGACAGCCTCCGCGCCACGTCCCTCCCCACGCTGAGTCCATGTCCAAGGCCGAAACAGGAATTCCGCTCCACGACAGAGAGTGGATCCTGGAGTCTCTACAAGGAGATCTTATGGGGATCATCGCTGCGCAGGTCGGTACAGAGTATAACCGCCAATATCTTCAGGACAGTATGGAGCGCACTGGGGCAAGAAACAGACTTCGTCCAAGAGGTCAGATAGAAAAAGACGAATGACTTGCCCTGTTCGTGTCAATCACATCCAGCAACAATTTGTGGTTATGCCCCAAGTTTCTGGTTCGACATCATTATGACCTCGTCATTGCCGTCGAAGAATGGATGAAAACCGGTGGCATACCTCTTGTGCCCGCGCCATTGCGAAGACGGAGCCGCAAGTCTATCTTCAGATACAGCGGTGTGCATCCTACCAATGTCAAAAACCCACAGCGGGCTATCAATGGAGCCTTCAAGACATTCTCCACGGATCCACAACCTGGAGCACTGTCACAAGAGGATCGAGTGGCCGTGCGCAGACATTCTCAGCGACAACTGCAGCGACGCATGCAAAATCCCGCTATCCTCCGCGCAAGTGGTTTCCAGGACTACTTCAAAGGCGCTCGTCGTGGTTATCTGCTCAATAATCGAGGTTTGAAGAACACACCCGCCTACGTCGCCAGCTCAGACGCGTCCAAGCTGTGGCTTGAGTTCGTACGCGACGACGGTGCTCTTAATGCTCAGCGCTTCCCCAGCAAGTTCTGGATCCCAACAGGACGTGGCAAGAAACAAGCTGCCCCTTTCCGCTGGCACGATAGCCATGAGCCGGCGCAACTGCACGTCGAATTCGACCGGTTCAAGTCTGCACACATCACGCGTCTCAACAAGTGGCGAGCTCACCGACAAGCAAGCATCACTTCCGCAGGCAAGAAGCCCAACCCACTGCCATTCAACAAGTTCGAGCTCGAATGGCTCACCGCGCAAGATGCCATGAACATCGAAGAGCAGTTCTATCACGAGGCTGGCCAGGATGCGCAGGACAGCGGGATCAAGAACCAAGGCAAATGAGATCGAGCAATGCGGAAGTTCTCAGACTTCAAGAAATATCCAATCTGCCTTCCAAGCACCGCGCTGACTGACCTCACTGAGCGCTTGAACCAGAAGTTTGTGGGCCAGCGATATTACTCCAAGACGATATTTCGAGACAGCGGTCAGTTGCGGGATGTCCCGACCACAATCGTCAAGGATATGAAGATGGTCAGCTTTGTTCCTCGCCCGAAGCACACACAACAAGTCATCGCGCAGCAGCGTCGCCGTATCAAGACGACCGCGGAGCACTTCCTCATCTCGATCAATTCGCAGAAGTAGGCGCACAAGAACAGGTACTGCGCCGAACTGACCAGTGAAGAGGATTCGGACTGTAAGGAGTGAGGCTTGGATTGAGGTTGGATTGAAATTGGTCAAAGTGATAGAACGGACCTGCGTCGACGTGAAATGAGTAATTTATTGTTTGAGAGAAGAGACTACAGAATGAAGACTTCTCAGAATATTATCTTCTTAGAGACAAGAAGCTCGGAGGATTTTTCAAGTGTGTGCCTATCAAGAGAAGATTGAGAATAGCTGAAGCTCCAACACACAAAGATTGATGGCTGTGTGGAAATATAGATTCCATAGACTAAATTTGGAGGAGGATAGCATATTCACACATAAAAGTAGCATGAGGGTCATTCTAGAAGCGCCCAAAAATACACATAGTCATAACCCTAATATTTGGTTCTAGCTTGATCAGCTCTCTGCCCTGATTTTGCCCAAGGAAAGAACAATAGGTTTTGTTCCGTAGATCATGTACTGGCCTAGACTTTAGGGCTACGCGGAGGTCCGGCCGTACAGATGTCGCTCTTGGAAGGGACCCTGACTGTAGATGTACCGTTGTTTCTGGCGACTAGGCTGTGGTTTGGCTGTGGCTGCGCATTCTACTTCCTCTCCTGGTCTTTCTGCGGGAGGCAGGAAGGGAACCGGGGTCGTTGAAGTCGGCATTTGGAAAGGATGGCTTATTCCCATTGATCCTGAGAGGCTGGAGCATAGTTTCAGGACTTCGGCTCTTCCATCATTCGTTGCGCTTTGCTCCTGCTGTGGGATTGGTGGAGAGGCAGCACGTACCGATCCCCGAGGACCTTCTTTGCATTTTCTGGGTCTTATGATGTGTTGATGTAGCGTCGAGGCGGTTGTTTTGTGGAACAAGATTTTGTCACAGGGCTATGGCACTTCACTTTCACGCGTGACCTCTTTGTGGTGATTAGGGGAGATAGCCTCAGGTTGCCGTGTCAAGAGGGGCTCTATCTTGTCCGGAATCGCCGGCGTGTCAGCTTTTGCTTCATCCAGACATGCTTGGGCCGGCAGTCGTCCGCCATTAGAGACCCTAGTCGGAATCCGAGCTCGAGCTCGAGCTCGAGCTCGGGAATGTCCCGCCACGGTCTGGAGCGCTTATTTGACCACGATACACATTCAGCGCCGCCATTGCGACGCAGACCATCTCGTCGAGGCCGTTCTGGTTCTTCATCGATAGGGCGTCGATCTCGATCTTTCCAGAGTAGTAGTCGGTCATGACGACGCTGCAGATTCCGTAATAGGCATCGGTAGCGTCGTAGCATCTCATGACCCACCCGCTGTCCTTGTGGGAACCGAGGAATTTCCATTCCAGTGAATGGCCGTCTCGCGTCTCGACGTCGGATTCCCATTGTTGGTCTTCCACGAAGGGCCAGAGGTCCCATTTCAGCCATGAGAAGCTGAGCTCCGCGTAGCGCTCGTGCAGTTTGAACTTGCATACGCTCTTGGGCTTCTTGCTTTGCCCGTCGTGATATTGAACCTTCATCTTGGTGGACCTGAATGTGCCGTCCTTGGTTACCTTCACCGTGTACAGTGGCTGGACTTTCGACGCGCCCGGTGCAAGCAGGAAATCCTTCTTGTCTCCCTTGTCCAGAATGGTCAGGGTTATCGTGTTGGTACCGGGGGAGCACAAATGAGCGAAGGGACCATGCCCACTAGATGCTACTGGCACGGCTCTTGCTTGGCCGGGCTGTGGACTAGGTGGTGGGAGTGGATTCTGTTGGACAACCTGTGGAGGAGCAGCGGGCGGCGGTTGCTGATAATATGTTGAGGAAGCACCAGGATTTGTATATGCATAGCCGCCTGGTCCAGGTGGCTGTTGATACGGTTGCGGAGCAGGACTATGAGGAGCATGTCCTGGCGGCGGGCCATAGTTCTGCAGATATGGCTGTTGATAAGGCTGCTGGGGTTGGTGATATTGGGACGAAGAAGGGTCGTATTGGTTTTGCATTTTGACAACTGAGGGATGGGGAAACTTTAAGTGCGAGTCTTCTGTTTATCATGAAAAAAATTGCTGCCTATAGTTTGAAGTAGAGTGCACATCAGCGCGGACTTTCGTGTTTAATAGATTTCGCCTGTGGTACAAAAGCTCGGGGACCCGAGGTAGTTTGACTGCTTCTCAGCTTGACCACGGTGAATTTCCGTGGCCGCCGTCCACCCAGACATTTTGATACCTCGTATTAGATGGATCGGCCATGCTGAGGGAGCTTTTGCAAAGGACGGCCTGATGGATCCAACAGGGTTAGCTACCATGAAAACCCTGCTCTCAATTTTGGTCATAATCTCAAACATCCATTCGCCAAACGAGCCCAGGTGGACTAGTGATCGTGTGTGATTTGTTGCTGACTTAGACGCGCTGGCATAATGGATCCAAATTCCTCCGTACCAAGGCTAGGATTTGGCAGAAGGATTTAATCAGCTGGGACTTTGATGTTCAGCTTTTGCAGCCACATCCGGCCTCCAAGAGTTAAAGACTGACAGAGCTGCAGCAACCTGGTGTCTGGACTGGGCCTTGCAGGTTGCGAAGCGTAAACGAGATGAGTGGTCTTATGAATATGCTTTCAATTGCTGTAGTTGACTGACAGTGAGGACGAGGCAAGACTCGCCGAACTGACAGCTATGATTATGAAGGTGAGGCGGCTGGTCTTGGTGGATAGGCCGAGATCCTACAGAACGAATACGAATCGGATATGTAGTTACATAATTGAGACAAGTCCCAAATCAACTAGAAAGTGGGGGTGGGAAGGTCTCACTGTCGTCCCGTTGTCCCCTCCATTCAGAGGGTCCCTGGGGTGCGCAGGGGGCGAGGGGCGGGGGGGGCGAATGGCTGAGATTAGGGACTTAGGTTTGCTAACCAGGGTGTCAGTTCTGTCAGCATTCCAACCCAACGCCTTACCTCTTAGTAATTACTATACTTTCTTAAGATTCACATCGGATGTCCTAGCACAATGTCATGAAGAACCCAGAACTACTCCAAAGACAGTGGTTGGGATAAGAGCTATATCAGACTGAGTCTAATCAAAAGGTCTAATCATTATCTCGTTACATGGGGAGGGATTCAAAACTGCTGCGGGATAGGCGAACCGCCGTCCGATCAGATTAAGTCGTCCTTATCTCGTCGTTGTCCTTACGGTCCAGTATTAACAGCCAAAAGCTGTAGGTCAGTAAACAGCAAGACAGTGTTCAGGCTATTTTTTTAGTCCAAGGATTAATCGGCGCTGGCAGATGGATCCTCCTTATCAAGCCGACGGCTGCCCTCTAACGGGAATCGTGAAAAAAGCAACACTCCAAAACCAATCAACGCCACAGCCTTGGGGCGAGAAGTCAGCTTATGCCACCTAAGATGGATATACTCTGGCCTTAGGACACTCACAGCGTTACATGTAAACACCAGCTCTGTCCTTCCAATGCCTGCAAATGCTGCAAATATAACACCAAACACCAACGCTGCAGTTTTGACGTAGTTGTCAGCAGACATCCCCAGACGGGCCTCTAGTCATGGAATTGGACGAGCACACTCACTGGTCGACATCCTAGCTAGATTTTCAACCAGACTTAGCCCAGCTAGAGCGTCTGTTCGGTCTGCGGTATTGTCGGAACTGCCAACCATCTGAAGGATTGTTCCTTTCGAGGCAGAAGCAGTCCCTGCAGAAAAAGGTAAGACTGCAGCAACAAGATACCTAATAAGATTATGATGTCAGCAATGGCCTGACCTTGCTAGGCCATTCATAGCACCCATAGCCGTGCTCCTTTGATCTATAGCCTCTTTCCGTCTGTGATGACAAGGCTCGGGATATTCGATACTTACATTTGCCAGCCTTGTTGCACAAATGAGCACAGTAGTGTAAGCATTCCATCAGCAAGCAATGAGTACCTGGTATAGGTAAGGTCGAAATGAAATGTTTGCTCTTTTTTCGAGGCTCTGTCTTTGTCACTATCGGTCTCTTCTCGGCTTGTTTGTGCTCTTTCAGAGGACAGCAATGGATCTCGTTCAGTGGAACCTGACTGATCTGGATCTTTGGCAGGCTGACTGTCCTCTCGGCTTGTGGTGGTATAGCTCCTTCCGAGGGCGATCAACTTCGGAAATGCAAAGGTCAAGAAGAGACCCCGTAGCATCGAATACATGAAAATGAGAACGCCGTTTTGTCTAGTACCAAATCCGAAGACATCGGTGGAAAAAAGTTGCAGAAGTGTTGCTAAATATCCTATTGCAAAGGATCAGAATACTGGTGCTGCATTGAGGGGCTGTGCTTACCTGTTGCTAAAATTCCGAGATAGACTCCACAAGCAAGAAGGCAAGCCCCATACTCTGTCCGAATAACCCCATCTTTCCCAATAAACTTTCGGGGCGTAAAAACAGTCAAAGGCTTGAAGAACCTGGTGAACAATGTTGATCTCTGATCAGAGCTGACGAGTCCCGTCTGAGAGATTTTGCCTTCCGCAGGTGGAACATAGGGCAGAGCGAAAACTACAAAGACGCAAGAACTCAAGAAGAGGATGAAAGTTAGGCGGAAGGGAGCTTTAATGCCAAAGTCTTCAGCCAAAAACCCACCCAGCAGAAAGCCGGAGGCAGCTCCAAACATCATACTCCCATTGAGCCTGCCTAGAGCTGCAGTACGCCCTTCGTGCTCGACAACTTCGGTGATGAAAGTGTTTAGGACGAGCAGATAGCCACTGGGGCCGCCAACGATGCTGACGATTTGTGACCATTGAATGACGTTGATGCCTGCACTGCCCCAGACTTCCACGCCAACATTCTGTATCAGTAATCGCACGGCGGGAAAGAATATCTGGATGAGTAGTGTTGCCTTGAGGCCGATGCGTTTGATCAGGCTACTGGTGAGGAAGAGGTTGATGATTCCAAAGACCGTCGTACTAGCGCCAAGAAGAGATATTGACAAGGCGGTAGAGGTCTCGATCTCATGTTTCGAGCATCGGTCAACCTGGCTTCCTCTGTACAGCAGAGGATAGGATGCCTCGGGTGAAAGGACGTACGAGAGCAGGGACCCTGATGTTGTGGTTGGTGGTCCTACAAGTAGTGCTCGTTCTGGATAAGAATGATCCTTATAATAGGCATCACACGTCATCAAGCGAAAGACATAGACCAAGGGCACTTGCGTAACCCCGAAGCTCAAACTGGTGAGAAATGCGCAGAGGAACACCAGATAGCGAGTTGACCACTTCCACGTGATAGCATCAAGTTGAGCGGTGTCGGGACTCGACTCTGAACTCGAGTCTTCCACCACAACCTCTTGGATAGCCACACTCTCGGCAAAATCGAATTCTTGCGATCTTGTGCGACTCAGCGAAAGAGATGCTGTATCCTCTGAATGGGGATGTGATGGATGCTGTTGATCGGTCGACGAACGCCGATTGTCGGGCCTGGGAGGGGTCATCATTGGCAAGGGCACAAGAGCATGATTTATGGAGCCTGGCGAGCTTCTTGGATCAGGCGTCTTGGCCGGCTGCGCCAAAGAATCAAATCTCTTCTTTGGCTAAGCAACGAACGATCAGCTTGGGTTCTCTGTAGACCTAGTTGTGTATGCTCCCCAACCTTGTAATGTTAAAAGGACAAGAAATTTGTTGAATCAAAGGATTGGGCAAACGCAACTAGACCCGCGCTTACTGAAAAGAGGCAACAGGGCAAAAGAAGCGGCAGGGCGCTGTTGATCCTACACTAGCTAATGCCGTCATTGCCGGGCCCTGATAATACGTCTCTTAAAACGGAGAACTCCGTATGTTGAGCAGTGCTTGAGAGACATCGAGCTACGGACATCCGAGATGCTGCTGAACTCAACTGCTATTCATTCTTGGATAATGATCGCTGTCGAGCGTCAGTCATCGCGGGCATTCGACTATGAGACATCGCCTTGAGGAATCAAAGACGGGGTCTGCCGATGGCGGCGGCGATGCTGATAGACTGTGTTCCCTGCAAAAGGCGGCATCTTGTTTGAGCAAATCTGTGACAGTGCCAGGGGAGCAAGTCAAATATGACCATGCAAGAGATAGTGTCGTGGTACAGAGATGGCATGAGCTGTGGACTAAACAGCACATCATCGTCGATAGATACGCCTGGAATCCGTACGGCATAGTCAAGCTGCGCACTCGCTAAGAAGTCGTCCTCTTGATCTGGAGGAGTGCTGGAGGCTTGATGGCGCCATCGAGAGCTAGGCCACAATAGGCCTCTCGAACGCAGGGAGTATTCCAGAGTCCGTTAGGGACTCCAAGGTCCGTATTTTCTCGCTACTATCGATCGTTAGGCCACGATGATAAAGGGTCGCATCGACAGTGTTTCCTCAACATCCAGCTCATGACGGGACCGTACTTTGCTTGCCAGGAGAGTCCTCAATGTCAGTATCTCCTACAGTGTCATCAACGTCGAAATGCTCCGGTAGAGCGATGAGAAACATTCTGAGCGGCTCCTGCGCTTTTTGCTGCTTTTCCTGAGACATAACCCTCTGGACAATGGACAACTGCAGCGGACCTGTCGGTCTGGGGTCCGGCAAACCCTCCCGGAGTGAAGTCGCAGAAGAGAGAGCACTGTATGGCATCAGCGACCGATGACTCGCCATCTGTGCGCGGCGTATTGATGAAGAGACTTTCGGCTCAGGCATCACCCGAAAGGTGGTTGCTTGAATAAGAACTTCAGTAGTCCTGTCGACAACTTGCCTAGAAGGTGGAGAGTGGCATTCAGACGGTGCATTTGGGGCAGCAACTGGAATTATAGGTTCCGCCTTTGGCTAGATGTTGGATGGTTTCAGGTCATCAAGCTGTAGACCAGTGTCACCGCCGTATGCCAGACTGTCACCTGCCTCTATTTTGACTTCTCTCTCCCTCCGTCTCTCTCCTATATAGACAACAATACCCAGATAATCTAATCGTACACCTACTAGTTACCCATTGAGAATAGCTTTTCTCTTCTCCTGCCGCTGAGATATTATAGTTTAGTAGCAGCCATTTCTTCTAGTTCGCTGATTATAAATAGAACGATCTTATAAGTTGCCTAAAGCACTGTACTCTACGAATGTTCGCACACGCGGTCCACTCCTCTTGTGCACACTGGCTTTTCACGGCCACAAGCTCGGCATAGTTTAATAGTAAGGGAGCAGAGTAGAATAAGCCGCTACAAAAACATTCCCCAGGGAGACTATGTAGAGGAGTACTTATTCACCTTGGACATATATGAGGAAGCCTACTGTCAAATAGTGCTTAGAGCCATCTATGGCTGGTGCTATGCTGTTGTACACCAGTCTCTCATGGTTTCAATTTCCACTGGGGGCAGCCCACTTACCTGTTTGGCTCATTTACGCAATCAACTTGAACATCCCAAATACGAAGGCTGGGGTCAGGTAATAAATATGCTCTCTGTGAACCATTCCGGAACCCAAAACTGGCCAGGATCTCTCGAGCCAACATAGATTACAATTCTCCTTACCAGAATGGCAAAAATCGAAGTCAACCAAACCACTCTAGCGACGCTCAGAGATAAAACTGTTCTGATCACAGGTAATCGGCAGTGCCTGAACTTTCATGTCTGTTGCTGATGTACACTTTAGGCGGATCGAACGGCATAGGACGACAAACGGGGTTACTGTTGCACAGTATGGTCGGTCGCTGCCACCAATGATAACGTGCGCGAGTGAGCATTAACAGGCGCACAAACAGGTCACGGCGCAAATGTCGTTATTGGAGATCTTGACGTTGTGAGGGGTGAAAGCCTACTTAGAGAGATCGGTGAGTGAGTGTTAGTCTACATTGAACCGATGCAAGGTGTCCGTAGTTCACCCTGACGACAGGCAGGGCATATTCGAGAAGACTGACGTCACCAATTGGGAGTCTCTGAGGAATCTTTTCGAGAGGGCAAAAGACCAATTCGGCTCAGTCGATATCGTCCTAGCCAACGCAGGCATACCGGAGAGGCCTCCATATCTCTTTGACGTGGTTCTTGACGATAATGGACTGCTGAAGGAGCCGGACTTCTGCCTCGTTGATATTAATTTGAACGGTGTTCTGAGAAGTATAGCAACTGCTCATTTGTGGATTTGCCAACACCACCGCTCTTGGATCTCGAAGGTTATTTGAGGCATTGGCGGCCGTGGCTAAGGCAACTTCGGGACCTTTGAAGAAACGATATGTGGATAACAGCTGCGATTGGGGGCTGCGAGAAGTATAGTTGAGCTATGGTGTGGTTGAAGCGTGTGATCGCTATAGAGAGATGACGCAACAGTGAGGCATAGCAAATGCAATTCAAGCACACCAACAACGGCGCCTGTTAATAGAGCGATTGAAGTCGTGCTTTCGCCGAACTCCGCAAGTAGCTCCGATGAAGTGGCCAACTTTTGATGCTAAGCTCCGAATGTTAGCAACGTTGCAGTGTCAGTTAACGGACTACCTCCCATTCGTCCCTCGATTTGCGCGCTGTTGATGCGCCGCTCTTCAGCTTAATGTGGCTGCATTTGCGAACACAGGTGTTTCCAATTGCTGCCAGGGCACTACTATCGAACATCTGACATCTAATATCAAGAGGCGCCAGAAGCGTCCTTGAAGCGCACGTCCAACCCTATTTAGCAGCATATCTGAGCCCGGGACATGGTGGCTAATTTATACTAACCCAGGCTACCAGCCGGAATTTTCTTTGAGGGCTGCGACCTTACCTCCTTGATGGTTGTGTATTTACTATATCACAGATACAGGCAATAGCTGGCTTGTAAATTAGGGCCGAGTAAGCAGAGAACACCAACAATGCTTTAGCGGTAGAAATCTGAAATGTTCGGTGTTCACATATCTATGGCACTGCCTACTAAGTAGTTGTTAGTTGAGACGTTTATAATGGAAGTAGCGGAATGTGTCGTGAGTGAGGAACATCCTTCGACGATCTCAGCGATGACAATCTCGTGTCTACACTCGGAGACCAAGGTCGGCTCGGAGGCAATAGCTTTATTAGAGGTAATTGTACAGCGAATGAAACAAGTCCATGGGAATGCACACCCCTTTTAACAAAGCGGCTACAAAAAATCTGGCTTGGTCAAATGTCGATGGAGCTTTAGCACCAAGGGTAGAGCTAGATTTGATCGCCAGAAGGGGGCTCGCTCGTCGCTCGAATTGAGGGAGGATATCCAAGAAGAATACGATATACGTTCGTAGAACGTTGACTTACGACAATCTAAGGCATGGAATGTACACACCAGAAATTCTTCTAATCAGAGTGTAAATTACGCTCTCATACAAAGGTGTGGTTGTGGTCCAAATGTAGCGCGTTATGGGCTTCTCGCATAATCAATTAGATTAAGTCTCTGCCTGATTTCGGAAGTCCATGACGAAGATACCGGGATTGCCCACAACCCTACTTCTCAGCGGCTGGCCTTATCACGGAGTCACGAGATGAATCTTCCCGGGCAATGAACCCTTACCCGCCGTGAGCTGCCTATTTCGACTCTTCCAAGAAATAGTCATTCTTGACGACTAAACGACAAAATTTGGCAAGGTTTAAGGTTCATCTCTTTCTCGCCTTGGAAAGCCGTAAGAGAACTGTCAGCTATTGCCTTTACCTTTGGCTATGTCATTCCCAATATATTGAGGGAGTCATTTCACGGACAGTACGGTAATCTTCTGCGTCAGTATAGTATGGGGACTTGGGACTTGTGAGGGAGATGGATAATGGTCCAATCGCGGGGAGAACCTAGATAATACTGCGGACTCGGAGGGACCATTATGTCCAAGGCTTTGATGTGGCAATGTCAGACTGCGATGGAGTCAGCCGAAATAATGCTGGACTTATTTGTCTTCCAATTCAGCCTTAACTTCCTTCGAGCTAGCACATGTTGGAGATCGACATTCTCCACAACGGCCGTTCGAGCTACTGACGTTGTGGAATGCGCATTCAGTGCAGCTCAGGCAGCTACAAAATAATATGACAGATCAAATCAGACCTCGATGCCCATGTCAGCAGGATCTACAGTGCCGTATATCGTATCTAACGTTTCGTTTCTCGCATGTTGTGTGGGTATGGTCGTAGTCTGGCTATATGTACAGGCCCGAGCCTCCACAGAACATCCTCTTTGTTCGCCCAATCTCGTGCACAAGCAGTCAACCAAATGTCCAGCTTCTATCTACCTGTATTGCTTGCTCTCTTCCTCACCATCTATGGAGTCGATTCACAAGCTTGCCCACCATGGGTAACGTCTCTCATCACAGACGCACTGGCACAGCGTCCCGACTTTCCCGGAATCCAATTGGCTATATCATCACCGCGCTACGGTATCGAGTGCAAGACAAGCATTCACTCGAATGCCACCGAATTTGCTGAAGAGCCGCCTCTCCTGGTGGATACCCCTTGGCGCATTGCGAGCATCACGAAAACTTTTACTGCCGTGGCCGCATTGCGACTTTTCGAGCAGAAACGACTCGACCTTCATGCTCCAATTGTAAACTACCTTCCCCAATGGGCTATTCCCTATCTTGATCAGGAACAAGGAGTCTCAAATGCAAGCAAGATTACGAGCTGGATGCTCTTGCACCATACAAGCGGACTGGGTGATTTTGCCTCAGATCCACGTTGGAGGGAAGCCATCGTTGCAGACCCACAATACCGATGGAGCCAGCAAGCTGTCCTCAATTGGAGTGCAACTTACGCGGCTCCTGTAGGGATTCCTGGGGCTAAGTACTTTTACTCTGACACGGGATATACATACCTTGGCCTGGTCATAGAACATATCACACAGACTGGCATTGCGGCCGCAGTCCGCAAATTGACTAGGCTCGACGAGTCTTGCATGCCATTCACATATTGGGAAATTCTAGAACGGACACCGCAAAAGATCCCACCACGTGCTGGGCAGTACTATCAATCTCTGGACTCCACCCAATGGGATGCAAGTTTTGACTTGTACGGTGCGGGTGGGTTAGTCAGTAATAGCTTGGACCTCAACCATTTCGCGAAGGCGCTCCATGGGGGACAAGTACTCGGTAAGGCAGCAATGGAGCTTATGTACACCACAGAATCCTCAGGGACTTATGGATGTGGCCTAGTCAATATGTCCTACGCGGGCCATCAGGCATGGGGTCACACCGGGTTTTGGGGAGCTTGGTCGGAACACATTCCATCGCTAGATCTGACCGTGTCGGGCACCCAAAACCAGGCCACGGTACCTCTGTTTGACCTGAATCAGTTTGTTCAAAAATTTGTGCAAGAGGAGTGTTCCCCGATTTACTTGGAATAGCACAGCAAAATCACTAGCCACAGTAACCAAAATCATACCTATTCATAGAGTAGAGTGCTTAATCACGTACTGGGCAGCCCCGCACCCAGGTTTCCCTCTCCTGCCCTGCTCCTATGCCCATGACTCTCGCCACACTTTCCTCATTTGTTTCATCCTGGTCTCCTGAGAGGTCGTGCCATAACAGAAGGACCTTCGCACCTGCTACTAGCGACCGAGGAGCTCATGGAAGATGAGACCCCGGGACTCTTCTTATCTATATCAAGCCCTTGGGAGGGGCTCCGGGAGCTCGTAAGGAACAGAAGGCGAGCCGAGGGCGAGTAAGCGGCGAGGAGTGTCTATGCAGAGGAGAGTCGTGAACGAGCTGTGGACCATCGATTGTACCTTTTCGCATTCTTTTGTCATCCCCGTCGTCGCAACCTTGAACAAGAATATGCATAACCAACAGTAGTTCCCCGCTGGGTTTTGACATTGGCGTTGCCCGAAGCGAGAGTTACGGCGCTATACCGGAGATCTCATAGATCTTTTCGAGAAGTGAGGAAGGCACTCAGGAGGTGAGATCGTTCCGATGTTTCCAAGATTTGAAGTCTTCGTTGCCCAATCCCATCTCATACGTTCAGCTCTGAATCATTCTTCGCACTGGTACCGACCGTCAATGATTTTCACAGCTGCACTGCGAACTATACCATCATTCATAGGAAGGTGACACATGCTTGCAGAACGTTTGTTTGCGCTTGCTAGTATCTCAAGAGACAGAAGGAGCCATTGGGCTGGAAGGTGCCAGTGTGCGAGATGGCAATACCTTTCTCGCGCCTCCGCAATGATTCTCCTTTCCTCTCTTCAAGTCTACGTTTTGGGTTCGTAGCAATGTTTTCTCGGCACCTGTGGCCAGCAGGCGGTATCATTGCCACACTTTTCTCCCCGTTTGGACCAGCTATGGGCGCTAGGCTGATCAACTGGGCTCGACATCTTCGGCTTGTCGGTCCAGTCTTCTGCTTTCTCTTCCCCGAGGAAGAAGGCCCTCGTCCTAATCAGCGGGATGGGGAGCCTCAGGTTGGTCTCGAAGCTGAATCTAATGTCCTGCTGCGTGGCGCTCTGCGAGACGCCGTGAAGGTCTTCGGGCCGCTGACATCGATTCGGAGCTGACCACTGAAATTCGAAAGCAGAACGCGTTGCTTCAACAGTTGGTCAATGCCTTAGAAGGTATGCGGGAGGAAGCAACGAATCGTCACGTCGATACCTACACAGTCACAAGCACCATCACGCGAGCTAGCTAATTGTGGTGTAGGCTCACCGCTGGGAGCTGCCAGCGGCGGTCATGGTTTCAACAACCTGGTCGCACCAGCGAAGGGCTTGCACTTCTACGCAGTGCTGGTGACAAGTAGCTCTTCAACGAGTGAAACCAAGACAAGCCCAATCAAGGAGACTTCATCCTAGCAACGCAAGTTTAACCCCTCCGAACATGGTACTATCACTAACTCACGGTTATCATAGCCTCGCGCCTTTCGCTTGCAGCGCAATTGCTACTCTTCTCGCACAAGTCCAAAATCTTATGCCACCTTCCTCCATCATTCGACTTCGGGGTACTTTGTGGATCCCTATTATGAGATCAAGTATGTAGCCAAGATCTGGAATTTTATGGCCTTGTGACGGTCGAGAGTCTGGTCTATCCGGACTATTGTGAAAGATAAAGCCAACGGAGAATATCAGAAACTCGAGAATGACAACAAATTACTTCAGCCTGGCGCAAGTTACAATTTGATTAATTGTGCAGATAAGCTATATAACTTCTCGGCATGACTATGCCTCAATGCTTAGAGCACACCTTGTTTTAGACTCGAAAGCCGCTCGTACGTCCCTTTGTGAGACTGCGTCGGCCTCAAGCCGCAATACAGGATCTCGATAAAGATCTACTCATTCAACAACCTGTTCCCATGTCTTTGTCCGTAGTTTCTCCAAACATTTAGAATGATCGTTACCCGATTCTCCTCGCACTTCTTCACGTGCACTTAGTGGTCAGTCTCGCAGAAGAAACACTTAAACACTTCGGATTTCTCTGAGCCTACTATCATGCTTGTGACGGCTTGCTCAAAGGTCTGCCATATCTTATCGACGATCCCTACAGTGGCACTTAGATGTAGACATACATCTAGGATGAACAGGCGCGACATCACCGCCACTTCTCGTCCCGACTCCACCCCTACCTCTATTCGACTGGCTAGTATAAGCTGACCGTCCACTAACCGTGCTTCGTTCGTTCGAGAAATACCGCGGTGATCATAACCGCTTATGTTTAAGAAAGATATAGGTAAGCCGTGGCTGGGGCCATGCTCATAGGATCTTAAGATTAGGTCGACCACTCCACGCCTCACCTAAATATATTTTTTGTCTCCCGCTTGGATATACTGACCGTATGATAGTAGCGTATCCGCAACCATGTGGCGATTAGCACGCGGACAATTATACTGGAAGAACTCCATCTTCCGCCAGAAATATAGTAAGCCGCAGGAGCGGCATGTCAAATATTCCGGGTAGTCGAGTTCTAGAAGTTGTAGAAACCGTACCTTGGTGGCCTTGTCATTATTAAGTGTCAAGTCGAGGTGGGAACCGAGAAGAGCACAAAGTCGCCGACATGAGAGGCTCAGCAGGAGCTGAGATTCTTGGTCCAGAAAGCTCGCAACCATGAGGATCAGCTCATTGGGAAGATCGAGGATCGGACTGTGGTTATAATGAATCTTGTTGCTCTGCTGTGTCGGCTGTACCCTTTTATAGCCTCTTCCATTAGTTCTTAGATATTCTAAGGATACCTAATCTGGTGATGAAACTTACGCTTTGAAGAATACTCTTCTGTATTGAGGCCAGAGATCGACGCAGCAAAGACAATCTGCTTCTCGCCCAAAGTCGGATATTCATCTTTTGGCGAGTCTCAGGAAGTCGGGAAGTGATATCACAACAAGACGCGGTTTAGAGGCAGGTGTGCGTTCAGGTTCTTTTTTTTTTGCTTGCAGTGGGCACTAAAAGTTCGAAGAACTCGAGGACGCTAGAGCACTGCGGTTTTCGAATTTCAAAGTTCATACGGAATTTCCATGGCGCTGTATGTTACAATACTAGTTTCGGTGGTGTAAGAATGTAAGTTGTAGCTTTAAGTAGGCGGCATCCGTAACCTTTAGCTCAAGGTGTTCGTCCACACCACCGTTCGAAATGTGATTACTAGCGTGCCAAGGCTGCCAAGCCCTTATAAAGACTTCGAGGTCTGTCGAAGTGTTCGTACAAGCTTCATACACCGAGGCGAGCCCCTGTCGAAGTAGGGCAAATGCTCCAGGTAATCGCAGGCGCATCTGCACCGAAGGGTTCAAACCTATCTCCTGCGTGGCCGGCTCCGAAGTCATTTATTACGCTAGGCGCTAGAGGACACGAACCCTGGGATAGACATCACGCCTATCAAGGTGTCAACAAATGAAATTTTGATCAAATGCATGCGGAAAGCGCGTAGCATCGTGAGATGGCCTGATCAATGCAAGGCATACAGATGCCAGGAGAGCTCGAGATGGAATCTGACACCCGCTTGTTGCAATTGAGGTCATTCCGCCCATGGCTGTTGGTGAAACTGTGGCAGGGCGTATCGTGGATGGAAGTAAATCTGAGCATCAAGCTCCTGTACTACCGACCAGAAAGGGTCATGTGTTTTTCTGTCGTAGTACAGTTTCTTTTCCCCGCCATTGGCAATCAATGTGCTCTACCCGGTATCCGGATCGCAACTCGAGCTTCACTCAAATCTGGAGCGAGCTTGTGTCGCTCCGTCAGGCTGCCAAATCCGAATTGTGTGGTCCTCCAGCAGTGGTGACAATTGGTTCCAGGGCTTTGGCATCTTGGGTGACTGCGAATTTTGTCGCATGAAAGTGCCAAAGGCACTTACCACTTACAGCATTCGCCACCCACTCTACTTCGCACTCCACTTCGACTACTCATCTTCTCTCTTTTCTACAACAACAACAACAACAAGAAGAAGAAGAAGAAGAAGAAGAAGAACGAAAAGAATAGCACTGTCATAGTTGCTCACTGGGAGCCACGTCTCCTTACCGGTGTGTCCACCTGCTCCTTTCTCCCACACCTCATGGGGTAGGAAGATTTCGATCGGTTGACCTTCTGGACACTTTGGGGAACACCAACCAAGGCCATGATCGGTCCAGGCGATCGCAGGTCCACAGTCGATCGATCAACACGTCGTCATGAGTACCAGTGGCATGACAAAAGACGTCAGGAGATGCTGGGACGGAGAGACGACATACAATGGCGAAAATGCTGTGAGGGACCCTCGATGGGTAGAAGAGAACGACCAACCCCGACCAGATAATCAAGCACGTACATCGCAGCCCCGGGCAAGAAAATTGTGTGGATTGAGACACTGCGGGACGACGAAAATTGAAGCCACTTCAAAGACTGTACGTTAGGATATTATGTAGCGAGTTCACATTGATCCGCCATATGTCAATCAAGGACTATCCTAATACAGTTACAACCCCAGTACCGTGAGAACGATATTCGCGTCCATGTTGTACCAGGGCGTCTGTTACTCGCTTGATCATCCCATGTGACTTTCCGGTCCAGAAGTCTCCATCTTCAGGGTCTTGAACAGATCATGACGTGTCCACCAGCTTCTAAGGCGTTTTCCGTACATGTACACAGGGATACCCAACAGCGAGATGAAAATGGATGTACCTCCGAACACGTACATGATCTCTTCAGGTCCTTTGGAAGCTACCCATGGATTCGCAAAGTTGGAAAGCCCATAAAACATGAAGTTCTACCATCGCTGTTAGAAAGAGCTGACAAAAGATAGGGGACATAGAAGATAAGAGGCAATACTAACCTTAAAAAGCATGTTCATGACAAAGATCTCACTACTTTGGGTTCGAAAGGAGTCGAGACCATAGGATAGAGTTGCGAAAATCCCGATGAGGACTCCAAACATCATGAGACCTTGTAAGAACGCACATACCTCCGCCGGTGCACCAATTTCCAGCGTATATCCGAACAAGAACATACCGGCACCCATTGCAATGCCGGCTGGGAGCATAAATACAAGCCGGAACTCTGGTTCGCTAAACCCGATTAATAAGATAAGCTAACAAGAAATAAAGAATAGACTTACTAAACACCCTTATTCTTCTTAGTCATCGCCTTTATGACATAGTCACCAAGGAATCCGCAGAAGAGAGAACCAATTAGACCGCCAACGAAAGGGCCAGCACCCGTATATCCAATCTGCGCCGCGTTGAAATTCCATGGAGGGCCAGAGAAAATCCCTGCAAGGATAATTGCGGAGCCGACATACCTAGAGGTAAGTTAGCATTACCTATTATTGTAGTAAAAGTCCTCGGTTGTCCTTACCAGCTGTTTAGTAATCCTGAACCGATAACTGCGTAGCATGCAGCAGGATTAAGTAGAGTTAGGAAAGGACCAATTAAAAACTTGATGACGTTGTCTTTCGAGTATACTCCACTCCATACCTGAAGTTCTTGTGCGAATGTCTTCTTTTTTGGAGTATCGAGGCCTACGTCTCGACCTTGCTCGTCTCCTTGGTTCTCATGCTCTTGCTCCATAACTGCAACCTCCTCAAACTTCTCGTTACGCGTGACATCAGTGTTATATCGGTCCTCGCGAATATAAGTAGTTTCAGGACAGAAGAGGAACATAAGAACAAATTGGAAAACCAAGAAGATCTGAAACATATGGAAAAGCCATAGCCAACCGAGACTTTCGAAAACTTGTCCGCAGATAATCGACGCTAAACTTGAAGCCGCGTTTAAGATAAAGTTAATAATGGCGATACGGAGCCCCCGCTGATGGACAAAATAGATATCGCCAACAGTGGCCACTATAAGGGACTCGAAAGCTGAGGTAGAGAATCCTTGGATAATACGTGCAGCTAAGAGGTATTTATAGTCGATCTTAGCTTGACCAATTGCGGTACCAATGATATCAAAGAGGGTTGATACTAGGTAGACGGGCCGCTTTCCATATTTGCGACTAAACGCAGAGACTAAATAAGAGAGTTAGAGCGCGAAATAGACTAGTAGTGAGGAAATAGATACCAAGTGGTCCAATGCAGCCAGCAGCAAGTAGGTTGTATCCGGAGGCTACAACAATCTTATTGATGTCTAAATTAAGTTGTTGCGCCATCGAAAAGTAAGAAGCATTGAGGAATGGTCCCTATCTCCATTAGCCACAGCTATTAAGAAATGATTGATACCCACATTAGTCCCCGCATTCAACATGGCCCCAAGGCAAAGAATGGCAATCATGACCTCCTTCTTCACCAGAGACCAATTCAAGGGGTCGTTAGGGTCTTCACTAGGCTGGGGAGATAGCACCAAATGGGCATCGCGTCCTTGACCATGTTTCAGTCGCTGCGTGAGATTTTCGGCGTGCGCGGCTTCGTCGTTGAGCAATACCGTTCCCGGCACGTGGTCAAGCCTCTGGTCTGCGGTTGATCGTCAGTTAAAAGCCCAGGTTGGATCTCCGTCACCAGGTTAATTAGTACCTTCAAAGACACCAAGGCCCATCTTGATGTGCGTATGCAGCAGCGGGTTCGGAATACGCTTTGAAAAGAAAGAAGAGCTTTGAATATATGTACAGAAGGCAGCTGGTTTACTTCCGGCCGTGAGGGAATCCAGTATCTTTATACTCAAATCAGGATCGGAAGAGACCCAGAAGTTTGCTATGCAATAGTGGCTAGCTTGGTGGATCTTGTTTCAACTCCAATACTCCGGACGTGTTCCGCCCAGTCAAGTGTTGCTCAGGCTTTCTCTAACCCGTGGGGTTGAGTTACCCCAGCTTGATGTTTTGGCGAGCAGGGGTATAAATGGGATTATTCCTGCCCCTTCCATGGGGTGTGGAGGTGTCCCACTCCAATTGATCCCACTCCTGATTCTCGTAATCGGAAGGGCTCCCTAGTGCCTTCGCCGTCCCGTCTTCACAATCAGTCTTGTGACGTTGACTCTGTACAGGAATAGAGTAACTGTGTACGAATAGATGAAGGATTGGTGGGGGCTGAGTGGTATGGGTATCAAGGACTCGTCTATCTACGCAACTAGCCACCTTGGCGCCAAAGCCCCGGCAACGTGTCCGTTCAACCCCACATCAGAGATTTCAACCCCACAAATATCGCCTTGAAACGGATATCCTGCGCATGCCCCGATCCACTAACATGCCTTGGCCGGCTGCACTTAACAACAAGGCTTTGCGGAGAGAACCAGCCCACAAATTAATTGAAGTTGATCGGCCAAGTGAAACTCATGCTTGAAGTGGTTCTTATCGAGATAGATAATGGTATTCTGAATAGTACAGAACTATATAGCAGCGCTAAATATCGTTATACTGGTTTAGTAATCGGGCAGGGAGGTTAGCACATCGCCTGAGTGCATGCTTCCCACTCTCCTCGCGGTAGAGCACAAGGTAGAATGTAACAAGTCAATAGAGACCAAACTTAAAACGAACCGATTATCCGACAAAGTACTGGCAGCGCATCGAAAACCCCCGAGGAGTATAGCTTTCTATGAAGCTCTGCCGCTTGTTTTGGTGCATTCAGGACGCAGATACACCTTTTCCCGAAATTATGAATTCAAGCCGCACTGTCTTTTTAATTTCATTTGAAGCAGTCGCGACGATGTTCTCATGGAAGCAAAAAAGAAAGCCTGTTGTTCAGGATAACCTCTGCGGAAAACAGAGGTTGATGCTAAAAATGCCAGAATTAATAGTGGCGGCATTCGACTTTCCTCAAGTCGTCGCCACACAGAGTTTGTATTTAGCCATGGCTTTCTGATCTACGGCTACTGGTATTTCGGCCCTCGACGTGTCCATGGAACGGTGAGGACAATAAGTGCTGGAAGTCTACAAACGAGTAGAGGCGTAACCCCATGAGTCCATGATCGGCAAAAATAATAGTGGAGTATTACCTGCACTGACAAAGGTGCCTCTTCCGAACGAAAGTTTGAAGGAATTCTCGTCTTTCTGCCATCCTGTGTCTCATTTGTCTCCAAGCAGGAGCATAACGCTTCTCCCCACACACGCGCCATGGAAATACGTGAACGAGCCCCGGCAAAAACTGCCTGAGCATCCCACATGTTCCCCAAGTAGAGCCTGAAGATTTTGAGCTTTTTACACCAGCAGAGCTCCATATGATCGACTCTTGTCTATCGATTGTCCGCAGGCACTTGCTACACACGCTTGACGCTACTAAGACGCTACCTCATTTTAACCATCGTTGAGCGTAGAATTGTTTTGTGGCTTTAGGACTGTCGCTGCATACAGAATAGTCTGGGTACGTCTATCAAAAGGTGAACACAACCTATTACTACCTTCAGATTGGCCAAAGTGGTCTCTTTTGATGATTCTCTACACTAGCACAAATGTGTCAATTTCATGTGGGTAGTCCCTGATCCCGAAGGATGTGGAGAAACCTGGAAAATTCCCATGCATGCCGGAGGAGGATGCCTTGCCTCCCAAAGTAGCCAGTGGTGAACCATGACATAGGTTTACTCTATGTCGCCTGGTATACGTTGTCAACGTCTCAAAGTTCTTAAAGCTAGTTATTTCCACACCCTGTTTGCCCATATTGCCACGTCTACTAACGCTCTTAGTCCTGCGAAAATGGGCGTGCTTGATCCTACTCAATTGGAGATTGCTAATCTCGCGCCTGCAACGGTGTCACTGGTGATACTTGTGCTCCTCGTTGCTGTAGCCTTTCGCATCTGGAGAGCTCTTGTAACTCCTCTGAGAGACCTCCCAGGGCCTGTATTTGCCAGCTTCACTCGGCTATGGTATCTCAAGAATGTCTGGAGAGGAGACTTTGAGAAAGTGAATGTTAAGCTCCATGAGCGATACGGTATGATAATCAACATGCTTGGAAACACTGGTTCCAAAATGGAAGGCATGGGTTAATACAGCCCCAGGGCCAATCGTGCGCATAGCGCCAAATGAATACAGCATCGACGACCCCGAGGCTATCAAGGTCATCTACGGCCACGGCACTAGTTTCACAAAGGTACCACCGACCTGATCTTTACATTATGTCCTCAGTTGGTTCCTAAGTCTACAAAGGCTCCATGGTACTACGCCTCTGGCAGCGCCGATCCAAATGAACATAATCTGTTCACAGATCGCAATCCTAAGAGACACTCTGAAACCCGTCGAAAGGTGGCCGCCCTTTATTCCATGAGCACATTGGTGCAGCTGGAGCATTTTGTGACAGAAGGCGCGGAATGTATGGTGGACAAGTTCGAGGGTTTCGCGCAGAGCGGAGTAACAGTTAACATGCAAGAATGGGCGCAATTCTGGGCATTTGATGTTATTGGACTCATCACGGTAAATTCACACATCTAACCCATCTATGTCTGAGCTAAACAATGCTCACAGCTAGCTAAACGATTTGGCTTTCTCGACACCGGGAGAGACCAAGGAGGTCTTCTCGGTGCACTACACGGCTATCTACTCCATTGCGCTAACGTGGGGATCTACCACGAGTGGCATCCCTTGGTCACAAAGCTCGAACAAATGCTCCCAGGGCAAGGCATGTCGTATCTGACGGGCTTTACCCAAAAGGAGATCACAGAGCGCCTTAATGCTACTAAACGCGATATTGAATCGTCGAAGGAGGGTGCCGACTTTTTGAGTAAGCTACTTAAGATGCACTCAGATGATCCAGCAAAAATCACTATGGCGGAGGTCTTCCTAGGTTGTCTCACCAACATTGGCGCTGGATCAGACACTACCTCCATCAGTTTCGCCGCTATCATGTACCACCTTATCAAGAACCCGGAGGTGTACAAGAAGGTAAATGGCTTCATTTTCACGCGTACTCTATTCTGCAGATACTTTGAGCTTCTAACATCCATCCATTCGTACTAGCTACGCACCGAGATTGACTCGAAAGTCAAAGAAAAGCCCTGTCCTAACGACATCATCACGTTCGCCGAGACACAAACCATGCCCTACCTACAAGCAAGCATCAAAGAAGGCCTCCGAATGCACCCCGCCACTGGTCTGCCTCTAGCACGCGTGGTCCCCGTAGGCGGCGCAACGATATCTGGCCGCTACTTTCCCGAAGGGGTAAGTCCCTCCCTCTAAGTCATCTCATTCACTTGTTTTGGGCCGGTTCTGACCCATCTCATCACCCAGACCATTGTCGGTGTCAACAGCTGGGTAGCACACCGCAACAAGAGCGTCTTCGGCGCCGACGCCGCGCAGTACCGGCCCGAACGCTGGCTCGAGAGCCCTGAACGCTCGTCCCAGATGGAACGCTATTTCATGGCTGTGAGTCGCAGTCTCGGAACCTAATCAAGCGGTCTGTGTCCACTAATTGGTGAATATAGTTTGGTGTAGGCTCACGTACCTGCATCGGCAAGAACATCAGCTTGCTGGAGATCTCGAAGCTGGTCCCAGAGTTCGTGCGGCGGTTCGATTTCGAGCTCCAGAGCCCTGATCAACCCCTCAACACGCACAATGCATGGTTCGTGAAGCAAACGAACTTCTTCGTCAAGGTCGCGAAGCGGAAAATTGATAAGCTTGATGGCTGACATCTGGCTAAAGAGTGAGATACAGTGGAGACTTATAGCTTCCGAGGTCTATTTATGCACAATCGTGGTTAAAATGAGTTTGGCGCAGAAGAGTGCCTTGCACTTGCCCCTCTTGGATGAATTTGACAAAGAATCCAAGCCCTGTGAATTAAGTTGCAAACGGAACCTCGTATTGCCGGCTGTGGGCTGTGTCACGACTCTATTACCAAGCATCTTATATTATCTTGTGCTTGCAAGCCTGAACGGTACGAGACGCGATTAAAACCCACGGTTTCCCTGTTACTCAGTACGGTGATTTGGTGTACAACCTCACGATCCACCGGAGAGGACAATACACGGACGTTGATGTAGCTGATTCCTTTGAGGTCTGGTCCTGGAACGTAGCTTATTAATGGTTCAAGAGAATGTAGAAGAGTCCCATCTTGGAGTAGCTTCGGCACACGGTCTTTCTCCGTTCACACGACTCTTTGTTGATGATTCAAAGATGTGTTGCTATGGAGAACAGACTCATTTTGGCAACGGTAAGTTTCCATCAAAGGAGCAACACCACCTCCACGATAATTCCAGGTACGCAAGCCTTGGTCTAACTCAATATTCGAGCCGGCGAAGACATTTTTCTCCCGCTAAACGTTTCCCAATGCCTAGCCACGCACAGTTTAAGGCATCAAGAAGCAATCACACATCGCACTAGACCCTTCAGAACTAGTGTGGGACTTTTATCCCCCACTGCGTGTGGTGAGATCTCTGAATGCATCCCACGTCCATATCGGAGTTGAATTTGCCATGCGCCATCTAGCTTGTGACCGTCTGATGCTTTCCAGGAGATTGGATTCGACATGTTTCGGGATATTTCCCATGTGATCCGCCATCATCATGCTAAGCGATAAGACAAGATGCAGGTACCGGTTTAGGCTGTTGTGGATCGTGATATTTGTGGAAACTTGTGAGAAGCGAAAGTCGGCTGGTCCGCGCCGCTGCCAGCCCTGCATAGCCGCTTCCTCAAAGCCTTACGACAGGTACCACATCCTCGAATGGTTTAAGGGGTTGAGAGATAGGATCTTCGGGACTAGTGTCTATGTCGCTCCCCTGATCGTCGCCTTGTACGAGTCCTCAGGTGACACCAATATCGCGAATATCACTTGAGGCACAAAAAAGTGACAAGGCAACCTAGAAGGAAAAATCTCGATCTCATAGCCACGTGGTGGTAATATCTGAGACCCCAAAGAACATGCAACATCAAGACCTAGTCCGCTTGCTCTTCTGCAACGATCTCATGAGTAATTATGTCGATTTCTTGGTCAAGCCCTGCATAGTCTACGTCAATTAGGCAGAAAGGAGTGCACCCATTCCGACCCGTCGTTAGTGGTTAAAGCTCAGGTGAGCCGAGGCAAACCTCTTTGCTGTCCCTATGTACATGTAACGTTGCTAAATAATCAACTAGCTAAGACATGAATTACCTGACAATTTTCTTTGGGAGCTTTGCGCTCCTCTCTCCTCTAACCACACTGCCTCATACTGTTCACCGCGGGTGGCTGCCACTGACATTGCTTGATTTCTGCACTGAGGATGGTCGAGGAATCGCCAGAAGTTCAACCATTAATCCCTCAAAGGACGAAGTTGAAATAGTTCCACGATTAGATGGATTCTACTAAGCCTGAGCATCCGCTGTGTATGCACAAATGCCCAGATCCTTCTTACTCAGCTTTCAAAGCATATGCATGAGCGAAAGATATTCGTCCACGTGACGTGTAGTGCCCCTTAACTAGACCCAATTTCGGAGCCTCGTCATCGGCCTCAATGCAAGCATCAGGTGATACAACCTTGGTGGTTGTGCCACGTCAGAACAAACAATGCAGCGGACCTGCTTCGCCTGAATCCATGAAGGAATATCAGAGAATAGAGACCGATGACGTATGGCTTGGCACAGGGTGTGCCGCTTCCGCGACGCCCGGTCCAAATATACGATCATCATCCTCCCACCTCTTCTAGAACTGCGTTTCAGGAAGTTGGCGGCTTCTGCCTGTTGTTCCAATGCCATCATCAGCTAATCTGCAAGCTTCCTCGTGATTAATGTGCACAAACCTCACCTTACGCTGCACTGGCCACTCTTCTACACCGCCAATCAAAACCGCACGAGGCTCAGATCATCGCCAGGTCAGTGTTTGCTCAGCTGTCTATACTTTGCTTTTTGTTGGCGCATGCCCAATTGTTCTACCATTGTGCAAACCCCATTCCTACTCAGCCTTCTTTCCTTGAACTATAAATATTCAAAGCACTGACTCTTCGGAATGTTCATCTTTCTCAAAAGACTTATCCAGTATGGGTGATGCAACAACAAAACATAGTACCGAGGTCCATCGGGACTTCGTGTCTCAAACTCCAGAATATCACCGCAAAAGATCACTTAGCATCCAACCTGATCGAGCAGACATCGGAACAAGTCTGAGTGTAGGTCTCGAAGCATCTGATGCACTCTCTCATGAATTTGTTAATGTACCTCTGCCGCCGTAGCAGTAGGTCTATGGCTATCGCTCCCTGACATAACGAGATAACAAGATATGACTGACTTTGCAACCCTTCCATAGGAACTGTGGGCTGGTATAGCAATCCAAGAAGAGTCCGACAGATCAATCAAAATCGGCATAGCTGTCCACGATGGAACTTACAGTGTCGACTTTGCAATTCATCGTATCAGCCTCGATGAAGAACCTGATGACGAGGGAAATTGGATCGTGAATCACCTGATTCCTCTACTGTCAGATTATAGACAGGAACATGTTTGCAAAATCCTAGGTGTCGGTGTCGCTGCAGATCTCCATGAGAAAAGCCCAAATCTTTGCTCACGCCTATGGGCTGAGCTCGATATCGTCCCGATGGTCGTCACCTCAAATGCGATTTTACCATCAAGAACAGAAAAGAATCGGGTATTGGAGGTAGACGAATTGGCCGATTCTGCCGCTCGAAAATGTCTTGCGTAAGTTTGCACGTATGTCACCCTGTTTACAGTCGGGAAGTTAACGAGCTCGATTTAGAATCTTTGCACCTACAAAGCAGCCTCGCTTGGCAATCAGCTATCGCAACGAAGTGCAACCGGACTACGGGGGTATAATTCAGCTAACCACGGTGGACGACTACAGGCGATCTGTTCGAGAACCAACGTGGAGAGCTGTGCAGAAGTTCATCAAGCAGGCAGTTGATCGCAAATTAAGGATTTCATTCTTCAGTGCAACTCCACAGGGCGGTGGGGTGGCATTGATGCGGCATGCGTTATTGAGATTTTTGCAAAAACAAGGTGTAAATGTTGAATGGTTTGTACCGCGAATAGTTTTGCAGCAAGGCTACTTTTACTCACAACTTTATACCAGGTTCGTTCCAAAACCTAGACCAGATGTCTTCCGTGTCACAAAGACAAACCACAACATCCTGCAGGGTGTGGTTCCTCCAACAGTTCGAGCCACCGACGCGCAACTCGGCAGTATCAAGCAGTGGATTGTCGAAAATGCCGAACGGTATTGGCTTGGAGAGAATGGTCCTTTGAGAGCCCCGGAAGACGGAGGTGCCGATGTCATCATTATTGACGACCCTCAAATGCCTGAATTGATACCATTTGCCAAGAAGGAGGCACCAGATCGCCCCATAATCTTCAGAAGCCATATAGAGGTGCGGGATGACTTAGTCCACGAAGAAGCAAGCGCAGCTCAGCATGTCTGGCGCAACATGTGGTCGACCATCCAGCAAGCAGATGTTTTCATCAGCCACCCTGTCAAGACTTTTGTGCCAAGCGACGTACGCAAGGAGACAGTCGGCTGGCTGCCAGCTACAACTGATTGGTAGGTGATTTTGTCAAATTCGACTACCTCAAAGGTCCAGTGTTGTATCTAACCGCTCTTTAAGGCTTGACGGACTGAACAAAGACATGGACGACTGGGACTTGAAGTATTATGTCCACGTATTGAGACAAGCCTGTCAAGCCCAAGGTCTCCCACAACTGGCCTATCCAAATCGTGGCTTCTTCACGCAGATTGCACGGTTTGATCCTTCCAAGGGTATTCCCGACCTCATCAAGAGCTATGCACGCTTTAGGGAACTCATGAAGGATGAGCCCTTGAGAAACGTCCAGCAACTCGTCATTTGTGGCCACAGTTCAATCGATGACCCAGACGGAAGTCTCGTGTACGACCAAACCATGAACGAGATCGACGAATTCCACTCTGACATCAAGGATGATATTGTGGTCGTCCGCTTGGGACCAAGCGACCAGATCCTGAATGCAATCCTCTCGCTTTCTACAGTGGCGCTCCAACTATCCACGCGGGAAGGCTTTGAGGTCAAAGTATCAGAAGCCCTGCATAAGGTAAGCCAACACCAACGCGCGAAAATCATGACTGGTCAGCAATGTATTGACGCTCATTCTCCAGGGAAAACCCGTCATCGCCACGCTTGCAGGCGGGATCCCTCTTCAAGTGGAACAGGGCAAAAGCGGCTTCTTGGTGAAAAGGGGCGACCATGAGGCAGTCGCTCAGCATCTCTATGATCTGGTTAACGACTACGACCTATACGAGAGAATGAGCGAATACGCCAAAGCGCATGTCAGTGACGAAGTGCACACGGTCGGCAACGCACTCAGTTGGCTATATCTCGCTTGTTCGCTCGCTGGAGGCAAGGTCTTAAAGCCCAACGAAAGGTGGATCAATGATCTGGCTCGTGAGGCCGCAGATGAGCCGTACAACGATGGCGAACCACGTCTGCCTAGACATCTGTCCACTTGAAGCTTGTGCAGTACGAGATGAATGCGAGGAAGGGGGCTGATCCAGGAAGGCGCAAGTTTTTAGCAAAGAATTCGATGCATGATGATAGCCTGGTAGTTGGATGGTGATTCATTTCGCGAGACAGCCCGTAATTAGTGTTAGTGGGAAGATGTCAGATACCGGAAACCGGACATTCCAGGGGTGGCAGTGGACAATAAGAGAGGATGGTAAAATGGGAGCCTGGAGTACGAGGTACATTGCAGATTGATTCTGGCGGTAGCATGATGGAACGTGCAGAGAACAATACGACATGATCGCTCTTTGCGACGCCATTCGCTAACCTCAGAAAGCCCAAAGCTTGTTTGATCGCCAATTGTGTTGCACCAAAAGTTCTGTAAGATGCAAAATGCTGTCCTCCGGGCTTTCATAAAGCCCGAGTATTCGGTTGGCCCCTGCAAACGAAGGCTTCCTTAACCAGTTCGGGAGATACGGAGAGTTGGGTCCCGAACACGACCGATACCTTGTAGAGCCCCGACTAAAGGGCATTGCTGTCGCACGGTAAACATGCTGAGGCGTGGTTTTACAGCCGGAGCATTGTACGCCCCTGATAATATATAGGAATTGAGCTGCCGTCGGCGCGGCGCATTTCACCTTCTTTGTCGTCAATAGATTGGCCAAGTCCACGAGCGATCAGGGTTCTTCACAACGAATATATAGGAGCATCAGCATAAAACGCCTCGAAGGATCAACTTTACTTTCCAGCCTCACAAGTGTCTGCGTAGATTGGAAAGCAGTGTTGAGGAGACACGACACAATGAGCATGGTCTACGACGTTATCATCGCCGGCGCTGGGCCCATTGGACTCTTCCTGGCATGCGAGCTGGGACTGGCTCATGTCACTGTGCTGGTCCTAGAGCGCGACGTGAAGGCCGAGTCGCCCTGGAAGTCTAATCCTCTGGGGCGTCGAGGCCTCAACACCATTGCGGTAGAGGGCATTTATCGGCGTGGTATGCTGAGCAAGCTGTTCGATCCCGCAAAGCGACAGTTTCCTAGGGAGAAGAAAGCTGGATTCCAGTTCGGTGGCCACTTCGCAGGCATAGCGGTCAACGCCAATGCCCTCGAATTAGACCGCTGGAAATACCTCATACCCGGACCGGGGTTATCTCCAGGCCCCGTGACGATTGAACAACTTGAGACCATGCTCAGTGAGCGTGCTGAAAGCCTTGGTGTCACCATCCTCAGAGGGACCAGTGTGACAAAAGTATCTGAGCAAAGCGAGGATAGCGTAACGGTCGAGGCTGGAGACGACCAAACTTTCCATGGCAGGTGGCTTGTGGGATGCGATGGCGGACGAAGTGTAGTTCGAAAGACCGCAGGGTTTGATTTTGCCGGAACTGAAGCCAAGTTCACTGGATATGCGGCACAATGCGATATCGAGAATGTCGAAAAGTTGGCCCAAGGGTTCCACACCACGAAAAGCGGAATGTATGTTCGAGCTTGGGCGGATGCTCTACATCTGATGGACTTTGACGGTGCCAGCTTTGATCGCACGAAGGAGATAACGAAGGAACATCTCCAAGACGTTGTGAGACGCGTGACAGGTGTTCCGGACGTTAAGATCACAAAGATCCACCTTGCTTCCTCGTTCACTGATCGATCTAAGCAAGCGACAACTTACCGCAAAGGCCGAGTCCTCCTGGCCGGTGATGCCGCGCACATCCACTCGCCTATTGGTGCGCAAGGCTTGAATCTTGGACTCGGCGACGCAATGAATCTTGGCTGGAAACTGGCTGCAACCGTTAGACAGGAGTCCGGGGCGGTTGGTTCTCAGCCAGATCTAACTCTGCTTGACACGTATGAGAAAGAGCGCCATCCCATTGGAGAAAGGATCCTAGACTGGACACGAGCGCAAGTCTCAACACTGGAGCCCACTCCATTTGGCGCGGCCATTCAAGCGCTTGTGCGAGACCTCATCAATACTGCCGATGGAACAAACATGTTGATCGAGCGCCTTTGGGGGTTTTCGCTGCGGTACGATCTCGGAAATGGAGATGAGGTCTTCCACCCGCTCGTTGGATGCAGCGTGCCAGATTTTGAGCTACAGGATGGCTCTCGATTGGGCTCTAAGCTTGAACAAGGAAAAGGATTACTCGTCGATTTTGAAGACGATTCTGACCTCAAAGACATGGTCGTTGGTGAACCATATGCCACTAGAGTGGACTATGTCGGGGTTGATGCAAAGGACTGTCGCGATCTTAGGGCGTTATTGATTAGACCTGACGGTGTCGTCGCATGGGTTACTGAGAAGAACCAAGCTCCTGATGTGGACGCGGCAAAGGCTGGCCTAAAGCGGTGGTTTGGATCGTAGGTCTTGGGCACCCTTGGTATAGAAATCTGTACAATAATATAGAAACTCAGCTTTATGTAGACCATGAATCGACACTCGTCCATCAAGCACTAGACCTGCTCGTCACCTTGTCTCAAGGAGAGGTCGCATATCTGCGTATCAATATTGGGGTGAAGCAGCCGAATGCACCTAATTGTACGTGATGTCCGAAGTACGAAGTCTCAGATTATGTCAAGCCGTTATGGCATTGCGATTCGACTTAGGAGCTCACATGAAAGTTAGAAAAGCAGGTACAGTATGTGTGGTGAATTGAAGTTGAAAATGGAGGAAGGATAGTTTATGTTAGATTGTTTGTGTTGCGATCATGCACACGCGGCCCGCGGCTAGGCGCGCTTTTATTTTCCCACTAATTAAACCGGGCGAGCTCCACGACACTGTGAACACCAAGTATATCTAGGTAGTTTTGGACTCAACTTCCGTGTGATGAGAAGAGCACAATCTGAGAGCCCCTATGATAGTGAGTTAGATTGAGATAAACAAAACCGGTATCGCTGGTTTGTTTCATCCAGCTGACCCGCCACGGAGCTAAGGCCCATAGTAATTCGACAAATTACTTCACAATCTCGAAGTAGACTATACGTTCGATGCTTTAAGATAAGATTCAAGATATATACAGGGACTATGTCTCCGGAAGAACGATACCGTCATCTCATACTATCTTATCTTTAATATTCTGCGGAGTGGGAACGGATATTTCAAAAGACTCCCTAGCCTCAAGTTGATCACTATACCGCTTGAGATTAGGATATTCTTCCTGCCACGGATGATCTTGGAAACGGACACGAAGATACCCAAGAGCAGCGCCGGCTGCTACGTCAGCCAACGTGAATTTATCCTCGATGAGGAATTCACGGTCACCGACCCAATAAGCGAGCTGGTTGAGTCCTCCGTCAACCTTCCGCCGCTGGCGAGATGTCCACTCCCCACTGGGTGATGAGCGCTGCTTCTCAAAGAACATCAACACACAGGCGTCGCAGATACCATCTGCAATAACTTGAACGACGTTAGCCCCTCGTATCAGATCAAGGAAGCAGCCCTTCAAGATCCTCACCTTGAACCTTCTTGGCAAACAGCTCATTTTCCTTGGTCTTGGGCATCAAAGCCAAGTGACTAGGCGGTGGAAATTTATATTCAATCCAGTCGAGGATGAGATGTGACCCATAGACTGCATTATCGGGGTCGGCCGTGTCAATGAGCACAGGGAGCTTCTCCAGTGGGTTGTGCTGTGGTATCTGAGTCGTGTTGTCCCAGGGCACCTCGGTCACTAGCTCGAAAGGGATCTCTTTCTCGTGTAATGCGATGCGTACCTTGCGAGCATAGGGTGAGCTAGGAGAACATTAGCATCCCAAGCAGCACTTGAAGCCGGCGGCAAGATGGCCCCAAGCATTGACACCAACTAGTAATTCTGCGGTCGAGTTGACGACTTACGGGGTGGCCGATATCAATTTGAGAACCATGATCTCTCACGTATGGTGATTTTCTGTGGGTTCAATCTCATTCAGCGGTTGAATACAGAATTTAAGCTTAGTCATCACCACATATATCAGCATTCTCTGCAAACGTTATGCACTGGTGAGGCCCCATCGAGGCTCCTCGAGGTTCAAGTCGTACTCGAATGATGCCACTCGAATCTGCAGGATTTACGATCCTCGAGTCCCCATCTCTTACTCCGCTCGTCCATTAGACTTTGAGGGAGTTTATAGTGAAACTTGAAGGACGAATAATGGCTCGTGAGTCGTGATGGGACGGCAGGGGCGTTTTGGGTGCGGCGCATGTGGCGGAGTAAGAGCGCGCAATCCTCAAATGTCGCACCGTAGCCTCGGCGCCTCGGCAATCGTGTACTCCGCCGTAGTAGGATCACCCAAGCTTTGGTGAAGGCTTGAGGTTCATTTATCTTCGGACATAGAAGAGCTCTTTCGAGGTGCAGAGTGCAGTACAGCGGCCTTGTGCTCGGTACGGAGTACAAGTATTCCCATCTGAACTTAGGTGGGAGCTTTGGTACCTGGCATTTGCTACCCACTGTTGAAGCTCTGACGGGGAGGGGCTCGGCCAACAGGTCCGGCTTGAGCACCGCGGCTGGAACTGGACCTCCACTCTCGTCCTGCGCCATCCCTGGCTGGCTATCTAAAAACACCGAGGTACAAGTCGGCCCAAGGTCTCACCACAGCGTCTCGCAGAGTTTACCCCATATGCGACTGGTTCAAATTCGACGCTGATGTTCGAATCTGCCAGATATGAGCTCGAACCTAGCTCATAGTCCTCGCATACCTTTCACAATTGTTGGTCGATTATTGCGGTCTTGTCTCTGAGGTAAATCCATTCTTCAAGTCGCGGTTGGCGTCTCTCCTCATTTCTTGTCCCACATCCCAAAACCGAATACAATGTCTTCCTCCGCACAGATTCCCTTCTCAGAGCCTCCATGGCTGGCAGGCATGCCCTCGCCATATCACAAAGAAACACACAAGAAATGGCAGAAAGCATGTCGTGCATTCCTGGACGAACACTTAATCCCACACGCGATGGACTGGGAGCGGGAGGAGACTGCCCCAGATCATCTCTTCCAGACGTTCAAGAAACACAACATGTTGATTCCTAACCTCCCTTCGCCGCTGCCCATTGAGTGGCTGAAAAAGGTGGGCATTAACGACATTTTGGGCACCCCCATTGAGGAGTGGGACTATTTCCACACCGGGATTTATCTAGATGAGATGATGAGGTCTGGCCTCACTGGTCCTGGTGGCTCGATGACGGCAGGACATGCATTCGGTGCGTGGGCATGATTCTTAATTGACTACCATCCATTCCTAATCGCTTATCGATGCTTGTTAGGCATTCCTCCCATCATCAAGTTCGGCAGTACTGCCCTCCACGAGAGATTCCTTCCAGACCTCCTGACAGCCAACAAACGATGTTGTATTGCCATTACGGAACCGAGCGCGGGTAGTGATGTTGCTAATATCGCGACGACCGCCAAGAAGACTGCAGACGGCAAGCACTATATTATCAATGGTGGGTTTGGTCCTTAATAAGAGCAGACGACTCCCTGCCCCTTGCATGGTCATATTTTGCGTATGGTATCCCAGACTAAACTCTAGTGTAGGGCAAAAGAAATGGATCACAAACGGCTTCTGGTCCGACTACGCAGCCATGGCAGTGCGAACAGGCGGACCCGGCGGATCTGGGCTGAGCATGATCGTCTGCCCTCTAAAGGGTTACCCAGGTGTTGAGATGCGACGGCTCAAAGTCTCTGGTCAAATCAGTGCAGGGACAACATTCATCGACCTGGATGACGTGAAAGTCCCCGTGGAGAATCTGATCGGACAGGAAGGATTGGGCATGAAATACATCATGAAGAACTTCAATCACGAACGGCTCACCATCTGCTGCGGCGTGGCACGTCAATCCCGGGTGGCCGTTGCCGCGGCCTTTGAGTATGTGATGAAGCGGGAGGCCTTCGGCAAGGCTCTAATCGAACAGCCCGTGGTCCGCCATCGGCTAGCCAAGGCTGGCGCCGAGCTGGAAACCCTACAGGCTTGGGTTGACCAGATCCTGTACTCGATGACGAAGCTGACCAAGGAAGAAGCCGACATCAAACTCGGCGGCTTGACTGCCCTTGCCAAGGCCAAGTCCGGCATGGTCTTCAACGAATGTGCCCAGACCGCCGTCCTGCTCTTTGGCGGCAACGGCTACACCCGCACCGGCCAAGGGGAGATTGCAGAGCGCCTGTACCGAGAGGTACCCGGTGTGCGCATCCCCGGTGGAAGCGAGGATGTCATGCTTGACCTGGCCGTCAGACAGCTGGTGAAGAATTACCGCAATGCTACCAAAGCTCTTGTTGCTCCAAGCGGGAGCAGCAAGCTGTGAGACGCGGGGCGGAAAGAGAATGTGTACGGGAGGGAGAGATCCTTGTGTGTTACTAGGATGTGCAGTGATAGAACAATAACATGTCTGTGTCTGTGTGCGCTCGTACATAAACAGAAACGAAAGCCTCAAATGAGTTGAATGTGCACATCGGCCTCGTCCTCGGAGCTCAGTGGAGCACAGAGCTCACATCAAATCCGGAACAATATTATTCCGAGACCACAGCCACTCGTGAGAACCACCCCGCAACCTATTCCGAACCACTTTCTTTCGTCTTCGAAGGCTCGCCAGCGGAAACTGGACGCACTCTCCCGACGACGGACCTACGGCCGCATTCGAAGACAGTAAGTTCCCATGTCTGGATTCTACCTCAATCTGGCGGTGTGTGGCCTCGCAACTCACCCCGCAAGACACTAGAAAAGCGCAGTGAAGGATAAAACCCAAAAGCCGCCAGTCAGTGCCCTCCCATGCCTCGTCTGCCAGGTGAGGTACCTCGAATCTTTTCTTTTGTCTTTGCTGCTGGAGACGATGAGCTTGGATGGGCGGAAATATGCGACGGCGGGAGAAACACACAGAGAGAGAGAGAGAGAGAAAGGAGAAGCAAAGAGAAGACGAGAAAAGGCAAAGACGAGGGAAAGGGGTAAGGTATACACGGCAGATATCCCTGCTCGGGTGAGATGTGATAAGTAATAGTGTGTGTAGTGTGAGTATTAAAACGCCTAGAAGAAAAAACAACCTAATGCTATGATATTGATGGCGTCCATAGATGCTGCTCCGTCGAAATGCTACTGCAGGATCTTCCATCTTTTTCACATGATCCAAATTTTTTGAGGAGATCTGGTGTCGATGGGTTCAGGCCTCGCCCTCTCGGCTGGAATTGTTCATTAAAACCGTGTTTTTTTTTTTTTTTTTTTTGCCGGATCGTGGTCGTGAAGTACCTCGTTACTTCCCTAGCTTGCCAGAGTCCATTTAAGAGCTTGGGGGTGGAGGAGGGAGAGTGACGGAGCCACCGATGTCCAAAACCCAGGCGGCGGAGTTGAACTCGGTGTAGAGGCGGCCGAGCTGGTAGCCGCCGGGTCCAACGATGGTTGGGTCAGGGCCGGACTGGGTGGCATAGAGGACGGAGATGCCGTTGGCAGGGGCGATGTCGAGGCCGACGGCGGCGGTCCAGCGGAAGACGATGACACCATCGGAAGTGATGGCGTCAATGGCTAGGATGTCCAAGCCGATGGGTGGTTGAGCGCCTTGTCCAGCAATGTATGCTTGTGGACTGGGGAAGGTCGGGCTGCCGGCTGGAGCGCCGATCAGGAAGTTGATGGAGTCGGAAAAGTCGACAAATGATGGGGCGAGGAGGTTGGTGGCGACGTTGACGTCGAACGCCGTCAGGGTTGACACGAAGTCGTTGACGATCTTGACGGCTGTGTCGTATGGGATACCCTTCTCGGTGCGTCGTCCGGCAGCGGCCAAGCCAAGGAGGCTGAGGGGAGCGAAGATGGTGGAGAAACGCATGTTGGCTTGGTTGGGTTGATCAAGAAATGAAAGTGAGGGGTCTGATTAGGTGGCTATAGCAGTGTAAAGACTGGCTGTGCTTGAGAGAGTATTAAGATTCCGGGGCTTGCAGGCAACGAGAGGCTGGTACAAAAGCGATTGTGTAGATTGATGGAGAGAAGAAATCTGGAGCTGAAGTTGGGTTGGACAGTGCGCTTTAATAGATGCGCGGACACCTTTCGATCACGTTTGCAGGGTATTGCATGGGGAGGAAGTATTTGTGATCAATGAGGGTAGCTTCAGGATAGCTTCATGCTGCGCCTTAACCGACCAGTCTCACCTGTAATGGAGCTGTGCAGGGTGCGGGTGCTGGTGCTGGTGTTGAGGCTAAAGCGAGGCACCCGATATAGGGCCCATACGAAGGCTGGTCGAAGTGGCCAGGACTAGAGACGAATTGAGGTTGACCCGAAAATGATGCAGGAACAAGCCCGCGGGGATCCGTCTGATGTCAGATATCGATTGGTAGCTAAAGGACGAGACGAGGAGACACCTGAGGAAGAGAGCGGCGATTGACGTTGACTGGAAGGATAGACAGCTAGCGAGGCCGTAGGCCGTAGCTTGGTAACGTTGTAACTTGTTGCTCGATAGCGTCAGGCGGAGACAGCAAGGCAAAAGAGAAGGTGTGGTAGTTCCATGTCATCCATGTGTTGACGGGCATGGACGGTTGCTATACTGGTACACGAGAGGGTCGATCATTGGACGAGATGGATGAGATGGACGCAGCTAGATCGTGTTCAGTATAGGCGGCGGCCTGAGCTGTGTTGAATGGAGGTGCGGCCTACAGACTCCAGAGGCTCAGCAAAGTCAGCACCCACCACCCATCACGATCACCGCCTCGCACCGTTTTGGGTCTGGGCTGGCTTTTTTTGGAGACGCTCGGTCATCAGAGGGATTGACTATGCACGGGCGTCAGCAAGTTAGTGAACGATCACTGATGAAGTTTGGATCGCTTTGGTCCGATGCAGAGGATAGAGGCCGCTAGATGGATCCTCCCTGTTTTAGCTTTCGCACGTCGTTCGAGAAGAGTAATACTCGTTACCTCAGGTTATAAATTGGAACACGTACGAGAAGGGTTCGAAATGACGTTGAGTTTTTACCCGAGGCGAGGCGTGTGTTGGCCTCACTCTGCGTGAGGCTCACAATGTTGGTTAGTTTGTACTTGGTACCGACCAGTACGCGTAGGTACAAGTAAGTACACCGTACTCAGTTCCCGTAGTCTCCACGTAAAGGCAACACCGAAGGATCTCGAATTCTGCCGCTTACCCTCGGTACCTCGTTAGACCCCTCGCCAAATAGAACAAGACGCCTTGCGACCGCTTAGCTGTTGCGGCCTTAGGCACCCGTTTTAAGGCCCATTAGTTATCCGTTGCTTACTGTCTTAGGCGGCATTAGGGGAGGGCTTCCCACGCTCCCAGCAGTAGTCAACTGGGGAGTTTGGCCCCGGTGGTAAGACACAGTCGTGAATCGTGATTGACGACGTCCTCAAGCCTTTGCTAAGGCTGGACGCGACCTCATTCGCCGTGCTGCTCCAGACATTCGTAAGCGCCCGTGTTCACAGTGACAAAACACATTCTTGCAAAGTGCGGCCGTGGCGTCCTTAGTGGCGGAGAGGCTGACCGGAGGCGATTGACCAGAAACACGAATCAACGTGACCATCACTGGGCAGTGATCACCGACCCAAAGGTCATGGATTTACTGCTTAGTATATCGTACTGTGGCACCGAGTATTTGTCTCTGGACATACCAGGTATTAGCGAGATCCAATCTACTTGTCCTACAGTAGGTATCTCTCCTCGAAAAGTGACGCTTTCCCTAATGGGATTCTCCTCAGCCTCAGGTCCTTTGGCAGTATTGTTGACTGTCAGTGGTAATGTGCCTTCGGGGCTACCTGGGCTGGAACCGCAAGCACGAGATACAAGCACGAGATACGAGGTCCTCTGTACAGTACCGCTTCTCCATTTCTACTGTACCTGCGGTGAGGGACCAGCGGCCGTGCGGGGCAACTTCTTGGTATTCTGATTGACATAAATGCCCAAGACGTGCCCAAGACGTGCCCATGTCGAACTCCCGGGATGGAGAAACTTATGTACAGCTCTCGCTACCTTATACCTCAGAGAGACTTGATGGTTTTAAATAGGGCGCGTCAACCCCCGTGCCCGTCTGATAGCAGAGACCATGTCTTCCATGTCGTTTTACGTATCTTGTCACGTTGCGAAGGAGGGGATGTACATACCTGGGCGGTACCTCCTAGTTAATCCTCGTAGTTGGCCTGTCCACGGTCCTATCTCGGTCAGGCTGTCGCTTTGTCCTCCGAGCGACCTGCCGCCTCGTCTCCATCTGCACGTCTAACGGCCTAAAGTCACACACGAGTCACTACTCACGCACTACTCCAAACCAACTATGCTGAAGGAATCTTTCCCCGAGTTGTCCGTCCACTCAAGTCGCCTTTCCCAAGCCATCTATCAGCCCTAGTCTCAGCTGACCGCCAGCTCGAAGCCGCTCGCTCACCTTGTCTGGTCAGAATCTCGGAACGTTACAACGTTCGAACATGATGTTTCTAGCTGACAGTCTTGCGATGAACGCGCCGGAGAAAGCTCCATCCAGAGATTGAAATTGATTGAAATTGATCATTCCTAAAATTTGTCATTGCTCGCACCCGTTCACTCGTTATGCCCATCCATAGCCAAAGGCAGGAACTTCCGTAGCAGGGGGGGGCTTCTAACTCTCCCGATCATGATCTCGATGAAGATTGGTCTTGGCCGCCGCCGCTTTCTTCGCCGGGAGTGACTAACCGAACGCTCTTCCGTGAACCGCTGAAACCTGACATTTGCGCCCGACTTGCACCAGACAGTCTTTTCCCGGCAAGACTCCGCTCATCGCCGCTCTGTGTAGCCCGATCCCCCGTAATGCTTTTCCGGAGGGCTGCTCTGGCTTTGTCTACTGCCGGACTTCCACCTGCACGCAGAGAGTCTCGTTTCGTCGATCCACCACCACCATGGTTTCCATTCAAGCCACGAATCAGTCGGACTTCCTCTTCTTGTTTGATTTGTTGCTCTATCCGTGCTTCTCGTGTTTTCCCAGGACCACAATCGCAGCCACAGCCCTGTGTGGGACACGTTCCGTTGCTCGATGGTTCAGCGAACCATTCCTTCATACACCTCACATGCCCAGAATGTCCGCATGCCTGACAGAATGTCCACATTCTGCCATGGCTTCCCCATGGCCACACTGATCCTGCAGCGTCCCTGGTCTCCGAAGCATTTGGCACCTCTTGATCAACAGTGTGCATCGATAGACATATCGGGCATACGGATCGAACCCGTTGACACCGTTCACATGTGTTCCTGCCTGACGGCATTTGTCCGTGGCAAGTGGTGCACACAATCGAGAGGCTCGCAGCATCGCCATCAGTGAGGCTGCTGCCAGCTTGCTTGTCGCCTCCTGCAGAAATGTATAACCTTGGGTACTCAAACTCTACGCACATTTTCCGCAACACCGCAGCCGATGCCACCAGTTGCATTTGTCGCAAGAACGATAGGTGAGCATCAAAGATGCTTTCAATGATTCGGTGCCCGAGGTGTGGTGTCATCAATCGATCCGCCAGGTTGTTGGTTCCACCCGGTTCAACTCCTTTAAGCTTTCGAAACCTCGCATCGAAAAAGTAGGGATGCACATGCATCAGAAGGTGTGATGCAAATTGTGAGTGTCCAATTCCGTTCTCCACATCAAACGCAATACTCTGGCAGATCAGTGGTAAACTCGACCAGGCGAATGGCGATTTTGGCTCATAGTTGAACAAATCAATGGGCCGGAAGTCGGATATCAGGTACGTTTCACAGTCCAGTTCGTCCATTGACATGGAATTTGACAAACCTGGCTGGTGGCCCGAACTTTTCTCATCCCCAATCTCATGAGCTTCACTCACCCGCAACGGATTGGATGTGTAGATTCGAGGCTTGTCCAGCGATGTTCCCTCAAAGTGGAAGATATCAGGCGTGGATGACATGGCAGTGTGGAATTCTGACGTGGGCATCGAGTGTGCTTCCTGTCCAGCGTCCCAAGCACCTGGATCATTTTGGGCCGAGACCTGGATGCGGGCACCAGTGGGTGCATCACTACCAAAGCTCATGTCGGGTGGAGTTTCAACTGCTACGCTACCAGAGATCTGGGAAGGTTTGATGAATGACCGCGCATGCCCCTTGATATTTTCAACATGGGGTTCTCCAAACGAAAGATCTCTCTCCTCCTCTGTCTCATCATCCTGTTCCGAGTGATTCGGAGTTTCGGCGCGCTGGTGGTGAGATTTGGCGTTTCCGCCAGCGGAATCAAAGGACTGTCCGAGTGATCTTGCTCGCTGCGAACTGTCTCCAGAGGCAGAGAACATTTGAAAGCTATCATCCGAGTCGTGTCGAGGATGAAGAGCAGGGGTGTTGCTGGACCCTTCTAAGGTGAATATTGGTCTCGCTTGCACCCGATAGTCGCGCAGTGCTGCTCGTCGATCGTCTTGTGTCGTCCCCGTGGCGGAAATTCCTCTCGCCGGACTCGAAGTACCCGCATCTCGCACGCCAGCTGATGGTTTGGGTGATGGGTTGGGCGAATTGTGGTCTTTGGACGTAGTTGTTGCGGATTGTCTGTTGACATCTGGCGAGGAGGGGGCAGACCCTGTTCCTCGACCAGGGCTGTCAACAAGGGCTCGGGCCGCGGCAGCTGCCGTCGAGTGAGAGCTCAGCACAGAGGGGGGTAAGGTTAACACTTCATCGATTTCCTCTTCCTCCAAAGCCCACTTGCTCCATCCTCTCCGAGACGAATATGGCGAGTTTCGAAATGGTTTAACCAGTGGCGTGGTTGCATTAGATGTGCTGTCCGAATGAAAGGGCCTGTCGGATTCCACGGTAGATTTTAAAAGGCTGCTCATCAACCTGTGAGATTTGGCGTCCCCTTTAGCCTTGGAGCCGCGACCAGTAAGACCAGGAAGCGGTGAGAGAATTGAACGGTGAGATCCGGCGCGGAACTGCTCCAGCATTTCGCGCCGCTTCCCGGCTTCTGCTCGCCGTTGCGAACGATTTGCATCTGCCCAATCTCTCAACTCAGGAACGAAGACAGCACCCAGTATCCTCCACGATTGCGCCATGCGATGGAGAGACACTGCATCGCAGGCAACGGCATTTTGGTAAAACGCCGCTTCGAGGCGCTCGAGTATTGTACTGGGAGACTGCACCCTTTCCTCGGCTGTTGCTGGGGAGGCATAATTCGACGCAAGGTACTGCACTATCCCGAGTTCTGTAGCTATCCCGGGGACACAATTAGCGGTCCCGAATTGGTCATTGTTAAACAGGTCTGGTCGCTGGAACACCGCTCTATCTAGGGACAGAATAGGAGGCTTCTCTTCCAGAGAGAGGGGGCTATTGGCTTGTGATTTGGTGGACTTGGATGATCGTAAACCCCTTTCAATGCGGCCATGAGTTGACGACAAATGAGAGTCCAGGGGATTCTCATCATCGGTGAAACTTCGACTCGCCGTAGGATCATCACCACTACTCAATTTGTCCCGCGGGATACTGAGAAAGCCAAGAGCGGGGTCCTCGGCCGCTGAAGTACGAGGGAGCTCTCTGCGCTCGGAAAACATATAGTACTCGCCATCCGGAGTGAAGGTGGAAGTGCAGGGGGAGATTTCATTATAGAACGGGGCACCGTGCTTGAGGTCCCACTGAGTGAAGACGCCCTCATCACCAACCGTCCACAACTTGTCTTTGGTGGCCCATAGGAGGTCATTTGCGGCCGAATTGTATCTGTCTAATTCGCGAAAGGGCAGCCATGGGCGTCTCAAATCCCAAGTGTGAATTCTTGGATCATCATGGGTATAGGAGACTGCGATTTGGGTGCTTTGCCAGTGACCTGAGTCGGTGGTCTCGGATGCTCTGCAGGGAGGCCTCCATCTGATATTTCTGATTCCGCTGGGTGCCCTGAGCTGGAAAACGGGCTTCTGTCGCTTGTTGTCGTTCTGAAAGTCCCAGACTCGGATATATTTGTCAAACCCACCCGAGGTGACATGGCGCCCATCAGGGTGCCAATCGAGCGAGTAGCACGCTTTTTCATGGCCGTTAATGCTCAACTTTGGGCCTAATGGAGAACGAGCGTCCCATTTTTGAATGACGCCGCTGTCGGTACAAATGGCAAAGTCTAGTGGTTCTGATGGCGACCACCGAACATCTCTCACAGGTATCCGGGGTTCGAACCTCAAACGAGAGCGGTCGCGTTTGCCATCACGTAGATCCCACAGTCTGACCGACTTATCTTGGCTAGCGGATAGCAGGAGGTAACCAGCAAAAGGGTCAAAATCCAATTTATTGATCTGGTTGGTGTGCTCGTGGAGCCATGCCAGCTCCAGCTTTGACGCCCCTCCCACATTTAGATCGTACAGCGAAATACGGCCACTGGTGGCGGCAGTTGCTATGATATGCTTATAATTGCCTGTGGACCATTTGACATCTCTTGCGGGCAAAAAATCCCGTCTCTTGCCCGGGCCGTCCAATTGAGGAGAGGTCTGTGAAGAAGCGGAGGACGCAACGGCTGTTCGGATATTGAAGGCGTCAGTGACAGTTCCATCCTCGACCCGGATAGTCTTCAGGATCTCTTTGCCAGCGAGGACCGCGTGTGTGCCGGATGAGTTGATGTCTAGGGCAGCGATGGGAATCCCGGTGCGATGACTCGTGTTTTGGGACGATGTGAAAGTACTGGCGAGGGATCAGATTAGCCCAAACTGCAGGGAGATTTGTAAAGCATTCCTCTCGCACCTGTACGTGTGTGTGTTGGTGATTCGACCAGCGACGTGATCATGGTCGCTTTGTGCTGGGCCGCCATGGTAGTAGTCTGCGCCAGTATGGGGTCCCCAGGGAGCAATGATCTTTTGCAATTGGACTAGACGAGGAGGTGGTAACGGTGGCGCTGGGGGAGGGAGGAGAGTTTGGTGTTCAGCAAGGACGGGATCAGACATTACTCTGAGTCGCGGTCCATCAGGTGTGAGCGTCTCCGCTCACAGGCGAGCGATGGACAAGAGATTGGCCAAGGCTGGGAAGGTCGAGGTCATGGACAAGGATGGTCTAGGACAGTCAAGGATGGTGGCATGGCTGACGGCTTAGGCCATGCTTGAAACGGGAGAGGAGGCAAAGGACGGCTTTGTGTTGACGGCATCTGCAAAGTGGCCGTTGACAGGTGATTAGAGACCAATGTCGATGCAATGTGATGCGGCCGGCAGGAGGACGGAGATGGTCAAGTGGACGGTTGGAAACTCGTGAGGTGTACTCGTATGTAGGTTGTAACTGGTAAGGCTACCGATGCGGAAGGGCATCGTCATTGGCCGCGGAAGTTCGAGCGCAGATCGGGGATGCGAGGTCGCAGGCTGCATGCCGCGTTCAGTTAGTAGGTGGCCGTCTGTGCCGGATGCGAGGGAAAACTCGGCTCCCAGGCACTAGGGAGGCCTAGAGAGGTCTAGATGAAGGCCAGTGCAAGCCAGAAGGCTTCTTGTTCCAGGCTAGAGCCACGGGGCAGTTGGTAGCTGCATGCCCAAACCCTCTGTACCTGGGGGGCCAGGTCTGAGATGGACAAGCCGTAGCCGGCCAACTGCCATTGCATGATGCATGCAGTGCTCCGTACCTCGTACATGGAGGGCGCATTAGGGACTGGGTAACTGGTCAACTGGGGATGGTGCATGACATTTACATGGACATTTCCAGATCCGAGCAAATCATGCGCATTTGGGCACAAGGGCTGTTAAATCATTCCTCTTGTTGAAGTCCAGCGGTGAGGGAAATTATCTTGGGTAGGCTTAGGGAGGAGGGACGAGAGTGACTTCGGCTACCTCTGAGGCATACAGGGGCTAATGGAGCCTGTAGTATCCGGTTCCAGCTACCTCGGGTGCTGTGAGACCAATTACCAGGTACCAGTACTGTAGGCTAGACGTTCTCTTCCTCCATACCGAATTGGTCCTTGTTGACCTCGCGCTGGGCAGAGTCCCGAATCTCAGACCATCTACCGAGCAAGATCATGATTCATAACATGTTAGCGTGTTCTTTGACTGACTTCTAACGTCTACTCGTAACTACTTGACCCTGACTATTCGACACCGGGCCCTCAGGCACTCCTTGCTGCTTCCGACGATGATTAACTTATTTGGCTGGCACTTGCAGTGATGCCGCAGGTGCATTTGGTCGATGCAGACGCTGCAGACGATTGTGGCTCTATTCCCTCATGATCCAGTGTCCAGTATCCAGTGCCATGGTCGACCCAGTTCCAATCCGACTCGTCGACTCCTCGATTCGACTCTGACGCACAGTTGCGTTGACCGAGCACAGAAGCATTGACCGAGCACTGTATATGTACTTTGGTCCCTCCTGTTTCACATAGTTTCGCTTGCTCTTGACTTACTACTCTGACTTACTACTTCGTACGCTACATACACGGATACTTTGACAACCATACACCCACCCACCCACACCCACATCCCAACTGCCACCGCAATTCTAGTTGCCACTGTGCCGATATACCAGCATCGAACCTCTTTGTCGAGTGTCTCGTGCTATTGTTATTGTTGTTGTTATTATTATTATTCTTACCACACTGTCTTAGGTATGTACTCCGTCTTCATGCCTGCTCTGGCTTCCTCCTCCTCCTCCTGCTGCTGCTGCTGCTGTTGTTATCGATAAGCTGCTCTCTACTCCTCGGGACGGAGGACTTCGCCTCACAATGACACAAGCCACTACCGCGTCTCCATCGCTCCCCTTCCTTCCTTGAATTTGGCATCTGACAGCTTCGGCGTGTTGCTTTGTTGCCCGATCGCTGGTGCTGCTAAGACTACTAGTTGACTAAGTTAGTAGCGAGCAAGACTAGCTTCAAAGTCATACATACGAGTAGCCGTCCGGGAGCGCTGCCTGGTTCCGCCCAAGAGCACCAAACAGACGGCGTGGAAGCGAGGGCGCCATCTCCACCTACACCCACTAACACCACTACTGGGGCTTGTCGGTAGTGAATCCAGAGATTCCAGACTCAGCTCATCCCAAATCCCATCAGACTTTCGCGTCACGCGATCGAGTTTGTCGCCAAAAACCCTCGCAACTGGGCCGCTGGATTGCTGGATCGACCAGCCCGAAAGTCAAACCCCTTCGTCGACTGACTAGTCCTTGGCCCTGGTGACCCGCCAGTGGTCAGTGGTCCGTGGTCAGTGGTCAGCGGTCAGCGGCCAGCGGCCAGTGGCCCCTCGGTGTCTCCAAGCTTTGCCTCCAGTGCCTGCAGCCTCAGTGCCTCAGTGCCTGCGGTGCCTGCGTCGCCTCCATCTGCATCTCCAGTTCCAGCTCCAGCTGGCTTCCCCGATCGCCACACAGGCCGCCTTCTCAACTCGTCATTTATCACGTACACAACTTCTACCGCTGCCACGCCTGTTACTACCACCACTTCTTCCTCCTCTTCCTCCTCCTCCTCCAGCTCGTCAAATACCAGCACCACCACAATCGCTTTTTCCTTCTGTGTGCCTCCTTTTCCATTTCTTTGTAATTATCCATCTCGTCCTTCGCTCGGCCCTCCACGACCGTCTTAATCAGCATCTTCTTTACACCTTTGCACCGCTCTTGCTGATCTCACCTCTTTCCGGCCTCCGAGTTCCAGGCCAGCCATCCACGTTCCTCATCCGTTTCAATACCCCAGCAGCCAGCATTGTACCACGGCCGCACCTTCATCTCGACCAGACTACAGGGACACCGATTTTTCTCATCTTTGGGCGGCTTTCTCGATTTTTTCCCACTTTGTTTGTTTGACCTTCGACACGCTCGCTGCCCCGGCTGTGGCGACTCGTCCAAGACGATGTATGATCATCGTCCCGACATTGACGCCATCCAGACTTCTCTGCGAATTCTCAATGTAGCCAAATCGGTCTATCCGGCAATCACCCTCGCTCTGTTTGTTCTCACTTTTGTCGTCTACGGCATCAGGACCGCGCCAGACGATGGAGGAAAGGTTCAAATCCATGCCATGCTCGGCCCCGGCGGCAGACCTTTACCAACCCGCCGGAAATCCGCCAATCAAATCAAAGCCGCTGCCGCCGTCAAGGATTTCCCCCCGGGCACCAAAACATTTCTCAGGCTCTTTCAAGCTGCTGTTGTTCTCACCTTCCTGATCAATGCGGCCATTGCCATTTTCCAAATCTTGTTGAATAGGAAGGATGACTGGTGGCCGGGTCAAAGCGCTGTGGTGGGTCCCCATGAACCCTTCCTATGCGCCATCCTTTGCTGATAGCATATTTTAGATCTTCATTGTCGCTTCGAGCTTTGTATGGTCCGTCGTACTGATATCCATGATCGATCAAAAACCATCACCCACTCCCGCTCATTTCGTGACCTGGCTGGTCGCTCTTCCTCTCGAGGTCCTCATCGTCGTCACAAGCCTTGACATCTATACCGTGCCCCACCATGAGCCACGCGTTGGTGATCAACAAGGCGGGCGACTAGTCAACGCAATCACTGGCTGGGAGACTGTCGAAGTCATTGTAGATTTGATTCGCATCATTCTACTCTTGGGTCTTGCCATCATCTTCATTACCGTCAAGATCAATCTTCGACGAACAAAGGACTCCGACAGTGCCGACGATGAGACAACCCCACTGCTCAATGGAAATGCCGACACCAGACCGACATCGAACGGTCATGCTGCGGCCGGCGCTCCGCCCGCGCCAACATCAGATTCTAAGGAACACGTGGATGCCTGGGCGAAACCAACCGAAGCTCCCAACATCAACTGGTATGCCTACATTCGGGGCTTTGTACTACTGATCCCCTACCTTTGGCCTAAGAAATCCGTCAAGCTACAATTATTGGCAGGCACCTGTTTCCTCATCATGATTTCTCAAAGAGTTATCAATGTCTTCGTCCCTGTAATGGTCGGGAACATCACCGACGCCTTGTCGGGTGATGATGGCAGAGGCGTCAGAGCTCCTTGGCTCGAAATTTCTTTGTATATTCTCTTCAGATGGCTCCAGGGTTCTCAGGGCATTCTGACCGCGTTGAGGTCCATTTTGTGGATCCCGGTCGAACAGTATTCATACCGGGCAATCTCAACCGCGGCTTTTGAGCATGTCCATGGCCTCAGCGCAGAATTCCACACTGGAAAGCGTACGGGCGAATTAATTTCCGCTCTCAACAAGGGAAGCTCCATCAATTCCTTCCTTGAAATGGTCACGTTCCAGGTGGGCCCCATGATCTTCGACCTGGTCATTGCCATCGTCGTTCTGACTGTCAAGTTCGACGTGTACTTGGGCCTCGTTGTCTCCATCACCACTTTTCTTTATATATACGTTACGATCCGCCTGGCGTCATGGCGAGTCACTCTAAGACGGAATTTCGTTGCCGCTGATCGAGAAATGGAAGCGGTCAAGAACGATTCGCTGCATTCCTGGGATACCGTCAAATATTTCAACGCTGAAGAGTACGAATTTGGTCGCTACAAAAGCGCCATCAGGACGATGCAAAAGTTCGAGTACTGGGTCGATGTTACATTATCCTACATGAACACCGTCCAGGGTGCCCTCTTTATGGTTGCATTGCTAGTGGCATGCTTCATCGAGGCTTTTGAGGTTGCACAAGGCGATCAATCCGTAGGCAAGTTTGTTCTGCTAATCACATACATGGCACAACTCCAAGGTCCTCTCAATTATTTTGGCACCTTCTACCGTGCCATTCAGAACAATCTTATCAACGCTGAACGGATGTTGGAACTGTTCAAAGAACAGCCTCATGTGGTCGATCGTGAAGACGCAGAGATCATGGACGACTGTGATGGTGACATTGTCTTCGACAACGTGTCCTTCAGCTATGATAAGCGAAGACCAGCTTTGAATCGACTTAGCTTTCGATGCCCGCCAGGCTCAACGACAGCGCTGGTCGGTGAATCCGGGGGCGGGAAGAGCACCGTGATGAGACTTATTTTCCGCTACTACAATCCCGAGTCGGGTCAGATCAGGGTTGACGGCAAGGACGTCCAGAATATTACTATCGATTCCCTCCGAAAGTTTATCGGAGTAGTCCCCCAAGACTGCAACATGTTCAATGAATCGATCATGTACAATCTTCGCTACGCAAATCAAAACGCCACAGATGAAGACATCTTTAATGCGTGTAGGGCAGCTTCAATCCATGACCGCATCATGGAGTTTTCTGATGGATACGACACCAAAGTCGGTGAGAGGGGTGTGCGACTGTCCGGAGGAGAGCGCCAGCGCGTTGCGATTGCAAGGACCATTCTCAAGAACCCGAGAATCACCATGCTTGATGAAGCAACGGCTGCTTTAGATACGGAAACCGAGGAGAAGATCCAAAAGTCCTTCCAAACCCTCGCTGAAGGACGTACCATGGTTATTATCGCCCATCGCCTAAGTACCATCGTCGGAGCCGATCAAATCCTTGTGCTGAACCATGGCACTGTCGTGGAAAGCGGCACCCATGACGAATTGATTGCTCTTGGACAAAAATATGCCAGCATGTGGCGGAAGCAATCACGAGCACAGAAGGCTGCCGCAGAGGCTGCAGAATTGAGAACTCGGGCTAAAAGGGCTCTAGAGGAGGCTGAGGCTGATAGTGCCAGCGTTAGCGAAGAAGAAATCGAACAGGCAAAGCGGCTCGAACAGACTAAGCGGCAAGAACAGGGTCATGCCAAGACTCACAAACGGGTGAACTTTTCTCAAAGCAGTAATTTGAGGAATTGGTTGGTGGATGAACATGACCATGATCACGACATGGACTCGAGGTCAGATACCTCTCAAGCTGGTGGTCGCGGTGCTCATGGTTATCCTAGCAAGCCTCCAGGCCACCCATGACGACGTTTAATGAGATGATCATGTATGATGTATGTCACCAGCTGCACGTGGGTGGAAGCTCTTCGAGAGATTTACGTTGGATGCAATTCCTGTTTGTGCATATTTATTAATTCGGGTTATTTCTGGGAGGGAAACCTTTTCTTGCACATTATTTTTTCTTGGATCCAGTCAACGATGGTCTGAGCATCTGTCTTCGGCCGGTCCATCCAATGTGGAGACCAGCGAAGACGAAATTGAGAGGCATGAGCCGGGCATGACCACAACGACTAGACATACGAAACAACGCAAGCAAAACACTCGAGCCAAGGCCAATGGGGTACGTCTCGAACAGGTTGAGGACAACGAGATGGATCTCTCCCAACCCATGGCACGACGTCAGTCTTCCAGGTACTCTGTTAAACGGGTGTATTGCTTGCTGTTTCTTCTCCTTACTTCCCTTTTCGCATTGTCTTTTCTCAAAATTAACCAAATCAATTGTTCCGAGGCCCCTTCCGGAGCGGTGAGACGGAAACAGGTCCAGACGATTAACATAGACGAAAATATGAAAGCCCCGCGGCTGAAGATATGGAGATTCGAAAAATGTCTTTTTAAAAGATGAAAAATTGAAACCCTGTGGTGTGGCACCGCGGTATTCTATTGGCGATGTTCACGGCGCTCACGATGAGGCGGAGAAGTGGTCTTGCTGTCTATCTAGTATGGTTAGATTGGGTAGTTGATGACTCAGCAGCAAGAAGTAATATCAGTTGCTGGGCAAGAAACCGCACTTAGGGTATTTATTGTAGCTTTTCGCCCTCTCCTCGTTGCCGCCATCGTAGATTCATCCGCGTGTAGTAGGAATCAATCGACTTTACTCGGGATTCAGGGTCCATCCATTGACGGAACATTGAATAGGATCGCGGTCCTGCGCTGAACTGAACCACGCAAAAAGCGTTGAAGATCCTTTGCGGGTCGACTTACTGGGGGTCGCACGCGCTACTCATTCTGGAGGAGCACAGTATATGCATTTAACCTTGTCCCTTTGAATCATTGTACTGCCATACTACTTACTTGACAACTATAGACAACTCGCTCGCTTGCTGCCTTTGCTGAATCCCCGGCCGTTAGAAACGCCGCTTTTTCCTCACGCCAGCCCCAGATGCAATGCTCCGCTTCAGCTCTTCGCGGCGGCGGTTTGCCTTTGCTTGTTCGGTTTCTTCGTCTTGTTGTTCTTCTGCTTCGATGTGGGTGACCACTGCCCCTCCTCCTCCTCCTCCTCCTCCTCCTCCTCCTCCTCCTCCTCCTCCTCGTCGCTTGGTTGCTGTGGCTGCGGCAGACGTTGAGGGATCTGGCTGCTTCGTCCGACTGGGCGATGTCGACTGTTGTGTTGTTGCTGATGCTGCTGCTGCTGCTGACCGAGTCGGGTTTTGTCGACTCGATGGTTTGGTGGATTGAGAGGCTGACCGTGGCAGTGAAGGTGATGGGGATGGGGATGGGGACGGGGACGGGGACGGGGACGGGGAAGGTGTTGCGTTGGGATCGGCGTCGATGTTCTTGGCAGCCTCGTCGTCCTCGTTGTCCTTGTCGCCGCCGCCTCCGCCATGGTCTTTCATTTCGACATCCTCACAGGACTTCTGCGGGGTTTTCCTTCTAGCTGACGATGATGGTGTTTGAGGCGATGCAATCGCCGATGAGCCTGAAAGGTGGCGACCCCCCCTGAGCCGGCCTAACCGGCGTGGTGGTGTGGCTTGGGTTTCAGGTGGAACAGGAGCAGGAGGCTGGGGTTGTTGACTAGATCGAGTGCGAGGTGGTGAGGATTCGTCGAGGTCCTCGGCTTCGGGCGTACTTCTGACCCTTTTCTCCTTTCGTCTTTCTTCTGTCCTGTTGAGCCTGCCCAGGCGGCGCCGTGACGATGATGGGGCTGGTGAAGGGGTGTCAACGCTGCGGTCAGGTGGTCCGGTGCCTTTGCGGGGTTCATGTTTAGGTTGGGAAATTGGGGGTACACCGCGTTCGTCCTCTGATGACTGCGAAGACGATGATTGTCCCTTATGCCTCCTCTTGAGGATACCTAATCTAGATTTCTGCTTCCTTGGGTCGTTGCCATCACCCCTGGCCTTGTTTCGCGCAGGGGCACCACGGCTAGCAGTGGTATCCAGCTCAGAGTCAGAGTTGGTGGCGGTAGAGCTCGCTGTGGCAGACTCTGCTCTTGTACCTGCAGCAGCATCTGGAGAGGAGTGTCGTGGAGGGGAGGCTGCTTGAGCAGCAGATGAGGACGACTTAGGTCTCGACTTGGACTCGCCATAGGCCTTGGTGGCATTTCGCCGGCCTAGCTTCCCGATATTGGAGGTCCTTGCTTTCTTTGGGCTGGGCTCGTCATGTTCAGTTCCCGTTTCGTCGTGGGCGTCACTTTCTGCAGGTGAAACTCTTTTTGGCTCCATTTTTTTCGATTGAAGCTTAGGTGGCGTCACTTGGCGCTGGAACAGAGTTAGCGAATTAGGTGTGGGTGGTCAGAATGAAGGTATCAACCTCAAAATCATCGTCAGATTCTGTCAACTCGTCTCCTGCCACTGCCGAAGCAGGCTTGGTTGTCCTTCCCAAGGAGAACTGCGGTTTATTGTTAGATGTACGATCACTGAGAACCTCTCTATCAGATGTAGCAAGTCCATTCAACCAGTTCTCGTGCTGCTGACGAGTATGCGCAAAACACTTTTCACATCCAGTCACAAGATTTTTCAACCCTGTTCGGTCTGCCCCTTCATATCCTTCATCGTTGGAGAACTGCTTGATCCAGTTCTTCTCGTCGAAGGTGGCCATCCCCGCTACATGCTTCTTAGCATCTGCGACCGAAAATTGGCCACCTTTGCGCGACGAGGTTCCTGCGATGCCTGGGAAGATCAAGCTAAGGTCAATAGCGGAGGTTCCGATTCTGTCGAGCAGTCGGGAGATGACATGATCCTTATCCTTTATGATGCGTAGAAGTGAGTTGATTTTGTCCTGAGAGACGGAGACCTCATGAAGACTAGGGCGTAATAGCTGTTCTGCCAGCTCGGAAGCATTCTTCTGCCCAAGTCGAAATGTCCAATCCAGGGGCTTGAGTGGTCGGGGTAGGCCGATTTTTGTACGCAATAAGAGGTTCTGTGACGCAGGGCTGTTGCCACGGACTAGCGTGTTCTGGTCATCCTGCAAGCTTTCGCGCAGCTTGGACAACAGCAGTCCAAACTGATGAGTAGATTCGGATGGATCGATGCTTGCCTGCTGACGGGCTGCTTCTGCGAGGATATCATACTTATCCAACGAGCAATCCCAAATCGAGATTAAGTCGGTTAGCAATAGTGAAAACGAGTCCTTGCTTATGTGGAACGAGTAGAATAGTTTGGGGCATTCCTTTCGTGATGGAAGACGGAGTTCCTGCCAGCCGTCTTCATTGGCCGAATCTTGCATGTTTAGCCAAAGAGCCTGGGCATCACATTGCCTTAAGTTCGTGTAGGCGAAGATCGACGCCTGTGTTTCAGTCCACCGTAGCGCCCTTGATAAATATGGGCTAATGGACTTTTCTGGGATTCTGGCTCTGAGCGCGAATGGTCCGAGAAAGCTGCTCATCGGCATCAGGCTGATGTCGTAAGAAAGCAGTAGAGTGCAATCTGGGTGACTAATGAATCTTGGCATAATCACGTGCGCGGGTTTTTCATTTTCCGCCCAATCTCGAATACCTACGCAGGTAGACAGAGCACTGAAACACCATGCTTGGCCTATTGTTTCGGTCGATCATGAAGAAACTAATGGGCTCAATAGCCTATCCTTTTTGCTTCAAGACTCAATGATGAAGCACTGATTTGGTCTGCAATTGGGTCCACGATCACTTCAATACCTGCGATGAGGGCCAGATCCCTTGCAGTCCACCTGAGTACTCTGTGGCAGATTCCCATATGTATCAAGGATTGTCTCCTCTGGTCTGAGTCGTGAGGCCGATATTCCCCAACTACTCTCGAACCCTTGGGTCCTCTGTGGATGCCCTCATTCAAAGGGACAGTTTGGGCTTTGAAGTAGGTCAAGCTGTTCGACACTGCATCAGACGGAAGAACTTGGCATGTGCTGCTCTGATGATGTCTAAACACACAGACTCTCCCATTGCCGTTGTGGACGAGTTCAGGGAGCTCAAAAGATATTCTCATATTTACTGGCGGGCAAGACTTCTGAATTGGATGCCAGTTCTTGCGGCAGTCAATTTACCTGCATCGGGTCCGAATGTTCGCACCCAAATGAACATGCAAGCAGTGATGGAGTCATCCGGGATAATGATAAGTGGAGCGATTGTATTTGTGAATGGCGACTCTAAGACTATTATAAATGCTGTGTATGCATTGAGGATGAATCCGCTATGTATTCCGCAGGGATTACCCTCAATCAGTCCCATATGACGGAAAGAATGATCAAACAAACGAAGCGCTGTTCCAGAACATCACATTGAGCATGCGCTACGGTATGTTTGCAGGGCACGTGGGAAACCACCTGAGAACCTGGCCGAATTTTATTGTACACACTGACCTGAAGCAGATAGACTCCTAGCACCGGATCAGACTGCGACGGACGGGTAAGGCGTCTTCTGCAAATATGCGTTCGTATACGAGCCGCGCACGCTACTGATTGCATATGGACTGAGAAAGTTTCTCTCTCTCACGTGCATAATGATGGGGATGCATGCGCTTTTACACAACGGCGCCGTACTCGAATGCCTTCTCCACCATCGTCAGAGGAACCAGGAGCCCAATTCTCTCGAGGTCGGTCGAGGACGAGGGTGATTTTGAGGGTGATTTTCAGGGTGCACAACCGATCCCCATATATATTAGGCGAACAGAAATCCGTCTGGGAAGGGGCTCGGGGGCTTTACACACACTTGTCCGTTGAGCTGACTGTAGAGCCGAAAACAAGAACAAGATCGGGTTTGAGTAAGGGAATTTGACCCTTCACAAACATGCAGCCAGATTATGCTTGCACGCCCCTCTTTATCTCGTAATTCGAGATCGGAGCTCTCTTGGAGGGGCGTTGGGTTCTTCCCAGTCGTCGAAATACCATCTTGGTCACTGTCTGCATGATCTTCGATGGGTCTCATGATCACTCAGCGGGCAGAACCCAAAACACCTGCAGTCATATTCCTGAACGAGGATCGCCCCATAGGCTATTACGAAGAAATATAAGTGCAAATTAGGGTGCCCCTCGTCCAGTACTATAATAACACATTCATGAGAGTATAGCTCTGTGCAGCCATTGCCTTCCGAAGGACTCCCCCATCGCACTCGACGCAAGTCTTGATGGTCCGTCTTTCGACCTAGGCCATGCCCCCACGACCATTTCATCCTGGACAACAACACCGCTTGACCGTGTCGTGGATCCTGTCAGGGGATTTACGATAGAGGACTCAAAGGTCCGGAAAAGCTGAGCGTGAATCGGGAATCAGTACACGTGATCTTCCAAAAGTGCTGCAAGTGAGGCAGCAGATACTGCAACGCATTCCTGGTAAGAAAAGAGCTTATCTCAAAAATAGCCTTCCTCAATTCCCTCCAAGCAATATCCTTCCCCAGGAAACTCGTCCTGCCTGTTCCAAACACCGTTTCCTGTACCCGTTCCCAAGCCTTGAGTCTTTCGGTGTTTTGATCGAACCACCGCTCTGGCCGAAACGTATCGGCATCAGGACCGAGAATATCTTTGCATCGCAGCATTGAGGGAATGGAGATCCCTATCTCAGTTCCAGCAGGGATATGGATACCATTGTGGGTGTAGCCATTTGGCGATGGCGCAAGATGGGAACTTCTTCCATTTAATGGCATAAACATTCGAAGACCTTCCATCACACAGGCGCGAAGATACGGGAGAGCTATAGCCTCTCGGTTCTAATAAACTGCATATGCAGCTTCTCCTCTCTCTCGAGTTGTGTCGATTTCAATCATGAACTTCTGATGTGCAGTTGAGTACTAAGGATATGGAAGACCGTGTTCCGGAGCGCGTGCGCGGTGGAGTCGGCACCTGCCATGATCTACAGAATCGCCTCTGACTGACATTCTAGGTGAGTCAAGCCATGGCGCATGAAGGAGCTCAGTATATCAGACGGCGTTTCAGCAGTAGGAGGCGTGGTAAATCTTTGTGAGACAGCTTTGTTGACCGCTGAGACGATGGCACCGAAGCCCACATCACTAGGTTGAGCGACCAGTTTTTGTACCACTTGTAGCAGTCGGTAGACAGAACGGTGATGCATTGAGCACTCTACGATAGGGTATAATTTGGCGGACGTCTTATGATAGTCAAAAAGATCTTTGTTCTGTCTCAGGAAGCCCATTGTTACGCCGAAGGCAATGGTTGTGAAATTATCAAGAGTGAAAAATCCAGCTAGTCAAGCAAAGTCAAACGGTTCCTCCTTGTCAACATAGCCACGGTGGATGGGCTGCTTCGTTCAACAACCCGGCCGTCGATATCATTCTCGAGAATGACGACATCCCTACCAGAGTACTGGTGAAATCAGTTGGATGTCAAAGGAGAGGAGAGAATTTCATACCCCGGGCTGAACCTTTGCTCGAAGACTTGCGTGGACTGCCTCGTCTCGAATAGATAGCAGATGGTCTCTCTGAGCATCAATCTTGGTGGCTTCCCAATAATTGCTTTTGGAAAACGCGGACCATGGTGCCCCCATCGAGCGGAACAAAGCAGGTTCTTCGGTGAGGATCACAGTTGGAGCGGTACGTACGATGGAGCCTAGTGGGCATGTTTATTAGTGTATTGGGCCATCCTGCAATAGGGAGAGGTGGGGTTCTGAAGCGCCTGAGGAAGGCGACGCACCATAGCGCCGCAAAGCTCCTTCACCAGCACGATAGAGTCGAAGACGATAAGCGTGATACAACAACCAGAGGTTGGAGAAAGAAGCCAACCAGAGCCCTTGATGTGTTCCAATCGACGATACCCTTGCCAAAAGCGGATTCTACTACAAACAAAAAGGTATATTAAGGCTACCCACGGCCATATCCGGAAAAAACCCCGGTCCAGGATTGAATTCAGGGCCATGATGAAGATTGGTAAGATAAGATACGGAGCAATAGCGGAGCAGCAGATTGCAGAGGTTATTTCAAACATGACTGTCCTGCACATGGCTGACGGGAACATCACCATTGCGACTGCCTGCCCACGAAAGTTAGTCTTCACCGGAGTGATACTCTATAATCCACTTCGGAGGATAATGAGTTGGCATCGGAGCAGTGACTCAACGGCCTTGGTCGTGACTAGCGATATAGTCCGTAGTCCAATGACTCGGATGTGGGAAACGGACGTCGGCTGGCATCTGGACGATTTGACAAAGGACAACGGCTGCAGTTCTATATCCAATCATGCTAAATGCAACTGTTAAGCTTTGTTGGATGATCATGTTCCAGTGAATCCGACTGTTGAATACGAAGAGATGGTTGAGGCATTGGCCAGGACAGTTCTTCCTCCGGATAAGTGAGCCACAAGTGTCCAGACTCAGCTGATCAACGACCAGAATCATGCAGATGGGGTGCCAACAACTAGCTGTATCGAACGAGCGAGGCACCAAATGGAATCATCAGCGTGCTACTTCCAGCACCAGGTATACACCAGCTCAAATTTACTACGGCTCAAGTCGTGGCGGGCACTTGAAGTTGGGGCGTCGATTCGCAATCAATCGGTTGGCGTCGCCACAAGTCAAGCATCCCAGGGCTGAGGGTGGTCATACAGAGGAGAGAGGTCCTGAACATCCCACTTCCATCAACAGTGCAGGGCGGCGGCTGGCTATCCTGTCAAACGCGTACTACCCACTGTCAACCATGAGTTTGCCGAGTTGACGGTAGTCCCACAAGTAACAGACTTGGCTGGGGACGCCGAAGGAATGGATAAGTAGAACCGATTAGTAGGCGCTTTGCAGGCCATGACCTTCTTGATCTTAGTCTTGTTCTCACGAATCGCCGGTCAACCGGATGTCTTCTGGATGGTTCAACCACGTCTGAAATGGCAGAGATAACTAGACTATCGAACCAGCAAATACTCATGGCAATGAGAGTGATGAAGGCTTGTCGGCGACTACGGTTCCTCTACTCACTCTGTGGCGTGCAGCATCTATGGCTATGAAGTAAGTATCACAAGGATGAAAATATACCATTCTGGCAAATACATGATGCTAAATAACGAAGCCGAACTCGATCGTGTAGATATTGCCTACCATGCCATCCGACTGTCCACGGGAAAGAAGCATTATCATACATCCGTTCCAAACCCGACTTGATACTGGACGTCGGAACAGGCACAGGGATATGGGCAATACATGTTGGGGATGCTCATAAAGAAGCAGAGGTCGTCGGAATTAATCTGAGTCCTACCCAATCGACTCTCGTGCCATCCAACAGGCGGTTCGAAATTGCGGACGCTGATGAGCAGTGGACATTTCGCCCAGAGTCCTGTGACCTGATTCATACTTGAGCTATGAATGATCTTATCTTGAAAGGCTGGTCTGACGAAGTATTGACAGGCGTTTCGAGCGCTAAAGCCTGGTGGGTGGGTTGCGGCGCAGGAGTGCCGTTGTCGTCGCTCATATAACCACAATACTATTCCTGCCCATGGGCACATATTTTGTTGAGAAGATCAGTGGGAAGAAGCTATGAAAATGATCGGAAAGAACGGCCACTGTGATCGGGACTTGGTTTTACAACAAATGAGGGACGCCGGGTTTGTCCATATCACTCTTAAGAACTTCAAGATACCCACAGGCACACGGCCCCCAGGATCGCTACTTGAAGGAGGCCGGGAGATTTGCCTTGGTCATGATGATTGAAGGCATTCATGGCACGAGTGTCCAGCTGTTCACAAGTGTCTTGGGATGGGAGGTCGATAAGTTTGAGGCATTGCTAGCGAAAGCTCCTGCAGAATTGAAGCAGAAAGACATCCATTAATGCTTCCGATTGTGAGTTGCACCCTGACTTTCAGCTGAAATTCCAACCAGATATGTCATTTATGGTCAAGAAGCCCCCGATACCAGTTCATGAGGACACCGTCGAGCCGACCGGGGGCACTATGAACTGAAACAAGAACTGTTTGCGATTTTAGATATATTTAATGATTGCTTCCACCAACGGTTTTCAATGATTTTTGAAGAGACAGGCATCGTGTGCCTATTGAGGGTGCCAGCTCGGACGCCACAGACAAGGATGGTTTCTATAAGATCTTGGCATCCAACCTTCGGATAGAAAGTGCCTGGTATCAATTAGTAGTCCTACGTGCGCGCTCCAGGATGAATGAAGTCAATCAATGTCGTTGTTACTCTGACATCATTTAAGGCGAGGAGGCCCAGCAGGTGAGCTCGAGTTTGACTTTATCGTCAAAGTGCCGATATGACTCGCAGTAATCTCTTGGGTGGAGCATAAAACCAGTCAGAGTTGCCCGCCTGTTGTCTGCGACGTCAACTGAAAACCATGGTCGTGAAATTCCACGAAGATTATGTAGCTAACAATTTCTCTATACTCGTCCCAAGATGAGCGACTATTACCGCAGCACCAAGCGAAGGCGCTCACAGTCTCCCTCTCGCCCGGGAGGCCAGAACATCAATAAACCGTACCGGGAGCGACCGGGGCCCCATAGCGGAGAGAATGGATCACAACCGCGCTGGTCGCACAAGGAGCAAATGAGAATAAACCAGCTGCAGGAAGATGATCGGATGCGAGAGTGGGTGGCTCAGGAGGATGATTTTGTACTCAAGCAGGCTAAAAAGAAGGCAGCGATCCGGGTCAAGGAAGGTCGGGCAAAACCAATAGACTGGCTCGCAGTCACCCTCCGTGTCGTCGATCCCACGAAAGATCCTCTGGATGACGAACTAGAAGAGAAGGACTTGGATTTCGTGGACCCCGACAGCGTCTTCGATGGACTTTCCGAATCCGAGTTTTCAGATCTGCGCAAGGATATCGATACATACCTCAATCTGGAAACGAACAGAAACAACAGAGAATATTGGCGTACAATGCAGATCATCTGTAAGGATAGGCAGAGGAAGTTGCGAAACTCGGGGCTGGAAGGAAGGGCAGTAAGCTCGGTCGCCGCCGATATTGACGGTCTCTTGTCTCCCAAGACCTTCGAGCAGCTTGAGGTTCTGGAAAGACAGATTCGAAACAAACTCGACTCGAACGAACCAATTGATACAGACTACTGGCAGCAATTGCTTGATAGTTTGCTTGTTTGGAAGGCAAAGGCGAAGATCAAGAGGGTGTATCAAGATGTTCTTGATTCGAGGCTGAATCAGCTGCGACAAGAGAACGAACAAAAGGCGTTACAGGTCCAGTCCAGATTCTCTGGGTCTGAGGCGCACAATCGGGATGCCATCAACTACTCTAGAGAATTCGATCCTGAACCGTTTCTGGAACTTTCGACCAAGGACAAATCACTTGACCTGATGAACGAATCTAGTTTCCTGAGGCAGGTCGCAACAGCTAGGCGGAAGATATTAAAGATGGGATATGTGCCAGAACTTACAAGCTCTATACCGACAGTCGCAAGCTATTCACGGCCGTCGAGGCAGGCTCTGACTGCCGACCCCACAGCACGCTTCGCCACATCTGCAGAGGACGTGTCTTCAACGACCAAAGCTCTTTTCGACCGAGAAGTGGCGAAAGGTGTAAATGAAGACGAGGAGGTTTTCACCGGCGAAGAAGAAGTCACCACATCGGACACTCAAGCACTATGGATGGGTAAATACCGACCTCGAAAGCCGAAGTACTTCAACCGTGTCCAGATGGGCTACGAATGGAATAAATACAACCAAACTCACTACGACCACGACAACCAGCCTCCTAAGGTCGTCCAAGGCTATAAATTCCACATTTTCTACCCGGACCTCATCGACCTCACCAAGGCCCCGACCTACAAAATCATCCGGGAGGGAGGACGGAAGAAAGGTCAAACCATGGCACCGGCGGGGGAGGAAGACACCTGCATCATCCGTTTTATGGCAGGGCCGCCGTATGAGGATGTGGCCTTCCGCATTGTGGACCGAGACTGGGATTACTCGGCGAAGCATGACCGAGGATTCAAGAGTAGCTTTGACCGAGGCATCCTCACGCTGCACTTTACCTTCAAGCGGATCCTGTATCGCAAGTAGAAGCGATGTAAGGATTGTTCGCGCACAAGATTTGCAGTCCAACTCAGCACTCATGCTCCATGGCGAGGAGTGTAGCAGGCATGAAAGAAGTTACGCATATGGATATGCTTCATAATCGAAGAATACCACACACAGACGATCCATGACCTCTATTCTCCCAAGGCTAACTCAATCCAATCGCTGCAAGCCCAAGTTTGAATGGCAAGAATGCCTTTGCAAGAGTCTACAGCTTCTTCGACTCTGGCGTATGGGTCAATGGTCAACGCATACCCTCTTTTTCTGTCAAGCAAGACCACTTCCCCCGATCCATGACCTGCAGCCCGCCTCGCGCAATGACCACGGCGGATCAAGTCATATATGTGCACAAAGTAGAATCCCCCTTGAGCTTAGGTCGCCCAGCTGTGCAGGCCAAGTGGGCCAATCGGATACCTGCGCATGTCGACTCAGATCGGGATTGCGAGGGCTGACCTACCTACACTACGCGTCTTCCTTCTCTACTTCCCTCGCTTCAGCACATCTGACCGCCGCCGCCCGCCGATATGTCACTGACTCCTCGATAATGCAGAGATGGCGGCCCTAGGAGGAACCCGTGCTGAGCCGGTTTTTGCTGACTGGTATGGAAGGGTCTGGTTGGTCCCTCTCTCCCGCCCACAGATCGAGATTGCGGGCGGATCGGCGACTGCCTGTTCTCACCTACGGTATACCTTAGGGAGGCGGGAACGGAAATTCAATTGGTCGCTGTTGGGAGAGAAACGTGTCCTGAAGGGACAACAATCTAACTCCTGGCCGAATCGTGTTCTGTATAGCTCAGCAGGTACTACAGCGGACATTAGGGATCGGCCACTTCGTATGAATCGAAGAGAAATGTGGCCTCCCGAGCTACAGGGAAAGTGGCCTACTGAGTGACAGACAAAGTAAAGACAGCTATATTGTTTCAAGTATCAAAATTGGCCTGCTTCGCTGGGGTATCTCCTATTCAAACTTCCTTCACATTAATGCAGACTCGCTAGCCGTATGCAGGGTTTCGCCTCTATCGCCTATATGTTCCACCGCCTTCTGTGCATGTGAATAATGAAGGGTTCTCTGTACGCCTCGCTGATACATGCACAAGTGATTGCGAATAAATAGAGAGACCGACGCGTGCTGATTGATGGAAATATGAAGCCATTTCATGTCATGCACACCAGCCCTAACACATCTGCCCTGGTGGCATATCATGGGCGGATCTTGAAGGGATGGGAAAAATTCGGCTCGGTATCTGGCCCGAACATTCATGGCTCTGGCTCCCGATCGGGAGTAGGACTTGGGCTTTTGTGTGCGGTCGCGCTACCGTTGATGGAAGTGTCCGTAGCGGCCCTCTTGAGTGCCTTCTCTTCACTTGGGAATACCCCACAGTCGAGCTCCCAAGTTTCTTTCTCCTTGTGCATTTCTCTCCTTATCCATGGAATTGATATAGCAGCCCAGATGCCAGCCCATACAAAAGGAACGCCCCATCCTGAAAAGCATTCTGTTAGCAGGTTGGTCCCGTAAGATTCGGGAGAAAGGGGCTTACCAATGCCGTAGGCTACCGCTTTGTCAATCGGGTGGATGACGATAAGCACAGTGCAGACAATTGCCACGACAAGTGCCGGCACAGACCAGAACCAGGATTGAACCCGAATCATCCTCCTAAATCTCGGGCTGGCTTTGTATCTAGATGCCAGAGCCTCGCGGAACGGCCTCCCAGCGCCGGCATTAACAGCGACAATATCCTCCATCAGATAATAAACACCAGGGAGGACCTTGCCACCCTTGGCAGTAGAACTAATCCGGAACGGCGCGGGCCTGTTCAACTCACAGTAAATAGTGATGAGAAGGATGCAGCCGCCTATGCAATATAAAATCGAGGGTCCTGGCATAGAAAGAACACGTAACCACACGATATGTGGCGCGCTGCCGATGATCAGAAATGCCGTGATCGCACCAATGGTCAGTGAGAAGATCCAATGTGTGATGTCAAAGGCCCAGCGACTGTTCGTGCCCAAGGGCCGGAAGAAATTTTCCTTTTTAATCAGTCTCCAAGAGCGTACGGCGAATTCGACATAGGCAGGTCCACCCCAGATGGTGGCCACCACGGCAAAGACTTGAGGCTTCGGGTCAGTATACAAAGTGGGGCATTTGGCAGGAAACTCACCTATCCAACCCTCAATATGTCCAACAAAGGTCATGGTGTAGTACAGAACAAGAGGGACTACACAGGCGTCCACAACCATCAAAGCAATAGTGAGAAATAACTTCCACCGCTTCCAGCCGCGCTTCCAAGTAAAGGGTAGCTGCGGAAGTAAGGCAGGATTTTGATCATAGTAATCTTGGAGTGTGCTTGCTCGTCTCTTGAACTCTCTCTTGGTCGCGGCCCGACTATCATAGTAAACATCCTGCTCCGGTCTCACATCGCCACTTTTCCTCCGTTTGGCTTGGAAACTCTTTCTGTGAGCCGAGCTAATACTGAGTCCGCTGTCTGTTCTCTCGGTACCGAGGGGAGGTGGCGATTCGAGGGGTGAACTAGGAGTTTCAGGTTCGAAGTGAACATTTCTCTCTTCTCTGAGAGGACTGGTCGGAGTTGGCGGCGCATCCTGGTCGAGCTGGACGCTGGGACGCTCGATTTGAACGCTCGCTCGGCTGCCTCGAACAACCTCAGGCATGGTGGGAAGGAAGAATAGATCACAATCGCGTCTGTCTGTGGAAGGGGAGGAACAGTGAACAGAGGAGACTAGGAGCGAGCACTCATTTTACCAGAGGGTAAACGCAATGGGCATAATCGGCTCGAAGTCTGGAATAGAGGCAAGGAAGCAGCGGAAGCGTAATTTACTCGTAAGACCAAGGTTACCGATAGGAGTGGATTACTGGATCTGGCTGACCACTCTGCGAGGATAATAATGATCGATGAATGCGAGCGCTTTAAACAGGCAATCCGGTTCAGGCGTGATGTGTGTAATCATTGTCAGCAGCCGGCGAATGACGTAGGGTTCTTGGCACTGATATATCATTGGCTGGGGTCTTACGTGCCGGCACCGCCCTGAATTCTTCCGGCTTGGCGCATGGTTAAAGTCTCTTGATCACCCTTTTATGTCGTGCACCAGTGGGTGCTGGTGCTGTCTTGGTATGTCTATGAATCTTGGGGAAGGCTTCAATGTGATCATTGTAGTTGTTGTTCTTCCCATGACCGAGATGTCTGCGCGTGTGCTTGTCCCGAGGTAACTGATGAATAACAACCCCTTCAAAACTGGACTCCGCCAATCAGCACTTCAGACTCTAGTGTTCAAGGCAATTCCTATCGCCAAAGTCCTGGAACATCATAATGGACCTCATTGCGAAACCGGATCTCTCGAATTCTAAATACTGTACCAACACTGCTCATCCAGTGTCTTTCATGTCAAATGGTGCTACTCTCCTTGTTATGGGCATGGCTCCGTGCCTCCAGCACGGCATATGTCCCTAGGCGTGCAGAACCCAGTCTTTGACTGTCTACTATACAGTTTCCCTTGCTTGTGGCCATAAGTTCAAGGCCAGGGAGCAATGGTAGCTTCATACTTCCAGCTGCGCTGATCAGCCAATCTCTTGGCAACCCACGCCGGCAGAGGCAGGCCATGCTTCTTCAGCGTTCACCGTGCGCCTGCCTGCAATCCCACAGCATCTTCAACACAGGGCACAAGACTAGAAAGCTAGCCGCGTTGGATGCAAGTGGGGAGGCACTACGGGATGGTGTTTGAGCACAAATCCCTGTGGCCGTCCACCATGAAAGCCGTTGACCCTGCCTCATGTCGCACAAGGACACGCTGCACCATTGATTGGACCAAGACCTTTTAGAATGCGGACAATCCTTTCAATAGATGTGTTACAGTACTTTGCGGCACTGGGTCACTTCTGATGAGCTCACAGCCCTGGCCAGCGGACAGCGGCCAGCGGACAGCGGCCAGCGAAGTTGGGCTCAGGAACCATTTGTTTGCCTGTTGCTCCTGAGTATCAACCCGCACGCTTGTTTGCATGAGTCTCCAGCAGTCCAGATTCCATACAGCTCACCTCAAGCTCTCTTGATTGTCCCAAATAATGAATTTTAGCCTGACCCTTTCAAGGCTTGACGTTGTGTCCTTAAAAGACCCCTTTCTATCTTGCTTCCTCAACATTTACAGTTGTTATCCTCTTCCGGCAATCCATCCCCTCTGAGTTTGCCAGCGAAAAACTACACCTCAATCACCCAATCCATATTAATCCATACAAAGACTTCTCTGCGTGACGTTTGTCTCCGGAACTCCTCAGCTTGCTGGCACAGCTATCCTACTATCTGGGGTTTCACCGCTGCACAACATTGACAGACATGGAGCCAGGACCAGAAGACTTTCAACCCTACATCCATCCCATAGGGCCTGATTTTGGTCTACCGGTGATGAAAGATTTCAACCCGCATTATGCTCAATACATGCCCTCCAGCTTATCTGACCCAGGCTTCTATCAGAACAGTCTCGTTTCCGACTTCAGACCTTTGCTCAAGGTTGATGAATACAGCGACATCATCTACAATCAAAGACCGCTGAGAGACGATTGTGTACATCCTCCCACAACACAGATCCAACCTGCTGAAATTGAGCTTCAATCATCATGGCCTCTATCAACGAGCTATCCTCTGATGCTGCAAACCAGCAATTCCCTAGCACCAACCTCAAATATAGGGGGCATCCCTTTTCTGCACCAGCCGGGAGCTCCCGTCTCGCCACCACATTCAAATTATCATTTCTTTGATGATGCTGCTCTCAGGACGCCTTGGTCATCGCCTGAATACATGCCTTGTGAACCTCTGTCAACTAATGGAGACGAGGACGAACTGACAGATGATAAACCATATGCGAAGTTGATATGGGAAGCACTGATGGAAGCTCCCAGAAAACGAATGATGCTGAGAGATATCTATGAATGGTTTCGCCAGAATACCACCAAAACCCAAGACAATGCGACAAATGGGTGGCAAAACAGCATCAGACACAACTTGTCGATGAACAAGGTACGTTGTCTCACTTGGGTACACGGGAACCGGCTAACATCGCCCCAGGCTTTTGAGAACGACAGAGAACAAGGGCGTGGCAATGCAAGAAAAGCCAACAGCGTCTGGGTTCTGACAGAAGATGCCATACAAAATGGGGTTCAGTCAACTACTAGATACCGCAAGTCAGGTGGTGGCAAGCGGCCGTTGACCCGCGCGCCTGCATTGCAACGACAAAGATCTGGGGCAAGAGGGGGACGAGCTGCTCGTCGGTCTGCAAGATACAGACGGCAAGCCCAGCTGTGCTTGGATCATCCTACGCCGTCTTCGTACAGTCCAGACACCCCGTCATATTCAGACATAAGCGACTGTGGCCTTGACAACCAGGAATTCCGGCCGGCCTTCAGGAGTTGCCCTTTGACCCCGTTGGAAGGACACGCCCAGCTGGCGCATGACGCCACTCATCACATGCACCTACACACATGGAATCCAGTGGATTTGGATTTACATCACACTGGTAACGGTGCCGAAAACACTGCGCATATGCAGAATCCACTGCTAAGCCCAAGGGACAATCAGTACATGGGCTGCATGGGGGATGTACAGATGAGCGAGATTTGAACCTCCTTCAGATGGAACATGGAATGATCAAGGTTGATTGGCCATCAGTCCTGTTGCTGGGTGCATGGAGATTGTTCAGGATCGTGGGATAGTTCATTTTTCAAGGCCACTCAAAATGATTAGAGGCCGTGTCAGGTCGATGTCAACCTGACTTTTGTGTTTGCTGAGTGTACCAAAATAGGTCAAATATACGAAATCCAACCCAGGTGATCTCAAAAGCTGACGATGGCTGTGGCCTGGACCGTGACGTGACCGTGTTTGCCCAAGCAGAAACTTGCCTATCAAATGAAGTCGCGATAGGCTTCAATGGTCTGACTCGTTACTCAGGAAGCTGGAACAATACAAATGTATCATCTTCACCCCGTCCCAGCTGCTCCGGGCTCCGGGCTCCGTACCAATGGCCACTCCTCTAAGCAAGCTCGTGCCTTTCTTGATTTCGCACTTCTATCAATGACCATCGTCCATTTAAACGGTCAGAGGCCGCTCCTGGCCCCCGTGGAGCAACCTGTGGTCGGTGTGATCAAAATACGTGGCTGCTTTTCGCTTACAAGTTAAGGCGATCTGTGCAGGAATTGAAAACCAGCTACCAAAGAGATCGCGCTCGCGAATCTCTGTTCTACCAGTGCAGCGACTGCATCCCCACAATATGCGCTGGCAACCCCGTGTTCATCCATGTAGCTTACGTACAGTCGCAGCCGAGTCTCGGGTCATTGCGACCTGGTCAAGCACTTTTCAGACGACCACTTGGGCTCCCTGCTGAAAGAAGTCCCAACCTTGCCCACTAGTCGAGGTTAACAATCCGACTGGAGGCTGGAAAATTCAAGCCAGACAGGCATCGTGTTCGCTGGGTAAACAACCCGGGGTTGATGCCAGCAGTAAAGGACCCTTGCCGGTATCTTGTCCTGGTGTTTCTTCACACTAATGCCCATTTCTGCACCGGAATTGCCGTCCATCGGTTCCGCTGCTGGCTAGAGTCCAACACTCTCAAGACCTAGCGTGCGCCAGTCCAAACTCCGGACATCCAAGAATTCTGGTGGCGTCCACGGTCCGGTCCGACTTGAAAGTATCAGAAACGTGGTGGATGTCTGCCAGAGTGCAAAGGACGGTGGATCAATTCGAAAGTTACGAGAGCAGCTAAACGTGAAACGCCATTGGGGGATACGAGGTGCCAAAAGACGCATCCCAAGAGAGGTTTCTACAGGCCATGCTATGCCCGCGAACCCTCTCCATCCAAGCAGCCTGTTGCAACTCAGAGCATTCAGGAAAATCCGGTACTGGGTCATGCACCGCTGATTTAGGGAGGAATCTCACAGGGTCCTGCAAATGGAAGTTTGGTGCTTCCAATCGGAGCATTCTTTCCCGAGTTCCCCCACTAGGCAAGGTTGGCTATGCATGCTGAGGATGGACCTTCGCTCTCCAGCCCTTGGACGCATGGCTGACGCTCCTGGCACGACATCCGGCATCGTCATATCAAACTTCGGATCTCAAAAATACTACACTACGCTTCTAATTGCTCAAATTTCCTCGCCTATCGAGACTTCGCCTCTTCCGCGATTGAATCTCGGATTCTCGATCACTGTGGTGGGTCCTTGGGTTTCAACTGGTCTTTGATTTGAGATCTTTGGCAAGGCAGTATACGAACCCGAGAACGTTCTTCTCATTCCTGCCACCACCTTCTTGAACCAGCAATACAGGGGGGTCGTCGACGTGTCGTTGCCAACTTCCAGTGCCAGCCAGTCACAGCCAACCAATGTTCCAAGTGGTGAGAAAGTCTGAGAAAGCCGTCAGATTTCGCACGTCATGCTGGGTGTAGCTGGGTACACCCTTGCAGAGCGAATCGCCTCTACCGAGATTGGGCATTGCTGGAAGGACCTGATGGAAGATTTCCATGCAGGATCTAGAACGAGCCAGGTCATTCGCCAAAAGTCCTCCTCTTACCATCACGTGCTCGGCTAAGGTTCCACTCCCCGATGGTTGACGTGCGTTCAGTCCGTTATCTTATGGGCTAAAGACTCAATGGTCGAGAGACCAATCGAAGCGTGACTGTCATCTGCGTTGTTCCTCGACGCCAATACGGACATGATCGCTAGGTGACCAGAATCGCTTTCCTTAGCGCTCAGAAAAGGCTCGAGATTTGCATCATCTTCTGTGTAATCCAGACGTTTTCTGTCATCCTGTCATGCTATTGCCCGATGGGCCTGGTCCTTGTCGTGACGGTGGAGCGTGCTTGACACATGCTGGAGCCCCGGTTGAGTAACGTAGGACGATACAACCAGAAGATGGCCGCAAAGGGCAAGGCTGAGTGGAAGAGGGCTGGGCCGCATGTCAACGCAGTCGGACTCTCGTACTACACTTCTCAACAAGTCTCAACCGAGTAGTCCTCCCCTTCCCTTCAGCGGGTAGTCGTGCCTAGGCTATCCTGGACGAAATGATGCGAGGAGTTTCGTGCGCCCCAATAGACCAGGTGTCATATGAAAACGGATCCGTTTTGGATGCATTTCACAATATTGGTGTTGGTTCGCTTGGTGCGCCTCCAACGAATGTGTCGATCAGTACATGGTACCAAAATTCGCCAAACTCTATTTGTGCCTCTCAAGCCCAGATAGACGTGATATCAGATCAGTTGTCAATGGACTCCTAAAGAAGGACTTGCATCGGTTGCTGAGACGAGGTCACAGGGAAGCTCATTCCTCTCAATTGGATCTGCACCACCCCCCCAACATGGAAAGGAGCTGCTGCCTTAAACCATTGCAAAAGATTGCGGTGGTCGTGCAGGATCCGTGAGCGTGTACCTTTGAGCCTCCCTATTCCTGAAGCGACCCTGGTTCAGAGGCCTCACTACAAGGAGGATGTGACCAAGCCTCTTCACAGATCTGAGGAGGACTCCGTGTTTCGGTGGTCACCAGGGCTCGATCATTTCCACATCGTTGAAACATAAATTCGTAATGAAGGCACTGCTTGTGCTCATGTAGCTTCTGTCTGACACCAATAGGCCTGCCAGCCAACCCCAGCATTGAAAGGCCAGCGGCCCTGCCTCAATTCAAGCGTCAAGGCTTTGAAACACACTGTCAAAGGACATGGACAGCAGATTCATGCCCGAGGGTCAAACGCGGTCAGCCGTTTTCACAGGTGCGTGGTCCCCGAGAGCTCGCCTTGAATTTGGCACAGGCGAGTAATTTTCGCGCTTCAAGCTCCTATGTCGGACATTGTGTGTCCCATTGATGCCACAAATCCCCCGAAGCCGTTGACTACCTGCCGAGCGGCAGATATGACAGTTTTGACCGCGGCTCGTGGTGTCACCTTGACGCGAGAGAAGATTCGATCGTCTCGTGGCCATGAACATGTTCTCCTTCTTTTAGCTGTGCTCCTTGGGCTAGGCAGCATTGCGGCGTTGAATGATGGATAATCGACTCACCAAAAAGGCATTTCCCTCAGTCTGATAACTGGTGAATCCTCCCTTCCCCACTGTGCCCGTGCCATTGAGGGCCTCGCTGTGGCCACCCTTGGCCCAAGAAGCCAGGACTCTATTGCCAGACGATGCCTCGAGAACTACGTACTATCTACGTATGCCGGTGGTACGACTGTGGTAGATTAGCTTCTCAGTCGACACCCATCGGCATGTCATCATCGATTTACATGCTCCCTCTCCAACATGGCATTAACGTCAACGGCAACCACATCGGGCACTCTCCTGAGTTAGCGTTGGACACAATCATCTTCAACTGGTGCAGTCTGTGTGTGGTGGAGTTGTGCGCGTCAGAGAACAACTTCCACCGCGTTGAGCGAGGGTGTTGGGTGCCAGAGAGCACACTAACGGACGTGTAGCGAAATCGGGTCAACGAAAGCGAGAATGATCGTTCGCTCCTCATTATAGCTGTCAAACACGTGGATGTCCTACCCTTCCCCCCCCCCTCCCCGGGTTGGTCCGCGACTCCGCTATCTGCCTCATGTCCTTTGCGCTGTTACTTACGCCCTGGTCTGTGGGCTCCTGGACGCTCGCTGTGAATACACATATATCCAACCTAGAGAAGAGATTTAGCACTGGTAAGGGAAAGGAAGTGGCTGTACGAAGAATAGAGAAGGCAGGAGAGGGGAGGGTGGGGTCTTTCTTGGAAGAGATGGTGTCATGCTAGTGAATTAGGGGACGTGGCAGCCCAGGAGGAGACGGCCTGCTGTCGGCTATCGGGAGAGGAATGATCAAAGTTAGGCAGCAACACTGGAGTCGTGCAAGGTAATCGAAAAACAACGGGTTAGGGATTCCAAATGACACAAAAGTTCGCAGAGCACTGGCATATGACGACCTTGTTCGATTTCGCTGGTGAACATGCCTGCACGGTACCTCCGTCATAATCTGGGGCATCTTCTGAGATTGAATGGTTGGATGTATTGTTGATCTATCCCACGAGGCTGACATGTCTCATTGGCAGGGAGAAACACCCGAAGATGACTTGACTCCAGGAAGGTTTTTTGAGATCTTCTTCCTTGATCACAACGACCTCGTCCCCTCTTCCACTCAATGAGCGTACAGCCAACGAGGTAGCGGAGTTTCAACCTCCATCGCAGTGCTGCTGTTCGAGGACTGCTCTCCCGTATTTAGAGAGATGGCAATTAGGTTTTCGGTCCATAATGCACATCGTGCCTCTATCTGCCGCATTTCTCACCCCCAATCATCTCAATTGACGCACGGCTTGTGCATCGATCTGACCCCGAACAAGCAAAGCAAAGGTGAACAGAACGACATGCCTTTTTTTACTTCTTGCCTGTCTTCTTCTCCTGTGTCTCCTTGAGCACCTTCTTGACGATCTTCTGCTCCTCAATCAGGAAAGCTCGGACGATACGATCTCGCACGCAGTTGCTGCATCTCGATCCACCGTATGCGCGTTGCACGGTCTTTTGTGGTCTGGAGGTGGTAGCGTATTTTCGGGGCCGGAGTGCGGGAACCTGTTGGTGGTGGGATAACACTGTCAGCGAACATTCTTTTCCTTTTACTGCCTCACGATTTCATCATCTCCAAACCCGATTGCAAATTGTGGCATCTCCCCCCCCGGGGGAGGCGGCGGGTGGGTAGATAGAGAGAGTGGGAAGTGCGGTGGAAATGGGGAGGCTTACGCCTGGTAGCTTGACACCGCAGTCACCGCATTTGGGAGCAGTTCCTCGCTTCTTGATGTGTAGCAGTCGCAGTTTGCCGCCGGGAGTTTTGATCACTCGGACATTGTTGGAAGTGGTGTTGTAGCTATTGTTTCACAAAGGGATTGTCAGCAAATTCGGGCTCGAGGGAGTTTTCGCAGAGGGTGCAGGAAAGCTAGGCGGGGTTTGGCTCGTGGCTAAAGAGAGGGAACACGTACGGATTGCGGCGACGGTATTGAAGTCTAACGCCTGCCATTGCGACGGTGTTAGGTGGACTGCAATGGATGGATGGAAAGAGTTGAGGTCGTTGTCGAGAGAGTTCGTCGTTGAGACTCAATTCTGTGTGAGGTGGTGCGTTAGCCAAAAAATCACAGTGTGGTGTGAATCTTGGCACCGACCTGTGATTGGTACACAAGTAAATCACGTGATCTCGGATAAACATAGTAGGGAAATCTTCCGTTCAATCATCAACCTTGGCTTTAGTTGTCTCCAGTCGGTGAGCTCATTCCTACGCAATATCATGGAAAGTTTCTATGACCGTATGTCCTATACGACACCTGCAGTCTCCACAGGATGGAATCTTCGAGAATCAATGCTGTGAATATGCGTCTACATGAGGGTCGAATTCAGTTGTGTCTATTCACAGACCAAGGCGCCTTGTCTGGTGCTTCATCACCGCAATGCCTGAGGATATGCAACAACATCAAGTAGACGTCGTAAGCACACTTCCCCAAGAGAGTGAGCTGCTCGTCACAGCTGTTTCCTCGGACTCATGGCTCTATCTGCGGGCTTGCTCCAGGATAGAAAAATCGTGAGCATCGACTTCTGGGCTCACACGAGAGATTAAGCACGTGCTTGGGGGACGCTGAAGCCAGTCCACAGTTCTCTTGTCGCTGAAGCTTCATGTCTTCAGTAAAGCTCAGACAGCAACAGTCCATAGATGGTATGGCTGTGTTTGTCTGGAGAGAGTAGTCATTTTGTTGAGAGGCAAGGGAATTGCTGTCGCAAGAGGATTCTGTGTCTCACATAGCTCACTGTACAGGTCTTGTTGTTACTGCATTGATCAGCTGTTGAGCTCATGGCCATCTTGATGTACTTGCCCCCCTCCTCTGGCGACGTGAATTCTTTACTGTCGCATTGAGGTTTGTCACTGCTAGCACCTTTTGTCGATCTTTCTCTCCAGAAAAGCCTTGTAAACTGCCGGTCTTGATTGCTCGTGGATATCTACCATCAACTCGGAATACTCTTACTCGGTACACACAGCTCACATTCGGAACCGAAAGTCCTCGTCACGACGAAAGACACAGTTCTCTGCACTCCTCGAAGACGACAGACATGGAAGATACCAAGGTCAGATGCTACTCTGGCGTCGCGTCACGGACAGGCATGGGGGTCTATGAAGCTGATCGCTCCGATGATATTGCACCAGAAGGAAATGATGCACGAGAGCATGGCACGACAGATGAGGAAACTCTGGGAAGGTTTTCATGGGCAGTCAATCCGTAAGTAATTGTGGACCATCTCAACCTCGTTTACGCCTATACCATAAAGAGAGGCATCACGGAGTGTTTTATGGCAACGCGCGTATTGATTGCAATTTATCCAACATCCTCTCCTTGAGACAAAGATGAAACAGGTGCAAGTTGATACAAGATACTCTGCACTCCTTTCAATATTTGTGATTTTGAATCACTAATTTCTACATAGAGGCGAATTCAGAACCGCCCACCGTCCCACTTGTCCCGTCGTCACGCTCGCAGTTGGTCCAAAAAGTAAACGCTTCTCTGTGCCCAAAGATGTCCTGGTCCAGAGTCATTTTTTGGCCCGATACCAGGAAGGCGCGAACGAACAGATCAAGATGCCAGAGGACAACCCTGAATACATGGTGTACCTCCTTCGTTTTCTTCACACGGGTAGTTTCGATGAGACAAATTTCCGAGTGGAAGGACCTCTGCCCGATCAAGACATGCCCATGTGTCTTATCAGGTTGTTCTGTCTCGCTGACAAGTATTTCGTCGATAATTTGTGTGAAGAAGTCATGGAGTTGCTTCGTCGGATTCTGACTGAAGTCCTCCCATCCTGGAACCACCTCAGATCAATGAAGGACATGGGGCTCCAAAACAGAGCACTCTGGAACATGTTCGAGGAAGCCATTGTTGGCTGGGCAGCCGCTTGGCCTAAAGGTGGGATCTTGAAGCAGATATTGCGTGATGGCCTCCATAATGATGGAGAGGTTGCCGTCAGATTGTTGTACAAGATCGGGGACGCCATCAGCACGAGGGACGCTTATTGCGAAGAATGTTTTCTGAGAGAGTCTCAATGCGATTGTGTTGACGCCAGCGGCAGACCACTTCGTAAGAAGAAACCCGGCAAGGCGACTTGGTCTCGGATTCGGAAGTTCTTCAACGGAGAGCATTGAGCCATGGGCTCTAGCCGCAAGAATCAGAACAGTACGACGTTGCCTGAAGTTGCTCCATTGCCTAGCTGTGTCCTGGCACACTAACAGTAGATAGTGCTCAGTCACAAAATACCCAACCAAGGTGCTAGGCACTTAGAGCTGCCAGTAGGGGTGAGTGCCGGGCGGAAGGCCCGCGTATGAACTCACTCATCTTGGCATAAATCACGGAATTGAAAGGAGGATAGACGTGATCAATTTCACCACCGAGGAGAGCCTAACAACCAAAAAGATGAGACGCATACGGAGTACATGTAGCTTGAAATTCTCATGCAGCTTATCTCGACCTTGCTCGCATTGACGCTTATTGAGGATCCCAGCTTTGTGGCACACCTCGCCAGCCTTGCTAAAGCTGACTCGGCCTCATAGCTATAACAATATTCAGGGTTCACTAGGATGGATGTGAAGCATGGCAACTCTTTTCATTGTGGCTTGATTAATGATACATAGGGCCCTGGAGTAACTTCGAAATGATATCGTCAGAGATATATTCATTGTGGTGCGTGTAAGGACATCCTTTTCCAATATCTATTGCATCCTGAGAACCTGCCCAAAATCCTTCTCGCTTTGACTCCATCATGACAATCAAATACTCCGTGGTCAAGTGCTTGCTTTCCAAATTTCAACTCTTGTTGGTAGCGCCAAAAAACCCCCCCGGAAATATACAACCACGCAAGAGCAATGAAGCATCCACCATGACGCGAACCCTGCTCGTCGTTTAAAACAATTTCGCATACCTCGCAGCTGAAAATCCAGCAGCACCAATCGTGAGGGCAATTCCAGCCCATGCCATCAGGCCTCGTTGCACACTCTTCTTCATGAAGGCTTCCATCGCTTGAGCGTCGTTGAGCTTTGGGAAGGGCACATCCTTGGGTACTGGAACTCCGAGAATGGCACACAGCGGCTCCCAACCATCACGAACGTCATAGAAGAACAGCTTCTCCTTCGGAACGATCTTCTTGAGATGTTCGATATGTCGCTCGTACATGGCCTTGGTAGGTCGTCGTGGTTCACCCTCTCGGAAGTACAACTCCCCAACGCGGCCGTCATCCAGGGCATCGTGATACGTTCGGAACATTCTCAGTGTTGGAAGAGGGGCCAGGATCCAAGATAGAACTGTAAGGTTGCCTTTCTCAACAATCGGTGCCAAGCTGTTCCACCACTTATCGGGGTCTCGAACGGAGCAGATTACTTTGGCATCTGGGTAGACCTCCATCAACTCTTCGACAAAGGCATTGGAAGGGAGATCGGTGCATGCGACATAGCCATCCAGCATTTCCTTGACGCCGGCGTTCAGGGCCTTGCGGCCGGCCTCATCCTTGGGTGGTGCAAGCCTGCAGATTTCAATCCATCGCTTGATATGCGATTCAGGAGAGTTCAACATTTGCGTACCTCCATGATAGCAGGGGCCGTCGAGAAGGTATGAGCAAGCTGCGCCGAAAGATGTTGTACCGGTCCGCGAGAGACCAGCGCCAATAACTTTCAGCGATTTGTCCGGCATGGGTTGGGAAGCTGTTTGGCCCATGTCGACTGAGGTGAGGGTACCTTTTCAAAAGACAAAAAAAAAGATACAAATCAATGAACGGCACGATGGGCAGGCGATCAGATTCTGAAGAAGAGAAAAACAAACTTTGACGTATTGTAGGTTCACCAAAGAGATAAATACTGAAGGGCACGAGGACAACGAAAGACCACGAGGGGCTTCTGATGGTCTTATCTTTTGTCTGAAAGATCAATCCGCCGCCACCCCTGTGATGGCAAAAGACTAATATTCAGGAGCATGGGATTGAAGGAGGTCAGCCCAACTCTAGCGGAGGCCGACGATTTCCACCATGCGCGATCTCGGTGATCCACAGGCTCGTTGCGGTTGGAATCAATTCTTCGCTGATCAGCCACGGGAAGCCAGGGCTGGGGGCGACGAAGGGGTCGCTTAAACGCATCAAGCACAGTGCCCGCATGTCAAAGACAATCCCAGGATGCTTGGGCACTGGTTAGCGACAGCCTAATTTCCATCAGAACGAAGCTAAGCTCCGACACAGGCCCCGAGCCAAATCCTACCCAAAGGCTAAGTGTCACTTTGACAAACACGACCCGAGCACAGTGACGCTTAGGTCACTGGAAATCGTCGGAAATCGTCGAGGAAGATTACTGTGCTTGACATTGACTCTGGGGTGCCCGACCTGGAGTTTCTGGAGGCACGGAGACAACCACAGGCAACATGTAGGCATGCAACGGCAATGCACCACTAGCCTCCTGACCCTGGGACGACAACAAGGCAGACTTCTTTCTGTTATGGGCATCGCGTTGTGGGCCGAGGATCACTTCCCATCTTTGAGAGGCTGGCCTAAGGAAAATGGAGATGCATGCAGGAACCAACGATTCGCTAAGGGACGCCTGCCAATGCTCCCACTTCCTCACCGAGGTTCCGAAAGCCTATCTCAGTTATGTTAAAGGGGGGCGGGGCAAATACAAGACACGAGTGCACACAGCACGCAGGGAAAAAATGTCCCACAGGAATTGTCCTATACTGGACAGTACGAAGCTCCACTACGAAGACGTCCTTGTTGGCTTGGTCTTCTGGTCCTGACCGCAAAATCCAGATTTAAACCAAGAAAGAGGAGAAGGAACAGAGATGAAATGACTACCCGCCATCCCAGAACTTTATTTGCCCAAGCCTCGCCTCTCAAACATGTCGAGAGGAAGTACAGATTGGCGGCCCAAGATTACACAGGTTTCACACCATTGAGCGGAAGGATTATGCGAGATGTTGAATCTTTCTTACCACGTATACGGAATGACATCATGGGACGCCTTGACCAGCACCATGACACCGACGTCCTGACACCCAGCTCGAACACAGGACGAGTCGAGGTACTGCTTGGGAAATCTGACTGAATTAGACGCCTATCAAGTGGTCATGATGATCCCTTCACACCTGAGTCGTGCTGGGAGTAGACGCCCAGGGCGCCACCTCCGAGTGGTGGAATGTCGGCTATCCCCCTAAGTTTCGCGGCTGCCAATCCCGTGCACCATTACATAAGTCGATTTCATCTTGTGCAATCTGCAGCCACAGGCCGGACTAAGTGACACTTACAGGATCCGTCAGGGTCTTCTTTGCTTGCTCCGTTGTTGCGGACTGCTCTGTCTGTCCTACGTACTCGGCACCCGGTATTACGAAAAGAAAACCACTGCAGCTATTTTGAGACCGAGTGATGGAACCAGCAATAGCGAATACGGGGTGCCATTACCAGCCGTGGTGAAAAGTCGCGCCTCCATAATACCAAGCATTTGGCGCCATGGAATCAGTATCGCTACCTGCTCAGCTGGCGAGGACTTCCGTTTACCAAGGCGCTTCTTCACTGGGCACGCTTGGTCTTGGGCTTGGGGGCCTAATGCGGTCAGAGGAACACGTTCTTTGCTCATCGAATTAGTCACGACCACGGAGACTAGAGTAAGCCGAAGGATTGAATACGAGTAGAGTAACGATGCTGACATGCCTTCTCCCTGTCCCCCCTTGGCGCTTGTATTCCCGAGCTTTAGGTCTAGCTCACTACTAAAATCTTACCCCTCTGTTGCACAAGTGCCCATCGGGTGCCATAGAGGAGAAGATCTGATACGGAGTGCTCTCGTGCTCGTAAGTGAGGTTGACGACACTTTCGTTTTTGGGAGAGGTTGACCCTGGGAAGGAGGCCCTGCAAAGCGCCACTGGAACCAAGGAAAGCGCCACTGCCAGCGACGCCAGTGCAAACGGCGCTACCACATCCTGGGCTTCAACTGTGTCGCGAACTCCGTTTCTCGTCTAACCATGGCTATCACCAACTATCGGATGGGCTAGATGAACAGTGCTGCCATGTTGTCCGAAGCGCCTGGCTTGTCCGTCGGCCAGATCGTACTAGCACTCTCCGTAGGGCTCATCTATCCACTCCGTCGCGCGAGACGCAGGAGCTTTCCGGCCAAACAGCAATCGAGAAGGATTGAACCTCCTCTGCGCCTATACCCCGTGTCGGTAAATTGAACGCTCCTACCTCGTACACTACCGAGTAGCTCGTGCTGCCACCAACTTGGCGCTGGCAAACCTCAAATCTGAAGCAGTCGGTGAGGACGACTTGGACACGAAGGAGGTTCGGGAGGCTAACAAGGTCCTCAAGCCTGACCAGATTGCGTCTTGCAGAGGGAAAGTGGCGATGAAGCATACGTTCAACATCATCGTGACCGGCAGCACGAGCAGTGCGTGCCTGGATGCTGACGAACCCGACCCTTGTTCAACCGTCCAGGGTGTCTTTGCTCATACATATCACGACGCCACATTTTTCTGGCGTCAAGGCCTAGCTGCACGGCTCCCCATCAAGCGTACTCGCCTCATACATAAGACTGATAGATTCGGTATTCGATATCACAGGCAAGGTCCTGTTCCAGACCATCGCCATGTTGCAAAATTACAGCGAGCAAGTAAGAATGTTTTCTGACAATATTGAGATAAGTCATGCCCGAGGCTGAATGCCTTTCGTTCGCAAAGGAAGTCTCCGCGGCTTCCCACCCCCCCATGAGCCGTGTCGGATACTCCGTACGAGTCCAAGCAACAACAATTACCAGAGGGGGGCCCTAAATAGCTAGTGCATTTACTACCACCCTTGTAACCGTTGAAGATCCCCCTGAAGCTTGTCGGTCAACAAATGCAAGAGGCTTTGAGCTTGATTATCTGCTTCAAGTTCACAATGGGATTTGTCACGGGCCCATTTCCAGAACTTTTGTTCTTGGCAGCTTTCGGTCGACATATTTGTCAAAACTTCGTGCTTCACGCTGACCCCCTGGATAAGCCGATGAGTAAGCCGATGAGGCGCTGCTCGAGGCCTCCCACATCGAGGGGGAATCATCAACATACGAGGTACCTGCAACCCCTTCATGGTGCCAACTTGAGTAGCAAGGGCCGCAAGTCAAACCACGCCAGCCGTCATCTTCTCGATGCAACAATCTGGATGCTGAAGGAACTTTGTTTGAGCCATGTGCAAACCTCCATGCCGAGGCGCTTTGCTAAGCGCACTCACCTCGTTCATACCTCCTTTCCATCTCAGGGTTCCATCTCAGGCAAATAAATAGACCGGCAATCGGGAACGGTAGAACGCGTATTACACTATTGACAGACGCGGCCATATACACAAGTGAGCATTCACGTCGCACTGTGCGCCTCCCTATGCTGCGCTTGGAATAATCTGCGTCGATCCCAGTCCCAGCGTTCCAAACGTCTTCACAAAAACAGATCCATCGCACCACGGACACCTATCCTTCCGCGTGAGTCCGTGCCTCGGGGAGAGGCATCAGATCCCATGAAGGATCAAATATATTGAAGGAGCAGGCAGCTCTCAGTCCTGGTAAGCTTCAACAAGGGAAGGCGCCGAAGCCATTCACCGAAAGAAAAGCACCTCTTTTGACTATATCCATCTCTCCGATGCTGGGTGATTGAGAAGGATCTGGTGCCGTGGGTACGTAAACCGTCGTGATCTGGCAGCATTGTCTCCTTATTTCCGACGGTCCAAGCAAGAGCGAAGTCTGGTGCAGATGCAGATGGTCTCCGCGGTCAAAACCCCGGTTCAGGCTCGTGTCGCTGTTACCCACGACAACACACGCTTGACGGTGAGACTTTTCATCGCTTTTATTCGTGCTTTTCGAATTTCGAGACATCCACCGCCTATGTCTTGTCCTGATTGCGATGAGAATTTGTGGCAAGACTTCAACAGCCAGGGATATCACGGTCTTAATCTCGACAATGTCTGAATGGCCTAGCTGAGCAGCGGACAGTGTTTGCCTTCAAAACATCCCATGAGATCGACGAGCCGGTCCTATCTAGCGATCTTGGACGCGGAAACCCCCACACTGACATATACTCGGAAAGCTGATGATGCTCTAGGTTTGAATATCGGTAGACATATGAGCACCTCGGAGCTTCTGGAAACAGAAACATGCTCTTTGGTGAGTAGCTTCGCACTGCCCATCCAGATGACTCGGCAATCACTACGAAGAGCAATCGAGGCGGCAGTGGTGCAATGGATCTGCCCATGGAGTAAGGAACGGGAAGACTTAGTCACTCTTTGCCCACCTACCTGCCGTCGTCATTCATGGTCACGCTTTGCTTGTTGCACTGGTTTCGCATTCCCTGATGGTGACCACGGTAGCGCGTGACAGCCAAAGGGTGGTGCAGTCATACAACCCAGGCTGCACGACACGCAGCCTTTGCAAATCAGTTGCCGAGAGGGACTGTCCCCCTGCGGGTGAAGATCATTTACGAGACTGTCAACCTCATGAGTCTTTTGCAGCTCCTCGATAACTTCTGAAGGCCAAACGAGTGCACACGAACAACAGCACCCGTGGCGACGCCTTGGAACAGTGGAACAGGTTTGTAATTCTTGGGAGTCAATTTGACCCAGAGAGGCCAGGTTTTACCACCCCTACGAACCACCTTCCCCATCATTCCGGAGCTGGGCTTCTAGGGTGCTAGTCAAGAATCAAGGGATTTCTCCGATTCGCCCACCAAGGCAGGAATCAGCCCCTGAAGCCCAGAATTCGTCGAGCGTGGAGGTCTTGACTCAGGCAAAGAGGGAAGAGCGACCATTGAGCCACGAACCCGGGCACGCCACTGCCCGGCGTGGCACTCGACGACCTGGGCGGCCCCGGACTCATGAGTTTTTCAGCGAATCGAAATAGCGGAAGGAATGCTTGTCGTGCGGCTCTAACCCGAACAGGCGCTGGAGTGGGGGCCTCGTGTTTTACTGACGCGTCATTTGATTGACTCCCTGCTCTGCTTGCTCTCCTCACGCCATGCACCGGCTTCCAAGGATAGAACAGGCGTGCTCAGCAATTCTTCACCTGAGTGCGCACCTTTTCTTGCCATCCATCCCATCAACTCCTTTCCAGAGCATCACTGTCGTTTTGATAATATCGTTGTAATACTCCTCCTCTCGCTTCTTTTTTATCTGTTGACTGCTGTGAATTTGACCCATTCTCTCCACAGCGTCAGCCATCACTCGCTGCCACCTTCGTTTTTCCCTTTGCCCTGTCACACAAAGGTCACCATCTGACCTGCACTTTGGCGCGCCTCAATTTCCCCTGCCCTCCTCGAATTCCAACCCAACTCCGCCACATTTCCAACTTGGATTGCATCTCGTACCACCAACCGCGGGTAAAGGCCATCCGTCCTTCTAGAATAATCATATCTCTCCATCCTTTTGCATAGAGACACACAACCTTTCATTATCGACTGCATATCACCCCCCGAGAGAAGGGTCAGTTAAACGCCCTACACAATGGCAGGACGCCTCTTGCGAACCGTCCTCCTCGTGGCCGTCGTGGCTCCTGCTGTTCTTTCACAAGCCACCTGCGGTGGTGGCAAGCAGTGCCCTGAAGACAAGCCTTGCTGTTCACGTAAGTCCCTAGTCCCCGTCAAAACGACTGTGCAACCTCAGCCATCCTGACTCGCCCTGCTAGAATATGGCGAGTGTGGTGTCGGAGCCTACTGCCTGGGAGGCTGCGATCCAGTCAATTCCAATTCTCTTGACTCGTGCGTTCCTATGCCCATCTGTCAATCGAAGACCTACACATTCGACAACCTCGATCGTGTGGTGTCAAACACAAAATATCTTGGAGATGCGAGCAAAGCCGACTGGGTTTCGTCCGGCACGCCTCTTTCCCACAATGGTCAGGTGCTCCTGACCATGGCTGAGGGAACTGTTGGCACCCTGTTAGCGAGCACGGCATATGTCTGGTATGGAAAAACCACTGCGAGATTTAGTACCGGTGCCGGTGCCGGTGTCGTCACTGCTTTCATTTTACTCGGCGACTCCAAGGACGAAATCGATTTTGAATTTGTGGGAGTTGAGTTGACGAGTGCTCAAACCAATTTCTACTCCCAAGGCATCACCAACTGTAAGTCCAGGTCCAGTTTCCAAATCGTCACATTCGCTAACGCTCAGATCAGACGATAACGGTGGAAACACCACTGGCCTTTCCGACGTCAATAAAAACATGCACGAGTACGAGATTGACTGGCAGCCTGACACCATTACTTGGTCAATCGACGGCAAAGTAGTCCGCACCCTCGACCGCGACACAACCTGGAATGCCACGGCTAATCGTTATTCATTCCCCCAAACGCCATCTCGAGTGCAGCTGTCACTATGGCCTGGTGGTCTGCCTACCAACGGAGAAGGCACCATCGAGTGGGCTGGAGGCCTTGTCCAGTGGGACTCTCCATACATGACCAACGGCTACTACTACGCCGCCTTTGATGAAGTCTCGGTCGAGTGCTACGATCCTCCCGCTGGCGCCAAAAAGTCTGGAAGCAAGTCTTACATTTTCAACGATAAATCCATGACCAATCTGACCGTCGAGATTACCAACGATAACACCGTCTTGAAATCTCTTCTGGGGACTGGCACAAATATGAGTGCAGACTATGCTCATTCCTCGGCAAGCGCTTCCGGCAGTGATGTTGCTACCGTCCCTGGTCTTACTGGTGCCGGCCCCGGAACCAATGGCCAGCGCCCTGACAATGGCACTTCGAGCAGCAGTGACGGTGGCGATGACTCGGGCAGCAACACCGCTTCTACCACAGGCAGTGCCTCCACTGGCTTCATCCAAGGTGGAGGAGATTCGAGCGGTGCCGGCCAGATTGGCGGAAACTCCGAATCCGCCCTCAAAGGGAGCCTATTCGCTGTCATTGTTGCCATCGTCGGTTTGTGTGTGTTGTAAATGACGGCTTTTTATCATCGTAGGCTCGGGCAGAGGCGTACGTGCGCATTATTTCACTGGGCGTTTTTGCATTGCGATGGTTATGGGCTTTGGAGTCGTGATATCCTCTAATTCTTAGGTCTGACATATTCGGTGTGATTTCATGTCATTTCACAACAAGATGCAATCTCATGTGTCGAGATGTCAAGGGTCAAAAAGGAGCCTGCGAAAGCTGATTTGAACGCCAGCAGAATTAAAAGCTCCTCGAACTTTGTCAGCACTTGACAAAATATCATTCACCATACTCCTACCTACATTCATCTGAATAAGTTCGCTACGTAGATACCCTCAGTAAAGATTGTTCATACATATATGGACAACGAGCTCGACCGCCTGGTCGATGAGAATCCTAGGACAGGACATATAATGCCAAGATATCTTGGTCAGCACGTCTCTTTGACGGTCTAGTAACCTTGGTCCTAAACGACACATCTACTACCACCGCCTTTTTGTTCTCCATCCCGCCTAATAGGATGTGCGCCGAATGCGCAGCCCCCATTACAGTTGGTCTCGTCAGCCTTGATGCCGAGGGTTAGTGGTCAGCGCACAGGATCCACAACCACAACCACGTACACCCACACCCACACCCACACCCACACCCACACCCACACCAGGGACAAGTCCACCAGCTGGGAAAACGGTTGGCAACGCAGGAGAGGCGGTTTACATTTCTTCTGAGGCCCTTGATATTTGCTTGTGCATGGACAGGCACTATAGTGGTTTGCGTTCCGAGAATCCCGGCCTTCACTGGACATCTTCTCGTCCCTCCCGGCTTCCAAATCTCATTCACTTTACACCGGGCCCCTCGAGGAGGCCGTTGCGAGGACCATACACGCCGCCAGGTGCATAGACAAAGACTCCTTGGAAAACGGCTTGTGATACGTATCCCGCAGAGCCTCTGCAGGAATATCACCCAAGATGAATGGTTGGAAGTCCTGAGACGTGTCTGAGCTGGTAACTTCCGGCTTTCTGGTGATTGTTGCTGGTTGTGCACGATTGTTCTCTGCAAGCGGGTGTAGTCCCTCTGCATTGGCCCAGAGGGTCAATGATAGAGACCAATCCGAATCGGCCCATGGTGGCGGGATATATCGGACGTGGCTACTATTTGTGAAGGCTCTCCCCGCCAGGTAAGTTGTTCCCCGGTCCAACTCGCCTCACAGATCGGTCTCCTCCGGCACCAACTCAGCGTATAGATCCACGAGCGCGCCATTGATCCTTTCGATCTTCGCCGTCAATGAGTCCGTGACTTCTCCACTTTTCTGGGAGACAATGCCGGCGATGAACTGCGTGACTCGCCGGAATGTTTGAACCATCTGTCGGTATCCCGGTGACTCTGTGAGTGACTGGGCCGCCGGGGCGAAAGCTGGGGCGAACGCTAGTGTCAATGCCGCTAGCCTGCTCTAGAGAGGGGACAGTGTGTGGGTTACAAAATGGGAAGAAACTGACTAGTCAGGGCAGGAGTGGCTCATGAACTTGCTTGCAGTGATTCGATGTACGCCTTTGCGGCCCTCAACGTCCTGAACTCTGTGGTATAGTCTGTCGCCGAGAGTGCATCGTCAAAGTACTCTTCTGGGATGATCTCCTGCAAGGCATTTGCCGCTGCTCAGTCGTGGTTTCGGCGATTCTTCGCGTGTCCCGCAGCCCCAGCTTTGGCCTTTGGTGCCATTGCGTCTTTGCGATTGTGCAGGGAAGAACGCATGGTTCACTGTTGTTGTGAAAGGGACGGTTTGTCTTTCTGGCTGTCGGTGGTAGTTTGGAGGTGGGTTGAGCAAGAAGCACAGCTGTTCGCCCTTCCTGGATGTGCGCGCAGAAATGCCAGTGTCAGCACGGTAGATCGGCTGGAAGTTTGGACTGCCTGTATGTCAGCGATGGTTAGCGGGGAATACACTGCTTGTGAGCTTCACTTACCATTTACTGCTGTCACAGAGGTGACCAACGAGCACTCCATGTGGTCTTTGCTTGTCGTATCCACCAGAGCCCAACCAGAAAGACTCTGGTCACCATTGGTGTTCTGGAATACCGCCTAGAGATGAGGTCGCCCAATTAATTTCCAAGCAAGTCGCATGGTACACTCATGGAAGCTACCAGATTGACTATCTATCTATATATATATATATATATAATCCCCGAACTATCGTCGCCCTCGACATTTTCGCTAACTCATCCCTCGCCGCTTTGCTCTCCCGCTAACGACTATTTAGTCTATTCGCTCCCTCGTCTGCTCTCTTCTCCTCCCTTTCACTCTTTCGCGCTCCGTTTCTACTCCTACCTACTCTCTTCTGCTCTCGTCTGCTCTTCGACGGGCTCTAGCTCGCTCCTGCCGTCCTCCCTCACGTGCCGGTGAGGCTCCCGTTCGGGCTCCAGTCTCATAGGCGCCAACGTCGCGCACATCCCAGCCCCGTGGTAACTTTACCCGATCACATCTATGAGGGCCCGTTTCGGCTCTGGTGAAAGGTAGGATCCGTGAGAGGATCCTTGAAAGTATGCCCTACTACTATACGTTGCTGGACGGCGTCGACGGAACCCCCTAGTTCTGTAGTATAATGCTTCTCTCCCTCTTTTCCTTTCACTATACTCTCTTCCTCTTCCTCTCCCTCTCTCGGTCCTCATATTGTCCCCTGCCCTCTCTCTACTTCTCGTGAGAATCACTCTTCTATTCACTCTTCTAACTACCTAAACGAACCTTCCTCGCGTTTCGTCGTACTTTAACCCTCTCTCCCCAATCGTCTGCTTTTCCTTTCGTCTCGGCGGTCGTCCTTCCTTAAGCTCCTACTATACCCCGGCGCTTCCTGCCCCACTCACTGTTTTCCTAATACCGAAGAGAAAGAAAACCGCGGCGGAAGTCTTTGATAAAGCAGAGGAGAATGGCTGGGAGCCGATTGCCGACGCCAGTGTGAATGGCGATCCGGTCAGTAAACCTATTGAACCAGGGACTGAGCTGAACTACGACCGAATGGCCGTCCTCTGGGACGAGTAAGTTCTTCACCCGCCTACCGGCCGTACTAGGTCTTACTAATAAAGGTGAACTCTAGCGTGTAGGTATACTAGGCGAAATCCTGGCGTAAATCCCTATAATTTTGAACAGTAACGAGTGTTTTCGATTCAATATAAGACTAAATTTCGAACGCTGACGGATGTCTATATAAAACTATCACAGGAATCTCGCTATCGACCCCCTTAGAATTGTATTTTACGGAAATACATGGTGTGCTCCTCGTGACCGGTATGGCAGTGTAAGCGTGCATGCTACAAGACAACCATGAAATGCGACAGAGACCATCGCCAGTTACCCTGGCTCATGCACGACGAGCCAGTAAGATGAGCGCTCCGCCGCTTGTCAAGCTTCCTGAGCCTAAAGTTTTAACGAACATCTCACTCTCCTCACTCAAGTCTATGAAGAACGTCCCAATCCAGCAAGAGACAGTCTAACAGTCTTAGCCACCACTTAAAGTTCACCCTTCCACGGTACCGCTGGCAGTGCTTCATTGGAAGCCGTGCGAGGCAATGATTTCTTTTTCTTATCAAACGATTCGAGCACAGGAGATGCAGTATATCACTGACAATTACCAAGGTGCGGTGCAATGCTGCCGTCTGGTGCCGTCGCAACCTCTGCCTCGTGCGAAATAGACTAGGTAAGTAAGCTGTCGCACGTGCTCATCCCCGAAATAGAATTCTTGCCTATCTAGGTAATCGAAATAGACTACTTGCCTACCTAGGTAATCATACCGTTACACACACATCCAACAAACCTAGATAGGGATAAGTCGGGCCGTGCTTTTCCCTATTTCTTGTGCATGTAATGTTAATCGACCAGTCGTGGTCAGACATTTGTCTAACAATACGGCTTCTCGCCCCAGAAAGTGTGGATCGATATCTTCTGCCTGGAGTCTTTAAGACTCAACTATATCAATGCGCTGGATACTAAACAGCACCAGCAGCGGCAGTCATTGGTCACAACGCAAACAAAGTGAAGCCAATCTGTGTCCGATGGAGCACTCCGCAACCCCACTAGTACCTACCGGTCTCGATCTCCTTATCACCATGCCGAGGGCTAGACTAGCAACACAAGCACCATCGTGGATGGTTCACTCGGCTATGGCTACGGCTACAGCCATGAAGATGGCCACATCCATGCGGCCGAACAGATATATCTCGACCTGTCGGCCCTCGAGACTGTCGATTCCTCAACAAGACAAATTACAGTAGATCTTCGATAGCTATTCGGGGGCCCGCCGTCTACACAAGATGTCCCATGAACTAGAGAAGGGGAGCAAAATGGACAGCAAAGACGCAGTCATCGAAATGACCAACATCACTAATACCACGGGCGACAAGAAACTAAGGCGTAGGATCGACCTGTATCTGATGCCTCTTCTGACGATCTCATTCCTGCTACAATTCCTGGACAAACAAACCCTCAGTCTTGCGTCTGTGATGGGATTGATTCAAGATATGGATCTCAAAGGCACGCAATACTCCTGGTCCGGATCAATCTTCTATTTTGGATACCTAACGCTCTCGTATCCTGCGGCCTATCTCATGGTCAGACTTCCTCTGGCGAAATTTCTGGCTATTTGTTGCATTATCTGGGCCACAGTGTTGGCCTGCCATGCAGCAACGACCAACTTTACAAGTCTGGCAGTCACACGCTTCTTCCTAGGTGCTGCTGAGAGCAGTCTGGCGCCGGGCTTTGGTCTCATCATTTCCAGCTTCTACACTAGAGCAGAGCAGCCATTTCGTTTAGGAATTTGGTTCCTTGGTGCCTCCTTTGGAACCATGTTTGGCGGCTTATTTGGGTATGCTATCGCGCACATTCATTCGACGGTTCTCGCAAATTGGCAGTGGTTGTTTGTCATCCTCGGGATCGTCACCTTTCTCTGGGGCATACTTCTCTTCTTCGTCTTGCCGAGCTCTCCAAAAGATGCCAAATTTCTGTCTGCGGAACAGAAAAGTAGAGCCATCGCGAGGATCTGCGAAAATCAAACTGGACTCAACGAAGACCGGCGCTGGAAATGGGCTCAAGCGGTAGAGGCATTGACCGATCCCAAGATCTGGCTGGTTGTGATCTATCAGCTGGCAATCGCCATTCCCAATGGCGCCGTCACAACTTTTATGTCACTTGTTATTTCTGGTATCGGCTTTTCGCGATTCGAGGTCTATCTTTTACAGATGCCCGTCGGTTTCATCCATGGTTGTGCAGCGCTGATCTCGACCTACATTTGCAGCCACGTCAAAAGCGCCAGGTGCTGGGTAGGCATGGGACTGAATGTTATAGCAATCGTCGGTACTATCCTAGTTCGATATGGACCCAACACAGCTGCAAAGCTCGTTGGCTTCTTCTCATTCGTTCTATTCGGATCCGGCATTCCTATTGGACAGTCAATGATCGCTTCGAACGTCGCTGGGTTTACCAAGAAGTCTGTGGCATCAGCAATGATGTTCTTTGCTTATTGCATTGGGAATATCAGTGAGTCACTTCTTAATAGCACCCCTAGCCAAATTGCGCTGACCCCCTTCTCTAGCTGGCCCTTTCCTCTTCTTTCCGTCCGAAGCAAAGCGGAACTATCCGTCTGGATTCACCGCTATGACTATCTGCTTTGCAATCGCCGGCGCTGCTGTGTTCATCTTACGCATCGTCTTGGTCGTTGAAAATCGCAAACGGGATCGCGAGCAAGGGGTCATGGCATCTGAGGAAATCTCTGCTGCAGAGCGTACTGACGAGGGAATACTGACGGACCGGACAGATGGTAAGAACAAGAGCTTCAGATATTTGTTGTAGTAGTACGCCAAAAGTGCGTACACGTGGGTGCCAGTTGATTCCTCAAAAGAGTACGGTAATATGGAAGACGTAGCTCCACCACCAGTTGTTGTTGCAAGACCACGGTCTCTCACAAATTTGTTACCTGCATTTCATGGTCGCCAAATCGCGACGCATTCTATCAGCCGTGTGCGCACCGTTATGAGCTCACCTAATTGCCTATCGAACATAAAAAATATATATATCCTACTCAAAAGTCTGCTGGAATTATGGCTAAGCCTTCAGAGCCTGTTCAATCAGTCCCGTCATCTCGAGGACCTTCTCTTCCTCTAACCGCTTTCCTACGCACTGTAGCGAAACAGGAGCCCCATGATAGAACTCTGCGTCGTAGTCTGCCTGAATCCTGCCGTCAAGTTCCGACAGTGGTCTAAAAGACTTCATATCTCGAGATTTGTCCTGCACCTTATCGGCAAAAAGTACAGGGAAGGTGCAGACAGAAAAGTCTATGACTATTAGATGACAATCACTCGTAAGGCAGAGAGCACTCACCAATATAGTTCCACAGCCCTGTGTAACCAATATATAGATCATTTTGCGTACCTTGTAGTCGAGGCGCCGCATGAGGGGCGGTTGCCATAACGATACCATCTAGAGGCTGGCCGTCTGGTGCTCCAGTCATCCAGTACTCTAGGTATGCTTGCTGTAGCTCGTCCCGCTTGAGAATCATTTCACGAATTTCAGTAACGCCGACTTCTTCAGCCTCTGCGGCAACCTCATAGGCTTTCATGGACGGGAAGATAGGCTCTCCGTATGGCTTAATGTCATTGATGATAGCGGCACCACCGAGCTTGAAAAATGCTTCCACCAAATTTTTGGTAATAACATCATGGTGTTTCGGCGTCCATGGAATTATAGTATGTCCAGCAGCCTTGAGCTTCTGAGCGGTGGAATCCAGCGCACGTTCTACCGGTGGATGACAGTGAACAGATCCATCGTTGTTGCCGATTAGACCAAGTCGCAACTTTCTCCCTGGTGGCTGGATAACGTTTTTTCTCCATGGGAGCGGTACGCATTTGTAATCACGGGTCCACGGCGCAGAGTGCTCCGAAAGTAGAGCTTCCGAGTAGATCTGGAGTGACTTTAATGACCTTGACATTGGACCATTAACCGCCACAAGAAACTCCTGTCCAGTTACACCGGTCTTACCGCCATAGGCAGGAAACCTGCCAACGGAAGGCTTTAGGCCGTACTGGAAACCCTGAGCAGCCGGGATTCTGATGCTGCCGCCAATGTCGGTACCGACTCCTAGAGGTGATCCCTTAAAGGATATAAGGGAGCCTTCTCCACCAGAAGAACCTCCAGGTGTGAGACGCTTATGAAGAGCATTTCGTGTCTCACCCCACACATGATTGATTGTCTCCGCCATCTTCATGGCTGTCGGGGTATTAGTCTTGACGTAAAAGACGGCTCCAAGCTCTCGCAGCATAGTCATAATGACCTGTTCCTTGTCTGTTGCCTCGTTTGCCCAGTTCGACATTCCAATTGAAGCCGGATGAGGCGGTACAATGAAACAATCCTTTAACGATATTGGCAGCCCATGTAATGGCCCAATAGTCCTGCCATTCTTGACGAAGTAGTCATCAAGGTATTGGGCACGCTCATATGCTTCATCATAGAGAACCTCGGTGATACAATTGGTGAGTTTCTGCGCGTATGATGAGGCCTTGCAGAAAGCTTTTGTAACCTTGAGTGAGGTCCATTCCCTGTTGGCGATATTTTGGAGTATAGTCTCTGCCTCCGTCTCTATGATGGTCCGCTCTTCAGGTGTGTAGTAACCCGAATTGAGTGCATACTCGGTGAGATTGTCTGGTAATGAAGCTTCATCGGCTTCCGGTGGGTTATAGTACGCAGCTATTTTGGTGTTGCGACGGTTTTGCGCGATGGCTGCAACCTCGCGGTAGTTTTGTACAGTCATAATGTGCTGCTGCAATGTGTTTGATGAGCTGCTAAGAGAGACGTATCTTAATCGGCTGCTCGAATACTTCTGTCGACTTCGAGAACGGTGCCGGTCTAAATATACCTTACTGTAATCCTCCACTATCGGACAAATCAAATCATAGATTAGATCTCTTTCCTTTTCCGTGTGTTTGGAATATCGCGGTACTCCATCAATGCGGGCTTGGGACTGGTTTCGTACTAAGCGCGCGCACTTGCCCGCCTAATTAGGAAAGCTCGCACAAGACCGCGAGGAGCGGCATGTCCGAAATATGTAAGGGAAGATTCGTCACCCCGACGCCATGAGGTCACGTGGGGAGCGAGATTTCGGCTAGAGAACTTTCCTCATTGAGGTTCCGCGGGGTCACCAAATCGTGAATCACCTGCTCGTCAGGAAAGCAATCTACCGTGCTTGCATCACCACCTTGGCCATGACTCTCGATACCCGTAGCGCGAGCGGAAAACTTAGAAAGGGAAAGCCTAGGGGCAAACGACGCGACCGAGACTGCTCCACGTGTCAGGACAGAGGAATCAAGTGCGACGTCAACCGACCTTCGTGTGGCCAGTGTCGTCGCGACGACCTGATCTGCCCTGGATTTGCTATACGAGTTCGCTGGGCCGCGGATGCCACCAACGCGGATTCAACAGCAGTGACGACGTCGAATAATGGCATCTTGGCCTCCGCCGGGGTGTCCGAGTCGAACATTAATGAAGGCGTCGAGGCAACAAGCACGAGCACAGATCTTTGCGTTGAACAGAATTCTTCAAGTTCTGTAATTCCATCGCGGGCGAGCGTCGAAGATAGTCCTAATTGGACCTCTAACCTGGCCGACTACCTGCACTATTTTACCTCAAAGTACGCCCAAGCAAGAGTCGCACGAAATCCCCATGTTAGACCTGCTCCTGACGACCCCGGAGGTGTTGCTGGCGTCTGGCACTTCGCATGGGACCACATCAGTCAGTGTCTGCGAGAAAGTGGCTCCCACCACGCACTTGATAAGCACCTGCTATATTCCGGGGCTCTGCAAGGACTTAATCAAGCTGTACAAGAAAGCGATATTCTTGCGATCTTTGGAATGACGACATTGGCGTTTCTCGACGTGCGCGAGGGACCGTTCGGCAGGTGGGCTCGTCATCTATGTGGTGCGAAAGCACTACTTGACCTTCATTGTCAAGACTTTGAAACACTGTCACAGTTGTATTCGACAACACCTGGCTTAAAGCAAGCCGTCTCATTGCTCCTGTGGTACGATGTCATGGGACTGGTAATTGATCAGGACCGGCATCTAATCTTCGATGACTTCCACCGCAGAGACATGGAACCGACGTTTTTCGAACTCGTAGGATGCGCGCAGGATACCTTTAGGCTCTATGTCGAGATTGCTCAGGGTTACACGACAGCCGCCCCACATCAGGCGTACCATCGCATATGTACTCAACTGCTCAAGGTCAGCCGTAGCCCGGATAATGAGATGCTTCTGTTACAAGATGCGTGGAGATACGCAGCTTTCTACGTTGCCCTTGACTATCTGCACCCAGATAGTGTTAAGGAGACGGACGAAGCAGCTGCACTGGTCGCCGACAGTATATGCGATATTGTGGACAAGATTCTGCCGCTGGAGAACCACCTTTTTGTTCACTTAAAGGTTCAAGTCTTCTTCATGGGCATATTCGCACCCAAGGAACGCCACCTCCGCAAAGCAGACTCTTTCTGGCGCTTTTGTGAATCCTCGTCGCCACCTTCCTACTCCATGGCACAAAAACTCTCTGCCGCGCGCCGGAAGAGAAGATCGCAGAAACAAGTCAGTACTGGGAACAGCTCGGGGGTGTCACAAGCCTAAGCACGATACCAAAGCAAAACCCTTCACAAGATAGGACATGGTAAACGAAAGCAATTGACTATGGTGGAGGACGTCTCGTTCCGTTTTAGGAAAGTCTTCTATGCGTTTACTCACGGCAGGCCAGTCCTGCAGAGCAGTGGTGGGGCAACGGAGGTCCCAAATAGGCTTTTTGCCATCAAATTCCCAGACGAACCCCTGTTTGAGTCGCATACAACAATGGACGTGTGAAAAAGCAGTGGATAGTGTTTGAGGGTCCGCCAGTCATACTCTAACACGGTGTACATACTCTAAGAGGCATGTTATCAAAACCCGCAATGTTTGATCGCAAGGGCTACGGCACCGAAGACCACTATGTCGCATTATAGTCTGAATGTACCAGAGTGATGCACCGATAATCGCCCAGGGAAATTTATATAAGATGGATGTCGTGTCACTTCGTAGGATGCGTGGTCATCACCACCTTACCAGACAGCAAAGGTATATAACCTCATACAATGGCCCCGAACGGCAAGGCCTATGTTGCAAAGCCAGATGCACCGGAGCCCCTTTTCCATTATCCCCAGGCTCGTTTCGCGCCAGAAACGCCGCATCGTATGCTGTACATTTCCGGCATCGCTTGCGACAGGCCTGATGGTACATGGCCTGGTGTCAGGGAGAATAAGGATGGAACTCTCACCCTCGATATCCGCAATCAGACAGCTGCCGCACTAGACAACATCGACACCATCATCAAGTCTGCAACAGGGGGCAAGGGGAGCATCAAGAACCTCATCGAAGCTACCGTGTACATCTTGGATAGAGAGTCGGACTATGTGGGCATGAACGAGGAATGGAATAAAGTCTTCCCTACACGAGCCGACGGTCCAGCTAGAGCAACGATTGCGGTAAAGCAGTTGCCAGATCCTCGTATGATCGTGGAAATTAAGGCCAGTGCAGTAATTGAGCTGTGAACACGAACGAGCTCGAACATTTCAGCAACACGGCCACTCTTAAACTCGACAGATCGACACCACTTCCGCGCAAATGACAACGGTATAAAATAGCGATCAACGAAAGGAATATTCTATAAGCTCTGTCGGGCAAGTAATCTGGGAAGCGTATCTCGTTGACGTTCAATATCTACATGGGGCCTAAATTTAGATTCTATGGTTCCGACCGCGAGTCGAGTTCCAAAGTCCAACGTCAATGAGTTCCACCGCACTTAAGTTCTTTTCATCTGCACATGTATCGTTTTCAACCGAGTGTCCAGCCCCTTTGATAGATTCAGCCTGAAGAAGGTGAGGCGACTCCTGTTGACATTTCGTTACACTGTAGCGTGGAGTATCAACGTGAAACACATATCTTACTCAGTGGACACCGAGATTTCTTGCGCCAGGAACTCGTTTAATGACTCGGCACCTTAACCTCATGATTGAAACTCCCAAGTTCAAGTTATACAGCCTAGTTACTATCGAATTAAGACTAAATAGACTTTGACGATATCACAGGACTTCTACGAGAAATGAGTATCGTATAGCGTATACTGCCAGGAGAAACATGCGCTGGAGCGTCTTCAGCTTTTATCGTTTAGTCAAAGGACAGTCAACTCTCGACTACAGCCCGACGGCTGCCCGCTACGTTGACAAGATGTTGTGTTGGACGCGAGGGTGCCACTTGTTCTGAAAGCATCCAAAGTCGCACCTGATTACACAATATAGGACGACTATGATTGAATTGTACGTGTCCAGGTGCGCTATGTGTGGGCGCTGATCACAGACCCTGCACGTACCTTCGCACATGATGGAACGAGTCAGAAGTGCTTAGCCACCCCCAGCTGTCAGACCAAGCCCGAGGGGCCCCTAAGCCCGAACTGGCTTCTGAGAACGGGCATTAGACAAGCTCCCCTTGGCTCCCTACGGCTTATCTAGTGCTCGGCCGGGTATCCGTCACGTGCCCGAGTAAAGCGGCCTCGCTCCCTTTCCTGAACGAAAATGGTAAGGGACAAAGCACAGTTCGGGGCATATATAATGTATATATATATATATATGGGGAGAGGAGGAATAATTTGGGACCTGAAATGGCAGGCGAGGAGCGATACTTATGGCTGTCCTGAGGTCCGCAAGCCCGACCCCCGACGACCAGATCGCAAACAAACGTGACGCGCAGGATCGAGATCCGCTCGCTGCTTCTGCAATGTGACAAACTTCACATGAAGCAGGACCGCAATTGGGCACAAACGTTTCTCATGATCTTCGGGCGCTTCTGAGACCTCGACCAGGAATCAACCAACGATCGCGAGTCCGGTTTCCTGGATGATGGTATCTAGAATCAACACAAGGCTAGCCCCCTTTCTCTGAATGGGGCCTCGTACAGATACCTCTATGGCTTGTTCAGTTTGCTAACAATCGGCAAGCCTATCGTTTGTGTTTGTTAACGATACTGCGCCATTGTCACAGGGATGTTTGATCCATGTCACCATTCGTTCTATTTGCGGGGTTGTTTACACTCCAATACAGCGTCTATCATTGGATTTGACGAGGTTTGGACTATGGGAGAAACAAAGCTGATCGCAGGGGAGCTCGGGATTTTTCGCTCCTTCCCGTCACCACGCCTTTAGAGAAACAACCACGACGTTCCTGTCCGAGTCACCCACCGCCGGTTCAACAACCCTTGTCGTCAAAATCGCCAGCTCATCGTCCAGCTCTAGTCGAGCCTTGTCGACAACCGGCTCCCCTTCGCAGCCTTCCAGGTCGCACCCTTGGTCAAATGTCATGTATCCGGTCGAGGATGTGGCTCGTAGGACCTTGAGACTCTGCGTTGCGCTATCTGGTAGCGCTAGGTAGAGATTGTTGTTCTTCCCGATGGCAATGCTGCCCCTTTTGCGAATGCTCGACTCGTTGAAGCCGGGGATCACGGTCGATGACCATTGGCCTAGTGACCGCCAAATTCAGCATACTTGAGAAAGGCCATTGCGGGTCACCGAGTTCCTCACCTGATGGAGAACGGTAGTAGTGCTTCCATTGCAGCTTCCCACCCGTCTTATCTCTATTCAAGACGTGCACACCGCCAACATGGTCCACGGCCTGCGATTCCTGATTCGTGAGGCCCGAGTTCTTGGGGATGGAGAATGCTACGATGCCCTCAGTGTCAGGGGTCACCGACTCCCCTTCATCAATATCAGCCACGGTGTTGCCACTTGCTCCGGTCTTCCACGTCCTTCCGACGTCATCGCTGTACGCGTAACAGATGTCGTAGTTGTTCTCTGCGCCGTTCGGTCCGGCTTGTGCCTTATGCTTCGTGTCTCGCGGGTCGTCCCACCCTTCGTACCATACGAACCCCCGGTATGTCCATGTGACGTGAAGTCTGCCGTTTCGATAGTCTAGCCCGTTGATGTACGGATTGTTGTTCACGCCGGTCAGGTGCTGTCCGATCGCAGTGTAGCTTCTGCTCGACGCGGAGTACCTGTATAGCACATCTGACCCGAGCCCAGCTCTAGGATTACCGTGAGTTAGACTTGCCTCAGCGGATCATCCAAATGAGGCTGTCAGGGTGTAGACCACTGACCTTCCCAAGCGATGCGTGAAAAGCAAGTCGTCATCGACGCACCGAAATCGAGGATATGATACATCCTGGAACGTCTCGAGCCTCGACGACAGACCCGGCAATGCATCCAGAGTTCCTGTAAACTGGCTCGCCACCCATTGATGCTTTGCCGGTTCCAGCGCGAGTCCAAATATCGATTGCCGATATCTCAATCTGTAAATACGTCCAGGTTCAGCGAGTCTCTCACGAGGTCACAGCCCACGGGCGGCAAAAGTGGGCAAGTGTCAGCGACAAAGCAAAACAAGAAACTGTGTTGGATGGTGCATACGTATCGCAATGGTGGTCGTATGACAGGTGGATTGATCCGTCACCGTGACAGATCCCGACCTGAGCAGTGTTGTGCCCATCATCCGTCGTCTGTGGGTAATCCTCGAAGACGACTGTCTCCCACGCCTGCTCCGTCAGAGGTCGTCTGGCAAGGTGGAGGTACAGCGGTGCATCCGCCTCCTCCAATGCCTCCGCCCTCTCCGCGGCACACGTGGAGTAAAAGACGGCATATTGCCAGCCGTTGAACGTCGTGAGGGCATCTTCCTGGTATGATACCCCATTGAGCCGGTGCCTGCGCTGTTTGGCGTCTCGACCAAGGATTGAAGTCCATGGAGACTGCATTCTTTGGGTATTGAGGTTGATGTGCGACCTAATGGCCACCCGACGTGCGAGCCCGAGGGCTGAATTTACACGCCCGTTGGCTGAGGTGCCTCGGGGCAAATGCCACCGAAGGTCTTTCAGGGCGTGAAGTCTGGTTTACGGTTATTTAATTAGACGAAGCTTGCTTGTTGGTCTTATGATTGAGACCCTGGACCCCATCGCCTCTTCGGGACGTGACTGATGTACCCCCGCCGCTGTGATATTTGTCTACGGGGTGACTGACTTGCCTGTTATTGTCGGCTCATCGCCCAGATCTATTCTTATCACAATATTATCCAACGTCCAATGTTTGACTGAAGTGTAGGCCCTCGATTGTAATGAACCTCGTTGCCATGTCTGATGGAACTGGTTCATCAAGTGCAGGAGACTACCTAGAGCGGGTGGGAATTCGAAAATCTGCTCATGGGATTAGGCCAACAGAAGCGACTCCCCATTTCCCAACTCTACATATACGGGTGCACCTGCTGGAGCAGGATCGCTGTCGCCTGCAGCATTTTGGAATGCTTGAACTTGCGCGAAAGCCTCCGGTACCGTCAAGGCCTTGCGACGAAGCAACGGTGCAATGAATCCCGACTTGTTCTTGTCTTCGTCGTGGGTTCCAATCCAGAATTTCGCATTGAGCAACTGTTGTGCTTTGATAGCGTTGACTGCACCCAAGTTAAGTTGCATGCCCCAGGCAATGGACACGTCGTGTAACCCATGAAGAAGTGCTAGGGCATCTACGGGCGGGTCTGCAGTGGTGATGGTAATGACGGCGGTAGTCGCTAATCCGTGGGGGGTGTATATGACCGCCTCCGCAGCTCCGGCGGTAGATTCTGGGTCACTCATGCAGATGAGTACTGCGGAGTGGTAGTATAAAGCATCGGAATTGGTCACAATCCTGCTGATACCTAGCGAATCTGGCAGTGGAGGAGTACTTGTTGTCCGCCAGTCCTGTCCGCGACTGAACGTTGGCATTTCAACGACTATTGAAAAATGGTTCCAAGAACGGATCAGTCGCGCTGCTTTCCCACTGGCGAAGACTGGAACGTTTGGAGGGACTTCATGAAGCGTAGCCTTGTGGCAGTGGTCTGTGAACTCGTGAGAGACCACCACTGCATCAATGTAGGATGATTCGATGGCACTGTCGGATACCCTACTACCCTGATGCTCAATATCTTCAGCAGCTCGCAGGAGATCTTCAAGCTCGTAGATTGAGCCCACATTGCTCTCCACCGCATGCCATTGCTTGGAGAACCAGCCAGCGACGTCTTCTTGCGGACCTCGCAACCACGGATCTATCAAAATGTTGTATCGAGACCTCTGGCCAGGCACGGGAACCCGGTGTAAATACGGCACGGACAACAACCAGCTGGTGTCGGTGTTGAGATGGGTCAAGATCGGCCGCCTTGTTTGGTGTGCATTTCGCACAGATTCTTTGAGACTGTCCCGCAACTGGTCCGCAGCGGCCTCGTCATATGGATTGGTCATTGATTGGGGCGACCACAAGGTTGTGTTTTGGTTCAAGGACCTTGTACCTTGACTAAGTAAAATCACGGGCGGCGGGAGGACGCTACCTATGAAAGTACACACCATCCGAGTACCTGACGAGGAACTTTGAGTTATCTGAGGTAAACCCCGGTGCCATCTTTCATCCAGTCAAGGCTCAGCATGAGCTCATCTTCTTTAGTTTCTCTGACGTCCGAGTAGGAAACTCCGCATTTTGGAGGCGGGGTTCATGGCACTCCACTGCCAGCATTGGTCTCCCTTCAGGAACCAAATTTCTTTCCTTGTCCCGTTGACCATCCTGTGTGGCATTGGTTTAGACAAAACTATTGGGACTTTATGGACTATGCATGTCAACAGGGTCATTCCAGATCCGAATAAACCCACAGATTCGCCCTTTGGACTTGAAATCGTTCGAGTTGCGCAATCTGATAGACCTCTTACAGTACGACTAATACAAGTATGTACTACGGTGTAACACTCGGCACCAGAAGTGAAGGAAGCAGTGCCAAGAGGCCAAGACCCTTATCGCGATAAGATATGGTATATTAGGTCTAGCGTGCTCCTACAGTTTATCTCAACGTGAAGGTAGGCTCTTTCACACGCACAACGGCAGGAGCAGCCGCTTGACACGTGAGCAAAGACCTGTAGCTGGTGAAGAGCTGCCTGCGGGGTGAAACGAATAACAACGTGGCCCACTCATCACCACCTTTGCTGCTCTACAACAATCAATCACCACAGACAAGAGAAGTCATCTATAAAACGGAGGGATATTCCCAACAAGACTTCCAGAATTGGTGCCAACACGCACAAGCCTAGTGAGAGAGACTGGGCGGAGGGGGCTAACGACACCACAGGCTAAACTCTCTACTCGTACGCGTTCTCCATCTCCACCACCGGCAGCACACCCACTCAATTGTCCTCTGTCACTGGTGTCCTCTGTGGGTGCCTGTTCATCCCACTTCAGGCTCCCCCCCCGTCCGTGCTTAGAGGGCCGGATCTACGAAGCCGCTCTCAACCTTGCATTGGCTTCTATAAGCATTTCCAGGCTTGCCCACCACCGCGAGCCCCAGCCTGCTATTCGCCTCCCAGATTCGCATCCCCTACAAGTCTCCAGAAGGCTTAAAGTTCCTACATACAGCACCCGCCTCTCCCAAGTGATTCCTCCCTTGCCTAATACTTTGTCAATTCAACCACTTTCCGCGTGTCTCTGACTCGTTTCTCGAGCAAGCCTTGTTACACCTTCCTTTCACAATTCCCTTTCACGCTCATCCATCCGCCGATGGTCGACTCAGCTGACGAGCCTCCGCTGTCAACTCGTCCACACTCATGGGCTAAGAACACGACCCTCGCACCAGTGTCCCTCTACTCTCTTCGAGCGTCCCGTGACAACCGAGACCCTGTCCTCCCTACCAGTAGACCCCAGCCTGACGTCGATTTTCCACGGCGCAAAGATGCTGGCAACAGACCCTCTGCAGCTGGCCCTGCGACCTCAGACCGACCCCTCCACGAGAAGGATAACGGGCAGCAAGACATTCCGCCTATGGACCAGGAAGGAGATGGAACGCAATCTTCCACCATAGGGTCGACCGAGTCCAAGGCTAGACAGTCCTTGTGCAGCCGCATTATTCGAGATGTCAAGCGCATCATCTTCTCCAGTTGGATCAACTGGCTCCTCCTCATCGTGCCCGTTGCCCTCATTCTGGGAGCCCTGGTCGACTGGGGTCACAAAGACATCGTGGACCCCACGGTTGTATTTGCCCTCAATGCTGTAGCCATCATTCCACTGGCTTCACTTCTGTCCTTTGCAACAGAGAGTGTAGCTATCAGGATGGGCGACACCATTGGAGCGTTGCTAAATGTGACCTTTGGCAACGCCGTTGAAATCATCATTTTCATCATCGGTCTGGTCGCCAATGAGGTCCGCATTGTGCAGGCTGCCGCCATTGGCTCCATCCTTTCTAACCTGTTGTTAATTCTGGGCATGTGTTTCGTTGTGGGTGGTCTTCGCTTCCGTGAGCAACTGTACAACTCGACTGTCTCTCAGATGAGTGCATGCTTGCTCTGCTTGAGTGTTATCAGTCTCTTACTGCCCACGGCTTTCCACGCCTCATTTTCGGATGCAGATTCCGCAGACAACAATGTTTTGAAGGTTTCCCGTGGTACCAGCGTTGTGCTGCTTCTAGTCTACATCTTGTACCTTCTATTCCAGCTCAAATCACACGCCTTCATGTATCAGAGCACACCGCAGCATCTCATTGACGAAGAGTCGCACCCTGGTGTCCTCGCTGATATGTTGAATTCATCCAGCTCCTCTAGCGACTCGTCCACTTCTAGTTCTTCTGACACCGATTCCAGTTCCAACTCACGTTCTACAGCAAAACGCTTCAAACGCGCTCTTCGCAGAAAGCGACGCAAGTCAACTTCAAGTACGAAGGACAATGCTCCGGTACCAATTATCACCAGAAGTTCGTCGAATATGACCAACCATGGTGGTTCCATCACTCAGGCGACATCTCCGGCTTCTCCCGAATTGGAGTCAGTCATCAGTGGCGACGAGGCCGACCTCGATGGTGAAGGTCGACGCGCCCGCCGGAGGACTCGCACTGCCACCTTCCGCGTGCGCGATTTCGAACCCGAAGTTCAACCAGACAATGTCTCTGAGAATTTCAAGAAGGACCGCAAGATGTCCAAGACTTCCAGAAAGCTGAAACGTTCAAAAAAGGAAAAGCAAAGGGCGAAGCTAGCAGAAACGGATATGGAGAAATCTCCCGTCACCGAGCCAGAAGTGAGGGAGCCTCCCATCGTTGACCCAGCCCGCCTACATGTTCCCCAGGTTGAATTCTGCTCGAACGTTCAAGAGATCCCTCCTGAGAATCTCGCCAAACCCGGCTTCAATATTCGCAACTTGTCTGATGCTGTGCGACCTGCGTTTAGTTCATCTATGTTTCCTCATCACGGGGCCACTGGTAGACCGCTAGCAATGCCTATGCGACCCACCTCCCAACCGAGATCAAATTCCCGTGGTTTGCGTCGGACTTCCTCGATGCCTGACATTCTTCATCGCACCACTTCGAGTCCTCGAACATCACCTCTTTACCTCCAGCCGGTTCAGAATACCGTTCCCGTTTCCGAGTCAGGGACAGAAGTGGAAGTGGAAGATGTGGTCGAGCCACAAGCCCATCTGTCTCGCACCTCGGCAGTCGTCATGCTTCTGATTACGACGGGTCTAGTAGCCCTCTGTGCCGAATTTCTCGTCAACAGCATAGACCATCTTATCTCGACGACCAACGTCAGCCAAGCCTTCGTCGGTCTGATCATTTTGCCCATCGTCGGCAACGCCGCCGAGCATGTGACCGCGGTGACGGTGGCCGCTAAGAATAAAATGGACCTCGCCATCAACATCGCCCTCGGCAGTAGTATTCAAATCGCGTTATTTGTCACACCCCTAATGGTCATCCTTGGATGGATACTGGACCGCGAAATGAGCCTGTACTTCAGCCTTTTCGAGGTGGTCAGCTTGTTCGCCAGTGCGTTCATCGTCAGCTTCTTGATGATCGATGGCCGTAGCAACTATCTCGAGGGAGCGCTGCTGATTGCTGCATATGTCATTATTGCCCTCAGTGCGTTCTTCTACCCCAAGTGTAACCTGAGCGCGAACACCGGCGCCATAGATGATGGGCTCGGCTCCAGATGCTAAGTTGAAGCTGCGCCGCCGTTCCTCATCACTCCGACCAATCACCTGAGTAGGTGGCTGTGTCGGCTCACGTTCCCTCTTTCATGGCAGATTCCCTTCACCTAGCGGCAATGCCTCTCTTGACGGGAGGTTCCCAGGATGCAGGTTGAGCAGAACGGCGTTTATTGATGGCAGTGGTTTTCGGCAACACACTCTTTCAGCGAACAGGATACAAGCCGTATTTGTTAGGACCCCTTTTCAGTAGATGAGTACCCAGTTCCGGTCAAAAAAGAATCAATTCCGACGAGCGCGACAAGCAAAGTCTGGTGTTCCCATCAAGTAAATAAACCTGCTTCCAACTAGTTCCTGCAGCCCTCGATCGCCGAATCAATATTCGGGAAATTTTGTCTTGAACGGGATCTGTAGATTCACCTCGCTAACAAACCTCGCTAGCTATCTAAATGAATGGCCACGCCCTCTCGAGAGCACGAAGGAGGGCTTCTTACTCGTAGTTGGATTCGACGATAGCGCTCTTGGATGTTAAGCGGGGCACATGAGCTTTTCTGCGATAAGCTCATCCCCCCACAGTCTTCGACTTGGAACCCGCGTCCTTGTATTTGAGCCAATAGGCACCTCGGTAAGCACTGAGAGACAACCACTAACTAGACTGTCCACCCCTCATGTCTAACTTTCAGGACAAGCCGTGGTTGTGGGTGCAGAAATGCGTCCCGTCCAGGATGCCAGACGCTCAACAACGTGCCACCAACGCTAAGTCCGGAGCCAGCTGGTTCAATGCTTGTCGTGCCATTGTCAGCCACTCCATTGTTATTCGTTTCGCAACCGATACACGAGAGGGCGACCCAACCAGCTTCGTTTGCGCTTAAGGTCCCCGGCCTTCGTTATCCTTGGACATGGGAAACGGTTCTGTCTGGGAACCTCGTTCATCTCCGTCAACGACTTATAACTCGGTGCATAATATGGGACTCGGTGGTGGGAACCTTGCGAGCAAATTCCATGCTGCCCAGATCGCCTATATTACGTGCTTCGTGCTATCTAACCTTGACTTGACCCTAGTCTGCTCCTCGGACCTCCTGTTCCCTTTGTGGTTCACATTCTGCTTTCGAGCAACAGACAGCATTGCAGGGATCTTAATTTTTCACGATGGCGTCCCTACAGGGTACGAAGGTCAATAGTATGGACGTTCCTTCATCTGAACAGGCTCGACGCGGCTCTCTAGTCGTTGATACTAAGCTCGCCAGCGAGGAAGATGCCGCTGTGCTTGCCAAAATGGGGTATACTCAATAGTCGTTCCATCATGCCTATCCCATCCATTAACATTTTTGTCAAGATATAAGCAGGAACTTCGAAGAAATTTCAGCATGATCGAGGTCTTCGGCATTGCTTTCGCGATCATGGGTCTCCTACCCTCGATTGCCAGTACCCTGGCGTACTCTCTTCCCGCTGGCCCTGTTGGTTTGGTGTGGGGCTGGTTCGTTGCCTCGGCTTTTATATTCGTTGTCGGTCTTGCTATGGGAGACCTGGCAAGTTCGATGCCGACGAGCGGTGGGCTCTATTACTGGACCCATTACTACGCCGCGCCAAAGTGGAAGAACCCATTGAGCTTCCTCGTTGGTTACAGCAACACCCTCGGGCTCGTGGGAGGGCTCTGCTCGATTGACTATGGATTTGCTCTGCAGTTTCTGTCCGTGATCGTTATATCACGCGATGGTAACTGGACCCCAAGTAATGGGGTCATATACGCCGTGTTCCTTGCAACGGTCGCTTGCCACGCAGTGATCGCTTCGACGTTCGCTGGAATTATGGGTCGTCTACAATCGGCGTTCGTCGTATTGAACTTTGTGCTGATACTGGCGACCATCATCGCACTTCCCATCGGACAAGATAATCGTAACGGTGCTTCTTACATCTTTACCCATAGGGAAAACCTCACGACTTGGCCCACAGGCTGGGCTTTCATGATTTCTTGGCTGTCACCGATCTGGACGATTGGAGGCTTCGATTCCGCAGGTACGCACTTTGCTGTATCAATGTTCGAAGCTACTGACCATCTTTCCATCAGTCCACATCTCCGAAGAAGCTGCCAATGCCACGAAAGCCGTGCCATTTGGCATTCTGTTCTCCATTGGGTCTTGCTGGCTGTTCGGGTGGATCTGCTGCATTGTCATCGCAGCATGTATGTCCCAAGATATCGAACAAATTTTGACGTCCCCATTTGGTCAACCCATGGCCCAGATCTACTACGACGCGCTGGGGAAGAATGGGGCCTTGGGCTTCATGTCGTTGTTGATGATCACTCAGTTTATGGTAAATCAGCCTTCCGAAACCCCCTACACTTTTGCTAAGGACAATACGCAGATGGGAATTTCAATCTTGGTCGCGGTATCCCGCCAATCGTGGGCCTTCTCTCGGGACGGGGCTTTGCCGTTCTCAAAGTTCTTCCGACACATCTCCCCAAAATTTGGATATATCCCCGTCCGTACGACCATTGGATGTGCGGGCCTGGCAGCGGTCCTGGGATTACTCTGCCTGATTGCACCCGCCGCCGCCGCCGCTCTCTTCTCGCTCGCTGTGGCCGGGAACAATCTCGCTTGGGGAACCCCCATACTCTGCCGGGTTGTATGGGGACAGAAGAAGTTCAGCCCTGGACCTATCTATACTGGTAAAGCATCGACTCCTCTCGCATGGCTAGCGGTTCTCTTCCTTATCTTTGGCATACTACTGGCCATGTTCCCTGTCGGAGGTCCAGATCCTACTCCAGAGACGATGAATTATACCTGTGTCATCAACCCCGCTATCTGGGGAGGCGCACTCTTGTACTATTACATCGATGCATACAAATGGTTTAGGGGACCTCAGATCACCATTGACCTGAGTCAACTTACAGCTGAGCAGGAAGCGGCATTGAGGGCCGAGGGCTTGAAAGAAGAAAGTGCAACGGGCCATGCTGTCGTTGGCGGTGACAGTGCTAGTGCCCGCTCAGGGTCGAAGTAGCCCGCCCAGTGAGCTCTGTACACACCGGCCGCAACAAGTCAATGCATCTCTGTTCCTGCATTACGGGTACCTTGGGTCTAAAACAATTCTTACTCATGGTTCGTTCTGCGGGCATTGTGCTCGCCACTAGGAGGCCTTGCATATGCCTCAAGCTGGGAAGTTACGAGCGGTCAGCCCATCTCGAAGGTCGCAACCCTTGTCAGCAGATTCACATTATGTAGCAAAACCCTGAACACTGCAGATGTATCTCTTGCCTAATTTTTACCCTTTCGTTGTTGACTCTTGGTAAATGGCCGCGCAAGATTGTGCACTCGCTGAAAGATGGATGCTTCTATTTCATCAAGACTCCCGTCCAGGGTGCATGGGTCGCCCTGCATTCAATTTGGTACACAACGATGAACATCTCTGACCGCAACCTTAAAACTTCTATGCTGACTCTGTCTCGTGGGAAGAAAAGAGTGCTCTGTAACCGTCATGTGGAAATTAGATGTTGGAATCGGATGGTACGACCGCTACCTGCTCCAGATCTTTGCGCAGAGCCGCTCTTAAAGCCGCAACCACCCGCCCACAGCGGCCGCTCCACTCTGATTCAGATAAGGATGGACATCCAACAGCTATCTACTTGGCTCTTAACCAGTGGCAGTACACCAACAAGTGGTTTCCACGCCACGAGCGGTGTTGCTACGGGTTGTGGGAGAGTATTTCCATCTCTACTGGCTGCAATCTAGCCGGAGTCATCTTGAAAGAGGGCCCTAGTCACAGAGGAAAAGTTCAATGCTCTTACAACGGGTTTGTGGAATGCTTGAGCTCTCTCTGCGAAGGGCGACTTAGCTGTGGGGGGGCCGCAACGCGGGTAGAATGGTGGAGCAAGGTGTTGATATCAACCATGTCCCTCAGGCGAATCCACCATGACAGGGACCAACCCAATACTTCCATTCTGGATAGAGTCCTCCGCCTCAAAGAGAGAAACTCGACCTCCAATGAGCTGGGGCCGTTTCAAACATGCATGAAACCACCTTGTCGATTCGAAATTATGTGGTATAAATACGTATACGTTGGCCCTCTCCGTGACCCATCTCACTCCCGAAACTTTGAAATCGTACGGGTAGCTGCTGGGTGACCAGAATTCAAAATCCATCCGTCAAGTCATAATCTCATTCTCGTTGTCTAGCATTCCAGGTTCAACAAAAGCAACAGTCATGAACTGTCCCGAGAAGGCGTACTGCGCCCCGGGTGGCCAGATCTATTATTATACTGGCGATTTGACCAACTGCACCATCTCAGCTTGCCCCATCGAGACGACCGTGTACGGGTACAGACCGTCGATAGCCGCTAGCTCGGTGCTCATCGCGCTATACACGGTTTGCCTGCTGGTGCAGTTTGTCTATGGCTGGCGGTACAAAGCCTGGTGGTTTGCTGTTAGTATGATCCTAGGCTGCATTTGCGAGGTTCTGGGTTATGCTGGCCGGATCATGATGTGGCAGAATCCCTGGGGGAGGCCTGGGTTCATCATGCAGATCGGTGAGTTGCAATGTTGGATATTCGTCCGTGGGACCTGGCTGATTGGCTTGAAAGTCCTGATCACGGTCGCGCCGGTTTTCTTTTCGGCCGCCGTCTATGTTCTCCTTGCTCAGATGTGAGTTTGGCCCAATCGTGGAGTTTCGGTGGGTGCTTTGGACCGTGCTGATGTGAGGGCACACAGCGTCCAGTATATCTCTGTTGAAGCGTCCCGATTCAAACCAACTCTCTTCTACATCGTCTTCATCCCCTGTGATGTCATTAGTTTGATCCTCCAGGCCGTCGGGGGAGCGATGTCTTCGACATCCAATGGAAAGTCTACGGCCGGCGTCAACATCGCACTTGCCGGTCTGAGCTTCCAGGTGGCAACACTTGTTCTGTTCGTGGGATGGACTGTCGACTATATCGCTCGCAGCCGCCACGTGTGGCGCTTTGCCCAGATACCCGGCAGATTTGTCGTCTTCGCCGTCTTTCTCACCCTCGCACTGCTGACAATCATGATCCGATGTTGTTACCGGGTGTACGAGCTCAACGAAGGCTATTCAAGAGAGAGTGAGGCACTGAGGGATCAACCGCTCTTCATCGGGCTTGAGTCAGTGTGGGTCTACCTCTCCGCCGTATACCCAAAGGGAAGCATGAATGCAGCGAGGTACACAGGCTAACCAGGTGTTCACAGGATGATCATTGTCGCTGCGTACGCTCTCATCCTCGCACACCCGGGTCCGGCGTTCAGACAGACCCTCAGTGTTCAGCAAACTGCCAAGTGGGAGATTGCGCCGCAAGAAATTAGTTTCGACACTGTGCCCCAGGGTTCACTAGACCCGAGGCAGCGGGACGCGCTGTTGAGGGACGGCGAGCCTACCGAACGGAAAGGCACGTAAGTGATGGCTCAAGCACGCACACCACCCAGCACTACTGCCTCGGACACATCGCTCGCACGACCTATGGCCAAGCCATGTTGAGGGTTATGAAGTTTGACACACGTGCTTCGAGGCTTGAAGGTGGTTGAGGTGGGGGGAAGGGTTGTGGCTTCGCCAGCAACAAGTCCAATCAATATCCACATGCCTTTACATTGGGCGTCGGGATGACCGAGTTCCGCTTTTGGATGGGCGAGCTCTCAACTCTGTTGGCTTGCTGCTTCTGCAAGACCAGGAACGAGACACGTTTACGCGGGCTTATTACTTATTACTGGACTGAGGCGTTCAAACAGTGAATTTGGGGAGCTAGCTAGTGGTCGGTGTAATGTCCGTGTCTTGCCGCGCTGTCGTCATTTTAATCCAGTGGCACGAGGGTTCAAGGTTACCATGTCGCCTTTTACCTCCGACCTCGGTGAAAAGAAGATTTCTTGTATCGAGGGACTAAAGTGAGATTCAGAGTTAACTTAACATCCAGGGGTTCCCCGCACTGTCTTGTGAGGATCGCCATGCCATCAGCAGCAAAAAGCTTCCCCCCAACCAATTGCCGTCGTGTTCAAAAGCCTGAGCCCAAGGACTGAGTTCAATGGCCGTCCAGGATTTTCATTGAGTAGTGACCTCATGTTAAGCGATGGGCGGCGGAGCAGGATCGGTCGCGAGAGCTCAAATACCCTGGCCGGCGCAACCTGGGTTCAATGGAACGTGCGACGCAAGGGACCGTCGAAAGCCAAGCGCAATGTTAGTGCTATCTCTGCTTTTCAGTGCATTACTCTCTGAGGTCTGCCCTCAGATAGTGCCAGAGCAAGCTCAATTCGTGGACCAGAGGGGCTTCAATGCCTTGGAGACAGTTCCACCGCCCTCGCAATCCAACCTCACCTCCGTAAGCTTGCGCTGCGCGCCATCGAGAGCTCCAGGGATCCCCGATGCCTAACACTGTCCAGATATTCTTGCCGCCCGGCTTGAGCGAGGAAAATGCTACTGCAAAGCCCTTCCACGTTTACGACGAGGCTTTCTATGATATCATTGGTACCAATCCTACTTTGACTGTCATTGCGAGCACCGGTGGGGATCCACTGTTTCACGAAGCTGTTGTTTGGTGCGTGCCCGACGTCCAGTGTAACAACGCGTCATGTTAACGATCGTGTAGGTATCCTCCAACGAACGAAGTATTCTTCGTCCAGAATGCAGGCGCCGCGGCTGCTGGAACCGGTCTCAACAAATCAAACGTCATCCTGAAGATCTCCTTGGACCAGGCGGCTGCTGTCTCAAGCGAGCGCAATGCTAGTGGCCGGGTCGATGTCACGGCTGTCAACGCAACTCCACCAGTCATCAACTCTAACGGTGAGACGTCCCGGGACCAGTCGATGAGATGACGGGCTGACATTCTTCCCAGGTGCCACAAATTACCGCGGACAGTTCGTCTTCACAGGCGAGGGCCAGGGCAACGACACGGCACCAGCTTTATACGTGATGAACCCGGTCGAGCCGTACAACACGACTGGTATGACTGGCAACCCATTTTCACCCACTGTGAGGAGGGCTGAGGCGCGAGGGCTGACAATATATACGGATAGTGCTTATCAACAATTATTTCGGCCGGCAGTTCAACTCCCTTAACGACGTTTCTATCAATCCTCGGAACGGAGATGTTTACTTCACTGATACCCTGTATGGGTACTTGCAAGACTTTCGCCCTTCGCCGGCTCTCCCAAATATGGTTTATCGCTTGAATCCATCCACAGGTGCCGTGACTGTGGTAGCTGACGGTTTCGGACTTCCCAATGGTGGGTTGCTCTGTGTGACCCCCACGAAACCTCTATCCTCGCCTTTGGCTTCTAGCTTATAAAAGGAATTTATTCTGACCCCAGGGATTAGGAATCACGTTCTCCCCGAACGGCTCTTATGCCTACGTCACCGACACCGGCGCCCAGTACGCGTTGTACGGCTATAATTTCACCGCGCCCGCTTCGATGTGAGTTCCTTGACCGGCTTGATTGCTTTATTCTGTCTTACAGCATGCTGACCCAAATTAGCTACCGCTTCACCGTTGAGAGCGATGGCACCTGGAGTGACCGTAAGATCTTCTCATACGTGTCACCGGGAATTCCGGATGGCATCCACTGCGACACGAATGGCAACGTCTACTCTGGGGTGGGTGATGGTGTGCACGTCTGGAATCCGTCGGGCACGCTGCTCGGTAAAATCTTCATTGGCGAGACCTCCGCGAATTTCAACTTCGCCGGTAAAGGCCGGATGGTCATCTGTGCTGAAACTCAACTTTATTATGCGACGTTGGCGGCTGAAGGGGCGGTCGTTGCCAGTGAGATGCCTCCTTCTTAGTGTGTAATGGTCAAGTGGTGGAGCCGGCATACATGAGGACGTTTTCGACCACGACTTAGAGTGTCCACAGAAGTACAATTAGATCTTGAAGTCCTTAAGGGACAAAATTCGAGAAGGAGTGCGCAGTGTGACCGTGTCAGTGAGAACGGAATGAGAAAGGCAGGGCCCTCCGAAAGGGTGCTGTGGAGCCGCTCCGTGGTGGAATCGACCACCCCGATCCATACTTGAGGATGGCCAAGAACAAAGAGACTACTGCACCAGGATGCCGGTGAAGTTTTAAAATTGAAATAATCGAATCATTCACATAAATGTTCTTTTCTTCGCCATGACATTTTTGAAAGGTTCACTCATCCATTGCATTTGACAGGTCGACAGAGCCAACTCGCAAGCTCAATCTCGAACCTTTACAACTGAGCCTGGACCTTCTGCACTACCATTTGCGGCTTCTGGCGTGGTGCCACTCAAAGATATCTTAAGATACCTACCGTTGAGATTTATATGCGACAAGATAGTGTCCACGTACTTCTCAGGCCCAGAACCAACTCGATGTCAGGGTTTTCAGATCTTACAGTACAAGAATACCGTACGCTGACCGCGAGCAACGGCATCCTCCATCAGCTAACGTTTTATGAACAGGTAAGCATGCTGCGACGCACACTCCGGATTCTGTTTAAGTGAATGTGCAGTACAACAGCCTCTGGCTTGAACCGTCATACAAAGGAGCTTGCACCACCCGAGTTAAGACTCCGAGGAAACGCCCGCCTCATTCATAGTTGCCAAATCGAAGCTAGTGTTTGCGCTTGCACAAGCGCTTGATGAACTCGGAAAATACGAAGAGTCTGACATGCCCTACTCGAGTGTGCTGAGTCCTGACAGCGACCTTCGCGGTACTTATCGATGCCTTCCACCGCGCTATCAGATTCAGGGAACTTACGACCCTCCATCCGAGTATGCGCTCGTCGGATCGCGTGTATGCTTGGGCGGCATATTCCATCAAGCCTTGTGTATCATACACTCGAAATTCCCCAAGAGCGCGGTACAAGACCCGCAGCATATTTACTCCTGGCTCAGTTGCCTGGACTCTGCAATGACCCTGCTCTCTTTCCAGGATTTTCAGGCTCAAAATTGTGTCGTCAACGGACAGCGGACGCCTCTCAATCGCTATCAACGTTCTCTCTCAATCCACAACTTTTTCCTCGCCGCGACCATCCTTTTCGCGGGGTTGTTTCTCATCAGGGACAAATCGAAAGTGAGATTTCCTCTCTGCGCCTCATTAAAACTTAGCAAGGCGGATATGTTGGTGGCGCTTGAGAAAAGCATAGCCACTTTCGAGCGGGACGATGCTGAGAGCCACGAGTCTAGCCGAGCAAGCAAGCTCCTGAGCGCTATGCTTCACGAGATTTAGAAATCAATCCCATCCGAACGTGAAGTCGCTCAATTAGTGCCAAGGAGCACCTCTGAGGTCTCTTCTCGCTCCGTGGAAATGAGCCTACGCACGCCGGTGGACGCTCACAATCCACCACAGATGCACCACAAGGATATCGGCGCCTGCGAGACAGCTGGTAGTAAACGCGATTTCATCCATCGTATCTCACGAACAAATGTGAGTCACCCTCTGACAGGTCCCACAGGTCTCAGAAGAGCTAATCTGAAGTCACTGTAGATCGAGAAAGACGCAACAGCCTTTGCCATAGAGGTGGGAAACCCAGCGGCCTTTGTGCGTAATTTTCTAGCATGATTGTAATTAAACGGACCGTTCTTGGGCTTTTTCAAGAAGTATAAATCTGAGCTATCCTATGCGGTGAAAGATGTATTCCGGCAGAGATCACCCGGATCAGATTGACGGCGACGAGTTGCCTGGCTACTGGACGACGAAAATGGCTGCTCGAGACTCACGCCTACCAAGGGTTGAAGGCGAGGATCAGCATGAGATGCTCTCCCTGAGCCTAACAGGTAAGACCACACGCAGAGCTAGTGACGGCGGACATGTTAGAACTGCAAAAGTTAATATCCGCGGACTTCACGCATTGGTCTCCCGGACGTAGTGAACTTGAGTGGGTCAGTTTCTCGGATATAAGAAGTCCTGCATCACCCTAGAATGTCCCACGACCCACTTGGAGAACCTCCAGTATTTTGTCCAGATGTTCTGCAGAGTTCCGCACTAGGATTACCTGCCTCAAATGGCCATATCGCGGGTGTGCAACTTGAATGTTCTCGTACGATGACTGTATGTCGCATTTCGGGGTCGGCACGTGGATGGCCACCGGTCGGCCTGCCGGGATTCATCATGGATTTCGGCGGCGCATCATCAACGCTGTTAGGCGCTTTTCGCGAAGACATTGGCCGATTCGACTTTCAAATTTGGTGCATTTTTGCTGAATGCTGGATTCGGGGAAGTGAGAGCACAGAGCACAGAGCACATTGTGTGAGGCACTGGGAGGTATAAACCCAACCCAGCTCCTCGCCCGTCAGCCGGTATATGTTCCTATAGTTTTCCATTCACAGGACGAGCGAACACTGGCTGAGACCGACGCTTCCAATATTCCAGACGGATCTATCGATACAAAAAACACCGTGGAGCACTACGAGGTCGCGAACACGGATGCTGGTATTGACCGAGAGGAGCTTGGTGACGATGTCAATCGGCCATCCCCATCTGCAGCAGCTGAGCTGGTCGCCTTCGACAGGAAGATACTTACGAAGCTGGACGATCTTATCGTCCCGCTCATGGCGACGCTGTACTTGCTAGTCTTTGTCGATAGGACCAACATTGGGAACGCCCGCGTTGCCGGCCTCCAGAGAGATCTGGGACTGACTGATCATCAATATAAGACACGTATTTTGACCGAGGATTAAATCTCTTGCAGGATTTATGGCTGAGTATCGTAGCTGTTACCGTGACTTACGTGCTATATATCGTAGCAGAGCTTCCCTCGAACCTTCTTCTCAAGAAATTGGGCGCCAAACTGCTGCTTCCTGAGCTCGGTTTCAGTTGGGGGTTGGTCACGACACTACAGTGTCTAGTGAGTAATTATCGAGGGCTCATTGCGGCTCGACTGATGCTGGGGCTCGCTGAAGGAGGTTCGTCCTAGATGAGATATTCTTTTATGGAGTCTATGAGAGCTGACGGCAGATACAGGAATGTTGCCTGGTATAAATCTTTACCTTAGCATGTTCTATCGTCGAGATGAGCTCCAACTGCGAATCGCCATGTTCTATTCCGCAGCATCGCTCAGCGGTGCCTTCTCTGGCCTCTTGGCCGCTGCCATTTCGAAATTGGATGGGATGGCAGGCCTCGCAGCCTGGTAATGGATACTTTGCCTCGAAGACCTCTTCACAGTTATATTTGCCGGACTCGCTTACTACGTGATGCCTAATGCCCACATCACGTGCTCACCCTCACCAAGGAGGAGTCGCTCCGTTGCACCGAGAGATTGAATCTAGAGGCTACCTTTTCAGACCCGGAGAAGCTGACTCTAGCTGTGATCCTATCGGTCTATAAATCTATACATATATGGGTCATGTTCGTCATCATGTTCTGTGGCGGCGTTATGCTCTTTGGGCTCGCGTTTTTCCTGCCTTCCATCGTGCAAGGACTGGGCTACGGCCCCATCAGAACTCAGTTGATGACAGTCCCATCATTCGCCGTGGCGTTTGTCGTCACTCTGATCCTCGCCTACTTCGCAGATCGATACCGCAAGAGGGGCGCGGCAGCCATATTGACCATGCTGATCGCCAGAGTTGGCGTCATTATGTTCTACAAAGGCCGCAACATCGCCGTCCGCTATACGGCGCTGTTCTTCATTGTTACGGGCGCATATGCCAACGGACCTTGTCTCTTAGCACGGGTCCCTAACAACACGGCCACGCACGTCAGACGGGCGACCGCCATTGCAACGGCGTTTATGTTCACCAACTCAGTGGGGCATTGTGAGCACTTTGATCTTCCCGACCAGCGATGCACCATACTATCCGTTCGCTTCTCGATTCATACTCTCCTTGGTCGTCATTTCGCTTGTGGAGATTATGACAGAGATGGCGATACTAAATTACTACAACAAGCGGAAGCAGGATCCAGAATATCGGGACAAGTTGTTGCACGACGTGCAGCATTTGAGCCTGGCAGATCAGAGGGCTCGGCTGGGAGACGCACATCCGAACTATAAGTATATCGTCTGAGCTCGCCCTGCGGATGTCTGAAATGGCAGAAGGTGCCAGGTGGCCAGATTTACGGGACAGATTCGTCTTCATCTGGGATTCCAGGCTCGAGAGCTGTTGATGCTATAGGTATCGTGCTACAGCACTGTGGAAACTACATAGTTATGTATCTGGCCTTCTTCGCGCCAGCCACAGGTAATCGTTTTGGGTCATTCATAGACGCTAAACTAGATTGGGAACTCAAAGTGTCCCGTTTAGACATCCAGCTACATAGTATGTATACACCTACTGTACACTATACTAACACACCACTACCACAATGTAATATAGTTACATAGGCGTTTATCACGTTCTAACACCGCTCTAGCAAACTTACATATAGTACAATTAATTAAGACTCCTATAACCTGCCTCCATAGCTCATTATATACATAGTAAGTAATGCTTGTTGGGACTCACAGTGCTGCCGGATCTAAGCCTTAATCATATTTCGTAGGGTCGTAAGGTCAGGCGCGTACAGAGGCTACTATATTTATGTACTTAAATACTTCTTTCCTATAGCTCTAATAAAGACTTAGCGTGTCCTAGTGCCTTTATTACTTTATAATCCGAACTATGAATGCTATCTAACTACTATGTGCCTATTATAACACCTTTAGACTAAAGCCTATAAAGCAATATCGCTACTAGCTCGAAGACCCGAGAGTTTCTGTAGATCTACCTATAACTAACTACTAAGTAGCCACCGAGGACGTAATAAATATTAAGATATAGTCTAAAGTTAGATCGATCTACAAGTTACTTAGTAAGATGCGATATATATATTCGCTAGGCGAGAGCTTTATAAGTAAAGAATATCCTTGGTTATTATTACAAGCTTAGTAGGTCTACTATAGCTTAGAGCTTATCGACGAGGGTAGCTTAATCTTTAATAGTAATTTTATTATCGCTACTAAGGATCTATGTACATATTCTTCGCCTTTTCTAGCCTCCTAACTAAAAGCGTTAACTTACCTTCCAAATTATCGAATAAACGAGATACAGGAGCTTAACGCTCTACGCCACGTATAGCTGTTGTTTAATGATGCGAGCTACTATGTACGATTCGAGATTCTCTATAAGTATTCACATAGGTATCTCTAAATGAGTGGTAAACATCGTGGATCCACCCCTTGGAACTGAAACCTGCCGCTCTGACAGCGGCAATCTTGCGTTTGAGGGTGTGTAATGAGTCCCATCCAAGCCAGAGGGTGGAAATTGCTAGCTTGTATTATTTTATGTCACCAGTGCAGGTAGGGTTTTAGATAATAATGATGGCATTCTTGGAGAACTCTAGCTATTGAAACCAAGGATTTACACCTAAATCTCATTAAAGGGCACAATGTAGTGGTTTATTAAGGCAATGAGATCCTGGATTTTCCGTCGACGAATTTTATCAATGGCTTCAGGAGTCGACTAGATAACATGAAGGGTTGCTGATGTCAGCGAGGAAAGGACGACCCTGGCCAACAAATACTACCAACAACCAAAGTAGTGTGCCCATGTCCTTGGAGGTGTTAAGTTTTGATCTTGACGTACGCCAACGGAAAGCATGCTAGTAGATCAAGATGAAAATCAAAGAATCAAAATGGCTCGATCAACACGTTCTGATACTGTAATTTCTGCCCAAGAAAACCGTAGGCAAAGCCAAGGTCCTCTACATCCTGACACTCGCTTCTGAATGATTCTACATAGAACAAGTGCTCATCGACAACACTCCTATCGTCACAAAATTCTAGTCTACGCCCACTTCTAAGTGGCAATGAAGTTCTGACCTCTTTCAAGGCACGTGCCTTGATGCTTAGGAACAGTTCCAGCCCCCGTCCACGGTATAAGTCGATCCCGTTACAAAGCTAGCTTCGTCGCATAGCAAGAATGCAATGACCGCTCCAATCTCTGCTGGCTTCCCACGACGGGGAAATGGCGTTGTGGGGTTTGGCCATTTGTCTGGATCGCTGCCAAACTTCTGCTCTAGCGCCACGGACAGCATGGGAGTGTCAACATGCCCACTGCGAGGAAAGGTCAGCGGCTACTCATTTGGAGTTTGTATCACATGTCTGTCGGTGGAATGTGAGGATTGACTTAACGGTGCCACACAGTTTACCCTAATGCCTCTTTCTGCAGCGTCAATGGCAGCTGCTTTTGTCAAGCCTTGGACTGCGTGCTTGCTGGCAATGTATGCCGAAGACCGAAGCACACCTCTCAAACTCAAGATGCTTGCAACGTTGACAATACTGGCACCCTCGACCAGAACACCTGGTTTCAGTTCCTCTGCGAGACAATAAAATACGCCCTTGGCGTTCACGTCCATGACAGTATCGTAGTCGCAACCGTCCATCTCCCAGATGTACTTACTACCCAGGCTTCCAGCGGTGCCGGCGATGTTGGCGCAGCCGTCGAGCCCCCCGAATTCTTTGACCGCTGTTTCAACCAGATTTCGGACTTGGGAGCGTTCTCTGACATCAACGGTCTGAAGTATCACTTTGCCTTTCCCTGCCGCTCTTATCTCGTCTGAGACTTTGTTCAATGCTTCTTCATTGAAGTCTCCAACCACTAAATTGGCGCCCTTTGACAACAGCAGTTTGGCGGTGTCAAGTCCGATACCTGATGCCCCTCCCGTGAGGAGGATGGACTTTCCCTGCAAAGTAGCCATTGGACCAAGTTTTGTTGTACACTTCGTTTGCAACAACACCTTGTGTCGATAAACGCAAAGGACACCCCGCTGAAATTGGCAGGTATAGTCGGTAAGGTCACATTTTGTAAACAGAGCCCCGTCGTCGTCTGGGCAGGCCATGGTCTCGGAACTTTGCACTTCTGATGATCTTGCACAAAACTAAGGCATCTCGAACAACCGAGTTACTGGTCGGGTTCCGAGGTTCCTGTCAGACAGCCTTTGGGTGTCAAACAGGAACCAAATGGACCGTCTGACAGGGACATCGGAACCCTAGTTGTCGGGATTTCGGAAGGTGGCGGCTAGGATCCGCTAAAACGTATCCTAAGTATATCCGGCCCTTATGATCGAGCTGGGGATCTGGGATGGCTTCAAGATAGCCTACTTGGTTGCTACTCTTTTTGCTCCCCACCATTGCGGGGTGTGGGATTGCATAATCTACCATTTTATACATACTTCGCGAGCGAGATAACCACAGTAACAGGTACTTAATCGACTTATGAACCACTTCTACTGTTTGCTACCTGGCATTCTTTAAAATTCTATTGCATTCACCTCAAAATGGCTGGAGAAAACCAAGGTCAAACTCAACTTCACCTGGATGCTGTTGTTGTCGGCGCTGGCTTCAGTGGCATCGCTTCTCTGTATAGATTCCGCAAAGCCGGCTTCAAAGTAAAGGCTTTCGAAGCTGGCTCATACTTTGGTGGGGTGTGGTACTGGAATCGTTACCCTGGGGCTCGTGTCGATTCGGAGTTTCCATTATATCAATTAAATATACCGGAGATACATGGTACCTTCAAGTACAAGTACAAATATCCTTCCCAGGATGAGTTGTCAGGGTACTTTGCCCATCTTGACAACGTCTTGAATCTGAGCAAGGATGTCTACTTCAATACCGAGGTCACGAGTGCTGAATATGATTCTACCATAGATAGATGGATTTTGTCGGCAGGTAACTATGTTGTTACCTGTAAATATCTTGCTTTAGCCTCTGGTGCTCTCCACAGAACAAATAAACCAAGCTTTCCCGGCTTGGAAAACTATGGAGGGAAGGTGTACCACACAGCAGCATGGCCTGAGGAGCTTGATGTCAAAGGCAAAAGAGTTGCTGTTATTGGGGCTGGGGCCACCGGTGTACAGGTTGTGCAGGAGTTGGCCAAGAAAGTTGACCACCTCACCGTCTGCATTAGAACCCCGAGCTACTGCCTCCCACTAGGCCAGAAAGAGTTGAGTTCAGAGGAGCAAGACGAGCAGAGCCGCACAATTCAAGAGCTTCTACAGAAGTGTCGTGACACAGTGGCGGGATATTATCCTCAGAAAGCCACCGAGGGAAGCGTCTTTGATCGCACGTCGGAAGAAAGAGAGGCTCTTTGGGAATCACTCTGGGCCCTGGGTGGATTTAACTTCCTTCAAGTCAACTATAGCGACATGTTGATCGACCCCAAGGCAAACCGAGAGGTATACAATTTCTGGACAAAGAAAACACGCCCTCGCTTGACCGACCCCGTCAAAAGAGACATCGTTGCGCCCCTCAACCCTCCATACCCTTTCGGCACCAGAAGGACCCCATTGGATCGGGACTATTACGAGTGCTTAGATCAGCCGAACGTGGATCTTGTCGATCTTCGAGCTACTCCAATTGTTGAATTCACGAACACTGGAATGACGACTGCGGTCGGGAGAAAATGCGAGTTCGATGTTTTAATTCTCGCAACCGGATTTGATAGCTTTACTGGCTCGTGAGTCAAATCTTCCTGGGTACAAATGAAGTCTTCAATGGATCTTAGTACTAACAAGGTCAGGCTAACAACTATGAATCTCAAAACCAAGGACGGAGTACACATCAGAGATTTGTGGAAATGTGGCGTACAAACGTACCTCGGGGTTTTCGTCCACGGACTGCCCAACGCTTTTCTCCTCTATTCTCCCCAGGGTAGGTCTCTCTACAGCTCACCGCCGAATGTACTAAACGAGGCCTCTAACCTTGCTCTGTAGCTCCAACGGCACTTGCTAATGGACCGACATTGATTGAATGCCAAGCAGATCTTATGATGGAAGCCATTCAAAAGCTCGAAGCGATGAATGGAAGGGCCATAGAAGCACGGGCCGAAGCACAAACAGAGTGGAGCGAGTTATGCGAAAAGATGGTGGAGGGCACTCTGTTCCCGTTGGCAGGCTCCTGGTGGACAGGAGCTAATGTCCCTGGCAAAAAGACTCAGATGTTCAACTTTATAGGTGGGCTCAATAATTACGAGCAAATATGCCGGGACGCAGTCAAATCCTCCAAAGGGTTCGACTTCACGACGGGTAAATCATCCCAGTCGACACTGCAACACGAGAAATTGGGTGCGGTGGCTTCAATCAGTGATCCAGTTGCGGCATGATATGTCATATAGCTGTCAAATAGACTTTGTTGAGTGCATAGTTATCAATATCTGAGATATCAATCTGTGAATTACCAGTCAAGGCTCATCGAATTGAGTGTTTGATGGTATCACGAATGTACCTCAATCATCTTCAAGCATCTTCAGGTACCTTGCACTACTTCTCTTAGCAAGCTATCCTACTTGTGAGATAAACCACTTTGTTTATGCTGTCTTGACATCCTGACGTACACCGCTAAGCACGAATTTTTCTGCACTCCGAGTGACAAAACACCTTATCTCGCCACTGATAAATCAAGAACAAGGGTAGTTGTCTCTCAAACGACATTCATTTTCCGCTATCGGAGCCTGGATTATATACTCAGGGCGACTTCTCGACGATCTTCTGCTGTATGGATACTGTGCTGAAGCTGCGTAAAATGGAGACCTCATAAGTCACTCCTTGAGACCCCATCTTTGCCACCGAGTGAAGGAATGGCATCGCCATATATCACGCTCTCATAGCCAACCATTACAGATGCCTGACCGATAAAACGCCTAGAATCGCCTGCAGCATATCAGTCAAGCCCTACTACTTCAAGCAGCTCGTTGGGCGCATGGAGAAGGTCTGCGTACTTGCCAATACTGATTTGAACTCAGGACTGTCTGTAAACGATTTCCAGTCATTCAAGTCCTTCACATACATTTCGGTGCATCCATCGTATGGCAGACACGTCAAACCGAGGGAACTCGCCTCTGTCTTGATCTCGGTCGTTTGGTGATACTGTAGGACAGGATAGTCAGCAATAGAGAACCATACGTAATGATTCCATCATGGCGACCCGACCAAAATTGTACAAGGAAATAGTGTGGAACTACAGACCTGGACATAGCGCAGAATAGAAACATCGCGAAATGCTTTTGTAGCCACAGTCAGATCTGCATGGACCATCTCCCAGTGTTTGTGAAAATCTTCATCACTGATATCAGGTTTTTTGTTCAAAAAGAACATGATTTTGTAATATGGCTGTCGATTCCCCCCTGCCTTCTCGGACAGCATCTCAAAAGTGGGATTTTTGGGCGATTTATCCAGCCCCATTGTACTAGACATTGACTTCTCACCAAGCTAGTCAAAATGATGAAATTGGAAAAGCTACGCCTGGGTCATATTTGGCGATATACTTGGTATCATGTAAGGCGAAATTCGGGTGGCTGACGAGTTCAGGTCTGGGCTGCTACGCAGGTATTCCTGAAAGGACAAAACCGGCCGGACTCTATGCGGACGCAATTTTCGGGAACTGCCATCTCAATGCCGACCGTCGGAAATCGAGAGCCTGGGGTAAAACTGTCACAATATAGTCTGCGAATGACGTGAAAGTTCAAGTACCTAGTAGTATCTCTTAGTTCTACGCCGTCCTTCTGGTATGTAACTTGTTCTTTTCTCCAACGTGCTCAAAGAACATGGCGCCTTACAGCTTTCTCACAACGGATATTTCAGATATCTCCAAGCCGCTGTGGGTGAAAATCTCGGCGGCTAAGCGAGACTGGGGATCCAAGTGTAATGAATGGTAAGCATGCTACTGCTTTTTACCGGGCTCCGTCGTCCCCTTTCCAGAAGGATGGCGCTTGTGTTGGGTACCTACAATAATGAGATGCCCTACAACAACGAGATGCTTGCTGTAATTGCTTAACCGTCGATGCCGCCTGAAGACCTGAAGGGAAAGTGAGGAACACTAGATTATGATGGGGTTCGGCATTGTAGTCCCCCAATAAAATAATATCCGAGAAAGCTTTGCTGCTATGCAGCAGAGAGGCGGCAGTAGAAGACCTAGGTCAGTCAATCCCAACGGCAGAGTAATCATCGTCATATTCGTCCTACTCCTTGGTCTGGAAGCCGGAAGAGTATGCAGTTCCAGGCATCTCGGCAAAGGATGAATGTTGCCTCGTACGCACGTTCTTTCTCACTACTAGTTAAGTTTACTTTCCCGCTGGAAAATGTACTCTTCGATACAAGGAGGTTTTGAAATATCTCGTACATTGTTCAGGAACAGCTCTACACGGCGTGCAACGTACATGGTCGGAACTCGGTCTTGTAGTAGGCACGTGGAAGGTCACCAGTGGAATTGTTATACGATCAAGATTCCTTATTTGGCATATATGAAGCAACTACCACAGTATAAAATTTTATAATCTGCCTATAAAGATCAATTCGTACTTCTCTAAGTTTCTTCAAATTGGATTACACGCCAAAAGCACTGTCCTCTATTCGACAGCTTCAAAAGCTAAGTTTGCCCGATACTGATAGGTATACACTCGCCCAAGTCCAGCAAACAAAAACAACTTCCGTCAGAATAGGAATGTCTCATGCTAGAATGATACTATGGGAATTTGTTGGAGAAGTTCCATCCTTCTGGAGCCGGTGGTTTGTAGCGGGACCTAGGCTGCTGCCCTTCAAAGGATGAGAATACCCCGCTGGAAGTCTGTCCTGGCCATCCTCCTGTAATTTCCCCATCCGCTACATATCTTGGTGAGGTTGCTATACTGTCCCTGTCATGCGAAGGTGGCGGCGCCATGTGTACTTTAGCGACTGTATTATTCATATTGTTACTGGCAATCGGACCAGGCTGGGGGCTGAAGTGGTCCAAAGAGTCAATGCCAGTGAGACCTGGTGGAACAATATTAAAGTCCTCCATACTGTCAAATTCTGGTTGGAGGAACAGCGGATCGAGGACGCCGAACTCATCGTTATCGTTGAACCACTTATTAAACACGCACTGGGACGAGTTGTCGCCCGAAGCGAGTATGGCATCAAGACCAAAACCGGTAGCTGGAGCCCCAGATGCAGATCTCAAATATTTGCTTGGGTGGTTGTTGTGTTCTTCGAAGCTGTAGTTATTTAGCCCGTCCATTTCACTAGACTTCGTTCCCATTCCAATATCAATATCATTTTGGGCCGAAGACCAGGGTCTTTTCATCGGGTCTTTCAGAGTCGTAGAAGCTGAACTCTGGGCTTTTGCATGGGCTCTTGGAGTCGATCCAAGGTCCGATTCTCTCACAGCTGGGGCTTGAGACCAATCTGGGTCTTCGAAAATACTGTCCAAAACACTAGTCATTCGCTCTGCCGCGCGGTATGCCGAACTCATTCCCCTCATTGCATCTGCCATCCATTTGAGGTGTCGAAGGGGAATAGCTCTCTCTCTAGGGTCTGTTATATTCGCGATACCGGCAATGAGTGCGGTGGCAGCAGTCCCTGCATGATCGAGGCCGGTTATGAACATCTGGCTGCCTTGGAAACGGGCATGATGGTACTTGAAAATTTTCGCCACCCGGATGGCGTTAGTCAAGCAAACCTTGCGCGACAGCAACGGTAATTGATTGGCTTCAGGATACGACGAATAATCATCTATACTGGTACCGGAGAGGGTATTTGTCCCAGCGCTGTGGAATTGAGCAAACGGGCGATGAAGAAGGATGAGAATGCAGTAAAATTGTTGGCTAAGCACTTGAGTCAGAGCTAGGCTTTCATTATGAAGACGAAGGATAGATGAGCACTTACTGGAGAAGGAAAAAGCTTGCAGGAGCTGTGGAAATATTGTGTGTTTTCCATCTCAGGTGTTGGGGAAGGTGAGAGTACCACTGATTGAGCTCCCGGTCGAGAGCTGCCATACTGAGGTAGGCTTTCAAATCTAAGCGGTTGGCACCAACTTCCTGAATCTCGCTTATCTTGCCAGCAAGAGTCATGAGTTCAAGGAGAGAGCAGTATATTTTACCCTCAAGAGTATCAAGCTCTTTGCTTAGAACGTCAAGGCTTTTGGAAAGTTGGTCCAAGACTATATCGGATGCTTTAAGCATAGTCGGGCGCCCTAAAAAAAGAGCCCAGTAACTGGCATGCGATTAGCACATACACAACTGTAGCTCGGACTGTAGGAGACGGATTTGCTTACCGATCATATATGATGCAGGCCCATAAGACCATGTATCGTACCTTGATAGTAAGTTCTGGTAGATCTATCTTGGTACAATCTAGGTTCAACCCAAGATCAATTGCAAGCCTGCATGCAAAGCCTAGAGGGATCAATTTTTAGAACGAACGCGGCAATCTGATGGAGTGTTGATGCAATAACTTACCAACATACATCCAGCCCGTGTTGTCTCTACCCACAGCGCACTCCAAGTCACCTAGTATCAAAAGTGCCTGGACGCTTGGCAGACCACCCGGTATCTGAAGCTCATATTCTAGAAGGCGTTTAGCTTCTAGTTGTAGCCGACTTTCTCTACCTACGCCTAGGAGGAGGCCGTTGATATCTGGCCGTGTTGAATCGGCGAAGCGGATCCCCATCGCGAGAATACAGATATGTAACAATGCGCTATAGTGAACGTGTCGTCCTTCTCTCTGATCTGCAAGGAAGGCCTCGCTGTGGACCACGAACAGAACACTGTTGTAGTATGTCCAGTACAAGTCCATCAAATATTCCTTTGTTGCTGGGCTGATGTCCTCGAGAATTGATAATCCGTGTCTTTCCTGTCCACGAGAGTCTAGTATATATGGCACGTGTTTCGCTCCAGAGTAAATGTGAAAATTCGTCGTGGGCCCGAAGTAACGCAGTCGGCCAGAGTTCTCATCATAACTCCAATGACCATGCGTAGATAAGATGTTGTTGAGGATACTCTGGCTAGAGGTTGTGGACTGCGGACTGGCGCCTGAGAACACTGACTGAGTTGACGGTGGCTTCAGGCCTGTTGCGGTGTCTACTAGTCCCTTGTCAGGACGGTCAGGACGGTCGTGGATATCATGGGCCTGGGGTTTCTCTTTAGCTGGGTTCAGGACCTCAATCATATCATTTTCTAATGGGGCCGAGATGGTGCTTCCATTTCGGGGCCGAATACATTCTTCAGGTCTTGCGGCATCTTGCTCGTCATTGCTCTCACCAGGAAGTTGAAGGCCTTGCTTTAACAAGAAGTCTTCTAATTTCCTCATGCGCTCAGATAGTGACTCCATATGGGCTTTTACAACCGGCCTAGTCGAGCAGTCAATGAACCTTGGGACCTAATCGGGATATCTAGCGAATACTGTCCACCTTCTTCTTTTGTCATCTTGGATGATGCATTCACTAGAGTTGGCCCGGCAATAGTCACACGCTGTTTGACCTTTTTGAATAATGCACTGGGCGTTTGTCTCAGTTACGTTTTCTAAGCTCAAGGATTGTTTGAGGAAGGTACCCGGCTTCTTCTGGTTCTGCACGCGGCACACGCCACCGAGGTGCGGCAACGATGTCGTGCGACACCAGCAACCCTCTTTGTGGGATTCTCGATGTTCTCAGCCTGTGCAGGCGGCGCAGAGACTGAATTCTCTGCTTCCATTGTGCACGATAGCAGAGCACCGATTGTGTGGCGTGACGTACAAGCGTGGACGTGATAGACGAAAGATTCACACGGCTAAGGGGAGATGGATTTTTCACAACTCCGTAAACTACGGCCAGTGGCAACCTGCTTAAGGGGCTGTGTCGGCTGAAGTTTGTGCCCACCCCCGCATGGGGACGAGCTCGAACACGACGGCAAGGCGGGGGCAATGTGGAGCAAACAAGAAAGTTTTCGTGGTGGCTTACGCAGTACGAGGTCTAAGTACTGGTGCGTAACTAGTCTCGGTACAAACGGGTTCCGAGCCCGAAATCCTGCTCGCTTGCTCTCGAAATGTATCGTCAAGTAGCTGGCTGGAAGCCAAGGTTGATCTGAAGCAACTGCGTGTCAAATCCCAACCATTATCGGTCCAGCGACTGACCTATTTCCCCAACCCGGTGATCGCGATGGCACAATTTGTCCTCTTGTAAATAGTCTGACTCTTTCCAACCCTGTTTGTCAGAGCCGAAAGCAGTCGTTAAGGAGAAATCACAGAGGCATACTGAACTCGAATGGTATATACGGAGTATGCAGTTGCATAACTTAAAGCTGAAAATCGCCTATCTTTTTCCGATTCATGATTCGGAGATCCCTCCCAAATCTCGGCTAAACCAGGCTATGATTTTCCGGAGACAGGGCTCAAACAGGTTTCACACGTCTCAATCTACGCTGTGCGGCTTCTGCTCTCCTCACGAATGTACACAGTCAGGGGTAAGTCCATTCATTTGTTCTATTCCTGTGAAATTGAGTATTTGGCCAGCCAGAGAAATGCATGGGTGGTCGGCAGCCAGAATCAGTGAGGGTCCTTGATTCCGTCCAGGCATTACTTTTGATGTAGAATTGTGAGTCAAAGAGCTTAGCGGCGACCTAGAAATTTGAAATGAAGAGTCATGTAGGTGGACGATCAGGCGCTCCACCCGCCATCAACAGTGTATATTGCGCCGCTGGTAAACTTGCTTTCGTCACTTAGAAGAAATGATAGAGTATAGCCAACTTCTTCGGGTTTGCCATATCGGGCGATGGGCGTAAAAATGTCCTGTGCCTTTGAATCGTCGGTCTCCAGTGACTGAGCGAGCATTGGCGTCTGAATTATGCCACTATTAACATGTTAGTCTCGGTGGGGAGAATTGATGATACTTTTGCATACGGGGCGATTCCATTCACTCGAATTTGTCGAGCACCAGCTTCCATGGCCGCTGCCTTGATCAATCCCGTAGCAGCGTGCTTGCTGCTACAGTAAACCGATGATCTTGGTAGCCCTCGCAACCCACACAAACTTGTGACGCTGGCTATGCTCGATCCGTCTTTCATCACTCCAGGCACCAATTGCTCGGCCAGACAGTGAAAGAGGCCTTTTGCGTTAACGTCATGTATAAAATCATAATCCTCGGTGCTGATCTCCCAGATATGGCTAACATTTTGGACTTTTCCAGCGACGCCAGCTACATTGGCGGCTCCGTCGAGCGGGCCCCATTTCTCGGTTGTCTTTTTGATCCAGTCCTTTACCTGTGCTCGGTCTCGAATATCGACGACGGTTGTCGAGATTGATGTGCTGACTTGTGCCCGGATGATGTCGGCCACTTGGTTCAGAGCGGTCTTATTGACATCTGCAAGGGCCAGGAACGCCCCCCGCGAAGCTAAGATCTTCGCAGTCGCGGCACCAATTCCTGAACCTGCACCAGTAAGTGTAATCACTTTTCCTGCTAAAGAAGCCATCGAGCTCTCCGGTCGTGTGCAGTGTGGTCAAAGTCAGAATATTCTTGAAGAGGTAGAGATGATCTGGCTGTGGCTAAGAGCGTGTGTAAAAAAGCATGGTCATGCAGAAGAATGCCCCACCCAGACCTAATTGCCTAGACACCCACGAACAATGCCGGGCCTGGTTCTCCTATTGCAATGCCGTCTCTGGAGCAGTGCCATTTCTGCCTGGCTAGTTCACGAGGTAGGCTAAATTACCCAATCGCCATTTTCTTAGCACTCTGCTCTCGATCAATTAGAGGATGAGGGGCATCGTTGTTGCCCTACACGGCACCACGACGTTCATGTCGCGGCTTGTCAGGTTCAAGTGCACACTGAATCAACGTTGACAGCAATTATGGGATGAAATTGGATGCTTTCACAGCTTAATCATATCCCACCGTAGTAGGATCCTGATCGCGTTCTGTCGCTTCTATTTAGCCCTCAGCCTTTCGCTTCTGGAAACTGGGTACAGTCAGAAAATCGCGATTGCATTTGGAGGGCTTCCAACACCGCCAACCACATTCAACGGCTGACTGGTGACAAAGAATGTCCACCTTGAATGCTGCGCGCATTTCTTTGACAATTCCTCGAGATCGAATAGCTCGCCGATCGGCATCCCAAACCCCGATAGAAGTGTCTCATGCATGCGGAAAAATTCTTGCCCAGCAGATTCGCCAACTTCTCCATCGCTTCCACCTACGCTGATGGTCAACGCCCGTGCGTAAAAGGGTTGCGTGTGAACATTGTGTTCCGATGTGTGACTTACACCAAGCCTCAAAACCTGGACAGTCTCCGGCTACAGCTGCAAAGCGAGAGTCCCAGAGCCATTCCAGAGCGTCCAGTGACCCTTCCATTCCCGGATAACGCGTCGCAGGGCTTTTCATGACTACCTCCAGTTCTTCATCTGCTGTATTCAGATATCGTTTGATGTAGCCTGATCAAGCACAAGGCCTATTAGAAACCATCAGCATTGGAATCATGGCAAGTCTGGGCAAACCTGTTCTGAGAAAGAGAATATCTCCACGCCGGAACTCGACATTTGTCTCCTTAGCGATATCTATGATCGTTGAAAGTGGGATTTTGTGGAAGGTCAAGGGATCATAATCGATTCCTCGTGCCTGCGCAAACGAGTAATAGTCGATCAGGACCCCTCTGCCGACTATCCCCTTTTTGGTCCATTCTTATAAATAATCAGCGGGCGTCTAAACACATGAATTTGGATATATTTTGCCATGTATCCCTAAACGTGTAGATTTTCCTGATCTGACTTCCGTTTGTGTAACACCATTGTAAAATCTGCCATCAGGAAAACACCAATGTCGAAAGCCGTCCCATTGAGATCCGGTTTGTGTGTTGAACCTCAACTCATCATCCTATGACAAAGCATCCAATTAGTATATTTCTCAGCAACTCAGCGACTTGACTAACATTGATGCAATCCGCGAGACTGATCATCTTGTGCTCTAGTTTGATCCTGTACCAAGGCGGTATCCGCATCTGGTTCAGTTCCCAGCTAAGGCCCACGGTTTCCCCTGCCCGAATCTCGCGAGCGGCGTCTAGTACGACATTAGGGGTCAAATGATTCAGACATCCAAGCTGATCATCATGGTCCCAGACGCCCCAAGCGGAATGTGGCGGGTGAGACTCATGTAGAGGAAGGTCCGAGAATAGAGGAAGGCGTGAAGGTTCGACAGGACTCATGACGTGACTGTTTTTCTCGCTTTGAAAAACAAGTGTCTTATATTTCTTGGATAAAAACTTGGAGAGTTGAGCCTGAGTAGGTGCGGGAACCAGTCGCTGCTTGCAAATATCATGTCATGCCACCCCCATTCTGCGACTAGGTGCAGGCAGGAGCAAAATACCTGGGAGGGGAAGTTCAGGTTGTTGGCTGGGCCCGGCAAAGTCGGCTGGATAGGCACCGCTGTATATCGTCCCCGGGCACAATCTCGCCACTTCTTGACCCTTTAGCGTGTAAGCATCCGGCAAGGCTCTTGCTTTCTATCTCTAAGTCGAAGACCCATCGTTAACTTAAACAGGCCCATTCTGTCTCACCAGCTTTATGACCTCTTCTTGATCACTTAGATCTTCCCTTCTTGTTCATCGAGCTATATAGGAAAGGTATTTTGGTTACGTCAACTTAGTAGTCGGATTTCTAGGTTCAAACTCATAGAGGTATCATGGGTTCTATTCAAGAATCAGCTGGTAGAGAACCAACTCCGCCATACGATTTTGATCCTCCATCCAAAGAGCGCCCAGCAATTTATGGCTGGGAGAATACCTCGAGTTCAGGTTATAAGATCGACGAAGTCCCTTCCGGTTTGAAAAGACCTCTTCGTGTTGTAGTGGTTGGAGCAGGGGCCGCAGGCATCAATTTTGCCAAATTTGCACAGGATCGCCTTGAAAACGTTAACTTGACAGTCTACGACAGAAACAAGGAAGTCGGAGGCACTTGGACAGAGAACGTTTACCCGTAAGTAGAATCCATTGATATACGCCACTTCTGCATCACAAAACGTGTCCTTATGACAGGGCTAGCATCAAGCTAACAGCATATAGTGGTTGTGCATGCGACATCCCCAGTGTAACTTACCAATATACTTGGGAACCTAAAGTTTGGTCGAAATACTACTCTGAGGTATGAGACGGGCAGAGAGGTCTCGTAGAATCCTTCAATTACAGCGATCTAACCAATCTCTACAGGCACCGGAAATACTGCAGTACTTTGTTGATATCACTCATAAATACGGACTACGGAAATACATCAAACTTCAGCACACCATTGACAAGGCTGAGTGGGATGATCAGCTAGGGAAGTGGAACCTACACATCACCAGTCTAGAAGAGAGCCGTTCATTCCATGATCAATGTGACGTGCTCATTAATGCCGGTGGTATACTGAAGTACAAAAAACCGTTAATTAGGAGATCATCAGAGAGCTAATCCCGTTGTTCCTAGTTACTGGAAATGGCCGAACGTCAAAGGCATCGAAAAGTATAAAGGCATCAAGGCACACACCGCAGCTTATCCTAAAGATCTCGATTTGAAAGGTAAGCGCGTTGCTGTGGTTGGGACTGGCTCCAGTGGAATTCAGTTGATCACCAAACTGCAACCACAAGTCGAGAAATTATACACATGGATTAGGACACCAACATGGATGACGGCTGGCTATGCTCAGGCACATGCAGGACCAGATGGGGGAAATTTTGAGTGTATGCCAAGCTCCTAACAAGGCACATGAATTGTTTAGCTGACAATGTGCTTTGAGATCCGGAGGAAATGCGGAAAAGGTTTGCGGAAGATCCTGAGTGGTACTTGAAGTATCGCAAGACTATCGAATATGAGATGAGCGACTTCATGTTTGTTCATAAGAATACACCTGCTTTAAACGCGGCGAATAAGGTGGGAAGCAGTTTTCCGATGTCCATACCACACTGACATGATACGGCAGTTTGCGCTGGCAGATATGCAACGTAGGTTAGCATCGAGGCCCGACCTTATGCATACCTTGATACCAAAGGTCTTCCCACTGGGGTGCCGGAGACCAACGTGAGTGAACCAACCGGAACAAGACATACGTTCGCACACTAATCGGATAACAGCCCCGGCAATGGCTATCTTGAGGCCTTGATTTCAAAGAATGTCTCTGTCTTTTTGGCTGAGGCCTTAGATGAAATCACAGAGGAGGGATTCAAGGATCCCAGCGGCAATGAAATACAGGTCGATGCACTTCTATTCGCCACCGGATTTGATACCACATGGGTTCCCCGGTTCCCAATTATCTCATACGGTTCGAACTTGCAAGACGTATATGCAGAAGACCCTCTGGGTTACTTTGGAGTCGCGGCCCCTGAGGTTCCGAACTACTTGACATTCTACGGTCCATACGGTCCAGCGGGTAAGTCAGCCTACACTATCACCATCAGAAATTGCCATGTGCTATCAACAATATCTCAGTAGCGTGAAGTTGATTTGAAGTCAAAACAGGCCAGGGAAGCGTTCTTCCAATGATTGAGTTCATGTCCCGATATCACATGCAATGGATCGAGAAGCTCCAGACGGAGCGAATAAAAAGCTTCGCGCCAAAAAGAGCGGTCGTGGACGAGTACGGCGCACATGCAGACGTTTGGCATAAACGCACGGTATGGAGTGAGAAATGTCGTAGCTGGGTAAGACTGTTACCATTGAAACTTAACAAGACGAGAAGTAGCCAAACCTCATGGCTAACGTGAAATGCATCATAGATGAAAGGTGGAAAGATTGACGGGAAAGTTATGCTCTACTGTGGCACAAGGACACAATAGTAAGTTCCATCCATAGATGATCTACTCTGGAGTTACTCATGTCGGCTGCAGCATGGAACTTATCTCTTCACTTCGCCCGGAAGATTTCAACATCACCTATCAATGCAAGAATCGCTGGAACTTCTTGGGCAACGGGTTCACCCAGAGGGACGTCAATGGCAAGGATATCACATGGTACATGGGTTTGGTGGACGGAATTGATAAACAAAGAGACTATGTGGTGTAAACACGGTAGATATGAACTCAATATTTTGCTGAGATATTGCTGTAGAGATGGACCTCAGATCGTAAGCGGCATGGGTACATATGGTGCGTCCAAGAATATACAAGACCAGCAGCAATTTCCAATTTGACGACGACATACAATATCCGCGCTAATCCTGCTGCTGACAGATGAGGGCAGTTAGGGCTAAGTTTCGTTTGATCTTGGAGAGCTCGGATTGGATTTACGCTCTTGGCCATATAAAGTCCTACATAGGTAGTCCCATCGCCTGTGGACTGCACAACAGCCTGTTAGTAGCCTGTGTATCTGATGTTCCCCACACTTTCGCTGTTTGGCTAGAAGGCAGTTTTAGGTAACATGAACATTCAAATGACGTTCGATCTTGCAATTCGTCAGACCTTACAATTTGTCACCTGAACTACCTCCCATGACTGTAGTTGATGGCAATTGAACACATCGTTTCTCAAAATTCTCTGGAGATACACGGACTGAGACATGGCTATCAACACAGGGCGGCATGCTTTGATCATGGGTGCATCTGGAATTAGTGGCTGGGCGATTGTGAATCAACTACTCCGTGGCTATCCTCAGAAGGGTATCTTTTCCAAAGTTACAGCCGTCACCAATCGTCCACTTGCGCGTCAAGAAACATTGTGGCCAGAGGATGAGAGCCTCAGGCTTGTCAGTGGCCTTGATTTGAGTGCTGGTAGCCAGCAGGAGCTTCAAAACGCCATGAAAATGAAGATCAAGGATATAGATGAGGTTACCGATATCTATTTTTACGGTAAGCTACAGATATTTTCTTCAGAAATGGCAAAAAATGACAAGGGGCGTTCTAGCATATCGTCACTCCAGTGATCCTAATGTCGAAAGTACTGTGAACACTCAGATGCTGGAGCGGACAATCACTGCAATCGACGAGCTATCGAAGAGATTGGCGTTTGTGGTACTTCCTAGTGGAACAAAGGTTACTAGAGCGACTTTGGCTACGTTCTCAGGATGCAGATATACTAATCTCTCACAAAGGCTTACGGTGTTCACCTGGGAAAGGAGAAGTTCCCTTTTGCCAAGGAGCTGCCACTCGAAGAGACTTTGCCTCGCATCCCTGAACCATATGCTTCTCAGATGTTCTACTATTACCTGCTTGACCGGCTAAAGTCTCTCTCACAAGGACGCAAATGGACCTGGTGTGATATTAGGCCAGATGTTATTGTAAGAGTAATCTGGCTTCGTGGAACTGATTTGGCATTGTACAGGACCAAACTAACGAATTTTGACAGCCTGGCTTCGTCCCGAATAGCAATACGTACTGCCTTGCACAAACGCTTGCTGTCTACCTCAGTTTGTACGCCAAGGTCGAGGGCAGAGGACAAAAATGTCCCTTCCCAGGCTCGTGGGAAGCCTGGAATACGCTCTCCAATGATAGCTCGCAAGACATGGTCGCAAAGTTCAGCATTTGGGCATCGCTGAACCCGAATAAGACGGGAGGAGAATCTTTCAACGTTGCTGACTATGATAGTCCAGCATCGTGGTCTGAACGTTGGCCTGTCATCTGCGAATGGTTTGGCCTTATTGGAACACCGCCTGTGGAAGGAAGCACACAGCCATTCTACTATCTGAAATCCCATCTTTCGGCATGGATCAAACTTGTCAACGAGCATGGGCTGAAAAGGAACTTGATCCAGGACGAATTAAGCCCAGGAAAGGGACACTATCAACAACACATCATGTCAGAACTTTGCTTCAATCGAACGCTGAACCTTGGCAAGGCCCGCCGGGCTGGGTTCCACGAGGTTTCCGACCTTCGAAAGACTTGGTGGACAGCGTTCGACCGTCTTCGGGAGAGTAAAGGGATTGCCTAAATCTGACAATTGTATCAAGTTAGGTTTCATGACTCTGCCGACTACGGAAAGGGGATGTTGGGCGACAGGCTGTTGATACGACCAGTTAGCCGGTCCCAGTCCGTACGTATGCTACTATTGTTACGTTGTGTCGGTTATCGGGTTTACATAGGCTGAACAAATCCGCTTGCTTGAGATTGGACTTGGACCGACCGATCCCGAGCCTTGCGCACGGTTGCTTTATAAGGTTAGTATTGCCCGCATCGCGTGGCCCGGTAGAGATTTGAGTTTGTTCGTGAGCTAAAATGCCTAGGTTGTCAAGAGGGCAGCCAACAATCGAGCTGAGCCAGAATTAAGCTCTAACTACCGAGAATGCCCATTTGATTGCAACTAGCGAGGCCGACAGTCTCATGCTGCACGGCACTCCTGCCACAAAACCATGAATAGTGGTGAGGAGGCCAGGGTTTTTTTGGATTCACGTCCATCAGATGATTTTCCTTCACTTTGCTGTAGCTCCACCTCGTTTGTAGACTCTCGAGGTATGTTAAGCCAGCCAGTAGTGTCAGGCGGAATCCAGACCGCAATCGTCTTAAATCTGCTTCACCACGTCCTCAAAGCAAAATGCAGAGAGTACAGAGTCGAAGTTAAACGGCTTGTCATTGTTCTTCAAGCATAGAATGACCTGGTGCTGCCATCTTGCTGGCAGGCAACTCGATTCTCAAGTCAGACGGTTTGCGCCTTGGACCACCGAAGTGCCCAGCTTGTGAAGTTTCTCAAGCCTACGTCGTATAACATCTAGATCACTACGACTCAAGTCGGCCATGATACATTAGTACTGATCACTTGTTGACCTTGATTGAGCAACATGAATGTAAATTCCACGTGAGACGGATGGAGTGCTTGATTTAACGAGCTGTTTTACGGCTTATAGAGGACTAAACCATTGGCGGCTTCTGTCAGGGTTTCCACTTCTGAGCAACCTCACATGTCGGAGCAGCCTTCGGAGCAGCCTTCGGAACTTTTGATAAGCCACCAATAATGAGATATGACCGCTTCTGAAGCCCTCCCCATGAAGCTGGCACGATTTGATGGTTTGGTAGCAGTCTCCCCGTCTGCCTGTTTGCAACTGAAAGTCATAGCTTCGTAAACAGACCCGATTGAAGATAATTGCCACCGTCCAAGGGGAGGATGATTCCATTGACAAAAGAACCGGCCTGAGAACACAGATATAGCATTGCACCTGCGATGTCCTCTGGCATACCGATCCGGCCAACCGGGTTCGCGGCTTTCATGTTGTCAATACCTCCCATGATCCCAATGATTCCTCTTGATAATTTACTTGGGAAGAAGCCTGGTGCTATGCAGTTGGTGGTGATGTTTCGAGGACCAAGCTCCACAGCCAGATTTCGTGCTAAATGATGGGCTGCTGCTTTTGATACAGAATACACGATCGTACTGTTCTCACCAGTGAATGGGACTGTGAATCCTGCAATGGCTCCAACGATAATAATTCTAGAAGGATCTGTTGGCGTGGCTGATTTCTCCAGCAAAGGGCTCATCCTGAAGACATACGGTTATCCGATTGTTCCTTCGAATACTTTGAAGGCTTTGTGGATGCCAAAGGAGCATACTCACACCCGAACTAAGTTGATAATACTCCGGACGTTCAGATCTAGTACCTTCCCAATTGACTCGTCAGGTGTAGTTGCAAGAGGACCACCCCAGGTCGCGCCAGCATTGGCGATCAAGATGTCGACTTTTGACACGCGACTCTGCACGGTCTCGACCAATGTTTGTACTTCTGAGACTCTGCTCAAATCGGACGCTATAATTGTCACCTTAGTCTCGCACCCGGGTATTTCCTGTTTCAAAGCCGTAAGAGCAGCTGTAAGCCCATGCTCGCCCTCAAGTTTTCTGGCCGCCAAAAGGACGTGCGCCGCTCCTGCGCGAAGAAAAGCAGTGGCAGTATGGAGGCCGAGGCCCCGAGAGCCTGGAATAAGTTTTAGCTAGGTATCAATGACCTTTCGGCGCCTTCAAACCTCCGGTGATTAAAGCAACCTTCCCGTCAAGACGGAAGAGCCCATCGAAATTGTTGAGCTGAGACATGCTAGATTCTTAGTCAACGCAACAGTTGCAAGAGTGGACGAGAAGACTATTTAACGTAATCCAGGTTATATCTTTGTCAGAGCATTCATACGCTCGTCTAAACTGACAAGATTATAAGTTCATGTAACAAGCGAAGGCTTTGAACTAAAAAGCGATATACCTGAGTATGCTAAATCCGCGGTCATCGGAAAGCATTTTCCGAGCAATAGTAAGCCCCACCAGCGCCAATCCGGTTTGCCAAATATCTTCTTTGCTGTCAACGCAATTTTAAGTCAATCAGGGAACCCCCGAAAAGCGAGCGACAAAAGGTGGTACCCCTTTGAAACAAAGCAACTGCTCTTCATTATAGAACAAAACGTATTTTCCGACTTACAAAGCGGTAAGCGCACTTCTATTCTATCGCCCATGGATGATCTGAGTTGCGAACATATGGGCTCAGACCCAGAACATCCTTAGTGACGCTGGCTTTTACAGTACCATTGCCAAGGAAAGCAAACCTGTTCCTGTACCGGTACACAATGTCATAGTCTTCGATTCTGGGGTCTTTGATGGTTTTCAAGAAGTGGATTGTCTGTAGCAATTAGTAAAGCTTTGCCAGCTGCAGACTCCCTTCGACTTACAGGTCCAGGCCAGAGATATATCCGACGTTTCGTCTTGCCGTCCTTGAACCATGATCTACATTCCTCACTCCAAACTGTATCTTGGTGGAAAGCGTCGAAATGCTCATAGATATCATCCAGTGCTTCTTGCTTTACAGCGACCGATAGGAGTCCTTCTGTCTGTATCTTCTTTATCATTTTAATGCTGTATTCAACCGATGTCTCAATCCCGGGGATCAAGGTGCCATTAGACCAAGTCGCTCCGGGGCCTACAATTGTAAAGTAATTTGGAAACCTCGGTGCAGCTCTAGTCCCACATTAGTATATATTCGTCTAAAGTAGAGGGTCCTGACTCACACTCCAAGGTACATATTACAGGAATCGCCCCAATCCTCAGAAAGTGTTTTCTTACCGTTGAAGACCTGGTCTAATGAGTATAAGGGCAACGAGAAAAACTTTCAGGAGGGCAAATACCTTGAATGCTGGCTTGAACGCCGGAGTGAAGCCCGTGGCACAGATGAGGATATCGACTTTCCTCTCCTCACCACCGACCACCAGTCCATTTTCCGTGACTCTTTCAATCTCACCAAAAACGGGCGTGACGTTTTCGGATGCTAGCGCCTCAAGATACCCATCTGCAGGTGATACGCGGCGACAACCAACACTCCACTTGGGTATGATAAACTCCTTGAGTTTCTCGTTCCCAGGGCCCAATCTACGAAGCATTTCTTTCTCGATGACATCGCGGAACTGGACTTGTACATCAGACCTGCTAATATACATCTCAAACAGGGAGTTGATCTCCGCCTCTATCTCTTTGCGGAATCGGAGGAAGTATTCAGGATCGTCTCGAAACCTTTTCTTATCCTCCTCTGTGAATTTGTACTGACGCTGCCCAGGTGGAGGCTCTACACCTTTTCGAAGTTGGGCGAGGGCAGCTATTAAGTAAGTTAGCTCGGGATGTTCGGAATTCGACCAATGCAATACTCACTAGCGCCAAAAGGAGGGCTGATCCACGTTGGCGATCTCATAAAGACGTCGACTTTATTAGCCACCTTTTGAAGAACAGGAATAATCTGGACTGATGTACTCCCCGTACCAATAACACCGACAGCCTTTCCCTTAAAGCTAACAGAGTGGTCCCACCTGGCAGAGTGCATCATGGGCCATTTGAAGTCAAAGAGGCCTTTAACTTCGGGCCACTTCCAGGTATTGAGGATGCCCGTGCCGTTAATCAATACATGCGCCCAGTCATACCAAGTTTTCTTTGTTGTCTGATCCTCGAGAGTACTGCATCAAGTATTAGCTTGCTTTGCCAAGGTGACAGGTCACATAGAAGCTTGACATGTTCCAGACTCCCAGGTTTTGGTCCCAAGACACTTCCACTACCTTCGTGTTTGTTTTCATGTATTTCTCCAGATCTGTTTTACGGTGTCAGTTCGTCTGTCACATTGGGTAAAGAGGCTTAGTTCTAACCATATCTGCGAGCAAATCCTTCAAAATATTCTTGGATTTCTGGACCATAGGCAAAGTAATGAGACCAGTTCGGATTTGGGTCGAACGAAAATGTATACAGGGGCGAGGGGATATCACATGCGACGCCCGGATAGGTATTCTCGTACCTAAAGTGTTCTTGTGTCAGGATTGCTCGAATACCGCCGGAATTTTCAAGTATGCCGCGATCATTAAACCCCAGAGTACTTGTTGGTTACAAGGCGTTCTTGTACTAGGAGTGTTCAGACTCACCAAGTTCCACCGAAATGGTCATTCTTCTCGAAAAGAGTAAGCTCCCAAGAGTTTTTCTCGAGCATTCTCTCCATCTTGTAGGCAGTACAGAGCCCAGTAGCGCCAGCCCCAATACATGCCACACGTATTTTGCATGGCTTTGAATGGTACTGATCTAGTACTTGATAAGGAGCCGGCGGATATTCGAATGCTCTTGGCTTCGATGTTGATTCATTGGTTCCTTTCACGTTGTTCGCAATGGAGCCCATTTTCAAATTATTGCTCCAGCTTGTATCAGCCTTAATCTTGTCGTCACAATATAGTAGATAGGCACAGGACTGAAATCTGCAGGCTCAAATATATTCGAAGACATCAACTTAATACTATTGGACTTCGCTTCCTAACAATACTGTACGAATTGTGGATAGACCGCTAAAAGCCAAGGACTATAGCAAGCCACCTTTGATATTGAGCTTGCCGGCTTGCTGAGACCCGGTTTTTCCGGCAGAGTTCCACGTCTAAGGAGCAGGAAACGCTGTTCCGATCCTCTGAAATCGTTTAGCCTGCACGAACCAGGGATACCCTTCTCGGCGTCACGCCCCGTCCGAATAAAAAAGTGCGTATGACTAGTCATTAACCTGGAAGCCATAATTATGGGATGGTGTTTGGGAACAGAACTGGTCTCACTATCGTATTGGGAGACACACAAAAATCGCGGTGGGTAAAGAAATGACCAAAAGTTGCATCTTGAAAGCCTTCCTACTGCCTGCAAGGCTTGAAGTTCCACCTCGGCATAGATACTCAAAGTCTTCCATGAAGAAAAGAACCAGCGGTGATGCTAGGTGTGTCTCTCTTAGCCCATTCACGTAGAACCTTTCTCTGGATTTTGCCACTCGCGAGCTTCGGGATCTGATCTACGAATGCAATCCCCCCACGCAAATGTTTATGCTTCGCGACCGTGCTGTTGAATGACTCAATAAGCATGGCTCCAGTTACAATTGCTTGAGACGACGGTTTGAGTACTATGTACGCGCGGGGGTACTCGTTTCCCTCACTTGTTCGTTTCAGCAATTGTTACAGCACATATAGTTTAATAGACTTGCCTTGTGATCCCAACAACCGCCGCATCCGCCACATGCTCGTTTTCTAGGAGCCTTCCCTCGAGCTCTGCAGGTGCCTAGATTCATAATAAGTGTTACGAAAAGCAAACACGTCTAAGTTCCCAGTGAAACTCACCACTTGTAATCCATTAACTTTGATGAGCTCCTGTGCAATGTCAGTACAATCGCGCATAATGGTATGGTACCAACCTTTTTCCTGTCCACAATCCAGTAAAGCCCTTTCTCGTTTCTGATAGCGATATCACCAGTCCGTAACCACCCGTCAGTCCCGAGTAATTCTTCACTAGCAGCCGTGTTTTTCCAATACCCAAGGCATACGTTTGGACCTCTGTAAAGAATCTCTCCCCTCTCTCCTGTGTTAACCACCATATCATCATCGTCGACGAGTTTCACCATAGTGTTGGGAAGCTGGAAGCCTACGCTACCTGTTGTTTCGATCATCCCTCCAGGTATCGAGGTGCCGGTGCATACAAGTTCGGTCATTCCCCAGCCTATAGTGAATTTGAGATTGAAGCGCTTCGCCACTCTGACCTGCAAATCAAGTGGAATAGGTGCGGCACCACAGACGACCTCCCTCAGGGAACTCAAATCGTACATTTTAGTCTCTGCCCGCTTGTCCAACATTATCAGAATTGGGGGTGCAATCTGCAGGTTAGTAATCCCAAATTTCTGGATAACAGATAAGAACTTCTCGAAATGGAAACTCTCCATGATGTAGACTTGTATTCGTAGCTTGCATGCCATAAGGATCGTGTACAACTGACCATAGGCGTGGTAAAGCGGCAAAAACCCGACCCATCGTTCCTGCGATCGTGCAGTAGGGGTCAAATGGTACCGAATAAACATGGTTTGCTCCAAGTTCGCAATTATACTGCTGTGAGAGACCATCACGCCCTTCGGCAGCCCAGTTGTTCTGGCTATTTGTCAGTCAAAGTGTAAATTCTTAGCAATCATAGAATCTCGACTTCGTAACCTGTACTCACCCAGAAGAATAGTTGATCGTGGCAACAGTTGTCGCGGCTTGAGCAGGTGTGTAACTATGCCATTTCCAAGCTGCAGCTTCTTCAGAGTAGTCAAAGTAGTTTTTCCAGTGAATCAAGTCGCCCTGAGTACCAACAGACTCTGTGTCCGGAAAAAGAATTACGGAAGCTTTGTCAAAACCGACCTCACGAGCGGCTTCAAGAGCGACGGTAACAAGTGTGTGATGCACAAACATTACTTTCATTTCCGAGTCCTTGATTAGGTGGACCAGCTCTGAGACAGTATAGGCGGGGTTGAAGCCAGTAAAAATAGCTCCAGAGGCGACCGTCGCAAGATAGACGACGGGGACGAAGACGTGATTAGGTGTGAAAACGCTCACAACGTCTCCAGATTTGATTCCCAACTTCTGAAATCCAGCCGCAGTTGATTTAACGTGTTGAAGTAAGCTCTTAGGAGATAAACTATGCGCTGGATTTTCCGAATTTATCCATATTGGCTCTCCATCTTCTGAACTACCTGCTGGAAAGAGGTATTCTAGAATGTTGCATTGCGGGAGTTCAAGGTCCGGGAAATGTGACCTCGTAGCCATCGTACGGGTTGAACAATTTGATACGATCAGTAGCGAGTGCGTAGTGGTTAACTTCTGGTCACAAAAGCACTGGATTTGACTCTGAAAAGCGGAGGTATATGAGAGCAACTATTATTGACAAAAGGACTCGTTCCACCCAAGATGTTGTCCCGGCCGCCTTGGAAGTTAAGTGGCTGTCAGGCACCCGGTCACTCGGGGCGTATGTACGTGTCCGAGCTTCGGTCTGAGCGAAATAGCCGACTGGCCTCGTCGAAAACGCATATTTCTTCTACTGAATTTACAGTGAACTTGTAATTACCAAGGCTGATCTCTTTCCTGCCTAAAATTTTCCTAAGGCTATTTGCGCTCTCCATTGAGAGAAGCGTCCGCGAGGATGAAAACTTCGAAAAAACCGATCGTCTATGGGTACAACCCATTGCGCAAATTGGCAATGCTGCAACTATAATTTCGCTGTCAGCTCAAGCGACCTCCTCAGGTATACCTCATGCTTCTCTCGAAGCCCCACTGCACTTTTTAATTCTTCTCTCCCTACTTGGTGACGATGAGCAGCATCAGGACCGTCTGCGAGTCTGACATATCTAGCATATGTCCATGCGTGAGGCATGAAAGTATCTTGAGTCAGACCTAAACCACCGTGCATCTGCATTGCTTCGTCAATTACACTTGCTGCCATGTTGGGCACCGTAATTTTTGAGTGCGCTATAGCACGACGACCAGCTTTGTTTCCCTTGAGATCCATCGTTTCCGCAGCGTTCAACACAATTAGGCGCATGGTGTCGATATCGAGCCTCATCTGCGCCAATCGTTCTATGTTACTGTCAAACTCTCCGATCAATTTTCCGCGTGGTTTTTTTCGTGGATCGAGCGCTCTAACTAGAGCCATCTCGTATGCACGTTCCGATTGCCCTATTAGGCGCATGCTATTACAGATGAAGATTAGCTGCTGCAAGGACCACCAGCTCTCAACCCTATCAGAGATTCTCAGTCGACAACAACCACTCTTAGTAGCCACTGGAGTATACTATGGGCTGGTAGGTAGCTGCAAAACTGGCGGTTGATGGCATAAACCAGGAGTAACATAGGAGTAGTAACATACCAATGATGAATGCGGCCTGGTCCCAGACGCCCTTGAGCAATTTCGAAAGCCTTTCCTTCACCTAAGATCAGGTTTTCAACAGGAATTCTGACATTAGTGTACTCGAACTCTGCGTGGCCCTGTGGAGCATCATCGTATCCCATTATCGTGAGATTTCTAATAAGCCGTAGACCTGGTGTGTCGGTTGGAACGATAACCATAGAGTGCCTTCTCCAGGGATTCGAATTGCTTGCATCCGAGCACACCATCAAGATGTAAAATGAGAGGGATTTGTTCATCAATGAGCCACCGAATACCTTTCGCCCATTGATAACATATTCATCACCATCGCGGTGCATCCTGCAGGCTATCTTTGTTGCATCGGACGCAGCCACGTCTGGCTCTGTCATAGAGTAGGCAGACATTGCAGTACCGTCAAGCAATGGTTGGAGCCACTTCTCTTTTTGCTTCGGCTTGCAATATTTAGCTAACAGCTCAATATTTCCTGTCTCGGGAGCATGGCAATTCATGGTCTGCGTAAGTTCGAGTAGTTAGCTCCTACTGGCCAAACTTGATGACACAAGAATTACAGCGGTAGAGAATTGAAATGGATGTACCAACTTCAGCTGCCCAAAAGCATCTCCCCATGATTTCTGCGCAGCATGCGTATTCTAGATTGCTCAATCCTGGCGACTCCTTGAAAGTTTTGGGAAGGAACAAGTTGAAAAGGCCTGCAGCTTTCGCTCTTTCTCTAAGTTCTTTCATCTTTGGCTGAACGGTCCATCTTTGACCTTCAAGTTGGCGCTCCATCAGACCCTCGGCGGGGATGCATTCTTGCTCAACCCATTCATGTACCTTGATGATGGTTCTAATCGCTCTTGGAGAGATCTTCGCTTTAAAAGTAGCAGGAATGCGCGCAATGGCAGGATGCTCCGAAGACATAGTTAGGGGATCTTGGTGTAGCTGACTGAAGTAGCTTAAAAGAAAGTATAATATGAAATTTACTCTTCGTAGAGAAAGATCCCGCTTAAGGAGAGCTCTTATGAATGTGGGTGCGAAACATTAACTTTTAGGCTGGCATCATGAGATCCTGGACAAAGACTGGGAGAGAAGGTTGGTACATCATCTGAGTATTGTCTTGAGCTAGTCAGGAAAGCTTAGCTTGCCAGACACCAACAACAAACAAACAGGACTTAGCATCCCACTGCCTGAACATAGCCTATTCGAGTTCCACCAAAGAATATCGCCGGTATCGCTTTGCTTAAATTTTATTCAATGATACTACTTCCATTGTAATTGGGTGGGACCATGTTTTCATTGTTCTAAGGTGATTTAAATTTTCCCAAGCACGAAAGGTGCTGATAAAGATATCTGTCACAATATCTATGGTTGTGCAATAATTTTGTTAGGCTCAACGAAAGCACCTAGAATAGAAATCCATATGTTGATCTGTGGGTGCTCTCAATAGATCAAGTTATGTTGAGCGAGAGGAGAATTTTAATCGACAATATCATATATAACAACAGTTATTGCCACCTGAATAGCTGTCTGTCCAAGGTATCAGAGCCAGATGTCTTTAACCGCTAGCACCCCTGTTCTCTCGGACTCATGCATGCCACATCTCCTCCGCTCCAGTAACTGTCATTAACCTACATCTTCAGGTTATTCAAAATGCTCTACCTCTGAACCCGTTTCAGGACTACGTTCAAGTCTGGCTTCTCCCAAGTGTTGTAAGCTTTCATATACTTCATTTCTCCTTCGGGCGACCATTGAGGTGATCCGTCCGCAGACACTAGGTCAAAGTGCCAGAGAAGTCGTCCAAGAATCAGGCGCATTTCCATGTAAGAAAGACTGTAGCGTGTCAGAGCAGCAGGCTTAGTATGTTAGCAGGACTCACTGTCGACCAATACAGCCTCTTGGCCCGGTTGAGAACGGCTGACTAGCTCTCTTCGCATCCCCGTCATATTCTGCGTCGATCCAGCGTTCAGGAATAAATTCGTCTGCATTCTTGAAATTTTCAAAGCTATGTGTAGCAGCCCATGCACAAACGCCGACGTGAGTACCACCAGGAACCCTAAGAAAGTGCATTAGAGATAATGCCTTGACGGACGATTTTGACCAATCAGGGAGTCTTACCAATGGCCGTCGATAGTGTCACCTTGCTGAGGGACAGTTCTCATTAGAGCAGTAGGAAGGGGAGGGTGAATCCTGAGGCCCTCCGAGAGACAAGCTGATAGGTATGGCAGCTTCGCCAAGTTGCTGTCTGTCATTTCATTTTCATTTCTAAAGTTGCCGCGGATTTCTTCAGTTAGCTTCTTGTAAACTCGAGGGTTCTTTAGCAAGCGAGCAGTCAATCCTGATAGTTCATTTGCTGTGGTTTCACTTCCTGCAACACTGGAATGCAGTTAGTATCTTTTTTCTCTCAAAAAAGGGGGCGGAGAGGAGTTCTACATGAAGAGCGCGCCATTGACTATAACTTCATTTTGGGAAATAGATCCTCGCTTTTGTTGATCTAGAATATACCATATGAAATCCTTATGCTGAAGCTTGGAGTTCTCCAGACGTCTGGACAAGGTGCACGTCAACTTAAGCAGTACTGGGTCAGCAAGAATAGACAATACCTCAAAACCTTGTTCTGGCTCCACGCCAAATGGTCGCGTCGCTTTTGCTTCTTGTCCTTAGGAATGAGATTCACAAGCAAGTCTTGAATAGTAGAGCCAGGTTCGGCGAAGCGACGAGTAGCCTGTTCCATTGCACCGGCTTTGACAGTCTCATAAATGAGCGCAACCCACTCATGGAATTTTCCTGTGGAAATTATATCAGCATATGCCTACATGGCCGAGAACAGTCGTGGAAATCATGTCTTACCTTTTTCGAGGCATCCGAAGGGTTCTCCAAATGCTAAGTCTCCTATGATATCAAAAGTTGTGAAGTTGTACCAATTGACTAAATTGAAGGACTGTTCTTTATCACACATATCACCAAGTTTATTGATAAACATGTTGACATAAACTAGCAGAATACCTTCCTGCTCCGCCAATGCCTGTTGGCTGAACGCGTGCGATAGTGCACGCCGTTGACGTGCATGAGTTTCGTCATCAGCCATGGTAAGGGTGCTTGCATTTGGAAGTGGGTCAATGGCTCCAACATGAATGCTGCTTTTATGCATATTTTTATGGCCTGGACGATGACCGTAGATGTCATCCCAGGCTCCCGCTGTGTTGAAAGACAATTCATTCGGAGAAACTCTCACAACACTACCGTAGATATCGTGAAGCACCTTGTTCTCCATGGGAAGGCGGCCCCGGAGCAATGCCCGTATAGCTGGTATCTTTGAAGTCCACGTTAGAACAGCTTGGTTAGTGCATTAAATTACAATCCCACCTACAGATGATAATGCATTGATTTTAGGGCCAGGGAATATTGATAGGGGGTGGAAATACAAGCGATAGACCGCGAGTACGATTGTATACGTAAAAACCTGGACACTTATCGTCAGCATGCCCCTAAGTAAAAACCGAGGCAAAAGCAAACCAGGATCAAAACCAGCGCACAAGTATAGCTAATTCTTGACTGATAGCTTCGAGCTTCCATGGAACTTGGAGCCATTATTGTTCGGTTGAGGTTCATTTTCGAGTCGCCTCTTGGTACAGCAGGATGACTATTGCTATTGAAACATCCAAGACCGCAGTTAATAAGCTATGGAATGTTTTTCCTACTTTACAGTCCGGAATCCGCACCACATACTTTTGTTGGCAATAAGAGTGCCACAGCGGAGATGTCAATACAATGCATCCAACCTTTTTGGGACAACCGGGCAGAATGAGATAGTCTGCCGGTCGATGCTTACCGAAGTGCCTAAGTAACTCCATGGTCGCGCTTTCGACGTTTTCCGGCTTTGAAGATCCTACGGAGCCTAACTACGAAGTAGGTAACCCCTGCTTTTGTGGCTCCACCAGACATCCCATTTGTCATGTGCCTTGGCTCGCTGAACTAGGGTTTTTGCCCAGCCTATTGCCCCCATTGATAGTTGCCAAGGGGTCTCTTAGGGGGAGAAACTTATACGCAACGCCTGTCGTGTCATCTATATGGGCAGACATTCCAGGTTCTAAACACTTAGTGAGCTGGACCTGACTTACACTTGATTAGATCTCATGGCTACTCACAGCGCTCGGCAACACCCGCGAAGCCCTTTACGAGTGGCTGGAGCTTCCGGAGGTTAGTCAGAGCACCGCTCCACGTACATTGGAAACTAGCTGCATTGGACAATTACTGATCTCTTCCAGGTGTTTATGACAGAAAACGCGCAATCCATGACCTCGCAAAAAATGAAGATCTTGACTTCATTGTTGGCGACTGGATGAGTGAGGCGAGCATGACGCTCCGAGGAGCGGACAGGTATGGAAAGAATGAAGATTCGTTAATTGGTAAAGCCTACGAGCCCTACTTCCTCGAACAAATTGCCCCCGCCTTGCAGTACTTGGAGCACAAACATATCAAGGTCTGCATTAATGCCGGAGGCAGCGACCCAAAAGGTAACCAGCAATTCTCTTCCATTGTTGGGGTTGCGAGTGTTCTCTAATAAATGATTAGGCCTAGCAGATGCTGTTCGAGACCTGATCGCACAGGGAGGATATCAGCTCAAAGTTGGATTTGTGACAGGTGACGATGTCACTCACGCTCTAGATGAAGTTGTCCAGACAGGTTGGTCTTCCTTCAGGGGTGCGACTATTGTCTCACCATATTTAGGGCATCAATTCGTCAATCTGAATACCGGACAGGACCTCGCTGACTGGCCATTTGATCCAATTAGTGCCCAGTGTTATCTTGGAGCAGGCGGCATCGTCGCGGTGTTAGAAGCTGGAGCAGACATCGTTGTATGCGGCCGTGTTGCAGACGCATCGGTGTGCGTAGGCCCCGCAATGTACTGGCACGGATGGACTCGAGATAACATGGACGAGCTGGCTAATACGCTCATGGTCGGACATATCATTGAGTGCAGCACTTACGCGACTGGCGGGTATTACTCAGGATTTAAGGAGCTAGGGATCCACGACACTGACATGGGTTATCCGATTGCTGCAATCGACCACAAGGGTGAGGTACGTGTTCAACGTTTATCCATTTCCACTTGTCTTCGACTTACAGGCTCCTACCAGGCGATCGTGTATATGGAACAGGGGCGAGACGGCTTGGTCTCTCCCGCAACTATCACCAGCCAGTTGCTCTATGAGATTCAGGGCCTACTCTATTACAACTCCGATGTCACAGCTAATATTGAGAATATTCGAGTCGAGGCTATTGGGAAGAATCAAGTCCGCGTTTCAGGTGTGAAAGGTTAGTCTCTGTTTCTGTTCATGGGTATTGCAGTCGCGCTGAAGAAAGACAGGACTGCCACCCCCATCAACCACTCGATTGGGAATCACGGCAAAAGGCGGTTACCAAGCAGAGTTTCATTTTTACTTGACTGGCCTTGACATCAAGGAGAAGTTTGAAATGGTCAAAAGACAAACCCTCGCCACGATGGGAGACAATGTGAAGAGATTCTCTTGTCTCAAATTCACAATTGCCGGAACCGTCCCAGAGGATCCCGACAGCCAAGATCAAGCAACCGTGGACATGCGCATCTTTGCGCAGTCTCGAGAGCCAGAAGTGTTGTCTGCTGGTGGCCTAGTAGAGTCGGACAGGGGATCCTTTGCTCGCTATTGTGTTGAGAATCTGTTGCAAGGCTACCCGGGATCGACGATGGCGATCGACATGCGACAAGCACTGGGAAAGCCCTTTTTTGAATACTTTCCAACGTTACTGCCGCAGAAGTTTGTGAAACAAGTTGCACATCACCCAGATGGTACCTCAAAGGCCATTGAATCGCCGAAAGTAACAGCCGAGTATCCCAAAGGCACCCAGGCGTCGAGTGACACGGTCGATCCCGTTGATCTGACCATCTTTGGCCCTACCACAAAGGTGCCTCTAGGCTATATTGTCATGGGAAGGTCGGGAGATAAATCTTCGAACTGCAATGTTGGTTTGTTTGTACGCCACGAAGACGAATGGGACTGGCTGAGGACTGTTCTCAGTATGGAGAAGATGAAAGAACTGCTAGGGAAGGATTATAAGGGTGGCAGGATTGAAAGGTGCGAGCTGCCAAACATTCTGGCGGTTCATTTCCACTTAATTGACCACCTTGAGCGAGGTTATACAGCGACAAGTGGCTATGACTGCCTGGGGAAGAATTGCTGCGAGTACATTCGGTCAAGGAAAGTTGACATTCCTAATAAATTCCTTGCAAGAGGAAGAATTTGACCTAGTAATATAAATGTATGCACAGCTGTTGGCGAGAGTGAAAGCCTCAGGCATGTTGCTTGCTCATTCGAGGAGGAGAACTCGCTGTTGTTGTCAGCATTGAAACTGTTCGCTCGTAATGATTACACTGTATCACAAGATGTGAGCTTTGTTCGTGCGTGAGAAGGGGCTTACTGCTTTCGCGCCTCGAGGTCTGAGCCTCAAATTGTCACTCTTTCAGGGGATTGTCTCTGGTGCTACCAGGAAACTACAGTTCACGGGTGAAGCAGATGTTTTCGGTTAGGACTTCAATTAGGCTAGATCTTTATTCTGAGGAATCGACCCGTGCTCGGATAGCTAAGTCCCACTATCAAGAAAGAAAGAATCATCAGGGCCTTCGAAATCAAGACCGTACCCAAACAAAACTTGTGGTGTATCTGGATTTGGAGAATCCATGAATGTTTGCAATGCCTGTGGGCTTGCAGAGTCTTCAATCGAGGATTTTCCTGTCCGACCCACGTCCTTGCTACTTTCAACCGGGCTCTCGTTGCAAAAGTCCTCGGCGCTGTTTGTCGGCATCAACTCAACGTGGCTTGTGCCACAGCATGCAAAGCTTGATAGAGAGGCAGATTTATCACTTGTCGCCTCTCGTATATCTAGAATTCTTTTTGTCAGATGGAGCAATCTCGAGGCTTGCAGAGGATCGTGGGAGATGGAAGAGCCCAAACATCGTTGCAACGCACTCTCAATCGTCGGAAGACCATGGTTGAAGAGATACCGTATTTGGTCAGTTTCGGTCAGTCTGCTTACAATGTGCAGCAATTTTGCCGAGTTCATAGTACTCTTGTGCCTAATTGCAAGAGTCCACAGCGATGAGAGATCCTTCGCCCGCATGAGGATATTATGGACGACATTTGAGATACTGAAGAATTCTGTTGCTGTAACGGCGAAGTGAAACGCAAGCAATTGAACAGATGAGGGGTGTTCAGTCTTGAATGTAGAGTTGAGACCAGACGCATAATCCGGGAGACCAGACCACCAAATATCAAGTTCGACATCCCATCTGGTAAGCACCTTTGCGGGGCCTTTAGTGCGAAGACGATTTTCTTCTTCCAAGCCCCCCCGAAAGGGGATTTGAGCGAGTCTTGTTTCACGTGTCTCTTCCAGTATCTGTGATATCATCTTGTGAAGTTTTGCTCGATGGATGAAGATTTCGGCTAGAAGTTTCTGCAGATATGGTTGCTTGATAAATGTAGATCCCGGAATGTTTGCATTTAACATTTCATCATCGAAACGAAAATCAAATTCCGAAAGGCAAGGCAGTCCTAATCGACGATCTGGAAGAACAAATGGTCTTTGGCGGCCCGAACGTAAAGCCACGTTGTCATTCACCATGCATAAACACCAACAGAGGCGCACAGACTGCACGTCAAGCATATCGCCGGGAACTTGGGATTTCTCCCATTCGCGATGGCTGATCTCCCTCCAAAATTGGCCAGTCGCACCGTTGTTCGCGTCATTGGATGTTCCCAGTGATAATAGTAACGCGGCTTGTATTAGAGAGAGCCGATCGTTCTCATATCCAGTCTCATAGAGCACCTATGCACTAGTTAGCTACTTGAAATCATCGTCAGTGGAGAATGCACACCCTGGCACGCTGTAAAGTCTTTTCTTTCAAATTTCTCAAATTGCCAGACCGCGTACATGGAGAACCACTGTCAAGCGTATAAAGAGCACCAGCAAATAATACTGCGTGCAGCAGTAATAGACTGACGCGAGACGGAGAGTCATGGTTGTATAAATATAACGTTGACAGGAATTTTTGTAATTCGAGAAATGGAAGCTGAGGATGCACCCAGTCTAGGTAAGTCCTCACTAACTCGTTCAAAAATCGCGATTCAGGCAATGAATTTGCTCCCACCATTAGAATGCGACGCATTTGCGGCGCAGAGAATTGAGCATCATCCCAGCGTACGTACTCCGGAAGCGTAGAGAAGCTGTGTTGTCGTTCTACGTCTAATGAATATGTTGGACAATGCTCAGTGGAAATTTCTATTAAAGGCAGTTCGAAATTTCCTAGATTTTGGATTGCAATCTCCTGTATCGCTTCTTGTGTTGGATCGTCCACTTCTCTTGTTGGCCTTTCATGCAGAGGGTATATTTCAGTTGCTGGAACTATACCTTTGCGTCTTACTGTTTCGTTAGCCACATGGTTTCAACTGGTATGGGGACAGAATTACTTGTTCCTCCTCGCCTGAAGGAGGCATGGTTGGTCCGAATGTAGGCAATTCGTACATGGGGCACCCATGAAATAAACATCGCATCTGACTTTCCTGGCCCTACATTTCACACATGCTTCTCTGGCACGCAGTTGTCTTGTCACACCCTGCGCAGCTGCATCTTTCTCGACGACCATGTTGATCCTAACTTTGGAAGCGAGCAAATTTCATTCAGGGTTTGGGTTGAATTCTTGTGATAGAGCAGTCGGCCCTGCTCACAAAAGAAAGCGAGCGTTCCCTTGCAGGCTGAAGTTCGAGCGGCAGTCCTTACTGGCTGTGTCCCCCTGCAAACCAAACCCTTTTGGCCAAGCTTTGAGAATAACAACTTTGCGGAAACTGGCACGTTCAGATTCAAAGGCTCTGGGCCTCTCGGATCTGAATAGCCTAAGATTTGCCAGTCAGGGGGCCATCGAACCCAGGGTTGGTGACAAGTGGTGTATAATCTACCGTATTGCGCTATAGCGATGAATACTCCTCTCTGGTGGCATGGTGACAAGAACTAAATTTCACATAAGGGTACTTCACTATGAAGAGGAATTCATCGGCTCTGACAGATGCTAGATGGGTCATTATGGATCACATAATCACTCATTATATATAAGGAAGAGACCAGGAGCCATCAGATAGAAAACAGAGACACTTGGGACATCCTTGGTGCGGTACGGAGTACATTTGAGGCACGTCACAGCCAGCAACACTTAGCTAGGAAAAATATGTGTGGGTCTTTCAATCTGGCTATCCCATGCCATTCGCAATGCTTGATCTAATAAGAGTCATACGTGTCTTTTCTGTAATCAGCCTAGAATTTCATGAGTCTCAGCATCATTCCAAATAATGGAGACTTGTGTATATGAGTGTGCTTTCTACAAGCCCCCGGCTACCAATGCATTAGGTTGATGTTTGCTTGGGAGCACTTTAATTGAATCTCAAGCATAAATTCACAAACAAGTGAAAGCCAGTTTTTGGAGCCTCTACATGATTGCTGTTGACTTTGCAGTGAGAAATGATAAGTGTGACTTTACTCCTGCGCATCTATCAGAACACTTGGTTATGGAGACAGTGATTTTACAAGGGGAGAAACAGCCACAAAGACCAACATTCAAGCAGTCGCGGACCAGTGCCCTATGTAGTTTGCTATGTTTTCAGCCTTTTTGAGGAGACCCTCATGTTTTGGGTTCTTATACAGCTATGGCCTCGGGAGTGAAAAGATGATGCTACTTAGTAGTTTTAGCTCATTGATAGCCTCCATCAACATGGATCACAGCTGAGCTTATATACCTCGCCTCGTCACTCAACAAGAATAAGATGACTCTTGTTATATCTTCAGGCTCTGCCATTCTTCCCAGGGCAATATGGCTATTGAAAGTCTTCTCGAGCTGCTCTTTCGGCATTATACTTGCGGTCAAAGCTGTGTGGACGAAACCACTGCGCGGCGGTTAGCACCAGCTAATGTGAGCTCAGGGGATGATACTTACGGCGCCACAGCATTGACCCTAATTCCGCGTGCCCCAACCTCCTGTGCAGCGACTTTACTCAGGCCAATTACTCCCCACTTACTGCTACAGTAAGCTGCGTGATTGGCGTGCCCTTGAGTTCCTGAAAGACTAGAAGCATTCACGATTGACCCAGACCCTTTCATGTAGCGAAGTTCCGATGCGATTGAGTTTTTCACTCCAGTCAGATTCACGCCAATCATGTTTTCCCATTGATCTGAAGTCATAGTTTCCAACGAATGCGTTCCAACGTAGCCAGCCATATTCGCCGCTCCGTCTAGACGCCCAAATTTCTCTGCCACCTGACGAATGATGTCGTCCAATGCTTTAGAGTCTTTGACATCGCACGAAAACTTAAGCGCCTGCCCTCCGTGTTTTTCAATATCTGCCAAAGTTTCATCGGGACTTCGTAAGTCTATGAGCCCAACAGCAGCTCCCTGTCGAGCAAGACGCAATGAGATATCACGACCCATGCCCGCCGCAGCACCAGTCACAATGAAGACTTTGCCCTTGAGATCTGAGTATGACATGGTTGCGGAATAGTTTCAGGAAAGAGAGCAGGTTTGGCATGCGTTGTGAAACACACTGGTGCTCGGATGGAGGAAGATTTACTCATTATAATCTTAACTTCAAAAGTCTCCCTTAGCTGGTTGGCTGTCTCGGATACGTGTCCCCGATTTCCTGCCGGATGAGAAAGCTTTTGCCTGTAGCCTACAGACGAACATCCTGTCCTGATTTGCATCAGCACTTCTCCAAGCTTCTCCAATAAAACTCTTACGGCTCTGTGGACAAAACTTTCCGCCATCTGGCTAGGATGGTGATAATCTACTTGAACATCAGCACTTGTTCTTTGCTCACAGCTTGCCACCAATATCGCAAGTATCTAATTGTAATAACTTGTACACAAGACTGGAAGTGCAGCAATCACGAAAAGTCTATAACTCAGTGATCGTTGGAGGATTGTGAGGATTTACGCGAAAGATCATTAATTGCAACCCCAGAGATCTTCAGCTGACTCAAATGATGTGATTGAGTGAAATTTGATAATTTCTCAGCTTAATTTACTAGATGTAGGGGCAGGAAGCCACAACATTTGACAGAGAAAGTAGCGAGCTCCACCCTGACAATGGGATCTGCTCCTGATGCGTCCAACAGTGATAGGAGCCTGGTCGTCGTAGCTTAGACAAAAATTGCAACATCTTCGTCTTCAATATGACTAGCTTTCGCTGAGGACGACGATTTGGTGTTGGTTTCGTTAAGGTCGTTAAGGGCAAGAGGTGTTGGGCTCAGATCGCTATCGGATTGCTTCTCTCCTCGACTCATGCCATGCAATGCTCTAGGCACGAAATCTGTGAGGTACACCTCTACATCTGGAGCGAATAATGATGCTATGAGCATTAATCCACCGAAAGCAAGGGTCACCAGAAACACTGTCTCGGAGCTGCGAGCCCAAGCTCGCTTGTTTGCGTAGGTTGCAGCTTCGATTATCTCTTGTGTAATCCCGGGTACGGTGGAAAAGTTTCCTGTGGTGAGAGCCTCGAGGAGTGCGGGCAAAGAATCTGCAGGAAGACCCTTGTTGAGAGTTGCCTCCGAAACATACCGAGGAAGGTATTTTTTGAACTCATTGGTGAGGATGTTGGGATAAATTGATGTAGCGATGGCACCTGCGGCAGTCCGAATGCAGCCCATGACCGATGCGACCAACCCAAAGTCACTGGCGTCCCATACGAGAGCAATACTGCTCAAGCTGAGGCTTTCGACATAGCCGGCGCCCACTGTACCAAGGAAAATAAAGGCGCAAGATCTGTGTAGACTCTCCGGAGTCGAAGAAGCCATAGCGCCTATAAAGCCGACCTTTAAGGTATTAGATTATCAGTCTAAATCACTTCAAGTGTGAGTCTTACCATCACACAGGACGACACGACCATCTGAATCCTAGTTCGTGGGATATATTTGTGGCCAAGGCCACCAAGGATCTGACCAGTGATAAGCCCACCACCAACAAAGCACTATTCGCAATGTTATCAGTTTCCAATACCTCACACCTAGTATGTTGACTCACCGAATAATATCCCACCATCCTAGTGTCATTCTGGTACCATATAGCCTGTATCAGCGTTGGCCACATCACTATCGAGGAATAGTAAATCATTGCCCCGATCGCAGCGCAGACCACTAATGCATCGTAAGGTATATTGCGGAAAAGTTTCATCGGAATATAGATGGTCTCCGCAGTGGTGAAGCCTTCCCAGATACAGAATGCAGCCAAGGTCGCAAACCCAACAAGAACTGTGGCGAGAACATGGGCCGAATCCCAGGGGTAGGATGTACCACCCCAATTTAGACCAATTAAAAGAACAGACAAGCCAGCGATAAACAGAAACATCCCAAACCAATCGAGGGACTTCACCATATCCCTCTTGGACCTACCCCTAACATGGAGCATTCGATAATCCGGTGGGTGGTAGAAAACGAACCACAGCCCTACACCGATTGTGTTGATAATCAGGCCGAGGTAATAGCACCACCGCCAATGCTGCTCAGTGTCGAGCTCAAATGATCGAGCAACCATGGGAGCAAAAATGGAGAATGGCACCGAACCAGCGAAAATTAGTGCGTTGAAGGGTCCACGGTCTTTTGCAGCCACAAGCTCTCCCAAAACCAGGTTGAATGAGACCTGAACACCACTAGCGAAACCGATCATGGCCGTACCGGCAAGGAAAGAATCTATTCCAGAGGCTCTGGAACATACCACATTCCCGATCACGGCAAGGACGGTGCCACCAATGTAGAACCATCGGCGACCAAAGATGTCGGAGAGTCTACCAACAAGAGGAAGAGCTACCGCCAGACCTAAGGTATAGATGACAGGGGCCTGCTCATCGTTAAATTCAGGACTAACTGGGTACCAGGAATCATCTGACATACCCAATGCACCTTCCCACCTCCATGCAGGTCCTCATTGATGATATAGAGGATATTGGCGGGAACATTGAATCCAGCATACGCCGACATTAATCCGAGAGCTGTAGCCTAAGACTTTTTATCGGTCATGGGTAATCATGGCAAAGGGTCTCATCAATTCACTAACCACAACTGTACCAATAAATTGCGGACTTGTGTAGTTCTTCCGCCTTCCAAGAGCTTCAGGCGCGATTTCATCGTGGTGCGTGGCACTATCGACGTGCACAGTCTCGGATGCCATTGTGACTGTCCTGCGACTGTAGGGCAGAGTGACCTTTTGGCCTATAGAAGTCCGTGTATTCCAAAGTGTAATCGTACGTCCAATGCGACGCGTTGTTCATCGAGATAGAAAGCAATATTTATGAAGAGCTTTAGATTTGTGGACATGATATAATGGGGGATCGTCACACTTATAGTGATTATTACCACGCCTTCCTATTTCTGGTACTCAGATACACGCCCCACGAGATCTCCGCCTAAACCCCAGAATCTGGGGCTCCAGACTGGGCAGGATTTCCACTCTATGTGTGAAGATAGGTTCGACACCTGATCTTACTTAGACTCCCGACACGGTTCGTTCTCCACGGATATACGATAGCCTGTAGATCGGGAATAACAATAATCAACTCCGTGAGTTGCTCGAACACCATTTCGGCATGCTAGTCCTGCTCCTTGGCCAGCGCTACTCTGCGTAAGCATCAGGCAGCGAAGCACCCTACATTCGATTTGCATTCATTTTAAGAGTTAGCATGATCCATAGGCCAAGACACCTTCTACAGCAGCCATACCCGCAATAGTGCTGGTGTACTCCAAAATCTTCATTCAGGGGCAGTATGTTAAGTACCAGCATAGTGGACTCGCTTTTACTTCTATGGGAATATTTGGTCACTGCTCGGGTGTCGTACATCTGCTTTTCTAGGTGCCTAAGGATTGTGGTCCACCGTGTTCGACGTATTTGCCAAGAATCAGGCAGTCGCAGTTCCCAGACCGTAGTAAGAGCAGGTAGTAATGTTGTATACGAGGCAAGTATGACATGTAGGCACTGTTGATGATAGTGCAATCATAGTTGCTATTAGTGGCATCCGAATATTGAGACGATGTTGTTATTATTGGCGAGAGATTACTTACTAAAGGGTGCAAACCAAGACATTATTTGACTACAAAGTACCGTGTAGTTTCTTAAAAGATCTAGATGCATGCCACATCACCGTTTCAAAAAGTAAATCGCTGATATTGCTTTCACAGAAGATCATGAGGCCAAACCAAAGTGTGTGTGCTCCGACTTTGCGGACTGGGGGCGGCTTCGGGTATGTGTAGCCTGACATAAAGTATATAGGCGCGTTATGCCTTCTTGACATAAATGGATTTTTCAACTTCTAGCTTGTAAAGCATCATCGCTGGCCTCTGGGGGGAGTCGAAAGACCTTTACGAAAGACCCAATGTCTCGGTCAGTGGCCCATAAGGCACGCAATGATCAGATTCGTGTAGCGTTCGCTTCTTTAGAAGCTACGCATATCCTTCCGAGGACCGATATAGTGGCATCTACACAGGCGCGAGAGCTTGGTATACCTTACATCGTGGAAGATGTGCCAAATGGAGAGGGAGCGAAAATTCACTGGCTCGGAGATACAAACGTTCCTAATGTCATCCTTTATTTCCATGGCAAGTTTTCATTGCCACAGAAACCAAAGACAGACTGGTTCTAATGCTTCTGTAGGTGGCGGATATTACATGCCGCCTCTGGATGGGCACATCAAATTCCTCAAGAAATGCGCAGACGAGGTAGACAAACGGGCAGGAGAGAAGGTGGTCCTCGCTTTCTTGCAGTATAGTATGGACTCCTGCCTGGCGTCAAAGACTTTATTCTCGGCTAATGACTCTGGGATAGCACTCACAGATGCAAAAGGATTCCCCATACAATTGCTTGAGGGTACTGAAGCTTTGCGCTTCGTTCTTGCCAAAGGATTCAAAGCAAGTAATGTGAGCGCGGATGCCCTCCCCTTTCGTTTACAACAGAGATAATAAATGCTCGCAGGTTGTCTTAGGGGGAGATTCATGCGGTGGAAATATGGCTCTTGGGGTCATTTCTCAGATCCTGCATCCGTATAAGGATTTGAGGGTACTGAAGCTGAATGAACCCTTAGCTGGTGCTCTGCTAGTGTCTCCATGGGTGAACTTTGGCGAAGACACTGAGTCCTTTAGACTGAACACTGATAAAGATATTGTTACTCCCCCACTATTGCGAGAAATGGTAAAAGTCTTCGTTGCAGACTCAGACCGCAACAACTGGTCTGAGCCCTACTTGACTGAAGAAGGGTGGTTCAAGAACTTTCCAGCAAAAAGTGTTCTGAATTTATCAGGGGAACATGAACTCCTCAGAGACAGCATTGACGAACTCGGAACGAAGATGTTGAAGGCAGGAGTCAACGTTGAGAATGTAGAATGTCCTTTACATGTGCATGTTGATTGTATTTTAGACGCTCAAGCCGGGCTCGACTACGGAGAGATGGCGACCAAGTCTTGGGATTGGCTAGCTAAGGTTTTCTCAAAGTAGGGCTGGAGATATATATCCGTTTCAGATCTGGCGATGATGGGACATCGCTTTTGTGGAAGGTTTCCCTGCCGGCCATTGCTGTGGCCTGGTATTGTCGCGCCGTTCTCTCTGCTTCAAGATGCAGAGCAATACCCAGAGAATTCCTATTAGCTCTCTCATGTTAAGAATCCAGTCAAGCTTATGCCCGATATCTATTATCTATCTACCTATTCGCGACGAAAGTCTTATTGGATCGAGAGCGGGAGAATGAACTTGAGTCGCTCACCTACAATAGCTCACTTGCGAAGTGAGAGCGAATTAATGCTGAAGTGCATTGAAATAAGTGCCTCCAACGCTAGGTCTGTAACACAACGTAACACTGGGATATCTTCTTCGGCGGAAAACTTGATATCCGAAAGGTTACCGGAAAACGAGCTGGCTATGTGATGCGAATACTACCATGTTTTTAATTATACTTAAGTGTTTAGATTGTCACGAACGTTTGTGGTCTCAAACAACGAAAACCGACGCCTATGCTAGTGCTTTTGCAAGGCTGTTTAGTGGGACCTTCAGAATGAAGTCAGGAATAAATGGGTGCGATCTCTTTCCCCTCCTTGACAATGCAAAAGATCAGAAAGCTGACGTGAGGTGAAGTGTGGCTTTTGTCACCGGTGCGGGCAGTGGCATCGGGCAAGCTTGTACACTTGAGCTCGTCAGAGCCGGTGTGACCGGCCTTTTGATCACTGATATCAACGAAAAATCTCTTGCACAAACTGTGCGGCTGTCAAAGGCCATCAACGAGAACTTGCCAATATTAGCAGAAGTAGCAGATATCACCCTGGACGACACAGCTACTCGACTTGTTTCTCAAGCAGCTGAGAAATTCGGACGACTTGACTATGCATTGAACGTCGCAGGTAAGGCGGTGACAATCCTATTTTATCACAGAAGATTGCTTTGACAAAGGCCAATAGGTGTTGTTGGGAAGCAGGGCCCAATAGATCAGCTAGATCCAGCCGCATACGATTTCGTAGCTAGTGTCAACGCTAGAGCAGTTTGGCTGTGTGAACGAGCAGAGATCGCGCAGATGCTAAAACAAGACCGCGGCAAAACACAGTGAGCCCCCATTTCACCTTGTGTTTATTCAAAGGGAACTGTCTGTCCTTCGTGCTGATTATGAGCGCTCAGCGATGATCGGACTGGTGACAGAGGAGCTATTGTGAATATTGCATCTATTTGTGGAATCGTTGGGTTCCCATATTCGACGCCATATACCATGGCCAAACACGGTTCGTAACGAGTTATTGCTAGTATGGGAGAATCACTTTTCTGACAGGCTAAAGCCGTCCTTGGGCTAACAAGGTCGGACTCTACTACTTTTGCTGCACAAGGCATTAGGGTCAACGGTCTCTGCCCTGGGTCAGTATTTCTTACTACCTTGCTTTATACTACTGGACGCTAACTAAGATTCTCCAGAATTATTAATACCCCACTAATCAGCTCCGAGACTCGTCAGTTCTCAGAATCGTATGTCGAGAAGTTCACTGCCATGAAGCGGCTGGGCACTGCACAAGAGATTGCCGATATGGCCGTCTTCCTGTGTGAGTTTGATCTGATGGTCCACAGTTGTAGATATTAACCGTATCTTAGGCTCAAGTCGTGCGACTTATGTGACAGGAGCTGCGATTGTGGTGAGTAGCATGATCTTCGTCGTTCTCGCCCATAATATGACAAGAAAACGAGGCTGGGTGACACTCGCAGACTAACAATGAACGAAATTAGGTGGATGGTGGTCACACAGCTCAGTAGCAGACTCGGCAATATACTCGAGCAGCATCAGCCATAACAATCAACAGGACTGACGAAGCCCTCTCGTGAACCGCAGTAAAACTGTTGCATCGATACAGGGAATCTGAATGGACTAGGGTACTGCATTGGTTGCCTGGTTGCCTGGCGAAGTGAAATGGGCCCTTGACGTTGCTATTGGCATATTCGCGCACAAAGGTTGATTTTGTTCGATTTTGTTCGATTTTGTTCGATTTTGTCCTCTTCGTTGGCTAGTCGCATAGCTGAAATACTATTTGCGTTGATTAAAGGTCCACGTACTGCCGTGAGCTCTATCAAGAGCAAGTGCTCAATTGTACCATCAGACGATCAGTATAACGAGCTTCTAGACGTGAATTTGTCCTTTACGTATGAACGCTGCCCAGGTGTTGTGCCAAATTATAACAGCAGTGCTAGTCGAGGGACCAAAGCTCGCTAGTTTCATCGATATCTCACTTATCTCTATCACTTTGGTAGGAGAATTCCGCAAGAATGAAAAAAGGTTGGATTAGATCATGCTGTAAGGGTTAATATAGGACAGAGAATAGACAGCATTATAGAGAATGCCCGCAGTCTTTGATCCTGATCCAAGTGAGGTTATCTTACGTCCAACACCAGGCCATCGTACTTTGCTGTCGTACTCCACTAAGTAGTAACTTACAACTATGTGTCTCATCTGAGTTCTTGTAAGAAGCAATGTATCTAGGTGTTCGAGGATCCGTTTTCCAAAGAATGTGAGAGTTTCATAGGGATGCGAGCATCGACCCTTGTTTGCTCGTCTCGTGGCGTTGACAAACTTTAGGACTCGGGAGCTTGTCACCATACAGCCTCATCTCCAATGCGCATTTCGCAATAACACCTCCCAGATACGTTAGATCTACTGACTTGTATCGTACATGGTACAAACCTCGTTTCATGCAAGAGCCGGCTTGTAGCGTTCGCATATGTTGGGGCAACAAGCAGCAGTAGCCTAAGCATGATGTTTTCTGCCTTCATGGATAAGTACCTGCATATGTAGCCGGGATTTTGCCGCGGTTTGCAACCTTGGTCGAAAGACTTCGGAGACCTTTAGCCGTCCGGTACTCCTTGGCTCTGTGCGCGAAGAAAGTCTTCAAAAGCTCTGGTACATATTTCAAATGCATATCAAGGCTCATATAATCGCTGTTGCCAGCATTAATAACAGTTTCTGAAGTTATTTGGTTTCATTAGAGCACAAGCTGCCATTATGGGAGAGCTTCTATCTTCTAGTTACGAAGTGGGCAAGAGGCTTCTGCCGCAAGCTGTCGATTATTTGGGCGAATTTCATCCTCAAAAGCTATTCGCCACTTATCATGGGGGTGGGGACGACTATCAAACAGGGTGGATAGACTTGAATTTCGATCAACTCGCAAAAGCGGTTGACTGGACTTCCTGGTGGATTGAAAAGATACTGGGGAAAAGTACGAACCTGGAAGTTGTTGCATATATGGGCGCAAAGGATGTGCGGTACAGTATCTTTACCACCGCGAGCATCAAAACGGGCCGCGCGGTAAGTGGGCAGAAACCTGGAGGCCTTCCTGGTAAGTTTCGCTGAGACGGATAGAGTCTGCTACCCTCTCCTAGAGGCTCGATTGAGGGCTTCGTGTACCTTATCACGCAAAGCGGTTGCAAGGATTTTTTCTTTAGCTCAGAACAGCAGACTAAAGTACGGGAGGTGAAAGCCCGTGTTAAAGACGTCCGGTTTTGGCAGACCCCAACATTGGCAGAAATGCTAGCGGGTCGGACTGTCCCGTATCCCTTCTCAAAAACCTTTGATGAAGCCGAAAATGACTGGGCTATTATCATTCACAGCTCTGGTTCCACAGGTAAGAGATTTCCTGGCTCCCTCGGATTGAAGAAGAGCGCAGATATAGCTTATTCTTACAATTTTCCTCTATAGGACTTCCAAAGCTTGTTCCAATGACGAACGGGTATCTTGCCGTTCAAGATAGATTTTCTCTCATTCCAGAAATGCCTGATGGGCGTCGTGCCATCTGGACAGTCATGGCGCCAGACGAGCGGTGCTTATGTATCAACCCTCTGTTCCATTTAATGGGTTTAAACATGTTGCAGGAATCTATATTCCATGGCATTCCCACGATACTAGGGCCTGATCGACCTATGACCGCGGAAATACTAGCAGATATTCTCACTACTACTAAACCTACTATAGGGATTCTTCCTCCCTCACTTATTGAGGACCTGAGCCGATCTGAGGTAGGCAGAGTTGCACTTTCATCTCTCCGAACAACTATCACTGGCGGCGCCGCGCTCTCACAGGATGTGGCGGCTCGCATTTCGAAGCTTACTAGACTGGTAAGTGTCTACGGCGCTAGTGAGATAGGGACTGTCGCATGTTTGATACCGAAATCTAAGGATGACTATAACTATCTCGAATGGCATCCGAAGTATGGGATAATTATGGACCCCGTCGACGATGGCTTATACGAGGCTGTTCTACGTCGGAGTTCTACTAGCGACTTTCAGGCTGTATGGCACAGTTTTCCTGAGCTCCAAGAATATAGGACAAATGACCTCTTTACTAAACACCCTGAACGAGAAGGTCTCTGGCTTTACACTGGCCGCAGGGATGATGTTATTGTACTCAGTAATGGGGAGAAGTTCAATCCGATCAACATGGAAAAGTATATCGAGGAGCACCCTAGCGTTAAGCGAGCACTCGTCATCGGACAGTCTAGATTCCAAGCCGCATTACTGGTAGAGCCGGACTGGGCGACATTAGATGACAAGCAATCGGAAGATGTCTTCATTGACAATATCTGGGCGCACGTGGAAATGGCCAACCTGCTTGTAGCGAGTCACGGCCGAATCATGAAATCGCACATAAGTTGCACCGCCCGAGACCTACCATTTAAAACAACACCAAAAGGAAATACTCAGCGCAAGGCGGTTTGTGAAGAGTATGCCAAAAGGATTGACGACATCTATACGCGAGGAGAAGTCATCGATAATGCGGTCTTGCCAGAGCACGCAAGTGTGGAGCAGATAGCAGACTTTGTTCTTCAAGTCGTTTCGGAGTCATTGGAAGGCACTCCAATCTCGCCCACATCGGACTTATTCTCTTCGGGACTCGATTCATTACAAACACAGCGTCTTGCTAAAGTTCTCCAAGGTACCATCGTCAAAATTGATAGTAGCAAAAAGGATGCCATCACTGCAGCCACGCTCTACAAGATACCTACAGCGTCAAAAATTGCGAAGTTCATCTATGATCTCCTTAATGCTGATGGTACAAGCGATTCCAGCCCGACCGTTCATGAATCAAGTGCATATCAAGAGAAAGCGGTGGATAGATTGGTGCAGAAATATACTGCCAGTCTCCCCCGAGACCCAATCAATATACCCACATTTCCCAAGAAGAATACTGTTATCCTAACCGGGAGCACCGGTTTTCTGGGAAATTATTTACTTGATCGGCTGCTTCGGGATCCCCTTGTCGCACACATATATTGCCTCAACCGAGCGGCTGATGCCTTTGCTAGAACTAAGGCAAGTTTCGAACAGAAGGAGCTTGACTTTTCTCAGGAGGTACAATCGAAAGTTAGTTTCTGGCAAGCTCAGTTCGGCGAGGAGAGGTTTGGTTTGGGTGAAAAGGAATACGATCTAATACGACTTTCTACAACCCTTGTTATCCATAACGCCTGGAAAGTCGACTTCAAACACTCCCTGGAATCATTCGAGAGTACACACATATCTGGGGTACGCAGACTCATCGACTTCTGTCTTGCAAGTCCACTTCACCCTCACCTGAATTTTGTTTCCTCCGTATCGACAATCGGACGTTGGGATTATAAAAATGGACCATCATGCCCTGAATCTCCGCACAACACTATTGATATTGTTGTTCCCTCAGGCTATGGGTTGTCTAAATATACTGCGGAGCGTATCTTCCATGTCTCGGCTCAGCTATGTGGTGTGCCAAGTACTATCATCCGAGTTGGACAAATTGGAGGCCCAACCGTTGGGCCTGGTTATTGGAACAAAACAGACTGGATTCCAATGCTCATCAAGACGTCTCAGGCAATAGCAGCGGTTCCAGACACGCTTTCATATATGCCAGTCGACTTTGTTCCCGGTGTAAGTGGCTAGCGCTTATCATATCGAATATGAGATTCTAACTGATCGGCGACTCTAGGACATGGCTGCAAGTGTGGTTGTGGAATTCGCTCAAGCGCGCCAAACTTCTCAGAATGAATCCCGGTGTGAATTTTTTCACCTAATCAACCCTACTCGTGTCACCTGGGAAAGTCTCTTACCAGCGATACATCGCCGCTTCGCGGCCAAGGTCGTCTCTTTTACCGAGTGGGTCGATAAAGTGAAATTAATCAAGCTAACCGATAATGCAATTTCTGAGACGCCCGCAGTTAAATTGGTTGACTTTCTCGAAGGTCTAGAGTCATTGAGAGATTGGAAACAGCCGCCATGGGAGACCTTGCGTGCCCAGAAAGCTAGCAAAACGTTGAGAGATCTACCGCCATTCAATGCGGATCTAATGGCCTTATATTTGCGGCAGTGGAATTTCTGACAGAACATGATGAAGGTGGGCCAGATTTCCTAGCGCCGGGCTTTTACTCGAGCAAGTGTACGGCAACCAGTGGTCTAGATAGGATATAAATAGGCACTCTAAAGTCATCATACATATTGGCATAGAAGTTCTATGACGCGTGGAGCTCGATCAGACATTGGTATTCACATATCATCATGTGACAGGTATAATATACTCTAATTCATCAGAGGTTGCTTGTGAGGTGTACTGGGATCCGATAACGCTCTCGCAAACACAACTCCTGGCTTTTTCCTTGTCTTTCCCACTGTCATTTCGTTCGCTTAATTTTATTGCAGCTTTCGTGGTCCTCTTTCCACAGCCGGGAAGACTTCGCCCCTGGGTGTCAGTCAAAGCTGTAACCTTTCGAGCACCTTATATTATGCCAAGGAGGGGAAGGCACGATTCGGTTCCCTACGATCTAGGTACTGCATCGTGGTATGCAACTGCCAGAGACGTGACACTAAAGAAGTCCAGTAGGCTCTTTCAAACCTAGAAGGAGTGTGCATACTCCTACAGCCACCGGGCATGAATCGAAGTGCAGCTATATCCGCTCTTTGGAAAAGGGTAGGCTTTCCATCGGCGGAGCCCAGCCTATCACTGTATCGGCGCTCAGAGGATGGTAGTCTAGGTATTGCCGAGATGATTTGCCCCTCCAAATTGCTAGCAAATCTACAGGCATCTTTGGCCGGTGAACCACGCAGTAAGACCAAAAATAGTCATTGGGTATGGACATAGTATGATCTGAAACGAAGGATTTGTAAAGGGTGTGGTGTATTAGGAGGTAATTTTGGGAATCCGCCGCTACTCTGAGATCTTTCGGCCCTACGCCATGACTTCTACCATGAGTATACAATACCGTTTCCTTACGACAATCACTATAGAATGTGTAGGTAAAGCTTGGCATGGCATATTTATCATGTACGACCATCGTGACTTAATGAAAAAATTGTTCTTAGGTTTCAACGGGCGTTAGTTTGCACTTGAGCGCTGGTTTGTCCCAGATGAAGTATGACTGTCGCAGTTAATGTCTGTGTGGTATTTACTGCTGTCGCACAGGTGCTCACATTTTGATTAGGCCAATTTGTGCTCTCGGCACAAAGTTCGATGTCAAAATGGACGATGACAGTAGCGTAAAGCAGCCTCATTTCGTGCCATGAAAGATTCTGGTAAACAATCAGTCAGATGAAGGTATGTGGAAACGATGACCATACCTTTCCCACGCAAGTACGCGGCCCTACTGTCCATGGCTCTAGCGCTCCCTTGTGGTCATTTGCGAACTCGGGAACACCTAGCCACCGGTCGGGACGAAAGTCCTCAGCATGCTTGAAGAGGTGTTCTGCTCGATATGTTGCCAGCTGATGGACAAACATTTGGGTACCTTTGGGTACTTGATGCCCCGCAACTGTGACACCATCCCACGATGCGACTCTAGGAGTTCCGTTAGGAGTAGGAGGATACATACGGAGAGCTTCTTTAAGGCAGGCTTCAAGGATTGGTAGCTTCGTTAGTGCGATCAGGTTCATGTCGTCGATACATTTCAGTGATCCTCTAACTTCGTCCTTCAACTTCTTCATCCATTCCGGATTCTTCAGGAGATAATAAGTTAAACCAGAAAGAGCTATATTAGTGTTAGTATAATCTTAGAAGCCAGTATGAAAACTCACCTGTTGCTGTGGTTTCAGTTCCAGCAAGCATGAACATCGCAGATACAACTTGTAGTTCACCGAGTGGTACTACTGCGTTAGGTTCCAAAGGGTGTCCTCCCTTTTCAATGATCCTTGTGGTTATGTCCGGTCGGTCCGGTTCCTGAGCAAGTCTTTTACTCACTCGATCGGAAGTGAACTTGAAATGAGCTGCCGCCCTCTTCTTTAGAGACGGTAATCGAGTTGTGATCTCCGTAACCAGCAACCTTGTGGGAATGCTGAACATTCTAAGTGCGCGTATGTAGTTCTTAAACTTGATGCTTCCGAAGATATTTCTCACCCAACGTTCGTTTTCTGCGGTGTCGAGCATGTGCAAAGATTCCGCAAATGTGAGATCGGCTGGACGCTTCATCAGTACGTTCAAGTTCTCCTATGCCATACGTGATGACTTACCCATTATGTCGAAAGTAGCGAAGTTGAAGGCAAGTGCTATATCAACCAATTCACCATTTTCGACTGCTCGGGAGAAGAATTCTACTAACTTGGCGGCATACATCTTCAACAATGGCTCCTGCTCCTTGAGCGCCCTTTCACTAAACCCGTGAGAAATGACTTTTCTTTGCCGGCCATGATGAGGAACGGGCGCCCTAATCAAATCGAAATGTCCATTGAAGGATTTCATGTAAAATTCCGGGTCTTTGTGGTTCTCGGGAATTCCGGTCTTCTTGAAGCCATATATGTCGTTCCAAGTTTCCGCGGTGCCGACGAATGACAACGTGTTTGGGGAAACCCGAACAACATCGCCATATCTCTTGTGAAGTGCTACTAGTGACTGGGTTTCTGTGCCTTGCACAAGGTCTAAACATTCAGGGATCTCAGAGAATGCTCTGAATTTTGGGCCGGGATATTTGCTGAGAGGTCCAAAGAAAGCGCGGTAGGCTTTGGACCCAACTGAACTGACGAGGTACAGTAATATGAAAGTGTATGAGGCGACGACGATATTTTCTCTGGTGAGCACAAATGGTAAGTGTATTTCGGTAGACATGATGAGTGGTATGATAGTTACAAAAGATTAATCTACATGGAAATAGACTAAAATTGTGGCGATATTTAGCTATTTCACGACGCCGGGCGATGTCATAGCAATCAAAAGCAGCGATAAAATGTGAAACAAGAACGCGGCGAGCGTGCTCGAATCATCCTTATGCGGTGCAGGCCTCACCTAGTCAATACATGCTATTACTCCCAGATGATTCGTCACACGCAAAGTGTCTCTAAAGGACCGGCTAATTCTCCAGATTCATGATGGCACTATGGATCTCCTGTTGACAGCCTTTTCTTTTCCTTGTATCATGGAGGCTAATCAAAGGTTAGCCTAAACGGTTTGCAAGAGGCTAAAACCCGAGAAAATTCGGGAAGGCGGATAATACAAACAGAGTTCAGAATAAGCTTGGTGATGGGTAGGTTTGTGTGAAAGGAATTTGGTATAGCTGTGCATACTTTGTATTATTTTCACAAGTAAGGATAATTATAATTCGGCCTTATTTTCTTGAGTCATAACTCCGGTAAGATGCATGGGATATTAGTAATTCTGATTGGCCATGAGGGTCATGTCTTCTTCCGGAAAGCTTGCGGCGCCCTCTCTGGTAATATAGCGCAATCATACTGCCCGAGAATTTAGCAGGTCTCCCGAAGCTTAGCTGGCTAACAAACCACGTTGTATGCTGGGTATAACTTCTGCAATCCAGCGTGTGTCGGTACTTTGGATGTTTATTGTCACAGGTTCAGACGTGGCAATTAACCCGCCTGAAGACTTCCCCCTAAACTGCCTTTGCATCTGCAACCTTTCACAGGGGCTGCAAGTCATGCTCCTGTTGGGCTTGCTCTGAGATCACCTGCTCTTATGCTCGTATAGACCTAAAGAATTTTCTGTAACTGCTGCAACGGGCCCAAGACCCTGCCAGTATTTCGGCTCTAAACCAGTTTAGAATCGCTGTAAAGTCCTCTATTGGTGATATCCATCGCATCTTCTGCTTTGTGATCAGTGAGCTGCATACGGACAGGCTCATCTGTATTCCGAAAGTGGCTGGTTCAGCCTGCTGCCTTGGGCGAAGTCTGATCGGTCGGGTGTTTCTGGAAGATAACTTACGCACTGTATCGCAGGGCAAATGCGTCAAATATTTGGACTTTCTGTGGTTTACATTCCATATAGCAGTATGGAAGTTGAAGGTATCTTACAAGCCGTGGTCCATAGGTCAGTTTGAATGTGAGAGTATACCTGCTGGCAGTGCCTTTGAGGAAAATGCCTGCTGTCAATGGTATCCTCGTGTACCCATCGAAGTTTGAGCAGTACTTTACCGATATCTGGGCACGGGAAGTAGGCCTTGCTTCGCCATTTGACCTTCAATTTGGTGTCTTCGTAAGGGATTCTCTGCCCTGAGCCCATGTACGACTTGCACAGCGCTATCTGGTTTCATTTCTGCTTGAATGCGGCATTGCTCCACTCCTAGTTAGCGAGCTAAGTCTCGCTCCAACATCTAGACGCGCAACTTTCAGATCATCTTACAATCGAGCATATTCCATTCGGCATCCCGTATAATCGCAACATACTGGAGCCCGAGATAATGCTCGGCTGCAAACTTCGGTTTCAAGCCTGCCGAGGTATGGCGCCGGGATTGAATATGGGACCAAATCCCATTTGCGAAGAACGCAAAGATTTAGCATTATAAGCACAAGCGATATTGGAAGTCCGTTTTTGCCGAGAGCTGGCACATTTCCATCAATACGAGATCTCTTGAAACACAATTGTCACAGCAGGATTCGCCGAACACTACATCTCTGGTCTGATCTGTCATCACAAGTACTTAGTTTGCAGAACGAATATGTCCTACCAATACACTGGGCCTATCAACTGCAGTGTCATATTCGACCGAACTTCTGTCCAAGGAAAGACCGCTATAGTGACCGGAGGTCTGTAAATGCGTCACAAATGAGAGGAGAGCCAGGAAATTAGTCATATTTACAGGTGCGCAAGGTATTGGGCTTGAATATGTCATCGCTCTCTCAGATGCTGGGTATGAGATTCTAGCATTCTGAAGCATGATATCTAACGAGATAGAACAGCGCAAAGGTTGTGATTGGTGATGTGAACATAGAACAGGGAAAAGAAGCTGAATGCAAGTATCAGAGGTACATTATTGCCCACCAAATGACCTACCTGGTTAATTGACCACATGGCAGATGTAAGTTTGTGAAATGCGACGTGACTAGATGGGAAGATCAGCTGGAACTGTTCAAGGCAGCGCTCAGTATATCTCAGCGCAGCGCAATTGACATCGTGATTGCAAATGCCGGTACTAAGTTACCGGATAGCATCCTTGCTTTCAATGGTGAGTAAGGCTTCACTGCCATGATAATTGCTCACTGACAGCCCAAATTTAGCTGATGAGGAGCTTCCTTCTCAGCCAAGGTTTTTGAACACCCAAATAGACTTCATTGGGGTACTTTACACGACCAAATTGGCGATTCATTGTTTCCGTCGCCAGCACAGAGTCAACAATACGCTAGATACCTGTCTGGTTCTCCAAGGTTCTCTTGCTGGCTATGTTGATGCTGGAGGTGCTCCAGAGTTCAATGCAGCGAAGCTCGGACTCAGGGACCTTATGCGATCGCTTGGACAGAGCTTGCAGACCCACGGCACCCCGGGTGAATTATATTGCTCCGTGGTAAGTCTAACACAAAAATACGGATAGATCCTGACTCATACGCGCGTAGGTATGTGAAGACAAAGATTCTGTCGGACGAAGACTTGGAGCAGATCGCTGCAGCCAAAATCGAGTTTGCGGAGACCAAAGACACAGCCAACGCACTGATGAGATGCCGCTGTGATGGAGCAATACATAGTCTGTCTCTAGCCCATAGTAGTTGATAGTATTGACAGCGATTCAGGTCGATCATTTGCCGTCGTTCCGCTCACCTGGCAACCTGCAGGATATGTCGATATCGATGATGATGATGATTGTACCGCTGAAAAACATTGGCTGGGGGCTCTTACTCAAAAGTCTGCCGCGTCCTCTTGAAACGTTATATTAAGCAATGTAAAAGTCGCCAGTGCGTCATTTATGACTATGAGTACAGGTTACGTCCGAATTGAACTTTATAATTCCTCTTAAGCCTTCTGGTGAAACTTTTTAACCATGAATCTCGTTGTTCAAAGTCTGCGTTAGGCGCTCTGTTGGCTCCGGGAACGGCTAAAGTGCAGCTTCGGCATTTTTTGCTTAGCGGGGACAACCTGCTCTACCATCTACTGATGCTAGTATATCGGCTCACCCAATTCGCAATACCATGAGCGACTCGTATATGAAATGGTGGCAGTCGATGTAAACTCCACTTCAAGCTTGAGAGTTCACCTTCCAGTCCATCGAGCCGCCCACCTGAGCCCTCGTGTTTCGCAAATGCCGCGGCTCCGTCAATGCGCACAAACATACGTGTACAACAGCTGTTGTACAATTGACATATATGAGATCCTCGGTTGCCCTCTTCCAGCTGTGTCAGAATGCTTCTGTAGAGACGAGCTAGCACCTATCGGCTCTAGTTTCCTGACGAAATCCGTTAATTCGGCCTGCGCGACAAACGAGCAAGACTTGAGCGACGCGGTTAGCATATGGGATCTATATTGCGGGAAAGCTTTCACCGCGGACGCGACATCCGGAGATGGTACGTACCGCCGAGAGCTCTTCCATCCGAAGTACTGACTTCCTACTACTTAGAAGTGACGACATCACGGTCAACGGCCCAAGCCGGCGCGAGTCTATTATCGAGTATAGTTACCAGAACGGATGCTGGAACTATTATAACTTGGACTGTCCAAATCACACCGGAGACTCCGGCAGCAACGACGGGACCACCGACCACGGTAACCGAAACACAGGTTCTGATCGGCACACCCACAAGCGGAGCGGGACGCATTGCGCTAGAGGCGGATACTTTAGATTAACATATCTAGTCTTGTCTGGGCGGGAATACTAGAGCTGATGTTGTCTTTCACTGGCTAGTAGGTAGCGACTAAGCACTATACACACATATAAATATGGCGTGCCTCAGGCGAGTCGCAGGAGGCTATAAAAGAACCCCGATCGAGGCGTTACACCGCGAGATGCAGGTCCCCCCAATCTACATCTAGGTACAGGAACTTGTAGACCGAACTCTCACGCGTACGAAGGACCTCTAGGTCGAGAAAAGTATACGAAAAGTAGCAAGAGCGGTATGGAACCGTATATAACCTAGCTTCCGCCGGGCCCTAAAGCTTAAAAGAACGGAGCGAGTAGAGGAACTCCTCGAACGTCTAGGGGAGCGACCGGACGTATAGAACGCGGAGTATATAGAGAGAGCACTCCCCTCGCTATAGATACGTATTCGCTAGTAGGTAAGAGTAGACTAAAAGGAGAAGTAGGAGAAAGTAGCTTAATTAAGGATCTAAGGTCGCTACCTAGTAACGACGTAGCTTACTCCCTAGGAGTAGAATATACGTAAGCTCTACGTAGGCCTAACGAAGGCCTAAGCTATAGCGCTCTTCTTCCTACGAACCGAAGTTATCGGCCTTAACGCCTAGCTAGCGGCCGCGAGAGTACCTAGGATATATTCGGCTTACTACTACGATTAGCGTACGTAGACGATACGATATATATTCCTCTACTACTCTAGGTATAATAGGGAAGAACTTATCCGCCGATGCGAGTCGGAAAGGCTAGAGGATATCCTCTCTAAGCCGGCGAGCGCGGCGTACGCGGCCCGCTAGCTTATCGTACGAAGAGTCCTCGAGTAATTCTAGGTAGCGCGCGAGATAGAAGAGGAGGATACCGAGATCTTCTAAGCGTTCGAGAGCGCTGAGCGATGGTAAAAGACGCGGCTAGGTAGTAAGGCCTCTTAGAATTACGAGGAAAAGGATTCCGTAGTTGCCGAGCGAGAAGAGGAGATGGGAGGCATACTACTCGCACGCGAGTAGTACTCCTTACGCGGGAAGCCTTAGTTTTCACCTCGTATAGACGAGGGCTTTTCCTAGATATCGCTTTATAGTCTACGTAGTCTCGAGAGAGAGCTAGATTAGACTCTAATAGAAGTATTATTATTATAATAAATATAGCGTATAGTACGGAGTATTTAATCCCTCTACATTAGTGCTAAACTAAAGGATCTTAATCTTCTAGGTTAAAGTTGATACACTACTTCATAGTATAGCTTTACAAAATGAAGATTTTCAGCTCCTTATGCTCCAAGACTAGGTGGATATTAATTCCATAGTCACTAAAATTCCTCACTGAAGCCTCGATAATGGATAGAAGAGTGCCGTATTCGTCACAGGAGTCGATACTCTCACGGTTTGACCCGAGTCATATCGGACCGCTTCACAAGACTTGTCTCAAAAGATCTATGAGTTGCTGCCTTCGAGTCGAATTACTTGTCGGAATTGACTCGTGATTTGAAGCCAAAGAGCGTTGGCGATAATTTTGTAGGACTTTGTTAAGCTGTTCAACTACCATACTCAAATCTCTCGGACTAGAAGCAAGGGCCTCGAAGCTACTATTTATAGCTGCGGGAGGTGGTCTTATGGGGGAGGCTGCGTGGTGTTCTGTAGCAGAATCAAGCTGCAAATTTGTCGAATATTCGGATTCCTGGCGCAGCGTCGTGTTGTATACTTGCTCCTTGTTCATCGAGGGCTTCCAAAGACTACTTTCTCGAGCCGCCGGGGAACCTGGATTCAACAGGTTGACTGCCATGGAGGGGGAACGAAAAAAAGGTCCTCCGGTGACGGAGCGGGACGGGTCGATTGTAGGTGATGTGAGGGTTCTCGATGGTCGAGAATCCCCCGGCAGAGTTATTCCCGGAAGCTGGAGTGACTGAGCCGCAAAATTATGCCTCAAGGCATTATTGTTGGTCGCTGATTGATAACGCCGCGGAGCTTGGAGGCTTGCAAGCACAATTTGATCCCTAATATTCGATCTTGGGGGACCAGCCTGTCGGCCCCAGAGCCTCCAGGGCTAACAAGAATGTGGTTCAAACAGACGTGGAAAGGTCCTTGGGCGGAGCTCACATTCCATTGTCGTTCCCGTACCTACCAGGCATCCAAAGCTGCCGAGTATTTTCTGAGTTAAGCTTAGCTCCGCATGATGAGCGCGGAAGTCGTTCTGACGCTGGCAGGGTGCGTAGTGTTCCCTGATTGACCAGATTTCCTCTGGGACCGGGTGAGAAGAAAAGGCCTGCTGTAAGTTCAAAAAGAATCTGAGTCGCTTTAGCCGGATACACGGACTTGCCACCGAAGAAACTCACCTCTGGAGCTGGAAGATTGAGTTCTCCTCTTGTCAAAGCAGAGAAGACATTCATTGGTGTCCGCCTGTCAATCCCGCCATAAGATATGAGCATGTCGACTGTGTCCTGGGCCTTATTTCGAAGCTTCGACGCCAGGTTTTTCTCACCGGGCTCAGTTCCTTTCCATGCTTTCTGCTCCCGAGGAACAGACTTTTTGAGCCATTCAACAGCGGCATTTGATGGGGTCCGAGCAAATCCGGCGTTCGGGTCCATTCCTGCCTCAAGAAGGATCTTGCATACCGCAGAGGCGCCATACTGAGCCGCCATACCTAAAGCCGTCACACCCATACTAGATAGCTCGTTCAGAAATCTCTTGTCACCCATCTTACTGAGAATATACTTCGTTGTCTCGGTGACTAAGTAAGCGGATCGATAATGTGCCCACGGACTAGTTGCGAGTTGGAATAGGACGTTGGCGCGAGCTGCAGGCCAGGCTATGAAATTAATATGTCCGAAGCCTTCTTCTGGTAGAACCTCAAGCATAAATCTCATTCTTAAGACAGAAAGATCCGGCTGTTGGAGCATTCTCCACTAAATAGACTAGTCAGGTCCTTTTTAAGCTTCATAATAAGAAGCCAAGGAGGTTTAGTTACTCACAATACTGGCCTAACCACCCATCCATCCACTCTTGAATTCTATATCGGCACCATACCTTAGCAAGAGAATAGAGCAGTCATGAAGGCCCAAAGCCACCGCCATTCCAAACATACTTAGTAAATATGGCCCTGCGGGTCCAAGTTCATCTAAGTGACACCGTAGGTCAAGGAGCTTTTACAAAACGGCTGGGTTCGCTGCCTCATAGCGCAGCATACTGGAACGAGGGTATATTTTCCTTGATGGAATGATAGACAAAGTGACACCAACTGAGAATCCAAATATACTTCAAAGATCGCATAATGACCAGTCATTATTGTATGAGAAAATCCGGAATCGATAATCAGCCTCCACGTATTCACGTTCTGAAGGATGCCAAACTTGAACATTAGATGTCTGAGAGATTCTGCTTGCCCCCCGCATGTTGCTAGACTGATTAGAGATTATTGGTGAGCTTGATCCTGTACCTTGAGGCTGAGAAGGATGTGAAGAGTAGCCGAAACAACGGTCAATATCTCCTTTGAACCGTGTCGAAGCGGCCGAGGAAGATGATAACGACTTCCAGTGACCGCGGCAACAAGACTGCTCCATGTTGATTCTTCAATGGCTCGAGTTAAATCGTTGAGGCTGAGACAACGGCGAATCCAATTATCCAGGATATCCAATAACTCGAAGAAGTGGAATGCGGACACAATCAAGATAGCCCTTGTGATGTTATGATGACATGGTTTTGTATCGAGTCTGCACAGGACACGAACCATGTCTTTGTTTCACTGAATGCACGCCCAATGTAACGGAGTACCTGATATTTTAGCAGAAAGTAAGTTGTCGATCGATTCGTCGGCCCACCACTCAACCAGCGGACCCTCACCCAGCATGATGAACTGGGCAAGATCCATGATTTGATCCTCCTGTTGAAATGAGACTAGCCAGTGCATTGCTGAGGGCTCATCGCTCCCTCCCCGGAGTTTTATTCCTCGGGCAAGCAACGCTTTGCTTGTTTCATAGTCCCCTAACCGCAAATTCAATAAAAGAATTGGTAACCCGGATTCAAGACCTAGACTTGTAGCTTCCTCTTCCTTTTTATGTAGCCATTCGTTGTAAGCACGGGGATATTCTCTTGAAAGTCTCATTTTGGCCATATAGTAATCAGCGTCGCAAGCTTGTGCTAACAAGCGCAGACTGAAATCCCCTAGGAGTTGGGTTTGAGTCATTTGGAAATAAAATAGCATGGAGGCGATATGATCCATCGACCTCAACTGACATAGTCGATTATAAGCTGGAAGATGTGTCCCGGTTGTTTATCCCCAACAAGTAGACCTGGACTGGTAGCCAAGGTGAACGCAAGCTTCGTGGCCAACATACCTAGATTGTCATCGCCTCTCATTAGGACGCCGAGAGCTTCGAGAAGAGCATAGGCTACCGAAGGCTTCGACTGCAAGTTTAGGAAACTTTGCGGTAAATGCAAGGATAGTTTCTCCATTACATCAACTGGCTCCTGCAAGTCCCAATAGGCTATAGAAGCATGCTGCATTTCAAGGTCTTTGCTGCTATTCTCCAGTAATGCTGCTCGATTATTTTGGGCAAGAATTTCCAGTGCTATTTCGAAGTCACGCTTCCTCAGTCACATATCTCAGTGTGGCATACATGACGTTCGAGCCTATCCTCTTGACACACTCAGGTAATTTGGAGGATTTCATCACCTCAACGGACCTTTCTGTGAATTCAACATCCGATTTTAAAGCTCTGATAAGTTCGGATTGCGTACTCGCTGAGTACCGCTTCTTGATACGCTGCCCAAAAAGCTCACAGGGGTTTGGATAATTCAGCAAGACCCGCCAGGTCATAAGACCAAACAAGTAGACGTCTGTTAAGTCGGGGGTTTATGTAATAAGACGGACGCCTAGTGAGACACACAAATTTTTATCATCCTTCTATTATACATTTAAATAACGCACTATCCAGCGTTATTTACGTGAAATCGATTAGTGTACGGAGCTAATAGAGTATCAATCTCTCTATTCCTAGTTATATTTACCCTCGCTGTCCTCGTCGTTGTTGTGGTCTCCTCCTGTAAAGCTTCAAAGGGCTTGTCTTGCCTAGTAGACCATTCCAACATTAGTAAACGTATTATTTATATCGATAGCTACTCTTCTCCCTCTAGAACCATTTAGCTGTGATATCTGAGCTTGCTGGGCGTCAAGTTGTTGGTATTTAACGGCTAGTTTATAGTGTAATTGATCGAATGCTTTACCTATCTTAAACAGGAATCCTCGTACGGAACGATATAGCGTCTCTTCACGGAGAATCGATCGAATTGAGCTCTATAACTCTCGTCGATTCTTAGGTGTACGATAAACTTCGTGACACGATAGTTGACGTTTTCGAGAGGGCGGATTTTATAGTAGAATCTCTTAATTCTTCAATTCTCGATAATCTGTGACGACCGGACGACTATTCGGGGTTCCCAAGAGTTTAAACCAGTAGCTCTCCACCCTGTCTCTTTATGTAGGGATAATAGACCTCCTAGGCTAGCTTTCTAGTAGAGCTGAAGGAATTTAGCCTTCTTAATAGGCTTCGTGTCGTCGTACCTAGCTAAATTAGTAATTTACTCTCCATATTAATATTTTACTACTAAAAAGTAGGAAAGATTGAGTGGCTATAGAACGTGACTTAAATAAGGGATAAGGTAGACTAGTACGACGCGATTTGAGAAGCATTCAATTATAAATTCTGTCGTTACGTGGCTTTTATGGCCGTTAAGGATAAGGAGCTAGTATCGATCTACACGAGTCTTAGGGAGAAATATCTGCCTTAGCTAGGCTAAACCGATATCGTTTAAGGTCCATCCGTTTAGTAAGGCCGTATAGAAGTAGTTAGGGACGTCCTTATCGGTAAACCAAGTTATTTGAAGGCTATAACCCTTAAAAAGAACTAAAAGTCTAAGCCGTCGACCTTCTACGGATATTACCTCGATAATTAATACCTAACGTAATCCATAAGCTAGTGGAACACACAAGCTAGTGGAACACTAATCCACTACCACCCATTAACTCACCCTTTGCCATTAATATCTCTACCACTATAAGCTCTATTCATTTAGAATAAGAAGGGAGGCTTGCTATAGCTATTAAAGCTATATAAGAGGGTAAAATCGCTAGTATTAGGGCCGTAGCGCGCGTATACGATATCCTATACGTAATATTAACGCGTCGACTTAAGGGCGGCGCTCCCTAGCGTAGTACGCCTACTATAACTCGAAAGCTTACTTAGTAGGAAGAAGAGGTCCTAGTACGATGGATACTAGATATAGATTTACGCGAATATACGCCTAGGGTAGGCGACGTTAGTAGGAAAGCGAATATACTACTTACTAAGCGCGTTCGTAGTACGCTAATAACGCCGTTTACTATCGGTATTAATTAGGCTATAAACTTCGTTCGTCGGCGCTCCGAATTACGTTTAGATTACCTTAGGAAGAAGGACTTATAGCGAGCTCTCTATAAAGACCCTAGCGTTATCTAGGCGTAGTTTAATTTAGTACGAAATATTATCGCTAAATACGGAGTAGTAGACGATAATATATAGAACTTCGACGAGACGAGCTTCTAGATAGGAGTAATCTCTACGGCTCGGGTTATAACTAGCTCCGAGCGACGTAGTCGGCCCGTCGTTACTTAGCCTAGTAATCGTACGTAGACGACGGTAATCGAGACGATCGTAGTAGACGAGAGAGTATTAGATCTATTAATTATCTTCGCTAGTAAGGTCTACTAGGAGTAGTAGTTCTAAGACCTTTAGAACGACGAGTATACTAACTAGAAGCTCGCCGTTAACGAGACGGAGTAGACGAACGATAAGATAGACTTATAGTAGCTTTAAGAGGTCTTCGAGCCGTCTACTAGGCGCTCGAGGCGAGGTAAATACCGATTACTTATTCTAGATAGCTACTATAGCTATAATACGCCCGAATTTAATAACTATTATACGAAGTACGATATTATCGCGCTTTTTATATCGCCGTATACCTCCTACTTACTCTAGCCGCTTAACGTAACGTACTTCTCGCCGCTTAAGCGAGCGTACGGAAGGCGAGTTAAGGAGCTAATACGCCTAAACTAATACTACGTCGATAAGAACGACTCCCTACGCCTATATATAGCGGCTCGCTCCGAGGCGTTTACGGAGTATAACGCGAGGATAGGCTTTCGAGTAGCCGGCTTAGTACCGTACGATCTAAGCGTTATACTCGATTAATTAAGGCTAGTATTTCGTACGCCTACGCCGCCTCTCTTGCTTCCGTCGAGTTAGGAGCTCGAGTAGGGCTAGGATCCGGAGACGCCGCGGACGGTTAAGTAGGTTTAGAAGTACGCCCGTACGCTTAGGAAATCGCTTAAGCGGAAGACTATTCTAACTCCTAGTCTAACTAACCTAGCCGTCGTATAGATAGCTAAGGCTACTAAGTATGCTATTTACGCGTTCTAACTAGCGTAGGAGCGAATTACGGAGCTAGAGGAGCTTATCTAAGTAAGGAAGAAGAGGAAGACGACTAGTAGGAAGTATATTAAGAACGGTAAGCTACTTAGTACGAGCGATGTACGTTAAGAGTACGTAGACGAGTCCGACGAGGAGGACGAGGATACTATTGTTATTCGCGTTGCGGGCGCTCAGCGGCGTTGTAGGCGGTGTAGTACGATAGGGCATAACTCCAGGACGTGTCAAGCATCAAATACAACAGCTTAATAGTGAATTGGATGCGATTTAGCGTCGTTGTGGTTAATAGAGTAAGTAGGAAGAGTGGTGGTGGTGGATTAGTGTTCCACTAGCTTGTGTGTTCCACTAGCTTGTGGATTACGTTATTCGCGATTTTCGGGGCCTTTTTAATAGCTCCTTATTGTCGTACGAGGTCCCGATAACACGTCGGTTATTACAGACGCCTAGAGCGATCCTAGTCTCGTCCATATTATAGGTATCCGTCTAGGATATTGAATACCGTTCGCGGAGGGCGTTTATATATTGAAACTAGCTATCGAGGGCCTTAGGATTCGTTGTACTAAGGCGTACGACATAGATCTTTTGACCCACCTTAGACTTCATATCAGGATGTCGTTGTAAGAACCGTGATACCTACTTCTGTCCGATAGGTTCCGGGCCGCTAGAGAGCTTACTCACGGCGACAGCGAGCTCTCGTACAGTACGAAAGCTAGGTGGATAACTCAAGCCTTATGGTTAAGAATCTATTTCTTTAGGATTCGCTCTTAGTCGTTTAATAGAAGCTATTGCGGTTCGCGTGTAATTATCTTTAAAATTCCGCCTTTAACGCGGCGAGCGAGTATAGCGTGACTAATATTATATGCGGCGGCAGCGGCTCGAATAGAAGGATATCACTGTTGTTAGACATCGTCAATAGCTTGCTGGATATGGAGCTCTCTATTAGATGCTATTTGAATAGGATTGAGGCTATTTTGGTTGAGTTGTACGTTGGTAAAGATGAAGGGGTAGATGGAAGGACGCGTCAAAACGCGTGTCTCACTAGGCGTCCGTCTCATTACATAACCCCCCGACTTAGCTTTAGTCCCTTGACTGAGAGTGCGGAGTGGGATTCGGGTGCCTCCCAGAACTGCGTGCTCCCTAGTAGATAATGTTCATGCTCAGGGTTAGGGTTGATAACAGCTAGTCCAAAGTCCGATAGCTTGGCTGTGAACTTTCCATTCGGGTGCCGGCAGATAAGCACGTTCTCAGATTTAACGTCCCCATGAATGATATTGCAGCAGTGCAAGGTCTGTAGTGCTAATCCAACCTCTAGAAGGAATTCCAGAAACGGAGACTGTTCATATTGTCTTTGATCGTACTAAAAGGAGTCGAGAGTGCCAAAGCAGGAGTACTCCATGCAAAGGCACGGCCAAGGAACTTGGTAGTCATCGTAGTCTTCGCTGATGTCGAGGCCCAGTAATCCAATGATATTATCATGTTTTTCGATTCTCGGATGACAGAGAACGGTAAGTTCTTGACGAACAGTCTCGTAGATCTCTTCTCGAAAACTCGGTTCGTGTCTCGAAGCAGGATTTGGATATTTAATGCAAGACAACTCCGGGTTTCTTTCTATCGCACGTGGAGGGATTTTGTCGCGGTCATTGAAATTGACGGCGATCACAACAAAATGATGGCCCTCTCCGATTATTAGGTTTTGTCCTATTAGGGATGATTCGTAGAGTGCAACTGTGTCTTGAAGATATCTGTCTGACTCCTCTTTCTGTTTCGATGTGTAAACGATGAAGTTGATAAGATAGAGAATATCTGGAATTTCATTCGAAGTGGGAGAAGGCGAGTGATGTATCCCTGTCCGCATGGACGAAGCATTCCATCTGACACTAGACATGGAACTCTGTCCCGGGAGATATACCCCTGGTAACATAGCCATACTTGTGAATACCTATTGGAGGATTTAGACTGTACAACTGTACGGGCCAATCGATACAGGCAAGTCAGCGTTGTTGAGATTTCCGTCTTCTTCTATTCTATGGTCACCGTTCTAGTTTATATAGACAATTACTAGGCAAGGTGACCTCCTGGAGCCCGTTTTCCATGATTCCAAAGCATTCCAGAGGCTGTGGCACTGACTCATTGATCGTTATTACGAGGTTGTCTGCCTGTTCCGTCGATAGTCACTTTGGCGCCAACAATACCCGTTCAATTTGTGTAATTTGAGGAATTTCGTGTCCAAAGCTGATGAAGTGCAGCAGATCACTAACTCGCCATAGAAGCACTCGCGGAATCGAGGAACTCCACTCGAATAGTGAGGCTTTGCAGTTCAGTGAAATGTGGTTCTAAGGGTCAATAACCAGAGGGGCAGCCGGAATTTCCTTGTGACAACGCCTTCATTCGAAAAGCGGAAGCTGCATGGTGGGAATGATTCTCAGGATGACCAGAGCATGTGGCGATAGCCAACTGGCAGATTCTGGGCACGAAGGCACGGCTTCTTCTGGATGCTGCCTGCTGTGCAGGGCGCTCTGGGGCTCCTACAGACACATCACTACGATTAGGTTGTGTGATTTCCGCTTCGCTTGCCGAACACCAAGTTCTTCGCGCCAGACGTGGCCGAATCGGTAAGGTACGTAAGAGGCAATCGGTAAAACTTACCATATAATAGCTAGTGGCACTTCGTTTTGTTTGGAGTACGAGGCTAATCAGATGCTTGAGACATGGCGGATCGGGAATTGTGCATCCGCGCTCTCAATCACATAAGCTAGTATGAGGTCAGTATTACCGTATTAGATTCGTAAAACAGCAGCTCCAGACAGCCTTACATGCATTAGTCGGATGCCCAGACAAGGCGTATGACTTCCGAGAGAAGAGACAAAGGCCAAAGTCCATGAGGTATTGCTGAGCCCAACGGCCAAATGACATCAAACGCCATAATCAAGGCAATAGGACTGCAGTCTGTAATGACTCTCGGTCGCCTGAGAGGAGTTGACGGTTTCAACGTTTAAGAATAGAATGTATTCCAATACATGTGGGTCTCATCCAAATTCTGCTCCACGCCTAAAATATCGCTTGATATGATTGATTCCTTCTCGTAGACCACGACCCTTCCAGATGCGGGTGGGAGTTATGGAGGGCACAGAACCTGTATCATATTTGCATGTTCCACAAGACAGCCACTACTTCTCAGTAGAAGCTGCGCTGTAAATTGAGATTGTAATCTGGCTCATCCCCGTGAAATCTCGAGATTCCATCGAATTGTCCAGTGAGACACTCTCTCACTGCCTCCATGTACTTCTCACCCATCGAAGGGCCAAGTTGAGGCACTGCCTTAGTAACTAGCTGGTCCCTGAAGTTTTGGGGAGGAGTGTGTTGAAGGTATCGCCACTCTATTTTTCGTGATGGTACCGAGCCACTGCTCCTCTGTTAAAGCCTGTGACATTTGGATGCTTGTAAAGCGCGACAGACACGGAAACTAGCGCTCTCCTCTATGTCTGAATGTTGGTACCATCTGGACGAGCCAGAGCAAACCCAGCGAAGTAGGGGTCCTGCAATGAAACCCGGCCGGATCTGCCATCGGATCTCTGGAAAAACAGTAGGTTGTATGAATCAATACTTTTATGCAGCCAGTCGGCACAAAGGAACTCGTGCAAGCAGCCTGCAAGAAAATGAGCCAGGCCAAATCGCTCTTCAAGGGATGGAATATTTTCTGCTCTGTTCATTATTTGATGGAGCGTTAGAGGTTGGAGAGGGTAGATCGGGTCCGGGTCGTGGGGATACTGAAACACCAGACCAAACCTTGGGCCTGTGTTATCCTCAAAATAACCAAGACATTCCAGCACTCTGAAGCAGCCTGGGCGAGCAGATTTCAGCATGTTGACAAGCATCCAAATTCTGTTTTCCAGGTCATCCCTCGACATCTGCTCGAGCGTGATGACGTCGTATGTCCGCCAATCGACGATAGTTGGACTGTGACTTTCACTGTTGACATGACCAAATGAGCGATTCGTAGACCGATCATTCTGGGAGAAGATTCTCAAGTTGTGGACACTCATGCGGGTTCTTGAGCAGGATTCAACGGGGCTCCCCGCTTCGGTGTTCTGCACATTATTCGTCAAATAATGTGCATTTACAAGGTTGCCTAGACCTTGTAAAGCTGTTCTGTGCTTCTGCTGCTCAGCCTGTTGTAGAAGTTGGACTCCAGCCTGACCATGGTCAAGGAGAGTGGTCGCCAAAATTTCTGCCCGAACAGCAAACGTGAGCTGCTGATGTTGGTGTGTGGGGCAAAATTCATAGAGGGTGTCTATAAGCTATGTTAATGCGTCGAGGAACTTTTCAAATCAGCCACGATCGTATATGACCCATTTTGCTCTTTGAAATATGGAGCAGCTCTTCTTGATCCTGTATACTATTGTTGCCTGCCGGCGGATCTCCATTTCTGCGACTGCGGTACTGTGCGACACGGGCGGCTGAGAGGATGGGAGTTCCTGCAATCCATGGTGCCCGGAAATACTTCTCACGTTTTCCAGAAGGTCCAGAATTTGAACCAGGATCTGCGTCAAAGTTTGGTAGACTAATGGCGGCAGTCTCTCAAAGCGTTCTCCTGACCTCAGGATGTCGAAATCCTTGCCCCAAATCAAAAACCGCGTTTCCTGGACTTTGAACGGAAAGTACGGTGTTCTAACATTTGGTGGACTTTTCCTCACTGAACTACGCGTTAACGATGTCGGCCGAAGGGAGGAGGTATTAAAGAGATCGTACTATCTGCGATAGTCGTGACTGCGAGGACGCAGTTACTGTACAACTGTACTGGAAGAGCTATGGCTGGATAAATTCCATCAGTACCCAGCTCAGAACTGGCATCGAGTACAACGCTCACCACCAATGACTAGGCCAGGAATACTGAATGGGTCCGTCATGGTAGGCCTTTAAGGATCCATCTTTACGGAGTACTGCCGACCCAAAGATCCTCTTACCTCACCAAATAGACTTAGTAATTTGATACTGACAATGTCTACTTCCACCCAAAATTGATAATGCCGTGGTCTCAGGAGACTTCCGCTACCTCTTGAATACTTGTACCAATTTATGGATAGACTTTACCAAACGGCTCAACTTTGATCCAGATATAGTGGCTTCGGTTGATGCTCGCGAGTGTACGGAGGGAGCGAGTCAAAGACTGTGGGTGCAATTCTCATCAGGCTGGCCGATAAACAGTGAGCTGCAAAATATTTACCCTTTTCAATGCCGAGCTGCCGCCACCGAGGAGAGCCAGGGAGGCTAGCCTCTTGGACCTGGCTTCAGTCTTGTGTGCGTATGATTTTTGCTTGTTGCGCCCCTTGTCTGTTAATATTACATTAAGGTACTGTACTAGTAATACTTCTGCAATCTACGGAATCATTTGTGGCTCTTGGGCGCGGTGCCCGACATGCAGCTAAATTAAGCCAACACCCTGTCTTCCCTTCTGTCACAAGAGGCTCCCCCCTTCTTAGCCTGGTATCTTCGGACGCCTGGTCTACCGTATTCAACAGTGAAGTTAACTTTATCGGAGGCTGGCGGTGGACCCTTCAATCTGGTGATCAGCAGTCACGATCCTCTGCGACGGATACAATATTTGGCCGCCACGAATGATGCAATAGTCGCGTCCATTGCCAAATAAGGCCTAATTACGGAGTACTGAAGATCAATGAGGAAGGCATGAGCTCCACGACTAGTCATATTATATTTGATAGAAGTAATCCCTCCTTCTTGCTGATCTTCCGATCGTTTCAGGCGTGGCATCTAGACCGCTCTTTCCGCCACCATTATAGTCAAGCCCGAGTCGCGCCAACTTCTCTACCAGAGCTCCGTCACTAAAGCGTAGAGTATTACGCCACGATGTCAATAAAGGCCGTCTACATAGACTACGAAGGACATGCTCCTACGTATGACAAGGCTGGGGCCTAGATGAACTTGCACACCCCTAGAGGCAGCCATTGAATACGCCGCACCGGAAACGCTCTAGTTTTATCCCATGACATTATTAAGGCACACTTACTACTAGGATGTCTACCACCTACTCTACCTAGACTTCTCCCTCCTCGCTCTCTCTTACTCAGATAGAACAACTTATAACAACTTTATAATGAGATAATACTTAAGTTATTATAGTTATTTACTACTAAGAGGTAATATTCCTTCCTATATAGTATAACTAACTTTATAGGCTAGTAGTAACGATTTCTTTAAACTTTACTTACTACAAGTAAGTAGCCCTTGTACTCTAGGTTAATACTATTATATCGAGGTTAAATCGGCATGTATTCTCGCCTATCTATAGGTTGGATAAAGGGGTAGGGCTGCGTTGCTAGGAGTTCTCTCTCTTCCAGGACCGTAGGATAAGAACCAACCAACAGCAAAACGAACACTATAATAGCCACGTCTAGAATCAAACTCTTTACTTACCTGCGTCAGTAAGGGGACCATAACACTATAGATCTCTATAATCTTGAGCCCGCCAATAGATTGTACTTTCAAGACTTCTCGCAATAGACGTGCATAAAGTTGTAATAGCCTTGTTCGTAAAGGTCACTGTCACTAAAACTTGGGCTGTATAGTTGTACAGTCGAAGTCGTAGAAGGAAAATGCCATCAATTCTGCAAACTATGCTCTCATGACTGCTGTTTAATACTCAACGCATGCTCTCATGCGTTCGTTGCTCCTCTCGTGCTTTTTTTTTTGGGCTTACATTGTCTGCTTTTCTCCTCACTTGCTTGTTCTTCCATGCCAAGGCCCCTTCTCTCTTCTCTCATGACTAAGCGCCTCGAGCCCCTTAACACTATATCATTGTGTGGATAAGGCTAGCGTCTTAGTGTCGTTGCGAACCAGAGTATGGAAGGTTTACTAGGCCCCTTTTGGACGACGATCCGCAAGTGTATGAAATCGCTGTACCTCTTCAACTCTATGGGCCCTGTTCTAGTTTATATAGACATTTCCTAGGCATTCAATCTCTAGGAGCCCTTTTCCCATGATTTTAAAGTATTCCAAATGGTGATACAGTGGCGCTTTCATGGTTTAAGGTGGGAGGCATTCTGGCCAGCGCCACGGAGTTTAATATTGTATATTTACTAGTGTGTCACGGGCTATGGCGCTAGCACGCGCTAGTTGAACCTTAGCGCTAAGATAAACTTACGAGTAGAGGTACAGTGCTAGGCGGAGGATACGATCTTTAGAGCAGCGCGGAAAATAGCCCAATTGGAACACGCATCGATCTATGGCTTGGCGAAACGCGGTCTTTGGCCACATATCATCAGCTCGCGGTGATCTCTATCAACCGTGTTGTCTCTCAATTATTGCCCCGTCGAAGTGCTCACACGCCCGACAGAGTGCCATGGCTAGTTCAGATGCAGTATGGCTGAAGAATTCGATGATGCCGAATTTCTAGCGGCCGAAGCAGCCGTGCAAAGGTCCGGAAATTCGTCAGGAAGCAGTCGTCCCGCCACGACTGGGACCTCCCGAATTGTTCAGCCAAAGCCACAGGCACTGCCTTCTAGGCAGGGGCCTTCTGCTATATTGGTCTCTACTCGCCAGAAAGGCAATCCGATTCTGAACCATGTTAAGTCGTTACCGTGGGAGTATTCCGATATCCCCTGTGACTATGTGCTGGGAGCGACAACATGCGCCCTGTTCTTGTCTCTGAAGTACCATCGGCTACACCCTGAATATGTCTACAGTCGCCTTCGCCAACTCGGGAAGCTGTACAACCTCCGCATCTTGCTGACGATGGTAGACATAACAAACCATGAAGAAGCTCTTAAAGAACTATCCAAGACCTCCATGATCAACAATTTGACCCTGATCCTCTGCTGGTCGTCGCAAGAAGCCGGCCGATACCTCGAACTCTTCAAGTCCTACGAGCATGCGTCGCCCACCTCAATACGGGCCCATCGAGCCGAGACATACAAGGAGAACCTGACGGAGTTTGTCACCACGCCTCGCAACATCAACAAAACCGACGCCGCAAGCCTGATTTCCAACTTTGGTTCCCTCCGCGCCGCAGTGAACGCGCAACCAGAAGAGTTGGCCATCGTTCCTGGATGGGGTGAGAAGAAAGTCAAGGCATGGTCAACCACAGTTCGCGAGCCATTTAGAATCAAGAGAGCGACCAAGTCTAGTGCTGCATTATTGAGACAAGAATCGACGATGTCCAGTGAAGATGGCTTGCCTAATGTCTCATCTGAATCCTTATTGCTAACCACTCCCGTGGGCACGACGTCTGCTCCTCGAGGACCAGAAATGGACTCGGTGATGGTACACGGACATATGGGACTCGGCCCGTCCCAGAAGCGCGCCCGGCTGCAGGAGATACCAGCCGACGATTTCGACGAAGACGAGGAGGCGTTGGCGTTTACAATGGCACAAGAAGCAGACCTAGCAGGACCGGAAAAACAAAGAGCCGAGCAAGCCGTCGCTCGGCAAGAGCCTGGACTAAGCGACGGCATCGCCGCGGCTCTAGCGAAACTACGCCAGAGTCATTGAGTCCATGAAAGCCTCGAGTCTAGCACACGGGCCCATCCAATACTCCAGAGAGATACGCTCTCGGAAGACGTGCAAAGCACCACCTCGATGTTGGCCTCGCCAGGTTTTCAATCTGGCCCTTGACGTGACCAAACAAAGTGGTGCCTTAGAGCCAGCGAAGGGAAACGTCGGTATAGGGTTTTGTTGAACATTTCCGCTGGCAACGGCCAGGCACGAACACCGGGAAACTAAATGGGGCGTCGTCATTGTTGCGGCGACCTTTTTGGCCTTTGTGGAAACTTGTGTCGGATGACATGACTGAACAACCAGGCTGGGGTAGTTGGTCAGTTGCCAGAAGGGTCTCTTGGACAGGTCTCTGGTAGGTAGTATGGAGAGCCCAAAAGCTTGCTGTGCTGCCGCAACCTTTTGGGACGAGGTCGGAGTTACTCTCTAACAAAGCAACTTTGCTAGGCATACCTAGTGCCGCGTAGCCTGCAACATGCCCTGGGCCTGAGTCTCTTTCGGGAGCTGTTTTATATTGCTTTCTCCAGCGTGCCCCGTGTGGCAAAACACTCTGTTGGGATTGAATGGCAGAGGGCTGTGTCTGGGCCATCCGCGAAATAGCGAACCTTCAGTCAAGGGGGGTCACTAGCCCTTTTTATTTAGCTCGTCTAGACTACGTCATCAATGTTCTCGCATGGGCTTGCTCGTATTCGGCATCGAGGTCGCATGGAATCTCCCACGCTGAATGGCTTTTCGAACCGAAAGCATAATTATCTAAAAATGGATACTTTGAAATTCTAGCCCGTACGAGGCGCCTCGATCACGACGGCAGAGCTCGAGTTGCGTATGCCCAAATGGAAGTACCCAGTATATAGCTCATTTCCTCCGGCCTTGAGACTACGTAAAAAATAGAGACCCAGTCCAGCACGGCGAGAACGTACAACCCGCCCCACACACATTGATTTACAGGTATTGCTCTCGATCCTTCCAGCCGTATCCTTCCATTTTGAATATCGCTTCTTCGACGTGATTTCGGGACAATGGGCGACACAAACATGGCATCTTTCACTGCTATTGGCCGGTCCTTTGGTGAGTCGGACGCAACACGGCGCGGGCACAGCGCGATGGAGGCGCTGGGACATGCCGATAGCATGGGCCACGGTGCACCGAATTTGCTCCCTGTGAGATTTCACGATGACTCGATCTTGTCAATACCCGTGCTGCGGCCAGAGGACATCGAAAAAGCCGCGTCTTCCAACGCTGACGCCGCACGTTCAGACGACGGGGCGGGAGGAAAACCGTCGTTTTTCCACCGCAAGTCCACGAGCGGAGCGTCCAGCGGCTCCAAGCAAAAGTTTTCAATGCGGGAGGTCACTCGCCGTGACTATCTTGCACACTACGCCAAGGACAGTGACGGCCAGTACGCGGGGACAGAAGAGCCCGCGGCAGACTGTATCCTGAGGGGCGAGGATCTGGTGCGTTATCGATCTCAGAAGAAGGACTTCGGTGCGGGTGTCGATGATTTGGCGAATGAAGTGAAAGGCGGTACTGTCCAGGTAGAGGACAAGAATACAGGCGGGAAAGGGTTCCTCAAGGGATTCAGAAGTGGCAAAGGGCGGTCAGACGACACCGTCATCCGTTAATTGCTATCAGAAGCAGTGGGTAGCGTATCGAGCACGAGACATGTTGTGTTCTTCTCTTTGTTTGCCCGAAATTCAGACTTGGATGCTCTCTGTCCTTTTCAAACAAGTTCCTGGGATTTTGTCCTCTGTTGAACCAAATCTGTCGCGAGCATGCCTGTCGAGATCGAACCACCACAGTTGTCAGTGGCAGAGAGGGTCCGGAGATTGAAGAGATTGGCCTCGCGGAGCCGAACGGCTGCAAAGATGTGCTGCTCTCAAGGGTCAACATCATCGAGGTTTCCATGCATACAAGCAGCTTTCACGTTGCACTAGTCCTCGAGCGGCAAATCGAAACGGGGCGTTACCAAGATAAATCTAAGGAAGAGTTGATTTCATATTGAGAGCAGGGCGCACACGACGTCAATGAGGTCGCACTCGCTTCGAGCAGTTCCGGCAGGGCCGACAGGCAAGGTGCACTATTTGAAACACGCATCAATGAATTTCTTCTCATTTGATCATGCAGGAGTATCTTGAGCCGTTGAAGTGCCCTTGATCGATTTTCGCGTCATCTGCGTTCTAGAATCTCTTCGTGTATCATCTCTCATCAGGGCGCTTTCCCACCGATTGATCCGTAGCTCGGTTATCCTCAACCATCAGGCTTCATTCACGAAGTAGGTAGGGTGACCTGAGCCACACCATCCACAACTTTGGCGACAGCGGCATCCTCCCCAGCCAGTGGGACACTGTTTGCCAGGTCCTTTCCTTTTTGGCCACCCTTGGCGCTTGTCTCTACACTTTCACCTCCGGCAGCGGCAGCGGCCTTTTGTGCGGCCTTCTTTGCTTTGGTCTTTTCCTTCTGTGCAGCCTTCTTCGCCGCAGCATCCGCTTCGTCCTTCCTCTTCTTCTCCCGTTCTGCTTGGTTCCCGCCAAAATATTGTCTCCACTCTTCTGCTTTCTTCTCGTCAATCTTGGTAAACAAATACTCAGCTTGCCCGATCTTATGACCCGGCTTTATGTAAGTAGGTAGCCAGCCTCCTTCAATATCTTCCTCAGATGGAATCTGCAAGAAGTCACGGTCCAATTGTTTCCGGATGGAAGCTGTCGTGGCAGGGAGGTATGGCTCGAAGATTGCGGATGTGAGATAAATCAGGTTGATCACAGTCCCAATCACCGCGGCGGCAAGGTTAGGGTCACTGGCTATCAAAGCGTTATCCAGCCGATGGGCTTGGATGAGGCCATTCCCGGCCTCCGCAATCTTCATGGCGACCAAGATACCATTCCGAAGATGGACCGCCTCCATCTCGGCGAGGTATTGCTTAACGAGATCTGTGATCTCCGTCAGAGAAGCTTGGAAGGATTCAGGGAGTTTGTGCGCGTCGAAGTCGGGGATGACGCCCGAATAGGCTTTGGGCGAGTTGACCAGCTTGATGATTCGGTTGACAAAGTTGCCCAGCTTGGCGAGGAGTTCAGAATTGTTGCCGTCGATGAATGGACGCCACTCGAATTGAGTATCGCCCGACTCTGGTCGGTTTTTGAGCAGATAGTACCTCCAAACGTCGGCCGGTACACCCGTTTCCTTGGCGTTGTTGCCGAAGACGCCAATCCCACGACTTTTGCTGAATTTCCCATTCTCATAGTTGAGGTATTCGGTCGCCGAGAGGTGATGGAGCTTTGTCCAATTGTCCTCCGTGCCGATTTGACACGCCGGGAAGATGACTGAATGGAACGGGACGTTGTCCTTGCCCAGGAACTGGTAAAGCTGGACGTTCTCGGGATTGTACCACCATTTCTTCCAGTCGTCGGTATAGTTGGCGGTGATCGACGGGTAGCCTATGCAAGCCTCAAACCAGACATAGAGCACTTTGTGTTCGTAGCCAGGGAGGGGGACGGGGACACCCCAGGAGAGATCACGGGTAATGCCCCTTTCCTTGAGACCTTGCTTCAGCCACGCTTCCGTAATCACCCTGGCATTCTTTGACCATCCGCCCTTCTCGATGGAGACTTTCGACCACTCTTCAAGCTTGGGTTGCAGCACGTCCAGGCGCAGGTAGGTATGCGTCGTCTCTTTGGTGACCGGAGTGGCACCATCGACCTTGCAGCGGGGATTGATCAGATCGAGGGGGTCGAGGAGGCTGCCGCATTTGTCACACTGGTCCCCGCGAGCGTCGTCGTAGCCGCACTTGGGGCAGGTGCCTTCCACAAAACGATCTGCCAAGAACTTGCCGTGTTTTTCGCAGAAGGGCTGGCTGTTGACGTGTTCTGTCAAGAAATCCCTCTCGTGCAGCTGGGTAAAGATGTGCTGAGAGATCTCGGTGTGGTGCTTGGTGGGAGTGCGTCCAAAGATGTCGAAGCCGATCTCGAACCATTCGTACACCTCCGCGTGGATTTTATTGTATTTCGCACACAGCTCTTCTGGGGTCACCCCTTCCTTTAATGCCTGCGTCTCGGTCGCCGTGCCGTACTCGTCCGTCCCACAAACGTACAGCGTCGGTCTGCCGCGAGCTTTGTTGTATCGTGAGAAGACATCTGCGCTGAGCACGCTGCCGACGATGTTTCCGAGATGAGGGGTCTAGGAGGTACGGTGAGTCACAGGCCAAACGCACAGAGAAGGAACCCATACATTGTTCACATACGGCAATGCAGATGTGATGAGGATATTCCGCTTCCCCTCTTGCGGCAGGATCTTTTGGGAGCCCATGGTGGGCGGATTTCGAGCAGGGTGAGGCTGGTCTGGCGTCGTCGGGGAAAGAACCAGTGAGATCAGACCGTGTAGAAGGATTCAAGTTGAGAAATGCCAGGACGACGCTAGAGGAGTCAGATCGGTTCAAATGGTGGTCGAGTGGGGAGCGCCACAGAAAGAGTTGCAGACGGGTGTTGAGTTGAAAGCAGTTTGCAGTTCCTGAGTCACCCCCCGCCGCTGATGCCCTCGTGCCTGAAGTGCGTCAAATTTCACGCTTTAACCAATTGCCGAGCCGCTAAACTTCATGCTTATTTTAAGCCTCAATCCATCTCCCACAAAATATCCCCTTCCTCATTCCTTCTCTCCCTTCCCTGGATATCCATCGATCCAGAGAAGCCCACCACCATGGCATCCGATCCATTTGACGAGTTACTGGATATCGAAAATAACTACTACAAGGAAGGCTATGATGCCGGCGTCGTCGACAGCACATACGCAGGCTTGGTTGAAGGTAAGGTGTTTGGCGTCGAAAAGGGGTACGAGAAAGCGCTGGAATTGGGTAAACATCGGGGACGAGCACTTGTATGGCAACGCCGGCTTGGTTTGTCCAATGCCAGTGGTGAGGCCCTCCGGGAGGTGACTACTTCCTCTGCCGGCACCCCGACTGCTTCTACCCTGTCCGACGCAGCCATGATGCGTCAGGTCTGCCAGACTCTCCCACGCTTGTCCACAAATGCTCGACTCCAGAGACATGTTGAGGCACTGTCGATTGCCGCAGATCCTGCTTCCGTGGCCAAGGACAATTCTGACGAGGCGGTCACGGAGTTTGACGAGAGAATTGCAAAGGCTCGCGCAAAGGCCAAAGTCATTGCAACCATTGTTGGAGAAACCTTCAACCCAACTTCCACCGGAAACACTGGCATAGAAGACAGCACTGGCCTCAATGCGAGGCAATGATATTGGTTCGCTTACACATGGCGACTGACTGATACCTGTTCGAGTCCGGACCCTGGATTCACCGACCAATTGTATCGCGCTATGCCATCGGTCATTGCCCGGACTCGACCCGGCGGCCGGCATACCGATGTGCTTGTACAGGCTTCTCCGCAAAATCAAGCATTCTCCCCCACATCACCACACCACTGCTGTCATTGCTGCACCACCGAGATTCCGATGCAGGAGAAGCACGCCACACGCTTCTCTTTTTACCTCTGGTCCAATCGAAAGCTCATGCGTGTGAGATCGACAGGACCCGGTGAAAGCTTCCTTGACCTCTTCCGGGTATCCTGCCATTTCAACACCGGGGAACGCAACTTATGACGTGAATGTTATGATTTCTCCTCCTGCTCGGTTCGAAGCAAGTGCGTGGTGAACATGCTTGGGATTGACAACCCCGCAGACGCTGCCGTGGTAGAAAACCTGCACTCTTCGCTCCTTCGCGATCATCTTGCGCAACTTCCTGTTCCGCGAAAGTTCGACCTATCCTCGCAAGATGAAGGGCTTTCGAAGCATCCTGCTTTTTTCGCTGTGGTCCTTGTGCCTGGCACAAGACATTCAGCCTAACGGAGTGACGAGACCGATCGTGGAGGAATGTGGTGCTACTGGCAGTGGCACTGTGTGCGTCAATCAATACGTAAGGACGGACCTCTTTCTGTGCGACTGCCTCTCACGATCACTAGGCGGCGGTACTACCGTATCATTTCAACAGATCGATTTCCGACAATGAGCAGCAATTCGATTTCAAGAACACCACGGTAGACAATGCACCCGCCTTTGGTCTTCTCGGCGATGCCAACTTTGTCGTCTTTGACCGGGAGCGTGGCCTCAAGTATCTCGGCGACAATCCAAGCTATGAATTCGTCTTTGAAGTCTCCCCCGCCGTGCACGAAGCTCCCATATACGCGCCAGAGCAGAATCTGCTGTTCCTCTCCCAACTGGCGCCCCCGACCGGTGTGCTGCCGCAACTCGTGATCAACTTAAACGACGATCCACCGACGATCAGCGAGTACTTGCCCGATCCTCCCATATACGCGCCGAACGGAGGCACCTTCTGGAACGGCTTGTTATTGTTCGGCGCGAGTGGTGGTGCCGATGATATCGACGGCCTTGAGCAGAGAGTTTCCATTCGGACGGTCGACCCCGCCACCAACGAGTCGACCGTCCTGCTCAACAACTATTACGGCTTTTACTTCAACAACATCGATGATTTGGCCGTCCATCCGGTCACCAAAGATATTTTCTTCACCGACCCTACCTACAGCTGGTTCAATGCTTTGACCGACACTGCACCCCAACTACCCGTAGCCAGCTACCGTTTCAACCCCAATACGGGTGCCGTCTTCGTTATCGACGACACGCTCAAGCAGCCGAACGGCATCGCCTTTTCACCAGACGGGACCACCCTGTATATATCAGACACGGGGGCCGTGACCGGTACTATAGATCCCAACCTTGGGTCTCAAGGCACAACGTTCAACACAACAGGGCCGCGTTTCATCTACGCCTGGGACGTCGAGAAAAACGGCACCAGAATCGTCAACAAGCGTGCATTTTACCTGGCACAGGACTGGGTTCCCGATGGAGTGAAAGTCAGCCAAGAAGGTCTCGTGCTCACCGGTTCTGGCCACGGTGTTGACGTCATCGACGATGTCGGACAGCTGCTCATCCGCATCCAGACAAATTATACCGTCCAGAACTTCGCCTGGACCGGTGAGAATCTGACGACGCTCTGGCTCATGGGCAACAACGGAATCAGCAGAGTCGAGTGGAATATCAAGGGCCAAGAATTGACTTAGTCGCTGGTCGTCATGACGAGTTTGGGGGAATTGAGTCGATTGATGGGAGGGGACCTCGTTCGCTAGATTGCGATTTGATATGATGTGATAGTACCTGCAATCTCAAATCCTATCAGTAAGAAGTTTCCAGCCCCAGGCATGTCTGGCACCGCCCAAACCGGCATTTAGCCGAATTTACCTCCAGAGTAAATCTTGTACCCCATTCGACTGACCTCATCAGGGTCATAACCGCTGAAAATCCGCGAATGAAGTGTGACCCGGCTAAAGGCATTTGAAGTAGCTCGTAGTCGGCACCGTGAGGAAAACACAGGTACTATTTATGACAGGGTACAAAGTATCCCCGATCCTTCATTTCCATTTCACGCAGCCGGAACAGCACTCCTCCTGGTTCACGCCCGAGCCACAGAGCAAACACACCAAGCACCCACGGTAGCAGGAGTGAAAATGCCGGGAAAGACCTACCTCATTACCGGGGCCAATCGCGGGCTGGGGCTCGAGTTCGTGCGGCAAATTACGTCGGCATCAGACAAGAACACCGTCATCGCAGGTGTGCGATCGCTGCGAGGCGAGCTGGACGAGCTCAAGACCCTAGCATCGTCAACATCCGGCAGAGTGCACGTCGTCGAATGCGACACGGCGTCCGTCTCCTCGATCAAAAGGGCGGGTGAGGAGATCTCGCGCTTGCTGGCCGGCGGGCAACTCCACTACCTACTCAACAACGCCGGGATCAACGCGGTGTCGAGCCAGACGGCACTGACAATGGACCCAGACGACCTGCGCACGCACATCGACATCAATGTCATCGGACCCAGCGAGCTCTTCAAGGCGCTGGAGAAAAGCCTCCGGCAGGGGAGCGTCGTGCTCAACATGTCCAGCGGGCTGGGCTCGTGCGGCAAGGGCATCATTAAGTGCGCGACGTACGCGGTCAGCAAGGCTGCGCTGAACATGCTCACGGTCCACCAGGCGGAGGCCCTGAAGGAGAAGGGCGCCATCGCCATCGTCATGGATCCGGGCTGGGTGAAGACTCGCATGGGGGGCGCGGGTGCTGTCCTGACGCCCGAGGAGAGTATTCGCGGGATGCTGAGGACTCTCCACGGTGTCACGGTTGAGCAGAGCGGCCGCTTCTATCAGTGGGATGGAGAGACGGTGCTGTGGTGAGATTTGGCTTGGGATGTGCACGTTCGCGAAACAGTAGATACGGGCTCTGACTATGTACACGGTTACATATTACTGGGCCCCTCACCCTTGTTTTCAGCCTCGTCTTGGCCAACCCCCCCCTCGCGGCGGATGTGGTCTTTCTCTTCACGACTCGACTGGCCTAGAAACTGCCGCCAGCGTCGCCCTGTACTCGTTCATGCAAGAAATAAATCACAACGCACTCATTGGTCTTTGAGGATAGCAACCTGGTGATCCTCGTCGATTCAGGCACCTACTTCTAGGATGACCGAGTAATTGCCACCAGGCAGGTCATCGACCGTCACAACCTTGGTAGCCATTTCTTCCTCCGACGTCTGTCTCTTTGTATAGTGCCCTGTCGAGTCTCTGGGGACCGTCAAACGGCCGAGCAATCCAGAATATCTCAGTTGCGCCTTCCCTGACGTTGCCACAGGGGTGTTGAATGTCACGTTGAGGCCGCCATGTGGCATCGCAATAGCACGGGAAGCGAATGAGCCCACATTTGTTTGATAGCCGGCCTCGACGCTGTGTAAACCACCCAGCTGGGGTGCCACGAGCCACGTCTTGCCCGCGGCGGACGTGACCTGGAGGCCCGCGGCGAAGAAGGTCAAAGTCGAGGTCGGCCCGGTTGCCCAGCCATGTGCGTGGGAGAGGCGGGGGTCGTTCTCGTACGGGGCGTAGTGCAAGTCGCCGTTGGTAGAGTATCCCTCGATGAAAGTCGAGTTGGTCATGCGAGGGTCGTCCAGCATGAAATCTCCCCACATGAGTTTCGTCAGGTCGACCGACGCTTCCAGCCGCCCTGCGATATAGTGTGCTTGGAGCTCGAAGCCACTGACGAAAGGAGAAACAGTTTCGCCTGCCTCGGGTGCAGGGGCACCATATGGACCCCACCGCGCTTGCAGCGCCCGTGAGACATTCACCGCCCGCGCCGAACTGGATGTCAGGTTGCTAATGATTGCCCACGCATTTCCATCCTGTGGATGTAGATCTGTAAAGGGGAGTGTGTCGTTGTCGCGATAGAGGTTGAGCTCTGGATCCCAGAGGTGTTGGTTGGCGGACGACTTGAGTTCCTCAGCGATATCTGGCCAGGATTGTACAAAGGTGGAAGTGTCGTTGAGGTGGGCAGCGAGGGAGGTGGCGAGGTTGAGGTTATGATATAGGATGCTGTTCGCCTCTATGTTGTGGCCTCCCATTCCAAACCGGAGCCAGTCCGCAGCCGTAGTGACATTGGCCATCCCAGAGTCGTCGATGAAGGACAGAGAAAAGTCCAGGGCCTTCATGTAGATATCGTTGAGGCTTTGCAGGTGATAGGTAAATGACCATATCGGCAGCTTATTGCGGAAAGGGCGACCAGCATACGGCAGGGCACCTGAAGCATTCTACATCACCAGAAGCGAGTTGAGCGATTCGCGGAGCATATCCATGTCGTAAGAGGAAACAAAGATCCCCGGTTGGGAAATGAGTATATCTCCAGGCCAGACCAGTCGGTCGCGCTTAGCACCATCCACCAGGGCAGCTGTGCCATTGGCGATGGTATGGTTGTTGTACCAAGTGAGCGGTGCGGTCACATTGGAGTTGCTTCCGATCTCTCCCAGATGGATTAACGAGTTCCCTGCAGTGGGGTCGATGGTACACAGTTCGTTCGTGTAGGCGCCGGCATACCAGACTCGACTAATCTGGTCATCTTTGCAGTGGAAGTATCCAGTCTGAACACCGGTTGCCAGCTGGTCCTCGGTGTAGTGAGGGATGGCAGTGTAGTAGACCGTAAGATCAGACAAAGTGACATTTCCAGTCGAGTTATGATAGACGTTCAGATAGCGGAAACCACCTCGTTGGTACTGCTTTCCAGCGGCATAGTGTCCGTTGGCCTCCACCGCCAACCACAAGGATTCATCGATTCCCGCGTCGGCTGTCGCATCACATCCGTTTGGCTAATCCGCAAGCTCGACTCTGTGAACGAAATACCAATGTAGGCACAGGACCCAGCGACTTCAGAGACATTGAATGCGACTAATCCAGCTACATTCTTCTCAAAATCGTAGGTAACAGCAGAAGGCCCAGTGAACGTAGTCCGTGCAGCTCGGTCACTGGTCAAGTCTTCTGTGGACCCAACAGTACTATTCACGTTGTACACCTCCGCTGGGCGGAGTATACGCGATCTGGGTGTCAAGACATACTCTGCATATGGGACCTGGGCGGCGGCAGTGGCACCAAGGAGGACTGATAAGGCGAGAAGGAGCAGCAGCATCTTGGGAGCAGGGAATAACCACGTCAGAGTATGTTGCTGCCACCCTGCGGAATTGCGCTTGTCCTCTGTAATATAGCATCACGGGTCGACCTATTTTGACATTCCGCGATGACATTCTCGCAACGTTCGGGTCAATGGCCTCCGTGTGTATGAGGTCAGGAATGCCTGGAGCATGGGTTAGGATCGACAGCGGGAGAGCAAGCGATCCACATTGGCAGAGATGCAAAGAAGTGCCGTGCTTTGATGGAAAAAGCTTGTCGGTGTTATTCCGTCCTCCGCGTTGGGCTGTCAGCTAGAACGCTGGTGCCATGGCATCTTCCAAGTTCATCTAATGCTACACCACGAGGAAACCAAGGCCTTTCGGGACGAAGCAACGGCATGCATAGTCCTTGCCTTCAAATCCATGGCCAGCCTCGGACTTCCCTGCCATGTCAGCATCGGCGCCTCATGTTGAGTCGTGACCGCGGAACAGGTCAGTCAGTGGTTTAGCAGTGGGCAAGTTCGTGCTTCCGCGCCGTGGAATGATCTGTAGACCTGCATTAGCGGAGCACAGCATGGCACATGACGTTCAAAGATCGTGTGCATCCAACATGGCTTCACAGAAAAGGGAATCCAGTTTGTGGTGAGAGGGAAGAATGCCAGAGACACAGGAATACTCGCGTCAAAGGATGGAACGACAAACATTGTTGCTGCACAATGTGATTGAATTTCAGGTATCAAAAGTCGTTCTTGAGGCGGGATCATCGAGGCCTGGCGTAATTCCCCCGGGCGCAGAATGACACCGAGATACCGCTGGACGGCGCCAATCAAATCTCCTTTTACTTCGGACCTTCAATCAACACCTTGATCGCCTTACCGGCTTTCACATCCTCGAAGGCATGGACTGCCTCATCGAAACCGACTGTCCTGCTGATCAATTTCTTGACGTCAATCTTACCATTACTGACAAGGTCCAACGCATCTTGGTAGTCACCACTCGCGTATCTGAAACTTCCCCTGATCGTCAGCTCCTTGGTGCATGCAGCCATGATCGGGAAGGTGATTTCGTCTCGTCCCATACCGCCCTGGACGTAGGTCCCACCGTTGCGAACTGCATGGATTGCCGTTTGGACGCTGGGTTCAGCTCCACTAGCATCGATGGCGGCGTCCGCACCCTGACCTAGGCCGTGTTCGTCCTTGAGCCTTTGAGCATTTTCTTGGGCAGAGACTTTTGACGGGACGAACGTGGCATCGACACCGAACGACGTTGCGAACTCCAGCCGTTCGGTGTTGATGTCCACCGCGATGACCTTCTTCGCACCGAACGCCCGAGCGACTGCACCACACAGCAATCCCACGGGTCCGGCACCAAACACCACCACGGTGTCCCCTTGCTTGATATTTGCTTGCTTGGTGATGTGAACGCCGACTGCCAAAGGCTCGAACAAAGCACCCTCCTCCAAGGTGACGTGATCAGGAAGCTTGTAACAAAAATCATCCGGGAGTACATAGTATTTTGCCAACGTGCCGTCGTAGGGCGGGGTTGCAGCAAAAGCCATGTCGAAGCATAGGTTATATTTCCCTTCCTTGCAACGGACACATCGCCGGCAAGGCACTCCGGGCTCCATGGCCACGCGATCTCCTTTCTTCAAGCTCTTGACCTCCGAGCCGACTTCGAGAACAGTGCCTGCGGACTCGTGGCCGAGTACCATGGGGTCGTTCACCACATAGTGTCCGATTCGACCTTCCTGCCAGTAGTGGACGTCGGAGCCACAGATGCCGGTGAAATTGACTTGAAGGAGGACGTCATGAGGTTGTGAGGGCTTCGGCACCGGGCGATCTTCAAAGAAGACGTCCTTGATGCCACGCAGGACGAAAGAGTTGTTCTCCTGCCGCGCACGAGTCAGTAGAAGCACCGCGATCCATAGCTCTCAGCTCACTCGGGTCTGTGTTTCGGAGGCCATTCCTTCCAATCTTGATCGAGTCTTTGATGAAGCACGGCAAGAGGGCGGTCGGTAGAACAGCACCTAGGTACGGTATGATGCAAGTAATGAGGGGTAGGCCAGGATGATATCAAGACGTGTGATTTTGGATCTCGACCATGGTAAAGAGTCCATTCAACTATCAAGGAAATCAATGATCAGGGCCGTCGGGTGGACTTCCTCTGTAGGTAACCCGAACGTCCTCGCCATGATTGACATGCTCGCTGGTCATTTCATGTTCTCACGTCTCCCTCATGTTCTGCCCACCGGAGTAGCGTCCAAAGAATCCCACGCTACGACCCAAGCACATTTTAGCCTAAAAAGTCGCGTCGCCGCGTGGTGCGGGGTAGTTTTGCAGGTTGGGGACTCGGCAAAATCGGTCCCGGTTCCGACCTCCATTTTGGGTGGTGGGACCGAGTATAGATCTGGACTAGATATGTACTATTGAGACATGTGCTGGTGCTGGCGCAGGCGTCGAAGAACCACACCGATGCGACTCGGTGTGCGTCGTCACCGAGGAGTTGTCCTCTTTTGGATTGTTCTAATGCCCGGCTTCAAGATGCACGATCTTGTCACAGTTCAGGATTCCGAGAGGATCAAAGGCCTGCTTGAGCTTTTCACATGGTCAGCACGCGAATCCTGGCGCAGTGGTCGCAGTGGTGACTTACCCTTCGCATGGCGTTGATGGTGTCCTCTCCGAGCTCTTCAATCAGATACTCTCGTTTTTTCAATCCGACACCATGTTCGCCCGTGACCGTTCCTTCCATCTCAATGGCCCGTTTGCACATGCGATGGACGACTTCCTCGGCACTCTGCTTCTCGGCATCATTGTAGAGCAGGATGGCTATCTGGGATTAGTCGGGGTTCCAATATTCCCAGGGAAGAACTCACTGTGGAAGTTTCCATCGCCCACATGACCACAGATTCCACCCAGCAGTCCACTGCGTGCGACATCATCTCGCGTCTCTTGAATGATATCCGCTAGTCTGCTGATGGGCACGGCCTGTGAATGATTAGTCTGGACCAGGGCTCCCCAGGGGTCGGCACGACTTACAACGTCCGTTGTCCACACATGATCACTCTCGTCCTTCTTCATCGCCATCACACTCCATAACGCCTCTTTCCGGGCACTCCACAGTTCGTGAGCTTCGTCGTCGTTCTTGGCGAATTCGAACTTTTCGTTTTTGGCCGACTTTGCCAGTTTCTGAACCGTGCGAATCTGTTCTTTGATCCCGTCTGGTGTCCCAGCAAACTTGAAGAACAGCGTGGGCGCTTCTTGCCACTGTCGACTGGTCGATCCACTCTTGTTGATACATCTCATCTGCACGTCATCCAGGATTTCCATGCCCGCGAGTTGGATGCCTTCCCCCACCACCTTGGCGACACACTCCGCGGCGGCGTGGATCGTCGGGAAGGTGGCGACTGCGACGTTCTGGCTCTTGGGGAGGACGGTGACTTTCAAGGTTGCCTCCGTGACAATGCCCAGGGTGCCTTCACTGCCGATGAACATCTGGGTCAAGTTGTAGCCGGCGCTTGACTTCCGAGGCCGACGGCGGGTCTTGATGATCGTCCCGTCGGCAAGTACCACTGTGAGCGAGACGACCCAGTCGCGCATGGTTCCGTAGCGGTACGCATTTGTCCCAGAACAGCCCGTGCCGACCATGCCGCCGATTTTGGCGCCTGGACCCGGGTCGGGTGGGAAGAACATGCCGTGCTCGGCCAGATCTTCATTCAGAGCTTCCCAGCCCAGAGCCGGCTGTACCACGATGTCCAAGTCCTTGGGATGGAATTGTAGAATTCGGTCCATCCTGCCCAGGTCGATGCACACGCCGCCTCTGGTCGGTGCAAAGTGACCTTCCAGACTGGTCCCTCCCGAGAGGGCCGTGACGGGTATCTTCCGGTCGTGGCATATTTTCATGACTTGGGAAACTTCTTCGGTGCTGGCCGGATAGACGATGGCAAAGGGCCGCTCGTTCGGCTTGACCGTATAAGAGGACCATTCCGAGCCGGAATGGGCGTCAAGATCATATGAGACAGTGGACACATTCTCTTTACCGACAACCAGGGCCAGGTCGGTCCAGGCCGCTTGCAGGACGGAGGTTCGGGTGTCATGTTGAGGTTTGTGAGCTCGTGCCAAAGAGGTGGTCGAGGTCGTGTCGATTGGCTTTTCTGAGCGTGTCCCCAGTACATATGCGGCAGCTGCGACGGACAGAATGACTGGGGGGAGTTAGCCCAGGAGGTCAACGGGAGGACCCAATCCTTACCTAAGCTGGTCGCCAGTGTCCTGCCCTCGTTGGGCTTGCGGGCATCGCTTTCTTTAATGTAGCGAGCTTGATCAGCCCGCTCTCGTGCGAGTCGGTCGGCCGTACTTTCGTACAGCTGGCCTCTGAACGAGGGCTTGCCCTCCTCCTCCTCTTTCCCTTGTAGTCTGGGAGTCGAATTGTAGAAAGATCGTACGCCGCATAATTGTTGAGGTTGGTGCTTCTCAAGGCCCCGAAGGATGTTGGAGGCAGCTGGTCGCAGCCGCAAGACCTGCTTCATTTTGACGGGATCGTGTGGAAATCGGCGGTCAACTGGACATCATTGGGATCCCCGACTGCTCCGAGATGCGATCGACAGTAGAATATCCTGAGGGAAGAGCGCAGCGGCACTCGACAATATTAATAGGCCTCGACCTGGATCCAAGATGCGGAGAAGTTGACGGGCGACTCGCAATGCAGTCGCGGGAAAAGGATCGCGCGTGGCCCAATGGGGCTTGGTTCAATCTCTCTCGGCTATGGCTCTCCAGATGGCAGGATTTACGCCGAGAAAGGCGCGTGGATGACGCCCGGAATATAGATTTCCCTTAGCCGGGGCCCCTTAGGCTATGGCTGGAAATTATGGGGGGGAGTGGTTTGAGGGATGGCCCTCCGTACACCCATTTAAACCATATCCCGTGTTTTGGCCGCTCACAGAAAAGCCCGATCGACACCTGCATATCATAACTGGAAGCGAAACACAGGAGACGCCCAAGGGGCGTTGCTCTCCTTTTGCTCACCTGGCGTTGTACGACGAGAACAACGCAGGTTCCACGGTGTTCGAATAATTCCTTGTCTGACGCGGCCACAGATCGGTCATTTTCCACCCTCAATACATGTGTGCTTGGCGATGATGATCGACATGTCCGCTTGGGTAAGATTACGTTTGGCTCCCATGCTCCCTCGGTACTCCGACCGTTCTCGACGACTGCAAGCACAGTGGGTTTAGCTGTGGCACAGAGGTGACGAACAACAATCAAGTACCAGTTCTCTTTCCGAGGTGGTGTGAGTGACGAGACCCAGACTCCCGAGGAGCATTCAGATTGAGCCAGATCCGCCACCCGTTGCCCAGCAGATGGATATCCCCGCAATTCGGTTTCCCGCAGGGAGTGCATGGCGTGATCATGAAACCTTCCACTCTCTTCAATCGCCGTCTTTGTAGAACCAGCGTACCGCCCGTTTTTATCCAGTTCTTGATCACACCCAGCCTGACGTGGGCAGTTGTCACACCATCCCGTGGGAGAGGCGCGACATGTCGTTCTCCAGCGTCCCCATTCTGGATCTCTCGCTCGCTCGGGACCCCCGCGCCAAACCTCAGTTCCTGCTGGACCTGCGGTATGCGCTGCTCGAGGTCGGATTTCTTTACATCAAAAACACCGGAATTCCACAGGAACTGATTCATGAAGTCATCCGTTTGGGCAAGGGCTTTTTCGCCCTGCCCGAAGAGAAGAAACTCGAGATCGAAATGAAGAACGCCAAATCTTTCCTCGGCTACAATAAGCTGGGGATGGAAATCACCCGGTTCAAGACCGACTGGCGCGAACAGATCGACCTGTCCACGCCACATCCCATCCCCGGCCCTGACGACCCACTCTACCGGAATCTGTTGGCGCCAAATCAGTGGCCGGATGAAAAGGCTCTCCCCCGTTTCCGGACCGTCTACGAGGATTACATGAAACGCATGGGCGACATGAGCATGGAGTTCACGAGCCTGTGTGCCGAAGCGATCGGCCTTCCCGCTGACGCATTTGCCCAATTTTTTGACGAGGCGCAGCAGCATAAATTGAAGATTGTGAAGTACCCAGACCTGGAGGAGCTCGGGGTTGAGGGAGAGGCCCAGGGTGTCGGGCCACACAAGGACAGCATGTTGACGAGCTACCTGCTGCAGGCGAGCCACCATCGCGGCCTGCAGGTGCAGAACGGAGACGGGGAGTGGGTGGACTGCCCGCCCATCGATGGAACCCTCGTCGTGGCCATTGGGCAAGGGATGGAGGCTCTCACCCAAGGTGTCTGCCAGTCCACGACCCACAGAGTCCAAAGTCCTCCGCGTGGCACGGGCGCGAGATACAGCATTCCGTTCTTCCAAGGCGTCAGCTACGACGCCACCTTCGAAAGCATGGACGTCCCAGAGTCGGTCAAGAAGCTCCGGGCAGACGTCCTCGAGAAACGAGGCGGCCAGCGCCTCGACGATATCGAATTCACCTTCATCAAAGGCATGTGGTCGAGGCTCGGGGAGGCCACGCTGATGAACCGGATCAAGAGCCATCCGGATGTCGGTGAACGTTGGGTGAGTGTGAATTTCCCCGTGCGTGATTGTGCCCATACTGACAACGCGACGGTCCAGTATCCCGATCTGCTCAAGAAAATCCACGAACAAGAGGCCGGCGAAGCGGCGAAGTCTGCAGCAAAGGAGGCCGCCGAGAAGTCGAGTTCCCTTCCTTCTCAGCCACAGTCGATACCAGCACATTGACAAGTATACTTGACAGTGTCGGTTACGATATGATACATCCAAGCTCTACTTCCTTCCAACCAGTGCAGAATGTCCCCTTTTTTGCGCATTGATCAAGCTCTCCTGTATAGTACCTTCTCTGCCGCATGAACTGCCGTGGAAGTCGTTCGCAGTGATTTATGGAGATTGAGAGCTCTTATTGTAATGTTGTCGTAGGTCATTTCCTGGGATCGTTCCCTCGCTTCTAGCAATTCTCACACCCGTCGTCAGTCGATATTCACGGGGGAGAGCGTGATTAGTCTAGGTATCTCATCTCCCAGACTGGCCTCTTCGGGAGCTCGTGACTAAAATCTAGAGTTTGAGAATAGTCCCAACGTTGCCCGTATCTAGGTAGATTTTATGGAACAGGACTCGCTCTTCTCCGTAGCTTAGGGTGCCCTCATCGGAACCAAAAACGCTTACCGCCATACTAGAATTGCTGTCTAGCCATTTTGAAAATGTAGGGGCCCGCTCTCTTCACTGCCCTGCTCACCTCACGATATGGAAAATGAGATTGTGCGAGCTTTCCTAGCTCAGGTCTAGACAGGATAGGCAAAATTCGAAAAAGATGCCGAAGAAATCTCCAATTCCTGGAGAACAAAAAAGATGGACGACCTTGGGATGATTCGAACACCCAATCTTTGGTGATTATCTTGACCGAAAACCAACGCCTTAACCATTAGGCCACAAGGCTGAAAACTTGTTAGCAAAGAAGCAGGTAAGAGACAGGCCAGCTGAACTCACCCATTTCCTTGAAAAAGTTAGCTAGTTGAAATCATAACCCTAAATTTATTTAAAGCGCTTATGAATATTTACGTCACATAATATAATCTATAAGCAATATGATCCTTAGAGCCGCTAGCAATCGCTAGTTCTACTTTTCAGATTTAAGGTTGTGTACTAACCCTAACATTTCTGAGAGGGTGTGTATATCACGGGCGAGATTGCTAATTTACTTTATGAGACGAGATACCCCGTGAACGTCGTTCGGAATGGGTTCACGAATTGAAGAGCATCCCATTTATCGGTGATGGTTAGGAAGTCATGTAAAGCCCGTTCAACGACACTACTATTGCGGTGAGCAACTGAATACGTTATAAGTAAAAAGCGAGGGATCTAATGAGTTGCGAAACGAAATAATCTTTCTGCACGAGCGGCTAGTTCTCTTAAACAAGGTCTTAGGCAGGTCTAGGATATCATTATAACGTGTGGCTAATGGGTTTTCGGTTTCTCTAGCAGCGTGACCGTAGGATATGGTACTACATAGATTAGTGTTGGCACTAAGACTCAAATAGGGTGTATCAGCTCTATAGTCTGACGAGTCCCTCGCACCGTCTTAGGAATGACCATGTCCCCTTCCCATCACATTGATTCGATGAATTTCTAGATTGCTTTAGAATGGCCGTCCCCTGGAGTCGCGGTTGAGTACATCGTCAAATAATATACCGTTGTATGGGTTGCACCCGCGAGTCACGTTAATTTCAGTGACAGCCAGGGTTTGCGGATCGTGCTCACCACTTTATTTCCTCGTTTCGACAAAAGACATCCGGCGACATCGCCGCACGCTTCAGGAATGTGATCGGCATCGCGAAAGGCATCCACTCCACGGGAAATGGCTCATTGGGTTGGTCCAGTTTTACTGCGGATGCGGCCATGCCTCAAGCGGGCCACTATCAGATTTCCTTTCGCACGATAGTGCTGAGGAGTAATCATACATAATGTATGATGTGGAGGAAGGGAAGATGGCTCTCAAAGTACGACCAGCGTGATTCCTCGTTTATGCCTTGACGGTAGAGGCAGTGTCGTGGTGAAGTTGGTTGTTTGTCGTGTTGCACAGTCCCGATACACGCAAATGTCAAGCAGACGCAGGAGCCCACACTTTAGTCGGAACCTTACAAATGATTTCTACCTTTGTGGCTTTCATACTCTCTCATAGCATGGCTTTTAAGACGATCTATGCTCTGCATTCCCGTCCGCAACGCAGCCGAAAATTCTCATCATATCATAACCCGCGGGTTCAGCGGATTTTCCGGCTCCTCTTGCATCAGATCCCAGTGCTCGACAATACATGTCCCCTCAAAGCGATAGACATCCACGACATACAAGTTCTTGGCCCTCGCGGCTTCTTTAGACTTCAGATGTACAACCCCACGGCCCTGCCCAAAAATGACATTTATGTACGTGAAGTTGATTCCCGCCTGGAATAGCGGTACCAGCAGGTCCTGTAGCGCTGCGGCTCGCCCGTCTGGCAGGTTTGGGTTGTGCTGGATGTAGTGGTCGCCAACGTGTTTCTCGAATGCCTTACGGGATCCTTCTGTGAGTAGAAAAGGTCGACAAAGGAGGCGAAAATCTATTCCTGTTTCACGGGAGCGGCGGGTCGAGGTGGGCAGAGTGGCCTGCTGGAGGGAGTCAAAAGAGTAGTTGTTGGCGCCAAAGTGACTATCGACGGAACAGGCAGACAACCTCGTAATAACGATCAATGATTCAGTGCCACAGCCTCTGGAATGCTTTGGAATCATGGAAAACGGGCTCCAGGAGGTCATCTTGCCTAGTAATTGTCTATATAAACCAGAACGGTGACCATAGAATAGAAGAAGACAGAAAGCTCAACAACGCTGACTTGCCTGTATCGATTGTCCCGTACAGTTGCACAGTCCAAATCCTCCAACAGTAGTTGTGGAAGAGGTGGTGGTCGACGAAGGCGGCGATGGGCGGGAGTTCCTTGACCCACGATGGTTAAAGCAAAGGAGATAGACAGTCTCGGAAAGCCACTTCTCAGTTGAGATAGGTATACAATGCAGGCAAACAGCCAAGATCTCGCAGATGTGTGCATTGGTTGACGCTTGGTAGCTACGACATGTAATTGAGCGCTATAGCTTGAGTTAGCAGAGACTCAGCGATAGTCAAATGCGCGCGGTGGCCACTCGCAGGGGAGAGTGGAGCCCTGTTTCTCATCCTCAGGCTCCAGTGGTCATTCAACTGTTATTCCACCTTTCCCACCCAAAGCCGCGACCTCCACCCCACTAGTCGGTAGAGTGCTCAGCCTTGTGGTGCCCGGCGACCAGTCAAGCTGAGTGCTGGATCATCGTGGGCCATGATTCCACGCACATGCAAAATGATACTTTAACGTCTACCCCAAGGGCTGGGCAGTGCATGGGAACCTGTTCCCAAAATAACAAGGGAGGGGCTTGATACGGAACCCCGCTACAGTATCATACATCTGAGTCATAGAGAGATCGCAGAAGGTCGACATCACTGTGGGAGCAGGCTCTGATGACAGGGCCTCTGGACAATAGCTTCCCAAGCTGTTTATCATTCAAACAAGTTCTTTAAGCCACATCTGACAAGAATGCCACGAGAATGAGGCAAGAACAGGAGTTCAACTCCTGCCACCATTTGTGTATTTACTTTACTGTGAACCTGGAAATTCGGCTACACTCCCACGAAAATGCCCATATCATACCCTTTTTATCGGTACTTTTGCTCTGTGTGGGCTTACTAGCACCCGTCGGTTCCTAGCCATCAAACACCCCTTCGCGCTGTCCAAGCTAGTCGTCATTCGGCGTAGGTAAGTATAGTTCTTGTAACCACCATGATTGCCAGCATACTCTTTAGCGTCATGAACTTGGTCCAGTGGGAAAAATGCCGTTTCTGCTCTGCTAAGTTTGCCCATTTCTAGCAATACAGACTCCACCATTCTGGTCGTGGCCTCAATACCTTCTCTCTCGACCATGACCTACCCCATGATACGGAGGTTCTTGTGCATCGCATAGGCGTAAGGGAACGATAAATTTCCAGAGGGGACGCCACTTAAGATCACCCTACGTTTCGAATGACCCAGAAGTCCAATCGTTGAATACTTCCGCCCCTTCTCCATTCGGTGTAGCTGCAAGAATGGCTTCGGTGTCAACCTTCTCGCCACCCGTCCTGACAACATATTGAAATCGCTCCGAGCGACCAGTTTGGTCTCTTGATTGTTTCAACTTCTGCTTGTTTCTACCCAGTGCGATGATGTTTGCACCTAGTAGGCTGGCCAAATCAACAGTCGCAGGGCCAAAAGTTCTAGTTGCAGGTCCAACGATGATTGTCTCACCGGCCTGAAGCTGAGCAGCTTCGCACAGTGTTCCAACTACCATTGTATGTAGCGCAAGTTCTTGAAGCTCTGCACGGTTGTACCCAAGTGTTCCACACAACTTCTTCTTATCGAGCACGAACACTCCTTCAAGTGCCACCCTCTGATACTGTTGCATGGAGCCATCTCTCCACTCCCCTTGCATGAGTTTGGCGCCCTTTGGGCTTTCCCTGCCATAATGACCTTGACTGATATTGATGGAAGGATCATCCTGCCCTTTGATCTAGGGGCTGTAACACACTAGATCGCCAACTTTCAGCTTCACAGAGTCGGGCCCAGCCTCATGGATACGGCCAACATTTCTGGGATTGGGTACGAGAGGAAGACGGAGGTAGAAAACAGGTATGGCTCATTCATGAATCCCTGCTGCATATTGCGGGATCCAAGTCGATAGCACGCGAAATAGGTCGAACCTAGACCAGCTTTGGGAATTAGCAGATCGATATGAAGCTACCGCTGAAAGGAACCCCATACAACATAGTGTCTCAATTGCCAACCAATAACCCAGAGTACCACTGGACACCAATTCTATGACTCCATAGCTCTACATTGGAATTTTGACTTCCAGTGAGAGTCTGGACTTCAGCCACAATGAAAGATGTACGTGACCTCTTCTGTTCGGTACATTCACACCTTAAGTCATGCATCCACTCATCTCTTTCCCTCTCCCACCCCCGATTTTGACGAGCTCCAGAATACCTACCAGTGCCGATGGACAAGTAAGGCTGGGTGGGGTTACAATGATTAAGTCAGCCAAGGTACCACCTAGCCACAAAGATCTTGGGCGTTATGCGGCAAAATAGCACTTAGCACGCGCAGATTGGACCTAGACAAATTGTTGTGATTATCTTGCATCCGTATCATGGTTTTAATCGTGTTCCATTGTTGAACACATCTATATGTCATAGCTTCTAGTAGATTGGGTTTGATTGGTTTGATTTGCATCAAAAATCTGGAGATAATATAATGTGTAAGCTTACTCATGTCTTGCAGTGTCCAGTTCTGGCTTCATGCAATGAGCATCATGGCTGATTTCACTGGCGTCAAGTGCATTCTCTCAGTCCTTCCAAGTGATAGTTTTCGTGCGAACCCACTCCTGCAATCCGCTTACACTGTTAAATCTGCTGAAGCCAGAGCTTTTGGACCTGCCATGCGGCAAAGCACTTTCATCATGCACTGTCATTGAGTTAATGTGTACTGCGCCGCTCTCAATCAGCTTAGTAAAAAGAAGGCCGCGCAGAAACCTTCCGTAAAGACGGCTGATGACAGACCATATTCGGTATCCTTTGCAATAGCGATGGCTTCATCATCGGATTGAACTACAATAGCGGACACAGTAGGCCCAGAAGACTCGGTATTGCAGATGTCCATTGTAGGCTTGACCCATGTTTGAACACTATTTGGGCAGAATTGACTGCCTCCTTAAAATCTTCCTTGCTGACTGCTGAAGCTTGATACAGAAGTTGATTGGTGACAGGAGAAATGACTTCGAAACTCGACCAGCCGCTTACTTCCCTACAGTCAAGCCATAAGTGAACTATTGAAGAAGAGTCAAAGTGTGAAGTCTAATGGTCGATTGAGCCATTGTGGCAAAGTGTAAAGTGATAGGTTTGCACTGACACAAAGCTTTGGCAAGGGAGGTCTGAGGATTGAACAGCTATATCAAAGCTAGAAGAGGATTTAATGATGCTCACATGAAATGAAATACGTGTGTATTCCAGCCTTATATTGATCTACTGCTGCGGAATACTTCGGGTCTACCATTAAAGCCAGCCTGACAGGGTGGGGAGAGCGTAATCTTCGGCCAGGGACGGAGTTGGAAGTGGGAACCAGATCGCTGATGACACTACTTGGCATTCTTTTGTGATTCGCCATGTCGCCTGGAAAGTTAGTAGATTGCAATGGGGAGACAGCGTGGTGCGCGATTTCTGAAGCACCCGCACAGAATAATTGAACCAGCCGCCGGATCATCGTTTATGAAGCATATCTGGCTCAATTACAGCTGTGGTTGGGCGAAAGTGGGATCACCTGCTTGATATGTATCAGGAAAATGTCCAGTAATAAACGCTTGGCATGAATTGAGACCCAGGACAAGATTCATACTTCGGAGGGTACCTCCTTCACCCTCCGCTGGAGGCAGGTTGTGGAGGTCTTGCTCGTACTTCTTCATGGCACTATCTACCGATATCATGATCATACTGGGAACTTACAACATAATTGAGACCGAACGCTGCCTCACTTGACTGGCAGCAAATCACCACATTACTGCAACAGCCGTCAAGTTTCCTACGATAAGTCCTGATAAATGATAGAATAAGGCCTGAGGGTGTGTTGGTGTAGTGTGTTATCAGTAGGTCAGTTGCATGACAAACGATCCTGCATCGTCCACATATTCCACGTGCATCCAATGTGTATTAATCACTCAATGCTGACCATACCTTGCTTGTTCCTAAAATGTTGTGTCGCTCCTCTTGGGTTGCGTTCCATTCGCACTGATTGCTTTCTTGACCTAGCCACCATGTATTAGTGATTGCCTATGATAGTATCACAGGAGTCGAGGAGAACCAACTTCTTCTGCCACGTCATATCCTTACACCAAGGACTATTGCTCCGGATCAATTCTGACAAGTATTAGAACGCTTTTACCTGTGGTGAAACTGAATGTGCCCTACCAATAGAAGGGATATCCGGGTTGAGGTTCGTCAAACTGTTGCTCAGCAAACGATCTCTTTCGACTTGCTCGGATCCGTTTGGAAGGTGGTTGTTGTGTCTCTATATCATGGTTAATCTCGTGTGGGAAATTTCGATACTGTTGCAAGAGCCACTATCATGCTTCCTTTTTGCAACTCTGAGCTCTGAGGCTTTCGAATTTTCTCATAAATCTGCAGTAGTTCCCGCAGGCGTACACCTGGACCAGCTCGAACAAGCAGCATCCCAAGCGCAGCACCGTCTTTCAAAGCAGAGCCTGCCCCTTGAGCCATATAAGGCAACATTGGATGGCATGCATCACCCAGGAATGCCACAGTCCTTTGGTCATTATACCAACGGTCCATTTCATCGAACTGGTAGTATGGGGCGAGCAGAGGTTTAACGCAATGGTCCGTGATCACGCATATGGTGCATTAACTTCCACTTATCAACACGTCTAACCATTGATAGCATTTTCCTCAACCTGTAGATGTCAGTCATCTTATCACATTGGATCAACAAGTCACACTTACAAGGGATCTTAGTCTTTGGATATCTCGTGCATCTCTTCTAGATCTCTAGGTTGCTTAGTTACGTTCTCGGGTAGATTGTCTGGTACTAGAAGCACAATATTACACAAAGTGTTATTCTTCAGGGGATAGAGCATGACGTGGCATTCTGGACCAGCCCAAAGGCAAACTCTAGGTGTCGAGACAAAATTCCACAGCTCATCGTCTTGGATCTCGTCAACCCGAAGGATAACTAGGTATGCTAGATCCCCTGTTGGAATGGGGGGGGGAGGGTCTGCCGTAGAAGCTGGAGCGGATAGTCGACCACAAACCTAGTATGTCAGTATCAGGAAACTAAATCTTCCTAGATCTCACCGTCGGCCGCCACGAGAAGGTCAGCACCAAGATTTTCGCCACTCTCCAAGGTAACCTCTGGCACGCAAAGTTCCTGCTTTGTGACCAAAACTCCAAATCGGAACTCCACCCCCAATTCTAGTGCACGCTCGTACATAGAATCTGTAAGTCTGCACGATCGATATCCCAGAAGTTCGCTCCAATTTTCCGGAGCATCTCATTCCCGTAGCATGAGCGCTCCCCAAGAAGTTTGGCATCGCTGTATCGACGGATGGAGGACACTTCAAGGGTGGACACGCATCCCTGGAACCGTGGATTGAGACCCCATCTTCCCAATAGCCTCGTAGCATTGGGAGTCAGTTGAAGTCCTGCACCTATCTGCAGACAGCCTTAGAATTCTCGACCAAGTTCATACAAATAATCACATACCTCTGCTAAGCTAGGCGCGGGGTCAACTACCAGCGCCTGGTGCTGCGGGTTCTCAAGTTTGATGGATAGTGCAGCAGCCAATCCGCCAAGTCCAGCGCCAACAATGAGGACCTGCAGCGACATAGTCGATCGAATCTTTTTCAGTTTCGTGATATTTTTCGACGAAGTTGCCGGTTGGCTTAGATCTTGTTTGTTCTTTCTTGGCGAGCTGCAGTTATATAGCCTACAATCCAGCGGAGAGAATTTCATCTGAGACAATCCGAAAATGAGTATCAATTACTTGAAAATAGAACGCAAATATTCCACTTGGGTAGGCAGTAGATCAGACAAAGACGCCCTACTAGATCCCTCCACCCAACCAGTGGTCCAACATATTAATCGACCATTATCTCCACAATTCTTACCGGTTTCTAGCCTCATGGACGCAAGCTGATTTGGCGATCTGGATGCATGACGGTGGGTGGCTCGTGTAGACATTGGGAACATGCGCGATCACCTAAAAGTCATCATGAGACTCACGGCTCACAGTCTCAATATGAGTGGGATTTGGCGGTCAAGTAGTGGGTGGGTAAAAAGTTGTAGACGTACTTTTTCCCACGATGATGCTACAAAGGGGACAGTTGTTGGCGCTTAAGGACTAAGATGCTTTTTGGCCGATCCGCAAGCTGTGTGAAATCTCTATCTTCTTCAACTCTATCGGCTTTACTCTAGTTTAAATAGATATTTCCTAGGCATTTGATCTCTAGGAGCCCATTTCCACAATTTCAAAGCATTCTAAATACTGATACAGAAGCGTTTTCATAGTCTAAGACAGGAGGTATTCTAGCCAGCGCTACGGAGTTTAGTATCTATACTGTACTTACTAGCGTTCGCAAGCTAGTTGAATCTTGACGCTAACAACAATGCAGCCTCGGCCTTGGCGTCCAAGATGACTAATCGTCTATCTTACGATACTTCCTTGCGAAGGATAGGTATTGCGAAAACCTCAACAGCTGTGGATGTACCAAAGCATGGCAGATGTCTATATAAGAGCCATTACGTGAATTACTACAGGACCCATAACAATACCACCACCTATCTCACTATAGAAACAAGCTGTATTTTAGATGTTGCTCTGAAATAACCCCTTGAAAGGAAGATTACAGCATCTTAAGGTGATATCATATCTGTGACAGATGTTGCTATTTTACGGCTTTATATTGAGCGCTGGACAATCGAGAGCTAACTACGGCGGCAACGTCTGGCCACTGGAAACACCAGCAGACAGGAGGACCTATGCTCATCGATGAGCTTCCTGACTTCAGTTCTATTATAGAACTTCTGCTTAAGCTCTTGGGTTTTCTTGAGCTTCCATGCAAATGCGTTTATTCCCTTTGAAGATGTTCTTCAATGTTAAGTAGACTAGTTTATACCCTAGAGTATTTTAGGATATTACGTGGTTACGGCAACTATTTTTAACATCACCGTTGCCAAGGCACATGGGAACCTACTGCATAAATGAAGTGAATGCTGTGCAAGCAGCGGAAGCCTGCAGACGGTTTACCTCAGTTACGGTAAGCTTGAAACAAGCCGTAGGCAGCGCCCTAGATCCTTCTAGGAAAAGCATTAGCACCTACACCTTCCACTTGGTTAGTCCTTCGCAGTCGCCGATCTCGAGGCTGCCCTCCAAGGGAAACCGGGCTCTTTTGGATCCGATACTTTGAAAGCCTTGGTTTCGAAGGTGTTCTACTAGAACAGTTGCCGGTATAAAGTTGCGATCCAGATTAGCCATTACCTTAAGCCCTAGGTCATATAGTTTTGAAAGTGAGTGACCGGGGTCTATCGAGGCGACATTCGCAGAATGCTTTAGGTCCAGCTCTTGAAATCCACCGGTCCTCCGGGTATTACGTGCCTTTCTCCGTCGGTGCAGCGAAGATGCCTTTGGACGCCGTCGAGCAAATTCGATCCATCGCGACACTCCGCGAGTACGCCTACCGTGAGACAGACCCGCAGGTCGTACAAGCAACTTGGAGCAATATGTTCCAAGGTCAACGCTAAGGCCAAAGAGAGTAGGAACGGCATGGAGCGGATCTGTATAAAGTTGGCACCATTCGACATTCCACTGCAGAAATTTAAGAGGTATAGCAATGAATGCGCAGGCAATAGGACAGCAAGGGCTGTCAAGGGCAGTCTTGGTGCGAGAGTGCACACTTGCATTGAGCAAGAAGCTGGTTGAGAGCATACCTCGGATGCGGGCTGACTAAAGCCAATAAGGGTATCGCTTAATACAAATACAACCAGTCGGTCAAATTGACCCCGCAAAACACCGCCGAACTGCCACAAACCCTCACAATGCTCACAGAACGGGGCTACACTCAATGCAACATAACTAGGACATAATTCTGCGCGCAAAGAGTTTGCCGAGTTCCCCACTTTCCTGACTACCAGCTTTCTCCACACGAGCCAGCAACTCCCCCCCCCCTGCCCCGACTTGCATGTCGTCCAGATATGCAATACGAAGCAAAGCATGCAAGGTGTGCCTTGCGCCCCATGCCCGGGTGGCTGCCCGCTTGAGGCTTGGTGGGGGGCCAAGCTCTCGGTGTTACTTTTGCGGCGGCCATTCAGAACCTAACAAACCCCTAGCAGAGGAGACCGTCGGCGGGGTGAGGTTGCGGGCAAAGTTGCTTCTAGCACCGTCACAGTCATGCGCCTCATGACTCGCGCCAGGCTTGGTCGAACTACCGAGCAGGCGGGATGCTGTGCTGTGCTGTGCTAGTGACGTCGAGGGACAAGTTGGAGCTCCATTGCATCGGGTCAAGGTTGCGGGATCTTCAGCGTAGCATCACGGCGTGCGTCTGGAGTATATCCTTCTCGCATGCTCGTGGAATTATATACTTTGGATCCTGCAACGGCAAAAGTATTTTCTTCCAGAGCTGAGTGGCAGCGTGATTTCAGTATCCGAGTGCTGCGTCGGCAAAAGAAAACCAACAATGTCTCCTCTAACATCCGCTCTGCTCTATTTGTCCCTCAGTATCTTCTCTCTGCCCCTGTGTAGTGCCCAGCAAGATATCACAAACGATACCTTCTTCTATGGACAGTCACCATGGATCCCCGCGCTGATCCATTCTGGGACCGGAAGCTGGGCTGCGGCCTACGAGAAGGCCAGTGTCTTTGTCGCACAGCTGAGCTTAGAGGAGAGGGTGAACCTCACCGGCGGCGTGCAACTCGCCAACGGCTGCTCAGGAAATATACCGCCGATTGAGCGCGTTGGCTTCCCTGGAATGTGCTTGACAGACAACGGGCAGGGTGTGAGAGCATCCGATTTTGTGAGTGGGTTTGCCAGCGGAATCCATGTTGGAGCAAGGTAGGCTTGTCTCGTTCGACTATGGACGGAGAACCCGCGCTAATCGACGATTGTCATGCACAGTTGGAACAGGGAGTTAGCCTACCAGCGAGGGCTCGCCATGGGTTTCGAGTTCCGGAAGAAAGGAGTTAACGTTATGCTCGGCCCTGTTGTCGGTCCTTTAGGTCGAGTTGCGGCCGGCGGGCGCAATTGGGAGGCCTTCTCCAATGACCCATACCTGAGTGGCGCCCTTGTGGACCCGACGGTCAGAGGAGTGCAGGAAAAAGGCGTCATTGCTTGCACCAAGGTAACAATTTTCTCTCTTTGACAAACGTCGCTTTTTGAAGTGACCGTTCTTACCGTTTCTCTCAGCATTTCATTGGGAACGAGCAAGAACTCTACCGGAACCCGACTGAAGACCCCCAGACCAACCAGACCATCGAGTCAACCTCCTCCAACATCGATGACCGTACCATGCACGAGCTCTATCTGTGGCCCTTTGCTGACGCCGTCCACGCCGGCACCGGCTCCATCATGTGCTCCTACAACCGCATTAACAATTCGTATGGTTGTCAGAATGCCGCTTCGCAGAACGGTCTACTCAAGACCGAGCTGGGCTTTTCCGGCTTCGTCGTGTCGGATTGGTTCGCGCAGCACTCCGGCGTCGCATCCGCTCTCGCCGGCCTGGACATGGTCATGCCGTCTGGTCTGACGTACTGGGCAGGTAACCTAACACAAGCCGTGAACAACGGCTCCGTGCCCGAAAGCCGAGTGGACGACATGGCTTCGCGCATCGTTGCCACGTGGTACCAGATGGCGCAGGATGACCCGGCTTCTGATTTCACCAGTCCTGGCAAGGGGATGCCCCAGGCCCTTCAGGACCCTCATGACGTAGTCGACGCTCGGGACCCCAGTGCGAAGTGGCTCCACCTCCAATCCGCCGTCGAGGGCTACGTGCTGGTCAAGAACACTAACTCGGCGCTCCCGCTCCAGTCTCCACGCATGCTGAGCGTGTACGGATACTCAGCCACGGTAGCCGCAGACAACAACCCAGGTAAGCCCAATCCTGCAGCAGCAGGCTTTTCCGCGTGGTCACTTGGCGCGACGTCGGCCGATCTCAACGCCCTTATCTGCGGCTTCGGCATCCCTGCCAACTGTCCTCCGCTGCTCCAGATCGCGGACAAGGGGACGCTCATATCCGGCGGCGGCTCCGGTAGTGTCACGCCCTGGTACATTTCGGCGCCTCTTGATGCGCTGGCTGAGTATGCGTACGACAACGACGTGATGATGCTGTGGGACCTGCAGAACATCAACGGCACATCTACGTCCTCGGCCGTGACCGACGCATGTCTGGTCTTCATCAACGCTTGGGCCACCGAGGGCCAGGACCGGCCGGGCCTGGCGGACAGCTTCTCGGACACGCTGGTCAACAACATCGCGGACCAGTGCGCCAACACCATCGTGGTTATCCACAACGCGGGCATCCGCCTGGTGGACGGCTTCGTCGACCACCCCAACGTCACTGCCATTCTGTACGCGCACCTGCCGGGCCAGGATAGCGGGCGCGCCCTAGTACGCGTGTTGTCCGGCCAGGAGAGTCCCAGCGGCAAGCTGCCGTACACGGTAGCCAAGCGCTTCGAGGACTACGGGGCGATCGCCAACTCGACCAAGGGCCGCGATGGCGGCTACAACTGGTTCCCACAGGACACCTTTGCCGAGGGCGGCCTCGTCGATTACCGGTACTTTGACGCGCTGGGCATCGAGCCGCGGTATGAGTTCGGCTTTGGCATGACATACACGACGTTTGAGTACTCGGGGATCAGTGTCGCAGCGGTGGCTAGCAGCGGCGGTGACAACGTCACTATTCCTGCGTTCCCGACGGGCGCCGTTCGACAGGGAGGGCGCGCGGACCTATGGGACATGGTGCTGATGGTGGCGGCGGACGTGCATAACGCGGGAAACGTGACGGCGAAAGAGGTCGCACAGGTGTACGTGACCATCCCGAACAGCACGGTCAACATCCCAACTCAAAAGGCGCCGGTCGGGCGGCAGCTGCGCGGCTTTGAGAAGGTCGAGGTGGCGCCCGGCGCGACGGTAAGGGTGACCTTCGCGCTGACGCGCAGGGACCTGAGCGTGTGGGACGTTCAGGCGCAGGAGTGGCGCCTCGGCGCCGGGGCCTATGTCGTCGAGGTCGGGAGCAGCAGCCGCATGTTGCCGTTGAGACAAACAGTCGACGTGACTGTGATGGCAGGCGGCGGTGGTTGACAGCGTGGGAGGTGAACAAAGAGGCGTCGACTTTGAGCGACTCGGCGATATATTTCCAAGACCAATCAGATCTTCAGCATGACGTGGGGTGCGTCGATCCGGGAAAGTATTGACACCAAGGCGACATACGCGAAGGTGAGTGACAAGAGGCAACAGATAATCAAGATTAAGGTGATCGATGTGTGTGGATGTAAGACAATTGATGGAACCTGAGCGAGGGCATTTCTGTCTTGCACTCCAGCGTTCAGGTAATGCTTGGCGCACGTGTGTGGAGGAAGATCTACCACTAGCAGTAGCTCTCTGCCTTAGGCCGTGGGGCTGTTGCCTGTTTGGTTGTTAAGCTCTGGGCTTATCATAGCGTTATCTAGCCTTGGCGCCAAGAATGCACTAGCTAGCTGGATAGATAGGTGCTGAGTCTTACTCATAGATACCAGCCCCTTAGCCCAGATAGCCTCCCGTATCGTTCTATGATCTCTAGTAACTCAATGCAGCCATAAGTGTAATGCCTTGCGCTATCAATAGTCACCTTTGGATCGCTGGCAGTCGGATATTGTAGAGCCTTTTCTATCTATGTGTCCTATACCCGCATTGCTGGGTGAGTTCGAAGATCTTGCAGTAGTGCACGTAGATCATCCAGTCGACTCTCATCCCGAAGGATCACGGTGTGCCACCGACTAGAAGCTGGGGAGCAATCACAATGTGGGCACAAAGTCGACAATCCCTCCCCCCGAGTCCGCTTGACTCACTTCGCCATATGTCAACAAGGTCCAGCAAGCTGGGGATCAGGATCAGATTAATCTCCAGATACTTGCGCGGTTGCTTCTCCACGCTGCTCCCCTCGTTCCCGACGTTGCGCATCTTGACCTGGAGTCATGACGAGGGCGCAAGGTCATTGACGCCCATTCTGTCCGGGTCAATGGCTTTCCACTCATAACTTATGGACGCTGGCAAGGCTCACCTGCAATTAGCGTTTCCGTGTTGTAAGATCCTTTCAGGGCAGCTTCATCCAACGCGCCGCTCATGTCATCGTGCACGTTATTCTTTGGATGATCGGGTCACCGTAGCCGAACTTGATGTAGAAGCAAGTGACAATCCGGTCGTTCGCATCGCGTTTCTGCGGTGGTGTCGGTTACCATCGCACATGGCGGTCGGTGCTCCTCACTTGATAGCCAAGCGTTGTGCATAGATCAAGCTGAACGATGAGATAGCACTTGGCCATCATTGGAGGAAGCTCGGGCAGCTGTGGTGCTAAATGATCCGACTAGGTTGAGTTAGTGCCCAACTAAAGATCAGATGTCCGTGTCGATAAATCAAGCACGACAATTGAAGATAGTAGAGTGCGGTAAAATCTACTGGATATCGCTTCCAACCTTTGCTGACAGCGATCTCGTAGTCGGGCGCATGGCTTTGCTAGCCACCGTCGCTAACGATCGAGCCGCGAGCACAAGATCGGCCCACGCTACCAAACCCGGTGCATACTGTAGCCAGTATGTGCCTAAACGCAGGGCTGGAAATTCGCAATGATCTTGTAGAGAGCTAGCTACGCACCAGGCTGGGCGAAAGACTGAGCTTTACTAATCACTATGCTGGAATTCATATTGGAAACGAGATTCTGGACATGGCTTCACATTAAACTTAGACACATTGGAGCCTGCCGCTTTTCAAGGTGCGATCGAAGCTATCGCGCGAAAGGAGACCGGACGCCCCGTCGGCGCCCGCTATGTATTATCTAGGCATCAAATCGACAGCGTCCGAACACATATGCTTGAGGTTGACCAGCCTGGATCACCGACCGAAAACGGTGGCCAAGCGGTCAATGATGTACTGCATCCCTTCAGCCCGGTAGTAATCTGGCTGAACATAGACCAGATCGGTCGCATTCACATCAAACACCAAGTTTTGCTGATCGTCGAGAGTGTACTTTGGCCACTGAATGCTCGTTTCTAGATCAACTGGTAAGCACTCACACGCGAACCGATCCCGGAACAGGGACTCTTACCATTGCTATAGTTAGGATTGGTGTCGACGATGAAGCTGATCCACATGCGCGACATGATATCGGCCAGCTGGAAAAAGGTTTCGGGCTGGCCTTCAAACGGGTTCTTCGCGACGACGTTCTGATAGCCTATCCCTTCGGTATTGTGGAACACAAATGCAACCTCTTGAAAGTGCGTCGCGCCGACCTCGGGGGGTACCCCGTTCACGCGAACGTTGAAGTTGTAGCTCCAGGACGTGAGATTGTTTTTGGCCCAAGCATGAGAGGTCGCTCGGCGAGGGGCATGCATCAGGTAATCACCACCAAATGCTGCTGATCGCTTCCACTGCGCCCCCAAGGATGCAAACAAGCCGGATGGACGACCAACTAACGTAGCAGGTATGCCAATCGCGGGGATGTCTGGGTACAGGGCGCCGATGGTCTGAGCGGTGGCATTGTCCGGCCCACGTGTCATCACGCTGGCGATGAACTGGTCTGTTGTGTTGATTCCCGGGACACCAAATGCGGTTCCTTCGTCGAAGTTGGCACCATGGAGCAAGGGGACGGGGACCACGGCGCCGTTCAACAGATGCTGGGCCCCCGAATATTGGATCAGATCTCCGTCAATCTGTTGTCCCCAATACGGGACTTGGGCGGTGACACTGCTGTTGAACACGGCACTCAGAACGTCGACGGGGACCGTGCGAAGGCATGCCAGGGTATCAGAGGCTCCACTGCAATTGGTGGCTCGAGTAATGTTGTTGTAGTAGACATCCCAGGCCGAGGCATTCCCATACGGACCTGAGCTCACCATGGCTCCGCTTTCTTGGATGGCGCTTCGAAAGAGCCCGTCGTCCCGTCCTCCGTACGCAAGCAATTGAACCCCGACACTGAAGGCTCCGGCGCTCTCACCCCAGATGGTCACCTTTTTCGGGTCGCCGCCGAAAGCGCCAATGTTCTCTTGGACCCAGTGCAACGCCAACCGCTGATCTTTGTAGCCCAAGTTGGCGATCCCCGCCTCGAGAACAGCAGTGCCGAAGAGATAGCCAAAGGCATGAAGACGGTAGTTGAGGCTGACACCGATGAACGGCTTCCCCATATCAACTGACTGCTGAACGATGAAGCTCAAATTGTACCGGGGATCGAGGCTGCTTCCCATGAATCCTCCACCACCGTGGATCCAGACACCGACGGGGAGCTGCGCGCCAGCATCCACGCCTGCGGGGCGAACAACGTTGATGGTCAAGCAGTCCTCGCTCACGGGATTTCCCAAAACCCAGTCATCACCGCCATAGCCGTAACAAGCAAGGGAATACTGGGTCGCATTCCGGGGTTCCGTCCAGGTGGTGTTCAATGGTTGTGGGTTCCTTAATCGAAGATCTTCCACGGGCGGCTGCGCGTAGGGCATTCCCAAGAAGAAATCTTGATTGTAATTTTCGTGATGGGCTCCTTCATAGGTTCCATTCTTGATCTGCACCGTAGGCACGGTGGCCTGTCGAGCCACCACCGCACAACTTGTCAATGGGGTTGAGAGAAGGCACCCCAGAAGCAGAGGGAGATATTGACAAGCCATATTGACAGTCGCGCTCACCACGCTGACATCTTCACAAAGTGTGGTAACCTGCTCGGCGCCGAGGACAGACATTTATAATGCCCGCCCGGGAGGGGAAAATAGGTCAGATGCACTCACGGCGTCTGCATGTTGATCAGCCCCATAATCATGAGTCGTGCAATGTTGGGTTGTAGAACGGGGTGCAGGCTGGTGGATGGAAGTCGTGCATCAATAATCTCACAACCAAGTCTAGCCAACTTACTGACTAGTCGGTTAGAGCAACCTGGAGAAGTGTAGGTAGATGCCCCCCCCCGTCACGACGGCCATTTTCAATTGCCGAGTGTGTTCTCCGAGAAAAAGACTATGAGCGAATGTGGCTTAGATTCGAGTCTCTCATACCCTTAACCCTGAAAACGGTTGCCAATAAATGAAGACTTCCAACTCCAGGGCGCGGAGATCTTGCTGAATCCATCAGTCGTGGGCAATGGACGGAGGCTAACCAGCTCCTTTAAGCTTTATACTCCACGGTCACACTGAGGTGGTCAAGTTTGCGGAGTACAACTATAAAGGCACATCCGGTGCTCCCACAAACGGCATCGATCTGCCGAAGAAGCCCCGCAGACAGCCTAGAGGAGCCACTCTCTCGACGACCATCATAGGAATGCCTCCATCAAGGAAAGCGGACCTCGTCATGGCTATGGAGACGTGGTGCGAGGAACACTTGTAATGTCCTTGTGGCCACAATGTCCTGACCCGGCCTAGACGCGCTCGCGAGTCGAAATGCCATCGGAACTCCGTGCTGTCAACTCTCAAACAATATTCCCTGAATTTCCGAATTTCGGCCGCTTTTGATGTTGCTAGAAGCATCACGCAAGCTCAGATTACCACCTGCTCAGCGGCATGGCAATAACGCCGTCCTTGCAGTGAGACGTGATACCAAACACCGTCTCCCTTTCGATTGATGACTGGGACACCATTCTCTAGCTAGAGGTGCGCAAGCTCCCGGGGCAGTTCTCGCGTACAGAGTAATCTTGTTCAGCATCGCACCTTGACGTGGCCCCGTATCTGATTGGCAATGGCCCGTAGAAGCGCTCGAGGTTCAGGTCAGGGCGGCATCGGGATTGAGCGGTATTGCAGCAGATTTCTCCTGTAGAGCAAATATCCCACCATGCCAGCCATATGCTCTGTTTAATCCACTCCCGTGTCTGCGCGCCGTTGTGAAAGGTATCTTCCCGGATGGGTGAGGTTCGTGGAATTGGATGCTTCGCTCGACATCTAGCCTAAGAGGTGTAAAGTGCCACACGGACCCATACAATTTCTCGGCGGCAAACCCGATAGATGCCATTGCGTGCACAAAATCAGTCCACACCGCTTCAACCCGCATTGCAGTAATCGAAGGGTTGAATAACAACTTCCGGAACACTTTCAATGCACGGTTGTCCACAGCAAAGGTCGGCTGGGGATAGGTCGGGTCTGCCCAGGCTCAACGGTAGGGTTTGGCCTGAGTGCGTAAAAGGGGCCCCTCGAGTCTTTATCTTTGATGTTAGAACCCCTTTCCTGACCCCGGATAATGTCCGCGGGGTCTGGGACTGGAGCTGAAAGTACATTTCTGACTCGGACCATTGGGGTGTACCTTGCAAGATGCGTGATTGAGTAAGCAGGCTTCTGACTCCGGTTCCTGCGAGGTCCCATGCTTCTCTGCTCATTCGTGCGTCGAGGGCTGACCAGGAAGCATCCAGATTTAGCCTCCGACCGCCGAATGATTTCTGTGTTCCCCTTCATCCTCCGCTTCCATACGGGGTAGTCAAATATTGATCCGTTGGTTTGCCTAAGCGTACTGTTGTCCTGGTTGAACTCGCGGTTTGCTCCCTCAAAGCACCGCACATACCCGCCCATGGTTGGGAAGTCTTCATGTAGACCTCTTTTATGCCGCTCTTTTTCTCGACCATAAGTTCCTCAAAGCCAACTGCCCACGGTTGATAGTGGTCAATCTGTCGTAGACATTCACAGACGATGGCTAGGTCTCCAATGGTACCGCTGACGTTTTCGGTGATCATATTTATTGCCGTTAGCTCCTTGTCGAGCAACCTCTGCAGTTCGTCGACGGGCAGAGGCATCCCAAGGAAGAAGGGGTCTCAGCCGTCATCCCATGTTGTTTGAACGAGCCACAGGAGACGACCTTCGACACACCCTATTTTTAGTCCCTTCGATCACACGTGAATCACCGGCGAGCTGGGATGGTCTGGCGGTTTGTGGACGAAAAGGTGGCGAAAGGGTGATGAGGCGACCACATTCATCTTGAGGATTGCAAGTGGTTCTTTGGCAGTTCGAGTGACAAAGTACCGGAACTTGAACAGGGCATCAATGTAGTCCTCGGGAAGCTCTTTGTCGGGGGGATTTGCGATCATTTCAAGCCGGAAATAAGATTTAGCAACAACACCGCCGATAACTCGTGCCAAAACACGTCTTCACGGTGCGGTTGGAAAATCGGATGTTGGTGGCCATCCGTGTCAGGGAGCAACTCCTGACGATGTCCTCTGTGGTCGAGGACACACTGGAGAAAATACCTCGGATCTTCGCGGAGCGACCAGAGATGATCCTGCGCCGCAACGGCCGCGGCATCGAGTAGAGATGCTAACCTCGACATAGCCAGATTGGACGGGACTGTATGAGGCATTTCCTGTGCCATGACTGCCAGGGACATTTGTCCAGTCACGATATTTTCGGACTTTGAAGGAGGCTCACGTTGGACCGGGTAAGAGTCACCGTCAGCACAGGCACAGGTATATCATGGAGGATTTGGGTGCAACACTGGACGAGGAAATCTAACAGACGCGCTTGAGCTTCGAGTATGAGCAAGGCTTCAGCTGGTAGAAACTGCCGTCGAGTGGTCATCCAGGTGAACGCATCGGGGTGATCATCCCAATGAACCAGCTTGCCATAGTCGCTATCCTAGGTTCGGTCTACGAAGCCGTTGACGATGACGACATGACCGTTTAAGAAGACGGGAACGATGGAGAACTCAATGAAGGGACTCGGAGTTTGGCGATCCTGCTTTGACGTAGTAAAAACGAACGTATGGAGGGAGCCTCCTATGCCCGGGAAAGAAGAGGCATATATTAGATCATTACATACAGGAAAGCTCTGTCACTTAAATGTGTCTCCTTCTGGGACCCGCAGGGGTAAAATTAGCCTACCTAAAATTTAACGCGTTTCGTGAGGAAATCTCCGTCTTTTCATCATCAGGAATTTTCCCTTTTAAATTTTTTGTGCCTCGGGCTACATGTAGTCTTCCATCCCCTCTCCTCGTGTATACTTCACCGTCGGTCGTTTCCAACTGTCCTCGTTCTTCCGCACAAATTGTGACTGCTGTTGCCATTATGAAGCCGCCGTCGATGAGGCTAACCTTTGATAGAGCCTCGTCGACGCAAAACCTGATGTCTTATCCTCAACACTGCCACAGTCACAGCCACTGGATCATCGTCTATTCAGACTCCTCACTCACTGACGCTCCTGTGACTTGGCGATAGATAGAACCGTTCCCGCAGATTTACAGTATATCTGCGGGACGAGCTCGGGCGTAATGCGGCAAGGCCAGGGCCACCAGCGACATCGGGCAATCCATCTTGAGGGTGAGGACAGAATAGAGAAAAGCTCTATAGGTCAAACAGGAAAGGCAGTTCCTACAGCACCCCCTGTATAGCTGGCTTCCACCAGCAGGGATCGAGTATGACATAATGTTGGCGTGACTGGGTTAGTCCGCTTTAGGACGACACTTCAGGGTCAACTCGGGGTGTATGAAATCTCTGTTTTTCTGTCCCAACTATGGTGTCTGTTCTAGTATATATAGATATTTACTAAGCGGGTGACATGTATGAGGGCATTTCCCCATCAATAAGGTTATTCCGTGAGTGTCTAAACATAGCCTGTTGTTTTCAATATATTGGTAATATATCGAGTTTCTGGATCCTCGTATATCAGCCCTCACTAGCGTGTCACGTGGTCAGTGTTTTATTGCACGCTAGTCAAACCTTGGCGCCAACACATAATCAATCAATGACCCTGTGGGGTCGGACCTCGAAAATTACCATGTTCGATGGCAGGATGGCGTAAATCAGCGCTGAGCTTTCATCGACATTTACAGAAATGCGAATCGCGGCTTGTCAACCGGAGATAAGGAGGACCCGGACTTCTCCATGATGTCACCAAAAGGGTCAACCGAGCGGCTCCGAATCCCTCCAACATGGAGGACACGGTATTCCACCCAAATGATTCAGGCACAAATAACTCGGTCTATTCGACCGGTCGTGGTCAGAGTGCTAACATGGTTGTTCAATTTTACTCTGGCCTAGATACTCAGAGCAACGAAAGCAAGTACAATTGTTAGAGCCTAATTTAGAGCAGACAAAACCTCAGCGATGCCGTTGTTAGTCACCCACTCACCGCACGTAGTTCCACAAGATGACCTTTCTACAGCCCGTTGCTTCTATTGACCTCATCCACAATGACCCGAGTCGCCTTGATCACCTCCAAACAGCCGGGCGCGTCCGAGTGACAGCATATGGTGACCGGATAAGCCTTGACTGGGAGGTCGATCACCTCACCGGTCACGGCGGTGGCCTTGCTCTCTTCGCACTGTTGTTTGACATGCGCTTTGAGGTCGTCCAAATCCCATGGCTTCTTTATGCGGTCCACTATTAAGGTACTGTCCGCGCGATACTTGACATCGGCGTAGTATTCTGCCCAAAATTCCAGCCCGGCTTCTAAGGCGGCCGTCTCCATATGTGTACCTGCAAGTCCGAAGACTTTGACACCTTTAGGCACGCCGGCCCAAACCGCACGTGCGATGTCCAGGTCGCGCACCATCATGCCGTAGAGTTTACCATGCGGCTTCACATGGTGCAGCGTGAGGCCCTGTCGTTGAAAAAACCCTTGCAGAGCGCTGACTTGGTATACTGTGTTGGCCGTGTGCTCCTCGAGCGAAAGATCCATCTCGCGCCGACCAAATCCTTGGATATCAGGCAGTCCCGGGTGTGCTCCTGCCAGAACGCCATGCAATTTGCATAGAGCGGCCGTTTTCGCCATAATGGAAGGATCTCCGGCGCTGGGAAGATGTTAGCTCATTCTAAGTGGTTTACATGAACTTCTTATCATCATACTGAAACCCACACGCCACGTTGGCATGGTCTATGAAGGGTAATATCTCTTCATCTGGGCCACACACAAATTTTCCATATGCCTCCCCCATGTCAACTTTGACGAAGATTTTGCGCCGATGCATCCGTGCGAGCCTGGATCTAGATCTTTCCTTCAAAGTCCTTCGGATGTGTTGGACGGCTTGGACGGCTTGGACGGAGATGAGATTCCCCTCGATGTTTTACGAGTCTGGATTTCACTGCAAATGACCAGTCTCCAAGTCAGTTGGACCGATGCTTGCCCCCGGCCGCACTGGTCCTCTTACCTCTACCGCAGCCTACTGAAATCGCGGCTTAGTCCTCATCTCTCCAGGTCCGAGCCCTGGTTGCTAGAAATGTTCCAAACACTTAAAAGCTAAAAACCATGGCATCAAAAATTTCGGAAGTCAATCCAGGGCTCCATACCCCGGATTAGGTATCAAGCTCTGCGCCGCTGTCTCGGAGCCGTTGTCCAATCGCATTGAGAGGAGCGATTCAGAACCCCTTGCCTCGCGCGGGCAGTATCAGCGACGAGGTAAAGCCATTGTCTGTATCAGTCGAGTGTCGACAGTCTACAATCCGGCGTGATCAGCCCACCAAGTGGCTCCATGGATACTGTTATTATTTCAGCTCAAGTCGTCTTGGTCGCCACGGAAGGAACAGTTTAAGCATTTTTGCAGACTTTGATATCTGACAATTGTTACTGAGTGACATTGATCTACGCGTGCGCTCAACCTGACCTCTATTGTCGAGGCTTGTTGTCCGACGAAAGGATCACACAGGTGTGCATCATACAGATTCTTAGAGTTCTCGGCAGCGAGTCTTGATCTTGCAATTTGAGCAAATTGCCAGCGCCCCCTTTTGCCGTCAAAGAGACATTTCCGAGGTTATTGCCGCCTGCCCCAATCCAGCCATGGGTTTCATCACACCGGCATGGGTTCCGAAACTGCCTGAGATCCCAGACACCTTGCCACTGAATGACTTTATCTTCGAGGAGGAGCACGGTCGGGCACCCATCGCCAGCTCTCTCGATCCTTACATTGACGGAGTGAGTGGTAAAAGTATTGGTCCTTTAGCCCTCAAAGAAAACGTTGACTGTCTGGCAAGAGCATTGGCGCGCGAGCTCGACTGGGGTGTCAATAAAGGCTCGGAGTTCTCCAAGGTTGCCGGGATTTTCGCCCTCAACACCATTGACGTCCCGGCAGTCAATGGGGCTATTCTGCGATTGAATGGAGTCTCAACCCCAGCGAATGCAGCTTACAATGCGACCGAGTTGGCTCATCAGCTCAAGACCTCCAAGGCGCAGGCTCTCTTTACGGTGAATCCGCTGCTAGACGTCGCACTCGCAGCTGCCAAGGCTGCCGGTGTGCGACAGTCGAGGGTATTCCTCTGCGAACTACCCCAGGACGACACGAACGCCTATCCTAATAACATCCGGACGATATCTCAGCTCATCGAACAGGGAAAGGCACTCCATCCCCTGGCCCAAGTCAAATGGAACCCCGGCCAAGGTGCTCGTCAGACGGCATTTTTATGCTATAGCAGTGGAACGAGTGGACAGCCCAAAGGTGTCATGATCTCGCATCGCAATGTGATTGCCAATGTCATCCAAATCGCCACATTTGAGTCACAGATGCGAGTCACCTTCGATGGCCCCAATTTCCGCGATGTGGTCCTTGGAATTCTTCCACAATCCCATATATATGGTCTCGTCGTCATCAGTCACGCGGCAACGTATCGGGGCGACTCCGTCATCATCCTTCCCAGTTATGACCTCGAGACATGCCTTCGAAGTATCCAAACACACAGTATCAGAACATTATTCGTGGTTCCTCCCATCATCAACAACATGGTTCAGAATCAGCTTCTCTGCCAAAAATATGACCTATCGAGTGTGAAAACGATTTTCAGTGGAGCGGCACCCCTGGGTGAGGAAACTATCAAGTGTCTGAAACAACAGTAAGCTGGTTGGGCGGTCCGTCAGGGCTACGGGACTACAGAGACATGTACAGTCGTGTGTAGTTCGGTGCCATCGGATTTGTGGTTTGGCAGCTCAGGCAATTTACTTCCTGGACACGTGGCAAAAGTCATGTCACCAGGAGGCAAAGAGATAACAACCTTTGACACGCCAGGAGAGCTGTTTGTTCAAGGTCCAACAGTGGCATTGGGCTATTTCATGAACGAGGATGCCACGAAAGAAACATTTGTGGACCATCCCGATGGCCGCTACATGCACACAGGGGACGAGGTCGTATTTCGCGAAGCCGCAAGCGGGAGCCAGCATATCTTCATCGTGGATCGCCTGAAGGAGTTGATCAAAGTCAATGTAAGACCGGCGTAGAATCAGTCTGCTGAGTAGATTTCCAATCTTCCACCTGGTTGCTGACATCGAATCAGGGCCACCAAGTTGCGCCTGCAGAGCTCGAAGCCTGTCTCCTCGAACACCCCGAGGTCGCTGATTGTGCTGTCATCTCCGTACCTGATGACCGCGCTGGTGAGGTCCCTAAAGCGTATATTGTCAAGGCCTCTTCTATTGCGACACCGGAGGGCGAGTTAAAAACCCAACTACAGACTTACATCACTAACAGGAAGGCGCGACACAAACGGCTCAAGGGAGGAATAGAGTTTATTGATATCATCCCAAAATCTGACAGTGGGAAGATACTGCGTCGTATCCTCCGAGACAAGGACCGCGCGGAGAGGAGACAAGGCTCGGTAACTGCCAAATTATAGTGATTGTGGTATTTGAGCGTACACAAATGGGAATTTCCATAGCGTTCGAGGGCTCATAGGCACCTCATCCCGTTCACGCGGTATGCATTACAGGCAATTCCAGATTCTTTGCAAAAGCTCTCCAAGCACAATCATGTTTCCGAACGCCGTCTACTCGTATCCATTGGTTGAAAGTTGAGGCTACTGGGCGATATACCGAAAGTTCCGGACCATACCATCGTAGGATTTACATGGTTTGCATTCACGGTGTTGGTATACCAAGATTGCTGGTTACTTTTACCTCCAGATAGAGGATCGTTTCGGAGGTCCACGACACGCAATATCAGGCCTGAATGAATGTCGACACCCTCTCGGTGCCAAGTTGAAGCGCGCGAGCCTTGCGGCAGGGGCACAGTGGCCCTGACTATGTTCCAATCACTACAACCGGCGTGCATGATTGGGTGTAGATGGCATTTCCCTCTTATCTTTGGTTTATAATAGGGGTTCTTGCTCTTCGAAGCTAATAATTCTTGATTCGTGAGGGAGCTGGCTTTGGAACTGACTCGAGCTTGGTTGGAGGGTCGGAGTCGAGGGGATTAATTTCCTGATAACGCTCGAGCCCTGTCGCGTGTCCTTCATCTTTGAACTTATCGACACAGCATGGAGTCCATGAAGGTGACAAAAGGATCTTCTCCCACGAAGCCAACCATGGATGAGCCCTTGGCTGAACGACATGAGCCGGTCGTCGAGTCCGAATATCAGGACTTGCGGCCTTCTTTGAAGACATGGGTTCTTCTCGTCGTAAGACCCTCCTTCTCCGGCCATTACATGATATTGATTCTCTCCAACAACAACATTTTCGATTGATACTGACCTTTGATACTGATACTGACATTGGAGCACAGTCAATCAACTTTACCTACATGGCCACGCTCATGGCCATCGTTGGCGTGGGTGTCTTCGCCAGTTCCATCACCGCCTACTTCAACGCGAGCGACAAGACCGTCTGGGTCGCGACCATCTTGAGCATTGCCCAGATCGCTCTGGGACCACCCCTAGCCCAAGCAGCCGACTTCTGGGGCCGCAAGTGGTTTCTGGTCGTTTGTTCGGCCTGTAGATTCATAGGTGCCGTGGTCATCTCGAGAGCGAAGAATATCGGCGTGTTACTGGTGGGGTTCGCGATCTTAAGCATCAGCTACTCAACCCAGGCTCTCTTGACCGCCGTGGCATCGGAGAACATCACCCGCCAGATGCAGCCCCTCGCGCAAGAGTCGCTTATCTTCGCCGGCTGCTCCGGCGGCGCTATCGGCCTGCTGATGGGTGGAAAGCTGCTTCAGCATGGCAACTTGCCCAATTACCGGATCTACTTCTACGTCCTGGCCGCGGTATACGGCGTCGCCACCCTAGGCTGTCTACTCTGCTACAATCCTCCACGGCGAGAGCTTCAGCTGCTCCCGCTCAAAGACAAGCTCCGGGGCCTAGATTGTGTCGGTTACGTACTGTTCAGTCCGTCGCTGGCACTATTCTGCATCGCCCTCGCCTGGGCTGAGAATCCATGGCCGTGGAGTAACTACTGGGTCCATACGCCGCTCATCATCTGCTTCGTGGCCATGGGACTGTTTATGCTGTATGAGTGGAAAGGCAGGAAAGATGGCATCTTCCACCACGGCATCGTGCGGAACCGCAACTTCGCGCTCTCCGCAATCGGTATCTGGGTGGAAGGATTCACCTTCTTCACCATCAACGTCTACTTGGGCTATGAGTTCCGTCTGTTCACTGGTGCGGACACACTGGTCTCCAACATTCCCACCGTCATCACCTTCGTCGGCTGTCTCTCCTTCAGCTTGTTGTTTGGGGCGTATTCCAGCAAGATGAAGTCCCTCCGGGCGCCCATCTTCATGGCCTTCGTCTTGCTCCTGATCTTCAACATCCTGATGATCGCCGTCACGGCTAGAACCTCCCGTAGCGCCATTATGGGATACTCCCTACGGCATCGTCGTCCCGCTCCTCGTGGTGGCGCTCCAATTCAGCCCCCCGGCGGAGCTTGTCTCCCTGGCATCCGGTCTCTTCATCGTCGTCCGTGCCGTGGGTAATGCTTGCGCCGTCGGAGTCAACACCGCCATCTTGTCCGGCGTTTTGTCAACAAACTTGGTGCCAAAGGTCGCCGCCGCGGTGGTGCCTCTAGGTTTCCCCGAGCCTTCATTGGCGAACTTGATTGGAGCGCTGTCTGGTACGAACGGGATGCTCCCGTCCGACGTGCCTGGTGCCAATCCCGAGATCGTCAGCGCTGCAATGAAGGCATTTATGGAAGCGTGCAGGATCGGTTTCAGAAACATTTGGATTGCCGGAACCGCTCTGACCGCGGTGGCCTGTTTTGGTAAGTTTTTGTGACTTCGCCCCATTCTAGTCGCATAGTGCCGCCTTTGACTAACCGCTTACTTCCCAGCAAGCTTCTTCATCTTCGACTCTAGAGAGGAATTCAGCCAAGGTATTGATGCCCCTGCCGAAGTCCATCTACACGGCCAAAACAAAGTCGGGAGCTTGAGAAAGTGGCCGAGCCCTGAAGTCGCCTCTGTGGGAACGAGTTTCCGACATGGTGGATCTGGTTCAGCTACTTTAGACTATTTAGTTCATAGGACGATGATACAAGATGCCGTTGTGCTTCCAACTTGCAGTTTCGCTTTTTTGCTCTGCCACGGTGAGAACGACTACGAACATCAAAGTGTTCTGGTACCTTCGACACCAGCGCTAGAAACCACTTCGATCAATGTGAGGTCTGTAAGAGCTACTAGAGAAAATACTTTAGATCTTCGATGAGCAACTACTAGTGATCTTAAGTGAAAACGGCTACGGCCTTAAGTAGAGATACTAACCTTGATTTAGCTCAACTAGACGGGATAGTATATGTCAGGAACGGACAAGGTATATACAGTCCCCCCTTTAGTGAGATAGGGAGTCTAGAATCTTCTATAGCGCCGCCAAGCTAGCGCCGAGACTCTAGTATATAAGAACTGCTCATCGCATGCGGGTCCCAGGGGAACCTCATGCTTTGAGCTTGCTACGACGGACACGTCAAGGTATCACTTGTAATTGAGAGATAGATCCAACATCGAGACTATTCAAATTACTCTACTAGTAGTCCTGCCTGTTAGCACGAGTGGTGCCTAACAGTATAAGGTATTTCTTATATTATAACTACTAGCGATATCTTGTTATATTGTTATATTGTTAAGACTATATTACTAGTTAAGTAGGCTTAAAATAATGCTAACTAGGTACTTCTAGATTAGATTATATCTCATTATATATAGAAAGGAGAAGAGACAGTATAAAGTAGGAAAAGAGACTATTTTTACATCCTGTGGTTCATTGGAGCTGGGGCTGTGGAGACTTTCCCTCCAACACCTAGTCCCTTCCAATGTGGCCCCTAACTATCACCTCGTCTCTCAGGTTGACTTAGCTTTTCCATGCATCACGCAAACCATGTGAGCGATGACAACCAGAAGCAGGTCCCCTTCAGATACAGTGAGGGAACTGTGCACCTATTCGAAAAACGACGGGTGCCTTCGACTGCACCACCCTGACGATGACCCCTCAAGGATCTGGAGAGAATGGTCCCTCTGAATTTCCTCTCTACCACGGGGAGGACGGTGTCCGGCTCCACAAGATCAAGTCTGACCTTCCCATTCTCACACTTTCTATGCATCCCAGCGACTCTACCCAACTTTCATGTCTGCACCGGACGCCGAGAGCCCTATCATTTGCTGTCTTTGATGAATTCCTGCTCCGGCTCCCTCTCTTGTTTGCCACTGACGGCTCGCCAATATCCGCTGCTAGTGGTAGAGGGGAGGAGTCAGGGAAAGAAGGATATTCCGTGAGGCCGTATCTCAGTTCAGCCTCTCAACCAGAGGCCAGCTGCCCAGCATTCTGCATAGCACTATCGACCACATCGTCGACATCTCGCTGAGAAGGGTACTGTGAAGAAGTCACATGCAGACTCTACGAAAGCAAAAATTAGGGGGATAATGAAAATTGGGACGCGGTAAGAGCACACACTGTATGAGACGGACGATCTTCTCGGTGATTTCTTGGAATTATCCTCTCGTTTCTTGGTCGAATCGCTTACTCTTTCGTCGCGGTGCTGATTAGCTGTAATCAATGTCTCGGACGAACCGCCACTCAACTCTACAAAATCAAAATGGGGCTTTTCAAAAGTCAGGCAGACCCGGTTTACCTCCTCGAGTCTGAATGCTGGCTCTTAGAATTCGAGGCTGTTGATCTTGATTCCCAGTATGAAGTTCGACACTCTCTTTCGAACGGCGGGCTCAATTTCCAGATGAATACGCATCCGGTTATCGACATCCCCTCCATATCTGTGAGTCTGGATATATGACTGAAGTCCGATAGGAGGAAGCCGTTAGTTGCGTGGAGCTGCACGCCGTCGAAGCCGGCCTGATCGAGATACTCGACAGCGCGAGCGAATGAATTCGCAAAGGCATCGATCTCGTCCTGAGAAGCCGCATACTCCAGAATCCTTGAGCTGCAAATGGCGTCGGGGTATGCAATCCCAAGAAAATATGCAGAATAGCAATTGATTGTGCGAAATAACTATCGCTCTACAAGGACTGTATAGTTAGTAATGAGACGACTATTATTAGACCATAGCTGCCAATTCGTAGGCCATGGTCGATGGTGAGGAGGCCTCGAATAATAAATTACTTCCTCGCGTTCTTACACGGTGCGATCACAGGCAATAGCCTCGTATATCATGTGACCATTCCTCCTATTTATTTAGCTTGGCACGGTTGAGCTTTTCAAAATGGACAAATCGGAGTCCAAAGTTGATTCTGCTCGTCTTCCTCTGAAACCAACGCATATTTCTACATGATGTGAAATTAAGGCTTTCATCTGTATAGTCGGCCCTCAAGACCTCTCCAAAGAGCTGTTTCTTCCCGGTTATGAACACCGCATCCAACACCAGATGCTCACTGCCCAACCTTGAAGTTGCTAGACTAATGCTGTCATTCCTCGCTCGGCATCCGCCGCGGACACGGGTTGCTCACCTGAGCAAGATTGAATTTGATAATGGGCGATCTGCCATTCAGTTCAAGCCCCGTGGTGACCGATATCTTGTTGTCAATTCTCTCCCCGCGGATGAGCGTGATCCCCCCCAGGCAGCAGACGGTCCGACTCCTCCAAACTGTGCTCTTGCCCCTCCACTTCACTGGCACTCTCAACAAGAGGAGATCTTCCATGTCCTCGACGGCGATGCTCTCTTCTATTTGAATGGCAAGAGACATATCGCACAGCAAGGCGACGTGGTGACCATTCCAAAGCAAGCTTTTCATACCTTTCGAAACGCGAGCAAGACGCATAGTTTGTTGATTGAGTTCGTTCTACAGCCGGAGAACAAGGATCGTGACGAATGCTTTTTCAGTAAGAATCCTTCCGTCCATATCAGCCCGGTAGATGCTGATAGAAATGGCGAAGGAAATACGCAAACTTATCGCGATGACTGCCGCAAGGCCGGGCTGCCGAGAAGTATGTTCCAGGTTCTCATGTTCAACCGTCGGGGCAACGTTGTCCTTGCTCTCCCTGGGCCGAAGTTCGTGGCGAGGCTCGCTGGACTTCTACTCAACTTCTTTGGGTCTGTAATTGGAAAGCACCTCCTGGGTTACTCAGATTCATATCCTGAATATTACAGCAAACGGCCTTAAGAGGCATCATGGGCATGATTAGGATCCAATACACACCGCAACACTCACATTATTGGCCACCAACCGGTGACTGGCTGACACGAATCACTCCTTGATAATAATATGCCACGGAATCTCATTCCATTCGGGTCGCCCCTAAGATTCTTTGCAACGAAACTGCCTATTTGTCTCTAGCAAGGTGTGAATATATCGCCATTTCGCGGTGTCAGAGAACCACAGGAGGACTTTCGTTATATCCAAGAGGCCTTGTTCTTCTCGGCCCACTCCCTGAATCGTATCGGCTTCTGTCCGCTCAGTCGTTCGACCTCACCATTATCTGAACGTGCCTCCAGATTATTCGCAAACTCGATCTCCATCTCCACCAGGCCCTCGACGACACTAGAAGGTGCGAGCGCCTCCATTCGAGCTCGGAACACATCTAATGCAACGCGCACATGCCTGATTGTCTTTCCCGTAATATCGCCGATGATTTGGGCCACCTGCGGGAAGGAGAAGGTCAGCAAAGAGATTCATGAAAGTCAAACAGCAGCATGCCATACATCATCATAGCTGAGGAGCTCGGGCCCGACCAGGATTGGGTCAATGTAGTTCAGACGTTCATCCGTCAATGCCTTGAAGGCCACAGCGCCGACATCATCGGTCGATATCCAAGACACCTTGCCGTCTTCGGTTGCTGACGCCATTTCACCAATTCTTTTGATTGATGAGAACTTGGGATGCGTAAAGTTCTCTGTCGGCGATAATCAGAAAGATGATCACTAGAGAGTACCGTCAACTTCAACATACCCATGAACCAAGTTGGCCTCAGTACGACATAATCCACCGGAAGCTCCGTCAAATATTGGTGGACCGCGCCAGTGACGCGCTCTCCGAGTTCTGCATTACTCATGCTGAGTGCGACGAAGCGGGCTACCCCCTTCATCCGTGCGAAGTCGATAAAATCACGGACGGGTTGCGCGTTGAGGTCAGTCACCGCGAGACCAAGCACGAGGTATACCGCCTTCACATCTGAACTTTGTGAAAACGGTATTCCATAAGTGGCCTTATCATGCCAGTCAAAGCGACAACCCTTGTATGGCGTGGGAGCCGAACCGGAGCGTGACAACACCAGGAATGGTATCTTTGCATTGTGCAAACGCCGTGCGATGGAGGATCCCGTCCGTCCGTTGCCACCGGTCAGAAGTATGGTCATACTTTATACAAGAATGTGTCGGTAATTTGAGTGAGATACTGACCATGAACGGATTGATTTCTCTTCCATCTCGGACATTGCACATTCACGCATGCATTTATACCGCATGTTGTTGAACACCGGCGACATCCTGGCAGAAAGTGATGCCAGGGCTCATAAGCCACAACCGTAAGCCAACAGGGGCCACCCCTGATCAACCATCCTTCGGCAAGTCATTACTCCATGAAGACCCCACGCTCTTTGCGTCAATCCTTGACAACCGCCAGACGTTCTCCTATCCGAAAGGGTGATGGAAGAGGCACCATGTGACTAGGATGTTGTGTCCACCCTCATCCTACCAGTCCAACCAGTCAGACATGAAGTCGAGCCACGAGTCTTCCTTAGAGTTGCAAGAGCCGACCTGGTCTACCGCTTCGGGAGGCTGAGACAGTCCACCGATTTCCTTATTCAGGAACGAATTGACCAACTCGAACGCGGTTTCCTCTTCGTTGGCAGAGTTCGAAAATTTGCCGGAGAGCGCGGTTGCCCTCGTTTCAACGGCTGTGAGAATGGTCTCCAGCCAGCCAACCAATGTCTCGGCCTGGAGGATCTTCTCCTGTTCTGATTGGATTTTTAGATCAAGTAGCTGTGCGCGGAATGCCGAGATGAAGCCGATCGTGGAAGGGGTGTGTGCGCTCACGGATCTCGTCGACTGGATCAGAGTGGCTGAGATCTCGAGCCAAGGCAGGATGAAGAGAGTGGTGATCAGATGTGCCCACTCCACTATGCATAGCTCCACGAGATGGGAAGATCCTTGCGCAAGAATCTGAGTCAAGACTGCTTGACATGCTTCCAATCCGATCTCAATCGCAAGAGAGCCGGGCTGTCTGAGAGCTTTTGACTTGAGAAAAGTGTACGCTGTGACAAAGTGGTATGTTGGAGCCAACATGTCTTGTGTGGATGAGGACATGCCTTTGGCTCTCCACCCACACAATGAGTCCCTCAAATTCTGCAGCCCTCCAAAGCATCGCGCATCATCCTTGGAGCTCCTCATCCATTTTTGGTGCTGACTTGCGATGACCATCAATTCAAGAATTACGGGAGCATCCTCGTCGAAGGGAAACTCTCGTGCCGTCGCCAATACGTGCGCGGCCCCTAATAAGCTCTGAGGGCATTGCATCGTCTCCGGCCGGTCGAAACCCAGAGCGTTGCCACCGACATTGAGGTAGTAACACTGGAGAAAGACCCGAGCTCGGTCGGTAATTTGGGGCGTCTTTACGAGTGCTGCAGTATCACAAGCGAACAGTCGTGGCAAAAAAAGATCCGCGGCCATGCCATTGGCCAGTTGCATAAATTGGTAGAATTGCTGCTTCTGAGAGTCAAACCGTTGGTGGTACCAGTTCAGATAGGTGAGTAGACTTTGGAAAATTTCCATCCTCTTCTCACCGTTGAAGATGACTCTGTCAGCGAATGCATGGAGGAATGCTCGGTCTGCTTGTCTTTGCACTTTGTGGTTGCTGCTACTGGCGGTTACAATTATGGATAACAGCAGCAGGGGTGACTCGTCCAGGAGCTGGGAAACGTTGATAGATCTTAGTCGGAATGCGAACGGAGCGGCTTCGGAAATTTCCTGGTACCGTTTCAGGAATCGTGTACATGCCTGCTCATCAAGAGTAGCCAACTCCTCGTAGCCATGGGAGTTGGACATTTCAACCTTCAAAGTAAGGAGCAGTAAGCGTCCAACGGATTGCGCTTTCAATAAATCATGCGCCACACCATTTTGCCGGTACCCTGCTTCTCCTCCCAGCTGGGAGGCAGGGGCATTCGGAGCGGGGCTGGATCTGGCAAGGCTCAGTGTGATTTGACCGATTCCTGGTCTCTCCTCAGTCGCTCGATATGTCTCCTCTGGATGTCTAGCGCTCTGCGATACATCTTTCCCTTGCCCAACAAATCGATATTGTTTCCTAGGACGGAATCAGCTCGTCACATACAGACTTTCTCTGCATACCTTCGTTGAGGGTTCCTCCGTTTTATGGCTTGATGCGGCACACAGCTGATTCCCAGTTCTTCGCACCTATCTTCATCAGATTTGGAACGTCCTGGTTCGGAGAAAATGCGCACCTCAAACACGAATGATCATTTGAAGAAGGCTCGCACCTCGACTTGCGAACACGACAGGCTTCACAGGCCTGTTCGCGTCGAGACTTCATCTCATCGAGCGCCCGACCTTGTTGCCATCGGATGGTGTTGACCGGAATGGACAAAGAGAGAAAAGGTGAAGTTCCGATGCGTCGGAAGCAGAAGATCTCCAATTATGGTTTAGACCGGGCACGCCAAGTCCACGCTACGGAACCTTAATTCTACTGGTTCTGTCACGTGACTGACATTCAGCAACTCCTGATTGGTCGAGTGATTCTTCAGGTACCTCTTCCGAGCCATCAAAAGCGACCCTGGAGTTCTCGAGGTTGTGAATCTCGATCTCCTAATTTTCAGTGTGCTTCTCTAGGGCAAAGCGACACTCGAAGTCCGTCAGCAATGCCAGCCATACCGTCTGCTATGTCCCTGCGAGTGCAATTGTCTAGATGCTGTAAGTGTTCCACGCCTCCAGCATCGGTCTGGTACAGGACTAAACCCTGAAGGGCGACCAGAATCGGTGTACTCTCCGTCATATCGATCGAGCCAAAAGCTGCTTCTCACAAGTAGGGCGGGGTCCCTGTGGCCAATATATTCACCAATTTCGCAAGCTCGGTATGTTTACAGTCAACACTCGGGCATAGGGAGAGCTCTATCTTATTCTGAAAATAGGCTCTCTACCAACAAATCGACAGCCCGAGCTCAGATACAACCGGTTGCAGCCAGTCAAAGTGCAGACATCCTTGCCTCGCAGCGTCATCACCGGCCCATCAGCCCTCACCTTTCCATCTACCGGCCTCAAATCACATGGGTTTGCGGTGCGATCATGCGGAATGCCGCGATCGCCATCACCATACCTATTTATGCATTTGGAGCAGCGTACTTCGCCTCACCACTATTTGGTTGGCATCTTGACACTGCAAGTATGGTGGAGTGGTTTGGAAGCTTGTCTGTCGGATCCAGGGTGGCGGTGAAGAGCGTCTTTGCTTTTCCGTTTGTGTTCCACATCTTGCATGGACTGAGGCATTTGATTTGGGACACAGGAGCGATGCTCACGAATAGACAAGTGCAGATCACAGGATGGGCGACCGTGGTCGGTAGCGTCCTTGGGACTATCGGCCTGGTGATGTGGTAGATGATGCGAGCGAATCCGAGTGTACAAGAAAACTGCAAGATCTCGAGAGGGCTTCATGTGAAATACGAGCATTATTGCAGACACCAATAGTACTCAACATACCTTGCTTGCGACAACTAGATCTCATTCCTCCCCTTCGGGTTTGTCCTCCGCTAATGGCTTTGTCTGGTCTACCTTGTGTCTTCGTTCTCTGGTGTCGCAACCAAGCCAAAGCAGGTCCGGCCGGCTATAATGACCAACAATATCCAGGAAACTGCGAGCCATAATATTCATGTTTGTGTCAATGTCAGCAACCACCAGGCCCTCCTCTGTAGGCTTCAGGTATTTCGACATGAGGCGACCATCTGGTCCAACGACTGCGGAGTAGCCACCACCTGGAGTCGACATGAGCATCGATCCTTCTGTCGACATCGCGTCGATCCCCTTCTGGCCGATGATAGTAGTAGAGTGAAGGACGAATGTTTGGGTTTCAATCGCGTAGGTCTGGGACAGGCAAAGGCAACCTCCAATCATGAGCATGGGTGGTTTGCACCGTCCAGGGAGATGGAGCTCACCTTCTTGAGACATCGAAAACAACTCTGGTCCAGCGTGTGGCGATAAGGGCGGCCACCCAGCCACGTGGATATCCTCACGCTGAGTGGCGGTGTGGTACTTCAGCAAGGGCTGGCAGTGCTCCCAACAGGCTAATGAGCCAACCCGCTTTCCGAGCTTGGTTGGGGACACGTTGATCAGGCTGTTCCCTGAGCTGTCTCCGAAAATAGTTCGTTCCATATGAGTCGGCTTGAGCTTTCGTCGAGCCACGAGGAGTCGGCCGTCTGAATCAATGAGCGCTTGCGCAATGTAAACTGAATTATTATCATTCTCCGAAAATCCTAAGGAGACAACAACTCCGTTCTTGGCAGCGCATTGTTGAATGGTCCGCATCTCATCCGAATCAACCGCCAAAGAATTTTGGATATATTTGGTCGACAGCACTGGGTCGACCGGTCTGCTCCTGGATGCACACGGTTGTCAAAATGCGAGGTGCGACCCCTCCGTTGATGTTACTGACCAGATCCAAGCCGGGTAGCCCGGTATGAATGCTTCAGAGAAGCCCACCAGTTTCGCGCCTTTCTGTGCTGCCTCAGTGATGATCGAGCAGGTCTTCCTGACAGATGCCTGTAGGTCTAGCCATTCGGGCTCATACTGAGCAACCGCAACCCTCAATGTTGACGCTGGGGCTGTACTTCCCATGTTCAGTATTCAACTTTCAAACTTCGACCTTGATAGACTTTCTCAGTACGTTTCGGTTGTACGTAGGACTGACTAATGTGAAAGATAGATTTAGAGCGCCTAGAGCGGTTTTAAATATTGTTTTGTGAGGCCTTGAAGCAGATGAGGCTAGCAGTGTGCCCCGCGCCCATGGCTTCCCGCTTCACAGCCAATACTTAGCTGGTGGTCAATAGGCTGGGCGAGATGGGGTCCTCCAGACCATGCGGCATTCTCCAGACCGAGAACTCCAGTGGCTCACGTCCAGCCTCAGGCTCGAACCGCCTGAGTTACCTGACTCCCGTATCGCGTTGCGGATGTTGTTACCCGCACAGGTGGATTCATGGATGCGGGGGTGGCACTCAGTACATCTTTGGCGATAAGAGGCACAATTGGCCGATAAGTCTCAGGCCGGAGATTTCCCTGTGAACCGGGGAGTCACCAGCGCGGGAATCATTCCGTTCCGGCTTCGCGTTGAATTGAGAAACCATCAATGCGAACGACCGTTGATGCTAAATAGCAGATTCATGCCAGGCGCCAAACAACTGCGAGACGGCCTGGCTCACACCACAGAGAGGTACAAGGCTGCGAACTGGGAAACTCATACTGCTCTCTTCAATGGACATGATGAAGGCCGCTCCTCTCCAAGTCACATGACAAGTGGTGGTAAACCCAAAAGAGCAACTGCCAACTTTGTCGTGGCTGGATCGTGTAGTCGCAGCTTTCGGCATCAAGGCCTGACAGTGGCGGAGATGGCGCCGACGACGGTCGCCCGCACTCTGACCTTCTTCCGCGGTTGAAATCTACGCGATGGTCCGGGTCCGCCTCTTCTGTGTCACGAAGTCGAGATGACTCTCTCGGGCCATCAATTCCACGATGGTCCCTCGCAAAACGGGCTAAGGATGAGATAAGACTTGTTGGAGATAAACGAGACGGTCTATCCCCTTTCCTTGCTGAACTACTCCGTAGGTCTGCAGTCGATCTTTGGCCTTCCACCATTCGTGTCGGGCAAAGGGTGTACGGCTCAGCCCTCAAGGACTAAAAGGGGCGCATAACACTCACTAGCCTTCTAAAAACACTGATTTAGAAGCAAGTATGTGTCCTATTCGCGTCGATGGGGACTACTGAGGCTCAGGCGGGCCGTCTGCATGTTAGCGCCATATTATTCTGGGCGGCCTCGAGGCTCTTATGGCCTGGCTTCCGAGCTATCCCAGTTTTGAAAGGTTTGCCGACCATCAGGTAGTATTGAACGGCTATGAAGGCCAGCGAGACTGACAAGAAGACTTTCAAATAACTGCAAGAGGCACTCCCACGCTTCGTGGGAGAAATGGGGCCAATTGTAGAATGCGGATGCCTTACATAACCTCAACCAATTGCGGTAGCCGGTAGAGCCTCGTGGATCGCTGGCATGGCAGGCCTTACCAACAGTCACTGAACTAAATTATGCTTCTGATTAGGGGACAATTTCTATATTTAATATCACTTCGCCAAAACGCTGCCTCCCGTTTCATTTTGGTAGCGATCATTATAGCTGCGTCGCTTGACTGGTGTGGTCGCCTTACTGCGTAACTGAGCCCCTCCTAGAGTGACTGGACATCATGCGTGCACGTTGTATAAGTATTACGACGCAGGTCCCCGCTGGAGATGGATTCGGCAGCAACCGCAACTGAAGTCTCGAGAGCCGGGCGAACCTCACTTGGCGCTTTTTGAATAATAATATCCTGTGCAAACAGTCCCCTCCAGGAGTCTCCCAAAGCCTGAATCAGTATGGAATTCGAGCAGCCACCTTCACATGCGGAGGCTCGCGAGAACGAGAAGAACCTCACCGAATATGCCGAAGACGCCGAGGAAGCTGTGATGAACATGATCCAGGATCATATGGTTGAGAACCTGAACGACCCGGACATCTGGCATCTGGTGAATGGCTTTATGGACCGGATGGTTCGGTTACTGAGCCATCTTGAAGACCTCCACGAAGAGACCAAGCCCCAAGAAATGGGAGACGAGCACGACGGACACGATGAAGACGATGAACATGGAGAACACGATGAACATGGAGAACACGGCCAGCAGGGGGAAGACCACAACGGCGACGCGGGGGATATACTCGACGAACTCCGGGACAGAGTAGACGGAGATGAGCATAATCAGGGCGATGAGTACGGCAACGATTACGGCGAGGAGGGCTACGGCGATGAAAGCTATGATCAGCAAGGTGAAGGCTACGAGCATCAGCATGACGGCTATGACAACGAACAATACAACCACGATCCAGATCAAGATCACTACGGTCACAACAACCACCAGAATTGCTGAGCAATAACATGATTTGAGGGAGTCGGGGATCCCAAAACGAGGGCACTAGCTGGAGTTGCGTCGGGTGTTGTTGGGTCAAGGTTGCACTGCGTTGTCTGCATCGTCTTCACCCTTTCATATGATATAGATTTCGGACGGCCGAGGGAAAGGCCCTAGGTGTGGAGCAGCCCGAACGAGACAATGAATATGTGAGAGTTATAACTTTGAACTTGACAGATCCTCCAGGAACATCAGCCCAGTGCCTTCTTTGCAACCGACGTATTCAGCATCCAGGTCTCCTGACTTCAGGACGCATAGTTCGACAAACAGTGAAAGTTTCCCATTGCTGTGCTTCCCGTCCTTGCCGTATAGCTCAAAGGTCTTCTGACGCAGCTTAACATGGTCCTTGAACGACCGGCCCGCCTGTTCGAAATGTGCCAGGTCGAGAAAGTACATTAATTGGTTCGCTTCGGCAGTCGCTTCGGTGGGAAAGCTCAGATCTTGCGATGGATCGATCTCTTTCACCTGAGAAGGGTCCGCATTCTCGTGCCCCACATGCATCGTAAATGAAACAACCCCATTCCGGTTTCTGGCCGTGTTGAGGTGGTTCATCCAGGATTTTGCGTACGGCCCGAGAACCTCCAACCATGATTCAAGTTCCTCTTTGTCGAAGTCCGGTCGTCTTTGTCCTTCGCGACAGAAGCATAGGTTGTCGGGAATCTTTGTCAGCTTAACTCGGCCCAGTTTGATCTCATTTGTGAAGGAGCTCTCGAGGTTGATGGCCTTCTTGTCAATGTCGGGTTTGGCTCTCGTCGTCGTGACCAGTGAAGTTGTAAAGGAGTCGGCAGGATCGGTGTGCTCATCTGGATTATCGTGCAATCGATGCCTGTAAACGCCCCAGTAGCCTTCATCCGAGCTGTCCTTGAGCCCAAGCATGGTGGCTAGCCCAGAAGTTTCAAGTTGGTTGGCTGCGAACATATACCGCGACTTGGGGACCGTCATGACCTCACGCCAAACACCAGCATCATCGGAAAGGTTGTCCCAAAAGCTCCTAAAAGCATCATCCTGTCTCCATGTGTCATATCTGCGGCAATCCTTCCAATAGGCAACAAAGGTTGTCGATCGTGGCCCTTTGCGAGGTGTCTCGTGACTTTCGTCCTGGAGATGGTCTACTCGATCTGCAGAGCTGTTCAACAGGTGATATAGCTTGAGGACCGTCTGCTTCTTTTCATCTGTGAGCTCATCGTGCTGTACACCGAAGAGAGCGTAGGTGAACAAGAGGCCTGATCCCTCGAGATTTGCAAGCCAAACCATGGTCGGATTGATACCAGATAATTCCGATGATTCTTCAAGAAGTGATGCACGCTGTGAATTGGGAGAGGAACCAACCTTCCAAAGTCGCCTGTTTTATCTCACTAGGCAGTCTACATCCCAACAGCTATGGTTCAGCCGTCGTGACACAGCATTGCTGGCAGAATCCTGTACCGTGTAATTGACCGCACCGGATAGGCTGGCAGCACAGCGAAACTCAAAAGCTCGTTCACCTTGCGGCTGTGAGCTATCCGCAGAATATACTTTTCGATGCCTGTTGGGCCATGGCCAATCATCGGACGCGAAGGATCTCCTGGCGGCAGCGTGGACCAGCGTGGTTGGCACTAAACGATTACAAGTCAGGTAATCTATCTAGAATGGGGAGGTCAATGTGAGGGGTCGAATGCGTCTAGAGCAGGCCGAGGAGAAGACGAAGTCAAATCAGACGACACGATTCTCCCCTTGCCAACTTTGGTCGACGCCCGAGCACAGGAGAAATACGAGCACACTCGGACATCCTTATCTATCGGAAATATACCGCACCCCCAGGTGGCTTTGGCCCATACGTGTCCAACGAGAATTGGCATCGTCGTGTCGAGGCCCGATGGTTCTGGCCCCGAGGACGACACGTTGGTGTAACTTCGCAACCACCTCACTTAATGGATACCAACAGCGACCAAGGTTGTGAATACGCATTGTTTGACCATGACAATGGAAACCGGTGAGTCAACACAACGGATCAGGGTCAAGATCGCCTGTGAAGAATGTCGAAAGAACAAGCGAAAGGTACAGCCTGGCATGACTCCTCGTACAAAGGTTTCTGGATACTTATCCCCGTTAGTGTGATGGCCAGAGGCCCACTTGCTTTCTGTGCACGAAGTCCGGGAGGGAGTGCCAATATGCCGCCGAAACCTCGAGAAAGTCGGTCGTGATCCCTCGGGACTGATGAGAATCTGCTTACCAATTCCCACAGACGGCGGCACTACGACGGCGACTTGATCCGCAACCTTGAGAATCAGATAAGGCTGTTAGAGTCGGCTCTACAGAGTCGAAGTGAAGGCATTAGTGAGGTGCAGGGGGGGCTGCACGAGACCATCTCGATGTCCCAGTGTGAGCAGTCCGGCGCGGAAGCCCAACGAATCGAAGAACGTGGATCGGTGGACGGCCCGCCTGCATTGTTGCTCAACACTACATCGGTGGACTCCAGATCCACTTCTGCCATGGAAGAATTAGCGTCCTTGATGCTTGAAATGGGCATCGAGGAGAAGGGTGAGCCCTCGTTCACCATTGCAGCTGGCAAGCGCATGCCTCCTGAGACCGAGCACCGGGAACCGCCATTGGAAGACGTGGTGAGCAATCATCCTGAACGACCGACCGAGCCACCCGTGCCACAAGTAAGTCAGCAGCTTCTCGAACACCTACTCGACTGTTTCATCGGTCACTTCAACGGCTACCATCAATTTGTGGATGCCAGAGACGTCGAGCGGTTGAAGCTGCAGGGCGTAGATGCGGGCGCCGTCGACAGTCGCTTCCGAAACGCGGCGCTGCTTGCCGTGGCCGCTCGCTTCTCAGATCGAGATGATGCGAAACAGATAGGGGCGACTTATTCTGTCCTCGCACAAAGCCTCCCATTTCACTCCATCAAACACCGCCCGAGTGATTTAGTGGTCCAAGGATTGGCCCTTCTGGCATGGCAAGAATTGGTGTTTGGCATCCCCAGCATGGCATACAACTATATCTGTATGATGGTCCTCTAAAGCGACAAGATCTACTGTGCTGACCAAAGCAGCCATGGCCACAGGCCATGTACTCTACCTTGGCCTGCATGTGACGGGCTTGATGAAGTCGACCGAGGCGATGCATGCCTGTAATGGTCTTTACGCACGCCGAATTAGATCCTTTTGGGCGTACTTTTCTGTCGATCGGTATGTGAACCTCCCGTGAGCCTATCCTACGTTTCGTATTCTGATTACGTTGGTAGACTTCTGACATCTAGATTTGGGATGAACTGTACGCTGCACTGGCAGAGGGTCCGACTCCCCCCTTTCAGAGATGTTGTTGATGGCAAGGAGACCTTGGAAGAAGCGGCACATGAGTCGTTCTGCCAGTTGTGGCATCTGTGGGATTCAGGGATGGACCAAGTGTAAGATTCATTCCTTGCACACCTGGATTGACTGACAACCTCAGTTATGCCTTTGGCTGGAGTCAGCTCACAAGTGGTGAGAGAGAAGCCCTCGTCCTGCGCTCACACGAGTCCTTGACAGAGTTTCACTCCAAGGTTGACGAGCGCTTGAGATTGCGCAAGGGGAACCTCCCTGACAGCGCTGTATGGTTCCAGATGGCCTATAACACGGCCTTGCTTCTGATTCACCGCCCGCTTCTCAACGAGCCGAGGGGTAGTTCAGCCGCTACCTTTGCCTTGAGGTCCACGACAGGAGCAGCTTCCACCATCTCAAGGATTATCCGGTCTTATCGTAGGAGTCGGAAATTTGGTAGCTTGTCGCCACAGGTTATTGACTATATCCTGAGTGCAGCAGTCATCCATCTGTTGAACGCGACCTCGGGGAAGACCGTGCTTGGTCGCCAAGCAGCAAGCGGTCTGCGTAGCTGTTCCGATGCCCTGACTGAGATCCACGAACGGTGGCCGGACATTGCAGCCAAAGCAATCCAGCAGATACAAGATTTGGCTCATCGATGGAAGGTTGTGTGGGCTCTGCCGGTCAGCCTTGCACATCCGCTCGGCCTGCAAAGGAATACCCCTGAAGTGGGCAGCCCTGGAGGAGTCAATAACCGTACCCCAGTCCCGGCTCAACCGTCAGTCATGAGTCCAATAGAAGGACACTCTCATCGTCCGAGTGCTTTAGCAGCACATATAGACAAGATGTGGGATCCCGAACAGGATCAATACCTCCTTCATCACTTCCAAGGAGAAGCTGATGATCAAGATTTCTGGGGGCCAGGGGAGAGCTACTGGGAGACCATGGTGGATGAGCACGAAAGGTCAACCCTCCTCAGTTGAAGCCGTAAGCTGGCTGTACAAGTGTGATAATACCACCAACAAATACCTGTCTCAAAGAGACAAAGAGATATATCTTCAGGTAAGTGTGTGCTCCTGAAGAGGTCCTTGTCACTGCCTGTACCCAGTACTGTCACCACCACCAAAATTATGAGCCAACAAGTATCACCGCGAGCAAAGATTACGCTCGCGTCCTCAACACTTCGCCAGCATGAGTTCCGAACACAGGCCCAGGCGAATGCCTGGTATCAACTGCAAAGCACGTTTCGCGAAATACCACCTTGGCATGTGCAGCGTCAAACGAGACCGGAACAACTTCGCTGCGGTCCCGGCCGTAGCCTCACAAAGTTCGTCAGACTCACACGAGACACAGCAAAGGTCAAAAGTCTAAGGGTTTGCACAAGCCATCAAACAGTTCAAGACTATCCGGATGATCGATTTATTCTCCAAGTGTGGATCATTGACACCCCAATGGACCATTCGGATAGTCGGTTGCCTTGAACCCAGAAAATGGAAGACGTCAGAGACTTGACTACATAACTTGGTGGAAACGACCTCGGCTCGCTTCCTTCGGTCGAGACGTGAGTCTCATGGTATAAAGACTCCATTGCGTAGGCATGCTTGGTTCAATTACGAACGCATAACAAGGCAATACTTCTCAACGTTGCCTCTTGGGAGGTGTTGAGCCGGACTCACTAGACTCAGCCGCCTTGGTGCTCAAGAACTGGACCGGCAATCTTGCACTCCAACTATGGCGCCCAAGCTGCTATCCGAAAACGTGACCGACAGGGAACAGTCCAACTCAAGACCAAAGCTCGCCATTGTCGCACCTTCGCCAACAGAAGGTGATCTATCAAATAGCGAGGACCGACACAGCTCGAAGAAGAGCCTGAAGGACATTGCAAAACAAGATCTCAACGAGGCTGCGAGGAGCAATCGATCTATGCTCGGCGATCCGGTGAGCTTGAAGGCAGAGACGGCGGATAGGGACCCCGTCAAGGATGATGGATTGGGCGGGCTTACAGACAAGAAAAAGAGGGATTCGAAGCTTTGAGTCGTGATGTGATGAGGGACTGTTCAGAATAGAGGTCAAGGGTGAAGCGGAGTCTCGATAGCTAGCGATATGTGCTGATGACTCGTGACGAGAGACAATACGTGGGGAATAGACCATCGGAGGTAGTTTGCATGAGGGTGCCTCTTTTTCTTCTATGATAATGAACATTAAATCAGGTTGAATTCGTGGACTACCCTGCCAGCCGGTCGCCACGTCGACAGATCGTTTGGCACGCAGGAGGCTAATCAGCAATCAAGGCGATACAGCAACATGACCGGCACTAGGCGACACGAGGAGGACATGACATTGATCGTCATCTAGGATTGCTTTTGCTGATGCTATGGCGAGGGATCAAATATTTGCACTCTGCTAGCGTTTCTGACCAACCACGCCATGATGAAAAACATAGTCACCTTGTTGGAACTCAGGCCACAAAGCAACCGCCAGCCGGATCCGTGCTCCGAGTAAATACTGACGGGTTGCCTTGGAATCATGCATTAAGCTACGCTCCTCCTGGGAATCTCCTAATACAATGCTGGGGTCTCGTTGGAGCATAATATTGTACTTCTTAGTCGGCCGAATGTCCGTGAGAATGGGTTCGTCGATCCCCGTCTAGACCTTTTTCAGGAGAACGACGAAGGTCGCTTTACGGCCCTCAACGTGGTCCAAGTATGCATCAAGCTCTTCATCTTCCTCGATCAGGTACGAGATTTCATGGCCAGTGGCGTCCTTTTCACTCCCATCAATGCGCTCTGGTTTGGCGTTGGGATATTTGGACGCAAGAAGAGCGTGCAGTTCCCGAACGGAACGCCCTGATAACGACCCCAGCCACATCTTGGTGTTGTTGTACATATTCGACTTTGGATGAGGTCGAATGTACACTGCGGTCATGGTAGACTCGGGTGGTTCAACGAGGTTGTCAGCGGCCTGAAGGAGGTTTGGATCGATTTGAAGCTCCGACAAATCGTTGTTTGCGGGCGCGGCTGGCAAATCGCTGAAAGGATTTGCAGGCATCGAAGGCGCGTACGGTGCGGAGACAACAGGCTTTTCCGCCGGAACAGGAGCGGCTCGGGTAGAGGGTTGGGCAGGTTGCTTTCGAAAGGTGCCCTTCTTCTTTGCACGATCGTCTCTAACACGCTTCATAACATCGCGACACAAAAGCTCCAGTGCAGCTTGCTTCTTCTCATTATCAGGATCTGCACTTCCAGGCGCCAATATTTCTTGCAAGAGAGGTGTCTCACTGATCCACCGGTCTTTCAGTGTCTTCCACATCTCGGGGCCCATTTCCAATTTGCTGGTGTAATGTTCCGAGTTGAGGATGTCGTAGAAGCCAGACCGAATTTGACGGCTTTGCTCTGGGTTGAGTCCAAGGACATTCTTCGATTCAAGGATGGTCAGTCGACGGCCCATGGTGCGTATGCGCTTCGTCACATCGGTACAAATGACATCGAGAGCGAGTTCCTTGCTTTGCATGTTGGTGTTATCGGTCCAAAGAACGGCTTGGAGAAGGGTATTCTCCCGAACCAAGCGATCTTTGGCCGCCTGCCATTTCTCTGCGCCGGCGACAGTCTTTTGCAGGATCTGTTCCTCTTCACAGATTGCTTGGAATTGATCTCGGACTGCGCGATATTGCTTGGTGTCCAAGGACAAGATTCCTCTGCTTTCCTCAAGCGTCGTCTCCGAAGGGAAGCGAGGGGCAAGCCCTTCAGGATCTGCAGGAAGACCGGCATACCCTTTAGTTCGACGTCTACGCTTCTTGGCTGCCCATCGTTCATCACTGATAGCTTGGAGCCGAGCCAGTCGGTCCTTCTGTCGCTCGACGAATTCTGGAGGAGGGTCGTCTGCAGCTGGGGCGGTCGTGGTCGGCTGGGTGAGGGTGCCTTCAAGAGCGGCTTCATTCTGTGCCACCTCGAGTAATTGAGCTTCGATCGAGGCCTCTTCGTCATCAGCAGGGGTTGGCTTCGCTCCATTTGGAATTCGCATCAACCAGCGATTCTTTGCTCGAAGTCTCATGAGCTCACGTTCCTTGATGTCATGGCCTTCAGAGTGCAGTACGGCAAGCATGTTGCGTTGACTGTAATTGTTCTCCCAGAGTTCTTTTACGCGATCAACCAAGTCTTCATCACGAAAGGCAGGCTTGCGCTTAGAAGGGAAATCCCATCTTTTGAATTGGGTTTGGAAAGCACGTTTGGACGGCGTGAATTGTAGATTGTCTCGCATGTGCTGCATGATTTCCTCAAGCGACTGTTCTCGATTAGCAATGGCCATGAGCAGTGTGCACCGAAAGACACGGACCTTGCGCTCTTGGATATAGAGCTGATAGCAGACATCTTTGTGGGGTTCCCAGTCGTAAACCTGCACATGCACATGTCAGTAATAATAATCAACAGAGCATGAGACCAAAATACCATCATGTCCTACGCGTTGCTCGACCGTATTGCAAAAGCGCGCTTCGAGATGCTGTGACGGAGTCGTAGTAAAGCTGCGCAGACATGAGTTGAGATGCACTTTTCAGTCGCGGTCTTGGCACTTGGCACTTGGCACTTGGCACTGGCCGATCACGTTACCGATCACGTGCCGTCTCGCGTCTCTCGGTCACCGGAAGAATTCTCGTCCCGAAGACGTTCCTGCTTCACCAATGACGGCTCCCTGCAAGAATCTCTCTTCTCTCTATGTACTACCTGGTATCTATCCCTGACCGCTGTAGCGTCTCTTCATTTGGTAGCCTTCCCCATGCCTGTTGTCTTTGGTGTCCTTGGGCCGATTTTGGTTCGCCATTCTTCGTCGATGCGCACCCTCTCACGTCGTGGTTTTGACCGCCAACGTGATTGCCATTCTTGTGTTGCCGTCTCCCATCTGTTGAGCTCCAGTGCGGTAAATGCAGCGGCGGCTTCTGCACTTTCCGTAACCCTCTCCATAGGGACTAGATGCCCACAGTCTAGGACTGTTTCCTGGACAGCGCCTTCTTCCCTTCCACCACTTCCTCCAACTCCAGTCCCTGTAGTCTCGAGTTTCTTCTGCCTCAGTGCAGGTGTTGCAAGCACAGAGTCCTTGCCAAATATGTAAAGGACAGGTGGCTTCAATTCTGGAAGTCGGCGGAATATCTCGGCTGGCTCAGGTCGGTAGAAATCATAATCTTGCTCAACGTCCTGTGGGTGCATGTCTCCATATACCGAACGATCTGTATCGGGAGATCTTTCCGGATTTCCGTAGTATTTTGGTCTCAGATAAGAGAAGACCTCTTGGGGGACTGGGGTCTTCAATGTCACTGGTCGATCTTCCTGATTCACCTGATCTGGATAGAGTTCCGTGGGCAAATCTCGGAGACCATACTTGTTCCACTGAGCGAGTGCTCGAGGATCCCAAGCTTGATAGAATTTGCTGGCGGAGAACCGTTCGGCGGCGTCCTGTCTCGACGGCCATCTGTCTCTCCGGTAGGTCGATGACGGTGCAAATGCCTTACTAGGGTTCTCCGTCTGGATGACTGGATCCATCAACACGAGACCCCGTAGAAGGCCGGGATGCAGCAAGGAAAGTGCGGCACTGTTCAACATCAGCCAGGTTCATCTCCACCTTTAGGTATCCGCTTACAGTTGGGAGGCACCCATGCTGTGGCCAATCCCAAACAAAGGCTGTGGCATTAGATTCTGCTTCTGATTGATGAGGTAAAGCATATCTCGAGCGCCATCCCACCAGTTTGCTGTAGGAGTCAGTAGGCACTCAGCTGGCGTGGGGGTGACAGTACGATCGTTCCCCAAAGACTTCTCATTGATGACACCACTCTCTCCTTGGTGAGCCAAGTCGGCTATCCAGATCGATGAAAGCCTCCTTCCTCGCCTCAAAAGTGCATCGTACAGATCGTCCCAAAGCGGCTCGTACAACTCCTACATTCTGTCAGCTTGTTGAGCTGGAGAGCATCCCAGCCGTGCCAACCTTAGGAAAGCCGTTGGCATGAGCCCCAATAAAGGCAGTGTCGCCTGGCCTGGGGTTCAAATTATCCTTTGGAACGTACTGCTTGACTGCAAGCTTCAGAGCATTCTCACGCCCAATTTCAGTGCCTCTCGGCCAATGTCGAGTGTGCTGCGCAGGAACGATGTGTTCGTGGACCAAGAAATGCGACGTGCTTCGTCGAGCCGAGGCGGAGGAAAAGTGCTTCAAATTCGACCTGGCATTGGCATGTGTTAAGCTTCTCGCAAGAGTAGTACTGAGCTTCATTTCATACTCCCACCGCCTCTAATCGTGCAGTATGAAATGCTCCATGGTCAGGTCTTATTGATGAAAGGAAACATCGCGAGCTGGCATTGATGACCGGCCCTCAAAGTTCGGACCAAGCTCGGCAACACCGTACACTCTAGTCTTTCATTGGTACGGTCGACTATGTATTCATTCGGCTGCTGAAACTCGTGGTCCGAAAGCGCATTCAACTCTAGGTCTTTTGACAGAGAGTACCTCTTTCATTTCTGATTTGAGGTAATCCGATTCCGATTCGGCGTCAGAGGATTGGCCATCTAACTTTCTAAGCTGACTGGTCGATGTGACATTGAATCGGGTCAAGCGTGGCACGGTTTGAGCTTCAACATCCACTTCAAGTCATCGACACTGTGACCGAGATGTGTCACCTCGCCAACATTCGAGCTGAAGAATCTTTCATTCAACCAGAACGCCCGGGAAGCTTGGGCTGATAGTCTTCTGGAGCTCATGTATACGAACGTGGTATCATCAAACCGTTCCGAAGTCAGCCCTGCTCCCATTGGTACCGAAGGCGATTGGCATTCAGCCTCGTGCGCGCAACATTCCATCGATGGCAGATGACGGGTCTGAGGCTCAGTCCTCCGATCGCGCTCCTAGCGCCAGCAAAAGCGATGGTATATCACGGAAGAGAAGACGGACTGCTCATGCTGTGGGCAATCATTCCCGGTTTTTAAAGTAGAGACTGACAATCTCTCCAGTGTGACAATTGCCGGAATCGAAAGACAAGGCAAGTTTTCGGGTTTTAGATGCAGTCTATGCCTCTCATTGACCTGTGCTCAGATGCGATGGCCGAACGCCCAGTTGCACGACCTGCAAGGCTGCGAATATGGATTGCACATACGCCATGGAGGCCGTTGCGTATGTGTTGTTCCTTGTCGCCCGTTCCAAAGCCTACTAATTGAGTGACCATCAGGAAGGGCAAGAGTGATCTTATCCTCGCCGCGGTGCTGCGGATGGAGCGATTTCTTGAGCATATGGATGCCAAAATCGTGAGTTACAATCAAAGACCACCAAGGACCAAAGCCTTTTACTCAAGATGTCGCAGAACACCGCGCCTGAAGCGCTCTCCGCGCTTCGAGCGGCGAGCAGAGATATAAGCTCCCCAATAGCCCCCTATTCGATGTCATCAGGCCAGAGAGATAACGTCGAAGATCCATTCCACAACTGGCTACACAATGTTCAAAACGCGAGTCTGTCCCGGCTGCACACATCCTCCACGGAGTCTATTCTGGACTGGCCGCATTTCGATTCATATGCGCAAATCCGACATGGACAAAGTGTCTCCATATTCAATCTTGAGCAGGCTCGCCCTCCCATGTCTGGCAGCTGGCAAACGCCCATGCTCCCGTATGCAGATGCGGCCGAGATTGACAAAGTTATCGAAGCATTCCAGCGAAACATCAACTTTTGGTACCCTACCATGGCAAAGAGTATGATCGAGCCACTGAAACGCAAATTGTCAATGGGAGAATTTCGGACTGATTGTGATTCCTGCCTTGCTCTCTTGATGATGGCGCTGGGGTGTGCCTGTGAGGCAACGACTTCGGCATTTCAGGACGGCTCAGATTCAGCCCAGCTCGACCTCCTGCCACGGAGGCGCCGAATGGGCGACATGTATTTTGATTTTGCCATGAGCAGGATGCATATTGCGTATCAGGAAGTCAGCAGACCTGCATTGCACTGCCTCTTGTTCACGGCGTAGGTTCTCCGACACATGGGGTGCCAACACAATACTGACGGAATAGATTCTACTACGCATTCTCACAGAGACCTCTGCAAGCCTGGTCCTCCATCAATGCAACGGCCACCAAATGCCGCGTTCTACTCTCCTATCAGCCCGTCGGCACCACTTCAAGCGACGAAGAATGCATTCGACGGATTTTCTGGTCATGCTTCATCCTGGAAAGGTACGTTGCTCACTCTCGCTCTCGATCTGCCTCCTACGCGCAATCTGACGGTCTTCGCCTAGCGACTACCTCGCCGAGCTTTCCGCCCTCCCTCTCTCCGGCATCGCAGATATGGAGTCTTCCGTACCGCTCCCGGGGCAGTGCCACACGCACGACGACATCGGCGAAGGAGAACGATCCGCCCTGTACTTTCTAGCCTGCCTCTCCATCCGTCGGCTACTGAATCGCGTTCATCATCTTCTCTACAGCAAGGACACCGGCGCCAGCCTCGACGACCGCCGCTTTCCAGACATGGTCGCCGAGCTCGATCACCAACTCGAGGAGTGGCGCGAACTCCTGCCGCCTGCATTCCAATTCGTCCTTGATACCCAACCATCCCAAAACCAACAGGCTGGGTTCCTCCGGCAGAGATATCTGACGTGTCGGAGCGTGATCTACCGGCCGTACTTGATGTGGATGCTCGCCGCGCCGAGGTGGGTCGACCACGCGGTGCGGGAAATGTGCAAGAAGTGTCTCGACGCTTGCATTGAGCATATCCTCAATCTGAGGAGCTTCAGCCACACCGTCTTCGTGGACACGTGGATCTGTTCTTTGTCGTAAGCCAATCCTCCCCTCCGCCATGCTCGCCTGCGTTCGAACCACATTTGTCACGCTCGTTTCTTTCGCACACAAACTCTAACTCTTCCTCACCCACTGGGTGGGGTTTAGAATGGCAGCAGCTATGTTCATCCTGCTCGCGGGATACCGCGTGCCGGGCGTGAAACCTCAGATACGGCCCGAAGCTACGATACTAGGCCGACACCTCAAGGGGCTCCTGGCCAGATGGGCCGCCATCCCTGGCGACAGCCGTTCACCGAGTGTAGCACAAGCTATTACGTGGATCGAAATTGCTGATGATCTGATCCAGAGCGAAGCCAATGGACTTTAGGGTGCGTGGCTATGAACAAGTCGGTCAATCCCGCGAAGATTGGCTTGTAGGTAGTACGACATGTACAATATAGTCTCCACCGGGGCTCCCATCCTGAACATCGTTGTGTTCAGATCACATCACTCTTCTGTCACGATCATTTACTGAAACTGCGCATCTTCATCACAGCCGCTCTTCTGACGAATGTCCTCGCCATGAGCAAAGAATGCATACTCCAACGCTTGTTTTCTATGGTAGATTCAAGCAAGCAACGGCTGCACAACAATCTCGAATTCCATCTCTTCACATTTGACCTGATCCACTTCATTTGTTCCTGGTCCGCAAGCACCGGTACCGACGCCAGCGACATCTGCATCCAGTCTGAAATGCACCAGATCATCCTTCTTCAGCTCCGGCTCGTGTCTGGTGCGCTCTAACCCCAGGGCTGAATATCTCGAGGCGGCCCACTGAAACAAACCGGGTGACCTCTTCGAGCCCGACAAGGAAGCCTTAAAGCCAACACCTCTCGCGTTGAGCATCTTGACCCATCGTGTATCAACCCGATTACCATTCTCCTGGGGGATATCGTATGGAGTATGCAAGTCCTCAATCGATGCTCGGTATATGCCGACCTTTTGTGAGGATTTCTTGTCGTTGTAGGCCTCCCCTGGTCCGAGGCCAAACCATTCTGCTCGATCCAAGGACTTGGACAATTTTAGGTCCCAGCCGACACGCGGTAAATTTGCTGGGAATGCACCTTTGGGATTGATGTGAGCTTTGACTGTGACATGACCGTTCCCCAGGATTTGGTACGTTGTTTCAACCAGGAAGCCCCACGCCAGAATAGGAGGGCCGATGTACGCAGTTGAGGTCAACCGGACCTCCCCCTCACTAATCCGATGGATCTCGAAAGTGCGATTTTGTACCGTAAGGGAATCCAGACCCCAGTGTTTCCAAGCGCCCGTTTGCCATGCGGTGTCATTGTCTGTTGGAGGACGCCAGAATCCAAGCTGAAACGGAGAACGAGATCCTCCATCATGATGCAGCAGTTCGTGACCGCCATATATCCAGGATTTGATATGACCGAAGCTGCGATCAAACTCCAGACTAAAAGCATCTGCCCCAATGATGAAGGTTCGGGGCAATGTGGCGACCTTCAGTTTGGGAACAACCACTGCACCTAGGTCCAAATCGGGTTCCCTGGGCTTCGCGGACATGCGGTGTTGGAACCAAGCAACCTCATGGCCAGCTTCGGCCCAGCTTGAAGCCTTCCTCATTTTGATGACAATGGTGAGCCAAGATTCGGCTGAATCTGGTGCATTATACTCAACAGCGTCTGAAGGGATACTGACTCTTCCGGTGGCGCCAGGCTCGACAGCAGGCAGATTGAGCTCCCCCGATAGAACCAAGGTGGCTCTTGGCTTTGTCAGTAATAAATCACCACATTCGACATCGACAGTTCACTTACCGATCATCAAGTGTTTCTAACTTGTAGTGAGCTGAATAATCCCTCAGGTCAGTGAAGTTGAAACCATTCTCGATGACAAGTGATTGATCTTGAGCATCTGCCCATATCCTGATCGGAGAGAAGACTTTTTCAAGTTCGATCAACCCAGGCGTTGGCGTATGGTTACTGTAGAGTAAACCATCCATCACGAAGGCCCCATCATTCGGGAAGTCATTGAAATCACCACCATATCCATAAATGTTCTTCCTAGGGTCTTGATCTGAAGACTTCAGCAAGCCATGATTCGCCCATTCCCAGATGAAGCCTCCTTGCAGCCTGGGATAATCCCGGAATACCGCTTGATAGTCCTCTAGGAGGCCTGGTCCATTTCCCATGGCATGAGCATACTCACAAAGAATGATAGGTTTCTTGAAGGAACCGTCCGCTGTAGTTCCAGTTTCTTTCGCGTGTGAGATAAGTCGTTTTACAGAGGGATACATGTATGAGTACATGTCGGCAGATAATGCTTCGGCATCACCCTCATAGTGGACTGGTCTGGAAGGGTCAACGCGTTTAGAATACTCGTACATCGCCTTATGGTTGCGCCCGTAGAACGCCTCATTCCCAAGTGACCAGATAATGACCGAAGTAAAGTTCTTGTCTCGTTGTATCAACTGAGTCATGCGGTCGACGTAGGCTGCTTCCCATTCTGGATTATCTGATGTAAACTCGGCAGCCTTGCTGAAGGTCAACCTCTTGCGTTGGTCATAGTCCATGTCCTCTGGAATGCTCAATGGCCTCGCAACGGCATCATAAAAGCCATGACATTCCAGGTCCGCTTCATCAAGTACCCACAACCCGATCTCGTCGCAGATGTTGTAAAGAGCCGGTTGAGAAGGATAGTGTGAGCACCGAACAGCATTGATGTTATGTCGCTTCATCAGTAAGAGGTCTCGCTTCATGTAATCGACAGGAACGGCACGGCCAAACTGTGGGTGGTGCTCGTGCCGATTTACACCTCTGAATAGCAGACGAGACCCATTCACCGTGAGGAGCCCGTTCTTGATCTCAACCTTGCGAAACCCAATTCGGTGTGTGATGGTCTGAACGCTTCTCCCATTTGAATCCAGTAGCGTAATCTGTACGGGGTATAAGACTGGTGTTTCTGCTGTCCATTTTGCGGGTTTCTTCACTGTAAAACTCTTTTTAGTGGTTGCTTCCCTGCTAGAAACGGTAAGCCGGTCGTAGATCAAGACATCATTTCCGCCTGGCGAGCGGACTTCAATCTCGACTGTTGAGTCTTCTTGAGACGTTAGATCTAATTGGATGCTCAAGAAACCGTCCACGTATGCGCTGTCAAGGTCTGTTTGAATAAAAAAGTCCTCAATGCGGGTTTTCGACGGGAAGGGGATTAGGTGCACATCTCTGAAAATTCCGGACAACCACCATTGATCTTGGTCCTCGATATAGGACCCGTCAGACCATTGATACACGCGAACCAAGACTTCATTCATCACATCTCGTTTCACCGAGGAAGTGATGTCGAACTCGGCAGGATTCCTACTGCCTTGAGAATAACCGACTTCATCGCCGTTGACGAAGAGATGAAAGGCGCTATCAACCCCATCAAACCTCAACCGTACTTGGGTATCAGGTCTCCAATCGAGCGGAATCCTAAATCTTTTCCGATAGGTTCCTGTGGGATTTTCCGTAGGGACGTGAGGAGGGTCAACGGGAAAGGGATATATGACATTCGTGTACTGAGGTCTCCCGTGTCCCTGCAACTGCCAGTGACCAGGCACGGTGATTTTCTGCCACTGGAACTCCGAGTCTACATTGATTTCGTCCCAGATCGGGGCTTGGGCAGGTGTCTTCGCATAATGGAAATCCCATTGACCATTGAGCAGCACCGATGCTTTAGGAATAAAGTAAGATCTTGCTGCAAGGCGATTTCTCCGGAAGACCTTGTGATTCTCAAAATCGGGTTGCTCTTGTTTGTCAGTATAGATATCTTTAGCCTCGGCAGAGCCTGAACTAGAAAGGGGTTCGAGTCTCATGGTGTCACCTGCTTGTGAGAGAAGTTTTGGAGGAGAAGTTCGAGATGAAAGGGGACAGCCATTCGCAGGAGGGAGGCCATGGACTTACTGAAGGATTCCATTTTGAGCTTTGCTCCTTGTATTCAGACCAAGACCTTCACCGTGTACCTTCTCCACAACGGACAACGACATCGATCAAGTCTCCGTTATCAGTGCATGACCCGTCAGCCTATTTGCTCGGCCGGTGACAAGCATCAGCTTTGTTGTGATTTCCCAAAGAGGCGTTATCCCGCTGCGAAGTTTGGAGAAGATGGAAGGCGGTCGTTCTTGCCTCGGTCCGCATTCCCCCGGAGGCAAGTACGGTTGGTGGTCACTGGTGGGTTGTGGCTACATACATGGCAGGAGCGAGGCAGCACCTCTGCATTGAGGGCAATCACCACTGACCAATAGGGAATAGTCAGTCACCTGCGAGTGTTCCCACCTCCTCCACCTCCATCTCCGCCTCCACCTCGCGCCCCAGAACCCCGGCCTTCTTTGCCATTATACATCGTCTAACCCATTCAAGAACCTTCTTGGAGCCCCTTCGCGGGTACCGGACTCCGGTGATACTGCGTCAAGAATCATAGTCTTCGCCCAAGGAAAGTCATCAGAGCTTCCACTCCGCATTCCCACTTTTCATGTGCCGATCTCCACTGGAGAATTACCCATGGTAGCTTGGAAGTCTATGAATTTATCAGGTCGCTTCTGCATCATACTGGTCTGGTTCCGGGGAATGATCCAATCTGGTTGGTCTCCGCAGGCCAGACCCTATGCTGCTCTGGTCTTTACCTGTTGAGGCTTTACGAGCTATGAGGATGTTGCCTGACCGGTAAAATGGACGTGTAGTAGATCATGATAAAAAGGTCCTACCTTCCATCCCCAGGCCAACCGTTTCATCTTCTCTCGGAACATCATTACACAGCAACTGTTCCATCTCGGGGGGCTCCAAGTCTCGTAGTTTGCCAACTGTCAGGCTCAATGGCATCCCACCTTGCGGACTCCCAGGTCGCACAGACAATCCATGAGAAAGTGAAAAATGCAGACCATAGCGAGTTCCCAGAGGATTTCAGGCAAGCCAGTCACGCTATTGAGCTTGCTGAAAATGTGGCCAAAGCAAAGTACAACCCACTGAGCCCTGCCTTGCTAAGACTATATGCCTGTTTGGCCATCCCCTATCTCTGTGGCTGCCTCAATGGATACGATGGGTCACTGATGGGAGGATTGAATGCAATGTCCACATACCAAAGATACTTCCACATGTACTCCCGCCGCTTCCATCTGTTGGTGTACGAGCTGATCTCCGTGTACAGGAAGACTGCCGGCTCAAGTACTGGCCTTGTCTTTGCAATGTACAACATCGGGTCCATCCCCGCGGTCTTCTTCACAGGGCCCGTGAACGATTATTTTGGCCGCCGTATTGGGATGTTCACCGGGGCGCTAATCATCATTCTCGGAACATGTATTCAAGCACCTTCCACAAATCGAGGCATGTTCCTAGCAGGTCGCTTTATCCTCGGCTTTGGCGTGTCATTCTGCTGTGTCTCTGCACCGTGCTACGTTTCCGAGATGGCCCATCCCCAATGGCGGGGCACATTGACAGGATTGTACAACTGTACTTGGTAAGTGACTTGACCCTCCTATTTTCGACACTTTGCTGAGCATCGTGTCAGGTACATCGGGTCGATCGCCGCGAGCTGGGTCGTTTACGGATCGTCAAAGATTTCGTCCACCTACGGATTCCGCATACCCATCTGGGGCCAACTCTTCTCCTCGGTCATTGTTGCGGTTGGAATCTGGTTCTTGCCCGAATCTCCCCGATGGCTGATGGCGCAAGACAGAGAAGACCATGCACGCACGGTGCTTACCAAGTATCACGGTGAGGGCGATAGGGAACATCCAATGGTCATCCTCCAGGTCCACGAAATGCGCCAGCAGATCAAGACCGATGCGTCCGACAAGAAATGGTGGGATTACCGTGATCTGTACAACCGCCATTCCGCTCGACGCCGGCTGGTTTGTGTCCTCGGCATGGCCTGCTTTGGACAACTCAGCGGTAATTCAGTAAGTCTGGTCTGGCTTTTCAGTCCCCCATGCTTCTTGTTCAAATCTGCACTGCACGTCTCCCTCCCCAGCAACTGACCACAGAAATAGGTGACATCGTACTACCTGCCGGTGATGCTTGAAAATGCAGGCATCACATCAGAGAGCACACAGCTGAAATTGAACGGCGTTTACCCTCTTATCTGCTTTGTGGCAGCCATCACTGGAGCGCGACTGACAGATCCCATTGGCCGTCGTCCATTGCTTCTATACACAACCATTGCGTGCTCTGTATGCTTCGCCATTATCACCGGGACGAGTAAAATCGCTACGGACAACCCTGACAACGACAGTGCTGCCAACGCGACCATCTTCGTCATCTACCTCTTCGGAGCTCTATTCTCTTTCGGCTGGACACCTCTTCAGTCGATGTACATTGCAGAGACCCTGGACACCGCCACGCGGGCCAAGGGCACTGCTGTCGGCAACCTGGCGTCTTCGATCAGCAGCACCGTCATCCAATATGCGTCCGGGCCGGCTTTCGAAGATATTAAATATTACTTCTACCTGGTGTTTGTCTTTTGGGACCTGATCGAGGTCACGGTGATGTACTTCTTCTTCCCGGAGACGAAAGAACGGACGTTGGAAGAGTTGGCAGAGGTGTTCGAGGCGCCGAATCCGGTCAAGAAATCCCTTGAGAAGCGCAATGCGGCAACCGTGCTGAATACACTGGATGTGCATACTGGATCGGAGGTCAAGGGCGTGGAAGCGAACGCTTAATCTTTTGGCTCGCGCGCATCCGAATGCTCGTGGACGGCTGGTCTTGGAGTCGGAAGGGTCATGTCCACCAGTTCAGCCAGAGTGATAACTTCTATTGAGTCATCGCTGCCTAGGTAGCCTCAGCTGCCGTTAACGAGTCACCAAAATGTGAGCCCAGTGGGAATGCAGCAAACGTGCAAATCATCCCTAGAGGCAGCTAGCCCGTCCCAAGACACATCCTCTCGTGATCGGTTGCTACGCAACATACAATATAACTTGTTTTCTGAGAAGGCCTTGCAAAGCTTTTTAGCCAAGAAATATATATGCTGTGCAATTCTGCAGATTGGTAGAGACACGACTTCCCCAAGGCTGCGGCAAGGCTGAGCGAAGCAAGGCGCATCGGAATCATGTGATGAGGATGTTCGACTAAGCCCAATCGGAACATTCTACGTCATTTGCGTGACTAGCGCCTTCCAGACAAGGAAAAAATGTTGGTCGCGCTGCAAGCGTTACTCGACCGTGTATTCGCGGTGAAGGAACTTATTCTTATAATACGATTGCTTCACCATGTCAACAGACCATCGTTGTGCTTGTCTTGGATAATGCTCACCCGAGCCATACACCCTTCATTCCTTACATATTCTGCACGTCAAATTCACCTTTCGGCCTTTCCCACCCATTTTGCAACGCTTCCCAAGAATCCCCATGCTTTTTGTTTCCGATTACACCGTACAATATCCTCCAGCTTCGTCACCATGGGCCATTCAAAGCCCGCGAATTCTCGCAAGGGACTCGGAAATCGTAGACCTGGTAAAAACCATGCGCCGAAGCCCGCACGAGCAACACAAGTCGCACCCCTGACGACGGTTGCGAGACCACCTAGTCCCTCAACACCAGATGTTTCCCAGGACACACCTCGATTCTCTGAGCTACAGGGCAAGAATCTCCTACATCCGACCATCCTTGAAACTTTGACAGATGACCTCCATTTCGACCATATGATGCCGGTCCAAGCGGCCACGCTGGAAATACTCCTGCAGGGAAAGGACTGTTTGGCGCAGGCAAAGACTGGAACTGGCAAGACGCTTGCTTTTCTACTTCCGGCGATCCAAACGATCATGAAGAACAGGACCTCATCGCGATTGTCTGCGCTCGTTCTGTGTCCTACAAGAGAACTTGCTCTGCAGACCGCTGTCGAAGCACAGAAGGTTCTGGGAAGGCTCCCACAAATCAAAGTTGCGACTGCGATTGGAGGAACGAACAAGAACAAGGAGTCAACAATCCTCCACGGGGGATGTGACATCCTTGTCGCAACTCCCGGCAGGCTATTGGATCACCTCAGCGAAGAATCGATTGTGGACTTGTTCGATGGCCTCCAGACCCTAGTACTTGACGAAGCAGACAGAATGGTCGACATGGGTTTCCTGCCAGACATGAAGAAGATATTAAGCTATCTTCCCAAACTCCCTCGACATACCATGCTTTTCTCTGCCACCATCGACGATCAACTCAGAAATGTGGGCCGCGTCTTTTTGAACAGCGAATATCAATTCGTCTCAACCATTCCGAAAGGCGAAGCAAATACTCACGAGCGCGTTGATCAATACCTAGTCTCAGTCCCTGGTTTCGTCGACCACGCTCCAGCTCTGACTTCCGCCGTGAAATCCGAACTGTCTCAATCAAAACCCTTCAAGGCCATCGTCTTCGCAACCACTGCAGCTCAGGCCGACTTCTATGGACAGCTGTTGGGATCCATTGACGGCCTCCCTCAGCAATTCGTTCTGCATTCTAGGCTGTCGCAGTCTCGGCGGACTAACATCACGAGCGAATTTCGACAAGCGACAAATGCAATCTGTGTGGCGACCGATGTCATTGCTCGTGGCATGGATTTCCCGGCTGTTACACACGTGTTCCAAGTAGGCGTCCCAATGGACAGGGAAACTTACATCCATCGCTTGGGCCGTACGGCACGCGCAGGTGCCGAAGGTCGTGGTATCCTTATCTTAAGCATGGTGGAGAAGGTGTTCCTAAGACAATTGAAAAATATCTCAGTGAAAGACTATCCAATTGAAGTGGATCTTCAGGACGCCCAGTCCGCATTAGCCAAAGTGGATCCCGAAATCAAACGCAAGGTATATCAAGCATGGTTGGGGTATCACAAGAGTTTCATAAGGTCTTTCGGATGGTCTGCGGAGGAGCTTGTCGGTGAGGCCAACAAGCTCGCGCTGGAAGGGCTTGGCTGCGCTGAGGTACCAGGCATGTACAAGAAAACCATCAATATGATGGGCTTGAAAGGAGTTCGGGGTCTGGTGGTCCTTCCGAATGCCCCTGGCTCAAATAACCCGGGACAACGAGGCGGTGGTGAAGGGCGCTTGAAGGGGAGAGCACCTGGCAGGGATTCATCCAACGTGAGGCGCAGCCATCGGACCGTGGAATAGGCCATCAGTGCGCCAGCTTGGTCTCGAGGTTTATGGGTCAGCAGAGTCCTTACCACCGATCTGCCATGTGAAACCGTTGGCCTGATTGTAAGTTCCGCCCAGACAGACGGAGCTACTATTTGCTTCTATTTCACATGAATTGGGATACTCACTAGCAAATATGAGTCCACCACCATCTTCGAACTACAGAAAGAGGAAGACAGCTCCCGCCGCTTTTGGAACGTTCGCCCGGGTCAGACAAGCTCTTGTTCCTACATACCGGCCAGGGTCAAATTTGACCTCGACCATTATTGTAACACTATCCTCCACTGACGATACATTGTTTGGACGCAAAGACTAGAAGTTATGAGCGAGTTTTGCGACGATTTTAGAACTGCACCCTTTCCTAGTATAGAGATAGAGAGACACCTACCATAGAATACATGGAGTCCTTTTCTGGACCCCTAATCTCTAGCCAAAAGCGAGGCCACGCAATTTAGACCACGACCATCCCTAGGGACTGCGAGGATATCTGGGTCTGTATCCGAGTAAAAGCAAGCACTGCTCCTATTTACTTACGAGTAGTCTTACCCCTCCCTCTCACCCACCTTGTGTATTAAGCACTGCGCTTCGCACTCCATCGTTCGCGAAGGGAACCACCGCGCCCTCCAGAGCTCTGGTGTGGAATCTCCTTGTCCTGGAACTGATGGGACGAAGTCCCGGCTGGATAAAGAAAGTGCTGTGTGTCAGTGGGTTTGAATCTCCACGCTCCCCGCCACTCTCCGGCTGTTGTACATTTACTCGTAGTCAAGGGGGCAAGGTATGCCGGGGACGCAAGGGTACACAACATATATGTGTTGAGTTGCTTAGTTGTTGTACATTTAACTAGGTAGCTAGTGAAGTAGGTAAGGTATGTAGTAGTAATTAGTCTGTATTCTCCATGGCTCGGGACTCCCTGTGGAGCAGCTGGACATGTCTTATAGCGGCTCGTCGTCACCCAGCCAAAAAAGGGTCCGGGTGGTTGTCACTCCCTCAATATCCCGCTTTCATACATTCAATCAATCAATCAATCGTGGTTATCTAGTATTTAATGATACAGAGCATAGTAGTTCAGTCGCCTGTCCATCCGTCCAGCTATCCCTTCATCCCTTCATCCCCTCACTCCCCTTCCCTTCCCACGTGACTAGCATATCCTTAGGTATAATGCCGGTACAGGAAGAAATGGAAGACCGTAAAAGGATTGAAGGAAAAGAAAATGAGAAGCCCTTCCTTCGCCGACGCTCAAAGCAGAAAAAAAAGTCCCCTAGATCGACAAAAAGAAACGCCAGGCCACACCCTATTCCGTGGGAATCTTGCGAGGGAGTCATGCAATAGAAGGCTATCGTCCAGACAATGATGCCACCACCGGTGGCGGGATATCCGTTTCTCTCATATGGTCCAGCTCCATCGTTCGTCATAACATCGTCAAGTTTGTCGTCATTAATCTGTCACTGAGGGATAAAAATCATTACCGGCCGTTGGGGCTGGTAAAGTGTGTAAGCAGTCTAGCAAACGCCGTGTCCGTGTTGAGAAGCCATCCCTATGCTTTGAGTGCACTGACTGCTTTGCTGACTTCTTCACCAGCAACCTTTTCCCATTTAGCCCTGCCTTCGAGATCAAGAGCTCCGAGATCGCCGATTTTGTCATACAGCATTCGTGATATATCACGGTTGATGTTTGTGTATTCATCCTTGGTGATTTTCTGGTCGTTGTAATGTGGCTTGAGAGCGGCGGCAACAAGCCTCTGTACATCTTCCTTTGCAGATAATGACATGTTTGCTCGAGTAGGAGAATTGTCCCTGGGGATTGGTTGAATAGGTGATGTTGATGTATTTAAAATTTGCGGAATCCGACTTCGGGGTCGAGGCTGTGCCAACGGCGTTACCGAAGGCTGCACAGACTTGGGCGGATTTGATCGAGGGGACGTTGCATCCAATACTTTCGGACTACTCGAGTCAGGGGAGTTAGGGCGTAGAGGGGAATATTCTGTCGAGGGGAAAACAGGCTGAATACTTGAAGAGAGGCCCGTTGGAGAGCCTGGGCGCAAGGCTGCAAGCGGAGGTGGGGTGGCAGAGGTTGCGCGTGGTGAAGAGTGATTAGACGGAAGTGGGGATAGAGCAGGGGAAGATGGGCGAGGTGAATTTTGCTCGGCCGGTGGGCTGCCAGCGGGGCGAGGAGACGGCCGGTGGTGACTGAGATTGTGAGTGCTCGAACTAGAATCTTCGACTTCCTGAAGAAGAGATTGAAGAAAGCTCGGCGCGCCGGATTCAATTATCGGCTGTCGTCGAGATGTAGGACTGGCGAGCCTCGAGGACGGCCGAGCCTGAGGGCGCGAGGCCATCGCTGAAGACACAGTCGGTTCGGCATTGTTTTGGCTAGACCGGCTTACCCTCCTTCTCTTAATGACAGGAGCAGACTGATCGTCAGTCTCGGTAGGGGAGGCAGTTCGAGACTTTCTTTTCTTGCGCGAAGAGTTAGGTTCATTCGATGAGGCTCGTGCTTGCTCGAAAGCATTCCACGCCAGTAATTCGTCAGCGTCCTCGGTCGGGGGCAGCGGTGATGATCTTAATGTCCGGTTCTGGGGTGTCGAATCACCACCTGGGCTGCTTGGTAGGTTGGGCTCCGTTTCTCTGAAACGATGTCCTGCCCCATTCAGCTCGGCAACTTGCATACGTCTCCGCCATGCTTCGTGTGTCTGTCGACTGGATTGGCTATGCTGTCGGTGACGTCGAAAGTAGGTGGCTGATGACTCGTCGTCCTCGTAAGGGAAATCCAGGTCAAGGTTGATACGACTCCAGACTGTCTGCCAGACTTGATTCCAACTCAGGTCGTTAGCAGTCTGGGTTCCACGTTGCCTGCGTTGTTGACCACGAGTGCGTCTGCGCGACAGCCGACTCGATCTGGTGGAGCGTGATCGAGGGTTGACCTCTCGGGCGGCTCTGCAGTTGTCACAGAACCAGGCTCCGTACGGCACCTCCTGTAAGTCGACACAATATGTGTGCCACAACTTTTGACATCCGTCGCAGTACATAAGTACATCTTCATTATCGTCCTCGCCACAGGCCTGGCACTGTTGTTCATCATCCTCCTCGTCAGGGATCTCGAGGAACATGGACGGGTCCAACTCGGCGACTTGGGTGCGCTCTTCGACAGGGTAGGAAGAAATGACATCGCCTATGACTATTAGTGTTATGCTTGGTGTCATATTGAGCGTGGAGCACTTACCGTTGATGGATTGCATTAGTTCCACTAGATGGAAGCTGGCCCGACATATTGGACAGCTATTGGCCCTTTCCACCCACGGAGTGAGGCACTCATTGTGAAGATAATGACCACAAGGCCGAAGGTGAGCGATCAGTTCATCCTGATTCGACTCGGTGGTGGGTGCTAGGGCAATATCTTGAGGATCTGCGGAATTGGGGTCGACGACGCTGGGGTCATGCTGGGGAGACTTGGCAAGGATAGTGGGCAGGGCTGAAACGCCACCATTGCCGGTGCTCAAGTCTCCTAAACAGACGATGCAGGTGTCTGACATATAGAGGTGCTGTCATACAGGTTTGGACGCACTGTTAGAGCCGAGAAATTCATGGAGGCAAGATCGATTGTTGGCTAGCATTGGGGTTGATGGGTGGAAGAGAGAAGGAAGATCGAGTGGAGTTCAGAGGCAAGTTGCGTTTTAAGCGGCTGCCATGGGGGGCAACTTTTCCGAGGCCTTCACGTGAGGACCTTAATGGTGAATCTTGGTTCGCTGGGGGAACCGGCAGGGTCCCACCCTGAATTCAAGCACATCAAGGTGCTGATGCAGAATGGAAGGAAGCCTGCTCGTTGCCTAGGGTATCAAGACAGCAGGTGAAAATGAAGACAGGAATGGAAGGATTGTGAAAAACTCAAACCTGATGTTCCTCTTGGAGACCGTGTGCCCAACTCGGTGGACACAGAGTACTCTCCAAGAGAGGCTACTATTGAGATGAAACTCTCTGGTCAAATGGCGGTGAATGCTCTAACTCGGTTTAGGAGGCCATAATACAACGCTAACCACGTAGAAACGGGTTCGTTGGAAGCCACCCGACAAGTCCTAAATAGAAGAGGTTGGCCGTCGAGATATCTAAGATGATGCATTCGGAGATGCGAAGGACGGTGACGGGGCCAGGATTATCCATGTGGGACTTGTTATCAGGTCACTGTGCATCGAAATAGAAAGAAGAGAAATGACGTCCCTAATGGCAGCGGGGTTAAAAGGAAGGAAATGGCACATCGGCAAGTAGACGCAGACGTTGAGAACAACGGTTCGATCATTCGATTGAGGTCTATCGGCTCGTCTCGGTCATGCGACAGGAACTGCTTTCGACGTGCGAAGGCTACCTGTGCTGTTCTTTGAGGCCGGTCTCAATGAGTATCCTTCTGTATTGAATTGCTAATTGGAGGGTTGGATCATAAGATCCCATGTTTGGTTGATTTTGAGAACTCCCGGCCCATGCTAATCCATCCTTTACACCTCGGCAATTTCTCTCAGTCGTCGAATCGTCGATCTTGTGGCAGCGGCAGCTGGGGTGCTAGATTGGGTCGATTGTTAGATATGGTCCCGTGGACAGCCATCCATCTCTCGACTTACGAAACTGTCCATGCGCCGCCAGCAACTGTCTTTCCGCAGCCCTTGCAGTTCCAGATTCCAACTGAGTGTCTCTTGACGCTGTTCTTTCCGCAGAAGGTGCAGATATATCGGGCGTGTTGGGTGATTTCCATCTTCTTGACTTGCTTTCGGAGGGAAGCACCATAACGAGTGCCGTATTTACCGGTCACACCGACCTCTGTGCAGCTGTTAGTCCTGATACGTGTCGTCGAGCAGAGACTGAGAGGCAAAGAACTCACTCTTCGTGCGTTTCGTCATGTTGGCGAGTCTGAACGAAGGGTATTGCGGAAACTGTGGTGTTGGTGTTGTTCTTCTGATCAACTCATGAAACTTTGTCAAGGGTCAACCGATTCAAGAAAGTGCGGTCTTGGCACTGGATTGGATGTTTGCTCGGTTTGCACCTGGGTATGCTTCACGTGAACCGCCAGCTACGCAAAACGGTTAGACCGGCCACGGCGGGCTGGGACGGGGGCTTGGGCTTGTGGGATAATCTTAGTGCTGATCTAATGGACGGATCTCCGGGCACATGCGAAGGTTCGCTAATAACGTCTGATGGAACTATAACGCTACGTTGATGTTGGATATCCTCAATCCTCAGCCAGTGCCCTGAAGTATCAAACTTTGCAATTTCGGGTCTGATGGAGGACACACAAGGTCAAGCCACATGTCATGCCACAACAACCTTTTTTAACTTAAGCAAGTATAATGTGCCGGAAGTAGTAGTTGCCGTTGTGGACGAGTATGTAGATGTTATGATTGTTACGATCAAAGCCGGTCCCCTGGTCCTCTAATCCCCTAACCCTCTAGGCCGTACGAGTACTCGTACTCAGTACTCCGTCGTTGGCATGTCACTATCCTCCCAATGCCCCCATCCATCCTTTGCCTGTCCTGCGTTGGGGCCGGACGTGCGTGTAACCAAAAATAACCAGGGCTTCCCCGCGCCCGCGTCCACCCATGTGCTCGTGCCTGTGCTTGTGCCCTCGGGCGTATATTTCGCCATGGCTTCCTGCACTCGCATCCCCTTTTGACGAAAGCCCGCCGCCCTTAAGCCGACCCCTAAAAGGCACCTCGTACTCCGTACTTTGCACAGAATCCCCCTAATCTTGACCCCCTTCCTCCCCGTTAGCTTCGGCCAGGTCCAAGCAAGCCCCAATCTTTAAATCATTCGCTAAGCCCATGCTTCATAGCCTCGAGGCTTAAAGCACGAGGGACTGCCTTTCCACTTTGAATCGCCGTAGGGCTCAGCTGTGCTTTCCCATTCCAGCTTGGCGACGCGCTACCCTTCCTAACGGACACTTTTCGTCTTCCTGATCCTCACACGTATTCAATTGTTTTTGCTGACACCTGTTGGGATTCAAACAGCTGACTCTATTGCTGCTGCTTCTCTTAAAGACGCCCTTTTTCCTCTCTTTTGGCTCTTCCTTTCTTCCTTACGAGAATTGGGTTTCTCTACTTTGCCAGCATTTGTTCCAAATAGCATTTACACTTCCAAAAGATGGCCAGCAAACGCCAATACGACATCATCCTGCTGGGCGCGACGGGCTACACAGGCAAGCTGACCGCCGAATACATCACGTCTAGCCTTCCTACAAACATCAAATGGGCTGTTGCAGGACGCAACCAGTCCAAACTCCAGTCTCTGGTCAATGACTTGAAGACATTGAACTCGACCCGTGCATCGCCCGACATCATCACTGTCGCCAATCTCACCACCCCTGAGTTGACCGCCATTGCCAAGAAGACGAGAGTCATCCTCAACACCATTGGTCCATTTTACCTGTACTCATCCCCCGTGGTCGAGGCTGCCGCACAATCTGGAACCCATTACCTGGACGTCACCGGTGAGACTCCCTGGGTCAAGGAGATCATTCTCAAGTATGAAGCGACCGCAAAGAAGACAGGTGCGATCATGATCCCCGAGATTGGCGTCGAATCCGCTCCATCCGACCTCGTCGCTTACATCGCCACCCGTCTCGTCCGCAAGGTCTGGGACTGCGGCGTTATGGACGTTGTGGCCTCGGTGCACGAGATGAAGTCCTCAGGACCCAGCGGCGGTACCCTTGCCACGGGACTCGGTCTACTCGACCACTACCCAACCCAGGAGATCACCCAGGCATTCAACGACCCCTTTATCCTCTCCCCAAGCCACTTGAAGCCATACACTAAGGACAATATCTACCCACGCAACCCAGAACCCAACACGTACATGCGCACTGGACTCCAGAAATTCACTGGCGTCTGGTCCTACCCACGCCTAGGTCACCTGACGACCTCACTGGCAGCCAAACCCAACCAAGCCATCGTGCACCGCTCCGCCGGCCTCAACCCGTACTTCTACGGCTTCAACTTTAGCTACGAGGAATACATGGCGGTCTCGAGCCCGTTCATCGGAATGTTGATCCACCTCGCCCTCTCGATCCTGAGCCTCCTGATCGCCTTCCCACCGACACGCGCGATCCTGAAGCTCTTCAACACCGTCAAACCCGGCCAAGGCCCCAGCAAGGAATCGACCAAGAACGACGTACTGGAGCTACGAGCCGTCGCCGTCGCCGAGCAGCTGGCCAAGCCTCCCCGCAAGGCCCTTGCCACCTTCCGCTACGAGGGCGGCTTCTACGAACTCACCGCGAAGCTGATCAGTGAGGCTGCCGTTGTTCTGCTCACCAAGGAGGAAGAGGTCAAGGCCAAGCATGGTGCCGGCTTCCTCACTCCTTCTTGTCTCGGCGATAACTATCTTGAGCGTCTCGACGCCGTCAACGTCAAGATCGGTGTCCAGCAGATCGGTGATGTTGGAAGCAAGTAGGCGAGCGGTGGTGTCAAAACGGACACGCGATGGAGGGGAAGGACTTCGAGGTGCAGCAAAGGCTGGCTATGATGCCGAGGTATGTGAAGAGAAAGAGAGGCACGCAACCGGGGGTTTTCTTACAATTTGATGAACATGACCTTTCTTACCCTCAAATAGTGGCAAGCAGCCGGGGGGGGCAAGCTAGACAGCAGAAGCAGGATGGGAAGAAATCGATAGATGTATACGTAGTAGTAAAAGGCAGTAAGAAGCAGTAAGAAGCAGTAAGAAGCAGTAAGTAAGCGGGAGTGAAAAGATGCTGGAGAAGGCAGGCAAATGGGATTCGGGGTCTTTTTATATGTTTTGGAAACATGACAGCTCGAGAATTGGTTCGATTCCAGTGTTGCTTCTCCCAATTTCTCTATCATTCCCCCTTTTCTCATTCCTTTTCTTTGACGCCACTGATTCAAGCCGTTTGTTCCTGATACGAGTACTACGTACCTACCTCCGTACCTCCGTATCTACCTGATCACAGTGCCATATCAGGCGGGAAACAATGTTCTAGAGGGTGGTCGGTCGGGGCAGAAAGTCACTTGGTCACATGGTACGACACGGAGGTGCATCTCACTCGAATTCAGACTTGGGGCCAGAAAAAACGGCCGGGCGTGATTGCCTACACGGTGGGAAGAAGAAAAGTCAAAGGATGGCAGGGGAAAAGAACTGCCTTCCCTACCTGTTTGGCCTGGCATACGCCCATGTAAACAATTCATATGAAGTAGGGTAGATAGTATATAGGGATATAACGCTATGTGTTCCGTCGAGAAGTGCCACGCACCGCACCGCACCCCATGTTGTTGTTGTTGGCAAGGCTTGTGAACGCGAGGGAGAAATGTAAAAGCACGCGAATTAGACGCCAGTTCAATCACTGGCGTAGATGTAGCTTCTGGGTGTGTCCGCTCAATCAAGCTTGATTCCATAAAGTGTGCGCAAGCAACCGCCGGTGAGACCGCCAGATTTTGATTCACACCAGCTTTTTGGTTCAGATATAGCTGACCTTGGTGCCCATACCGATCGTGGCCCGGACCTTGTCCCAGCTCTGGCCGACGATTCGGCGCGTTTTGTCCCTGATCTGTTTCTGGCTGAATGCCATGAAGAATGCGAGGAGGAAGAGGAAGAAACGGAGGAGAGAAGTGGGGTTTTTCGATAGTGTGCCGGCCATGCTGCGCGCCAGGTTCGACAAGGCGGCAAACAGTTGTCGTGCCTGCGCGAAGAGGGCGTTTTGGCTCGCAGCCTTGGGCTGCTTGCGTGCAGGTCGGCGAGGGGTCTGGGACGGGGGTGAGAGGTGTGTTCGGCTTATAGAGGTCGATGATGCAGGTGGTGATCGAGATGCTGGAGCAGTTGGTTCTGGTTTGGGAGGGATCTTGGTCAAGCGGGGACTAGCTTCTGGCGCGATCATTGGGGTCGCTTCAGGCTGCAGTGAACCATGAATGCTGCTGGGCCGCTCTTCTTCAATGCCATAGTCGACCTCACTACTGGTCCTCTGGTGTTTGATGGTATCCTGCTGTTGGGGCTGCCTTCTAGAGAGCCTTTCATCTTTGACCGGGGGTGCCAGGACCGGGGATTCTGGCTCAGCCTCGTCGAAGACTTCCTCTGCCGGCTCGAAGTTTTCCCTCCCCTCGCTGACCTCTTGCAGCTCTTGCAATGTTTGTGAGAAGGCCTCCCTGCGCTCTTCATCGAGGATGTCACTATTCGCAATGAAACTCTTTGCGTAATCCCAGTCTTCGTTTCGGGGAAGGACATGGAGCGTGAAGAGCTCGAGTATCTTGATTCGTGATGAGAGATCTTTGGGGGTGTTTGTTCCGTTCATCCCCGCTTGGCGGCCATTGCTGAGCGCATTATCGAGTTGAGTGGGCAAGTCCATGTCTGGATGCGAGGAGGACAAGTAGGTCTCAAGGCGAGCTTGATTTACTTTTTGATCGGGTGCCTGTCCGAGAAGCAGAGTGGACCTACAAGTGGGCGTCAGTACATAGAAGCAGTGGCAGAGGGAGCCACGTACAAGTTGTATACGACCTCGGCATCAACCGAGTCTTCGCGGCCCTGGTATCCATCCTTGACGACTTCATCCCAAATAGAACCACTCTGAACCAGTCTGACAAGATGACGATATTTTTCTTGACCAAAAGCCGCGCGACCTTCTTCAGCTCCAAGGCTGACTATCGAATTGAGCAGGGTGACGTATAAGCTCCAGATCTTGATGCGTTGGCTGGTCGATGCGGCCGCAATGGGTGCTTGTGCCGGACTGTCTCCTGGTCTAGTAGTCTCTGGAGGAGTCACTATCGGCTGCAGTGCCTCCAAGGCTTCTAGTAGTCGACGCGTGAGAAAGAGCTGTGAGGCATGTTTGTAGATTTTGGAGATTTCGGATGATGTCCGTTTGGATTGATTGAGGGAGGACACCGAGGATGAGAGGAGTTGTGAACTGGACTGGGAGTCGGAACCTATCGACATGTTGGTGATAGCTACATGCAGACAATCAATAACGGGCAATGAGAGGAATCAATGGTGAACAAGTGAAGCAGTGTGCTAGTGGTTCGAGAGAGGAGTCGGGGAACGGGAATAGAATGGATGAGCATGGGGTTGGGGAATGTCGAAAGCCGGTGACCAGTGACCACTTTGAAATCATTCGCTCCAACCTCGGCATTTTGCGCTGCCACGGGACTCAGTAAGCTCCGTGCGCAGCCTCGTTCAGCCTTGCGCAGCTTTTGCCTCGATGGTCTCTGGACTTCATCTTTCAATCTATAATAATACAGGCTCCTGATGTTGAATGACCAAAAACCTCTCCTCTTCTCATCTTTTCGCCAGGTCCAATATCCCCTCACGAGAGGCATTTGCTTGCAGCTTGTTACCGATCAAGTTCCACAGAGCAGCATCCTCCTCCCATCTTGGTAGCAATTCTCCCTTTCGTACCATCTTCGCAATCCGCTTCTGCTCATTTTCTTTCTTCTCCGCTGCGGCTTGAGCCTGGGATTCCTCACTCGGGTCATCTTCAAGCATGTCGAATATGTTGATGTTCTGAGACATTGACTTGAACTTCTTGGCTTCTGTCTTCCCAGCCTGGACTGATCGTGGTACAACTTCCTTGACTGCAAGCACGGGCTCGGTCTCCTTAGTTGCGGCAGTATCTGGGCGCATACCTGCTTCCCGTGGACTTGGTGCTTTGTTTGGAGTCGTGTCTTCTGAAGCAGTCGTTTGACCTGTCAATAAGGATTTGACTGTCTTGGCGGGAGACGTTATTGCAGCGGCCACGATCTGAGTGATTCCCGATCCACTGTCTTCCTGTCTCGGCAAGGCTGGGGTTGGTGTGACATTCTGGCTATCTTTGGCCACCGGAATTGTTTTTTCTGCTAATGATTTTGCCTGTTCAGCCAGCAAGCCGACATCTTGACCTTCTCGTTTCAATCTGGCCGACAGTTTGAGGCCGATCTTAGCGGTGACAAAACTATCGAATCCAGCTTCATGATAGTTGGCTGCAAACAGATATCGGTCGAACGCGGAGGGTAGGTGAAGCTGTGGTTTGCCCTCGGTCCGCAGCTCTTCCTCGACTGCCCTCAATGAGGTATTTGCCCATCGTTTACTTCCTATTGTGGCGAGATATTTGGTGTCGAGGATCATCGGAAAGAGGTCTTGGAGTTTGGTTCTAAACTCATCCACTGATTCAGGGAGATCTCCGATGAAGCACCGGTACATATTGACGACATCGGTCAGGCAATTATGACCAACGATAGCTCTAGATTGGCTCCTCAGCTGAGATTGTAAATCTTGGATGAATGCATCACAGTCCTTTGGTGCTTCGCCCTCGTCGAATGCAGATTGAACATAAGAGTGTGGTAACCTAGATATGTCGCCTCCCATAATAGCTTCCAAGATCCACCGGAATCCCACAGCGTTCGCGATCTCGCGTTCACGGGCGTCGGCTTTCAACTCCTGTTCATTTGGTTTTTGTTCGGAGGTTGGACTGGTCACTTGAATGAACTGGCCCATACCTTGGGTTTTGAGCTTGGGATAGTCACTGCGTACAATTTGATGGGTAAGTCGGATTTGATATCGATTGAGTACGGAAGGGATCGGGTCCTTGACACCTTCTGCTGGAATGTTGAGATAACCTTCTTGGTCATCTTTCGGCAGCGCCAGCCAGTGGTCGATGGATTGCTTGATGTACTCAATCAAAGGGGCATCTTCGTCTTTGAGAACCATGTCGGGAATATTAGATCTTGCCTTCTCAGCTTCGATCATTTGCTCGCGGACTTCTCGTTCTTCTTGGCGTGAAAGGTAGTGAACCCCTTGAGTGAGAGGGAGAGCCACATCGAAGCCATTTCGCATCAGGAATGATATGGCTATCATCATGTTAGCTGAAGCCCATCACGGAAACCCAGGCGGAGAGCTGCTCTTACCACCACTGTTGTAAGACCAGTCCCGTCGAAACACAGATTCCTTCAGGGCAGGTAAGGGACTGAGATTGAAGTTGTATGGCCGAGCGACATAACGGCCCTTCTCAGATTCTTCGGTGACAATAGTCAGGCCGACTTGGAGAATCTGGTAGATCTGAGCAGCCGATCTCAGTTCTTCATAAAGGTCTTGCAAGCCAAGCTTTCCAGAGCCTCCGCTAGAAGTTCTGCCAGCAACACCCGAGAATTCAAAATCAAAGGCGACGAAACGACTTTTGGCAACATGTTGGATGATGTTGACGGCGTCGAATGGAAAGCTACCGCTCGATACATTCATGGTGCACGGAACAGTGGGTGGACTTGCCACCTGTGGAACCAAGAAGGACTTGAAGGGAAGACATAAAAGTTTGCCTGGGAGACCAAACATGCGGGAAAGGAAAGTGCTCATCAAATATCAAGGGAGGGCCTTAAAGGAGTGATGGATTGTTTGTCATGGGAGGGACTAAGCGGGTGATGACATGTTGATGGTTGATAGGTGATTGTACAGCATGGAGTAAGGACTGGACATACGAGAAGGGGAATAGGGGACCATAGCTGACGACATGGCATTTTCGGTGGACCTTTTGGCATCACTATCCAGCTGATTGCCACAGGATGACCATGTGAATAGAATCAACCAGAATTCCGAGTGATAGATCAATCAAGGCATTCTCAATGCATGTCGCGTGCCCCCAGTCCCGTCTATCGGCTCCTGGTATGAGTCCAAGACTCCATACATATCACGTTGTTGGAGAAAACCAAGTCCTGTCATTTGTTTGGTGGTTTTGGTTGTGTGGGGGGAATTTCACAGGCGATTTGCCCCACGATCAATTCCATGTTGCAGTCCAATTCAACGGTGCAGGAAACAATTAAATTCATTACCCCGATACAACCACGGATCTACACAGCCTGCTTCGTGTGATCGTAGCCTCCTTTTGATGCTCGAGAGCATGGACTAAACCATTCTCCCGCCCAGCCCTCCACAACAGCCCTCTAGGAACCTCGCGGCCGGTATGGCGTCTTCACTATCCTTACTTCTCAAGAAGTCGAGCCTCGACGACCACGAACAACTCCTCGAGGCAAGCAACAGGGCCCTGAAGGCTTCCAGCTCCGACTCGCAGGCCCAACATGTCAAAGTCGTCGCACTCATTAAACTCGATCGCTACGAGGAAGCTGTGCAATTTGTCCAAGGAGCGGGAAAGTCATTGCAGAACGAGGTTGAATTAGAATACGCATATGCGCTTTACAAGACCGGGCAGTTGGAAGAGGCCGCGATCCTTGCATCCAAGATCCAGGGCAATCGAGGCGCCCAACACATTGAAGCGCAGGCGAGCTACCGGCTGGAGGATTGTCGGCGCACAGCCGATATTTACAAACGCATTCGTGGGCAACCGCACGACTCGGAGGAGTTTGATCTGAGGGTGAACCAAGGGGCGATCGATGCTCAAGCACAGTGGCTAGGGCTTGCAGACGCAAGCGCGATACCGAGACCCAGCAGGCAGGATTTAGATGCATTTGAGACGGCGTACAATGCGGCCTGCGGGAGTATTGCGAGAGGGGAGCTCGCGCAGGCGGAAATGCTACTGAAGCGGGCTAAAGAACTCTGCAAGCACTCGGAAGACCTCTCCGAACAACAGAAAGCCGACGAGCTGCTGCCGATCTCGGTGCAACAACTTTATGTGCTCCTATCGCTGGGCAAGTCTACTGAAGCGGGAGCGCTGGTCAACGAAATCAATGTTGCCAATGCCTCGGACCTGTCGACCAGGAAGATCGGTGAGAGCAACATCCTGATGGCCTCTTCATTGGACAATCCCTTCGCGGCACACAAGGCTTTCAACTCGGTCAAGGAAGTTCCCCATGACGACAGGCTATTTTCTTACCAGAGTGTTCCGCTGGAGTCGAATCAAACGGCGTTGGATCTCCAAAGCTTCAAGTTCGATGGTATCATCTCGGCCACGTCCAAAGTCATCAGTAAACACCGCGCACCCACATTGTCGAGTGCCGCAGTGCTGGCATCACAATTCAATGCCTCAGCACACGCCATGACCAAAACTGGCAAAGCAGCGATCAAGAGGATATTGCCAGAATTAGAGAAGCGGCCGAATGACGTGGGCTTAATTATCACTCTGGCACAATTGTACGTTTTGGTCGGAAACAACACATCGGCTGTCGAGCTGGTACAGACCTTTTTCGATCGCCTCGAGAAATCCGTGGCAGAAAATGAACAGGATATCCGATTCAATCCCGTCCTGGTCAGCCTGTTCATCAGCCTACTTAAGACGCGTGGCCAGCAGTCACAAATCAAGCAGGAACTCGCGAAAGCAGCTGGCTACTGGCGAAGCAAACCCAACCCTGCAACACAACTGCTCACCGCAGCGGGAATTTCATTACTGGAATCTCAGAAGGAGGAAGATCTGAAAGCCGCGTCTGAGATCTTCGATAAGCTCCGGGAACAACGACCGGACGACAAGGCGACCGTAGCGGGTTATGTAGCCTCTCACGCGGTCACCGGGGGAGACTCGAACACTCTGCAGGTGGAAGCGGGCAAGCTGACAGCAATATCTGAGCTGATTCGAAACATTGACGTGGACGGACTGGAAAAGGGCGGGATCCCACAATCGTCGAACGCACTGGCAATTGCACAGTTGAGGCGGGCGAAAAAACGTGGCGCTGCAGATGGCACGAGCTCGAAAGCCAAGCGAGTGCGCAAATCAAAACTGCCGAAAGACTACGATGCGAGCAAGAAGGTCGACCCCGAGAGATGGCTTCCGATGAAGGACCGAAGCTACTATCGAGCTCCTAAAGGCAAGAAGAAGGGAAAGCGTGGGGGTGGTGGTGACGACAAGACACAAGGCGGTGTGGTTAGTGAAGACCTGAACATCGATGCAAAGCCGGCGACTGTGGTAGCCGGTGGCGGTGGCGGCGGTGGCGGCGGCAGCAAAAAGAAAAAGGGTAAGGGAAAGAAGTGATGAGGTGCAGGATACGCCCTGACTAGTAACTAGTATGTGGCCGGCTCAGTGCAAGACACAAGAGGGATGATCAATATCGAGATTGCAAGACTATTGATCGGGTCGCATGTCGCCGCAAAAGCTAGAGAAGAAAGGGTGCATGCAAAAACGAAGAATATCCCATGTTTTCCTGCAGGCGATGCTTTCGAGATGATCTGATATCACACCAGCGGAGCGGCATCTGTAGCTAGAGTTTGTTGGTTAGTTTGTTGGTTAGTCTCATTGCGAGACGAGCCCTGAATCCCGCTGTCATCGTGCAGAATGCCGTACGAGTAACTCATCCACTGGGGCTCTCGCCTGTACGTGGAGTATCTACGGAGTACTCCGTACTGTCAATTAGAGCCAGGACGAGGTACAGTGCAGCGTGCGTGGGTGTTCTTCTGTGCTCCGTCGACAAGCCCATCGGGTCACCGGTACGCGATGCTGCTGATTCGCTGCCTTGCTGCACACATGGACCTGGATTAGGGTGCGCCAGCCAAGGGCGCGAGCCGGGAATAGAGGAACCCGAGATGCAGGCGGGCAGGTCTTCCAAGAATGATCCCTTACAATGTGACGGAGGTGTGCATTGATGAAGAACGGGGGACACCGCCGAGGTGGTTTAGGGTTGAGCGATGAGACGAGTAGACGACACACAGACCTCGGTGGTGACTGGTAGCCTGGACGAGTTGGATGTTCTTTGGTGAGACACGTCAAGAAAAGGTTCGGCGAGTAAAGTACTGAGTACTGCACGCTGCAGGTCCACGAGCCTGTTTCCTGGTTAAAGTTTTCCCACGCGACAGAGATACGGACTCCCTCGAAATCCGCACGTACCAGGCCTCAGGATATTGGCTCCAGGGCTCCCAAGGGCCAACTGCAAGTGCTTGCCGATTACCGGTGAGCTGGATAGAGAAGGACGGGGATGGTGGGATAATTGGCGGGCAGCCTCGGGAGGGAATTCAATGGTGCTGAACGTGTGGCGAATAGTGAGGGGTTTTGCGACCTTCAGGCCTCTTTAGGCCCCTCTAGGGGTCTTGCTCCTGACCTGTTATGAAAAAGCTGGCCGGGGGGTTGCTTGGAGGGGTGTTGGGTACGGATAAGTAGAGCACTAAGGGTGCGGTGCCTGTCGGCCGGGCGGTGTTCTGGTGTGGTGCGCCTTGGGGACCCCCAGGGAGATCTCGTAGTTAGTGGCACGGTACGCAGCATGTCTTTAGGCGTGAGGATCCCCCCATCGACCAGTCCTCGGCTGCTCGGTCTCCAACGCGCACAGACCTAAACCTAAGGCTCTGGTTACCACGTTGCGCGGATAAGGATGAGGATACTGAGGAGTCGAGGAGTGGTGTACTCAACTGCGGGCACCTCGGTGGGTTGGTAAAGATGGTAAGAGGCTGTCACTTGTGTTAGGTTGGGCGGTGCAATGTCCTCCTTATGCGCCGTGCAGTGTTGGTTGTTCTCGAGTCTTGCCCCGTCGACAGTCCACTTGATCAGCGGTGACTCTGAGAAACTCATGTCACCGCCAGTGTGTAACCCAATATTCACTCCGAGGCCTGCTTGTGGCCGATGCCTGTCAGTGTCAACGTCGAGGCGACAGTGCCACTGCCACTGCCACTGCCTTTTCCATTTCCATTTCCATGCCCACCCTGCGGCACCGCCGTTAGTCCATCAATATGCAAGTGCCGGTGCAGGTGCAGGTGTAAGTGCAAGGGCAGGTGCAGTGCATGATGGGTGCAGACGCAGGCAGCCTCTCCTCACTTCTCACTTCTGACTTCTCGCTTCCAATTTTCTCATTTTCCTGCCCTCACCTCTCATCCATCAGTGCTCACCCACTACAGTGTACCATTCATTATCCCTACCTCTATCCTCTCCCATCCACCCTGACCACGGACCACTCCCGGGTCCTTCGCTCCTCGTACCAGCAATAAGCCTCAGCCCGGTCCATCCCAGGTCCCACCGTCCCTCCACTCCTCGGGCTTCCCTTCTCGCTTCCTCGTGTCATGTCATGGCTTGCCATGTCCTCCTGGTCCCCTACCCTACCGAGGGAATCTCGAATCTGCAGGCTGCCTTTCCCACCGTCCGCCCGCCGCTCCCAAAGCCCTGGTTCTGCTGATGACAGCCCAATGTGACGAAATCCCATCCCATGCATGTCATTCGTCAACCCAAAATATTCCAATGGGTCGTGGCGACGCAGTCGGCAGACACCATATCCATCCTCACCACCTCCTTCCAGCATGGTTCTTTTCCACCTTCAGCTTCTGACTAAACCACTTGGTCTGCTCTGTCTACAACTGGACCGGCCGTTAACTTGATGGCTCTTCTAGTCTTCCCAGTTAGTCTGCTTCGCCCCTGAGCCAGACCAGGTACAAGCACGACCACGAGCACGAGCCCAGGGACTCTGCTTGCCAAATCGACCAGCCCTCTCACCGACCACTGACCACACCCATCTTCAATACCACGATCCCACCATCCACCGCTATTGGCACTTTGGCCACGTCCACCCCAACTTCCATCATGCCCACCCTCATAAATTGTCCATGCGACCACAAGAGGGCCTCACTGAAAAGCTCGGATGCTTCTCTGCCTCGTCACCTGCTCCTAGTTTCGCTCTTAAAACATGACACTCGTCCTCAAGCCTCCCGCAATGCTCCTGTCATCCATCGCTGTCTTGTCCCTTCCTGCTTCTCTATCCTTGCTTCCCAGCCAATGTGATTGACAACCGTTGAAGACTCCCTAAATATCCGGCATATATCACTTCCGCCGCCAACTCGTCCCCGACTTACTGCTCGATGGTCTTTGTAGAACTGGTGCTCTTGAAAAGTTGACCAGGTGACCCTTCTCACGGCGCACAGGAACCCAGCGCCTCTCTTCTCATGTACAGTCCCACCATTCAATCATCCTTCCAGCCCCCAAGACCATAGCCTATTGCAGCCCTCTCACCCTTCCTCTCTACTTTGCTTCTCCTGTCACCTACCTCGCATCGGTGCATCTGGGGTTGCCAGACATGGAGCTCGCGTGCTCTGAATTCACTGCCGTCAATGTTGGCTCCAATTTCGAACAACCAGAAGACATCACCGAATACTTCTCTCTACAAGCTCCACCAAACACAAACATATGGCGCAAACCATCAGCCTCGGACGACACAACCGCACCCATGGTGTTAAAGCGCCTACACCAATCCTTCATCCTCGCCGAGGTCACCGTCTCAGCTGACTTCGCCATGGAGTTCGATCAAGCTGGTCTGGTCATCTTCGCTGGCTCGCTGGCAGATTCGTCAACATCTAGATCGCCTATCATTCGTCGCAGTCCAAGGTACCCTAGAGGAGGACCTGTGACTCCTGCCACGGGGAAGTGGGCAAAGGCCGGTCTCGAGTTCACCGGAGGAGAACTCCACGCCGCCTCCGTGGTCGCCATATCGCCCTCAGGTGCTGACTGGTCGTCCTCGGCAAGGATGCCATCTCCATCCAGCATATTCGACCCTTACTCCTTGACAGCTCAATCTCTACGCATCAAATTTGAGCGCGTCGATGAATCGCTGTGGATTTGGTTTCAGGTTCCAAACCTCACATCATCTGAGAACACCGACACTTACTCTGGTCCCGGCTATGGCCGAGGACGAAGTCCTGAAGTGGTTGGCTCTGGCTGGAGGAAAATGCGCGAGATCATGGGATTTTTCGGTGGCATCGAGCAGAAAGGGAACGTCTGGGTCGGCTGCTATGCCAGCAGACCCATGAATTTCGAACCCAGTAATCACTGGGAAGAGGTCGATCAGCTCGTCGCCGAATTTGAGGACTTGGATATATTATAATATCGATCCACGACAATCTCGAGCAGCTGTGTTGATGGGGAAACGGAAGTATTGACTCAAAAGAAAGAGAGGTGCTGAAGAAGACGAATCTTCTAGAGATGCGAAAGTCTTGCGGATTTATACAAACGTGGATCAGATCGCGTGATCTAGGCAAGAGATCAGGTGCATGATGGGTGGGGGAATAGAGCAGGGATCTCATCCCCCGACTCTCAAGCACATCTCTAAGGTGGAGAGGCGGGATGTCAGCATGGTCAATCGGCATTGGTATGAGGAGTAAAAGGATCTTGGCTTCGCATCTCGGACCGGGGAGATCATTCAAAATATCAGCACAGAGGTAGCCGATCTACGAAGGAATAGGATATTCAAGGTACACATGGAGAACATGGGGTCTGGGGACCATGAAGAGCAGAGCAAAGGAAGGGCGGTTCGAGCTGGCCTCGGGCCAAATGAGGCGAGGGAGAACGACATAGCCTTGCACAGCTGACACAGGTCTCCACATTATTTTTCTTTCCAAGAAGATATAACTTTTTCGGTTCCTATACCAGGTTACTATCTAGGTCACTTAAGCGGAGATCCTCTTTCTTAGGTTGAGCCTTCTTCAGGTTTTGCTTGACGTTAAATAGTTCGTTTCCAATGCAGGCCATATATAATTTTCACAAATAGAAGGAAACGTTCAGTGGACTATGTATCGACTACTTTCGCCGACTTGGTCGCGTAAGCATGTGTGCCGAGATTCGATTTAATCCACAGTACTATGGCCATTGCCTTTCTTTTAATCTACTCTTACTCTACAACAAATCATTCGTGTTTCGTCGTTATGCTTGAGGGATATTTCCCGCAGGAGAAATCCACGTGATTCGAGATTGTTCTTCGTCTGCGAGCAGAACGAGGTGACCATGGTGACGTGCAGGCGATTCATTATCGTCAGACAGGCTGTTGAGCTCCACACGGAGACTGAGCATTGTCTCCGTAACTATTCATTACTGTTCATTACAGCGGACTTGCATCTGTACGCACCAGCCGTACCCAAGGTCCGTGGCACAGAGTGCCTGGCCACTTAGTTGTTGGTCCTGCCATGGTCCATGGGACAATCGGCCAGCGAAGAACCTGTCGGTACACTCATGTTTGCACAAGGCGTGCATGTTAAACATTGGTCCTGGGCCGGCCTAATAGTGTCAGGCTTATTTCATCTCTTGGGTTGGGTTGGGTCGGACGGACGGACGCTCTCTGCTTCCCAGAGCCTGAGGACGGCAATAAACGAGAAAACCAGATGGACAGTTAAAACCGAGTTCGAGTTTCAAATGAATGTTGCTGCTCAACGGGCCATGTCATGGGACCTCGATTGTCCTCTCAACAACTCGAATGCTCCTTGTGGTGGTAGACTTGGCGCCACGTGCCCGTGCCCGTGCCCGTGCCGTTGGTCACCGCCTTTGCCCATTTCAGCCCTCCCGGACCCTGCGCTGCCCTTTTGCCAGCTCGACGTTCTTCTTAATGGTCAGATTCACCCCGCGGGCTTTTGCCCATGGAACGATGTCTCCTGAAACAGTGAGGCAGCCCTGCAGATGAACCTCCCGGAGTCGGCAGGTTGGGGTCTTGAGCAGATCCATGATGAACACCCCGGTGATGGCAGCGTCGCGTAGAGTCAGGGTCTCGAGCTGCGGCATATGCTCGATGAAACTCGCGCTGTGGCTGTCCGTGAGACGTTGACAGGTGAATTGCAGGTGCCGGAGCCGTTTGACGCAGCCGTGCTCCAGGAGTTCTAGGCCTTGCCGTTCAAGGCTGACGTCCACGTCCAGGCAAAGCTCTGCTAGATTAGTCTCCACTTCCGTTGGCAGGTAATTCGATTCCAGGCATGTCGGCCACTCCTTCAGTTTGAGATCTAGTGTTCTCAAGTTGGTCAGGCGCGTAAGAGGGGGGTCATCGGATCCTCGGTAGATGTGGTAGCCCAGATAATGGATTCGTAGGTTTTGAATCTGGGCGGGGAGACATAGTTGGTAGGTTATACACCCAGGGTTCAGGTGCAAAGTCTCAAGTCCCTCCAGGCATCGCAGGTCTGTGATCTGCCGCCCAATGCGGGTATCATCCGTTATTAGCCAGACTGCTTGTAATGAAACTTCTCTGAGGTTCGGCATGTTGGTGGTGATGTTGTAAGCCTAAGAACGTCAACTGTGAATCTTGGTTCCAACCAACAGACAGCGTAAAACACCAAGGAACTTTTGAGAAACTTACCGATGCTGTAGACGAGCTGCCATTTTCGGTATGGATTACGAGTTTGCGGAGACAGAGAGCAGGTGAGCTCAGTCTGGGGCTCGTTACATTCCCTCTGAGATTACGCAAGACCAATACTTCCAGACTTGGGCACTTGGGGAGAACATCACCGTAAATGTCGATATTGAGATTACCCGTTGTGTTGGTGCTAGCGGCACTGAGCACAAGGCTTTTGAGTTTGTATTCCTGGAAAGGAAGGCCTTCTGGCGGATACTCGTCGAGTCGCAATTCCAGATGACTCAGCTCCTTGAAGTTCTTCCAGCTTCGGAGCTTCCGTACAAGCTCCTGCCTTGCTTCAGGGTACATTTGAGTTGCGGTGATAGATCTGGGGACTTTCAACTTCCTGAGCGTGGCCCGGAGCATGGAAAGATTGATCGGCCTCTTCGGAGCCTGGTAGTCAATGGTATCGATCAGTGGTGGCAGGCTAGAGAGCAATTTGTTCCAAGACTTAGAGACGCGAAGAAGGCTGATAATTTGCTTGTAGCTCAGGAAAGAGAGAATAAGTTCGACCGTCTCGAGGGGCATGGTAAGCATGGGATCACTGGCCTTCGTAAAGACCAGGGCCTGTTGGACTTGACTCTCAACCTTCTCCATTTGTTTTTGAAGCGATAGGAAGGAGCGCTGGCCGCTGGGCACGCGCTTCAACCCTTGCTTGTACCAATTTATGGCAGCAGTTTGGTTCCCCAGGAGTCGTTCAATCTGACCGCACCTCAAGTAACCGCGTCCATCCTTTCGATCGTGCCGAATCATGTCTTTGGCATCCTTAAGCGCAAGATCGAGGGACTCCATACTGAGATAGACGGCCACGCGGTGGTCGAGGATGTTGACATGATCTGCTTTGCCGTCGTTATGCGCTGCTCGCAAGGCTGATTTGAGCGTGTCCAAGGCTGCGCCATACTTCTTGGCTTTGACGGCATTCTGACAGTCCAAAAGAAGGGCAGATATTGGCATCGACATCGTTAAAGTTAAGAGACCCTGTGCGCCAGGCGTCTAGACCTGGTCTGGTCCATGAGATATCTGTGAAGTCGCGCTCTGAATTGTTCGTGTCAGGGAGAAAGCGACCTCTTACAAGTTGAACTTGAATTTCGGGTTAGTCTGAGGGAAGATTTATTTCCCGGCTTGGCGGAACTTTATTGGCCAACGATAGGCACATGTTTATCTCTAACTTGATTGAGAGCAGCGACTTCACACTCGACCATTCGTGTCTCTGAACGAAGATGCGCACATAATGGAGCCGCAAAGCCTGGAGAGGGCCTCGCAATATCTGAATAATCTCCTGCTTGCTCGAGGTCTGCTTTCCAATGGCAAGCCCATCGATTTTGCCTGCCCCGAGCGGGATCGCCAACCCACTAGTATCACCATGTCCCGCGTTATCAACCTGGTCCACGATCTGATTCTACGACGCGACCAAGACGCCGAACAACGAGATTTCTTGACCACGAGCATAAAAACTGCCCGCGCCCAAGAAAATGAACGCGTTCTTGACCTACAGCGTCTACAAGACAAAAATGCAGATCTGGGCCGACAAGCTGCAACAGCGGAAGCACAGCAACGAACGCTGAAGGAGGTCGCTCGCAAGGCGGAAATTCAAGCCAAAGAGTTGAAAGAGCAGATGCTGAAAATGAAATCCACACTTGATCAAGTACGGGCAAAGTGCCTGGGCGATGTGCGAAAACGCGATGTCGAGCTTGAGAAGCTCAAAACCCACCTGGCCAGCATGCAACGAGGAAAGAAGGAGGCATCCGGCATGAAGATCAACACAATCAATTTCCAACCAGAAAGCAAGGGCAGAGAAATAAGAAACGGCCGAGATGTAAACAGCGCGGATTGGGGATTGGAGAAGGAAACAAACGACTTTCTTGCTGCTCTGTTGAATGAAACCAGCGCCGAGAACGTGTCTTTGAGGAGGATCATCCTTGAAACGATGGATATGTTGAAACAACTCACGGATCTGGAGCAAGCTTGTGAAAATGCCGATGAGGAGGAAGAAGACGGTATCGGTATACCTGGACAATATCGAAAATCAAGACTTAAAGCAGCCGAAGCAAACGACTTTTCCCTGATCCCAGTTGACGATCTTGCCGAGCAAATGGGTCTCATCCTTCAACATTGTCAATCAATCCTCAAAGATCCATCCTTCGTTCCTCTCGAAGAAGTACAGGTACGCGATGAGGAGATCGTCAAACTCAGAGCTGGTTGGGAGAAAATGGCCAGCCGGTGGAAGGAGGCTGTTACTATGATGGACAACTGGCGCCGACAAAAGGTTGAGCACGGAGATGGTATGTCTGGACAGGACTTATCAAATCTGGAGTTTGGCAGAAGCATTGCCACACTTCCAAATGGTCAGCCAGTATTCCCCACGGATGATGAGTTGTCCCAAATACTGTACGACAATAATCACCTCGAAATGGTTGAAGAGGTGACCGAGATGAGCGAGCATCAAGCTTTGACAGAGGAAAGAGAAGAATCAGATCTTGAGATCCCTCCTGAAGCAGCCTCCAAAAGACGCGGTTCAATCTCTCGTCGGGCGGGCATCGGCGGGAAAGCGATTCGGCCCCTCCAGCCGGTCGATATCAATACAAACCAGTCACCGCATAGGATGCAAATGGATGAGATGTCCTCGAGAACCAGTGCAGATTCGGGCATTGGCAGCCTTGATGTGGTATTTTATAACGAAAACGAGAGTTCGAGGCCCAAGTCTCAGTCTCGCATCCCGCGGCAGGTAAGTCGCCACAATCGTCCTCAGTGATAGTTATGTCTGACTTGACCTTAGGCTAAGAGGCGGGAGGAGCCTGTACTGACCATGTCAGAAAAACTAGCTGCTGTCGAAGCTGAAGCTGTAGAGGTGCAGAAGCCAGGGGAAGAGGGCCCCAGGTCAAGAAAGCGCAAGCTTGATCAACCGCAACGACCAAGAAGAAAAGGTGCCCGGAGAAGAAGCACTCTCAGTCCAGAGGAACTGGCAGAGTTGATGGGCATCGTTTAAGGGCTACTATATGATATTCTGCAGTCATCTGATATTATTACCCATGCCTTCCATCCTCCCTACAAAACTTCCATATCTACAGGGTGATTCACGTGTAGTAGAATGGTGATAGAAGAGCGAGCTGCTTCGTTCGAGTAACGCCGCGACACCCACCCAGGCACCTCGTAGGTGGATGATGACTCAGCAGGCAAGCCCAGATCACCTGATATGCGGCGGGTGAGAGGCGCGTTTTGGCAGGGAGGAACGCGACCAAAAATCTCCAGACTCCATACCGACATCCATGCAATCCACTCCATCACGGCTCCATCGTACGAGACGGGTCTGAACGAACGAACAATGCGGCCATAATCAAGTCAATATCCGACCCTGATTGTCATCATGAGTCGATTCACTGCCGACTACTCTTCTAGCATCAATTCCACGCCCGCCAGAGACCCTCCGCAGCAGCGCAACAACCACCTCTTTTCGTCCAACCCTTCCCAGTTTCCCAGCACCACTCCCATTGCCCCTCCGCCTTCTCAGATTTTTGGCAGTTCCGGATTTGACACCGGTGTCTCCAAGCTACAGTTCTCGCAGCCCTCAAAGGCCACCCCGTCCGGCCAGCCAGCCATCCGACCATTCCATACTTCTTTTGGCACTTCGCACGCTTCAGGATACACAGAACAGGATGACCAAGAATACTCCGATGGCGCGATGGAAGAGGAGGATGACGACGACCAGACCGGACCCATCCCACCTGCCTTTCAGTCGGTGAACAACCCGCCCGCACACTCTCTCATGAAATTCAGCGCAGCCAGCAGCAGACAGTCCAGAGTCGTCCCGTTCCGGCGCTCTCTTCGAAGCTCCAGAATCTCTGCACTCCCACACAAGGGTGATGAGTCTGTCGTGGTCAACCTCGCTCGAGACCTTGGTTCACGTGGACAGCCGGCACCATTGAACGAGCCTGACCAAGTCATTATGCAGACTGAAAATTTGCTTCGGTCCCTTGAAGATCAATTACAACGCTTAAAGACCAGTAGCGAGGCCCAGCAATTTGTCGCCGCCGCAGCGCGTCACCTACTTGGTCGTTGGCAACGTTTTGCTGGAGCTGAGCGCCCTACTTTTGAGAGCCCAGATGTTGGCCCACCTGGTTCTGCATCCCTCTTCTCCAAGGCAAACTATCTCGTGTCTCTGCTTCTGATCCTTCGGCATCCGCAGCCAGCAGCCGACGGTGATCTGACTCCAACTCCCAAAGTCCTTCTTGAATGGTTAGATCAGCACCATGTCTCTTACGATGAGCTGTTCCACAATGTGGCTTCACATGGTTCCAATTGCACGGCCAGCCCCATTTTCTGGGGTGCCGTGCAGAGTTTCGTGCTACGGGGGAAGCTTCAGTTCGTCATGCAATTGTTCGCTGACGCCGACTTCAAATATGCTGCGTCTGCAGTGGACGACGGTGGCGACGCACCAGGGTACAAAGGTGCCCAATTACAATCGATTCAAAGCATAATCTATCGAGCGCGACTGCTACTGAATTCTTGTCCGGCAGTCCAGAACGATGATTGGAATGTCGCAGGAAGAGATTGGGATCTATTCCGAACTCAGGTAGACGCTGAACTGGACTCCCTCAACGAACTCGCCGTCAGCCATGACGACGATGATGACAACTCCTTCGAAGCCGAAAATTTTGGTATTCGAAGGCCTGGCACAAACCTTCTGACTAAACTTGGCCGCAAATCAACCTCAACCATTCCCTGGTCAATCTTTACTGGCTTGAAGATTGTATACAACATCTTGCTTGGTAGTGCGGAGGAAATTGTTGCTCAGTCTCAAGACTGGCTCGAGGCTGTGACTTCGCTCACTATATGGTGGGATGGAACCGCCGACGCAGCTGTAGCACAATGGAGCTTTGATGTAAGTCGGGCGAACAACATGGCTGAGGATGATGACAGCGACATCAATCCTTACTTGAATCGACTGAGAGAGTCCTTCCTTTCTGTGACGTCCCCAGATATCAAGAACAGTCAGTTGAGAATGAACACGATGTCCCCAGTCGAAGTAGGACTGGGAAGCATTCTACAGGGCAACGTGACAGGTGCTCTCATCATACTACGTACCCTGTCTCAATGTATTGCTTCATCTGTCGCCGAAATTGGTGCACTGGCTGGCTGGTTGGAACATGACAGTCCAGTTCGCCCTGCTGGATTGAATGAGGAAGATTTAATAGTATTGAGCTATGGTGCACCCAAACATGGCGTCAGCAAAGATGAAGTCATGTTGGGATATGCAGAGGCACTATTTGAAAAGCCGGACCTTGTTCTGCCAGATGAGGTCCCAGTGGAAGGCTGGGAAGTGGCACTCTCGGTAGTCAGCCGACTTGACGATAGAGAGGCAATGCATAATGCTGTCAGCAATTTCATTGATCATCTTGACGTGGTGTCTCAAGACCGTGCAGAGAAGCTGGCCGAGCTATGCTCCGGGTTAGGCCTTAAGGAGGAAGCTCAAAAGGTCTCTGATCGATTTGGTGATTATCTCGTCAACAACACAACAGAGTACGGCACAGCCTTGCTCTGCTATGCCAGGAGTCATTCGTCCAACAAAGTTCGCCAATTGGTCGATCTACTCATCAGCTACTCATTGGTGCAATCACGCGCATACCCACCCGATGATGAACTGGACGAGGGTCTGCAAGATTTGGTCGAAAATCCACGCACGGCACTCGCCGATATTGCCGAGTTCGACCCGGATGCCGCAGAACTCTTGCAGTTCTACCTCGTTGGCTACGCCTGTCTACGACGCTTCTATACGTTAAGAGACGAAGGAGTCGATTCCTCGAAGCCCGGCAAAACCTCCGGACTCCGACCTCTTGCACGGAGACGTGCGGCTTCCAAGGCTCTTGTTACAGCGATCAACAGTGCCGCAGACAGCATATACGGAGGCCTCTATGATCCGGAACGCCAATCTGCCATCCAAGTCGACGGATTACTCACTCTTCTTGGTGAGGCCACGGCGCTACTATCCAGCAACAACAGCGGCACCAACGGGTCCAAATCGGCGACATTCACCACCACACAAATCTACGCTCTCCTTGCTGCAATCGAAGACCTCTCAACTGTCTCCTCGCGCGTTTACGACGCAACAGAGGAATGCTTACAAGCCGCACTGCGGCACTTCCACGGCTCGCAACCACCCAGCCCGCACGCGATGCTCAAGAAAACCATGTCGTCGGGCACGGCGTCGAACTTCAGCTTCAGCATGATGGGAAGCGAGATGATCAGCGGAAGCTCCAGCGGGGTGCTGGTGTCGAAGCCCGGCGGCGGTAGCAAGGGAGGGGACACGTTCAGCAGAGGCTGGGACTGGAGGGCCCAATTCGGGGACAAAGGCACCTCGGGCAAGGATGTCGTCAGAGCGCTCCGCGTCGCGCTTGCGGCTGAGTTGAGTCTCGCGGAATTGGAGGAATGAGCGAGGGGATCGAGGAAGGGGAGCGACAGTGATAGCGATAGCGATGTGATATGATGCCATGTGCTTGATTCCGCTGGGTCGAGACCTGCTCTGCTGGGTTGGTCGTGCAGGCGTCTGAGACAAGCCATGTTCCCGCTCGGATATGGATGTGGCGTACGTCCGGAGCAGTGATGTGATGTGATGTGATGTGTCGCTTGAGAGCTCAGTTAGTCAACTAGAACTAGTTTCCAACCCTGGCCCGTGACGAGCCCAACAATCCATACACATTTGCATTCGGCAACCTTCAATACCTATGTATCAACTGGGCTATCTCTGGATGTGGCAGCAGTGCAAGGGAGGAGCGTGATGACGATGATGATAATACGCGGGGCGTAAGGGCATATATTGATTCAAGAGTTTCTCGTCTTGCACGTATCAGATTTCGCGCCATCCACAAGTTTATATTCCAGGTCATAGATATATGGCTTTCGGCCTTTTTAGTTACTTACTGTCAGCCCCCAAAGCTGGCTGACTGACATAACTGATTTAGAGTTCATTTTTCATGCTGACTTGGGAGGAGCCCAAGCGGTCAGACAGCGTATCGCTCATGCACCGATGACACGCAGGTAATCTCAAAAAAGTCAAAAAAATCAAGAAAGATGAATGACATCGAACCCAGCACCAAAACGCTGGATGGTATGAGGGCAATAGCTGCCTCGCACAGTTGTAGTTACATCAAACTTCTCATTCCGAAATCTCCGAATTAAACAAACGTTCTAGTACCAGCGCCAAAAATGAATAATCCACGGGTCGTTCAGGCGTCTAACGGTAAACTGGAGGAGGTTGGTTATTCTGGTAGCTGGCTAGAGGAATGCCGCCCTGGCCATAGGAAGGCATGGATGGGCTTTGAGGCCCATAAGGGGCGGGTCCACCCATCTGGCCTTCTCGAAAGTTGTTGGCAGCTGGAGTGTTCATGGCACCCTTGCGCATTTTTCTTCGTCGGCTGAAGAAGACAACGCTGACAACAAAGATGATCATGAGGACGGCGGCAACAGCGAGAACGATGGCTCCGCGAGTGTTACTGGCGAAACGGAATCCAACAAAACAGTTGGACAAGCCAAGAGACATGCTGGCAGGTCCAAGGACACGATGGCCCTTCATGATTTGGGCCGGTTTTCCAGTGCGTCTGAAAAGGATGTGGCCGGTCAGACCAACGCCCCAAGTCATTAGCAGCAAACCGAGGATCACGAAGCCGAGAATTTGATGAGGGTGGGTTAGATTAGGCTCCTATGATGTTGTTAGTTTCGTGGGTTCTGCGGTGGCAGTCAGGGTTCAAACTCACAATGTCCTCTCTCTTACTGATGGCAACACCAACACCAGTGCCGATTGCGACCATGAGCAAAGCAAAGGACTGGATGGCCCAATGGAGCCAGACCTTTTCGAAGACTCGCAAGCACAGATAGCCGGCGGGGAAGACGACCAAAAAGGCAGCAACCATAAGGAAAGCGTGGAAGGCAATCCCGCGATGGCGGTTGCCACCAGAACCAGCGATGACATCGACATTGTCAGTTGAAGAATCGACGACTGGAACGCCTGCGTCCCCTGTAGCCTGCTTGAAGTCGAGATCGAAGGTATTGAAGACCTGATGTTGTCGGATGGTGGCGTCCAGGGCGTTGCTGTTGATATCACCAGAACTACCCACAGCCCAAATCATGTCTTGGCTATCGCTCAAAACATCAGCGTTTCCACCACTCCAGGTTCGGCAGTTTGAGCATTTCATGTTGACAACATATGTGTCGTTGATTATGCCCGATCCGCTCAGGAGCTCGACCTGGACGCTGTCTGTGTGTTGAGGGGCGACATGGCCAGTTCCGAGGCGAGGACTCAGCGTGACGTTGCTGCCATCGGCGGAGGAGTAGGCAACGAACATCAGGGCGCCTTTCATCTGGCTACCCATGCCAAAGGCGGCGTAGGAGTTGCCAGCAGGGGCGGAGAAATGGAAGTAGAGTTCGTTGGAGTTACCCGAGGGGACGTTGACGGCGACGGTGATGTTATTGTTGGGGTCAGAGTTGCCGCCAGGGCGACCGATATATGTGGAGGAAGGAACAGCAGCGTGGGCTGTGAGAAGGAGGGATGCTGTATTTGGGTCAGATCTTTGTTGCTTTGTTGCCGAGTCCAACTGCGGTTTACAGAGGTTGGCTTACCAAAGAAAGACAGGCAGAAGGCCCGAGAATGCAGAAACACCATGACTACCGGACAGCAGTACGAGGTCTCCTAGCAGGAAGGATGAATATTGGACAATAGCCAAAGGATGCAGAGGTGCGAATGTGAGATGTGGCGACGTCGGGGGAGAGGGTGTATGCGTCCCTCGTAGAGTCGTCGGTATATTATATGGGAAAAGGTGGAGGTGGAGATGAGACAGAAAAGGTGCAGGTACTGCGTATGCGTTCGCTAAGTACGGAGTAGGAGGACAGAGCACTCGTACGGTCAAGAGTCAAGGACTGCAGCTGCGGATTAGGGAATCAGGGATACTGAGGATTGTACGAGGTAGTCACCACTGACCAGTGGGTGCCAGTGGGTGCCAGGCCATCGCTCCTTCCTTCAACGCACGCCCAGCTGACGACTTCCCCAATCTCTCTGCTAAGAATCAGCATGTCTGGCGGCCAGTGAGTAGAGTGACTAACTGGCTTCAGTTGGTCCATGTTGACTCCGTACCGAAGGAAGGCACGATGGCATGTTTCAGCTGTGGTTCATCGCCAGCGCGTCTGGTGCTTAGCGTGAGGCTGTGGGCCAGAACCATCCAAAATGGCAGGAGCGATCAACAAGAACGGGGCGTCCCTTCCAGGTTGGCACTCCCAGTGGGCACTAACCACTCACCACTGCCCCTCCCCTTCCGTGGGCACTTGCCTCAGAAACGACAAATAGGGTACGTGTGATTGGGCGTCCACGCCCGGAGCCCCAACCGCGCCCCTGGCACCTCCCCTCCAAAAACCCCCATTCAGCCACCGCCGGCGCATCTCACGGCCGCCGAAAGGGGCTCTCGGGCGCCCCAAAGGCTTATTTTTTGGTTTTAATAGAGGGAATAAGGAAGGGCCCTGCATCAGCCGCAAACCCGTCTGGTGTTCCTGGATTGCTCCGCTTGTCGTTGGCTGTCGCCTCTTGGTCGGCGCTTATGCCTACCTGGTAAGTGCGGGGCTGGTCAGCCGGAGCAAAAATAGAACGTCGCTTCAAACCGGCTGCGACCCTTTCTTTGTCTTCTCCGCCAAAAATCCAAAAACCCACCATCCATCTCACCCAACTGACTGCGGATTCCGAAGATTGTGAGTGGTGTCGGGTGCATGCTGCATGGGGCGTGGGGCGTGGGGCGTGCGCGAGAGTAACATGTTCCATTGGGGGACGGGGATGCTTATTCTTGTACAAATCTTTTTCACCCGCCACGCGCCACTGTGAAGGGGGAAGTGCAAGATGCTGGTCGTGTATCGAGGAGAGGGGTATCCGTCGCAATTGCAAGGCCCTGCCCTGCCCTGCCCTCACTAGAACCATTCTTCCTGGATGTTCATAATATATTTCTGAAACGATTGAGGCCCCATGGAGTCTTCAAGCGATGACGACCAACCATACTTGAGCAAATCACTGTCGTGCAGCGATCCAGAGTCGACTGGCAACGCACCTGGTGACGCGTTGTGGTTGTGCTCGAGCCCTGCACCATGATGGGCACTGACGGCGGGAGTGGCGGGTGCATTCGTTGCACCACTCTGCTGCTGCTGCTGCTGCTGTTGCTGTTGTCCAGCGAGGTTCGAGTAGTCCAACAACGTGTCGTCTAAATCCATCCCAAACGCTTCTATCGCGCTGGTGATCGAACTATCGGGGTAGTTGTGCATCCATGTCTCGATGCGCGTTGCAGAGGTCAAGTCTGCGAAAAGGGTATCTCTCGTCCGGGCAGCTTGCACCTGCTGCTCAGCCCGCTTCGCCTTCGCCTTGGCCATCAGTTGTCGCAGTGGCTTCCAAAGCATCCCTCGCTGCATCCTGTGAGACTTCTTCCCCCGGCTCTCATCGTAAACTGACTCGATCGCCTGCCAAGCCCGCTCGGTCCCAGGCCCGGGTGGACGCGTGCAGAGTTCGGACAGTGCAAAAGCAACCGACTGCCATTGCATATATGTTTGAAATAGCCACCCCCATTTGGCCGTGTTTTCATTGCTCTGCAACAGGTGGGAGAATTCAATCACTTCCACCGACGTGATAAACAATCGATCCCGCGTTTCGGGTGGCAGCCGCGGCTCAAGATCCGGATTGAATGATCGAGGGTGGTGCAATGTCAGCCACATTTTGGCGAGAATGAGCCTCGCCACGGTCGCCGTGACCCAATAAATCGGCGTGCTCATGTCGCAGTGACGCAAATATTTCTCCTCCAGCTCTCGATGGCAGTCGTCGATCATTTTCTCCTTGTCTGCCAGTGCCCATGCCGAACTGCCTGCCCCGGGTTCGGCGCTACCAGGAGCCGTGAAATTCAACCTTCGTGAAAACTTGCTCAACTCAAATCGGATCAGACAGAAAGTCATTTCCGTCGCACCTTTCCTGTCTCTTGGAGGCTCCTTCATTCCCGGATAGATGTCATCGTCATTGACGTTCAACGGAATCTTCGTGTCGTAGAACTGCTCCGTAAACGTAGGATCAGTGCCATGGTCTTCGGCAGACCGACTGTCCAACAGCGAAATTTGCCACCACAACCTCCTCCTCATCTCCGTGTCAAAGGGGTTCAGATCAAAATTGGTGCCGTCGCGATGGATCCCAAGAGCTTGAGCCAGGTGGATGAGCAGTCCCCCCAGCGACCACACCAATCGAGAGTCGTCACAGTGCCGCACAAAGATGAGGAAGAAGCTGAATGCCTGCAAGCAGATCAGGCTATTACTGTTCAAGAAGTCGGCCCGTGCCAGGGCCTGCTCCGTGGCGAATCGATACTTCTTCAACAAGGCCTCTTTCGGTTCGTCAAGCAGCTGTTGGCACTGGTCGGGGGTGAGGCTGACGACCGCGCCAAAGTAAATGCAGAAAAGCAATGCCTCGTTTGGCTTCGACACTCGATCGAGATTGCTCGCGGCATTCATGAGGATCATGCGGGCTGTCGGACGATGCAAGATGCGCACCACAGGATCGACATTCTCCTTGAACACCTCCCAGAGAATAAACGTCTGGCTGGGCGTCGGATGTAGCGATCGCAGATCTACCGCTGCAGACGAGTAGCCGAAGATGAATGCTTGATGGTTGACGTGGTCCGATTCGGGTGACAGTATCGTCGAGTCGTCGTCCTCACTGCCAGATGTCTCCAGCAAATCACGCATTTCTGAAATCTATTCGTCCCCCGTGCGTCTTCGTTAGCTTTCATGTTCCCGCGTCATACGTGGACCACATAGGAATGACCCAAAAGTGAAATGAGCAAGACGTTGAACATACCTCGTCGCTCATCGCCGTCCAGAAGGCGTTGCTCACATACCGACTGCGATCCTCATCAATAACCAGCCTCCCCAACCGCCCGTCGATAGAATGGCGTTTCGAATCGTCACGATCTGAGCCCGGCGACTCGCCCGTGGCCGGCAATCTCGCACGAATGTCCGCCGACCCGGCGAGAGGGGGTGCGAGAACGAGGCCATTCTCATCGACGTGGGCGCCCAGGTTATGGACGACGCCCTCCAGCCGCCGCAGCCGCGTCAACAGCTCTGCGTCAGGCTGCTTACGCGGTCTGCGCGGTGCGCGTCCGGGGCCCGGGAAGACGCATTCGATGCCGGCTTTGACGCAGTTGGCGCACGGCTCGTGTTTGTTGCAGCGCACTTTGCGGCGTCGGCACGTCACGCAGCTTCGCGGGTTGAGGTGCGGAGCTGGCGGTACCGCTGACGCTGGAGTTGGATCGGCGGTGTCGGGATGGTCACGCTTGGATGCCGGAGCTGGTGCAGGTCCAGCCTCGCCTGACTGCAAAGTCGAAGGAGTATCTCCAGCTGGAGACACCATTGTTGCCTTAGACTCATCCATCATCAGTGCCTCGTGTAGTCAAAGCATGGCTGGTGCCAGTGCGGTAGACGAAGGACAGACCTCCGGAATGAACTGTGGTCGTGAAAACTAATTACGACAGCGAGTAATGTGGTGTGGACGGGGCAACGTTGGAGCTTTGGAAATCTACTCGTAAATTCATCATGATAATCAAGCAATCCGAGCACGATGCAGATCGATGACTAAGACGCGTGACTCGGTCCCTCGTGCGAGATGGTGATGCCGGAAAAAGATCCAAGTGCTTAATTATCCAATCCACACCGAGCAGGTTCTGGAAGGCCTGAGGGAAGACGGGTGAGCGAGTGTACTACGTACCTGCTAACTGGGTGCTGCCGTACGACGGACGGTCCGAGGTCTTTTATTAATTATAGGGCGCCAGTGGCAGGGAGAGAAAAGAATGGGGCTCACGCGGGACGGAGAAGCAGAAGAGCAAAAGCTTGGCCCAATGCAAAGGTTTCAATCAAATACGATCGATCAGGCGTCGAGCTTGAGAGTCTGTCGAAGGCCTGACCAAGCAAATCAAAACAAAGATAACGATGAGAGAGAGAAAAAGGAGTCTGGATGATTCAGCCCTTCCGAATGCGATGTGCGCGTCCCTATCGTACACGCGGACTTATTCAGAGATGTAATATCCGTGCCTCAGGCCTGTATGCCGGAACGCTCGTCATAATCGCGCCCTGGGGGACAAGGTCACATTGTCACATTCGGACCCGAGTGATCGTGATCGTCCCGAACCAAATACAGTGCGCAGAGTGGGAGAGAAATTTCACCTTGGGGAAAAGAGGACTGGTAGAGGGAGAGGGAACCGGAGGTCATTATCCAAGTTGCCACTCTCCATTCCCCTCCAACGTACAAGGAGCAAAAGGAGGCGTCCGCCCACTTTACCAATAAATAATATAATAATAGGGAAGTCGTTCTCAGGTATTGTGGTCGTGGTCATGTCCAAATGCATAATTGCCATCGACTTGTTACACGCATTCCATATCTCAGAAGCGGGTGCCGTCGCAGCGCCCAATCCAAACGGTCACGAATGAGGCGATATAGCGCTTCCGTGGATCTTCCTCTTCCTCTTCACCTTCACCTTCACACTCAGCCTCCCCCCCCCCCCCCCCCCCTGAAAATCAATTATCGAAAAGTCCTTCGCAGAAACGATGCGAAAAGGCCCAAAACAGACATGTAGCTAGATAGCAAAGCAGTGCCCACCCACTGCCATTCGTCTTTGAACACCTCGCTTCTCAACTTCGCTGACCCAAAGGCATGTCCCAGAATGCTAATGATGCAGGTGGTTGTGAACCAGGGCGAAATCGGTCGCCTGCAGCCTTCTCACTCGCTGTGAGATCTCAAAAGTAACTGGACGTCCAAAATTAGCTCGGTCTGCAATCAACCAGACCACGAATTGGAACGTACACTACTAATGGTAGACATCGGATCGTGTTGTCCGTCATGGTTGACCGACGGGCTCTCTGCACTTCCATGCACCACCGGTCCAGATGTCGTGATAGAGCGTTCCGCAAATTGTGGTCTTGATGGAGACGCCGGGTTGCCGCCTTCCTCCGTGCCCGTGTGTTCCGAGCTCGACTCTCCTCCACTGGACTTTTCTCGCGCCTGTGCTTGTTTGTTGAACATCGCCGTCACCCCATCCGATGCTACCCGCAGGATGGTCTGCATCAATAAGTTCTGCTTGAGTGGTTTCGACAGATACTCGTCCATCTGTGCCTGGATGCACTTCTCTCGATCGCCCAGCATCGCATGAGCCGTGAGCGCGATGATCGGCGTTCGACTCAGTCCCGACTCCCTTTCGTAGTGTCGGATCTCCCGTGTAGCTTCAAACCCTCCCATCACAGGCATTTGGACATCCATCAGCACCACGTCGAATCGACTATCCTTGATCGCGTTGAACGCCTCCAGTCCGTTTTCAACGACCGTCACGACATGGTTGTACTTCTCTAAGATCTTGATCGCCACCTTCTGGTTGACTTCGTTGTCCTCCGCCAACAGAATGTTGAACGACTTCTTGTAATCTTTGATGATAGGTGTCGACCGACCTTCCAGGGCCGGAATCATACAGTTTCCGAGGTCAATCAGCTGACAGGGTGTGGTCATGTATGATGCGATACCCAAATCAAGCACAGTTTTGAGGCTGATAGATACCGTAGGGTTTAACAGTACCATCGGCATGTACTTGAACTTCTCAAACTTTCGCAGCGTTTGTGCGGTCTGAAGCTCGTCGATCACGATGACGTCGTATCCGCCATCGATCGATTTGGCTCTCTTGTCGGTGACCGGATCGGGGACATCCGCCACATCTTTGACCACCAGACACTGCAGCCCCAGACCTTCCATCAGCTTGGGCACATGGTTGAAGAAGCTTGAAGATCCCCGATCAACAACTAGCACTTTGTGTGCCCTGAAAGGGTATAACTGGGAACTGATGACGCTAATGTCCTCGGTCGCGTACTTCACAATGCAAGAGAAGTGGAATTCACTTCCACGCCCGAAGTTGGATGTAACCCACACTTGCCCACCCATCAGATTGACCAGACGCTTGGAGATAGACAGCCCAAGGCCAGTGCCGCCAAACTTCCTCGTCGTCGACCCGTCCGCTTGCTGGAACGTATCAAAGATCAGATCGAGCTTGTCAGACTGGATGCCAATGCCTGTATCGGACACCACAAACTCGAATGGGAACTCGTCTGGCCCGCACGTCGACAGTAGGTCTTTGGACTTCTTGATCGTGACTTTAACCACACCTTGATTCGTGAACTTGATTGCATTCCCCACCAGATTCAAGATGATCTGCCTCAATCGGAAGGGATCCCCAACCACATAGTCAGGGACCGAGTTGTCCACGTCGAATGCGAGATCCAAAGTCTTTTCATTTGCCTTGACCGCCAGAGACTTCAGCGCATTAAACACAGTTCCTCTAATGGTGTAGGGGATTGCTTCAATCGCCATACGATTCGCTTCAATCTTTGAAATGTCGAGAATGTCGTCAATGATGGTCAACAGGCTGTTAGCGAGATTGTGAACAGTGTTGAGCATTTCTCGAGAGTGGGGTTTGAGCTCGTCCGTATCCAGTGTTAGTTGGGTCATACCAATGATTCCGTTCATCGGCGTCCTGATTTCATGCGACATGTTGGCCAGAAACTCGGACTTGGTCTGATTGGCCAGCTCGGCGGCTTCTCGGGCCGCAGTATTCCTTTGTATACTGTCCCGGAGGTTGGAAATCATCTGATTGAGTTTTCGTTTCAATTCATCCATTTCACCCATCGCATTGACGCTGATCAACTTGGAGAAATCACCCTCGGTGGCTGCGTCGGTAATTTCGCCAAAGGCGCGCACTTGAGCCGTCAAATTCTCGGCCATGGTGTTGACATCCTCGGTGATTTCTTTCCATCGGCCGCTCACGTCGTGAACGTTGGCCTGCCCGCCCATTTTCCCATTGACGCCCACGTCTCGGGCCACTCTCCTCAGTTCATGCGCGAATGTGGCGAGTCGATCGACCATGTTGTTGATGGTGACTTTGAGTGTGAGGATTTCTCCTTGTGCTTGAACTTCAATCTTCTTATCCAAATTGCCCGCCGCAATCGCTTGGGTGACGTCGGAAATGCTTCGAACTTGGTCGGTCAAATTCGAGGCCATGGTGTTGACATTGTCGGTTAGATCTCGCCATTTACCCTGCACGTTGTCGACTTTGGCCTGTCCGCCAAGCGTACCGTCTGTGCCGACTTCTCGCGCGACTTTGCTGACTTCAAATGCAAATGTGTTCAATCTGTCGACCATGGAATTGATCGTCACTTTGAGATCGAGGATTTCTCCTTGGACATCTGCCGTGACCTTCTTGGACAAATCGCCATTGGCCACGGCGGTCGTCACCGCTGCGATTTCTCGCACTTGGGTGGTCAAGTTCATGGCCATGCCGTTCACGTTCTCCGTCAGGTCTTTCCAGACGCCCTCCACATCATGAACCGTGGCTTGACCCCCGAGGACACCATTGGTTCCAACTTCCTTGGCAAGATAGGTGACTTCCTGGGCGAATTGCTGCAGCTGGCCTACCATGTTGTTGATGGTGATTTTCAATTGCAAGATTTCGCCTTTACAACTCGCGGTGACTTTTCGCGTCAAATCGCCCCTGGCGACAGCGGTTGTAACAGTAGCAATGTCTCGGACCTGCGTGGTCAAATTGTCGGCCATGGCGTTAACACTCTTGGTCAAGTCGTTCCAAGTCCCTTGAACACCATCGATTTGAGCTTGGCCGCCCAGGACACCTTCGGTGCCTACATCGGTGGCGACACGAGTCACTTCTGTGGCGAAAGTCCGCAATTGGTCCACCATGGTGTTGATCGTATGCTGAAGCTCGAATATCTCACCGCCGGCGCGACTTTGGACTTTCTGGCTCAAATCACCGCAGGCGACAGCTTTGGTGACGATGGCGATCTCTCTGACTTGATCGGTCAAGTTCGCAGCCATGATATTGACTGTTTCAGCATTAGCTTTAGATTGCAAGCCAATAGCTTTCTCTGCACTTACCATTCTCGGTCAATTCTTTCCAAATCCCGTGCACACCACTGATTTGGGCCTGACCACCCAAGATGCCCTCGGTGCCGACTTCGCGAGCCACCCGGGAGACTTCGCTGCCGAAGATTTCGAGCTGGTCCATCATGGTGTTTATGGTCATTTTGAAAGTGGCAATTTCATCGTCCATCTCGGTGGCCTGGATCTGGACGCGTTTGGATAAATCGCCATTGGCGACTTGGGTAATGATGCCACCAATTTCTCGTAGAGCCTTTTGGAAGGCCTCATTTGCTTGCTGGTGCTTCCGAAGCTCGCGTTCTAGAATGGAGACATCCTCATTTTCCACACGCATGAATGCTTGCTTGGCCTGCTCTTCGGAATTTCTCAGGCCGCGACTGATTTCTGCAATTGTTTCTCTTTGTGATCTGATTTGATCTGCTTGCTTTTCGACATGTTCTCGAAGAACGCCAATATCTTCCTCGCTGACGGTACGGACTGGCTCGGAGGAAAGTACAGATTCTCGGGCAGCCAGTAGATTGTTGACTCGTCTTGATTGGGTGGAGTGTGAGTGCTGTCTATCAGAAGCAGCTAGTGGGGAATCAGTGTATGGTTCTCCAAAGGGACTGCGAGCATCGTTTGGGCGTGACAAAGGTGAAGCAGGACTTTGAAATTCACCTGGAGTATCGGGGAGCGAGCGGCCGACAATGTCAGCTCTAGACTCGAGATAGTGGATGCGTCTAGCAAGGGCGGCTAGTTCAGCCTCGAAGTCCTCCTTTGCGGGAGAATCATGTCCTGGGAGGGCGAAGGGCGGCGGTTTGATGCCGTTGGTATAGGAGGGGTTCGCTGTCGTGCCTTTGGCTAATCCGCGCAGAAGAGCGGTAGCAGCAGCCAGTGTCTCGTCTGGGAGAGACATGGCCAGCGAAGGGGTCTCTATGGGTGGGTGTTGCTCCTCATGGGCCGCGACACGAAGGGGATTGTGACAAAGGCAGGTTTTGTGCCAGAAGGCTCGGGTCCTAGGTTGCGTCCAGCAACGGAGGCAGAAAGGACGTAGAGCCACGTTGAGGCGATGGAAGGAGAGAATAGGACGACGGATGATAAGATGAGGATTGCAGCTGATTGTAGCGTGGAGTGGAGGATACAGAGGTTGGCGGTCAGGTGGTAGACAAGGTTGCGAATGTGACCTACGAAGTGGCGACGACTTCGAACGATGTCCGAGAGAAGGTTTGGGCCAGGTCGATAGGCTGGACAAGGAAGAGACGGAGTCCCTCGTACCGCAGACACCTGGAGTGGGCGAGTACCACGTAGGAGGGACGAAGAAAGACTGTGAGAGATGGGTGGGAGGGTGATGCCAAACTGCGCCAAGGAGGTTGACAACAGGGTCGTGGAATGGGATATTTGAGGACAAGTCGGAGGAGAGGAGGAGAGGAGGAGGACGCAGCAGCTCGCCAGGAGGAGTAGATGCAGCGCTTTGCAGACAATTGGCTACTCAATATTACAATGGACAAACCATCTACGAGGACGGACACCCGTAGAAGAATAGTCAATAAGAACGACACCAGGCAGGAAGGGAAGTAGTATGAGTAGCTGCTGGAATAAGAATGCTAACTCAAGTTGGGTTGTCGAATAGAGGACAAAGGAGCGAGCCTCCAGTATTACAGTACGAATAGGGAGAGACTTTGACGGGTAACCAGTAGCGGGCGAAGCGAAGGTGCTGGAGCTGGAGCTGGTATGCCGTGTGCCAACTACGAGACAGAGGAGTAGGAGTACAAATGCGTGCAGTCAGTGTACAAGCAACAACTGCCCATGCCTAAGCGGTGCTGATGGGTGCTGTGGGTGCTGGAGTCGGTAGCAGGTGGCGGCGGTGGGCCCTTGAATCAAGCGACAATCTCTACTTGGATCTTCTGAAGCGTGTCTAACAGAGCAGCCCATCAACGACGGCCAGTAATTATGCCAATCATCGCAATCATCCACGCCAGCGGATGGCGCCCGGGAGAAAGTGAATGGGCGCTGAATGGGCGCTCCCTGGGCACTCCTTGGGCTCCTGGGGCTCTTTGGGCTCCTGGGGCTCTTTGGGCTCCTTGACCCCGTGGACCCCTTGGGGAGGGGCAGAGGGGCAAATGATGCTTAGCCCAGCCTATAACCAACGTGGAGAGCTGCAGACGCAGGTGCAGGCGGGGCGGGTCTTGTTCACACACCCACTCCCACGCACACCAACAGTCCGCCTGTCCACCCGCGCACCACCATTCCATCCCCTCTCTCCACTTGGACTTGTTTCTCAGCACAACTAATACGTATGACCGGCGGGAGGTATAAATCTCGACTGTCCTACTTTAACTACGGGTAACTAGAAACAGGCCTGTGGCAAATTACCAGACAAGTCTTTCATGGAACATGGTCTCAAACTCTGGACATTGAACACGTCCAGAAAGCTGCAAAGGTATCCAGGAACTACAGTGCACAGTGCTGTGCCATTCCTCCCCGTATCATCTGTGCCTCGTGGACTGGGGAGACTGTGTACGCCGTACTTTCGCCCTGTCCATTGCGGCATGCCGTCATACCTGCAATTTGTGTCACACAAGCAACCGAGAGTGAGATGCGGTTGGGTAGATTGTGAATTTCAGTGGGGGGGGGGCCCGGTCTTGGTCTAATTTGTGGCCCAGAAGCCATGCACGTCGCACTGGCCATTTCTCCAGTCTCAACTCCCAAGTTCCCAAGTTCCCAAGTTCCCAACTCCCAAGTCCCAATTCCCAAGGTTCCTGGCCATGAGAAAAAACCGGGATGATGGGCTCGCTAACGCCCCTCGCCCCTCGCTCCTCGTCCCTCGTCTTTCCAGCGACGTCCATCACGGTTCATTATCCATCACTGCTCGGGTCCTTTGCCAGTCCGTCCGACCAATTTCAAATTACCTCGTGCACTGGACAGCAATTAAAGGCCTCGACCTTCGTCCTGTACTGTACTCCCTACCGAGTTATATGTAAGTCGACCGGAAGTCTCTTCACGATTTCTCCTTGGGCCCTGACATCCCAACTTGGTTAGCAAGTTTCCGTGTAGGTTCAACCTTTTGCGTTTCGGTAAGGCGTTGCAAGCTTAAACTACTCAGGGCCTGAAGCCTAACATGTACTCTGTACTCTGTACACCATACCCCGTGCCCTGTCCACGCCTCAAAGTCAACCTGATGGTTAGCCAACACATGTGGAGTGCAGCAACCAGTCCCCTTGATCATTGTACGGAGTACAGTATGTACGGATACGCTCTACGGCCCCGTCAAGAAAGGGAGCTTCACTTTGTTATGCTTTGGGATTTAAAGCAATAGCATCGCCCGCACCCAACAGCCCGGCTTCGACGTCTCCCTCCTATACATGCGAATTATTCTCATGCACGCGGCATCCCCTTCAAAACCCAGATCGCCGTCCGCTTGCCATTGATGGGGCTGAAGGCATTGTTTCAGATCGCGAATTCTCACCATGGATCGGTCCCCTGCAGATCTATACCTTCGCGCCTGAGAAATTGCAAGCGATGTAAATCATTTCCCCAGGCCTGCACAATGATGCCACCTTTCTTCAACAGATTCGATGTTCATGCGCCCCCTCGCCTCCCTCCTCCGTTCGTTAGGGCCTCCCTAACTGTTTAGCGCTACCATTTGGGTGCCACTCCCTGCGCCTGCGGCTGGCTCGTAAGTGACAAGCTCAACTAACCAGTGAACTATGATACCCAAGTTGTTGGCTATAGTCCTGCTATTACAAACTGTTAGTTGGCACTCGCAGTTTGCTCCCTTTGATCCTGCCTTCGCCGCTCGCCGCTCGCCGCTTTAGGCCTTTCCTTCCTAGATTATCCCCAATTCTCTCAAAAGCATGGCTGCTCTCTCGCGAGCAATTCAAGTGTCATCCAAGTTACCGCGTCACCAATGACCACAACTTTCTACCGTCGGTGAAGACATAATCACGCAATACTAGCTGGATCTATAACCAACCCATTGATCTGTCGGAGCAGCTCCGCACCGATCAACAGATCCGGGGGTCGAGCCTGCTCGTGCACCTCGTGCTCCTGACCATCACTTCCAAGGATATCAACGACGTAAAACTCGTCCTTGATCATGAGCTGTTCCTGAGTGAAATTGGCAAGGATGATTGGAATTGTTCCGACAATCACCGCATCCGGGAGCACATCTTATTTGCCTGGCTGGGGGTACGGTCGGATGTTCTGTTCAAGGCCCAGACTCTGCACCACTTCATGAGAGATGAAGCTTGCCAGAAGCGTCAGATCGGTTTGTGCTTCGATTGGGACCTGGGAGCCCTTTGCATCTTCCACACCCACCGCGCCGAGCTTGGTCTGATTTCGTGGACGAAAGCTCAATGGTATTGTCATGCAAATGTTTCAGCAGCATGACGTGTTTGGCCGACTGCCAAACAATTCACCGCAGGCATAGAGCTGCCGGCGCCAGGTTGGCGGAATCGGTAAGAATGGCAGTGACCGTGATGGGACTTGTGGCCTGCTCGGCGGTTCGAAGCCTGGTTCCTTGTCAACGGCGACATCAAGCGGCTTTTGAGCACTGACAGCCATTCCAGGTGTTTTTGGGAGGATCTGCGCCTAACAAGTCATTACGGGCACGCTACTCAGGGGATAAGAAGCATACAAAAGCTTGGTAATCAAGCCTGCTGCTGTCACTCTTACACGCCAACCCGCTGATTTCGCCCAACAAGGCCTGTAGGCCATTGATGTGATGCGTGACAAGTGCCTGAACGTTCTCACACCGACTAAGCCTCGAATGAAAGCCTGAGGAATCATTGAAATCCAGTGTTGCTTTTGGGGAGCTTGATAAAGCCCATTGCGCACAAAGCACCACGAGACCAATTTTGGATACCATTCTGTTAACGTTGCGCAAGACTGAGCTCTGGGTCCAACCCTGCGAGCAGGACTAACTTCTTCTAGCTTCACGATATCGCCAGCAAAACGCAAAATAGAAGCCAATCCTGCTACCTCCATCACAGCGAATGCCAAACACAACAGACTACAAATCCACCACTGTAGGAGTTTCCGGCCAATGTAAGCCGATCACGCACAAATGCAGCCCTCGAAGGGAAGACAATATTTCTGTTCGCACAGTATTCAATTGTTCAGAGGCCTTTCATGGAATCAACGGGCAGCCGCCTGTTGTACCGTTGAATCAATCATTCACCATCTTGGATCCAGATACACCTCCGCTGATTCAACTGCAACTTCAGCAGCCCCAGCTGGGCCATACGATTTGGAACATCACCGGACGGACCGTGTCCGACGGACGACGAGCTGCTCACGAAACTCCACCTAGGCGTAGTAGGGCGGATCAACCTGCTCTCGACACAAGCTGGCCCCGACCTAAGCCAAGACCCAGGCCTTTTCACTGAACTCCAAACAGCCATGGACTTCGTGTTCGAATGCGGTTTCGAAGCCCGGGACGTCGAGTACCTGTGGGCGCGCGGCGCTGTGCGCAGCTACACACTGACACCAGCCCAACAGCAGCCTGCTGATGCTGTATTTCGGCACGATGCAGTACTACCAACAGGCCCCTCAAGACGACGCGCCTGACGACATCAGCACAATGGCAGTCCAGGGCAACAGCACAGCGATGGGAGACACGTGCTCGCGGCTATCCAGCACGCGCATCCTCACCGTCATTGGCTCATACTCAGGTCCTCGCCCGAATCTGGCCGAGCAGGAGCGCAAGACCGTCCTCGTCGCTCGCGTCCAGATCGGCAGCCTCGCCTTCGTCTTATCCTGTGGTGCGGCCTACGTCGTCCTCATCTGCGCCGTCGCCATCTCCGCGCTCCGGTGCCTCCACCACGACCCGGACCCGCGCCTGCACGGCTACGTCGACAACCTGTCCTTGGAGAAACTGCTCAACACCCAAATCGCCGCCACCTCACCCCCAAGGTCGAGACATCCCCCCGAGAGTCCCAGGACAGTAGCGACAGTGGCAATACAACCAGCAATCCTCGGCTTCGGGCTCACAGCGCCTCACCAAAGATCAACGACCACCCTCCCCGCCCCCCCAGCCGCCTCCTGGCTTCATCTAGCCAGCTCCAGCTCCAGCTCGCCGTCCACGCAAAGTCAAGTCTTGCGCGTTGCCTTTCCTCTCCCTTCGTCTCCAGTAATCCAGACTGCACCTCCCACCCCACCCGCCATTTCTTTTTTGGTGCCGCGGTCCCCCCCCGGGGGATTTTCTCCCTGCCACTCGAAGCCTTGCTCTCCCTCTCCCAGCGGGATCCAGTCCAGAGTGCATGTACCGTATCAACGAATCTGTCTTCAAATCATGATTCATTGTCTTGTTCCCCTTTGAAATTTAAAAAAAAAGAACAATTATAAAATATATCAATCGGAATAAGTGTGCTGTTTATGTCTACCTCGATCTAGACATGTGGCACTGGTCTTCCTCCAAGAAGAACGTCCCGTTTTTGAAATGGCCCTCCATGTATCCTCTTGTCTTTCAAGATACATCATCGTGGAGTGGACATATCACCCTATATTACCCACCTGGGCAGTTGGGTGCCACACGTGCCTAAGGTACGGAGGTGACACATACGTAAATACTTCGTACGTAGATCATGAAAAGCGTGCTTTGTTCGGGTCTGTTTCTCATTTCCAACGCAAATGCACTTTGTTATTATATTGGCCTAACTTGTCTCAACAATGTGTAACCGATGTTGACCTACTATTTCCTGGAAATCATCTCAGTCGTGGCTGGCATCACGGACGTTTCGTTTCGTTTCGTTTCGTTCCATGTCATTCCTCGAGATGCAATTCTCTTCCAATCATCAACTATGTCTTGACGCTATCTCACGCCAAAAAGGAAACCAAAAGGCCCAAGGTTGGAGCCTTCGTGGACATAAACGTCAAATCCATCCCGGACAACATTGCTCTATATATTCAGACCTTCCAAGGCTTCCAAGAAACCCGCTATGGCACCAGCGCCGAGTAAGCCCTTGGTAGCCCCTTCCCGCAGATTGTGCTTGGCGGATTTCTCCTTGGGATGATGGCGGGAGTGTCCATGGTGTTCGTCACCGCCACCACTACCACTACCACTACCACGGGTGTGTTCACGTCCTCCTAAACTGTTGGAGTTGTATTGCTGTGAGAGCCGCGATGGAGAGCGGGGTTTGCCGTCTTGCGACACTGGCCGTGGGGGCATTCCCATCCGGGCCGGAGGTGCAAGTGGTGCGTACCGAGCCTGAGGACTTCCGGCTGGAGGGGGGTTGTGGGGTGTCATTGGTCCTTGGGTCTGCGGTTGAACTTGGAGCTGGGAGGAGTAATGCCGCGGGTAAACTAGGGTGTTGGCTTGCTGCTGGACGTGCGCGTAGGGGTTGGGTGCATTCGCGGTATGGACTGGTGGGAGGGGTGAGGAAATGCTATGATGCATCAGATTTTGATCTGGCGTCGCCCATGGTCTGTGTCCTGGTGGGAGGTATGCTGGGGACGAAAGTCTGGAGGCGGTTGATTGCGAAGACGAGATGACAGAAGGTGCGCGGACGGTGTTGCTAGTCGAATTGTTTGTGATCCAAGGCGGAGCTTGGGTCGGCGCTGTATACGTATGAGCCAGAGGGGCACCATCTGGAGACAGGATTTTACGTTCGGTGGTCGGGCCCCCACTGCTTCGACGCCGCGGCTTGGGTTGCACGATCTCGCGCTCAGAGTCTGATGAATCGGTGTCAGAGCCAGAGTTGATGACATGGCGTTTGGATGCCCGTTTCTTCGAACCAGTGCTGCCTGGAGAATCTTCCAGGTCGCTGCTGGCGGCGCTGACACTGGGTTGATAATTGCTGTATTGCTTCCGTCTCCGGATGGCCTCATGTCGAGCGGATGCTGAATTTGGTTTTCTCCAGTCCATGGTGGTCCCTTCAATGTAGTAGCCGCGAGGGCTCTCTTCCCGCTCTTGGTATTTCTCATGGAAAGGCCGATCCTCGTCTTCCTCGGTGAGATTTTGCACTGAAGGAATGTAGCGTGAAGATGGATCGCGTGTATGTCTGCGTTCGCGGACCTCCCTCCAGTTCGTCCACCTTTCAAGAAGAGGGTCGATGGCTCGGTCTGAGACCTGAATCATGTCTCGCGGGGACTGTTTTATCTGATGCAATGTTTGGTCCAATTCGCCGAGCGAATAAACAGGGAGTTGGACTAGTGCGGTGGAGGGAGTGTATTCCGGAGGTGGTCCTTCAATAGTCAATTGCGAGCTGCTGGTGGTAACCAAAGACATGTTGTCTTCTTGCGCAAAGTTACTGATGGTGGCTTGTGCTTGTTTGTCCTCCTCTTCCTCCTGGCTCGAAGCTTCGTACAGGCGGTCCATCTGACTCATCTGCCAATAACGGACAATAACGCCATTCTGAGCTTCAGCACGCTCTTGTCTGATGGCCTCGGTTTTGACAGCGACTTCGTCAGGCGGATCACTGGGCCAATAGTTAGTAAGGTACTAACAATCAAGTTGGGGGTGCATTACTTCCGCGAGGTGGACGCCATTAATTTGCCCAACTGCAATATCTGCAGCAAAAGAGACAGGCTTAATTTCAAACTCTCGAGTTGATTTAACAAGTATGTGACCCGATGTCTCTTGAAGCACCATTTGAACCGCTGTTCGATGGAGGGAGAAAACGCGCCATTTGTAGGCTTGGTGCGCACGCGATCTAGCATGTCATTAATCTCATCAAAGACCCTCGTACTCTCGTCGGCGATGGATTTGGCAGTGGTCAGGGCATCGTGGGAGTGAACCGAGTTTGGGGACTGGAGAACATTGCCGGCTTGTTTAAGCATGGTGGCAAATAGAGTAACACTTTTAGAGATGCTGTGAATTTCGAGTCCGTCACTTGCGACTTCACAACTGACGGCATTGAGGATGAGAGACAGCCTGAAGCCAGCAGCAGCAACTCCGATGATGGAGGCAACAATATCTATTGGAGCGATGTCAGCAGGCTGAGGATGGAATGGGAGGAGCAAGGCGCCGTACCAATGTCCGCCATGGTGAGGGAGTATGGACGTCAGGGCAAAAAAGAGAGCAGTGCTAGTCAAAGACAACGAATGAAGGAAAGAACAGAAAGATCTATTAGCGTGAGGGAAGTTGAATGGAATCCATGACTGCACGGAGATGGAGTGACGATACGACGATGAAGCAACAGCAACAGTAGGAGAAGAGGTGGTAAGTATGTAATACTAGTTAGTAGGGGCCTGCAGTCGCAGCACGGGCAGCGAGGAAATAGGGAGATGGTGGTGCTGTCACCTGGGAGCAAGACGAGGCTCAACGTAACTTGGGAAGGCGGGGCTGCGGGCGCAGTTTTCAAAGATTGGGAAGGCACGATGCTTGTCGTTGACTGACCGGTTGGGTCGCTTGCTTCAGTTCTGCGATCGATGGTTCACCCGCAGTCCCAGCAGGGCCACTGGGAGCAGTTTTGCAGGGCTGATGTGTGGGGAGAGATGACCATTGGATGGCATGGCCACGAGCAACCAGGATGAGTCTTTCCAGATGGAGCGAGTTCGGCGGAAAAGGCGCCCGTGGCAGGCAATGGGCTTTCTCAGCTCAAGTTGCAGGGCGATGGGCAATGGGCGATGGGCGATGAGACAGACAGTAGTAAGGTGATATACTAGCAGGAGGCGAATGCCGAGTGTTGTTATATACGAGTAGATGTTCTTACGGAGTGCTATGCCATCCAAAAGCCCTTGCCCGCTTTCAGGTCGTTCGACGGGGGACATGGATCCTTCCGGATTCTGTGCTCCATCAGACCTAATTAAAACCCGCGTCGAGGTGGAAATTCAGGAAGCTTGGCTTCTGACTCCATACAGTAGTCCAGTACTTGTCGTGTTCAGAAGGACGTACGGAGTGTGGTCGTCTGGGACGGAGGAGGATGCAAGGTGCAGATGTTATTGTTTGATTGTGCTGATGCCAGTGGCTATTAGCCGGGGCCGGGAATACATTCCACCTCGAGGCTGTTTCAGCCAAACATTCAGCCACTTAGTAGGCCTACAGAGAACTCCGTACTCGGTACCCCGAACACTGCACCATAGGCGCACCACAGGCACTGTCGAGCCCCTGGGACTCTGGGCGTGAATGGGTGTCAGCCCGGGGCCCAGTGGTGGATACGGGCCTAGGGGGCGTCGCTGGTGCCCAGCATTTTCTGTCCTCTAGGCTTGTCTAGGCATGGTCTCCTCCATCGCTAAGCAATCGACCACCTAAACTCTGGGAGGTCTTTCCATGGGAATCTTAGCGAGACAAAGAAACCAGAATCTCGCTCCACCAACGGGACTGCTTGATTGCTGGTGCCTTTTGTATCTGGATCGAGGGGAAACACCAGATCTCCTGCCATTGTACAAGTTGAGTTTTGACACTTGTTGACACGAATAGTGCCTCGTACCGTGCGGCCTGTCAATCACAACCAACCTGAGAAGTGCTCTGTACTCCGTCCTCTCAACTCTAATACCACTTTTCATCCAGCCTTTTGCTCGCCTCCCTCACGAGTCACAACTGGCAAGACGCTTTCAGTGCCCACCAACGGCCACCCGCAACTCAGGAACAAAGAATCCACAATCCACGACCCACGGTGCACGAACCCACAACCGGTGCGCCAAGCAAGAAGCAGCTCCAGCTCTCTCCCACGTCTCCCACGTCACCCACGTCTCCCAGTCCGCGCTGTCTTCTCCAGTCCTGGCCCTGGCCCTGGCCCTGGCCCTGGTCCTTCAGTCTGGCCCTGGACGTTTGCCTTTACGAGGACTCTCGACTCTGAGTTTGACTTTTGACCCGGACCTTTCCTCGCACCTGCACCGGCTCCTGCGCCTGCGCCCTCGCCCTCCTCCACCATAACCACAACATCCTCCGCTCCTCGTTTTCTAACCGACTGCGTCTTCATTCATCGGTGTTGGCGGACATCCGTTGAGATCTTGGTTGATTCTAAAAGGAAAGAACGCTCACCATCAACACCTTTCCATCCTCCCGTCAACTATGATCGCCGACCCCCGAACCGACCTTTACCGTGACCTGGTTCAAATTTGAGATGCGAACGCCCAACACAACATGCGGATATCAATCCGAGAACAGCTCGGTCTGCTGGTCCTTTTCTGCGCTTTAACCTCACTTGCCGTTCTGGCCATCTCTGTGGTACGTCCCAACTTCTTCCCACAAACACACCTGGCCTGCCTCATCGCTCAATAGTGGTTTCAAAACTATGCCTTCATCACCGACATAAGACTGTCAAGCCTGGCATTAACCGCCTCGCTCAAAGCTGCTCAGTTGTCCAGCACCCTACTTTTATATCAAACACAAGTCCGCTTGGTCAGCACGCGTCTTTTGGTCCAAAGCGCTCTAGAGAGGTACTACGCAGGTATGTCTACTCGATCCTTCGAACATGCTCATAAAAGTACTGATCCTACACCATCAAGGCAACACAACCACGCAAAACTGGTCACGCTCGCAGTCGGACCTCGAAGGTGCTTTGGCCGGTGGTTCACTCCTGGTTCAAGCCGCCATCTTCCCCAATGTCAACGGCAATGCAACTGCGGTAGATGGTTTGCTGAACGTCACAGCCGTCGACCTGCTTGGAACCATCAAACTCCCGTACGCCAGTCCTAATGGCAGTGATGTCTATCTAGGCGACCCAGGCTTCGGCTATCCGCCCACACTCTTTCCGAACTTGACTTACGACGCTATTACCCCCGGTACCAATGCTTCCACCGTCTCCTATGAAGGCCATGTCCTCGACCAAAACAATCCTCTTTTCCTCGGCCCTTTGATCGTCAATGATGATTTGTTCCTCCTCTCCGTCACCGTCGCTCTGATCAATAACACTTCTGCATCCGATGTTCTGGGCTGGCTGACTGTGGTTGTTAATGCGTCTATGATCTTAGTAGTGCAAAACTCCGCCGAGGGCTTGGGCAATTCTGGTGAAACTCTCCTCATCGGCCCAGCAAGGGCAAATAATCTTTATCCCGTCGACATCCGTAATTCCACAAAGGCAGAGGCGGGCGATCAGATCGTCCAATTTGTCGTGCCTCCACACAATAACTCCACCCTCCAGGGCCGCCATGAGACCAGAAGCTCCCCAGAGACCGCTTCAACCCCCTTCAATGCCTCTGCCTATCCGGCTGTCGTCGCCGCATGGACCAAAGATAACAAGGCCATCAATAATGCCGGCGCTTATATCACCACCACCAATGAAGAGGGCAACAAGGTATCGGTTGGCTATGCCACCGTCTCTTCCCGAGCGGTTGACTGGGTTTTGGTTGTGGAGCAAGCCCGTTCTGAAGTCGTCGCTCCCATCCAACACTTGCGAGACGTTGTCCTCATATGTGTTTTTTCAGTCACTGGAGCTTTGCTCTTGATCATGTTCCCTATGGCTCATTATTCCATCACTCCCATTCGCCAATTGGCTGCCGCCACCGCCAGGACCGTCGAGCCTTATCAACCTGATGACAACAGCGAGTACTCGAGTTCGACAAACGCTGCAGCCATCACGGAAGACCCCAGTAGTCAACCTCAAGATGAGAAGCCAAAGAAGCGGGGGTTCCTAGCCAGCCTGCGTGGGTTCACTCACCGGACGCCGTTAAGTCGCACGCCAACTCCACGCCAGCACCGAAGGAGGACTTTCAGGATCCCCAGAAAGGTTCCTGAACGCAGTCATTGGATCACGGATGAATTGACCGAACTCACCCGAACATTTAACGAAATGTCGGACGAATTAGCCATGCATTATGAACGCTTAGAAGAGAGGGTTAAACAGCGCACTGCTGAGCTGGAGAGGAGCAAAAAAGCTGCCGAAGTCGCAAATGAGAGCAAAACACTTTTCATCGCCAATATTTCGCATGAATTAAAAACTCCCCTCAATGGGATCCTCGGATTGACCACTGTGTGTATGACCGAAGACGATCCTAGCAAAATACGGTCTACCCTCAGTACCATCTACAAGTCCGGTGATCTTCTCCTGCACCTGCTCACCGACCTCCTCACTTTTAGCAAGAATGAGGTCGGACAACAACTATCGATCGATGAGACCGAGTTTCGATTGAGCGATTTGAGTACGCAATTAATCCCCACGTTCGAAAAGCAGGCTAAAGAAGGACGCATCGACCTCAAAGTTTTGTTCCTTGGAACCAATGATGCCTTTGGGGATGGGTCGGATCTCTCTGCAGATAAGCTATACGGCCCAGAAGGCACTGGTCGAGTCCGAGACATGTGTTTATGGGGGGATAAAAACCGTATCCTTCAAGTTCTGATGAACTTTGTGAGCAACAGTCTGAAGTTCACACCTGCACAGGGGTCTGTGACCGTCCGTGTCCGTTGCACTGGCATTATGGAGTCTTTCCCGAGCCGAGCAGGCAGCGCACGCAAGTCTTCCCTCAATTCAAGGGCATCAAAGTCTTCAAGCAACAAGAGAGTGCGCATGTCGGATAGTTCGCTAGCACCTCACGACGCTGTCGACAACGAAAAATCTCAGGAGAGATCCCATGTAAGACCGCACGACAGATCCCAGGATAGATCACACCTCCACGCCGCCTCAAATGCGAATGAAGATTCAAAGCTTAGCATTAACGTTGCGGGTGGCACTACCCATATTTCCAAAATTGCTGAGCGGCAGCGGTCCATGTCACCACCACCTCTCAACACGAAAGATCTTGGTTTTGAATTCGAGGTCGAAGACACAGGTCCTGGCATTCCTCCAGAACAACAAAAGATGATCTTCGAGCCTTTCGTTCAAGGAGATCTCGGCCTGAGCAAAAAATACGGCGGTACTGGACTTGGACTAAGTATCTGTGCTCAACTAGCAGCCCTCATGGGCGGTGACATATCTCTTGACAGCACCGTGGGAGTGGGGAGCAAGTTCACCATGCGGCTACCGCTTCGCTATGTCTCGGAACGCAGTGCCTCCCTCGCTTCCTCAACACGCAATTCACATTCTAAAGCAAGCAGCTTAGTTGGCCAAACACTTCATGACCCCTCCGAGCATCCACAGCACAATCATGCCGGGTCGACCACTTCACTTACATCAACAAGGGACGATGTAAATGGAACACCCAAACTCGCGGACGTGCCACGAATAGTTGGGTTCACTCAGCCATATGTAGCCAAAGAGCCAAAGATGTCATCCGGAGCCAAACTGGATCAGATGAAAAAGGTGGAAAGTGAAGCAGCCCAAAGAGGCAGGAAAGTCCGAGTGCTCGTAGCAGAAGACAACAAAGTCAATCAGGAGGTAGTTCTCCGAATGTTGCGTCTCGAAGACGTTTATGGTGAGTGATGGCCGCTCCGCCATCATTTGCAATAGCCACTAACTGGTTTAGATGTCACGATTGCCAAAGACGGGCAAGAGGCGTTCGATAAAGTACGTGAGTCCATGTCAAGCGGTGAACGCTTTGATTTGGTATTCATGGATGTTCAAATGCCCAACCTGGATGGGATTCAGTCCACCAAGCTCATTCGCGGGATGGGCTTCTCCGCGCCAATTGTGGCGCTTACTGCCTTTGCAGAGAAATCCAATGAAGATGAATGTATGGCCTCCGGAATGGATTACTTCCTGGCCAAACCGATCAAAAGACCGGCACTTAAGCAGGTGCTGAAAAAGTACTGTGCTACCATCCCCGAGGAGGAATATGAGGGTAGCTCGAGCGCTGTCCCCAGACTCGACGGTCATGCGCCGTCAGAAGAAATGAATGGGCACACGACCTCTCGAGCGTCTTCTGGTGTGGCTCAACCAGACGCACAAAAGGACTCACGTGTTGAGGTGATTGACTCTAACGATGTCTCACCATTATCTTAATTAGCGTGGACTTGGTCTACCTTGTTGGAGAGGAGACGAGTTGGGCATGTTTCTGCAGCTGAGGCGAATCTATTTCACCCGGGGGTCAGATTCCCTTTTAGAGTACAGGAAAAAGCATTGAAGGACTTGGCTAGCAAATGGACCTGGTCGGCACCATCATCGGCAAACCAGAATCACGACGAGATCTACATCTGGACGGCATTCTTAATAGCACAGCGACGGCGCACATGGAGTCAATCAAAACTCTCACCAAGACATGGTGGTGAGGGAGAACACGATAACGGAATTTAAAATCGGTGGCAGGGGCGCCAAATATTGGGGAAAGATTTATCAACGAAGTAGAGAAGTCTTTTAGGTCTCGCTGAATGACATTGTAATATCCGTCCTACGAGATCTAGTCAGGATGTGGAATGGATATCCTTTACCTCTGAAAACACTGCTGGCATAGAGTGATATATGCTGGTGCGTACTGTAGATCGATCTGTCAATCGGCCGCTAATGCAGGCACCCATATCGATCGGATCTTGGATGACATCACCACTGGAGATCTAAGCGCCCAAAGCACCAGAGGTATTACTCAAGCACAGAAAGGTGTTGTTTCCACTCTCCACGCGCGAAAGCTGGCATTCCGCCTCCACTTACTAGTAGAAACGTCTTTGATACTTCCTTGTATATTGGTTCACACGTCAAATTGTGCAGCGAGAACCCCGATCGGTGTCTCGTCTCCTCGCCTGTTCACCATGGCATCCAGCAAAAGAAAAGCCAGTGTCGGCGCTCAAATCTTAGAGACGAAAAAAACGCGTGGAGCTCCACCGAGCATGGGCCAGTACAAGGATTCTATCAATGAAATCCAATATGGCATTGTACTCCGGAAGTTCTATCCCCCAGAAATGACCGATGACAGGGCCAGGGAATACAACAGTGGTAACCTCGAGCGACCGATTGAAAGTCTCCAAACGGCCATTGCAGAGACTCGGCCGCGACGCGATGCAGTCGCAGCAGGAGGCTCGGTGGTGCATTGGTTCAAGTGCGACACCCGGCTGACTGACAACCATGCTCTTCACCTGGCCAGCAAAAAGTCAAAGGCCGAAGGCATTCCACTAATTTGTGCGTACCTCATATCCCCCCAAGACTTCGAGGCTCATTTGACCGCCTCGGTGCGTGTCGATTTCATCCTTCGCAATCTTGCAATCTTACGTCAGGATCTGGACAAGCTCAATGTCCCGTTGTACGTGGAGACTATAGAGAAACGGCGAAATATACCTTCAAGATTAATAGAGTTGTGTACTGAGTGGGATGCGAAGCACGTATTCTGCAACGCGGAGTACGAGGTGGACGAACTCAGGAGAGAAGCATCTTTGACCGTCAAGAGTCTGGAGCAAGGCATCTCATTTACCGTGGTTCACGACACGTGTGTTGTGGAACCTGGTAAGTTGACTAGCGGTTCGGGAGGACAGCTCTCAGTGTATAGCCCCTGGCATCGAAAATGGTGTGCGTACCTCAACCAGCATCCACATGAGCTAGATCCATTTCCTACGCCTGAAGCAAACCCACCTTCAGTCCGGAAGCAATTTGCTCAATTGTTTCGCAGTGAGATCCCCGACGCGCCAGAATCGAAACGCCTTTCAAAGGAGGAAAAGGTCAAATTTCAAAACATGTGGCCTGCTGGGGAACACGAAGCCCTTGATAGGTTGCAGAAATTCCTTCTGGAGCGAGCCACGCAGTACCACAACACGAGAAATATCCCGTCTGGCAATGGCACCTCAGTGTTGAGCCCGCACCTTGCAGCTGGAACCCTTGCGGCTCGTACGATTGTCAGGGCCGCGCGTGAAGCTGCGCCGCAGAACAAGATAACAGACGACCGAAAACAAGGGCATTCAATGTGGATAGGAGAGGTTGCGTGGCGAGACTTCTACATGCATGTCTTGTGCCACTGGCCTTATATCTGGTAAGGGGTTCCATCATCTGACACCTGCCAGGAACAGGCTAATTCTAGAGTTTGCAGCATGAACAAGCCATTCAAACCAGAGTACAGCAACATCCGATGGGAATACGATCTAGATCAATTCCAGAAATGGGCCAGCGGCATGACAGGCTTTCCAATTGTGGATGCAGCGATGCGTCAAGCAGCAAATACAGGATATATGCACAACCGTTCTCGGATGATTGTGGCATCGTTCCTGGCCAAAGACCTACTGATTGATTGGCGCATGGGAGAGAAATGGTTTATGGAGCACCTGATAGACGGCTCATTCGCGTCGAACAATGGTGGATGGGGATTCTCTGCCAGCTGTGGTGTTGACCCACAGCCATATTTCCGCATCTTCAATCCTTTGCTGCAGAGCGAGAAATTCGACCCGCGAGGAGAGTATATCCGAAAATGGATACCAGAACTGCGAGACATCAAAGACAACAAGAGCATCCACGACCCGTACGGAAGAGGGGCTGGAGAGGTCGCCGAGAAGAACGGATATCCCAAACCCATGGTCAACCACAAGGAAGCCAGGGAACGAGCTCTGGAGAGATACAAGTCTGGAATTGGAAGAAGTACAACATGAACTGCCGAGAACTGTCCAACAACAGACGCATTTGGAAGATGCTGACGAGTCCAACAAGGGTGTTAGATAAGGCGAGGGCACACAGCAGTGACAGCACCTGGTGGCCAGAGCAAGTTTGTTGCCGCTGCCGTAGCTTGAAACACAGATATCTTGTCGGCTGGGACTAGGGCGCTCGGATCAACTTTAATCGAACTAAGCATTGAGGAGAGGCTTCGCCACGTAAGAGCCTCGCGTTGCTTGTCCACGGCCAAAGCGAAGCCTCCAGCGAGTCAGCGAGTCAGCGACCCCTTCTCTGCCCTAAGATGGCCCCTGGGCCCTAAGTGAAAGCCTACACCGGCCCATTGACCTTATTCGGCTTCCAGCGGAGCGGCACCGCTGACCAAGTACCCACGGAGCCTGGCTACACCACCCGCTACGGGTCTGACCGCCAATGAGACAGGCTCTTGAACGGATGCAACATGTCATGTCGCTGGCATCTTGCATGTCCAGGCTCACCAGGGAGGCACGCGACCTGTTCAGCATGCGGAGTATGAGGTACTCTGTAGCCATGCAATTGCGTGGCTCACTGCCCGCGTGCCGTCCAGCATCGGACGTTGACTGCCCTGTCGCAGGTTTATTCGGTTGGTGTTTGCTTGAATGCATGCAAATTTGACTCAGGCGTGCGGTGGTGAATGGTGATTTCCCCGGTTACGGAGTTCGGAGGCCGCGTAGTTCTTTCGTGTCCATTTAACTGAAGCCCACACCGATGATAAAAGGGAGAAATACACAATGCGACAAGTACCCTCGACACCGCGCCAGGATACAAGAGAGCAGTGGAGGATAGAAAGTGGTCCATCTCGAATTTTCTCTCTGTACGACCTGTGAGTTAGATTCAGTCTCAAAACTCCTAAACACGGTACCAAATACTCTGTACCTTTTCACTTTCGGATTTCTAAGGCTCGAGGAACCTTAAAACAGTCGCCTAACCTAACACCTGCCGAGACACCTTATAGGCGGTCCAGTAGGAGTGGCGTCACGCCTTCTTGGCCCCTGAGAAGAGGGAAGTGGGAACTTAGACAGTGATCAACATCAATCGTCGCCTCTGGCTTTCACCAGGCCTCGTCAGCCTACCTGGCCCAGCTTCTGGCCTTGTTTATGCGCGGGTTAGCTGTGATTATCGATTACACTGCCTTAAAGGCATCGTCCTGGCTGTGCTACTGCTGCTGGATGCTGGGGCAACAAGTAGGAGAACCTCATCTGCCCTCCGTTACACGAAACGAAATCTCCACCCGCTCCCCAGTTTCATTATCGGCAACGCAAGATTGGATCTTGCTTCTTAGAAACGAAGCACACGACCACCTCCTCTATTTTCCCTTTTACACCCATCGCGACCAATCTGGGAGGGAGAAGTCTATATCTCGACACCATTGCAGCCTCGCCGGACCTGGTAAAATAGTACCTGATCGAGTAACCTGCTTAACGCTAATACCTCGACTCATACCAATGCGGGAACGGCTCGTCGGTGGCCATGATACAGACCAGTACGACAGGTCTGTGTATCGCAGCTCTACTCCTTCTTGTCCTCCCAATATGTCAACACAACGTCCTAGTCCAAGCTGACGCCGATTTCCTCGATGTACGGACCAACCTGGCAAAGGATCACAGTGGAAAAGGTGGCGATCCCCAAGACAAATACTTCCATGAATCAACCTTCCATCCTCATTACGATGGCCGGTTCGCGGCAAAAGAGATCGGCAAGGAGCAAAGATTACCACACCTCACTGCATTGATGCAGACATTTCTTGCAACCATGGCCGACATCGGCGCAGAGACCTGGATCATGCACGGGACACTGCTGGGCTGGTGGTGGAATCAGAAGATTCTACCGTGGGACTCGGACATTGATGTACAGGTCTCAGAGAGCACGATCTCTTTCCTCGCAAAATACTATAACATGACTGAATACCATTTCCGGATCCCGGGGGTCAAGGAAGGTCGCACGTACTTGCTGGAGGTCAACCCCCATTATCGAATCCGCAGCATCGAGGACAAGTTGAATGTAATTGATGCTAGGTGGATCGACACTGAAACCGGCCTCTTCATTGACATATCCACCGTCAGGATCGACTACGGGGCAAGAGCGGCGGGCGTGCAAGGCGCGATGATGTCCAAGGACAAACACACTTATAAGGTAGGTGTTCTTTTGACTCCAGCTGATGACTGAGGATCAAACCTTTTTAACTCTGTTCATAGGAACAAGACATTTTCCCGCTACGGGACAGCTTCTTCGAGGGTATTCATGTCAAGATCCCCTTTGAATATGCGACCCTTTTAGAAGAGGAGTATGGAAAGGAGTCGTTGACTCGGACCAAATTCGAGCAGTAAGCGGTGTTCTTTTGCGTTGCCGATCCAAATACTTTTTGGCACGTCCCACAGTGTACTAACTTTTGGATTCAACAGCCACGAGTTCAATCACACCACTAAAATCTGGGAACCGCAACCCGAGGGTGACGCTCCTGAACCTCGCCAACGACAAAGACCTTGGAGGCCTCGGCCCCCAAGCCAGGCCCAAACCTAGTCCTAGGGGCTATGTTCTTTGTATATATGTATAGCGCAAAAAAGGGGAGTCCTTTGGGGGTTTGTCGTTTACTTTGCTGCATTTAGCGACCCAGCGTTGGAAATGAAATATATATACATGAGCACATTCATAGCTGTTTGGGACCCCAGACCTGACTAAATGATAAGCAAGAGTGAACTGAGATGGGCGACGCTATCGAGATGGTCAGTTCTCAGCCAGTACACAGTACACGGTACAAAGCATCTCGTGCTACTTACTGTACATTGCTATACCACGCGGACGAAGCAGGGGGTCTATCCTTCAAATCCACCCAAAGCCCTTCTCACGTGCCAACCTGATTACCAGTTCATGCGAGACAGTTACAGTTACACCGCACGAGCGGTGCAGCTCACGAGTCACCACAGGGCACACCCTCCTGGGCGCCCCTCGAAAGGAATACACGGCCTTCGGCCGGCTAATCGGCAAAGGCAATCGACGTGCATCTCAGCTAAGCCCAAATCTCATACGCCTTTATCCAAATTGCCCCTCTCGTCTCTCGCCTCGCTGTGTCCCTCCCCCCAGTACTCCGCATGACTGGGCGGAATGATGCGCATGATCCCACCATCGGTGCCACCAACGGTACGAGGTACCTAGCTTAAAGGATGCGTCCCACACTGCAAACCGTAAGTACCTTGATCATTTACGATTGTAGTGAATTAAGGTAGGCGGGCGGTGGAGCCCGACCGGCCAGACTGCGCCTTTCGATGGCTGGCCCAAGTTGAACGTCGACTTTCTTGTCGAACCTGAGCTATCTCCTCGTCGCACCGCCCGCTGTTGTTCTTACTTTACTGGCGACGCTGTGCTCTGCGTTATCCCAGAACGAACAATTCCAACAGCAGCTCACCCTGGCCGTCAGCCCATCCATGGCTCCACTGTGCCAAAGGTCTCCCTCACGTCATGGTCAAAGAAACCAAGCGGGCACTCCAGTTGCCCAAACAGCAGCTACTCATTCTCGCAATATGTCGATTCGCTGAACCCGTGGCTATGACTTCGGTCTACCCTTATATCGTGAGTCACGAACATCCGGAAACAGCCGTCAGGCATTCTCTAAATCTTTAACCCCGCTGACTTGGGGGGGGAACCCATCCACAGCCTGAAATGATCCAGTCATTCAACGTATCCGACGACAAAGTCGCCAAATGGGCAGGACTCATGTCCGCCACGTTTTCCCTCTCACAATGTCTCACGGGCATCGCCTGGGGAAGGGCATCAGACAAATTTGGACGCAAGCCTATTATCTTGACCGCTCTGACCTGCACCATGCTTTTTAGCGTTGGATTCGGATTCTCACAAAGCCTGGTCTGGGCCTTCGTGTGGCGGTCACTGCAAGGACTCTCGAATGGAAATGTCGGCATCATCAGAACCGCTGTGGCAGAGCTCGTTCCTCAGAAAGAACTGCAGCCTCGGGCCTTCAGTATCATGCCCTTGGTCTGGAACATCGGTAGTGTTTTTGGCCCTTCGCTCGGCGGATCGCTCGTCCGCCCTGTCGAGCGCTATCCCGGGTTGTTCAGGAAGTCGAAATTTTTCACCGAGTACCCCTTCGCGCTACCGAATCTCCTCATCAGCGTGCTCTTCCTGATTGGCATCTTCGCGGGAATCTTGTTCCTGCGTGAGACCCTCGAAGAGAAGCAGGCCCGCCGAGACTATGGCCTCCTGCTGGGGAAACTCCTAACTTCGAGTTGTTCACGACGCAGGAAACGAGCTCGCGGCTGGTCTGACGCGGCGGATGAGAGCCAGCCCTTCCTTGACGGCACAACAAGCGAACTGTCCAGCCCGGTCGCGAATCGCGCTCCTCCCCTCCCAAAGAAAAACCCCGGCTGGGCCGAAGTGTTCTCGCGACAATCCAACATCAATCTCGTCGTCTACACCTTCCTGGCCATGCATTCGGTCGCCTACGACCAGCTCCTCCCGATCTTCATGCACTACCCGGTGCAGTCCCGCCGCGACCCCCAAGTTCATCTCCCCTTCAACTTCGCCGGCGGCTTCGGCATCAAGTCCAACCAGATCGGATTTCTGTTCACCATCTACGGCATCTTCGGCATGCTGGTGCAGTTCTTCATCTTCCCGCCCTTTGCACGAAAATACGGCGTCTTGAACTGCCTCAAAGCCTGCACGCTGGCGTTCCCCTTGATCTACGTCGCGACCCCCTTCACCGCCCTGCTAGGGACGGACTCCAGCCGCCAGGGCGTCATGATGCTCCTCATGCTGGCCAAAGGCTTCTGCGGCATCTTCGCCTTCCCCTGCTCCACCATCCTGCTCACCAACAGCGCCGCCACGCTGAGCGTGCTGGGGACCTTGAACGGCGTCGCTACGAGTATTTCCGCGATCGGGAGGGCCGCGGGCCCTGCTTTGGCAGGCGCTACTTTTACCGCTGGTGTGAATGTCGGGTATGTAGTTATCTCCTGGTGGACTTTGGCTGTCGTTGCCGTGATCGGAGCCGTGCCTGTCTTTGCTCTCGTAGAGATGGAAGGATTTGCGGGTGCATCGAATGACGACGAGAGCGACGACGAGGATGAGGACGACGACGACGACGACGACGACATAGAAGATCGCGATGCTTCTGACGCCGAACGAGAGGTCCGCTTCCTTACTACAATGACCGGCGACCCCGACTCCCGGCGAACCGCAAAGACAACATCCTCCATTATTACCAGCCCCGCCGTGCGTGACACATACGCCCGCAAATCGGCATCCTCCTCGATCTCCTCGCCATCCTCTGCCGCCGTGATGATCGAAGACGTCTTCGAAGCAGACAGCGACGACCGCGACGACAACCTCCTCTCCGGCTCCGCCTCGCTGACTCCGACCACATCACGGGGCTCGCAGCCTCGTGCGCGCCGCCGCAGCTCCCACAGGGAACTGCGCCGCATCGCCAGCCCGATTGGTCTTGGGCCTGGTGTTGTTCCTCCGGGATCGCGCAGGTATAGTAGCGACCTCGGCGCGACGAGGAGCGGGTTGGGCGTTGGGGGCACGAGTTTTAATTGAGGTTTGCGTTTGATAGAGCTGCTTATCACAAGCATTAGAGAAACCAGTCAGATCTAACATCGCATTTGCACGGCATACAGAGTATGGATAGGAGCACGCAACACCATTTTGGATATGCGTCTACCAGGGCGCCGGTGAAGTATATACACATATATACCAATATAGTGAAATGTGTAATGGCATTCTCGACAACTAAATGCATTTTTCGCATCCCATGCGGCGGGCCCAGCAATTCCTTTTTATTGCTCTCTCTCTTCTTCTTCTTCTTCTTCTCTCTCACTCCATTCATTCTCTTTGAACCCCTCGCCGTCTCCTCGCCTCCGTTCCAAGGCCGGCAGGCGAGAATGGCACACACGCATCACAGCCTCGCCCTCGTCTCAGCCAACACCTCATCAACCCCATCCCTCACCTCCCTCACAATATCCCTTGCATCGTCCGTCCTATTCACCAGCCCGACACTAGCACCAGCCCAAACGTTTGCGCGGCCGTTCTCACCATCTCCACCGAACCCCTTGTCTCTTGCCTTCGCCGCCTCATCGTGCCGTCTCCGGACCTCGTCAACACCCGTGCCACCTACGAAATCCGTATAGCTCTGTGTCACCAGACTCCGCCCGTCATAGGCCTCGGGCCAGATATTCGGGCCGCGCACGTTGTCGAACAGCTTGCTGCGCACCGTGTTGTTTGCGCCGTCGCGCGCCGCGAGCACGCTCTCCCGATACGCCGGGTGCGGGACCATCGTCTCGTGCGCAGCGAGGAACCGTGTCCCCAGCACCACCCCAGATGCGCCGAGTGCGAATGCCGCAGCCGCGCCCCGCGCGTCCGCGATCCCGCCGGCGGCGAGGATGGGCATGCTCCCCAGGCTGTGGGAACGGAGCAGGTCGAGCGTTTCTGGGACGAGGGCCACGATGCTCGCGCCGCGCTCGAAGCCGTGGCCCCCGGCGTCAGAGCCTTGGAGGACGAGTGCGTCGGGCTGCGCCTTTGGGTCGGATGTCGAGGGGTCGGCGCCTTGCGTCCCCGCCTGTGCCACGCGCAGCGCCGCGCTCGCGCTGCCCACCTGGATCCACACGCTGGTATCTGGCAGCGCGGCGCGCAGCTGCCTCGTCCAGACGGCGTAGTCGTCGAGCTCCTTGGCCGCGAACAGCCAGACCACCGCGGGCTGGTATTTCGCCAGCACGGGGAGGGCATGCTCGAGCTGGAGGATGAACGGCAGGAGGCCGACGCCGATGGGGAGCGTGGAAGGCCGGGCGCTGTCATCATTGCTCTTGCTGAGAATCTCTTTGGCGAGTTTCAGTTCGCGCTCCAGCTCGCCCATGTCCATCACCGCGCCGATCTGGCCCAGTCCGCCGGCCTGTGTGACCGCTGCAGCCAGCGCGCCGCCTGCGAACCCGCCCATGGGCGCGTTCACCACTAAAGGGGCCAGGGTCCATGGGAGTTGTTCCTTCAGGGTGCGTGCCATGGTGGTGGGTCGAGAAGTGTGCGCTGTGTCTGGATGCAGTGTGGTTGATCGTTGTGAGAGATTGATAGGAGTATATATGAACGGCGGTTAGATGTACTTCCTAACCTTGTGCTTTTGTATTCCAGGTCCCTTCCTGGGGAGCGGAACTTTCTGGTAGCGTGTTTACTTCCTCTGGGTTTGACTATGACTCCGCTGAAAGAGACGGGTTCCTTCCACACAGAGATATGGTGGTGCTGGTGCTAAGCAAGCTTGCGGACCAAAGCCCGCTCGCAATATTTTTAAAATGTTCTTTTTTTTCGAAGGGTTGTAGGACCGACCTTGCATCTCTTATTTCTATTAGTAAGTTTGTCTTTCCCGAGGCACCAGCTCCCAGGTGTCTGCTGGTAATGGGTAATATGTTACTATATAGTCAGCGAGAGCACCGCGGAGAAAGCACGAACAGAACATTCGATATCGCAACTATGTAACAATTAGCAGTGTATTGGCTATGGAGGGTTCTTTGTAAGAGGACACCCCCCCTCTCCGTCCCCCCTTCTTCCCCGTTGCTCTAGAGTCTAGCATTGTGTCATCGCTCATCAGCCCAGCAAAAGGACACGAATGATTTCTCGAGCACGCGGAAGTGACTCTGTGCTTACTTGGTCGAACCGCCTCCCTATCCCGTATATCCCGTGGGCGTCCTTAGCACCTACAGTACCCGGTCAACCTCGAGCCCCGCAAAAGCCTGTGCAGTGGCTTGGTTGGTTGGGAGTGGTAAAGGGGTGAGCACCCGGGTGGACAGGTTGATATCCAATTAGCTGGTGCTGACTAGATAGTACATTTGATGCAAGGAGCACCAGAACGGATCAGACGCAAATCTGGCCCACTTGCCTGCCAGTAATTATGCCAGCGAGAGAATCGGGAAACCGCTCTTCTTGGGTCCCTTTTAGACGCCTGGACCGTGGCGGCTGAGGTCGCTTGGGCAGAGACAATACGGGGTGCGGGTTTAACTAACGGCTAGTTAGTTAGTTGACTGCTTTAAGTGGCAAGCATGCCGGGGGCCTCAGGCGTCCGGATGTCTCCGCGTCCTTTTCCCGACCGACCGATGGCTGTCGTTAGGTAGATGAATCCAGTGCTCAGTGACGCGGGCTTCTGTGCATGTCGTGCCTACACAGTACCTGACCGGCTAGGCAGTATGGTCGACTATTCGGTTTGACTTGAGGAATAGATGGTTCTTAGCGTCAGAGTTTGAAGACTTACGTATGGTTATGTCCCCATCTCGCATTGGTAAGAAACTCGGAAATGGCCACGACTCTTTCAAGATTGTGCTCGGATATATGTTTAGCTCTATTGACCCGATATTATATGCTACAGCACTACCAATGCCTTGTACACGGATGATGGTCCAATTACTGGAAAGATATACACCTTGAATGAGGGGCTTTCTATCGCAAAAGCTTTGCTGCAGTGTTCAAGCTGCTCTCGATGATGTACCCCCATTTCTTAGCATTGGTGATATTCTTATCCTCAAAGCTTTCCACCAAACCAGGGTATGTTGCGCCAGCATAGCCGGTCCACCGCCCAGGGGCAAAGACGATATGTTTGAACCAGGGTCGATTGTCTAAACCTCCTGGGAACAGAAATTTGCGTTCCAGGAGCTTGTACTTTTCGTTCGCTTTACGAACCTCGTAGTACAGTTTGACTTTTTTCCACCACTTCCACCATGGTATTTTTTCGCCGACTCGTTCACTCAACTCGGCAGTGTACGCATCAAAGTTGGCCGCAGCTTTCTGGAACGTTGCCGTCGCTTTGTCGAGATAATGGAAGCTGAAACGAGAATTGACGGCGAAATCTGATGCTTTCTCTTTCACACTCTCGAGGTACACTTTGAGCCCCTTTGCGTAGTCCTCTGCGCTCAGCGCGAGCACAGGGGTTTCTGATAGACGCGCAGCAAGCAGAGCCCATATCTTTGTAATGGCGACGTGGTAATGCCACTTTGCATCTCCATACTTATCCATCCAGTGGAAGCTATCATAATTTGAGTGGTAGTGGTAGACAGCATCCTTTGGACCAGCTCCAAACCCAAGATCGAGGGAAGGAATTCCGGCAAAATCTTGGAATGCTGTAAAATCGCTGCCGGACCCCATAGTACGGATTCGACCATCCCAAACATCCCCAACTGTCTGCCCTTTGGTTGTTTGATTTGGTGAAGGTACTGACCCTGTCACATTGTAGATGAGCTTGTTGAGCAATGGCGAGGCGGCAGCAGAGAAGACTTTGCCTCTCGTTCCAACGTCGACATTGAGATATGCTACCGCGCTCCCGGAAAGCCAAGGTACGAATTCTTCCACCCACTCCGTAGACCCGACTAAGCCATATTCTTCGCCATCCCAGCTGGCGAAAACAATGGTACGATATGGCTTCCAACCTGCCTTGAGGGCTTCTCCAAAAGATCGAATCACTTCATTCAAAGCAGCAGAGCCAGAATTTGGATCACCCGCGCCTCCTGCGATCCATGCGTCACGATGGTTTCCGAGAACAATGACTTCATCGGAGATTGTTCCATTGATTATTCCGATGACATTCCAAAGGGGCGTCGTCACATACTCCTGCTCGTTGACCAGATTGAGGGTCAATGAATCTGGAGAAGGGCCAATGCTGTATTGCACTCCCTTATAATCAAGCCCTCCACCTTGCCAAGAATTCCCCAAAGAAGATGCATTGGGTCCGTGACCGTTTAATGCTTTAAGAATGGGAAGGGCATCAGAATATGATATTGGAATAGAGGGGATCTTTGGGGTGGAGAAATGAGGATCGGTACGAGGTACGCCAGGCTTGGAAGGATAGCCCGGAGTGGTAGGGTCCCCAGGAAGAATACCTGCGGACACACCTGTTAGTTCGTGTCAGTAAGACATAATGGGTACATCCATACTGAGAAATTGCGTACTGCCTCTTTGTACACTACTTGGATTTCTGGCCGGGCCCTCGGGATATGGCTTGTACCCATTCTTTTCCGTGATCTCACCATCCTCTTGAGGATCCGAATAGATAACAACACCTACCATCCCCAGTTCTTGAGCGCGTTTGACCTTGAGACCACGGAAGATACCACCATACTTGGACAGGGCGATCTTCCCCTTCAAAGTCACGTTTGCAGCAACCAGATCCTCAAAGTCCTGGAAGGTGCCAAAATTGACAAAGACATAAGGGGCGGTGACATTGCCGCTAGCCGAGTAGCCATGGAAAGTAGGGATACGGTCGTCCAGGGAAGTTGTCGGGTCTTCCTCAATGGTGTCTTCCTCTAGCTTAGCTTCATATTTGACCTTGTGTCCATCCAAAAGAGCCAGTCGATGGGACAGTGGATAATTAATGTAGACGTCGTAAGCCACTAGTTCGGACTTGACTCCAAACTCTTCCCAACGCTCCCGCGTCCACAGTGCCTGGCTTAGATTTTTCCCGGCGAGGTGAGGGCCCGCAGTGTAGTATTCACTCCACGAACGTATTTTACGCTCATCTGGGGTGTTTAAAAGGATATCTTGGAGCTCGGAGAAAGTGAGGCCAGAGCTTTCTGGCCATGACTTAGGGAACGGCTGTGACCAGGGCAGATAGGAGGACAGGCTATCATTCCCCCGTGGGAGGATTGCAATGGGCACAAGGAAGAGTATGGCAATCGCAACAAGAGTGCTCCCGAGCGCGATCGTGCAGAATCGTTTAATGGTGGAATGTGAATATCGGCCTCTGCGGCGGCTTATGGTAACAGTTGATATCAGGGGCGTACGCTCGTCCATTGTGGGAGCATGTCTCTTGGACAGACTATCCTTAACATCACAGTACGACGTCCAGAAGATATGTGCCAGACATGTAGGAGGAGAGTCAGGTCAACCGCACTCGATGATTACAGATTCCGACGGGAGCCTGAGATTTGACGCAATTGCGGGCAGCTGCAGCGGACAACCCCGATCGCCGGAGGGTGTCCCAAAGAGGCACCTTTGCCGAATGCTTAATTTATTTCTTATTTTGCTTGGCGCATCCTCGCCTTTCCTTTCTTCGCCACGGAGTACTCAGTATCTGATGAATGTGCGCGAGAACTTATAGTTGTTGAGCATGGTCTGAGAATGTGACGTCTACTTGGGCGGCGTTCACTGAAATACACCCTTTGGAAGAATCTAGACTCCAAAATCTCGCTACGCCTCCTCTATGATCTCCTTGCGATGCTCTTGCGGAATTCAAGAGCAATTTGCATCGATGTAGCGTCGCTTGGTGGAAGCAATTGAGAGGCATACATGCCACAGGTCCCGGCAGTGCGATCAATCCACTAGATCCCGTCAGTAGTGGCGTCAGACGAGGATAGAGGACCAGGATCAAGCATACCCAGAAGAGATTCGGCAAGCCTCCCCAAGTCATCGTACCCTTTTTACAGACTCCTTCAACATCTTCCATGTTTAAAATCCCCCCCAACCCGAAATTCCACTGTCGACTGTCGACTCCTGAACGATACATAACGCCTCTCTCGGGGTTCACAACGGCTTCCAAGTATTTCGAATCGGGTAATTGAGGCGCAAACATCATGTCTACCGTTTCCGGTTTCAACAGGGTACCTTTGTTCTGCAATAGCGCGATCAAGACTTTGATGTAGTCTTTTGGTGCAGTATATAAACCTCCACCGCCTAGATCATCCTTGGGATTTGCTGGCGGAAATGGGGTTGCCCCTACCAACTCTCCTGTAGGGGTCCGTACGGTGGTTGCACTGAGGCTTTCGCGAATACTTTCGTTCTCTGAAGGACGGAAGCCTGTCGATCTCATACCGAGAGGTTCAAATATATGCTTCTTGAAATAATCGCCGAGCCTAATGCCTCCATTCACACGTTCGACCATCCTACCTGCCCAGTCCAGTCCCCCTCCATACACCCAGCCATGCCCAGGCTCAAAGAGAAGTGGCGTTAGAAATCGTTTAACCTGTATAGATACCGTCAGGATTCCTCCCCAAGTAACGTTCTGGGCCACATACAATCTCCCCATCGTCATCATTTAGTGCAGGCTTCTGCCATGGTCGCCACTTTTTGATTTCGGGCGAGAGCAAATCATTCATGTTACCAGACGAATGTGTCAACAGCTGTCTTAGCGTAATGCGTTCTTGAGACTTTCTCAATGTTGGCTCTCCACTTTGCGCATCGAAGCCGACGAGAACGTCTGGACTGTTCAACTCGTGCAAAATAGTCGAGACATCCTCGTCGAGTGCCAGCTGTCCTCTTTCGACGCATTGTAGTGCGGCGACTGTGGTGATGAGCTTAGTGCATGAGGCAATCCAGAATGTCGTGTCCTCGGTCATGGGCCTCCTGTTGATAGGGTCTACTGATGTGACACCAACGGCCTGCAAATCGATGATGCTACCTTGGCTCCTTAAGTAACATAGAAGTTGTGTGCTTGGGCTTGAGCTTGGTCACTCACCAGAGCGGTCGGCCGCAATCACAACCGCACCGGGGATCTGATTCGATCCTGGTGCTGTGACTGCCTCCAGGGTATACTTGAATGAAGACATCTTTGGGATTCCTCACGCGAAAGGATGCAGCAAGTATATAAGTGTCTGTTGAGTCCAGTCTCAATATCGTCAATAGCAGACTTGGGTGGAAAGGTAGACTATGGTTCTACGACAGATTCGTACAAGAACCACAGCAACAGATGGGCTACGCGTACAAACAAAGCACGCAACGACTTCGTGAGTGGTGCGTTGAATGCAGTACCAGAACACGATATTTAGAGACAGGTGTGACCATGCGGTTAGTGTGCCGGGCTTACGCCAGTGCGAGATATCCCCTTGGATCTCAGCCTGATAATCATAAACTTAAAAGCTGCATACCCCGCTTCGAGAAGAGGGGCTGTTCCTGAATAACTATTTGACGGATTGCTTGAATATGATCCCGAGAATTTACTGCTTCTGCAGAGCCTGGATTCCATGAGACGGTGCTCTTTAAACGGTGCTCATTATCAAATCGTCCTGACTGTGTACTAACGAGCTTCCTAACAATGGGACAATTGCCAAGATGGCCCCGTCCACCCGCTCAAAAGAGGTGGTTCATCGTCGTCTTTGAGCTTGGGAAGGCCTAATACAAGCTGTCGGCACTGATTTCAACCCCGTTCATGATGGGCGTAATGATGGCTCACATCATGAAACACGTACGCGAGCCGATGGGATACAGTGACAGGCTGCAAGTTTCGCCTCGGTATCAGATTGTGGGCATTTCCCTGATCTGAACCTGGTTGACGTCCCGTTTGCCTAGCTGCCAATCAAATTGATCGCAAGATGCAAAAGCCTCTATGGGATGTCCATTAAGTCATCGACCCGAACTGTCTGCCCAGTGTTGATTGACAGATTAGCCGCAATACCTGTCAAGATCGAGAGTGCACCATCAACGTGCGAAGCGGCACGATGATAAGGATCCTCGCCAGGCGTACCAAAAATGTCGTTTAGCAATCGAGGATCCCCACCACCATGACCACCCTCACTGGCAGGTATATCAACTTCCCTAGGCTTTCCGAACATGGGTCTCAAAACAATTGAACGAGTTTCAAGGGCACCTTCCTGGCTTTGATCGCCCCCTGAGTTAATGTACGACCTTTCGACGACTTCGAGTTCCAATCGACCCTTTGTCCCGGTAAATGCTACTCTGAACCCCTCCACAGGCGAGTAGCTAGTCAGTGAGTAGGTCAAAATGGCTCCTGAACGATACTTGACCAAGACCCCCATTGTATCCTCAATGCTGATGCCGTCACCAAATACACTTTGGTCCCGATAATAACTGTCCTCTTTCTCCGCGTCAAGATACATCGCCTTGAGCTGAGCATTGTTCTCCATATGCAACGCAAAGGGATCGTCTTTGGCATTTTCGCTTGCATGTGCTCTGGTATAGAACTTGGTCACTCCTCTCTTCTCTGCATTTTCTCGGCCATAAAACTTCAAGTCACCCATAGCAACAACCGTCTCTGGGCGACTTCCAAGCCAGAAATTCACCAGGTCAAAGTGATGTGTGGATTTGTGGACCAGCAAACCACCTGCATTCCTCTTGTCGCGGTGCCACCGACGATAATAGTCAGCCCCATGACTTGTGTTCAACATCCACTCAAAATGTATCGCATTGACTGTCCCGATCGCACCAGACGATATTAATTCAAAGACTTTGGTATTGTGCGCGGCATACCGATAGTTGAACGTCACCCTAAGCTTTCGACCTGTCCGTTCGACCGCATCGAGAATTTCCCGACATCTGGGTACATCAATGGTCATGGGCTTTTCACTAACCACATCACAACCGAGCTCCATGGCTCGCACAATGTATATGTTGTGAGTTCTGTCAATACTGGTGACAATCACTTCATTTGGCCTTGTCTCCTCGACCATCCGGTCGAAATCATGCGCTTGGTACGTGGGGACCGCAGGATGACCCAGAGCCTGTATCTTCGCGTTGGCATAGTCCATCCTCGTCTGGTTAACATCGCAGAAAGCAACCAGTTCGGATGTATTCTGGAAGTCTGATGCGATGGAGGAGTAGAAGAAACTTGAGCGCCCCCCTGTCCCCACCAGAGCATACTTCTTTCTCGATGTCGAACCCATCGTAGGGTCTGTTCGAATCTCAACAGCACATTCAATGGGCAATCCGCAAAGGCATAACTTCACGACGTTTATATCGACTTGGCAATGCTCAAGAAGGATAAGTCTACATCATTGCCATTCCCCAATGATATCTACCCCCTCAGGAGAGCAGGACGGGCTGCTGTCCGTCTCCAACTCGATGCCAGGGTCTATCGGTCTGTCAGGGCATCATCCTACCGTGAGCCGCCTGCATGCCAGAATTATCCACTAGTCTCGGTCAGCTTAACACCGAAGTGTGATCAAACGCTGTTGAATCCGAGATGAGTAGACCATCTTACATGCCATGATCAGCATGGGAAACCCCCTTCCAGGCGGACAAGTCCCACATCTGCACTGGAATAGATGGGTCGGCAGATACCAAGTCTGACATATTAGGCAGCTAGTGGCTTGCATACATCTAGCGTTGGGAGGAAGAGACCTACTCGTATCCCGTGGGGGGCCAACCTCTTCCCCGCGCCCCAACTTCCTCTTTCGTCCCTGGGGCTTCGGGGGCTCTCCAGTGACTACGGGCTGTGGCTGGAGCCGAGGGCGCTCCCTACCATAGACGCCTTCAACTAACTTCGAGCCTTGCTGATGCCACAGTCCTCGAGCTGGAGCAAGTCAGGATGTGCCGTTCTCTTGCTCACCGCAATAGCCTACAACGAAAGAACTCTCCTCCCAGATATCTCCAAATCATGTCCAGGGGACATAGGCCAAATCGGACAATCATCCGGACCTGTCAACGACAGACGGAATTGCACCTGGCGCCCTGGTCGAAGTTGGAGAGCTCAATTCTTCGTACGGCCTCCTACACCTTCCTTAACAGAAATCCTCATCTCCGACATGCTCTCGCTCGGCGTTGTGGCTCGGGCCAATAGGGTATGTATCATGTCCCGAGAGAGTCGGCTGAATCCAGGCCTCCAGTTGCAAAGATAAATTGGTCATAAGCATGGGCTGTTGTGTTTCCATGTCCTCTCAGCAATCCAAGCTATACACAGTGTGATCAGTCATGGCGGCCATCAGTCCAGCACCACCTGTTCCCCAAACAGAAGACTCTAAAGATGCCATCACACATGCTGAGACCACAAATCCTGCAGGTGCAGTTGAACAGAAAGACAAGGCTGCTACTTTCTTGAGTACAGTCGATGAGGATGCATCATTCACATATGAGGAGGAGAAAGCGGTCCTGAAAAGAATCGACTATCGCGTTCTGCCTCTGATTTTGTGGGCTTATTTTTTCCAGCAACTTGACAAGTCCTCACTGTCCTACGTGTCCATCTTTGGCATCCAGGAAGATGCAGGCCTCCATGGACGACAATATTCGTGGCTCGGTTCCATCCTCTATTTTGCCCAACTGGCCATGCAGCCACTTGCCGCTTATCTCCTCGTGAAGCTACCTACCGGGAAGCTCATTGCTGGAGCCATCTTTTGCTGGGGCTGTTCTCTGGCGATCATGTCAGCGTGCACGAATTTCCAAAGCCTCATGGGTCTACGATTTCTCCTAGGCTCCTTTGAAGCAATGATCGGTTGGTTCGTCCGGGACAACCGTCATGCATTTGAAACTGATTTCACTCAACAGCTCCATCTTGCGTTGTGGTCACTCAAATGTGGTGGAGGAGATCTGAACAAACACTAAGGAATTCATTCTGGAACGGCATGAATGGAATAACTGCCATTGTGAGATTCCCCTATGTCTTTCGCCATAGTGTCCCCGATACTGACCTTCTGCAGGTCGGAAGCCTCTTTACATATGGCCTTGGCCATATCCACAGCGACACATTGTATTCTTACCAGGTATGACTAGCTTGCCGACATCAGCTAATTAACACGCCCTGACAGATCCCTAGATTGTCTTCCTCTTCTGCGGGTTGCTCACTGTGGCATACTCCCTGCTCGTTTTAGCTCTGATGCCTGATTCTCCCATGGAGGCTAAGTACTTGACTCAACGTGAGAAAGTCATTGCCGTTGAGCGTCTCAGGGCCAACCAGCAAGGTATCACGTCCAGGCAATGGCGCTGGGATCATGTTTGGGAGGTTGCTACTGATCTCAAAACCTATCTATGGTTCTTGATCATTGTTTCGATCTCGTGGGTACTCCTGTGCGACATTGTACTGTCAGCGAGCTAATAGCTTGAAGAATCCCAAGTGGTGGTATCAGTACGTTTGGAAGTCTGATTGTCAAATCTTTTGGCTATAGCAGCTTCGCCACAATACTGTTCAACATTCCCTTTGGTGTCATACAAGTCATTGCGATCGTCGGCTCTGCTTGGCTTGCAACCAAGTGGCAGAAGAAAGGTCTGGTTATTGCTATTGCTGCAATGTTTCCCGCCGTTGGAACCATCATCCTCCTCACTGTCCCGAGAGAACAAAAGGGAGTTCTGCTTTTTGGTTATTACCTGGTGAGTGAATCGAAGACTATGTTTTAATGGTCTCCTGATCGTCCTCAGATATCCTGTCTCGCCTGCATTACACCGTTGATCTATGTCTGGCACGTCCAAAACTCTGCAGGAGACACAAAGCGCAAATGTACTTCCGCTGTCGTATTCATTGGTATGTGCACTGGCAACATCGTAGGTCCACTGGTCTACTCGCCCGATCAAGCTCCGTTATACCGGCCAGGTTTGATATCCAATTTGATCATGTTTGTCTTGGTCGCCATACTCGCACTGGTCATCTGGCTCTACCTCATTATTCTCAACAAGCGGCATGCCAAACGCCGAGAGCAAGTCGGCAAATCGGCTGTCAAGATTGATGAGTCGATGATTGGAAAAGACAGAATTGGGACCTCCAAGGCGATCGAATTGGAGGAGGGTCACCAAGGTGTGCTCAGGGCAAATGAGAATGGGTTCTCTGATATGACGGATCTACAGAATGAGGACTTTGTATTCGTCTATTGAATGATCGAGTACTACAGCCAAGCGATGTGATTAGGGCTACTCCATGTCAAGTTGTTTGGGAAATACTGCAGGATGCGTCTTTTCTTGAGCCAATGTTGAAAGGACCCATTTGTGACTGTCTGCCAACGGAAGATCGAATCTAGCAGCCACGTATGATAGGAATGTCAAAAATGTAAATCAGTCAATTGAATGCCCCCCTAAGGAATCATTGTCTCAACTATTGGTCGTAAAATCGATGAGGTCTTCGGTTGACAAGCGCTAGCACGAGGCTAGCTCAAGAGGTCCGTATCGATGCTATCAAACGTGAGCTTATGATAGTGAAACTCCACCTCAAGCCCGAAGGGCCCTTTTGAGCCTAATTGAAGCACTCAAAACAGGCTGAATTGGTAAATTGCTCTTATATTCACACAACTTACCCATCTGCCGTTGTTGGCAAAGTGGGTTATGGCAGTGATAAATTCGCAAGATCTCTGAGCGAGCCGTGATGGCCCCGTTCCTTGTGAATCATCACAGTATAAATGAGGTTGGTCTCGGTCCAGCTTCCCCCGATAGTCTACGAGCCCCTGGCCATTCTCCAGGTCCTCTCCGCATTCCCTTCAGGCAAGGGAACAAGGCCGATGACTTCCCCGTAGGTCCTTTCTAGGCAGGCGGGGGATCAGTAATTGAGGTAGGCTGAAGAAATGGGCCAAGAGTAGCTGTGACGCTTCATTGCCAACAAGGCTGGTGCCGCGGAACGTGACGGGTTGCGGTGGAGATATATGTTAACATAACCCACCTTTCAAGAAGGCGGGAGGAATGATGCCTCGATCGCGGACGAGAAGAAAGGACCTAGGGCATAGAAACTATGCACAGCCAAAGACTGGCCTTCCTTGGTCCCATATTGACTCTATCTTGCATTTTCACCTTGGCCTGTGCAAAGATAAACAGAAGAGCTGTGGTCACCGCATTCAACCCCAGCCGAAATGCGAGCGCAGAAACTCCCATGCAAGTAGGAAATGGTGATCTCGTTTTCTCAGTGGATGTGACAGGTCTCCAGACTTTTCGACCATTCAACACGCTCTCTTCTTGGGGCTGGCATAATTCTTCGTTGCCCACAACCCCCGGACAGACCAGTATCAGCGACTTTACCGGTCTGGAGTGGTGGACCCATGGTCGACTGGTCACGTACAACCAGCCAAACCCAGCAGAGGCCGCGATCTCACAGTGGTTGATCTCGAACCCTCATCGAATCAATCTTGTGCGGATTGGCTTCTCTTTTGGAGGGAATGATACCTCGGAAAGCGACCTTTCGGACACAACGCAGTACCTCGATCTTTACACTGGCGTAATCCACTCGGCCTTTACCATTGCCGGATCTGGAGTCAATGTCCGGACAGCCGTTGACCCTGAGAGTGACACCATTGCGGTAGAGATAAACTCGATGCTTTTGCGCCGGGGGGGCGGCCTGGGTGTATTCTTCGACTATCCTTATGCCAGCGGAAAGAACAAGTTCGACGCCCCTTTTGTCGGTCTCTTCAACGCCACCTCTAATCACACGACGAGTCTCCAAGTCCAGGCTCAAGGTGCAACGATACAGCACGACCTAGATGCCACTCGATACTTCACCAACATCCAGTGGCAAGGAAACGCCAGTATCGAAGGACCAGTGCCATCAAGCCATCGATATCACCTGTCTCTCGACGACAAAAGGGACCAACTCTCTTTCACGGTAGCATTAAGCCCCGTCCAAACCAAGTCGACTGCCGTAGCACAATCTGTGCAACAGGCTTCAGCAACGTGGTGGGAGTCATACTGGAACCGTGGAGCCTTCCTCTCTCTCCCAATGGACAGTCAACACCCACGCGCAAGCGAGCTCCAACGTAGAGTCATTCTCTCACAGTATCTCGTCACGATCAACGGAGGTGGCCGTGATCCTCCGCAAGAATCTGGCCTCACCAACAATGGCTGGTACGGGAAGTTTCATCTCGAGATGGTGATATGGCACTCGCTTCAATTTGGTCTGTGGGGCAAAGAAGACCTTCTCGAGCGACACGACGACATCTATCAGCGATTTCTCCCTGCTTCATACCAGAGGGCAAAGGATCAAGGCTACGAAGGAGCGCGATGGGGCAAAATGTCCGATCCTTCTGGTCGCTCTGCTCCAGGCGAGATCAATTCCCTACTCATCTGGCAACAGCCTCATCCATTCTACTTCGCCGAAGCCGAGTACGATCGGAAACCAAACATTCAAACATTGAAGAAGTGGGACGAAGTGCTGACCGCCTCGGCGGATTTCATGGTATCTTACGCTTTCAATAACCAGTCTGCGGGTGTCTTGCAGCTGGGTGCGCCTATGTATCCTGCGTCCGAGAACACTAATCCCAATGCAACCGTCAATCCGACTTTCGAGCTCGCGTACTGGAAATTTGGGCTCGAAATCGCTATACAATGGAAGCAGAGACAGAACCTGACGATCCCGCAGGCATGGAAACAGATCACAGACGATCTGCCTCCAATGCCGGTGGAGAACGACACGTATGTCATCTACACCGGCGTGCCCGACATGTGGAACAACCCCGACCTCACATCTGACCATCAAACGATGGCCATGATATATGGGTTCATCTCCCCGCCTTCTGACTTCAATATCACGATCTTTCACAACACCATGAATAGAATCTACCAAACCTGGAATTTCACGGAATCCTTTGGATGGGATTTCCCTATGATGGCCATGGCTGCCGCTCGCTTAGGTCAATATGATCGTGCAGTGGATTTCTTACTGCACCCTGCGTTCCAATTTGACGATGTTGGCATGCCCATTGGAGGGTCGAGGGTGCCAACTCCGTACTTCCCTGGTAGTGCATCCTTGCTGATGGCAGTGGCCTTGATTTCCGGAGGTTGGAATGATAATCCTGGCATGAAGTTCCCCGCGGAATGGGGAGTCCTTGCGGAAGGATTTAGGCCGGCATTTTTCTGAGAGGAATACTACGTGGCTCGAACAGCCAAGGTACTATGTAATTTGTGGTGGACAACATCATCGCTGAGTGTGATTCCCCTTTTCCAATGCAAGACTTCTTTCTGGACGGTCGAAGTAGGAGCACGAATAACCGAGATGATACATCGGCCTCATGCACTACAGATACGTATTCAGAAGCCTGCCATGAAGCCACCAATTCTCGCTGTAGGATTTATATTCTTCGAGCGCCTGACTTTTGTCTTCTCCTTCTTTAGCAGTCGACCCGTCGCTTCGTCGTAAACTGCAGGCCGTACGACCTCAACGGTGTAGCCCATCCCATGAAATGTGCCCACGCGTTTCTTTGCGTCTAGCTCACGCTGGATCTTCTCCAGGTCTCGGGACGTAGCTGGTCGCCCTGGAAGCGTTGTGGCGTCCGGATTCGCGCGTCGAAAATCTTCGACATATCTATAGAACGCGACGTCTGCTTTGATGGACGCTATCTGCTCTTTGGTCAACTGCGAAAGAGGACTATCGGCGCTTTGCGGCGTATTGCTTGACATGGACCGCGATCGAAAATGAGAGAATCCTCTGCTGGTTGGGCTTGCTGGTTGAGACACGGTGCCAGAGCTAGTTGTCGGTAGCATTCTCCTGGCGAGCTTCGAAGACGAGGTAGTATAGTCCGGGACTTCGTCTCGAATGCGCTCACATAGCCAGCAGTAACATATGTCGGCGGCATCGAGACTGACGCTGTCGTTATCACCAGTCGAGGGTTCTGAACTTGGTGGGCTCTTGACGTCCGCCGTATGCACAAGCGAATCGACGTCGGACTTTAGAAGAATGTCACTTCCAAAAATGTTCGCACTGAACTCGATATAAGCCATTGGATACAGCATGTGCGTTCGCCACACTAGCTGGAGCGCCGGCTCTTCTTTTATACGTTCCAGCCATAAACTTGCCCTGCTGCCTGTAGCTTGGACTAGGGCTCCATATTTGGCTAGGGCACGAAGCAACGTCCCTTCCAGTGATGGCGAACGTAAGAAGAGAAGGCTGCTCATCGACTCTACAAATGAGCCCCCGTCTACCAGTTCATGAACAGCTGATTCAAGGTCGACTGAAAATGCCTTCTCCGGATTGAGGTTGGTGTACGGCGGTGGGTGCATAAGATAGACAAATATGTCGGCAGATTGGGTGGTTGTAGTTGTGAATAGCTTCTCAGCCGCTGGTGGAAGATTGTAAGTGAAAAGGTCCAGGTCCATTACCGCGAGAATCGCTTCCCATGGAAGAGGAATTTCCAGCAGTTTTGGGGAGCTGTGTGCGAGATTGTCTCGTCTGTATGCTCCCGGCATTTGCATGTAAGCATACCAAACTAGCATGACATCCAACGGCGGTAGGTAGTCTGCTGTGAAAGCTGCATGAAGAGCATTGCTGTCAGGGCCAAAGCGGTGATAAGCAGCTGCATGGGTTACAATGGATTCAATATTTTCAAACCAGATCTGAAAGCGGGCAATTGCAAGACGAACCACGGTATCCCATCGAGGAGTATTCGAGGCATTTGCCGTGGCATCCTCAGTAGGGGTAGGAGCATTACCATCACTTGTAGTGCCTGGATAGCTGGGCAAGTCAAGGATCTCAAGCTGCTCCGAGGTGACGACGTGCTGCTGGAACTTGCGGAAGCATTCGATCAAGCCGAGATGGGCAGCCACATGTCCTGGATTAGGATATTGTGTGGGGAGTCCATGCTCCGCTGACTTCAGAGCCGGGACTATCGCATCGCTGAAGATCGCTGGGTCAGGAATGACCGTCTTGGGGTATTTTGAAGAGATACTGAATTTCCTGACGTGTTCCCTGGAGGATAGATCCCAATCATGAGGCTCTAGATCCCCCAATCTCTGCTTGTCGAGGCGGGGAAACAGGCTCATCAGTCGAAATGCTAAGTCCGGTACTTCTGATTTGGGTGCGTACGCTTTGTGGAAATGAGGATCCTATCTTTATGTCTTGAGTGTTCCTGAAAGGCTGAAAGGAATCCACATGGCTCACGCTACATAGTACTCCAATATATAAAGTGCTGCAGTGGACAAGCATGAGGTCGGCCCGCTGACCGCGTCATTCGCAGCAATTCCGGGGCCAAAGGAGTGCTCAAGTGTCTTGGCGGGTTCTTGGCCCTTGCATGGTTGATCTGAGGCTCTCAGCCAACAGTGGTGGAGATCACACCAACTTCTAGGCGACCTCCACCTTTCAAGGTGCCAAGTGCCTTGAGATGTTTCTATCGGCGCTTTGGGAGGTTGAAAACCGTCTTGGATTTTCTTGGACCAGATCATATGCGCTCATCCAAAAGTAGCCGTTGGTACTATGTATTTCGTATCCCACTTGCCGTTTATTGCCAAGCCTCGAACTCCTGTCTAAAGTCAGCATCATTTTCTAGTACGGATAGCAAAGCAAGTCTCGTTCGTTAAGAAAGGCGCATACATGTCACCTACGGCCAGGCTCCTGGACCGAACGGGTCATGGCATGACTCACGATGCAGCTTAAAACACACAAAAGTCGTGTGTTGAAGTCACAATCACTCCTGCCCGTGATGCTGTTAGTATTCCATTCTAGGAAATATAATATATATCAAGAGAAGGAAGGCTCTGGCGAGTTACCCAAATCTACATAATACATACTAATGTGTACTTAAACTTACATAGTACTATGTATCTACTTAGGCTCTAATGTATGTACAAGCAGTAAAGTACCTATTTATGCACTCAGGATCAAAGCTTGACTCGAGGACGGTCAACAATCTCTGGTGTTCATCACTACTTAGTAAGCTATATATACACATAGTAGAAGCAGAACACCCCCGAGTCTCGCCATAATCCTTTGAGTTGTTCCCAGTAGACGCCCTAGACTTATTAATAATTCGCCAAAGTAACAGCCTCCCATCTGTGAACGTCCAAGCAGGAGAGGTCGACTCAAGTCCTTAGTACATAGTACATAACTAATAACGTACGGGGGCTTTAGACTTTTATAGAGGTGCAACTAACTACTCACTATAGTACTTTAGTACTTTATAAGCTCTCGCTAATAGTACTAAGAGGCTAAGGCTGTATATTAAGTACACTAATTTTATCGTAACTGCTCGAATTTTGTCGTAGTACTGGATTTTATGTGTTATACGATGGAATAAGTTCTCTCCTAAATGAGAAGAGACACTCAACTCTCTCTATATATAAGTAATAGAGAGAGTTGGAGGACTCAGTTTCTTCTCTAAAGAGAGTAATTACGCTCCGCACCACAGGAATGTGCCTCGTTTTGCGGAGCCTATATATTATGCCATAGACTGGGTATTTTAGGTATTATACCATATATGTACCTAAGTTAGTACTTGTAGGTATATCTAAGTAGTATATCCTAATAGTTCCGAAGTAAGCATGTAGCACTTGCTAACATATTACAGTCGATATCTCTTGGCGAGGATGGCGAGGAAAGCGAGGAAAGCGAGGGATCTCTGTGCTTCGTAAGGACAGATAATTGTCTATATGGATATAGCATTACATTATATTATTGCTAGATTTCTCCATTAGTCTGCTGGACTCTAACTGAAGTTCACTTGTGTTTAATCCACCTAGGTCTATTGCGGACAAGCTCTCAGCTTAATACTCCTATATATACTATACATACGTACCTAAAGTACTAGCACCCAAGGGGGGTGTGAGAATTCATTGAACACCGGATATTTAGCCGATATTTAATATGCTTTTTGACCTCTACGGACTACCAATCCCCGCCTTTTATGCTCTTTCCACCCGTTTTTACTAGTAATTGGCATCGTCTAGGCATGTCAGAGACTCTCTTGCGGATCTCTTCCATAGTGATATTCCGCTAAATCTCCTGCGCTAGCTCTACGAGCTTCTCGTATGTCATTTAGTTTATACCTAGCACCCTGCGAAGTCTTTGCTTTAGTATATTCCAGGCGGCCTCTATAGGGCTTAAATCGGGTGAGTAAGGCGGGTGCCAGTGAGTTTAAATGCTATGCTGCTCACGTAATTGAGTTGCAAGGCCTTTAGTACGAGTGCCGTGTGATGGATTACTGTCCTCCTTAAGGAGAAAGACTCGATTAAATCGCTCTTATAATTGCTTAATTACGGCAATATAAACTAGTAGGATATGCTTTATTGTAAGAGTATAAGTAACTTAACGAGAACACTAAGATAATCGATCAATTGCTATATAGTCCTTAGAACATCGACTATAAGAACTTAAGGAGTCCAAAAACCTCGCATGCGATCCGCATAGCCCCTGAGGTCTTATATACTAGGCCCCTTAGTGTTTCAGGACTAGTCTTGGCATGGGATGGGTGCTTCTAGGGTCCACCGTAGTCCCATCCCGTGACAGTTGTTCTTGCAATTATAAAAATCGGCTAAATATCGGGTGTTCAATGAATTCTGACACCCCTTGAGTGACTAGGTACAGTATACTTACATATGTATACAGTAGGAAGTACTATAGAAATTAGACAATTAAGCTTCCTGGATGTAATTTAACGCGTACCCTAAGTAGACTCCTCCGACTTCAAGTAGAGCTAGTTGAAAATAGCCCCAACAGTCTTCAAAGCCACGCCTTTAATTCCCGTCTTGTGACCTTTCTCCTTGTCCAATTCGTCGTTATAGAATCGTCGTCCATAGTCCAAGTCCACAGTACTGAGGTCAACCCATCTTCGGCCACGATAGTAGATCTTCGCACCGGCCCACAGCACCAAGATGACGAGGACCGAGACGTAGTTTGCGAAGAACGATTCAGCAGTGACAGTAGCTCCAAGCGGTGCCACTGCGAGATAAAATTGGACAATGATGAGGATGACACACATCATGAATCCGAACCATGCGGCGTAAGGGTAGGTCCAGCTTTTCCAGGGAAGTTCGGATGGCTCACGACCCTGCATTTTCCAGGCCAGCCGAAATCTGATGTGAGAGAGGCAGATCATACCCCATCCGAACAGAGTATAGAGCTAGTTGAAAGTCAGTCTCCACTACTAACCTAGGTACCTCACATTGTCGTGTATGCAACTTACGGATGTTAGATTGGAGAACCAACCAAAGACCTCTGATCCTGAATTGTTGACATTGAGATAGCCCAAGCCGCCACCAACGACAATGATAGGAACTAGACCCCACCACGGACGTCCTAGTTTGTCAGCTTTTTTCATTTGCTTTGGTGCCATGCCGAGATATGCAAGTCCCATTGCTGTACGTGCACCAGCATAGATCGAGATAGAGCCACAAGAGATGACGGACAGCAGGATGATGGCATTCATTATATGAGCTAGGGCAGGGATTCCTGCATTGCGATATGCAACGACAAATGGAGATGCATTTGTACCCTCGGCTCCAAAAAGATCTGGATCAAATGGAGAGACATTGATTGTGATCATCAGTGACCCCAGGAGATAAAACAATGATAGTCGTAACCAGATGGAGCCCACGGCACGTGGGACAGCTTTTCGAGGATTCATAGTTTCGGCGGCAACTAAACCAGCATTTTCAGACCCGGCCATGGCGAAGATACAAGTGGGCATAACAGAGAGGAATCCTTTGAACCCGTTGGTGAAGGGCGTGTCGTTCCAGTAACGGAAGCCAACTGACTCATGGTTGGGGCCGCCTCCAGCGGAAACAACTATGAAGGTCAGCAGTTATTCAAAAAGGTATTGTCCAAGGAATCGTCAGAAATCTTGACACGCGGAGCACTTATGTACCGATGAGAGAGATGATGACCACGAAGATCCAACTGAACTTGATTGTACTGCAAACGACTTCAACTTCACCAAAGATGGTGACAGCTCCGACGTTCACTAGGACAAGCACTGCCCACCATATCGTGATCCAGGCTGCAATTGGGACATTGTCGGTCCAGAAGCTGATGACAGTGTTTGCAGCAGCTAGCTCATTGGCAACTACGTTTTGGCTTAGACGTCAGCTCACAATTGCGACAATAAGATCAATGGTGACAAATTTAGTACTATGTACTTCAATGGGCACGAGGGCTGGTAATCCTTGGATATATATATCCCTGGCCAGTAGCCTCCGTGGGAAGGCCCATGCACATAGTATGGACATAGTATGACGAGATTGAATGACTGTACTCACCGGTGATTGCAAAGGAGAAATAGTATGCCCAACCAAGGGCAAAGGCAGCAGATGGGTCAACGAATTTGCCGGTCCACTGAACAAAAGCAGAAGGGAGTGGGTACATGACAGCCATCTCGCCAATGGAGTGTGCCACAGACCAGATCATTGCACCCGACAGACAGTACCCTAGGAAGATACCTGCAGGGCCACCGCTGATCAAAGATGATCCAGAACCTAGCCACAGACCCATTCCAATACTGGAGCCCAGAGCAATCATAGTGAGATGGCGGGTGCTGAGGATTCGCCTCAGTTCAGAATCCGCACCATGATCATGGACGAAGACGTCGCCAGTAATAGAATGTCGTTTGGCTGGTTCGACGTCCGCGTCCGAGGCTTTCGTTTCCTGGACATATTCGCTGCCAGTGATTTTTGGGTCCATCTTGCACAATTTCAAGTACGAGTGAGCGAATGTAGCGAAGAACAAGAGGGGGACGGCCCTGGAGATGTTCGAGTTAAATAGACCAGGACAAATTGCACCATGATCGATAGCGATCCTGGCCGCCTCGCATATAATTGGTATGAGACCCCCATTCCTGCACCACGCGCTGCTATCTGATGCAAAGACACATGCTGTTGCCAGGGTAGCATTTGATGCTGGTGGCACGATCATCCACGTTGAAGGACGGGAAAGCCAATCAAAGACGAGATCATATGCTTATTGTCGGGGTTCTCCCTCGAAGGTCGTCCAATTCAAGAGTGCCAAACAACGCCTAGGCAATGCCAAGTTCGATGCTTGGGCTGATAAGAGCAATCGGCAAAGGGTAGCGCTGCACCCCAAGACATCTTCCAAGAAATATCCAAGACAATTCAGAATGTTTCTGGAAGGTCAAGATGGTTCATCGACGTTGGATGCTACCCTCTTGACTCTTATCACGGCCTAAAATTTCTCGGTAGAGAGCGCTGTGCAATGAGTGCTCACCGTTGTTATCTTGGGAATGGAACAAGGGTATTGGTTGGCTTTCTTGGCCTTGGTCATCCTTGATTCCTGGGTCCACGGATTTCACAGCTGATAGGGCATGCTCCCCAAATCCCATCTTATCCAAGCCGAAAGAACCTCTGAAAAGAAGCATGCCATGGGTTTTTCTGCCGCATCTCTTTGAAATGTATCCACGTGGACGTGGTGGGACAAGTGTGGCAGGGTTCCTCCGGAATTTGCTCTGCGATCTCCGCCAAATGATCAAGCCGTTGGAAGAGCTTCGGGCAGAGGCAGATGATAGAGTGGGAAAGCTGAATGTTTTATGCTCTCACAGACAGCGCTAATTGCGAAGGATTGAAGGACGCCTGACTGAAGATGGAGAGCAGTGCCATCGGATCCTTCACATCGAAACTCTGCTTCCGACACTGCCCTGTCAGCAATCGGTTGGTGACTTGGAGCTGTATATTAGCACTTAGGCGAATCAGCTCCATTGGACTAGGATGTCTCGCAAAGTTATGTCCAAAGCTTTGGGAGATTCCGAAGCGATATGCAAGGAGGCAGTCCCCGCTCCGCTCCAAGCCTGGAAGCAATGTTCATCAGGTCTTGCTCCTGCCCATCTCATTTCAAAGGAGACATTGAATGGAAAGTCGGAAATCTGGGTGGTTTGGGGATGGGAGGTGGTTTTTATGTCGGGGATCAAGGGGGAACGTGAAACGCCAGCGCCTTTGACAAAGGGCGTACTTTTCGAGGGGCCAAGGGGGCCCCTCCGGCCGCTTGGATAATAACTAATACGGCGGTGCTTTGGGGGATGTGTTGATGCTTGAATACCGAACCGATTGGTTGCCTACAGTACGGATTACAGATACGGCTTACCCTCTGAGAAGCCCCATATCCTCTAACGGCCATAACTTCGTCACCAAAACCCATTCCTAACCATGCTGGGTGGCACTCACCTACACTCCCTCATGATCTGGAGTTATCAACGAACTATTGGCTAAAGTTGCGGCGCTCGGCGCTCGGGCTCTCATCCATACCCTCGGCATCTGTTCTCCATAAGGGGTGTGAGCCGTACACTTCGATTTGATTGACGGGCCCAGGCACGCATCGTGGTTTCGTGTGTATCATCACAACTAAATTCTCTCATTCTAGCCCAAAATCCTGGGGTAGACGAAACTGTGCAAGTCAATTTCCATCAGCGTTTTGATAATGTAAGCTCTAGAGATGTACAGATATTTGAACCATCCTTCTTCTCATATTCAAATGCATTCACGAATCGAAGGCAAGAGACATGTTTTGGTCGTAAACGTCAATTTCCATAGTTAATGCGGCAAATCTGCTACTGCTCCATACCCTTATTTTCTTACACCATTTTGTCGGTCATGACTGATGAATTTGGTCGACTTTACAAATCGAGATAATATGAAGCCTTCATAAGTTAGGCCTGGCGAAGGCATCCTCGCCATTAACCCAACTACATAGTAACCAACACCAAATCGTTGAAACTTGTTCTAAACCTGACCCACTACTTTCTGAAGCCGGGGAAATTGCAGACCCTACGTAAATATGAACCTTTGCGTTGGAAGTCAGCCCCTAGTAAGCCGCTCTTCTATCCATCTCGCAAGGGATACCGAACGTTGGTCTATCAGCCTCCAGAAAATGTCGGCTGACCAAAGCACCACGGGAAGGACAATCATATATCCCATGATCCACATTCGAGCAAATTGTCCACTTGGCATCTCCCACACAGGAACCCCAGAAACAAAATTGTTGACACTAGGCTGGAGCCAGTACCACAGCGATTTGATAATCGCGCCGTGGACCAAATACAAGGCGAATGATATTTGGCCCAGATACTGTGCCACAGGGTTGCAAAACAGTGGTGCAATGATGGGTGAGGTGGCCACCGGCCAGGTTGTCATGACGGCACCAATGACTCTGATGAAATCATCCTTCTCCTCAATGTATAGCGGCACCATTGAAAGTGCTGGCCTGTACGCCACGTACCCGTAGGTATCCTGCGGTGGGATTGAGAGCAAAAATAAGCCCAGTATGAACATAGTGAGACCAGTCACGTGGCGAAATCGCCGATTAGTTGTTAGAAGTCTCCAATCGATGGTACGGGCGGGTTTCGACTCGGTAGAGAGACTATATGCGCATCGTTGTCCAGATGAGATTGTTCGGCTCGATTCCACCGACCATTGCTCACTGATGATATCAATCTCCGCAAACAGCATTCCTGAAATGAACAGAGTCTCTGGGAATCTCTCGGAGAACAGGCAATTGACGGCAAAAGCGACGTGAATCAACATCCTCCAATGGGATCTCAGCCTCGCTGTTGTGATCAATACCATAAAGATCAACATACTGCATCTGAATTCGACCGGAATTGTCCACAGGTGTCTGTCATAGATGATTCCAGCAGGCCTCGAATTATTATCGAGTTCATAGGGAATATTGAACCTCCCCCAGGGAATTGTGTTGTCCATCATACGGTAACAATCTTTTAATCCATCAAGAATCTGGGCAAGTAGAGACCCGAGCCGAGGAGGAGGGGCTTCTTGTGGACCACGATTGCCCGAATGCGTCTGCCAGTAGAAAGTGTTCCCCGCAGCGAATAGTTGAAAGTGCACCATCAGAACTGTGATCATGATTATAGCCATGGATGGAATGTAGAGACGAAGTGCACGACGAAAGACCGCCGATGATATCGTTGAAAATGCTCCAGTCACATCATTGGACCTGCTCTGTCTGAGTGATTTGCCAACCAAGACATATCCTGAAACGAAGAAGAAAATGTTGACCATCGATATGCCCGACCATAACAACGATATGTATGGCTGGTACATTATCCGTGTTTGGAGCACATCGGAGCCTGCCTCCTCGAGACAGTTACTGAAGGAGTATGCATAATGCGCGTGAAACACGAAGAGGCACGCTATGCCTCGTAGTCCATCGAGGGAAGCGATCTTCCGACTCTGAACCTTGGTGTGCTCAGAGTGTTGGTTATTGCTCACGAGATTTATAAGAAAGCTGGGGAGGGCCAGGTGAAGTAAATTTCGGATGAACTTGGGGACGGTGACAATCGCGTACTTGGGCACACTTCGTATGGTGTTGTGAGCTTTGAGGTGAATATACACTGCCTCGGGTGATTCTGCACCTGTTTTCAATCTCCAAGACTCACTAGGATCGTTGGTGCAATGGTGGTCGTTTGACAGCGGTCGAACTTTGCTATTCGTTCTGAAATGCATCGTGGTATTTGCTGTGGTCCGCGGTTTTGTCCTGCAATTGTTAGGTCGAGCATCTTGGGTGCGACTTCGAAGCCCTTTGTACACAGTATCAATGAGGTTCCTGTCGGACTGTGATGATCTCGACGTCAATCAAATGAACATCACAGCGCCCAGAGCCCCTGGTGAAAGATCCGATAGAATTTACCCAATCAGTTCGGTAACTGCCAAGTGTATTTCTCAGGTCAGTCAATCAGCCATTGAGGTAGCGGATGTGTATCAGGTCTCCATTCACTGGTTTTTCTGGACCGGCTGTCAATGAGAACCTTGATTGACCGGTGCACCCGCACCTATGCCACGTCAATGTGTCAATGTTCTGGCCGAACCTGGAGCGCATGGCACGATCAAAATCTCCAAGCCGCTCAAGGACAGCCAAGTGTACCTCACGGACCACGTCGCCCCTGAGATTTGGAACCATGCTAGGTACCAATCAACCCATAAGGGTTGTGTTGCTAGATTCATTGTTGGTCACAGGCGCGCCAAGCTACCGCTGCCCACCTGAAACGGCTGTAGACCTCAAAGGCAAGGGGATTGAGATTGATAGTTACCATACCCATCCTGCACCGTCATGGCGGGTTAATAGTAAAGTCATGGAAATTCAACTCGAATGAAACTAAAGCGTACATTCGCCGTTGGGTAGCTTAAGATTACAAGTCGCCATCTATTTTTGACATGCGATGTCGCGCTGTCAAGTGGGACGTTATAACCGAGGTAAACAATGCGATTCTTGTCGAGCAAAGCGCCAAGTCGCAAATTTACACATCCTCACTGACAGGATAGTCACTTCACCCACGTCAGGTACTCAGTCGCACATAAAATTCGGACACGGAATGTCAGAGCACGAGGTTCAATCGTCGCAAGTCGCCCCATACTTATCTTTTACCGTCGAAATAAGTATCACCAACTTCATGCATTTACACCGAATCACCGAAGACTACGAACCGGTACTTCAATGAGCGAGGACGGATGTCAAAGAATCTACACAGGTGGTGGGTTCAAAGGTTACCAGTAGCTCAACAATTATATTCACTATCTAGTCACCGTGATATGCCGATACTCGACATAGTCGGAAATTCACCTCAGTTGAATGACTGCCAAACCACTGGGCCACATCCAAGACACATTGATGCCAATCTTGCCCTCAGAGCGCCACATCCTTAGAGAGTGTACTTGAATCCCGGTTGGCCCTCAATTGGCTCCGTCAAGGTTCCATCATCGAGCTGTTTGTTCTTTCGGCGGAAGTACACTGTGTTGAAGGCCACCAAGGAGAAGATGAAGAACTGGAGACCAGCTGTCACCCATAATCCTGGTACATAACGAGGTGCATCCTTCTCGCGGAAGACGGTACTTGCTATGATACCGCCGACAGCACCGAATCCAATCTGCAGCGCACTTCCCACCGATCGCTTGCTCTGCATACGAATGTTGTTGCTCTGGTAGGCTAGGATTGCTGGAACATTACCTTGACAACCTGCAATGCCTAGGAAGATGCCGAAGTATCTGACACCATTTGACCTGTGATATGCCGTGATCATCAGACCAATTATGACGATAAGTGACTGCGTTACAATGATTGGGCCGCGAAAGTGGTATCGATCCCCAACCCAGGCGAGGAACAGTGCACAAGGCAGAGCAGTGATGACTGGAGGTGCGGACAGCAGATTTGCGACCCCAGCACTGAATCCCATACCCTTGACACATCAGTATCCACGAAAGCAAAGAATCACAAGATTTGTAAGTACTCACCCGAAGGATGACAGGCGTGAAATAAGCAAAGGCGTATCTGTAAGCACTTATTAATTGAGGTGATCAGAGGGCGGATCAGTAAACGTACGCTGGCATTGTGGTGGACATAAACATCAGTGCACTGCCCAAGATTAGTACCCACGACCGAGGATGTGGACGTGTAACTTACAACACCCACAGCTTCCAATCTCTGAGGTGGAAGAAAAATTTGGCCCACGTCAATGAATCGGGCTCCGCATCTCCTCGGTCGGTTTCAATCCTTTGCTTCACGAAGGCGGCCTCAGCAGCCGAGAGAAAGTGCTTTTTGTGGGCTTTGTCAGGAAAGTCGATGATGAGGAACCATGCGGCTATCGCCACCAGCTGGGTGAGAAGCCCTTCTATGATCTGGCAGAATGCAAGTGATTAGTGCTCGACGAGACCATGGACCCGGGGAGATACTGCTTACAAAGATCCACTGCCATCCTCGCTGTCCACCAACACCTTCCATTTGCATCAGGCCGTAAGCTAAGATGTTCGAAAACCCCCCAACAAACACGGAGACAAGATAGAAGGCAGCGAGTCGTTTCTGCACCTCGTACCTCACGTACCTGCAACGTTGTCAGAGGCAGAGCCCTCGAGAATTTTCTTTTGTATCACCCATCACTCACCAGCATGTTACAAGGTACACACATCCAGGGAAAAAGCCTGCTTCGAACAAGCCCAGGAGTGCTCGACATGCTGCTAGCGCGGCATAGTTCTTGACGAAACCTTGTCCGAGCATCACTGTGCCCCATGCGAAAGCAATGAATGAGAGCCAGTTGGCACTGCCAACGCGACGCAGGACGATGTTTGATGGAAGCTCAAAGAAGAAATAAGGAGGAAAGAACACAACAAGGGCAATTGTGTAGCGCGATCCAATGTGAAGGCCTAAGTCTTCACCCATGCCAGCGACACGGGCATTGGAAATCTGAAAGGTCAGCAACGTTCACAGGTTGCACTCGTAGTCTTGCCCGGTCGCTCCGAGGCTCGCAGAGTGAGCTGACTTACATTGACTCTGTCAATCAGTGCAATAGAGTAGAGAGCACCAAGGATCGGTAGCAATCTCCAATCAACCTTGCGCATCAACTTCTTCTCATTGCTGACATCGAATTCGTCTGCTGAGGAAGAAGGTGATTGGCTTGTAACCCTCTCATGCTCACCATGAGATGCATCGTCGACTTTCTCGGTTTCATAATTGGTCGCCATGGTAGTACGAGAGAGGATGGAGGATGGGAAGAGAAGTAGATGAAAAGACGAACGGAGAAGATGATTGAGTCTCCTTGACCTGAGGCGAGCTGGCCTTTATCCTTGTCGTGCCCATTGAGACAACTCTTTGCCCAAGATCTTGGATGCTTGGAATGTCTTGGTATTGAGAAACATAAGCATTTACCCCACGTTTAAACCAAGGGTCACTGGTTGGCGCTCTCAGCATCTGGTATAGCTACACAACTTTGGCGCTCTGTGTTTGATTTTATTGGTGGGAAATATTTCCAAGCCGACGCACTGTTGTGAGGGGACATTTGCCAATAGACTTGGAAGATGGAGTATAGCAAATCAAGTCTTTGCACGAGGTCTGGCAGCCTCGGTGAAACCAAGCTGAGCACTTTGGTTCATTATCTCCTCGAGGGCTGGTCTGTTGCACTGGGGCTGTGCCATTGTTCCTTCCAATTACCGAAGGCTTCCTAAAACCCTCTGAACCCTTGGCCGGAGAGTTGAACAGGTCGTCCGTGGAGATGCCAACTGCGACAGATTCTAAATTGATTGAGACCTGTATGTGCTTACCCGCGGACTCCAGGAGCTCGCACAAAGGTTAAGATACTGTTTCCAAGGAGCCTACTTTCATGTCGGGCTCCCTGTAACGCAAACACATGCGCAGGTGATTCGAGCAGAGAAGAACTTTGCGGTGTTCTTCCAGTAGAGCCACAAAATTAGGGCACGAGTTGTACTTCTGTCAACACGAGACCAAGAAAATGGCTGAGCGCCAAGTCCTACAAAGACCAAATAGAGTACTAGTGGCACCGGTGGCACCGGTGGCACCGGTGGCTGTCTCTGCATATCGATGTTGCGTGGCATTGCGCCTGGGAGTTTAGTAGATAGAAAAGCGTTTGGTGGACAGCGAGATATTTCGCTATCCCCCAGGTAGCGCCCGGCAATGCTTTGTGGCTTAACGACGATCCCGCACCCCGCATTCTGTTCCGCCTAAGAAGCCCAAGGCCCAGTCCGGGGTATTTTGCTAGGCGAGATGGGGTAAATGATAGCCAACTACCTAGGTAGCTATCGCCAACCAGATGGAATCGTATGTGTGATTCGGTAAGAAGCGGTAGGTAGTACAGCGTTTTGCGATATTTCAAGTGAGGTGTTCCTTTTATATGCTATTGGGTTTCCTAGACGATGATGTGATTTAGTATGTACATCAAGCAGTGATGACCGCTGACCCTTGAGCACTCCAAAAGAGGATCATGCTTATGCCTTCGCACAGAGACCCAGGCATAAGCAGAAGCTAGGCATAGCCGCCAAGGGAATAGGCAGCACCGCCCAGGCTGTGCTAGCCCCTTGACTTCAATGGGTTGACTCGCCTGGGGCGTGTCCAGCATCGTCATCGGAAAGGGATATGCTCGACCAAGGCTTTATTTTCATATCTTCAACTTGAGTCCTGCCTCCTCCGTCAATGCCAGATATCCTTCTCTGACATGCGAAGGCATTCCTTGCTCCGATGGTCGACCTAATATGCCATCCTTCGCCTCAACCCAGACATGCATCGATCCACCTACCGCCTTGACTGCTTCATCCCCTTTCTTGAAAACCCCCACTTCATAAACCACGCTGGTCTTTCCAAGCTTGGCTACTCGGAGCCCAATGTCTATAACGCTGGGATACTCCACGGATCCGAAATAATCGAAATACGTATTGACAATGATAGCTGCTTGGGGGCTTTTGGACGTTTTGTAGCCACATTCGTCAATCAAGTACTGATTGGCTATGCTATCACACAGTACACCGTACTTGGGGTTATTCATGTGGCCGAAAATATCATTATCATCCCTAGATACGATCAGCGCTGAATGTCACCAGGTAACCAATGGACGTACCATCGCAATCGATATTCTAGAAAATAACGATAATCTTGCCGCGTACGCTTTCGTTTCGATGCAATGTCGGATCCTAGCATTTTCGATGATAGGCGCCAAAGCAGACTCTTTGGGAGTCAAGTCAATTTCGAGATGTATCTACGTTGATTGAGTAGCTACGAAGAAAAATTCTTTGCTTGTACGCTTCGCCTTGCCCAGAATAGTCGCTGGGAGGCGTAGCCGAGGTTGAAGACTTTCGGCTCATGCCTTTCCGGCGATCGGGTCGAACCGGTTACCTTCATCGCTCCTAATGAAACCCGTAAATTGAAAAATCTCCTATTTTCCTACTTATCACACTTGAAAGAACATCACACGAGCCTCCGGTTTGCTATTGCTCTATAAAATTCGGCACGTCAACTCCATCTCTTGCGCGTTGAAGTCGTGCGCATACCGCCATCGTCCTCAACTACCTAGAAAAGGCATCTGTCCCGGCCACGAACGGGTTCTCCTGCTCGCACTCACCGTCCTCGCATTTTCTGGCCTCCAGAATGTCGAAGCTGGTCACAGACTGGTCCTGGTTTGGATGGTTGGCGAGCATGACGGTTACATTATTATCCTCGATCACCATTGCCGGCTTATCATTGACCTGAGCGGCCCACTGTGTCCCATTGCTCTTGATTCCAGCTCCACCGTTCAGGGCTGCCATGTATTCCCTCTGCCATCTCGCATATTGAACATGAAGCTAGTGCAACCCGATGAGTGACCAGGTGTTGCAATGAATCGTATTGTTAGGTTGCCAAGCTTGAACTCCTCGCCGTCGACCATAACCTGGTCTCGTCTTGACCCACCGTCAATTTCATAGTGTGCCATATTGTCCCAGCCGATTACACTGCCGTACGCCGGTATATGGTACGTGTCTCGCAACCACCAAACGCCACCAAAGTGGTCGAAGTGCTCATGCGTGATGAAGACGGCCTTGATATCATGCGGCGTGTAGCCGAAAGCCTGGAAACCAGGAACGATGATCCTCTCAGCTTCCTCAGCGATGTGTAAGGCATCAATCAACACCAGCCCTCGGCGGCATCGATCGCCCAGGAAGACACCCAATTCTGCCCTAGAATGTAAACTTCGTCAAATACCATGGTCGGTTTCACAAAGCCTGGCGTGCCCAGAGCGCTCATCAGGCCTCGGCAGCACTGTGCAATGAAGCTCCATGGGATCCTCCAGGTCGGGCTTTACAAGTGCGAACGCCTAGCTCAAAAAGGCGCGAAAAACTCTCAGTTTGCGCATTTCGAATTCTGTGGTATTGAAGAACGTAGAGAAATTTACGAGGACGAAGTCCAGGGTCTTGCCTTGCTCTACGTTGGATGCTAATAATCAACGCCAGTAAGGCAGCTTTCATGATGTGCGGGTACCGGGTGCGTCGCTGAAACTTCCTCCTTTGTATGCTAGCGTTGTGTCAGCAACACGAGTCGTGATGTGATCAGATCATAGACGTATTAGGCGAGTTAGGTCGGTTCTATACACGTTTGCTCTGTTGGCAGCGCGATACCCCGAGGCGGTCCACCTACGAGGGGAATACACATCAACGCACATGACGCTATGAGTCAATGTAGATTGAAAACTGGCCCGATCTCAAGATCAGCACACGAACAAAGAATTGTTGACTGCAACTCAATCCTGGAAAACCAATAACTATCCAAAAAGTTGGTTAGCGAAGAGATTCGCTCACTCGTTCCTCATAGGTAGCCCACAGTCCCCGGACTCCACATATCTATGCTACAACTCCCATGACTCGCCTACAAAGATCTAAATGTTTGAAAGCGGGCGAAGGGACGGGAGATCTACCACTAGTATAGCCAAACAAGCTCGGCCGTCAAGATCCGCTAGCTCCACGACAGATGTTGAATGCAGTGCTTCGGGTTCCCCCGACGAACTGTGTGATACCATGGGCCTTATCGGAGGGACGCTTGATGGGGCTTCAAGGTTATAGTCATGGGACCGAGCAGTCAATCTCAGGCCTTCATTTACTTCGTGCTGCAGAGTGCTGGCAGAACTGATTACTGCTTCAGACTGATACTGCTTCTCATAGTCCATGATAGAGCGACACTCGTTGACTCGGGGACTTTGAAAACGTCCCGGAAGTACCCTCCACCGCCCTGCAAAGAACCTCTACCAGCACAGATCTTATGGGCATAAGCAAGTTGAACTTGAGGAGACTTCATTGCCGTACCTGCTACTGTATCGCGTGGTCCTTACTCACTCCATCCTATTATCAAGTGCTGCAAATTACTTGTGTGGTTGGCTAGCCTATAGATATTGACACTAATTGCCGAGGAGAGGCAGGCAGCATGATGGAAAACGCTGAGTATCCATCTATGATAGAGATCGTAATTACAATACCCTCCATTGGCGCTCTTCGTCCTGCTTGGTCTCTGATTGTTAGAGTTTGGCTTTATCAGAATTTGTCTGAGACAGTAACCTGACTCTTGCCAACGCCGCATTCAGACTTTTCTTGGTATTTTCGAAGTAAATGTGACTAAATTCACTGCTCGCCTGTCCACTTATCGTCCGAGCCTGGATCCCATGGGTAATGGTCCCCCCTCTGACATGGTGAAAGATTTTCCCGACCTCCCAGTCCTTTCCACCGCCGTCTTTTCGGAGGTCAAACCCTCGTATACTAGAGTAGCGATCCATTAGCTCATCTGGGTGGGGCATCCCGCTTGAGGCACGATTCTCTGATATATATGGTGATTCGTTGGATGTGCCGGATGAATGTCCTGCCTGGGCAACCTCATTCCAGAAAGGGCTGAGGGTAAAGAGTACGTCCATGAGTGGATGTCCGATAGTAGATAGCTCCCAGTCGAGCAGGGCTATCACGCGGGGCTCAGTAGGATGAAGGACCTTTAGAGAGTCAATAATGGCATATGAGTAAATGAGAGTAGAGACCTCAGCTTACTTACCATGTTATCAAATTTAAAGTCCCCATGCACGATGGAATAGCGATTGCCAGGGAGGTTCTTCCTCACATATTCAATAATCTCATCATAGTTCTCGTGGGCACGTCCAAGTTCCTTGCCAGTCTCGACGTCTTTGACCTTTGCTTGTTGAGCCTCAATCCGGCTAAAAGTGTTGCAATGTCGAGCATAGAAATCCGTCTTCTTGCCATATCCTTCCAAACCAATGGCATCCGGATCCAGAGAATGAAGCCAAGCAAGGGTTTCGATGGCAGAGAACCAGCTGACAATACGCCGTGTCAACAATATAACGGCAAACTGTTAGCGTTGTTTGAGATGACTTACGCTTGTCTTCGCTCCGAGGGAGACAGCTCTCCAAGGTCTGGATCTGTGATTATCCGACCTTTAACAAATTCCATAACCTAGATCGGAGGTTCCATTTATAAGCGATCCCAAGTGATACGGAAAGGTCATACATAGAAAGCTGTCCCAATCACGGAACTGTCCATACATAGCGTGAAGACCCTTGGCACAGGAAATCCCTCCACAGACCCCAAGGCCTTCAAGACTCGAAACTCTCGGTCGACCTGATGTGCGACAGGACTAATGATCCGTCCTGAGGGCTTTTTCCTTAACACAAAACGTACCCCGCTATAAGATGGATTTGTCAGAAACTCGTCTTCAAACCAGCGAAGTGACGTGTGCAATTCACAGAGCTGGACCTACGCCGCATCATCAACGAAATAAGTAGGATTACTCTGGCCATAACCAATCTTTGTCGACAAAACAGGCAGCTTCAGTCCCAGGATTGCATTTGTACTCAGTAGATACTCTCCTAGTTTCTTATCGTCGAGGCCGTGACGTACGCTGGATGGGCGCTTGTTGGTAGACATGATTCTCTAGTTAAGTGGTGTTGAAGATGGACCTCCTGATACGTCAGGTGCCGCAACTGCTTAGGCTATTATTCACTCCACCCATATGAGACCTGCACGATCTGTGTCTCGGAATTGAATTACTTCTATTGTAGTTGAGAGATCTCACACTTAGGATATGCATGCGGGGTCGGTGACTCGGTGCCGACTGACCAATGTCTCGAGCAAACCTCGGCTTAACTTTTAGCTCGGCCTTGCATCCCAAAATTGGCAGCGCAGGATCCCGAAGGTTATTGTGGTGCGAGCTCGGGATTCCAAATGTAGTTTGAAATCTGTTGGAGCATGTGTAGTTATAGGTGATTGGTGGTATGTGATGAGGATCTCCGAAAAAGAGCACAGCACACGCAGTCAACCATTTTGGCACACACAGAGGAGTTGTTTGAGAGAGTTCGTAGAATCGTACTTGGGGTCTATCTCCTAGATATGTCACCGGTGCAGGTCAGGATAACTATATTAGACTATGTTTCAACTTGGTAACATATCCTGCATCTGGGTTCGCGAGAAACGAAAGTGGTTGGTATTATCTAGAAAACGAGCGAAATTGGGTATCATCTCATCTCATTTCGTGCATTGACATGGGCCTTCTCTTCACTTTCGCATTTCCTCGTGGTGTGTGATATTGGTACCTTCGTCCTTGAGATCCTCTTTCACACCCTCGAAATGGTATAGCGGCTTCAATTTCGCATCCTTGCGGAAGAATACATAACGTTGAATGAACCATGGAAGCCATGTACCGGTCTGATACTTGACGAAAGTACCAGTGGGCACTGCAAAGACATAGTCCAATTCCTCGAGTGTGCGCTGTTTAGTTTCCGGGAGCCACAGGAAGATCATTACAAGCGCAATAATGTTTAAACCCCTAGAACCTGTTAGTTTGATACTGGTTTAGCAAAGAGAGTTCCACTCACGCGAAGAAACCAAAGGCACCAGTTGGGGTGAAGGCATCTAAAATTCGAGGGAAACAAATTGACAAGACTGCAGCCCAGAAGAGACAAGTAGCCACAGCCCAACCCATACCAACCTCTCGGTGTGATAATGGGAAGACTTCTGCCGAATAGGTGAAAGGAACGGGACCTTCTCCTGGCGAGTAGAAAGCTGCGAAGAGATAAACAAACAGTGCGATCACGCCCAGATGAGCGGAGCTTTCCTCAGGAATGTAAAAGGAGAATCCTGCCGCTAATAATGTCCAAGCCATCTGGGGAAAGGTAAATAGTAACAAGCTCCGACGTCCAAAGGTGTCGATTGTGAAGAAAGCTGGAAGGGCGAAGATGAAGTTAACTGCACCAAAACCGAAGCTGGCGAGTAAAGCAGCGAGGTCGCTAGCACCAGCTTCTCGGAAGATAGTCGAGGAGTAGAATGCCACGATATTGATACCACACATTTGTTGGGCAATCATGACCACGAATGAAGCGAGTGTTGCTCGACGAACACGCGGAATGGTGAAGAGCTCGCCGAATCTCTGAAAATAGTTCGTATCACCAACAATTTCAGACTCGACCTCAATTTGGGCGTTGATATAGTAAAGATCTCTGGCTGCCAAAATAGGATGGTTGCGAAGGATGAGAAGTGATCTGTAAGCGTCTTGGAAACGACCCTTCTTGATATACCATCTGGGTGATTCGGGACAGAAGTACACAAGAGCCGCGAGTGGGACGGCCGGAATAAATGCAGATCCAAGCTGTAATCGCCAAGAGATGCCTCCAGTGTTGTACACCGCCAGGTTAGCGGCAGTGCCCAAAAATATGCCTAAAGTGTCCGTGAGCAATAGCAGTGAAGATTTCAGCGTTGGTATACGCACCAAAGGCGGTCCAAAATTGCCACGTCATAACAAGGGCACCACGAATCGCTGCTGGAGAGTTTTCAGCCGCAAAGATAGGTGTTGTCGAGCCCTTTAGACCCATGCCAATACCCATGAGCAGGCGTGTAACGAAGAGTTGTTCCCAAGTTTGACTGACGGCGCCTCCAATAGGAGTGAGGATCAGGAAGATTGCAGAAATAAAGATGACACCACGTCGACCAAAATATTTGTTGCAAGGGTCAGACAGCCAGCAGCCAATGAACGCAGATCCACTGGTAGTCACACAGATCGTTAGTTTCAAGCTCGTGGTCATGCTATGCAAGTGGAGACATACATGTAAGGGGCAGCGTTGATAACACCCACTAGCCATAGGTTCTTCTCTGCATCTGGATTTGGAGAGCCGTCCGATAGTTCGTTGCCATCAGGAATTCCAAAAGCAACAGGGAAAGACAAGTTTGCACCATTCGAACCAGTCTGATCCCAACCTTGGACAGCAGCACCAATAGAACAGACAGCAACCGTCATGTACAACTTGAGTGGATGCCTCCACTTCTTGGTGACTTCGATGCGCAGAGCTTCTTTTTCATCATCTTCAAGTTCGAGGCTTTCGTAGCCACCTGCATTGCGCATTAGAGCCAAGAAACGAGTGCTGAGAGAGTACGAGTTGTACCTGGGTTCTGGGCAACAAGTGCGCCTTTCTGAAGCATGGCAGTGTGCTCGGTAAGGCCAGTCTCCTCCGCAAAAGAGACTACATCCGCCATCAATACATCCTTGGGAATGCCACCCAAAGGGTTAGAGATCCTATACACAGATTTAGTAAGCTTAGCACGGATAAGCCATGATAAGTCTTATGGCGTAAACAAGAACTTGAGAGTCTTGACTTACTTGGCGTCCAAATTCTTGTTCATATTTACATCCGCAATTGTGGAGCGGCGGCGGCCACTAGCAACCGACGTCTGCCGCCGCTCTTGGTGAGGGCCATCCTCAAAAGACTGGGACTTCTCATGATTGTCCATGTTGAGCTGGTAGCTGGGGACCAACAAATTCAATAATCGGACAAAGGGAGGGTTGGGTGGAGGGTGAGAGGAAATCTAAATAGCTTTTCCAGAAGCAAGGCAGACCGCGAAATTCACTCCGGTTGAACCATGTTGATCATACCATGGACCCATACCATGCTCTGTCTGATGGGTCAAGACCCAAGTGTAACATCGGTCAACGAACGTTGAGACTGGCGCATGGAGCACGTCACAATTCAGCTCTCCCCACGGCCCCTTAGGCGGGGTAGAAGTTGCAAGAAACACCCTTTGATGAAGCTCGATATGCCTTGCCAAGGGCAAAAGGTAACATCGCGAAAAGGAGATGTGAATGTTCAGCGGAGCCCCACCAACGTAGTGGTCAGACCAGATGACGCCTTTGTGACGGAGCGGAGTCTGATCGGCGGCCAAGAGTTCTTGGCAGCTCTCGGCGGACCTGGGCAGCCTGGGCAAAGCGGAGCATTTTGTAAAACGATATGGTGCGCTAATCGTTCTTTTGCATCGATGCTTGCCTGAGCAAAATTAGCCAGCATGGGCAGCGTCAAGATTGGTGCCGTAGGCTTCGATACGGCTTCACCAACCTTGGCTGGATGCCTTTTCTTATTCCCCTTCCAATGGGAGTTGATCAGGTGACTTTCCCCCATTGAGCTCCATATATCCAGGTTATCGTTTACGCGGGCAAGAAAGTACTGGTTAGTAGGGACGGACTGCCACCTGACCGTGGGAGGACATTCCGTTTTCCCCGTAGTAACCTGAGCTGTTTGCACTGTAACTGGCGAATCATCCACTCACATTATGTTCATTGCGCAAGATGATGCCTCGAGCCAGTGGGAACCACTACCCGGTGTTCTCACTCGATATCCCACAATCAGCTAGCAGTTTTGCATACCCGAGTACTCGTGTAGCCCCGGTAAACGACCACTCTATAGATTGAAATACTTTTCCTCTTGATCTTGATGAACGCATCGTCTGCGAGACTGTACTAATCAATTTTCAACAAGTGGAGATCCACTGTACCCAAATAAAAGAAGCCGTATATGGCTATAGATAGCCCGAAGATGGTGCTAGCTGACCTGGCTGTGACAATGCTCTGCCACTCATCAATTCTTCTGGTAGCTGTTTGGCAAACTTCGCTGGACGCTGACTAACACGTGGGACGGAGTATCGCTCGTGGAGCTGCAGTGGTTGGGCTGGAGACTTTCGTTCGTGTTTGATTCGGTTGTAGCCTCATAGAGCTAGACCTCAGTGGCGCGATACTACGGGCATTGTTTCGTGAAGAAGGAGACGGGTTTTTCATTTGGTGGTCGGCTCGGTAAAGTTACCCCAGAATTCAGTCATAACCGATCGCGTCTCATCATCGACATATAGAGGTTCATGGAGTTATGACAACGAGACTGTCAGCCCAAGAGCACCTGACTCTTGTATTGCACGTTTTGTTTCCTTGCGGACGCCACACATCTTCTACAATGGTGGGTGGCTATTCATGCTAGGGTCGCGCTGACCAGCGCATGTCGCTAGCGCTGGTTATCAAAGATATGAAATGATGGCGTAATGAGAGAGGTGAGAAATTTATGGTTATTGCAATTTTAAACAGGGGCAGGATTGACAACAGGATTATACAACTGCCATAGAGCTTGTCAGCAGCCTTAGATGACAGCAGGAGAAATTTTGGTGGGCTTGGTCGCAAGACAAGCTGACAGAAAGTCATGCAACTTCTCATGCAAACGCATCTAGAAATCTGGTGGGATTAAGGCACATCCAGTATGCTTTAGGTGTCTTTATCACAACAAGCGATCTCGAGGACAGTAGACGCTCTGGGCGAAGCCCGTATCCAATGTAGAGAACGTTTTCCCTTACAAGTCAGCTCTAGCAGAGGATCGATTGTTGGCAGGGAAATCAATGATCATGTTCCATAGATCGAGGTAGGCTAGGCAATGGAATCCACTTGTAGATGAAACACTCGATCTTTAGCTCGGGGTATGCGTAGGTTCTTACCAAAGGGGAACCCATATCACTACGAACCCGCTCGTTATTAAATCCTGACCCTCTGATGAAGTGAAACTGTATTGCTCCTATGTCAAACAGGAGGGACATAATTGCAATTTGTATCCAGCTGAGCGGCGAACCGATGAGAGTAGCGAGGTGCGCTAGCATCGCTTCTTTGTGCCCAGCGTCCGTTCTCTTACATCAAGATCCCCACGGGTGTAAGGAAGAGGTGCCACGTAAAGTACCATGGGAAGGACCGTTTGCTCTGGTCGGGTTCTAGGATATGCCAATCCCACCATGTCCCTTGCGGCAATCCATTTGTATCGACCATCAGAAGAAGCTTTAATAGGGCTTGGAGCAACTTCATCACACTGTAATTTCAGTGAGAGAGGAGGATATAGCCTGCTCATCCGCAGGAGAGGCGCATGTCCTGATGGTTACTCTGAGGCATCTCGTAAGTGGGTTACCAGCCACCAAGCCAGCGACTGCCTCGGCACTTATGTAATGTCTTTATAATCTGGTTCCAATAGAAGCAACATACCCGGAATATGCCTTGGCGATGGTTGGCCTGGTAGTGGAATAGGACAGAGTCGAGCCTTTGGTGCGCTTGGTTTCCACCCTGCTGATAAATTCTATCTATGCTTCTGGCGCTGGCTCCCTGATAGAGTAGCTCGTACAGCCGGGGGGTGGAGGGGTTCTTGGGAAAGGACCTCGGGTGGCTGCTGCTTTCACTCTGTGTTGCCGCCCTATCAACGCTGACGTAGGGAATATCACAAGTTCACAACATCTTCAGATAACCCGGTAACATTTCCATTTCGAGAGGTAGGCTGCGGAGGACAACATCCGCAAATTTGTTATTTCCAATGACTCAGAGCAGACAGGAGCTCTTTTTAATACCAGACATTTGCAAGCTTCGAGATATGTGAGGCCTTACTCTTCCTCCAGGAGCTTTCGTGCAGAACTTGCTGTAATATGGCCTCAATCATACTGTATTACTCCCCCGGAGCTTGTTCCCTTGCTTGCCATGTACTCCTGAAAGAGATAGGCGTCGAATTCGAAGCTGTAAAAGTGGAAATGAACGCCAGTCTTCCTGAGAGCTTTCGAAAAATCAATCCGAAGATGAGAGTCCCTGTCATTTCAATTGATACGAATGTGATTACAGAAACGCCAGCAATCTTCACAGCAATATCCCAGCTTGCCCCAGAACATAATTTTCTCGGCAGTTCCAACATTGAGGTTGTACGGGCATATGAATGGCTCAACTGGTTATCTGGAACTCTCCACGGTCAAGCTTTTGGAGGTCTCGTTAGGCCACACAGATATGCCGATGATCCAGCCCTATACGATGCGATCAAAGCAAAAGGATGGAAGAACGTAGAAGATTGTTTTGAGAAGATAGAGTCGGATCTGTCCGGAGTACATGCAGTGGGTGATAGTTTCACCGCTGTGGACATCCTCTTGTATGTCTTTTGGTGCTGGGGAAATTTTTCCGGGGCCGAAATGGCACATAGGTATCCCAAATACACAAAGCTGGTGGTGGAAGTGGCGAAAAAGTCATCTGTACAGGATGTTCTGGAGGCCGAAGGGGTCCCTTCATTTCTTCCGAAGTTGTAAAGGGTAGGCCAGCAGAAGAAAATTTGCTGCTGCGAGATGCGAGGTGCCTGGTGTTACTGGGGACTGAACAGTGCTGTTCGTGGCTTCTGGGAGCCACTTCCCCAGTGGAAAGGTGAAAAGGTACCTAGAGAACTTTAGGTCCCTAAGATACTTGGTGTAGAATATCCTCAAATCGGCTTTCTCATTCTCCAGCTCCAGTGGCCCTGAGGATTCTCAGCCATGCCGTTGCAAGCACCAAGATCTGATGCTGTTGGTCCGAGTCGAAGTTTGTTGGCTTCAAGTGCCAGTTTGATGTACTTCTGTGCCCCTCGCAAGCCTCCAACAGAATTGTATGTCAGTGCAGCATGACAATAGGCAGGATCGATGTACCCATCAAGGCCCTCGTCTTGATAGATCTTGATCAGCCTTTCGGCCTTCTTGACGTTGGCTTCAGAAGTAGGCGTCCAATCCGAAAGCGCTGCTTGCAAGTCAGCAATCTCCTTCAATGGTCCATCTGCTATCTCCCCACGTGAACATCGTGAGCACGTGCAGGTAAAGTGGAATGAGTCGCGGAGATGGTTTTGGCGTTCTGCATAGGTTTCAAGTGGGTTGGAATACGCGATGGTGATCTCCTCGTCCTTGTCGATAGAGCGGAGTGCAAGAACTTGATGTGACAGTAGGGAAGAATTCGTCCGGAATAGGGAATTTGGTGAACATGCATGATTTATCCTTGCAGCCTCGGGGAAAATAGCGAGATGTCCCCTACCACTAATTTGCAAATCGAAAGCGTTGCCACTGACGACGCCTTGAAGTAACATGTCAGGATCACGGTAAAGGTTAGATAACTCCAGCAAGGACGCTCTTGTTGGAGCCGGTAGTTGGTCGACGGCGATACGGAGGAACTTTTCTCGTTCAGCCTTAGGGAGAAAACCCTCTGTGTACGCAACTAGTACTGGGGTATTGGCGGTTATCGTCTCTCCACGCCTCACAGGAGCTTTCGCAAAGAGTCCCAATCCCCTTCCAGGAGTTGGGCTTGTGTACCATCTAGATTCATATGTATTGATGGCATTATCGGACAGTGCGTCTGAAGTGTGGAACGGAGCAGAGATGGCTATCTTTTCGGCAATGGTTGGCGTTGTGAACAGTGAAATGCCCCTGTTATTTCCAAATGTCTTGCTGGTGTAGACGCAGAGAGTGCTCCCCAGGTTATCGAGAACTTGAGTACAAGCTGGTTCATAGGACCATGGAGTGGAGGTACTACCGTTGTTTTCGCCCGAGTACAGAATAGCTTCGCCCTGCTGGAACAACTCTTGTACGTCTACACTTGCGAAACCGTCTTCGTGGGCGCTGACGAATATTGAAGCTGGAGAATATCCGCGCCGTACAAGCACAGCCAAAGTTGCCAATGCAGACGGGACATGCATCCTGGCAAGAGCGAGGAGTTTGGCTCGAATGGTTCAATATCAGGTTTGCGCGCCCATACACGGATCGTTGGCCCCCTTGCGTGAGGTTTCAAGTTTCGACTCGTAGAACAGCCAACGTGTCCGTTTGACGTTCGTCGGCAGACCTGCCCAAATGTGAACCTAATCTAATCTATCATTCTAAGCGTCCTTGGCTTGAAGCTTCTCTACAAGGCCACGAGTGAGTGTCTACAGCAGGCATCCTTCTTGCCTCAGTCCTCATCTTGTGTGTTTTAGACATGCAAATCCGTTGTTTCGTTTGCCAGTTCAACTGTGTTGCGAATGCTTCCTCCTCGCTCTCTCTGGGTCTGGGATCTGCATTTTCTGAACAAGGCTCCATACGTCATAAGCAGCACTCTGATGCAGCCAAGCTCTCCGGCACGCCTGCCAAGGGCGCCTAGAGACGCCTAGAGACACGAGCTTGGTGCCTACACGTCGCCAACCCTTTCAACCATCCAATCTTTGTGTGCACTCAACGCCCCAGGCAACGCCTTGATGTTCTTGCGGGTCAAAAGCATTTTTCTTGCCGTCTCTTGTGTGGGCTTGTTCGATATGAGATCATGGCATTTTGGGATTCTGACCTGTCCTTGCAAGATCTCCATAGCGAATTCGATGGCATCAGCACGAGGGCTGCCATGAGATATGTATACCCTGCCATCCACTCTTGAACGATTGGACCCGGAATGCATGCAGACAGAAAGCCCTTTCCAAACACGGAATCCCCTTCGCATTCTACCGTGTAAGGTTGTGGCTAGTTGACTATAACACTCCTCGGTGTCGTGGCCTTCGCCTGCGCTATGAGGTCATCGTTGGTATGATGTGTAATACCGCATCAGGTACACAAAGGCGTGCTTTTTACATGGTCAGCCCTCACGGATTAAGTCCTTTGATCTCGCTCCTCCTTCGAGCATATCGATTCTGGCGTGCTTTGGCTACCAACAAACGCTCATTGTTGCTCTACCCTATTGGATTTCAGCCACCACTCATGTCTGCTAGAACTTGATTGATATCATTCACGATGGCAGGATCAACTAGATCTTCTACGGTCCATGGAGACTCAGACCAGGAACCTGAGCATTACAATGAGAAAAACGCCGTTGATGAGGCTCCTGGCCAAAAGCAATCAGTTCTTGGAATTGCGGGCCAGGACCTGACAGCAACAGGTCAGGACGCCTCTCAGCCTGAACGCGCAGATGGCAAGGTTGAGCTCACCGAGGACGATGCCTACGATAAGCTGGGCTACTCTCTACCTGAGTGGCGGAAATGGTCTATCTTGGTACTGATTCTCCTGATTCAGACTTCAATGAACTCCAATGCATCGATGTACGGCTTTGCCGTCGAGGGCATCTCCGAGGAGTACGGAGTTTCCGAGACCAAGGCTAGACTCGGTCAAGCAATATTCCTCATATTCTATGCCATCGGATGTGAACTGTGGGCACCTTGGTCCGAGGAACTTGGGCGTTGGCCCACCCAACAGTTATCTCTCTTTCTGGTGAACATCTGGCAAATTCCAAGCGCGCTAGCTCCAAATTTCGGCACGATACTTGTGGCACGAGCCCTTGGCGGCCTTTCAACAGCTGGAGGCTCAGTCACTCTTGGTGTTATCGCTGACCTGTATCAAGCAGAAGATACGGGATTTCAGTACGCTGTCGCTTTCGTCATCCTCTCTTCCGTCGGCGGCGCGCCCGCGGGCGCGGTGATAGGAGGATTTGTCGGACAATACCGAGAATGGTATTGGATTTTCTGGACTCTGCTCATTATGGGCGGTATCGTCCAAGTCGCGCATTTCTTCCTCGTCCCAGAAACTCGCGCCACAATTCTTCTAGACCGCGAAGCAAAGAAACGACGCAAGAATGGCGAGCACAATATATATGGTCCTAATGAACTTAAGCCTTTCAAAGAGCGCTTCAGCTGGAAAGAGGTCGGCAAGATCTGGTGGCGCCCGTGGTTGATGTTTTTCACAGAGCCCATCGTGCTATTCCTCTCACTTCTGTCCGGGTTTTCGGACTCTCTCATCTTCACCTTCCTCGAAGCTTTCACACCTGTGTTTGAACAATGGGACTTCGAGACCTATCAGATAGGTCTTTGTTTCTTATCGTAAGACTTCCCAACCCAGTCAGTCATATGTGGGACTATACTTACTAACAACCTTCACAGCTCCTTGATCGGTTACGTTATTGCATACTTCACCTATCTCCCTGTGATTTGGCACCACAATCAGACGCGCAAGAAAAATCCAGACCTTCTTTCCCCCGAGAGCCGTCTCTGGTGGCTCTTGTTCTTGGCACCGTTGCTTGCAATTGGCTTGATGGGCTTCGCATGGACGTCCCTTGGCCCGCCTCGAGTCCACTGGATCGCACCGCTCATTTTTACCGCGATCGTCGGCATTGCCAACTACTCTGTGTATAAGTCGAGCATTGATTATATGATTGCCGCTTATGGACCGTATGCAGCATCAGCGACTGGCGGAAATGACTTGGCTAGAGACCTCCTGGCCGGTATTGCTGCATTGTACGCTCATCCATGTAAGTCACTCCTTGCAATTCTTTTTCATGTCTATGGATCTTATCCACGTTGTGTTTCTCAGTCCTCCCCTGGTAAATGTTGGAATGACTTCCTCACTGATGCTTAAAAACAATAGTCTATGAGAATGTGGGACCTGAAGACCGAAAATTGGTCTATCCCTCGGTCGTGCTGGCCTGCTTGGCAGTTCTTGTGATCATCCCCGTGTACTATTTCTACTTCCGAGGCGAAAAGCTCCGCATGAAGAGCAAGTTCGCACAAGAGCTAGAGATTGGAAGGAGAAAGAGAATGGAGAAGAGAAGAAGCACTGCGGCAGCTATGCGGGGCAGCGTTGCAGAGAAAGGCCAGCAGCGTGCAAGTGGCCCTGCTGCTGCTGATCGCCAGGTCGAGCACGTGTAAGCGTCTTTCACCCTCTTAGGTATCCCCTGGGTGAAAATGGTGGCTTTGGGGCCTGAGGAGGAGGAGGATTGAATTCCTCGATTTGGCCACGCTGTGTGAGTACCTCTATATCGCACGCTTTGAATTCCATTGGCCGAATTTGTTCTTGGGATTTCAGAGCATTGTGAAGCATCTCAGCCTATCTTGAAGAATTTTCGTGAATCACGTAAGACACGTTGAACGTGTCCATCACGCAATTCCCCAAATCATTGCGATGTTCGTCCACTGGGAAACTCTCATTAGTGTTGCCATATCTCGCCATTATCCTGCCCACTGACGGGAAGGACCTCACCACACGGCGACCCGTGTTACTCTTGGCTTCATAATCGTTTCTACCCTTTAAGGTTTTAGCAAGTCTATAACTGGCTGGTGATATGATCGTGTAAGATATGCCAGAATCGTGTTTTCCTTCCTAAAGGGGATGTGGTATGTACCTGTGAACTCAAAGAATGTCCACCAAATGCCAATATCAATCGAATTTACAGCCTCCCATCCCATTGTTCGCACCAATCCCGTTACCGGATGGAAGAGCCTCTTCGGCGCTGCTCACCAGGTAGTGCACGGATGGATTGACAATGTCACGTAGAGGGAAAGTGTGGTCCTCAAGGCTTAACTTCTCCAGATCATCACTGAGAACTACGACATCCAAGTTCGCTTCCGACTTGGCCATCGGGGACGACCTTAGCGCCTTTTACACGACCACGAACGACTACTCGGGCGAGAGGGAAGGTAATCGTGTGGCGGCACTGGGTGAGAAGCCTTAGTTTGACACCAAGTCTTTGTGTCATCAATAGGCTCTTGCAAAGACTGCTTAAGCTAAGAAACCTGGCGTAGTGTAGATTCTAGATCCTAAATCTGGGTTGGCATTTTTCACCATGCCACTTGGAAACTCATCCCGTAAGGCTGTCTTCAGTGATGATTTATGCCTGATAGCCATTGGGGCATAGGTCTAACGAACGCTGCAACGTCGCAACCTTCACGACCTGGTCCCAGTAGAGGGCCAGGTGATAGTGGATTTCAAAGAGAAGATGATTGGAAGCGGGCGCGAGGCAAAGAAGAAGGGCGTGCCTACATGTACATGGCTCGTGGGTAAATCCAATAGGCCAGCTGGCTTCGGATGACACCATTCAATGCCCTGGCGGTTACGTGAAGAAATTCAACGGCTGAACTGCTAGCTTTGGAGATACTGACGTGCCTATTGGTCATGCTGATGCGTGTACTCCCAACCATGCACCCGTTAGGACGCCTGAGTCCTGACTGAGCACTACACTCAAAAATTAGAGTCATTTCCTGTGGGGTTCATGCACGCCCCCACTAACTTGGGCGACCAAACGCCGAACATTGGACTTGGGGGGGAGGAGTCTTTTCGGGGAACCACGCCTGAAGCGGGTCGAGCCGCCGGCTTCTGTGGTGGAAAGTTTAACTAAACAGTTCATGAAGCGAGGCATGAGGAACTTTCCTGGCTTCCAATGTCACTCTTTTCGCCCAGGTCTGTTCTCAGCGCAAGACATGTCGCTCACAGAAATCCAAAACTCTACTGTGTAGTAGTGCATAAACCATGCCAACCTAGAATCCTTGGTCAGGCAAGATATCTCTAGAAATTGCGATTTTGATATCTTTCGTGAATGACGGCAAGTATGTTACCATTGGTATACAGCCAGAAGATAAGCCCGCCCCACGCTTCTGAGAACCACTCGCAGCAAATGTTCTTTGAGGCCTTCTCACTATCTCTTATGCTTCGAGGTCGAAAATGGTCATGGTCACTGTCAACAAATAGCAGAAATGTCGAAGGATTCGGGCAGTGTTCGTATAAAGAGCCACATGCTCTCTGTCCTTGAGGCGAGCTCTTCGGCGCAGGCGACCGAGGTTACGAACCAGGATAACAGGTCGTGGCTCATTGTCACCTGTGTAGGAACTTTCCTACTCACATGTTGATCCCCCTATCGTCCCAACTTCAGCCAAGCTAGGACCCGCCTCACCCGGTTGTCCAGGTTTCGAGGATGAGACCATCCAACCACCCGGACGGGCTTGGGCTTCTCGTAATCATTCCCACTGAGTCTCAGTCGACCAAGGGCTGCAGACGACATGGGCATCAAGTGAGATGTTGGTGGTCTGCCGAGTCTGATGGTTGTGGAAGTGAAATACTCCGACGGCCTGGTTCCATCACTATCTAGTCACAATAGTTGAGCCAAAGGATCGTGATACCAACGTCTCATTTGGACGGCTGGCCATGATGGAAGCATAAGGGTAGGGCACCGTCCAGGTCTTCGGTCTTATTGTGACCTTCTTGTTGTATTTAAGGCTCGGGCCGCTTGTCACATTTCTAGGCTTACGGGACGAGTAGCTTGCAATAAGAGAAGTCAGCGTGCAACACTGAGAGGATGTTCACATGCAAGACCATGAATGGTAGGGCAAGATGAATGCACCTAGACCTAGGTACGAGGCCTGGAGTACTGCACCTGGCTTCCGAAATGTGATGGCATTGACTGGAACGGCCGACTCAGGGCCTCAGCCTTATTGGAGGACAGCGAGTCATTAGGCCAATGAAGCCTCCGGCCAAGAGACGCCGAAGACGCGTTTGAGAGGGGTCGATGGCCCCCCTCGGCCCGGGGTTTGCCCAGGGAGGCGCGGGGGCGCCTGTCGATCAGAGGCAGGACTCGGGACTCAGGGGGCCCTCGGTGTGCACACCTGGCAAGTTGGAAGTAGGTCCCGACTTCCCACACGTTTCTGCACGCGTTGATGTTCATACAAGTTCCTGCGCTGCTGGACTCCAATTCCAGCCTTGAGGAGCTGATGCAGAACAAGTCATTTTGCCGCAAGGCTTGGATGATCTTAACTGTCGCGAATCGCTGGAGAATGAATGAAAGCACTGCCACTCCAGGTGCTCGCTTCGGGCCCACCTGCACAAACTCAGCCAAAGGCCCCTAGCATGGTATTGGTACATCAAGTTTTCCAATAGCTTCTTTGACCCTTCATGTTAACTGGCAGAGGACTGATCTCGATGGGCTTTCCCATCGCGAGGCCTGGTCGCCGGGTGGGCCCCCAAATTGAGAAGTTCGTGCGGCACTGCTGGTGTTGTTAGCCGTCTCGTCGCTACCACACCTTCATTTTCCTACTGCGCACTTAGGTAGGTCGTATTCGGTCAGCGGCACACCCCTTGAGAATCTCATGTCTCCAGTCTCAATAGCGTGCTTTATTCCCCCTGGTCCTGCTTGGCCGTCTTCTTCTGGCTTCGCCTCTGATAAATTAGCCGCCCATAGCTCCAGCGCTTGTTGGGCCCTACAATATCATTTCCGATTCGTTGCTCTGGTCCCCAAAAGGCCGACCCACAGCACGGTGGCATCTACTTCACCAGCAGGTCTTCTAGCCATCGGAGTATTTCACACATGGATCAATGGTAAGTCGTCATTTAAGTGGGGTTTACACGGCTTTGGCTGTGCTTGTCCTGCATGGCTTGAAATTGATGCTGAGCTCGCACCCTTGGGAAACCCAGGGGGGCTCAAGCTCCAATCTCTATGAGCAAGGAATTGGCGGTCGCTCCAATGGAATCTCGACATTCTACCGCTAATTGAGAATGGCCTCTTCGTGGACCAAAAGTACTTGAGTCGATTGGTGCCGTCAGACGCAATGCCATGCTGCTTGGTTCGACCCCCAAGGCACTGCCTGTAACGTTATATGCTCATGTCTCTGGGGACGGCTTGGTACTCCATGGCTTCCTAATGCAAGCCACTTGCAGCGGTATCAGCGGCTATTCATGCCCATGCAGTGACGGAGGATTCCAACCAACTGAGTGACAAGTCATTAAGTCTTGCATCTCGAAGGTCTTTCATCTGGCCGCACATCGCCATAGCCAATATTGAATCTGCCTCGCTGTATCACGAAGGCGGATGAGACTCCCATCTTGAAAAGTGGTAGTTATATACTTGATGGATTGGAATGAATTGGAATGGAGGAACCGCGCTATTACTCGCACACCCAGCGTATTCCTGCATGAGACTTACGACATCCCGGCACCTATCACGATCGCTCGGCTTTTCATTTTCGTCGGCGAATTTCATCAGCTTTTAAGCCTTGAGACCATACGTCTGCGTCGAGCCTATTCTACTCTTTGAACAATAAAGTGTGCGATGTCGACTTCAACAATTCTACCACCCCGCTCATCCGCCAGATCATCATCAAGATCTCCACAGGTACGAAAAGCATCGACTTCGTCAAGGAAGGACAAGGTCCGCAAAGGAAAGCTGATCAAGTGCTGGACTGACGAGGAGGTTTGCTGATACCCTCGCACCACGTCCACCACAGTGTCACTGCTAACACGTGGCAGGAATCTTTTCTGTTTCGAAGTCGTCACCAAAAAATGCCCTACAAACAGATTGCAGATAGCCTACACAAGTCAGAGCTGGCTTGCAGATTACACTATCATCATATGACTGTGGGACGAAAGGGTCATCGTGCAGATGAACCTGACGATGAAATGTTGGGAGAAAACACCGCCTCTTCTCCGTCGACAGTACAAAGTGAACAGATTTCTCCTCCGCTACCACAAAGTGAAACATTGCCCTCGCGGACACGAACGCCGTCGGTATCATCACATATTGGCTCACCTTCAAAGATTTGCAGGTTACCGAGTTTCGAAACCTTCTTGCAGACGACGTTCCAGTCTGACTCATCCCACAAGAGATGCTATTCCATGCCCCAGCCCTTACCTTCCACCCTAACGCCGAATGCAACTGGCAAGGAAACCAGCCCCCAACCAAGTGGAACCAGGGTTTCGAGAACTTTATCAGGGACATGGTTAAGAGACCATGAAATGAGCTCTACACCTTTATGGTCAGGTCACATGTCGAGAAAAGAGGCGGCCAGATCCGAGGAACAAATGTTTGCATCTCCAGACCAACTCGGTCCCAATGAAGGCTTCGGACCGCCCCCTGGCCCCTCCAACTGATTGCACTGATTGCATCAATATGAGTTTGTGAAAGCAAAGCCTCGCTTTGCCGGGGCACATGCACTCCCAGATCACCTCTGCTGTTCGGTATATTTGGACTTTACGCGGCCCATTTCAGGCCAGGTCGACTACTTTCAGCCCGCATAGCGAGAGAGGCTGGTTTTGGTGGCCGGAGGGTCATATGATGAGCACTTTTAGGCGTCTTATCTGCTATGTACACTTTTGATCTTACGTTATTGGATTCGATGCCTGGGAATTCAATGGTTCCCTGACTGGCCGGCGAATCATTGTTTTATGACAGTTGTAGCTTATGTGGTCCAAACATAAGTTGCCTGGGTATCGGCTACGATATTTGGTTCTACTTTGCCGTATTTCTTGCCAGCTTGACCGCAGTTTGCGACCATAAGATTGAACATTATTCCTAAGACTGATGGGTTTGGAGCCATGACGTTGGAATATAAACCGTCATTCAAAGAACAGCAATCAATATTGTTTCACTATCCCATTCGTCAGGGGACATGATTGAGCTCCAATGCCGGCTTCAGTGCTTGCGTACACAAACCTGCACCATTGAGCCTTCCTCCACCTCATCAGGCAACCATTGTTGGGCTTTGGACCTTTTCCGGGCGATCATGGGACCATGAGCTTGTGTTGTTTGAAGGTACGGGGGCATATCTTGCCCGGCTCCTGTGCGACTGCCTGTCTCCTGCTTACTCCTGCATTGCCAAAAGCCGAAATCGAATGGAACCATCTAAATGGAAGGAGCAACTTTCAGGATAGAGTAGATTGAACCAGAAACAACACGAGCCGTTCGGGCCATCCAGAAGTCTCAATGCAGTACGTTGACGCAGCGTTAAAGGTTCGTCATTCACCAACTTTCAAAGCCCGCCCATGATACTGCCCCCTTGATTCGTACTCTCTGATTCTTGTTTCCAAGGCAAGCCATTCACGCCAGGATGGCCGAATGTCTAGCTTCTTTGGGGGTTCTTTGCAAGTCGCTTTTGGCCCGTTTCCCGACAATATTGCTCAAGAAGAACGACTTAAAGAAAGCAGCTCGCAGTCTCCATTGGTGATTTTGGATTGTTGACCACTGCTCGACATCCTCTCTTTCCAGCCGACAACCGAAAACCATCTTACGACGTAAGCCCAAATCCCAGTACCCTCAGAATGTCATCAGAAAGCATCCAGATAGTTTTTTTTCGGCGCCCCCGACATCGGCTGGATTACCCCGTACACCGACCATGGGTACTGCAAAAAGACATTGCAGATTGTAAAGGCTCACGGAGTCGAAGTCATCAATACCACTCAGATTTATGGCCTGAGTGAGAAAACGCAGGGCGAATAGAAAACAGGCGATTCGTTTACAATCGACACTAAATAGCAAGGCGGCGCTTTCCCCGGCTGGGCGACGAGAGACAATATCTTGCACAGTGGGAAAGAGAGTCTGCAAAGTCTCGGTGTCAAACAGGTGAGTGAATTTCTTTGGAATTGTTTACACTACCTGTGGGAATGTATGTCTTAGGATCGGTGCTGGGCTTGCTTGTTTGAGACTCTAAAGCTCTGAAGTCTTCCATTTTCGAAGCAGGAAAGCGAACATGAATTGCCCAATCGCTGTTGATCTTGTTTCTCTCTCCTGCTAGAGCTGGTCTTGACATCATTGTACAGGTCGATACTTTCTATTTGCATATATCTGATGGCAAAGGCCGCTATCCGAAACGCTAGCTGGCGTTCCACAGGCTTACCAACTGGGGTATTTCAGGCGGTTCGGGCTCTCAAACTTCCTCGCGGAAGAAATCCAGAGTGTGTACGATACCGCTAAAAAAAACCACGAGTACATCCTGCCCACCATTTACCAGAGCAATTATAACCCTGTCGCCCGTCTTCAAGAAACACTTTTGTTCCCTACTCTTCGGAAGCTTGGCATCGTATTCTATGCGTACAGCTCGCTGGCCGGGTGCTTCTTGACAAAGACAGCTGCAGATATCAAACAAGGAAAAGGTCGCCTTAACAACCAAGTGATAGATGTGCTGTGCAAGGAACCGTATGCCAAGCCAACATACGTTGACGCACTGGAAAAATGGGAGGCCGCCGCGGCAGCTGAGGGTGTCACCCAGGCCGTGCTTGCGAACCAATGGGTTGTCTTCAATCCACTTCTGAAGAAGGAGAGGGGGGACGGCATCGTCATCGGAGTAAGCAATAATGAGCAACTTGAACAAACCCTTGCCCACCTCAAGAAGGGCCACTTGAGAGACCAGGCGATGAAAGCAATCGATGATATTTGGGAGGCAATCAAACACGAAGCACCTTATGACAACACCCACAGGATGCTTCCTTGAGTCTCTGAGATGAGCCGGATGATGCCAAATGGTGCGCCCCGTCCTTTGAACAAGGTCAACATTAAATGGAAGGGCGGTCCGAGAGTGAATGTGATGTCTTAAAGGGGAGAGAGAAAATATTTGGTTACTTCTTTGTCAGTATCATTGGAAATTGGGGACAAATAATGGCCGAAGTAGAGAGCTCTGTTGTGGTCTACTGAGAATCCTCGGGTAGGAGGAAGAGCCAGATCAAATAGTCGGTTCATATTTCTCGCACCCAAACCCTGGCCCTGAAATTCATGAAAGACGTCGCGATGCGTTGACATCTTTCTTATCGAATTGCCCTAGGACTGTCACCACCGAGGCGGCGACAGCGAGCAGAGAGGCACCAGGCAGAAATGTTGACTGGATTGCAAGATCCCAATAGGTCGGCCTTTTATCGAGGCAAGGAAAGCAGGCGCCCGGTACTTTATCCCACCAGCTTCTGGTAGGCCTCCCCAGGAGCAGCGTATTTCATCTCAAGGTGTCGCATGCAAGGCACGCGACACAATCACAGGAACCTCAGTGTTGAGGCTCTTGGACAGCAGAAGGTCGATTCCCTGGTCATGCCCTAACAGCCCAACGTCTCCATGATTGTTTCATGGAGATCCATCCGCTGATCCGTTGGAGAAGCCCCCCCGGTTGGGGTTTCTCTCCAGGTAAGTTCTGACCAAGCCAAGTCCTACCCGGCGATGACTTCGTGTTGTGCTGAAAGTAGATTCTTCCAAGTCAGGATAAGAAATCAAATATTTCGTGGAGACTATAAATACTGACTTGTAGTCAGCTTGATCAGGGCGAAACCAATTCCAACTATGATTGTCGCGTGGACGCGCATTGCTCGAACGATGAGGTTGTAGGCAAGCTGAGGCAGCCCTACTTGGCACTGGCTTGGCAGACGGTCACATGACCCACTTGATGGCCCCTCATCACCAGTTTGCTCCGTCTGGCTCTTGGATATCCTCCGTTCCAAGTTCCCCTGTTCCCTTCCACTCCCCTGGTCTGCTTCTAGCCCGAGCTTACTACTCCGTACAGACGCTGTACGAGTAACAGTTCACCGTTGTCGGCTGGCTCGGTGCTCGGTGCCCTCTCCTCATTTCCTCCAAGCCTGAGATGCACTGCGCTATGGATTTATTGGCTGCTTGCCGACGCCATGCTTAGCCTTTTCATCAGAAATGATCACAAGGCTCATCCCTCGTGATCAAAGTTAACCACATTGTCGAGATTCGTTCTCTTTTAGCGTTGTTTGTAAATATCGATATCCGCAGCGTCTGTTTCTCGCGAGTCTCCGCATCAGGGCCGATCATGCCCTTCGACGTCGCCCTCCAAACATGCGTCTCCTAACCGTCCCTACTCTCCTTTGCTGTGCACGGCTCGCGCAGTCTGGCATCATCGAGCGAACATGGAGGGAAAGTCCAGAGACTTACTTAGCTACAAATGACGGGCAGCAAGAGGCGTTCCCAAATATCAGGGCGGGAGCAGGCGAAGCGGTGGCACGGTCTCACCTACCACCAAGTTTACGTGACACGTTGGATGCGATAGAGGTGATGCAAGACACATATTTTGACCTGTTCTCGGGAACTTGGCCTGACGCCATTGATTGGACCGCAGCTGTTATTGGAACACATGTTTCGGCTACACTATCCAGCATTATCGCCTCCATTGATATATCCTCTATAGCTAGCTGCTCTGACCTGGTGTCATGGCAGAATACTATAGATCGATACTTTGCCCACACCTCTATCTTCTACTTCGGCGAAAACGCCTTCTCCTTGCGGAATCAGGCTTTTGATGACATGCTGTGGGTCGTTCTTGGCTGGCTCGAGAACGTCAAATTTGTCGAGTTGTATTCGCTGAAGCATTGGGATTTTGTACAATCTGGTCATCGATCACTGTCCCCCGCCGGATGGCACGGCCTCCAATTTACTCCTATGGCAGCTCATCGCGCCCGCGTTTTCTATGATCTTGCATCAAATGGCTGGGACGACTCTCTTTGTGGAGGAGGAATGACCTGGAACCCATACCTCACGCCCTACAAAAACGCAATCACCAACGAGCTTTTTACCGCTGCGAGCATTGCAATGTACTTGTACTTTCCCGGTGATAACAATACCTCCCCATATATGACACAGGGCCAATACGATTATGCGAAGCCGCATGATGCTTTGCATTTGGAGAATGCAGTAAAAAGTTATAAATGGCTTCGGGAAAGCCAGATGACAGATGATGCCTCGGGCCTCTACCAGGATGGCTTTCATATATCTGGCTGGCGCCGTTACCCAAATGGCACCATAAACCCCGGTACTGAGCAGTGCGATGAACTCGACCCAATGGTTTACACCTACAACCAAGGTGTGATCCTGTCCGCCAGTCGAGGCCTTTGGATCGCTACTGGTGCTCGAAGTTACCTTGATGATGGGCATGCCTTGGTCGACAATGTCGTCAAGGCCACTGGATGGCCAAACACTGATGCCACCTGGGCTGGCTTGGGCAGAGGCGGTGTTCTGGAAGAGTTCTGTGATCACGGTGGCTACTGCAGCCAAAACGGACAAACCTTCAAAGGCATCTTCTTTCATCACCTATCCGAATTCTGTCGTCCCTTGTGGCCCCAGGAAGAAGCGTTCACGTCCGCAGAAGGCACGCAGTTTGACGAGGAGGTATATCAATACCATCTTTCCCGTTGCAGTGCTTACGAAAAATGGATTTCACACAACGCAGCAGCAGCTTCAGCAACCAAAGACGGCCATGGTCGCTTTGGTATGTGGTGGAAATTTGAAGAACCCAGCCAGGACACAATGTCAATCATTGAGCAAAGTACCACTCTTGCTCCAGGGGTCATTGACTATCTTAACCCTGTCCCGAACAGTTGGCCTCCACAACCAATACATGGCACAGATACTAATGACAGAGGGCGGGGCCGAACAGTGGAGACGCAGAGTGGAGGACTAGCTGTGCTGCGGGCAAAATGGAATTGGGAAGCTCATCTCAGCCAGATCTCTGCATAGCATACATGGCTCAGTCGAGTCAGACGTTTGACGATCAACTAGCATGCCACTTTAGAATGAACATGACTGAAGCATATACTCATCCCTAGAGATGGGCCGCTTTGGACAAGATGTGGATTTAGCGTAGCCCTCAAAGAAGAATTCACAATTGACACATCACTCGTTTTTGATGATGCTTTCTCAGGGCAGAAGGTCCGCAGGAGACTCAAAGTTCGATCGTGCTGAATGCGAAACTCGATGTTTAAATGCAGCATCGTGGCTAAGTGCGACTAACAGGACCAATTCCAGGAGCCAGCATCCCACCGCTACACACGCTTAAGTAATGGTAGCCTACGCTAAGCAAACAGAACCTGATAGTCAGGAGCAGGTTTCCCCCCGTATGAGACAACGGCACCTTTCCAAGGATAGCTGGACTCTTCCATCTAGGGTCAACGACAAGGTAATCTGCTTGATGCTGCCGCTACTGTCATGGAGTTACAGTAACGACCACTATTTGCCCCCTGAAGTAACATCTTCATGTTTGAAACCAGTTTCTTCGAAAACCTTGTCACCGATTTTGACGGGATCAGCAGCTGGAAGATCGTTAACAAAACCTGCCAACGCTCTCGCGAGGGCTAAGCTTACCTATCAAGACAAAATATATTCTCGCGGGCTTTGAGCTTGAGTTCGTCCAACCGTGGATGGTGCCTCGCTGGACACAAACATCCCCAGCCTTCATGTGAATCACGACGTCGTTATCAAGCCGACTACATGACACAATTAGCTGCTGCTCCACGAGCGATGGCAAGATTCATACCAGTCAAGTTCTCCTTCAAATAAAATTCCGAAATCCAAGGAAACTGTGCGATGGAACATCTGTCCCCTCTGTCAATGAATTGTTCATAGGAGGCCGCTGGTAACCTACAGTGACCGTATTTGGAGGAATGTCCACAATCCTCAGGACAACGCCCTTATCATTGGCTAAATTCGTGGTTTTCTTCTCGATGGGGTCCTCGTTGCCATTGAGGTTGGCAGGAAACTGAGAAGTTTCCCATAGGACTGCGAAGTTTGCATCGGCACTTATGGGGACACACGGGACCTGGCTGTCCTTCAAGACGATTGCATTGCCCTCTTCGTCATGGCCCGTGACAATGCGTCGGGGGTCGGGGAAGTAAGACGACATCCTCGATCCCTTTCACGGTGGAGAGAAAGGTTGTCCCACCGAGTACTTTGGTCGACAAGTGCTCTGAGGCTGGCAGGCAAAACTCCTTCTGCCACAAGAGCTGGCTGTTTCAGTGGAATATATCGAGTTGAGTTGAACGACGTGGCTTCGAACTTCACTTGCGGGGTTCTTAATAAAGGGCATGATTAAATCCGACTCATACTTCGATTCACCCTCTCTCCACACTTCCCGACCCTGTGAATCCTCTGAAAGGAGTAGGTAGTATAAAAGGCTGTCACGTGAGCGGATGAATCTCCGCAGTTAAAGCGTCCTCCCTGTCTGGCACTCTGAATAAGAGATACTCCGTGTAAAGGACGGAAAACCAGTTTCAATCCGCTCAAAGCTTAACACTTGTCGGCGGGTGGGTAGAATGGTACGAACATCGGATCCGATGCTTGGGTCTTCATGATTGGTTGGCAGACAAAACAGCCCTGCAAATCAATCGGTTTACCGCGTTGGGATCGGGATGTGTGGGGGACCGGCTGTTATCATTAAAGAAGTTACAAAAGGTTGGAGAGGATTACTTTAACATTTGGCGACGGGCTTGTCGTTTACTTCCGCTTTGATTCAGTCTGGGAGGATGGGATTCAAACCTACAGTGCCTGAAGGCTCCCCTTTCACGCTGCAAAATATACCATTTGGAGTGTTCTCAACGAAGCAAGATCCCTCACCGCGGTGTGCAACGGCAATTGGAGATTATGCCCTCGACCTCCGGAGCTTGAGTAAGTCTGGCTTCTTCGAGAAGTCCTCGGTAAAGGACGCTCTATCACAGGTATGGTCCAGTGCGCACTGCAGACTTGTAGTTTGGGCCCGAACCTCGCTGAACATCCTGACAGATCAATCTCAACGACTTTGCTGCTCTACCCGCCAAGACAAGAAGAGCAGTGCGAGAGCATCTTATATCGGCACTCAAAGAGGGAACCCTTCCTGAGGACATCGCACACAAGTTGTCTGAGGTCCAGTCGCACTTACCAGTAAACATCCCTGGTTATACCGACTTCTTTTGCTCGCTAGAGCACTGTCAAAATGTAAGTCGCCCAGGGCATGGGAGACGTGGCTTGCTAACGGATGTCAAGTGCTCGCCGATGAGCGGTGGAAAGATCCCAGAAAACTTCTTCAATGCGCCCTCGGCATATAATGGCCGAGCATCAAGTGTCATCCCTTCGCCATCACTAGTCCGTCGACCGAGAGGGGTCTTCTGGAAGCCTGGCAACAAGGAAGCGGAGTACGGCGTCTCCAAACTAGTCGATTTTGAGCTTGAGATGGGCTACATCGTCTCAAAATCAGTTCCGTATGGAGAAACCATAAAAGTGGACGATGCTCCCGACCATATCTTTGGGTTCGTCCTCTTGAACGACTGGTCAAGTCGAGACATCCAAATTCACGAAATGCCTCCATTGGGTCCGTTCAATTCCAAATCTTTTGGTACCACGATTTCTCCCTGGATCATCACCTTGGACGCTTTAGATGCATTCAGGACTGCGCCAAAGCATAAGACAAGCCCGCTTGAGCATTTGAGATTCGCCGACTTTGACCGTGGAACATTCGATGTCAAATTGGCCGCTCATCTCGAACGAGACGGGAAGCGCCATAAGCTTTGCACGAGCAATCTAAGTTACCTGTACTGGACTCCCTTCCAACAGCTGACGCATCACGCTTCGGCTAACTGTGGAATCCGCACGGGTGATACAATGGGGACTGGCACCATATCGGGAGCTGGTATTGATGAAGGCGGCAACAAGTATGAGTTGGGCTGCTTATTTGAAGCAACGCAACATGCGACTAAGCCACTGCAACTTGAAGGTGGAGTCGAGGTAGGCTACCTCCTCGATGGCGATTCCGTGATACTATCGGCGTGGTGCGAGGACGCTGATGGTAAGCATGTTCTGGGCTTTGGCGAATGCCGTGGGCAGCTGGTTGGCCCTGATGCACCAATCCACAATGTAACGGAATATTAATCGGAAGTGAGGTTTAGACGCGTGGTCCTTGATCAGCTGCCCCAATGAATTAATTTCACATCATCCCTCAGATGCTTCAGGGGCTTTGTAAGGTTGAATTTTATGCATTTGAGGACCAAATGGACAACTCGGCATAAATCGGTGGAAAGGTTAAACCCGATGCCGACTGCATCCAGCCTCTCAATCAGCCCGTCAGGGATCGCCAGGGATCTGGTACGTCTTCGACTCTTCGTACAGCCTATCCCATCCCTGGAACTCACCTAGCGTGGAGACTCAGGGATTGGCGCCTATTTCCTGCCACGAAACCGAGGTTCAGAAGGGCTTCCCCGGGATTTGGCCACCGAATCTGGGGCCCGGGGGGAGGCAAGCCTTGCCTTTTCCTTATTGCTGTCCGAGCCTGGCTTCAATTGTTCGCAATTTGCCTTGCGATCTCTGTCGCCATCCTAGTCAGAATCGAGGCACTGGCTACGCGAGAATGACTATTGAAATCCTCAGAAAATATAGCCCTTCTGGCAAGCTCAAGGGAGATTATCCAGCGTCTTTCAACCCCAGTATTGCAAATGCATGGCGGAGGACCTCGGAAGGTAATGACACGCCTCAGAGTGGTAGGGCCAATAGATGTTGATGATCATCCTCCAAGTTGGACACATTGATGCACATGGAAGAACTACCATGAACGCTTAGTCCGCCTATTTCCTCCGAATTTTCGTCTGCTTTACGATCCTGTCCCAAGCACGGGCCTCCCGAAAGTCCTGCTGGACCACTTCGGGGCGTTCACGGCAACGCTTGCATATCATTGGGTGCCACGAAATTCCCGGGTATTGCCTCGCTTCCACTAGTTAGCTAATGCTCATGGATGAGGATCTGGATTAGCAAACATGACCTAGATTGCAAGCCATGGGCCTCGCCTCCTCCCCAGAACATTCGTCACCTACATCCGCACAATTCCTCCTTTCACATCGTTAACAATTTGGCATTCCTCCTTTCTGGCCGGCTTGCCAGATTTCCCGTCGGCATGCCTACAATAATGCCAGAAATCGGTGGTCCCAAGCGGACGCAGTTCTCCAGCTGTGATGCGTGTCGAAATTCAAGGGTGGCCTGTGATGCTACCCGAGTTGGACATCAACCCGGAAAGACAAATTGGACAGGATCATGTTCCAGATGTACTAGGAGAAAGCGGCGGTGCACTTTTGAGGTATGGTTCCACGACCATTTCCATATTGCGTCTGCGAATAAGGCTGAACCGGAGTATTGGGTAGTGGATCAACAATGTAAAGAAAGTAACTCCGAAGCCTCGCCGGGATTCTCGGTCGATGTCCACCGCGACCAGTGAATCAGTTGTTTCGTATGATTCACCAGAGACGTCAAATAGTATTTTTGGCTGCGAGCCTGTCCTCAGACTTGCCGAAAACTACACCAGCCAGAGGCATCCCCGGCATTCTAGGTAAATGGAGTTACGCCACTCCGCTTCGTCCTTACTCACAGCTCGACAGCATATCTAGCGAACCGTTCGCTGTTCGCAGTGAACCGAAACGCAAATCTTTTGGCCCTCCAGCAGATGGCCTAGCAAACGACGCAACTGGACGCTGGCTCGATGAAATTTTCGAGAACTGTTTCGAATCAATCGTTGGACTTTGGTTGGGCAAGCACTGTTGCCCATTCCTTAACGACCCATCTAGCGATGTCATCATGCGGCCGACTAGACTGTTCACCGAGCTTGATGCATATATGGGGGAAGAATGGGAGTCTAGCACTCCAGGACACCTGAGTGATCTGCCAAGTCAACAGCAAGCTCGGGACTATCAGATCGACCAAACTCTTCGCCGTGCAGTACGAGCATTCTCTGCGAGATGGCTCCCGCTCATCCCACGAGAAGTGTCCGGGGTTGGTGACCACGAGGAAGAGATCCGACAGTTATGGCGTGCATCAAGAAAAGATATGCTGAGGGCCATCAACCGTGTGTCATATCGCTCTGTGATAACATTGTTTCTCTTTGGTTTGACTCCTATTCCGAACGGAATCTCCGACGACGAAGAGATGGAGGGCCTGACAGGCCAAATATGTGTACAGACGGCACTGCAACAGGTTCAGAGGCTCAGAGAGCGACAAAGAAATTGTCAGTTCAGTGGAGCGAAAGTCTCACCTGGATCTGATGCACTTGCCGCCCCAACCCCGGCCTCGAGTCTGACACAGGAATATCTGGCGTTCGAAAGCAGGGCTTACTGGTGTGCTTTAATGTTTGACACTTCGGGTTCACTGACGCTCAACTTCAGATCTTCCCTTACAGCAGGATTGAACGGCTTTACCTCCGAACCAGCGTGGCGATTGGTCAAAATGTGGCTTGCAGGTTCCTTTCACAGCAAGACGGAAGAATGGCGAACGAATGGATTTGAGCTTACGGACGATTCAGCTTGCCAAGTTATCGCCGCTGCCGCGGCTTGCAAATTGTACGTTTGGAAGATGATTGCAGTACTCAAAGAAGCACTTCGTGAAGGGGTCGAAGAGGAGATGGTCACCCAAGCCTGGACGTTCCTCATGGAGGGCATTGAAATGTTCAAAGTTACAATACGTCCTTTGCTGCGAGATTGTGAAAGGAGACTTCCATTTCTTGGGCAACTCGAAAGAATCAATTGGTATGAGACCGTACTACACTACTACCTTGGGATTTTGATCTTGGTCGATGCAGTGGAGGCAGCTGAGCGAACCGACTTGTTGTCAGAGCTCACAGAGACAAGGCTGGATGCAGAGCACGAGGCAATCAACGCCTTGAAATTTGGCCTCGAGAGCCAGTATACCATCTACGAACCCGCAACAGAGCAGGGCACAGACTTTCCCACAGGCTCATCTGGTCGATCCATCACGGCCTCGTTCGTGGCTGTCGATCCTTATCCTCATCACGTTGTGGCTTCTGTGCGACTCATGAACAAGGTCGTTTGCCGCGAGTACCAACAGGGCAAAATAAAGTATGAAGCTTATTCATATCTCTCATCTACGTTGCTCAAGGCTCTCGAACAATTACCCCAGTCTTCAAAGTCTGTCCAAGCGGCTCGCCAATATTTGCACTTGGCGTTCAGGGATCTGGACTCGTTTTCCACAGGAGACACGATTTACGGCATCTCTCAGGAGGAAGAATGCGATATTTACTGAACGGATTCAGGTCTGGCCCTTGCGGGATCCACTACCTTGCCTTGCCGATTGCTCGTACCTCACAGCAGGTTGGAGCTGGTGCGACTATCCTCGGTCGCGGATGTGCTGAGGGGGTCGGAAAACCAAGGCTCGGAAAATCACGTGAGAGGACCCTCATCCGTCAACCTCGCATGAAATGAGATATTCCGATGTTGGTTGGTTCCTCTTATTCACCATTAGGTGGGCCCAAGCCACAAGATGGAGTGCAGATGCCATAATTGCTTGCGACCTCGCTGTGCGAGATTGTGCAAGATTGTGTGGGAATCTCTTTGGTAAGCCGAAGACCCCGCGATTCACAATGCTTTGTGTTTCTGACAACCTCTCCACCAGTCACTAGCGAAACCAGGTCCAGGACACGAGTCGCCCCGCTCGTGGTTCACAGACTGCTTTGCTGTTGACAAGCTGGCCATGGGACTGATCCACTGCGGCATTTGCGGTACGAAATATTTCATCCCCGGATCCGGCTCGTACTTAGATTGACAGAAGTATATACTCACTTATCTCCTGGATCATGATTTGATCAGCCGTGGTTGCAATTCCAAAAACATCATATCTGGCTGATGCTTCTTACTGTTCCAATAGGAGAATTGCATCAATCATGAGCGAAGGGCCGAAGAATGCCATCCTATTCAAGGGGGCTGATGTCGTTAGCATGGACAAGAACATCGGGGTGTGCAAGAATTGCGATGTACTAGTCCAGGACGCTACTATCGTGAAAGTCGAACCGAATATTGAAGCACCGGAAGCTGAAGTCATCGACGCTCGCCATTGTATTATATCTCCTGGCTTCGTCGATGGACATCACCATATGTGGCAGCAATTACTGAGGTCAATTGCTACTGATTGGTCCCTGGCCGATTACCTGGTTGTTATTCGCCGATGCTATGGGAGCTTGTTCACTGCGGAGGATGTTTATGCAGCGAATCATGTCGCTGCACTGGACTTGATCCATAATGGAGTGACCACCGTCGTCGATCACTGCCATATCTTGAACTCCCCTGCTCATACTGATGCCGCAATCAAAGCGCTGAAAGACTCTCTGATCCGCGGAGTATTTTGCTATGGCTTCTACGAGAATCCACAGCTGCCAAGCGAGCACAGCAAGTTCGACGCGACCAGCTCCGAATTTCGGGCAGCAGCGAAGACTGAAGACGCTAGGCGGGCACGCAAACAACATTGGAAGACAAATTCGTGGGAGACAGATTTGCTCACCTTTGGTCTAGCCCCAGCCGAGGCCGAGACAATGGGCATCGACAACCTTCGAGAGCAGATTGCACTAGGGCGCGAGCTTGGATCCACGATTATCACCGCCCATGTTTCGTTGGGACAATACGACCCTGGTCAACAGATTGTACGACAGCTAGGTGAATCGAAGACTTTGGGAAAAGACCTCCTTTTCTCTCATGGCTCGTCCTTCACAACGGAAGAGTGCGAGTATTTGGCCGCCGCCAAGGCAGGTGTTGTATCAACACCCGAAACCGAGCTACAAATGGGAATGGGACGCCCGGTGGCTTTCAGAGCGGAGGGACATGGTTGCCATGTTGGGCTAGGGATCGACATAACTTCCAACAACGCAAATGACATGTTCAACCAAATGCGTTTACTGCTTCAAGCGGAGCGCGCTCGCAACAACGAAGAACTGGGTGCCGTCCCCGTCAGAATCAAACGCAGGTCTCTCGAAGCTCTTCGTATGGGCACACTGGGTGGAGCAGAAGCGCTCGGCATTGGTCATCTTGTGGGAAGCATCACACCCGGCAAGAGAGCGGATTTGATTATGGTGCGCTGTGATGATATCAACGTCGTCCCTGCCGTTGATCCCGTGGGAGTACTGATGTTCAATGCCAATGCCTCAAATATTGATCTCACCATGATCAATGGGAAAATATTGAAGAAGAACGGAAAGTTGGTGCACGCAGATTGGCACAAGTTAAGGGAAGATGTCCGGGCTCGTACGCAGAGATTGGTCGATGCTGCTGGAATTATCCTGGGTGACGATGCTGCGGGCGAGGAGTCAACTCTTGCCGAGTTTTCAAAGATGATGTCTGCAGCCTAAATTCTTTGCATCAGATTGTCAAGGTACTCGGTGTATCATACCGGTCTTCGCAAGACACCTCAAAATCAGTGAATAATGCATTATATCATGTTACTTCTTCCAGCCCCCAATAGGCTCAGCACTTCCGTTTCGTCCCGAGCGCATGACTCGACTCGGGACTTGCTGGCGTGCACAAAATCGCAACGTTATCTTGGGAGTGTCTACATTCGTTATCGACAAATAAGCATCTGGAATCAACATTGCACGAGTGTGAGACGAGACTACTTGGAAGGCTGCTTAACAGCGCCTCAGCGCCAATCAAAAACTCCTGGGCGACCTTCTCGCCAGGATCGACCAAAGGATCTAGCCTTCTTTGTGACACGTCAAGTGTCTATGTCTTAACAAACCACGAAGATATATACCTCCGATGCTGTCATTAGCACAAGCCCGTGGGCACCCCACCAGCAACTCTACCATAGGTAACCAATGTCAGACGATTGAATCCCACCCCGCAATCCCTCGTGCCTGGTTACAATGATACCAGATTCCGGTCTGGGAAGTGATCGACATCCTTGCAACCCTTTTTAAGCAGAGTAGCATCTGCACCGTGGGGAAAGACGGTCAAAGGCTATCATGGACGGGTATTTCCGTATCACCTGCGTCTTACTCCTGGGAACACATGCCTTGGTTCTGCACACCAGACCTCATGATATCCTTTCCCTGACCGCTTCAGGGTTTGAGCTCTCCCTGCTCCTTCGTCACCTCGCAGGCTCTCGCAAAACCTCGCCCTTTCTTGCGAAATGGCCACCATGGAGCACGAATCTAAAGATGTTGAGGAAGCGAATCGCAACGAGTCAGTAGTCGATGCGCATGATGAGGATCTGAAGAATCTTGAGCACGAACAACGCAATGTCGGTACGCTTGACCGAAGGTTGAAATCCAGACATGTACAATTCCTGGCGCTATCCGGTGCCATTGGAACAGGTCTTTTTGTGGGAAGTGGCCAGGCGCTGTCGTTAGCTGGTCCGTTCTCGACATTTCTTGCATATCTGATCACTGGATTCAATCTTTATGCGGTGATCAACAGTCTCGGCGAAATGACAACTTACCTACCATTGCCCGGGGCAGTGCCAGTCTTTGCTGCGCGATTTGTCGACCCGGCTCTTGGTTTTACCCTTGGTTGGAACTACTGGTACCAGTTCGCCATTGGAGTTCCAATCGAGATCTCTGCGAGCGCTGTCGTAATCTCATACTGGCCGAACTCGGTCTCGAACGCTGTGTGGATCACCATTTTATTCATCCCAATGGTTGTGGTCAACCTTTTCCCTGTGAGGATATATGGGGAGGCAGAGTTCGTGTTTGGAACCATCAAGCTGACTACTATCGTCGGGTTGATCCTCCTTATGTTTATTATCACTTTGGGTGGTGCTCCCAACCATGATCGCATTGGCTTTCGCTATTGGGATGACCCTGGTCCGATGCTCGAATATCTCAAAGACGGAAGCCTGGGTCGGTTTCTTGCGTTCTGGAAAGTCTTCATCCAAGCAACCTTCTCATATGGTGGTAGTGAGATGGTAGTGGTTGCTGCCGGCGAGGCCGAGAACCCTAGACGGAATATCCCAAAGGCAGTACGAAGAGTATTCTGGCGCATCGCCATCTTCTACGTTCTAGCCATATTCCTCGTCAGTATGTGTGTTTCTGCCGAGGATCCGCGGCTGTTGAATGCAATCAGCAAGTCAGCTCCCGGCGCGGCAGCAAGCCCGTTCGTGATCGCAATCGTCAACGGTGGAATTCCTGCATTGCCTAGCATCATCAACGCAGTGATCCTGTCCTCTGCCTGGTCTGCAGGAAACGCCTTCTTCTACGCGTCCTCTCGCATCCTCTACGCGACAGCTCTTGATCACAGAGCTCCGGCATTCCTCCGGTACGAGAAATTTGGCGTGCCATATGCATGCGTTGGAGCAACCACCGTTCTCAGTCTGCTCGTATATCTGAACGTCAGCGAAAACTCGGCAGAAGTATTCTTCTGGTTCGCCAACATATCTGCAGTAAGCACGCTCGTTGTTTGGGCCAGCGTCTGTGTCACATATCTCCGATTTTACTACGGCTTGAAGCACAATGGCATCTCCCGCTCGACGCTGCCGTACAAATCTCCTCTACAACCTTTCTTGGCATACTTTGCCGTCTGTTTCTGCAGCGTTGTCGCCTTTTTCAATGGATTCGATTGCTTTTTCCCAGGACGGTTCTCCGCGAAATCATTTATACCTCCGTACATCGACATACCGATATTTGCAGCCTTATTCCTTGGATACAAGCTAACCATGCGTACAAAATTTGTCAAGCTTAGTGAGATGGATCTCTGGTCTGGAAAAGCTGAGATCGACAGATTGGAAGGAACTTGGCCGGAGGTCAGACCACGAAACTTCCTACAAAGAATTTGGTTCTGGATTGCTTAGGCAATGAACAAAATGGCAGGCACGTGGGCCACGACACTATCTTTTAGGCACGACAATACGCTCTTTGCTCCAGGGATGTGGATGTTCGTCTCTTTGCCCTCGGGGTAACATTCCTTGTTAGAAATAATTGCCGAGGAACACCATAATGCAGATAGGGAAGGGCTCTTTGCTCTCGTCGATGATGATATCATCGACGGTTGAGGGTAGGCTCCGCCTGTATCAAGTAGTCCAAGTTCGAGCAGGCTGGATATAGACAATCCATGTTGCACAATTTGCTTTCCCTCCATCGCCACCAGTTTGCTCTGAATACGATGTCTACATGAGTGAGATGGGCAAGTAGGTTCCAGCATTGACTTACGTGTAGAGAAGGTATAATAGCAGGTTTCAATGAGTAGGTTATTAGCCAGGCACGAATATCGGGTACCAGAATTGGTCCTAGCTTCTCGGGCTTGAAACAATATGAACAGAATTCCACCGACCCGAGTCACAGCACAAAACAAATGGGAAGAGATTGCTAGACATTTTCCACACAGCTCCCTGCACATTCGGTCTTGCACGCCAACCAAGAAAATCCGTCCTCCGGCCGTGCTCCCCGAAGCATCGTAAGATTTACCCTGACACTTGTTCAAAGTTCGAGACGTTCAAAAGCTCGCATCCCAGATGCTCAAAGTGACTAGTTGGTCATGATATCTTGAGGCAGAGTATTCACTGAAGAAAGCCTCCTATTCTGATCCTCACACGCTTTATGGCGCTTGTCCACGAGTGGCAGAGAGTTTGGTGTTCAGAATCGCTGAATCTATTGAACCGCCGTTTTCTTGGTCCTTGCCATGTCTGCCTCGCTTCCTCATCAATCAGGAGCCCATCCCGTAGTTCGTGAGGACGACTTGACTGCCTCTGATTGCTTAATAGCCGATTGTCACCAAACAACAAAGGCAGTCGGAGACCGAACCGCCAAGCAAATACCCTTGAGTGACTGGCCTCAAGTGAAGGAGATTTGAAATCTAGTAATGGTCGTTTACAAGTGAACCTGATCTCTTCCACCTGCAGGACTTAGCACTACAACTTTATTTCAACATATTTCCACGGCGGGTTAGGCTATGAACATCATGGGTAAGCCTACCCTAACCTACAGTAAACAGTGGATCTAACAACTCTGATGCAGCACGCGAACACCGATTTTTGGAAGCTGGAGGCAATCTTGACACGAGATCCTCTGCTTCAGTTGGCGCATCGGTGTATCCCTGGGAAGGTGAATTTCTTCCTCTCCAAGATCCACCGGCTCCATCAGCCGCTCCCTCACCCATGGCCCCAGATTTTCCACCTCAATTCATGGGCATCGTCCGTATGATGAACTCGAATGACCTCAGACTCAGTACTACAGACCAGCTCCCATCATTATCTCCGGACATGTGGTACGGCCCGGGACCTGCGACCCCCTCCGACTCTCCAGCCCACTTCGTTCCACAAAGCCTTCCTGGTGGCATCATCAAGCCTGCTCCGCCAAATGTGTATGACAGATGTTATCAGGGACCTGTAAACCAGGGCGTAGCAACCATGTTTGCAAACAATTCGCATTCACTGACCCCCCACAGCCTCTCATCTCATTCTACCTGCCTCAATACCGGCCCAGCAATGACCAATGGATATCCATCTTATCTCGGCTTCACGAACCATGTGCCAGCCAGTCATCCTGAGGTCAGCTATCAAGACACCCCCAACTATCTTTCGCAAGTCGGAGACATAAATGCCTTGATGAAGACGGCAAAAGCTGTCAGACGTCGGACAAAAGAGGCTGGGCCTCTCAGTGAACAAAACAAGGCGGCAAAACAGCCTAGTGTTCGGTTGGGCAAATCACCTTTGAAGAAGAGTCTAGCTCGACCGCAAAAGTCCGCCCTGAAAGCCGGTTTGGTAGCCTTGGAAACTGCAAAGAGCCATGATGGGGAGCTCAGGTGGCTGGAACCCAAGGCTCTAGATCTGCAATTTATCAATACCTGCCTCTATCTGGAAGGCTCCGAAACCCCGAAATCGAGACTGCAGCAGAATGAGGAAAAGAAGTACAATGTTGCTCCACCAGACATAAACACAGCTTTACGCGACAGCACACGAGACATTTGGGCTCAACCCAGGGATTACTATCGAAACAAAGGGAATGGCACTGTCGAAATGATGAAAAAGATCATGGCCGGATTGCCCATCAGCGAACTGCGCAGAGAGTACAATGTTCCGCGGGATGAGATGCTGCGGCGCATATCGATGCTTGCAACTATCAGTCTGGAGGCTCTTGAGACCCAGGGAATGTCCAAGGAACTCTTTCTCGAAGTCTTGGCTCAGCATGAAGAAGGCAATGGAGAGGAAATCCACGAAATTATCGAAATGATGCATCAGGATAGGGAAAACTAAGCCGGCCCCCGTTTGTGGTGTTGTTCGACTGTTGCAGAAGGCCAGCTACAGCTTGGCACAAAGAGTACAGATTACGGCGCAGTGTATGATTCAGTAAACTCGGAATGGGGGTAGTGGGATTGGCAGCCGAAATGAATGCACTGAAGATGATGCACATCAATCGGGCCAAACTACGGTAGGATCAAGTGTTGGTGTATGCTAGAAACCATATCAGAATACACTGCGCAAAACCTTGCAATGTTCTTCTGGGATTAGACAAGGCTACCTTGGCGCCAAGTAATCAGGGGGAACCCTTACGTCCGCGAATTCAAGTAGTGAGCCTTCCCACGTCCCACTTCTCCGCGGATTCTGTATCTCATAGGGTGTGGCCAAGAGGGTATCAAATGGTGTGTATGATGAGCTGAGATCCTCATGTGAGGGACATAGGCAATTTCTTCCAGGCCTTTCCGTAGATTAAGAGTTTGCATCGCCTTGTGGCTAAGAAAAGTTTTTTCATGACGCCCATGTCTGCCTGCGGCCTGGTAAAGAAAGATTGCGCCTCAACCCTCTTTCTACGATCCATTCGTTATCCCTCGCAACCCTTCATTCTTTTTGCTCAAAACAAGGAACACGACTTGTCTGTCACTCGTGGCTCGTTTACGCGCCAAGAGTCACACACAACTCGACCACAGAATCAATGCCATGGAATTGAATCACAATCAAACAAAAAAGAGGCAAAAAAGAGGCAAAAAAGAGGCAAAAAATTTGGCTGGTAGTTTCGAACAGAACATCTACACTACCTTTAGTTGCTCATCCATCCCAAATGGAATAGATGAACTGTAGGAAGGCAGCGCCCCTATCTTGCTCCATCAAGAGGCTACATCCTACCTAAAGGCCCACCAACCAGACCACAACACATTAGCCCCTGAGGAGGGGGATCTAAGAGGTGGAACTCGCTGAGCTAATGTTGGCAAACAATCGGGCCAGATTTTTCTTTCTACAGAAAAATTTGTATAGATAGTTCCTTTTCATGCGCAAATAACAGTTGATTTGTCACGGAACTGCTTGACCAAGGGCCATTGCTATCATTTGAGCATCCTTTGACTTCGGCTCTTGCTTTCAACCGCGAATATGTGAATTGACACAAACAAGAACTTAATATAGCTTCATTTGTGACTGTAAGAAAACTTCACAGTTGGGCAAAAACATCATTTAGGTATCCAATAGTGCAATGTTGTTTCAAACACCTTCAATGTTTGTCAACTCTCTTGGATTTGCAGCGAGACGTCAAAACACAAGATCTCATGTACATGGTGACGTTATTCCATATCTCCTACTTACCCAGCTAGGAATCTGTTGACTTTAATACTTCAGTACTCTAGACAACATTTCAAACCCCCTTGAAAGAAATCAGAATAACTCGTCTGAACCCTACAATCTCCTCGGAGCCTTCAGCTCTGCAAATATTGGCAGCAACAACATCACCTAACTCACAGATATGTCGGACCACCAACAAGAACTCATCGATAAACCCACCTCCAAGAAACCTACCTCCAGAAAACTGCGCCACCATGAAAATGCCTTCGGGGTCTTCAAAACAGCAGAACAGCAACACACTTGGCACAAGGATCGCGTCGTGATGGTTGAAGATGTCCTGGTCGATCTTTGCTGCTCCAAAAGCCTTATTACTATTGGCCATGAACGGGGTCGTGGTCCTCGGCTTCTCAATCAACTCATCGCACAATTCAGTCTCCATGCTATGCACTACTGCAAGTGGAAGAATGTCAACATGCCCATTGATTTTACCGATAAAGTTGCGCAACGCTACGTCGTCCTAGCTCGAGATGATTATTCGATGGAAGATGCCCGACAGCAGGTCGCAAAAGTTCAAGAAGTTATGCAGAAGTTGGCTTGCGGCGTACCGCTTCAACAAATTTTTGGAGAACAGGGAGGATCCGCAGTATCATTGAATATCCGCATCGCGATCTTTGGCATTCAAGCATTGTCCACTCTCAAGGATGTCGGTGTTGAGAAAGATGTCGTGTTGGAGGCTATTGCAAAGATGATGTCGGGAATGGATGGTGATCAAGCATGTCAAGAGGCTGTTGCGGAAAACGAAGAAAAGCTCAAGGCCAAAAAATGTGGAGCTGCTACGGACAACGCTGGTGAGTTTCTCTGGAGAATTGCACCCCTCAATACTGTAGAGTATCTCAAAATGGAAGCTAACTGACACTTCAATAGAAGGATGAAAGCAGAATGAACGACGTCATTATTGGCTAGACAGTCAAAGAAGGGTTGAGATCATTGAACAAGACATCATGAGCTTTTAGGCCGCAGTCAAATTGGATACCAGCGGCAACAACTGCAAAACTCTTCAATGGATTGTCAAGCTTGGTGGAGTAATGATGGGTCTCAGCTGGAATTGGTGTTTTCAGACTTAAAATGATGAGAAGGTTCCCCGTGTAACCTCAAAAAGTACCTTGAAATTGAGCATGAGTTCAGTTCTCACAGCCCCTTTCCCCTAATAAGCCAAAAGTCACAGGTCTTTCAAATTTCTGCTGGTTTTTTGCAGAGCCGTGAAAATAATGGACATCTATGGTGATGAGAAAGTTCAACTGAAGTGAGTCTGCAAGATATTTAGATTTACAAAGGATATAATTTAACGTGACAAAAAATCGTAGCCCCAGGGCTGAAAGTAGCTTTGACCAGGTGCGAAGAGATACTTGGGTGAATCGTAGACTGCCACTCGGATCGAATCAATCCGCTACACTCGCTGGAGCTTGATTCTGAGTGAGTGAGGCTCAACACTTTGCACCACGCCATTTCGATCAAATTCCACGTTGAAGGCGTCCGTAGCTCGATTGTCGTGAATGGCGGTGTCTGCAAAATACCAAGCATCTTTGAATTGAGGCCAGAGGTCTGGGGCATCGACGGGACGCTCAGGGAGGAAGAGAGCGCGGAATCCCTGGAACATGGCACCATTGTCCCCTTTGCGCTTCAAGTTGGCGGGATACAGACGAGCATCTCCAGCTCCAACGATGGGAGAGTTCTTGAAGTCGGTACCATTGCTGATCCATTCCGTGATTACCACACCCGGCCCTGAGTCGACTGAAAGTGTGATGGACGAGTTGAGATTGGAGCCGCTTGTCCGGAACGTCCCGGTGAAAGCTTGTCGGGCTTGTTCTTTCGCTGTAGATTCTGCGGCATTGATCTGTCACCTTTGATTAGCTGGAACTCCCCAAACCGTGCCATCATGCCAAAGGATCGAAACAAACACCGCGAAAAGAGAGGTTATGATGCTTACAAATCGGTCAGCAATGAGAGATTTTAAAGGCTGTACTTGGGCGTTTGGTACGGCGCCCGCTGCAAGAACTGTGAAACCGATATCGTGATCAGGCACTAAACAGAATGTGGTAGAGTATGCTCCCACATCGCCGCCTTTGCAATAGATATCGACAATACGTGTAGTGTTGAGGCTAGGATCGGCCGGGATCGGAAGTCTGGATATCTCCCAGGGGGCCTATGAATTCACCTTGAGCATGCCTGACGAAAGAATGTTAGATTCAGTCCACTTACACCAACATCGGTGGCCCATTGAGAAGTAGCGGAGTGAGGTTTCAACCACCGTCGTGTGAGTCCCTTAGGCAGCAAAGAGCTTTGCAAAATAGCCCTGCCCCACAGCTCCAGGTCACGAGTTGAGATGTATTGTCCACCTGCACTACATTGCGACACCGTTAGTTCTTGGCAAAACTCTCCAGCCGTACGAATAGTTCCACTTACGGCCACTGTACACCAATGCTGTGACTGAAGGTTGCAAAAGTATCATTATGGGGTATTATGGCGTCAATGTCGTCGGGCGGCGAGTCAGCGTACGCGGAACCTAGACCAAGGCGATCTCTGTAAACGGTGTTGAACCCGTCCTCGAACGAACGTCCAGTTATCTTCTCGTAGGCCATCGCTAGGAGAGGAAAGGCGATGTTTGAATACGAGGCCTTGGTGTACGTCGGGAATGCCACCGGATGCTCAATTAAGCCTTGGAGATACGCTGGCATGGCACGTTAGAAAGGGATCGTATGGCTTAGGAGGCCGAAGTCTCACTTGATCGGTCACAAGGGGAGAGAGCGTTTGAATAGTAGGCACAGTCGGGAGGGATTGCATATAGTGGAGGGGGAAATCCGAGTGAAATGGCAATAGCGGCGGATTCCTCTGGGGTGGGACCAGGCCCTCCGATACCTCCAATAGCATAATCTGCTAATCGGACTGTTTTATGTCAGCACGTTCGCCGAGAAATACCATGAAGTTCACCTACAATCACGACCGAGACCGGAAAGCTGTGAGGCGAGCGAACCGAGAGTGATTTCCTCCCAGTTCACCTGTTCTAATGGATCGTCGTAGGGCACATTGGCAAGCTCGGGCTGATGGTCCAGAATCGGTCAGCGAGCGATTTAAATGAAGTTGAAATCTTCCGTAGCCTGGGGATCTTACAATATATTTGGTGATTGGGTCATAGAACACACTGTCACCAATGTCGACCAAGAATTGATAAACGGACATCAATTTTCCAAGACTTCCCGTCCGGTAGATCGTATCATCCGTCAGTTTGCCACGAGTATATGACCCGTTCAACAACGGAGCCTCGAAATGGTACGTGAATAGTGTTTCATTACTATTGGTGGAAAACACGGATATTGAAAAGGAGGTTTCCTGAGTATCGATATCGCCATACTGAGACTTTCCAGTGGTCACAGCCTCGTCGATTTCGGCTTTTGATTGGGTGCGGGCAGCGTCAAAAGCCGGAGAGGAACCATTTGCTGGCGAAAGATATACTGGTCCTATCGTTGGCTCATCCGTGACGGGAAAGACGGGACTCGAAGCGTGGGCAGCCAAAGCCAATGTTGACAGAAGAAGCAAAGCGCGTGGGGCCATCGTGTCTGGGGTTGCTCAAATTGATAGGATCCCATTGGCAATATCCGAGAACCACGACATTCAGTTTCGAAATTTGGTTAGGGAATAGATTGAATACTTATAAACACGGCAGACTGTGTGTACCGGCATTGATCTACTAAGCAATAGCAATTCAGGCCACCCAATTTAGGAAGGAGCAAGAAGACCTGAGTATGTACCCTGGCAATATCAGAGATATCTCTTGGCCAGATACATGGGACAATCTCGCCAAAAAGAAGAGACTCGTATAAGTGTTACCATTGATTCGTCAGCAGCATGCTGCACCATACAAGCTTGTCTAGGTTGAGTAGAGCAGTGAATCCTCTAGCGTGAATTCGTTTATAAGTCTACAAGGTTCGTGGACCGGCAATGGGCTTCTGTGGAGAATGCGCGGATATCGGGGCTTGTCAGCGGTTGCTTGCGCAAGTGTGCGTGGCAAGCTTTATGCTTCAGGATGCTCAGTCTAACCATTTTGGGAGCTATCTATGCCGACTTGGGCCGTCGTTTGATGGTGCAATTGGGTGATCTTCTACCCCGGCCTTCGGATAATTTTCATTCCATACAACATCGTTGCTGGAGAGATTAAGTCTCACTCGGTCAAGGCATCCACCATCTTGCGAGGTACCGACATTGTGAGGTCTTTGACAGATCAAAATCGTCGATGTCTTAGAGGCGAGAGCTGTGGATTGATGCTCTACCTATCCCGAACACGCCTATCTTCTGCCCAAGATCGTTTGTTGGTTTGAACTGTTTCAACGTCCCCTTCCCGCAGCTACAATTGCTACATGCTCAAGAAAACACGGGCGACCACCAAACAATTGAAACTAAGAGCTTGTGATGTCTTGACACCACATTCAAGAAATCTTTGTCATTGCATTTTGGTCTCTATGTCTCTTTGAACCTGCAAACAAGGGAACAGCGGTACACCCTACCTTCCGTTGGTACGATACTCCAAACGTTGCATTTCCATCTGGGACGGGTAATATTGATCATCTCATCAACGAATGTGCAGCAATCAGAGCAATGGATTTTGCTCCGGCATCTCGCAACGATCCGAACGAATGTTACACTTATCTTCTATGTTACACTTATCTTCTCAAGCTCTCTGGAATAAAGATACCAATTTACTTCCGTGTCTCGGTGTCTATCTTCACGGCCACAACTCACTATTGTGATTTTGAGTATTAGTCCCTAATATATATATTAAATCATTCAAGGCTCAACGGCGGTAGAAATTTCTGGTACTGGGAATTTCAATGCGTCCTAGGAGAGCATCGACATTTTCTTCTCTAGGACCAACACTATGGGCCCCTTCCTCGTTAGCGCCAGCAAGGATGGAGCAAGAAACGCTTAATGATGCCTTCAACGAGACAGAGGTTAACCCTTTAGGTACGACGGAGACCTCCCCATCCTTGGAGGTAAGTCTAACAGTGTTCTTGAATGTCGATCTGATCACGACTCTGGCCGTGCCTTCCTTTCGGAGCAATCCAGACCAGCGGCAGACTCTACTCAACATACTCAACTAAAAGGACGATAAGACTCTCTTGGCACTGTGGATGTCACTGAAGCCTTGAACATCTCGGTCTTTCCTCGCCACTATCTTGGGTGCGGTAAGGCTACACCATTCCCTTGCGAAAGTAATCAAGAATTGCTGCGGGACAGCTCACTTGACACTAAATTTCAATAGGTCCGACAAAAGAGAAAACGGGAGCTCAAGAGGGCCCCGAACTGTGACCTCGACAATAACTTCGAGTTTCCGGACACAAGGACCTGAGAGCAAACGAGGTCGGTTCACGCAATTAACGAGGCAATTTGGTTGTCGAGGATCAATGTCACGCGTGGGGACATGTTGCTTGGATCCAGTATTTTCGTCATGTGGACTGCTTCGAGCATCGATTCCTCTCGACTAGCTTTTCCCCCGTCAATCCCCCTCTCCTCCTCGAACCAACCCAGTACTCAAGCAAAATCCACATGTCCCAGTATCACCAAATCTCTTTCAAGATCCCTCGACCAGGAGAAGACGTCTGCGTTGCATCCACGCATTACATCGATCGCCACCATGTCTACCTCAACACCTCGAGTCGGTCCAGCACGACCATTAGCTGAGAGAATTGGCGCCTCACGAAAACATGTTATCATGATTTATGGAATCATGCAATCAATCCTCCAGGGCAAAGATCTGACAGGACTCGCTGCGGGTCATTATATCTCCACAACGGTCGCCGTTCGACGTATTGCCATCTTTGGCAGTCGGGTCGTGCAGTTTTTGGATGACAAGATCTCAACCAAAAACCCCAACTACAAGGCGGAGTTCACGAAGAAGACTGCAGCGACATCCATTCTTAGCGATACTCAGGTCAGGAAGGTCTCGAATATTTTGCGTGACATCCTGGATCATAAAGCGAAATGGTCGATCGCGCAGATCCTGGAGTGCTATAGACTCGAAGCTGAGACACTGCACTCCTCCATTTCTGTCTTCGGTCTCCGGCTCTTGAAAGACCTCGAGAAGTGTGACACCATTGATAGAGATCTTGCATATCTCGAGATTGTCTTCGATCCAATGGCAAAGTGCTTCAATGGCATGGGAGCAGCCAAGCTCTCGCGGTGTGCTGAGGAAGAACAAGAAGACGCCCAAAAGGAGCGGCTTGAGAACCCGCTCACTGTCCACCATGTCTATCCACCAACCAAGTGGTTGGTCAGAGATGGCAAGAGTTGGTAATCAGATTGACTTCTGGTGCTTACTACTCTGACATTGGTGACGTGACCTACGCGACTGTCTCCAAATCTCCGGTCTCTTTGAGTCTGACAGTGTTTCGATGCAGCCAACCAATACAACTGGCAATACTTTATCATTTGCGATACGATGCACACACACCCAACGATCTCGACAGCTCTAGTATGTATTGAGGATGACAGGTGACTTCAGCCGAGACATGCAGCGATATTATTGGTCGCGCGGAGCTTCCTGCATTCATCAAGAATACCGGTATTGTTGTCCAGACCAGGGTCAATCTGAGTATCGATGTGTCTGAGAAGCTGGGGGGTTGGTCTCATACTCCCCCATACTTCCGCAAGGTGCATGATTGCGAAAACCCTCAACTTCTAAGAGCACCATCCGACTCTATCAACGAAATGCAATCTCAATACTATTACAATAGACGTTTAGATAGGACAGTGACAAGGTTGGCATCGTCGACTGTCCACACCTCGACAGCCCCTGGTAGCATTGAGGATGACAGGTATTGTGCATTCAGCCAATGAATTCGTGTACAAGTGGGACTCACAATAGATACAGATTTTCTCTAAAATTTCTTGAACTTGGATCCCTGCAGATGTGACTTTTGCTGTAATCCACTTCCTTTGCTTAGACTGCGGCGTCGATATCCCTAGCGCAACCCAGATAAGGCAATAGCGTATAGTCGCTTTTTACCACAGCATGGGTTTACCATCTCGCCTTCGTCTTAACACAACAGCTCTCAAATGGTATTTTGCCAAAGCCCACTGCTGTGGAGGAAGTATAAAAGCTACCCCCAACCCACTTCCCCTAGACAGATATGATCGGTGCAGGAGGGTGACCAGCAATTTGTTCAACAAGTACCAGACCATTTTGTCAGGATCTCTGGTAGGGGAGACATCGAACGAAGGCCGTGTTCAAAGGCGGACGAAGTGATCTCCAGACGTGGACTGCAAATGTGTCGCAACAAACCACGAGAGAGGTTCAACATTCAGGATGACGACCACTAGCATCTGTTAAATTGAATATCACTGTCGTTCAAAGCGGTTGAGTAGGTAGAATAGGCGCCTGAGGATTCAAGACTCCGGAGTTCGCATGAAGGAGGTAGGAAAACAAGCAAGATAAGAAGACGAGCGCCACTTTCAGAGAATAGCAGGATATGTATCATGTCATGGCACTGTTGTTGTCTGTCCACCTAAGAGCAGATGGCAAGAAGTAGGTACTCCACATCCCTTCGTCCCTTGCAGCAAGACCTCGGTCCTGCACCTTCTGAAGGCTGATTCCACGATGCAGTCCAGATCTCGCACAACTCACTAGACCCTCCACCATCCAGACCACAACATCAGGAGCCCATTTGAGCCCATTTAGCCACTCAAGTACCCTTCTGAGCCTCACCTCTCGCGCGCTCACCCGCCTCCGCTCTCACTAGTGCTCCTTTCGGTCGGAATCCGTCTAGGTTGTATGCCATGGCAACGTGAACAACCTCCCGTCCCACTCCCTTGTGCTCCATAAGCTGGAGCAGCCCGAAGTCCAGAATCGACATGTTTCGATTGAGAACCGCCATGCTCAATTTCAATTCCTCGGAGATCTGAGCCAAGGTCATGGGGTCCCAGCTGGCTTCATATGAAGATCTTTTTGGCTGCGAGGTGTTCAAGGACTTTGGCGGTTTCGGTGACCTTGAGCCTCGTAGCTTCGAATCCCGATGTGCCGAATGCCTTCTGGATATCGGGCTTGTTTGTAAGTTTGTGCACGATTTCTTGTTTTCCCACGCCCTTCTGATCTAGGAAGCGGACGGCTTGGAGACCGTATATTGCTAGTCTTCGGTTCAGGCCGTTTATTTCACATCCCATTGATTTGGCAATAGGGACCAGCGTCTTGCCAGCAGCCAATGCGTGGAGAACTGATTCGATGTCGTTGACTCGCTTCCGGGATGGAGAAATATTGGATCTCGAGTCTGAGGAATCATTGGTTGCAGTGTTCGTGCTTGGTCGGACCGGCACCTCCTTTGAGTTTTGCGCAGAGTTAGACATATTATCAATTAGTAAGAGATGACGGTTGAATACTAATAGGTGCTTGAATAATGCAAGTGCGATCAGAACAAGAGAATAAATTTGAGATAATGAAATGTATCAGAGAGAGAGAATCCCACTAGATTGGCCGGGTACGATGATTCACACCCGTGACATACATATGGTTTCACCACGCTACGAAGCAGTGGAAATCGCCACATATGCATGGCAGCGTCAATCACTATCTCCATAGCTGTCCCGCTCGTTCAATGAATAGTGAAATCCTTGTATGAATGTTACAGTGCTACATACTCAAGCCTGTCGCATGGTGCAGCTCGATCTTTTGGGGATAGTTGGGTGGCTGTTCAATTGAACTTGCAGGTTTCATTGGCTGCTCTTCGTAAGTTCTTGCGTGCATAGGCATTGTAGCTGTAACAACATGTTTGCAGGACCGAAACCCTCGATCACAGATCAAGTAACTTTAAACGAACCCTTTCACGAAGGTTCACGAGTAATCTTGCCACATCTCTTTACTCGAGTCTCTTCACATCAGGTGGGGATATGGCAGAGATAGCCAATAGGGTGGTACACAGTGAAACTACCTTGTCTTGATGCAAAAATGTGCAGGATATGATTCCCCTGCAGACAACTATATATAATAATGAGAACAGATAAACTGGGCTGGGCCGATGGATGGTAGAGGGTTATATGGATCATGGATTCATTACTTTCAATAAAGCAAGAGAACCATCTAGAAGGAAAAAAGTGGAGGCAATGTAATACGTGCGAATATGTCCAAGGATAAAGGAGGGCCGGAAGGCCAGTGTTCACTTGTCATTAATGCAGCTAGTCATAGCGTCGTAAACATTAAGCAGTCTATCCTGATTCCTTTGAAGTCACGCAGAGGCTTGATAGACGAGGTGGAGCACGTACATAAATGGGTTTTCAATCAGAGGAGGACTCAGCTTCCTTATTATCTGCTCGTAAGACTACGTTTCTTGATACGATTGATATGAGACAGGATAGTGACGCGTTGAATTTGACAAGATGTGGATGATTAGTTTCAAAGGCTATGAAAGACAGTACTGGGGCCATGAAAACTGCTGTTGAAGACACAAGCCAATGTAGCCCTTCGTGACCTTGTGTGCTGGATCTATCTGTACTCTTACATAGTGTGAGTTCCAAAATCGCTGATACCTCAACATCAAACTCTACACACATCCTTCCGGATAACCACATGCCACATTCTAATACTGCCAGAGGCTCCCTGTCAGACTCCAATTTGAAAGCCCGTTCGATCAGAAAAACTGATGGAAATCCTTCAATTTGCTCCAGCAGCAGAATACTGCGATTATGTGCGTTGCCCACGCTAGTCTCCCAAGGAAGATGTAATCAGGCGTTGTCGGAGGAGTCGTCCTTTCAATGCCTCTTTAGCTTGGAGCTCGGCGCGAATTTGGTCTCCGTCTGAACAGGCGTTTGTAAACCGCTTTGAGGATTGAAACAGCTTTCCTGACCCGAAGCTGGTGCTGACAGAAGCGCTCTAGCTGGATTTTCAACAGTGGAAGATTCACCGTCGGCTCGCCTTGTAAGTATGACGAGAGTGATGCTTGTCGAAGGGGCTTCCTTCCACCTTTGACGTAAGTCAGAATCGAACGCTGTCTCAAAGGGTTCTGTAGTCGTCGAAGCTCTCTTGCAATGGAAGCAGCTTCCACCCAATTTCTCATTTCAGTTACAAAAAGCGCCATGTGCTCAGAAAGTGAATCATCCAACCCTGCTTTTCGACAGAATGGACAGCGGTTCTGGCTGATACTTTCTTTAAACCAGTACATCAAGCATCGTACGTGAAAGTGCTGTATACGGCACGTAGAATCCAGATAGCTGCAAAGCGCAGGGAATTTATCCTCATCATCGTAAGCATCAATGGGATCATGACAAATTACACAGACAGGTGCTTGATCAGTGATACGACTCTCGATTCATTCCAAGATCGAAGTGTCGTCTTCAGCAGATTCAGGCTTGGCTCTGATCTCTGATCTTGAATGAGGCTGTGATGGGAGGGGACAGCAGTTACAGAAGCGTAGAATCGCGTAGCTAACATTGGATATGGTTGTACTGGCTGGCCGAATATATGCAGCGTCAAGCCGATTTGTTGGTGAAACAAACCGAGACAAAGCCTCACCACGCAAGACCTATGCCGTCTCAAGTTAAGATTTAGCAGATTTCGTCACAGCTCGTTTAGAGACATGAGAATATATGAGTTCCTCGACCCTAGCAGCTCTTCTCAAAGCACCTTGAATGAGGCATTGAAGAGATAGGATATCTGAATATTCCAAAGTCCATGCATCAGCTTGCAGGCTCAAACTGGCAGAGTCGTCCACGGCTTCTGAATAGGTCTCAATTATAATTGCCATCGCTGGGGCGAAAGCCTGGTCACAATTGTGGCGTAGGTCGCGTAGAGCATCTCGCTTCGTCCTTTCAGGGAGAAAGAGATGATGTTGAACAACGAGTAGGAGGTCATCGGTATAGCGGTGCAGCGCAAAGAGGAAATGACAAAATCCAGATGACTCTGAGACACCTTTATCAACCAACATGTGCGGTGCAGGCTCCCCTGACGATCGAAGTATGTCTACCTGATAGTCTATGCATTGTGAGCAATCTGAACCATCTCCATGACATCGGTGTCGCTTGATATGAACGGAGCTGTTATGGCTGTTGGTTTCAATATTGCTGGAGGCTCGCTCTGTGTAAGTGAAGCGTGCTCCATAAAAATGCTTCGCCTAAGGTCTGCTCAGCAGTGCAATGTAGTGGTAGGAGATGGGTTGACTGTGTGATAAGAAGTAGGGTAATGCTTTGAAAGGGAGTTACATGGAGAAACGTGTGCTAGTAGATAGGAAAATGGACAAGTCCATTGGGTTTGAGGCAGTCGCTGCAGCGCTTCAATTTTGCACGCTAGGTCACTGTGCTAACTAGGAGGCAGTGTGCACTGCACCTGTGATGCGGCTTCATTGTGCCAAGAACAAGGGAAAATCATAAACCATGGATGGTGAGACAACACAACGAGAGGAATAAAGAAATAGGTTAACCGGGGAGACGGGGAGACGGGGAGCGTGGACTTTAAGGGTTGCGAAGGGGGAAAGGTAGTATGAGTTCTCTTTGGACAGTCTTCAAGCAAGTCTGAATAGCTCATTCAGGCACTACACTCCTGTTGGACTGATCAACAGATTTAGCCGCATCTTTGGGTCGTTTCATAATGTTATTATCCAGGTGACGATTGTTATGATCCATGAGGCTCATTTATACTCAATAATTCGGTGTGCTTCACTCATGTTTGATCTACCGTAATTTTATAGGGTGGAGTATAAATTCAAATCAGAAAACTTCCATATCACGTGATCACATACATCATCGTGGGTGGTAAGCGATCCTACGTTCATGACTCCTATCAATCAGGCTGGAAGGATCTCCTAGTTTGATTCACTGAGGATCGGGGGTAGCTAGAGGAAGTTCGAGCAGGTTAAGTGTCAGGCTTCAGGCGACTCCAAGGATGAATCATGACTCAGCAGCGGCAGTTTTGATCCAGTTGATTGAAGAATATCACGATTACAATAGCAGCGGTATTTGCGAGTTTGCATATCCTGCTACCATTGACTTCAGCAAGCAAGTGAGTCGTGGGAGACCTTGCGTATACAACGTGCGAGAAGCGAAGGGCCGGCAAGGCGCCACCTCCCGCGAGAGGACCGCAGCAGGTGTGGCCGATAATGAGAGAATTGAAATCCTATCGTCGCCAGCATTTGCGTGGACAGCGCAGTCACTTTGTGCAAAGGTCCAGGACGAAGTAGAGGTTGCTGTCACACCAGATGGGCGAGCCGATGCTCTCTATGCTTTACCCCGGCCTCAAACTCCGAACACTGATCGACATGATGACAACCAAGGGGAAGAGGATGTCTTCGTCCAACCTTCCGCCGCTAATATGACTCTGTCCACTCTTCTGGATAGACTAATGCTGTCTTCTCCTTCGAAGACACAAGACGGCTCCAACCCGTCCACGAAAGGACCAGTCTACTATCTACAATCTCAAAACAGTAATCTCACCAGCACACCTCTCAGCCCCTTACTTGATGACCTCCCGTCCAATTTGCCTTTTGCCGCACCGGTGCTAGGTGAGCCTGATGCAATCAATATATGGATCGGAGACCACAGATCCGTGACCAGCACACACCGGGACCCGTACGAGAACCTGTATCTCGTGGTACGGGGGAGCAAGACCTTCACGCTCTACGCCCCAGTGGAAGAATTGTGTTTGCACGCGAAGATGGTACGGACAGGGCGGCTTGTTCAAGATGAGAGCGGAAATGGGGATGACAGTGGGTTCAGAATTGAGTTAGACGAGCATGTCCCTCTTTCTCCTAGGGAAAGCGATGGCAGCTCGATCAGCCAAATAAGCAAGCCAAGAGAGCAGGAAGGCTGGCTTCCTTGGATTCCCATATCTCCACTTCTGTCGCAGTCATACATTAACAACGCCTTTCCTTACTACAAATACGCACGACCAGAGACTGTTACTGTGGAAGCGGGCCAGATACTCTACTTACCATCAGGTTGGTTCCACCATGTGACACAACAGTGTGGCTCCTGGGATGATGGGACCAGCGCACCCTGTATAGCGGTAAATTACTGGTTCGATATGGATTACGGAGGGGAGAAGTTCGTTATGAGGCAGGCGGTTGGGAAGCTGGTCGAAGCAATCCGCAATGGGGAGATGGTTCAGGGTGAGAGCTAAGGAGCAGAAAAAGGTGGTGGAAGGGCGTATGTTGGAGCCAGTGGCCTTTAGCAGATAAGAGTTCTGACTCGAAGTCTTCGTAGAGCATTGGCACACACACGCGATATCATGTAGTCTTGATATTGTCTATTCTAGTTCTTTTGTCAAACCGAATCATATCGGACTGTCAGATCTCCGGTACTGACGTATTTTAAGGATCGACTCGCCATAATCATCAGAATGCGGCATTTTGCTGATTCTTTTCAAGTATCTGGACAAGCATTGGGCAAAAGCATGATTCATCAATCATGCCACAGTCATCGTTCTTTCGTATCATGCCAATTGTCATATTCGTATGGGTGCGAAAAGAGTACGGTAGCGCCACCAGCATCTAGGAACGAGCCTCGATCTTCTTGAGGAGTTCGGGGAACTCTTTCCAGTCGTACATGATCTCGTCAGCTTTGCACTGCTCGCGGAGCAATGTAGCCATCTGGTCCATCTTCTCCTTGCCTTCCTCGATGCCATAGACACCAACGTAGCCAATGAGGGGAATGCCGGCACGCATAGCAGCAGTGGCACCACTCTTGCTGTCTTCAACGGTAACAGCTTCCGAAGGCTTGATACCGAGCTGCTCGCAAGCATAGAGATAGATCTTGGGGTCAGGCTTGGAAGAAGGAGGATTGAGCGAGGTTGCAGCGCTGTAGACATGCTCATTTGGGAAATAGCCGGCGATGTCGGTCTTGATGAGGGATGCCACAACGCGGGGTTTGGCCGAGGTCGACACAACAGACATAGGGTAGCCTTGTTCCTTGAGACTCTTGAGAATCTCAGGTACACCGGGGCAAGGGGTAGCCTTCTCGCTGAGCTTCTGGGTGACACGGCCTAGCTCCTGGGCAACATAGTCTTCGAGCTCATCTGGCTTCAGGGTGAAATTGTGCTTCTTTTGTAGACCGATGAGCATGCCACGGAAGTTCTGGCCGACGAAGTCTTCAAGCAAGCTGTCGACAGTGTAGCGGTCGGAGAGACCCTGCTTCTCGAGGATTTCGTTGGTAAGGTCGGCACAGGCTTCGAAGGCGAGACGCTCAGAAAGGACAAGGGTGTTGTCACAGTCTAGGAGGATGTACTTGACCTGAGGACAGAGAGTTAGCTGTAGCTGAGATCATTGCAGTACGAGGGTTAGAAGGGGCGGTCAAGCGGGTGGTATTGGCAGGTGAGACAACAAGACGGAGGGGTAGATTGAGACTTACTTTAGGCATGATGATGGATTGACGGACGATTAAGTGAGAGACAAGAGATCTATGGTTGTGACGAAGAGAAGCGGAAGGGGTATTGAAGAAGAATTTCGATTAAATGGAAAAGAAAACTTGAAGAAGATAACAGTTGTTGTTTTTTTTCTAGGAAGGAGAAGCTTACAAGATGCGTTGGATGGGCAGGTGCAAGTGTGGGGGAACTAGATACAACGATTGACAACAAAAAGGATGGAAGGAGCAAGAGACGCCCTCGCGACCTCATTCGATGGATACGTCATGCATGCTCCCGCTGCCACGGCGCCACCTTCCCAAGCTCCCATTCGGCCCAGTAGTGCCCACTGCCCACTGCCTACTGCCTATTGCCACATACTCGCTAGATCGTGCCTGCCTTGAGCGTCCTTCTCAACTGCTCCTCCCAACGTTTGTTCTGCTGCCACGTGATGATAAGGCGGTGAGCGTCGATATCAAATCCTCGTATACCAGGGAAGCAGAGAACCTGACGTGTTGTGTTTACCTGCACTTTTAGACGAGCGACAGCTGACAACCTGCCCTTGCTCGCTATTATTACTCCTCTAGTACTTCACGCTTTTGTTTTCGGATGACTTCCGACTGGGTTCTTATGCCGCATTGGTAGGACCAAGGGGCTGTGCTTGGCCAGCTTCTTCCTTTCCCTTGCATCGAAGAAGTGCTTCGGATCTTCTTATCGGTCTGCCTAGCTCGATGGCTTGGTCATGTGGTATCAATCAAGCTGCTGACCGCCCCAAGCTATGTACCAAGAGGGCTACCCTATACCAAGGGATGTCTCTTGCACAGAAAATGCGAACGGTCCGGCTGCTCAGGTGAGAAGTTTAGCTCTTTCGGTACCTGCCTTAGACAATAGTCTGGTTCCTGGATCAATGGTAGGCTTTGCGCCATGGGGGCCATTTCCAACGGCCTGGCATCGAGTCGTTCCCACAGACCTTACCACCAATTGATGCTAGGAGTTGTAAATTTGCTTGCCCGACCTCAGGTTCTCAATAACCTCGCCTGTTACCTCTGCTAGCACCTCGATATCCGCCGCCGTCTGGAAGTCGTTCACCCCGCCTCCATTCACCGCTAGGTATGCTCCCGGACCCACCGAAGTCGTTGGACCTGGGAGCACTTCCATTGTGGGTGCCTCGTCCACTTTGTCCGCCATACCCACCACCTCTAACGCGACCATATCCATTTTCTCTTGCCCCTCGCGGACCAGTAGCGCTCCGGCCAACGACAGTTCCGTCGCCTAGCGGAGGAAAGACCGCACAGTCGATGAAGTCTCCAATCACAAACTTGACATCTTCTAGTGTCTTGTCTGCATCGTCCCCTTCAAGCCGTATAGTGGCATTGCCATCTCCATTGGAGTACTCGGGTGCCGACACCACCACACTACCCATATCTTTCGTCGAGTATCTCCCTCTGCCTTCAGTCTCAAGTCGACCACCTCCTCCCCGTGGGGCATATACGTCAGGGTACACCAGTCGGAAACTCAGCCTCGTTCCGACACTGGGCTCTGGTAAAATCTGGGGGAGTGCCTGTGTCAATAATTGCGCCAGCTCTTTGAGAGTACAGCTCATCCACGTGTATATTTGTAGGTGTGCTGGTAGGTGAGGTCGAGGATTTGCAGGTGTGGGTAAAGGGAATTCGGTCAAGTTATGAAAGCCTGCCGATCGGTAGCAAAAGTTCAGGAGGAATGGCGTCGTAGATTGACGATCAATAGTGGCCTTTGGCGCCGGTGATGGGGGACGCGACATCTTGTGTTCAAACGCACTCTCTGCAAGCATCAGGTATAGATTTTCAGCTCTCGAGGGATAAAAGCATTGGCAACTCTCTGTCAATTCAACTAAGGAGAGCCAGCCTCTGATGATTTTGGCATGAAGAACAGTAACAACTGTAAGAGGATGGGTAAGCGTTCACAGGTACCAAGAGGCTGATCCAGCCAAATCGGGGAGCATCTTCGGAATTCTTGTCAATATGTTTCTTTATTGGCGGATACTTGGCTTGGTGACATATGCAATGGGTGGGATGGGATACGGAGAATTACTTCTGATCCTACCGCATATTGTGGGTGTAGCTTTGCTTCGCCCTATGTTGCTCGGCTTCGCTTTCTTAGACCTTTTCCAAATTTCCCCTCACGAGTGGAGGCGGGCTAAGACGTAATTAGCCGACTATAAACAAAATCACGCGGTGCGACGCGTCGCGTCACGCCTTTGGGAAAGCAGATCTCACAATGTTGGCGGGAAAAATCAACCGTTGGGATCCGAAATAAATGTTGGCGTTATACATCAAGTCTACTACATTGTTCCCGTATTAAAACTTCAGAAAGTGTTGGATTATCTGTTCAAATCCTATTGAACCTTTGGTAACAGAACATCCTCATAGTTCTGCAATTTCAATGGATCTTGGATCACCAATTTATGAGCTCCCTGCCATCAAGAGGGTAGTCTCTGGCCGTCATTATGCCTGTGCACCTCGCCCAACTTATCCGCCAAATTCCGTTCAGGAGCTGCTATTTTGGGACCTGAGCAATGACGACAGCTGGTTCGAACCAGATTTATCTCGATATCTTCCCTCGCTCAAGCCAAAATTGGGAAAATTTGGAGTTGGTAGGCCAAGCATTATTAGAAAGCCGCTCAAATGGTGGAAGGCTCAGTGTGGATTCCGCGGTCTCTCTACAAGTGGATCGTTGGTACACTTGCAGAACCGTATCAGAGCGCTCGGTGGGCAGGAGATGTGTCCTCTCCTTGCAGCCGCTTGCGCGGAGATGGAGGAAGACTACTTGACTCGGAATAAGGATGCAATTGACAAGAAATGGAATCTGGCCGACGACAATGAGAAAGCCAAACTATGGCCACAGAGGTTCCTTTATGAATCCTTCCTCGTACCTCCTGCACAGGAGCAAGTTCTTGTTGTTGAAGTGGATGATTGGCCGTATAGGTTTGAGAAGATATGTGGGCAGATGAACATACCATGTGAGTCGCGGATCGTGCCGTTTAGCGATTCGATGGGCCTTCGTAAGATTGCAGTCGGACTTGACGCCGAAGCTGTTCGCTCCAGATACGCTGAACTCGATCGCGAGGCAAAACGTTTGATTTTGCGTTGGAGACAAGAAAAAGAGGAACGACACAAGAAAGCCGACGAGCCCTTTTTCGAAAAACTCGATCTGGCTAGAACGAAGACTGAAGAAATACAGGGAGAATGGGATGTTGGCGGAAAGTGGATCATCAATTGCCCATACATGGAAGAGTCATGGGGATCTGAAGGCCAGAAATGCTCTATAGAGTTCGAATACACCAGGCCGGATGCATTCGGTTTGGGACAGCTGTACGGCAGCTTTGATTTCATCGCCCTGGCAGGCATCATGCGGATCGTCGACCCCAATTGCCAATCGAGGGAAAATCTCGATGGCAGCTCAGAACGAGAGATCCTTTCAACTGAGGCCAAAGAGAAAAGAGAGGAGGAGCAGGAGGGGAGCGCAGACAGTGATGACAAAGAGAAGGCTGACGAGGCTCAAGTGCAGGCAGAAGGAGAAGCGATAGACCCAGACCAATTCATAATCCCATGCACATCGCTACCGTCCGCCAAGAGCCGCAAATTTGGGTTTCGCTGGAGAGGAAATGAAACAGGCGAAGGAGAAATTCAAGGTGGCTCCGAAGAGGACCTGTGCTCGATCACATTTGAAAACCCCAATGCATTGTCCGGCATCTTCATCAGTGACTTGACTGGCGAGCAGAAGTTTCAAGGGTTTCGCGAAGGATTCGACGTTGAAGCGACAGCTGTAAACCGGAAGCGCCCGTACGGTGCAGATCCAAGCAGCCTTGATTTCAGCGATGACATCCACAAACTTATCTGGTTTGAAGGGTGGCCCGAAAAATGAGAAATCTTGGATGAAGAGAGAAACTCGCATGAGGCTGCGGTTGATGACCTCTTGGATGACCTGCTTCCCGGAACTCTCGGATGAGGACACCCTTTAAGATGGTCTTGAAACATCTTCCTTATGATGATGAGGAACAACAGTCCCTACCACCGCCGCTCACAAGCCAGTTAGCTCCACAATGGTCAAAGTTTTCCCCCTATCACAATGACCACTTTTATAAATTTATCTGTGTTGACGGTAGAATCAAGGTCGATGCGTACTGGGCCTCCATTAGGGATCTTTGAATCTTCACGGACGTTTACAAGTATTACTAGCTGTTAAAAAGCAAATCACGATGACGCAGCGGACGCATGCTGTCGAGCAAGTCGGTTGAGATCACTCTTACGGCTTCAAGATTCTTGTTTTTCGTCTCTTGCGCAGAGCTAACGGGTTCTCTTGAATCGGTGTAACGGCGAGTTTCCGTCGTTGCAGTAAGAAATCCAAATTCAATTTCTAGTACGTGCCTAGGTAAAAGGAGGTCCCAACCGTGGCAATGAGCGATACAATACTAAGCCGTACCATGTTCCCAGCAGCGCCGCTGTTGCTTGCTGAGGACGAAGCTGCCCCCCCTCCCCCTGATGTACCAGTTGAGTTGCCATTAGAGCTGGTAGTTTTATCGTTCTGTGGAGGAAGCACAGGGAGACCACCTGGGCTAGTGATGATCTCAGTGTCGGTGACTGTTGCATTTCCAAGCGCGAGTGCCTGGAGCTGCTCCTCGGTACATGTGCCCGCCGGAGCCCAGAGGTTGCACATATTCTCTGGCGGAGGAGGTAACGTATCGGTCCAGCCCCAGCTGTCGGTTGGTCCGTCAGTCACATATGTCGGGTTTTTGGTCAAATCCTCTTTGCCGGTGGCGACGTCGTTATTGAACATTGTCCGATTGAAGATCGAATGGATTGTTTCTGGCTGGAAGAAGGCCGGAGCGTGGCCGGCTTGGAAGACGCGCGCGAAGGAGAAGCGCCCTGCTTGCTTAACCACACCCCCTTCATAGCTAGAATTTGTGGCGATCGGCACATACCCAGAGGACCGGAAGGTCTCGGATCCGTTGTACTTGGCTGCCAAAGCGATGGCTTCACCTCCGATCCCTAAGGTACATGAGTCAGAGAAAGGGAGGGAAGCTTGAGAGAGGTTCAATACTTACAATTGCAGACGTAATCTCTGTCACCATGTACAAGGGCCACCTTCACCCCACCATCTAAAAGATACTCGATGTTTGAGATGTTTTGCCTGGCGCTATCACCAAGGGCGAGGTAGGAGTTTGTGACCGCGTCGGGTGCCCAGTTGAAATTGACAGCAGCACCGAGGTCGTTTTGGACCCATTCCTGGTTGAAGAAGCCCGCTGCAAACATGTGTGGCTCTGGATCCGCCAGCGGATGGGAAATGTCGAAGGAAGCTCTCTGTGACAAGATTTGGCACGTTCAGCAATTCACTCTAGTGCGAACGCAAACCCATGAGGACAAGTGATACTTACACCAGTCACAGCCATGAAAGCTATTTCTACTTCCGTGAGACAATTCTGCGTTAGAGCGAAACCGCAAAAATCGTTTACGGTCTGATTAAGACCCATGACCGCAGGGTCGCCTTCGTACCCGAGCTGTTGACAGCGTTCGAGGGCTTGCAGACAGCCACCGTCTTTCGTCAGATTGTTCTTTGAACTTTCATAGACCTCTTGTGGAAGCAGCTTAACTCCATAGGTGTTGTTGTTGGCCATCTCAGGATATGAGAACATTGAGATGGATAAGTCGACACACCCGTTCAGCAGGCCAAGAGTATCAACTTGAATGTGGTGGTATCGTTTGCTGTCACGCCCGCCAGCCTGGAGAGCCTCGTTCTGTCTTTGGATTTCTGCGAGCGTTGCGGGCGCGGAATATCCGCCATACTACGTCGGAAGGGGGTTAGCCACAGGAATCTGCTTTGCTGTCGCCATATAACGGCGCTTCATCTTCAACTTACAGAGTTACCCCATGCGCTTATTGGCTTGTCCTGTAACCCAGGTAGATCTGCAGTCAAGGCCTGCACAACTTCATACATGACCTTTGCCGAATTCTGAGTTGTGTGGGCGATTCTTTCAATCTGCTGGGTTCCCCACTTGCCTGGCCAAAAAGTAGCGTTGGCCTCTCCAGGTCCTGGGATTATAGCTCCACTAATAACATCGTAGTGACCCTCTGTGATCTCGTCGTAAGAGTAACCGGCGAAGTTAGGCTGATCAATGTACAGCATGTTGACATGGTTGTTGTAGCTCCAAGGGTTCAGGGATGTGCTGTTCGAATCTGGGTTGACAATACACGGGCCAGAATCTGTTGCCGCCGTGAAGACTGACGATTCGCCAGGACCACCTGCGAGATAGAGTGAAAGAGGTGCGTTCTTGGGGTTGTTTCGTGCCGGAAAGTACCAGAAGAAGGTTGACAGGTTCCAAGCGCTCGCCGATGCATCCTCACTTGATTGGTAAAAGGGAAATAGACTGCTCGGCATGCGCACGTAGCCTGCTTGCGCTTCAACTCCATCTGTCGTCTCGCAGACGCTAGTCTTGTCGTGAAGTCAGCAATGGCAATTTCTAGCGTATCTACAAGATGTTCCATCCTGCAATGGCTGGGTATAGACGTACCCTCTTATATGAAAGGCTCACTCCCTGCCCAATAGACGACTCTATTGTGATGACATCGTCACGGGATACGAGGGAAGAGCGCAACACCGCCTCCGTGGTAGAAAGAAATAGAGCTGAAGCTGGAAGTAGCCCGCGCATGGCTGTCGACAGAATGAGACGATAAGGGATCCTCTATGAAGACACAAGTAAACAAATGTGAACGAGATCAAGCCGCAAAGAACGGAATGGCAAGCGAATGATCAGGATAGAAGGATGGGACTTTTGACCCACGCGAGCACGTCGCACTTTTTGTATTCAATACCACGTGGAATCGCCGACGTCAGCTTCGGCCACACGATTAGACGGTAGGAATGATTCGAAATCTACTACGTAGTCGTGGATCTCTGTATTACTTTGGCAGCCGAAAACAAGGTTTCGACCTTAAGAGGGGCCTATTGAAATTGCGAATGAGCGACAATTTGGTCATGTCTATCACCGGATTAGCCTAATGTGGTAACAGCTCGAACACAGCACACGGACAAGGCTGTATAAAGAAAAGTTTCAACGTTTGGGCCTTAAATAATTTGGGGACAGTCTCCTCATGTGTGTAAACTGATTGGTTGATCTTGCACTCAGCCTCGCTTGTTGTATTCTCAATCACCTAAACAGGTTAGAGTTTACGAGCTGCACGCCTTGTGAGGATCTGTCCAGGGGCTGCTGCATGATCTAGCTTTGTGTTCTAAAAATGCGATATCCTGGCTCCTCGTAAACGCTACCGCCAAAAAAAAAAAAGGCAAAGGCATGGTAGTTTGCTATATGTCATCTGTGTCTGCCTTTTCATTTATTGGACGGTGGATAACTTGAGAGGCTTGAGGGTTCAAGCTTTAGAGGGCGGTTTGAGGCCCCCGTTCATCTTCGAGCCTGAATTTGTTCAACTGTAATTTTAGTCTAAAGTAATTTCCGCTCGGTTTCGGTTCTCATTCAGTCCTGACCTCCCTCCAACAAGACAAGTGTTTATTTCACTAGGAAGATCCCGTTAAAAAAGCGGAATTCGGAAGCTGGGTCTCGCCCGGAGGACAGCCAACGAGCAACACCTCTGCCTATATACTCTGAAACACACAGAGTATGAGACAGTATCAGGCGTATCTGAGGTGGATCCATAACCGATGCATTCGAATAGGCGAACGCCTTTTCGGATTGACCTTTGCAATTCTTGCCGGTAAGTTTGTGCACCTTCCAACACTCTTCCCTTGCCCTGGTACTTAGATAGTAAAGTCGACTCAGAATCCGCTCAAATACACTACTGTGGCATTGATGTACCTGTAGTATCTAGCAGAGGAGTAGCGACTACCCACAGTCAAATCAACTTGGGCTCTGAAATAGGGTGTATCCAGAAGGAAGGTTTGACCATGCGCTCTTGGCGCTCGTAAGATCTAGCCAAATCTGACCGGCTTAAGGGTTGAAACAGTATACAAGTCTGACGCGTGTCCACTGTATGATATGTCCTTACATTCTGGCTTCGAGAAACTGACTGGTCATTCGCACCGTAATACGAAGTATCGAAGGGTGAATTAGGCGAAGTGCCTTCACACTCGGCGTACGTGGACCAGACGAAGCTAAAAAGAACGACGTTGCCTACCGATCGCAATACTCGACTCTGATTGATGTACTTAGGCTGGTCGGTAGTTGTAGGAGCTGCTCTTCGTGGCGCTGCGCCTGTTACCATCACATACCCTCCCTCGTTGCTTACGAGTGGTTTGTCAAAGCAGCATGTTGGATATTAGTGCGAAATTCTGGAAGCCTTTTGTCCTCCTCGCTGGTCCTAGGAGCACTGAAAGATTAGTTGGCATCTCAAAGAAAGTAATGATCATTAATCAGTTTGGATCCATGATTGGGAACTCGATTGAACGGTGTTTTCATGCCTCCTACACCAGCAGCCAAAGGTGTTTTCGAAAATTCGATCGTGAAACTATCTGATGGTCTTCTCCACCAAGTGTCATGTTTTCTTCTTGGAATAGGAGTTCCAGAAAGCCCAGTTTCAGAGTGACGCAACTGTATATACATACCTAGGCATTGACACTATGGCGAGTCCCCCTGAGAACCAAGAACCATATAGGTACGCCGGCAGGGCTCGCTTCGAGACTTCAGGAAGTACTCCGCCCTGAGGTCGAGCAAACACCCCTAGCAAATAGGAAATCCTTCAGTGAACCACGATGGTGGTAGCGATGGTGGAGATAGGACATTAGGGAGGGACGAGGGCCTTGACCGAGCACAGGCAAGCCTCCTATATTGACTTACCGGAGCGTTCACATTCACGCTTAATCCCTACGAGGTGGGAGGGCTAGCTGTCAGATCGAGGGGCCTTAAAGTACTCCGCAGGTTATTTGCCCTTCTGCGATGGTATGCAGAAATTAGCCTATTTACCCAAGCCGGATGCTCTGGGGAACCCCATGCCAACCCACGCAAGATTGCCGAGACAAAATCTGGGGGTGGAGTGGGTGGCAGTTAAGCTTTCGTTGTTGACTAATCTTCCTCCAACATCATCTCTGACAGTACTTACATTTCTCTACGCTCTTAGAGAGTAATATCTCATCTTCTTCCAACTCGTATCAAATGATTGTATACTTTCTTGAGCCATAGTCAGTTAGGACGCTAATAATTTAATGAGACAGTTATAATCAGCTTCCAAGCAAGATATCCACGCCTGCTCCTGAAAGCCAGAATGGATGAGGCAAAGCACAAGGGAGTGCTGACCGTCAACGCCCCCAATCCAATGCCTCATATCTTTCCACAGGCGGTGGTGACAACAAATGGCTTTGTTTTCTGCTCCGGCTCCATTGCAATGGATCCTAAGACTCTCAAGCTCATCGATGGAGATATACAGGCACACACTGTAAGTCTGGTGCGATATCCTTTATCTCTCCCCCACAACCGTCATAAATATATTCTCCGCCGCATCTCGAGGCTCCACCAAGCCATTTTCCCGATCCCTGTCATCATCTAGGAGGCATTAAAAGCAACATCCTCGAATCCATTATCATACTGACATATGATTGAATGCGTCAGCACCAGGTGATCCGCAATCTATCAGCCGTCCTCGAAGCCGCTGGCAGCAGCTTGAAAAAAATTGTGAAAATCAATATTTTTCTCGATGATATGGATAACTTCAACAAAATGAATGAAGTCTATACCCAATACTTTACCGAAAATTTGCCCTGTCGCACGTAAGCCAGAGTTTCTTTTTTTTGTAAAGAAAAGTGGACCGGAACAAAAATGTATGGCCCGCAATTATACTAACTGGTGCCGTCGATGGATTAGGTGTGTAGCAGTTAAGGCTCTACCCCTCCACACGGATATTGAGATGGAATGCACGGCAATGCTATAGGAAGACCGGTGCGTATCTGGCAGGAGGTGGATAATGTGGCTGAGACACCTCGAAAGTTCGCAATCATGAAACTATCATTTAGGTTTTATGCGGAGAGTCGGAGACTACACGATGTATACAGAGAGACCGAATGGATGGGACATTATTAGATTGCAAGGGCTAGGTGCCAGAAAGCTTGAGTACTATCAAATTGTGAATATCCTTTGGTCAGCCTGAGACAATTCGCCTGACTCTACACCGTTTCGTACCCAAACAGTGCCTTGAAGTCACGGGTCAAGAGTCATCTTCCCTGTCAAGTCGCGTCATATTACACAAGATGAGCCCCCTTTTTCACAAGTGGATTGAGACAAGCGAACCCCGAGAATGGTCTAGACCTTGATCTCGTTGTCGACAGCGACCACTCTGGAATCCTCAGTGATACCAAGCTGGTGAGTCTGGACGGAGAACTTGACGGGGTTCTTGGCTTCGAAGATAAGATCGAGTTCCTCGAGCTATGAGATTGTTAGTAGATGTCTATATGGGAATGATTATGGCGTTGAGATGACTTACAGTTCGTTTTCTGGTCTCGGGGAAGAAGAAGTATGCGAGGACACCCTGGACGAAGGTCCATACAACGAAGATGATGTAAGTCTTCCACTCGATCTGCTTGATGGCAACAGGCCAAGCAAACTGATTGAGGAGGCCAGCAGCGTTGACGAAGGCTGACTGGAATGCCATTCCTTTGGCTCGGATCTCGAAAGAGATGACCTCGACGGGATAGAGACTCTGTAGAGGAGTGATGTTGAATGAATAGACACCGCCAAAGATGAAGATGAATGCCAAGACTGCATTGCTTGCAGCGTGGTTGCTGTAGACTGCGTCACCAGCCTGGACACTGCCAGACTCTAGAGAGTTGGCAAGAGTTCCCGCTGCAGCTGTCATGCAAACCCAGACGATAGATGTGCCGAAGAAGCCACAAAGCATCATCTTACGGCGACCAATCTTCTCGACGAAATGAGCACCAAACACAGCGAACGCGAATTGGAACACGGTGTAGCCGAGCCCTACGTTGGCCTTGCCAATGGAATCATTCACACCAGCAGTGTCGAGCACAGCAGCCAGGAAGTAAGACAGAGGTCCATTACCGCACCCTAGAAGGTTCTTAGTGTCTGGATTCAGCATATATAGATGGACTTTGCTCACATTGGGAGAAAGCTGAGAACCAACAAGCGACAGCAACTCGAATGACACTGGACCTCTTGTTAAATAATGAACGGTAGTCCCACCAGCGCTTGTCCTGAAAAGAGAAGTAAGTAATTTTCTCCGGGGATTCAGTTCAAGGGTAGCTTACAGATCCATCAAGCTCAAGGAATTCCTCGTATTCGCGAAGTTGAAGTTGGACCCAGGCAGAGTCCGGGTTGCCATATCCATGCCACTTGGTGAGAGTCTGGTGGGCTTGCTCACGCTTGTTACGAGTGTAGAGCCATCTGGGTGATTCGGGAATGAAGAAACAGAAGAGGACGATGAGGCCAGGGAAAACAATTTGTAACCAGAGGGGAATCAGCCAAGATGCGTTGCCCTGGATGTTGAGCCCGCCACGGGTGGCACCGGAAGCCAAGATTGCACCAGCAAGCCAAGTAGTGTTGCAAAGACCAGTGATGATACCACGATATTTAGGGTGCGAGGTTTCGACGATCCAGATGGGCCCAGCGGCAGCTGCGATTGACACGCCAAATCCGAGCAGAAATCGACCACCCATCATTTGACCCTCAGATGCATTGGTTGATGTAAGAGCTTGAACGATGGTGCCGATGATAATGAGCACGCTTCCAATGAACATGCCGACGCGACGGCCCCAGTTATCGACGCAGGGTCCAACAAATGGCAGAGCAGAGACACCACCAATTTGATACATAGAACTGATGATACCAGCCCAGATACCCTTGTTTTCTCCGTTGAAGTGCTTCAAGAAATATTCTTTGTTGTTCAACAGACCACCGAGGAGCATACTGTCGTAACCGTTCATGGTTTGGCAGAAAAAGCCGACCAAGAGAACAAGAAACAATAGCAGAGTCCGAGGATGGGTCAAGGGGACTGGTTCTTGGAGCAAAGCCTCATTGAAGGCTTCACTGCCCTTGACTTCCTTGATGGCGACGACCTAACAAATGATTAGCATGACCCCTTTGTCATACTGATAGTGCCTCACATCTTTGCTTCTGGAAATGGAATCTACTCGATCGACAGTTTCTGCAGCGCCGCCTGCGATCTTCTCGTCTGTCGACATGGTGGCTGGCGGCTGGGTCAATGTGACAATAGCCAAATCCTTGGATGAGTTGAATGTTGTCGATGGGGTTGATTGAAGAACCATGTCAAGATACCGGGCTGGTCAGGATTCTTATAGATTACTCAGGTATAGCGAACTTCTGGGGAATATTCCACCACGGCTCCAACACCACATGGGTAGCTGGTGGACAAATCGATCGTTAGTGTTCCGAAATGAAGCCGACAAACCAGGGGTCGAATGTTCCCACTGCCCAGGCTCGATCGTGTGTCCAGATGTTGGGCTGTGAGCACCGATAGGCCATTCCAGCCGGTACGGGACCCCGCCCTAGCCGTCTCTAATCCGGGGAGAACGATTTCTTCCTATCACAAGATCCCAAGGGATTTGCGCCACCCTCAATCCCTATGGGAAACTAAAGGAAGATGAAGGCGGGCAGGCAAATGGGTGACATGGGGCAACGATGCAGCTGATGTCGCTTAGGTAGCGCTATCAGCAGACTGTGGGACTGACGCCAAAGCGGTTGGCCACTGTTGGGTTGCATGCTGACTACCGCACCTATTATGGTCAAGCCGCCTTCGCTAGCCCTGGTCTAGACACTTCGTCCGTACAATAGCTGGGCTGCTGCTAGCGAGCGTTGACATGGCGCTAGGGCCACTGAGTCGAGTTTGACCACTTTCGATGCCCATTTTCCTCATCTTTGTTCGTTGGCATTCAATGTTGGTGGTAAAATCATGTATTGAGTGACCCCTAGACTTCTTTCCCGTCCAATGGGCTTCTTTGATCGCTGCCGCAGGTGCAAATCCCCTAGACCATTTTCCAGGAAAGTAAGCTTTGGAGAGTGGTTACCAGTTGGGTTGGCCTTGCAAGTTCTGTGACAGATGCAAGATTATTCCTCGCGCCACCATTATTGATTAACACGGAGGGCTCTGTACGAGTAGGCGCGACACTGTCCTGCTTATCGATTTTAAGACTCAGAATGGCTGCTGCATCAGACTATCGCAACGTCAGGGCGTGTTTGGCTGCCCAGTCCAATGGTCGAACGTTTGACCTTATCTCCAACGTGTGTTTGCTGTACCTTGAAAGAGTCCCCATGGGGCTTTGAGCTAAAGTGCTGCGTCGACTCCTCATACCACATTTGTCATTCTCGGTTTGCTGGAGCAATCGTGGAGATGAGCATCCTCCCTTGTCCGAAGACTTCTTTTCTAACCTGGTCAACCCAAATCGCGAGATGTGATAGGCTTTTACTGCCCCCCGGGCTGTTGGCCGAGGCTGCTATGTGCCCAGAAACCGCCTGTGATTCCGATGATCAACCGCTGACTTCCCAATCTTGGAGGCCCGAGGATTAAGCGGGCGCAAACCAACACGAGACAAGCAAGTTTGAGGTTTTCTGGAAGTCATGCTAGCCGGACGCCAAGATACTCTAGCAGGATCCACTTGACTCATGGTTGAACTCCGGCAACCACGTTCATTGGTTTTCTCGCGACCTCCCTTGCCTTGTTTGGGAAATAAGGTTGCTGGCTGTTCCTCGGAGCCAGATTGGCCTATCCAGGCCACAGGCCTGGGAGAGCCTCATGCTCACTAGCATCCAACTCTATACCGAGCAGTCAAACGAAGCAGTTAACAACACGTTACTCCTTCCAGTGGCTTGTATACCTCTGATCACGAGTTTACGGATTGCCTGTTCATGGCGCAACGCGCTAAAATGACATGCTGCTCCCACCCCCTCTTTCGGGCACACATATTGCACACGAGGGGAGATACTTCTTAGGCTCAATATCGGCCTCAAATACTTCCATACTATTCGACTGGTCGTGTGGAAGTGGGTGGATTATTGCAGCTCTATGTGCCGCTGAGCCGATTATCTACGAAGTTCAAGCCATAGGCTATCCGGACTTGCAGCGTGCACGTACGAAGCTGGTTGCAGAGAATCGGTTCTAAGCTCAGATCTCCCTACCATCGAGGGAGAGAGCGGCGCATGTGCCGCTTCCAGATATTGATCAGGAGACGACTCCACTAGCCGCCACACAATCTCAGATGTCCAGCCTTGCCGAGAATCAAGCCATCGAGAGAGATATCACTCAGCTTTGGACGAGAGAAATCACCGCCTCGTTGCCGACGGCCACCAGGTCTTTTTTCTTGGGCTCACAGGCCGCGCGTTTGCATCCCAACTCACTTGGTTGATAGATGATGTTGATCGGTTCTGGGTCAACCTGATCCTCCGGGATCAGCGAAATGCTAGCCTGTTGGCATGCGGACTCGTCTCACGCATGCATATCCGAGCTTGGTCTTTGGGTGGCGTCCCGCCGCAGAATTCCTTTTGGGATTTCCAATACAGCAGCCTGTGGTGATTTTACTTTGTTGCATTTGGCTTCTAGAACTGTTTCCTCTGTCCTCGATCCCTACCACCATTTTTGGGCTTTGATGAGCTTGAATGCATGTTCTGTGCAGCCTGAGAATCTCTGCCTGCTGGCAATTTACTCCCCAATGTCAGCATGGATAGTGGAGAGAATCCGGCTTCACCGTGCGGCAGTGCGCGGCCCAGTGAGGCAGGTATCATTGAGTCATGTTTGCCACATTCTAGACCCGGTCTGTCCACCTCGAACGTTAGCTGGTACTCTGGTTGCAGAAGATATGGTGATCATTGTTCCGAATACCTTTTTCGGTCACCTGAGTTTAGCTATTTGGAAATTTCAGGGAGATCTGTTTCGCAGCGTTCGAAGGTCGGTGCCCCTTGAAAGACAGCATTCTGATTGGTGAACAGGGCTGATGTTCAGATGGGAGATAGATTCCAGTTTCCTTCCCACAGTGCCGATACCGCACTCGACAGCAAAGAGAGCATACAAAATGGAACAACGGAGCTTCACACAGAGCAAAAATTGAGATGCCGGATATATATTCTACCAGAAAACGTTTGTCAGTAAGTGGTTGGGCCCGGTCAAGCCCGAAGAGGTGGTTGTGAAGAACGTATACCTTGCGGCGTGCCTCGAGACACCTCTCTATAATACCCTAAAAGGTCAAAAGAAACCCTTCTGATATAAATCTGCCAGGCAAGACACCAATTTTAGGGAAGATATACTTCTATTTCATAAGATATTGACTTTGTAGCAATCCAGATGTCCTTCTGGCAACAGATGATAGGTCATAGGTTGGGGCTACAGTCACTGTTCAACCACAACATCGGTGTCTCCAAGCCCGGCTCCCCTCCCAGCTACGCGCTGCCATCTCGTTACAGCGAACAAGCACAATACGCATGCTGGTACGCTAACCTGCCCCAATGATGTTTTCGAACACCCCGCTCGGCAATCACAGCTATCACAGTCTTGAAGACTGGCATCTACACCTGACTACTAGAGTTAAAATGCAATCGGGAAAGTCCACGTTGGCGACCCGTCATCGGAGCCGAGCTCCAACCGGCTCACACAATGCTACATCTGTCCTTCGCTGCAAGCTGGCCTCGCACCTTTCCGCAAGGGCTGGCCAGATGAGCTTCTGTACCTACATTACCTGCAATTTGAAGTCTGCATTATAGGTTGTGTCCATCTGACCAAGTCGACTTATAGACAGAAGCTCAGCCTCAGCTCGCATCGTAAGGGATGATATCACAGTCGTCATCAGTATCGAACTCTTCGAATTTGCCCGTTGCCCTGCGCTTCAGTCCTTTCAGACTATTCGCCTCCTCTTTTTCCTTGACATCCACCCAAGGCCCCAAGTCTTTCTCGCTCAGGTGTACGGCAATCGCAGCAGACGGCTCTGGCCCGTATTGAGGACCGATAATGACAGTTGAAACTCCAGCTGTCAAGCTGGGCGGAAAGAACTGCACAGATCGCTCCTGCGCGGAATGCGGTAGGAAAATCGTCTCCGACGGAGTCTTGATTGGTTTGTCCTCCGGGATAGCGAAGCCTGGGGCAGCTAGTGGGATCTCATATGCTCTCAGCGTCAAGCCATTGATGCAAAAATAAGCGTTTGACTTGCTCCAGGTCCACGTGTACGGTATTGTCGGGAAATATATCTTCTTCCATATTCCCAGGTTGTGAAGCTTTTTGGTGATTGTGACTGGTCGATTAATCCTGGACTCAGAGCATGAGATCCGAAGAGTCTCTACGACAACAGTGAGACCATAGACTTTGGGTGCTCGGACATCTCTCTTCTTTTTCTCAAGCATCCTCACTGCTTCCACTGTCCCCACGTGGAGATATTGGCCATCTTCAGAGAAGTGAAGGCTCATGGACAGCTGGCGGGCTATTACGAAGTCAGTATCAAGGACTTGTGATCTCACTGGGCTGGATGTTTGTATTGCCTTACCTTTAGCTGATGTTGCTCGGTGTGAATGAATGTGCTTCAAGCCTTTACTAAAATTGGCAAAGAGCAAGCTGTCGTAGCCCAGCGGCCAGACCACGATTGGTTCCGTAGGGTGAAAAATGGGTGGCGATTCGTGAAGCATTTCGGGCTTCGTCTTGCTGTATGAGAAGATCAACTTGTCTGCATCGTTTGTGGTATCGAAGACACGAAGTTCTTGGTGAATGATGAAATTACTCCACGATATAACATTGCGACTAGATAAGTGTAAGGTTAGCCTCGGGTCAGAATACGATTTTCAGCAAGGTGAATTGGTAGGTACACATGCGCTCGCCTTCACAAGGGGTCTGCTGCCGAAGCAATGAAGAAAAAAATGCTGGAAAACTCACATTTCATTGGGTCCACATTCATACAATTGATGCCTAGGTTGAACGAAGTCAGTTTCGATCCCAGACCAGCGTACGGCCCCACGAGTTGATGTGTTTTGGCATACCTCTTATCATAACACCATACGCCTTTCTCTTTGACACATTCTGTGCAAAGATCATAACCATTCTCTGGTTCACAAAAAGCACAACGGAACCATGTTTCCTGTTGCGAAGAATCGCACTCATCGCACAGAACACCAATGCTACTAGAGACTTTTGGCTCTATCCCAACAGGATAGAAATACGTCTCTTCTTCTTCTGCTCCGGAAGGAACTTGTTTGCCCTCCTCCGCGCTATCGTTCTCTGAAAATCTCTCGCCAGTCTCGGATACGAGGGAGCTGATGCTGCTGTTACCATCAGAGGCCATATCTTCCTCATCATTGCCAGAAACAAAATCTGACTTCTCGTCATCAGTGTCGGTTTCTGAATGGATAGGCGAATTAAATGAACTAGGGCTTGCTGAGTCTTCAGAGGCAGCAAGGGATTCAGTGTCACTTGAATCAGGCGGAGCGTGATGCCCATGGTCTTCCTCCCCTTCAAGCTCCTCTTCTGAGTTAGTACTTGATTCATCCTGGTCCACGATCAGGTCGTCATCCGAAGGTCTACCATGATTTGGTCCTTCGGAATCCTCGTCACTACCGTCAGATTCATATTCCATCCCTCTTTCGCGATCTAGTTCTCTCCGCCGTTTCAGCCTTTGCGCAACACGTTCTTTCTCCTTCTGCAGTGCCTCCGCATTCATTTTCTTGAGTCTTCTTCTCCGAGCCAATGCCGTGAAGTTGCCCCACCTGCAAGACTCTTCGAAGTATCCATCGTCCTCATCAAGATTCATCTGTCGATATTTTGAATTTGGACCATGGGTGTGAAGAATAAAGACTTTTGTACCAACATGCAGAACATCACCACTTCGACCAACTTTTATGGTATTACTTGGTGCTGCTTGTGTAACCTGTGGTATCAAAGGGAGATTTTGCGAGCAAGGGAACTCATAAGTCACCAATTCTGATTCGTTCTGCGAGACTGGGATTGTAAGGTCGACTATCACGTTCGCCGGCTGTTTCCATTTATCTGAGGCGGGGATTTGTAAAGACTTGATTTGAACCTTTATTTCATTGCTGCTTCAGGGACAGAATTAGTCTGATGTGCTGGAAAGTTTAGGTGATACTTACTTTCCGGAGTCGAAGTAAAACAAAGTGTGCGTGGCACCGTCATCAGACGACGAAAGTATCAGGCATGAAGTTGGTGCTTTTGTTGGCTTCTGTGGACAAACTGAAGGTACATCACCTAGGATGAATGAATCATACCTGCTTCTTCCTTTGCTCAAAAAGCTCTCGGGACCCAGAGAATTCCAGAAAACTCTATCAACCTCACCGATGAACCGAGAGCTTAGACCAAGTTGCAAAAGGTGGCTCCATTCTCGAAGCATCTCTTTATACTGATCATGAAATTTAATTGTCTCACCGTCGATCAATTTCGTCCATGAAGGTAGATTCTGTTTGAGACTTTTTGGACGGCCGGTCAATTGGTTGAAGCTGATCAAGAAGTGGCCAATGATTGAAACACTTTGGATTTGTAGACAAGTTTGAAAGTTCTCCGATAATAAGAAAGTTCGGACAAGTTCTTGGATCTCTGTGGAGGCTGAGGACTCATCACAATGCCTGTACCAATACTTAGCAGCGTACAGCACCAACTGGTGTTCTTTCAACGCGGATCCATCCTGAGAAACAAAATGGAGACGCGACTTTTGCTCCATTGCCACATATCGAGGTTGCATCAAATATCTCAAGCAGCAAAGGGTGATAATGTCGGCCGAAACAAGATCGCACTCTTGACAGTTGGGGATTGTGCAACGGGTACGCTTATCACTTTCACTATGCTCACGAAGAAAGGTGTGAACGGCAGAGTGTGAGAGCACTAGTGTTCCGTTCGTGCTTCCATCCCCGGGCTTGACATATCTGACCAGTGCGGGACATTCACTTGTGATCTTCGTATCATCTAGTATGAGCATCGATTCCGCAATATTTGAGATTACGGCTGAACGAATGACCGCGATTGCCTCTCGGATTTCGTAGAGACGTAAGGGCCGCTTGACGAAGGTAAGAAGAGAAAGGATTATTCTAATCTGGGTTAGTTTACTTCAGTCTCGTTGGAAAAGTCTATACTTACTTCCAAAGCGGTAGGGCTGAGTGCGAAGTTGGTCGTTTACGATATGCTGCAATGGTAGTCCTGTAGTAGTCGTGCATCGATGTCGGAAGGCCCCTTCCTGCGAGCCGTAAGAGGTCGTCGCTGTTCTCTGCTTGTTCTTTGAGGTCGTTCATCATTTGCGCAGCCCACAAAAAGCTTCCTTGGACCTCAGTGTTCACAGCTATTGTGACGAACTGTTGTGCGAAACTGTTGGCGTTTTTCGTCGACTCAGGAACCGCCTGGTCTAGGTACCGAGTGATGTCTCGTTCCGTGTCGTCGACCTCCACAGCGAGTTCCAAAACTTTGTCTGCATAGGGATGAGAGACGAGAGCCTCTATGATCGGGGAATATTGTGAGCTCAACCAAAGTCGAAGTCGCCCAGAAGATACCGCCTCATTTCTCAAGAAACAGACAAAAGCGGCCATATCGTGCGAGTTCGATGCTTCATCCAATCCATCCACAAATATGAACATCCTCGGTATTTCCAGCAGTAACCTGCTGATCAAGCGCTCGAAGCAAGTTGGATCTGTGGAACAGCCTTTTATCAGGCATGCTGTGTCGTCGGAGATGTCACCAGAGCTGGACTCCACGCATTTAGCAATTTGATATGCCAATGCTCGCAAGAGCTGAGTTCTGCTGGTCTCTCGACCTCTTGATATGAACAGAAATGCAACGCATTGTTGAACACCTGGACTACCTTTGATTTTTTCGATTGCTGCCGAGCAGATGTATGATTTTCCGCATCCATGCTTTCCATGAAGCCAAAAGACTGGTTTCGCTGGCTTTTCAGACACCCATGACAACCATGAGGGACGCCCAAAAACCCAGGTGCAAGTTTCTGGATGCCTGCCTTCGATCATGTTTCGCAGGAGATCTGCATTGTAACTGTGGTCACCGTTGATTGACTCGATCAACTCACGACGAGCTGCAGCACGCTGATACTGCTCACTGATTTCGAATCCCTGCCTCAACTGTTCCCTTGCAGCTTTGAGTTCTGCTTCCAAGTCTCGGCGATGAAGCTCATTCAGCCTGCGTTCTTCTGCAGCCGCCGCCCTTTCGATGATTTGAAGCTGTCTTTCTGCACGAAATTCTTCCGACAACTCGGCAACAATTTCGCGCGACTGTGACTCTAACTCGGCTTCAGCAACTGCACAGATTCGTTGCAATTCATCTGCGTCTTCTTTGAGCACCATCAATGCTTTTTCAAATTTTTCATTCCGGAAGATGGCACTGCCCACTTGCTTGAGCTGGCCTTTGGAAAGCTGCTTAGTGATCTTGTACAAAAGATCGATTATGTGGACATAAGAACGGCCTACGATAGCCTGAACGGTGGGAGCCGAATGCCCAGAACTCGAATATAGTGTGTCACACGATCCTAAGGCCCACATGTGCGATGTAAGTGTCCCTAGCACCGATTGAATCGTTTCGAGTGAGCCGTTGAACCGCACTGTTGCTTCGATCACAGCCCTCATACCTCCCCAAACGATCGCTGCAGGCATTGGGTAGGCAGCGACCAACTGATCAATAGCTTGAGAGTAGTCTTTTAAACCGTTGACAACTGGCATTACGAAGGCCTGCAGCCATCTTCGCAATTTACGGTCCGCGCACTTTTGCACAAGGCTGTCGACCGAATCTTGTAGGTCTTCGATGGGGACATTCTCATATTGCAGCTTGATTTTGCCGATGAAATGGCTTTTGCCAGATTTTCTGTCAAGCCCAGCAACATAATCGAGATAGACCTGTTCAAAATGTCGAGCTGGGAGTGTAGGTGTTCCTGCTATTGATGGCATGGCTCATGAGCCACCGTTCGAAGTTTTCCACTCGACTCTTTATCAACGCGTATCAAATGACAATATATTTCGCCGAATCACGATAACAGGCCATATGGGAGCGATTTATGGCTAGACGTGGTGAGATCAAGACATCGAAATGTGCTCACTCGTTAGTACTCAGTAGTGAATTCGAACACTTTCAGAAATGGTTGGTCATTCTTTACGTAGTGAGCAATGCCTCCCATGCCAAATCAACGAAACAAGAAGCAACGGTTGGTACTGTGCAGCAGTGCAGGCTTCCCCTAGAGCACACACTTGGTCACGTCTTACTCGTCCGAGTGGACGAAGTCAACAAGTTTGACCCCCATGACCTTGGGGGCTGAAATCCTGAAAACGGGGCAAGCCGTTTAAGCTGGTCCAAAAGCACGTTAGCACCCCGTAAAGTTGCATCTCATAGGAGGGCTTTGCTCTAATTACTTCGCAAGGGGTTGTCTCAAAATCGACCCGTTTCGCCGCCCCGACCCGCCTGGCTCGTTGCTTAGACGGCCGGCCACCGCCCGAACGACTCTCATTGAATCGTCAGGAGCCTCACGAGACCCTGGAGTCGTTTCGTGTGATAAACGACTAGTAGCAGCCTGATAATGACCGGTTCTTTTATTCTTTGCAAAGTCGAGCTCTTCTACGAAATCTACGATCTTAATCAGCGCGATCACCACTCTCGACTTTATCACCGACTTCCGAACACGTGTTGATTGTAAGTTTTCCCTGCTCAGTACGCCATCAAGATGCCCCCGGAAATGAGCAGCATATCGCCACCCATAAACAAGATCCTCAAGGGGTTCAAAGAGGACATCGAAACCACGGTCAATGGTGAGAACGACAAGGCAATAGAGAACCCAAGTAGGAAGCGAGAGGCAATCGGTAGGGCGGATCAGATGTTCGTTTGGTTTCTCCCCATTCATACCCACACGACTAGTTCTTTGCCTAATCTGACTTTCTAGATATAACAAGTATGTTTACTTGCCATTTTCTCATTGTAATGTCTTGTAACAGGCATCAGGTCAAAGCGAAAGTGGGAGTATTTCAAGACAGCACAACCGAAATCCCGGAAAGCTCGATTCACCAAATATGTCATTCTCGTCCGCACTGTATGGAGTGCCAAGGGCGTGCCTGCCAGAGTGGAGATTGATGTCAAAGGTGAACTTCTCCAACAAGTTCTGATTGAGATCAATAAAGACACGAAGTCGTTTGTTCTTGATAAATCAAACGAGATCGTGGGTGCTTTATTCATGACAATGATGCTGAATCATACTGATCTTATCAGGTCGATCGGAGGCTATTTTTCCACTCCAAGGGAGGTATTGAAAGTCGGCTAGAAGAGGAAAAGGCCAGTGCTGATCCAGGCGAGGACATGATCTTTGAGCTTGAAGCTGGCTTGCAGTTCATTGAAGAAGAATACTCGAGGGAAATCGTATCCCTTAGCGACTTCCTTCCGAAAGGTCTCATCACATTTCCGCTGATATGGACACTATTTCCTCCCAATGTGCTAGCCGTTGGTCAGGACGAGTTCAAACAGACATTCTCGTTCTTTGTGAGAGAAGTGATTGACAGCGAGGACGAGCAAGGCAACGTGTTTCTCAGCCTGTCCGTTGCTTACCTGGACCATGATGGACACGCCCTCAAAGAAAGGACCAGCAGTAACTTTGCCATTCATGCCTTCGAAGGTGCGCGAGACATCACCTCTCTGCCATTCTACCCCCTGGATATGCACAAGGAACCGGAACAAACGAAGCAGTACTTGCTGAAGAATGCTGAAGCCGCTAAGAAAGTCCACGGACGACACCTTGTCGAGTACACAGGACATGCTCTTCGTGAAGGCAAAGACAGACTGGTGAAATTCAACAGCCATGGAAGAGTCATGATCGATCCGGTGACTCTCGTCGATACTGCACCATCAAACACGCTTTTGCCGGAATACATGGAAGCCATCAAGACTACGAATCTTTCGCAGGAGCAGATCATGACGATCTCACCAAAGCTGTATGGCTTCAGCCTAGGAGATAAAACATGGGGTACGTTGATTCCGGCTTTGTGGCAGGAGCTCATATCTAACCTGGAAATAGGAATCTTCGCGGTCACCAACATACACGAGGTGGTCTGGAACGATTCAGTCTTTGATGCATTGGTTCTAGAACAAGACCGAAAAGACCTTATTCACGACCTAGTACAGACCCATCGAACAGTGGATGATACTTTCGACGACTTTGTCCACCTCAAGGGAAAGGGGCTCGTCGGACTACTTGCTGGCCCCCCAGGTGTAGGCAAAACAATGACCGCGGAAGCGATTGCAGAAGTTGCGAGACGTCCACTGTACATGATCAGTTCTGGGGAGCTTGGGGAGACCGTCGAGGACATCCACGATAAGCTGAAAGCCATCTTGGAACTGGCCGAGCTCTGGGACGCGGTGGTCCTCTTGGACGAGGCAGATGTGTTCCTGAGCCAACGTACCGACGCCGACCTGTCTCGGAACGCTATCGCTTCCATCTTCCTCCGAGAACTCGAATACTACCAGGGCATCTTGATCCTCACGACCAACAGGCTCACGAGTTTCGACCATGCATTCCAAAGTCGAATCCACTTCTGCATCCAGTATCCAGAACTAAGCGATGAAGGAAGAGAGTCCATATGGAGGAGTTTCCTCGCACGCACAAAACAAAACCCCAAGCTGGTGGTTGATCTTGATGAGGATGAGTATCGTTGCCTAGGTGCACTGAAGCTGAATGGTCGCCAGATCAAGAACATTATGAGCGTGTCCCAATCCGTGGCTGCGAAAAGGAGTGAGCCAATCACTTTGGAATTCATCGAGTCTGCCATCAAGTTATGTCAGAACTTTACCATAAGGGGAAAGGATGAGAGTATCTTCGAGACGTAAGGATTGATTGTTGCATGACCTACGATTCTATAGGTTGGGCGTTGGGTAGTGGGCCTGGCCTCACTCGTCTTGAAATTACTTTCTCAGGTGTATGGATGCACTACTTCGGGAGAAGATTTTGAACGTAGTTGAGGCAACCAATTCCAGAAGCTACCAGAATTGTGAAACATTAAGTACTCTACAATGTGTAAATAGCTAAAGGGTTAACCTTGCACCTCATACAACGAAGATGTCTTTATCTCATGTACTTTCTGGTACACACCTTTCGCTGCTGTATGATTAGGCTGCTCCATTTCCAGTCTCGGTTGGACATCTTCGTCACGAGAGCCGTGATCTTGAGCTATCACAGCATTTAAGCGTTGCTCGGCCCCCAGCCTCCTCTTCCGCTCCTTCATTATATAGAACACTGTAAGCACCAATATCAGAACAGAGATACCAGCTCCCACCCCGACGCCAATACCGACCGCTCGCATATCGGTACCACTGCTATTTGGAATTGGCGAAGACGACTCCGAAGAGTCTGATACTGACGTTCCTGTATCTGAATGCGAGATCGTGACCGTCGTGGTGGCCGTGATCGCTGTGGTTGTCGTGTTCGTGACGGTTGTCGTGTTGGTCGGGAAATACGGTCTGCCGAATGCGACTGAAAACTTGTCGTCGCAACAGCTCGATCCGTCCGTCTTGCCGCAGCACCACTCTTGGTCGTTCGTCGCTGCCGCCGCGCCTCCGCCGCAGTCGAAGATATTCGCGAAATTCGTAAGGTCGGCTTCAACTGTTGCGGAGATGAGGTCTTAGCGAGCGGAACTTTTCGTCAAAAGAGCGAGAGAGGTGTGCTCCTCAATACTGGACGAAAGGGGGGACGGAGAACGAACCTGCAAAGCTGCATTTCTGCGCACAGCTGGACGAAGCCCAAGTGGAATCGGTGCATCCACCCCGATAGATGTAATTCGCGTTTCCTATGCAGTAGCCATTTTCCGTGCAGACGCTCGTGCGCAGATCACAGCATGCTGCGTGGTCGGGATCGGCGCCATGGTTGCAAGGTTGATAGTTGTACTGGGTGACTTCTTGGCCGTTGGGCCAGTAGCAGCGTGGTGAGGACTCTGACATTAAGAAAGTGCAGCTAGGGAGAATGGTGTTGACTCATTTGACTGCTTCGCATAAGTACAGTATAGGCCGCTTTGCCTCATTGACTGATTAGACACTTCGGTCGAGATGCAGAGGTTTTCACCACAGCAAAGAGGAAGAATAGGTAGTTGAGAAAACAGCCACAGCCTCATTTCCGCGAGGTAGCACATATTCGATGCGTTTTGCTTGACCGAGACTCAAGTCAGTTTCAGGCTGTGCAGCCACCCAGGTGGGCGCATGTATGACCAACTCTCAGGCACAGTATTTGGCTGTGTGTCTTAGCCTCATGGAAGGTGGAATGGGCCAGGTTTCCCTTCTGACCTACTCTATATAGATTTAGCGCCGAGTATGGGCCAGGCTCGCATTCGCGAGTTCCTTCAGCGGCTATTTTGCAAACCGGCGCCTCGCTGGGGAACCATCTACGGTGTAGCTGTTCCCAATCGGCCAGGTAAGCCTGCAAGTGATAATTTACTTAGCCGATTAGCGATCTAAGAGACAGCTACAATGCGATTTTGTCGGTGGTGCACATTGGCAAACAGCCCGCCACGCATTGGTTCTGGGCATTCTCCTCTGTCGTTGGTCGATGCCTTTTTCAGATACGAAGCTAGGAGACGAAACCATTGGCAGCCACCCAAAAATAGGCCATTAAGACGACATGCCTCCTAAGGACATGTTTCGAATATCGCAACGAAACGGATGGGACCTGGTCACTGCCGGTCATCCGTAGCGGCTAAGATTGAGGCGCCGGTTGTTGATCCCCATTCGTGCTAAAGATAGCTATTGAGTTGCTCTAGCGAAGTCTGGAGGAAAAAATACGGAGGTTGAAGTATGCGGTACACAATAACGGTCCAGATCATATAGAGCAGCCCGTGAGATTAACTAGGTTCTCATCGTACCGAGTACGGCGCACCCCGCAAGTCGGCAGGAAAAGCCCTGGAGTCGATTGGTGAGCTCTAACTAATCAACATGAACATCACAACGGGCCCTCATGGAATGGGGAGGACTCCAAGCGGACCAACTAGCTTACAACAGGCTGAAGAGGCTCAATGCATCCTTATGTGCAGCCTGGCGGGGGAAAATCAAGATTAAAGAATTTCCAATTCCGTGGCAACCCACCAGCTTACTACCTAGAAGATCATCTGGGTTCTTGGTCTTCGAGAAATCGCCATCAAAAGGGAAAATCTAAGTTCAGACAATCTTCACCATTGAAAACTACGGGTCCTCCGTAGATTGGGATCTCGTAGTACCGCCATAAGTTAGGTTATCCACCAATCCACACCAATCAACTACTTGAAGATACTATGTAAGTACTTAGGCAATCCTGATTCCCCTCCTCCCCTCAACAGCGTCAAAGCCCACGCCCCTCAAATTCCAGCTCCCCTCCAGATCTTCCTGAGTATTTCCCCCATAATCTACAGCCTTACTCCAGACACAAACATCCTCCTTCGGCCCATCCCCATCCCCATCCCCATTAACCTTAACATCGGCCTCCCAAAGCACCCAAGCAAACCTGCCCCGTCCCTGGACGCCGCTATTCTCCTGAGTCGTCGTATTCTCATCTCCACCGTCCAAAATGCTCGCCTCATGCCAGCTTTCCCCTCTATCAAGGGAAACACTGACCGACACGACCGGCCCGTTCGCACCAGACGGGATAGCGTCGCCCTTGATGCGAACGGTGCCGGTGTGGGGTCCCTCCTAAGCTCTGTGTCGTCCGCGCTAGGGACCGCGACGACGCTGTTGACGGCCACGTCCATCATGGGCGGGATGCGGCCGGCATCCCACAGGCCGAGGGCTTCGGCTTGCTCGCGGGAGGTGGCCGAGGGCGGCAGGATCTTGTAGTCGTGCTGTTGGTAGAAGTTCTGGGATTCGCGGGACGACAGGGCAATGGTGTCGAGCCATTTCACGGAGCGCGCCCCGATTATCCCGGGGATGATGGTGCGCACAGGGTAGCCGTGTCGTGGGGTAAGGGGAGAGTTGTTCATCTGTATTGCGTGTGTGCGTGTTCAGCTGTGTGGAACGCTCACTTGGAGCAGAAATGGACGGAGACTGGAGGAGACACGAGGACACAAGAACGAACCTTCAGCGCCAGCAAGACCTCTCGTTTCTCATCCATCGCCACGCCCAGGGGAATACTTCCACCGTACCAATCGTCCTCCTGGACCTTGCTGGCATTGCACTCAAACTGGACATGGATCCCATCATACCCATCTCCACTTCCGCTGTCGCCGACACCCGCCTCCAGCAGCACATCCCTCAGCAGCGGGCCAGTCCACACCGCCACCCCAATCGATACCCGAGACTTCGCTGAAACGTGAGTGCATCTCGTGGCAGCGGTTGCCGGCACACTGCAGTGCGCAGGTGACTGGGTGCTGTTCGAACTGTGTTTCAAGGTCGCTCATGGAGAGGCTTACGCTGAGGCTGTCAGCTGGCATGCTGGTGGCCATCAATCAGACATATGCTCATATACTCTTGTGAACATGCGAGGCAGACCACCCCGGCCACGATTGACGTCAGAAGTGGGGATTCAGATTCGGTAGATGGAGAGAGTATGGGTGCATCTGGAGTGTCGTCATTGGTATAACGATAGGATGGTATAGTATGACATTGAATTCATTCAGGTGATGGTACAAGGGCGATAAATCGATATCGTAGGTCATTTATACTGCAGGTTCTATGCAAAAGGGTCATCGCGCATCGCTAGGTCATGAACAACTTTTTCCGGCTACCCAGAATTTCATTACTTCTTCCAATGATGCAAAATTATTTCTTTCCCTTTTTCCCTTTGCCCTGCAGCTCGGGCGCTCCCCCTAAGATGGCGTCGAAGGTGATGTTGGGATTGAACGATGATACAGGCCGCTGTGTATGTTGAGGCGGAGGGGCGTTCATGGCCTCCAGACCTAGATTGACTGAGCTCCTAACCTTGCCGAGGCTGTGGTTGTCATTAGACGAGGCTTCAGAGAGAGGCCGATAGAGTGGTGACAGTTGTGGACTGGCATGTGGTGATTGTTGCGGGCTGAGATACGGCGAATTCGTGCCGAAGGAGGACGGCGGTTGTAGAGTCGTCGTGTCTGTGCGCTTCGGCAGTGCTGTGGCACCCTCAGGCAATGAATGTGCCCACTCTGTCGCGACATTCCAGCAATGACTGCGGCGGTAGACCCCTTCAACGCTGTGGTCGATTTGGTCAGCTGGGAGACTGACTATTCCCCCTCCGCTGGCTACGTTGTACCAAGCTCGGGATGCTGAATGATCCTCCTTCATCCATGGTCTGCCTCCTCGAGGTGCAACACACAAGAAGTATTCGACGCCTTCAGTGTATTTGAGATCACGTGCATCCACCACTGTCATAGGCAAAGCCTGCAAGACAGCATACATGAACAGCCACTGTCCACACCTGGCGTCTACAATCTGCTCTAAGGTTTTGCCATCGCCCAGCCGACGTTCGTAGTTGAAGAAGTCCTGAATGAAAGGGCTTGCATTGATGCTTTCTCGATTATATGATCCCAAAAGTACTTCATTGACTTCGTTCTGGCTTAGCTTTTTGATCTGAAGCGCAGTTTGGTCTGAGACGATAACATGAGTCCGATTGAAACTCTGAGAAAATTGCGGAATAAGGGGTGTGTCGAAAGGAATGGCTGGCATGACTGGAGGTGTGGCGCGATCGTACTCGCTTTCGACTCGTCGAATTGCATGTTGGATACTTTCATTAACATCGTTAGATTCAGCATCTCCGTCCATTGGAGGCATATCGGCGGTCCTGGTGGTCAACGCTGATCGATCCACCAGTGTGTCGTACATGTCGCAAAAATCTTTATAAAGCTCCTTGAGTAGCATCCGGTTGAGACCGCTTTCTTCGAAATTATTCTTCTTGGATGAGGCCTTGGGTGGCCAAGCACCATATTTTCGGCGATAATGAGCAATGATGAAGCGGCGGAAGTCCAAAAAGCCGGCCTTCCACTCTTTGAAGCGCACTAGCTTGGCTTCCGTCGAGGTTTGAGAATTGGCAATGCCGGCAAACATGGAGGGAAAATCGAAATCTTCGAGTTTAGCCCTTACCGTTAGCAGGCGTTGTTCAATGTCGAGGTGAGCTCGCTCTAAGCGATTGGTGGTGATTGGTGACATCTTGCTGTATTTCGGACTCTGGATAGATTTGATATCGGCAAGGCGGCCGACAGCATGCGCAAATCCTTCATTGTATAGTGGCCATGACTTCAGATGTTCTCCTAGGACAATGGCCTCGATGGTCTTTTCTCTGCTCGACCGAACATCAGCCAATCTCAATTCATCGCAATATCTTGCAAAGCTTGTGACGGGGACTTCTCCAAAGGTCGAGCCGTCGGAGTTACTGAAGGCAAAGCGCTTGAGAATACTGCTGATGCCCATAAAAACGGAGAACAAGGTTACTTGTCTGGGCGTGGCTACCAGTGCGCCTCCCGCGAGGAAGGCGAAGAAATTGCGATACAGGACGACGAGTTCCAGGTCATCGCCTTGTGGCTGCGCGCCAGGAACTGTCATGTCGAATTCGAAGCCCACAGGCAGATAGACATGTCTTTCTTGGCTCAACGAGGTCACAATGTTGGGGACGGAGAAGTTCATGGAAGCTCGATAAGTGGAACTCTGCTGTGACGGTGGTCGGATACGGTGGGGCTCCAAAGCCAGTTCAGCAAATGCCGCCTGGATTGGAGGCATATCGGCATTGTTAGTAATCGGAGAGGTAGGAGATTGGGTGCGTAGGTTGACCAGAGCCTTAGAATCAGCCAAGAGGGAGGACTCGACTTTGAAACATGGACCACGGCCAGTAGATGGTGGGTAGAGATAGACGATGGTGTCCCCGCGATCATTCCAGAGTTCGGGTACCTGTGCACAGGGTCAGTTGTGTGTCCTACGTTTGTCATGAAGCTTGTCCTACCCTGTCACCTGTCAGAAGGGGTGTCAGATCGTATGGGATGTGTTCGCGCAGTCCAGCAATCCAGGCCCTTGGTGCAGCTTGCCCATCTTCCGGGCTTTGTTTGTCTGATCGGCCAGGAACCCAGGTCTTCCTCTTTGAAACCTTGGCCGAATTGGGAGTGGCAGGCCTGGCCGGGGAGCCAGTTGAGCTGTGTGAAATCATAAGACTTGGAGTCTGCGGACGACTTCTGTTCCCATCACGACTGTGAGGGCTGCTGTTCCTGCTGGCCGGTCTACTATCGGGCCCACTTCGATTGCTGCTGGGCGGACGGGAGATGCCTGAATCTGACAGAAATGGAGGAGGCTCGAGGGGAGGGAGACCGTTGTCATTGAAGTCGAAATCGGAGGAGGCGGTAAAGCGATGTTTGTGGAGTTTATGGGCGGAGGGAGTGGGCATGTAGTTTGGCGACGGTGGATATGGAGAGGAGGGTGTGTTGTAAGACTGGGGGACTTCGGCCGGGCTTTTGTCGTCCCTAGACAGGGAGAACAACGAGGATAACCTCTTGGCCATGGCTGATTGCTGAAGGGAGGACTGATATGAAGGGGGCCAGATGAGATGATGACTGATTATGGAGCCCAAATTGGTGGCCTTTATGCGAAAAGAGTCCGAGAAGAAGATCAGACAGTGTTGCTATTCATGGCTCCCAATGCAGAACAGGTCTGCTGTCACTTGTTGGGGTGGAATGAGGGCGAAGAGACCAACTAGACACTAAGTGGGCGCAGCTTAGGCTTCCTGCAGTGTTACCATGACCACTGAGGATGGCGAGGCGGGATGGGTGTATGAAGAGAAGGAATTGATTGGTATCGATAGTAGATCTTTTGAGGAATAGGCAGGGGAGGCAGGTTTATGTGAGATCTAGGATCCTTGGTCACGGAAAGGATCAGGATGTGAGTAAGAGAGGATCAACGAGTGGAATGGCGGGTGAAGGGAAGCGAGTGGTGGTTTTTTGAAGGAAGTGAGTGAGCAATGGCCATGGGAGGACGGAAATGCAGATGCAGATAAAGATTCAGAGAGCGATGATGAAGGACACGGTTCATGATGATGTGCATAGCATCTCAAGCTGCACAAGGTGATTGATGGCCTGTTGAATTGGCTGGCATTGCATGCTGCATACCTGGCCTTGGAACTCCATACGGAGTACGTGGTACAGTTACGTGGTGCACGGTACAGTCACGTGGTGCGTACCCGGAAATCCCCCAATAAATCAATCCGTGGTCCTGAACTGGATTCCAGGATTCCTGAATCTTGTCCCTTTCGCAGCCTGCTTGCGATGCCGGTGTGGAGTGGCAGCATCACTCGTATGTACTGTACGAGTACTTACGGAGTACCACTCGGTAGGTGGGAACCAGAACACACCCACTGCGTAATAACACCACTTGGCAGTCCCCGCGCCTGCAAGCCCCCGATCTGCCCTCGTCGCTGACGTCGACGGCAGGAGTGGCGTTACGAGGACGGAGTAATTCATCGTAAAGTCATCGGGCACTGGGGTGGGAGGCGATATGCAGGGACATTGGGGCGGCCCTGGGCGTCTCCGTCGCTAAACGGGCGCTAAGGCACGCCAGAGGCTAGGTCAACTTAGGTCTCAGGCAACTCCCCTGTGTTCCTTCCCCTTGACTAAGAGTTTAGTTAAAGAGTTAACGGAAATTAGCGACCCAACCACCAGGTAAGTTGGTGCAGTGGGTAGTTAAGTCGCTGGTGCAGAGCGTGGCGGTGCTCAATGCGCAAACATGCTCCCGCAAATGAAAAACTCTGATTCATCATCCCAAAGGCTTTCGCGGTCACTCATACAGGGTACCAAACTACACTTGTGATACTACACAGTATCAGGTGCCTTTCTCAACAGATGCGAGCAAGCCATATACCCCTAATCAATACGCCTCGACCATTATACTCACAGTTGAGACACTTCTTGGCCCAGAACTCAACATCACCACTTGGACCCAATACGGGCAGCTTATGACTCTACGGAGCGCGCCACGTATGGCCGAGGACGTGGCTGAGACAGATATCCACACTGTTGCAAGATCAAGATCAATCGATCTTTTCAAAGGATGGCCCAACCCTTCCCTCTTGCCACCGCAACAGCTTGACAAAGCCTCATCTCACATTCTTTCTGATTCAAACAAGATAGATGTCCTGTTTTATGCACCGGACGAAGGCTATCATCCTTTGCGAGATGAAATAGCCAAGTGGCTGAATGCATTCTACTGTCCATCTCAGCCTACTCTGCCGGCCCGAATATGTGTCACTGGCGGTGCAAGTCAAAACCTGGCCTGCATTCTACAGACCTTTACTGATCCAGTCTACACTCGCAACGTCTGGATGGTCGCTCCCACTTATTACCTAGCCTGCAGAATCTTCGCCGACTCTGGCTTCGACGGTCGCCTAAGGGCAGTTCCAGAAGACGGACAGGGCATTGACATCAACTATCTCGAACACGCTTTACACAAGAGCGAGGAAAAAGCTCTGGCCGAAGGCAACACTTCTGTCCGCATCAAGCTACCCAAGCCATGGAGAAAGATCTACAAACACGTCATCTACGCCGTCCCTACCTTTGCCAACCCGTCCGGCCGGATCATGAGCCTGGAACGTCGTCGACAGCTCATTCGACTAGCTCGAAGATTTGATGCCCTGGTTGTAACCGATGACGTATATGATATGCTTCAGTGGCCGGCGACCCCAGAAGTCAATCCCTCACGAGCGGACCAAGCCATCCTCCCACGTCTTGTAGACATCGATCGAGAACTTGATGGTGGGCCTGTCGGTTCTTTTGGGCATGCTGTCTCAAATGGCAGCTTCAGCAAAATCATCGGACCTGGCTGCCGGACTGGTTGGGCAGAGTCCACCGAAGCTTTCGCCTATGGCCTTTCCCAGACAGGATCCAGTCGGTCAGGTGGTGCTCCCTCACAGCTGGTGGCCTCCTTCATCTCCGACATGTTAGCCACCGGCACTCTACAGAAACACATTCTTCAAGAACTACGCCCTGCGTATGCTGGGCGCTATTACCGAATCATGCGCGCCATCAATCAACATCTTTTGCCTCTTGGCTTGACCATGCCTCAGCCCGATGACCAAGTTGCAGGGGGTTATTTCATTTGGCTGACATTGCCACCTCCCCTAGATGCCACCTCAACTTGGAAACGTGCTTTGGAAGATGAAGATTTGATCATAATCCCGGGTCCAAAGTTCAAGGTCGATGGAGACGAGGACAACGAATCAACCAAGTTTGAGAGAGATTTTCGACTGTGCTTTGCCTGGGCCAACGTGGATTTACTGGAAGAAGGTATTGTTCGGCTTGCTCGTGTAGTCAGGAATGAGCTTGCCTCAGCGGGGTGACACCGAGACACCACACTGACCTGCACGGGGTTCCAAAGGTATGTAGAATCAAATCTACCATGCAGTCAATCATACCGAGGTTTCCCATGCACAGCATGTGGTCCGAGTTTGTCAATGCGGGCACCCGAAATCTTGTTTAATATGCGTGCGGATGTCAAACAAGGCGAGTTTCAGACCGTTTCATGTCAGTGCCTGAACAACCAATCGGCTGTGACAGGACGATTTGCTAGCTCAATCATGAATCTGAGCAGCCACCTGCCCACTTCTGTTCTTCGCCATCTCTCCGTCTGGACACAAGGATGAGTGGCAGAGAGCTCATGGCGGGACTGAGGAGGCTTGGAGGCCACCAAGCGCAACAAATAAGGTATGCGATCTAGCTGTCAGGTACCTAACATCTGGGTGCAGCCTTTGCCACGCGGTACTTTCGCAGTGGAGCAGCACGAGGCCTCTGAGCGAAGAGAATGTAACAAAGACTCAACTGGCAGTTTTGAAGAGAGGTAACAACAGGACATCATGTGTTAGTCACTGCCAATGATTGACTGGCTTTCCTTGCACCAAACAGACCTCGCCCAAGCGCCTGAGAATCACAGGCCAGATTGTTTGATTGAGGGAAGGGACAGTGCAGCGCAGCGCGGTGCAATGTAAAGTAAGTCTGCGATGGGCATTTGGCGTGCTGGCTGGCCGTGGCACAGCATAGCAGTTGGGTATAGATTTCACTCGATGCGACGGTCGCCTGGTCTGAGATACTGTGCAAGTGGATCTGCCCCAGTCTCTAGATGGCCAGTGCGACTGTCGATGTCCATTACGCTGGTGCCTTCCTCTCTTCCATCGCTCCCTCGCAACCACATTTTTCCTCTCCGGGTTTGATACTGGCTTCGCACAAATACCTCCTCCCTCCTCCCTCTGCTATTCTGTGTCCTGGTTCTGGTCCTCGTTTCGTCCGCTGCAATTCTCTTCTCTCCGCTCTCTGGTCTACACTCTCTCTTGATCGCGCTGAAAATTCCATCACAGCCTTGTCATTCGTTTGAACAGCTCTGGTGAAGCTTTGGTTTGTGAGAATCCCTTCTTCACGCTCCATTCGTTTGAATCGCCATTGCCCACCATCGTCCAGACGCTGGCAGGTCACAGAACTCACCAGTTCCATTACCGCCTTTTCAATTGCCAGACTGCACTTGCTGTGGCAATTGTTTACGGTCGATTCTTATTCATCTTCTCCATTCACTTGCAGTCACTGCCTTAGTTGAGAAACTGGCACTTCCTTTATTGATCAAGGTCTTCCTCCATCAACCGATCTGTCACCCATCCACAGTCTATCAAGGCTTTCCCCTTCTACTTCTGCATCACACTGCATCACAGTACCATCGATCTTGTTTGCCGTGCTGGTCACAACCCCTATTTAAATCATCTTCGCCGATTTCCCTCTCCAACGATACCACTTCGCTTCCTACAACCTACCATGACTCTCTTATCACGTTCCGCTACGATGCTGATCTCCTGCAGTTTACTCCTCCTGCCTTGGCTTGCCTCGGCTGCTCCCAAACCTCTTGCACCTTCTCTTCCAGGCCGTCAAGCTCCTGCTTCTCCGTACTGGCTCTCTCAGATTCAGAGACAAGGTACAGTGGCTTACGGAGCAAACTCTGCCGGCTACAAGGTCTTTCGCAATGTCAAGGATTACGGAGCTGTTGGTATGATATATCTCCCATCGATCAGTTCAGGACCACAGAACTAACACCCCCTAGGTAATGGTGTGACTGATGATACTGTTGCTATCAACAATGCAATTGCAGATGGTCAACGATGTGCCCTCAACTGTGACAGCTCAACCACGGTTCCTGCAATTGTCTATTTCCCACCTGGCATTTATGCTGTCTCGGCTCCGATCATTCAGTATTACTACACTCAATTCGTTGGGGACGCTCTCAGTCTGCCCACCCTACTCGCACTCCCTTCATTTGAGGGTATTGCCGTTGTCGATACTGATCCTTATATCCCTGGGGCAAGTGGTGCTCAATGGTACACCAACCAAAACAATTTCTATCGTCAGATGCGCAACTTTATCGTTGACATTACCCAGATGCCTGAGGATAAAGGTGCCGGTATCCACTGGCAGGTCGCACAAGCTACTAGCCTGCAAAACATCGTCTGTAACATGCGCCCTAAGAGCTCCACAAACAAGCAACAGGGCATTTTTATGGATAATGGCTCTGGAGGCCTCATGACTGATCTCGTCTTCAACGGGGGCAACTATGGCGCCTTTCTGGGCAACCAACAATTTACCACCAGAAACATGACTTTCAATGGATGCAACACCGCTATCTTCCTCAACTGGGCGTGGATTTGGACCTTGAAATCCTTGACCATTGATCAGTGCGATGTTGGTGTTGATATGTCCAACTTGGCGAACTCAACCAACCAGACCGTTGGCTCGGTCCTCATTCTCGACAGTATTATGAGCAATACCGGTGTCGGTGTCCTGACTTCATATAATGCCACCAGCCAGCCAGCTACCGGTGGAACACTGATCATGCACCATGTTGATCTTCGTACCACCCGGGTTGGTGTAGTAGGTGCCAATGGTGTGGATCAGATCCTCCCTGGCTCGCTTATAATCGATGCTTGGGGTCAGGGTGATACCTACCGGTCTCTGGCCTTCAATGGGAGTCAACCAGTTAAACGCGCCCCACAGGGGCCGCCATCGGAATCTTCTCAACCGTGTTCGTCAGTTATTACAACTACTGTCGTTATCACATCAACTGCTACAGCCAATCGTACTCTCATGACGACAGCTGTCACCATTACTGTTTCTCCAGTACCCACTTCCGCGAACTCCAACCATACTTTAGTCCCGACTTCAAGAACAACATCACTCAGCAACGGAACCGCCACATCTTCTGCGACCCCCATCCCAAGTACATGCACCCTTGGTGCCCTTCCATTTGCAGCCGCTCGAATTCAACAGAAATTGATCGCACCGTCCATTTCATCTTCGCTCCTAGGAAATTCGGGGGTCTTTTCTCGCTCCAAACCTCAGTATGAAACTGTTCCTGCTTCATCTTTCATCAGTGTCAAATCTGCTGGGGCTAAAGGCGACGGGATCACGGATGATACTGTGGCAATCCAGAACATTTTCAACAGTGCAAGTCCAGATCAAGTTGTCTATTTTGATCATGGAGCCTATGTTATCACGCAGACAGTGAATGTCCCATCGAACATCCGAGTCACTGGTGAGATCTGGCCACTCGTCATGGCCAGCGGCCAATTCTTCAGGGACAGCACTAGACCCCAGCCAGTTTTCCGAGTAGGTCAAAGTGGCGATATAGGATCGGTCGAGATCTCGGATTTGATCTTCGAAACCATGGGTCCTCTTCCAGGTGCAGTGATGATGGAATGGAATGTTGCTGAATCCAGTCAAGGCTCCTGCGGAATGTGGGATGTTCATTTCCGAATTGGTGGTTCTGCCGGAACCCAGTTACAGCAAGATATTTGCATGGCCAATGTTGCTGGGTCAAGTGAATTTAAGCCAGAGTGTGCTGGATCGTTCCTTATGATGCACATCACTCAGCAGGCAACTGCATACCTTGAGAATTGTTGGTTCTGGGTTGCTGACCATGAACTCGACCTACCCATGCACAATCAGACCAACATTTACAATGGACGTGGTCTCCTGGTGGAGAGTAGAGGTCCGGTATGGTTGTGGGGCACTTCATCAGAGCATCATCAGCTCTACAATTACCAGTTCAACAATGCACAGGACGTCTTCATGGGAGCAATTCAGACCGAGACAGCATATATGCAATCCGCACCCAATGCTTTGGATGGCGGCTTCTCCCCGGTCGAATCCATCGGGGATCCGATGTTCGATGACTGCACTAATGACGCATGCAAGAAGACATGGGGCATTCGCATTGTCAACTCCCAGAACATCTACATGTACGGAGGCGGGTTGTACAGCTTTTTTGACAACTATGATCAGAAGTGCTTAGAAACCAATTCTTGTCAAGAGAACATGGTGGATATCCGCTGCTCCGCCAACATCAACCTCTATGGATTGACCACCAAGGCGTCGACAAACATGGTCAACGTGAATGGACAACCAGTGGCGCTCCAGTCAAATCATACCAACATGTTCGGCCAGACGTTGATGTCATTTGAGGTCTAAGACAGAAAAAGAAAGGTGGACTTGAACCCGAGGATATTGTATTGGCCATCTAAGGTTGGAATGACCAAGGTTTGATGCCAACAAGACAACGAACAGCATTTTGGCGGCGGCTTGCATTGCTTTTATTTTTGCCTTGATGAGGTTGGCAACATTATGTCAATAGTGATACCCATGAACTTCGATGATGGTGCTTTGTTGAACCGTATTTGTTACCTTGGGTATCTACTCGCTCAAGTTGGTACCTAGTATGGGTGCTACCTAGTACCTAGGGGGGAGGCAATGCGTCGATTCTGTCTGTAACTTGACCTCTTTGGGTCATTGCAGTGAAGCCCTTAGAGAGACTTGAGCGAATCAGAATTGATTACCTCGCTGGTTGCTGAATGGTAGAGTCTAATCCGCACTAGTAGCGCGGTTCATCAGCTGCTAGTAAATAGTGCATCTATGATTGGCTGATAGAGCTCACTAATGTCACTGGGGGGAGGCTTGGCGCGAGGTCTGGCACAACACTCTAGTTGCAGCGAGCTTCTACTCAGTGGCCCCCGTCCTCCGAGCCTCCGTCACTCCTCACTCCACACTCACTCCCTCCCGCTTTACTCGTAAACCACATGTCAAAAAGTTGCCTGGCTGATGAACCGAGCCACCAAGATCATTTTAACCTTTGGGAATATTTTCCTCACACAGTATCGCAGAGCGTTGTTGTTGCCTTCGCGCCTCTCCGTGTCATCCACTCTCTCATCCTCCTCTTCGCATCTCCATCGACGACCCGCCCTTCGTTCCAGATGACCTGTGTTCCCCGCACCCGCCAGTTGCCATGACTTTGCGAAATCCTGAACGGCTGTTCACCCAAGAAGGCTACGAGAATGACGACGAAGGCGATGATTTCGTTCCGACCTTGTCTCAAGTAATAGGCCAGCCAGTGCAGCCGCCGATCAGACACCCCACCCCCGACATTATTATTCATCCCATCTTCACAGACTTTAGTCCCCAGACACTGGCCCAATATCTTCGGAGCGAGATTGAGAAGTTACGTACCCCCGCGAAGCATGCTTCTTCTTCAACCAAAGGAAAGGGAAGAACGCAGTATCAACCTTCATCACCACCGAGCCGAACCCGCGTTTCAAAATACTCTAGAAGCGCAAGTGCTAAGAACATCCGTCCCATCTTTCGGCCTGCGACAGTGGAACGCCTCCTGCAACAAGAGAGCAATGCGACTTCCTCTCTGGCAGTGACATGGGCGGGCGAGATACCGCAGACACAACCAGACGATGGTGCAAACGCCTTGTCTGCCAGTGACACTCGAGGCCTGGATCCTTCCCCTCCCGACAACTCCACGCTCCCAGCACCTTTGTCTAGCTCTCCGAACTCTTCTCAAGGACAGACCAGTAGTTCGACGTCGAGCGCACGTCGGTCCAATCGATTAGCAGGAAGAGGACCAAATCTCGCCGGAGTTGCTGACGGACAGGACCATCAGCTCATCGGTCGAAGACCTTCCAAAGATCTCCTCCATTCTTATCGATCGATTTGCGCTGCAGACTCTGAGAACACTGATCCTACGAGTACATCTTTGCTTGGGGGATCCCAGTCTAGGAGATCTAATTTTGAAGCTCACACGAAAAGTAAGAGAGAGGCTGGAAGAGCAGTGACTGATGTTAGCACCACCAGTCTAGAAGAGACAGATGTTTTTGGTGGACAGCCTAGCAACAAGGCTCGCCCTAGGAAGGCACCAGCTCGTCCGAATGACCTAGTTCCTGTCATTCCTTTGGATGGATACTTTGCAGACTCTGAGTCGAACAGTCTACACAATCTACAAGAAGAAGATACCCTTCTGGGGGAAGGCTCTGGAAACTCTCACTCTAGCCATTCTCACAACCTACAGGAAGAAACTACCTCTTCGGATACTATGTTAATTGCAGGTAATCTTGATGCCATGCAATTATCATTTTTAGAGCGACCACCACAATCCGGCACTGCTCGCAGCTGGGCTCCCGTTCCTTTTGATTACAGTCAAGTCGTTCCGGAGTCGATTCCGAAATCCTACACCAAAGACTTTCTCGACCTGGTTCGGAAACCGAAAATAGCTCTGGCAACATCAGCTGGAGATCGAGACCCTCAAAATGCGGACAATCCACCTGCCGTGGCGCAAAGCGAGGAGCGATTAGACGAGAAGCTATTCCGACTAGCCGAGAAGTCATTTCCTCGAGTGCTTCCCTCGACTTCTCTTCCGTTCCTGATGGAACCCAAGACAAAAATCTCCCGGGCGAAAGGTGGCAGACTAGCGAAGTTATCTGATAATGCATTCTCGAAGACATCCCCCGCAAGAGGCCTCGAGGACTTTAATGCGGATCTCTGGCTAAGCATCACCAAGTATCTTTCAACGCGCGATATCGGAATTCTTCGTCTCGTCAACTCTGAATTTTGTGAGGCGCTCTCACCCATACAGTTTCGGAATGTTGTGATCAACTTCGATAAGCCATTGTTCAACAACTGCAACGATGATTGGAACAGTAAGAGCAGCTACCTTCCCCAGAACTCTATGTTTCAGAAATACGGTGACAATCTCAACCAACTGGGCATATCCTTCGAGTACGATATTGTGGGCCTCTCAAAGGCAAGACCCAAAGTCATTGAAAAGGTGCAGGAGGCATGGTTTGGAAGTTTTACTTGGCCGACTGAGCATTATCCTCGCTTTCCAGAGCTCCAGAAGATCGAAGACCTCGTAGACAACAACCGCCCATTGCTCAAGGAGGCCTTTAAATACGTCAACAAGGCTTCTGAACTGGGCCTTTGTATTGACAGTGGCCATGGCTGGCTTGAAGGTCCAGATATGTCTGATATGGCGGTCCTGTCTCGACGAGCGAGCAGGGGCAGTAAGATCTTCGGCAAGACATTTCAAGGCGAAGACGTGTTAGATAAGCTCTGTCGCAATGAATACTTCAAATGGGCACAACAAAACAGCATTCATGAAGCAATCAAGAATGCCATCCAGGCTCCGAGTTATTCTGCTTCCATCGCCGCCGTCGCTACAGAAGTCCGGTGGCTCGAGAAAAGACCGATCCGAGAAATGGATAGCTTCAAGATTCAACATGAGCAGGAAGATTTTGACCCAGAATCTCACGTTGGAGGTGCTCCCGGCTCAATTGCACACCACGGAGTTGGCAATCCCAATCCTCACGTGAACTGGGCCCAAATCAATCCTGGGCCGCCTCACAACGCAGCTGTCCGTCACCAACGCGTAACAGGGAATCGTCAGGCTTCAGCGAAGAAGCAGCCACAATGGCCATTGATCTTTAATGGTCACAACATCGCCGCGGAGATGGGAGGCCACTGCGCTTTTGTTCAAAACAAAACCGCACTTCCTCTGAGCGCTGACCTTCGCCCCGGATCTTTAACAGAGGCACAGGCACAATGGCTGATGGAAACGGCATGGGCGCAACGTGCATTTTTGTCTGCCTACACAACAGCTATCATTACCAACAAAACCAATTTCACACGTATTCATACTCTACGCATAAGCAAGCTTTCGTCTGGGCTCCTTTCATCCCTCGCGCAGAAAGAATTCTGGACATCCCTTCCCAGCTTGGGGAGGCTACAGATGTTGATCAGCCCTGATTGGAGGCAAGAGCATATCACAGGGGATCGGTTCTACCAGACAAGCATGCCCATCCCACCTCACACCGCGGCCGAGAAATTCACACAGTTTCTCAGACTTTATGTCCTGCCCATTGAGAGCCTTCACAGCCTGTCGATTGGCTATGTTGGAGGTGGTGAGCATGGGGTGGGAATATTCGCTCGTAATCAGCACGTCCTCCCTGCTCCAATCGTTGAGGACCCCAGAGGCTGGCTTCATGAGAACGATACTGGGAGGCCCCGCTCAGAACTCACCAAGTTCGAGCATATTCGAGATCTTGGATTCGAAAACTGTTGGTTCAGCCCTGAAATGCTTCAGGATTTCATGAGTCAGAGCCACGACACGAGCTTGCACTCGTTGACTCTCGACTCTGTCAGCTTACTAACTCAACACGATCCATCTATCGATCAGCCGTTGACCACTGGTGGAAGCAATCTCCGATGTCACCACGTGCGCGAAGAATGGCTACACGAAGAATTGCCAAGTAGCGCAACATGGACACGTGTCATCGACAGTATTACCCCCGGTGTCACGTTGATGGAACATAAATATGCCGCTGGGCTCATTGATGAGACCACAACCCCCCAACCTGCCAAAGCATTCCGAGGCCATATTCAGAAGATCATTCTCAACAGTTGCGGATATGTCAAGATTACGTTGCCGAGAGGTGTGACGAACACCACCTTCAACCAATGCTCTGCTGTGATGCATTTGGTCAGTCCTGTGGACTCTGGTATTCGTGCTCGTCGAGAACGGTTTAGTCGACTGATCAACCTCACTGGAACAGAGATGCACGACCTAGGATTGCCAACGCCTTTGGGTCGTATGCAAGATCAGCATGATATCGGTTCCAACCGAACCATGATGAGTACTTCCTCACCAGATGGAGAGGTGTATCCGTGGCTTGGGACTCTGACGCAGTGCGTCCACCCTATTGAGAAGCGCGTCTTGGAAATGGCTTGGGGTCTGAAATTTGGATGGTCAGACCGCCTCGAAAGATGGGCATCGGTAGAGGATGGTTTCTATGAAGGCGGAACTGGTCGATTTACGGGAATTATCGACAAGGATACGAGGCCACAAGGAAAGTCTTAGTTGAAAGGCCACGATGGAGAGGCCTTCAGCAATCGGCTGTCATCTCAGACGGACACAGCTGTGTCCTAGACATGATGTTTGGTGATCCAGAGTTGGTTGTTCATCTTGGGTGGGAGCAATGTCATGACAGGAAAGCACATTTCAGAAATGCTTCCATGAAAGAATAGGCACTTGTCAATTGGCGTGGGCTTGTGTTGTGATGAACATTGGGCATAGATAAGACAAGGGCATGGAAGACACCAAGGTAGACTCAAAGCATAGGAGTAAACTAGCTAGCATCTGTCTCCGTATGTACTACTCGCACTCCATAGTCAGAGCATGCATTAGGTACCAATGAACTCTTATTCCTTTCAAGCCACCCATCTCTGAACAGCAACTGTGATTCAAGTAAGCTCCAAGGTAAGTTCCGCTGTAGCGCAGATTGACTTCCGTGATCAATTTCACTCAGGATCTGCACAGAGTACTTAACTATTTCGGGGCGCAGTATGCTGAAGTCGTTATTGGTTAGTCGGAATCTTGGCACGTGTTGGCACTGGCGGGCAGATCAAATCGCTCCTTCCCCTTCTTCCCCGGATGTTTAACTTGCACCTGCCCAACTTCAAACTTCTCCACATTCTCTAAAGGGACCTATATAGACCCGTGCCTATCCCAGGTTCCCATGCAGGCCGCCTGATCGAGCCGATGGAGGTAGCAGATGCTCGTGCCTCCCCTAGTCAGATGTGAATGCACTTGAATACCAGGCACATCCTTGGAAGATCATGGACTTCGCGTTACAAAATGGAGTCCACACCCCAAAACAAAGGCCTGAATTAAGGTGTCGATTCTGCTCCAATCTTTACCAGAAACGAGAGCACTTGGAACGCCATGAGAGAACCCATACAGGAGACAAACCTTTTGCCTGTTCACAATGCCACCGACTGTTTTCCCGTCACGACAGTTTGATGCGACATGAACGAGTCCATGCTGCTAAAGCCAACAGCAATACGGTGAGGAAGCCGCGGCACACTTGCCTACCAGGCGAACACACACTGCCACCTCCCACCGGTACCCAGCCCAGGGGATATGTCAATATACCAGAAAGCTCTGCCGGTCCCTCTCTGTCAAATCCCACTATCACTCACGCGTTAGGGGGCGATCCGCCCTACTTCGCCGAGACCGAGGACTTTTTCCAGTACTTGCTGTCTACACCTCCAGGCTGGCCTACCTCCTTACCATCACACACCGCGACTGGGAATCAATTCGTTGGCTCTGAGCTCGGCGGTCAGCAAACGGAGCATATCTATGACAGTAGCCCTCAAGCAGTTCAGCAAGCCGGCGCCGTGATCCATGACGCGGTAAGTGATGTTTATCTTATTCGCGAATAGCGCTGATGGGGATTATCGCTAGTCTTCGAACATCACTAGGGAGATCAACGGCAGGGGCATCACGTCCTCTTTCCTCGATGCATGCTTGCATCTCTTCTTCAGTCGATTCAATCCTACTTTTCCAATCATACACGAAGCGACCTTCAATATCAGCCAATGTGGGCCATTTCTTCTTTTGACCATGGTCGCCATTGGCTCTTTGTTCTTCGGCTCTAACGACGCAGTCTCCAAAGGTGAGTTTCTCTGGCGACTAGCGCAAACTGCTGCAGCGACCTCATGGGGAGATATTTTTGAGGGGAAGGTGGGCGCCTATCGCGTTCAACGCGAGGCAATAGTCACAACCGCATGTCTAGGGCAGCTCTATGCCATGCTTTCTAAGAGCCACAGACTTCGAACACTATGTCAAACTCTCCATGGCCTTGCATTCTCATGGGCACGACAATTCGGCATGTTTGACCTCCCAGAAAACGCATTGAGTGGAATCCCCGATGAGAATAGCACTCCAGAGGGGAAGAACGGATGTTGGAAAGCCTGGGCTGCCGTGGAGGTCAATAGACGGACGGTCCTTGGTCTCTATATCGTTGATTCACAGCTCGCAAGGTATGCTGGGGCTGCACCCGTTGGAAAGCATACCACCAATCCATTGAAGTTTGCCGCAAGGGACTCGGTGTTTCAAGCACGCACCGCAGATGACTGGATCAAGGAGACGAATAAACCTCGCAATCCGACAAGCACTTTTCGAGAGATATTCCTCTCATTATTTTACCCTTCATCGTTCTCTACCAGCATCCTTCACGACTCGCAACTGTCCAAATTGGTCATTCTCGAAGCTTTTCAGGCCATTCTGTCTGAACGCGCTGACGCGAATGGGTCGGCTTTGGGCATTCCACTGCTATCTCAGATTACCACCGCATCATTGTATCTCAAGGCAGTATACTTGGACCCTGCGGAACCCACAGTGGAGGGCCAGGAGCATCTCTTACGGTGGCATAATCTCTGCTTGGATATGGCAACAGATTCCGTGGTTCTATGTCAACGTCTTTGCGCAACATTCTCCATCGACCAAAGCCTCTTCTCCACTGGTCGTGACTCCCCCGAACCCATCAATCTTCCCAGATGGACGGTCTCACCCGAAGCTCGTAGGGCAATACTCCATGCCGTTGCCATACTGAATCTATCAGAGAACATGACTCTCGGCCGTGCCTATCCTGCTCACCTACCTGCATGCCTTTTCGCAGCAGCCACGATCTTCACTGCGCATTGTCGATATGGTGAACAAATTATTACCATCCCCGCCGAGATCGACTGGGAAATCGTTTGGAACCATTCGCGGAATGGCGATGGCTATCTGTCGCCCAACGATTCGAGTGATCTGGTTACTCGGAGCTCGGATACTTTTGCATTTGTGGTGGACGGTGGACCCTTCAAAGGGGCGACGAAAATGCTCAACTTGCGCTATTCCTTGTTGACCCTGCAAATGCTCCTCCAGGCGATCTCTTCTCAGTGGGGCATATCGCATGATATGCTGCCTATTTTGTCCACTTGGATCGCGGGACTGAGTTGAGAGGGTCCCAGATGTAGCATTCAGCCATCTGCTCTGTCGCCCTTCGACAATACTTGAGCCGTGCCAGGAGAAAATTGTTGCCCTTATTACCAGCCAGCGTTTGGGTAGAGAACTGCTCGCGACGCGTCCATAACCATCTAGCTAATGAGATCCTCAGGCCAAGTACCGTTTGAGAATGAATAAAGGAGGAGTTTCCTGACGAATTCAGATGACATTCGCCAAGTCTGGCCCCACGAAATCCCCCAACACGTCGATTTGTGCGGGACAGGCACACCTTGTGTGGAGAAGCTCGTGGGACTGGCAATTAGTTGGGTACTTCAACTTCGTTGATTCTCTGGCAGCTGCCACCAGGCTTCTTGACCTTCATCCTCCCATGCTATTTACTTGGTCTTCTGGGAAAGTTAATTTCAGCTTTATCAGTCCACTGTTCTCTCCTGAAAACTTCTCCGCGGCAGTACGAGGTCGAAACGGTTGAGGCTTCGCTTCGTTACCATCTGAGTAGGGACCCACTCGACACAAGTGTGACAGGCGGCATCACAGGACACATGTAAACAAATGGCTAGTCGAAGTACTAGTCGAATATACCCAGTAGCCGTCGTCGGAGGGGGTCCGGTCGGCCTGGCGTCATCAATTCTGCTCTCGCTATGCAATATTCCTCACGTGCTATTCGAAAGATATCCATCGACGTCAATCCATCCGAAGGCGTGCGGCTATAATCACCGAACCATTGAGATCTTCCGTCAGCTGGGGATCGAGAACGAGGTCATCAAGCAGCGTTCTCCGAAGGCTCTGGACGGCCATACTGCTTGGTACACCAGCTTTGGGCCGAATGGAAGACAGATTGTGCAGCGCTCTGCTTGGGGCGGTGGTGAATATGCAGAGGAATATGCCAGTGTCTCGCCTTGCGAGTATGCAGTCCTGCCGCAGATCAGGCTGGAGCCGATTTTGCAGAAGAGGGCTCTGGAGCTCAATTCAGATGGAATATTTTATGATACAGAGGTGATGAAGGTCGAGGAGGCTGGGAATGTTGTCTCGATTACAGTGAATGGCAGTGGAAGGGGAGACCCTGAGATCTTCCAAGCAAGCTACTGTATTGGTGCAGATGGGGGACGTGGTTTGACAGACAGTCTCGGCATAGGGTGGGAAGGTGAGCGAGATATCATCGACATGGTCTCAGCACACATTCGGGCCCCGCTCTCCCTTCACCACCCTGATGTCCGGAACTTCATCACCTGGTTCATCGATCCAAAACTAGGCGGAAGCATCGATACTGGCTATCTGTACCACCTCGGACCTTACCCAATGGCACCCGAGACGGAAGAGTGGCTATTCGCATGTGCCCTCAACCCCACAGATCCCAAGAGATTCGACGAGTCTGCCATGTTGAAACGTCTTCATGATACCCTCCAAATCCCGGATCTCCAAGTCGACCTCATCTCTACCAGTCACTGGTACGTCAACGCTCTGTGCGCAAAACAGTATCGAAGTAAGACTACGTCAGGGAAGGTGTTTCTGGTAGGTGATGCGGCACATCGTATCCCGCCCTGGGGTGCATTGGGTCTCAACACCGGTATCCAGGATGCGCATAACCTGGTGTGGAAGCTAAATATCGCGCTCAAGGGCAGCCAAGGGACAGATTCACAAACGAAACTTCCAGACTTCAACCACCTGCTTGATACCTACGACAGCGAGCGTCGACCGATCGGCCAGCGCGTGCGCGACACCTCGCTGCACAATCTCCGCTCGCATGCACTCGTCATGGACACCGCTCTCGGAATATCACCGGAGCAGAGCAAAGAGGAGAATATCAAGGCCATAGACTCGTTCTTCGATGCCACGGATACGGGCGAGGGCGACGCGCGCCGCAAGGCCGTGGACACCGCGCAGCTGATCCTCGATGGCGAATTCCACGCCTTGGGCGCTGAAATCGGCTGGTTCTACCCTGACGTGGATGTCGATGGCGAAGGGGCCGCTACTCGCCATGATGGACAGTTGAATGAGAAGGAGGAGCTGGATACGCTCGAGTACCATCCTTCGACGATCCCGGGGCATCATCTGCCTCATCTTTGGCTCGAGAGAAAAGGTGAAGACGCGGGACCCAGGAACAGTAGAGCCATCTCAGTCTCCACGAGGGATTTGATCCGCTATGGCGGTTTCGTCCTGTTCACGTCGAGACCGGATCTGTGGCGTCGAGCCGCTGCGGTAGTTGGTGGTTACTGGGGTGATAGTGGCGTAGCCCGCTTGCTCCATGTGGTCGGAATACAGTCAGAATCAGATGGCGAGGCCGGTCAAGTGGCACCGTCATCCGAGGTGCAACCCAATACCGCTGAAGTCTGGAATGACGTAGCAGGCAAATGGCCCTCTCTTCGCGGCGTCCGCACCTCAGGCGCCGTCCTTGTCCGCCCCGACGGCATCGTCGCCTGGAGAGCCATGGAGTTCGATGAAGCCAAACACAGTGTGCCTGGGTTCTTGGGCGGTATTGTGGCGAGCGCGTTGCAGCTTTGAACGAGCCAAAGAAGGATATAAGTACATAGGTGAATAGATAATTCAAACCAACGGGCAAGATCACACCCAACCTCACTGATGATCGCTTTGCTCCTCATGAGTCCTTGGACTACACTAAACTCAGCCCTCGATCGTCCTCACAGGAAGAGCAGACTCCCCGAGATGGCCGCGAGGCCGAGTTCGAAGAGGCGGCCATCTAGGCGGATGTCAGTTTGTACACCATTACGCGGTGACGGCGAGTGGATTTGGTCATGGAGAGGAATCGGGGTTGGAGGGTGAGGTATCGGGCAGATAGCTTACTTTGCGAATTCGAGAATTCCCAGGTACTTCAGTCCCTCGTCGATGCGCTGGACGTGGCGCGTGCCGCTTGCTTCCATCTGGACGAGGTAGGTGCGTGACGCGAAGTTCGGGCGGCGTCTGGGTGGTGTTGTGCTTACGTTCTTGACTGAGGACCGAGCAGCCGTTGCGACCGACGATGATCAGGCGGTATTGGTGCGTGTGCTTGTTTTGCACGATCGCCACGGCGGCGTCGTGGATGTTCACGACTTCTCTTCGGACTTCGTTTGCTTGTCTGGTCGGGCCGTTTGATGTTAGCGAGTGGTACGCACGTCCGTAACATATGTCTGTCATTGTTCACGTGGATGGCCATGGACGCTTCAACCATGAGAGTGGCGTTGGTCGGGCTTACAGCTTCAGTACGACCCTTTCATGTCGTCGAGGCTATCTCAGGCCCGGGATGGGGAGCTCCATGCGCATGTCTTCCAGCTTTCGGAGAATTTCTCGTGCTGCTGTTTGTTTGTTTGGGGGTTGTTTAGCAAGTGTTGAGCTGGTGGGGGAGCAGGCCTTTTAGAACCGGAAACTCCAGAGATCTTCAGCACAACTTTTGGCAACATCCCTGCAAATACCAAAATAAAGGCTGAGATCTCTTTCGTGACTCTCCTCAACCCTAGATTTGCCGATGATAGGCACACCGTGACTTTCACCATTCCCACACATATTGCCGCCCGATATCGTGAGCCTCCCCCAAACCTTCACATTCCGCATCAAGGCTACCTGCGTGGCCTTAATGTCGAGATTGAAGTGGCTGCCTCTGGACCTGTACCTACGATTTCAAGCAAGATCCATCCAATAAATGTCGAGCCCGGTCGTAGAATTCGAGAATTCGAGAACTGGGAAGATTTCGTTGCTGCTACGGGTGCCGAGGACCCCCCTTCGCAGAGAAGCTTTTCAACAGATCCTGGAGGTAGTCCTCCAAGAAAAAGACATAGTCTGTCTGAAGAACTGTGTGAAACCATGGCTGATGAGCAGCGGCTACAAGGTGCCAAGTCCCATTATTCTGCGGTGGAAAAATCTAGTGATGCTGAAACAGAGAGTGAGTGAACAGAGGGCGTTATTATAACGGGCAAACACCAACGAATTTCTAACTCAACAGGCTCTATCTTCGAGCGGCCGAAGCAATCGCCCGAGACAACTGCACCCAATGATGTAAGCTTTTATATGCGCTACTCTGAGAAGCCTAGTCAAATGGTATTAACGATCGCATAGATGAAGTTCATGTCTATGGCCATCGACTCCGACGATGATGATTTCAAAGCTACGGTCCCAAAATCATTCTCGGCCAGTAACGCTGTCGATGCTCCAAATTCCAAACTCCCAGCCTCAGGTTCTCTCATATATGATCCACTCGAACAGCCAAAACCCAAGGAGCAGCAAAACGATGAACTCAGTCAAGATCATTCTAAGCTGCCAATCCTATCAGGGTAGTTTTAATTACGACACCCACTTCTTCCACATTTGTAGGCTTCTGGGTCACAGATTTCAGGCTGCTCTGGAGAATATTGCTCGAGTTTTTGGCCGCAACGAGGCCCTGGCGCTTACTGCTGCTATTATCACTGTTCTCGAAGTCAAGTTTCAATCTTGTAAGGATTTATGGTCGCTCGGGGTTGACAAAGCTCGCTCCTTCCTCGATCGAAATGTACGAGGCACGAACGGCGCGAAACTCATTCGAACCGGCCATGCGACAAATGGAAGGTGTGGAGATAATCAAGGGTTCGATTCCAAAATCTGGAACTGACGTTTCTTATACCTCCTCACGCCCACTTGGTATTTCATTAAGTATTCGCCAGACAGGATTTACCTCGAGCGAGATCTTCCATATACATGTACGCGAACAGAAGGAGTCTAGGCAGAAGGATCGGCGGACATCCCTTGATGAACGTTGCAAGCCGCTTGCTAATAGTGACTCGGTCCGAAATGGCCGCGATAATAGCACTCCAACAGGAGGCATCTAGGCGGGAGGCACAGCAGACCACCCTAGCTACAGGTCCGTCAGCGACTCCACGCTCAGTACTTAAATGCCATGAAGGCGCCCGCAATCACCCACTTTCCAATAATCACGATCGAGTCATAGCTCCAGGCAGAATTCTCCGAAGCCACGCACTCTAGCAACTGGCTACTCTCGGCGCTGACCAAGGGGGAGCGTAGCCTCAGTCGGGCTGCCACCTCAGAAATGTGCCTAGCTCTCTATACCGACGTAAATTTGGCGCACAATGTCGTCCTAGGTCAACACTAAAATAACCACTGACGCAGAGCATGAACCGGTCACTACAATACCTAGCGTCCAGCTCGCTGCCGAACACAGTTCATAAAAAGCGGTACGGCAGTACGGCAGAGTTGCACACTGTCTACAGCATATCCGGGCACGTATATCGCATTAACCCGAGAACCCCAAACGTCCGGGAGAGAGGGAGGGTGTCAGGAGTAGTGCGTGACTGAAGAGGCGCTTCGCAGATCCCCTCTCCCAACACATGAAATTATGATGATGAAATTCCCCCCCCCCTCGTCGAGAAGAGATAACATCAACACCATCCAAAGCGAAAACTTAGAGCAATTGTATTCGTTGGAATGACCATGATAAGAATAAGGAAAGATTTGATTGCGACTCAGCTAACTAGCGCAGTCTTCTGATTGCGCACACGTACCTTGGTTGATTAGTCCATGACACACTACTATTATATCATGGCGGCAAACCACAACCAAATTTAGCAGAGGGCCGACGATATTAATTAGTCAGTTGGGCGAGAAAAAAAATAGCCAAGATACCCCTGACCCAGAGAGCAGAGAGAAAATCTCCATCTCTCCCCCCCTGGAAATAAGAATATCCGGAGGCTGCGACAAGGCTGCGTGCCCCTTTCCACGAAGCTCTCGTCTCTCCCTCCCCCTCTTTCCATCATTCAGATAAGGACAAACAAAGAATGCTCACCGAGGGCGATTCTACTTATTCTTACGATGGAAAATAAATGATTTTTAAGCGTCAGCGGCTACGATGCACACGGATTTGGTTTCTGCATACTATAGGTAAACAAGCAAGGGCACTATCGGGAGGTCCTCACTGCTACTTCTACTTCCAGCTCACTAAGCCAGTTATTCAACTCCAAGAATTCAAGTTAAAACCTAGGCAAACCAAGCGCCTCCCTCCTTCCGGTCGAAGCAGGGTCTAAATACGGCTTCTCGCCGACGCCGGAGGCGCGCACACCTACTCTGATTCCGTCCACGAGGTGCGTGTCGGGCTATGTCAAGCAGTCACGTTAGTTCGAATATTCTAAAGCCACAGGGACGGAGAAAAGAGGAAGAGGTGGAAAGCCTCACCGTAGCAGCATGCAAAGTACAAGCATTGCTCCATATCGCACACGCCTGCTTCGTCCAGTGCATGCGGGCAATGCAATCGTGATTCCGCGTGATGAGTCTCATGACATAGTCGCGGATCATCTGGTCCTCATACCCGTAGACGTCGTCGATGCGCGACACGTGGAGGCCCACGCCCGCGAACAGCGATTTCCAGCCGGTGACCGGGTGCGTGCGGACTACTGGGTGGTGCGGTGCGAATTTATCCCCGGAGTTCAAGGGCGATCCGCGCGGGGAGACGAGTTCATAGCCGCCTGCTTCGACGGCGGAGCGGAAAACGGGTTGCGCGCATTCGGCGGTGAGGGATTCCATAAAGCGTTTCATGGGAGCGGACATGCGGTCGTAGCTGTTCGAGTTAGTGGGTTGGTTGCATGATGGCATTAAAGGGGGAAACAAGGTCTGGGCCAACTTACATTTCGTAGCCTGAGACCCAGAGCGTGTCGCCCCCCGCTGGCGGCGTATCTTGCATTCGAAGGAAACTGAAATCGGCGGGGCATTCTTCGAAGAGAGCTGTTTGAAGGAAGAAAATATCAGACTTGCTGTCTTGGACCACGCGCGGGTGAGTTCTCCAGGGAGGGAGTCATACCATCTGAGTGCCATTCTCTGCCGAGATCTCTGGGCTCGGAGCTCGCGTCTGGACGGTTCTTCATCGTCTTGTATAACTTCTTCATCGCTTCTGAGTTGATAACATAGCTTTGAGGCGATGATTGACAGTTAGTTTCATGGATTGCTTCGTTGGGCATTAATGTTGCCCCTCCCGATTTCCCCCTTGTAAACTCACATGTTTTTATCCGTCGTCCCATCCGCCATGGGGATGTTATCCGGGGCATTGAACAGCGGGTGAATAGCCAGGGTATGATCTTTAGGTCGAGTGGTCAAGCTACCCAACAATTCGGTGATCTTCTTCTGGTCATCGATGGTCAGATCATCCTGGGGCGCTCTGAAGAACACGACGCCACGTTCACAGATGGTGATGGCGAGATCCCGGATTTGGTCTTCGAAATTCGGTGCATTTAGCATATCCTTTAGCTTGGCCGTGGGATATTCTCGCCCAATAATTGGTGAACAATCGACATAGTCGAGGTGGTCGATTGATCCCGAGTTCTTGAGAGGCTGACTTCGCAGCTTGATTGCTGATACTGATCCCATATTGACGCTGATTCAATGATTTTGCTGTGAATAGATAGACGATGTTATTATGTGCCCAACACTGTTCAGGCGAACTCGTTTGCTTTCTCGCTTTTGTTATCTTTCGAGATAGATATGGCTCCTGGGTTTCACCTTGAGGTATTTTCTCTTAGGATGTATCTCGGCATGTGAATATCGCAGCAAAGGACAAGTCAGCACACTCGCGACGTGGGGCTACATCGACATTCTATGTATTGAACCACAATTGCGGAGTGCTGCTCCCGCTCGTGATGGTGGGGAAGACCGCTGGTTAACACAATACCTGTGGGTGGGCCTCTATGCAGCCTGGGGTGCGGTTTCCCCATGGAGCATGCCTGCAGGGATTGCCGCTCTCTGTGCAAGACTGAAAAATAGAGTGAAACGATCGGCCAAGTCACCATAGAGGAGAGAACACAAAGGTGGCACGCTTCCGGAAGACTGGCCATGAGTCAAAAGAACATGCACGGGCAATGCCCACGCATTTGGGGCAGTCCAATTTTCAGGCTACTTACCGGGACCACTAGCAAGACGATGAACAGTGCCCGGAAACCAGGCGATATCATCCACAGGGTATGGTCAGCAGGACTCTGACCGGCAAGATACTGCCGGGTAGACGAATCAGAACAGTGGGACTAACTGCCGGGCAGCAGTTGACGTCGATGCACACTGCCTTGGCGGCTTGCGGCGCAGACAAGCGTTGATCCTCGTATGGAAAAGGTATGAAGCTCATGTCCAAGCCCGCGCCACTAAATCTTGCACCAGCGACCAATCCATTGAGAAGTTGGAGAAATAGGAGAAAAGGGAAATACCAAGCCACTATGGTTGGAGAAAACGAGACAATGGGTTCAGTTATGGAGCTGGGCGGAATGCAAAGTCCAAGTCCGTTCACCCTGCTAGCGCCTCAGCCTTGCCGTTTAAATGAGGTCCCCTGCAATGAAGAGTATGAAAATGTGGATTTCGGTTATGTGCCGACTGACTGAGTTCTCGCAATCAGAGACGGGGAATCCAATAGCTTATGGATGTGGGACCTGACGATCGTTCGGACCTCCCAGCAGACTAAGCATACCTGAGGACTAGGAAATGTCCCATCAGGGAGGCGGGAAATGGATTCCAATCTGTTAACCGAATACTTGCCTCGGTCAGAGAAAGGGTATGTACGAATAAGCATCAAGGTGCTATTGACGAAGCGCAAAGCGTAGTGATCCCACTCGTCCCCTCATGCAGTAGCTGGGCGCGCAAGGATAGGGAAAAATCCACTCTCTATGAGTAACAAGTATGACTGACGTTATATTGTTATTGCCGTCTATGTCGCAAAGAGGGAGCTGGGGGAAGAGTGGGAGAGAACGGGTAACTCCAGATATAGTAAGAGGACGTGACAGATAGCAGTCGGCATTGTGTGATCCCTAATTGCTCTTTGTCATTGACTCTCCCTCTCCGGGAGCACCAAGTGGAATGGGATATGTGATATGTAACATGTACCCTGGCACCTCATCTCGCTGAACTGTAGCGTATACCAAGCCATAGATCAATGCCATCCTGGAAATCACGCCTGACTCTTGTTATTCGCAGCTTCCTGATCCCGGTCCCTCAGTTCCTCCACGTGCGCCGCGGCACCTGCTTCCTTTCGCATACTAAGATCCTTGCCCATCGCCTCAGCCGCATAACCCTCAACACCGACACAGACATAGTTCTTGAACGCCCTGGCCGGAAGTTTCGCCTCGAACATCTCATGGATCTCCTCGAGCGTTCGGTCCCGCGTCTCAGGTAGGAAAAACCAGGTGAACACGGCCACAATCATGTTTGATCCGAACCAAATGTAGCCGTATTGCGGTCCCCAGGCGAGTTTGGCCGGGTTGATGAAATATGGGGCTGTGAAGGTTCCCAGCCAGTTGCCGAGGAAATTCAGTGCGGTGGCGAAGCCGAATGTGAATGCTCGCATTTGGTTGTTCACGTATTCGCCGCCAAGGAGCCAGGCGTAAGGTGCTGTGCGAATGCATGTCAGTGGGCTGTTCTCCAGGATTTGCTAAGCCAGGGGGCGGAATCAAGACACATACCGTAAGCGACGTAAAAAAAGGTGAATAGTGCAATGAATCCGACGACCACTCGCCCGGTATTCTCGGATCCAGGGTCCTTCGTCCACGCGATCGCAGGGACGAGTTGGCATATTCCGCATGCAACGACTCCCACAAGCATGACTGTTCGTCTATCAATAAGGCGGACGAAGAAGAAACTAAAGATAACCCCCAGCAAACCTGTGCAGGTGACAAGGACAGAGTACTCGAATGGCTTCTTGACCCCGGCGATCTGTAGGAAATATGTGGTGTAGATATTGATCCAGCTCGATCTGTTAATCAATGAGAATCAGCTTTTTGGGTGGAAACATGAATGATTTTCAAGTGTCACATACCCGTTCGCCGCATGAAAGCAGACCACAGCAATAGACAGTAGAGTGCGACGAAGATTCGTTCCACGCCACATCTCCAAAAACAGATACTTCTTGTTCTGCTCCAATTGCTCACGCGTAGATTGGCGAATTTCGTTGAACTCGGCTTGAAACTCGAGCTCATCGATGTTGGAATTCCGGAGTTTGCGGAGGGATGCCTCGGCTGCATGTTCCTTGCGCTGGACCATGAGCCATCTTGGAGATTCCGGGGCAAAGAAAAACATCAAGACGGCTTGCAGAGTCGGGGCGACGAAGAATATCGCCAGAGGGACTTGATACGCACGTCTGCCGTCAAAATCGTGGGTGCCGTAGTCGACCGCAGCCCCAACGATGGATCCGATTGAAAGCATACTTTGATAGACTGCGAAGACGATGCCTCGTAGATGGGCTGGCGCTGCTTCGTGGACGTAGAGTTGGGCGAAGGTCAGGAACCAGCCGACGGAAATGCCTGTTATCCAGCTATTAGTGAGAAGCAAAGCAAGTGTGGCGGATCAGCCACCAACCTAGAATGAGGCGAGAGATGTAGAGCGCAGCTTTGCTGGTGGTTCCAAGTTGGATGGCTGTAGCAATATAGTTGAGCACCGCAGCAGCCCACAGACCATGTCTTCTACCGAACTTTGCACTGAAAGGGCCAACCATCAAAGAGGAAATGAAGGTCCCGATGGTCATGAGCGAAGAAATCAGTTGTTGTACAGTCGGCTGCACAGATATCATCATATTAGTCAAATGGTCTTGGTTTTCCTCGCCCAGAAGGGACAGGTGGGAAGACTAACATCGATGTTCCATCTACCCAGAGGTTCTGAGTAATAACCAAAGACTTCGAGGAAACCAGGCATGCTAACCAATGACGATTAGCTTTGAGAGGCCGGGGAAAGGTATGTTCAGAATAACTCACGACAAGAAGCCTCCCACCAATGCATAGTCAAGCCCTGGAATAGACGGGTCAGCCAATTCACCCAGCACGCAATCACTTTTCCCTTACCATATTGAAAAGTCGACAGTGTCGCAATTATGCAGATCATAACACATTTTTTGTGGCTACGCACGTCGAGCTTCAGCGGATTGGCAGAGATAGGTGCGGACACCATGATGGGCGGCTCTCAGATCTCTATGATGAGAACGATATCCTAGAGTTGATCCAGCCCAAAAAATTGAGGAGTTGAGGGGAGTACGACTTTCAAAGAAGTCAAAGAAGATATTTCCACAGACGGCACGGTGAAAAACCACAGACAGCATTCTCATCTTGAAAAAGGGCCAGCAAACCACCAAGTATTAAATGGATAACCGATCATAGCCTACATGGGACTAGTTAGTTGATAGCCATGAACGTGAACAGGCATCCCTGTCAACATGGAGTTGGGGTAAAAAGACAGGGGTCAAAAGGCGGAGAAGAAGCTGGGACTTGTTGACAAGGTCAACAATTTGAACCCACCAACACTAGCATCAGATACTAGCCACGTTCCGGCGACTCACCGGATGAGTCGGTTGGCGAAGGCTGCTTGCTGCAATAATGCAATGGCTGGCGAAAAAGGTGCTGGATCAGGATGCAATTTCGAGAACTGCCGAAATAGGTGGCACTGGGTCGAAAGAAATCCCACTCCCAAGACTTGACTATCAGTCCTTTGACTCGAGACGCATTTGTCAATACCGAACATCTCATCAGTCATCACATTCATCGTTCTAAAGTTGAATCCTGCCGTTGTTGCTCGCCTGAAAGAATATCGGCTGCTCAAGAGACAGGAAAAAGGGGACTGCTGCTGTCTGCCATGCAATGTTGAATATCTATTTGAATCTTAATATAAATGTCAAAAGAGGGGTTTTGTCCTCAATAAAATTCATTTCGCGCAGGCCGTCAGAACATATAACTCGTCAAGGGATAAAATAATAGATGTACATGTATGTATCTTAACGTGTGATGTCACAGACTGAAATATGTGTAGCAAGAATTGCGGTCATTAATGTGGCAAAGAAGTCCCCGCGAGCTTGCTGTTCAAATGGGCCAGTTGCCTTGTTCAAAACCGAAATTCATCGCAAGAAATTCATCACCAAAACCAAAGGCCATGAGTTCATCCGATGTGAAATCCATAGGCCCTAGTTCAGGCATAGGATAGCCCATCATTCCGGGATGTTGCATAGACATCTCTGTGACACCAGGTAACATTTGACCCATAGGTTGCTGTGCCATCCATTGCTGAGGTTGCTGATGTGGTTGTGCCATGACAGTTGGAGGTGGTCCAGGTCCCATGGCAGCCTCGGAAAGCATGTGAAGGCCACTTCTCGGTTGCTGGTGAGATGGAGCACTTTGATCAATTGATCCGCGGGGTTGTGTATTATTCCAGGCCATGTTCGATGGGTCTTGTTGGAGGGGGCCACTTTTGTAAATTTGTTGAGCATTCGATCTTCCCATTGGTGTTCTCTGCCTTGAGATTGGGTTGCTATCACCGTTATAGGGTTCAGTACGTTTCATGTGCCAGCTCTTCAACATATTGAAGATCAAGCTAAACTTATGTGCCACCCTGCTCATGCCCCCTTCGCAGGACTTGGTGAGGGTTTCGATGAGCCGATCAAGATAATACTCAACTTTAAGATCTTCTTTTTTGAAGATTGTACCAAACTTGGAGCCTTTGGCAGATACTGCTGTGTACATCTTGATCAAGGCCACTGCGGCGTAGGAATTGCGAACAAAGAAAAGTGTTGGTAGACTTCGCAACATTTTGATGTCCATGGATAAAAATGCATCAAAGGTAGTATGTGCAGAATGGATGCACGTGGTCAAAGCCTCAATATGAGCGGGAGTGACATTGTCAGGATCGGGCGGACCTTCGATCGGGGTAGCATTGAAGGGCGGTCGGAAATCATCGATATTGTGGTTATGGTGCATGGCGATCTCGTGCATATACAAGTTGATGATCCCTTCAGTATGTTGGATGATGGGTTTCCTGAGAAGTTCTGGTGCTCCAGCATCGTGCCACTCCCGCAGTTGTCGTTCGAAGGCTTTCAAATGATATTGAGTTTTTGGGTCGGTCAACGAGAGTGGAGAAGCTGGGTCGTCCATTGAAAACTCAAGACCAATGTCTTCAGCAATATGTTGTGCACGGACAAGGTGGCATAGCCACCTGTCTGATGGTACAGCGTCTTTAGCCGTATTCAAGATTTCAATGCACTCGTCGGCGTAAGGACTCCATCGAATGAGTAGAGGGCGACGTAGAGACATGGAGGAACTAATCAAGTCAGCATCATGCAAGAAATCAGTCAAGTCTTTTGGCCCTACTTACTTGGAGCACATGTAGTAGGTTCCCAACCAGCATCGGCGGGTCTCAGCACTGTTAGGATCAGATAAGGGTCGTTTATTATCATGATAGGGTCTCCAGATGCCTCCGCCACCTCGTCTAGCTCGCTTGCCCATGCCAATATCCATAGCCATGACGGCCGCAACATGAATGAGTTGGTTGAAGTTCAATTCTTCGTATTTGTCCGGTGGCTGATAGAAACAAGTCATGACCTGCATGGCCTGGACCATCTCCAGGGACTTCTCACCACGATACATGACTCGATCAGCCATGACCTTGGTTACCTCATTGATCAGTCTTGGTTGTAGCTCTGGCCTGATAGTGCCAGAGGCAACGGCCACTACAGCGGCAAAAAGCATTGGCTTCATCTTGCGGATATCATCAGCAGTGGTACCGTTAGGGAAGACCACCAAGGGTAGATGATCACACATTTCTGCCTTGTATCGGTCAAAACACTTCCGAGCAGTGTTCAGATCAACCAAGCCACTGTCGACAGCATCGTAAGTAGACCAATCCTCCGGATCCGATTTTACCTTGACTGGTTCGGCATATGGTTGAAATTGAGGAGCTGCAGCGACGGGTTTATATGCAGGAGCTGAGGCTTTGTGTAGCTCGCCTCCAAAATAATCATACTCGTTCGTGATCTTTCTTTTGACGCCCTGACTGATAGACTGAGGAGACTGGTGGGTAACAGGTGGTGGTGGATGCCAGGGGTCAGGATAGGTTGTAGCTGGGCGTGGGACAGGTGTTTGTTGTGGATGGGAGATGTTTGGGTCGACCGCAGGGTCCGGTTCGTTTCCACCACGAGCTGCTAAGGTGGCAGTGAGGGCGTCGATCTTTTTCTCGAGCTCAGCGACCCTGCTATCGGTCTTTTTTTGTCTCTTTCTGCTTGGAGCAGTCACGATACACTGCCTGTTTGCTTTGGCGCATCGCTTGCAGGAGCCGGTGGGATGATTGTCATCGGGCTCACACTTGACCTTCAGCTGTCGACAAGCCTCACAAGCGCGAGGTCTTTTGAGATCATTAGGGTCATTGGGGTTGGCGGAGGGACTCTGGTCGTCGGGACTGTCTTGAGTCTGTGGATGGCTGGAGTAATAGTTGGGGGTTGCAATAGATTGGTAGGAATTATTGGGACTGGGTTGCATTGGTGAGTAAGCAGTGGTGGTCGCACCATTTTGAAAGGAGTCGCGTGGTTTGGGCGGCGAGCCTCTGAGCAGAGGATCGATGTTCATTATTGGCACCGAATTATGGCGACTGGCGAGGCTGCGCAGCGGGTGGCAGTTTGGTAGTGGGTTCTGATGTCGCGGTCGTCGGTGGTTTCGTCGCCGTCTGCCTGGACCGGATTGCCGATGAATAGGGAGTATGGATCTTCAAGTCTGGGGAACCCCGGTACGGGTACGAGTATCAGACATGTCCCAGAACGCGTCGACGGCCACAGAGTAGGTTTTGCGCAGGAAGAGCTTTGGTATTTTCCATGTCTGACTGATCAGCTTGGGAGTGAATTGGAAATAGACGTGGATAGTGGACGTGGAAGTGTAATAATTCGAAGGATGACGGATGGTGCAGCCAACCCCAAAATAACACAGTCACGTGATGATGGAACAAGACACGTGATACTCCACGGCTGTCACCACGTGATCGAGCTTCAAGGGTAGCTGCGGTGCTGCCTAGATGGTGCCTGGGTTTCGTGGCTGCCAGTGCCCCCCTCGGCCTCAAACAGCCACCCCGCGCACGCGTCAATGGGGGTAGAAAAAAGGCCCGAGTCAATCGCGCAGTCTGCGCTCTACAGAGATTTGACACAGTGAAGGTTTCTTCTTACCTTTGCGACTTTTTCAAAAACTATCGTCCCTAAATCAGAAAGATGAGTTCGGCCGCCACACAAGAAACCTTGTCCAAACTAGCAGAACCGCCCAGCGCAGACACAGTTACACTCCTCCTAAAATGTCATAAGTCGACTACATTACTGTCTGTCCTTCCAACAACGCCTTTCGCAGAGATCAAAGGACTCCTTCTAGCAGCCCTTCAGACACGAGGCATCACTACTCTACCCAACTCTATGTCGCCACTTCCTGAAAACGGCGATGATCTGGAATTTGGAGTGCTGGTGGACCAGAAAGATGCGAGTAAAGGATGGGTTCCGCTGGAGATCAAAGAACAGGAGGTGGCAGGATCCAAAGGAGGCAAAAAGAAGGCGGGAGGCACGAACAACGTTATGAATGCAAACCCCGTTGGAGCAGGTCTGAGTGATGGATCGTGGATTGCATACCGACTCAAAGTGTCGTCTAAGGACAATCAGACCGAGGAGGTGTTGGAAGAGGGAACCCCAGAGATTGACATCCCAGCAGATATCGGTTGGGATGTTGTGCTACCAACATTTGAGGATGAGGAGGGGAATGAGTGAAGACGAGGCTGAAGATACATAAAACGACCAGCTATGGAAAGGATGAATAACGATAGGCTGCGATGGAGGTAGGGGGGACGGGTTACCTGGCAGCCCTGGGTACCTGGCGCACAGCCTTGCGAGTACTCTATTACTTGTACGCAGTACAGTAACTTCGTGAGGGGAAAAGCCCAGGCCGTCTAGCCCCCACACCAGCAATAAGCAGCAACTGAACTGCGTTAAGGGGGAGTGGCGCCCGGGTGCTAAATATGGCATCACCTAGAGGGAGTTGACACTCAGTTGAGTACCCGCATGGAGCACGGGTACGGAGTTACTCGTATCTCATACAGTAGCTTGATGTTAGGAGCTAGCTTTAACTAGCTCGCTTGACTCGCGGCTCCCGAGAGCTCTAACTGCGAGCGCGAATCCTCGGTAACTGCCCCTAAGAAGTTTTGGGTAGGGCTGGCATCCATCATACCTGTAAGTTGATGCCTGCAGCTGTTTCTTGTGGCGAGCTTTAGTTCAAGCAGCTAAGAGGCAATCAGTTAATCCATTCGGTCAGATTCATAAGGTGCATAGCTGAACAGCCGCTATTTAGTCAGGCCTTCTTTGATCCTCATTCCTTCGCTGGAGAATCAGCGACTCAGCAGTGAGCAGGCCCTAACTGTCTCATTTCATCCCTAGCAGCCCCCATAATTATCACCCACTGGCAGTGTAATATTGTTATGATTGTTATTATTGACTTGGTTAAGTTGTTCTAGTTACATACAGTACTGCCGATTACTCCGTACCGAGCACGCAGTGTTCCTGTTTATTTCTCCCACATACTGCATTGCTTTTCTATTTCGTGGCGATTGTGGAATTGGTACCTCGTGCCTCGTCTTAGTCCATAACAAAAAACAACAATAATAATAGTAATAATTGTGCTCCGTGCTCTGTATCTACCCTTTTACATCTGATCCACGTCCACGCCGGCCCTCGCTCTTCCCGTTCTCCCCTCCATTCTCCATTCCCCATCTCTATTCCGTCATTCTCATCCTCATCCACATCCGCATCCGCATCCTTATCCTCACCCTCATGCTCCGTGGCTTGAATATCTCCCCAGCTTGGCCTTGGTACTCCTACCAAGTACCAATAACACCCACCTTAGCTGGACTAAGGACTAAATAATTACTAGTCTTGTATCAGCCGCATCGCCCGAGCTGATCGGACCTGATCTCACCCAAAAACTGGTCCCTTTTCCGCCCGTTCTTCTGCTCCCCTCGAGTTTCTCCCTCCTTACTGCACGGCCGCTCTGCTGCACCGCTGAGCCTGCCCTGCTCTTCCCGCCCCCAGTCCGAGACGGAAACCGTAGCAGCTGCCAGCTCCCCTTCCACTTCCACTTACCACTCAATGAGGCTGTTCAAGTCCAACAAGTCGCAGGCCTCCATAGAAGATCGTTTGACGGGTTCACGCGACGGAAGCCCTACCGATTCCGCCTACAATCAACACGGGCAGCAGCAGCATCAGCAGCATCAGCACCACCACCACCAGCCTCACGCCAGCGTCTACGGTGGAGCCCAGTTTGATCACACCCAGTCTGACCGCTTTCAGCGCCAACAACCGCAACAGCAACAACAGCAGCAGCAGTTGCATCCTTCCCCTCCTTCAGATCCCCCGTATCAACCTGGTCCTCAAGATCTTCAATCTCTCCCTCACCCTCACCCCTCCCAGCATCTGGGTCGCAGTCAGAGCGGTCGCTCCCCCTCCGCCGGTGACTTGTATGGCGCACAACGGCCTGGAGTGAATATCGTTCCCCAACCTTCACAACAGCAGGTCATTCCAGAAGGCCCTGCTCCCATCCCCGGTCAGACTACCTTTGGCCAGTCCAAAAACGTTCGTGTCATCGAAGAGAAGGCACACAAAAAATCCAAGAGAAGCTTCATCACCAGTCTGATCAAGGACAAATCCAAGGACGAGGACCGAGACCGTGAAAAGGACAAGGAGAACTCCCCAATTGAACCACCACGCAAGGGCATTGGACGATCCAGTTCGGTCCATCTATTGAGAAAAACAAACCCTGATCACACCCGCGATTCCTACTCTCAGCAGAACTCCCCTCAGCAATACAGCAACCGACACTCAGTCTTCTACCAATCTCCCGACTCTTCATACCCGCCCCAGTCTGAGGATCTCTCTTACGACCAGTATCAACAACAACGCGGGCCATCCCATCCTCATACTTCTGGCCAGTACGACTCTCCTCAGAGCCAAAACACCCAACAATCCGTTGATTACGTAGAGGACGCCCCTGCTTTCAGTCCTCAGCAAGAACAATATCAGGCATACCACGCCTCTCACTCCGCAAACAACTCGGAACAATATCTTCCCTACCAAAGCCAGCCTGCTACAGGTAACGAGGTGGGATCGGGTCTATACTCACACCTTCGTCCTCCCTCGCAAGCTTCTCTCGGCCCTCCCTCCCCCATCATCAGCCCCCCGCAAGTCGACTCACGCCCCTCTACCGGGGCTACCAATACAAATCGGTTCTCTGCTCAATCGACCACTCAGCAATCGACCCAACAGCAAGCCATGGGTCGAGATCGCGATCGGGATCAAGGCAATGGAAGTCTAAGACAGCAACTTTCCCAGCGTGACCCTCGCACCGATGAACTGGCTCAGTATCAAGGTCAAAGTCAACAAGATCCACGAGTAAGAATGTCACAGCAGGTTTCCGAACAAGGTCGGAGCACTCCACCTCCTCGAAGTCGAGAAGATATCGGTCAATTGGACTACCACCAATTGCTACAGCGCCACGAAGAGCTTCAGGCAAAGTACTCGAAAGTTAAACGCTACTACTTTGAGCGCGAGGCTCAAGTGACCCAACTGCAGAACACCGTCGCCAACCAGAGACTGTCCATGTCCAAGACATCCCTAGATGATGCCCAGTACACAGCGCGCTTCGAAAGGCTGAGCAATGCCATCAACAATCTTGCTTTCAACATCCGCAAGAACTGGCGTGCAGTGCCTCCATGGCTCCGTCACGTCTGTAACCAAGATGCTCACTCCGTTGGTACCAAGGAGATGACCGCGGTCGGCCGAGCATGTATCACACGTTGGTTGTTCGAAAGCATTTTCGAACGGACGTTCCATCCTGGTATCGATCCCGGCTTGTCTGCCCAGTTGAAGAACGTTGAACGCAACCTCCGCCGTTCAGGACAAGCCGGTCTCCTCCTGACCGATGAACAACGTGATGACCTCACCACCAAGATCACCACCTGGAGGCTCACCACGATCGAAGGTCTCGGGGATGTCCTCACCTCTGCGCAAGCCGAGCAATACACCGAGAATCTCAACAAGATGTTTACGCACCAGTTGACCGAGTCTCTCAAGGCAAATCTCACCGACCCTCCACCGCCAGGTCTCTCCGAAGGTGTGGGCATGATTGTTGGCCAAGCAGTAGGGATCGCCGCCAACATCCCCTTGGAATCTCGTGATATCTGCATCGAATATTTCATGCCTGGCACACCTGTGAACGAGACGTACATGAAAATCGAGCCTCAAATGACGCCCTTGACCAACCCTGGCCCTGATGAACGCCTGCTCGCCATGCAAGCCCAGCAAGCCATGCAAGACGCCCAGGATGCCGAAAGCACAGCCAGCACCGACGACGGACCTCGTGACCGCGATGTTGAGGCCGAAATTCGCGAGGCCGCGGGCAAAGCCGCAAGCCAGTCCACACAACCCCCCATTGGAGGCCCCGCTGGAGGTCCAGGCGGCTCTCAGGGTGATCGACGCAACGACTCTGCAAGCTCTCAAGCCACCGTCAAAGGCTCCTCTGGTGACAGCAAATCCAAGAAATCCTCCTTCCTCGGCGGATTCGTGTCGAAGAAACCTCCCTCGGGTTCGCGCAACCCTGCATCCGGGCAAGACCGCGGCGAGACAGGCAGCAACGCCTCAGGCGACCGCGACCTCGACCAACAGCCACATCGTGGCGGTGTCAGAGAGAGCATGGCGGTCGACCCGAGCCAGCTCGGTGTGCCCCCACCAGGTGCCAATGAAGGCCGCATCCGCTTCGCAGCGTTCTTGGCCATCGAGGTCAGGGGTAAAGGCCCCGGTGCCAATAACAACAACGCCGATAGGCAGGCTGCCGGTGGCAAAGAGCCTGGCAGCGCCGCCACAGGCTCGAACAAAGAAAGTACAGTCAACGTCCTCTTCAAAGCCCCAGTTTACGAGTATTAATGAAGGTGTGAAAGACAGTAAGGAAGAAGTGAAGGAAGGGAAGAAAGAGGGCGCAGGGTGGAAAGGGAAATTTTCTGGTTCGACCATTGCACTTGTCGATGGCGATGTCGGGAAACAACCCATCGAGCTATAAATCCTTTTTTGGTCGAACAGATCACGCATGAATGTGTGTGATATGATGGTTCCTTTGTTTTTATTTGGTCTTTCCTTTTTGTGTAGAAATGTGTGTCTACGTACGAGCATACATATGTTCTCGAAGAGAGAGGCCTTTTACAGTGTTGTCCAGTGAGCGTATCATTGCTATGGATGACGTTTGTTTGTTGATGTCGATGATGATGACGATGGCGATGCAGGCAAAGGGATTGGGAAGACCGAACTGTTGAGATCTGTTGTGTTGGCAGCGACGGTGGGCGAGAAACGAGAAGCCGATGGATACATGGGTGAATGGGAAGCAGACGGTGTGTGTGCGACCATGATCGGGAGGAATGTGAAGGCCGTGCTATATTTTGCTCATCAAAAGATTCCTTTTTCTCCTATCAGACTTGTCACCACCGACTTCTTTCGTCTTGTCGTATTCTTGATCGCTAAGAGTAAGTACTTCCTCACGTGCGTCTCAAAACCTGGCACTCTGCCGAAGCAGTCTCGAGGTACATACTATGGGTTTCCACGTCAATTCTACGCCACCAGCCTCCGCAGTTGATCCAGCTGTTTCTTCTCAACTTCACCGTCCTGCGAGGGCGCCCTGTCAATGACCAAAATTGGCCAGGGTGTATTTATCCTTGGTCGGGCGCATGATGCCAGCTCCGCAGATTAGTGCACAGAACAGACTCGTCATCTGAATCGTCAGAGTCCGGGTTCCTCGATAATGGATAACTGCTGGCATTCTCGCCTGACGTAGTATCTAACCCAAGTTCTGTTTCCAATGTTTGCGCCCCGTCATCGGATGTTGATGGCAGACCGGCGTGGAGAGTGCAGTATCCAAGCTCTTAGTGACGGCTGCCACGAGTCCACGACTTTCCGACGAAGCTCACGTTCTTCAGAATATGGCGAAAAGTCTACTGTGTACTCGTTTGGTCTGGATCGATGCGCACGATTGATCGAACGACTTACAGCGATGGCCTTCATAACAGATTGACGTCTGTGCAGCAGAACAACGACCAGGTCGGAGACCTTGAGAGGTGATCAGAGTGAACCAGGCTCTCCCCAGAAATCTATATCAACGCCACGAATTTAGCATTATTGGGCACGATTAGAGCAAGGACGACCTACCATTCCATAACAATAGTAGCTGGACGAGAACAACGCTGGCAATTCTTCCAGCCCACGTGATATTGATAGTCCTTCCTCCGACACAAGGTCTTCATTTACATAGTCGGAAGGCTAAATGTTTTGATAACCAGTGTCTGAAGCAGGGCTGATCTGCAGAATGATACGAGGCATCGACTGAATCTGGGCGATACCTTTCACAGTATCGACTCGATGCAGCAGTGGAGAGTCTACATTGGAGAGCTCTGGGTTTTCCGCGAGTGATGGGATAGGAGTCTCTTTGAAGCTTTCGTGAGGGAATGGAAAGTCGAAGGAAATCTGCCACCTGCATCGGGTCAAGCGAGTGGTCGCAGAGGCTATCCGCGAGACCTTCATCATGGCCTGCTCGCGAACGGCTAGAGATGACACTGGCTTCCATGATTTCGTTTCCGGATTCTGATCACCATGCATTTCATGGGCATCCTTTGTAGCGTAGCTTGCGTTTGCTAACGCGGTTTCAATCTCGCTCTCGTCAATGGCAGCTAACCAGCACTTTTCATTCTCACATAGATGGCCAAACAGTCTTACCGTGTAATAAGTTATCCTCCTCACCTGATAATGAACATCTGACCAGGCATATCGGGGAGGACAAGATATCTCAAATTCCCTATAGTAAGGTTGTAGTTGTCCTGTGCAGCTCGAAAAACTTGTCTAGCAACCTATCCGGGTAGCCCTTCCTTGACTCTATATGCATCTCCCGGTGAATGAAGGGAAGGGAAGGCTGATTGCGCCATACGAGAAGCACATATTGTTCGGGCGCTGATAAGCCCGCCTGGCTGGGTTGCGTACTTGTGTAATTGGTGGCTGTCATCAGAACCTAAGCGTGACTAGGCACAGCCATGCTCTTCACATCTGCGATTTCTAACTAAAGAGATAGAGGTCGCAATAGACGTAGCCTTGTACGGACAATTCAAATAGGACTAGTGAAGCCAGAACATGAACCATTCGTTGCTGGCTTGCGAAGAGGAAAATGGGCGAGAAGGTGGTGCCACCCCAGTACAAAAGTCCCCCAGCATGTCGGTATCAATGGGGGATACATATGCACCAGGTCCTCGCGTAAGTTGTAACATAGTTAAAGAGACTCGGTTCTTGCCACTCGCAGGGCCCCGCACCCAACAAAGGAAGTCAATAATTTGGTGCAAACAATCCTTGTACCTAATTTAGCCTATATCTATGCCTCTTAGGCGCTCCCAGTGATCAGTGACGCAAGTCATTGGAGCCGGCCCAAATTCTGCCAGATTGGTCCACTGAGAAAATTTTGACGCGACGATTCGGTCTGGATTGAGAGTTTTCAAGGCGATGAGCTTTTAAAGGTGCTCTTGTCCCATCTAATTGAGGCATCCTATCTTAGCATTTGCCATCTGTGTCTTCTTTGATACTTCCCTACCCAAGTAACTGCAGCATTCAGAGTCAAGGCAAAAGGAACATCATGTCATCATCATCAACACCAACACTCAAGCTGGCTTCCGGCGCCAACATGCCCCAGGCTGGGTTTGGCCTTTGGAAAGTCCCAGCTGACCAGACCGCCGATACTGTCTACAATGTATGGTATTTTCCTGGAAAGCGGGTGTAAAACTCGCGCCTCTTGCGGAACTATTTGACTGAGTAACTTCCTTGCAGGCGATCAAGACTGGATATCGATTGTTCGACGGGGCGTACGACTATCAAAACGAGAAGGAAGCCGGCGAAGGCATCCAACGCGCCATCAAAGACGGCCTAGTAAAACGCGAGGACATCTTCGTGACCACCAAACTATGGAACAACTATCACTCCCGAGAACGCGCGCTTGAGATGGCCAAGGCCCAGAACGAGGCCTGGGGTCTCGGCTATATCGATCTCTATCTCATCCATTTCCCCATTGCTCTGAAATACATCTCCCCCGAAAAGCTGAGGTATCCGGGCTGGTGGCAGGACGCGGACCAGAAGATCATCGAGCGTGCGCATGTTTCGATGAAGGAGACGTGGCAGGCGCTCGAGGAGATCGTGGACCAAGGCATTGCCAAATCGATTGGCGTTTCCAACACCCAAGGCCAAATGCTGTACGACATCAACACATATGCGCGCCACCCTCTCTCCGTGCTCCAAATCGAACATCACCCGTACCTTGTTCAACCAGATCTAATTGCCCTCGCGAAGGATCTCAACATCGCCGTCACCGCTTACTCGTCCTTCGGCCCCCAGAGCTTCTTGGAGCTACCGCCGGCCTTCCGAAAACGCCCCGAGAGCATCCCGACGTTATTCGAGAGCGATCCCGTGACGTCCGCCGCGAAATCACACGGCAAGACGCCCGCCCAGGTCCTGCTCCGCTGGTCAACCCAGCGAGGAATCGCCGTGATTCCCAAATCGAACAACCCTGACCGCTTGAAGCAGAATTTGGATGTGGTGGATGGGAGCTTCGATCTGACCCCAGAGCAGATCGAGGCCATCAGTGCTCTCGACAAGGGCCTTCGATTCAACGACCCCGGATATTATCTCCATGAGCCGTTGAGAATCTTCTCCTAATTGGATGAGGAATCGCTGTTCTTCTGTGAGAGTGGATTGTGCACATCTCAAAAGCCGTGCTGTCCTCAAAATATAACGAGGGAATGAAATGCGCTACGTCCAAGGATGGATCGCATGCACGGCCTTGTCCTGAAGTGAAACCGCCGATGTAGAGTGTTCATAGCATCTAAGTTTATGATGGTCAACCGAAAATATATAGCCGTTCAGGATTTTCAGGATTTTCTACTTCTGAGTCTCGGAAATATATGCGAACTCATGAGCTCATATTGAAAGGTAGAATTCGATGGTAAAGAATCGGGAGTATGAGTGTTCTTTCCTGGAGACCCACCCCTGATATGCGAGGCTGTGACCATGATGATGTGATGGCTGAGCTTATCGTGGAAGGATTCAGGTAAACTGATAGTAAGCACGCACACGAAGAGTGAAAGAAAGAGTCTTGTTGGTGGAACCAGTTGCTCTGGGCTGGGGATCGGGCTGTAGACTTTATGGGAATGTCGACATAACCAGCTTGAGAGCGCTTGAGGACTGCATCAAGAAGACTAGGAACATGATATCATTGACAGATACTAGCACTAACGGACTAGTGGGGTTGCAGAATGCCTACTCTTGACTTGTCCGGCGTTGCCGCACTAAGTGTCGTAGATAAGGGGCTTCAGCCTTGCGGAAAGCGGAGACATAGCACAAGACGACGACGTTCAGGTCGCACAACAACCAGCCACGGACAGTCTAAGAACTCGGCGCTCTTCAGTAATAATACTTGATGTTATAACCATAGTATGAAAGATGTTTGTTCTTAGATCTTTGATTTCGTTTCAGTTGGTAAGGTTAGATAGGCCCTGTATATATCATACGTTGACGGATGGGACACGAATGGTCCCTTTGTCCTGTAGGACACGCAATGTGTAATCGATTGCAAATACAGAAGCCTGTGGAGCATCGTATTACACTTCTCCATGGTCTTGATCATGGGTTGATTCGATGATGTTGTCATCCGAGGCATCGAGCTCTTGAGGAAGATGTGGTATGTCGATCCTTTGGGATTGATAAGAATTAGTTGTGTCCTGGCGGACCAAAGGCAATAGCATGTCTGGAAGGGGTAACCAGTAAGCACTCAACCACAGGACTAAAGAGAGCAAAGTGCATGACGGAACTATACCGGGAATCGAGTGTCGAGCCTGACGGGCCTGCCATAGAGCATAGCTTCCGATCAAGAACATGAGGAATCCAAAGACAAGATTGCTCATGAGTTCTGGAGACATTCTCTGAGTATGTACTTTACTTTGCAAGGCTGCGGAAAGGTAGAGACTTGGGATCTCGCAGAGGGTAATCATTGCTGAAGGGATATGACGGTTTATAGGACTTTGTGGGAGAGTATTCATCGTCCCGACATCATCTACAGTGCCGCCTGGTGAAGGAAGTATCACATTTCACTTCTCACAAACCCAGTTCGGCTTTGCCCTGGTTCGCAATTCCTTTCTCTATCCATGCCGCAGCCAGTAGCGGTGAAGATGGCTTGACCCAAGGCTTTCTGACTGGGCCTTCACTGATTCAGTTCCTCCACTTATTTATGTATTTTCTGGTTCCAATAGTGACAGGACATACATTGTTCATACGGTTCGAGTTGCGGAATGACAACTTAGGCATCACCACCTAGGAACTAACTTTGTGCCTCCCTAGGTACCTAGGATGGTATTTTTTGCATGTAACTACGCATCTATGGATACACACAGTCATGTTTTGATACGTTAATTTCTAGTGCATACCGTAAACGGTATTCTAGGCAGGGTCGCTTCTAAACGCCCCCTTCTTCCTGTCACCGCCGTTGGGCCATCTCTTTCCTCCCCCTCCGTCCCCCCTTCCTCCCTCCCTCCGTCCCCCCTTTCCTCCCTCCTTACCGCTCGGCCCGGCACATCTTACTTCTACTTTGCCGTCATATTTTCGACTTGGTTTTACCGCAACCTAAAACGATCTTTTCTTCAGCCTGACGGTGAACACTTGGTAATTCATGAACCGAAACGGTCGTTAAAGAAATACGCCGATAGGCTGATACCTAGGTAGTGAGCACCTCCTTTTAGTCCAAGCACAAGGTCAATCTAGAAATTAACTTAGATGTATGTGGGAGAAGTAAATGTAGGAGTGGAAATGTATATTTTTTCGATTTTTTTTCTGTTCTCCCAGATCCAGCTATGCTACAATTTACACTTCATGTTAGGATAAACTAATTCTGGTTGGTTTCTTGACCCATCAAGCACAATGTGGCGTCTTATAGTTAGACAAAGTTGATGATCCAGAGAAAACATCAAAGCTGGCAAAGGCCGATCCACTTCAGTGGTGCTGTGTTTAACGTTTGTTATTCCCCCTCATACCAAGAATCTGGACAAAGCGGATGAAGATGTTGAGGAAGTCGAGTTCCAAGTGAACGCTCTCATTGACGACATCTTTTCGAACCAAGCCCCGCTCACTCATGCGAGCGTGGTGCAAGATCTTCTGGACATCATAAAGGGTGAAGCCGCCAAAGACGGCTAGACCACCATAGAGCCAGATGTTTTCGGTCCAGGCGAGGGTTCGAACGGCAGTGGCGGGTAGGACGAGAGGCGCAAATCCGGAGATGGCGACAATCGCGACACCTGCAAGCAATGGTCCACCGAGGTACAGGTATTTCTCTTGCTTGGCGGTTGCTCCGACAAAGGCAATGCTGCCCATCATGCCAACGGTGTAGAGACCAGCGCGAGCGAGAATGGCTGGAGACATGAACAGGAGTGGTGAGAGAACCGCAGCTTGGGCCACGTTGAAGGCGGTCCAAAGGGCGTATTTCTGAACATAACTATTTTCTTAATTAGCATATTTGCTACCATGCCAATAATGGGGAACACTTACTTGTCAGGATGCGTGTAGAATGTGCCATACATGGTACCGAACGACGCCGCCAACGAAAGGCCAATAACGAGCCATGGATTTGTGGCCATCAACCGGTAACTCCAGCCGCTGGTATGCAGTACTCGAGCAGCGACAGCGATAATACCAACCCCCAGACCCGTGTGCATGAATGTCTGATTCAGGTACTCCCGCTCATATTGCGGCATTCCACCGTCTTCACGAGTTTCGCGGTTGAAGATCATGTTCGTGGCGACAATCGTGCCACCGACAAGGGCGGCGCCATAGAGTAAACGCTGCGTCAGATTTCCGGAAGCGGTTGGGTTGGCAGGCTGATATGAAGGGACTTGATAACCGCGTTTGAAGCCATTTCGAAGCGCATTGGATTTGAGTAGAGATTGAGCGCTGGCAACTGGTCGTTGTTGGAACAAGGGATTTGCGGAGGGTTTCGACCCAGAGGCGTGAAATGATCGGATCAGCGACGATGGCTTGCCGAATTGCTTGAAAGCGTTGGAGGAGACCGCAAACGGCCTCCTGAGAATGAAGGACATTGCAAGTGACACTCCCAGGTCGAAATGTGATGGCGAGGGTGAAGATGAAGAAGGTGTTGATGAGTAGAGGTGGGAGCACAGGCAATAATTACAGCAGAATTGCGTGTCTGGGTCCATACGTGTATGCCCGTGTGCTGATTAGCCGCGGAGTTGCAAGCACATTCTAGAATGACGTCGATCAATTCTTAGAGGCAATTTGACGGTCACGTGCACCGGGATTAAAGGTTCTTCCGAGCGTCAACACCGGATTTTGAGAGATTAAAAATGCTACAGATTTGTGCTGTCATTGTCCAACCATGCTTTCGCCCCCATGCTGAACTTGCCAGCGTAGAATGCGCATCGCATCCAACAGGTCTCCATCGCTTATACAGTGATATCCAGAGATCAGTATGTCTTCCTACAGAGGTAGTACACCTTTTAAGGAATATATCTGAAGGCCGGGTGATGGTGGCCAAGATCCCGCTTCTGTTGCTCGTTGAGTCCCTCCAGGCGATGGTCTCGCTTTCCGGCCGCTCGGACCCGATTCTCTCGCATATTGTAGAAAATACCGAATGATGACACACATAGCACAATAATCTGTGCTCCAAGGTTGATGGAATGACCGATTGGGTAGCGCGGCGCATCACGAACAAGGTATGTCCATCTAGAGATGGTTAATTAGTCAAGACTCCCAAGTATACATGGCGAGGGCGAACTCACGTAGCAAGAACGCCACCTAGTGTGCCAACCGACACAATATATGCGGTGGCCACAGCTCTGACTGCGGGGCCGGCAGAGTCTACTCTTCGTTAGCCAGCAGTTCTATGGACCCTGAAAGAAAACGACTTACTATTGATACCCCAAGACATGAACCCTGGACCTCCTGGGAAGGCACCAGTGGTGATCAAGAACACGGCAGCATATCGAGCATTCGCATTTGTATTCCACCTGAGGATAGAAAATCCAGCAATTGGGAAGAAAGTCGCAACCGCAAGGTAGATACCACGTCTCCGAGTCTTGTCACTCGTATAGGCAATAAGGATGGCGATGACACAGGCAGCCACGTAGGGTGGAACTGAATAGAGCTGAGCCTTTGTCGCAGTCCAGCCAAGATCGGCCAGGATGGTTGGCATGAAGATGGAAAGTCCTTGCACAGTAATGTTGATCAAGAAGAAACCAAGTGCAGCGAGGTTGTTGTTGACGTTGAATACGGCAGCTTTGATATGCTTCCACTTGACATTCTCATGTGGGTCCTGGAATTCTTTAGTAATCATCGTTGACTGATCAAACATTGCACTTACAGCCCGGTGCTCGCGAATCAACCGCTCATGGGCGATAAATCGTTCTCGCTCGCTAAGGAAGAAGCACGTTTCTGGGTTTGATGGCATCAAGATGGGTGCCAAAAAGGCGACGATCATGGTGAGCTGCGATCTTTGTAAGCCTCGGTGCCTCGCGTGCTGCGTGTTGAAAGACTTACCACACCCTCAAAGAAAAAGATGTTTCTCCAGCTAGAAAGCGCCATTAGCAGGGTACAGTTTCACCGAAGTCCCTCGCACTTACGTATGAATAGGAGTAGATTCAGTACCCCAGCGAGGTATCCGACTAAATCTGTCAGTCGCGAAACCATCATGTGTCCACGTTGACTTACGATAGTGCTGTTGCGAACAAACCACCAAAAGCACCCGCAATGGAGGCGGCAGAGATGAAAATACCAATTCTGAAATAAAGCTCTCGTCTCTTGTAGAAGGTTGAGAGGTAGAAAGCGATACCAGGCATTGTGCCGCCCTCGAAGACACCCAAAATTGCTCTGCAAGCACAGAGCTCTGCAAAGTTCTGGACAAAAGCGGTGCACATCGAGACGAATCCAAATCCGACGACAAGCATCGGAATATAAAACCGAGGCCCAATGAACTTGAGTAGAATGTTACTGGGCACTTCGACCAGAAGGTAGACAATGTAGAAGACACTCAAGGCCCAGTTGAATCTGTATCCCACGAGGTTTAGGTCTTTGGCCATTCCCTGAATTCGCGCATTGCCGATGTTTGCTCTGTCAAGGAAGCAAAAGAGGTATAATATCGTGACGAGAGGGACGATACGACGATCGATTTTTCTTCTGATCCCGGTCTCCTCGGCTTCGGTCCAGTCAACTTCATCGCCAGATCCAGATCCTTCGCTCTCCTTGTTTGGATCCAACTCCATGTGGTCAAACTCGGAGGCCTTGAGGGTTGCCGCTGCGATGGGTGCCATCGTGTAGGAGAAAATAGATACAAAATTCTCAGGTGAAAAGAATACCAGAGTCGAGGAAGAGGGTCTCCAGTCCTGATGTCAGGCGATCGGAGAGACACTAGACATTATATCCAAATAGCAAGACCGTCAAAGCCCTGTGTTCATTGGCAGCCCCACACTTTGATCAGAAGGTCTCCGGACCTTCTAGGCGAAGCTTCGATCCACTATAATGGGGAAGAGAAACATCACTCCGCCGGATGAGACACCTTTCTCAGGTCTCAGCACATCGGCTTCCTTTCACGGTAGACGATCGAGAGACAGCACAGGCTAAAACACATGTGCGCACACGGGTAAATGACATGGGGAAAAGCACTACAGACTGGATGTCTTCATAGTGACACGGGGTTCCAGAGCAAACCGGGCATAGATCATGGCCAAGCATGGAATTGGGCTTGGCGGTGGAAGTAATGGGAGGTTGCAAGGTGGAAGCGAATTGAAAATGGGAGAGTTACTGGATTGTTGAATGCGGTGGAAGTCTTGGCTGTCCGGGGGACATACCTCCTTGGGGCGCGGACCCATGGGCAGCGCGTGGACCGCGGAGCTTCTTCTTGCTCGAGGTCCTTCTGATCGACTGCCGATTCTGCAGGATGCGAACGTGGCTTGCCATCTTGGAAAGCAGGCATCAGAAAACCAACCAAATTGGACGTCTCGCAGACGCTTCCTTCATCAGCACGTCCGAAGCTCTTCGAGGAGTAGCGACAAGAAACTGGGGAGAAAGTGACATACACGACACTTCTTATTACCAGCCAGTCTTTGAAGGCAGAATACCTTAACCTGGTATAGTATGAGGAAACGGCGAACTCTGAGTGGTAGATCAAAGGTGGCTTGACGTATTCCAGCTTGTGCGAGAAAGCGAGAATGTGGTGATCGTCGAAAGGTCACGTCAATTCCGGGCCCTGTTTCTTGGCATGAAACCTTGGAGGTTCGGCAGTTGTAATTCAGTCAATATTGGATTGTAACCAGGCTGCCAGTTCCTCGCAAGCAACCACACAGGTGACCACTGACCACACTCATCCAACTACTTGCACGTTGTTACATATGCCCATTTCGTGCCATGAAAGCCATTCAACTTTGTCTCGGGTCATCAAGCGACACCCGGTTACCCCTACACCTGATTCGCTGGATCCGTGAGGTGACCCAGGTGAGTGGTGCATGTACATCCAGTTGCGGTCGAACGGAGCCTCGCAAGGCATGCTGGTAAAGGAACTAAATCACCAGGGTAAACACTGCTTCTCATCTGCCGCTAGAAAGCCATCCTAATCCGCCAGGGAGCCTGATGAAGAACCATGTGGGAGCAATTTTAGCCCAGCTTGCATCGGCTAGGTTCCCCATACCAACCATGGTAGTTCATGAAGCAGCTTCGTCTCTGTTTGTTCAAGGCTAGGCACCTCTGCTGCTAGGGACCATCTTTGTTCGGTGGTAGCATGCTCCTTGCAACTCTGTAGAATATTCGCTTATCTTCCAGTAGTGACCGGTGCGCCGGACGGTAGAGCATAGCTGCATCTCAAGGATCATAGCAGGTGGCTCTTGAACCAGCAAATGTTCCAATTATATATGCGGAAAGCGATGTCTAGACCATGCAATGTGCTCGTCCTTGCTGCTGAAACAGAATCATGCTGCCCCTCTCAGCGCCATTGCTCCAAGGATCTGGACTTCGAGATTCTTCGTCTGATCAATGTTGTTCTCAGCCTCCCCGTTAACCTGTTTATCGGTCTTGCGAGCAGGGATAGAAGCGATCTTGTAGAGCTTTTTGATACGACTGGTGTCGCAGATAGTCCGCAAAGAGGCATCTTCGAAGGCAACTTCTTGCCCGTCAATGTTCTCGGACAGATGGCGAGTCACACTTTCCTCGGTTATTTCCGCTTGAGTGGCGACTTTAACAACCAGCAGGTTCCCTGTTGTTTCACTGACACCGAATCTGCGAAATGCTTCACCGATCTATTAAAATTAGCATACCTCACCGGCGCTTGGCAAAATGCCAGACACACATTGTTATTTGGGCTGAGGGAGAAAACAATCTCCGAGTGGACATTTCTGGATTTCAGCCGCTCATTGAGAAAGTCGTTTATCGCACGAAACGCAGCAGCAAGAGCATGTTTTGTAGAGATGATCTGTTCTAATCAACATCGTAACTCAAATGGTCCATCTCAGTTCAGACCCACCGTAGTTGCATCGATGAAGGCATATTCGAAGTCTGCATTCGCAGCCAAAAGCTGCTCTCTCAGAAAGGCTGCATTCTTCACATCTCGGAAAAGTGCAACGAACAAGGTCAACTCGGGAGGAACATGGGCCAGTTGAATCGCTCGGACCATTTTATCTAGTTTGCACACGTTTTTGGGAGGAGGGTGGTATGAAACATGTCTGGAAGATTCAAGTTTAATCAGCCTTGTCGGCCGGTCACGCCCGGTGGATCTAATTAGCTCTTGGCATTAATCGGGCGGATCATGGATTCATAGGCTGCAATTATCTCGCTCAGGCTTTTCACAATCAGTGTTCTCATGGGCCACGATTGCATTCGAGCTGCTGGTTGGTCATTCTCAAAGTACAACAATGTCCTCATCCTCAACTACGCACTCGGCCTGGCCAGTTTTGTTTGCAGAAGGGGGAAGACAGAGGTCAATACAAGAACACAGAGGCTTGAGGGATGTAATCATCCTTGGCTGTCAGCATCCATCCCCTCGGCAAAGTCGAGGACGATCCTAGCCGAATCCTTGAGAGCGCTACCCGCTCGTTACCAACTTTCTGCAGCTCTACCCTGGTTTGTCTAATGTATTCGGAACAAGAAGCTGTCTAGTTTCTGTAAACCCGGGCACGAGTCAACCAGTCGTATAGACTAGCATATCACCCTCGCCCATTTCGCAACAGCAATAGAAGCGAGTTCCTCAGAACAGATCAAGGATCTTTCAAACCCATGGAGGCACATATTCCCTTGCACAGATTGTGAGGTCAGCCTCAAGGTGACCTTCGCTAGCATCTGGATGACCGTCAAATCAGATGTTTTAGGATGGAACATTTCAAGGTGGTGGGAACTGAGCGTTGTTCGATTCCATCGATAGAGTTGAGCCTTTGGCATCTCGGCGTGGTGCCACATGATTCACATCGAGCAAGCACAGAATGTGGTTCAGGCTGATGAAGGCCCGAGATGCTGCCGCTATCTCCCGAAGAAGGATATATCGGCGCGATACATCTCCAAAGAAAGTTCCGCTCTAAGCGGAAGTGGGGTATCGTCTGTTCTGACTTTGCCTCGGAGATTGTCGTCATCGGCATTCGAATTCAGATCCATGTTGATAGAGTGATAGCCCGTAGTTCAGAATCCCTTCCTCCCTGAAGCCATTATTCGCATCATCTGGTCAGACTCCTCTTCGTTCTGATGAAGGAGGTCGGGGGTTGGGAAAGAGGCAAGCAGCCATCGAACATCCTTCATTCATGTTTGATGGGGTGCAGCAGCATCATAGGCAAACACATCCGCCCTTTGCCTTCGCCAGTTTCGTGCGCAATTTCATGGTTTCTGTTTTCTCGCCCTAACCATCTTCTCCATAGGTAGCCTGCAAAGAGAGCATTCGAGTAATAACTTCCGCCGCGAAAGACATGTTCACCTGGACCAAAGACACTTCCTCCTTCACCATGGAAATGTCCGTTGCCATGATCCATGCCAGCGGCCCGCCCATCATCCCCGACTGGCGCGTTGTTGAAGATCTCATCCGCGTGCGTGCTAGGCCAGTCGCGGTCGAAGTATACCGGCAGAGGGGCGTAGACTGCTTTGAGTCCATATTGAAGGGCGATCGAGGCTGGGTACATCTCGGGGAACATGGTATGTTTGTTCGAGTAGGTCTCCTTGTGCATTAGTAATAGGAGGCGTCGAGACAGGCGAGATGCAGTTATGAGAGCCGCCCGCGTGGGAGGACGACCCTCACCGTCAGCATGGACTTTGTAGCCAGTAATATCGTTGCTAAATGCCCATGCAGAACGCGATGGGTCGAAAATTGGATTGAAGGTAATGAGGTCTGTAATCTCGTCCCCGGTCGGAGGGCGAGATTGCCTTGGAATCGGGAGCAGATCTTCTTCGTTTAATTGTGGTCCAACAATTGGCGTTTGGCCTGAAGCCTCTGTTTCTTTCACGATAGAAGCGGCGTAATCTTCATAGGAATTGTTGTGTTGAGAAGGAATGAAGAATTTAGCTGACCTTTCCCATGCATATTTTCGAGGCTGTTTGTCCGCCCATCGTGATATCTTGTCCAAGAGCTGATGGTAGTGACCGGTGACTCTGATATCCATTTCCCAGTGCCAAAAATAATCATACTCCAGATGTTGAGAGGCAAAGTATTGAAAGGGGAAGTGAAGGGACCGATAAGCGTCATACACGTCTCCTCCTGAGAAATTGACGAGACTTTCAGGAAATGGTGGTGGATAGATCAACTTCATCTGTGCCACTGACCAAAGAGTTCCCATTCCATGAAATTCTGCTGGTAGGCTTTCCTTCAACACCTGGTCGTAAACTTCCTGCGAAGCCCATATGGGAATCGAGTCGTCCTGGACGTGGATGAGAAAGTGGACTGTGTATTGCCCGCCACTGGCTAGCGAAAGCTCGCTGATGATGGCGCGAAGCATCATAATGTCAAAATTCGAGTACTTGAAGCTGCTCCATGTGCGGATAACAAAAGCTGTTCGCGACTTGATCTGTTTGGCATTCTTCTCGTGGCACAGCTTCTGCGCAGGTTGCCACTTCACCTTGCGCCAATCCGTTGGGGTGACTCGGTCAATGCCTTCTTCATCGCCTCCACTTCCACTTTCTATACCAATGCCACCTTCTTTTTCTGAGAAGCCATAGCCATATGGACCGAGTCGATTGACCCGGTCATAGCAGATCCCATTATCAAAGCCAAGTTCTTCCTGCGAGCCGAACAAAGGTGCAGATAGTCCTTGAGGTATTCCTGGGTAGGTGGAGAGTGTGGGTGGCAGGATCTCCTTCTCGTCATCGAGATAACATTGATGGAGATCTCCCCGTGAGGACGATGGTAATGCGACCAGTTCTAACTCCTGATTTACGTTGATCTCGAACCGGTTCACAGCTTCGCCGTCTTGCTCGGGAACATATTGTTCCAGCGGAACGATGGTCTCACGACCACGATACAGTCCAAGAAGTCTTTCGTCATTGTCAGTGTAAGGAATGTTTGACTACTGGGTCTGACTTACAGGGGGAACTGCTCCCACCAGAAAAACTCTCGACCGTCGCGGTTCCGCGACTGACCCAGCGGTACTATCCCGCCATCGTCATGGCCTTCAAGAACTATTTCTCGACTGCCAGCGAACCTATCAGTTGACTGTTCCTCGGAATAAGGGTCACGAAACTGGTCGACCGATACGGGAGACACCGCAAATACTAGGAGTATCAGAACAAAAGCAGTGATCGAACAAAAAGCCTTCCTCGATCGTAATCTTGAGAGGCTCAGTTGTCGTCTATGTCCTTGTCGCGGTCGTGAAGAGCCCTCGGGACTCAGCAGTCCACCGTTTGAAGAGTCGGCGCTCCATTTATGCGTGTGTGTGAGGGACGCATCGTTTCTGCTCGTGAACAGCTTGAATAATTCGGGCATTCCCAAAAAGCCGAAGATGGTTCCAGGCCAGAGGCAGACGTCAGGCGTTGAATGGCCTAATCGCGACAGGTGGAGATGCCAGCAGCTGGCGGGGAGGGTATGGGCGAGTCGTTAGGTAACACGGGGCTACCTGTATATCATCATTATATCCTCATGAACGCCGCACACATCATATATACATGATACAACAGAAAGGATCGAGCAGCTGCACCCAAGTCACAGAGCAGATTCCAGGGGAATCTGTGGGCATGGGCAGAGAGTTATCTTCTCAACCACAACGCTTGTCCTGCATGGCGACGCCCCAGTGGGGGCTAGGCACTCGGGCATGGTGAAAGATTAATTCCCCCCCTTCTGGGCAGTCTTCCAGCAGGCGGATGGTGGAACCCGCTTATCGAAGCCCCAAGAGCCTCACTGAAATGCGGGAAAATGGACGGTAAGATTGTTGACCAGTCCGCCCATTGCATATTGCATGGGACAGGGGTGGCTGGCTCTGCAATCCCGCTTCGCTACCTTGGCAGGCCCCTCTTTTCGCGCCATCTTCCTCCAATCCATTGGTTGGCAAACGAACTCAGGGTCTTCTCAGTGTGATTAATTAAGATCACGTCATACTCGTTCCAAATTGGTTATTGCGCTCGCCGAGGAGAGGAGAGGAGAAGAGAGGTAGAGGCTACAGAGCAATTGGCACACTGACTAAACCAGTCTCAAAGTAACCATTTTTCATCTCAGGGATCGGTTTGAGCCACGAAGGATTCACGCCGCATTGATTAAGTAGACCCTCTGAAGTTTCAAGAGCTCGTGCTAAAGTGCGAGGTCCCCATCCATTCAGAATGCCTACAGCAGTCGTGACAGGGGCGAACAGTGGCATTGCCCACGCATTTGCCAAAATTTTGATCGACGAGGTCAGCATCTACATTCGATTCCCTTATCTATCCGTCTGATCTCTTCGAGTAACGACCGAAAGGTAGGGTTACAATGTCTATGCAGTTGACAAAGACGACGGCGATGGACTGAAAGCGCTGTCTGCCAGCGCCACCACTCACATCCTAGACGTGGCGTCGGTCGAGTCGATCAAGAAATTCAAGAATGACCTTGGCGACGAGCCAGTCGATTTGTTGCTCAACGTTGCTGGTCAGCATACTTCAAATCGGCAAATAATCAAGCTGAGACATGGAAACAGGCGTAGCCTCAGGCCATGCTAAAGACGGCCTAGAGACGACCAACCTGGATATTCTTCAGAGAACCTTTGCCGTAAATACCTTCGGGCCTCTGCTCTTGACGCAGGTGCTTCTTCCTAATATTCTCAAATCCCCAAAGCCAAAGATAGGTATTGTATCAAGTCGCGTTGGCTCCATCGGTGACAATAGCAGTGGTGGCCACTATGCGTATCGCGCGTCCAAGGCTGCTGTCAATTCCATTGGCAAGAGCCTCGCCAACGACCTCCGGGATAAGGGTGTGGGTGTAATGTTATTGCATCCTGGTTTCGTGAGAACAAATATACTACCTGCCGATAGCATGCCTCCAGAAGCAGTCGAGGCAGAGGAAGCGGCAAGCAAATTGTGGCAGAATATAGTGAGCAAGAAGGAGTTGGAGGATAGCGGAAAGTTCTGGCACCGCGAAGGCTACGAATTGCCATGGTGAAGCTACGAGTATCTATCAACCACTCAGGCTTAGGGCATTTGTGGCAACGGGGATGAAATCCAGCCCTCCAACGCTCACGCCATCTAATGTCGACCCTAAAATTTGAAGTAGCACTAAAAGAAGTCAAGATCAAGTGCTTACCAATGATGGAGAACACATGATACATTTTATAGCCTACTGGGTGCTGGCTTCAAGGACTAGGAAGCTGACCACATTCTGTAGCTCGTCCGTCATGCATACCTCCAGTTTCAAGGATGCCGTAACGAGTAGGACTTCGTACTGTATGTACTCGTAGTCGGCCACCGTCAGTCCAGATGCCATTGCCGATACCTCATCCGAGATCGGCCCCCAGAGGTTTCTCCAAATCCACCGAAGGGCAGCACGTATTGATTAGGTATTGCTGTGCCAACTTGCGACTTCAGCCTCGGCAGAACTGCATCCTGGCGGGACGGTTATCTCTCCTCCAAAACAAAGCTTAAACCCCGGTCAATCTTTCACACTATCTTAGAAATCAAGATATTGCAAAATACAAAGGAGACAAACCTTAAGGGCGGTGTTAAGATCCTATTAATTCCTCATTGGATTCAGATAAGACTTTCATGAGACTTTTCTGACACCCTCACCACCATAAATTATTACCGACTCGGCTCTTCGGACAAATTCAGTCCAGATATTGCGCCATGTCAGTGACACAGGCGCCCAAAGGCGCGACGAATGCGGGAGTCTCCAATATCCCATACTTCACTCCAGAGCATATGACATCGCCTGGGGTGCCATTCGACCTGTCCAAACCAGTGCCCACGCTGTTCACACCGTTGAAGATTCGGGGCAAGACACTCCGCAATCGTATCATCGTCGCTCCCATGTGTCAGTACAGTACGGCGCCGGATGGGCCGGACATTGGAAAGCTAACCGACTATCACATCGCGACCTTGGGACACTACGCGCTGAAGGGCGCGAGCTTGGTCTTCATTGAAGCTACGGGTGTGCAGGCCAACGGACGTATCTCGCCGAATTGTCCTGGTCTGTGGGACGACAGCCAGATCGAGGCCGTGAAGAGGGTGGCAGACTTTATCCGCTCGCAGGGAGCCTTGTCGGGAATTCAGCTCGCGCACGCGGGGCGCAAGGCGAGCACATTGCCACCGTGGGTTGCAGCAACACTGGGAAAGCGCACTGGAGCACGAGCGTCGAAAGAGGCAGGAGGATGGCCCGATGATGTTGTCGGCCCGATGGGCGGACCTGGGGAGACTTGGGACGGATTGAACGACAATAGTGGTTATTATCCTCCAAGGCAACTATCCATGGTTGAGATTCAAGAGCTTGTAAAGGACTGGGCAGCGAGTGCGCGCCGTGCTGTCGACGCCGGGATCGACGTCATCGAGATCCACGCTGCACATGGATATCTGCACCATCAATTCCTCAGCCCTATCACAAATCGACGGACAGACGAGTACGGCGGCAGTTTCGAGAACCGAACCCGATTCTTGAGAGAAGTCATACAGGCGATCCGCAAAGTGATCCCAGAAACAATGCCACTATTTCTCCGGGTCAGCTCCACTGAGTGGATGGACCACACGGACATCGGCAAGAAATATGGCAGCTGGGACGTAGAAGATACGACCAAGCTAGCGCAGCTACTTCCAGATCTTGGTGTAGATCTTCTCGACGTTAGCAGTGCCGGAAACCACCCGCTTCAGCGAATCAACACATTTGAGTCCAAGGACTATCAGATCAAAATTGCAAATCGGATCCGCTCTGACCTAAAAGGATCTAACCATCAATTGCTGATCGGCGCAGTTGGCCTGATCACCGAGGCCGAGCAGGCTAGGGATATTGTCGATGATAATGGCTCAGATTTGAGTATTGGTGAGGAAGCTGCTGCGGCAAAGGAGATGACGGAGGCGAAACCTGGCAAGCAACCCATGGCGGATGTGATTCTCGTGGCTCGCCAATTTATGCGAGAGCCCGAATGGGTCCTCAAAGTTGCATGGAAGCTTGGTGTCGACGTCGCATGGCCGAATCAGTTCTTGCGAGTGAGGTTCCCAAAATTGTAAGTCGGTCACTATGAAATTGAAATAGGATTGGTCCATGTGTGGCGAGGAGTGTTTGGTAAGTTGAGTTGTTCGCTCAACTAGAATTGCAATGTTTGGTGATCTCCCAGATCGTTAGACTTCTAGAAGTTAGACTGGTAGACAAGCGTCGGCGATTTCCTCGAACTGGTTCTGTCACTGCCATGATTTCGTTCGCCCTCCGAGTAATCATGAGGGCGTAATTATTATATCAACACAGTTCTAACCAGTCCATGTTGGTAATGTGTTGACTGAACCAAGCATCATCAATAAAGTCGGTCCCAAATGGATTGAAGTGACTAGAATCTCCCTGTAATCCTGAGGATTGAACAGTTTCTTGTGCAGAATCCTTTATTTGTGGCTCATTGCTTTGGAATCCAGTAGTTTGCGCGCGCAGGGCTTTCAGGGTCTGGATAGCTCGTGGTGCGGATTGAATCTGCTGTTTATAATGTTCCATGATAGCAAGACAGCGGTGCCAATTTATCTCGAAGGAAGGTCGAATCAGGTCTTCATCCACAATTGGACATGTGAGGCCGGCAAGAAGAACTGATGCTGCGGCAAAAGCGACTGGGAATAATTAGAGCTTTTTGGCCACAAAAGGCTCCTTTGGATTCCATAACTCACAATATACCGAATGCCAGCCTGAGCTTCGATATGTGGTATGGAGATGTTGATGAAGGCACTGAATCAAAGTTTGGGCTGTTTTGATACAGAGATTGCAACAACTTCTCACCAATTCCACATCTAGGGAGGTGGGCCTGAGTGAAACAGGATCAATGGTAAATCCTCGTTTCGTCGCGAGAAGGAGAATGGGTCTGAGGAGTAGAACCCTAGTGTATTGATACCTAAAATTGCACACATCAATAAATGAGTTTGTCTGCGGGTCAGCGTCCAAACCTGCAGAATAGCACCTGCTCTTGAATCTGTACACTGGTGACTTGCTCTTGCGGCACGCGATTCGTGGCAATAGCACCACGAATACATTCTGGAATGGTGCTCACAAATGCTTCCAGACGGCGGTTCAGTATTAGGACGCCCAAAATCATCTCTTGAACACGAGTGTCATCTTGGAGCATTTCGTTGAGACTATTTCGGAGATTTTCCGAATATAATGACGCAAGTATCTCGTCCAAAATGGTAAATAAATTTGACGAGGAGACAAGCAAGCCCAGTCTCGAAGGAATTTCTGGGGGCTGTTGACCTACACCTTCAGTACGCAGATACTCGTCATCGATCAAGGCTGGTAAAGGGACATCCCAGTTGTTGGAAATCATCGTCGGTCGCCCGAAAGTCATGGCTAGGAGCCTAGGGCCGTCAGTCATCTCTCCTCCTCACATAGGACTTAATGCCACTGACTTATCCAAAACAAGACAGGTGTGCCATATCCTCCGGGCCATCTCCTTGTTGAGTTGATTTTCTGGTCGATACTTCGCCACATCGAGGTGTAGGCCCAGGCTTTGGGCCGTCCTTATTGCAAGACCTATCACGTTCCAGCAGCGGCTAGCATAACGAGTGGATTGGAGATAGACTCCACTGACTAGAAGCATCTGCACAAGTGAAACAGAAGTGGAATCAAAGATATCATAGACAAAGATTTTGCGTGATCTTTGGTAGAAATCTTCAGCAAGTGCCACTTTGTTCTGTGCAGGGACAGATGCACTAAATTGACATCCAATCGCGAACACCAGATTCAAGGTTGATGCGAAGATGTTTTCGTTGACATCGGAAACATCACCATCACGGTCTCTGCCTTCCTCAGCGGACCACAGGTGTGAGTATTTTTCCATAAATGATGTTTTGTGGAGAACCGGGAAGAGGGGATGGATATACTCCCAAAAGCACTGCACATAGTCATTTGCAGACCGGCGAGGCGGAAGGAGATAGGAAGCTGGGTCTCTTTCCATAATTGGCAAAGGCTGTGCGGATACTGGTCGATCGGTTTTTAAATGACCGGCATTGCCCTTGGAGGTGCGAGAGTCTGGCTGCTGAATTAATTCGCTCGCTCCATGAGTGAAGCTGCGTACGAAAGCAATCGTTGATGAGCCTCCGTAGACAAGACCGTCATCCACAGGGTTAGAAGTCACGGTAGCTAGAGCATCTGTACCCATCGAGAAGTTATCCTCATGATCAATTTGGGTGGACACCGAATCCTGAGCCGTGCCTATGGTTGTAGAGCGTGGCCGATGGAGTGGAGAGGTGGAATACGGGTCTCCATCACGCGAGGCGTAATTAAGAGGTCCGAATGCATCCCTGACTATAAGGAAATTTCAATCAGCAATGGGCGCGTAGTTTGGGGTCGAATAATACATACTGAGCTCAGTTGCTCGCTCAGTTGCACTGCTTTGCCTCTTGTTATTTTGAAAGCTGGGTTCACTGTCAATTAATCAGCGATCAGACATCCATGCCCTTACGTTCACATGCTTAGGGATGAGGGTACTCGCCTTATGGGATCGTCGGCTACATTGACATAGACGCAAGTGGCCCCAACGCCTCGTGAGGTACACGCTTGACAGATCGGGAGAGTGCCATCGCACCGCGTCTTTCGTCGTCGACAGGTTCGGCAAGCCAGCCTGACCTTTCGACGTTTTGGCCGTGGTGTACCCGACGTTGGCGGGCTGTCACCCTCTGGGGACAATGCCACTGAAGTGCCGTCGAGAACAACGCTATAATTGGCGGAGTGCTCCTTGTTTGGCGCCGTGTTCAGGTTCATCGGAAAGTGTTTTGACTCATCCTGGGCAGCCATCGGTGGCATCCTCAGTTTGAACTTTCATCAGACGGATCATCGACTGTGGAGTCCTATATAGAACCATTACAATCACGGATCAGGCTTACTTCGACTAGGAGAGTTTGATGGATAGCTCTCTTAAGTCGCAAAGAATGGTTGCCCCAAGTTCTTCGGAAGCAGTTCAGACGTGTGAGAGGTTGTTGTTTCACCGTATATATTCTACGGTCGAGTATCAGATCATATCTTCCCCTTTTCTTCCCGTGTGAATCTCACAAGCTTTGTTTTATGCCTGGTGAATCTGGGCTTCTTTTCAAACACTACGTCGGCAGTTTTTTGATGTACAGCGTCCTTCAGTGCGCTGCTGTGGAAGACATACAACCCACTGAGCCATCTCCTTCTCGAGCAAATGATAGAATAATCTACCGCAGACTGCATGAAAGTCCCGAGCACACTGTGTACTCATCATAATCCGGGTGTTGGCCTTCCAACCAAATGGTCTCTTCCTGAATCATCCATGTGCCGTGAGGTGAGAGAACGACGTCAGATTGATATCGCCGGCGTCGGGTCTACCATTTCTACCGTATTCGACGGCTACATATCCTTCTGCAGCCTATTCTCATAGATTCTGATGCTCTTCATACTCACCATTGCGATTTGCTGCTATGGCCTTTGCGGAGTGGACAATCAATAAGTCCCGGACTACTAAATCCTACATGTCGCGCTTGAAGTTGTTCCAATGCCAGATCTTGTCCTGGCCTCCCTTTTCATCGCTGCCTATGTCAAGGAGGTCATGAATCTGCACCGTTACCTCCACTGGGTTAACATTGGTCTTATCACGACATACGGTAGCCTGTTACCATTATTTGCAGCTATATTTCATGGAGTGTGTGTCTTCAGGCAGCTTGGACTCCAGGAAAAGGCAGCTTCAAGGAAAGTCCCTTTCCCTTTCGGTAATAGGACAGGGAGTATCAGGATTGAAGGCGAAGAGGGGAAATTTTCTCCTCGAGCTTGATAGCCTTGAAGCCTTTGAGCCAGCTGATAACATGCGGCAGGTGACCTCGACACCATGGTTCCAATGGTGCAGTGCTGCACCACTGGCACAATCGAGCTGTTCCCAGACAGAAATCCAGGAATCAGCATCTCATGCTTATTATATTCTTACGGCATTGCGAGAGTCAATTTGTCTTCACATGAATGGGTTTTCATTATCCTCATCTCCGGGAACAATGGTGCCTGCTTTCACGGGATGATTAGGCTGAGAGGTAATTTAGGCGCCTCAGATATAATTCAAGAGCGGAATTGGGTCACTGGCGTTATAGAACATGAAACTAGAAGTATCTATCGTATGTACAAATATCTACACGTTTAGAAGGTTTCAGAAAGGGCGCAGGAACATCTGGCTCGGCCATCCAACGCTGCATGCTCATAAACTACTCCTCGCCGACAACCTTTGCCTCAAATCCGTCCTTGCTTCGGTTATCAACTTCGCCATATCAATGTCGGCAATGATACCATTCCTCCGATTGATCTCTGCCTCGATCTTCTTAAAGTCATCACCTACTCCGTCTGCTCGCCACTCGTAGCTGTCACCGATGAATCTACTGCTTTGGACGAGCCATTGGCCTCTCTCTCTTCTGGACTGGTCGAAGGCTGCCAAAACGGCCTCGAGATCTTGGTGGGATTTGACATTGTCATCTGCAAATAACTCAGCCAGCACGGCACTGTCTTCGATACAGAATCCTGCGCCAGCGCCGTGGTGTGGTGAGGTTGCGTGTGCAGCGTCCCCAGAGATAGCTAGTCGACCTTTGCAGAAGGTGGGGACGGGATGCTTTCCCAGATCAAATATTGCCCACTGTGAGTCCTTGCGTCAGTAGGTTTCTTCAGAAAAAGTAGGACTATTTCAACGGCTTACCACATCGAGATCCTCATCCGTCAGCTTTAAAAGATTGATCACATTGGCACCGTAACCAGCAAAATCGCGAAGAGCATCCTCTCGCTTAGCCCGCCGTGTCAATCTCTGATAGTCAGGCCAGTCCTCACTTTGGGTGCGGAACGCCACAACGTTCAAGACGTTACCGTGACTGACGGCGAAAGTCAACATATGACCATCCGGGCCCATCTATGAGAGAAGTAGTCAGTATTTTCCAACCAAACATTGGGGAAACCTCGATAAAGACTTACATGCATGCAGGCGTTTTTGGCTCGTTCTTCTCCGACCACTTCCACAGCCTTGTTCATTGGTATCAGCCCTCGGTAGGCATATTTGTGAGTGTAAGTAGGATAGGCAGATGGATGATCCACGCCAACGATGAGCTGGCGAACCCTTGACTTGATCCCATCACAACCGACGACGACATCCGCCTCTGCCGTCGTCCCGTCCAAGAACTTCAAGAGAAGCCGGCCGTCACTTTTCGTCGTGATATCATCGAGTCTTTTGCCGAACTTGGCAATCCCATCTGGGATCAGCTTGACCATCTCATCCAGAAACCTGGCCCTGTGCACACCATTCTGGCCGAGACTATTGGAGATAGTGAACGCGGCTTCTTGATGTCCATCAGCATTCTTGTCGTGTCCGTTAAGGTAGTCGAACCACACTTTCTGCTTGGAGGGCCAGACGTTGCGAGTGCAGACTGTTTCAAATGCTTCATAGATGCCGTTGTGGCAACTTTTCATCGCTTGCACTGCGTTGGGACTGAACGATACGCCGGCTCCGACCTCTCCGAACTGTGGTGCTTGCTCATAAAGCGTGACTGGTACTTTCCGATAATGAAGAGCGATTGCTAGCGTAACACCAGCTATTCCACCACCGACGATGGCCACTTCGAACGATTTTGCTCGAGCCATGTTGGGGCTGTCTTTGCTTCGAACAAAAGCTTGGAGTCTTCTATGGTGGTAGGGTACGCGATTACACCCTATAGTGTTTGTATTAGGTGGTTCAGCTAAAGGCACTATCAGTCTTTGGGGAGGACGCTACGTAGCCTTTGTGAGATACTTAAATGGTAAAACGATGGTCTCGTTGATCTTATGTCCAAGTATGTAGATAATTGTCGGGATTGACTTCGGGATCGAAACCGAGAAATGATGTAATGACACAACCTTGTGGACATCGTTCGCCATGATCCCCCATGTATCGGGTGAATTGCCTTAGTCATACCGGAACTTAACCAAGTTTGAACCCTCCGTCCAGAGCCTCGCCCTTATTTTGATCCCGACCCCAATATGATCCCGACGCAGATCGATCCTCTCGCCTTACTATTGGGCCACTGTTCTGGGGTTCGGATCGGAGAGTGTGTGGGCTTATCCCCAGACAGTAACGGAATGGTTGTACGATCTCAGGAGCAAAGCCTCGTGTAATAATGTGCATGAATAAGTACTACCATTTTATGCTGCGTGCAGATGCCGTATCGCCTAGCCGTACGATGTCGTACACTGGTCATTGATCATGGGAAGAACCTCGCCCTCTTCACGTTTCCCTCCTCTCCCTCTTTCCCAACGACATCTCCACCATATGTGAAATATCCATCCAAGACGCCCTCAACCGGCTGAGTGTGCTTCTTGATCTCATCAGGAGTTCCAAAAATCCAGACGGTCTGCTGGCCCATGATCATGTGTTGCAAGATGTGACAGTGCATCATCCAAACACCGGTATTTTCGTCAGTGACTCGCAGACGCCACACTCTCCAGCCGTCGACTTCGCCCGGGTCCGGGGATTGTTGTCGATATTTGTACAACAGCGTAGTATCGCGACGTGAACCAGACCAAGGGCGTCCGTCGACGGAATGAGATTCCAGCAGCGCCTTGTGGGCTTCAGCCGAGTAGACACCGGGTCCCGAGCCTAGGTCCCAGAAGTGGCCACCGTGGGCATGAAGAGGGTGTGGTCCGTATATGCCTGCGGGGAAAGATGCTCCATTCTGCCAGATGATTTCGATCACTTCTCCAATTCGGGCAGGGTATGTGTGGGAGACGGAATCGAAGCCTTCTTGTTCAGGATTGCTCAATGCACGCTCGTAGTTGGGAACGGCGCTATTGACGGTCCCATTGGAGAGGATCTCGACAAGATATGGCGTTTGAGTGCTAGGCCCAAGAGGGTGTTGCTCGTGCCATGACTCAAAGTTTTGCTTAAGTTCAGTGTATCCAGAGGAATCGTTCAAAAACTGCAAGGTCGAGATGGTAACTCGTCTGTTCACCTCCTCAGCAGTCGGAGCTTTTGGGTAGCCTGGTAGATCTGGATTTTGGAAAGTGTATTCGATGAAGTTCTGCACATCGTACGGAAGATCCAGAATTGGAGCTTGGGGGACGAAATCCGGGTTAGAAGCTCTGCCCCTTAGATTCTGACGCTTCTGTACACCTCCTTCTGTGACATAGTTCAATATTGCCCAAGCGCGAACTGTAGCGGCGCCTTCTCGTGTTTCAGCTTGAATCCAGAATTTTGTTTTCCCACCAAGGGCGGCCAACTCTTCCTGGGTCTTTGTCTTCAGCAAGAAGCTAAATCTTTGGCCAGTATCAGCTTGAATGAATGGTGTCTCGACTGGGATAACGTATGAGTTGTCAGTCTCGATCACCGTGAGGTCTTCGTGATCTTCAAACCCCACCACCGCCATCGATAGTGCCGTTCCACCTATAAGTCGCCATCTGTATGTCTTGCCAGGCTCGACGTCTACCTGCCAAGGCTGGCATGATTCATCCGATGGGTTGGGATTCCCTGGCCCAGGTGCTGTCCCGCTCTGGCCGTTGAGCAACAAGGCAGCCGGGTCCCCGGTCCATCTCCATTGTTTGCTATTCAACATTTCCTCCACTTCATAATCCTCATACGCGTAGTAGTCGCCCAATTTAAGGATAATCTCATCATCGTAGCGGTATGGTGGTGCACCCGCGTCCTTAACTATCAATGCGCCAGAGGCGGTAATGGCTTGGAAGCCTATATGGGAATGATAGAATGAAGTACCAGCTTCATGAGCCTTAGGATGTATTTCATAGTCGAAGAAATGTCCTGGTGGAATTGGCCACTGTGAGCCTAGTGGGGACCCATCGGCATACGGAGCCGTCGACAAGGATAAGCCATGCCAATGCTAAGATATATCGTGAGCGGTTTTGTCGCAAATAGCTGGGCCAGGACCTACCATTGTTGCATTGACATCTGCATCATTGTACACCCGAACCCAGGTGGTAACATCGGGCTCCAGGTATATGGGAGGGCCGGGGTAAGTGCCATTGACTAGAGTCGAAAGACGAGGCTGGCAATCTTGCTGTATGGTGTCAATACTTATCCGAAGGACGTAGTCCGGATCAAACGCATCGACCGAAAGACCGAGTTGTAAGAATATAAAGACACTTAACAACGTGCAAGATCCAGAAAGCAGAGCCATGATTGCCAATGAGTGTCTGAGAGAATGTGGCTTTCGACAATCCCGTAGGAATGTCAAGTCCATTTATACTGTTAAACTCACTAGAGATAATGCGAATATGAGGTTCGCCAAAGAACTTGGTCTTCCCATATCGGGAGGCAGTGTCAATTGCCAATATCATTCGTGTCTTAGACCGACAGTGAGCCAAAGCCTTGGTAAAGGATCTTCGTGGAGGCCTCATCAGCAGTACGACCCGGGCATCAAAAGGGGCTTTGATTGCGCCCACCGGAACAGGCTGAATGGTGCATATTCTGACTGACAGCATGGCAATGATGATGAATTCGGATCGAGATTGCGTCTCGCAAAGGCTGCGGAAGTCCGAGACCACAAGCCAACAAAATTTCACCAACGACATCGATGATGCACAAAGGCGTGTCGTACAGCATGACTACAGAGCCATAGGGGTCCTAATTACAAACAATCCTCTGGAGTGGATGCGGAAGTACTGTTCGGGGGATGGATGAGGCTGTGTTAAGTCCGGTGGCATGTTGTTTGCCCACTCCCGAAGAATGGATCCCAGGCCCTCGGTACTTGGGTGCCATACCTCCTTGACCATGGCACCGCTTATATAGATACAAACTTGGCCTGATACTAGTGAGCTAGGGTTAGGTACCTCATTCTTTGCACTTATGTAGTTGCACTTGGATCCATGATTCTGGTGTTATCCTGGAAGCTAGTACACGATATGGGAACCGACCAGACGAGAGGCTCGACCTCCGAAGCAACATCCCGTACGTCGTAGGATCGAGAATAGTAACTATTCGCCTATGGTTTTCTTTACAAGGATAAACAAACAAATAAAAGCGACCCACTGTGGTAAGTGAATGTCAGTGGTTGGGCCATGTTTGGTAGTAACACGAGCCCAACGAATTGGTATCTTTTTTTATGAATAAAGCGAACCGCACCTGCTATCAAATCCATTGGCCATTGCTCGCTCGATTCAGCATCGCACTGCTGGCTGCGGAGCGCAAGAGTCTATCTAGTTTTCATGGTAAAATACACCGCAACAGTTTTCGATCTTCGCCCATCAACTTTTTATTGACTTCCACCCCCACTGAGAATACCGGCCGAGGTGTCCACCCGATTGAGTACCATTCTGCTGTAAAAGAATGATTCCATATCATAGCTCGGTCCCTCCCAGTAAGCACATTCATCTCCGAAAATAACGCATTCTCATCTCTCACTCATTGAAATAGGTCCCCTCATTCCATGCAGTACCTCAAGATATCAATCGATCGTTTGTTGCAAAAAAAAACCCATCCAACGCCGTCGCTAATGATTTAACATGTTTTTTGGATTAAGACATTGAAGGCCAGGGAATAAGCTGGAGCGACTCCCCCAGTATAAGGGGATCACACTCTGCTGTGACAATTTGGTGCAGGGCCTGTGAAAAGTGCATTGCAATATAGGATTACTCCCGATCAAGCTGAAATCGGAGACAGAAGATCAATTTAATGGATCCGCCTGCCGATTCGAGTCCAAGACCGAAGTGTGGTGACCAGCATGATCACCTTGTGGTGGTACAAGATAATAGTTTTAGTCCTCCTTAGGTGAGGTCGGCGAATACTGAGGACTGTTCGGGGAATATTGTGGGCTGGTGATGGAGGTGGCTCTGTTCTGAGGGCTGCGTGGTGATGCGTTGTACATCGGACTCGTAGGCGAGTATGATGGACTGGTTGGCGAGGTCGGCGAGGTCGGGCTGTACGTTGGCGAAGTTGGAGAATAGCTAGGCGAGGTCGAAGACCCCTTGCCACCACTACCACCGTACATCGGGCTGGTCGGGCTGTACATCGGAGAAGTCGGGCTGTACACTGGCGATGTAGGTGAAGTTGGGGACGTAGGGCTGAATGCAGGCGACGTCGGCGAGTAGCTCGGCGAAGTCGGCGATCCACCGTAGGCAGGTGAGGTGGGGGAGTAGCTCGGTGAAGTTGGTGAATAGCTGGGGGATGTTGGCGAATTCTGTGCTGGGGAAGTCGGAGAGTAAGCTGGAGAAGTTGGAGTGAACGCTGGACTTGCCGGGCTGAACGACGGAGAGGTCGGGCCAAAGCCAGGGCTTGTAGCACCAAACATAGGCGAGGTAGGAGAATAACCAGCCGTTGGGGAGAAGCCTGGAGAGCTTGGGCTGGTGCCACCAAATGGACTGGCAGGCGAGTAACCTCCTGGGCTGCGAGCCATGTACGGACTCAACCCGCCAGCACCACCGAATCCTGGATGATAGTCCGTGAGACCTCCGGCTTCATCGGTGCCCGATGCGGCGATTGGAGAGAAAGAAGCACCATAATCAGGTGAACCCAGATAATTGTTGTCCTGCATAGGGGATCCTGAATCATATGGAGTCGCTGCACCTTCGAGAAGTTGTTGCGACCCCTTAACACCAATAGCACCTCCGAGCCCGAGGTTGGCATTGTCAGTGACTACTGTCGACAGTAGATTCTGGTCAAGCAGAATTTCCATGGTTCCTGTGCCAACCGGAGCTACTTGACCTAGAATCAAGTTCTCCGACACACCTCGACAATCATCCAGTTCACCAGCGGCGGCAGCTTCTAACAAGATCTCCACCGTCTGTTCGAACGAACAGCGCATGAGAGCTCCAGTATCTGATTTGTTGATGCCATGACGAGTCACAGCCATAACATAGCCGCGTGCAGTCATCACATCGCAGAGAATGCCCAAATGACGCGCATTGACATAAGAACCATCGAATGACAACACTTGTGTCAACTCACGCATGATAGCCGCTCTAGTTGCTTCGATGCCGAGAACTTCAAACACCTCGGTAAACCGGTTAGTATAGGTGCGACTAGTGTCGACACCCTCTATGGTCAGAACCTTTGCGAATGAACTACCACTAGTCTCCAGAACATATTCATTGCAGCGAGGATCACTCTTTGCCATAAACACAGAATTGTCTTCTGCAATGATGGCACGAGACTTTTGATCGATGAAGGCTCTCGAGACTCCCGGCACACCGTGAAATGTGAGGTGGTCCAACATTTCGTTCAAGAACCGGCGGAGGACCTCATCATCTTCTTTTCGCTCATCATCCTCGTCTTTACCGTAGTTTTGAACAAGTCGAACTCGAATGATCTGTTCATCAGCGTTGATGTCGCTGAAGATGACAGAAAGATCTTTGCCATAAGTAGACTTGATCTTTGCAGCGACATCTTGAATGTTCAGGCCTTTATCTAGGAGCTTCGCGCGACTGAGAGTGATACGAAGAAGCCACTTTGAGTGAGCAGCCAGATCTTGATCAGTGTCCTCGGGGATGATAAAGTAAGACTCAACCATGTCTAGATCTTCAGGTATGATGGTACTCTGGATATCAGGATCGTACCAGAGCTCACATGTCTCTGCAACGGAGCGGAGATTCGTATGCTGAACACGGCTTCGAAGTAGCTTGGCTGCCTCCTTATCACCAACGTTCTCTGGAAGTTGGTAGACCGTCATTGAAGGGGTTCTGATGGTCTGTGAGACATTCAAAATTTCCTTAAGACGGGGCACACCCAGTGTAACGTTCTTCGCCGACACACCAGTGAAATGGAAAGTGTTCAAGGTCATCTGAGTGGCAGGTTCGCCGATAGACTGTGCAGCAAGCACGCCTACCATCTCGCCAGGATTGGCAGCAGCAGCGATGAATCGGCTTTCCACGCCTCCAATAATGTTGTCAAACGCCAGTCTGTTCAATCCATGCTCTAGGACTAGGCGTTTAAATGCTAGCCGCGATCGAAGCTGAGCCTTCAAAAGAAGGGTCGCGTTGGACTGAGCTTCTTGAGAGAGCGGGTCATCACCTCGGACAACAACTAGTCGATCGAGTAGCTGCTTCACAGCATTTAGTGCGTAGCGAGGGTCAAGATCTGTCTTGTCACCACGACGGATCTTGAAATTCTTTTGTGCCTGATCGATAATTCGTGCAATGTTCATGGGGAGCTGCATTGAATCTTCAGTGCCTTTGCCCATCTTTCGCAGAAAGTCTCGAGAGTCTCGGAGAGCTTCCAATTCCTCATCGAACATCTCTTGCAACTCCGTGTCACCCTGAATTTCTCTAGCCTGCAACAACTTGCCTCTCCAGAGAGAAACGTCGCCACTCATGACATCGACAGCATAACGGTTATTGAATGCCTTATCTGACATCGTGATAATATCAACCTTCTGGTTTTCGATATGAGCACCATCCAGGCCATCTTCGCCGTAGATGAATTGTACAATGTTACCACGACTGTCTCGAATTGTCCCGTCATATTTGACAGTGACTTCTTCAAGGGCTTTAACAAGACGTCGTTGAATATAGCCAGTTTCGGCAGTTTTGACAGCGGTATCAATCAACCCTTCACGACCGGCCATTGCGTGGAAGAAGAACTCCGTGGGAGTCAAACCCCTCAAGTATGAGTTCTCAACAAAGCCTCTTGAAGGGGCGGAGTAGTCGTCTTTCGCAAAATGGGGCAATGTGCGATACTTGAAGCCGAAAGGAATACGTTTTCCCTCAACAGCCTGTTGACCAACGATGGCTGTCATTTGAGCAATGTTGATGGTTGAACCCTTTGAGCCGGCACGGGCCATGGTGATGGCATTATTAAGATCTTTCAAGCTGTCTTCAGTTGCGGCACCGGCCTGGTCACGAGCCTGATTGAGTGCGTTCATGACTTTACTTTCGAATGTTTGACGCACGTTCATACCCGGCGCAGGCTCAAGATCTTCGTTGTACGCGCGTTGGGCAATCTCGTCCACTTCCTTCTTTCGCGAATCGACGGCGTATTGAATCTTCTCGACGGTGCCTTCGTCTGGTACAGTATCACCAATACCAATACTGAAGCTGTTGTGTAGTAGCCAGTAGTTCACAACCGTTTGCGCACCGTTGAAAAAGGCCATTGCCGCATCATGCCCAAATTCGTTGAAAATTGTATGAATGATACCTCCAGCGCTAGTTCCCACGAATTTTTTGCTGAACAGACCAAACATCAGGTTGCCCTCAAGGACCATAAGCCCAGTGTCATTGGTTGGGACATAAGGGTCTTCACCCTTTGCATCCAATCGTTCCAGGTTCAGTTGCTTGTTCAGTACCATACTAATCATCTGCTTACCCGTCCAGCGAGGTCTGGGCTTGATGATAGCAGGTTGAGGGATCACTCCATCCCAATCGGGAACCCAAAGCATGATGTTCATGACTTGCTCTCGGCTGAGGAAAACGTCACGACGGCAGATCTTGTAGATGCCACAAAGAGTATCTTGCACGATACCCATGAGGGGCCCATTGCGTTGGGGCGATACAATGTTGAGTGGAACCATGCAAAGATTAGCCAATTCAGCTCGAGACTCTTCGCTCTGGGGAACATGCAAATTCATCTCATCACCATCAAAATCCGCGTTATAGGGCGTTGTGACGGAAAGATTGAGTCTGAATGTGGAATAAGGCATAACACGAACACGATGGCCCATCATTGATTCCTTGTGCAGAGAGGGTTGACGATTGAAGAGAATAACATCGCCGTCTTGGATATGTCTTTCGACCTTCCAGCCGTACTGCAAGGTCATCTCTCCAGCTCGTTTATGATGACGAAGATCAATGCGCTCTCCAGAATCTCGAATTACATATCGAGCACCAGGGTGTTCAGTTGGACCATTTGCGACAAGACGCTTGAGTTTATCGAGGTTGAAAGGCGTGACCGTTTCCGGGTAGGTCAGGGTGCGTGCAATGCTTCGTGGAACACCAACTTCATCAAGGGACAAGTTGGGATCACCGGTGATGACTGTACGTGCGGAGAAATCAACACGCTTTCCCATGAGATTTTGACGCAGTCTTCCCTCTTTACCCTTTAGACGGGCACGGATTGATTTGATGGGTCGTCCACTCTTATGCTGGGCCTTGTCCAACCCAGCAATTTCATTGTCCATGTAAGTGGCAATATGGTATTGAAGAAGGTCTTGTAGATCAACCTTGATATGATCAGGAGTTCCATCGACTTCGGTTCGAAGCACAGCTTGGTTAGCACGGATGATATCGCCGAGCTTGAATGTCAGATCGTCTTCGCCACGTTGGCCTTGGCCACTGCCGTCCACACTGATGCTGGGGCGGACTGGAGGCGGAGGAACGGGTAGTGCAGATAAGATCATCCATTCTGGTCGCGCGTAGTCCAGGTTAAGGCCCATCAACTCGAGTGTCTCGTCGGTCAGGGTACGGAATGTACGCAGAACCTCCGTTGGGAAGATTCGTTTCTTGTCAGGGGTTGTGTCTTCCTCATCTTCACCTTTTCGAGCTTTCCAGGTTGCCCACAGTTGGAGACCAGTTCTTCGAATCTCAGGCTGAGCGTTTCCGCAACCACCATGCTTGGGAGGAGCGGGTCCTTTCAAGGGTTGTTGTTCCGCATCATCAGGAGGATCAGCTTCACAAATCAATCGAGGCTTGCTCAATCGCCAGACTGCATCAAATCTTCGCTTTCGGTCGCGGATCTTAAACGCGTGTTTGAGCTCTTCAGACTGTCGGTAGTTTTGTCAGTGATTTGGGAAAGCAAGTCAAGGTTACAGAAAAGTAACTAACATCAACAGCTTTGATTTTGCCACAGTTATGGCAGACAGTCTCCAAGATCTTCTTGACCTTACCCATGAAGCCATAGTGATAGACAGGAGTAGCAAGCTTGATGACCCCAAAGTGGCCAGGGCACTCAGCCATGTTCTCTTCACAAGTACTGCATTTGAAATTGCGATCGATTGTTCCAAGATGAGGATCGTTCGGACCTTTCTCTCGAGGTCTGAGGCGTTGCTCATCCCTGAAACAAATGGTTAGAAAGACGCGTCAATGGATTGCTCTTATTTTCTACATACATCGTCTCAGGATATTCGATGTCGATGACTGCGAGGCGTTCAGACTCCTTAGCGGAAAAGAGACCGAACTGGATCTCCTCAACAGTACGCACAGGGGCGCTCGAGTAAGCGAAATTGAGATTCGCCATAATGGCGATTGTATCCTTGGGAGACGATGATAACTTTTCTCAATGGTCTGAGATGATGACAGTGCCTGCGCCGATGAATGCGCGTTGTGGTCAGGTATGACCCACCCGCCCTACGGGGCCACCCAAAACAATGCTTCTCTTTTTGCCAGCTGCGCTCTTGATCACTATCACTTCGCTTGATCCTAAAGTTTCAGGGCACGACCGTCTCGACGATTGGAACGTAGGGGTCCGGGCGCGCGATCGATTCGAGATGGTATGGGTAGGGTGGTGATGAGGTGAAAGGATGAAAGTTTGTGGTTAAGAAGGCGAGGTTGCCTGACTTGTAAAAGAATTAGCGCCAAGCCTCTTGAATGCCGGATTCGACACTAGCGCATAATCAAAGGAGTCAGTCATCAAGTCAGTTGACTTCAGCCTCAATCGCACAACTACTGTCTCACAATCTTTCTACCAGGCATAGGGTACAACATCGATGCTGCGCCATCAATCAGAACAAAATAATACGTCATGATTCGATCAAAACTGATGTCGAGAAATTGAGTTGTGCAAGCAAATTTTAAGCAGGCAGTGTTCATGTCTGTGGCCGCATGGGTACCTGCGTCTTTTCGGACGGTGTAGCACCAAGCAAGGAAAATTGCCATATATCATCGAGCATGACGATGGCTTCACGCGTTTGACTAGACGTAGCGGCTTCAGTGCTGGTACTTGAACACAACACGAACAAATGTGGGAAATGGGAAATGAGAAATGGGAAAGCATGAGTCCCTAGGCATACTTTCTCCCTGGCCTATTACGGGTGCACTCCTGTTGATGAAGATTTACCGTCACTGCTTCCTGCAGCCATAGTGAAATAGTGAAATGATGAAGTTCTAATCACTGAATGCCCTGACCTTTTCTCTTTTGGAACTGCCGAACCGTCCAAAGTCAACGGCACTGTCGCGCCCCCAACAACCGATCTCGGTTCGGATAGCAATTCCTACAATCACGTGAATTCGGATAAAAGTTATGACGACCCCGACTCCAGAGGGATATAGAAACTTTGGCGGCAGAAGACCGTCCAACAGAAGAGGGATCAGTCTGGAAAGCGTACTACTCTCCACAACAGTCTAGTGCAACCATCTCCATCATGAATTTGGCACTGATAGATCCGTTTCAACTAGCACAAGACTCTCCGGATGCTCTAACCAATGATCTAAGTACGTACACCAAGAAGCAAGGCGCTTTGGCTTTTGATCCTTTCTCTCCTTTGAACCCAACCTGACATAATCAGGATCCGGCCATGCCACCTTTCTCAGATTTAGTCGCAAAGGTGACTATCTGGCCTCGGGCAGAGTTGATGGCAAGGTTGTCATCTGGTATGTCAAACGCGTCAAATGAAGCACTCTGCTTGTCAACACGTTTTCTCGAAACTTTTGGCTGAGTAATGTCTGACCTCAATCTACAGGGATATGGAGACCTACGGGGTCGCCATGAAGCTGGTTGGCCACTGGAAGCAGGTTCAAGGACTAAGGTACGCACACCGACTACTCATTCGAAGAATTGAATCGGATCAGATTCTAAGGCAACACCAACAGCTGGTCGCGAGAGGGCAGATACGTTCTGTCGTCGTCTCAAGACTGTCGAGCGTTCCTTTGGGACCTTCAGACTCAAGAGCGCGTTCGCATTGTCAAATTCGAAGCTCCGATCTACATGGCTGAATTGCATCCTTACAACCGCAATCTCTTCGTTGCATGCTTGTTCGAAAACCACCCTCATCTTGTAGACATCACCAATCCTATCCCTATAAAACACATTCTTCCCACCACACCCCTCAGCGACGACGGCACACGATCCGACAATAAGCAGTCAACCACCGCGGCAGTTTTCTCCATCCTTGGAAATCACATCATCACCGGAACCTCCAAGGGATACATCAACATCATCGAAACCGAAACCCGCAAGATTATCCATTCCACCAAAATTGCCTCTGGACTAATCTCGCTTCTTCGACTTTCAGCGAATGGTCGGCAACTTCTTGTCAACTGCACTGATCGTATCATCCGCACCATCAATCTCCCCGATCTCTCGCTCATTGCACCCTCTGACACACCACCAAATGAGCCCACCGGCGAAGATGATCAACCGGACCAAGCCACACTCGCCGAGAACATTGTCATTACTGTTGAGCACAAATTTCAAGATCTGGTCAATCGCCTGCGCTGGAACCACACAGCTTTCAGTCACTCTTCAGTTACGGGTGTTGCTGACTACGTTACTGCATCCACGTACATGAAGAAGGACATCTACATCTGGGAACTACGCACCAACTCGCTCCTCCGCATTCTGGAGAATCGCGAGGAGCCTGCCATCATCGAGTGGCACCCATCCCGTCCGCTTCTCGCTTGCACCAGCATCGAGACTGGCAGTATTCAGATCTGGGGCATCGAACCTCAGCAGAAGTGGTCTGCCTTGGCCCCTGACTTCACTGAATTGACTGAAAATGTGGAATATATCGAGCGCGAGGATGAGTTTGACACATATCCACAAGAAGAGCACCAGAAGCGACGGTTGGATCGTGAAGACGAATTTGTCGATATCTTGACCGTTGAGAAGAAGATGGGCGAAGAAGAAAGCTTCGTTCTCCCGATTCTGTACAACGTTGAGGATAGCGACGATGATGATCAGGAATTGGTGCGCATGGGTGTGGGAACGATGCGGAAGAAGGACATTAACGAAGGCAAGGAGTACGAGAACGACGCTGACGAGCTCCCGAAAAACATTCGAAAGCGCAAGGCGTGAATGGCGTTTTCCTTCTCATGTCTTGTATCGGACGAGCTTTTCTGACATGTGACGTTTATGGTAGAAGGGTTGTGAAAAAGCATGGCGTTTCTCAGGACCAGGCATAAGTTCATGATAGGCGGGTATGCATGGCGCTATGGTGGGATACCGACCAGATACTAGGTCGACAGGATTTGATGTGACAGTCCGACTTGCTTTAGGCTATCGAAGAGGTTAGCATGGGCGGGCACGAATTGCTAGTTATGAGTTGATCATCCAGGTCGTGATCGAGGCCTCGAAACCAGATTTCGCAGCACAACTCAAGATTTTAATCGAGATAATGCCACTTAAATCGGACATCACAATAGTGTTCACTAGAAGATCGCTGCTTCTTCCTCTGAGTTTATTAAATCTAGCTCTTTTCCTGCTCAAGAACAATTCTCGTCGCACGATTTCTAACTATCAATGATTACAGGATCGCCGTTCGTCGTCTCTGTCTGCCTGGGCGGCCTGATATGAGGATGAGTCAACTTGGAGTTCTGGGGTTATGATATCTTCTCTTCTGAAAAAGCTAGGAAAGTTTACCAGCCGTCGCCCTCAGTGACATCGCCCTGCAACAGTGTCTATATGCCGCCATGGATGACAAGTGTTATTACTGTCCTCTGACAAAGCAACAGCCTCCCTCAGGAAGGTCGGTTGGGTGAATGCCTTGGCGCAACGGACTCCCTCAGAACCTGTTCCCAACCAGCCCATTCCTGAAGGTCCACTCTCCTCTGTCTTGCCCGAACTGCTCATCTATCCTTATGACGCTGAGCCACCGCAATCTAGAGTCGCATCGAGCTACTCGGGCCCAAGAAGCGCACCACGCCCGCGTAAGCACTGAGTTATCCCAACACAAGATCCAGCCACCTAGACCCTGTTGCAGTCCAATGGGGATCTTCTTGGCACTAGCCGCAGAAGGGTATGCCGTCAGTACATTGACAAAGCGCGAGGGAGCCACAGTCTTCGTCGAGTCTCCACAGACCGGAGGTGGAGCAGTAGAGCTGTAGATTAGCCGTGGTCAGCTTGAGGGGCGCAAAGGCAAAGTGAGCGAGAGCATACAGTGGAGTTGTGGTTGCTGCTACAGGCCGCAGCGCTTTCTCCGTACATATTGAACACGCACGATTCTCCCGGATTGGCGATGACACAACTGGCCGTTGCATACGCGGTGGCTGAGGCAACCGGAGAGTCGATTACGGAGGCAGCGGCGGGGATCGCTGAGGCTAAGGGTGCGACAGCAATGGCAATGAGGGTGCTGGCTAGGGGTAGAATTGCATGCATAACGGCTGGTGATATGGGGTAATGAAGGTACACTCGGGCAAAGAGGCGACGTCTGATAAAAACGATCGGGGATTGGTGCTGACAATGTGAGATTTGTGTATGTAGACGTATATATTTGATGACCGAAGAATAGAAAGAAGGCTGGCAGGTGACCGGAAGTGATGAAGTGAGTTCTGGCTGTGCGAAGCATTGACGGAGGGAGATATATATAGGTCATCATTGTACTTACTGAACAGTGAGTACTTACCTTTGCTTCCGAGTTTAGGCACGCGGATCTCGAGTCCAAGGCTGAGTTGGGCCGCCACAAGGCTGGGCCGGCCAGCGTCTAAGGTTTTGTGTTTGGGGCTTGTTTCGACCCAGCGGCTATTGTGAACGCCTTTCCGGTAACACACGGTATTCTCAGCCAGTCGCTATTTGACGGGAGCTAAATGGAATCAAGGTATGCTGAATCCGCAACGAAATCGTGGTCATTGTTTCAGCTGCGTGGCGAGACATATTTGTAAGCGGCCAGGTCGACAATAGCGATGGCTTCACACAAGCAAACTCTGCTTTTCTTCATAGACATCTGAAAAATGATTTCACCTAATATCAGACTCTCGACTCCCAACTCGAGATTCACCAAGGAGCGGACAAGAGATGTCGCATTCGACGGGCATGACGCTCTTACAAGCACTAACTTGCATGCTCGTGAGTTCTCAGGTAGCGTCGGCTGAAAGGTCTAGTTCAGGCCTAGGGTAAAGCGCGCTTCGCTCAATTGTTGGGTCGCACTGGACTCGGCAAAAATAGTTTGGTCCACCACAGGTACGGCGTCCTTGATGATCTGATAGATAAAATATATGGACAAACGACAGGGGGAAGCGCTTCGCGGAATTCTCCAAATCTTCCGTTATCTGCTCGGCGCGTAGCTTTCGAACGTTATAGAACAGCCAGATACATACATACCACTTGACCGTTTGGGACCGGCGGTGACGCTTTTTGGGGGCCAGAGGCTCATTAGCAGGACATGTTTGACGTATGTAGATGATACTTCATACAGAGAGCGAGGTAGTCCGTCCTCGTACTCGTACTCCATCGTGCTTACTTTTCCAAGCCCTGGCCCTTGGTTGCCATTTGGCCGATGCCACCGGGATATTCCCGACGGTTCATCTTGGCAAGTTTGTAACAATTGCACATCTTCGGAGAGTGTCGGCCAAAATTACTCCCAAAATCTCCAACTCTCTCCCTGTTGAATGGACATCCCTACTTTTTTTCATTTCTCCCATTTCCTATTCTACTGGCCTCAATGAACAATATCACGACCTAAGTCCTAACTGGATTTGACATAATGACCTCCATTGATGATCTATTTCGAAAACCAAACGCTGCCCCCAAGCGCAAACTCGAAGATCCTACCGCGTCCTTCACTGACTCTCTCTCCAACAAATCCTCCAAATTGACCAATGGGTCCTCCCCACGCTCCTCTACGAATGGAAACGGCATTCACGATGAATACTCCACCAACGGATCTACAGGAAAGGCTGCCTTTGTCCAGGATGAAAGGCTAGATGATCAGGATGGTCTCGAGGCCGGTCCCTCTCCTCCCCCTCTAGATCCGGAAGACGAAGTTGGTGACGATAAAGAGGGCCGATTCTTTGGTGGTGGAGTGACACAAGAAGAACGCGAAGTAATGGACTACATTGAGAGAAATGAAGATGGTGAAGTGGAAGAAAAGTTTGATTCCACCTGGCTGCGTCGGACTGCGATCAACTTTGAGCGAAAGATCAACAAGAACGCTGAACTACGCGCAAAGTACGAGGATCATCCTTTGAAATTCGTCGCGAGCGAGGCGGATCTCGATACTGAGATCAAGGGATTGAGTTTGCTCAGCGAACACGGTGAACTCTATGAAGACTTCGTCAAGATGGGGTGTGCCAACAGTCTAGTCGGCTTGTTGGCGCATGAAAACACGGACATTGCCATTGGTGTTTCGGAATTACTTGCCGAACTCACCGACGAGGACTCGGCCACGACTGAAGACCAGTGGCAGACGTTGGTCAAGGCCATGATTCAAAGTGACGTGGTCGATCTGCTGACCAGCAATCTGGCCCGTCTGGATGAGGTCAATGAGACTGACAGGTCTGGCGTCTACCACATACTCAACGTGCTTGAGAACATTCTCTCGGAAACGAAGAATATGGACATCGTCGGTTCCAACGACAAGTTGATCGATTGGCTACTGGCGAGGATCAAAAGGGTCGATGTCAATGCACGGGGAAAGGTGGGCCAAAACCGGCAATATGCTGCGGAAATCCTCGCCATCTTGTTCCAGTCGAGTCGGCCCAACCGTGATCGCTTTGCCTCTAAAGAAGGCGTGGATGCTCTACTTGAGCTACTGAGCGTTTATCGCAAGAGGGACCCTGAAAAGGAGTCCGATGAAGAAGAGTTCGCTGAGAACCTTTTTGACTGCTTAGCCAGCGTGGTGGAAGAACGGCTAGGTGGTCAAAAGTTCCTCGAAGGCGAAGGCATCGAGCTTTGTCTGATCATGATCAGAGAAGGTAGACTTGCGAAGATGAGGGCACTGCGAGTCCTTGATCACTCCATGAGTGGTGGTAACGCACCTCCAGTCTGTGCGCGGTTGGTAAATGCAGCAGGGCTGAAAACCATCTTCGGACTGCTCATGAAGAGCAAGAGGGCAGAACGAAGTCTCATGGAACATCTGATTGGGATGCTCGCCAGTCTTCTTAGATATTTACCGGGAGGCTCGGCCGTGAGGATACGCGCCCTTGCAAAATTTGTGGAGAAGGATTATGAAAAGCTCCTGAAACTTGTGGAACTGCGGCGCGAATATAAGACTAGATTAGTCAAGGTCGATGCGCAGATACAGAGAGAGCGCGAAGACCTGACTACAACCCAGTTGGAGGAACGTGAGGATGAATGGTTATCTCGCAGGCTTGACGCCGGACTTTTCTCCCTCCAGTCGATAGAGTTGATCTTGAGCTGGATGGTTGCAGAAGACAGCGGTGCACGTCAGACCATTGCCGTTCTACTGGGTGAGGACGGGCTTAAGATTCTCGAGCGTAGCCTCAGAGATCAGCTTGTTGGGATGGATCCGGGTCAGAGTGATGAGGCCAAGGCTACAGAAGAAATGCTCGAAGCGTTGATTTCATGCGTGGAGGGGTAGCTAGCACTGGTTGGGATGGGTGGGTTCTTTGATAAGGCGTTGCATTCAACACGACGGGTTGTTGTTGATGAGGTTGGGTCTTGATATACGTATTTGTGATACCCATTTATGCGGACTCTCTGTTCACCAGACGTGAGACGGTTCTTTATTCGCTGGACTGTCATCAGATCACTACTGTAATAATATCTCCTTGTTTAGCATTGAATGTTTTTCGCATATTGACCCGCGCCATGGCCACCTGTCAAGCGATATGAGGAAGAAACTATGGGGCGCTTTTTGGGTGGGCGGATCATCATTCGCTGGCTGAGACAAAAGCGGCGCGATCTGAACGAGTCCACACGTGATTGCCCTTTGGATATGCTTATTCACGCGCCAAGCAACTCCGTGCGCTTGCCCATCTGCGCGCCTCTGCCTTGCCTTCGAAGAAAGTTGCACCGAAGGCCAAAGGTTCAAGTGAACCTCATCACAAAACATAGCCAGCCCAAACAACGCCGACATCATCTATCTTCGCGCGAGCTTGTGGTTCAGTCGCTCTCACTCGCTTTGTGAGTGCTTTCGCCCGTAGGAATCTGAAGTCTTAACTGACAATTCAGTGCCTGCAAAGGTAGCGAGCGTCTGCCCACCCTTGCAATTGTGCCACACCTTACGTTCGTCGAGCCTGTCCACCTCCTTTCCCTGGGCTCCCTCGCGCACAGCCGCCCAATATGGCGGACTACGAAGATCAAAAATACGACGTAGCTGGTGACTACGGCGAGAACGGAGATTATGGCGAAGGCGAATATGAACAAGAAGATATCACCTCCGAGGACTGTTGGAAGGTCATCAACTCTTTTTTTGACACGAAAAACTTAGCTTCCCTTCAAATCGACTCCTTCAATCACTTCATGCGATCGTCCATGCAAGATTTGGTTAACGAGAAAGGCGGTATCATTCTCGATCATGCTCAAAACGTCGATGAGTCTGATCCAAACCCAATCGTGATCAAGCGACATGAAGTCAAATTCGGAAAAGTTACACTGAGTAAGCCAAATATGGTGGAAGGCGACGGTGTAACTACAGATTGCATGCCTCATGAGGCTAGACTTCGAAGCTTGACATACGCCAGTCCTGCGTTTGTCAAAATGACTAGAAGAACGTATCTGGCCAAAGAAAAACCATGGGAAGACCAAACTGAGGACATGGGAGTTGTCAAAGATGACGGATCTACACTCTTTTGGAGAGAAAGCTCCGACGAGGACGACGCTGATTCTGAGAGAGAAGTCTACATCGGCAAAATCCCTATCATGGTTCGAAGTATGACCTGTCACCTGATGAGTGAGAAATTTCAGAGCGAAAAGGATCTATTCGCATGGGGTGAATGCCCTTACGACTCGGGTGGCTATTTCATTATTAATGGTAGCGAGAAAGTTCTCATCGCCCAGGAGAGAAGTGCTGGCAATATTGTGCAAGTCTTCCAGAAGGCCTTACCCTCGCCCTTTACCCATCTCGCTGAAATTCGATCTGTCATCGACCGCGGAGCTCGAATGATGTCACAAGCCACAGTCAAACTCTTCCGAAGACAGGACGGACCAGATGGTACCAAAATTGACAATCCTGTTCGAGTTCAGCTTCCATATGTCAAACAAGATATCCCTCTTGTCATCGTCTTTCGTGCTCTGGACATTGTCTCAGATGCAGATATCTTGGAGAAGATCTGTTTCGACCAAAGCGATAAAGAAATGATCGATATGCTGATGGGCTCTCTGCAAGAAGGTCAACCCATTCAAGGTGCTGAGTTGGCCAGAGATTACATCGCTCGACGAGGAAATGTGCCAACCCTGAAGAGTCATGAACGTCAGAAGCATGCTATGGACATCCTAACGAAAGAATTCCTGCCTCACATTGGCCAGACTGCTGATGCCACGGCACGAAAAGCTTTTTTCCTCGGTTACATGGTGAACAGATTATTGAAGGCGGCTCTTGGACGTGCGGAGCCTGATGATCGAGATCACCTTGGGAAGAAACGAATCGATCTTGCTGGTCCTCTGATGACTAATCTGTTCCGTCAGCAGTTTGACAAGGCGACCAAAGACTTCTACCGGTATATGCAGAAGCGTGTTGAGGCCAATCAACCTATAAACATCATGGCTGGCTTCAAGCATCCTATCATAACCCAAGGCCTGAAATACTCGCTCGCTACAGGCAACTGGGGAGACCAGAAGAAGTTAGACAAAGCCAAGGCTGGTGTCTCGCAAGTCCTGAACAGATACACATTTGCTTCTACTTTGTCACATCTTCGGAGAACTAATGCTCCTATTGGTCGAGAAGGTAAGATTGCAAAGCCTCGACAACTTCATAACACCCATTGGGGTTATGTGTGTCCGGCAGAAACTCCTGAAGGTCAGGCTTGTGGTCTGGTCAAAAATTTGTCTTTGATGTCGATGGTGACCAATTCTTACGAGACTGGCCCTCTTCTCAATTACATCATGTCAAAACATGTTGAAGCATTAGAAGATTGGGAACCCCGTCTAAACCCGCAAGCCACCAAAGTATTCGTTGATGGTGTCTGGTTTGCTGTGGTACTGCGTGATCCGAAACGTTTAGTGGATGATCTCCGCAAACTTCGACGGAAGGGTATATTTGATCCTCACGTCAGTCTTATCTGGGACATTCGTGACAAGGAATTCAAAGTCTCCGGTGATTCGGGAAGACTTGTACGTCCTTTGTTCGTCGTCGAAAATGATCCATCATCTGACAATCGTGGCAATCTGGTACTCAATAAGGAGCATATTGCCAAACTCGACAACACCACGTATCTGCGAGAAGGCGGTTACCAATTCAATGACGAAGTTCGTCCCTATGGTTGGGCGGACCTTCTTTCCTCCGGTGTGATCGAGTATATGGATGCCGAGGAAGAAGAAACTGCGATGATTATTATGACACCCGAAGCTCTAGCAGATTCCAAAGCCAGATCTATGGGCATGGTTATCGAGCAGGAGAATGATCCGCTCAGACGAAACGACCCCCTGCTGAACCCGTACTCTCATACCTTCACACATTGCGAACTTCATCCCAGTATGATTTTGGGAGTCTGCGCAAGTATCATTCCTTTCCCTGACCACAACCAGTCACCTCGTAACACCTACCAATCCGCCATGGGTAAGCAAGCAATGGGTATCTTCCTGACGAATTTCGATCAGCGAATGGAGACAATGGCAAATATTCTCTACTATCCTCAGAAACCACTTGCTCGGACTATGGCAATGGACTATCTCAAATTCCGAGAACTTCCGGCTGGTCAAAATGCCATTGTCGCAATTGCCTGCTATTCAGGCTACAACCAAGAAGATTCGGTCATCATGAATCAGAGTTCTATTGACCGTGGACTCTTCCGGTCATTATTTTACCGTGCTTATTCGGACTCCGAGAAAGCGATTGGGCATTCAGTCATGGAACAATTCGAAAAACCAACAAGATCCGATACTCTTCGACTGAAGCATGGTACCTACGACAAAATCGATGAAGATGGTATTGTAGCTCCTGGTGTGCGGGTAAGTGGTGAAGATATCATTATGGGCAAGACAGCTCCCATGGCACCCGATGCGGAAGAACTTGGTCAAAGACAGAAGCAGCACGTCAAGCGTGACGTATCGACGCCTCTTAGATCAACGGAATCTGGAATTGTTGACCAAGTCATGTTGACAACCACTGCCGAAGGTAATCGATTCGCCAAAGTTCGCGTCAGAACGACTAAAGTTCCTCAAATTGGAGACAAATTTGCCTCTCGTCATGGTCAGAAGGGAACTATTGGTATCACATATCGACATGAAGATATGCCTTTCACCAGAGAAGGTATTGTTCCCGACATCATCATTAACCCTCACGCCATTCCCTCTCGAATGACAATTGCCCATTTAATCGAATGTCAATTGTCCAAGGTTGCATCCTTACGTGGCGACGAAGGTGATGCTACACCATTCACAAAGGTCACGGTGACCCAAGTCTCGGACCTTCTCAGACGTATGGGCTATCAGTCTCGTGGATTCGAAGTCATGTATAATGGTCACACCGGTAGAAAGCTCGTTGCTCAAGTCTTCCTTGGACCGACATATTACCAGCGTCTGCGTCACATGGTCGATGATAAGATTCATTCTCGTGCAAGAGGCCCTACACAAATTCTCACCAGGCAGCCTGTTGAAGGTCGTGCCCGTGATGGTGGTCTACGTTTCGGTGAAATGGAACGTGATTGCATGATTGCCCACGGAGCAAGTTCATTCCTGAAGGAGAGACTGTTTGACGTGTCGGATCCCTTCAGAGTTCACGTTTGTGACATCTGCGGCTTGATGACTGTTGTTGCGAAATTAAAGAAGAACACTTTCGAGTGCAAGAATTGCAACAACAAGAACAAGATCAGCCAGATCCACCTTCCTTATGCAGCGAAATTGCTATTCCAGGAACTATGGAGTATGAACATCGCTGCCAGACTGTACACCAAGCGGAGTCGTTAGGAGCGACTTGCCGATGAAGCGGCTCTTAAAGCTCGGAAGGAGCAATTTGCGAATGTTGAACAGCCGGCCGAGGGCGAGTAGATCTAGTGCTCTCGATTATGGAGAGGGGGCCCTCGAGAAAATCCTTCATCGTCCGTGGCACCACCACATACGAAACATGTGTTTCGTTTTTGTTTTTTGAGCGAGGACCATGTGCTTTATGCTTTCTCTGCAAAAAATTTCTTCCACCACGATCAGAGAGGGGATGGATGAAGGGCCTATATCTGTACCACCACCACGCAACAGTATGCACTCATGGCGAAAGAGGGTCTTGGAATGAATGGAAGTGATTCATTCTCGGATGGGTCGAGAAGGGCGGAGAACAATCAAGCAGCAACGAGCGGGATTCCTTTCGTTGTTGGGCGGCAGGCTGCACTAGATAAACTATTATTGTACTGGCCCTGATCGAGTATGGCTCACTCAGTCATTATTACTTACGCCTTAGATGGTTTGAAGGGATAGAACTGCTAGCTGACTGATTACTTCGACTGTTTTCGCATGTCCTTTCTCGGCGTACACGTCACGTTGAAGCAGTTGAAATGAATATTAATTAGCTGGGTCACTCGCCGAGCTGCAATCTAAATATTTGCAATCCTTTCACCGCGTTGCCCCTTCAGGTCACGGCATCGCCATTACTTATTCTTTTCTTACATATTATATACAATGGCGACGTTTTTATGGCTGTGATGTACTGTGATGTTTGAGGGGCTGTATACGTACGTATATGCTCACTAATTACTTTGGAGATCACGATGCGTTGCGATGCGTTGCTTTGAATTTCAGTACAAATTATCATCACGTTAACCAATACTAACAATGACTAACTAGTTACGCGTTCAAGTCGTGGACAGCATTCCACTGACCCGTTCATTTTCGGACCACCAAACATTGTAAAGCTTGACATCTCCTGCTTCACACAACAACAGCGAGCTAATTTTGAAACATCCTGCTCTGTTACTTCAAGACAGCGGCGCCTCGCCAGCGTCTTTCTTTTCAGCGGTTACATCTACCTTTTGGAGGAGATGGTGGCCGGCGGTGTCGTGAGCTGCGAGGCGTTCCGCCGCGGCGGGGTCCTTTGCTGGATCGTAAGGTAGGCCTGTCACATCATCGATGGGGCGTGTCTCGCTTTCGCCGCTTTGGCCCATGGCTGGTGTCACTTTCGAGGCTGTATTGTCGTGGGTGGTGCCATGGGTAGTTCCCGTAGTTCCTGTGGCTCTAAACGGGTCATCTTTGTGCAGAGGGTTGTAAGATGGTTTCTGCGGGCCACCAGATGCCACGTCGTAGCCCTTGTCTGACTTTGAGCCTGCTAGACCTGCCCCAGCAGCACCAGCGCTTAACCCCGCGGCGGTGGTCCCAGTTGAGCCGGTGTTGTCTTCTTCATCGGTGCTATACTCTTCGCTGTCGCCTGTGTCCTTGTTCTTTCTGCGCCTGAAGATTCGTTTGAAAAGGCTCGGTTTCTTTTCTGGTGCATCTTTGTGGAGCTTGTTGCGCTCATGGTCATTCTCGCTGGAGAGCTTGCCCTTGTTATTCGCATCGGCGTCATGACGATGAGCTGCGTATGCTGCACCTCCGGCGCCAGCGGTCCCTGCGAGGGCAGCTGCCTCCTTCTCACGGCGCTTGTGTTCAGCTTCGTCTTCCTTATCTAGCTCTTTCTGGTGGTGTTTCTCTTCCTTGGCCACCGCCTTATCGTGGGCCTTTTCTTCCTTTTTGTGGTCCTTCTGGTGAGCTTTTTCTTCGGCCTTCTCTTGTTTCTTCAAGTCCTTCTCGTGCTGCTTTTCTTCCTTGTGTGCCTGCTTCTCAGCCGCCTTTTGATCCCTCTCGAATTGTTTCTGACGGGCAGCTTCCTGCTCGGCGAGGTCTTTCTGCCTCCGGGGAGCATCTTCCTCGGCCTGGTGTTTGCTGTGCTCATGAGCACCATAAGCTCCAGCACCAGCAGCTCCTGCGAGAGCAGCGTTACGTCCTGTATGACTGTCATCTTTTGTTGGGCCGGTGCCGACATTGTCTCTTGTAGATGTAACTGGTGTTTGGCTGGCAGCTTGCTCGCGAACAAGGTTGCTTGTTCCACCAGTGGATGGTTGGTTGGCGGCATCTTGCCCTGCGGAGCGTTTACCGTATTCATGAGCACCATAGGCCCCGGGCCCAGCACCAGCAGCTCCTGCAAGAGCAGCATTACGCCCTGCGTGGCTGTCACCTGTTGTAGGATCAGTCGAAGAGGTACCTATTGCTGAAGTCACTGGTGTTTGGCTGGAGGCTTGCTCGCGGACAAGATCGCTTGTTCCACCAGTAGATGGGTGGCTGGGAGTTTGGTTGGATTGCCATGGCTGCTCAGCAAACCGGTCTGTAGAATCAGGCTTTCTATCATGCTGCAAAGCTGAAACTCCAGCTGCACCGGCACCAGCTCCAAGGCCTGCTGCGGCAGCGGTCTTGCCGTATCCACTAGCCTGTTGGTCTTGTCCTGAAGTTGTAAGATGTTGATCGCGAGGGACACCTTGTTCCGTCCCCGTCCTAGTGGAAGAGGGGAGCGCAGAAGACGTTGTGCTTTGGGAATTGCTTGGGAAGGCCGACGTAGTCTGGCCACTATTTGGCAGGGCAGAGTCCATGGTTGGCAGGGTTCCTGACAAAGTGGAAGACGTCGGTGTATCAGCAGGACCTTCTCTACTCTTTCCATATTCATGAGCACCGAGCGCACCTGCTCCAGCACCCAGACCGGCGGCGGCAAGACCAGCATTACGGCCAGCATGGCTCTTGTCTTCGCTTGCAGTGGATCCTCCAACGGCGTAGGAAGCTGCTCCACCATCAGGAGGGATGCCTGCCGATGTTTCTCTGTCCATGTCTTCTGGCGCACCTCTGGTTCCACCAACAGGAGCATGAATGGGCGAGGGCGAGCCAGGCCCAGCTGGATATGCAGTTGTAGGGATACTCTCCTTGCGATGGTGCGAGGGTGATGGTCCTGACTGAGTTGGAGCAGTATATGATCCTACGCCAGTGGTAGTTGTTGGCTGTTCAGGAGTATCTATTACCGCTTGAGACCTATCCTCAGCGGCCTTGGACGCCGCAATGCCGGTGCCAGCAGCAGCGCCTCCAAGACCCACAGCACCCAAAATTCTACCGAAAGTACCTGTCTGATTAGGTTCAGTTCTTGCGGGGGCAGCGGCACTGTTTGATTCAGTAGAGATTGGAGCAGCTCTACCAGCTTCATGGTCGATCGGTCGGTTTACTGGTGGGAGAGTGACAGTATCGTGCGCAGATTCCTTAGGAAAGGCGCCTGGAATATTCGAAGCTAGAGGTAGATCAGCTATATCGGCTAGGAGGTAAGGGAATGTCTGGCTAGGACATACTGCTTTGATCATTGTGTTTGTTGAAAGCACGAGAAGCGGCAGTGCCAGCCGCTCCAGCGGGAACTCCAGAGGTTGACTTTTCGCCAGAAGCACTGGTACCTTGACCGAAAGTGTGTTCCGGCATCTTGTAGGTGGTTGGATCCTGCGATTTGTGATCAATCACACTTCCAACTGCGTCGCCTTGACGAAGAGTATGCGAGCTGTAGGTAGAAGTTTGGCCAATGGCTGCTATACCAACGTTATCACCTGTCTCGCGGCCTGTTGATTGGAATCCTGCAGTATCTGTACCTAACCCTGCGTCAGCCATTATGTTGGAAGAGCACTATGCCTGCAAACCTATGCTAAATCGTACCTGAAGAAAGCTGTGTAGCAGGCTGCTCGGCGAATCCTCCAGGGTTTCCTTGAGAAGCAGTGGTCGCCTTTGAAAGATGAGAGCCCTGACCAGTAATTCGGCTGGTAGAAGATGAGTCCTGGGTGTTTTGAGTGGCGTCTTTGTCTCGTTGCCTAGTAGGCTGATTAGCTCGCTGGATTGCTTGAATTGAGATATGCTTACAATGCGGTCTTTAACTTGTCCATTCCTTCTGAGGTGACAAATTGAAATCCCCTGCAGCTGAAATGAGCCAAATATGCAGTTTTTCCGGGCCCTGGCAGACGATGATGCAAGACGAAAGGAAAATCAAGTTATCCCAAGGACAGACAAGAACATGGGGGAATACGGTGAAAAATGAGACCATGTGAGCTATGGGCTTTGGCATCAATTCCATATGCGTCATCGCTGTTGCAATTCACGCCCCAAGCGTGGAGTCGAGGCAGAAGGGAGCAACATGTCTGGACAGCTGAGCAGCGGTGTCAAGCCACCAACACGGCCAGAGAAAGCTTCAGCGAGAAAGGCTACGAATCAGCCACGGACATCTATAGAGGCCTAGGCTCAGGAGGAGGTCTGTCCTCGACTCCTTGGTGAATGGTGAATGGTGAATGGTGTTGGACGGGAGGGGTAAAGATGCAACAAGTGGTAACCAAGTTTGCCCAAGTTTGATGGATCTCGGCTCAGATGAAGTCATCGTCAACGTCAGAATCGCAATTTGGAGCGACACCACCTGTGGGGAAATTGATCGTCTGCTTCCAGAGATCTTTCGCGAGGAACTTGGTGCGCTGCACATCATTTCTCACCTATTGCCTCATGGAGGTTGGAAGCTGGCTGTTTTCAGACGGGGTGGACACATGAGCCAGGAGGATAGGATATCTCCAGGTGTTGTTGCGAGACACAGGTATTACCTTATCTACTGTACGTGTGTAACTCCTGATGGCCGGGAAGTCATGGCTGTGTCACGTGATGGAATATTAAGTAAGCATGGTCATGATCACGAGGCATGTCATGTGATAAATCATGTGATCTTTCTTACGATGATGTAATTAACATTATCAGAGGCAGATGGGTGGCAGAGAGTGAAGCTGAAAGATGAGTTAGCCGTTTGCGTCGAGAACTCGATATGTTCAGAAAGCATATATGTCTTGCAGGCTATGTAGTTCTAGATCAAACAAAAAACAACAAGCTAATGCAAGATAACACAGGCGAGAGGACACCTTCAGCAATTGGGCAATCCCCTATCTTTCAGTCGTGGAGAATGATGACCAGCCGAGCCTAGATTCCATTTTCGAAGACTCCATCCTATGTATCTCGGATAGTAGTGGCCAGAATCACGAGCCCATAGGCTATAGACCATGCGATCCAGTACTCGGTATCTCGTGCATGGTTGTTTGTAGGTAGCGTGTAAATGGGCAAGCTCGGTGTGAGCGTGCGAAGAGAGATAAGCGTAGGCTGATTTGGAGTACCTAGCGCCCTCGTTCTCGTAGCGAGCACGCAGCAGCATGCGGGAACGTGAGAGGCTGATTTAACGGGATACCTTGGGGAGAACTGGGGTCGTCCCAGCTAGAAGCCTTCACCTCGCCAGTCGACTCGCCACTAACCAACAACTCTCTAATCAAGGTGGCCACCGGGGCATCACCCAACAAGGAGATACTGCCACTGCCACTGCCAGTCTGTCTCTTGGCTACCTCCTGAGTCCTCACGGCCGAGCAGACCATTTTGGGTGAAGTCGAGTTCGAGGTCAAGTTTCTTACTCAAATTTCTGCAAGGGCAAAAACGTGGTCCATAAGGGACCTTGGGAGTTGTTGGAAGCTTGGAAGCAAGCACACTGGGGTCGTGCCAAAACCCCAGCCACGCCACTCGCAGGCCCGCAGGCCCCCGAGGCCCCGCGAGCAACCAACCACAAGTCCCTCAGGCCCGTGGGTACTCCTCAGGTGGTCCCCAGGGCGCCCCGAGGCGCTGAATCCTGACCGGGAGGCCAAAGTTAAGCCTGAACAAGCCCACCGCCGTGCCCTGGCGCGCCCCAATCGGGGTGCTCGGCCCCCTGGTTGAGTTCTTCTAGAAGGTGACATTTTTCCTTCTGGCGATCAGCAGGCCGCAGGCCGCAGGCCACAGAACACGAGATATGCAATATGTACAGATGGTGCTAAGGCTTTGGTTGGAGCTCGTTCGACTCAAAACCCCGAGCACAAGACAATTTGAGTCTTTTTTAGATCACCTGTGGTCAAGGGGCGATTCTGCGATCCACCCTACCCTGCAGAGAGGAATCAAGATCAGGATCACGATCACCAATTCAAACATTGCTTATTTCCAATCAATGGAGAGCGGAGAAGAAACACAGCTTGGGTGTTGAGAGGGGAATTAGGGAGGCGTGGGAAAAAGGAAGGGGGGAAATCCAATCGTATTCCAGGAGGTGTCGGTGGTTTTCTGGAACTTCTCCAGCACCCGCCAAGTATTCCACCATGCACGAGTATGTATGATGTTGCATTGCATTTGACAAGCGTCGAATGGGCTCCCCGTGTGCCGTGCTTTGGCTTCCAGACATAAAGTTAAGTCGGACTCCAGAAGAGACAAAAGATACTCCGAGAGATGTTGCATAAAATCGAGAAAAGCCCACTTCCCGCTTTCCCTTTCGTTTCATTTCCTTTCGATTCTTTTTTTGTTGAGAGAGAGGGACAAGACAGGGCCTGGGATCTTCCAAGCAGAATCTGTACAGGTATTGATGTAGCTCTTTGTAGGAGTAGGCGTGGCAGCGGCGGCGACTGCGGCGGAATACTCGGATGATGCACTTTGCTGCTCTGCTACCTTATCGCCATCGCCCATCCCCATAACGTCGTTTATACTCCGTACTCCCGGGCATCAAGCCCCCCCCCGTGGGCCGTACTTGTAATCATTGTGACTCGGTATGAGCCCAATGCATTGCAGCAAGTGGATTCCAAAGCTGTGGATCGTCGCTCTGCTCGGGCTCAGACCAGGTCTATTATTCCGCTGCTACGACTCTGACCAGGAGGTTGCTACCATGACGACTTATCACCACCTTTTTACCTCCGTTCCACATCCCCACAGGTCCCATTCTTATTCTTTTCGTTGCGTGCCACTGCCAGCCTGCCAGCCTGCCAGGCCCATGAGATGTCCACTTTACGACTTGACTTGCTCGTCATTTCCCGGGCCCAACGGGTGACGATGACAATGGGGTTAGATGCAAGAGCGTGAAAAATGATGGTACAGCCTGCAACTCCGTACAGCAGTCAGTGCCTTGCTCGCCGCCGTATCTATCTATCGGTCCGTGGCCAACTGTGACCTTGTCTGTCTATCATAGAATATCTACATCCTGCTTGCCTATCTCCCGTTCTCTCCCACCTGTCACTCACCTGTTTGACTCGCACACACCGTTGTGAATTTCTCCCCCCGTATCGTCACCACCATTGGTCTTGTCATCCTTCCGTCCCTTCCGTCCCTTCCTTCCATGGCTTCATTCAGAAAACTGTTTCAACTCGACTCAATGGCTTAAAAAAGAGCGGCGAAACTCACCCCAGCCTCTTGTCTGACACCGACTGTACCATCACCCACCGTAAGCGACCCCGGCTAACCGTCGGCTTCTGATATAACTCAAGCTGTCTACTTCCAAGCCCCTCCACCCAACCCAATTCCCATTCGATCAGTTCAGTAAGCATAAACATAAAACACATATAAAACCCCCCAAAATCAACATAGAATGGGTCTCCGAGTGAAATTACGAAAAACCTTCGGGTCGTCCTCCAAGAAATCCAACAGCACATCTTCCGGCTCCCATGCCAACGGCAACACATCCACCCCATCGTCCATCTATCCAAACGAACAACACTATACAGACCGGACCGACATCGAATACTACAAGCCCAATGAGATCCCCAAGTCCAAGTACCGTGGTAAGGTCGACCCGGCACACCAAGCATCTCTAGGTGCGTTCTCTCTGTCCGACGCTTTCGCCGCCACTACTCGCCGTGCCAGTCTCGCATTGAGTGGCACTTTCAGTCCCGGAGGTACCAAGAGCCAGAGTCGTGCTCCCAGTCGCGTCCCCAGTAGAAGGCCCAGTATATCAGAGGTGATCTCTGGAAGTCACCTGAGGACCGAGGACCGCTCTGGTTCTGGGAGCGATGTCAGCCGTGAGAAGTCCGAGGATTCCAATACATCCACCGACTCTGCCGCCCTCGGTGGCCAGTCCGGTGACACGGCGAACAGTATGTCTTTCCCATGTACCTGCCCCTTGATCTTCTCTTGGAGATATATAAATATTGACTTTTCTTGAATCCACAGCATCGCTCTCCGGCCCAACATCAACGACAGGCACCACCGCCCCAACCACAGCAGTAGCACCCACGCCACTCACAGCTCTAACATCACCATCGAACCCCAAGCTTGTAGCCGTCCAAGATGACGGTGCGGTCAACATCACTGGGTCTGAGCTGTCCAAGCACATCACCGCTCATGATACACCTTTCACCGCCGAAGAGCTGGAAACTGCTATGACCCGGGCTACGTTTCAGGATAGAGATGGTCCGGTCCATGAGGTCAATATCTCGTGACAAACTTGAGTGAGTGCCGATTTAGTGCCAGGTGTTGCGGCAAGAAATGATGACGACGACGACGATGACAAGAAGCAAAATAACAATCGACATGTGACCATGTATTTACGACACCCAATCTGTTACGACGACATAAACAAATCCGTCCATTCTCAACCACGGAAATGAACCCATATCGCATCTGCTATCGGAAAATGGATTGTCGGAATTCTAGGGTGTTATCGCGGAATGCATGGACGACTATCGTTCCTCGGACGGGACAAGCCATGCTGGAACGGGCGGTGGGTTTAAACAGGCCGAGAGGGAACAGCATAGTGGGAATACTGGCGTTTGGAGACTTTTTTTCAAACGCACTGCATCCCCTTGTATATTGTGAGGATAATCTGGTGGATCTGGGAATGAGATTTCTTTACGTGGGAGGACGCCTGCCGGGAGTTGGTCCAGAGACATGTTCTACAGCTCACATCTTTCATCGGTCCGACACAGGTCTGTCAGGATGAGGTGCAAGCTCATTGTCCGTCTCCAAAAGTAGATCTTCTGTCTTGTCTAAGCCCATGACGAATTGAATCTCAGTGCTCCAAAGATGATTCAATGTTGAGAAGTACAAACGAGGTCCCCGCTTGGTCAATATCTCCCAACGAGGGAACTGAGCGCATACGCCGCGACAGTGGGCTCGATTCTTGGTCAACCAGCGGCAAGAGAGATGAAAACAGAACGAACGACCGGCCATCGTATACAGGTCTGATATGCCACCATTTTGCTTGTAGCCTGACGCTTCAGCTGCCATTCTGCAAGTCAACTGGGGGGAATGTCCCTCCAGGCTGCCTAGTACGAAAGAGTCTGAAACAGACCACATCAATCGAAATATGGAGCTAGCAATCCTCTTGGCTGTGGACGTTCTGATAATCACTACTTCTCGGATAGGTGTGCATTGTGTGAATGGCCATGGTGTGGTGCAAGGGTCAAAGGATGCCAGGCACCATGGGTGGCAGGATGTGCTGAAAGTGGTTATTGCAGGCCATATACGCTTTTGTGGGTATGGCCTGCAGGTACGGCTGAGATCACCATATCTCTAGAGTTGGGGAAGGGTCGTGATCGATCAACCTCTAGTCAATGAAACTCCAGTCGGAGATGATTAGCTTGTCAAATGGGAGGCGAAGTCCGAAGTAATCTTCCGCTTTGGACCCAGGTGCCTCATATCGTATTGGTTGTTCGATGACGAGGGACGTTCAATCATCAGTGTGTGTAACTGCCATGTCCAGTACCTCGAGTCTTCCTCGACCTTTGGTTTCAGCAGAACAGAATTCTCCCAAGGCCTTGAAGGCGCCTGGTTCGACGAAACCAACGACTTCCCATTCCTCACCCAAAACATCCTGACTTTCGATTTGCTCAACGAAAGAAAGAATCCGATCTTTGATGGTGCCTTTGCCCTGATCAACCTCGGGGTCGTCCCCAGCACCGGCTATCCTGGATTTTGGGACTTGCTTGGCGATGTTCGTGGGGCAAGTGATACGTAGTCTCATCCTGGCACGCATGACGGGTATGGGTTGCCAGGTGATCAAGGCGCGGATAGCATCGAGTGCCTGCTGCTTGACAGATTTTGTTGTAACGACACCGGTCCACATGGGAGTATCGCTCTTCTTGCCTTTTGGGGTCCCAGTTGATTCGACATCAGTATCGGTCATAGGAGTTGCCTGGCCACTTGTTTCGCTGGATCCCTTGGGGAGTACAGGACCTCTTCTGGAAGGGTCAGCTAGATTGAGATTACCGAGTTTATGGCTGAGGGAATCCTGCGGGGGAGCATGGCCACCCTGTTTGGATAAGACATCGAGGCCCTTCTTGATCATGCCGGTGGTATATACTCGTTTGGTTTGGGGGTCAACAAGTCTCTGGGCGATTTCTTCGACAATCTCCCTTTCCATCCGATCAAGGAGTTCTTTGCGTTCGTTGGCGTTGACTTGAATCTCACCCTTTTTCAGAATTTCCTCGATGATGGCATCCTTCCAGGTCTTCTCGTCATCTCCTTCATCAACTGCCTTTCCCTTTGCTTTTTTCTTCTTGGAACCGGCTTGAGAGGGCTCCTGAGGTGATGCCGATGACTGGGGCCATGCCTTCAAGAGTTCGGCATTCGGAGCAGTCTCGCCTTTGGAAGCATTGAGAAAGATGGTGGGGACTTGGAGGACATTGTCGAGATCAGTCTCGGTTCCTGAGCGATATTCGAGGAGTTTGTTTTTGTAGCAGGCCAGTTCGAAGCGCTTCTTCCCCTTTTTGTACCTTACAAGGGAGACATTTGTCAATTTGATTTGGTTCGCGGGCTGCTGGATCATAGGCATGATGGCTGGCTTGAGCGGGGTTTGGGTGGGTGACGGTAGGAGCAGGGAGCAGCTCAATTTTATTAGTAGAATTGGTGAAAGATCGTAGTAGTGCCTTGAGTCATGACAGGTTCTGGTCAGCCACCAGGGAACTTTCCAAAAACGAAAGGGGAAAAAAGAATGGGAGAGATGTGCGTTGTCAGTGAGAGGAGGGCGGGTTCAGGTGCGTATTGTCCTTTACGAGTCCTCCACACCCTGCTCCGCAGGGCAAGAGTGACTCAATAACAATTCTGACTGCGGTAAAGTGGCATGCACCTGCCACTGCCAGTCGACCAGGCTGCCAGGCTCCCACCTAGCGCCCCTTGGTCCCGTGTGAGGGGAAGGCACGGTCAAAAATACGCCTCGACCTGCAAAGAGCATGCGCAGGCGCGGGTGCGGAGAAGATCATCGTCACTGCCGCGTCGCTGTACTCAGTACATGCCGACTCTCAGATATTTTTGGTCCTTTTCTACATCCGCCACAACCTCACTGTATGCCGCACCTTGTATTTTTATTTTTGTACCCAAAATAGCACCCTTCTTTCAATGCTTCATATTTGGCTTCTACTTCTGGTAGCCCCTTTCATATCCCGTCTTTTTCTTTCCCTGATTGATTCATTGCTTCTACCTGATACATGACCACCTCAAGAAATCCCCTTCTCTCATCTCTTTCCCGGAATTTGGGATATGTGTGCCCACAATGTCGCCTTTCCGCTCACCAGTCTTCCACAAGGCACTTTACTACATCCAGACGTCCCCGGCAACTTGACACCTCCTTGACCGCCCATCCTCTTCCAATCCCTTTCCCACCCCCAGCCTCATCCATCAGAAATCACTTAAAAGCATGGTCCATCAAAAACCAAGAGATTAAGGCTCAAAAAGCCGAACAGGATTATTTGGGCCTAGGTGCCACGAGGTTGACCACCTTGCCCAACTCCCTGTTCATCGAGGAATCGAAAGTTGACGACGAGGGCTTCGAGCAAGACTTGGATCGAGATGAGGACTTTGCCGACACCCCTGCCATTCCTTTTGCTCTGCAGCCAGGTGATTTGATCTTCTGTCGCTCGAGCACCGCTGGCACTCGTGAGCAGTTTGCCGTTTATCTTGGTCAGGAAGGCCTTCAATTCCAATACTTTCTATCGGACGGAAGATGGCTTGTTGACCGCACCATTGATCACGACAGCCCCGTTGTGAGAGGCTTCGCCAGCCCAGACGAGGTCCAGGCGATCCGAACACATCTACCCAAGCAGGAAATCGTCAAAAGGTCCTCGGTCATTTCTTACGACCTTTTGAGATCATGGGCCGGTGAGGTTCCCCGTTCCGCCTCGGATCCTCTGCTACGTCGTCTTGCACTCTTGATCGACGAAATCTCCTCCTTTCGCCGCGAGAATCTTGCCCTCCTCGATTCCGTTATCGACAAAGTTTCTCATGATGTGTATTACCAAACCCTCGATTGGGACCAAGTTGTTCACAAGGTCATGGCCTGCGAGCCATCTAACCTGTCTCCTGCCACCTGCATGGCCGTTTACTTCGCCCTGAAGAAGAAGCCAACCAGAGTCCAAATCGTAAGAGATCCCAAAGCCGGCATATTGCGTTTCATCATCGTGTCAAAGCGCTCCGCCAGCCGATTCGACACTGTCGTTGACTGGGGGAGGGATTATCAGGAAGCCGCTGCACACTCGGCCCTGGGAAAGAATGTTAAGATCTCCCTTGAGAAAAACCCCTTGACCTCTTTCGTCGATAAAGCTCGACGCATCATTCTGAAAAGCCGGGAAATCAGATCTCCCACTACCACTGGCCACCTAGGCCCTACTCTGTCACATTCCACTGACGGCCAAGTATCCACTCGGGAAACTGGCGAGACCCTGTCCGATGACGACCAAATGATTACTGAGTTTCTTTGGGACACTTGCATACGCTCACCTACCCATAACAGAACCAGAACAATCTATAACTCCATCACTTCATTGATCATTCGAGCTATAGGAGCATATCCCAAACTTCGTCTCGAACGGAAGATTGGCAGACTTCTGTTGCAAGAGCTTGGTGTCCTCTCTCCCTGGTCAGATGAATTCGACCACGATCTCTTATATCCTACCCCCAGCACAAAGGGGAGCCATGAACTCGATAGTCTCCAAGCAGAGGCTAGGGCAGCCTGTGACGAGCTGTGGCTCCACGATCCGGGGTATCTGCCAGAGCTTGATTCTATGGCATCTCTGCGGCACGACTTTGATCTGCCTGCCCTCTGTGTCGACAGCGATTACACCAAGGTTAGGGATGACGCATACTCCCTAGAGCCTAACCCTTCTATTCCTGGCACCCATTGGGTCCATGTACACGTCTCTCATCCTTCTGCGTTCATCAAACCAGATCATCCTGCTTCCCAATTTGCGGCCAAGACGATTCAAACTTGGTACACCGTATATTCAGCCTTGCCCATGTTGCCATTTAGTCTATCCAAGGCCATGAGTTTGGATACTGGCCGTCCAGCTTTGACTGTGAGCACTCTTCTCAAGGAGGATGGTAAAGTCTTGGATATCAAGTTGCAACCTACAATCCTGAAGGATGTCGTGATTTTGAACGCTGAGGCTGTCGACGCCACGCTAGGAACCCCACAACCGGAATATGCAACGATGCTGCTTGGTACGCCCACTGATGGCAGTATCACACAGGTTACAGACAAACCAAGTCAGGCCGCTCTGGATGCCGTACATGTCCACCGTGCCACACTACAAAACCTTAAGACCCTCATGTTCAGTCGCGTCAACTACAGGATGAGACAAGCCTCTGAATGGCCTGACTGGCCGCATGTAGAGCATGACACTGATGTCAGGTCGACGATATCGCACAACCAGGGACCAGACCAGCTGTCCCAGACTCGACACTTCCTTGGGGATCCTCCTATTTATTGCTTCGCATCCCCTACCATGAAGTGGATTACCATGACTGAGCGTCAAGAGAAGGAAAGTGTAACGCAAAACTTGATGATTCTTGCCGCGGAATCTGCTGGCAAGTGGTTTGCAGACCGTAACATCCCAGCGATTTTCAATTGTGCAACCCCACACACCGACTTTCCTGTATCCAAGCTTAATCGACTCGGCTTAGAGACAAGGCGTGTTCTTCCCGTTAGCTACCTCTCGTCCACACCTCAAAATCACGTGTTCACAGGCATCAACCAGTTCCTACGCTTTACCAGTCCTCTCCGTCGCTACCAGGATCTCTTGGCTCACTGGCAGGCAGACGCATATTTACGAGCGGAATCAGATGCATCCTCGAACTCCGGAGCCACGATCACGAAGTATGAGCCCCCATTTTCAAGAGCCCAAGTGGACCAAAAAGTCGCAGGACTAGCGGGTTACGTGTATGGAATGACGAGAAAAATGAACCACCAGCAGATTCATTTGCGCTTGAGAGCATTGTTTCGAGCATTCCATTTCAAGGAGGCGCAATTGCCTGAAAAATGGGATTTCCTCGTACGCAACGTGTCCACTCGCGGCAAAGAAGTAGAAGAAGATTCCCAGCTACGGGGGAGCCTTCTTCCCTTCGCTTTCGATGCCATCATTCTCGAGTCTAGGAATAAATGGGAAGTTGGCGCGACTATAAATTCTTACCTCCCGGTAAAGATTGAGCTGGTGGACATGAGCCGGGGAAAAGTTATATGTCGAGCTGTCGGTCCTCTGCAGGAGAAACCTCACTTTCCAACACCCATGAAGATTGTTTCACACCCTGTTGGCAGGGAGCAAACTACTGAAAAGTAACTTCTGACTAGCTGTACGAAAAAGCGGTCCCGATTCATCTGTAGTCGTCATGCGAAAGCTTGAGCATTTGTCTAGTCAACAATAGATAGATTCAAGAAGCGATGACTTACCGCTGTCAACGCAGGCCTACGGAGCACAGAGGACCTTGTTGAGCGATCTTGCATGAGATTTGAGATCTCGGTATGTGGCTGGTTCCCGTGGTTCCCGGGCCGGGAGTCCTGGAGTGCGGATACGAGGGCAACACAACATGAGTCCATGACCCCTCCCTCCGGCACACCCATCAAGAACAGTCTCCACAGAGATCTACCCACTCATCCAATGGGTGGTAGAGAACGAGTTCATTCGAGTTTGCCTCAGCTCCCTTCGTGCGCGGAAGTCGGTCCCGGTGACAAAACCTCGCAACTTGACAGAAGTTTAAGCGACTTCGCTTGATCATGAATGGTGTGCCTGCAAATTTTGGGGTTGGACTGACACTTTGACAGCAAGCTGGAACAAGTTTTCGCTCGTGGCGACGCGATAGTGCGAATGTGAGGGGGAGGCGGCAAGTACTCGTAAGTCTCTACCAAGACCAAGGTGGAACAAGGACGTATTCAAATTCGTCTAGAGAGCACAGTACCGAGGACGTCCGTACTCCGCACATTCAGCAAAAATGGTGCCCGAGCCAAGCAGTGTTTCCGAGCCTGAGCAAATAAACATAAAAACGAAATTCAGAATCAAACCAGTAGTGGACGAATCTGGTGAGGTTCCAAGTCAACTGCCTGCCCTTACAAGCATGTTTGGAACTGGTCAAGAAAGGCCGAGTGTTGATGGCGTGGACAGTCATCTACCAAGCCTGTCCATTCAAATCAAAATATCACTGTGCGTGGGTTAGTTGTTTGCCAAAATGAACGGCCTCGTGCCTCCAATCCACCTTCCTAAGGCCGCCATACTAAATTGCCACTAATGCTGCGACAGACACACAGGGTATATCCTAGACTCAAGCTGGGTTGATAAACACCCCTCGGTCGGGTACTTTCTGACTGAGGTGAATCGGGAAGGGCGTCGTCTAGCCTCGCCAGCCCTGGAGTCTTCAATTGGAGGGCTGACGTGCTTGTACGTACATCATCCCAGGCTGCTGGTTCTGGGGGCTGTTGAGGTGAGTGGTTGTGGCCATCTCCGCGGACCCCGAAACCGAACTGGACGGTCTCATGGACGCCCTGGAAAGTATGCTGTGCAATAAAATGGGGGGATCTCGGCACTACTCCGTACTATTTCCAGGGAATCGATCATGAGGGTGAGGCGTGACCCTAGGCGGCGTGGGATGGTCGGCATTTTCACCAGCTTGGGAGCCATTGTGGCTTGATGGGCTAAGAAAGGACCCCGCCCAGGGCCCGGGCTGAAGACGCTAAAACTCCTTGATTGTGAGAGCCCTTCCGCGGAGTAATTAGCTTCCAACGGATAAAGCCTGAGTTCGGTACTGCCTCTCGCCTCCATCCCTCCTAGCGTGGGCCTTCCTGGGCAAAAGGGGAACCCAAATCAACCAACTTGAGTTTAGAAAAAGGTCGAGCTAGGAACGTGCCTTCTCGGTCCATTCAACGGTGAACCCCGTCTTCTGTTTGGATCGTGTTCCAGCATGAAATGCCCTAACAGATGTCAGGCTTGCAGGGGTGACTCTCAAGGAGGAAACCAATGCGCTGGGTGTCCTTTCAGTGACCGCGGGGCTCCCTGTCCGGGCTGCCGGCTCAGAGCATCCGCCTGCTTTCGGGCTTGCAAATGGGCCCTTTTTGAGCTGGCCTTGGAGGTGATGGTCGGTGGCGTAGTCCAATGGCCTGCCCTCTCTGAGTGATTTGGTTGTGATGGTTCTCAACCCTGGTTGAATACGAGCTAGATCGATCCATCCATTCCTTTGGCACCCTGTGCAAAGATCTGGGATGAGATCTCTCGTCTATCGTCCCTGGTCGCAAATCATAGCTGGAGAGACGACTAATGTTCTCACCATCACTTTCAGCTCCCCTGGATGGCAGGCATTATTTCCCACTATCCAGGGCCGCCTTGTGCAAGCATCACTCGCCAACAGTGATTTGGAAGAGATCGTTAATGAGGCACCACACAGATGTGGCCGATGTCTGGGTAGACTGCCCAGGGTTTGGAGATCGAAGGCTGAAGAGAGTCGCACTCGCATGGTGCAGCAACTCGTGGCCTCGGAGTGTACAGCCGTAATCTCGTGGTCGATACTCATTTCCTACGAAGCCTAGCCCCCATGATGTTTTGTAGCCTGCTGAGTTTCCAACAGGCGGTGTATGGTCTAAACCAGAGTTGGACATCTTCGCTTATTGGATTGTCCAGCCCCTGTCGGAAGCTGGTGGAGGAAAAAGCACAGACTTCAATCATGCGGTCGTCGTTTTGTCGCGTAACATGAGCGGTTCCAGTTTCAGTTATATGATGGCTAAAGATGCCCATTTGCAGCCCACCTAGTACATACCACGACCTGAACAGTGAAAGCTCTAGCAACTGTGGAGTCGGTTGCGAATCGAGCTGTGCGGCCTCGATTGGCATGACGGATGGCAGCTTCGGTGGGGGTCCAAATCTGAAGTTCGTTCGAGTCACAAACGTCCAAACCCTCCTTTTGAGTATCCTGGAGACCCTAGACACCACCGAACAAATGCCATCTGGTGCGTTGAAGTCTTCAGTCAACCCGGGCGATTCTTCTGATTGGACTTATTCTCTACAATACAATCCTTGTGGGCTTCGACTCCACTTTCGCACCGTCTAACTATTGATCGCAAGCCATGACTTGGTCTTTTAGTTCATTCTACAAATCCGACAAGGCATCATTGCTTGCATAGCTCCCCCATTTCCGCAACCCTTGTTGACCTAACCCCTGCTCGCCCTGGCCCATTTATCACCACTCTCACGGTACCGAAACCCTATGTATCGCCTTATCCTCCATCTCGATCTCTAGGTCTCCAAGTTTATTGAATACTCGCGACTGGAGAAGCCCCTTTGCTCCCTAATTGCCCTATTCTTGTACTGCATCCTGCTATTTTCGCTTGTTATCCCCAGGGTCGAACTTGTAGGAGGCCTTCACAGCTCTACCGGCCATTGCACACTGTTCCACTGAGGTTTTGTAGCCTTCTCCCAGAGTCTGCAACTGTCAGAAACGAGTCGCGATCTCTTGGAGGGAAGTCACAGGCTACAACGCACGAAACCTGCACCCGATGCCGTGGGCAGGCAATGGTTGCACGAGCAATGAAGTTGACAGTTCATGATAAATATGTCAACATCAAATCCCCAATCACCACGAGGCGCGGCTGCCACGGAAAAGCAGAAGAGGCGTGCTAATTCATGTTTGCCATGTCGCGAGAGCAAGTCACGAGTACGTCTTCTTCCACCACCAGGCGATGATCATTGATTCCGTATTACTAACTTGGATAAGTGCACCGGCGGTATACCTTGTGCGACATGCTTAAAGAAGCGTCAAAAGCCCCGATGTGTCTATCGCAACTTGACCCCCAAAGAGGTAGAAGCCGATGAGGTTGGTACTCTATTGGTCTAGCACCACAACTCTTCACTGACATGATCTCTAGCTTCTAGAAAACACCCTCCCGGAGCAAGAAGAGGATGATCTTCTGGCCTTCGCTTGCCAGCAAGAGCCCGGGATCAATGAAGATCCTGGGCATACTGATGATGGTACCTTGGTCATCCCCCTTGGAGAATTTTTTGGCTTGTTCTCCTTGTCGCGGACCGTTGATGAGGTACGCGTTACTGTTAATGCATTGTCTCGGGAAAGCTACTAACTATGAGACAGTACAGACAGAGCGCCCGGTCTGAAGGCTCGACCCAAGATGTCGTGGACTCGTTGCTGACCACCCAAGCCCTCCTGGCCGAATCGACTGATAGGCAAAGCTCATCGTCGTTGCAGCCAACAGTGGTTCAATCAGCAGGAGCGATCGAAACAAGCAGACCTCTGCTATCAATAGATATGGATTTGCAGCTTCCGAAACACATTCGGTGGCTGTACTCAAAATATGTTTCAATCTGCCAAATGCTTGACACCGGTCGGGTGACTCAAGGATGGACTACCTTTCCTAGCCTTATGCGCGAGGTTGAGCTATGTGGAAGTAAGTATATATATCATCTCCCACTACCATGAGGCCTTTCGTTAATGTTAAATTCAGTGGACCAAGAACGCACTGCCGAAGAAAGTACATCGAGCCCTGAAATCACCGAAGCTTGCCGGCGTCTTTGGTGGCACCTCATTGATTTGGATCTTCGACTGAGCCTCCTCGTGGGCCGTAAGCCTCATCTACACTCGAATGCCTTGAGATTTCCGCGACCGTCTTTCAGTGGCTTAAAGCCCGATGAGAAACGTCTTCAGCAGAGTAAGTTTGACTTCATACAATTCAAGATGGAAGTCTTGACTTCCATCAACACCGATCACACTCAGGCGACCGCAGTACCTGAAGATCGACAACCAAAACAGGAGGTAGTTCTCAAAAAGTTCGAAAGACTCCAGGAGAAAGCTCCTGGACCCTCTCAGGACGGTTCCAAGGATATTGTTCATTCCCTTGCTGTCGCCGAACATCAATTGGACATACATTTGTTCTCAATTGTGTTTCACCATCACCTTACCCGTGTCACCAGTTTGGACCAAGCCCAACAACCATCTGGTCGTGATAAGCCGTCAGCTGGGCACCCAAAGGTGGTCAAGTCTCGCAACTTGCGAAAACAATCGTCTGGAAAATCACAGAAGGACATGTTCCAATCAGCTCGGCGGGTCATGGAAATCTTCGACTACATTTTCATTTCGGACACATCCAGATCTGCTCTGTCTTGGACACAGTGTTTTGGAGCGTACTTGGCTGCAGTGATACTTGGTATAGCTCGTCTTCGACAAGACGTTGACCTCTCAACGGATTCGTCGCGCATACAGCAAACTCTCAAGGTCTTTCAGGAGCTCACGTCCGCTGTACCAGCTTTGAATATTGCTCAGCTTGTAGCAGGCTCCTTGGAAAATCTGACCATCGCCCTTGACGATCTCGAGAATGGTCGGGATGCACCTAGTAAGAGCGAGCCTTTGCAGATGAAGCGCAGTCCAACGATGTCCGGAAAGCCAGATGCTTCATCCAGTACAGCACGACATAAAGGGACAACAGACGTCGAATCAATAGATACTTCCTTTCAAAGGCCCGGCAAACGTCCAAATCCTTCGGGCTACGATGTTGATCAACATCAAGATAAGCGAGCCAGGTTCTCTACGAAGGTTCCTCCATTCGATGGCTGTCGACCAAGCGTTCCAGATTGGTCAGCTTGTCAAGAGCATCAATATATCCAACAGGGGTCATCAGTCAGCGATATTCCGATGGAGTCTTTTCACGATCAGTCTGCATCAGCGAGTTTCGATCAACCATTTCCACACAGTGCATCAACTTCTTTTACAGGTAACGAGCCAATGGAATATAGTAATCTAGAGTATGGGTCAAGCCAAGATGGCAGTCATCACTACAGTTCCGTTGAACCATGGTATCACCCTCCCATGTCAATACATCCACCCATGTATGACAGGCTCTGGCAGGCTCAAGGTGCGTCACTCACTATGGTTGGGGATGATGGAATTCAACATTCATTCTACGGTAATCCTTCATCCATGACGATGAACGCTCCACATCACTTGGATCAGCAATTGCACAGCCAGCAATCCATGATGCTGAATGCAATGGGACAAATGAACGCAGCGCATGTCCATGATGGTTCACTCAAGGACAATTCAGCCATCCGTGGACCCACGCACACCTCGCTTGGACCTGATCAGGTCCAGCCTCCCCAAAACGCTTTTTACGGTACAGTGGAAGAAACCCAGTATCCCGCAGCGCAGCATCCCTCCAGTTCACCGATAATAGGAAACGGACTTACGCCACGAGAGGGTGTGTTTGTATACCCTGCGGACTCCTCTCGTCGACGAAGCGTAGCAGACATCAATCAACAGCAACGGGGAGGGTGGAGTGTGGAGACGCCTGCCAACTATAACGATCTACAAACCCGAGGGAAAGTCAAGCCAAGTATCGACAAATCTCGAAGCCCTCCACGAGATGGTATTCTGTCACCACCAAGTGAAGCGGGGCCACAATCTCGCCGTAATTCAGCGACTCCTAGACAGATCGGCCAGCAAGGAATGCAGGCCAGTTTAACACAGCACCTTGATTTCTCTCTCGATGATTATCACCCGCCCATGATGCTACCAGGGCACGCTATGCATCCAGAAGAGTACCCCGGGTCACGGAGGGCATCGCTCGCACGTGGACTCGATGTGTCGATGAACGAAGTCAATGTTAATATCCCACCGCAAGTAAACATCATCTCCGAACAAGCAGCTGCGTGGCAAAGCCAGAGACGTACGCCCGCAAGCCAAACACACTTCGACACGACCGACACGATAAGTTACGATCTAGAAATGACATATAATACACAGTTTCACCAGCATCCACATCAACAACAGCAAAGCCTACACCACCATTACCATCACCTCCATCACGAATTTCCTGGCCCTCCAGGCCAGATTGTCACAACAGGGCCATACCCTGGCGAACGCCGATGGTGGGGAAGTAGTTAGTTTTATGCATCGCATTGGGCCGTCTGTGTATATTTTCATGGGGTGTTGTCTGAACTCCGTGTGGGATGGAGTCCGCAATCTTTTACCCAAGTTGCATGAGTTGTTGTTGTTGTTGTTTTCTCTTACCTATACCCATGTCTCCACCAAAGCCCAAAGGAGGGTGGTGGAACAGCGTTGTCAACTTGTCAAGGATGAGCCATTGTGCGGCCCCGGTGTTTTTGTTAGTCAACGACGCATGGATTGTAACAACACCAGGTACTTGTACTTGTTGTGCTTTATGTTTGTGTCATGCAACGCGGTTACGACGAATCAGGAGGTCATGAAAGCGAATCAATGAATCTAACCAGTGACCACATACACGGTCAGAAACGAGGAGGAAGCCGGAAGACCGGGCAAGTGGGCCATGATGTCGAGTAGTCATCTACTTTGTAAGTGTTGGAAACCACAAAAATATATCTAGCCACGACTTTGGTGCCTACTACGTAGGTGACTTTGTAAATACGAGATATGAAACTACGATCCCAGCGCTGAAGTGCTCCATACTGCGTAGCAATTTACCTCAGGTGGCTAAATTTCATCCGTGTTACAAGTCTTGCTCAGCTGTGCTTTAAACGGAGATCGGGGTCTGCACAATTGAGGAGAGACCCTAACCATTTATAGACTAAAGGGGCCGGGTTGCCGTGAACACACTAAGCCTGATCGGTGCTTAATAGCCGCGGCGTAAATGGCGTTTCACTAGCGCAGGCGTCTTGCATGAGGGAACAATACGAGTACCTCGTACAGAGTATGGAGTATTCGTAGGTAGAGTTCGAGTTTGTCCGTCACTTTAGTACTGTAGAATGACTGACAAATGGCAATAAATGACTGACAAGGGATAGGTGACGGGCGTCATGATACTAGTTGCTTTTAGAGGCTTAGTATAGCGCTAAATACTAGAGGCTAAATGGGATATAGGTTCCTCTTTCCACCAATTTTTACTAGTAAAGTGCTTAGTGTAGATCTCCTAGAACATCACATGACCATACTTCAGTAAGTGCCAAAATACATGTCTCGTCCTGTCTGTCACACAAATCCCACGGGTCGTAGGTTGTAGGCCAAGAAGCTCTGGCTCGTCCGCTGCTCTACGGGTCGAAATCAACCACCTTACGAGTCAGTCACCTGATCTTGCCAACAAGAAGGCACGTCACCGGGCCTGTAACCGGATCAGACAGGTGCAACCGCCACTGGTGTTCTTGCCGGTTGTAGCCGAGGCCGAAAGGGGGTTTGGTAAGTTGGTATGGAGTACGAGGACTCCATACTCCATCATCCGTACTACTCCGCCCTGCGAAGGGCTTCTCCGACTCTAAACACGCAACAGTCCTCACCTTTCGAGTGTTGATATAAAACGTTGAACCCCGCGTTCCAGCCGCCTGTCTCGCTCTGACTGGTCTCTCTTCCGGCCATCGCCAACATGTATCCCCCGTTGGACTACATAGAGCACCGCCGCACTTGGTAAGTACTTGAATACTTCGTATATCGATCGCCCTTCCCCGCTCCGCCCTCTCTGTCCTTGGCTAACCACCTCCTCCGTCCTCCGCAGTGCCCGCAAGCAACAGGAACGCTCTGCACGGTTCGATGCCCTCTCAGACGCCTACAGGGGCCCATTGACCTCCCAGCAACGATCCATTCTCTATGCACCCATTGCATCTCTCGTCAAGGACGTCCAGAACAATGAGGTTTCCCCACTCGACATACTCCGGACCTACGGCAAGACTGCAGCCATCGCCCAGCAGCGAACCAACTGTGTGACAGAGCTTCTCATTCCCGAGGCCGAGAAATGGGCCACAAGTGATGTCAACCTAAAGGGTCCTCTGGCAGGCATCCCCGTGTCCCTCAAGGACACTATCGCGGTTGGTGGCTTCGATGTGACAGTGGGATACAGCAAGTATGCCTTCAAACCATATGCACAGGATGGAGCACTCGTCAAGCTCCTCAAGAAGGCCGGCGCTGTTCCCCATGTCAAGACAGCCCTACCAATCACCTTGTTAAGTTTCGAGTCTACCAATGATCTCTGGGGGGTGGCCAAGAACCCACATAATTCATTGTACAGCCCCGGTGGTAGTACCGGCGGGGAGGGTGCTCTGCTCGCCCTCAACGGGTCACGTATCGGTATTGGGAGTGATGTCGCAGGTTCGGTCCGTGCCCCAGCTGCTTGGTCAGGCATCAATTCCATCCGTTGCAGCACCGGTCGTTGGCCGAAAGTGGGCATCGACACCTCCATGCCGGGCCAAGAAGGCGTCCCTTCAGTCTTTTCGCCCATGGCTCGCACTCTGGATGACTTGACCTACTTTTTCCAATCATTCATCGGCATGAAGCCGTGGGAGGTCGATTACACCGTCCATCCCATTCCCTGGCGGCAAGACATTTACGACGAAACCGCATCGAAAAAGCTGAGGATTGGTCTTCTCGAAACCGACGGCGTCGTCCAACCTGCTCCTGCCATTGCACGAGGCCTCTCGGTAACCGCCAGCGCTCTCCGTAAAGCAGGCCATGAAGTCGTCCCCATCCCGGTCTCCGCATTTCCTCCCGCTGCCACACCGGCATATGGCCTTCAAGTCGCATCGATGCTTCTCTGTGCCGATGGCGGCCGCACGTACAGATCTTTCTTCCGCAGCTTCGAAACCAGTGACCCAGGCGCCGCGCAGATCAGCTTCTACATGTCCCTCCCACGACCGATCAAATACCTATGGTACCTCTACACCCGATACGTGAAACGCGATCCGCTATGGGCAAGCATACTGCGGTACTTCCACCCGCTGACCGCCCAAGGCAACTGGCAGTGGGTGGCCAAGCGTGAATCGTTCCGCAGCACTTGGTTCAACTGGTGGAGCGAGCCGGCCCAATCTTTCGACTGTATCCTCTGCCCTGGAAACGCAACGCCCGCTCTACCCCACAACGCGATGCACGACGCCGTCTCGTCCTGCGGCTACACCTTCCTCTGGAATCTGCTGGACTACTCGGCGGGAATCGTGCCCGTGACCAAAGTTGATGCCGCCAAGGATGCGCTGCCCAAGCACTGGACACCAAGCAACGGTGTCGAGAAGGGCGCGTACAAGCACTACGACTCCGTGAAGATGGCGGGCTTGCCCGTCGCCGTGCAGGTGGTGGGCAGGCGCCTGGCCGAGGAGAAGACTCTCGCGTGCATGAAGGTCGTGGAGGACAGCCTGCGCAGCGACGGCGTCGTTTACGAGCATCTCGACATCGAGAACTTGCCGCTCCTGGATTGAGTCACGACATGTCATCATAACTATTATTGTTGCTGTTGTTATTATCATATCATGTGCAGTGTCGGCTGACATGACATGTAGATACCCCCTACCATATAATAGTAAAAACTGTACAGAAAGAAAAAACCTTTGTCCGCACATTCCACCAGGACCAGGCAGCAACCCGGCCCGGGTTGCTGCGGCGATCTATCTATAGCAGTACTAGTTAGGTGCAACACAGTGGTGGTTGTGTATGGTTCTGTTGCACGAGGCTTTTTCCCTGCACGAATATGTATATATATACCGACGTCACGACCCAGGAGAGTTGAACATGTACAGGTACGGGATCGGTCTGGGATCCAAGAAAGTAGAGTCCCCGTTCCGGGTCGGAGTCTGTCGGAGTCCAAGGCGTGTCTGTGTCCGTGGTATCTAGTGGTGACCCGGATCTTGTCTCGTACACCTGATCCGCAGACGTATTTCTCGCCCTCGCCCCCGCCCCCGTCCCCGCCCTCTTTCCCTTGATTTTTGTGCTGCCTCCCGACCCGCTTCCTCGACCTTGCACTGCCCTGCCCTGCCCTGCCGTGGCCTTCACCTCTTCGACCTCGCCCTAAAAGATATCGTCGCAAACCTTCCAATCGCGCTCTTTGCGGTGCTCCCAATACTGTCCCGTACTATGCCAGTAGCTCTCGCCAGTCACCTCGTCGGTCCTCTTCTCGAACCACTTGGGCCGCCACTCTTCACCGGCGTTCTCGCGCTGCCGGCGGGCGGCGCGCTGCTTCTCCTCGACACGGTTCTTCTCCGTCGCGGCGAAGTCGTACTCGCCGTCTTCCATGGCGCGTTGGTCGGGGCGGAGGCGCGTGTCCGTCGGTGGGAGCACGGCGCGCAGGGCGTCGGGGACGGCGTTGAGGGTCACAACGAAGGGTGTCAGGTTGAAGGGGATCCCGGTGGGCCGTTTGTGCGCTTCCCAGACCAGGAAGGCCTGTTGGCCGGACTGGCTGATGGATTTGGCGTGACTGGGTGCGCCGGCTTGGCCGACTGCTTCGTCTTCGAAACCCTCGGTGACGCGCGCGTAGATCTTGTCGTTCCATCTGCCTCCAATGCTCCATTTGGTGACGCCGTCCACACCCGTTACTTTGCCCGTCACTTGGTACGCGGAGCTGGCTTTCCAGCCTCGTTGTTTAAAATCAAGGAGGCAGACTTCACCGGTGGTCCAATTCTTGATCTCCATCGGACCGTAGTTGTCCACAGTTGGGTTGCCGGTGATAATGCCGACGACTGAGCTGGTTACCTTCTTCCAGGTATAAAGTTCGGCTGGTCCACCATCCGAGGGTCGCAAGCGTAGAAACCATGTTCCCAGAGGGTTGATGTCGAACGACCTGCCGTAGAACTTCGACTTGACTGCTGATTCACCCCAGTAGTCCCATCGAGCGGACTCAGCATATGCCGCTCCAATGGGTGGGTGGTGTGAGACTTGTTCGATGAAGAACCGATACCCCTTATCGGGCCTGACATATTCATAAGTCTCACCTAGTAGTGGGTTGAAAGGTTTGGCAACACGGCCAATAGTACTTGCATACTCGGACGCCGCAAAAGCGGCGACATAGACAAGTCGTTCAGTCGTATCAGGCCTGTCCGCTGCAATATCGAGCAGATCGGCATACTCCATGTCCTCAGCGACACGCTGAAGAAGCGACGTGGGCTCGTTGAAGGAGACGGGTAGGGTCATCTTGGTCATGTCCTTGCCAATCATAGACTTCAGAATACCCCAAAGGGAAATCTTCGGACGGTCATCTGCGTCCATCTTCAGCCTCTTGCGAATACCATCCTCATATCCTGCGTATGATGGTTCGATCTCCATTTGCTTCATGGCCCTGGCGTCAGATTGAGAGAAAGGCTCTGTTTCTTTTTCCTTCTTGCTGCCCACGGCCAACTGTACTGGTGGCGGACTGAGCAGTGGGTGCTCGACGATCTCGACCTTGCCAGCGTCGATTGCATCGAAGAATTCCTCGTCATCTCCAGACTCAGAGTCCGAAATGTTTGTGTATTGAGCAATGATGGACTTTCGTCGATTGCCTTCCCTGGTGATGGACATTCTCCGCGACCGGTCACGTGTTGAAATTTGAGCTTCAGGACGGATATGTATCTGATCTTCTACTGCCTCGGCGAATTGAACATGATCCGAGGGCTCTTGTGCCAGAGAGGGAGGACGGCTTGTAGATTGACCTTCAAGAGCTTCCTTTAGGGCTCGCTTGGTACGCTTTCGCTTATCCTCAGACTCGGCAATGTACTTCTTTAGATCTTCATGCTCGTATGCGATCTTGGCCATACTTTCTTCCCACATCTTCCGAGCATCGGCATCTCGGTCAAGTCGGTATTGCCAATAAGCATCGCGATCTTTGGAGATCTTCAATAGGTCTGCAACCAATCCGTTCAGACTGCTAACGGCGGTCTGGTAGGTATGCAGTGCTTGCGAAACGTCTGGATCAGCAAGAGTGGTTTCGGGCTTTGAGGATCCACGGTTGATGAGTGCATCAGACACTCTAGAGAGCAGGTCGAGCTGCAGCTTGGCAGATTGGGCAGTGATGTTGAAAGCATCTTTACTTCCCGGGTGATGGACTTCATGGCTACTCCCGTCGTCACCATCGGCGTCATCATCATCGTCACCGATAGTAGCGGTATGGGCATTTGTCGGAATACGTTGGAGCTCTTCACCAACCACACTGGCTTCATAGGAGTCGTATGCGGCCTCTTGATCCGAGCGAAAGCTCAGCTTGGACGAGGAGCCTTGAACTCCAAGGTTGGTGGAGGCATGTTTAGACCTGACACTCACAGCACTGCTTTCTGCACCATCGGATTTATGCCGCAACGCGTCGACGTCATGGGTCCGTCGTTTCTCTTCCTTGGCCTCATCCTTGGTGAATTGAATGGCATTATTGAGAGCCCAGAACCATCTCTTGGCCTCGACCACATGATTGGCTTTCAGGTGGTATTTGACGGATGATTTCCCGTGGATCTCGAAGCGAGTCTTGTCTTGTGCATCCATATGTAATCTGGCAATACGCATGTTAATGGCTCCACGACAGGCGGAGCCGGCATCATCTTGATGTTTGTAATAGCTGAGAACACCATCTTCGAGAACAAACCAGCGGAGTTTATATCCACTCGTATAATTGGTCCACTTCTTGAGATAGCCTTTCATCTCTCGAGCATCTTTCGTTGTATCACTGGCACCAGTGGTTCTGGCTGCGGTGGGGGTATTGCCCAGGATAGCCTTCTCTTGAACGCCTCGTTGAGCGGCAGCGGCAGCAGGTGACTTTTTCAAGATCGCTCTTGTACGGTCATCCTTTGTCACATCCTGCGGCAGCTTCCCTTTCCGGTCGCGTCTAAACGGATCGGCGCCGTGCAAGAGTAGAATCTGGGCGAGTTGGATATCTTTCTTTCGAGCAGCCTCATGCAATAAAGTGCCTCCAGTCTGGACGGTGTTAGGTTCTGTAGGTAGCTCCAATGCATTGACGTCCAGGGTACCCTCGACCCGGGGCTCGATGAGAAGCTTCTCAATATGTTTGTAATCTGCCTTTGCCAGGCAGGCATGGATCTCCTTGATCTTGTCGTCGAGGAAGATGGCGCGGGCGAGCTGCAGTTGCTGGAAGATTTCTGGAGTCCTTGCTAGATCAATGGGGATCTTGCCCTGTCTATTGGAAATGGCGTCATTGATGTCAGGGTGTTCGAGGAGGTCTTTCACCACAGGTGACCGGCCAAGCTGGGCCGCCAGGTGTAATGCAGTATTTCCTTCCTTGTCTTGGGCATTGATGTCCAGGCCCTTGCCTTCGTTTATGATCTGTTCTACCACCTGGGGCTCTGCGCACTGTATGGACAAATGAAGGATTGTTGTACCGGGAATCGGACTCAAATTGGCGGCGGAAGGGATTGACTCTTGAATGGCCTTTGATATTGCGGCGGGGTCCTTGCCGCGCAGAACCTCAAAGACGCGAAAGGTCCGCACCGAGTCTTCTATTGATGCGCCAGACGCAGGTCCGGAGCCTGAAGAGACCTTATGAGAGGAGTCTGGGCTGGTGGAGAGTTCGGAGGTATCCATGGTCAATTGTGACGTTCTTGTGGTTGTGGTTGACAAGGGCGCCAGTCGAGGGCCATCGGCAGGCGTTAGATGCGATGCACTGGTCGAAGCTGTGGCAGAGAAAGGCCCCGCGGTCGAAGTGGTCGTATTGACTGGAGACTCGGTTTCTGAGCCACTGTCCTTGGGAACGTGGTCGCTAGTACGCAGCAGATTGAGGACGCGAGAGCTTTTGGAACGTTTGTGGGAGGATTTGTCGGAGGACATGATCGAGGTGATGGAGGGGAAGAGGAGGCGGCGCGAGGGGAGCGGCGATTGAATGACGACAGGTAACACTGTATAATAATAATAATAACGATAACAACAGAATCAGGAGGATGTCTGGCAGAAATAAGAGGTGGTCACCACCCAATGAGTAGTAGCTGTTATTACCAAGAGGAGTAGGGGTTAAGCAGTCGTTGCTCCTTGCTATTTACTCCCTACTAAACTAGCAAATACTTAGTCACTACCGAGTATGGAGTATCCTAGATCGACTGCCAGGTTCCCTTTTCTCTGAGGGAGCCCCTGGGTTGTTGGGTGTTGGATGTTGGGTGCTCGTGGGTGGCTGCTTGTGGGTGGCTTGCCGCAAAGGATTTGTCTCACCCCGCTATAACCACAGGACGACCACTGGTCCTGGAAAGGCAACGATGGGCGATGAGATGGCAGGCAATGGGGCAAAGGCAGCAGATCCCCGACCCTGTGCCGCTTGTGATGCACAATGACGCCAGGGGCCGATCACCAGATTTGCAAGGATGATAGTGACTGGGTGGATGAGAAGAAAGGCAGGCATGTGGTTGTAGTTGTGGCGATAACACAAACAGATGAGAGATCGAACGTCAACATATACCTAACATACATACCATACTGTAACTGTCCAGTTGGATTCGTATAGTCCCCCTGCACTGTCATTATTGACAGCAGCCTGGCCCTGGCAACGCGTTCGTGCTCTCTGCCGAATACACAATTGAAGCGAAGACGTGGCCACAACCACCCCCTACGTTCCACACGGTGTATGTTCGGTTCTGGCGGAGAGGCTGTGTACAAAGAATTCAAACTTTGACTTTATACTCCGTAAGGATCTCCGTAGCCTGAATAATGCGTTCAACTACGAGTAAAGCCATTTGAAGATCTTGAAGAGATGTGTGCATAGATGCGTAGATGCATGCATACCTTTATTCATTTCCCATCTACAGTCTTCATTTCCATCCGCACATGGTGCTGTTCGTCATCACCGGCTTGCCTTCGCCTGCGTCTAGCACGTCCGGCCCTCGATACTGGCAGATCGGGACAAACGACTTTTGTCTGATTCCATTTCCATTCATCAACCACACGTGTTTATGTTTCTACTGTCGCCTCGTCCAGCTATCAAAGTCACAATAATCACCCAAGCAGATCATCCAAGCCATTGCCCAGTGGCGTGGCGGGCTTCGCCGCTGTGGTTGGCTGAGGAGCCACAGTACCACCGCCAGGTCGAGCAACGCCTGCTGAACTTGCCGCCGAAGCTGCACCCCATATGCCAGCTTGGCTCTTTGCTTTAGACAGGCTCGCTAGGTCCGGTCCCTTGGCCGCGGTGGCTGTCTTGTTCACTCCTGCCGCTGAGCTGGCAGTGCTCCAAAGGGACCCGAACGCATCTCCACTACCAGAGGCTGCCTTCGCAGGGGGTTTGCCTAAGGATGCTGCTGATGTAGATGACGTGTAAGAAGGCGCCACCCCTGGTCGCGAGTTCAGGGCGGACGATGTTGGTGTTGGGGCTTGTTGGCCTGCTGTCATAGGTACCGACGTAAAGTAGTTTGGCCCAGTCGACTTGAATCCCGTGCTCGCAGGGAAGGTTGGCGCTGGGGGGTTTGGTCCCGTAGGTGACGCCAGAGTCGAGGCTGACGGTGTCAGTATCGATGAAGACACAGACGGAGCGGGAGACTTGGTGCCGAGAATATTGTTGAAGCTGGCACTCTGACCCGGTGCAAGAGGTGTAGGAGCGGCATATTGGGTCGAAGAGGTGGTTGTTGATGTGGTTGGGGGAGGAGGTGAGAGAGCTGCCAGAGCGTTGCTTGCTGGTTGAGCTGCTGAGGGTGTGGCTGATTGAAAGTCGTCAAAGTCGTCATCGTCGTCGTTGGCCGGAGCAGCATTAGTAGTCAAGCCGACCATAGCTGGAGCCTTTCCGCTCGAAGAACTCGTCACAGGTTCATCACCGAATTCAAAAAGGTCTTGTTCCGGTACTTTTGGCTTTGGTGCTTCTGGTTTGGCGCTGGCGGCAGGGGTGCTCCTTGTGGCCGTAGTCCGAGTCGGTCGTGTTGGCTGCACTTCTTCTGCCTCATCATACTCCTCGAACTGATCCGCACGCCGCTGAGTGCCTGAGAAATCCGTTTCTCGGCCGCCGAACCCACCGCCATCCCCATACACTTCTCCGTGATAGCCTCCATAGCCGCTGGTCTCGCTACCAAACCCACCATACTGGCTACCGCCACCGCTCGAGAATCCACCTCCCACACCCATGCCGCCTTCGACACCACCGTATTTGTTCTTGTTCATACGCGCTTTCTTCCTTTCCAATCGGATGGCATCCACGTCGCTAAGGAGCTTGACCAGCTCGTTGGTTCGGTTCCGGACGTTGACACCCTGATCCTTACCGTTGGGATCAATGTAGTGAAATTGACGGAGCATTCGTAAGAGGGAGAGGTGTGACCTGGCATCATCGATGACTCGCTCGGAACCATTCTTGCACAGGAACTCTAAAAGTTGAAGAGCCTATCTCGACCATCAATCAGTCCGAGTCCTCCTTTCCGTGTACCAGTAGCCATTACCTTGTATATCTGCCTCCATTCTTCTGCAGTTTTGTCTGTGAAGCGTTTGTAGATCATAGGCATGATCTCATTCAATTGTTGACTGTGCGAGTTTGTCAGACGGGGAGTTGCACTTTCAGGGAGGGCAAACACGGACTAATTGTGAGTTCCCTGAGCAATCTCTTGCATTAAAGAGGCAGAAGCACCCCAAGGGTCTCCGTTTGTTGCTTCTCGGACCTGCGAGGGCAACAGGTCAGTACATATCTCCCCTGGGCCCAATGCTGGGGAGGTGGTAACCGACCTTGGACTCCATCTCGGTGAGGTTCATGACCGCTTCAAAGAAACCCGTGTCAGTCCGATCGTGTCTCTTAGACCTGTGTCGAATGTCGACCCACCATTTTGCACTTTACGAACCCCAGCCTTGAGGTCGTAAAGGGTCAGGTTGCTGACCTGATTCTTTAAGCTGTCGAAATCCATGGTTGACAGGAAGGGAGTTGCAGCGTGACCGATTGTTGGTTGCAGTGACAGGTAAGGGGACAATAGCTGTTGTTAGTGACTTGCGTCCAGCCAGGAGGAGAGTTGATCAAAGGCTGCCAACGTTGATCCCAAAAGAGCCCAAATTGTGTGGTGAGTACTCGGTAGAGGGGGGTAATTTCAGAAAATGGACATTTGTTATGAGGGTCACGGACAAGTATGGGGATTGCCAGCGTTGCTTTAGCCCAAACACTCAAGAACTCAAGAACTCAGGAACTCAGGGTGCAAGGAGGAGCCGGCAATTGAAAGGCCCCCCAAGCCGCAAGCCCCAGGCCCCAAACGAGGAAGCCAAGCCAGGATGGACACCACTCAAAAGAATTTATTTTGACTGACGACACTGCAATTGATTCGACGTCGTAGGAGATGTCTAAAAGATATGCATGGGAAGGGGGTCAGGTCGGGTCGTCAGACGGGCGATTATAAATCGGCTGTGGATTTGCTACAAAATGACGCCTGCTTCATCGATAATGATTGTTCCTTCCTTCCACCTCCCCATAGGAGCGAGAATATATATGATTGAACACTCGTAATTGCGATACATGCGGTGTGATATTTAGTGCGATGTGTGAGTGTATGTGCTTGTGCGTCACGGTGAGTTCCAGGTTTACTGTTGGCCACTGTTGGCAGCTTGGAACGGGTCCCTTCACGCTCCAACAACGTTGAGTGACAAGAACACGAATTCACTGCCTCACTCCGGCCACCGTACCGGCGCGACTATAACCCGCCACGAAAAAAAGCACATTAGTATATTCCAATCCCAGAAATACTCCCAACATCTGTCGGAAGCGATTCCTCTATTCCGGAACAACTTGTCGTATGGCGGATCGTTACTACAGTGGTTGGTTGGCGGGCCCGCCTGAATATATGCCCAAGTTAGGGTTGTTCGCATATATCCCGAATGCGATGAGCATTCGAAAAAAATGGCCGGTATGATCCGGCGGTTCGAACCGCCGGGAAGCCTAACAATCTTTTTTTTTTGTTTTTGGGGGGATTTCTCTTTTTGCAACGTGTGGTGATGACGAGGGTTTTGCTATAGCTGTGAGGTGTCGTGGAGGCGTGGGGAGGCTGTGAGATTCACTTCTTTACAGGCGACCGTCCCAGCTGGCAACTGACTATAGGCCTAGACCGAAACTGACGAGCCAAATCTAGGGCATCGACTCATTCCTCGGGGGTCTGTAGAGCTACGAACTGGGTCGGGATATGGAACTCTACAGGATGAGACACATAGCACTAGGTAATAAATAGACCCGCACGAGAAGAGGCCTAAGGGATTCGGTTGAATATCATTATGCCTAGAACATCTGCTCTGGCCTTACGACAATCTCAAACAGAAACATACAGGTTGGACAATAGGACTCTTACATTCTCGAGTAACTAGTCCTAACACAGAGAAAATCCCTTTGAGTGGAAAGTCCACTTTGTTCGTCTCATATAGCCCTCGGCCCATTTCCATCTCCTTCTCCTGAGCTTCAAGATCTCTCTGTCTCTCGCGATCCGCGGGTCCACCTATCGCCCAAACTTCCTCTTCTCGAAATACCTGAATGGTAAATAGGTGGCAAAAGTAAAGGCAAAAGCCAACTCGAATCCCACATCACCACCGTAGTCTGGCGACCCGATCAATTTCCCAACGGGACCAATATACCAAACCTGCGCCATACCCATAACAGCACCGACAATTCCAAAGCAGAACGCACCGAGGGCGGCAAAGCTCGGCGGCAATTTCTTCGGCTGGTCATAGTTTTCAGCATGGTAGCCGGAAAAGCCGCGCTTGAAGACGAAGTGCTCGGGCAGAGAAATGCCCTCGTAGATGGCGAGCCAGTAGCCGATGCACAGCATGAAGTTCTCGAGCACGGACTCGAAGTGCGAGTAGCCCGGGATGGCGATGGCGCAGTAGACCACCGTGGCGATGAAGGTCCAGACGAAGCGCGGCACAAATTGCGCGTAGTGCGTGATGGATTGGAGCGAGAAGGAGATGGAGTATATATTCGGGCAGTTGTTGCCGATGATAGAGAGCGCCAGCACCACGACGCAGAATGCACCGAAGTTGCCCAGTCTTGGCACTAGGATCTCGTGTAGGAGGCCTCCGATGTGGTCCTTTTGGTACGCCTTTGAGTATAGTTCGTTGTTGACAGTCGCGGTGCCGATGGCCGCGCCGAGCATCATGCAGAAGCAGAGAGGGAAGAACAGCCCGACAAACGTGTAGGCAAAAACCTTGACCCGACTCACGTTCGCTGGCTGGTAACAGCTGTAATCTGCAGCGTAGGATGCCCAGCCAGTTGCAAAGCCGAAAATCGCTGCGGCGAAGGACAGCACAGAGCCGGCTTCGCTTGATCCAGCGCCCATGGCGAGGTTTTCAAAGTCCCCTCGGTGGGCGAACTCGCCCACTACCACGAGCAGGATTATCAGGCATGGCACCCAGGATATCATTTCGTACCAGTGCACCACCTTGTAGCCGAAAAGTGTGATTATGAAAGTGCCCGCTGCAATGATGATGATACCAGCATAGCCAGGCACGTTCTCGTTGACGGCGTGCAGTAATTGGGACCCAACAATCACATTGACGGATGACCAGCCAAGGCACGCAAGGCAGTTGAATATTGCGACTGGGATGACGTTAGAGGATTGGTGGACCAGAAAACATGATGGAAAGTTTTGATATCAGCGTACTCAGCTTGACACCATTATAGCCGAACCAGAATCTCCCCAGCACCATCTGTCGCATTCCAAATCGAGGACCGAACGTTGCATAAAATGCCACTGGGATGATACCCAGGACATTGAAAAAGAAGATGGTGAGAACGGCGTCCACAAATCCCAAGCCAAACACAGGGACTGCAAGAACTCCAATGGCAAACGTCGAAACGGTCATGTTTGCAGCCAGCCACTGACCAATACGTGGTTAGCATTTCCTGCCATTTCTGTCGCTATTTCAAAAAGGGGAGAACTGCATACCATGGTACTGAGTTTGATGACCGTCTTATCCGTCCTCTCATCTTCGGGAACTCGTTCGATGCCTCTCTGCTCAACACCGAAACGGCCAGCCAATCGTTGAAGTCTGGCATACAAAGTGTCCCCGGCGACGAAGGACTCTCCATGGACGGCACCAGATTCATCGGGAACCACTACCGAGCGGTGCTTCTCGTCGGTGCTCGGATGCGCATTATATTCAACATCGTAACCGGTCTTGCCGTACGAAGCCATCCTTGTGGTGGTGGCGAAGCCTGACCAAGGAAGTTGTCACACGAGGGCAGAAAAGAGACGAGAAACAGCTGAGGGAAGCACGCCGTGTAATGGGGAATCCACGATAGATATGTGCATGGCTGATCACACGTTCGACCTACCTAAACAAAGCTTATCCAAATAAAAAGATCACTTGTCGCAGGCTGGGATCTTCAAAAGCAGACGCGATCCAAGATGGAGTACGCCGCCAAAATGTGGTTCGGAGGGTCTCGACTCGACAGTTGATGGGATCTTGGAGCTAGAGCAAGCCGGCGGTTTTGGTGGCAGAGATAAGGAGAGGAACAGACCTATCAATTGGCGACCATTACCGGTTATGCTTTCTCGCATGGACAGTCGCCACGGTGGGTGGGAAAGATCCCCAGGCTTGTCTGTTGTCCAAGGTCGATCTCACCGTGCACTTCACATCCAGCCGTCCTTAGGCTACTGGAAACAACGGTTGTGGTTGTTTTATCCAACCCTTGACAGGGACTGACTTTCGCTCTGCAGCTACTGGAATGCCTGTGGTTGGGTGGATGGTCGACATCGTCTGGACAAACAGTTAGACTTACGCATATTTAAGTGTCTTCCGGAGCTTAATTCTTACGCCTTGGGGAGGAATACGAGGTGAAGGTTCGTGAAGGCGAAGCTTGGTATAACACCCTGGGCTGGAGGGAACAGTGCGCGTAGCGGGAAGCGGAGAGCGCCTCCTGTAATTAGTTAGCTAGAGAAGCCGTTTCCCTCAGACCCCAAATCTTGGGTAGATAACAAGGATAACCCTAACTTGTGTCTAGTTCCTCGTAGTAGTTACGGAGTTGGTAGTAATGATTCGTATGCTAGACAGGAAGATAAGGCCGGTCATTCTTGTTTGTCAATTGTAGAGATGCGGCCGAATGTCATGGTGGTCGAAGCCCCATTGTCGCCTGCCCTTGTGTGGGTGGTTTTTCGACAGCGGACTTGGCCGATAGATGCAATTTCAAAATCTCTGACTTCCCGCATTTACGATGTATCATGCATGAATACCGGCAGCTGTCCATTCAAATAATGGATCAATTGGAGGCTGAACTTCCAATTGCCTTAGGGCCTTGCTAGTTGGTTGGTATGGGACTCACGTCGCCACGTGGCACTGGCAGCCCCCCAACCCGACACATGTCGTTGGAACTTAGCTAAATCTAGTTCAAGTTATCTGTTTGTAGGAAGAACAGGTGCCGACTCCCTACAGAACACCGAGGTAGAGTCTGGTACTCTGGGAGGTTGATCTGTTGTAAAGAATGTTGGGTAGTCTCTAGTGCTAGGTAGTCTATGCCTCCCTCGCCAGTGACTCTCAATCTGCCCATGACCCTGAGCATGGAAATAAGAAGAACGCTTGAATTCATCAATAATGGATAGCATTCCACAATCCCATCCAACACACTCACTCACAACACCGAGAAAGCATTTATCGTAGCCGTCATTTCATTACAACCCATTCCCCAGTGCTTCTATGCCTGAAATGTTATTCGGTTGCACGTTATTGAAAGTATAAGGGAAATCCACGATTCCATCAAGCATCCAGTTCAATGGATCGAACACATCATAACTGGCTTGGCCATAATCCATGCTGAAGTCGTCCACCATCCCGGTGGCCATGCCAGCCATACCTGGTACAATGGCGGGGGTTGAAAGTACAGGATCATTTGTTGTGGCATTGGTGTCATTCACCCCAGACGGCATTGTTACTGCATCGTCTAGATGTTGCAAGTTTGGATCTCTATCTCGCACTTGGTCACATTAGCACGCGAGTTCCGAACAATAGCACATTCAGAGTTACTCACTATCAGATGGTTTCCCATCACGAAATTGCGCATTTCGACGCCATCGCCAAACCGAGTCAAATACCAACGACATTGACATCCGGCATTTTACCTTGAGCTGTAAGCTATCATCCGTATCATTGTTGGCAGTGCTATTGGCAGGACTAGGTTTGCTAGTCTTCCAAACCTGTGCCAGCACTTCTGCCAACCTTTCGGCAAGGTCATTTTCAACCACACTCATGGTATGTAATGCCCACACTGTCCTCGACAGTAGATTAGATGCCCCTTGGACGTCTAGCTCATGCTGGTCCAGAAAGTTATGCATCAGTTTAAGAAGCGAAAAGCCTGCTGCCAACATCATGTGGAAGATGTAGTTGGTTGCATTGTTGAGGGCAAGCCCATGAGCGTAACTTGATCCCGTTAATGAAACGCTACTGTTCGACTCCAGACTCAAGCAAGCCTCGAGAAATTCTGTTGTAGCATAATATAACTTAAGCATGTCGGCACGGTATGACGGCAGCGAAGGAGGAGAGAAGAATGCACTCAGCCTCATGTGCAACCCTGCCGCTCGGAGATAAATCTTGGTAATTGGGGAGTCGTCCTTCTCAAGGACATCTTCGAGTTCTTTCAGATCGTGTGCAAGGAATGACACGTACGTAGGCCGCTCTGCATCAGTCGCCAAACCTACAGGATCGTGGGGATTCATGTATAAAGTTCTGGAAACCTTGTCCACAAACTTCTCAATCAATAGCCGATTATAGATCGGGCCGGGTAGCTCATAGTTAGGATTGGTATCGATTGGTTTGGGTCCAAGCGTCCAGTCGTAATGGGTGAGTGGAGGTTGTCCATAGGCGGTGCATATCCTCTGAGCCACAAGGTTGCATACAGTCCACACCACCACTCGGTCCTGTAATTCCACTTCTCTTAATTCAACCCGAAATTTGGTAAAATCTTGGGCATGGGTAGGACGGTGCAAGCCAATTTGCAGAGCTATCTGCATCATCATTCCACATAGCATGAATGTAGGATCAGTCGAAGTACTGCTCGTCGCTACAGGCCAAGCGCACAGCAAGATGAGTGCCTTTACAACATGATAATTCTGCGGAACGTCTGCAATTGTTGACCACACCAGACGTGTCAGAGGTCCACAGAGCGCGGAAAACAGATTCGCCTCCGTAGTATAATGCCGAGCACCAACCGTGATTATCGTCCAGAACAATAAGGGTGACCGAGTCTCATATTCTTCCGGGGTCCGGTTAGGGTTCAGGAATGGCAGGAAAGGATGGTGGAAAGTAAAGAAGCGCTTAAAAAGTTCGTGGACTCGGTCTTTTGTCAGAGTCACATCTTCCAGACGTTTAAAGATCTGTCGGTCGCCAGGGCTTTTATCGAAGTTGCCGCCTTTGAGATCAAGTAGTCCAGCGACGGCTTCATGGGTGAATGACCCCATGTTTTCATGGAGAGACAGAGTCGCAGCACCATTGTGCAGATTTCGATTGGCTTGTGTTGTCACCTGCTGCTGAGCTACCTGCTTTCGCAATTCGACGATCTCTCTTTCCATTTCAGCATTGCGTGATCTCTTGCCAACTCGCTTGAAGTTATCCTCAATCTTGCAGTCGAGGGACAGACGTTTGCACCGTGTGCATTCTCTGAAGGGGTCTTGGATAACATCGCATCGCAACTGTGTTCATTGTTAGAAATAGACAAGCATGGCTGGAAAAACAGATTGTTGATAACACATGGATTAAACGATGACTCAGAGGTGTTGAAGCGGTATTTTCTCACCTGCGATCTCCCACCGCAGGCATGGGTTGAGGACGCGCGAAGGAGTGATCATATGGATGTTTCAATACATCGCTCACCTTTTGCTGGCGACATTCATTGCAAGCCCTCTTCACCGGTCGCCTTCTGCCGTTAACATCATCGCCATGCTCAGGTGACTCGGCACTCGCGGTCGCCGGTGAGCTGTCAAAGCCAGCTAGAGAGGCATTTCTCTTCTGGCCCTGGATTGGACTGGTGAGTGCCGTACCAGGACCGTCGACTTCACTTGCAGCTGATATCGAAGCCACCTTGAAGTCGTCACCGTAATGGGCTGGGTGTGTTATCCAAGATCCGATATCGCAGCTGCGGAAACTGTCGAGTTGGAGCAGATGTGAGCCTGAGATGGGGATATTGTAGCCGTCTGACAGAAAGACAGACCCCGCTTTTCCAGCATGGTTTGGAACCAAGTGGTGCGCATTTTTCGTCGTCTGACCGTGCCATTCCGCGTGGATTTCGGTTGGGTAGACTGACTTGGCGAAGCTGGAATTTTGATCTGATAAGATATGATCAGAAGAGATGATGGGGGCTGGGAATGGAGGGGAGGCCGCTTGGTCGGTTGCACAGCTGGGCTCAGCCCACGGATAGTTGTAGATGTTCATGGGAAGCAGACCAACGAAAAGTCCCAGATGGCAAACAAAGAGCAGAGAGAGAAACTGAAAGGCCCATTGAAGCTCGTGAAAAGATTTTCTCCTAGTGCCTTGGACAAACCCTCACATCCCACGATGTCGTCTCCCTCGACTACCCCCATCCGCTTTGAGCCTCAACCAGTGCAAGACCAACGCGGTGAGATTTTCCAACAACAGTTTCAAACATGTGTTATGCTAATTTCTACTTTCATAGTCACTGTATTTGATTCGAGTGTCGCTTCAGAACCATTTCTCGATTCTGTGGCGTTGGAAAATCTCAGGAAGCGACAACAGGCAGAAGCAACTAAGGCATTGAGCACGAAATAACATCCGAATTGCATCTCAGATCATCAGCTGATAGGACTATCTATGTTCCCAGTTCTAATGATACATTTCGTCAAATCATCCAACTCATTCATCATCAAGACATAACGGTCGTTTAAAGTCTTCGCGCTCGTTCTGGGAATCGTCAACTAGGATATAATGATAAGCTCTGCTGAGAATCGCCCTCCCAAACTCCTATAACAAAAAACAGAATCCTGCCACCAAGGCTAGGTAAAGATGCAGCATCATGTCGTTTTCGCGTCATGCGTTTCGTTTCACATGTCTCTCGAAAGGCTGGTGTTACTCGCTGGGAACCTTGAATCTCCTTGAGAAATCACATTGGCCCCAATACTCTTCCTCAGCATTGCTCTTCTTCTCTCTCGTTTCTCATCTTCTTTTCGTTGTTTAGCATAAAGCAGTCTCCTGTGAATACCACGCAAACTGACGAAGTGTAGACGTAGACCATGACCAGATGATTTGTGTAGACGCCGAGTTGCGCGGATTTTGGCAAGGCTACCGTGGCTGGATTGTCTCTCTACGCCTGTCTTTTGTCGACGGCGTTCCGATATGCGCCTGATCAATGAAGCAGGCCCGTTGATCACTGTCCGTTCCTGCGGTAGACCAAGGGAATTATTTACAATCCCTCGGCTAGCAGACTGTTCCTCAGGAAGCTCAGTGCGGGCATTATCGATGTCGTCCCAGAAGGCACGCGGTCGCCAAAAGGGATGCAAGTTGCTGTCAAGATCTTGGTCAGCTTTGCGGTTGCGTGCATTCTTAAGGCTGAGGTTTCTTGAGATTGAATTTATGAAAGACTCCGATCGTTGTCGAGTTCCTCTAGGACGCCTTAGAGAACCCACGCGACCATTCACATGCGTTGCATCAAAGTCGAATCGCTGGTCATGTTCATCTCCTGGTGTAGGTGGAATGACTTTGAATTGCGGTGGCTCCGGTGGGCGTCGGGGGTTTCTGAGTGGAGAATCCACCTCGACCTGTGGTAAATTGCGTCTCTGGACTTCCAGTACAGCTTTGGATTCTTGAACTGGGAAAGGTTCGATTAATTGCAAAGAATGATTGTTATGTGGAAACAGATTGATTGCCCTGGCTTCATTGATCTCTGGTGAGGCTGACTGAAACGAGGGCTGTGAGAAAGGTGTGTCCAAAACCGAGGGAGGACGAAGTGCAGCCCATTCCGTTGAACCCGGAACAACCAAACCTAAGGCGTTATATTGAGCTGCATCTTCAGCGTAACCAGGCGGGGTTAAGAAAGTTGTAGGAAGCGAATTACTTCTGGCAGTGCTCTGACCTGTCGATTTTCTTGGTTGACGGTTAGCCGTCTTGCTGTCCACAGATGTTCGTTGTTCACCCAGATTCCACTCTTCTAAATTCTGCACCAAGCGCTCGGACTCCATCCTGTCCAATGTCTTGCGCAAGTCAGTCTCTGCTTGTTGTCTTCGAACACGGAGATGCTCGGATGTAATTGAATTGGCCCGGGAAGTTGTCCTCGAGGTCGGGGCAGAAAGTGAAGAGGCTCGAACAGGTATGACTGGTGGTGGTTGCTGCTGTCTGCCTCGGTCTAGTGCTTCTGAAAATGCTCTCTTATGGTGCCAGGAGGTTGGAGGAGGATCTGAAGCCTTGCGAGAATGGGAGGTCTTGGACTCGGTGGAAAGAGATTCCCTTTTGCTGCTGTTGGCAGATGAGCTTAATGACGAGCTTCGTTCAGGAATCACAGCGACTCTGATTATCTCTGTTTTTGGAAGCACCGCACTTGAGGCCAGACTGTACGACCTCGAGACTTCAGAACCAAAACTCCAACGATTCTGATTACTTAGGCGAGCCTTTTTATGGACCAGGCGATGGGGCGACTCCGAGTTTGAATGCATAGAATTGCGATTGGAGGTTGGTAAGGGAGAGCTAACTGATCTCAGGGACTCATGCTTGTTGACATGGCGCAACGTGCTTGCCCTTTTGGGAAGTGAGCTATGTTCGAATACATATGCTTCGATTGTCGATGCTGTAGAGATTCCTGAGAATCGTCGATTCTCGTCAATGGCTTGTCGAGCTACATCTGGAGAGTCGATAATGGGCACCGAGTTATTCCAACCAATGATATTTGCAAATCGCTCCGTTGATGCGGACGGATCCTGTATCTGTGCCTCGAGAAGCCTATCGCGCAGGCTTCTGCCTCGTTTCACCCCGTCGTGTGCCGCGTCTGTGTGAGACATCTGTTGTCCCGAAGCTTTGGGCTCAGACTTGTGGATTGAGATAGGCAATTTATTGGCGGGAGACTGTGAAAGAGAACGGGCGCTGATGGGCACAGGGCTAGATCCAATATTCGATGCACTAACTAGAGGATTGGAATTGTCGACCTCTTTGAGTTCGTCGTGTAAGAGTTGTTCGGATCCACGACTCTGAGAAATATCTTGATCGTAGGCATTAATTAAGGGAGATCGACCTAACTTGTTGTGTCGATTCCTAGGGGGAACAGCTCCAAACTTATTCACAGTTGATGTCGGCAGGTCGAAGCCACGCTCATTATGCAACGAACGAACGTCAGATTCGGATTCGGAGAAAAGATCTTCCTGAGCAGTGGTGAAGGACTCGGTTCGGGTGGAAGCAATTGAAGGCTGGGTGCCGAGGAAGGGACGAGCAAAGGAAAGCTTTCTCTCACGCGGAGGTGTGTTGTCAGGAGTTGGCGGGCTGTTCTGGTTGATTGGCGTCACCAAAGCGGACCTAAACATAGCATCTGAAGTAGCTTCCTCGGCGGTGGTGGCAGTAGGAATTTCTCCATGACTTGCGCCAGGAGGTGTAGGAGGCAACTGAGGAGAGGTTGGCAAAGCAGCAGAGAGTGGCGGCTGAGATTGTTGCTGAAAAGGCGGAGACTCGGTACCAGGTTGGGCAGAGATGCGATAGAGACTGCGCAAGTTGGCAGATAGATTCTTCGAGTCCCTTCGGATTGGCAAAGATTTTGAAGCGGATGGAGGAGATTGACCAGCAGGGTCCCGTGGAGGGCCCACGATTGTATATTCAGTTGTCCTCCTCATTGCAGAAGCAAACTGTGGTGGTTTACTCTAGCCTTCTCCCCATGGCGACAATCAACGGCAGGATTGTGGAGAGAGCGCCGATGGGCAACGGGAGACAGCAGTACGCGGGAAGGGTTGGAAGAAATGGAGGTTGATTTCAATATTTGGAACGCCAGCTGCAGCAAGACCCGGGCGTCGGTCGGTGGAGTCCGGCGCAATGTCAGAGATGGTCAGCGCAGGGCTGGGGGGTTAGATGGCGTGGGCGGAGTTGGAGATTATAACGCTGACGGGAATGTCTTTAGATGACTATTAAACGTCGTCGAAGGTGGTGAGCAAGGTAGAGAATGAAATCGCGGCAAGCGCAGGCAGAGGGAGTCGCCTAAGAGAGGTCGGGTCTTAGAGCGGAAGTTAATGGCGAGGAGGCGAAGTTCGTGGCGGGAGAATAGGGAGCGCAGTCGAAGGAGGGAACAGGTGTCGAATTACTTGGAAGGATAGTGTATTGGACTAATAGGCACGGACAGAGAAGGTGAAGGACAGATATAATCTGGCCTGACGTTTCAAGAATAGGACAGGACAGGGAAGGGTATAGTAAGTACGGAGTAACTAGAGGAGAGATGGATTGGGAGGAGGAAGGTGGGTGGACGGGAATATGGACGGGGGTGGTGGGGATGACGATGGATTGGACAGATGAAGGGGAGGAAATGAGAGAAATGAATTGGGGGGAGAGGAAGAGAGGAGAGGAGCAGCAGGATGGGAAGCGTGAGGATTGATTGCATCTGGCGAACCCACTGAGGCTTGCTGAAGAGGGCGGGTGGACATGCAGCCCGGAAAGCGGAAGCCAGAGACGCAGCAAAGGAGGAAAAAACGAGGCTGGGCGACACGCCAGATAGGGAGAGTAATGAACAGGCCAGGCAGAGGCACCCAGAGGGACCGGATGCAGTGAGTGTACAACACCTAAAATTTAGTTGGGAACTTGGGACTGGTACCGAGCAATTCATGCATGCATGCCGCGGGCAACGTCAACCTGCAGCCTCCTTCGACAAGAGACAAAGAGACCTGTTCGCCGGCCTTCCTCTGTTCGGTAACTCAGGCGTGGTTCTAGCAGGACGCTGCACTCTAAACTTCGTGCGAGTAATTACTTGTGCCCGCTGTACTAGATAGTAGGCTAGACATGGGCATGCCTAGATCCCCAATCCCCGCCATCGACTTCTGCCATGACGAGGCTGTGACAGCCGGGATAAATTGCAACTAGGGATGCCCCGAGACGCCCGAGCTCTGCCCGTACCTAAATTGCCCCAGTTAACAGTTTCCCAGGTACCCTACGCACGGCGTACGAGTAGGTGACCTTCCTAACAAAGGTATTAGCCTTCCTGCCTTTCACATCCTAGCCGTGCCTAGCCCCCGCATTTGCAGGGCACGAGTACTTGTAACTAACCACCTAGTTACTTTCCCCTAACTATGCACGACTACTACTAGTAGGTGCGGAGGACCGATCCTCCGTGCTCCGTACTCCACGTTCAAGGGCTTCAACCCTTCATCTCAACATACATTCTTTGTCAAAACAACAAGGAATGAACAACTTGATTATGAGTTTGTTAACAGGTAAGAGATTCCACACATTCTTTGTCAGGATTTGGCCACATTCCATTTCAGCCCCATTCAGCCCAACGCGCTGGTCTCGTCTTACTGCAGCTGAGCGGGAGAGTGACAAACACGCCTCCGGCGGTCAGACCTTCGCGACCATCGCGCCCCATCACAACTGTCAAAGAAAATGCGCGACATCGCCCTTTCTGATGACCATAGCTCATCTTCTCAAGCCCCCTATTACTCCCTCTACTACACAAAACTGTCTCCGAGGATGCATTTGTGTTTGGTGCCCTATCTCTCACTATCAATCATCGCCAAAATGGCCGCCTTCAAGAACTCCATTCTCATCACAACCCTCCTGCCAATTCGCCATGTAATGGCTTCACCCATCCCACAAATCTTCTCCCCTGAAATGGGTCAACTCTCTTTTGCCGAGCTGATCCAGCAGAGTCTTCGTCGAATCCTTGAACGTGGTTTCGTTGGGGGCATTTTATACTCAATTCTCATTCTCGGTTGTCTGATCTGTGCCTTGATCTGCGTTTTCTGTGCCTTATGGGCAATTCTCGAGCGCAGGGATTCTTCTTTCCAAGTCGGACGGCGTACACTATTCTCAGACAAGAACGGAACAACTCACGAGGCGTCACCTACTTATAAGTACCGTCCCCAGACTGAGACCAGGCTTTCAAGATTCGTTTTATCTTCACCCTCATCCAAGACGACCTCTCCAGCCACGAAGATCACGATTCGCGCATCCTCGGTGCGAAAATCGAAAACTACTCCTCCGTCCTCCCCACCACCCTCATCCTCTTCTTTGTCCCGCTCAACCCCCCTTCGCTCTGCGCTCTCCAAAACCCCTCCATCTCAACCCTCAACCACCCAGTCGTTCTTCTTCGGATCAAGAAGGAGGTCCAGTCCAGCCTCAAGTCCAAAATCTGTCCGGTGGGCCGACGATATCGAAGTCTCGATTTTTACAACCGTGGAGATGAAAGTGGGCAACGATGTCGACCCGGATGAATTTGACCTTGGAACTCCTATCACCAGCTCTGTTGAGACATATAACATGAGCAATCTGATGGGTGGCAGAGAGACTTTTATTAAGTCTCGTGCACAAGATCATGAGATATTTCCATCCACTGCAGTATCGGACCTCGCGGGCGACAAATGTTAGCATCACCTCCCTCACAACCACCCAATACTCGTCTATCTGGGTGCCATGTATAACCCTTCATCTTGATCGGCTCGTGTCCCCCTTTTCACCCGCTACGATATATTTACGATTGCTATGATTATGGATGTCATATTTATTCACTCCAGGGACGGAAAATCATGTCACCACTACTTCTGTAGTTCTATTCAAGCCAGCATGGCGCACCGTGATTATGGAGACTCATCCAAGTTGAGGTTGCGCCTTTTTCTACTCATGTCTAACCAGTACTCCTTTCGTTGCTTTCACACGAGCTACGAGACCCTTTTCACGCATAAAACCAACAATCGGCGCTACTTTTTGTAGGAATGGTATTTCCAGATTGATCGTATATATTAGCCCCTACTTCCGCTTCCCGCTATTCCTTCAAGTGGCATTACTTTGTACTCCCTTGATTCGGTTAGGTAGAGCCTGGACAAGGCTAAGAGAAATTGTTGAATTTGAGCAAAATAAAGGCGAATCCGCCTTTGTTTCAGGCCTCTAAGGAATATTACAGGGTCCTCGATGGGACCTTCAATCACCTACATACACTATTATGATGCGAATTGTTGCAAACCCCTCAAGTAACTTCATACAAATTTGACAGTGGCCGCTGTGGGGACGAGATTTCGCCCTATCACGTGACTCTTCGGTTTACTTAGGTGATCAACTTGAAATAAATACTCAGTAGGATGAGTAGGCACTACTTCGGGGGAGTGTTTGCACCTGATGTCCCACGTCTCCACTCTTGACATCTTTGCAATACCTCAACTGCAAAAACACTACGAGATACCTGCGCAGCTAAAACGCGTGCTCACTTTCATCCCTACCTTCTGTCTCTCTCCTACTAGACACATAATACTTATAAGGCACATCATGGTCCACGCAGCAAAGCTCAAGGCCGGGGTTAAGTGAGACCTTATCGTGCGGGTTTGGAATTTAGAAACGAGCCCGGCTTGCCGGTGTCGTCGCCTACCGCTAGACTGCCAACAGCATTCACGTTTAGTTGAACCTCGTGCCAAAGCATCAGTTCATTCGTTGGATGCACGTTGGATTATCTGCCAGCCTTGACTCCAATAATGGAGGAGCCTCAGCGCACACTAGCTGAGGCAATATCCGCAAGCCCTTTCGTTTGTGATATCTGCAAGAAAACCTACACTCGCTCGGACCATCTCGTGCGTCATTACCGTACACGTGAGTAAAGCATCTTCGCGAGATATAGCCAAATATATAACATGCAGCAGATACAAGAGAGCGGCCGTTTTCATGCGGATTCTGTGGGAAACGTTTCGCGAGACGGTATTAAGACCACTTGATGCTGCTTCTGCGCTTACCTGATCTAGTGATCTTCTCAATAGGCATGGCACCCTTCACAAAGGTGAGGGACAGCAGCGAGGGATCCTTAGAGGCAGCAACCATCAAAGAACGAGATTTGCTTGCGTGGCTTGTGCCGAAGCAAAATTGCGGTGTAGCGACGCTCGTCCCTGTGCGCGCTGCGTGTCGAAAGAAATTCCCTGTGTCAAATCGATGCCTTCGTTAGCCACGGGGGGACAAGGCAGTATAGATACAACGTTGGAGTTGGATCACTTGCCGCTTACTGACAATCTCTCTCCAATGGTATACGAAGGTCAACCGCAACAGCAGGATGGTCCATTTGGGAGGAGAGAGGCTGAGATTAGTGAGATTCTGCATCCGAGTGGGCAGGCGAGGAGCACGGACATTGAGTCCAACAATCCTCTATCCCTGAAGGTGGGCCACATGCCTACCGGAGTGGCAGATACCTGCGACCCAAGTGAGTAATTCCACATAAGTTGCGCTGTTGTTACTCACTTTTCTAGGTAACGTAATGTACAGTCGATCAGCCAATCCCTTTTTTGATCTGGAAGGAGGATTTGATGACGTCCTAATGGGGAATTTTCTACACGACATTGTCAATGCTGAATATTCCGATAATCAGTTTTCTGGAAGCAGCACAGGCATATTGCCTGATGTACTGCATGTTGGTTTCAATGAATTTGCAGATTTCTCCTCTATATTTGGCCACATGCCTGCCGCTCCTACCCATCTGCAACCTAGCACCATAGGAGATATGAATCGGCTCACCAATAGTCACGGCGGAACAGAAACTCCAGCAGTGCAAAGGGCAGTTAACGCCGGTGAGCAGGCTTTCAGGGAATCCATGTGGCTCTGGGATCCTTCGATGGAAGACAACCGCGTCGCGGAGCAGATCCACCTCACATTGCCGGGATATCAGTCCCTCGACGATCATCAAGCGCGAGAAAGTGACTTGGATCTGCAACTTTCTTCAATGAGCCGAGATAAGCTGCTCCTGATGATCCTTGATACGTGTGATCCTCGAGCACAGCGCCAAGTGGTGTCTCGTTTCCCCTCGATGAGTTTCCTCTCCTGTCTCCTTGCCGATTTCAAAGCCAGACATAGTCGACAAATCTCACCTTGGATTCACTTCCCCACAATCGACCTGGAGAATGAGTGCGAAGAATTCCTAGGAGCATTAATTTGCGCTGGGGCAGCTGACTCGAGAAGACCTGAAGTTCGCAAGCTTGGATTCGCTCTACAAGAAGCCGCTCGACTCGCGATAGCGAAAAGATTTGAAGAAGATAACAGGAATCTCCGAGATCTGCGGTCAATGCAGGCATTTCTCGTAGTGCTCAATGTGGGTCTCAATAGTGCATCTCGGCGGAAAATCGAAATCGCAGAGAGTTACACGCTGCATATCGTCACAATGCTTCGCAGAGGCGGTCGATTTCGAAATAGGTGGAAAGGTCGATCAGAGGCAAACAATGAAGACCAGAATCAGGATCTTGAAGTTCGATGGAGGAGATGGGCGGAAGAGGAGTCCTTCAAGAGGCTCGTCTATCACGTACTCTTTCAAGACGTTCAAACCTCGGTGGCACTCTTCCGTCAACCTGTGACCTCCTATTCGGAAATCAATCTGCCTATGCCCTGTGCCGCAGAGATCTGGGAAGCAGAGTCCGCTGAGCTTTGGTGGCAGGAGATATTGAGAAGACCGGGTCAACTGACAATCCCTCAAATCACGCTTCCAGAGTGCCTGCAGGATGGAGGCTTGCTAAGTCTTTACAACATTCAGATTGACATTCAGATGAGTCTGAGGGTAATGGTTTCTAATTTCTGGCTACGCGTATGGCAATCGATTCAGATGCGGCCATTTTTGTCACCAGGGGATAGTGTTTCACGACTTGCTACCATGAGTGCGTCCCACCAACAGCTCGTGGCTGCTGGTGAGGACCTGATTGTGAGGTTCTCTGAAGGCTCATTCTCAATGCATCCCAGTGTGAAAATGATGCTGGAGCTGGCAATGATGCACCTACATGTCTCACTCGAAGACATCCAGCAGCTTGCAGGAAACGAGGGAGAAGAAGGGGCCCGCAAAGCAGCTTCCCGTCTTCGAGCATGGATCAAGTTACCCGAGTCTCGACGTGCTCTGTTTCATGCCGGCCAGATTGCCAGAGCGACGGCTGAATGTCCTCCACAATATGTGCGTGGTTTCCACGCTGTGATGGTTTACCACGCGAGCCTCACTATGTGGGCCTACACGCTATTGGCGACAAGCCAGAATGGCGTCCAAGCAGTGCAAGCTACTCGAATTCATCGCATTGAATATCCAGCCCCTATTGTCTGGCTCGATGGAGAAGAGGTGCCAGAACTAAGGCGCTTCATGCTTCTCGGGACCGGGACGGCTTGTATACGCAAATACACTGCCAGCAATTTTAATGGGAAGGATAATGAACTTGGCGCTGTACCACTTACTGACCCAGCGGAGATCATGGTGAGTATGGCCGGGCTGCTGTCGAGTCGGGATGAGAGCGACTACTATTGTATTCCTATCGTCAGCTATCTGACTAGGCTGATGCATTCGCTGGCCAAAGCTTCTGCTGCCATGAAACTTTCACGCTAGAAGACGAATATGACCAATTATGACCAAATCACTACAAGACCAGGAAACTTTTGCAGACGAAATGTTTCCTTGGCCTGATTGCACACGGCCCTATTTAACTGGCAAGTCATCTATCTATATCAACTAGCTTTGCGCTTATGAGTGCCCTGCAGTAACTCTTTCCTTCGGTTCTCGAACAGCATTGATGAGACATACACCTTGCAAGAGCTGCAACCATTAAGTTCACTGCACCAATGATGGATTCACGGGCGCCACTGAAAACCAGGATGCCTCCAATCCAAATCAGCGACTTGTGTCTGGCTGAGGCCTCGAAGTTCCTCATGGACATCCCCCTGCCCTCTCTGCTTATTGCTCTTCGTCATCCAGATTCCCAGACCGATACCAGAAATCAACACTGTGGCCTGCGCCGCGAGATTCAAGCCATTGCCAATAGGGTAATTAGGGCCATCAAACGGTAGAAAGGCCCACGTTGCAATCAGTCCTCCGATATTGCCAAACATTACGTTTGTGCCGATCGCAGATGAGCGTGCAGTATCACTGACCACGTTTGCGGATACTTGTGCGTTGCACAAGGCACCACCATTGAACGCACCGGTGACAATAATGAAGATAGCTCCATATCGGACCTTAGCGTTCTTACTAGCGAGGAACATCAGATATCCCACCATGACGGGAATGGCGCTATACGTGATGATGACATTTCGACGGTCAGTCCTCCACGCTAGCAGCGCGGAGGCAATGACAAAAACAGCTCCAACGATATACGGTGGGACAGTTAAGAGTTGCTGTCGAACCACGGTATCGGTTGGGTAGATCGTGCGAACGATAGTCGGGGCGAAGAACGCCAGGCCCTGGACGGTGATGCATTCCAGCAAAAAAATCCATGAGGTAACTAGCGTGACAGGATTAAGGACCCCTCGAAGGATCTTGGCTTTGTCGAGCTTATCGAGAACCTCTACCGTGGCGATTCGCTCCGATTTAAGGCGCGCAATGGCCAACTGTTTCTCGTCATCGTTCAGCCATTTCGCGGTCTCTGGTCGATCGGTGAGCGTGAGAAAAGCAGTGAGCGCAAGCCCGATGGTGATGACGCCCTCAATTGCGAAAATCATCTCCCATCGCTTCGTACTGCCGAAGGAGTCAAGGGTCAGAATCGCTGAGGCTAGGAGTCCTCCGAAGGCACCAGCCAGTGGCGCCATGACGACGTATAGTCCAAGGCGAAACGCGAGTTCGGAACGTCGATACCAGCGTGAGAGGTAGTATGCTATGCCAGGTAGCATTCCAGCCTCGAAGATGCCCAGAAGGAATCTCACTGCACAGGCGCTGTGAATATCACGAACGAAAGCGAACGCCACGGTCATGATACCGAAGCCGAGTGTTGTCGCGGGTATGAACCATCCAGGTCCGATCCACTTGCATGCCATGGTGCCCGGAATCTCGAAGACGATGTAGGAAATGTAGAACACGGAGAGGACCTGGTTGTAATGATATCCCTTGAGGCCGAGATCCGTTTCAAATCCGGCGAGCCGAGCATTTCCTGATGAGTGAGTGGCTTATCAGTAACCAAGTATCATGGCTGTGAGATACAGACAATGCTCACCAATATTGGCGCGGTCAATAAAGCAGAACATGTACAGGAGTGCCACTGTGGGGATGATGTAGAAGTCTATCTTGGTACGCAGGCGTCGTTCTTCGACGGGGTCGAAATGCACCAGTGGTTGGCCATACCTGTACGGATTTTAGTAAAGGACCACAGACGCAATGATTGGGGCTCTTTACTCATCGGTGGCCGCTTGGCCAGTCATCCCAACTTTGAGCTCGGAGATGTCGTTAATATTCTGCATCCCTGCTTCTATGTGGGCAGTGTGAGGAGTCTCTTTCGGCTGATGAGTAATGTTGGCCATACTGTCTGAGGAAAGCGAGTTGATCGTGTTCTGTTCGAAGCAGATGAAGTGGGAAGTGACAACTCTTTCTAATAGTCTTGACGTCTGGAGCATCCGGCTCGCTCCCCCATCCTTCGGCTGAGGCACGACGGTGTAGTGGTTTGGAAAGCCGGGGAGCCAAGAGCCGGTAGAGGAATGAGTCCTCGCTTACAAGGTGGATTCGGTGCAGCGTGCGGACATACTACCAACCTCTTTCGTCTTGTTCAACCCGCCGGACGTTATGATGTGTGGTCGGTCCAGTCCAGGAGGCAAGGCTGGGCCGGTATGTGGTGCACCACTTCGGAATCCCCACCTTGGCACGCATAGCCACCTGTTTCCTGGGGTTGAGTACCCACCTTCACTTTATTGAGGTTTAAGCCTATGGTTCAGAAAGGATTCCTCTGACGCGTGCAGATACCCGTTAGTATCATTTGCCGTGGCCCTTGCCGAGGAAGAGCAGCCTTTTAATTGCCTAGAATGATAGGCCATTTCCGTACTCGGAAGATAGAGACAGTGCGACAGGTTGAGACCAATTCGGCCATTTGCAAACGATGCCCGTGTGCATCGGAAAGCAATCTCGACATGGGTCTCGAGGGCCAGGGATCCAGTTGCGGGAGATTCCACTTGGCAGATACAGATAAACTGCGGATCCATGCTTCTCTCCTAGCCTGGGATCAATATTGTCTATCTTAGCGATAAATCAATCAGCATACCTTGCCAATCACGCCCAACAGTCTTGCATTCTTATCTATTATGCTCAACCAGATGGACAGTCTACCGTAGTCCCCAAATCACCCTAACGGCCTCCAATTTCTGGACACATACCAAACATATCCCGAACAAACCCCAATCACTTTAAACGCCAGGGAATACTTCATAGTCTTCCACTAACTTGTCTCAAGATGGCTGCTACAGCTTCAACTGTGGGAGTCGGTCCCCCAGACCGGGACGAGCGCCAGGCGACATGCCCATCAGGTCGAACGAGGACAACATCTCGTTCCCACAAATCACGGGCATGTTGCTCTTGGGGCAAGTGCACAACTTCCAGAGGTATTCCCAATTCACTGGAGACTGTCGAGAACGGCTTGCCAAACTCACATCCCGGTGTGAAGTCGATGAGACTGAAGCCTTTCGTAAAATGATCGAAGATGCTTGTTTTGCCATCGACCAGGAATACGTGAGGTGGGCGGCCACCTGGCCATGTGGTCGGAATGTATTTAGTGATTTCGTCCTCCTGTTTAGGAGGATCACCCGCCTCTTCGTCCTGTATAACGACCGGAGAGACATAGCGGTACCCAAGTATCTTACCAGTCTGATCGTGGAGCCAGTGTCCTTTATCAGTCTCTAGACCAAGATCGTCGCGAGCTTTCCGGCCTGTCTCATCGTCTGCTACCAGAATATTGGCTCCAATGCGCTGAGCTGAAGTCAACAATGGCATCCCAACCTCCACTGCGGCCTTGTTCACCATTGCTGCATTCGCGTGCGCAATTGGTCTTCGCTCAGTATCATACGATTCCAGGAGTTGTGGCCCGCCCCATCCTGACAAGGCAGCGGCGAGCTTCCAGCTTATATCCCACACGTCGCAAATTTCGGTGTTGAGGCCATGACCGCCCATGGGGGATAGTGGGTGCGCTGTGTTCATGAGCTGGGTGCCATCATGCATCATGGATATCTACTCACCTGAGTCCCCAGCCAAAAAGACTCGACCATTTGCCGACCGGAACCTAGTTGCGATAGACAAATGTGAACTCCATTTGCCCCGAACGAGAATCCGATCAACCTTTACGGGGACTGGTTCGGACAAGCCAGCCAGTGAAGCAGCGATGACAAGGAAAGGGTCTGCATCCGACACGTCATCGATTCCGGGAGGCAGCATCTTATGAAGAGTCCAAAATCCGTCACCCTGATCCACGAAGATAGAGCCATCCACTGATAGGGAATGTCAGAACTTGCCCTGCGATCGCAATGTATCGAAATCTCTCGACTCGAAGTGTATAAAGGCCATGTTGACCGCTCTGAAGTTGGGAGTCAGTCAGTCATTGTACCTCTTCAAACATTCGGGGTGGACTTGATACATACAGGTCAGTTCTTGGACCGTCGAGGCCGACAGAGCGTCTGACTGCACTGCGTGCACCATCACAACCAACAACATAATCACTGATGATTTTCAGCTTTCTCCCTTCGGCGTTCACTGCTTCACTGGTCACCCTGTTGTCTCTCCCTCCTGCAACCCTACAAATCGCCAACCCCAGAAACTCTTGATCTTATCTTGCTTCGAGATTTTATCTTTCAACCATTTCTCAACCGCTATCTGATGGCAGCGCAGATAAGGTTCACGTGGAAAAGTCCCATCGTTTTGCTCCTGGCTTTTCTCACGTATCTCTGACGGACTGTCTCGCTTCCATGTTGTGATGAGGTGGCCAGATTCTCCAAGTCCGGTCGTGATGATCTCGTCGAGTCTTTCCGACTCGGGGACGCCCAGGCCTCTCAACTCATCCGCGAGACCAAGTGCCCGGTATATCTCCATGGCTCTGCCCTGTGTGAGTTCCATCTTGGGATACATTGTTGTGGTTGGAGACTGCTCCACCAGAACACAGGGCTGGCCGTGATACTTATCTAATAATTTTTAAGTAATACGACTCAAGAACTTATTTATTTGAGTTAGTACTAATATACTAACTAGTACTAGTAGTTCCATCACTAATATAGCAAATTTTCGAGAAGACTCAATTTTTTCTATTAAAACTTAGATAGTATAGTACTTAATACATAGTATGTACCCTCGTAGGTACATGCAGGAGTACATAGTATCTCAATTGTCGAGGATGCGTACTATAGTAAAATGCAAGGGAAACGAGATAAACGAGGAAAGCGAGAAAAGCGGCACAGGCCCTTATAGGTACTATCTTACCCCGATGTACCTAAGTACATAGGAGCTTAGAGTTTCTTACAAAGTACATAGGTGTACTTTATCTATTTTACAGCAGGTACGCGGATGTGCACCTTCCTGCCCGGGTATGGGTGGCCATCCCTCAACTGCTCACATGTAGAGTCTAAATTCTCTGCTCTAGATTTTGAGGACATCATACTTGCTAAGTAGTACTTAGTAAGTAATCTTGGATCTGTAATGACATACCAATAGATTCCCAATGGTGGCACCTCCAGACATTACTAGATTTCGTGAAAAAATACATATTGTATCATTAATGCCTGGAGTTCTAGAGGAGGGGAAGCAGATTATATCATATCAATTGTATCACTACTTGAAGAGCCGCCCCCCCCGAATTTTCTTCCATCACTCCACCAAAGACAAAACTACTACTACCCAGAAAGAGAACCATTAACTAAGTACCATGCATTTAGAACTATGTACTTAGTATTTTCCGAATTAGTTTCCTATGTCTTCTAGCTTATTACTATGATATATATATTATTCCCCATGTTAATATCGTAAGTCCTTATGCATATATAATTCCCAGATACAGATCTCGCGCTATGCCTAGTGGTGAGAATTCCAACTAATCCAGATAATAAAACAGCGCTTGAATGCATCCTGACCAAATGATGATATCATATCGTTTTAAAAACATTAAATTACCTAAATGATTGAATATGGCGTCTGGTGCAGTTGGTCTGAGTTAATGTTTCTTCGCATCATCGTGAAAATGAGTGTGATAATCGGAGGTGTTTTGAGGTTGGTAAGGCCGAGATGAGTTGCTCTCGTTTACAGCTTGGCCCAGGTGGTAGGCTTTTGACTACCAGTTCCGGTTGCAGTAGTAGTGACACTAGTAGTGGTCGTAGGTCCAGCTGATGTGGTTGTCGAACTGGATCCCCATGACGACGAGGTAGAGGTTGAGCTGGCAATGGTGGTGGTTTTTGTAGAGCTTGCCGATGTGGAAGTAGTGCTGGAGCTGCTGCTTTTGCTAGTCGAACTGGTGCCTGTCGACTTGGTAGAGCTAGCAGTGGAGCTGCTATGAGGGTGCTTAGTGGTACTAGTAGTGATCACCACGCTGCTGGTGGTAGTTGTGGTTGGCTTAGGAGCAGGTGGAATGGCAATGGTCACAACGTATCCCCAGACATCGACATAGGTGATAGTTTGGCATTGATGGCATTGACCAGGAGGATAGTATGTGCCAGATCCAGACCCTGTTGGTGCAGGTTGAGTGATGGTGACGGTGACAGTCTTGGTAGTAGCAGCGGGGCAGCTAGAGGCTGGGGGTGGGGGTGGAGGAGGAAGAACTGTGACGGTCGTTGGTTTCACTGTGGTGACCGGAGGAGGTGGTGGGTGCGGGTAATGAGTAGGGATGGGATAGCATGTGGTGGTGGTGAAGTACTGAGTGGTCAACCAAGTAGAATAGTAAGTGGTTCCAGACTGAGTTGCGATGGCAGTCGAGCAAGGCACAAATGACGTCTTCGTAATCCACTCGGTAGTTGTAATGGTAGTCCAAATATCAGTGGTTGTTGGCTTGGCAGTTGTAGTGGAGACAGTCGTACTGGTAGTCTTCGTATGGGGCTTGCTTGTGGTCGAACTTGAGCTGGTTGACTTGGTGGTTGAGGTGCAAGGAGTAGATGTGGAGCTGGTCCATTTGGTGGAAGAGCTAGATGTATAAGGGGAAGTGGTGGAGGTAGAGCTGGTAGTGAACTTGGTGGTCGATGAGGATGAGCTGGTTGACACTGAAGAGGTAGAGCTGGTGGAAGCGCTTGAGGTGGTATACCAGGACGTAGTAGTTGAAGCCGATGTGGTTGTTACAGCAGATGTAGTAGATGTAGTAGTGCCGTTGGTCCAGCCATCACCATATGGGAGAGCCACAGAGGTGCCGGCAAGGGCAGCAAGGATCAAGGAGAGCGATGTGTGCATTGAGAGTTTCTCGAGTTTCTTTCTTCTTTGACACGAGGGGATTTGCTATTGATCAAGGATGTATCGTAAAGACAGGTACAAGAAGATGCTGAGCAAAGCGATTGTATCTCAAGGAGAAGCGAGTGTGATGTTTGCAGATGCAAAGATAGCGAGTGTTGGTTGGATGGGTTTTTATTTGTTTGATAATGGGAAAGGAAGATAGATCTACCATGATGAAGATGCAGGGGATTACTTATACCTGGAGGCAACAAGGCCGTGATGGATGAGACATTGCTGACCATATGCGGTTGGATGGGTGTGGACGTTGATGGTAATAGTGAGATGGCGAGCGGAGTGTGACGTGAAGGTGTTGTGATGCTGTGCCCACGGCGAACGCGAGAGAAAGTCGGGGAGGAGAAGTCCAGAAACGAAAGGCTGAGTCGTGCAGCAAGAAAAGGCGCAGATGCCGCCTTGCCATCTTCGGTATAGTCTCATGTTCCACTGGCCGAGAATGGAAAGACCCTCGAGCGCGGCTGCCACATGGCCACCGACGCTGTGATGGTGGCATCTCAATCAGGAATGGTGCGCCACTTGCTTGTTTGCCTCTCAGGCCGTTTCATTGGCTGGAGTCCACGTGATGCCAAAACTATTGGAGTATTTTTGGCAACAACTGTCCGGCTATCTTAACGTACCAAAAACCCTCACTCATACGACCCTGCCATCGTCATTACCACACAAAGCCGCCAACAGACCACATCGCCCAATACTACGCTCTTTACTCATGCTAGCTACTCATTAATCAGTTCCGAGACAAGGCTTTGGTGTCTCACGAGGTGTAAGCTTCGTATCCTCGGAGCCATGTCCATCTCAGACCCATCTATCGGCGACCGATTTCCATTGCGCCCAAAGCTGAGGTTCAGCCAGGAACCACGCCACCCTGTCATCCATCGACGTTGTCACTGAGCATGAAAGGACCGAACATAAGTTAAATCGAACTCCACGAGGCTGTGTATATTCCATGTGGAATACCGAGTCGTCTCCCCCAAATGGAGGCCATGGAGAACAGACACCCAGGGGTTCATGACCAATCGCGCCACTGTTCAAAACAGCGAACCCCGGCTACCACCCATCATCTAGCTAACAAGACTCATCCTCCTACATACTCGGTATATCGTACACTTTGACTACTCCACCATGGGTACCCGCTTTGCCTCTAGAACAGTCAGCTGCCTTACGCCTGCGCAATTTTGCACGCCATCCATCAACTCTGCCGTGATGACTCTTCCAATAACTTGCCATTACTGCCATCCTCAACATTCCGAGGCTTAGTGGGATTAGTGGGATTAGTTTTGTTCATGGTCTCCTCTCCATCATGAAGACGTCAAATTGGTTAACCTGGCTTCGACTTGTTGTTTTGTCTCCTAATCCCATAATTGATGACTGCACGTTCATCGAGTCGACACCCAACCAGGGGCATCGTGGATCTCGCGAGCCGCAACCCACACGATTTGACAAGGATGAGTAATAGAAGCAGAATAGAGGTTGACTACTCGTACTACCGCCATCCGGAATCCCGCGCTACGGTCATCCGCACTATCTCAGAATCGGCCATATGAGCAACAAGAATGACCCAGAGTAGCGTGACAATAACGACGTTTAAGTTCCCAAAAATAACCTGAGACAAAGTGAGGTTATCTATTCACTAATCCATGTGTTTGCCATTCACCAACAATGTCAAACTTGAGTCGCACTTCGATGGTTGTCCACAGACTTTGCCTGAAGAACTACCACATCTACACACGCGACCCAGTCAGGTCAAGGCATAAACGCCTGATGCATCCTACATCCTGCACCCCACAAGGCCTCCCAGAGAATCAAACGAACCACAACAAAGTCATGCAACTCTTCGGCGAAAATATTCTGAAAGCTGGACATTCCAACATGGAATCAAGGATTTCTCTAAGCACCACCCCAGCTCACATATAACTCAATAATTGTGAACGTGAACAGAGCTAATTGCGCAAGGAGTGGATGACTCTGATTTACCAAATTGCAATCAGGTTCGTCCTCGGTGAACGTTCAACCATTCTCTTCAAGCAAGCAGGTAAACTCCAAGTATTTGCGGTCTTCGGTGGCCAAACTCACCTCAGACTCCAGCACACCTCCCCCCGAATTTGAAACCTGCCCGATCCAGCGTCTCTGTGACAAGGATACTGGATTTTCTAGATGTCAGAGACGTGGGATTGCGAACTCGTACTCGTACTTCGTATCTGACACCCCCAATTTGTAGCCCTTCCCGTTACATCCGCACGCCTGCCCTGCATGGAAGCCAGGCTTTCATTAATGCATGACCCCACTCAACATACTAGTCATTCGAGGGGTCAATACTTCCATTGTCGTTGTCTGAAGACAAGCCCAGTATCATCCGTCTCAAGCGATGCACGCTCATCAGCACCTTCTGCGAGCCCGGACCGATCAAATCCGGAATAAGTGCTGAGCTTGAGTATACCCTCTATAACTTCGATCACCGCCGCAAGCTTCCTCTTCCACGGCTGGCCGACGTAGAACCTCGTAAGACGCCCCGTTTTATACGGACCAACCGAATCTCCAAATCGACTTATCGACCTATCGTACCTCTTGTTGTCCACTTGAGAGGTAATGCGTCCTTCCATCACGGCTGCGATGCTGCAACTCAGAATCACGCCATAAGATATCAAAAGATTTCTTGGTTGGTAATGATATACTGTCACTGAGGTTGTGAACGTGACTTGCACAGTATCTGTGCAGGTATCCCACTCTAGAAATGTAACCATTGGACCCCGATCATAGAAAGGCTGATAAAGCCGTCGCTTATCAAAGAACTGGTTGATTCGACATGATGGATATTATTTCGTACACTGGTTGAACTAACCCCTGGTTGAAGTGGCCCTTGGTTGCACATTCCCAAGACAGGATGGCGACAATGCAAGAGTGAGTTATCTGAGCTGCTAGACTAGAAGATCAGTTTCAAGCTCGAAAACTGGGGGAATGTGTTCAGAAATCATTGATCAACAAATTTTCAGACAGAATTGAGAAGATAATTTGGCTGGTTTGTGTAGACATTGCATCGGGGTTTGAGTTTTTGAAACCCGAACACCAAGAAAAAGCTACTCTGGCCCCAGCGACATCATCATATCACAAAAGGATGCATGCTTGGGATGAGCTGACCGACCTTTGGCATTAAATCATACGGCGGCTCTTGTTCCTAAGAGAAGTCACTCGGGCTGGGAAGCTGTTAGTCAATATCCGCACCAAAAACATCATTATATCTTTACCTTCAGCGTGCCACGTCGATGCCTCATCTCGTTGACTTTGCGCTTATCATCCTCGAACTTCCTCAACATCTTATGATGCTGTTCCTTCCGTTTCTCGCGCATCTGGAATCTGTAGAAGTCCTCGAGACCTTTATTCTTCTCTTTGTGCTTTTCGGCAAGCTCTTTGATTTCTTCAGCGCGGGCGCCGCCCTTTGAGCCACGGGTGACGGTGATGAAGCCATCCTCGTCCGGCATCTGTCGTTTCCTGGTGTTTTCTCTGGACCGCGCCTCTTCCATTTGTGCATATGCTGTCATGAAGCCGTTCACGCTTCTCAAGAGTTTTTTCCTCGAGGGAAATTTTAAGTGCTTGTGATGTTCGTATCTCGTCAGACCAAATCGAGGGCTGGTGGACTGTGCCGTATCTTCCCATTCAATGGTAGCGCCCGTCTTCACAGCGCGTCGTGCGGTTTTGAGGGTCAGTTCCATGCTCGCGCGATCCACGAAGACCACAATAGCCGTGGAGCCTGTACCGTGGATTTCCGAGTCGAAGACCTTCGGGAGAGAGTATTTGTCCAGCCCAGCCTCCAGTTCTTCCGCCGTCATCCGCTTCCTCTTGCGGCTGGAACGTGTGACTGCAGTGCTGGTCTGACCGGGAGCTTTTTCGGCGAAGTGTACGCTTTCTACTCTGCCTCCTTCTAGCTGCGTCGTAAACAGGTGTCTCAAGGTCTGCACGGTCGCAGTGACAGGGATGTTGACCAAGAATAATGACCTTGGTGCATCTTCATCTGGGATCTGGGGATCATGCGGTCGAATGTAAAGATAGTGCTTTGTTTGTTCGGGGAACGATTTTCTGACCGGTAGATTTATCGGCAAGGCTATACAGCCACCCACCTCTCGTGGGACTTTCGCCATGGCAAGAGGAATATCTTCATGCGGTGTCGCTGTAGAAAAATCAATCTTCCGAGTGGAATCGCGATGGAGATAATAACAAATGCTTGGCAGCGTTAAATCCGATCCACCTCCAACTTCCAAGTGCATCATCAAGAGCACTTCAACAGTTGTCCGTCTGGCTTCGCTACCATCGCAATCTAGAGATCCAAACATGCAGGCAACGAGTATATGTGCCGCGTCGTTCGCGGTACGTTGTAGCCGCTCTCCCCGCTCAATTGGGCCACTAGCAAATCAGTCTTTCCGATCACTCTCTTCTACAGCAACTCAAAATGCCACAGCTCTTCCCATCACGGCCACTGGGCCCCCTCCCCACGCCCCTGTGCCTCAATCATCGCAGTATGGAGACCGGATAGCAGAAAGAAGACGAAAAGCCGAGCTCGTTGAGAAAGGCAAAGAACTTCGAGCAGCCCAAACGGGGAAAACAAGCCCTCTGAAACGGCGCTTCTGGAAAGAAGCCCACGTCAAGGAAGTCCCCGAGGGCTATCAAGTGTACCTCGACAGCAGACCGGTGCGGACGCCGAAAAAATCGATCATCACGGTCCCCAGGTCCAAGCCGCAGCTCGCACACGCGATCGCCATCGAATGGGACCTACTGGAGTCGGCGCAGCAAGCCCTCAAAAACCACAAGATCCCAATGACCTCGATGGTGGCGCGGGCGCAGGACATCCTCGAGGCGGAAGCGAGAGGGGACACGAAGGCGCGGGAGGAGATCATCGCGGTGATGATGCGGTACCTCGACACCGATACACTTCTGTGCTGGGCGCCGGAGCACACGACGCACAACGCCCAGCAGGTCGAGATGCACGTCGACCGCACAGAGTCGCTGCGGGAGATCCAGATCCGGACGGCGAAGCCGATCATCGGCTTTCTCAACACCACCATCTGGCCCGGCGTCGAGCTGAAGCCGACCCTCGACGAGGACAGCATCATGCCAATCCGGCAGTCTGAGATGACTCGCAGTGTCATCCAGGGCTGGATTGCGGGTTTGCCCGCGTATGACCTGGCGGCGCTGGAGCGTGCGGTGCTCGCCGGCAAGAGTCTGCTCGTTGGAGCGAGGTTGCTGGTTGAGTGGAGCGAGGAGTTCCGGGATCTGCAGCGCCATGGTTCCGAGAAGCGCTTTGGGATTGAGGAGGCTGCCGAAGCGGCCAGTTTGGAAGTCCGGTGGCAGACAGGCATGTGGGGAGAAGTAGAAGACACACATGACGTGGAGAATGAGGACCTAAGGCGGCAGTTAGGCAGTACCATTCTGGTAGTCAGTGGACAGAGATAGATGGATAGTACGCTCTGGTATGTAATTGTGCGAAAACTTCAATTGTTGTTATTGATAGATAGCCAGAGGCATCGCTATAAGCGGAAGACAGGGTTCCTTATTTGCAGCAACAAGTGAACCTGGACACACCTTCGGCTGTTCCCCAATTTTTTGCTATCGACCACTTTTCCAGCCCTGATGTCTTTGACCAACGCCCAGACTCAATACTAATAGTCGACATCATCATCGTAATACCTGGGCCTCTCCCTTCTGGCGCGATGGCTCGTCTGGGGCATGATCCTGCTGGAGTGGTGTCGTCTCCCACTTCCAGTCTCATAATCCTTCATCGACCCAGCTGTACCATCATCCCAATCCTCCACCACCCTACTCGACTGGCTCGTCGGCGAACTTAACCCACTGCTGAGGATCCTCCCGAGACCGCCAGACCCGCGAGAGGCGGACTTCGCGAGTCTCTTCTTCTCCTCCTTGTCGTACTTCAACCTCTCGACCTCCCTACGCCCAACGCCACCGGTGTTGACTTTCTCAGACCAGATGCCTGACTTCGGCCCGCCCGGGTACACGCCACGCCGCACCTTACGCTTGCGGTTGAAGTATGTCAGGGAGATGTAAAAGCCGTGCACATGGGAAGGGATCACGGCCAGGAGGAATAGCAGGCAGTTGAAGATCAGGTCCTCGTTTGGTCCGCAGAGGAGGGCCACGGCCAGTGGTGGGAAGAGAACGTTCAGGAACGCGATGATCACCCGTTTGAATAGCGGGACGCGCATCCTGAGTGAGGTTTCGAGTGTATTTTCTTGGCCCTTCTTTAAAAATAATTTATTTGTTGGGCTTTAGGGGTTTTGGTTTTGACAGGACCAAAAGAGACTGGCTGGTTGCAGATATTTTCTGGCCAATTCAACGAGCGCCTTGTGACTCTTCAGATACTGTAGCTCTTTGGTCCTCGGTATTTGACAGACGATACGGTCTCAATCACTATGATATCGTTATAACCCAAATCGGTGCTAGAGTTGAGGACTTCTGCTCCAACGATATGCTATCAAATCCGATAGGACTGGGACGATATCTCGCTATACTTCGGAAAGACTGTGTGGTAGGAAGCCTACTGAAGATAGTAGTACCTGTTTCAGATCCAATTCATCAGACAGACATGAGCGATGCGACGACGAGGAGAGCCATCCAAAAACCTAAACGCATAGCAAAGTATACTTTGCTCCCAAAAAGCCGTTGAGCAGGATATTATGTAGTCATCTCACCTTCTGGACCTCAACAGCTCATTGTGGCGGTGCACACGTTTCCCACTCCACTGTACAGCTCATTCATTACCGTAACGGGTCAAGAGAGCATTGGCTATGAATGCAGGGACTTTGCTAGGTGAGTTGGGCTTCGAAGTAGCTTACCTGGAGCGAGAAAACAAGGCCCTGAGAGGGCTAGTCAGCAGTAAGACGATTGTCGACGAAAAACGAGCCACGCAAAGATATGCACGAAAAACATGGAACTGCCAGGGCTGAGGACGATCGCTGGTACCACACCAATGGAACCAACTCATGGTAAGGAAGGCTTAACACTAAGGCAGTTGCTAAACGACTCGAAGACATTTCGATCTTCAGGAATCCAAGGAAACTAACCGTCCGTGGGAGGAGGTGGTAATCGGCTCTATCAGCCTCATACGTCATTAGAAACCAGCACCGACCACAGGGAAGGAGGAAGCAACTGTGGCTTGTTCGAATCGGAGGAATGCCGATGGTGGGCGAAGATGTGGCTGGTTGAGCGAGCAGGGGGCGCCGAGGTATGACGAGTCACGACACAGGTTGGCGCTGAGGGTTGTGCCAGATCCTCCTACGAGTACATGGTCGTGGGCCAGTAGTGGAAGAGCAATTTTAGACGGGAGTAATGTTGATGTTGCTGATCCCTTCTCTCTACGTCGACAGAGTTTTATACTGTCCTTTTGACCGATTATACTCCGTATGTGTGAAACAAGGCGCAGAGTTCTTGGTATACATGCACGAGATCTCCCAATCGGTCAATAATGAATAGCACTTGTGACAGGCCAACATTCGCCAGCAGGGTGATCTTGCTGTATTTGATCAGAGGACCCTGGAATTTCTTCTTGTTTTTCGATGAGCTATCATAACCTTCTCTGTTGAAGAGTACCGTTGTTGGTGTTTAGAAGGCTGGAGTTTAAGACTCGACAACATATTTTCATAATGTGATTCCAGAATAGAGGATTTGACTTGGGTACGGCCCGTCAGATCACAGGCGCATTTCACGTCAAAAAGCTAGAATAGAACTCAATGAAATCACGAGGGTCTTACACGGCTGCGGGAAAGACGTCAGATTCCAATGGAAAGTTTGTATCGTAGTAGTCCACAATACTTTGTAGACACAATATGTTTGAGATTGTATTGGAGTTCTTCATCTAACTAGAGTAGCGGAATCGAATGTTCCGATCTAGATGCTGACCCGGGGGGAATAATTTTGTTCGTCAGCCATTGTTCATACAACATTAGAGAATAATCATTTGATATTTGGGAGCAGACCCTTCTGCCAGGTGCAATAACTGTCAACTTGGATTTTCAGTCGGACCAGCAGCCGTGGGTGTCGTAGCGTTATTATCATCTCCCTTACCAGGCAGGGGATACGGACTGAAATCTCGACTGCTGGTGCTGAATTTGGACTGTACAGGTGGGTGCTTTTCACCTGGGATACTCCCAGTGCTAGGCTTGAACGCATGATGTGGAAATTCGTGATTGTTGGCAGTCGGCGTGGTCATGGAGCTAGGTTCGGCAGATATCGGACTGGCGATGCTATCTGCATTGCTGTCATTGTCCAGAGTAACAGAGTTGAGTCCGTGGAGGCCACCCTCAATGTCTCTAACCAGTCGGACAAATTCTTCTGGTACAAGCCCACTCTCTCCAGTTCTTGGGTCTTCTGCTACCAACCAGCCTTGGCCATGTCGATAAGACACTAAAATTATCTGTCCTTCTTTCAGCGCCAATTCGTTTTGATGCTCGCTTTCGAAATCGAACAGTGCGACGGCTTTCCCGTGCATCTCTTCGTCCGGACTTGCGATTGTAAAGGAATAATCCTTGGAGAAGCGCGCATCATCACCGACTTCTGAACCGTCATCTTCTGACATGGGTTCTTCAGTGGTGATGACTGGTGACGCATTTCTCTGTAGAGGTTTGGCAAAGTTCGAGTCCCGGTGTTGAGGTTGTCGAGGAAACCGCAGATTGTGATTCTCATAGGTCTCCACGGCTTCGCCAGGTCCATTCATTTCATCTTGATGGCCTGCAGCCCCAACGAGAATACCAGGGTTGGGACCTGCTGCTCCGGGTGACCGCCCTCTCTCATTAGACTTGTGCTTTTTATGTCGACTGGTGGTGACAATCGGTGATTGAATATCATCGTCCTCGCTGTAAGGCGGACCACCATCATTGAATGTCATGGCCGGTAAGCGATCGCGTTGAGTTAAGGACTGGCTAACTTCTGATATCCAGGGCGGTGTTGCCGACCACTGTCCTCTTCCATCTTCCCAAGTCGAGACGGCCGGATCGGACAGCCTCCTGGTTTCGCTGGCTGGAGTAGACAGGCCTGATGGTATAGGAGGCGGGCCATAATGTAAGGGATGGGTTGTTAAGTAGGCAAAGTCTCTCACTAACGTGTAAGGGAGACTCGAGTGAAAGGCAGGGAAGACGTGGGAGACGGGTCGCGATTGATGATTAGGTTGAGAGCCTCTTGAAGCTGTGGAATAGGATGACATGCGACGTTCGGCATAGGAGGTTGGTCTCTGTGAGCTTGTCCTCCGAGGAGTGGGGGTGCCTGTGATTAAGGGAGGTAATGAGGATGTTGTTGTGTTTGTCGCAGCGAGCGGCGGTGACATGGTAGGTGGTGAGGCCGTTATGGTGGCCATGATGACCGACAGAAAGGACGAAAAGAGCGGTCGCCAGAGATGGCAGGTGACAAAGAAAGGACTGTAATCGATGAGAGGGCGAGGAGAAGGGTCGAGTCTTTGAACGAAGGAGCGCGTGTGCAGGACAATTGAGCTGAACAGGGCGGCTAGTTAGAAGGGCTAGAAGGGAGGGCGCTTGGTGGTGGGTATTCGCTTAGTTCGATTTGCGACAAAGGCGAGTGTCGAGACTGAGCGGGAGGCGTGTGAAGGATAAAGATGGAGATATGGGAGGTTGAGATAGGATGGGCTGGGTGGAACCGCAGCACGCGGTTAGTTGGGAGAGGATGGATAAGGTGTATGGCGGAGAAGAGAGATGGATTGTGTACAGGACCGGTTGTAAAGGTGCCTTTGGGCGCTGTTGGTTGGGAGGGAAGTGAAATGACTACCGATCAGTAGCGTGAAGGCCCAAGGGTGGTCGATGGCTGTTGGAATTGTGCATAGATCTAAATATAGCGTGGGCCGAAACAACAGGGTCGAGGTAGCCAATGTAGTTCAAGGTGATGAGAAGAGCACTACGATTAATGTAGCAATAGTGAAGACTCAAGAAAGCGAGGTGCAGGTGAAGTTGACTCTATAATACGATGAGGCAGCGGCTTAATACGACTTGCGGAGGTGAGATAGAGCACAACCCTACGACCTGTACTAAGCAATTAGGTTGTTATAGTGGTGGTATCTAATTCCTCAAGGCCGGAAGGAATGGGAATGAGGAGGCGTGGTTGAGCCCGAAGTAGTACCCAGCTGAGAGGGCGCAGGCACTAAACGGGTACATGGGGCAGGTTAAAGCCCGGCAATCGGCCGAACCAGCGAAGTACAGTAGTCGGTACCTCGTACTCGGTACGGAGCATACCATCTGCCTAGTAACATACCGAGTACTGGCAACTTGTCCTCTAAACGGGCAGCCAGACTCGCCGGATTGTTATTGCTGGGGGCTCTTGTTGAATCATATGCCAGGCGGTAATTATGGAGACTTCCAGGCCCCAGGCGGGAATGTGACAGTACTCGTAGTCCTACTCATAGCAGTCAGCCCAGGACTCGTGGCTGCTACTAGTACCATGACCAGAGCCTCAGACGCCAGTGTTTCAGGTTGCGGTGCCTAAATCAATTAGGAATCGACGCTAGTGAGAAGAGGCAACTCAGCCGACAGAATAAGTTCTGCTCTATCACGTGATCATGACCCAAATTTGGACTAGACAACTTTGCTTCCCAGTAGTTCCATGGCCAGCACCACAACATGTAGTTCAAGAACTAACTCATACTTCATGCGACACGGAGGTTGGTATTCAGAGCAACATCAACCACTTCCATCGAGGTAAGATACCCTCGTCTATGATGCATCCTGTCTTCTCCCTTTTATGATGATACGCAATATTGGAGCTGTCCTATTCAACTTTGAGGAGACAACTTTTTTAATGGTTGTTTCAACCGCACCTGATATCCCAACTTCAAATTTAGATATTCCACCCACAACGACCTCTTCTCGACCAAAACGGCTAACCTTTAGTTTGTTAAGTTCTTACCATGCCAAGTTGACACCTGACCGCTTTGCGATCCCTCCATTGCCGTCATGTCGGGAGACCCTCGGCTTGCGCGCCTTCAAAGGCGGACTGCCACACCTCAACCCTCTCCGACCCCAGTGCCTTCAACACCTCCATTCCAAGAACAGTCCAACCCACAGAACACAGTAGCCAGCGTCGATGGCACCCTCGATACACCTACCTCCAGTGCTTCTGCCGCACGCCCAACCGAAAAAAACAACTTCAAGCTAAAATTCTGCACCGTGTGTGCATCCAACAACAATCGAAGCATGGAAGCGCACCTCCGTCTGTCGACTTCCGATCACCAATACCCCGTAATATCCTTTGGAACAGGCTCATACGTCCGCCTACCCGGGCCATCCATCTCGCAACCGCAAGTCTACAACTTCAACACAACCTCATACACCAAAATGCACGACGAGCTGCAAGCGCAAGACGCACGGCTATACCGCAACAACGGAATCCTCAACATGCTGGACCGCAACCGCAACATCAAATGGGGGCCGGAGCGGTTCCACGACTGGATCGTCGGCGCGGCGCGCATGGACGCCCTGACACGGGGTGACAAAGGTGCCGACGGCGCGGAAGGCGGCGTCGTGGATGTGATCTTCACGTGCGAAGAGCGCTGCTGGGACGCCGTGGTCGACAACCTACTCGACAGGGGCGCTCCGCTGAACAGGCCCGTACACGTCTTCAACGTCGACATTAAAGATAATCACGAGGAAGCGCTTGTCGGAGGCGGCGCGATCCTCGAGCTCGCCGACGCGCTCAACGAGGCTGCTAGCCAGGAGCGCCAGGCTAATGGAGCCTCTGGATGGGAGAACGGGACGGGCGCCGCGAGGCTGGGCTTCGACGAGCGTGTCCCTGATATCCTCGCAGCTTGGCAGGAACGGTGGCCCAATCTCCCTGCTCAGTGGACCTTGTCTTGGTTTTAGAAAAGAGGCGGCCGAGACGGAAGGGATTTTTCTCCTTCGCCGCTGGTGCCTTATCTTTGTCTTGTTATTGAGCGATGGCGCTGGTGGTGTTTATACCAATACGATTAATAGGAGATGAAATTCGAGAGATGACAGATTACAATGTCAATGTGGATTTCGCGCTAAATGTCCTCGTCCTTCTCGACTATGTTGTGGTGTTGATATCTATGACGACACTCCTTGCTTTATCATCAGACAGAAAATCGTTCTGTCTGCAAATGGCACTGTACGAATCATTTATCCTCGTAAACCCTCATCTCAAAACAAGCACCACATTTCCCCCGGGCCGCCAAAAGACAGGATTTGCGCTATAACTTCCCCTCCCGCCCCTCCTTCATGACATCTTTCCTCCACGCAACCTCGACTTCTCGAGGACCCTCCTTGCTGAACTTGACCAAGACGACTCTGTCCTTCTCGCCGCTCAATCCGCTCCCTTTCAGCTCTGGGCCAGGCTTATCCAAACTCAAGACCGACCGTTTGTCCGGTCGGCCGAACTGGGCACCGATGGGACTGATGAACTTGTCTTTCCAGGGCGGACTTCCACCACCGGTCTCGATCAGACGTCTCAGTTCCTCACGTTTCCGTAGGATCTCAGCATCATCGTCAGTCTGGCCCGCCGCCATCCCACCCTTGTCAAATATCTCACTGATCAAGAACAACAGCAAGAACTGAGGCGGGAAGAGGATGATCTCCCCGCTTCGCGCGCGGTTCAGCCAGTGGGCAGGCGGGGCCCATTCAGGGGCCATCGTCTCGACTTTGTCGCCGGTGGCTCGGACGCTGGGGTTGCCCTTCTCCTCGAGGCCGACGAAATAAAGGTACATCTGTGTGGTGAAGCGCTTGGGGACGTTTGGTGGTGTTACCCAATGGGTGAATGGGAGTAGACGGTCCGTATCCAACACCGCGTCGCTGGAAAGCGACCGCAACCACGACTGGAAATCTGTCTTGCCAGAGTGGACGGCCTCCCGACCGGATTTGCGTTGCTCGCGAGAGACGGAGAGAAGAGAAGGTGCGGAGAGTGATGAGCGCGCCAGCAGAATTCCCGTCTCCTCGAAAAGTTCGCGGATCGCGCCGGTGCGGTAGGCGATGCTGTCGAGGTGGCGGTTGATGTCGGTCGGCGTGGAAGGGAGAGCGCCGTCGGAGGCCTCGAGATTTCCTCCGGGGAAGACGTGGGCGGACGGGAATGCTGATGACGTTTGGACCCTGTGGAGAAGGAGGACTTCGTTGCTCGGTGAGACTAGGATGATGCTGGCTGATGGCGATGCTGGGGCGGGCGCTTTGTGGTCAGAGTACTCCCGTACCTCGAATTTGGACTTGGGCTTGGTCTTAGACATGGCTATGTGAAGGAAAGGGCGGTGGCGCTGGGAGAAAGGAGAAGTGCCGTTGAATTTGTGAGGCGACGTTGTATAGCTTCTGTATCTAATCGGAGCTGTGTCTCTGACTCTGTGGTTGTGCCGTGGAGGACTTGAAGATAGTTGTCCCAGCTGCTGTACCGAGAGCCGAGGGGGGTAAGATATCGAATGGAAAGTCTCTAGTAATCTATTGAGATTCGGCGAAAGAATGCTTGTATGCCTGGTGCAGAGAGAACGCAAGGAAAGGCTTCTCATCTGGGGTAAGAGCGAAGGAAAGTACTACTAGTACATGTGTGGTCAAAGGCGCGAAACACCGAGGATGGGAAAATGATAACAACAATAAGGCTTGATGACACAGATCGTGAGCCGAGGCGATTTGGGTAATTACTCGTCCCTTGTTTCTCCAACGGAGTTGAGCCAACCATGGATAGCCGTTTGCAGACTGTGCCTCAGAGTCTCAACAGAAATACTCATACAGGCCACGGGTAACGAACGACTTGGCGCGGGGACGTGAGCCGCTCCCGAAGCGCGCCCGAGGTTGAACGTGCAAGCTTAGCATAAAATATTGTGTAGCACCTGAGGATATGCAAGCGAGATACATCCATAAGAGGACAAAACAGGATGGCAGAGACCGAATGTCGACACATTACTTCTGTGCATTGACTAATAACTTACCAGAGTAGAGACAATGTGTGGCACTACGGCTTACTGCTGCCAATTGCATTTTGTATATCAAAAGTTGCATAGGCGCGTGAGCATTTTCATCTAAACATCATTCACAAATCATGTCATGATTCCGCAAACTCAAGCAGAAGTGAGATTATGGCGTTTCGCCTTGAACGCCATGTCGCCGCGCTTTTATGCATCCTGAATCTTCCTTATGCGAGCTCAAGAGTAGAGCTTCTTGTCGAAGCTATCCAGACCATGCACATTACCTTCGGCCTGAGCACTAACAGTGCGAAGTTCGAATCGAACTTTGCCGCTCATGACATCTTCACGAAGCTCAACCAAGCTCTTCGATCCAATATCCTGCAGTGAGTGTTGAAGGCCGGCCAGCAGGTAAGGCACGAATTTTGTGACAGAGCCGCGGTCAAGTACGGAGCCAGAAACACCTTGGGCCACCAGCAATCGATCACCCTCGGAAAAGTATCTTGCTGTGCCGGCGTTGCTGGCCTTGGAGTTCTTCGCTCCACCGCCAGCTTTCTTGTCCTCCATAGCGTCAATACTGCCCATACCACGGTATGCCTTGACGAGTTTGCCCTCACGACTGACAAAGTAATTTCCTGGTGATTCGGTAGTACCAGCAAGGAGACCACCCATCATGACAGTGGAAGCACCCATAGCAAGTCCCTTGACAATGTGCCCAACATTTTGAATACCACCATCGGCAATGCAAGGTACTCCGAAGCGAGCTGCGAAAGACGAAACTGCAAAAACTGCGGCAGCTTGGGGTCGACCAACAGCCATAACCTCTTGCGTGATGCAAGCACTACCGCTGCCCATGCCAATTCTCAGGCCATCGGCACCAGCAGCGATCAAGTTGGCCGCTTGGTCTCGAGTGACCACATTTCCAGCGATCACATCGAGTCCGGGATATTTCTCCTTGATGAACTTGACCATGTCAATCTGATACATGCTGTTACCTTGGCTGCTGTCAAGGACGACAATATCAAGACCAGCATCTACGAGCTTCTGTAGTCTGTGCTTGTCATCAGGTCTCGTACCGATCGCGGCGGCGGCAATCAATTGCTTGGAGTGAGGAAGCTTCGAAGCCAGTGGGTAGTTGAGATTCTTCAGGAGATCGGAGCGAGACAAAAGCGAAATCAAGTTGCCATCCTTGTCAACAATAGGGAGTTTGCCCTTCCGTGACTCACGGAGAACAGTATTAGCTTCAGCCAAAGTGGTACCAGCTGGCGCCGTGATTAAGTCTTTGGACATAACCTCTGTAACGAGGTCATCAGGGCGTGGATGAAACTGAATGTCACGAGTAGTAATAATGCCGATCAATTTCGACTTGAGTTTGCCGGTTTCTGCACAAGCAATTTGTCAACAAAAGAGTGATGCTGGATAAATTGCAAGCAACAATAGCATGGTGAGGTATAAATCAGACAGAAATCTCCTGTAGTCCCCATTGCAAGTTCATGCTGCGGATGAACGAAAGTATAAAAGGGTAAATGGTTTGGACATCATGTAAACCAGAAATAATGTGACGCTGGGAGAGCATACCTGTGACAGGGAAGCCACCAAATCCCCATTTCTCTTTCAACTCTTTAGCCTCTCCAACGGTAGTCTTAGGCGAGAGAACCAATGGCTCTGAGATAAAGCCGTTCTCATATCTTTTCACCTTTCGAACCATATCTGCTTGGTCATCGGCCGAGCAGTTATGATGGATGACACCCAAACCGCCAAGAAGAGCCAAATGAATGGCCATATTTTCTTCGGTGACGGTATCCATAGGCGAGGAGAGGAGAGGAGTCTTCAGAGAAATGCGTTTGGTGACGGGAGAGTCAAGGCTTGCTTCAGCAGCAGCGAAACCTGGTCAATTTGGTTAGAGACCGCCTCAGCCTTGATACGGGTAGACTATGTACCAATGTATCCAGGAAGCACGAGGAAGTCATTGTATGTCAAGGCACCGTTCTCTTTCGAGTCAAGCAGAGTATGGATGTCCAGTCCATCCTTGGTCGAGTACTCGGCCTCGAGGACTTTCAGCGCGTCTCGATAGTCCAACTTCTCGACATTTCGTCGGAGGGGTATGCCATTGGTGGCTGCATCGCCATTTGAAATAGGCATCTTGAGAGGTATCGAAGGATTCACAGCAGGTCCAAATAATCTGGTCTGCTGGGGTCAAAGAAAACTTTTCCCAAGAGAAAGAAAATCGTCAAAGACAAAGCGCGATTCGAAAACTTTTTTGAGGGGACGACGGCTCGCTAGCCGCTAAGTCTTGGCAGATCGAATACAGCAAGAGCGGTGTGCATGTCTTGGCCGCCTTGTCCAGACAACACCGTCACGTGTCGCTCACTCCCGTGCTACGCGTCAATCAAAGCAGTGCTTGAGTAGAAGCAACAACACATGCACGGCAGGCTATTGAGCTCCGAATAGTTCATTGTAAGTATTTTGAAGAAAGGCGAAATGTTACAGGATAGTTGAATCTCTTCGGAGAGCAGCGGATGAAGATCGAGTGTTGGAATAGACCGTCAGACACAATAATAGCCATCCGCCCTCCGCCACCTTCCAGCCTATCAGAATTCTGGAAAGGCGTCTCAAGCACCAAACCATTTTCAGCAAAAAGTAAACACGACTTTTGAAAACCCCTCCACAATCAGCATCTGTGAGCAACTAGAACTTTTCACGTTGCCATTGCTGAGCTCCAATTCATTACTGTTTGCCCTCCTAAATACACTTTGGGCTCATAATACCAAATCACTCTCCGAGCCATGCTGTACACCTGCAATAATCGCTCTTGATTTAGGTACCACAAGCTTGATGTGGCCAGTTGGCTAACTTCAATGTCATTCTGATTATTGCTGAGGATGCACCGAACGCTGCAGCCAGTCTCTCCGTCGAAAATATACCCTGTCTACCTTGACACGCAGAAAGCTTCTCCGGTATGTCTTCGTACGCTCTCCGAAGGGCCCAGACAGACCACCACTACGGCTACCCTCAACGCCAGATATCTACCACATCCACAGTATCATCTGCCTATTCAGCAGCATCCAGTGCTTTCGCACCAAGCAGAACAAGTACGGTGACTTCCGCCAACTCTAGTACCTACGCGAGAGATTCGCCCGGGCACAAGCGAGGCGTTAGTGAAGCTGCAGACATGACTCCAACAAGGGCATACGGTGGCCACTCCAGCATTGAGAACAGTCCAGACCATGTGTACAGAAGTGTCCGGCAAACCCTGCGACCACTGCCACAAGCACCATCTCCGAACTCCACTCCCAACACAAAGCGGCCAATAGCTCATCACACTCGAGCTCAAACGATCGACCACTTTCCTCAAGCTCAATCCGAAGATCCTTTTGTGGAGAAGCACACTCATGAATATTCCTCAGAGGCAATCAACCTCAGGCCACATCTCCACCATACCGCTACAAGCCCACATGGCACCATATTCAAAGCCCCCGATCTTCAAGAGCTACAAAAGTCCTCGACCTCACATTTGAGGGCGTTATCACGGTTCGCACAAAATGGCGACGTTGAAGAATATGGAATCGACAAGCCGAGTCCATCTGTCGTAGGACTGCAAAATAGAAGGCAATTGAAGCGCGCTGATTCTATGATGGGTGTTGGACGGTCGTCAGCTAAGAGCTACGGATGGGCCGACAGGAATTGGATGGACAAGCAAAGACAATTCTTAGCTGCATACGAATACCTCTGCCACATCGGAGAAGCAAAAGAATGGATAGAGGATATCATACACAAACCTATCCCTGCAATTGTGGAACTGGAAGAAGCTTTGCGTAACGGCGTCACTTTGGCGGAAATCGTGCAAGCATTCCACCCAGAACAAACTCTCAGGATCTTCCGGAACCCCAAGCTACAGTACAAACACTCAGACAATATTGTCATGTTCTTCCGATTCCTCGAGGAGGTCGGTCTTCCCGATCTGTTCCGATTTGAGTTAATTGATCTCTACGAGAAGAAGAATACTCCCAAGGTCATCTACTGCATACATGCCTTGTCATGGCTGCTCTACCGCAAGGGGATGGTCGATTTTCGGATCGGTAACCTGGTTGGCCAGCTTGAATTTGAGCACCATGAACTCGAACAAACTCAACGCGGCCTAGACAAGGCTGGTGTTAGTATGCCTAGCTTTTCAGGTATGGGTGCTAGTTTTGGGGCCGAACCGGAACCGAAACCTACAGAGACAGAAGAACAACGAATCGACAGGGAGCTACATGAACAGGAAGCAGTACTCGCAGACTTCCAGAATCAAGTTCGTGGTGCGATTGTCAGACTTCGTTTGGGCGATATGATGCAGAGATTGTGGGACTCTGAAGAAGTCTTTGTCGACCTCCAATCGCGGCTTCGAGGTGACTGGGTGAGACAAATTGTCGGTTACAGGCTCGACATGCAGAAGTTTGCCACTAATCTTCAAGCTTCGTCACGCGGCTTTCTTGCCCGTTCCAATCAACAGCAAAAGGAGAGAATGTGGAAGTCGAAGGAAAAGGAGATCTTGAAGCTCCAAAGTCAATTCCGGGCCGGGAAAGCCAGGACGGAGGTTCGGTCACTCAAATCCCATTTGCGCCAACACGATCAAGGAATCCGTGAACTTCAAGGTGCTATTCGCGGGGCCTTGGCCAGAAGAGACGCCTTTGATCAGTATGAGGCTACCAGAACCTCGGAGAATGAGGTCCTTGGTCTCCAAGCTGTGATTAGAGGCATGCTTGCACGGAATCAACTTCAGCAAGACCATACTTATCTCAAGAAACAAGCAAAAGCCATCACTCAGCTTCAATCTTCCGCAAGATCATTTTTGGCTCAAAGAAGACAAGCTACACTTCACAAGGCCCTTGTGCACTCCACCACAAATTGGATGTCTCTACAGGCTCTAGTGCGAGCGGGAAATGTTCGACAAAATGTTGCGAGCCTGAAACGAACACTAAGATCGCATTCACCAACAATTGCCCAGTTCCAATCAATATTGCGTGCGGCAAATGCTAGAGAAGCATACGACTCTCTTAGGCTCTCTTTGTTCAGACAGTCCTCAGCAGTCACCCCTTTACAAGGTAGCGTCCGAGGTTTTCTACTCCGTATGACCTTGAAATCTCAGAGAAAACTACTCGATAGACACAGACCTAAGCTTACGCAGCTGCAAGCAATTTCTCGAGGGACGATTCTCAGACTTCATACAGGCGAACTTCTAGGGCAGCTTGAGGAGAATCATAATTCAATTGTCGAACTCCAAGCCGTTACTCGAGCCATGCTCTCCCGGAGCCGGGTGGGAGATTTGCTAGCCGAACTGGAGGAGCATCATGCATCACTTGTTGATCTTCAAGCTTTTATTAGAGCAGGGGCTATCCGGGGTCAGTTTGTTGAGAAGCAACGATTTTTCAAAGAAAATATGGAAAAAGTTGTAAAGATCCAAAGTGTCGTGCGAGCCAAGATCCAAGGGAAAGCCTACAAGAGCCTAACTTCTGGCAAGAATCCTCCTGTTGGAACTCTGAAAGGCTTCGTGCACTTACTCAACGACAGTGATTTTGATTTTGAAGAAGAAGTGGAATTTGAGCGGCTGCGGAAGACTGTTGTGCAACACGTTCAGCAAAATGAACTTGTTGATCAATATGTCACGCAACTCGATCTCAAAATTGCGCTTCTGGTCAAAAACAAAATTACACTTGACGAAGTAGTCAAGCATCAAAGACATTTTGGAGGCCATGTTGGAAGCTTGCTGCCCAACTCCGATATCTCCTCAAAGGATCCATTCGACCTGAAAGCCCTCAATAAGACATCACGGAGGAAACTCGAACACTATCAAGAACTATTCTTCCTCCTTCAAACTCAGCCACAATACTTGTCTAGACTGTTCAAACGAATCCGAGAACAAGCAACAGCAGAGAAGGAATGCGAAAGGATCAAACATCTTGTCATGGGTCTATTTGGATACGCCCAGAAACGCAGAGAAGAATATTATTTGGTCAAGTTGATTGTTAGATCCATCAAGGAAGAAGTTGATTCAGCGATCTCCCTGCAGGATTATCTACGAACCAACTCTTTCTCCAACAAGCTGTTCGGCGCCTATAGTAAATCTCCTCGCGACCGAAAATTCTTGAGAGACGTCCTTGGGCCACTGGTCAAGGAAAATATTATCGACAACGCTTCTCTTGACCTTGAAAGTGATCCGCTGCAGATCTACCTCTCCGCAATCAACAATGAAGAGTTGAGGACTGGTCGGCAAAGCCAACGAGATCCGAATGTACCCAGAGAGGTCGCCATTCGAGACCAAGAGACTCGAGCAACATTCATTGCACATATGCAAGATCTTCGAGATATTACGGACCAATTCTTTCTCTGCTTGGAGGACTGCCTCCTCCGCATGCCGTTTGGTGTTCGCTTCGTTGTGCAACAGACCTTTGAATCACTGTTAGAACGGTTCCCGGGAGAAGAGTCCGGATCCGTGCTTCAGCTTGTGGGTCAATGGTTGTGGCGGACATATCTACAACCTGCTCTACTCGAGCCTGAGAAATTCGGCGTTGCTGATCGGGCAATGACACAAGAACAGAAACGGAATCTCGGTGAGATAGCAAAGGTCTTGAACCAAGCTGCGTCAGGGCGCGAGTTTGGTGGTGACAATGTCTACCTGCAGCCCTTGAACAACTACCTCCGCGAATCTGTCGGCCGCTTTGTAGTCATTTGGAGGCACTGTAAGTCTAACAATCTCACTATGCACAAAAGTTTACTAACAAATTGAAGTGATCTCTATCCCATCGGCAGAAGAGCATTACGATATTGATGAATTCAATGACCTCTACGCGAAGACAAAACCAACTCTCTATGTCAAGATGGCTGACATCTTCTCAATACATAAGTTGCTGTCTCAAGAGATAGGCCTCATTTGTCCTAGTCAAGACGATGTGCTTCGTGACATCCTTCGAGAGTTGGGTAGCGTCCAGAGCAATGAAAGTGAGCTCCGAGGTGTCAGTACCGGGGAGATCAGCCTGACATTGAGCCCGAAGCTCCTTAATTCGGAAGACCCTGATGCCGACCTTAAGGCGTTGTTTACTGAAACAAAGCGTTGTGTGTTGTACATCATTCGAATCCAATCTGGAGCAAGTCTTCTCGAAATACTGGTCAAACCTATCACGGAAGAAGATGAAGATAAGTGGGACAATTTGGTGCGAGATGAACTTCAAAGTGGTACCAACGGACGCGGAGCATATGCTGATGCCAACACTCACTTGGATATCACGTCTCTGTCCTACCCTGACCTCAAGCGTATCGCTCTAGAAAACGTCTTACAGCTTGAGTCAATTGGACGGTTGTCTCGCTCAAATCAATACCAAGATCTGCTCAACACGATCGCAGTTGACATTCGAACGAAACATCGACGAAGACTGCAACGTCAACGCGAGTTGGAAAACGTGAGAACCACACTTGCTCGACTAAACGAGCAAGCTGTCTACCTCGAGCAGCAACTTAAGACTTACAACGACTACATCGACCAAGCCATGGTTACCCTGCAGAACAAGAAGGGCAAAAAACGCTTCGTCATGCCTTTCACCAAACAATGGGATCATGAGCGCGAACTGCAACGGTCGGGTAGATCCTTCAAATTCGGCTCGTACAAATACTCGGCGAGGACACTCGCAGACAAAGGCGTTCTCGTCCAATGGCGCGGCTACCACGAACGGCACTGGGACCGAGTCGATCTTACCTTCTCATCCAACGAGGTCGGAGTCTTCACCATCGACGGCAGTTCAGGAAACATGATGATCCCTGGAGCAAACGCCCAGGTCGTGCTCGATGACCTGCTGCAGGCACAGTTCAACAACACCCAATTCCTTGAATTCTTCGAGGATGCCCTCCGTGTCAACGTCAACCTATTCTTGCACTTGATCATGAAGAAATTTTATAATGAATGAAGTGATGACTGAATTTTCTTTTCGTCTTCTTTTGATAGGCAGAAATGCCTACATCTGACAGCAGCGCGCACAATTGGGAGTCTCCAGCGAAAATTGGGTATGAGTGAGTTTGTCGAAGCAGGGAAGCGAGAGCATGCATACCACTGCAGTGGCCTAGATTGGATATTGAGTGGCGTTACCTACTTGCATACATTGAACTCTGCATTTATGTGAGGAGGTGTCCATGAAACACTGTTGCTATCCCGATCACGCAGAAGAAGGACAACCCAACTTGTGGTGTTTCCAGGTCGTCCTGAGCCTGAACAACAAATGAACGACACATAGATACTTCCGGTCCAGACTAGCTAGGTATATGTACTATTGGCTAAGTTAAGTATCGTACAGAAAGATAATCCGCTACCCATCTTCTCTCAGAACTTCACTGGTTTTAACTATGTAGTAGCGCGAAGCAAAGTCTCAGACTAACTGATAATACCAGGGACAGAAAGTAGACGCTCCGAGGCAGGGGTCTGACCTTGTGGATTATCTCTCTGGGCCATTCCACATGCTATCAACCACCTGGCTAACTGACTAGGAGGCACGCAAACAATTGACTGAGATGTTTAGCATGAGAATTCGCATACGAATGCCAGTTGACGATAAGGCCTTTAGCAACTAATTAAAAAGTCCGTCGGCGAGCGAGAAGCCCAACCATCCCCCACGACGGTTTGACTGTGCGGAAAGTCGACCATTAGACGTCGCTCGTGCACGCCTCATACGCATCCCTCAGCATCGCATCGCAGCTGACTCTCCGCAAACGTCAACATCCCGTCTCCATTTCGGTCCTGCCAGTGGAACTTCTCGACCACGCTCCGGCCATACGCAGTCTCGCACGTTGACCCGGTGATATTGAAGTAGTCGAGATATCCCGCCAGTGTGATGACGTCTTCGCCGCCCGCGGCCACGCTGTTGCTTACGAGCTTGAAGAACGACTTGGCGTCTGCGAGCTCGGCAAGCTCTGCAAGCTGGCGAGCATTGTTGAGATGTGCCGGATGCGTGGTGAAGGTGCGGGGATGTTGGTTTGAGAGAGTGGGCGAGCTCATTGTCTCTGAAGGACCATGGCTATGGGCAGAGCGGCTTTTGTGATGTAGTTCGGAGGGATGGGTAGTGACTGTGGGACGAGAGTTGAAGGGAAGACCGCGTTTTGCATCTGATTGGGTCGTAGTGTGCGGTGGAAGATCCCATGAGGTGACATGACTCGCACGACAGGTCCAGGTTGTCCAGCCACTCTCAGGGCTCCAGGGAGCAGTTATGACAGACGTCCACAGGTAGTGAGTTCCGCTCCATATTGTATCGATTTCTTCGCGGATGATATTGACTGGCATCATGATCGTTAGCCTTTCGACCGGATCAGGACAGACAAATTTGCTCCCTCTACTGCGATGACTCACCTCCCTGACAAGCGCAACAGAATCCGTTGCACTTCTTGTAGCCACAGCACGGCGTACCTCCAGAGTTATCACCGCAGTCACCTCCGGCGTCGGGTTGACAACATTTGGCGCTGGCAGAAGGAACGAGAAGAGGTAAGATCAAGCCGAAACCCAAAGTGGCAAGGGTCGCTAGTGATCGCATCTTCACCGTTCCAGGCAGAGTGTCGGAGATGCAGAAGGGGAGTCAGAGCGCGCGCAGCTTGATCTGGTGGGTTTGGGTTAAAGAAGTGGTAGGTGTGGTGTGCTGGACTTGGTTCGGCGAGAATGGATCGATTTATGTGGAATAGGAAAGAAGCAGGAGCTCCGGGAAAGAGAAATGCATCTACAGTCACTGCGCAGGAGTCATCGTCCAAGTCCCATTTTACAGCCCAACATACCAAAGTACAGAGATGTTATCTACAGTTCCCACTGCCTTCTAATACAAAATAGACCCAATTCTTAATTAATATCTATAATATAGCCAGGTTCTATGTAGTAAATTTAACTCGTGCTTGGACTTTGGGTGGGTAATAAAGTGAGTTTTCGTAGAACTCAATCTGTGCAAGGTTTGCACGTAACAAATGCTTCAACTGGACGGTGACCTTTGCGGAGTTACTGGATTGGCATTATTGGTCACGGCAACCTCCTATCCCTCGGTGACGCTGGGTACAGTCCACCTTCACCGCGATTACCCCTGGCGTGACACGTGCGGTGCTGGAGGAAAGGGACATAATGCGAGGCAGTGAAGACTTGGGGTCCAATTCAAAATAGAAGGGATCTAGGCCTCAGCGTGAAAATAGTGGTGCCGTTTGATATGATCCCCCTGTGTTCAAACGAAGCTAGCAGCCAAGACAAGGCTGGCGAAAATAGGGGGCGAATGCAGTCTGGTTATGAAATCTCCATCTCCAAGCACCCCAAGTAGCCAGACAGCAACAGCAATTATAGAGCTCGCCAAGACATAACGATTGATTTATACAGGATCCTCCAGAATAGAATCTGATCCTCCAGTACCACTGCAATGCCGCAACCAATCACTGGAAGAATATACTCTTACATTGCTCCGCCAAAACGGTTCTCTGAAGATCTGCCCACTCAAGGTCACATCGAATTCATAAATATCCTCCGCTAAATTAATACAGTGAAATGACCTGTCTAGTCGTCGAACAGAAAAGTAAAATTGGCCTGAGCCCCGGAGGAAGCTGATATTTCCAGCTTTGTGTGCCTCTGTAACCCCAATCTCGTGCAAGTCCGATCGTTAGTTGATAGCCATGAGGATCATTCTCATGAAGATGCGCCGAAGCCACCACATTCATACTGATATGACTTGCTCTTTCTTAAGCATTGTCACCCCTAATCCGTTTGGCTGCTTGTCATAAGCGACGCAAGCCCGTCATATGAGTGGCCTTAAAGAAGAGCCCCGGTAGAATCGCTCGGAGCGCCTTATTCAGAACACACTTTGCCTCATTCTACCTAACGGCGAGCCATCTTAGGGTCTTCTTATATTTTTGGGCCTTGGCAGCGTTTCTCCCATCACCCCCTCTGATTTTTGGCGAAGAATGTTTGCTGTTTGCGTTCGAGGGCTCCTCCTGCTTTGGGGGCCCGTTCAATGGCTGGTGGGGTGTTTTCCCTTCCTCTGGGTGGAGTTTTGGGTTGTCTTTCGTCTGGGGCTGATTCAGCCATTCGTTGAGGGTGATCAACGGTTGCATAGACAGTGCACATAGTCCAAATGCCACAAGCAGAACCAACTCAAATCGCCCGGTGTGTTGAGTAAGCAGCAAGGATGAGCCTATGCTTGACCCAAACAGATACACCACCCAGTAATGGCTAACCATAACCTCGGGGTTTAGGTAAAAAGCCAATAAACCCATGTATCCCATCCCAGTGAATCTGAGAAACAGGACCACAAGGTGTGCCAGATCCGGCTCCAGTATTGAAATATAGGGTAACAACAACATTAGAAACCCCATCACAAACATCATTGGTCGTTGATCATTGTGCTGAGGTCCAGATTGAGGGATTGTCTTATCTTCAACTTGCGGTTGCGCAGGATCCGACCTTGCGATGAGGATGTTCGTGGAAGCCCACAGAGACGAGAGTATCAGCATCACAGCGATGATGCGGGTGAGGGATGGGCCTGATGTGTATGCATTCTCGATGATCGACTGTCCCGTTGCGCCGGGAGTAGTGAGATCACTTGTCGGGGGGATAGGTCCAGTTCCTGGGATGGAGAGCATTGTCACGATTGTTTTCAGGGAGGAGACGGCCGTAACGAAGCGGCAGACAGGTCGCACGCGAGTCGGACTTGATACGGATGGATGATAACCTGTCTTATGTCGTGATGCACAGTGGTATAGATGGAGAGAGGGTCTCCTTGCTCTGGAACTGGCTGGACTCGTGTGAGCCCCACTGGACTATCGCTTACAAGCAATCACATACCTTTCGCGCGAATAGTTTCTGAGTGTAGTATAGCGTTGAAGAATCTCCTCTCAATAACCAGATTTGAATGAGGCGTCGGGCTAGGAGGAGATAGCACAGTTGGTCTCGAATTCAATTTGTGCAAGGCTCAAACGGCTTGCCTCACCGAAGGTCTTAGGATACAGATTGCTGAACCTATGGAGAAGGAAAGTGAAGTGACGAGCGGAAGCAGACAATACCAGTAGCTTGATAGGAGACAACGTCAAAGACAGGCAGAACAAATCTTTGGAACGGACGGATTGAAATGCTGCAGAAGACCCTCGTGGTCTTCATGAATCTCACTCACAATGTGAGTTTGGGAAGCCGACTAAAACAGAGAACACACTCCTACCAAACATCCAGGCGACGAAAATACGACGGAATTGGGAATAAGTTGCAAACAGGTGGTTAACCGAATTGAGTTCTTGAGGACGATGGCACTATGGCTCTTCGCCAGGCGTTCTTGCACATGGCTATGTTCTTTTGTGCTTGATCATGTGCAAAAGCTTGCAGGGCATCAAAAGGCAAACCTGCTATTAGCTCATTACCACTACGGCCAACACTGACCGGTCAAAAGAACCGCGTGAATTTCCAACCCTCCAAAGTTCCCGTGGAAGGCAAGATCGAATCCATGCTCGGTCATCATGTTCGTCGCTGGGGGCAGATTCGGACTTCTTATACATAGGGAGATCTTGGCAAGGCGACAAGGCGGCAAGGCGGCAAGGCGACAAGGCCTCAATCTGGATGCATCACTCGAGCCCATGCGGGTGGAGACAGCACTGGTATCGGTAGAAACAGACAGCACACCAGGCTCTTCGAGATTGAGAATTGTCGTTCTCGCCTCCTCTCCAAAGCCGCCCGTTCTGTTGATAGATTGAACAGGCCCAGCTCTAACTCAGAGAATTGACATAACATGAAGGTCTGCTGCCAGTTTGGTGGGTTGGGCCGAACCAGGCAATGACCTGCATGCATTTGCATCCGCTGGCTCGTTCGCTTGTCAGCCCACACAATGGATTTGTTGCCCGGACACCACCAAGATGTAGATAGCCCCACTTCCCTCACTCAGAGACAAATTCCACAGCGCCCTTGATAAAACGATAATCTGTTTTCCCAGCTACAAGAGTGCCTAAATCACCGGGATAGCAAAAACGGGCACGCTTTGGATGCCTGACTAAAGGGTCATGTGTGCACCCGGACCAGGGCTTTGGGTTGAAGCACAAACAAGAGCCTTGACTAGATCCGGATTGTGTTCCGCGGAATTGCTGTTCGCAGGGCGTTCCTGGGCATAAAAGTTGTCTGGCATCATTTGGTCCCTGAGAGCCCAATCACCATCTTTGGTGATATCAGCTGTCTTCATAATCTCGTGCACTAACCAGTCAAAGGTACATCCTCTAAAATTGGCGACCTGCCCCCTTTTCATCCTCATCCCAGCCTTGCTCTTTTCCGTGCTGGCTCTCGCCACTTTTCTTATAATGTGAGCAACTCCTGGAGGTTTCCTTTCGCGCAGGTAGCTTACATCCCGGAACTCATCCCTCCCTGGTTCCATCAGCTTCTATTCAGGAGCTGCCTCGTAAAACGAGCATCTATAGGAAGTGTGGGAATGAATGTCTTGCTCAAGAGAGCCGGCCCGACGGAACTGGTACATATGGAGATGCAGATTTGCAAGTACAGCTGCAGCCGCCGGGGCTTTCTATGTGATTGCCACGTACAGACCTTCAATGCCTGGGATTCAAGCTCCCATCGAACGTGGGTTTTCTTCGGCCACCAGTACATATCCCGCGGATCATGAGTTGGGGAACTCCCTGGTAAGTAATGTTGCGAAACCGAACTGGCCTGCCATATATCGAGGATAAATGCCCAGCAGCTGACGATCTTTCAACCCCAAGAAACATCGGCCTGAATCCTTGGTTTGCGGTTGTGCAATGTTCGGTACTTCTCTCTTGTGGGAATCGAGAACTCGCCGCATTGGGCAAAGATTACAGGTCGCCATACTATGTCTGTGGGTCACCGCCGGAGTTCTTCTAAGCAGTCTCCTCCATGGCCAGAGTGCACTGGAATTAACAGGATCTTTGCGGCGCACAATACCGGCAGCCATTTTGTGTGCACAGTGGACGGGAGCTTTACTGGACATGGTGCTCGACAATCGAGCAACTCCGAAGAGTGCACAGAGCGAAGAAAAGTCTGATTTCAACGTCCAGGAAAGGCATGAGAGGGAGGACTGTTAATTCCAGCAGTCGGGTTAATGATGTCGCATGGAGTCATTCAACGCGTCCTCAACTGGGGAGGAGCGTTGGAATTGTCAACCTATCCAGCCTTCGTCATCATTCATGGCGCTGGTGCCTTCTGTACGTTGGAACCATCTTTCGACCACGTTTATGTCTGGTAGATATGTGATCAACAATAATATCGTGGTTGCAATCTGTGGCTGGTGCCGTTGAAGTCCAAAGATTCATCGATGGGACAAGAAACCGCAGCCACGATGTCTTATACATAACTCTGCTGCTTCGCCGATTCGAGGTGCTTAGAAACTTCCGATTTCTCCTCCAAATATCAAATGGCCTTCGTTGCGGCCTCGCAATCGGACATTATTAAATTTGCATGCGCTGGACTCCTCACCTGTACCTTGACCGAGAAGGGAGCTCTGTCGTGTGACAGCTGTGGAATGGTCATGCTATCAATGACCTCACCAGGGATTTGCTTAAAGTCAAAGCAATACAGCATGCGAGCAATTGCTATCCATACGTTCATTTCTCCGACCTTCCATCCAACGCACACACGCCGCCCTACCATTACCACGTGATATGGTCAGTAAAAGCTCCCGTACTATCAAGGAGGTGTCCTGCAAAGTGGTCAAGTAGTACTCACCAGGTCCGAATGCCCAGTGGCCTTTGAGTGGATTGTCCAAGTCAGCATTCAGAAATCTTTCCGGCCAGAACCTTTCGGGATCTTCGTACTCGGCGGGACTCAGAGCAATAGCCCACGCATTCCAGACAAAAACAGTGCCTGCCGGAAACCTGTATCCCTCGTATTCATCATCCTTAATCAATGTTGTTGGGGCTCCAATTTCAGCGATATTCGGTCTCCATCTGAAGCCTTCCTTGACGACGGCTTTTATATAGGGCAGCGAGTCTCGATCTTCCCATTGTGGGAGTCTCTCGGCTCTTTCACCGCAAGTGACATCTAATTCCTCACGAGCACGTTTGACCCAATCGGGGTAAATGGCGGCGGCAGCAATGATTTGCCCCAATGTGACTCTAGAGGTATCGCTGCCTGCTTCTATCAACGAACCGAGGGTGAAGAGTTTTTGAGTCTCATCCATTTCCTCAGCTTCTGGGGTTTGAATAAAGTGTGTCGTAAAGCAGTCTCGCTGAGTCCCAGCACCCATTCGCTCAATGATTCGGTCAAGTTCTCGTTTGTATACGCTTGGAATTGTCAGCAAGATCTAATTCATAGAACACAGAGAGAACAGCGCTACGCTCGTGTCTTTTTAAATATTCTCTCACCTCTAGGACGCCACCACTGAAAAGCCTTGGGTAACCGGTCGAAAACAGGGAATCCATCGACGATGTTCACTCCCGGCTGCTGATTCCTCAAAAATAGGTCGATTGTTTCAAAAAGCTCCACTGTGTCAGGATCATCAAGGCTAGATCTTCTTCCGAACACAACACTCATAATGACCGAATTAGCATACCTCCCATTTGCCGACCACCAGCGATCTGGCTGATGGAGATAATCCCAAAGAAGTTGTTTTGATTCCAGATCCTGAAACGGTTTGAATATGTCCTGTTGACGTCCCGCGAGGATGTTGTGCATGATCTTGCGAAGGGCGCGCCAGCGATTGTTGTATGGCATCAACACGATCCGCGAGTCACCAGACATAATACCCTGCGTCATGGGAAATGGCGTTCGAGCAAGTCGGATACCACCCTTGAAGAATTCAGAAACACCCAGGTGTTCCCTCCGAATTTGCAGGTGAACCTAGAGGTTGATCAATAACCAACCAGCTTATCAGAGTTAAGTGCATCTGGGATTTGTATGTAAATCTCAAAAAGCGCCTACATTTCCCCATGTTTCTCAGCCAGTCTTTTGGCCCACGGCCCTTGTTGTACAGCCGGAATTTGGAACGTGTTCCCGAATATTGGGACTCCCGGCACAGCCGGAGGCAATTTATCACGGACTGCACCGGACTGGGACCACAGATAAACGGTCACGAAAATGGCGGCAAAAAGCAGAATGCACTCTAGAAAACACATGTCGAGTTTCGAGGCCTGTGGCAAATGATTTATAGGAAGCCTTGTGCTGGCGAAGGTTTGAGAGGTGAGGTCAAGGCAGAGTGTGATACACCAGAATTTCAGGCAAATGGCGAAGGCATGCAAAAGCGGCTTCAGTCACCTCTTCAGCCCATCGCATTCGTGGTAGCTCCTCTTTGGGACTATCACCACCCCACATTGATCCCCAGTCCGTATGATAGGCCCCTAGACGGACGTGGAGCAACGTTTGACTGGGGTAGAGAGGTTGGAGAACAGCAATCACCTTGTTCACTCTCCATCAAACTTCTTGATTTTGAGGTTGTAAAAGTTGGGTGAGTTGCTTTATCGTCATTTCGAGCACCAACTACGGCCCAGCAACCGCCGTCGACTTTTACCACTGACATAGTCAAAGTCTCGCTTTTCGGCCCAGAATCACCTTCAACGCATACCGATCAGCGAAGGATGAAAATGGCGAGTGCAGAAGGAAAGTACATCACGCACCCCAACGGGCAAAAAACTCATTACTTCGACGACGACAATACAGAGCCTGGTTCAGAATGCGAGACTATTCTAATCCAGCCCGGATTTGCGCGACACGGGGCATTCTGGGACCATTGGGCAACGAAATTTTCAGGAAAGAACAGGGTCATCCGGCGCGATGCAAGAGGACACGGTCGCTCCAGCCATCCGGACGAGATCTCATCGACGTCCTATAAGTATGACGCAGACACGATATGCGCCGAGATCATCGACATGCTGGACCAGCTGAAGCTCAAAAAGGTCCATTTCCTCGGCGAATCGACCGGCGGCATGGTGGGTGAAATCCTAGCTGTGAAATACCCAGACCGACTGCATTCGCTAATCATCTGTTCTTCGCCCACGTATCTACCTCCTGCTGCACTCGAGATGTTTGCGTTCGGACACGAGGACTGGCCGACCGCACTTCGAAAGCTGGGAGCACGTGGGTGGGCGGAACGATTGTCGAAGATGCCTGGCACCGTACCCGCTTCCAATCCAGCGGAGCCCGATCTCGCGTATCTCCCATGGTGGCTCGATCAAATTTCAATATCCAGCTCCGAAGGGCTTGCCCAATACGCAGAGTTTCTTATCACACTGGATGCGAGGCCGTACCTGCAGCATATCAAGACCCCGATGCTCATTCTGGCACCGGCCAACAGCGCCGCGACAACGGTAGAGGAACAGGAAAGTATTCAGCGACAGGTGCAAGGGTCGACTTTGAAAGTGATCAACGGCAAAGGTCATGAAATCTACGTGGACATGATCTACCACTGTCAACTTGCTGTCATGGAGTTCTTCGCACGTCTTCGGGGTGAACATCCGTAGCCTGTGGAGAAGGCATCCTCGAGCCTCGCTCCCCATCAATCAACCACGCAGACCCGGCTCGGAGAAACCATGGCAACCCAATGATTCACACTGCTCTTGCACCTTCAACGTTGTATGTATGTCTTTCACGGTACTCAATAGATAGTTGGCGTGTCTGCCTCCGCGCTGACTAGTCAGTCAACAATGGTCAAGAATATTGCATGTTTCGAATCTTCCGTGTGGAGTGCTTCCCCAGAACACTCCCAGCTCGCCGCCCACATGCCCCATTCGGATCGGGTTTCTCCACATCCACACATGGATCCAAGGCAAAGTCTCCGAGGATGGTGGCGAGGGTAGAATAGGTGTGAACACAAAAGTTCCAACGACAACTAAGCAAGATAGCTACACTCCCGGTGAGAGGCATCCGCAAAGCCCTGTATCGAAGTAAATACGGATAACCTCAGGTCAGTTCGCGAAAGGCCTGCTCTAGATCGACAACTCTCAAGCCTCTTGCACCCAAGAGACCCTCCAACGAGACGATAATCCCACTGTCGGAACCGCCTCCATTCGCTGCACCGTTTGGTCCCTCAGAGCAATTGAATACGACCATTCCCAGATCTCGCCGAAAGATTCGTAGGTGGAGAAACCAATGTTGACGCGGATGTGTCTCGGTCGAGACTGAGATCTCAGTACAGTCGAAGGAGATTCAAGACGTTGGTCTCTCTTTCCCGTCACGGCATCGTCAAGGATGGCAGCGACCGCCAAACCAACATTTCTCGGCGAGCCAAGGGGTGCGAATTTCGCCTCTGGGTCAACTGGGACACCCACGGTGTCCTTAGCCCTCTCAGCCTGAGGAATTCAAGTCAGCTCTTAAGCAGATTCAACAAGGAACAACATAATATATCTGCGGTTGATGCCAACCACATCATAACTTGGATCAAATTCAGGCTTTTATATGGGCAACTAAAGCAGAGTCCCGGCGTAGAAGCTGACTCACAAGAACATTGTTTTCTGATCCAGCGAATCCTTCGACTCAGAAAGGACGAACTCGTCCACGCGAGCCTTGCCGTCGAAAAGATCGGTCGTCAACATCATGGTTGTTTCATTATGTCTGGAAGTGTGCAAACTGCTGTGCACGTGTATGTATTTGCCTATGACTATGTATATGTGCAAAACTCTACACCGTTGATCCAGGACCGTTGCCAATTTTGTTTTTCCAAAACGCCTGTGTCTCCACGCAATAATCCATTATTGATCGTCAAGCATCGAACGCGGGAAATGAAATCAATATGCGACCTTCAACTTCCAGCCCGCACCGGCGACACGAGCAGCGATGAACATGATGGTGCTGGCGGCATAGCTGGCGATAGTGAAGACTATCAGCGCCCAGTACTCGCCGCCGGCTGTGGTCACGAGCTGCCCCGCAATGGGGATACCCGTGAGACAGCTGAAGCTGACGACGGTGTAGCAGGTCGCATAGTACCGACCGTAGTTCTCGACCTTGCACAGCTGGCCTACACAAACGGGCGTCAAGCTAATTCCCGAGCCTGACGCGAATCCAAAGACCAGTACGTAGATGATGATCAGCGGTAGGGAGCCGTTGGCGGGCAGCCAGAACGCCGCAGAGGATACCAGGCAGAGAAAGATCGTGATGACCATGCAATTGAAGCGGCCGATCTTGTCGGCGAGAAAGCCTGGCAGGTAGCGCCCGAAGCAGCTGCCTGCGTTCAAGACCGCGATTAGACTGTATGCGAGGTTCGACTCCATGCCATGCGAGATGGCGTAGGATGCGATGTAGGTCAGCGGGAGGAAGAGGCCCCATTCTACGAAGAACACGCCGGCTGTGGTCAGAGCGAACACGGGATCACGGAAGATGCGGAAGTCGGGCATGATGTTTTCTCTCGTTGCTGGACGTGGTGGGAGGCGAGACTTGATGAACATGTTGGCGATGATGAGGAGCAGTAAGGTGATGAACCCAACGGTCCGAGTGGCCCACGCGAAGCCGACGCTGCGGAATAACGTTTGAAGCGTAAGTGGGAACACAACGCCGCCCAGAGAGCCACCGGCAGCTGCAAGGCCGGTAGTTTGACCGCGTTTGCGTAGGAAGAAATGTCCAATGGCAGCAATGGCAGGAGTGAAGACAAGACTCGTTCCAGTACCGCCCATGACTCCGATGACGATCAAGAATTGCCAATACTTGTGGCATAGGCCGACCAGGAAGTACGTGGCAAGAAGAAGGATTGAACCTGAGAGGACGAGATATCGAGGGCCTTTGGCGTCAAAGACTGGCCCGATCTGGATACCCAAGAAGAAGGACAGAAAGGCATAGATGCCAAAGATCCATCCAATGGCTTGCTCAGTGTGGTCCTCGAGCTGATGCGTGGATAGATAAGTCTGATAGGTGCCGAGAGTGTTCATCATACTAGATAGAAGAAGGTATATTAGTAAGAGAGGTCCCGAGAGAGAGATGTGGAGCTCTGATGAGTAGAGGATGGAGTTGGACACTTACCCAAGTGCTGACATGAGTCCGCAAAATGAGCCCAGAACACAAAGCCATGCCTCCTTTCCTCCTTCGGGGTATGTGTTGCCATATGCATCGGTCGAGACATTACTCGCAGTGGCGAGATTACTGGGGAGCTCATGCAATGTCGGTATAGACGAGGCCGAAGAAGCGGATCGCGGACGCTGCCCCTTTACCGACGGTCCGTCGCCGTGGCCATGCGTATGTGGCTGTTTCTCAATGTCGCTGAGAAACGGTGGGTAAGGAGCGGCAGCGACCGCCGGCGGTGAAGCAATCGCTGAAAGCGATAATTCCTTTGAGTCCTCCGTGATGGGCGGCTTTTCGTTGGTACCTGGCTCTGTTGCGAAAAAGTCGAGTGTTTGCTCACTATCTTTCCATGCCTTTTCCTGGTCGAGGGAAAATCTGGGTCGTTCCAATGTTGAGTAAGGCGAACAAGACACTTGCTTCGCGTGGGGAGAACGTGACTTGTTCGAACGGCTTGCGTCCTGCGCAATGCGCAGGGGAGTTCCGTGTGTATGTGCTTCAATCTCTGGGTTAAAGGTCATCGACTGAGGTTGCGGTCAATTGGCTGTTGTTGCTATGGCTTGCACGGATCTAGTTTGCTAGTCCTAGCCTATGCTCATCTATGGTGACAAGGGAAACGTATTCACAGACCAGAGAGCTTGTCCGCTGCTATATAATTGAGAATTCTATTTTGATTAATGCGTGAGGGAAAATTGAGACGGTGAGTTTCTCTCGGGGCAGATGATGGGAAAAAGGTCGTCTGGGTTCCATTTCGTACAAACTCCATCTTTCCGTTGTATGCACGCCGCTCAAGTCCGTTAAAATATGGTAAAGTGTGGGTTTAGGGAAGGAATCGCTTACGCAAGAGAACGCATTTTGGGGGAGGGCGGCAAAATCTGGGGAGAGGAGAGAAGAAAGTACTCGTACCTATTCAGTCCATTTCGTACAAGGCCGTACGCGTTACGTGGTTGTACGAATTTTGTGCACAGCGTGTCACGCTCCTAGTCATGTGACTCATCTCTCCCCATATGTTCCGGTAGTTCAGCTGACTCAGCGGAGTGATTCATGAACGGCACCCAACGGCACCCAAACGGCACGGGTGATTGTTGGCGACGTTTTCTGAACATTCCGGCAATCTAGGTGCAACTTACTACTGTAAAAATGTCATGATGAGAAAGCTAGTGCATAGGCAACCGATCAAACAGTTAATATAAGGGTCCATGATTTGACATATCTGCCACCTCGTTGGGCTGCTGCCTTGGTGCCATTCTCACTCCTTTGACATGGATCAAATAATCCAACACGCTGATATCATGATGATTCTCTCCTCCCTCTCTGATTAGCTCAAGATCAGGCTCTGAGAATGATGTGGAAATCCGCTTCGTTCTCTACAAAGATAGACGCCAGAAATAAGACGTCATCTGGCTGGTCATCTAACTCTGAGTTCCTCTCTCAATTTCGAAGGTGGTCCTGCATTAGGAACAACTTTGTTTCTTCGTCCTAACAGTGTTGAATTGTCCAAGCTCAGCTCGAAGGGTTGCTTATTTCTTCTTCCGACATCACGTTGGGCGGCAGCGGCGACGGCAGCACTATGCTGTCCATATCCTCGTTCTTGCTGAGCGTGATGTTGACTTCGAGCTGGCGCAGGTCCAGCTGCCGCTCTTGCTTGAGCAGCTGTAGAGGGTTGAGTTCCGAGGTTAGTCTGGCGTAACTTTGCTTCCATGTTCGCAACATCAGTTGGCTGCTGTGCTTTGGGGACCTTGCTGGCTATTTCATTCTCGTATTCATCTTCGTCGTCAAAGTCATCATCTTCATTCAGTGGATTCAATCCGCCAGGCAAGCCGCCTCCACGGTAGCCTTGCTTGAAGTTCTTTCTCCGTTTGGCTTCTTCCTCTTGTCTGTGCACTGCATACCCAACATCGAAAACTTCACGTAGATTGACTGCACCAGGAGATCGGAAATCAGCCCGTCGTGCCCCAGGTGTGTTAGGGGTACCGAGAGCAAGTTCGGCGGGGATCTGACCCGCAGCAGCCCATTCTTTCTGTCGTACGACAAGAGGGGTTGCTAACGGTGGCGCATCCGCAGCAGCGTAGGTAGGTTCTTGAACATTCCGAATCCATGGATGGTTCAGGAATTCCTCGATCGAGTAGCGTTTATCTGGGTTGACGGTGAGGAGATGTGAAACCAGATCCTGAGCTGATTTTGAAATATCATCCCACCAGGGTGATAGAAACGTATATTGGCCTCGAGCAACCTTTTCCGTCAGGACCTGGATAGATTCGTCGTAGAAAGGGGGGAATCCACAGAGAAGTGTGTACAAAACACACCCTAGAGCCCACATGTCGACTGACTTGCTATATCGCTCATCTTTGACGATTTCAGGAGCAGTGTAGCCGACGGTTCCACAAGGAGTCATGGTCTGGGAATCCCAAATAACCTTGGAAAGACCAAAGTCGGCAATTTTGATGCGGCCAATACCGCCAGCACCGATGCCCTGAACAAATTCACCTTCATCGGCCTTATCCTCATCATCTGGTCCGCGAGGTCTAGGATTTCTGGTTGGAATGAATGGAACAGGATAGAACAGAAGGTTTTCAGGCTTAATATCACTGCAAGCACATTAACTTGTGATGCAAAGGCAGGAAATAGAAGATCGACTTACCGATGAACAACGCCAGTCTCTTCGTGAAGGTAAAGTAAAGCCTGAGCGACCTGGGTGATGACATGTCTACTGAGATCTTCGCTGAAATACGTCAAACGAACAATTTGATGGAACAGTTCACCGCCTGGACATAACTCGAGAATGATAAAGTAATGCTGGCGAGACTCTGAGAAATCAATGAGTCGAACAATATTGGGATGGTCCAGTTGTCGCATGATCTGAACCTCCTTCAGGATATTTGCTCGCTAATCAAGAGGTCAGCGTCTACATGGAGAAGACAAGGCGGGAGTAAACGGCTGTGGCACTCAAGGATGAACTGAAACAGGGGGAAGAGAGAAAGGTATGCGCACCTCGACGCCCTTTGGTTGCTTTTTGAAGTTCGGATGAAGGTGAGCGTCGCCCTAAGTTAGTGGTTGGTTACATTGTCTCTCGTGGAAAATGGCATCTGAAGAAAGTGCAATGCTAGGATATGCAATCGGTGACGGGATAGTAGGCAAGTAAAGGAATAGGATCGCTCCCGGAGGTAGGCATACCTGATTCGAGTTCATTTCAAACTTCCGCACGACCTTGATGGCTACTTCGTCACCAGTCAGGGTATCTCTTGCCTTGTAGACATTGCTGAAGGCACCATCACCCATCTTCTCTAAAAGCATGTACCTCTCCAAACCGGAATAGCGAGGTAGCTTGCCTGCCTTTTCTCTTTCTTCGGCGACAATGGCCTGAATTTCCGCTTCCCGCTTCTGGATCTTTTGATTTTTGCCGGCTGCATTGGCAGCAACGTTGCCTGCTTGGGCAGCGGCATTGCGGTTGTCAAAGGCAGCGGCTGAGTGCTCACCAGGCTGGGGCACTGGCTGTTGTTGGTGTCGGTGGCCGAGTACTGGGTCGGTATGAACCTGGTTGTATTTTTGTTGTTGGGCGTGTATGGGGGAAACGTTGGTTGTTGGTTGATCGCGGGGCGGTTCGGCAGCTCTAGCCTGCTTGCCATGACGTATGAAATTCTTGAGGTTCTGAATGGTGCTCATTTTAGCAACGGATGCGGAGAGAGCCCAGGACAGCGATGTGGAGGAGAAGGAGAGATAGAGCCAGGAGCGTAGGAAAGAGAGAATGCAAGGTTGAAGGGAGCAGGAGGGATGACAAATGACGGAGAGGATAGAGAGGTAGGCAGTGGTAGTGTAAGGTTGAAGAAGATTGAATCTTAGGTGCGTTGTTGTAAGTTTTGTCCGGAAGTGGGTGCGTAATGAGTAAGGAAATCAAGCGAGCCCAGGAAGGTGCCGGGAAAGCGGGCAAGCCCAAGCCAAGCAGCCACCTGTGCTCTTGCCGCGGTGCCAGGCTCCCAAGAGTGGGAAGTCGCAACTCGTAGGTTGCTACTTAGCTACTTACCACTGCAGCAGCTGCAGGGTCTCGACGCACCGACTTGGAGGGGCACGCTTGTTCCCTTTCCGTCCAGTGGTTCGTATCAATGAGCTGCGTATGTGACGATGAATAAGCCAGGCCGATGCAGTAAATGGTCGAGCAGTTGACTAGTTGGCTGCAGGCTGCTGCAAGTGTGAGGAAGCTCTTCTTTTTACTTTCCAAGCACTTGGTCTTTTTGCAAGGACAAATAGATCAAGCTTGCAGCTGTCGAAAACCTGGAAACCAGAAGAACGACCTAGGTGTGGTAGGCCGTGGAGGTTGTAGATAGAGTGTGGCAGGCTGCAGGGCTGGGCGAGAAGGACCACAGCGGGTGGCCATGACCAAGGAAACAGTAAGAGGAAGGCGAGCAGTGATGGCATGAACGGGGAACGATGATGCAAACGGTGGGGTGGACAGTGATGCCAGTACGTGATGGTGTAGGTGGGCTGGGAGGAATGACTGAAAGACCAAACTGACCTTGACCTTGAATGCCCGCCTAACGCCCAGCGGTGGCACTGGTGGCACCCTTGGGAGGACATCTGAGCCTGTGCGCACGCCCATGCCCATGCCCGTTCCCCTAACCCAGCCTGGCGCGCCCTCGACGCCTGAAGCCTTCTCGCCCGCGCCTATCTGGACCTTACCTCTATGCAGGGGCCGTCCACCGTCGTCATGTGCGCGCCCCAGCCACGGTCGTTCCCACCCAGCAACGTCATTCCGTTGTGATCCATGTCGTTGATAGTCAGGATGACCACCATTTAATTTCGCTTTCCCATTGCTCTGGAGGGCACTGACATAGGGTGACTGCATGTCCATGTCCCAGTCCACCTCCATGTCCATATCCAGATTGAACCGTATGTTGCTCACGTCGGGGTGAAGCTCATCGTCCACAATAAGCGGTTCGAATGTGGGCACTTGGCTGTCTTCTGTTGTCCATGAGTCGAAGTACGACGACCACCCGTCGGTTGGTGTGGGCGTGCCCACGATGGCGTACCGCTTCATTTGGTGGATGTTGCTCATGTGATCCGACTTGTCCTCTGAGATACTGAACGTTGTAGAACAATGCAAGCTCGATGTTCAAAGGAAGGTAAGCACCATCAGGTGAGAAGGAACGTGCTAAGGTAAGTGAATGAGCGAAGGAGGACAGGTAGCCAGAGAGGGTGCTTTTGCTGCCCTCAACGGTCCAAAACAAGATATTTAGATATAGTGAGGTGACTGACTCCTCTGTGCAAGGCCCGGCCTTGCCCACTTTCCACCCGGCTTGATCATCGTGCACCTGATTCCGGCCGAAGAGATGCCCCCCTATTGAAGAATCTTACCATTTGGACTTGAGCGAATGTGCATACGAGTAGACGTTGGCTGTCTTGCGTACCCCTGGAGTCCTGGACCGCCGACGATCCCGAGGCGCCATCGACGCAAGGGGCCCCTCGGGCAACGGCAATCTGTACGAGTTCATTCCCGACGGCACGCGAGATGGTGCAAACGGTGGGCGGGCACTGGGCTGCTCTTCTCTCAGGCACCCGCATCGCCGTAGCTTCCCAGACGCCACCGCGGCCGCCCGCGCACCATTCGACGGCTCAACCATAACCTCAAACACGTCTTGCATGTCAATCTTGATCCATGATTCAACCTTCAACCTTCAACCAGCCGTGATGCGGCTGCATTGACATCCAGCCATACAATTAACTGGTGCACACGACGCTTCCGAGTCATCGACGATCAACTGTATCTTGAACAGCTTCCAGATAAAGCTTGAGCTTGCGGCGCCTCGTACTCGTCAGACCCGGCCTACTGCCAGACTCATTAACATGGGCTTGGATCAATGCTCTCTCCTTCCCTTGGCCATACCACTCACAGGGAGTCTTGTCAACTATTACTTTTTATGGTGTTTCCAGGTGGGTGGTTCTATCATTCTTCATTCCAAGGCGTCCAGCATATGTCAAGCCGCCTTGTGACAACGAACCATGACGGATGTCCGCCATGAAGCTTCCTATTTTCGATAATGGCCGGCTTGGGAGGTAAATGAAAAGTTCATACTTGATAACTTCAACTTCATTTGCATTAGGCGGATCATATGACTTAACCCCTCACTTCCTACAAAGCCTTTCGAGCATTTCAACTGTCCGCCTCCATCATTACTAGTTAAATTGATATGTCGGAAAGACTGCCGACCTCGCAAACCCTATCCCCTAGAAAATATTCGAACTCCCATGCTGCAACTCGAAAATCAGCCCCTTCTGGGGCTTTTCTCGAAAATAAGTATCTGCCAAATATGGTCCTGATCGGCGGTTGATACATTTCTGGACATACTTATCTTCTCGTGGTCTTCAGCACACGCGACGTGACCTGTCAACGACTCATTTCAGAGTCCAGACCCCCTGGACACATTCCGCATTTGGGTCTCCATTGAGTGAAGGCCAAAGGAATGCAAAACTGCCAGGTGAGGCTTGTTCCCTTACATGCATGCCTCGTGACGATTTTCTCTGTTAGCTTGTCCTGACAGCAGCTTTGACTACTACCCACCCAATGGAAATGTTTGAGCATGAATGGATATGGCTCTGAGAGTGCACTTTCCCACCGCTTTATATTTGCGCGTCGGTTTCTGCACAGTGAGGCGCAAACTATACAGATCCGATGGATTTGTCCTACTCTCAGCGAGTTTGCTTTAGACAGCATGCGAACGCAGAGCGCAACAGCTACAAGGCTCGTAACAAATAACGAATGAGCAAGGACTACACTCCCAAACCCCACTCAATGCCGCACACTACTCCTGACAACTGTCAGGTTGATTCGGAGGAAAGATGCATCATCGATATGCATTTCCGAGAGTTGACAGGTGAGATATCGCAGGCAGATCAAGATTTAATGCTAGGATCGCAGATCACCCGCACGGGCTGGCAATGCAGATGTTGCAGATAAGGACTTCTGCCATTCTCCCTACTCCTACTAAACTTTGCCCAACCTCTACATGTTGCAGTTTATATCTTCTACACCTCACAGAGGCTTTTCAATCTCCCGACATGGACCGAGATGATACTCAGGGGTAAGCACAGATATCTAGGCGCAAGGTGTCCATTTGCCAGCCACAGTATCAGTTCATATGCCTTCAGGCTCGAACTCCCCTCGCGGCGCCGCAATTATGTGGGCAAGTAGGTTTAGGTGACGCACGGGGAGTTGACATGGCTACGGCGTCGTACGAGTCGGTGTCCTCAGCATTGCAGTACGGATTTTCAATTCCCCCCTATCCCTCATGCGTATCGTATCATCGGTAAGGCCAAAGTTAACATCAACGCCCAATCGTGGTCACCCTCCACCCCACGGTCCTGCGCTGCGCAAGCATGACGCCAATGTCCTGAAAATACTGCACATCGCAATATCTTCCCCACACTTTGTTTCTAGCCGCGCCCTTACTTCGCCAAAAGGCATCAAAGTTCCGCAATCGCACGGCCGCTCTCGGCTGGGGGCTTCAGTTGCCAGACCCGGTTGAAGCATGAATGCAACGCACTGCAACCACTCTCGCAGGCTGGGGGCCATCCCAGGTATGCTCATCTTGCCGTTTGACAGAAACCAAGCGAACACCTCCTTTTCTGAATCCCCTTTCTCTGATCGGAGCTTTGGGGCCGACTACGCTGCAACGTAACTCGACGGCCCTCTCATGACAGCTTTGGACGACCTCCGACCTTGCTTCCTTGCTTTATTCCTTGCCCACCCGCAGGGAAATTAGACACCCGGTCAGCCTGGGAAAGGCGGCAAAGGAACTGTGGGAAGAAGAAGTTGAATGAGAACAACAAATGGTACTACGATACTGGAGAGCGCCCCGATATCATACCATTTAGTAACGGGACCCCGTTCCAGCACAATTGTTGGAGGATCAATTCCATTAGGGGTGGAAGGAACCAAAGTATCAGGACTACCAGTAACAGAATTTGGAGAAGTGCCCGCAATCTGCGATCTGCAATCTGCAATTGATCAATGAAATAGTGTGAAGAGGTTTGAATTTCATCATTTCGTCGACGCCGCAGTCAAAGCTCTCAACAATCCATACAGGATCTGAGTGAGTCTCTCCTGAGCCAGCATTTATTAACACAACAAAGAAAGTCCCCTAGAAGACCAAATCGTATCCGGGGGAGCCAGAACCTGGAAGAACTCCCCATCCCCGAGATCCCCTCCTTGCGATTGATAGGCCTTGAAGTTCCTGTTCCTCTACCTGATTCCATCCGGACCGACGCCTCCAAACCCACAAGTCAGACTATGAGAGACCAGTTCAGAGGTCCCTTTGCGACACCAAAAAATTCGACACTTTTGGAACGCCCGGAACCACTCAACGCCAGACCGCCTTGCCACCGGGCATGAGGCTGCCTCTAGATACTGATTGTGTCTGACCATGGGAGGGTGTTACAGAGCTCATTCTGCCACCCGATCGCTCAATAGTTGGAGTAGATCGGACATCCAACCCATTCAACGTAGTGCGCCGAAAGCCACCCATGCCCTTTCCGTGACTGACAATGCCTTGTACACGGGGGCTCAATACACCCACCTTCCATTCATTTTCCTTTTCAGTTTTACCCGTTACCATTCTTCGAACGTGACTTGGCCCAAACATATTCTCACTGGGGGGCGAGCTAGATGATGCTGTGGCAGCGGTAGGGGACCGACGACGTTGAGTCCGTGAACCGTTAATTCCAGACCGGCGAACCGAACTTGAGCGCCTAACCGCATCTCGGATTTTGATGACATCTTCTTTGCCCGCTTGGCGTTCATTCTCTACGTCAGATCCTGAGGCCGAAGACCCAACACTGTCACTGTCGGCAGATGTGTCCGCAGCCGGTTTATTCAAGTTCATCGGGGCTAGCGAGCGTCTGTTAGATGCTTTACCAGCGTCCAACTCCCTCAAAGGAGAGCCTTCACTGTCCGAGGAAGATAGCGATGTCATTCTCGGAGGCAGCATGCTCATTGAAAGGGGCGAGCCATCGTATTTCTTAGATAAGAAGCCTGCTTGGAATCGACTGTTCTTAGACTGTACCCCAAGCGTTGATTCAGGCGGTGGAGGAATGGGTGAAGAGTCTGGAGATTGAGTTTGAAGCTGTGTAATAGAAGCTGCGAGGTCTGAGACTTGAGGTATTGTGATTTCGGTCGTCGACTCGTCCGCGGGAGACGGAGTGAATTTCTGTGGAGTCTTCTCAAATTCTGCCAACGTTCCGTTGTCAGTGTCATCCCTCCATCTCACTGCTCGCTTGGCAATTTTGGTTGGAGATCTCTTCTTCTTGGGGGTGAAAGACACTTGAACGCCCTTCTTTGCTGCTCCGAGAAGTCCCCTTCTTCGAGGAGACGGCGCTTTGGGTGAAGGAACTGGTAGTTGTGGGGCCAAGACAGGTAGGCTCTTGGGGCGTGACGGGCTGTTTTCTAATAAGATTGAGTTATTCATGTATTGTTTTCGTCGCTTCGGAGTGCCTGTTTTCGTTGGTGCAAAGGCCTCTACCGGAGCAAGACTGCCATCTGGTTTGACAACATAAGAAGCAGCACTGGAAGATGCATTTAACATCTTGCCTAGGATCTGAGTAGCTGCCTCGACAGCCTCATCCACACTCATCCTATTCAAGCTCTCGATGGAAGATATGACCTCAAATAGAGCCCGCAGTAACACTTGAATGGTTGGCGCATCACCGGACTTGTCTTGGTCGGTTACGGCTGCCAGCGCCTCTCTTTCAGCGCTTGATCGAAGGAACTCAACCTCCCGGCGTAATGTCTCTGAGTCAACCATATCTCCAATATCAACCTCACTGAGTTGTCGCAAACTGTGCTCCAAGGCAGTATTCATTGAGCGGTCCCAGGAGCTTTTATGAACCTTTTGCTGGCAATGATGTCGACTAGTCTCGAGCTCAACCATGATTCCATGGGCGGTCTTCTTGACAGCTTGCATGTTGTGGAGAACATTGTCGTTCTCTGTGCTATCACAAACACTGTCGAATGCAGCGATCCAGGAGGATAGCATGGCGATTCGTCGTCCAATTTGTTTCAACTTGATCATGTTGGTAATTCGTTCCTGTCTTTCACCAGCAGAGTTTTCAAACGCACCCCTGATTCTCTGAACACCCTCTCTTGCAATGCTCTCTTTCTTCTCGTTCTGTTTTCTGAATTTGGCAAAGGCTAGCACTTCAAAGTCCTTTTGTTGAGCCTTGAGTTCGTTGATCAAAGCCATCTGTTCATCAATCTTAACCAAAAAGTCTTTCACGTGTCGATTGACGTTGAAAACATTCCGAGTGACCTTGGTCTGGATATTCTTAGCCCGGTTGGCGTAGCGAAGAGTATTTTGAGTCTCGTCGAAATGAGCACTGGAAGGACTGACACACACGATCATCACGGTCTTGCAGTTACCGCCGAGGGAGAATTTGAGAAGGCGGGTGAGCTTCGAGTTTCTATAAGGAACATGATTTCGCTTGCGAGGATCACAAAGAGCATTGATGCAGCTGCCTAGAGCCAGCAGTGATTTGTTGATGTTGGCGCCTTCCAGAAGACGCTCACCCCGGTTCTTGGTGGCACTGGCACGTTCACTTCCTGCGAGATCGATGATGCTTAGCGTTGCCATGGTATGAGGCTCCTCCACACTTGCATTTCTATCTTTCGACGCAACGTTGATTTGAAGAACTGCATGCGAACGTGAAGAAGTAGCGTTGGCTTCAGTCGGGGACATAGTTCGCAGCTCATTCCCCCGCATGATCATATCCATGACTTCTTGGACGTTTTGGGGATGATGGGTTGAGAGCCCTGCAACGGAGACAGTCTGATTGGCATCCTCTCTTAGCATCAGACCGGATTTGGAAGTTCCAGGGACGAGAAGATCGCGGATGGTTTCGTTGTAGATCTCGAGATAAGAAAGGGTGATCTCTGTGACTTTGTCTGCGGCCGACTCTCCGACTCTTTCAAATAGCTCTTGCATGGTCATGAATATCACACCGGGCTCTTGTACTGTGCCAGTAATTGTATGAGTCTTGCCACAGCCGGTGGCACCATAGGCAAAAACTGTAGCATTGTATCCATCCAAAACACTGTCCAGCAGGGGTTTGGCGGATGCTTCGTAGACTTCTGCCTGGGAGGCATTTTCGTCGAATATTCTGTCAAAGGCAAAAGTCTGATCTTTGACACGCTTTCCAGTGGGGACAACGGAGCGGGAGAACTTTTGAACAGGGTTGTCCTCGGGAGGATCGAATACGCTGGGAACGTGGTTAGCTCCAGGGTCGAGACAAGTTATGACTTGTTGGAGTTCTTACAGGCATTTATCATCGACCACTTTGATTACTGGTCGGATGCCTTTTTGGGAGAGCTTAGGAGTGGGAGCGGCAGCAAGAGAACCATCGCCCAAAAATATGGTAGCATCGTCACATTTGGTAAGCTGCGCAGCCTCCCGAATAGTGAAAGGCCGAACCCGAACAGTGACGGAGATGGACGAAGCACCGTCGGATACCATTGCGTATGTCTATGTAGATGTCCTGTCAGATCGAGCAACGCAACACCGAAGACATGAGATAACTGTCGCGAGTTCGAAAGACACAGAGGAGATGGAGTATCTGTAAAGGATGGATATTCAGGCGGATGGTCTTTGACGAAGGGAACGTGTGTGTTTGGTGTATAGACTGCCGTGCACTGTGATATCGGTGGTGCAGTGTGTTTGTTCCTCGAACTGCAACAAGTTGGTGTTGAAGAACTAGCCCAAATGGGCTTAGCCTAGGTGTCGTCACAGCAACGGCTCCCACATCATCCGAGGTTTTTCCGGCATACTTTCTGCCTCATCTTCTGCTTTCACGCACTTCTTTTGTAAGGTGTTGCTTTTATTTCAAGCTCAGAAGCATCCACCCACGGTTTGATTCACTTTCTTCCTTTTGGTGATGGTCATCGATGCGCGTCGATGTGTTTGCTCTACATCTGCCCTGTTTGTTAGCATGGTCCCATCCCGCCTGGCATTCAACTGCTAGATAGGCTATTGATGTCTTCAGGCTGAGAGGGAGGCACATGCCTACGATTACTATGCATTACTTTGACATCGTAGAATGGCAAGGACGCATGTACGCATCTAGGTAATCTTGTGATTGCTATCGCTTTCGTCACGGCTATCTCTAACTACTTATCTACTGACCCGGAGTGTCATCGGAACTCGGTGCCGATGGAGTCTTCAACTTGAACCATCGTCACTGGAGGGGCGGGAGGAGTCATGTGTCTCATCACCCGCACTGTTGCACCCTGTAGGTACGTGGTTTCCGCCGAATGTTGGTCAAAGCTTGGCAAGGAAAACACCACGCGAACAGCGGCTAGGTTCGGCACCAACTCCCGATGAAAGCCGATTGTCCACCTTGGTTGAACAAAGCTACCTACCTATTCGTGAGATGACCTTTCGGCACTGACGTACCCATCTTATGCTTTGGTGAGTGGTGAACGCAACGGAGCCCTCCGCCTTTATCACTGTCTTTCGGCTGGTCCGTTGCGATGGTCCAGTTGCAATGCCTAGAGGTAGGATACAAATTGCTCATATGCCCTTATGCAAGTCAATCCCTCCTTGACACGAGTTATAACGATACAGACTCTCAACCATGGATCTACCTAGCTGTGCCACCCACCTCTCTCGACTCCAAACACGACACATGCTCCGCTCGACTTTCGTTCTTTCCTCGTTGATCTCACCGGCGCACAGTCAGCAACGACGAGTGACAACAACTCGATTTGAGACAAGCCGCCAGGTACATACGCGACGCAATGTCTCCTCGGCAGCATACGACCTGCCTTCAGATCCTCATCCTGAATCTCACTCTGTCGAGATGGCCAAACTAAGACCCTTATCCTGCCTTCCACTCTCAACATTAATACGCTCCTATACCATCACCTCCATATCTTCGATCCCGTTCCTCTTGAGCCCATCATTGAATCTTCTAACCTTCCTCACGCGGACCAGTAATCCGCTTCTCAATCCTGACCGAAACCCGATTCTTCACTTCTTTTTGAAGAAAACCTTTTATGCTCAATTCTGCGCAGGAGAGACTCCAAGGGAGGTGAGGAGGACCATCGAAGAGCTGAAGGACACAGGGTATGAAGGTGTGATATTAGGCCACGCCAAAGAGGTGGTCCTTTCCAAGGAGGAGGCCGAGGGTCTGGGAGCATCAGAAGACGATGACTCGCAGACAGCAATTAATGCACAAGAGATTGGACAATGGAAACAGAATATCATCGACACTGTTGAACTCTCCCAGAAGGGTGATTTTGTGGCCTTAAAATTCACCGGGGCTGGACGACAAGCTCTCAAGCACCTCAAAGCGACAATTGCCTGCGCACCTGAATTTGAAATGGCCGTACATGAAATCTGCAAGAGCGCTGAGCAGAAGGGTGTAAAACTCCTCTTCGATGCCGAGCAGACCGCTCTTCAAGAGGGTATTGACAATTGGACCATGTACTTTGCGAAAATCTACAACAAGGAAAAGGCTCTGGTACATGGTACTTACCAGGCTTATGCCCAAAAGACGCCCAAAGTACTAGCTAGGCACTTGAACCTGGCGCTTGAGAACAACTTTGTTCTTGGAATCAAGTTGGTTCGAGGTGCTTACTTGGGTAGTGACCCACGAGAGCTCTTTTGGCCAACCATTGAAGAGACGCACAAGTGCTATAACAGTCTTGCGCAGAGTGTGATTCAACAAAGATATAGCGAGATGTTAGAGCCTATCGAGAGCGATTCTTCGAAATTTCCAAGGGTGAGTCTGGTTCTTGCCACACACAACGCGGAATCTGTCAGACTGGCCGGCCAGCTCCGTGATTCGCAGGCCGAGCGTGGCGAGGCACGAATCGAATTGGCTTATGGCCAGCTGATGGGAATGGCTGATAATGTCAGTTGCCAGGTTGTACAAACTGCAAGGGCAAGAAACGATTCCCATGAAGCCAATGTGGAGGTGCCAAAGGCGTACAAATATCTGGTCTGGGGACAGATGGGAGAGTGTATGAAATATCTTCTTCGTCGAGCTCACGAGAATCGGGATGCTGTCACCAGGACAGTCGAGGCCCGGCAAGCACTAGGGCGGGAGTTGGGCAGCAGGATGTTGTTCTGGCGCAACTAATCAAGTGGATACCATGATTGGGCGATTGCATTGATCGGACATGCTATTGGGAATATTTGATGTAGGTGCCTCCGCTTTCTGAGGTCTTTCTTTCTGTTGTTGTCTTGTTTATTTGGCTGCATTGCATGTTGTTCTTTGATTGAGCATAGCATCCGTGGTGCATTGCATTGAAATGAAACCTAGAGCAGAGAGCATGTCGCGCAAGCGAAGATAAATATGATGAGATGAATTTCCCCGAGTTGAACTGAGGAAGCAAACAAATTCCACATTTGCCTTTTTTCGCCTTTTCCCCGGTGGTCTTTGTTAGAGATACAGTACAGCACAGCAAAGGAGAGACCCAGCTAGGTATCGGGTAGCTGCTTCTGTTGGATTGATTCTCTCAGACGATCTGCTTTCCATTTGGACCTGGACTGGCAAGCTCTTGCTGGATTTCTTTGTTCATCTGAAGATTACACACGCAAGTGACATACCATCTGACTTGCCCTGAGCCTGAAGGGTACTGTTCTCTGGAGTTTGTTGTTTGACTGCCTGGCCTGTGACCTGCTTGATCATATCAATCACTTCACTTTCACCATGTCTTTCCAGTCCTCTTACCGCCCACCACTTTCTTCGCGCTACAGTCTCGGTAGCACTTCCACCTACCCTGCTTCACCACCTTCTCTTTACTACAGCGACATCAGTAGCGAGAACTCGGAGGTTTGTTGTTCCTATCACATCTCTTCGTCCAACGCCTGGATCGTTCTTCCCCCCCGGAGGAACCGCATTGCTGATCAGGCACCAATACAGGATATGATGACCTTTGGCAAGAGCCCAGATCCAAATCATGTCAGCGATGTGATGGCTGAGGCGCTCGATTGCCTGCGTCGCGTGGTGGACCATGTAGGTTCCGCTCTGCGAATCTGCAGGTCGCTGGACTAATCAGAAATAGTTTCGCGCCCAGGATGAAAATGAAGCAGCGAATGGCATCGCTCGAGATGTCCACTCCATGCTTGACACGTTCAACCGAACCACCAATCCTTGGGGTATAGAAAAGTTCCAGATCAAGTCCGCACCTCCAGCAAACCCTGGTCAGGTCACCACCTGTCGGACCACGTCTCTCCCTCATGCAACCGTCCACGCATCCACCTGGGCCGCTGTTGCTGCAACAGACATACCTGCTAACAACCGCTTGGTCAAGTTCCGGCCTTCTGACGGTTTGAAGCGACATGTAACCGACGAGGTTGCTGTCCAGCCCCTTGGTCAAGATGAGGACATGAGATGCGCATGGATTTATGGTTGGAACAGAAGCAGACATGTACAAAATGCTACGGACCGCATCACCGCCGGTGCCATCTTCTCGGTGATCTATGTCCATGAGCATGAGGCTGTGTGTATCATTTTCCAGCATGCCAGCTCGGCGATCTTGTTGGCTGACGAAGAAGAACGATCCCAGCGAGAACTGGGCGTTGGATTGTTTGGACCAAGCACCGAGGTCAGACTTGGTTCACCGTATCCGGAGAACTCTGATCTCTTACGCATGGCCCCTCCTGTCAACGAGCGGCGGCGTCTTACATTCGCGCGCCAGCAGCTCTTCACCAATGGTATGACCAAGGAGCGTTTTACTAAAGATATTCATGACATAGTCGGCGGACATAATGTCATACTTGTTTGGCTTTTCAACACCGGAAATGGTAAGTCCAAGTGAAGATAGTCACCTTCCAACTAACAAGTGTGCCTAGCCACGGTTGTCTTTACTGCCACAGTCATTGCCCGACGAGTTCGCGATGAGTTTATCCAGTTGTCCCGAGAGCGAGGACCTTACCAGGACGTCCAAGTTGGCTTTTCACATGATCCATGTGAACGCCCAATGAACCTGATCACGCAGATCCCCTATCCAGTCCCCGGAGCGGCTCCTCGAGAGCGCAGTGATAGTGGAAAGTCGGCATCAAGTGGTGGTCGAGGATATAACCCTACTCCTAAGTCCGTCCCAGGTGCCACCGCCCGCCCCAGAAAGGGCACTGACTCTGATGGGTGGCAGACAGTTTCGAGAAAGCGTTGACCTGTTGAAATCAGGCCTGCACCAAGCCCGCCGTCCCGTCAGGGACATGATATCTTACAGATAAGAGCCCCTAACAATAGGGTATCGAAAGCGTACTGGGCAAACGATGATATGCGATGTGTGTAATCGAAGGCCGAGCTGAGCGGCCAATCCTGCGGATGAAATGGCGAATGACGAACTGGCGAATTGACGACGGAAGACACCCGAGCAAATCTTGCGGACTGTGATGCACACCCACGATGAACTACCATGGCGGTGTACACGGAAGGAGGATTATGAATGAGAATGAAAGCAGACATTCTGTACCTAGTGATGCCGTCCCAGTCGGTCTGGTAAACTTAGTAGATAGCCTATCCCAATTGGCAAGAACTCCAGAGTCTCCGCTTGCTCTAGCCGGAATGTGAAGTTGCAGGTGGGGGTCGTGGTGCGCGAACCAAGACTTTCGGTTGGGATTACCTTTTTTCACCCTGTCATCTTTGCCCACGTTTACCAACGTTCTGCAAGTTGTTCGTTTTCGGACCTGACGTGTAAATTCTTCTGATAATGGTGTGAGTATTCCATGGTGACGCTACAGAAATCTCATACAACCACAACGGTGATACTATAGATAGATTGGGTAGAGCGAGTCAAGTAAGTACGTGACTTCCTTGAAAGTCTCTCAAATGAGAAGCAGCAACCTCGGAGCGCGGCATGCAAAAGAGATGAGTCTCGAGTGTCGACGCACACATACACAAATACACATATCAATACTTGCCATCTGTTGGTGGGTGCATGTATTTCTAACCTGGAAAATGTTTCTGTGGTTGTCAAAGCCTGAAGCGAATAATGTACGTATCCTGGAAGCCAAGGCCTGGAGGATAAGGTTCTGACAGAGTGCAATTCGATCTTGATTGTGTGCCTGATGAACAGTCGGCAAGATTAAGCAGGCTCCGTGCATAGCAGACTCACGGTAAGTGTGAGAAAGAAAAGAGGTCGTCCTTTTCCTTGGTTTGAATGACCGACTGCTGCGTGAACGAACTGCAAGGGCAAATCTTTCCTGTCCAACCAACCAGCGTCCTCGGGTTAGGTATATCGGTAGGTGCCTTCAAAATCGGAAGATAGACGGTGAGGGAGATATCATCGGTGGGAGACAGAACGTGTGTGAGCTATGCGGTCTATCGGTTAGTTGCTTCCCTCTTCATTGATTCCACGCGGGCAGGCAGACAAGCGCACGATGGTCTTTTTTAAGGCAACTGATCTACCACAAAATTCACTCACACCATAATATCTCTCCAGAAGAACACCAAAAAACCAAAAAGCAAGATGGTGGCGGCACTCGGATTCGAACCAAGGTCCTCCTCAGGTTCCCTCTTGAGGGGCACTCCCCAATCCACGCCTCAGGACCCCTGAAGACAGGCAGCCGAGACATTTTCCAGGAAGTTCTATGGGAAAAGGAGATGCTAACCACTGCACTATACCGCCGCAATGATGAAGTGAGAGGATCAGGATCCTCAACACGGTTGGCCCCGGTTGGTTGAATGTGTGACTATTTCGGTGGTGTTTGTGATGAAAAGAAGATTCAAGTTGTTGTCGGCTGTCATGGGCATGGTGGATGCCGATATGGAAGATGGAAGACTAAGGCAAGGCTAGGGCAAGGGCATTGGGGGCGTATTGGGTGGAGGAGTCGTTGGTGCAGAGGGAGAGTAGGTTGGTGAGCTGGTAAGGTGAAGGATGGGAGGCGAAGGGGAGACCATATCACCAGGTACCTGGGTACCCTGAGGCAAGGATGGTCATGGACGACGGTGATGCAATGAATGGTCTACGATTGGAATTTTGGTCGAGTGAAAGTATTCGTTTCTTCAGTTCAACTTTTTGAGACTTCTGACATTCTACACTCGCTACGCGCTCATCACCAGCATCCATGCCTTGATCCTTCTGCTCGACTGAAATGCCCAAGCAAAGCTCTTCTCCTCCATGGCTTGTCGGACTCGTTCCACAGAAAAGAAAGAAAGCTAAAGAGCAAGAGAAGAGTCAGACCTCATCGACAGCGCCTGGATTCGAACCAGGGTCTTCCGGCTGTTCCATACTGTGGTGCGAATAGCAGCTGATAGGCCAGGTTGTGCTAGCCTAAGTGCACCACGCCGTCTACGGTGGTTGATTGACCGTTCGATGGTTGCTCATCCGTGAAGATCGAAATAATTGTGTTGACGCAAAAGCTAGCGGGAACGTAGAGTGACCTTTGGGTGAAGGGAGAGACCCTGGTTGGCCCCTGAAACCTGCAGTTGGCCGTCTTGACGGCACGGATTGCAATGTTCAGAAGTCAAGGGACGGCATACTCCATAATGCATACGGAGTATATTTGAAAGTTCAGCTTCCCCAGGAAAAGCAAGCGTGGTATGCTCCCAGTATGAACCAAGGTAGGTGCTGACTAAGGGAGGTCCGGAGTGACACTGGGTATCAGGCACCTCGGTGCAGGCCGCACAAGGCTGGGATGATACTGTGAAACTGAGGCTAAAATTCCACTGACAAGCCAAGTTTGTCGGGAGCGAACCTGCCACTACTCGGTACCTCGTCCCTTTCAGCAAACCTGATAAAAGGGCTGGACCATCTTGCTCGCGGTTCGTGAGCATGAACACTGCGGAAATATAGTACCACATTGACACATCCGATGTTCTTGCTCACTGTGGGCTCTGGGATCTGCAAGTGTCAAGCCACATCGCTTGCCCGGCTCGCCACGCGGGCGCGGATCACCCACTAGTTGGATCGATCCAAGCTGAACTCGAGATTCAAGAGGGGGCTTGAACGATTTTAGTCGAAGATGTCGATCCGAAGCTGGCAATTGACAGCTGCTATCTGCCAAATTCTTCACCTTTCGACTTTGCGACATTCAATGACTTCGTGGCAAAAAGGAGGCAATCGTAGTCAGCGTCTAACGTCAAAGAGCAGGCGTTAGTGGATGCCTGCCAAGGCCGGGGCACGCAATGCCTGGAGCAAACAGGGCGAGCAACGACGGTGCTAAAGGAGCTAGCAGGCGCTAGCAAGGCTTGTCTTGGTCTGTTCTAGCCCCTATATGGATCTAGTGAACCTTGCCTGTTGGTGGTTGTCACTCTGCCATTTTCTTCCTCCAGTAATGATTCGCCCATCCAAACGCCCCTCCACTAGTAACCTCCCCTCTCCTCCTCTCACCTGGCCCTGGCCCGACACCGAGGGAAAGTCTATCATCCCGACGCACGACGATTGTCGGTGCCGCGTATCGGGCTGTGGGCGGCTCTTGATCTTGGAAGTCTGGGGTTGAAAGTCGAGGGTCGAGGCGGTGGTCAGCGTCCCGCCCAATGCCACACCGCGGTCCTCTGCACCATGCCATCCCCGAACACAACCTAATTCTTCCACATGATATTCCTCTCTACACCATGTCTCTTTAATTATCACGTTTGCCTAGTGGCAATGAGACTCACTCCCTCAACTGCTCATGATACCCGAGCGAAAAGCCTTACTCAGCCGCACAACATGTCTGCTAGTACTACGGCAACCCTCCAACGCCCAAATGGTGCCGATGTTGCAGATCCGCAAGATGGACAAGGTGTCTCCTCTCGTCGCCTCAAGAAACGAGAAATCGACAGACGATGTCAGCGTCAGGCTCGCGAACGCACGAAAACCCGCATCGCCTATCTCGAAGGCTTGGTCGAGGATTTTAGACGGCAGGACTCCAGTGGACAAGTTGCTACATTAATGAAACAATTGCAAGAGATTGAGGCAGAGCGAGATCTGATGTCTAGGACCTTGAAGGATATTCAAAAGGCCATGGATGTACACAAACCCACCAAGCCGGATCAAGAGCCCCCAAGGCAAGACTCATCCTCCCACATCAATTCCGCTCAAGTCATCTGGGCCAGCAATGATATAGAGGAGCGGAAACCGAGCATCGCTTCCTTGTGCGAGACTGCGCCTGCGCATCTTAACGATCAACTACCAGAGCCCAGCCAACCAATCGATTTTGAACTTGCCACCTTCTCTCCTTCCCCAAGCGTCGTCCTGCCCGCGCAAGAAATATTATTTGGCCCACAGGTTGTCCGTTTGGACAGTGACAGTCCTCAGTCAACGAGCCAGGCATTGGTACAGTCCAAAGCCTTCCATGATCCAACCTTGATGCCTTCTTCATATGCCAAGAACTGGGATCAACCTTTGAATGGTTGCTCCTGTCAAAACCACCATGATGACTTTATCATGCCAGGCAAAAAGTCAATCTGGCGGGGAAACTACTGGCGTTATGCTAATGAAGTGCTGAGCGAACGCTTTGATTGGCCTGAAGAAGTTGAACCCACGTCTGATGCGGTGGCCGATGATGTACCTGTTCGAGCAGTACTTGAGGGTTGGGATGCTGTTGCAAGGAGGGGCCCTCTTCACCCCTCTTGGCAGATTCTACGGCGAATTGATCAGATACTGTTCAGATCCTGCGGCCAGACAGAACGCCTAGCCATTCTAAGAGCGATGCACAGTCTCTTGCAGTTCCACACCGAATCTACGTCCTATCGCTACTCGCGTCTGCCTCCCTGGTACAATAAACGACCAGCGCAGAAGATCGCACATTCATATGCCATTGACTATTTTGCCTGGCCTGGACTACGTGAACGATTCATTTTCGGTGAACATGATTACTGTGGTAATGAGTTCTGGCACCTGTTCAACAAGTCTCTCCGTGTTCTGTGGCCCTACGAATTTCGAGATTGCTATACACGTGAGATTGAAACCGGCTTGTACAAGGTTTCACCACACTTTGACGAGCGTCTTCGGGATATCAAGAGTTGGACTATGGGTCCGGACATTTTTCAACGCTTCCCAGAATTGTATTGCGATATCCCATCCTTTAACACTATCCCGGCGAATATCACTTCAACATCCCCTCGCGCGTCATCTTTCCTGCTGACTGCGCCGCCATCGAGCATCGAGAAGCAGAAAATCCCACCTGCGGAGGAGAAGAAACCGCACCGGTCGGAAGTACAGCGTCAACAGCATGGAAATCATACATCACATTCTGGCGTTAACTCACAAATGCCTGGTCAACATATGCCACTGTTCTCAAGTACGGCTCAATACATCATTCCTGAACACAATTCAATGACTGCTCTTGATGCTTTTGCCTATGGAGCGATAAGCGAGGCTGACTTCGCTGCGATGTATCATCCCGAGGACCTGGAGGGTTATCCAAACATCATTTTCTGAACGAATACGATATTCCGAATTTACTCAGTCTAGACAGTCATCATCGACGTTGCGAACTCAGCATTTTCAATGTATTTCATGATCGTGAAATGAGGATGTGCTTTACCCGTTCTGCGAGAGAAAACCTGTTCCAGACGAAAGTAATTCGGTTGACTTCCATTACGTCATCCAGTCGCCCGTCTCACTGTCTACACATTCACTATGTGACGAAAAAAATTGATTAAGCTCGGTCGCTTGGGGATGGGCCTGAACAGAAGAGATCGAGTTGGGCTCAATGAAACGGTTGGACAGCCTGGATTAGTCTGGCCGTGAGAACAACTGAGCTAACGACCATTCAGCTCGACCAGCATCGACCACTGCACTCTGAACGATCGCTCTATTCGAAGAGAGTTTCCAATTTGCCTGTCCAGTCTAACATGCCACAATCAAGAATCCCGTGGCCTTAGATGGCCTTATTCCGAATTTCAAACGGCCGTCTGTGAGATGTTATCCGTCAATCACCAATGACATTTCTCTCGGTTGGCGTTTGCTGCAAGACTTATTATGGCTTATCTCAGAGCGGTTGTCGATCATACGGCACTTGCTCAATGGATGACTGAGGACCACCTGCAGTCCACGGAATCCCAATTGCTCTACTGGGTAAAAAGAGTTGAGAGAATGCTGCCTTTGGCCACTGTCAACCGCGGCTATTGACTTGAAGCATCGAATTTCATAAATCAATTGTGGAGATATCAGAACAGACGCTACCAGTATTTCTCAGGCTTGAAGCGAATCATTCTCTCATCTCACTCATCATATTCACGAGCGAGCTGGCGTTTATGATCCGCTCAGGCAGCAATCAAGTCCAATATAAAGCCCAGAGGCATAGCCCAATTTCGCCACTCCCAAATCGTGGTATGGCAAATTACTGGGAGATGGTCCATGTTTGTGTGATGCCAATCTGTTTGTAGAGCAACACACTTGGGGTGCAAAACAAACGCAGGGGAAACCTGTGGGTGCTGATAAGTCGTTCCGTTTGCACATTCGAGCAGAGGACACAATATTGGGAGAGGAGAAGAGCATTGAAGTTGTTCAAAACTACTTTTAATGTTGTCGTTGTCGTTGTCGTTGTCATCAACTCGATTTACATCACTTCAGCCAACGTCTATGCCTGAACAATTCATTCTATTACTCATCTTTACTTTACACTTCACGCGCTTCCAGCTTCATCCACCTTCTCAATAGACACAGGCCCCTCCTACTGCTAAGAGTAGTACTCCCAAGCGGCGGCACTTGAAACCCCCGACTACCTCCTCCTCGAGCCGCATCCGCATAAACGCACACACCTCCTGCGATCCTCCACCTCCGACAATCTTCTCATAGCCCAAGCCCAGTTCCCAACTCCAGACCAATCAACAGCCCCATACCGCGAAACAATGAGCGAAACACATCCGGAGATCTGGATCCCCGTCGCCTCGGGCTTCGTCATCATGCTGATCTTCGTCTACTACTGCTACATCAAGAACTCGGATGCCGCGATGCAACAAGCGGGCTATATCATTGAAAAAGGAGGTAGCCGCCGGCGTCGTCGTGGCGGTGGAGGATTTGTCCCGGGCCCTCCGCCACGTCCGTCGCCGTCGGGGGGGTTGGGTGGTGGTGGTCCTGGTGGTCCTGGTGGTGGATTTTGGGGCTTGGCTGGAGGAGGAGGAGGTCCTCCTGGCCCTGATGGACCTGGACGCAGAGCGTCGCATCACCCAGGGTGGTATGGTGGACCGGGGGTAATGGAGGGGAGAGGCAGATCGTGGGATAATCCTCCACCCGGCCCGCCGCCGCCGTCGCCGTTTGGCTTCGGTGGCTTCAGCAGCGTCGGCGGCAGCCCTGGTGGAGGAGGACCAGGGATGGCGTGGACGGAGAGAATGCTTCCGCGGAGAGGGCGAGGTGGAGGTGGACCTTGGGCAGGCGGAGGCCGTAGTCCCGGAGACGACGACGACTTTGATATTATTGAGCGAGGCCCCGGTTTTTCGTGAGGCAGCATTCAAGATGAAATTGAGATGAAATTGATGATGAGAGTGATTAATGAAAGGGCGCTGGCGCTATCGATGCGATGATCCTAAAGATTTTGCCGTCCAGAATCTTGCTTCGCCAGTATTTAATCATAAATTGGATGCATAGGTCTTGCCACATAGAGCAAGTCATTGCTGACGACTTGACTCATACGAAGCCTACACAGATATTGTAATAGCTATTGTATGTTGAATGCTTCAGATATCAAGGGCACTCGATTTGAATGTTCGCTGTCTGGGATTCGTCTATCGCATACGGAGAATTGGTTTCTGTTGGAATACTAGAACTGTCAACCTAGGTGATTCTGTGCTGCTCTTTTACCAAGCTGGCTCTTCATAGCTCGAATAGTGTTTCCTTGACTCCTACGAGACATAATTCTGATCCACCATCATCGTTTGGCTGGTCCTTTCCGGTGCTTAATTGCGTGGTTCAGAGACATTCCAAGTGCCGTGAAAGGTTAAATATTCCTGATGATAATCCTGCTTCATCACTGACACTCCTATCCTGAGACACTGCCGCCTTGTTGCTGGGTTCAACTTCTGGCTCGACAACTGTCTAAAGATGTTTTCGGTGCTGAGGGTCTTCGTCATCGCCCACCTTGTTGTTGGCAATTGGCTGAATCGAGGCGTGACCATTGAAAGTGCCTTGGCCCTCGGTATTTGCTTGCTCAGTACCTTGCTACTCAAGGGGCTTGATATGGTTGGGGGAAACAACGGTAGTCTTCGATTCAGTTGAACCATTCACTACAGTTACTTCTGCAGTATTGTGATTTGCTGTAGCGGCATTGTTGCCCTTCCTTGGCTTTTGATGACGATGCTGCCAAGTGCCTTTCTTCTTTGGCTTTTGAGTCGATGGATCAAGTTGCTTGCCTTGCTCTTCGGTGTCAATCTTCACATTCTCCTGCTTCGAGCTTGAAGGTTTGTTGGATGTTCCATTTGTGGTGACTGCAGTGTTCGGATCAAGACCATTGAGTACCTGTGCATCATCTTGTCCGGGGGCGATGCCGTTGATTTGGTGCCGTGGTTGTCTGTAGCCTTGGTTACGACGATCAGACCGTGCTTGTCGGAGAGCATGACCGGCTTTCAAATGATCTTCTCCTTCTATATAGGCAGCAGCTCGGACAATGAGATTATTTGACTTCAGGTTCTTTAGCATGTTCTATGATAGACAGGGTATTGGAGGCAACCTACCACAGTTGATGCATTGAGCATGCGTACCATGCTGGTGATGAGGACAGCCATATTGATAGCTTCAGCGGCTGGAATGTCACGGGGAACACGAGATGCATGGTTGTCAGAACTGACTTGCTGGGCTAGCACCAAGGTGGATTTGAGGGCGGCCTCATGATTAGCGTCGAATTTGGGGGTTCCAACGTTCAGAGGCTCAGGTTTGGTGGTAGTGGGCTCTCCATTAGGAGCGCCTTTTAACTCCGCCACAGGGCAAGCAGCATCGGTGTCGGCAGCCATTGCTCTCGTCTGTGTTCAGAGCGAAGTCTGATGACCTGTTTCAGGTGAGAATCAGTATACTTGCCAGATGCTTAGACAGTGTCAGACCCTTACCTGGGTAAGAGATGGAGGGGCTTAAGAAAGATGAGAAGAGACTGAAGCTGAGAGCTTGAAGGGTTCCAAGCAAAAGGAATCTGGAGGTTGAAGCAGACAAATAGTAGAAAGGCAGAAATGAGAAAGAGTTTGGGTAGAGAATAGACAAAGCGACACTTGGAGTCCGTGGGAGGAACGGGAAGGTGCGTCCTGCCTCACCTGACTGAAGTTTGAGTCGCGTGGAAGGTGCTCTCCCAATTCATCACGTCCTTTCCCGGTCCCCAGTTGCATGGTCATTTCGCCTTTAAAACTCTGTATCTGCGAGTTCACATGCCGCCTGCCTTTGGCTTTTGTTTGCTTTCACAGCCTTGCCTACCTTTTCTATCGTGCGAAAGGTCTGCATGACAGCATTGTTATTTCCTTGGACGGATCTGTACATACAGACGATGCGAACTCCATAGTGGTCGGCACGGGTATTCTCAGGCGTCTGAGCATTCGGACTCTGGACCAGTGATCAAGAGTCAAGAGTCAAGAGTCCAGAAGAGGTGGACCACAGCGGAAGAGAAGAACACTGTTACACTGGCCTTCGGCTTTCTTTCCGCTTCGAGCATCATTTCGTCATTTTTCCACAATGTTCACGGAGATCGCAAGTTGAAGCCTCTCTCGCCGCAGTGTAAACCAGATTGAGAACACAAAGCATCCATCAGCTACGCACATTGATTCTGGCATTTCTTCGAGAAGGTGTTTCGAATCCACTGGATCAGCCCCTGGAGCTTCTCATCGGAGCGTCTCCCATTAATTGGCACCATGACAACAGTGTTAAAGAAACCATTGAAATTGGCACTGATCCAATTAGCCTCAGGTAAGTGGTGAGTGCCCTTTCCTTGCACTTCTATCTGGGAATAACCCTGACACATGTATAGGAGCCGATAAGACCGCGAATCTAGCACATGCGCGTTCCAAAGTAGTAGAGGCAGCGAAAGCTGGCGCTTCTCTCATCGTCCTTCCTGAATGTTTTAATTCTCCCTATGGCACCCAATACTTCCCCAAATATGCGGAGACCGTTCTCCCGTCTCCTCCATCTCAGGAGAAATCCCCGTCATGGCATATGCTATCATCAGTTGCCGCAGAGACAAAAACTTATCTAGTCGGTGGAAGTATCCCCGAGTTTGTGCCAGAGACCAAACAATATTTCAATACTTCTTTCGTTTTCTCGCCGACTGGGCAGCTTCTAGCCACACATCGGAAAACACACTTGTTTGATATTGATATTCCTGGCAAGATAACGTTTAGAGAAAGCGAAGTCTTGTCTGCCGGAAACAAAGTGACCCTGTTTGACATGCCAGAGTATGGTAAGGTTGGCTTGGCAATATGTTATGATGTACGGTTTCCAGAATTGGCTATGATCGCTGCAAGAAAGGGCGCATTCTTGATGGTCTACCCTGGAGCTTTCAACACCACGACGGGCCCTATGCACTGGACACTACTAACCCGCGCCAGGGCAGTGGATAATCAGATCTACGTGGCTATGTGCAGCCCTGCAAGAGACATGGAGGCCACCTATCATGCCTATGGCCATTCTATGGTGGTTAACGCAAACGCAGATATACTGTGTGAAGCTGAGGAGTCCGAGACCACAATATACGCTGAAGTTGACGGCAAAAACATTGAAGAGACACGGAAAGGTATTCCGATAGACACACAGCGAAGGTTCGATGTCTACCCCGATGTGAGTGCTGGGAAAGTGAATTTTGAGGACGAGAGCAACGAGATCAAATAGCAGCCATTTGCCTCTATTCACCAGATAGCCAATATGGCTTCTTTGCGAAGACATTGACTCCCATTATCGTGTAAACTCCTAATAGACGTGCTTGATGACATTCTGGTACTGAATCCATGTGGCTCTTCTCAGTAATACTTCTGTCTTCGCCAAGGATTGAGATACTATCCACGTGACTGAAATCTTGGCTTCAGCCCATGCCTGATTCGTGTTAGCCCACACTTTTTCACGAAGCTGATTGCAACTGCGCCCAAATTCAATCCCACGATTGTCTTTAGCAGTTCGACTCAGCAAAGCCACCGGCACCCTTTTCTTCGTCTCTTGTTGATTAATCTACAATGTAAGGGTCGCAATTCTCCATCCCCGAAACCCTGTGCTTCTGTCACAAGATTCTCCGTCTTGGTCAATTTAGAAGTTCTAAGAGAAAGCTAACATTTGAGCGAAACCCAGAACCGACAAAATGGCCAAAGATAACCCAAAAACACAGCCTAAGAAGACAACGCCGAAGAAGACTCGCTCAGCCATCTCCGATGTTGTCGCCCGCGAGTACACCATCCACCTGCACAAGCGAGTATGTTCCTCTGCCTTGACGTGAAACACCTTGGATATTCTTCATCCACCCACAAATCCCAAACCCACAATGATGGGGGTGAAAAATGGACCATTCGAGAGAAAAAGGTCCTAACACAAGAGGAGGAAATCAGTTTTATGAAGTCCACCCGAATGGCTTGTTTCGACCTTGGATGACCCTTTCTTCGATTTTTTCCCACACCGCATCTGTACAAGCATTATGGACGGAAGACTGATTATACATGTGTTCAAGGTTCACGGCGTTGCCTTCAAGAAGCGAGCACCCCGTGCGATCAAGGAGATCCGCAAGTTCGCCACGCTGGCTATGGTATGTCTCGCCCTTCCCCCCTCATCTTCCATCGGTCTGCTGCATCCACTAACCATCGAACCAAAATAGGGCACACAAGACGTCCGCCTAGACCCTCAACTGAACAAGAAGGTGTGGGAGAGCGGTATCAAGGGCGTACCATTCCGCCTGCGTGTGCGCATCAGCCGAAAGCGTAACGACGAAGAGGGGGCCAAGGAGAAGCTGTACAGCTACGTCCAGGCCGTCAACGTCAAGGAAAGTGAGGCCAAGGGTCTGCATACCGTCGTGGTCGAGGACTCGTAGACCCACACTGCTCCGATGGCTGTGTCCTACCGAACGGCAGTCGCGGACGAACGCAACATGAATCTACTAGAGGATCTTGTGGAGAGGAGATCAGCCGAGCAAAGTTGCAAGGGAGGCCTGTGCATGCATGCCTGAGAGATGGAGAAGACAACGAAAATGGAGAGCGCTTTCACTGTTTTCGTTGCGCCTCGCTGCAGAAATGATCAATGCAGAAAGCCCTTCTAATTTTTTTAATCTGGAGCGGCCTGACGCAACGGCCGAGTGCAAGAGGGAAGCGCTGACTGAGCAAGAAAGCGCCTTGGGCTTGGTTGTTCACCACCGTCTTCTCATTTCCACCTAGGGCTTTGTCTGAATGGAAATTGTTAGTTCAGCTTTCTCCGCGAGACTTCCAGATGGCGGTATGGTCAGGGGAATGTCAACCAAAAGCAAATCAAATACCCAGCTGAGCCTCAGTTCATGAAACTAAATCCCATCATGTTTCCCCTCCCTCGTTTCAGTTGCCTTGATTCTCATTGTTGTCCAAATCTCCCTCGACATGCATGACTGTCACTCGTTCTAATGATACCAGGGGCGGGCAATCGGCGAAGACTTGCAAGCCCGTTACCTACTGTAGTCAATGCAGTGTGAAGGGTAGTTGGCCTGCCTATTTGAGCGCATAGTAGGGTTTACAGCGATCATCTTAAGCATGTGCACGAGAGCGCCCCGGATTTTAGCTGACTGCAGGCAAGCAAAAAGGGAATCAAAAAAATCCAGAAACATAAAAACTAGCCTTGAAAAGCACATTCATCAGTGTTGCGAATTAGGCAGGAAGACAAAGAGCCCAGCTAATAAGGTTTCCTCTCTTTGGATTTTCTTGGGGGCTTCAAGATCTAAAAAGACACTATTCATTCCAACCATGCTCACTCTCTCGCATCTTGGACCTGGTCAGCACCACCATCAATCTCGATATCTCCTCGCTTCGAAAAATCGTTTATTCGTGTTTAGCCCTCTTCTCCCAGGGGCAGAGAGGAGGTTCTTGTCCGCCTGTGTCCATCTGAATCCAGCAAAATGAACATAGAGAATGTGCCCTGAATCTCGAGATCATGATGAGAGGAGAGCCAGCTAGCATACAACTTGAGATTCCCAAGTGGGAGCTCGATGACGAGCATGCTCAAAAAGGCAAGTCGTCAGAGTTCAAACCAATCATGGAAAACGACAAGTATATGAGAGCGATTCAATCCAGACACCATATCCTTTGATCAATGCTCACATTATGCACCTTTCTCCCGTCGTTGTCGAGAAGCTGCTTTAATCAAAAGGTGTTTCATCCACCAGATGGACAATATCTCGTGCACACGGCCCGAAATGCGATGCCGTTCGTCTGGGACATCAGATTTGCGAACATCTGTGAGGTGCCTTCGAGGCCCGAGCTCAGACTCTCCTGTTTGAAAGAATTCCAAACCGTCCCTTGGCGTTCTTTCTTGAGCGATTCGAAGTATATCGAGGCTTCCTCTAGACATGCCACAAGAGCTATCTCTCAATTTCGTATATCGACTTCCTTCCCAACGACCACTGATGACGTGAAAATGAGCATTAACAAAAGGAGCCCATGTGTGCTGTACATGTTTAAAAAGTGCGGAAAGGCATCAATTTCCCAACTCCCACGCTGTGCAAATTTGCGAATTTTGTTCTTGCCTTGCGCTGAATTAAGTCTGGAACATGCTATGCATTAGCTGAACACCCGACTCAATCACCTCGGATTTCAGCACGTTGACTTTTCAGTCCCTGAACACCTGCAAACAATCACAATTGTAATCCATTGGTTGTAGATTGTAGAACAACACTAGATGAGCATTTATGCCTTCTTGTTGTCCTCCAACGCTTTGGCAAAAGCGTTGGCCATCTCTGGAGTTTTGACTTTGAAAACCCATCTTGTGAGGTTCTCCTTGTAGAATAGCGTTCCTCTGACAGCACCACTTTTAGCAGAGGGAACACTCTCATAATCAGAACTCTCAAGTAGATGAGAGTTAATCAAGATTGAGGCACTCGGTTCAACACGGAACACAATCCGTGTCTTTTTCGTGTCTTTGTTTTGCAAAACACGGACTTGGCCTACACCCATTGAGTTCCAGTCGTTTGGTTTCAGTTTGGTACCTTCAGCCGCCTCTTTATTGACGAACATGAGTGCTTTCGAGCGGCCTTCCCAAAGGCATGTTTCATTCTCTTCTCCCGAACGAGAATCCATGAGCGAGGTCTGGGGATCGTCCGTGGCATCGTCAGTCTCATTGGTAGCAACTGATTCATTGTCTGTCAAGCCAGGAGAGGTTGCGCGAGATGACACTGCCGAGCTAGCTACTGATCCCCCACCTAAGTGTGAGACAGCACCCAGGAACCCTGGAGCTGGTGAAGCTGTTCCGCTGGGCGCGCCGAAGTTGAAGCCTAGCCTTCCCGGCTCTGCAGATGCTGAGTCTGCGGTGCTGGTACCAAACAAAGTGCCGAACGAGTTGGTATTTGACGAATCCTTCGCAGAAGGTGTGGAGGAGGTGAATTTGAAAGTGGGGGCGGCATTGCTCGTTGATCCAAAGGAAATACCATTACCCTGCTTCCAAGTGTTATCTGTCCCAGCTGGAGATGCTAGCACAGATTTCGAGAGATTGTTAGCAGTTGCCGGCGGCTCTGCGTTGCTGGGAGTACTGGGCCTTGAGCCAAACATGCCCTCACCTGGGACTGGGCCACCTTTGGTGAATCCGCCAGCAAAGATGGAGGCGCCAGGTGTGGGAGTCAGGGTCGCAGCGGGCGTTGCAGTGAAGTTGAAGGTAGATGATGGCTTATAAGCAGACGCCGATTGAGACCCTGAGGGCGTGAGTGGCGAAAATGATGGCGTTTCCGGTGTTGAATGTCCGATGTTACTTCCCCAGACCCCGGGTTTGAAGGTGGAATTCTTCGCTGAACCAAGTATTGGGCTAGCAGAGTCTTCAGTCGCTTTACTCTCAATGCCGTTCACTGGAGTGTCTTTAGCACGTTTGGGATTGGGCTCAATGCGTTCAAAAAGGCTTTTTCCTTTACTTGCATTGTCACGACGGCGTGCTCGTGCCATTGCTGATTGGAAATCTTGATACTCGTCATCTGAGCCTGATCCTTCGTCTTGTTCTTGATAGTCGTCATCACCTCTATCTCCAGTTCCTTCGGGCGATTCATCCTCTTGAAGATCGTCCTCTTCGCCATCTTCGCTCTGGCGAGAAGAACCAGCTCCTTCATCTTCGTCTTCATCGTGGCCTGATCCATTCGCTCCAGCATCATCATCCTCGTCATTAGCGGAGTCTGACTGCCAGCCATTGGCTTTTTCGATGGCAGAAAATCGATTTGAGGTGGAGGTAGATGTCTTAGAGCCAATGCTGGGCTGGGCAGCTTGGGCAGTTTCTTTAGGTGGAGCTGGGGCCGCACCAAAACTGAAGATGGGTTTGGTGCCTTGTGTTACGCTGCTTGTCGCCCCAAAGGATGGGACGAATCCAGCTTTGGCAATAGAATTGATCTTTTCTTTCTTGGCGCAATTTTCTTCTTGAAGCTTCTTGTTAAATTGCTCTTCGTCATCTTCATCCGAATCGAAATCCTCAGCTTTGCGCTTTGCCATGAGAGTCTTCTCCAGCTTCGCTGCGCTTGCTTTCGCTTGTGTACCAAAGGAAGCCATGAAGTTCGTGTTGGCGCCACCAAACTTTGGTACCTCGAAGGCAGGTTTCTTCGGAGCTTCTTTGCTAGGAGTGGTAGAATTTACCGATGCAGCTGCGAATGCCATCGAAGATCCTTCTGACTTTTTGGCATTAGAATCGAAGTTAGTGGTATTTGAGGGAGCGGCTGAAGACAGGCTAGTGAATACATTCACGGGTTTGGAGGCTGCAGAGGATGGCGTGAATCCCGAGAAAAGATTCGAAGCGTTTGGTGTCCCCGTTGCGTCAGACGCTGAACCAAAGGCAGATGTAGTTGCGGGAATCATCCCCTTTAGCACCGAAGTAGCCTTTGAAGGGCTAGAGTCGGTGTTGGCGAAGGCGAAAGGAAATGTCGACTGCTTAGCCTGAACAGCCGTGGCTGGGGTCGGGATAGCACTTGCTTGGGGCTCATCTTCTGAGCGTTGTTTCTTGCTTTGCTGATTACTGACATCTTGGTCCTCCATCTGACCTCCCTTACGTTTCATCCCAGCAACGTTGCGCACATACAGTCCTAAAGATTCATCGATACTCTCACGTGAAGCGACATATTGCCGGATCACACTGTCAAAATCTTGACTGCGAGGATCAAGGGTTGCAAGTTTATTTTGAAGCCCGACATTCAACGAATGCAACCGGTAATTCCGATCGTATTCCCGGTATTGTTCGGCCCCCAAGTGACTGGGAATAAGCGGTGCTGCTTTGGTATAGACCAGACGTTTGACACGTTCTGGATTATCTGTGTTCTTATCTTCGGTTGCTTCCATATCCTGTCCGTTCGAAGCTGCATTGAATAGACTAGTTTCAGTGGTTTCCGGTGCTGACTGCAGACCAGATTTGGTGCCAAAGAGGCTGGTAGGTGCCTGTGATTGCGTTTTCGATTTTGCCTGGCCATTTTGCGCGTCGCTGCTTGCCCCTCCAACAAAGAGATTCTTTGTCGAGGCCTGTTGTGTAGGAGTGGCTTCTGGATCAGAGTTCGCACCAAAGATTGCCTTCGCCATGGGAGTTCTCGACGTGACTTCAGGCTTACCTAGCTTCTCTTGGGTCGGCTCGGAAGTCATTGTTTGGGTGGGATTGCCAAAGGGGAATAATGACTTCGCAGGTGTCGGCGTGGTTGATGGTTTTCCAAAGAAGTTGCTTACCGGTAGAGGAGGCTGGTCGGATGAAGTTGTCGGTGAGAACAAGCCGTGGCTGGACGGCGGCGGCTGAGGTGCACTCGGCGCATTGGCAAAAGAAGGTGGATTACTCGTTGCGCCACTGTACTCTATGGCAGACATCCCACTGCTTGGAGTGTGTGAGGTTAAGGAGTTGGAGTTCATCGATGTATCGGAGACCTCATTTTGTCCAAAGGGTGCGTCCGCCAACTCCTTAAATGGGCCAGTCACCGCGGCTGGGTTGGCTGTAGGTTGCGATGGCTGTGCAGGCGCAACAGGGTTAAAATCCGGAGTCGAATTGGGAGCATTTTGTGAAGAATTATTGTTTTGCCCGAACAGTCCAGCGAAAGGGTTCGGGGTGGGAGCAGCATTGACATTGGTTGGTTCTGCAGCTGGTTGAGTATTGCCTATATTGTTTCCAAATAATGAGGCTGTAGTTTGCGTTTCTTGCACTGGAGCTGTACTAAAGCCACCAAAGAGGTTGCTTGCTGGGGGCGCCGCAGGCTGCTGTGACTGCCCAAAGGTGAATGGCGTAGATGGACTGGGTGATCCGAAAGTATTGTTTCCACTCTGATTCTGAGTAGTGGAAGCTGGTTGCCCAAAGGAAAATGCAGGAGCTTGTGTTTGAGGAGCAGGTTGACCAAAGCTAAAAGTAGGGGTTTGCTTTTGTTCGTTTGTATTCTGGACTGGAGTGAAGCCAAATCCATGCGAAGGACCGGCTGTATTATTGTTGTTTTGGCCAAAGCTGGAGGCGGGCTCTTGACTCTTAGGCACAGATGCAGCTTGCCCAAAGCTGAATGCCGGTTCCTGGCTCTTAGGTACAGATGGTGTTTGACCAAAAGTGAATGAAGCCTGCTTCTGAGGTAAAGGGGCAGCTTGACCAAAGCCAGTGAAGGCTGACTGAGGTTGGGGTGATTGTCCGAATGCATTGTTACTTTGTGCAGGCTCTTCCGGCACCGTGGGTCTACCAAACAAGCCACCTCCATTGGTGTTTGCAGGGGCTGACTGGTTAGAGCCAAAACTGAAGCCTCCATTGGGTTGTGGTCGAGTTTGGCTCTGTTGACCAAAAGTAAACCCTGATCGAATGTCGTTCTCTGTTTTCGATACCCCAAAGGTGTTGCCTAGACCGGGCTTCTTCTGAGGACTTTCCATTGAAATATCATCCTGACCAGTGTCGGACGACGCGTTCCCATTCAGGTTTGCGAATGGGTTAGAGGCGCCAGTCGAGGGTGCTCCAAAGGTGAATGAGCTTGACTGAGGGACTTGAAAGTCGAAGCCACCGCCTTGAGGCGTGATGCCAGGAGGAAAGGATTGGCTGGCACCAAAGGTGATGCCGCCATTCACGTTCCCAAAGGTCTGTTGTGTTCCGGATTGAGTTGTGGTGGATGGATTTGCACCGAAGGTGGAATGAGAGGAACGATTGGCTCCTAAGCGGCCTTTTGCCGGTGCGATCCTAAATGCAAGTCAGTGCCAGTGCAGAGTTTGGTGTAGGGAGGTGATGCTCAGGACGGAAGAATCTCAGAACAGGCCCGCGCAGCTGCGGAGGGTCATTGCAGTGAATAACAAAGTGATGGGCGACGAGAAAATGGAAAACTGATACTCACTTTCGCTTGGCCAACTGGGCAGCGGTAGGCATTGTGGGCTGAGGTTGAGTCGAACCAGGATTTGCGATTGAACCGTGATCCTTGGTTATGTATTCATCAGCGACACGTTTCGGCATGTCACTGGTGGCCTGGGAGGTGCCAGACGAGGAGGGTAGAAGAGGACAGAGAGTGATATGAGTGTACCATCGAGGCGAACGCGTGATGAGAAGGTCGTCGAGCGGGTTGTCAGAAAGGATGCAAAGGTGGAGCGGAGAATTGATGAAGGATTGAAAGTTGTTGCGCTGTGAGCAGCAGATCGAGTCTCCCGCGGACGAGGTTCAGGTTCAGATTCGCTTCTGCTGCCCAAAGATTCTGAGGAAAATGCTTGGCGTGATCTGGGGCAAGCACGTGACGTGGTCCATCCCCTTTTTGGGACCGCCCCTACCGACCGCCTTTATCACGTGATATAGAATGGAAGATTCGGCACGAACGGGCATTGAAGGTCTGACAGTGAGGACTGACTATTCTAGAAGCTGGGCCTTGCTGCGGGACTTTACAAAAGCATGAGGGTTGGCCAATCTATTTCGTCTCCAACAGGCAGTTTGACTCAAGTTGAACAATCACATTTTACTTCGTATGACATCAGAATGATAGACTGCTTGAAAGCAAATAACCCAATATATACTGGAACATGCGCTGTTCCAATCTTTCGAAATACAACATCATTTGCTCAAATTGATGTGTGCATGCACTAGGTCTCCTTCCCAGTCAATTGACCCGACAGCGACCCTGTGTGCTTTACATTAAAGCTGGTAAAGGTCGCACGAAATGCGCCGGGCAGTGATAGCCTTCGTCAAATTTGATAAGATATTTCTGGTGTTTTTCCTCTGCGTCATACCACTGAGTTGCTTTCAAAATCTCGGTCGTAATGGGTTTGCCCTTATACCACTGGGCGCCCACCTTTTCTTTGATTTCCTCTGCAATCTTCAATTGCTCGTCCGATTCAGCGAAAATGGCTGAACGATATTGGGTACCGGTGTCCGCGCCTTGACGGTTGAGCGTTGTTGGATCGTGCATCTTGAAAAAATATTCCACCAACTGGCGGTAGGTGACCTTGTCAGGGTCAAACACTATCAACAGGGACTCAGCATGCCCTGTCCGCCCCGAGCAGACGTCGTAATAACTTGGAGCCTCAGTTTTGCCGCCTGTGTATCCGACTCTGCAGTCAAGGAGGCCTTTCCCGTGGCCCCAATCCTGACGATATAATTCCTCCAGTCCCCAGAAACATCCGCCTGCGAATATCGCACGTTGGGAGCTAGGAGGGAATTGCAAGGCCGCCAATGAATCGGGCTGTAGGGGTAACGATGCTGACGTTGTCAAGGGCCGCAGGAAGCGTGTGAGAAATTGAGGGAGTTGGAAAGCCATGGCGAGAGTGAGAAGGACGACGGCGAGGAAAACGGCGGTGGTATTGAGATACACTTTGACGGTTGTATACAGATGAGAACAAAATCGACGAACAGCAGAACCTCTGGCCGTCAAACTTTAGGACAGACATATATACAAATATCGTACAGAGGGGCAGATCAATCCGATTGCCACTGCACCGACTAAGGAAAGAGTGTCCGAATGTTCTCGCGGTAACTGACGAGGGTGTTCAGAAGCCCAATCAATCACGTCATTCAGCAGTCCCCTCGGCTGTGTAGGGTTTGGGGATGACAATTACAATTACCAGCGGGGCTGATCCGAACAGCGGGCGACATGGGTACGTGCACTTGTACCCTACTATGTACTATGTGCTACCGAGTACTCCGTACTCCGTGCAGAGTGTGCTGATGATAAAGTGGGATTACAGAACACAAATACATTACGTGCCCAAGGCACAAATAATACGCGCGCTTGCGTAGAGAACATAGAACACCATCCCTACAAAGCTTGAGATTCCGGGCTTTTGCTTAACCAAAAACGTACCGAGGACACAAGTACTACGTATGCAACTCTCAATTGGCGCCAGGAGGGTCCCCAGCCTCAATCCTCACCTATTTTTAAAGTTCAAACTTCTTGATTCCATAATCACATGAATACCGTTATCACAGGTCTGCATAGCCCCTAACATTACATTGTCTGATTCCAGATGTGATTCGCAAGAATGGATCTCGAAACAGCTGTCTACCAGACTGCGATTAAACATTTCATTCCTAGGACTCGACCTACTACCAATGATAGTAACCCGTTCCCAGTGCTTGCAAAGTTCAAGTCAGTCGCTTCAGCTCTCCGTTTTGTTCGATGTCTGCTATAGGCGTTAGAGGCCAATGGTAATTGCCGTCAAAGGCACGGCGAACAAGAAGAAGATCCATATCCTAGGAGTCACAGCCCTTCCATCGTCTGCGTTCCAGTCAAAGATCAGGCATGGCAAATACTGACGATAGTGTCGTACATGGCAGGTAAACCAGAGTGACTACTGCGAGGGTCTTCATCGACGAGCCATCCTTCTTCGCCTCTGCTGCAATCGTTTGCGGAGCCTTCGCGATCTCAATACTGATGCCATGTTCCCGTCGACTGGCCTAGGGCTCCCAATGCTTAGCTCTTGTTGCCTTTGTGCCATGATGCTGAGTTCGCATTCAATTTGCCGGGTGGCGGTCTCTGCCCCCTCCTCTGCGTCGTCTATCACTCCTTGGAGGACTTGCCTTTGGTATGAGAAGGCAGACTTCAAGCCCGCAGCCTTCTACCAGACCAGGGACTCTTTGCAATTTCACATCCGAATCCCTTATGTACTTGGTATTGTCGTCTATTATCACTTCAGTGGTCCAGACCGCGGCGCCAATTGCCTCGTACGTAGAAAGCCAGACAGCTCATGGAGGCTGTGAAGTCGATTCAACTCCTTGACAAATCGTGCCCGCGTGCCACTTAAGGCTGTACAGCATATTATCACCGCCCAGACATTATCGCAACTGGCTTTCTACATCCACAACAGAGAGAAGGCGATCGTGCCCAGATCTGCATAGGTAGTATTTCGACCGATCCGCTGGTCTCGAGGAAAGTCGTGAATCCACACATGAGTTCGTGCAGCTTCCCCAAGCGCCACAGGGGGCAATCCAAAATGAGAGGTAAATTGTCTCTAGATAGCCTGACCACTAGTGCTTCCGCAGGCGGTCAAAGGTGGTCTTGGTAGAGGACTTGGTTCAAGAATCAACACCCTTAATCTGCTGCTACCTGCAGCAGTTGTGTTCGCATCTCTGATCGAATGGCGTTGTATCAATTCTTGGATGTTGGGTTCATCCAGAGCCACAATGACCTCATCCATATTGCGAACATCCTCCATACAAAGCAGGACAACACCAAGCTGGAGACTCGCAAACTTCTCAGTCGGGATGGATGTCGCTTCGTATCAAGGTCACATCATGAAGGGGACCTTGTAATTGACCTGAGCTTGAGGCTCTGGCTGATGGTGAATGTACGCTGCCCGGATTCGAGACTTTTAATACCATCCAAGCCCTCGGTTGAATAGGACGACATAACCACGCTGCGACATTTCATTGTCAAGCTGTTTCCAAGGCGAAAGCTGGATCTCGAGCCAAATCATAGCCGCCTGAGCTATATGGTTACCGTCAGCTTCATGGTGAAGGTCTGTGGTTTGAAACCCGACTTCACATCAACGCTTTAAAGCCATCTGAGATTGGTGCGAAGCACAAGGCAGTACTGGTCTACCCCTTCAAGGCTTGCCTTACGGGCCATCTAGAAGAGTAAGCCACAGAGATACTCCAATGGCGAGCACACAATGATATACTGAACGCGCTAGTAACTCACCGTGTCCTGATGCTTTGCTTCGCGAACCGATCTTTACCTTCAGCATGCTATTTCCTGACTGGGACGGGGACACTGACGAGCTTCTGAAGAAGGATAGGCAAACGTTCCACCACTCAGCTCCCTTCGTCGGCCCGCGTATGTTGAACCTGGACGAGTTCGAGTTCTGGGGCGAAAAGCTCTTGGGACTCTATGAGGAGCTATTCCTGTCTCATCCTGTTAGTTTGTGTTAGTTGTGGTCAGATCGTCGAAGTCCCCAAAAATGGTCAGTGTTCTGGACAGCTCAAATAATCCTGGCCCTCACGGTGGTCTCATGTGTCGCGACCTTCGTCCAGACTTGGGCGTCCGTAAAGCGCTTCGAGTGGCCGAAAACCCTGCATTCTATTCTAGAGCAACGTCTGGGAGATGGAGTAACTGATATGCTTCTCCTTTCTGTTCGCACATGCCACAGACTCGGTGATGACGTGCTCAATCCTGGACATGGTCTCGCCCTGGCAGCTGATATCTGTCACTCACGTGTGAAGCCCGCCAAAGACCTCTGTAACACCGCTCCGACTCTTGCACAGCAATTGAGTGGCGGTTGGAGCAGTAACGACTGTCAAGTAGCAAGACCTATTCCGGTGACAGGAGTAAACAGCACGTGCCGCAGGCATTTGCCATCGTACGGATGAAGACGGGGTCCAGTGCCCAGTACACAGCAGATAATTCGAAGGATCGCATGTTTCATACGTGCGTACTTTCGAAAATTCGGATTGTGAGACTGGTAATGTTGACTGCAAACTCGTAGTTGTCGTTCCAGTTATGAAACTCCGAGATGCGGTAGCCTTTTAGCGTCTCCAGCCCGGATGCTCGGACTGTTTGGTCGACGCGGTGGCCGCTCATCAGGTACTCCGTACGGCGTAAGCCTAACAGAGCAAGGGCCTTAACTGTTGTTAGTTTAGGGAGGGATCAACTGCCGAAGATCAGGGACATCAGGTGCAGTAGGCCCCACAAAAAGGACCGAAGGGGCCAAGCGAGCCCCTATCTAGTGGGCCTGGAGAAGTATTCTCTCACAGTGGTTTAGCTGGATAGTGACATAGCTGAGCACGAGGGCGCAAAGGATGTGCCACCCAGTAGTTCTGGTTATGGGGGATACGGAGTACAGGGTGGTACACCTGTACCTCGTTGCTTATCCTATCCTTACACAGCAACCAGCGAAAACATTGACAAATCGCGGAATTCTTCCAGCCTCGCGTCACCACACCCTCCAATCCTGTCGTCATAAACAGCCCCTCCACTTTTCGTCCCGATCGTTACTGGCGTCTCGCACCATATCACAGTCGTTTTCGTCTTCTAGACTGTTCCTTGAGGAATCTCAAGACATTGAAAAATGCGTCCCATTGTGGTGTCAAGCCCGCTAAGATATTTAACCCCATCTGCTCCACGACTGGCTTCTCTCACTGCTTCATCTCCCGTCTTCTCTGGTCTTTCCCTGCCATCAACTTGCGCTCAACAAAAGAATCCATCCATTTCGTCGCCTCGCTTCTTCAGCACTTCATCCGTCAAGATGTCTTCTTCATTCCTTGACGCTGTCAAGTCTCGCCGCACATTTTATCAACTCTCCCACGAATCAACCATCCCCGACTCCAAAATCCATGAGATTGTGAATGCCACGGTGAAGAACGCTCCTTCATCATTTAACTCGCAATCGACCCGTGTCGTTGTGCTCTTGGGCGATGAGCACACCAAGCTCTGGGAAGAAATCGTCAAGCCAGCAGTGAAGGCGGTCGCCCCTCCTGAGGCATGGGCTGGCTCTGAGCAGAGACTCAACGGCTTCAAGGCCGGATATGGAACTATCTTGTTCTACGAAGATCCCGCGGACGTTGCCAAGTTGCAGGAGCAATACGCCCTCTACGCCGACAAATTCCCACAGTGGAGCGAACACACAAGTGCCATTCATCAATACATCCGTAAGTTTTTTCTATTCGTGATTGCATCATAATGTACCCCCCGTTCCCCCGACATCCTTTTACATCGCCAACATTAAACTGACTTTCCTGATTGATAGTGTGGGTCGCTTTGGAGCAAGAAGGTCTCGGTGCTAACCTCCAGCACTACAACCCTCTGATTGATCAAAAGATTGCCTCCACCTGGAATGTCGACCCCAAATGGAGCTTGAAGGCACAACTTGTTTTTGGCAAGCCCGCTGGCCAGCCTGGCGAGAAGTCATTCAAGCCACTTGAGGAGCGTGTCTTTGTCCACGGTGCCAAGAACTAAAATTATTCAACGATAATTTTGGAACAGAATTTGAGCATTTCCGGGAGTGAAGTACTTTGTCTCCTTAAAAGGATAGATATTCCTGAACTCCCGACTCGGAAGTGAGACCTGGGGTTACGAGATTGATACACAGATTCAATCGAGCGAATATGAACACCAAATTAAGCGTGTCCAAATACCTGCTTTCTCCTTTCCGTCCAGTCTTGTAAGAGATCAAATTATGGTCCACGTGAATTTTTTCGGTCTGAAAGATATTTCAATACTAATTTGAATGTTCAATTTACTCTTAACATCCGGGTTTACCCTTCACATCAAGCTTCTCTGGTCCATCACCAGTAGTAACTAGGTAAGAGACCTTGACAACCACATGGCTCAAACACTCCAATGCAACGTTTACAAGGCATTATGGCGCCACAATCCTGCTGTCAAGGGTCCATACCTCTCGGCATGCGGTCGCCCAAAAATGGTTCCGAGAAAGGGTGCTATCGGAATACCCTTTCCGTCTGAATTCCTCCTCAATCACGGATTGTATCTCCTCCAGAACATCGAGAGGAACTCCTACCGAAGATGATCAACTATTCCATCCCTCGTCGCGTTCCTCCGAGAACACCAAGTGGGAGCGATTTACAGCTGCCTCTTCGCATGGACAACCGGTGTCTATCTGGACCTACTGCTCCTCGAAGCCGCCCAGAAGGCAGGAGTAAAACGCCTCACGCCCAGCGAGTGGTCGTTTCCTGCGTACAAGACGGTCGAGATCTACGCCTTCAAGGAACTCGTCTGGCCGCAGTGCCCTCGGTCCGGTCTCGAAGTCACGCGGTTTTACTGTGGCGTGTAAACCGACCAACATCTACGCTCGCGGTGCTGTCACGGACATCGACTACGCCCAGGCTTCAAAGAAGTCCCGCTAGACGTCGACAACTCGACGTCGACAGCTGCACCGCCAGCGTAATGCTAGACGTGAACGCGAAACTCAAACTCACCTTAACGCGTGTCCAGAACGTGGCGGCTTTTGCTGTAAAAGCCCTAGTCTTGCCGAAATGAGACCGCGTCTCATACATCATCGGCGACGTCTGTTCTTTCAATGAGATCCTCCAGATTGCCGAGCACGTCACGGCTGCGAACTTTGAGGTCGCGCGCGATTGCGGCCGATGATATTCAGCAGGGCTTGCAGAGCCCGGACTCCCGCACGAGGCTCTTTGCCCAGTACGATCTGGAGCTGACCCTGGGCGAGATGCACTTGACACCAGAGCCCGGAGTCAAGCCTCTGGATGAGTGGCTCCCCGAAATCCAGGCTGTCACGGTCAGGGAGTTTCTGGAATCGCATTGCCGCACATGAGCAAGGACTCGAGAATATATAGGCTTGTTTTGCCGCACACAAGCAGGCAAAATTATATATGTCTATCCGGCCGATAAGGTGGGAAGCGCTCGGGAAGAGGTGATAACCCATACATTTACATAGCTTATCTATCCTACAAGATCTTATCATTCTTTTATTGATTGTACCCTGGCGTTTCAGAATCTGTCCTACCGCTTCCTCAATCCTGTCTCATATAACTTTCAATTCAGGATGAACTTCTCTACACCTCTCTCGCCGAAATCATCTTCAAGGTCTCGCATTCCTACCCCCAATAGTAACCGTGAAAAGCTTCGGATCTCCCGCATGTACCTCACCGGACTGATCTGGACCACCACTAGGCTGTACATCGTCATAGGGAAAAGCATAGCCCTTGCCGTCTAAGTTAGCCTCGTGCACAATCCGCGAATAATGGTTCGTCACGCTGTGTTTATAGTAGAGACTCTTGTCCGCAGGGAACGAGTCAGCCACCAAGAGAGTCGACCGATTGAACGCTGCGGCAAGGCGAGGGATGATGGTATTTGTCTTCGCGCTGGCCCCCGTCTGAAATGGGCCGCTAGAGCAGCCAAAGATATCTCTGGTGGTAGGTTTTGAGAACCGCGCTCCGCCAAAGGAGATCTTGCCACCGGCGTCCCCGTCCCAAGAGACTTTGCCTGACATTTTGCCGAAACTCGCCTGCGTGTCGATGGTGAGGGCCTGCGAGGAGTATTTCTTCCAGGTGTGGTTAATATACTCGTCGTAGTAGTCCGCGAATAGCTCTGGGTGGAGCACCATGCCTTGGTTGGGTGAGAGAGCGCGAAAGTTCCGCCCATTGTGTGTCACGATCAGCTTGTCCCAGCCTTTGCCGTCTTCAGCGTGTTGTGCGCGAAGGCCGTCGCAGACACGGTCGATGCCGTCAACTGGCATTCCGGAGATGTGCTGCGTTTGTCCACCGAATGTTGTGAGGTCCAGTGCAACTGGTGGACCGACAAAGTCGACATAGCTAATATTAGCATAGAGTTGATCATGGTTGAATGTGAATTCTGCAAAGCCCCAGTCAATATTGATATTCGGGTCGGATGGATTGGTGACAGAAGGTTCGACCAGAGCCGGGCCAGGGTTAAGGAAAAACGTCAACGGCGTATCAATTGAGAAATATATCCGACCACCAGCAATGTGAGGAATTTTTACCGTCACAGTATTCCCTGGAGCGCCCAATGCAATGGCGGTATTTTCAGCGATGCCAGTACCGATCGCTGCAGGAGAGGGTGGAAAATAAGGAGTATGGCCATCGGCAAGTAGAAGGAATAAAGCGTTGTTGTTCTCTATCGCTCTACCGGTGACGTATGCATAGACAGATGTGGATGCTGTCTGGTTTTGTAAGGCAATATTCAACGTTGGACCACCAGGGGTGGATGCCATCGAAATGCTCGACTGAGGCGCTGGCGGTTGCACCGGATTAGCAGTAGGTGCCTGAGGTGCATTAGGCGTGGGTGCATGCTGGGGGCCGCTTTGCCAAGGTCTCTCGTGTCGAGCATTTCGAATCATCTGGTTGAAGCGCCTCATTTTCAATGGATTGAGGTACGCTCGGAACTTCCTAAGTACTAAATGTAGTACAGGTGACTGGTCAGAGCAGCTGTAGGTTTCCAGGTGTGGCTGTTGATACTCGTTCTCAGGTGTCTAAATGTTCCTTCCGCGCCAAGGAGTCAACGTCATCTAGGTTTTCTTCCGTAGCATGGCAAGTATTTAGAGCTGGCTCAATAATTTGAACGACTGCGGTGACATTCTTTGAATTAAGGCCAGCCGTGACACGGAATGATATTTCACATGAAGTCCGGTTCACAATAGCCTCTTGCACGGGGAACACATTGGCTCCCCAGATTTTCATTATCAAGCTGGCATGGAGCAAGACCACAGCCTTGAGGTTCCCACATATTTGTGATCTGATTGACTCGGTGTATGAGTGCAGCAATCAAGATTCCGTGACTGATATCTTACTTAGGGCACACCTGTAGATCAGTAGGGGCTAGTGTTAGTAAGATGTCCAGTCGATGGCGGGCACAATGATGACAGCCAACCAGCCACTGAAGAGCTGTTCCGTAGCAAAGATGACGGCGATCATTCAGTACAGAGTAGACTCCACTGCCACTAACAGCATGCCTTGAATGACAAACATTTCAACTGACGTGTCATCAAGACTGGATGTGGGAGTGGAGGTCTCGTCAGCATGAATGAGGGTCATCTGTTCGGGTCGGACAAGCTGCAGAGGGGGTGTGAGCCAACTGCGATCTGTAGTTGAGAAGCGTCAAGGCTCTAGACCAGGAAAGTCCAATAGCTGGGAAAGACAAATTCTTCTTCGAAGATCTTTCTGACCTGTTCAAGAACGAATTTCTCTACTTTCCCAACGTTTTTGAGAACCTGTTTGCCATCCTCCTGCCTACCAATCTCACTCTCAACGTGGATCTCCTGCAGCAGTCCTGCAGAGGCAGCCTTGAAGCCATCCTTGGAGCCCTTGTCCTTCCGGACGTCTACGGGAGCCTCACCAAGAAGGGCAGTTGCATCTTCTGGATCAAGGAAGCAAAAGTGCATCTTCTTCTTGATGAAAGCAATAATGGCCACCCCATCAAATGTCATGCCTGTGATGGCTAGCTTGAGAGGTATTCCAACGAAACTTGGCATTGGGTAATCGAGCAGAATTTCTGCTGTGAGGGTCATACGCACGTCTCCAGAATACTTGACCCTCGTAACAACTTGCAGATCCGACGGTTGCCTACTGTGAATTCCCAAGGGCGAGAGCGGGGTGTCTGCGTCAAGGCCATGCTCGGCGCCATTGATTCCCTGGCCATGTAAGACATAACCAAATTGAGGTGAGGGCAGTCCTGAATCTGAATTACGAGGCGATGATATGCTAGTTGCGGTCGAAGGTCTGGTTGAGGGATCGTCACGAGAGGTAATGGATCGTTCGGCCTTTCCGGCACCTGTAGGTCTATTCCCTTGTACTGTGTGCATATTACCATGCCCAAAATCGTAGGGCCATGGTCGGGGAGTAAAGGGTGATCCACTTGCAACAGCAGCTAGAGGTGTCTGTGCTCCAGATAAGCCACCAGCAGGAAAGTGGAAATAGCTCAAGTTCGAGGTGCCCCCAGGTATGCCAGGGGTGGTGCTTCTAGGGAACGGGCCGGATATTGGGTCAGCGCTTATGCCATGGTGGTCTCTCGCAGTCGGTGATAGTGCATGGGCAGCAGAATCAGCTCTCGTCGTAACATTTGCAAGCTGCGGTCGTGGATGTGATCTTCCTCGAAGTGTCGGATCCGCTTCGACAGAGTCGAAGTCACCACTGGGGTTAATTGCGGAGGCTGAGGCTGAGGCGAAGTCTCCGGGGCTCTCTTGGGCCCGGAGACTTTGGTCTTCGTTCTCGTCCTCGTCCTCGTCCTCATCCTCATCCTCATCCTCGTAGAAGTCGGGCATTGGGTCACACACGTCTTTTATCTCAATCTCCGGGCAGGTACTTCCGAAATCGAAGGAATGAACATGAACTGAATTGATGAATCGAGGCAAGGTCACTTGTTGGAATTTCTGGTGCATAAAATCTCGAATCTTCTCAGCAAGCGCAGCCCCATCGGGACCAGATGTGATCGTGTTCCAGTCAATGTCCACTGACATTGTTATGCAACCTGGGAAGCGAGGAGGAACTGGATCGTTTGAAGAGGAGCATAAATTCCTTGGGATCGCCACCGGAGCTGTTAGAAGAGGCTAGCTCAACATGGGCGGTCGCGTCACTACCTCGGCTTGGCAACGACCGGAGAGGAGGAGCATCTATGTAGTAAGTTCGTCGCGGCATCTACCAAGCACTACGGAGATAGGATTGTCCAGCGATCCATTAACGGCAAGTTTTAATCTTGGTGCGGATAGGATATTATCTGTCAGGGTAATCTGGTTCCGTATCTCTGAAATGAAAGCAAGCTCGAGGACACGCAGAGGGGACATCCTGCCAAGATCAGGCTAGCACCATATCTCATTTACTGTGAGAGGCCTCGTTTCAGGACAGCAAGTCTACTAATGAAGAATGATGATGCCATTAAGTGAAGTCAATTAGACCAGGCTCTGGAATCCCCAGCCTCAAATGGTGACTCGAGCCCACCATACAAAACTAAATGGTTAAAAATCGAAATGCTTGCCTATTCGGTGGTCTTTTCCGAAAATCAGTGGCACAAAATTCACTCAGTCTGGAAACTGTCGTCAACCACCACGGAAAGCAGCCGCATTCCTCGGAAGTCCTTGAACGGTAAGTGAGGAGTAGGTGTATGTGTACGAGGCTGCGTTTGCCATCCATCGGAGCCCCTCGCCGTGCCGATTGATATCAATTATATTTGTTTGATGTTGATCCTGGCTTTCCGGCCGCCTCAGGATGACACACTAAACAGATATTTCCATCCAATACTGTTTTTTGCTTTTCTTGGTGGTCGTCACCTTTACGGTCTTCGCAGCAGAAACTTGTCGCCGTCTCTTTATGTGGTCCATCTGGAGCCTTGCATTTCACGTAGGTGATACGGACAATTGTACACATCTTCCTGGCAGTGACTCGTGCGGTTGGTGACTGGAATTTATCTTGCAAGCAGGGGTCAACGTATAGAAAATAACAGAGAGGATTGGGTCTACCTACCACGATTTGAGGAAGTTTCTGAAAGCTGTTCTCAAACGGAATAATTGATGATGATGGTGATCAGGGAATCGCCTGGTCAGGGAGACGGCTTATTAATATGTCAGCGCTTCGATTCAGAACACGCTAGACAAAAGGCACGAAAATATGATCACCGTATACGACAGCATATCGACATTCGCTGGTTCAACAAAACTGATGAGCTCTCTTATTCGAGGTGGAGAGCTTCATGTGGTAACTGTATGCCGGCTACATCTTCCTGGTTTGTAGGGATATGCCTCGCCGCCGGGGACCGTTCCTCTCCCGCAACGGTTACAGCCATTTTAGACTCATCATATTTTGATCAAGGGTTCGAGATTGCTTCCGAAGCAGAAGTACTCCTATCTGAATGTGATATATTCATACTGCAAAGAGCGACAGGCATTCATGCGAGGAGGCGATAAATTAGAGGCCATCAAGGGTCAACATCCCTGGGGCAGAAGAATGTCATATTGGTGTGTGCTCACGGGACCCATATGCCATGCCCTGCACAGTGGCGGACAAGCTGCACACATGCAGGTTGACGGCACCGTTGCGCGGCCTGTCTTTGGCAGTAGGATTAGGGTATAGGTTATTTATCAATTAATAGTATCTGTCTCACAGGAAGGTTGCAGGGCGTCTGAGTAAGGCAATCTCTGCGGCAAACCCCTGGTTTTCTTCTTGACGTCGAAGAAATGCAGTAGACAGAGGCTTCAGTAAGTGAGCAGACGGGCGGTATTGCCGTAGGAAAAAGCAACAAGTAAGAGGCAAGATGATTTATATCTGCTGCGGCAGTTGCGAATCGTCCATGCATAGGCCGTTCTGGACGGTCAATCATCTGCTTCTGTACAGCGGTCATCACTAGGTCGCATTGACCTTGGTCTCGGGGATGCGGATAACGGCGTCTACCAGGCTCTCAGCCCACTTTGATCGGTTGAACCGGCAATGTTATGTAGCATCACATAGATCGACAATGTCTTTCCAAACGTTATGGATGCGGTCTGGAACGGCATGGTCGATGAACATTGTGGGAGTAGTGAAGTGCACGACCGTAACGCTGAAAGCGAGGCGGATCCTGCACCCGTGAGGACTATGATATCTCGTACTCTCAGTATCTCCCAAGCATACCTAGTAGTTGGTGGTGTGATGCGAGCAAGGGTATGATTGATGATGAAATAGCCTTCGATGCTGAGCTGTCAACAAGGCAGCCTCCGACTTCGTCGGGTGTTACGCGTACCCAGGCAGGAAGGGTTGCACGCGCGAGAGTTACTCGTACACACTCACGCCAAGGCCACAAAGAAAATAATGCACCATCCGACTTCGGCACCAAACACACGCTTTATCTCTCCCCTAGACGCATTTCATTCTTAACAGGTCTTCTCCTGTCTAACTTTTCAATATAACTGCAATTTCCTCTACTGCATCTAGAATACTCACCGCCTACAGCCTCAGTCAGGCACGGGGTCAAATGGAGAACCCTCTTTCATTCACAGACCACCTATAAGGTGGACACGTGCCTCGATTGGCTGTCTCGGTGACACATTATCCACGGTACATCAAGTTCTGTACAGGTCCGGACTGAAGGATCAGACCAGTCTCTCCAATATGGTTGACCCAACTGTCTCAGAGTCGTCACCGCTAAGTACTCTCACCGAGTGTCCTCAGTCCTTCCATTCACCATCCGCTACATTCCGTGGGATGTTGGCTGGCTGTGCCTTGATCTAAGACCCAAAGGTTGGGATGCAGGCGCTTGCTTCCTCGTATCCTTCATGATAGTGGAAGAAAGAAAAGGTGGGAGTCCAGCCAGATACTCCTCCACTAGCCTTGGCCACGTATCATGTTTGCCCTGGAAGGGCCAACGGGCAACTACCCATGCCGTCATTGGGCTTACCAAGCCTTATGACCAACAGATTCTCAACCGTCCAACTCGTGCACAGTCATGTTCTCCCATGCCACCCTCATGCCTGGGCCTTTCTCAAAACATGCTTCTGTTGAAATGAAGTCTTGAGAGATCCATTGAATGGTTATTGCATGTGCATTACTGCAGCCTCTACGGGGTTTCAGGCACACAATACAGAGTTCAATCATGCCACTCTTCCGAGGTTAGCCGTGCTCGACTGCGGCTAGACTTCCAGATCCTGCACATATCCGCCACTCACATCATCTCGCCCTCAGGCTTCCGGAGATGTTAATGAGCATTCCCACAGACCTGTAATGTGGGACGGCCAATCAATCCTACCGACTTTACCCGTGATCAACAAGGGTATTGTTTTGGACCGAGTGTACCTCGCACCCCCTCGTACTAAGGTAAGTTGTCGTGGGCGGCACTGATCACGTCAGGATAGCTGCTCCTATATCAAGGTAGGATTCCAAGTCTATAAGAATACACCAGAACCCCTCCCAATCTTTCCTCACGGGTAGTCAAATCTAACTTCCTTCTTTACTTGAAGCTAACAAATCGCACCCTAACACAAAATTATTTTTGGTTTTTAAGCCCGTGAGACCATCAGACTAAGCAGAATTCCTTGTTCAAGGCTTAAATCCAACCCGTGACATCTGCATCACCGAGGCAAATTATCGATAATCACCTGGTCTTTGCGTCACCCCATCCAACAAAGCCACCGACCTTATAAAACTACCTCATCGCCGAATTCTTTGTCTCCTCGCTTTGGCGATCCATTCCTATTTTCATCACACTGGATATTTTTAATAATCAATACTCCCTTCGGAATAAGATCCGGCTTACCACAACATCAATATGTCTTCGCCAGTCAACAACTTCCTTAGCCTTATCCCAGCTATCCACCGGGTCGCCGTAATCTCTCCCTTTTCCACCACCGATAGCGACGAATCAATTGTGCCTGTAGTTCAAAAAGCCCGCCGGTCGTCCTCAACTGCCACAGCAGACTCCAACACTGCCGATGAGCCAACACTGCCAGTGGAGAATGAGATTGTTCAGTCTCCTACTGAAGACGTCGATATCGAGATCACAGCCACCGAAGAGGCCGAGCAACCTGTCCTCGTTCAGAACGTTGGCCTCCACCAATTCCTGAAGCTTGGCAACTGATCTATACGCTGATTACCAGTATCATTCGTCGTTGCAAGCAAAAGTCTTAAGCCTGGTCGATTTTTCGCAAAGCATTCTATTCACGTATGTATCTTACCACCAACCACTGACGGCATTACTTGATCTACGATTTTCTCCCCCCAACGACCTCGTCGACATTGTTCCGAGTCAAAGATAAGCACGCTGGATATCCTTGTTCTTTTTTCTTATATCAGATCTGTCCACGCAGGAGTTCACAAGCTTTGGGCACACAGAAGTGCTGCAGGTATTAAGGAAGTCTTTGCATCTACGCCCTCTATCGAGGAGTGAAGGATCAGACTTTCGGGGGGTTACCATCAGAGTACCCGAACATTGGTTATTCGGAGGAATGGGTACTCCAGAAGACGCCAATCGGGCCGCTAGAGAATGAGCACAGGCTGAAGTGGGGCCTCAAGAATACGGGACATGGAATCAAACCCGAATAGGATTTGTTTATTGGTTTTCTTCCAGGACGGGTTGATTATCGTCCGCCCAATAAAATCCTCTCTTTGCAGGCCAACCTTGTTCGTGTGCCTTGAGTGTGGTGCCCTCTTTCTCCAGCGTCTTCAATCTTATCGGTAGTTGTAGTGCCACTTTCGTCTATGATTATCGTGCGCGCCGTCCCGCGTCTGCGTTTTGCTGCAATAGACGAACTCCTCTGCGAACCATGTTCCAGCGAAGCGTCCCCACAACCGAGAGATCATACCGAGGACCTGGGGTCGACTTCTCGGTTGCTGCTGCGACTCGGCCCGACGATGTATTGATTGGCCCTCGGGGATTTCATTTGCACGAACTCGGAACTCGAAAGTTGAGCTGGTTGTCTTCGCCTCGAATCTCACAGGATGAAAGAAAGGGGGCGGCGGGGTGGCATATTTACTAGACTATCTTGATGACGATTGACAGGGTCGAAATTCCCAGCACGAACGTATTCCCCTCCCCCTCCCGCTCCCCTCCCTTCTTTCGACACGAGTCCGACACAGCCCCACACATGTCACCCGCTGGGATGCAAGGCACTCGGAGTCGCACGAGCAGATATGCTCGTTCTCGACAATATTCCGAAGCCTTCCTATAGGCTGGAATTTGGGGCTGGAACCCACTGAACGCGCTGATCCGATAGACATGATATGATATCTACGCAGAGGCTGACAACGGTAACAGTTGGCCAACGAGAAACACCATCAGGCCACGTACCTGTAGTGATTGGATGAATCGTCCAATACTTTGCCATTGCCACTTTCGTTATCATTTCGTGTTATCCGTGAGCAATAATAAGAGAGACGGCCTGCATCTTACGGAGTTTAGATAAATTCCATATAAGAGGGCCATGTTAGCCAGGCATCTCCAACAAGTCCAATCCTCGGCGCATGGCCATTCGTTTTTCCAGGAAATGAGTGCAATAATCCCGACCAAGCCTCCTGTACAAATGAAATATATTACTTCCCTTGTAGATTGACCCAGAGCAGGGTTCCGTTCCAGAGGATACTTGGCTATTGAGGATCGATCCATTATTTCAAGATATACTGAACTTCGAGCCATTCTTGACACACAACTCAGGTCATTACCGGTGCCAATGTGATTTCTCTAGATCCTCGAACTCCAAGCCAGAAGACCCCAAGGACCCATCAATTATTCGCAAAGAAGACTTTAAATAGCATGTTATGGGCTCTTCGACAGTAAGGAAAATTCGAGGTACTAAATATCCCAAGTAATCTGGGAGGACATTCATGCAAGGATAGAAGAGATCGAGTAGTAAAAACTGGTAGGAGGCAGACGTCGCTCAACGTTTGACGAATCATACCTCACACGAAGACAAAGATGGATGCAACCATTTCCGATAATCCAGCGGAGCTGGACGCCAACAGTCTTAAATTCTTTCAGGAGCATACACGCCAAATTGCCGCATAATCGAGTAATCTATGTCTTTGTAATAGTAATGTGTGACCCCAAAAAAACAACGCGAGGTGGTCCCCATTAGTATTTCCCTCCGCGGCCTGAAATCTTCTTGGCTTTTCCTCACACCGACGACGGTGTCCGCTCTTTTTTTTTTTCATGTACAAGCCTGGAAAGGACGTGCTTATTTTTTGAGTCCCGCTTCGAGAAACGTACCTATACTGGTTCTAGTTGCTGGATGAACATACGACTCATCGCAGTGTGTAGGTGGTGAATCTCGACGGATGCCGAGCATCCAGCCTGGCATCTTGCCAACTCTAGGATTCGGATTTCCTGTTTGCGCTTTTAACGCCACTTGACTGGGACTAACAGGTTCCCCGGGCACGCCTAGATTTTCAACTACGACGAGCATGAACCCTGCTGCTGTCCAATCCAATCCAATTCAATCGCAATCTTTTTTATGCATGAGCAGCTTCTGAGGGCAGCTCAGGCGCACAAGCTCTCGATTTGGATTTCCATATCTGGCCATTTGTAGGAGGTCGGCGAGGACCTGAAGTCCCATACATACAAGTAGCTTGCCTTCCTAGACGTTCGTCTGCACCAATTGCGAGGTAATATAGCTCCAAAGTTCCAAGGATGGCGGAGAATTACTTCAAAAATGTGATCTGATCCTCACGGATTACTTCCATCTCATCTGCTGGCATCATGCTGGAGCCGCTGGCTTATTGGTGCGTCTTCCCCACTCTAATCTGAATCTAGAAATAACAAATGGGCGAATATACGACTTAGAGATTGGCGGTGCGTAGGACAAGAGCTCCGCAAGATGTGCAGGAAGCGATGTCTACATATTTCTTTCCTGATCGCTCTCTGGCTACCTTGGTTCACACCTCGCATTTTATCCTCAGAATAGAAAGATTCTTTGTATAGACGACCGTGACAACGAAAAGCGAGCTGGTTGGCAGTGTCAGTAAAAGTCTTGGAACAAAGTCACAGGATAAGAGTATTTCTACCGAGGACAAGAATGACACACACCGAGGGATCAGCAACATTGTCGCACAGGTCAAACACCGAAATGAGTTTGGCTTTCATTGGGGTACAATTTGGGCCAGAGCAGTACTGTTCGGAGTGCTTGCTTGACATGCAGACGATCGGTCTTTGCCAATGTGGCTCAAACAATTCCTCTGAGGCTGCAAACATTCGATCTGGAAACGACTGCAGCTATGATTGGCTCATGAAACCATTATCAGTAAATGCCAAAATCCAAATCATGTCGGACAAGCGACAGAATACGGAGGATGATCCCTGGCACGGAATTGGAAGTACTGTCGACCATGGTACCTTTGGTATCATGAGAAAATTTCTGAGAGATTTCGACCCTCGTCAACCCCGACGGTGACTGCATCGAGCATGGGGACTTTAATTTCAAGCTCGGAGCCCCTATATTCCCAGCCGGAGCAGGGTCCTACTTTCCAGAGAGATCTGTTCGCTCAGTGACGACTGCAGCATTGAACCATGTTCGTCCTGGAGCATAAATAGTATTGAGGGTTGGCCTAGATGAGCCTTGGCTATCCTGATACTTCAGTTCAGGATCTTGCATGTGGAGGTGCTGGTCATGCGAGACCTTCCCGGGCCATGCGGGACTCAAGCCATGCCACTGACTTGGTCAAACCGCCAGCTCTCATGGGACGAGAGAGAGACTTGATCGGCACTCCGTTCAGTCTCCCCACTGGTCAGGGTCCGCCAGAATGGCCATGTCTTTTGCTGTAACTGCTGAGCTAAGGAGCGAAACTCTCGTTGCTCCCCACTCATCGAAGAGGATGAAGAGGCGATCCCAGGGTCGACTATCGCCGCAAGCGAAGCCTGCAACCTTGTCGTTGCCGTCGGGTACCTCGAATCTTCTAGCATGCTAGGACCTTCAGTGGTTGGCTCATTCTCAACCTCATATATGTCGAGCATTGCGACTTCATTTGATTGTAAGCTCACATTCGCTTCATTGGTACAAGCATTGGCGGTCGTAGGGACGCAGCTAGCATCAATATTACCGAACAAGTGCTCGGCCATCATGTGAGCGAATCTTCTGCCCGTAGAAGTAGCACTGGGTAGCAGATTGCTGACACCCCCGGACTGGTGGCGCAACATTCGTCTGAAATATCGGTAAATGAATTCCAAAATACCGTCTTCGGTCATCAGCATCTGGAGTCTCTTTAGAAGCCAAGTAAGAAGCGTTGATGGCTGAAGGGTGCCAGAAGCTAGATCTTTAAAAGTCTTCGGCCATTGAGCCTTTTTGGTTACAGAGATTGCAACAACAGCAAACGCGTCTGGGATGTTGATACCAAACCGTGAGAAGCTTGACGAGGCATAGGCCGACTCATCAAGTGGTGGGCTCCCATTGCTGCATGTTTTCTCGTGTATGAAGCACCAGAAAAGTAACTGCGAGGCTATGTCTTGAAATTCCTCGTACTCCAATTTCATGTCCTGTACTTCCACCAGTCTCTCCTCGATCGACCTTTGCTTTGAGACGAAGGTAATTTTGCACCAGCCGAGCAGGTCAAAGGCTTTTGATCTTATAAAAGCATTGCCGATGAACTGCCTGGCAATTTTATCATGAGCAATGTCGAAAAGTTTTGAGCCTACCCAAAAGTTGTCTGTGGGAAACGCAAATTCAATTTGCTCCTTGGAAGATAGGAAGACCAATTCTCTGTCTTTGACATCTGGAATCAGGGTAGAGAACACATCTTCGGCGACATTCTCTTGCATAAGATGACAAGCAGATGTAGAGGTCCATTCAAATCCAATTGGTGACCAGAATTGTTCAAGATCTCGATGATAGTGGTGAAGCAGTGTCAACAGCGCTAAGAATCTGCCAGTACCTTCGCTCAGAATGCTCATCAATATTCGCAATAGCCTGCCAGCGCAACTTGCATCATCTAGAGTGCACGAGGAACGCACGCACCCGACAGCGGAGGTGACGAGGAACCCAAGAATATGAGAGTGTCTGGTAATTTCTCTAATCCTCTGCAATAACCAAGTAGCAAATTGCTCGTCCGCATATGGGAAATCATCCTCGCTAGTTGAGAGAGCTGTCGGGAAGTAGAAGACCGTAGTTGCAAAACAGGTCAGGTATGTGTCGAAAGAGTCGCGCAGGAGGTTGCCTGCAGAAAGATAACTTGCTAACTTGAGCAGTCTTTCCACTCGCAGTTGATCCATTGTACAGATTGCCTCGGCTCCGAAAAATCGATCGTGGAAGAGTAGTCGCTGGGGGAAATATTGTAAAAGAGAATTTAGGTGATCTATAAATATATCCACCCCATTTGGATTCGTAGGTGCCCATCTAGAGTGAAAGATTTCATTGTAACGGTGAGACTGAAATTGCGCAGACAGAGATGTCGAAGAACTTGTCACAGTCAAACGATCGAAAGGCCGTACATTGTCCGTAAATGTAAGCACAGTCGGTGCACTTATAGACTTTGGCATATATTGAGGCGTGAGTTTCGATGAACGTAGACGAGAATCGTACACCGACTTGTTTGGGGGTCGAGATGGTGGTACCGAGGTGACAGGTGAGGTAAAAAGATCGTCCAGAGAGAGGTCGCTTTGATCGAGGGCTAGAGGAGCCCTTCGATGAACATGCAAATCCCAAAGCCCCATCCGGGCTACAAGCTGGCTTTTACTTTGAGAAGTCAACAACATTTTGATAGTCAAATGACCAACTTAGCGCTTGAGGCGCAAAGCCATTTCTCGGAACTTACGAAGGGAAGAAGCTGTGCTCGACAGATAATTTCCCGAGAATCTCCTTCTTTGTCAGGCCTCGAGCATGCCAGTCAGTTATCATTGCCCGAAAGGATGCCCAAGTTTCTCCAGAGATGGCCTCCGCCCTCCGAGGCTTCTGTGGATCCCATGTTCGGAAGTCATTGTTGACACCCATCTTCGGTGCGATTTAGGCTCCAACTGGATGATTTCGGGGCCGTGATGACCATCCACATTGGCTGTGCTCATGGGATAACACAATTTCAGAATTTAAGAAATTGTAATACATTGAGATGAGATATTCAGATGGTTCAAATCTCTCATTCGGCTGTAAATTTGGAACACATGAGTGGTGTCCTCTTGATTTGTGTAGTTGTGGTGATCAGGCTGGCCTTCTGTGGGCGTCTGTTGACGATCAGTTTCTGATTTCCTGATCAGGTCAAGCGTGGGCCTTTGGAACCTCTGTGACTGTAGCAAGACGCCCGGGTTTGTTAGACAGGCTAGTATGTGTTATCGGCACCAATAATACAACGCTGCATCCCTACTCGTCATCTGAGGTATTGGACATTTAAGCGTGCATGATGCAGTCGTAAGGCGGGATGCGAAAGCGGGGTCGTGGTTGAACCTCGCCCAAGAGCACAGTCCCAAAGGGCTGCTTTGATCCACCAATGACCAGCGGTCTGTTCGTCTCATACATCTCCTGAATGCCAATTAGCGATGGCTTGCAGCACCGGTTGTGCACTGTATGAGTGTGTGGTTACATCGTAGTCTCAACTTCAGCATTGCCGTCATTTCGCCAATTTCCGAGCTATATTGATTCCCATCGCCTAGGCGAAGCGTCATCTATGAGCTCTAACCTATGGGAGATGAGATAATAAGTGCAGGTATGACGGGCAATAGTGGCTGTCACTACGCTGTTGCAGAGATCGCGTTACGGTTGCTGCCATCCTCCTGTAACAGGCGGGTAGTTTATATCTTCGTACCCAAAAGTCGACACGCCGTCGAACATGAAGTCCTGTCCAAACCATTGCTCAATTCCAGTCATGTAGGAATCGTTTGTCTCATTCGGGTACCAAATTGGCACGTTGATCGGTGACTCAAAGTTGCTTGGGTTGTCAAACACTTGTAGGTGCGGCTGTATGCTGGTCGCATGACTGGAAGGCAAAAAAGGCATCTGATTTGTGGGATAGGCAGAAAGTGCATGATCTTGAGGGAGACTATTCGACGACAGAGTCTGTGGCGTGGGCAGTGAATTCATACGGGGCTTTGTTGTTCTCGGACCTGTCTCGTTTGCCGGGTCTTCAGACACGCCAACTCCTGCAGAAATGCTCGGCTCTTTCATCGCTTGTGCTCTCATCTGTCCAAGCACGACGCTAAATGCTCGCGCAACTTGTGAGTTGTTCGCAGCATGGACCTTCCTGAATGTATCGACCAAAAATGTCATATATTCAACAAATTTCAAATCCTTGGCATCAATTCGAAATTGGGCGCCTGCCCGGGCTTGGGCCTCGCATATAGTCAGAAGCTTTCGGAGCGCTCTTGCGGCATATCCCGTGCGGACAAAATAGAGGTTCGGTAGGACGCATAATGTGCTAAGGTCCATGGAGAGGAAGGCATCGAAAATCGCATGGATAGCGCTCAGACAGTTGAGCAGAGACTCTATCCTAGCAGGCGCAAAATGTAAGTCTTCTAATGACGCAACCAAAGTATCAGCTGATGCCGCTGATGCCGCGGCTACAGCATGAACTGGTCGTAATGGAGCACGAAGCTCATCAATGTTGTGTTCAGAGTGTAAAGCAAGCTCATGAATGAATAGGGCAGTGATTGCTTCGACATGACGTGCATAGGCTGAGGAAATGCTGTCAGAAATGGACATACTATAGAGTCTTTTGGGAACTCACGTTTTGTAATGTCGGAGCCTGAATTCCGGCGCCAGCGCTCCAATTGCTGACGAAAGCCTCCTATTTGATATTGAACTTTGACATCGCGGAGTGTTATTGTAGAGCCGGGATCATCCATCGAAAAGACAATGGATGCGTCCTCAGATATATGCTGGAGGCGTACAAGATCACACAACCACTTGTCGCTTGGCAGAGCTGCTGGATCTGATGACAGAACATCAAGGCATTCCTCAATATAAATTGACCAACGGACAAATGCTGGATGTCGTAACGCGATAGAAACACTAGCCACGATCAGTTCATTCAGCTAACTCGGAGGTTGCCCTTTCTTACCTTGTGGCGGAATAATAGCACCCCAACCAAGCTCTACGGCTAGCCAGAGATTCCAGTTGATGCTGTCCTGGGTTATTTGACGACACGGAGTTGTGCGATCTTCGCCCGAGACCGACATCTAATGCCATTGTGCTTGCGATGTGAATCATCTGATTGAAATTGAGCTCCCGCGTGTGCCTCGGTCGTGCGTAGAAGCAGAAATGAACAAGAAGCGTTTGGATGAGCTCGAGAGTTCTTTCTCCTCTGTACATGATCCTTAGAGCAAGGTCTTTAGAAAGCATATCCGCAAGCGCTGACTTCGATGGACTATGGACGGAAGCGATTGCTGCATTTATAATGGCAAAGAAGAGAAGCGGCTGTTGTTCCTTGAGGACGGCAGGGTCGGTTTTGGATGGAAACACAACAAATGGAAAGTACTGACACATCTGGTATTGGAAGCGATCAAAAGCTGTGCTTATTGTTTGCCAGTCGAGGAGTCCACGATTCAAGGCTCGATCAATAAGGGTCTCCGAAGAGGGATCGGACTCTGAGCCCGATTCTCTGGCTGTCGGAACACTTCCTGCACCGGATTTCGGGGTCTCATTATTTGAATTTGCTTCTGTTGCGGACAAAAGTGTGGTCAATTGCTCGATTTTCTTTTCAAGGTCGGCCACTCTTTCCGTAGTCTTCCTTTTCCGACGTCTGGGAATTGACTGCATCACGCACTGCCTTCTGGCTCTGATGCATAGCTTACAAGCATTTCCTAGCGCCTCGTCTACTTCGCAGCGTGTTTTCATCCGCCGGCACGCGATGCAGGCTCTGCTAGATCTGACCTTCTTGGCGCTTGAGGGTGAACGATCCGGATTTTGCGCATTGTCATCGCTTTCATCGCTTCCATCAGAATGGGCCCCAGGGCCATCAGGTGGAGTCATTTCAGATGTCACTAGGATGCAGCAGTGGAATATGGCGTTGAAAGATGTGCTATGCGCGTGTCTGGGCAAGATCCAAAGCAATGAACCAGATTGCGTGTCATTCGCGTCTAAGAAGTTTCGATGATTGATCACCCAGACTGAGGCCGACGTTTCGCTTAGCTGTCTGTATTGGGTTAGTAACACAGGGGCAGATCCTTGGCGTCTGCCTGGCTCTTCCAAATTGACATGCAAATTAGCTTCAGTCATATGGGTTTTCCCTTGGGTTCTAACCACCCGCATCGGTGTTTTTGTGGTTGGCATAACATTATAAGGTCCAGATAAAGCCATGGAATTTAAGCTAAGTCTGACTCGTTCTCCTTGCTCACTAGCCCACAGCGAGATGACGAAGCAAATTGGAAGGACTGCCAATTAACTACTTCGCTCCCCTTGTTCAACATCCCTAGATGCAGCTTTTGCCCGTACAGCCGAGCCATATACTACTTTAACAAGAGTTCCAGCACTCAGCAGTAGCATCAAAGCTGCGAGAAAGGTCGAGGTCCACCCGATGTTGATTTTCTCGATCAGCGGATTGATGAATGCTGTTCCGCCCGCCCCCAACAGACAACGTACAAGATTTAGAGCGGCGGTGGCCGATGCACTTTGATCTGGATGGATATCAACCAGGAATGTTGACACCACGGTCTGAATCGATATTGCCGTCCACCCAAGCACAAAAAGCGCAATGATTGGGACCGAGATGTGCGTATGTGACCTCACAGTCCAACCGAAGACAAGCACTGCAACACATTGAACACCACTCCAGATCCAAATAGTCCGCAATCGTGCCTTCTCGGCTGGAACCCGCTCTTCAACCCCACCGTATGCCTCAATCATCCTCCGGTAGTCGTAGTCAAGAAACTTCCCTATAACCAAGGTTCCAATAATCGACCCTACTCCGTTGACCAAAAATAGCAGACCTATTTTACTCTCACTAACGTGGTAGGTTTCTTTAGCGAGTGTTGATAGTGCGGTGAGTACCATTTGCCAGACCATATAATGGACGCCGACAAACAACACGGAGGTGCAAGTGTTGAGATGAGCCAGTACCTTCAATGGTCCCGCGAAATTCATTTTCCTTTGCTTTTCCAGACAGTGCTGAGACATGGGTGCACAGCCTATCTTTGTCTTCAAGTATCTTTTCCTCTGGAAGGTCCCTAAGAATGACTTTGCAGAACCGGTGGCTTCCACTGAGCCGTTTCCAACGATCGACCTCAAGGTCTCTGGTAAGAAAACAACGATAAGTGCTAAACAAGCGACCCCATAGATTGACAGAAACCAGAATACCGATAGCCAGTTCAAGCGCTCGGATAATAGGCCACCAACGACCGGACCGATGGCAACTGGGAGCAATAGGCCACCTTGAAAGACACCCATATGACCTCCACGCTCCTTTCTTGTGGTCATGTCCCCAATGACCCCGGCGCCAAGCGCAATTGTGCTTGCACTACCAGTGCTCTGTAAGCAGCGGAGAACAAGGAGCTGTGCATAGCTTTTTGTTTCGGCCAGCCCGATGCACGCCGCGATGAAAATCAAAAGGGTGCAGATGAAAGTGAGGCGCCGGCCTTTCGAGTCCGCCATTGCTGCCCAGATGGTAGGCGACAGACCTTGAAATATCATGTAACAGGTGACGGTTAAATTGACAAGGTTTATCGAGATATGCAGGTCTTCAGCAACCTGAGGTATGGCCGGGAAATATATATTTGAAGCAAAGCCGGACAGGGTCGCAACAATTGAGACAATGCTAATGATTAGCCCTTTCTGAATTCCGGTGAAAATGGTGAAGGGCACCAGCTCGTCATTTTGTGTGGCTGTATTGGTTGCAGACATTGTTGTAAAGCGAATCGAAGGGAATCTGATGTTCATTACTCCTTGAGACGTGCATTGTTATATCAACAATGTCCCTAGTTAATGAAGGGCAGGGATGTTCGGAGTTCCGGATGGAACTCCCGTATGTCTCTTACGAGCGGCCACTTACGGCGGAGATCCATAGAGGAGATTGTATATCGTAGGAAACCTCAATGATTGAGCAAGAATATTTAGGCTGCACCGAGGTGAATACCGATAACGCTTCAAGCTGCGACGTTGAGCCATGCCGCTTGAAGTCTGCTTCGCTGGGACTGAGCAAAGGAATAAATCACAAGGCAAGGCACATTAGAGAAATCCCTGAGGTCTGGGTGTTCGCTCGCGGTATGTAAATGAACCCCGTGGCCCGAGGGCTGGGAAGCTAAGCACTCAGCCATCCACCGCCACCGCCACCAAGAGAGACCTACCTACAATATGTATGTACTCCGGACTCCGGAGTACCTTGACAGGCAAATACGGATTTCCGAAATGTTCAACTTCCATGAACGTCACCATCCCACGTCCTCCATCCTATCCCCCTGATTTTGCTAGAGCATCATTGAAAGCGGTTCCTGGAACGAATCAGACGACAAGATCTCAGGTGCCATTGAAGATGACCGCAAAAGCAATCCCGTCTAGGAAGAAGTCTTGCTTAACTTGTTCCAATGCCAAGGTTCGTTGTGATCTGCAACGACCATTATGCTCGAGATGCAGACATCGAAATCTAGATTGCGCATACATCGGATCTAACGCCGCTAATGAATACTTGTCACCTGTCAGTATTCAGGATCAGGAGAACCGCGGCGTTCCGGAAGCGCTTCAAATCCGCCAACCACCCTTTGAGCCATGTTCGAACAGTGTGACCGAGTTGGCAGAACTCAACTTCGACCACATTGAGCTAATCAGTGCAGTGGATGAGCACAGAATACGTGCGCGATGGCTCGAGAGCTTACTGCCTTCGATCGATCAAAGGCCGAAAACCTTTGCTGCTTCCACCATGAAGTTCGTTTCGCAGGTTTTTAAATCATACCCAGCAATGTTTGCGGGTGAGAACTCTTCACCTCCTTTCATTCATTGGGCGCAAATGAAGGTTGTCAGATGCGAGTCATTGGTCAACTGCGTCAACATATCTCGTATGTGGACAAATAAGGCTGCTGGGACTGGAAACATGGTCACTGAGATCATTGAGAGACAAATGACAAGGCTCTTTGACCAGGTACGCTGCCTAAATCATAGGTTCCCCCCGAGACCTTTGGATGACGAGTTCATAGCGGACGAAATATAACGAACTTGAAATGTTGGCTGCTTTACAGGCATATTTGCTCTACTCGATGATGCTCTTCTTCGAATATTGCTCACCGAAGAGCTTCGTAGAACAAGACGCTATGATTAAATTGCAGGGCCTAGCAGGAGATGTTGCTCGGACAGGCACTGTATGTCTAGCTGAGACGAGAGATACCCGCCCAGACTGGGAATCCTGGATTGTTGCTTCTGCTAAACGACGAACCTTATTCGTGGCCTCCATGTTCGATAATTTGGTCAACTTCACTTTAGGTACACCATCGTTCATTGCAACAGAACTCGCAGAACTACCCGCCCCAGCGAGTAAGCGCCTCTGGGAGTCAAGCAATCGCAATTCCTGGAATATGGCATATAATCAACATTTGACTGAATGGATAGAGGCGCCGTTTCTCGTAAGCGAACTCTGGCCTGTCGCTGACATGAACTCGGCAAGGAGGCAGCAAAGGCTCGGCCAGTGGCTGTCGAATGTAGATGAGTTTGGCATGATGATTTACAGTGTCACAGCTCACACGTATGGCGGGTGATAAGAAGCTAGATCTCACCTGTAAAAGCTGTGAGTTCTGGCACATCCCTCGCAAACACTGCGATTGTCCAGAGAGGCGGTTAATCAACAATCGCTTGACAGCTTTTCGCCAGATGCATCCTGACCACTCATCAACTGACGTCCGTCGGTGGTATCCTAAGGCGTGATGAGAATTGTCTATAAATGCAAGAATTGCTAATACAACGCCATGTCTGGGCTGCTATACCACGGATCGAAATGAGTCCGCGACGGCGTGAAGTGAGAGCTTCTCGAGAAGCTAGAAATTACAGTTCACTAATGATTTTCAGGGGAGTCGACACCTTTTATTGCCGTGAAAGAGCCGCCCATCCCATCAAATTCGATTTCTGATCAGTAGACAATGTGCGCATTCTGATCTCTATTCTGGGTGAAGATCAGCAATCACGACAGGGTAGGAGTCCAACCTTTGCTATTCGTTACGACGAACATATACTAATCTCCGGATATTGATGGTATTTCCATCATTCTTGAAGAAGATTTTGTGGCAGGGGGGTTCCTTCGATCCTTCTATACTCCTCGACGCCGGTATCTGGAATCCCAACACCCAACGACTTCAGCAGAAAAGGTCCTCATGGAGAGCGCAGCAGTGAACACAAAAGAGCATCAGCTCAGCATGACCCGGGGGCTGCTGCTGGCGGCAACGATAGTAACGCAGTTCGTCCAAGTAAGTGGAATGCAACAGTCTCCTAAGAAACGCAGAGTGAGGCTGATTTCTGTCCCCAGATGATACCTTTTGGCCCGGGAATAAATAGGGCGATATTGATCGGGTCAGATCTTGGGGTGAACCAGTATCAAGCGCTTTGGATTGCCGCCAGCTACCCGTGAGCCATCAAAGCCTCGCTTCTTAGCCTTGTCGAACTGATTCTTGCACAAGACTGACGCAGGGGGGCATTTGTCCTGATGGGCGGAAGGCTTGGCATGATCTTTGGTCACAAGAAGATCGTACTCATCGCCGGACCACTTTGGGTTCTATTTTGCTTGATCTCGGGATTCATGTGGAATTTCATTGCCTTGTGCGTGATGCGCGGATTGACCGGCATTGGTGGCGCGTTCATAGTTCCGAATTCAATTGCTCTCAACTATCCAGTTTCCACCAGGTCGCATGAGAAATATTACCGTCAGCATGTTCGGTGCATTGGCCCCGATTGGAGCTGCAGGCGGAAGTGTTCTTCCTGGTTTCTTGGGACAGTTGCTGCCTTGGAAGTAGCTGTTCTTTTTCCTGTATGTCTTTGGTTTCCAAGAAATACGAGCATGAGCATTGCTGACTGAGATTGCTTTAGTGCCATGCTGGGGGCCTCCGTGTTCACCCTGTTCTTCTTCGTCGTCATCCCAGGCGAGAAAGAACCATTTGATAGAAACGGTTATTTGATTACCTCGGGGCTTACTTAGGTACTGCTGGCATGATCTTGTTCAATTTCGTTTGGAAGTAAGACAGTCTTTCGGTGTTTGCAACATTTGATGCTGATTTCATTAATAGTCAATCTCCTGCCGTTGGATGGGATGAGCCTTACGAATATGCTCTCCTTATCGTTTCCATTTTGCACTTCACAGTGTTCATGGTCTGGGAATGGAAGTTTGCAACGCAGCCCATCCTCCCACTTTGAAATTTGGGTGGCTCCATCATTCGCTGTCATGATCACAGCAACATTCTTCATATTCATGGCAGTGGGGATTGCTATTTGGCCTATTGCAATCTGGAATTCCGAAATTCGTGGGTACACAATGCTTGCTAATGGTGCAGCATTCACCACTTTGGCAGTATGTGGAGCTCTCGCGGCGGTGGCCAGTGGGAAGATCGTCAGGGATGTTCCTGCGGAATATACTATGGCAACAGGGGGGATAGCATCAGTTGTGTCGACGAACACTTGCTGCTACTCAGCCTCCCCCAGCAGACATACTGGGCACAGACTTTCCCAGCCTTAATTATCATGGCTCTTGGCCCGGACTTCACATTTACACGGCTCAGATCATATCAAGCAATGCAGCGAAAAGAAAGCATCAAGGCATCGCCGGGTCACTTGTTGGAACACTAGCGTCGTACGGATTGAGTATAGGTCTTGGTTTTGCAGCGACTGTCGAGGCATATACGAATGATGGGGGAAGAGACGTGGTTGGAGGATTCAGGCATGCACTTTACCTTGGAATTTGCCTTGCGGCAGCTGCAATACTTATCTCCATTTTGCTGGTTTGGATACCAAAGGATACTCGAGATGGTTGGGATGAAGGGGAAGAAACTGTATCAAAGATGGAGAGCAAGGCGGGAAGTTGATGTAAGGCAACAACCAAGACAGTAGAGTCCTTTTGGGTGTTGTCGTCTTCGATATTGAGCCCCGTCAATCATCATCACTCTGATGAAGCGGTTCTCGCAGAGTCAGGAGATGGGTGAAGATGTCGTTGGGAAGTTGGGATGATACAGCGGGATTCATACAAGTAGAGATTGCGGAGAGGCCCCTCGAGCCGGCTTAGCTGCCGTTTTCGGCCAGCTTATCTTATCGAGCAACCAATCCCCTCATCGCCATTTTTTTCAATTGCCCGCATCTGCGATTGAGTCAACCGTTGAGAGCCTTTGCATTTAGACCGATCAAACCACCTTGGGCCCTCAACTCCTTTTCTTGGGCCCAACTTCCTCCCTCGTCCCTCTCCTACTTTATCACCATCTTCTATAGCCCAACAAACGGCCCAAAAATGGGATTAGGACTGCTAGTGTCCATCGATCCAGAGGAGATCTCGAAGCCAAACTCCAATGGCCTGACTCTGGATCAGGTAGCTTACTTCGGTCAGGCACTCGTTGAGATTACTCCGGAGAATTTTGATTCAAGTCTTTCCTTTTTGCGCCAGAATTTCTCCAAGCTAGCGATCCTCTTTGATGTCCGAAAGCTCAAAAGTTGGGACAGTGTGGTCGATATACTCAATAATGGAGCGTCCAAGATCTTTGTCACTTTCGAGCAGCTGAAAGCTTTGTCCCAGGAGCAGACGATATCGCCTGATCGACTGGTTCTTACCATTTCTCTCGAAAATCCTAAAACCGACCTGGCCAAATTAAACTCCTTCCTCCAAGCCAACCCGACATGGAAGAACACAGAATGGGCATTCGACGGGGACAAGGGTAATGAGTACGTCGATGTAGTTCTGAAAGAGCTTGGAAATTATCCACCCAGCCCAGATCAGACGATTTTTGTCACCGTAACCCGGGAGACTGGCGGGCGACATCTTCTCCATGAATATCCTGGGAATGCCCTGATAATTTCCTCCAAATCTTTGACTTTCGACCCATCCAAGGATTCAGACCAGAAATTAATTCCAGCTGTGGATTTAGTGCTTGCCGGCGCGACCGCTGACCGGAAGACCGGCCTCTATGCGACAACTGTTGTGGACGAACGTGACGTGGCTCTAGGATTGGTGTGGAGCAGCAAGGAGAGTGTAGCGGAGGCTTTGAAAACCGGAGCAGGAGTGTATCAGAGTCGTAAAAGAGGTCTGTGGCACAAAGGCGCCTCAAGCGGAGATACTCAAGAACTTATTAGCATGGGATTTGATTGTGACAAGGACTGTCTGATCTTTAAAGTCCACCAAAAGGGCCGAGGGTTCTGTCATCTGGGCACAATGTCATGCTGGGGCAAGGTTTCGGGATTATCGAGACTGCAACGGACGCTGCAGGAGAGGAAGATTGATGCTCCCGCCGGATCATATACTAATCGACTCTTCAACGACCCAAAGCTAGTAAACGCCAAGATCAAGGAGGAAGCCGACGAGCTTTGTGAAGCAACAACGAAGGAAGAGATTGCATCGGAGGCGGCTGATCTATTATACTTTGCGCTTGCAAGATGTGTAGCTGCGGATGTCACCATGGAGGATATTGAGAGAAACCTAGATCTGAAGAGCCTCAAAGTCAAACGGAGGAAGGGCGACGCAAAACCCCAGTATGTTGATGAGAAGCCCACTAGTGAGACAGAGCAACAACCAGGAACGAATGGTGCCAATGACCATCAGGATGAAGAGCTCAAAGAAGCAGCCTCTGTGCCCACGTCGCGCTCAGATGCAGCGGGCACTATTTCCGGACGGATACAAATGAAACGTTACTCGACCTCACAAACCTTCTCTGACGATATCCTGAAGTCTGCTCTACAGCGACCCTCTCAGAAATCGAACGAAAAGATCATGTCGCTTGTCCAACCGATCATTGCGGATGTCCGCGCGAAGGGCGACTCTGCTGTCTTGAAATACACCCACAAATTCGAGAAGGCAACATCACTGAAAGCTCCCGTGCTTAAAGCACCATTCTCGGAATCTCTTATGCAGCTCCCAGAAGAGACAATAAAGGCCATCAATACCTCCTACGACAACATCCTGAAATTCCACTCTGCGCAGAAATCATCAGGTCCACTGGTGGTTGATACAATGCCTGGCGTCACTTGCTCACGGTTCTCAAGACCGATCGAGAAGGTCGGCCTCTATATTCCAGGTGGCACTGCCGTTCTACCCTCCACAGCTCTCATGCTTGGTGTTCCGGCCATGGCTGCTGGATGCAAGAATATTGTCCTCGCAACTCCCCCGCGGTCGGATGGCACAATCACTCCGGAGATCGTCTATATTGCACACAAGGTGGGAGCCGAAGCAATAGTTTTGGCGGGCGGGGCACAGGCTATTGCTGCTATGGCTTATGGCACCGAGTCGATCACCAAAGTCGACAAGATCCTTGGACCTGGAAATCAGTTCGTGACAGCTGCAAAGATGATCGTCTCCAACGATACGTCTGCAGCCGTCTCGATAGACATGCCGGCTGGCCCGTCAGAGGTTCTCGTCGTAGCCGACAAAACGGCCGATCCAGCGTTTGTGGCAAGTGATCTGCTCTCACAAGCCGAGCACGGCACAGATAGTCAGGTCGTGCTGATTGCCGTCGACTTGGACGATCAGCAGCTGCAAGCCATCGAAGACGAAGTGCACAAACAAGCACATGAACTACCACGAGTTGACATTGTGCGCGGAGCAATCGAACACTCAATCACGATCTCGGTACGCAACCTTGCCGAAGCCCTAAAATGGTCAAATCACTATGCACCAGAGCACTTGATCCTGCAGACCGCCAATCCACACTCGGCACTCCCAGACATACAAAATGCGGGCTCCGTGTTCCTGGGCCAGTGGACGCCGGAGAGCGTGGGCGACTACAGCGCGGGCGTCAACCACAGCCTCCCGACCTACGGCTACGCACGACAATACAGCGGCGTCAATCTAGGCAGTTTCATGAAGAACATTACCAGCTCTGAAGTCACCGAGCAAGGGGTCGGCCAGGTCGGCTTCGCAGTGATGGAACTCGCTAGGGTGGAGGGTCTCGATGCACATCGCCGCGCGATGGAGTTAAGGATGGAACGACTGGGATATGTCGAGAAGCGCGTGGCTCCAGTCGCGGAGGATAAGGGTGATGTTGTTCCACAACCGCAACCGGAAAGAAGCGAGCAGCGACCTGGTGTCCAAACCCAGTTCGCGCCGGCCGCTGTGGCCACGGCTGTGCAGACGGGGGTAAAGGCCACTCTTGGTGCTTTGGCTCAGAAGACTTGAGTGCTTGGACGTTGTTTCTTGGCATTTAGTCAGATGGGGCTCTGGTGATGGCGAGCTAATTCAGTGGTACCTTGGAGTTCAACACGATCAGCGTCTTTCTATGTATGACATTGCCGAGGTCATATCCTATTACAAAAGTAGATGTCAGATATCTCGCGATTAAACAGAATTTTTATTGATACTGATACTGTTTTTATCGAGGAACATGATATGAGCGCGTGGTTGGTGTCAGTATCATTATGTGACGCGGGTTTTTTTATATTTTGATCTTTCCCAGTCAAACCTTGTGTCGGCTTGCATTTGTTCGGTTTCCACTGCTCAGTAATGTGGGACCGACTGGTAGATGAAGCTGTGTGACCACGGGCGTTCCCTTGCGTGACTTTCCTGGGCATTTTCCGTAGATGAAGGAGGATCTCATTTCGTCTTGTAAGTATCATTACTTAGCTGAGGGTCTGGCTGCGTTCGAAACTGGTCTCACCAGACCGTAAGAAGAGATATTTCGTACGAATGAGCCCTTTTATGCTGACCACCTATCACAAGTTCATAACCTGGTTGGCATTCTCACGGCCCCGTCAAGTCTGACAACCTCACCATTTAACATAGGATTCTCTATCATGTCCCGAACCAACCTCGCGAATTCCTCTGCCTTACCCATACGCTTGGGATATTGGACCATCTCGGAATTGGCGGCTGTACGGTTCCCGGTGCTTTCTCTGTGTTTGGCAGCTTGGTCTGCTTTTTGAGGTGGTGGGTTTTTGGGCATGGTCATTCCTGTCTGGAAAGCGCCGGGGGCAATGCCTAGGACTCGGATGCCCGCCTTCTGGCCAAGTTCTCTCGCTAATGGTAGAACGATACTCCGGCACGCACCTTTGCTGGCGCTGTAGGCCAGTTGTCCAACTTGTCCTTCGAATGCTGCGACAGAAGAGACGACAATGATGACACCACGCTCTCCGTCTTCGCCCCAGGGCTCGTTCAAAGCAAGGTGAGGGAGGGTCAGGCGTATTAAATCCACTGTACCTCGAACATTGATAGCGATAGTCCTGTCGAACTGAGCCATGTCCATGTATTTGACTGTGTCGTGCGTGGCATTGGGAGGCTGTTTTGGTAAGCTAAGAGCTGCGGTCCCGATTCCCGCAGAGCAGACGGTGCCAGCAAGGGGCTTGGAAGTGGAGTCCTGAATCCATTTTAAAGTACTGTTGACTGCAGCTTGGAGCGAGGAAGTGGATGAAACGTCAGTCTTGGAGAAGAGGATACGTGAAGAGTCAAATTGCGATGTGGCTTCTGAAGAGGGAGGGTTGAGGTCGAGGATGGAGACATTGGCACCGTTTTGCAACAGTGTAATGACGGTCGCAAGGCCGAGGCCACTTGATCCGCCGGATATGATGAACGTGCGATCTTTGATTAACATATTTTGGGATATTGCTTGGATATATTTAACGCGGCGAGTTTGGCAGGGTTGAGAGCGTAGATGCGACTCTGGGAAAGTACGGGACACCTAAAGATGATAAGCACCTAAGGCTAATATCTCGCCAACCTACCTCGGCATTGGCACGAGGCGGACATGACATTCCGAGCACGAGTTCCATGCCTGCGATGCAGACGTCGACTTGGGAACATAGGAATATTGACAGTGATAACAAGGGTGGTAGTGGCAGATCATCGATCCAGTACCGGGCTTCGGACAATGTATTCTGTTGCCAGCCTTCATACCTTAGGCTCGTCAACAGCAGTTGCGGTGAAAGGGAACATGAGGAGAAAGGGTGACATGTGACTTTGGACTCATTTGGGCAGTCACGCGTTAGCTTGGGGGTAGACCTGTAAGGCAGGAGCAACCCACGAATCCAGGATTCCACGAGTCACGGGCCACGATGCAGGTGAGGGATGCAGCAGCAAACTGAAACTTGAAACAGACCTGCAGGCTACATCATCCTCCTCACATTACTCCAGCAAGACAAGAACTTGAGCTACTCGTACACTGAGACTTGCATGTAGTATTTGTATCCCCATCATCTTACACCCCTCTTACCATATTCCAGATTCATTATCTCAACTCGCCTCCTTTTAATTCGAATCCACTCGCTGGGTCGCTGCCCAAAACTTCGTCACCGCCCGTCCCCTCCAAATTTCCCCGCTTATTACCTGGACGAGCCTGACAGCCGCAGGAAAGAGTGTCGAGGCAAGGAAGGCGCAGCCCGATCGGGCCTTCAGTCTCAGTCTCAGAATAACCACTCCCAAGTTCCCAACAAGGCTGACTCGTTTCCGACTGCACACCACCACCACCACCACCACCACCACACACGCACACTCTGATCCAGGTCACTCATTCTTTCTCTTGTTCTCTCCAGACACTGGAGAACAGAGACGACACTTGAGCCCTAACCACCGCACCATCCTCATCGCTGTTGCCGTCAACGTACTTTGGGCCACAATCCGATTAATGCACTCCACATGTCCCAACCCTCCCACCGGCCGCCTAATCGGAGCGTGAACAGCCTGCGAAATGGATCCAGACTATCCAGAGACCTCTCGAGGGATCTCTCGAGGGACCGCTCCAACCCTCGCCGCAAATCTGTTACCGCAAATGACGCATACTTATACGCATTAAAAGTTGCTTACCTCTCCTATCTGCTTCAGCCCCGAACGACTAGGAAGCGCCATGTCGAAACAAAGCCTCCCGTCACGCGTGCCAATTCCTCTACTTCTTTCCATGATCTTATGAATGACTTCACTGTCGTTCGAGACTCCAAAAGCGCGAGGTTTCCACATGACTTTGTCAAAGAGCTGGAGAAGAGGCTGCAGGGCATCTTAATCGGCCGGGAGAAGCGCCCTGAATACCAAGATGCCTTGGTCAAGCGTATCTTTGCCATTTTCCTCAACGCCCTGTCTGATCCCGCTTTTAAAAAACGTATGGAGGCCGATCGGAGAGCGGAGGATCTAGTCCTCATTTTCTTCTCCAATGCAACAAAAGAGCTACAGAAGGGGAAACCCCCCGGTGATGATGGGGTCAAGCGTATGGTCGACCGGCATGTAGCTCTCTTCGTTCGACTCCTGACCTTGATCTTGAAGGACCGCGATTGGGCCAAGGACAAGCCTGATCTGGCCTCACGCCTAGCCACGCTAGAATCAAAGCTACTAAAAGGTGATGAGAATCTTGCCACTTCTCAAAGCAATGGAGAGTTCAAGATGGTCGAAGAGGTCGTGCCCTTGTCATACGAAGTCAAAGATATGCCTTTGGTGCAAGTGGTGGGCAAAGTCTTTGGTCTTACAAACACCATGTTACAATCTGATATCACCAAGAACAAGCCTGTGTGGACCGAGAAGGCCGCTTTGCAAGACTTGAAGACATATCAGCAGCATCTAACCCTTGGGACTAAGTTGACTTTAAACGCCGAGGACTTTGACACTCACGAAGCATACGAAACATGGAAGAAGAACGAAAGCCCAGAACTGTCTCAGATGATGCTGGCCATTATGCAATCCAATCCCCAGTTGGCTAAGAGTACTCCTGGCGGAAGCTTGCCAACTTTCAATTCCCAGAGTTCGTCCACCAGCCCAAATGATGCACATTACGCAGAAGTTTCTCGCTCTCTCTCTCAGCCCACTGATTCCTCTTCCTACGTGCTCGATCTACCGGTGGATTTGGGCGCTCTCGATTTGAACTCAGCCGAATCTGCTGCCTCTCAAGTCAATGGCGATGCATCACAAATCTACACTTTTATCCCTTCTAATCCTAGAGCCATGTTCCGCTTTGTCCTCCTCCAGGCTCTTAATCATGAACTCAATGACAAAACGGACGACGCTCCCAGTGGCCTGGAAAACGGCCAATTATTCTCAAAGAAGACTGCTGAATTGTTGAACGAAATTGCATTGAGATGGCGCATTCCAAAATTCACCCGCATCGTACTGTTTCTGGATGTTGTGCGCGAAAAATTCGCTGAGCAGGCTATCAGTCTAGAAATGCTGGATGCAGCCTTCAACTATGTCAAGGAACCTCCTCAGGAAGATGCAAAGAACAAGAGGAACTCCTTGATCATGACCTCGGCGTTGTACGATCGTTATAATTGGACAATCTCGGATTTTGCTCTCATGGGGAAATTGCTCACCGCACTGTACAATGCACTGCTTCAGCGGTTATATGATGTGATATTGACGTCTTATGCTGACAAGGCTCAATTACCACAACTTGGAGCTATTATGGCCATTATTGACGAACACATCCGGAATGACCCAAGTTTTGCTCAGGGCTCGGAGGATTTCGACGACTTTAAACATGCTGCGATCGAAGGATTGACAGCCGAAGCTAGGAAAATGTACAATATGATACTCGCTCGTGAACTACCTCAAGAAGACGACAAGTGGGAATTCTACCATATTCAACAGCTGGCCAAGGCGCTTCTGAAACTCGCAGAAAAGATTCAGAAGAGATTCAGGAAAAACCCAGAGATCCTTGGTATTAACCCGCTGATGATCCTGCTGCAATCTACTCTGCCAGCTTTCGGAGAGGACTCTAAGGCAATGGTCGAGCAGATTTTGATCCTTGCAGAGAAGACCCAATCTGAAATCCCAATTCAGGATGGTTTCGATTTGTACAAGGACCTGAGCGAGTTTCGTCGTGTGCACAGCGATGCTTTGCCGGGAACCCCATTTCCCTATAAGATTGAAGATCTCTTGGCTGAGTTCGTCTGGAAGTGGATTCGGTCGACTGAGGGACAAGTTATTGGTTGGGTCGAAAACGCTGTCAAGCACGACACCTTCGCGGTTAGGACTCAGCACCCTGACCAGGTGCCTACAGAAGATGAACGTCACTCCACTTCTGTGATAGACATCTACCAGTCTTTCAACCAGGTAGTCGATCAGGTGGCTCAACTCAACTGGGACGATGATCTCAGCTACGCCAAGTTCATGACAGCCTTGGCCAAATCAATCGGCGATGGTGTGAGAAGATACTGCGAACTTCTTGATCAAATGTTTACCAAGGAGATGGACAGATTGACTCCTGAACAAGAAGCCGCTGCCAACATGACAAGACAAGAGAAGTGGATGCAGCTGGCCAAGGATACCTGGAACAACAAAGAAAGGGTTGAGCCCTTCCAGTTCTATCCCCAGTCATTTGTCAAGCTTAATGACATTTCTTTTGCAATTCATCAGTGGGACAAATTGGAAGCAGAGGTCAATGTGGATGGTTGTGCAGAAGTGGTCAAGAAATACCAACCACCCGCAGCCCAACGGCCTCGAAAAGCAACAAATTACGTCTTCAGCATTAAAATTGTTGAAGCCGAGGATCTGAAAGCGTGTGACGTCAACGGATTTAGTGACCCCTATGTCGTCCTTACCGACGAATATCAGAAGCGTCTGTCTAAAAGCAGGATTGTCTATCGAAATCTAAATCCTCGTTGGGACGAATCTGTGGACATCACTACTCAGGGTCCGCTCAATCTGATTGCAACAATCTGGGATTGGGATGCCGTGGGAGACCACGATTATGTCGGAAGAACATCTCTAAAGCTTGACCCAGCCCATTTCAGTGACTTTCTACCTCGCGAATACTGGCTAGACTTGGATACTCAGGGTCGCCTCCTGGTTCGAGTAAGTATGGAAGGTGAACGGGACGACATTCAGTTCTATTTCGGGAAGGCGTTCAGATGCCTCCAACGTACGCAACGAGACATGACTCGACGTATAACGGATAAGCTGTCCGCATATATTAATCATTGCTTGTCACGACGAGCTCTTCGGTTGCTTCTCAATCGTGGGATATCAATATCCAGTGTATCCTCATATTTTGCAAGGAATCGCACATCCATGGTCCCGAGTGCTGCTATGCCAACTGATACGGAGGTTATCAACGCTCTAAAGCCACTGTTCGACTACTTTGATGACAATTTCGCCATCATGCAACAGACGCTTACTCCCGACGCTATGATTGCAGTGATGACTCGGCTGTGGAAAGAGGTCTTGACAACGGTAGAGAGCCTTCTCGTCCCACCTCTCTCGGACAAGCCTTCACAGCAAAAACCGTTGACTCAGCAAGAGATTGATGTTGTTTATAAATGGCTGCAAAGTCTTTTCGAGTTCTTCCATGCTGTCGACGAGGAGACTGGAGAGGCAAATGGGGTTCCCGTCAACGTGTTAAAGAACCCGAAATATCATGAATTGCAGATGCTCAACTTCTTCTATACTGAGCCAACAGACTCTTTAATTCGAGAATCCGAACGGATGGCCTCCACAACAGCAGCAAATCAACAAGCGCATCGGTCGAGAGTGTCTGCTCCAGCTAGTCTGGGCCAAGTAGGGGGTGGGGGTCTTCTACAGCCTGGAAATATGGCAGGTGCTCGGCGTGCTAAGAGTATAATGATGAGCCGAAATCTTGGGACCATGCGAAAGGCGAAGGAGGAGAAGTGGAAGGCCGCGCAGGCTGAACCAAATGATGACATGATTCTAAGAATTCTCAGAATGAGACCCGAGGCTGGAGGGTACTTGAGAGATCGCTCTAGACAAAAGGAGCGTCTTGCTGCGGCGGCGGCTGCAGAGATGATTGTCAGAACAAGTCTCCTATCGGGTGGAGGGAGAATGACGGGGCCAAGTGTGATTCGACGATGAGATAAATCTAATTTGGGAACGGCTGGATAAAGATTGCTACTCTGCATGCAGTGAATTGCCAGTGTTTATTTGGCATGTCGCTCAGAACTTTCGCTGTCAATGGTCTTATGAAGGTACTAATAAGAATTGGAATTTGGGTATAAATATGGACGTGACATGAAGTTTGATGTGGATGAGAAGCTGAGTTAGCTTGCTATGCCAATTTCTTAGCGCTGCACTGGAGCCAAAGCCCTCGTTCAGCCTGGCGTCTTCGTGGAAGGATGAGGTGTTGATGTCTTCATCTCTTGGACTTTATGGTTAGGGAATGGTCATATCAAATTAGTATACTGTGAAATTGCCCAAGGAGATCACGAGGGTTGCTACCAAATTTCTGAACTCTTTCAACTCTACATTGTGTTTCAGGAGAAGCAAGTAATCTGTAACCAACGACCGGGCGGCCCACCTCTGTGACGATGCACACTCTTCTCACCTTCAGGCATCAATGTCTGGATATTGTGCTCAAAGATCTCTGGGTGAATTAATGCCTCCGAAGTTTCCCCCAACATCATTATTGTCAACCCAAGACACTGCTGATCTTTTCCCGCTGCCTTTCAACCCTACGCCGTGCAAGCACGGCGTAGAAGATTTTATTCGACTCCAGCCTTGCCGAACCAGGGGTGTGACCTTCGTAGTCGAAATACAGCTCGACAACCAGCTCAGGAGGCACGCGTTCCCCGGTATCCGGGGACGTCTCGTCTATCCCGATCCTGTGCCGTGTTGCCATCTCGCCTGAGTCACTGACCAGCGATTTCACATATTCCGTCCATCGGTGCAGATTGACCCGCCACTCGTGGTCATACGGCCCGCAGATCTCGCCAACCAGCTCTGAGCGGCCCCGTCGACGTGCACGTGGAAGTCGTTCTGGCGAAAGGGCGCGGCAGAGGTGAGATAGTCCATGATGTGCGAGAAGTCGAAATTGATTACCTGTGTCTCGATATCGATTGTTCTAGATACAAGGTGGTCGATGACTTCTCGCCGGATGATCTTGCTGACTTGGGCTATGGGGATTCTGGTCGTGAGGATATATGGAGCGTTGCATGGGTCGCCTCGTTGAAGTATCGCTTTTGGCTTCTCCGTGTACCGTAGTCCGGGCTGGACATATTGGAGTTCCTTGGATGAGGACGGATTGTACCCCCAGTGGCGTAGCCAGCCTTCTAGTCGTTGTTTGAAAACAAGGGTATATACCTCGCTGCGTATTTCTGGAGGTAAATCCAGAAAGGATGCGGGGAAGTTCGACATCCCTTGCTGTGGGATACTGAGGTGTGTTATATCAATGTTTGTCAGGTAGAGCTCTTCCTACACCATGGCGAACCTTTCACTCGTCACGATTTAACATGAGTTATCGTGCGCTCTGTTCCTGAAGAACCGCGATATTGGGTCCTGGCTTTAATTCCTTAAAATAGCATGCCTTACCTGGGCAATGTTGGTCGCCTCACCCCGTGGTCAAGGGTGCTGGAAGCTTGGGGTAGTCCTCCGCCCACCCTATCAGTCCTGGGTACCTTAGTTTCAGACATGCTACGTACATCATACTTGGCCACGCCTCTTGTGTTATTCATTCGGCCTTGGATGCACAGTTGGAATTCGTTGAGTAAACCGGAGTGGTGATATCAAAGCCCAGGCCAAGGCTGTCAAGTCATGACATCACCGATGCCGCCCCCAGTGGGTCAACTGAGCGTCTGATTGGTCACTTCTCATATCAAGGAGCCGCAGCCTTGCGGTGGTCGGAAAGTGATACGCCATGCGTTCGTGCAGCATGTGAAAGTTTCGAATATGTTTTAGGAATAGATAAGTTTTCGTTTAGAGATACACAACATGCCCTTCTTCCCAAGGATTATTTGATTACTAGCAGCACAATGCACTACAGGTCGTCTCACAACGTTCTTGTTCAGCAATCGTCAATACCAGGCAATATGCTGTGCAATCGCTGCAAGTGTTGATTCTTGATATCCTGCTGACACTTTTAATCTGTCCAGGCCAACATTGAGCGCAACAATACTGCCCATGGACATAACTCCAGTGGGACTTTTTCATGCCTATGCTCTCCAATTGCCAAGTCTAACGCTCAACACGCTTCTAGCCGCCGTCGGATATTCTGAAAATCGCACACACCAGGATTTTTTGACGGAGCTGATTACGCTCTGGGCACGTCCTGCTCTGTGCACACCGGCAGCGCTGCTGAAGTCGCAGCGAGTGTTCAGTTTTGACTATGGCGTTTGGGGTCGCATGTGGATAAGCAAATGGACACTCCCTGTTGATCAGGCGCCCATAGACACCGTCAGAGAGCAAGAGGAGCTGGTTCAGAATGACACCAAGAAAGGCAACAGCCGAGCTGAGACAGGTATGAGCCTGCAGAAAGCAGTCGAAGTCGCCATGCTGGAGCTCGGGGGCCAGAATTCAGAATGCAAAAGATCCCTTCCCCTCAAACCCTCGATGCCGAACCTCCACCCTGTACAAACCGAATGGACAGCTTACCGGCGCAACGTTTCTAATCTGGCGATCCGCCCTGATCTCTCAGAAAAGGAAATGTACAAGGCAATGATGGAAGATACTGATGCATCCGGCCCGACAATTCTTTATTTTCATGGTGGCGCACACTGTCTAATGGACCCAGTCACTCACCGATGGCCAACATCCATGCTGAGCCAGAAATCGGATGGGCGTGTACTTTCTGTCCGCTACAGGCTAGCACCGCAGCATATTTTCCCAGCGGCGCTTCTGGACGCTCTATCGGCTTATTTGGCGCTGATTGCACCTCCGCAGAATGCCTTCCACGAAGCCGTTTCTCCTTCTCAGATCGTCTTGGCAGGAGACTCTTCTGGCGGTGGCCTAGCAGCATCTCTTCTTCTTCTACTACAGACTCTGTGCAGACATAAGCACAGTGTAGCATTTCACGATAAGGTTGTCACCATTCCGGATCCTGTGTGCGCTGGTCTGGCTGTCACATCACCCTGGCTCGACATAACGCGGAGTCTTCCATCAACGAGAGTGAATGCTCGATGGGATATCATTGCTCCACCGCCACCTATAGACCAAAATCCTACGCCAGCCTTCCCGCCTGATGCTATATGGCCTGTATCTCCACCACGGGTGGAAACATACTGCTCTGCCCAGGTGTGCATACATCCACTGGTGTCGCCGCTTGCTGCGCAGCGTCATCATTGGCGGGGTGTTCCACCTGTCTATGTCTCTGTCGGCTGGGAGGGAATGCAGGATGAGGCTGAAGTATTTGCACGACGAGTTTTCGGCGGAGATCCCGATCGGCAGATTGTGATTTTCGACGGCTACGAAGGAATGCCACATTGCTTTGCCATGTTTCCATGGAACTGGGCAGGAAGAAAAGCTATGGAGAAATGGGCAGAGTTCAGTAGAAACGTTGTTCAAACTGCTGCGATGAGAAGGACAGACGTGGGGACTTGGACCAACAGTAAGACTAAAGAGGTCAAAGAAATCAGGCTGAGTGACTTAGCGCTAAGCAGTGCTGGATGCTGGTATCAAAGGGAACAGCTACATGATCATGTAGTTGACGCAAGGCTGGAAAAAGGGCGAAAGTGGAGAATAGACTTGGAGAGCGAGATTCTTCAGCAATGGAAAAGAGAGAGAAATCATAGTGTTATCGGCGGGGTGCAATAGTATTAATACGAAAAGAACACTCTCATACGGTCATACCTCCCAGCGATCAGACCAAGACAGATCGGCCACACCATATGTCTATGGCAGAAGGAGGGACTCTTGGTGTGACTATGCAATGTCCATTGCAGGTAAGGAACGGGGAAATCGTAACAGTTCGATGACTGGAAATCAAGGAGAGGAATCAAATATGGTGAGCAACCGGCGTCTTGTGATTACGAGTACGTATTTTTTGTCTCGTTACCAATGCGAAGGCGGGCGTGCCCACTGAAGCATGTAATACAAGGCTAAAGGCAAGGTGGACAGCGGCGCTAGCTGACATGGGACCTGGGAGTGCCATGTGGCACGAGTGGTTCCGTTCACTTCAGCCTGGGCTGGGCTGAGGCTGGGCAAATATCGTCCCTCCATTTCATGTTCTCAGCCTAACAACAACTCTGATCCCCCGTTGGTCGCCAACAAAATATTTCAATGCTCCGGCGAAGGAGTACATCAGGCAATCGAATACGTCAGCTGATCGTAGAAAAGACTCGAATTAGCGAACGGATTTCAGAAGGCGTACAATCCGACACCGAAAGAAACCTTGGACGTTGAGAATCTGGGAATCTGGGCTCAGCGTGATAACATTTGAGGTTGTCTTCGTCTTGGACTAGAGAAATTTCGCGAAGCTGTAACAGGTTTAATGGCAGCGTTTATTGCCCTCAGCTTCGCCTGCAATGTTGCGCAGCTCTTCGAACAAGCAATCAAGGCTGCTCGCGTTTGTAAAGACTTGTATGACCGCGGATCCCCCAAAGTGAACGATTCAATCGAGAAATATGCGGAAGATATTCGGACAGCGAATGAGGAGCTCAAAACGGGCCTGACAGGGCGGCCTTCTGAGCCACATGAACCAGAACTCCAGAATATTGCGGAGGAAGTAACAAAACTTGCCGATATGCTGATTACCGAACTTAACACCCTCAAGCCGCAAGGTAAATCTGGATTTCGTAATATCATCAAGGCGACGTCAAAAACTTTGTTCAAGGGAGACCTCAAGCAGATCCAGAATGATTTAGAGGCTCGAGAAAAAGCGCTGCAGTCGTGGCTAGTGAAGAAACTATAGTAAGTTGCCTCTTAAGCTACAGATGTAACTCAAACTTTCGTTGAACGGAGATGGAATTCCTGACTAGTATCGAAGTCGAAGGTAAACCAGACTAACTTCTGTCAGTATTCTGTGCAGTCAGAGTGAATTGACCCGCAAACAAGAATTCGAAAGAGTCACTGAAGCCCAGAAAGATACCATCCGTCAGGTACTAGGGGCTATTGAACGGTCAGAAACAAGCCAGCATACACGTCATGATGATCAGGACATGCTGTTGAAGCAGATTATGGATACATTGTCGACAAATGTCTCTGATATTATCAAAGAGCTAGACACCAAGACGATGAGTCGCTTCGATACGCAGGACACAAATCTCAAAGATAGTGCGCAGATGCAGCATGTCCAAATGGAACATATACGAAAGGCAGAACAGAGTTCTATGAGAGTGCGACTTCTCGACGCGTTAGGCTACCCTGAAATCAATGAGCGACGCAATATGATAGAGGGCCGCATCGGCAATTTTGGTCAAACTTACAAGTGGATATTCAGCAAGTCGAGCGACAAACGTCACGAATTTTTACAATGGCTTCAGAGTGACGAAAATCTATTCTGGATCAATGGCAAGCCAGGCTCAGGGAAAAGTTCCCTAATGACTTACATCTACAATTGTCTCCGTGCAGGGGGTCCAGAATTCGCCCTCTTGCAGAAATGGGCACATCCCCGGCAAGTCAAATTGCTTTCCTTCTGGTTCTTTAGACCGGCGTCAAGTCATTTTTTAAAGTCTCTTGAAGGGTTTTGGAGATCCCTCTGCTTTCAAATCCTCGACATGGACATTGGACTTGTGGAAAAGATCCACGAGGATGATTCAGCCCCTCCAACGCTGAAGTCTGCTCTTATTGAGAAGGGGTCGGCTTCTCGGTCGTGGACGAACAATGAACTAAGAGAATGGTTCTTCTACGCAATATCGAAATCTGATTTGGGGTATTGCATCCTAGTAGACGGACTTGACGAGATCGAAAAGAACTCCATTCGCGAAATTCTTCTTGACACCATCCACGAGATTTCTCGAAGCTCCGAGAGAATCAAGATTTGCTGCTCTTGTCGACCAGAAAGTCCTTTTCACCAAACGCTCAAGCATTATCCTTCATTGAAATTGCAAGACCTCAATCACGAGGATATCCTGGAAGACTGCCAGAGACAGCTCGCTGGCACATTAGCTGTAGGCTTTGCTCATGAGATTGCCAATCGTGCAGATGGCGTCTTCCTATGGGCCCATCTGGCGGCGAGGGAATTACGTGCTGCAGCTCGCCAAGGAGATAATGAAGACGATCTTGAACAGAGATTGAAAGAGACTCCAGATGAAATGAATGAGTTTTTCAGGACTCTTCTTGAACGACAGGATAAATTTTATGCGAAGCATCCTAAGCCTTACTTGTTCATCCTTCAAGTTGTTACACAGCAACCAATGCATTTGCGCCCGACAGGCTTCACTTTATTCGACATGCTGTTAATATCTCGCAAACACGAGATTTTAGCGAGCGATTTCACATCAAATTTAGAGAATCAATATTGGTTGGCGCTTGAAAGAGAGGCAGTCCGTTTGAAGGCAAACGTGGTGGCAAGTTGTGCGGGCTTGGTTGAAGTCATTACAGGAAAGGTGCCACGAGGATTGCCATGGGATTTCCCACACAAAGCATTGGGACAAGTTGACAAGCAACCCGTAAGATTCATTCACAGGAGTGTACAAGACTTTCTGTTGGAGGACAACACCGCTCATTCTCTACTTCAATCGTCGGGGATGTCTGAGGACGATGTTATATTTAGTTGGACTGCCGCTTCATCACTCAGATTTATTGCGGAACCCCGATCTAGCCATATGGAGATTTCGAGGCTTGCGCAGTTGATCCAACCACAGCCTTTGCGGGACAAGGTAGCTCGACTGATTCATAGGATCTCTCCAGTGGTCGCAGCGCGTGGGCGCTTGAGGGGGTTACCGACACACAGTGTTTATCTGTTTGATGTATTCAAGACTTTTGTGAGCTCTATTGACCTGTCACCCCTAGAAAATGCCACGATCATACTACTTACAGGGGCTCGGCTGCTCACGAATGTCACAAGTTATATCGACGATCGCGAACCAAAGCAACGGCAATGTGGTGCTCTTGTCGCCCTCCTGGAAGCTATACAAAGCCCAGCGCTTGTCAATCGCGACTTCATCTCTGGGTTGGAGCGTCGTATCGAGAAGAATGCGGCATTCACTATATGCTATGAATCAGCGACTTCCCCTCGCCTGCTATTTTCATGCAGTGGTAACATCCAGCAGCATATATTCATTAGCACAGCACATGTATGGCATAGTTACAGCCAGCGCCAGCCCGGAATGGAAGATATTGACCCTGAAGAGCAGAGGAGGCTGATTGACAGTGTTCACCTTTTGCTAGATGTGTCAAAAGAGGGGGATCGATGTATGGATCTCTGGTTCGTTCAAGAAGCCGACAGTTTTGGATATGTACAGATTATGCCGGAACCCGATGAAATACCAGATGCTTTACAGGCAAAGCTCAAACCCTACAGCATCTTACACTTTAAGTTTAAATGGGATTTGCCGAAACCTCGTAAGGAGCCAGCTTGCGTTGCCGAATGCCTCAGGTGGTCGCCCCCAGGATTTGATGTTTTCCTAGATATCTCTAGGCATGAGGCTCATGTCTTCGAAAAGTTCTACTGGCGGAAAGCTGATGGTCAAGTTTGGCAAGCCTTAGTCAACCAGCAGGCAGGAATACTTTCCAGGGCCATTGGCATACATTCACCTCTCTCTGTGGCGCAGGGCGTATTGGCATTGAGCTTCCCCTTCTTGGACACGCCCATGCATTCTGCCTTCATATATGACACCCAAGTTCGGACCGCTACTTCAGATGAGAGGAGGTTATGGGAGGACAAATTGTACAAAAATCGAGGCTACGAACATCATGACCCTATAACCGCTGAGATCATCCGGCTAATCTTGGAAAAACGTGGTGGGTAGTCAGAAGCGGTCAGCAGTCAATAGATGATCATTGGAATCGAAGACGAATTTCAACCCGGACCCCGAGAGAAATCTTGCAACGTGCTGTATGCTTTGCTCCTCAAATAACGCCTGAGGGTTTGGAGAAAAGGGGAGATTATGAGGCTACGTAGCTTCAAGGGCATACTTCTGTTTCCTATGTCAGATATTGATTTGTTGTACATGCATATTCTTTATCGATCACACTCTTTGCCACATGACTTACGTCTTTGCACGCCCAAGATAGCCCTTGCCATGTTGCTTCAGCGCTTAGGTATGCTTGAATATATATACAAAACGACATGCAGCACAATGTCCTTGAAAGCCAGGTCGACTCCTAGTCTCCTAGTCACGCTCTTAGCCTTCACCGGGTATCAAAATCTCACTCTTTGCAAAAGCGTACAAGAAAGAAAAATGGCAAGGACCCGCTCCATGGACCAAAAGGATTGTGTTCAGCACTCAAAGAACACCTGATGAGCCCAGGGATGCTCATTTCGCCATTCATCATGCTCGCCAGCCTACCGCGCCGGGCCCAAGGGAATCTCAATGCCATGATCCAGACTCCGCTTCAGCCAGTCCCGTATACGCGCGTTGCGCAGGTCGTTAGCGGTCACGTAGCCCCGCTTCACTACGGCCATCGCACGCTCGTACGTTTCGTCGTGGACCGATGACACTTCGCTGTCAATTGCGGTGGCTTCGGCCAGAATGGTTCTGACGTCGTCCGCCGGGCTGATCGAGTCCGCTGGCACTAGTCGGCCATGCTCGATTTCATGCTGCCTGATGAGCACGTGGTCTTTTATGACATGGTTACGTGGCTTAAATGGCTCCTCCTTTTGGGAAGAGGTGTTGGTTTCGGTGTTGTTAATATTGGAGGTGGTGGCAGTGTGGTTACCGCTGGGCATGCTTTGGGATTCGTCTTCTTGCCGCTGCTCTATAATGGGTTTGATATCGGCGCTGGGCATTGCTGGAGTTTCTTCTCCTTGCGGCTGCTCTATGATGGGTTTGATATCGGCACTTTCGTCGGTATTGGTGCTGGGCTGAATTTCCTGCTTTTGTGGTTCCTGACTCGGTGCCTCACTGTCGAATGTAACTCTCTCTTCCCCGGAAGAAGTGCCCTCCCTTCTGCGAGCACCTCTCCGGCCAGTTGAAGGTTTCTCGACGCCGCTGCTCCCCCCCTTTCCAACGGTCTCCACAATCCTCCGCGACGTGTAATCGTAACTCCAATCACCGCTTTTGCCGCCGGATTTTTTGATGACTTGGGTCTCAGTCAATTTCATGGCTTTATCGACCCCTTTGAGCATGTCGTACATGGTGAGCCCGGCCACTGAGGCAGCCATCATGGCCTCCATTTCGACTCCAGTCTTACCCTCACAGTCAACCGTTGCCTGGATGTAAACACCACCGCGATTGGTTGACTTAATCCTGCTCCTCCAGTGTATAATGTTGTCACGGGGTTCACATCCAGGAGCATATGGCTCGATGGATATATTTAATCCGGTGATAGCCAGGGAAGGGTGTGCAAGGGGGATCAAGTCTGATGTCTTCTTCGCTGCTTGAATGCCCGCTATCCGGGCAACAGCTACAGCATCGCCCTTCTTCAGTTGCGCGGAAACTAGCGACTGGTATGTGGTGGGTGTAGAGAAAAGTAGCAGGGATCTGGCTGTTGCGGAACGGGTGGTTGGTATTTTATTTGCAATGGAAACCATATGCGCCTCACCTGAGGTGTTGAGATGGTTAAGGGGCTGGATGTTGGAGGATGCCCAAGACTTCTCACTCTCATTCTCGGTGGTTTTACTGAATGAGGGCCTGGTAGGAGGGGGAGGTGGGGTGGAGACTGGCTCGGATAGATGGAGTCTAGAAGGAGGCGATGAGGTCCTGGCATCAGGTAAGACAGGTATTCGTTTCCATTTGAGAAATGGAAAGGGTTTAACAGCGATTCGACGCCAGACGGCTTGCCCGTTAATTGTCCGCACTACAGTGGAACGAGCCTGTCGGGGCTGATGAGTCGCAGAGGAACCAGTGGACAAAAGCCGTGTCTGTGAGTATGAGCCGCCATGGGAAGGATTCTGGAGAAGTTGGAGCGGCATTTCAAGTCTGCAAAATGTCGTGCCGTGTGAGAGTGCAGGAGATGTAATGAAAGAAATATGACGGGCAGGATTCCGTTGGGACAGAGCATCATCTACAGACGCAGAGCACGGTCAGTCAGGCTACTAAAAGATGGATTTGAAAGAGAACAAGAAAATTGAGAGACAAATGACGGACATAGAGAATTCTATATACATTATAGGAATCACTCATATGCTGCGCCCTTGTATTAAGTTCGCCCATTATGCATCGCTGTGGGGAAAATGTGTATTTCATGGCTTACCCACCGATAAGGATCATTGGCCTGTTCTTCATATTTTCCAGCTCACCAATGCCGGCGTGCTTTTCTTTCTTGTTCTTGACCGCCATGCCGATGACGTTGAGTAGTTGGGCTTGTTTCCGGGAGACACCAAGATCATCCGCGGTCCCTAACGACTGTGAAAGCTGCTGGAGTTCATGTGTTCGGATAGCGTCCATGGCTTCAGAATTGATCGGCTTCCCGCCGTTGGACTCACGGAGTAGATCTCGAAGCGAAACCTCAGCATTGTCGAATAAGCAAACCTTGATATTCCCATCACCGGTAATTCGAAGTCGATTACAGGTGCCACAAAAATTGTGGGTCATACTGGTGATAAAGCCAATACGACCAGCAAATCCTGGCACCTTATAGGTTTTGCTAGTATCATTCTTGTGGTCCTGGACTTTTTGAACGTCCGGGTACTTTTGCCGAATCAAGGCGAGCATCTCCCCGTAGCCGAGCATTTTATTCTCAGACCACTTATTTCCATCAAATGGCATATACTCAATAAAACGCACCTCGAGATCTTGGTCGCGACCAAGCTCGACAAAGGGCAAAATCTCGCGTTCGTTAAGGCCACGCATAACAACACAGTTGATTTTCAGCTTGATACCGGCTCCTTGTTTATTCATTTCAAGAATGCGGTTGATGGATTTCATGACAGCCTCGTGACCGTTTCTCCTTGTCATGATCTGGAACTGAAAGGGATCAAGTGTATCCAAGCTCAGATTGACGCCAGTAAGCCCGGATTCGACCATGGCGTCTAATTTGCGGTGGAGAGATATACCATTTGTGGTAAGACATAGCTCTTTCAATCCTTTGCCGCGTAGATTTCCGATTTGGCGCATTAACTCGACAATGTCTTTCCGCACGGTAGGCTCACCGCCAGTCAATCTGATCTTATTTACACCCTGATTGACGAATAGTTCGGATAGATAGACGATTTCGGGAGTAGTGAGCAGTCGTTCTGGCGGGGACAGCTGAATGCCTTCTTCGGGCATACAGTAGAGACATCGCAGATTACAGCGTTCGGTTACAGATATACGCAGGTAATTATGTTGGCGAGCATAGCTGTCGGTCAGAAAGGAGGAGAAAGGCCGAGGCTCTGGATCGGATCGAAGTTGCTCCAGTCGGCCCTGTTCTGATTGAGGCCGTTGATGTGGCGTGGGTCGCGCTGTGTGAGGCTGCCACTGAGCTGTTTCGACTTTGGTCGGTCGTATATCACCGGATGTTGTCGCAGAGATACAACGAGCGTGTTGCTGAGGACCGATCGGGGCTTTGACGTGGCGAAGAGACTGTGGTCGGGTCTGCCGGACCAGAGTTGCGATTAAATGCTTGAAATTAGCCTCCGCCATACTATTTCACAGAAGTCGAGAAGGACCGCAGACATTGAGGGTGGTGTTCTGTGAATATATCAATCAACCTTTGGATAAATGTAAAGGCATCTTAGGCAGGGCGTGCATTGGCTTTGGAGGTCCACAGGGCTCTTCAATTGGAGAAACTGGTGGGCAACTGGAGATGTAAGTTAGGATTAGTCACTAGAACTTGCAACTGTGGTGGCCTTCCGCCACTACTGTGAATGTTGCTGGTGAGGTTTTCCGCAGGGACTGCATTTTCCAGAGGAAAAGGTTCGGAGTTGAGCACCTGACTGGGATGTGACTTAAGTCACGTGACATCTTATAGAATATGTGACCATGTAGCTTGGCACTTATCGGAGAAATATTGTTCCTCAGAAGCACATACGTCACAGGGAAAACTGGGTACGCCAGGCCTGATGGGTGTTTTGTTTCAAACGATGTTTCGCAACGCGGAGAAGGTTCTGCCTCATCCATGTGCGGAGTACGTCCTGTCATTGGATGTCATGCTGTATCGGCACACGGTTCATAAAAGGAGATTTGAACCGAGTTAGCAGAGAGACACATGAACGCACGTGCCAAGTACGCGTATCTTGGTCCCCTTCGTCCAGGCCAGAATGAATGTGCCAAGGTTCCTAACAGATGCGCAAGAGTGATTCTGCATGTATACATATGTACGAGGGACTCGGAATGGGGCAGATGGTTATGAATATCTCATCAAGTGGAAGAAATGCATTGCCAATGCCCAAGTGCTTGTGCAGTGGCTTGGCAAGATTATTTTTTGGTGGGAGCCTGGCGCCTGAGGAAGCAGATCTGCGAGTCGGCGAGAAATAAGCACCGACAGATGGGTGATTGCCACCGATTGGTAGCAGCCTTTCATCGCCCACTTTTTCTGATTGCCGGGCTGCCGCAAAGTTGGCACAGGGCAAGACAGACCTGGGACAACTTCCCTCGAACCCCCCCATAATGACTAGTACCAGGGGCCCTAGGGCATGCACCCGCGGCCACCGTCTGCACAGCCTCAGACCTCACCTGCCTCCCCTCCCTCCTTCTCAGCTCTAACTTCTCACCTCCTCAGGCCCACTGCCCTGTCTCCTGGATTCTGCCTGTCTCTCATTCTTTCTCTCCCTTCTCTCCTTTGAACCCAACACTATACACCCATTCATTCTAAGCACCCTCTCTACAATACGACATTATCCCTATCCTATATCCTCGAATCAATCAGTCGATCAACGCCTCAAATCTTTCTATCTTCACCTATTGACGAGCCTTCCGCGGCCCTAGTGCCTATTTTAGGCAACCTTCCAACAAATCACCGCAGGCTGCCGGGCCACGCAACTCACCACCAGGATGACTTCCCATATGGCCAATGTCAACACAAACTTTGATCCTGATTACGACTCTTTTCTGAATCTCGAAAATGACTTCACTCCATCGTCTACCTCGCCTGCCATCAAATCAATACCTATGTTGACTCCCCAGTCTTCCATTCCTGGATCTGCAACTACCTACGCTTCTAGCTCTGCTCCTCAGACCTTCCCAGGACCCAGTTTCCAGTACGATGCCTATCACCAACAGACTGGCATTCCCATCGGAGCATTAGCAAATACCTTTGCCGTCAACAGGGCCAGTGGCCTACAATATCACGAAGGAAATGGAGGCTTCATCATGCCCACTGAGACTTTGAATATGCCATTGAGCACCTTGGACGAGTATGATTTCTCCCAAGGAACCGACATGGACTTCGATACCGATTCTCCCAACGACCTGCCCTCGATGTTCTATTCGGAACAAGCGTCTCGTCCCGCTCAGTTTGTAAGCCCAAACACCCTCGTCGCTCACAACAACATGAGCTCAACACCTATTCAACGCATCTATCCCGGTATGCATAGCCAACAGGCTGCCCAGGCCAAAGCTCAGCAAGCTCAAAAACAACAAATGGCTCGCCAGCAACAACAAGCGCGCCCTGACGGCCAGAAGCCTCTCCCAAGCCCCACAAAGTCCCAGGCGAGCAAGGATCCATTGGTTGAGGAGAGTATCTCCAAAGTGCTGAATCGGATGAGGCAAGAGAGCGTCACTTCCACCGCCACTGATGGTGATGGTGCCAATGTCGGCATGTCGAACATGCCACGCATTAAGAAAGATGAGGATGACATGGACGAGGACGAGAGGCTCTTGGCCAGTGAAGAAGGCAAGAAATTGTCAAGCAAGGAGCGTCGCCAACTGCGAAACAAGGTTTCTGCCCGTGCCTTCCGTTCGAGAAGAAAGGGTAAGTCTGTTGCAATATTTCATATTTGATTTGATCACTAACTTGATATAGAATACATTGGCCAGCTCGAGGGAGAAATTGCCGCCAAGACCCAAGAAGCCAACGACATGCGTGCTCAGAACGAACAACTTCGAGAAGAGAACAACCGTCTTACGGATCTCACTCGCATGCTTCTCTCATCGCAAGCTTTTGCTGGCTTCCTCCAAGAACTCAGCCAGTCAGGCCTTCCAGCCCCCAACACGCACGTCAATACCCAGCAACAAAAGCAAGCTAGATCTCAACCTCAACCCCAATCCCAGTCAAACCCAAGACTTAAAGATGTCAGCACCAACGAAGTTTCTCGTCAGATGCGAGGTCAACAGCCCCAGATTGGCATGGCTCTCATCCCAGAAACTCCCATTGATCTCTCTGCATTCCAATCGTCAAATGCCTGGATGACTGCTCTTCCTACTTCAGACTTCCAAGTGTACGCTGTTACAGAAATTCCCGAAGCCCCCGCCCTTGATCTGGAGGCCATCTCAGGAAAACCCGACTCGATCTTTAGCCGTCCCAAACCAACCAAAGATGTGCCAATGTTGCAAGACTCGGTTGAGTCCTGGACCAAGCCAGCTGAGCACAAGGCATCAGTCGTTGATGAGACCGTTCCGCTAGATCAAGGGGCATTTGCTTTGTATTTTGAGACGCCATCCATTCCAACTATCCAGGACAAGTCGGCTGATGCCCTGGGCATTGAGATATCGGAGGAACAACGATCCGCAGAACTGAAGAACATGTGTGACGATCTTGATGAAGCTTGTGCTCGGATTTCTAGGTATACGGTTCACATGAACTAAATTATTGGTGTTGGTGGCACGTCTTTCCTCGCTTTCTTCGGATTAGTATATAGTTTTGGGTGAATAAACAACAATCATCTTTCAATACGGGCTTACTATCTCTGTCTTTTATTGTAGTCGTCGCGATCCCGAATGGAGACCGGTGGCAGGAGCACAGTAATCGTTCAAGACACTACTAGGTAATATCTCTTACTGGCCCCGTAGTGCCTCGTATATGGTCTATGTAACTAACCAGATAGTTGAGGTGCCAGACGCGTGACGCAACTAATCCGACACCGAAGGCACACCTTTTTTTCTTGCAGTGAAATCTTCAAACATAACACCTCAGTTGGCAACACTCATTTGGCTACCTGGGTGTGGCACAGTTCCTTTATTTGTTCTAGCAATCTGTGCCAATCTTTCTATCTGCATCTGCTCCCTAGAACTCAGCCAGTCAAGGTGGCTACCATTTCTCGATTCTGCCTTGTCTCCAGCCCAGTCGTTCCCACTGAGTCATTGTTTGCTAGACACCCAGTGCGCCGAGGACTACGGTGGGATGCTGGAGTCTGGTCCCTGCAGATACGATATATACATGTCAAATCCCCCAGGTTGAAAGCTTGGGTTCACTGTCCTGACCAGATCTTTGTGCGCTGGCACACCAATCCTTCATCAGGAGCACAATCTAAGCTGTTGCAACCCCAGGAAGCGCAGGCAAGAGCTCTCAAGCAGAAAACCAAGATGGACGAGCGCGCGCATGCCAATAAGTCCGTCGGCACACGATCAGCTTTCCGCCTACAGTTCATCACTACTCCTACCTCTGACACTCCTGGTACGAGTATACTACTGCACTTCGATAATAAACGGTACATATTTGGTGAAATCACGGAGGGAACTCAACGAGCATGTATCCAGCGAGGCATTGGGCTGAAAAAGGTTCGCGGTTTATTCCTTACCGGCAAGACCGCATGGAACAACGGGGGCCTTATTGGTATGATTCTGAGTCTTGCCGACACACAGTCTTCAGAGACCGAGTCAGAAGACTCTTCCAGGCGTCCAAGACTTCATATATATGCAGGTCCAAAACAACTCCATTCTCTGGCTTGCGCTCGAAGGTTTATTTTTCGCACCGGCATGCCCCTGTCTGTCCATGAAGCCAGAACATCGAATGGCAAGGTGACCCAGCAGCCCATTCTCGAGGATGAGAATATTCGAGTTTGGGCTGTTGCAACAAGACACCGCACTAGCAGGCCCCCCTCGGCGGTATTCCAGGCCGACTCTGACTTGTCCGATGCAGAAGCGGAGCCTTTTCAGGACGATGAGATTGAGGAATCCAGGGTTACCTTTGAACAGGACATTCGAACTCAAGTTGTGAATAACATGTTTGACTCGGACTGGCACCGCGACCGTCTTTCCGAACACAAGGTCAAGGACATCAAATTGCCTGCTGTTGTTTGGGTACGCGATCCAGAAACCAAAGCCTTGAAGAATTACACGCTTTACGACAATGAGAAGATCGCTCCTTTTACACCCGACTCCGTCGTCTTAATTCGTGATCCATGGCCTGCTTCAATGGTCCAGGAGCTGCCGAACCCATCCAATCTGCCCAACAGAACAGCTATGTCATACATAGTCAAGGGTTATCCCCAACGCGGAAAATTCGACCCAGTTAAGGCGAAGGCCCTTGGAGTCAAGCCTGGTCCAGTATTTAGTCGATTGGTGGCTGGCATGTCTGTGACGCTCGAAGACGGATCTGTGATAACCTCAGAGATGGTAATGAGCCCAAGTCGTCCGGGTAGAGGGTTTGCTGTATTTGATATACCCTCTCCCGCCTATCTCTCAGACCTCAACCGACAGTTGGATAAGCAGAGCGAACTGCTAGAAGGTGTCGAACTTGTGATCTGGCTGACTCGCGACCATGTACCACTTACACCAGAATTTCAGAAGTTAATGGATAAGCTGAAGGATAAACAACATATCCTCTCCCATCCGGATATATGCAACGACTATATCTCGCAAGACTCCAGTGCCAAAGCTGCCGTCCGGCTATCTAACATCTCTCCCGAATTATTCTCACTCCCACGCTTTAGTAATAATACCAGTTACTCTCCTCTCCCGCCCACTTCTACAACCGCACTAAGGAACTTGCTAAGACCATCAGAGAAGGGCCCCCAGGTTATCCCCGCTCACCGTGGCTTGTTGGCTCACATAGAGCCTACTTTTCGGTTGGACAGCACGGAAGTGCCTACAAACTTGGATCACAGTGCCCTGAAATGGACTTTGGAACCCGAGGTCCGCGATCTCATCCCCGCCGGTATCTTAGCGGACCCAAGACTTACCGCACTACCTCAACTGAACGAGCCCGAGATCATAACTTTAGGTACGGGCTCAGCAGCACCCTCGAAGTATCGAAATGTCTCAGCAGTCCTGCTTCGCATGCCCAATACCATGGGAAACTATCTGTTCGATTGTGGAGAGGGGACTCTCGGTCAGTTAAAGCGACTTTTTGATGCCGAGCAATTGGACAACTTATTGTGCAGCCTAAAAGTGGTTTGGATCTCTCATCTTCACGCGGATCATCATCTCGGCACGATAACTCTACTCCAGGCCATCTATCTAGCTGGCCAGAGACAGTTTCTTCGGGGCGGACCCCGTCCTTCGCCGCCGTGTTTGATATCTGAAATCAACATGAGGGACTACATTGAGGACTATAAGTCTATTCTCTCCGTTCCGGACAATGCTCTCTGCAGGTCTATCGTCTGCCACTGGAAGGATGGGTTATCTTCGCACGACCAACCCTTCAGTTTCGATGAGACAGATATTCCCATTCGAAAGCTTGAGACTGCAAAGGTGAATCACTGCCACGGAGCACAAGCTATCTCAATTACATTCGACAATGGCTTCAAGTTCTCTTACAGCGGAGACTGTCGCCCTAGCAGATATTTTTGCAAGATAGGGGCAGATTCTGATGTCCTTGTTCACGAAGCAACGTTTGATGACGGCATGGAAGGCGACGCCTTGGCGAAGAAGCACAGCACAACCGGCGAGGCTGTTGGTGTTGCACTTGAGATGAAGGCAAAGAACCTGATTCTCACACACTTTAGCCAAAGATACTCTAAAATCCCCGTGCTCAGCAGTGTCAAGCTACCCCACTCTGCTTCTGAGGAGGAAATCCTTGAAGTTGAGGATGCCGAGATAGATAGCGGATACACCGGTACCACTACCGTGAGACAACAGCCCCTGGTTGTGCCATCACAGGACGATGCTCGTGCCTGGAGCGAGTCTTCGTTAACCTATGAGCTTCCGGTTGCGATTGCATTCGACCTGATGCGCATCCGTGTCTCACAGATTGCCTTGATGAAAAGCATATTTCCTGCGATCTCGAAAATGTTCGAGCTCGATGAGGAAAAATTGGAACAGGAGCGTCAGGAAAGAATTGTGGAGATGACAGCCAAAGGTATATATAAGGTCAAAGCCGCCAGTGAGCAGCCGTCGGGCTACAAGAATCAACCTTCCAAAGCTGGGGAGCGGAAAAAGAAGCAGCAGCAAGAGCAGCAAGGTGCTAAACAAGAAGGGAAAAAGAGGAAAGACATATCCGCAGGGTCTAACGGGCATCTGGAAGAAGCCAGGAAAGATCCAAGTCCTGGGGAAACGGTGGGTGTTCTGGTCGCTGAAGCCGGTGAGATTACTGGCTTTTCTATGCCAACTTCAGACAAGGATGCTAAGCGTGCTCAGGCCGTTGATAATGGTAACAGTAAGGCCGCGGTGTCAGATGCCTTTGGGCCTCCACAGCAGCAATTGTCGTCCGCAGATGCATCACATATTCACCCCAACACACAGGTCCCGGAGATCGAGAACATGACCCTCAGCCCGGCAAAAAGGCGCAAGATTGGCGACATGGCTTAAGGCCAATTATCACAAGAAGTACAACCGCAAGACTTAAGGGACCTCAGAGGGAAGATTAGAAGGAGGCCCATGTCTGAGGTCAGTCGAGAGATAATGCAAGGTTGGGCTGATCAAAGGTGCCCTCGACGCCCGGATTCGATCTTCTTCGACGCGAAATCCTGCATTATTTGCAGTGCCATACTGAGCACAGCACCTCGTCTGCATGGCAGGAGATATTCTCACAGAAGAATGCAACTATGAACGTCCACCGCCATCACCAATATGGCTTCAACGACACTCACGACCAAGGCATGCCATGCCGCGTTGATAGCATGGATGCAAGTGTATTCAGCTCATTCGCATACTTGAAAAGGCCTACAAAGGACAATCTGCTGCTGCAGTGTGCCTTGGCCATCTCGCTTGTGTCCTTGCATGCACAGGTAACCGCGCATTGGGACTGCTGGTACGATTACAAGTGAGACGGTAGACTCTGTATCAAACCCAAGATAGACCCATGAAATGCCAACCTATTCAGCAGTGGGGATTTTCGAGTTTTTAAAAGGATTTTACATCCACACTATTTCGTTGTTCAATGGGATCTGTTTTCTTGTTTTGTCTCAGGCGGCCAAAAGAGAAGCCAAAACGAGGCGAGTAATTCAACTACGTATTAGACACGCTACTCATTCACCATCCAGCTCTGAAAGGCCATGCACAGAAGAATGGGGAGGTATGCCCCCCTTTTCTTCATAAGAGATTCCTACCTGTCTCGTCCTGTCGCCTTCACTCGCACAAAACAGCGCCGCTCCTGGCTCAGCGCGAGGTGGTATTCGCAACCAAGACAGTAAGCACAGCGGCAAAAGCCATCATGGCCAGGAACTTCTCGGTCCTCTTGGCGGGGGTGATGAAGACGATGAAGACGAGTCTGAAGAAGAAGGACGTGAACCAGACGACGGGCGCTATCCTGACATCTATCTCACCTTGTCTCTGGATGAAGAATGGCGCCGGCGACGACGGCGCCAGGACAGACCATCGACACCGAAACCGTGCTGGGCACGTCAGGAGGAATGCTCCCAAGCGCCGGTGTACATGTAAAATCCTCGCATCCTACAGCAGTCGTCGGAAAGTTGGCCACTGTGAGTGATCCGCACGTTCCTGTGCAGTCGTGTCATGAACAAAGAACTTTGAAGCTCCCGACAGCTTTTCTGATGGAGCAGGTTAGCTTCATCTTGCTCACGGGAGGACGTCAGGTTTGACTTGCCATAGTGATGCGCACAGATCTAGTTAGTCACAGACCAAAATCCAGGTCGGCGACCCTACGATCTACACAAGTACAATTGTTACTTTTGAGATGGTCACCATGTCTTCTGTTTTCGAGTCTTTTCTTGTTGATTTAATCTGTTCTCGTCTCTCTACTACAAAAGGTTGGGCATACATGAATGTCTCCTCTTCTCCTTCAACGTCTTCGCTCTATAAAAACTGTAGAAAAATGGATGGGCGTGGAGTCTGTCTGGGGTAATTGTAATCTGCTAAAACATGGGAGGGGCTGGGTTCTCACGGAAGGAATCAGATGCCATGGCAGAACAAGGCTACCATGACAAAGTAAGCATAGCCCTTTGACCGATACGCCATCTGGCACAGGGTTGTAACTTTTATGATCGTGTCAGATCAGCTAATCCATCATTGGTCTTGCTGCTTTCTTCCATCCCAGTCCATGGGTATGATGAAGGGGATAGGGTGGGGGGAAGGGGGAATAGTGTATCAAGTGCTTGGTGTACAGGGCAAACTCCTCATGAGCACAACCCTGATCTCTCTGTACAGTACCGATATATCAGGGGCCGGATTGGCCAAGTTCTGGCAACGAACTTGCCTGCCATCGCTACTGATCTTCGCTAACAGGGCTCTGAATGTGCATCGTGACAGTAAGGCCGATTCTGAGCTGTAAAACCTCATTTCGAGTTGAACCATCATTTGCGCTGTCCACGAAAAGTATCGGATTTGGGTCTTGCGCCTCGAAAGAGCATGGTACGACTAGTGGTCAGAATCTTGGTGGTATATCGGTCAAGTGACTTCTCATAGCCGGACCATCGTGGCGGGGTCTGTGCCCAAGGGAGTGAGTCCATCAAGGTGGCTGTTCTTAGATGATAAGGGCGCAGGGTGGCTGAGCTGTCTTGACGCTTGTCCAGATGACGATTCTCTCCGGACCATGTGTCTCTCTCATCATCATCGTTCCGTCCGACTACCGTATCGGCTTGAGACGAAAAGTGATCTTCACAAAACGGTGATCAGCGCTCTGACAGAGGGCGAAATTGTGCTGTGCTGGGCTGTTACTGGGCTGTGTAGGGCAAGGGTATATTGGGGGCGGCGGTGATGGTGTCAGGGGTGGGGAAACCATATTGAGACTAAAGATACTCTCGACATCTCGGTCATGATGCATTCATCACTGTACCTTGATGTTGAGTTTGTCGTTTGACTTGCTCCCTAGCCCAACGTGCTGCGGTAATGGTACGAGGGGAGAAATCGCGGGTTGTCCGAGTTTCTTTGATCAGTTTGGTGATCCACTCTTGCTGATAGTAGCTTGCGAGTGCTCCGTTGGGGAAGGCTTCACTAAGATCGCTATCTGAGTCAACAAATGCGTTCCACTCAATCTCGGAGTCTACTTACGCAATGATACCCATGCAAGCTCGAAGGAGCCCTTCATTATGATTCAAATCCCGAGAGACCGTTTCCAAGAATTCCAAGATCGGTTGAATAGAAGCTTGTAGGATAGAGACTACTGGGAGATCAGTAAGAGGCAATCGAAGAAGACGGTAGCGTTCCACACCTTTGGGAGTTCCCTTAAAAGCTAAAATCATACCGGACCACGCATCTGCAATTCCAGAGCGAAGGGAGACAATATAGTCAAGCATATCGAAGGAGACGTCATTCGCTACCGAGACGGTGCTTGCCTGTCTCAAGACTTGGGCCACCACCTCGGCATATTTCTCAAAATGAACACCAATGCTCGTAGCGACATCCCCGAATGTCTCCAGAATCGGAGGCTTCAGTTGATTGGTGAGCTTGTCAGATCGCAGATTGTTGAGCAGATAATTCATAAATGCATCACAGTAAGGCTGAGATTTATCCTCAAGTGCACGGACAATGTCGCTTACAAGGCCGATCGCTAGGGAGCACATGTCGGGAATATCTTGATTGCCCAAAGCGTTGTACAGGTATGGGACAAAAGACTCCATGTACTTCAGGAAATCTCCGGCCAAAGCATTTGCCAAGCCACTGACAATTTGGAAGATGACCTCTGGCACGCTGGTGTTTCCGGTGACATTGAGAATTTCCAAGCTGACCTGCATGACTCGGTCTGCTTGGGGGGCAATGTTCTGTTCAAGTCTCTGGACAATCGCTAGTAGAACGCTGCTAAGGCTGACTTGCAACTCTTCCAGGGTGATCTTATCATCGATGCTGACGACCTGCTTTTGCATAGGAATCGTATTTTCCAGACGCTGAATAATGACATTTGACAACTCAGCAACTATCTGCAGGCTGTCATGTGCAGCATTTGTAACAAAGCCGCCTAGCACTTCATATGCAGCAGTTCTGAGCTGGTTATTGGCACCTTCCTTCTCAGTGACTGCAAGAAGCGAAGTAATGCTGTCTTGGAAATGGGGAGTCAACTGGTTGGTCGAACCGCCCTCTTCCCCAACAAAACGTTCGGTTAGGTTCAGAAGTGCCAAGCAGCAGGACGAAGCGATCTTGGGGTTGCTCATCAAACCATTGAATAGGGCTGACATGAGAGGCTGAAGATGAGTCGAGGGATCGATGCATTCTGAGCAATAGTCACAGATTCTGCTGAGGGCAAAAGCGGCCGAGTCCTGGACTTGAGCGACCGGATCTTGCATCATCCCAATCAAAACTGGAAGCGCTTGCTTGACCAGTGGATCCAAGGTTTTGATATCAGGACCGTCCATAATTGCGCCAAACGATGAGACGGCTGCATCTCGCTTGGTCCAGTCTTCGCTTCGCAAATTGGCTTCAACAAATTGGAGAACTGCAGGGACCATGTCATTACCGATGGTCTGGGCATAGAGCTGAAGACACTGATATGCTGCACGAGCAGTGTTGTACTCGTCCTCAGCATCATCTTCTGACACCTTGGTCATCAATTGTAGGAGAACGGGGACAACCTCTCGCGCAGCAACGCGGGCGAAGTGGAAGTAAGGCCGCAGTTCTGTCGAGCCTTCTTGTTGTGCTTGTTGGTTGTCATCCTCGATGCTAATCTCCTCTTCACAAACGGTGCACCAAAATTCAATCGCCAGCTTGGCAACATCCTCCTCATCACTCTTCATGCCTGCAATGGTCAAGCCAAACAGTGCCTTTTCCATGTAGAACCTCATCTTATCATAGTAGATACCCATGATGCGATTCAAACACCCGAAGGCTGCAGCCTGGACTCTGGTATCGTCTGATTGTGTGGCCTCGCAAACAACTTGCATGATGTAGTTTCTCTCACCCTCATTCTCAAAGTTACTGCGGATGAATTCAGTGGCATCGGACAAGGCGGACAGAGCAGAAAGTCGGACATCCTGGTTGGTCTCCTCTCTTCTTGCGCCCTGGACAACCGCGGTTAGAATGGCATTGGAGTACCCGATTAGTGACTCGCGAAGCTCGACATCATCAGACTCGCAGATGAAGCCAATAGTTGTCAGACTTGATTGTTTGAGCTTATCTTCACCCGAGCCGACATTGTGCACAAGGGCGGGGAGTAGTTCAGGCCACTCGTTACGGGGTAGTTCAATGGCAGCGATAGTAGCGATCAATTGTGCACCCGAGTTGGCGGCTTGAGGAGTAGAGTTGAGGGTCTTGACTGCAAGTTCCTTGACCTGTCTCTTGATCGAAGGATCGACCCCTTGTAGCCATCTAGCCTGGACCTCTCGTAATCGGGTGATGTCACGGTAGGTGAAGGAATTTTTGAGGGCGAGACCAGCAGCTTGTCGAACGGCGGCACTGGCCTGGTCATTGGCAAGTTCTCGGGAGAGAATAGAGAGGTATTCAGACTGAAACGCAATCGTTAGGCGTTTTGCAGGATGATTCAACAGATGGTAGGGAACATACGAAATTGCCCTCACGGGCGTGTCTCAGTTGCTCTTCGGCATTGCCGCGAATACTTGCATCTGAAAAAGAGGTCAGAGAGAAGGATAAAAGATGATTGAGCGACAGGAAGTCTTACCTGGAGAGAAGGTGTTCTCTAGGACAGACTTGACATCCATGGTTGCGTTCGCCTGACCAGCGGTCTGGAGTCGAGAAAAGTGGTCAAAACGGAGAAATTCAGGGTCCTACTTAGGCTGCACGCGGGTTATGGGAGGTACAAGAGGGACAGATCTGAAGTTACACAGGTCTGGAATTCAAGGAAAGAAAGACCGAGAAAGAGGTCGGACGAAGTGTTGTTCTGAGAGAGAAACGGACGAGGTGTTTGACGACGAAAAGAGTGGGAGAGTGGGAGGCAGAGCGTCGTGTTGTGTGCCAGACTGCCAGTGTGTGATGTGCGTGTGTGCGTGTTTGTAGGCAAGGCAGGCCGTAGATCGGTAGTGGTAGGGCTGCAGGCTACGGTTGGTGTTTGGATGTGCGAGGTGGGATGAATCATACCAATATTACCGACAGACGTCCGTAGTGAGTGCCTAAAACACCTAAGGGGCCTGAGTTAACCTAGCCCGGAGGCGTGATTGGCAACAATAAAGAAATCTCCAGTTAAAGATGGCCGCTTAAAGGCCGTCAGTCTTTAACTAGGATGGGCAGGCTTTAACTATTTAAACTAGATTCCAGTTAGACGTAATTTTAAGAGTGGCACTTGGCAGGTGACTTTCAAGGTTGGGTAGCGCTTGTCTGCCTACCATTCTTTATCTCCAATAACCCCCGTATACCATCGTCATCAGGGCCGCCTTCCAGTGCCACCTGGCCAATCAAGTCTTCCCGCCACATCGCAGCCTCATACGCACCAAGAGCAGATGATCTGCTGGTGCTCAGGAGTAGCCCACACGGGCTCAAGCGTATTGTTATTATATTCTCTTTCAAGCAGCGGCACTCGGTATCTACCGAGCGCTCACCCAAGTTGTCTCCTTGTACCACTGACTAGTGCCCGCGTTTGCGAATCCAGTGCCGTTGGTGGCCCACATGAATGACGGTCATCTAACGAGTCAATCCCTCAGCTTCAGCCTCAGCCTCGTCCTCTTCGTATCAAGCTTTGCCATCACCACCTGTCAACCGTACTCCGCTGTCAATACCACGCATTCATCCAGTCATAGCCTCATCTTCCGTATGCTCTTCCGCCCCGCCATCGTGGCTCGCGTCCACATCCAACACTACAAATCCCAAACCTGCCTGATCAATCACCGCGGCCACTCTTCTCCCGACCCTGCCATTGACCTCCAGCCTCGCAGGCCTCATACCAGCGTCCATTTTGGCATCTTCAAACACATGACGTAGCTCCCACCGATCTTGGCCAGTCTCGGTGATGATTTCTCGCCTGTAAACTCGCACATCACCCTCTGAGGCTGTAAGGACGAGTAGTATGCGGTCGTCAACAAACTTCGCATCTAGTATCTCCGTTACTTCTGCTATTTGCAGTGTGGTGCTTGACCTAGTCGTCATCTGCAACCGTTTACTCCCAGCCTGTTCAAGTTCAGCGATTGTGAGTTGTAATTGTTGCTTGTGATCCCGGCCCCTGGCAAGTGCAGCCAGTCGATAGAGACTCGTATCCTGTTGGTCAGGAATGATCCTCATATCTAGCATGCTCTCGTCGACACCTCCAGGTAGCGCAAACATGTAGCTCGCGAGAATAGATTTCCTGAACGTCTCGGCGATCTGCCCGAAAATAATGTCGCACTGTTTCTTTAACCGTTCCAGCAACATGCCTAGTTTTGGCATTGAGTCATCGTTTTTGTTGCTGGAGGATTTTCTTCGCTCGGTATATTCAGCGTAGAATCCAGCATCGCTTTCTTCATGGAAAGATTCCGCCGCTGTAGCATCGCCTCCCACAGTCGAGCCACCGACGTCAATATACCGCCTCAACCTGCTTTGGCCCATCGCACCGCCCACATAATCTAGAACAGTTCTCAACTCTTGCTCGCCTGTCCAGCTCTCCCTTAACTCCTCTGCGCGCTCACTTCCCTCCTCGAGCGCCTCGACCTCACATTCCCATTTCAACCATTTCATAAAGACCGCGAAATCCCTTATCTCGGCACCGACATCAATCAAGATATCTTCCGCCAACAACCCCAATACATCGACCGTCTCTCTTATATGCCGAACGACCTTCTCATCTAGCCCAAGACGCTCCCTCGACCCAGAAAACCTCGCAAGGCCATCCAGTCGACTCAAGATGACCTGTATACGCTCCAACGCGGGTTGAAGACATTCGCTGGTCATTCTCCGTACCACATCAAGACAGTCACCCACAGCCTTCTCCCACCTTTTCAGTCCTCTGTCGCCCACCTCATCGACCAACCACTCCCTCACCCTCGGCTCGCACGCACCCGTGACGGCAAGATGATGTGCCGCAAAAGCAAAATCGGCGTCAGGATCTGCTTCTGCGAGAGATTCGTTGATATTTCGCAGAAACCTGGATGGCAAGTCAAATGCCGCCTTGACCTCAGCCGACAGTTGCATCTGCACCTGTGAGACATATCTTAGCAGGTTTCCTAGCTGCGTGACCTTGCGCGCAACTAAAGGTAGCATTCTACCAGCCTGCGTGATAAAGCTCAGGTCGAGACCGACGATATGCAGCGAATGGTCGGTTTGCTGCACGGTAAGAAAAGCTGTCGATAGATAGGGATGGCCAGTTATAGCCTGCACGGTTGCTCCGTTCTCGCGAGTCGGAAGACACGATCCAACGTCAACCGCGCCGATCTCGAAAGAATCGAAAATCTTTAGATGGACTGCACATCGGCCTCCTGCACCGTCGACACCTTGCTCCTGCAAGCCTGTAATCAAAACATCAACCGCGCGACTTAGACCTGTATCGTTGGCATGAAAGGTCGCGTCAACACTACCCCTTGAGCTGAAAACATCATCACCGCTTCCAACACCAATGGGAGGTAGAGTCGCAAGCTTTGGCAACGACGTTTCAACATCGATCGCACTCAATTCACACGGTAGGTCGGCCTTGAGTGAAAGCAGTTTATCAATGTCGGCTTTGAGACCAAGGATGTGATCAAGAGTAATATTCTTTCCGCTGTCGGCGCCAGTCTCGAGTCTCTGTCGAATAGTCGATGGGGGCGGGGCGGCGAAGTGGGTGGTCCACGAGATAGTCGAAACATATGTTTTTGATCTCCCCTTCGTAGTTGTATTGGAATCAGTCCAGCCCACAGACTTTGATGTCCGAGGAGATCTCCTCCTTTGGGAATGAGATTGAGACTGAGGTTGAGGACTAAAACTCGATGCAGGTGAAAGCGGACCAGGGGGCAAGCCTGTCGACAGACAATGAGCGATCTTGCCCGTAAACGCATTAATGAGAGAGACTGTTCCATCGAAAGAGGCCACTGCAAGGATTTGACCTAAGAACCATGATACATCAGTAACAATTCTCGGAAACCAGACCAACCCTCAGCTCAAGTAGCCAGCTAGCTCGTTGCAGCGTATGCAGAATTCCCTCCCAGAGCATTGAGAACGCGCAAACTCACCGTCTCGTCTCCACGAAAGTCCTGCAACCTTGTATCTTCGACGACTGGCCAACCCGCAAGCACCGTCGTCTCCACCATTCTCACCGTTCCCCCGATCCTTATCCTCATCCTCATCCTCCACTGCATCCGCCCCGTCATCATCCTCACCGAACGTAGCGCCAAACACACGCTGGCCATTCAGACGCCAAACATCGACTTGAGCCTTAGCCTGGGTGTTGTGCTGACTGACAGTCGCAACGAGGTCCATGGTGGGACAGTACGCGAACAGGCGTGACGGTAGCGGGATGCATGGCTCCGTCAGGACCCGGGACGCAATTTGGTGCATCTTCGTGTTGATTTTGGACTAAAGGCCTTGCGCTGTCTTGGAGGACTATCGGCCTGTTCTCCCCGGTGCGTATGGGCGGTGAAAGAGAGGGAATGGGGGATGTGCGCTGGCCGGATATTGGGTTGATGTGGGCGGCTGATTCATATGCTACCACGCAGAATCCGCCTCAACACGTAGATATGGCCACAAACCCAAGTCGCGTGATTTGACGCGTTTCGAGGGTGAGATGCTGTTTCTATCCTCAAGCCACAGATTGACAATCGAAGCAAAGAAAGATCGTGGAGACCATACGTCGTTCAAAGGATTTCATCATTCATAAGTCTGTTTGTCCACAAAAATTACTAATTACTGGTGGTCTAGTGATATTCTACCTAGGTGGGTAGTGCATGTTTTTGGACCTGGAAGTTCTTCTTCTTCTGCCAAGCCTTGGTCCGGAAGGCTTTAGAGAACATCACCCCTTCACCGTGGTGCCGGTTTTGGGCCAGTCAGTATTGCATTCCATGCCCTTTTCCCATCCTGCTCAGGAGATTCCAAGATGCGAAATTCGTTCCTTCTTAATAACTGTTTTCGGTCTGGTATAAGTCTTGCTCCTTCCAAAATTTCCTTTCTCAGTACATGCTGTCGAGGCTTTGGTATGATCCGAAAGTTCTGCAGTCCGGAAACCCAAAAAATCAAAAGGGCAACCCTGGCTGAAACAAATAAAAACGTGCAATGTCGAGCTTGTGCACCCGGCAAACAAAATGCAGACAAATGCGCTCAATAGCTCCCGAAAACGCTATATAAAAATGCTAAGTGTGTTGGATCATATCCCCTAGATAGCTCAACTCATCAAGAAGTTGTTGCATACTAGTTGAATGTGGCATAGTTGAGCCATTGAAAGACGCCAACGGAGGCTGGAAGCCCTGGTCGCGGTCTGCAGCCTCAAGAACAAGGGGAGACACATTCTTGGGCGAGGCAGCTTGTTTAAAGGTGGCGTTAGACTCGCTTTCATCTGTGGGCAAGCTGTAGTGCTGGAACTTGGACCAAGAAAAATCTGCATCTTTGGCACTATCGAGGTCAGTATGCGAGCTGGGGCCTGCAGAGGAAGCAATTGAGCTAATGGTGGAGAAGCTAAAAGCTGAGGACAACGCATCTGCTGTTGGTGCAGTATATCCTCTGGCTTCCGAGTCGATCTTCTGCTCATTTTTCCCTGCTACAAAGACCGGATTCACTTCTTTCATAGTGTGATCCAGCTCAACTGAAGGACTCATTGGCTCGAGATCAGTGACGCTCGCGGCATAATCTGATGTGGGTGAAAATCTCGTTGTGCTAGAAGTCCAGTCCGAAAAGCGACTTTGGTTGTTGTTAATGTAACTGTTGGTATACGACTCGGTGTCAATGGTGGTAGCCGAGAAATGGCTTTGGATATTTGCAAGCTCTTCTTCAAATCGCTGCCTGGGAGAGTCACCCGCGATGCTGCTAGGCGGATATGCTGACGAAGGGCTATTGGGCAGTGTTGGAAGCCTTTTCTCAAGATCGAGACCATTTTTACCATCGTCTACCAGATTTTCACCCTCAATCTTAATAGCTGTGAGTGGCCAGAGTGGAGTGTTGGCTGTTGAAGCGATCTCTTTGAGTGTCTCCATTGGTTTGTATGCAGTGCTCGGGATTTCAGAAGACTTCTGGCCCGAAACTTCATCGAGGAGGAGCGAATTGCGCAATGATGATGGTTCACGAGACAAGGACCGTTGCCTTCGGTGCTGTTGGAAGGACGTGATTGCAAGCCCAAGGTTTCCATCAATTGTCTCGTCAAACTCTCGTCGTAAAACAAGTTCTCGAGCCGGCCCGGTCGGTGAGAGCTCGGTAACTTCTGGAATTGGTGGAGTCCGTGAGAGTACGGTCTTCTTGGAAAGACCACTGTGGCCAGAAGATCCACGAGCATGAGTGACAGGCACATCCTGATTCGATGACTTTGATCGACCACGTTCGATAGAGGTTTCAGGACTGGTGGACCTAGGTGATGCCAGTGCTTTGAAAGCACCTATAATACCGACCGACCGATTGCTTCCTCGTGAGTTAGAACGACTGGGTACATCCATAGACGGCTTCCTTGCAAGTCGTATGATCCTCAATGTGTTGGCACTTCCCGGTTGCGAAGGACCTCGAGAAGAGGCGGATCTTCCTCTTCGAGAGCCTGCACTGGTCGGTGAGCTTCCTGTAGACCATGTCTGCTGGGATAGCGTCGGAGATGTCTTCAGACGCGGCAGCGATGGTTTTGCTGGGACTGGGCGAGGGTTCATAAACTTGTCTGTTGGGTTCATGGTTCGGTACTCAGAGCCAGTAGAGCTGACACTGTCGTTTCTGGAGCGGCTACTGCTCAACGCAAATGGAACATTCAACACGTTAACCAGCTGTCCAGGAAGCATGGGACAGGAAGCTGTCGATGGTTCAGCCGAATTGTGGAACTCAATATCGTCGTCAAGCTTGTACTGTTCGCCGGGATGAGCGAGAAGGACCATCTGGAGGGCAGGGGGAAAGGGAGGCTTACATAGTACCAGTAAGTACCGCCCATTTTGAGTCCACCGTCTCTGGGTACACCAGCTGGCTGCGGGTCTCCATCACAGATGATGTTGGAAAAGCTATGACAGCCTGACCAGTGCTCCTGGCCCGTGCGTGAATCTCGTTGCATGGGGTAAGGAGTGGAGAAGTTGTCCCAGGAACCATAGAGGGCAACCGATCTCGTAGAGGGAGGAGTACGACTGCCGAAAGAATTAGCAGTTTGTTTCCAGGGGGAATTGAGACCATCAGTTCTCTTTCCAGGAAAACATACACGAGAAAGGTATTGAGCGTGGTTGGCGCCATGTGGAATTATATAAGCAATGTCCCAACAACCAGAGCCAACCCTCGAAGATAAGCTTTTGCAAAATGGTCGCAGCAATGGAGGAATTTGACTTGTAGAAAGCGATCGACTTTTGGTTTTGGACGCTGACCCAGCAGCAATAGACCCAGGAAGGTGCGTACCAGACAAGAAGTGGCCAAGGACGACCAGCGAGGAAGTAACAACCCGATGCCGGCGGGTTCAATCCACGCAGCCGTAGTTGAAGAGAAGTCAATGACAGCGTCGATGTAAAAAATTATATGCTCCGAGTCTGGACTCTAGGGCGTTCAGAATGACGCCACGGATGGAGTCGGTCTGGAAGTATCTAGATTAGGGTGCTATTTCTGCAATGAAGTTGAAACCGAGGACAAGCCTCAAACGGCTGTGTTGATCACAGCAATGGACGAATGCATGGCAGGAGGTTCCAGTGGAGCCGAGATACTGAAACTTAGGAAGATAGGGCCAATAGAGAAATATAGAGGGATGATTGGGTGAGGCGCGTGTTTGAGGACTGAGTGAATACTCAGGGTCGGTGTTGATATCTGCAACAACCAATGAGGATAGAAATCAGTGTGGCAGGACGAATCTGGATAGGCGCCTGATGGAGATGATTGCAGGGGGCCAATGCCTGCACAATTTTGGGGGTGGGCGGCTGCTGAGGTAGTGGTGGGAAAGACTCGAACCGGCGACAGTGATGCCTGGAAAGATGTCGAATGAGTGGTTGAGAGAGGCCAACTGGATGGAGCCTTGTATGAGAGATGCACAGACAAGAGACACTCGCGAGATTGTGCGAGAGAGGGGGAGGACGGATTGTACAAATGTAAAGAGGCCGTCGGCAGACTACATATTATTAGTTTCCAGAGTCTTGCTTGCATGCACGCATGGGACAAGCCGGTGTCAAAAACACAGCGAGGGAGTGAATAGGTAGAAGGTGAGAGGTGAAGGCGGCCTGGCAAAAGTCAAGACAAGAAATGGAAAGATGAAAACGCGATATCGATTTCTAGTCCATGTTGCAGCTCGAGTCTCTCGGTCCTCTGCCCCTCGTCATACTGCATTGAGGCGAGACCATCAAGGTGTGTGAAGTCGGTACCACCCCCAGTCCCAGGACAACGGGGCAGTCGATCCAGATCGGAAAAAGACTCGTAACGAAGAGACCCTTGACGCCAAAATGGATGCAGAGTGGGCACAACAGATGCCGGAAGAGGCAGCGACCAACTTGAAGGCAGCGCAGATGGCGTTCGGATGGAGACAGCAACGAGATGAACAAGCGAGAAACCTGAAAAGAGGTGGAATCCATGGAAATCAAGGACACGGTCCAATTTTGGAAGATCCCCGCCAATTGGTGAATCCGTGTTTAGGCTCCTCCTATTCCAGCCTAGTGCCGGACCCGGATAACGCGCTCCTTCCAAAGTTTCGCTCCCGCCCATGTCCATGGCAACTGCCCTGGATCTGCAGTCTGCAGGAGAGTCAATGGCAAGAGCAACCTCATCCATTTGCATTATCACTTTGCATTTTAGGCATGGGTGGGTAGGTAGCCCCAGGGGACCGACCTCCCACAAACCTACCAGACCATCCATCCCTTTAGGCATGCCATCACGCCTTAACCATCCCAAACACATATCAAGCACGTCAGCATCCTGCTCATTTATAACTCGGGAGGAATAAATCAAAGACAGCCGGCCTGAAGGGGACAACAACCAAAACCGAGCAGTCCCCGAAACCAACGCGACACGCACCCCCTATTTTGGTTCGCGAGGGAGAAATCCTACTCTTAGGTAACTAGGTACGGATAGGGAGGGGAGACTGCCAATGTTGCTTGCGGCGCCCCTAACTCGTATGGTCTCTGCCCCTACGGAGCGCCTCAGGGCGGCTGCCGGCAGGGAGTGCCAAGGCGCCGCAGCACCCTGACAGCAAGCCTTCCCCCAAAGGCGGCTAGCTATCCGGACAGCCTACAAGTTCGTCGAGCCGCCAGAACGCCTGCGCAATTTGAAAAGTGCCTTACTCCCCCATGCAATGTCCCTCACAGAAGGCGGTGCTGTTCAGCTTGCCAGGCTACTATTGGGCCTTTGACTTTGGCTAATAAACACGTGAAAGTCGGAGAGGACTTGTATGGTGTCGACTTTGGAAATCCCAATTTCACTATTTAATATTGCACTCTCTCGTGCGATCTTGTGGAATTGATTATCGTTCAGGCTTTCTAGCGCAGGTGAGGCCAACCATTACGAGTCGTTCAATCCACAGCTCAGACCTAGATAAGCTGCAGACCACCTCCAAGCCTGCCTAACACTCGCATCGATGCGCTCAGGGGACGAGCTGCGACGGACGGGATACCTCGTGTCCGAACTGCTAGCTAGCGAAAGACCAACTACTCGTATGAACGGAAATGAAGTGCGAATATGGGAAGCAGCTGAGTTGGTCAACGTGGCCGCGAATGACTCGTATTGCTCTCATGGGCCACCAGGCAGTTGCCATCTCGGACGTACTGTAACACAGCGCCACATCCCGGGCAGGTGAAGGAACAATAATACGTGGCTACGAGGCACTGGTACTCGTCTGAGAAAGTCCCGAGCACTCCGTACCTACGCTAGTTATGGTCTCATGCCCCGTTCTGTGACTTTCAGGTGTAGCACATGACCTGTCGCTCCATCTATTCATCCACTCACCCGTCCGTTCATTATTCACTCAGTCATTCATTGGCACCAAACACCAAGTACGAGTAGTTCGTACTGTGCCACAAGTTCACGCCCCTCACTGATTCTACTCACCAGATCCAGACTAGTGCCACTTGGCAAGAGCTCAGACTCCTCATGAGTCATGACTCGAAGTGCTCGCCAGGGCCCAACTCAGCCTCAGCCTACCGAACACTCCAACCAATCGCCCCTGTCTCTCACCACGTGACTGCCCAAATCACCCACAGCCTTGCCACACTCACAAGGCTACATCCATTCATCCTCGTTGTCACTCCCATCCCGTACAGATACGGATACTAAAGGCACACTTTTGTGGTCCCATTTTCTTTGTATGTCATGCGGTAGTTAAAGTTTGTTTAGAATGGGAAAAGGAAAGAAAGTCTTCGCTTCGTTTAAACCTTGTTGCACACATACTCACGGACCCAAAGTTGCGAGCAGCGCGAGCGCAATGAAATCAAAAATCCAGAAGGGGAAGCGGCAAAGAAAAAGGCCACTACTCGAGAAGATAATGACAAAATGAAAAGAATTGTTTTTGACAATTTTCGCTCTCATGGATTTCCCTTTTTCGCCGCACTCTGAGGAGATCTATCTTTGAAAGAGGAAAAGCAACTCCTTTCCCAACACGGCAGCGCTGGCCACCAGTGATGTGCTCCTGGAGAAAAGGCATACTGCCACTGTCGCATAAAACAAGTGGACACTAGTAGTCGTCGTCGTGTATTCATCTCCTAATAATACAATGATCAGAGAAAAAGCTGGGGAAAAGTGATACAGAGCCACTCCACTCCCGTTTTCGCCCCAATTCCCTGCATCATCCACCAGTGGCGACGGTTAGCAAATAGGAGTAGTAATCATACAATCCGCACCGTTCTGAAGCCTCCGCCATTACCATCAGCAGCAACGTTTTTGAAAACTAGACGCCTATTGATATGCCAATGGGCTGTCATGGTTGATATCTCGCCGCGATTTCTCACCCGGGAACTAAGATTAGACGCTTCTCCGATCGTGTCGTCTAACCACACTACCAAGACAGACCTTCAGGAGACCCTGTGCGGTGAGTTCTTGGCCTTCGTCGCCGGTCCAGGGCACTGTGTCAACCATATCTCGAATATTGTAGGTTCCAGACAAAGCATCGTCCAATTCTATTAGATTCTCGGCAGCCTCAGGCTCACGTCCAACCTGAAAGAATTGAATACCAACCTGCCAGGATTCGGCACCGTATGAATCGAGCTTCTTGGCTGCGTTCACAATCACACTTTCGACATCGTCGCTGGGAACGCCATCGGTGATGACGATGACGTTGAGTGGCTTGACAGTTGCTTCATGGCCGTGAGATTGGCGCTCGATCGAGTCGGCTACTTCGCTGAGGTACGGTCTGAGGATATGGCTGAGTCGGGTGCCGGTCGGGGTGCCACCTAGAGGTCTCACGGTCTGGAACAAATTCTGAACCGCTGCTGTGGTTGTGATATTGGTGTATCCACCATGAGTTGAATTAGGATTCCGATGGTTTAGGAAGTAGATGTCGATACCATCAGCATCGTAAGTTGTGCAGATTGGGGCAATGGCTGCCAGTGCTGCAGAGGTTTCCCTCCAGCTCCGGCCCGCCATACTTCCGCTGTCATCAATGAGAAAGATAGTGTCAAACTCTCTCAAAAATACATATGGTGAATCGTCGCAAACTTGCATGGGTGAGGCCAAGTCTGCCGCACTGTTTGGTGCAGCTGAGTATGGAGGAGGGGCACCGATGTGCTCTGCTGGTCTCGGTCTGCGGGTTGGTACCGTTGTGGCAAATGGATTAGTAGGATCATTCATCCTCCCGATCGGAGACTGGAATCCAGTGGGGGCTTGTGCCGGAATGGATGACCGCTTAGAGCTGAAGCGTTTGAGGAAACCCATGGCATTCCGCGGTCTGGATGATGATGATGAGTGAAAGGTATCACGATGAAAAATAATCGGATTCTCCATCTTCAAGAATTTGGTGGGGGTTTGATAGTCAGAAATAGTCAGGTAGTGACTGTGTGAGGCAGTCACGGGGTGCTGAGTTTGAGGTAAGCTCTGAGGCAGTTGCAACTGTTTGTTTGCCCGGGTTACACTAGCTTTTCAAACAAAGAGATATGTGAAGCCGAGTCGTGATTTGGATCTTGATACTGGAAGAGCAGAAGTATGGCCAACGAACAGAAAGATGAACCATATACTTATACAGACTGTGCCTTGAAGCCGGTTTACGATCTCGTGATGCTTGCACGTGGCAGGGCGCGTTGTGTTTCAACAAACTCAACCACCGAGAAATGTGCCTTGAGGTTCGCCTACAACATTCAAAACAATGAGTGATCCGTGTGAAACGGTATGCACTGCCTCGGCATACCCCTCCATGATAAGAGATATGGAGTTTATAGTGGTCAATCAGTGCACCCATCGTGTGAACTAGATGAAAGTACTTGAAAGGGCGTGATACTGAACAACCTCAAACCCACCAACGAGGCGTTCTGAGAATGGGGAATTTGGAGAACACAGCCTCGCGCCTTGTCCGCCCAATTAAAGGGGCCCGAGATCCTAAGCCACAATATGCCCCTCTTTTGGGCCTAGTACCTGATATAGCCTCCCCACACGGCTGAGTCAAAGAGGGAAGACATGCAGGATTTGATATCTTGAATGTACCTGGCTCTAGACAGAACATCCTGCTACTACTCGGGCACGTGGTAGAGAGCCTCATTCCCGATCGCAATGGTTCGCAGGCGCTTTCTCAATAGCCCAAAAACTCGGGCAGCTTAGACGCCGGAATACTGGGAGTTACAGATGTCATTCTCAGCCCCATTTTGTCCCATCAAGCGCCTGACTCCTTGATGTGGCCGGCTCACACAGGATCTGACAGGATCCGGGGAAATGCCACTAGCAATCCATCAGGGCTTGGACAATCTTCTTATGGCCTCACATCAGATCTAACTGACCACAAGGATAACCGACATAGCCCCCTCGCATCATTTACTTCTAGATATCACCTTTTCCAATGCCACAGGGCACACGATAGCTCGGATCGACTTGGTCGAGCAAACCGGTCAAGGGAACACACGAAGCCATGCCATCATCTGTGGAGAGAGACAACATTCTATAGTCTTTGGCAAAGACTTATCATGGGGCATGTAAGGCATCCATGGAGAAAATTTGCAATGCCTGGTGACATAGAAGTAGTGACTGTGCTGTACACATAATATATATATTAATTGACCGTGATATCTCCTTCTTCCTCTGGCAATGATGTCATTCCATTTGGTCCGCAACGCCATGCAATCTTGGTATCATCATGCTCCTGGAGTCTTCCTTGGAGATTATTAACAATGTTCGCTATGTATGATTGGAAAAGATGTTCTTGGCATTCAGGTCATTTCGTGTCGTCAGGATTTTCGAGCCATTGGTAGGCGAAAGGAGCGCTGGAAGGAATCACTCCACCCAGGATGCATATCCAAAGTCAATCCTGCGCCTTGCTGTATGCTTGATTGCTCGAAGACTGATCTTTGAAAAGGATATGGATTCGCTTCGATGCTTCGAATGAGAGTTCAATATTATGGGGCGGTTGAGCAGCGATGTGTGGGCGACATCTTTGGCGTCGTAATACTTCAATGACGTTTGTATTTCTGATTTTCCTGTCAGTTACTTTGCAAAGTATTACGTGTGTAACGATGTGGCGCGTGTGAAGGTGTACAATAAGCTGGAAGGAGCAATACAGTGGGACTTACCTCATCCATTCGCCGTAAGTTCCTCTTGTCCAAAGTATTACCCGCACCTAGCAGTGTCTGCCCAACTGCTTTTGTGGCTCCAATCGCTGGCCTCAAGATAATGGTTGGGCTTTGCTTCAAGACAGCTTTGGCTGCGCCAGTTGCGCTCCCGCTGGCCAAGACTTCTCCGGGAACTGCCACAATGGCATCTCTCGCAAGTAAGAGATCGCGCTCAAGACTGGTATAAGCCCCTCGTAACCCCTGTACAATTCCAAGTGGCTGATCAGCATAGAGTGAAATCTGGTTCTTTGTTTCATCATCACCTCCGGTGTTTTCTTGTGTTTCTCGTGTGATAAGTAAGTCTTCGGTATTCTGAAGAACTTGTTGAGTTCCAATCGCCAACTTGGCGCCCAAATTCACTAGTTCCGTGGCTGTAGTTTTGGCAAATGCCAAAGCCCCTTTCTGGATACTGCGGACAAGTCTGCCATCCTTGCGATATTCTCGAATAGGGACTGCGATAAGATCTCTTACACCACTCGTCACATCCACTAAAGGTCTGATTGGAGCGAGTCCTGCCAAAACTCCGGGTAATTGATTTGTCTTGACATCAGGCGTCCAGATGTTGTTGAGCATGATACCCATCCGATCAAAACCAGAAACGCCGTACAGAATGACACGACGCAAAACAATGTCAGCTCGGTCCAGAACAAAGAAATTCATGAACTCTGTGGTACGTCCTGAGCGCAGGCCTCCATAATCCACTCTCTTTGGTTTGAAGTCGAGCCGTAACTGTACTGGATTGACTTCAACTCGCTGGATAAAAGGGGGGGTCGACGGCCCGCTTGCGGGCGGAGCACTGTCATCCTTGAATTCAAAAAAACGGGTAAGGAAGTCCAGTGCATCTTGATCAACGTGCAGTCTGAGAGGGAGAACAGTGAGTTTAAGCACGATCTCTGATGCCGCAAGATCTGGCACGGGTTTGACGTTGAGAATCTCAATATGGACCATGTTTGTACCAACTTCTCGCTCACCTGCATCTTGCATGTAGGTGGCAAATTTCTTCCAAGTCGATGTGGGGACATGGTCGAATACTTCTAGCATCTTTACTCGAATGTCGATCGAACTTTCGACTTCCCCGCTCTCTGATGGAAACATCACAAAATCTGAGGAGACGCCCGCAAGCTCAAAGGTCATCTTGTGATGTTTGCTCCGGTTGAGCCTCAACTTTTTGGGCCGTGACACTGTGCTTGATTGGCGGCGGCTAGTAGTTGCGGTGATTGTCGTGCTAGTAGCATAGCTACCTGTTTCGCTGACCATATCATCGATGTCATGATTGATAGCAGTAGTTAGATCCCTTGGGTCCTTGTTGGCTGGAATGCCAATATATATCGAGTTGAACAGAAAATCACCAATGACAGACTCGTCCTCTTCTTCGGCACCTGCTGAGAGTCGACTAGTACTCTTTGGACGCCTGGCCATAGCTCGTGTTTCAATGTCCTTCACTGCCTGGGAGATGGTGTCTCTCGTTGTTTGCCAGTCATAGCCATCGAAGAGATTCCAAATTACATGGACATCCCTGACTCGAACCTTGAGTGGTGATCTATCAAAAAGTGTGTCGCTCACAAGTCCGTAGGTGTTCTGGGTCGAATTCCATCGATGGGCAGTACCACCCACAGAAGATTTTGGGGCAAAGTGATCCTGCCTGAAATCTAACAAGCTGTGAGCCATCACACTCTGACCTAGATCATTCGTACTTGATGCCATGACATCAACAGGCGCGATGTGGATGGATTCGGACATTGTCGAGTGGCCAAGATTAGACTCTACATGACTAAGAGTCATTTCATCGTCGGCATCGTCGTCCTCACGGTACATATTGTCCATGAACCTGCCCTCTTCGCTGTCGTCATCATCCTCATCCTCATTGAATTCGTGCTCATACTCTTGCTCCCTAAAGTTTCTGCCTTTTAATATCTGCTGCGAAGCTTGAAGGCCGAGCGCGGGTCCTGGTTCGGATACGAATGCATTTCCAGTAAATGACGATAGCATGTCCTGGATAGGAATTATCTCAGTACGATACTTGGCCACCTTTGATGGAGGGATTGGAGGGGCGAGACCACTTAGGATCTGGATCAAAGTTTGGGTAGAATCAGCACAAGTTTCTAAGAAGAGTAGGTTATTCCGAAACTCGACCTCGAGTCTCGTCTCGTGGTTGACTTTGTCTTCAATGACATTGACAATTGCCGAAGCGGAGGATATAGACCCAACTGGAACAAATCCTGCTCTAGTGAGACTCTGGATCTGATCATTCTCTTCAAAATAAAGCTTGTGGTCAACGTTTCCGGTATCTCGTCCAACAGATTCTCTGTCGTTGATAACTAGGAAAGAGGCCTTTCTGATCTCAAGGTTCTCAATGGATCCGTGTTTCTCACTTTCATGGCGAATAATGGTATCAGTCAAAACGAAAAGACCTTTCGCAATGCCCTGCGCAGGATTGAGCGCAATAGCTGAGTCTCTGAAAGTAAGAGAAAATCTGACTTTCCGTGAAACGCCAGCCATATCGACAGTGCCGGAGGAAGATGGACTAAATGGATGCTGATGAGAGTGTTGCTGCGGAATGGGCTGCTGAACCTGGAGTCTCTCCAATAGAGAAGTCACAGCCATAAGAGTCGGGACCTTGTACTCGAAACAAGTATTGGACATCTTCATCCGCACGGTAGGTTCCATCTCATCTGCAATGAATCGACACATGATCATCGGTGGACCCATTACGGCATTGCCTTGGGCAGTCACTTCACCTATCAGTACATCGTTGTCTCCTCTTGACAATGACCACGAGGCTATTTGGGCAGCGGCAAGTGAGGGCACACTAATGTTTGAGAGCTCGATCAATTCCGCTTTGAGTCTGAGTGGGCCAAATTGTTGATCCACATCCAGTCGAAAATCGAGCTTATTCACTAACCCAAACATTAGGACGCCAGGACGGTCATCTTCAGGGAGGTACTTGGTGACTGAGGACAGCTTAGAGATCTCGTCAGCAACTTTTGCCAAATGTGGCACCCAGTGAAAGCCTGTAGCGCCGGCTTGTAGATCTCCAACCGTCAAACGCAGGACACCTCCTTTCCGGCGCTGCCTGATGAGAGTGTCAACCATGATGTCGTCCTCCTGGTCATATTTGTCTCGAGAAGGCGTGATCAATGATAGCAGTCGATCTAAGTCGTTATCGTCCGGCGTGTCTGAGTAATGTGCTTGGATGTTTCGGATCTTCACCCACGTTTCCCCTCGAGACCTGATGCCTTCTAACAAAGGCCCTTCGATGGCTGCTCCATCAATAGCAAGTTTGATATTGCTCTCACGGTAGACCGCTTTGAGGGCCGAAGTTCTGACTTGAACGGAAGACTCAGAACCGATCAAGTCCAGCACAGATCCAGAGACACGGACATCGACTTTTGGAAGCGAGGATGTAGAATTGCTATCAGTGCGTGATCGGTTTTTGGGGTCATCAAATCTGACGGTCCGTTGTCTTGTCGTGTCAGATGGCGAAACAACTGTCGGGCTCTTAACCGTGTTTGTAGACATGATAGAGTTACCTAGGTCCAACAGGGAGCTCAGACCACCACTCCGGCTGAGCACCTCGTCAATCACGAGCAGATCCAGAACAATATGAGCTGGCTTTATTTGCACGTCATAACGGTTGCTTGCCATGCTCGCGACAAAATCATGCGGCCGAAGCATCGAGCTTGTAGCGATAGAATCCCGTACATTGATAGAGTCGACGAATGATAGTACGACCCTTGGCCCATGCGTCATCATTATTTTCGACACAGTGAATCGTGAAGCCACTCCAAGGTCCTTCGGAGGTAAAAAGACGATTGGTGATAGCGACAATTTGAGTAAAGCTTGACCGTCTGGGAGGGCCGATTCTAGTGTTTGGAATGGTAGTTTTGTCGGCGCAAGCCGCGGTACACACTCACATAGATGCAGGTTGAGTTTATGGATGGTGACACTAGGAAGTGGTTTTGAGGCAGTGGTGGAGGATTGCGGTTGTTTAACTGTAGCCGGAAAAGCCTCGACCAGAGTTTGAGCAGTCTTGACTGCAACTTTGCATACCATAACGTCAAGATCTATCGAAATCTCTCCAACTTCAAGGACTGGAGCGCGAAGAGCTTTGCCAAGGGCTCCAGCCGGTGTATAGAAAGACGCTCTTACTTCATCACCACACGGCCGTATGATTTGAGATGTCCGTGGAGTTGCAAGTGGCCTCAATGAAGACCCGCGTTCTTGACTCGGGGTCTGTACCTGATGGTCGTCCATCTCCGGAATGGTTAGTACGATGTAGGTCATATGGATCAAGCGAGAGCGGAAAAAAGACGCCAAGTTGTTATTCAGGACACTTTCTCCATTAGAAACTTCTTCGTCCTCGTTAACTTGCATACCTTCCGAGCCTGATAAACTTCTATCTGAGCCGGGCTGAGATGAGAGGTCAACGATTGGCTGTGTAGGGTCAGGATGAGGTTCAGTGCTGCTCAGGTCAAGATCGTTGATATCTTGAGTCTGGGATGGACTAGACCATGCCCAACCTCCTGGCATATTTTGACCACTCACCGCACTGAGATACATGCTTTCTGCCTCGTCATGCGTGAATATTCTAGACTCGGCCAAATTCTCGGAGCTCGAAGGCTGATCAGGTGTTGGTCCTGGGAAATTTCCTTGATTGTGGGAGTCATGGACCTGTTCCGCGTGCTCTCTATTGTCGATCAAATGCTTATCGGAATAAGAGCTTTGGTGTGGTTCCTCATCTGCAAGTCCGGCTGAAAATATTGTGGAGTCTTCTAGCATATTCGCCGCTAGACCTATCCCAAGCCCAGAATTGCTGAATGAAGGGGAGGGCAGTCTTGAACCATCGGAACTATGTTCGAAGTCATTATTCCTCGAATGGCTAGGCCTGCTTACGTCGCTATGTGACTCGGGGTGTGAAAGTCGAAGCCGAGACCGAGCGAGCTTGGGGGAATTAAGGCCAGACGAGTCTGAGAATGCTTCTGAATCCGAGAGAATGAAGACTTGCACATCTTCGATCCGGATGGACCTGCTAGATTGCGTTTGCGTTTCCAAAGATTCAGCTGTAGCGAGAGCATCCACCGAAAGGTCTCCCACGGTGAGCATGAACTTTGTCTTCTCTGATGAGCTAACACCATCCCCTGAAGAATTCATCTCCAAGACAACATTGATGTCCTTGACTTTGACTGATAGTCTGTCGGCAACACCCTTGAAGAAATTGGCAACGAATGAGGGAAGAGACAAGCCTCCAGGCATTCCGAGGCCTACATCATCAGTCGCTGTAGGAGAGATTGATTCTTGCAAGAATTGGGAGCGAGACTCCAGTGCAGCCTGTAGTTCATCTCTTTCTCTCGGAGGCTCAGACTCCAGAAACGAGGCAGCCAGGTCCTCTGACGTGGGGACGACCTGGGAGAACTCTAGGGAGCGTCCGCTTCGAGATCGTGTACCTCGACCGCCTGGGTTATGGATAGAGGATGACACTATCCGAGGGAGATTTGCCCGATCGGTCTTACTCGGGAGAGATGTTTCCTTGAAGAGGGCGGTGTCTTTTGTATGACCAGGGCGAATGGCCACAATTACTTCCACTCCATCAACCTCGATCTCAATGCCACTGATATGCAGGTCGGCCGGGAGGGTCAGACGGAGCAACTTGATCGAGGCATGACTGAGGAGAAAGGTGGATGGCAACTGTAGCAGGTCCTCGAGCTTTCTAACTTTGATGCCGACATTCTTAAGCTCGACAACGGTTCGCTGACCCCAGGTTAGGCCAAGGTTGTCGAGATCGAGTTCATCGGAGTCGATGAAATCTAGGCGGGTGAGAGCATATCGCAGCAGACGCTTCTGGAAGTATGAAGGAATGAAGTAAGCCATTGCTCAAGGATGAAGGCGTTCCTGACGCCAGGAAAATGATCAAGGGCTCGTTGTTGACATGGCAGGAACGGGTGAGAGGAGAGATCTATCGTCTAGTATCAAAACGGATGGATGTCGGCATTAAGAACATGCCCAGTGGTAGGGTTTGGCAGATACAAAGAATGAGACGAGGCGAGAGGGTGAGAAGACGAGTGGGCGTTTGTCTCCCCGCAGCATTCGTCTAGGTAGATCTGATAGAAGCTTGATCATGGGCCGTAGATGCAAAGAGAAAAGAAGAGTAAAACTAATCCATGGTTCAAACGCAGCAAGATACCCTACATCAGACGTGGGCAAGATGGAATCAGGCATACAAATGGAAAGTCAACCAAACAGAGGCGCGGGCAGCGGGCGATGCATGATGCAGGACTGAGTGGCGGTGGGGCGGCACCACCCGTCACGCGGTCACGGGTCACGGTTCACGAGCCAAGAGGCACGTGCACATGTCCCCATGTCGGAGCGCGGATTATGTCATGTCACATGTTTCTGTTATCGATACCACTATCAACAAGTCCATACGAGTATGTACGGACGGAACACTTAGCATGTACATTACTACTACTCGTACATGCTATCATCCCCGATAACAAACTAACACGGTTGCAAGGAAGTTCCTCAGCGGATTTGGCGGCCAGTAGCGCCGCTTTAAGAGGATATCGTCCATCAATGCTAACTAAGGTGGGCGCGCCTGCCAGTGGTCCGTTTCTAATTAGATTACCCAAACCCCTCCCCCCGGGACCCCGAGTCCCCAAATATTCTACCTAAGTTACTCAAAATAACTTCACTTCTTCTCCACCACACAAATGAATAGTTAGCACTGAGGACCAAAACAGTCCTATTCAGAACATGTAAGGAATCAGTTGGACTCTTTCGAAAACGAAGGGAGCTTTCGAATACGCTATTCTGTCTCTTCGAGAACCTAAAGAGACGCGATTCTACATTGACTTCAATCATCGCATATGGTTAATAATACCTCTTATGTACAGTCCGAACTTCATAGCTGGGAAGTGATATCGGCCTTCTACTACCGCCGTCACGTTACTACTACTCGATATGCCTCGCCTAGCGCACTGCCTTGGGAATCTGCATAGAGACTAAGCACCCCTGACCTGCCACTCGGCATAGGCGCTGGGCTTTCCAAACCACGATTCGCGTTCTAGTGTCTGGATCCTCTGAGGTGTCTCGATCCACTGTGAGTACTGATTGAACGCCCCCCCTGGTAAATCTAGAACGGCGCGGACCATAAGATACGGGCTGATGTCGGTGCAGGTCATGGAATTATACCAGCCATTTTTGATTGTGTGCTCGACTTCTACGACTTCGGAATTACAGCTACCCATGTCCGGCATCCCTGAGGCGCTAAATTAGAAATTGAAATGGAGCTGCTCGAGAGAGGAATAGGCAGAGAACGCAGGACTCGAGACGACTCTGCCTAAGATATTGTTGTCGGTCCAGGTGGTGGAGATGAGCATTTGATTACAAGATATGCTCCCCCGAACCTTGAGACCTCTGCCAATCTTGTCGCACTGAATCTTGAGTGTCGACTTTCCGTCTGAGTCGTCGTCTTTCCAGTATGTGCCGCTGGAACCGCGTTCTTGGAATGGCGTGGCCCTTGCCACAAGTGAGTCATCCCGGGGAACGTTAGTCGAGTCCAAGGTGAGCGGGGCAGCGTGAGCGGCTTGGAGAATGAACGCCGTCATTGTCATGATGTAATTTGCGAATCGAATCGAGAGCTTCATGGTTTTCTAGGTTTCTTGCTCGACAATCTGATCCTTGGGTTGGAGTTCGTGGTTCATGTGATCAGAATTTCCTGGACGGTGCTGTAGCAGAGGCCTAGGGGTGTTATGCCAACGTTTCAAGGATCTTTCGATGGCCAGCTTGCCAGTTTACATATCCGTGACACCCTACGCTCACTCGAGTGGTAATGTTGAGTTTGCATGACTCTGTACCAGAACAGACCAACTCGCACTATACCCTAACTAGTCCAGCAACTCTATTCTTGTCACGCCATGTGGACTATGTAACTCAAGACAAAAGACAGGACAGGGCTAGACTCTCGAAATGGCCAGTGCACTCTACACTATTATTGGAACAACGTATGTTAGTGCGCAAGTGCCTGAACCTTTCTACGTGAGTGAGCGTCTGAGCGCCATATCTTGGAACTACGACAATGAGGGAAAGTATCCCGAGATGCTACGGGCACTGCAACCGAAAGAAATGAGAAACTAGAACGGATTGAGAGGAAGGGGTCCCTATTATCGTAACTAGCTCCTCTGTGGCAAAAGGTGGCATTGAGATTCGTATGAGAGCCTCGCCAAAATCGTAAAAGTTCAGCCTGTTGTCGCTTGAAAACTGGGTTTAAGACCCTACCTTTGTTGGTAATAATACATCCATAATACTTATCCAAAATCTAGAAGAATAAAAGTTTCATAGAGAGAACATAAGAGCTAGAGTCTTTCAAGTAAATCTGCATGTGAATTGAAGGCCCATCTGATAAACGGAAAGAGCATCAGAGGGATGATGATGACTATACGAGGTCCGTAAGAGGTGAAAGTAGCGGCGCGTGCGGCCTATGAGTATGCCTGAAATGGCAGGGCTGCCTAAATTGAAGGTGTCTTGCGCGGTAACAACCCACATACTGAGTACGATATCATCAGAGATCAATAATGCCAAACACAACTCCGCATACGTACATTTCTATCATATTGAATCCACTGTCAGCCATGCTCAGCTATATGCTATCTGCGATAAAGTCAAGTTGGAGGAACAAGTGGTAAACACCACGTATGAGATGTGTTGAATCCCTCGCTTGCTATGCTTGTGCTAATAGCCATGCTCATTGGAGTTGAGTCGAGCCGAGCTTGGTCAGTTAACGATATATTTGCAGGTACGTGCCGTAGAATCTCGTTCAATCATCCTCGTCGTCGTCATCATCGTCGTCGTCGACATCGTCATCCTCCTCCTCTTCAGAATCTTCATCCTCGTCGCTGTCATCCGCTTCCTCAGGGTATTCCAGGACAATCCATTCACACCACTTTTCCCACTCCGAGCGCCACTCCCGCAGTAACTGAGATTTGATTGTCTTGCCGAGATAGCCATCAGTAATTGCCTTTGTCCACTCGGCGGCCTTTTGATCCTCGATCGCGCACCATTTAAGCGAGTTCTCCGCCATGGTCCCAAGCCCTTCGAGCCCAAAGTTATCGAATGCCATATACGCTTGCCAAAAATCATGGGACAACCCGTTTTTCCCGTGTCCGAGAATAGCAGGGTCGTCGTTATTCATGGACACCGAGACTCCCCTCGAGAGTAAAGCTGGCAGCGAATGGCCTAGAATGCTGCTCGAAAGCCGCAAGATCTCGTTTGAGATGGGGCAGCTCTCGATCAAGATCTTCTTTTCTTTGACCATATCAATCAGCAATGGATGTTTGTACAATGAGTAACCGTGTCCAATTCTTCTGGTGCCCAATAGAATCGCGTCAAACAGATTGTTATCTGTGCTGTCACCATCACCCAGGCATTCGCCCGCATGGAAGAAGAATGGCAGATCCACACCAGCTTCAGAGCATTTCTTCCTAAACCAGAATATTAGAGGAGTTAATTCGGTCAAAGTCTTGCCCATATCCTCCTGGGCCACAAAGTCGAAGCCACAAACAAGATGCGGAAATTTCTTCTTCATACGAATACACTCCTTCATGCCATCAACTTGTGAGCGTGTGTCCAACCTTCGTATGACAGTCCAGATCATCCGTGCACCCTTGAAGTTCTTTCCTGCCTCTGTCTTCTTGAATTTCTCAATCTCCTCACCAAAGGCAATGAAAAAGTCATCAAACCGCCCTGCCTGACCATTTGTTTGGCCCTGCTTGCGATACTCGAATCGAAAGGCGGCTCTGAGATCCACATAGTTAATCCCATCGGCTGCCAATTGTCCCAACAGTCTTTGGAAACCCCTTCGAAAGATAGGTTCGTAGAAAAGCATCCATCCAACACTTAAAAATGTGCTCTGGAATTTCCGCCAGATTGCATTCAGACCATGATGGTGACACAGCGATTCTTCGGCTGTCACAGTACACCGATGGAGAAGCCATTTCTTGAACGTCGAATCATCGTCGGGGAATGTTCGTTGTGCTTCTCTGATGGGAATAGGCGTATTTGCAGCGTAGTTGGCAGTCCAAATATTGGCAGGGCTCTTCTGCTTCTTGATCTCCACATCAGGATAATATCTTATCTGTAGAAGACTTTTGTTTCGCTTTTCCCTGTCGCTCAGTCCTTCAGGTGCTAATATGCAGAAGCCTTTTTCAGCCAATGCCTGGTCAACTAGCCAATCAATGTCAATCATAGCATCGAGATGCGCGTGCAACAGGGCGCCCTTTGGCATTTTCTCAATAATCTTCCACATCTCAGTGGTTTCAATGCGGTCACGTGCTAGAGTAAACATCATGCCGGGATAGAGATTGCCACCGTTCTTCTCCGCGAGGCTGTCCTCGAACTCGGAAGTCCAAACCTCTTTTAACTCCCGGCGGCGGATGGAAGACATGATCTTTGCAGCCTGTTTGGCCATCGGTGACATGGTCCGTTTGAACAGGTAGTCGTGTCTTTGCTTCTTCTCCTGTTCAATCAATGCTTGCTTGCCTTGCATGTACTTTTGGATGAAGGGATCTTTAACTTGAGGGATGCCCTCCTCCAGCTCCCATTCAAGCTGTGAATCGATAGAGTCATCATCAGAGAGATTATCTGCTATGGCCATGATGGTGGTCCCCAGTTTGCGTTCCACCGCTGATGAAAAAAGTCACTGGAAAATGGCAATAGGACTAGTATCAGTCTTGACAGAGAAACATTGAACTGATCAGGGAAAGTGTCCTCGTGTGACGCGGCGTTTGCTCGTCTTATCCAAAAGGGACATGTCGCCTCTTGGCACTGGGTTCCCGCCTAAACCTAGCAACCGGCCTCTGTCTAGTAATTATCGGGATCTGTTCATCACCTCACCTTCCATCCTGTACCGCTTCATCACGCCAGAGCGAGTCTCTTGTCCTGATAGCGGATTTAGGGTGCCCTGTTTGTATTATCGACTCTCGCCTAACTTTCTGTGTCGTTTGTTGACCACGCTCAAGTACTTTCAATCCTGCGGACCCCAGAAGTCCGCGCAGGTGTTGGCTCCTCTCCTGTAAGACACTTATCGACACCGTCAATACTCTTACTTTCATCTCTCTGGTTCTAGGACAGATCCCACATCCTCCAAGTCTAGCGTTTCTTCCACCACTGGTACTATAAGGGCCCTTGCGCCACCCAGACCTCACTTAAGATGAGTTAGTACTCACTTGTACTGGATTCGTCGGTGATTTGGAACCAGCAACCGCAAAAGTTGATCATAACTATGACAAGGAGATACATTCTGTGAAGGAGATACTGGATAAGAGTAGTGCGCTCCGAATTCCCGCCTATCAAGACCTCACATGACTGTCCCTTCCATCTACGCTTGTCTACGACTTTCTCTTACCAGAAACCAATACTCTGTACCCACTGGCACCTTGAAATTGCGAAATTGAAGCAGTTGAGAGGATCTAATACTTATAGACGAAGAGGCGAGGAGTCCGTCGGCCGCTTATATTTGAGATTTGGGGTAGCTCTCCTCGTTTGAAGAGAGCACCAATCTATTTTGAGAGGGTGGTGTTGCCAATATCTAAACCCAGACCAAATAGGTTCGCATCGAGGTGAGTTCAAGCGGCCCGCGACCGAAATTCGGTAAATCGATCATAGACATTGATTTCCATCTACATATCTACGCAGCGTGCGCTGTATGCCACGAAATAGGAGCGTTGACTCTGGTGAGCCTCGCTTGCAGAGTGTCGGACATTTTAGGTACCGACCAACGCCTGAGGAAAGCCACTTGCCAAGATTGGCTCGTAATTGTCATGGTTCCCATTGGAAACTTTCGTATCCAACACCCAGTCTGGACTGGTGTTCCCAGGCTCCGAATTCATGATAAAGATTGCCGTCTTGTTGACATGGAACATTCGATCGTATATGATCCGCGAGGCTAGCAGTCCCAGCCACGTTTCGTAGAATGCAGGCTTCTCGTTGGATACTTTACAGGTGCCTGGGTCGCGTTCGTCGTATACCTCTGTAGAGCCTGCTCTGCCACTTTGTGGAGTGGCTCTTCTGTCCAAGCGATGACATATCTCAATCTCAAAGAAAAACAGACAGAAGAAATATTAAAGTCGGTGACCGCACACGGTGGTCTGGAAAATCTTCCATCCCATCAGCATCTCTTGGATTTGCATACCCCCTGCCCATTCTTAACCACTTCCTACAGACTACCTCCATCATGAAATCTTTATCCAAGCTTTTGTTACTCGTCAGTGTCACAATATGCGCAAGGCTATGTCACAGTATGGCAACACTGCCCCGGGGATCCGGTAGCAGCAGGTACGATGACCAGAACCCTTCCGACGGTTTATCTAATGACGGTTCGGGCCAACAGGCCAGGTAATCCAAGTATTGCAAGTCAGCTGGAGAAGCTGAGAGTGGAATACGACGTTCCAGCTCTGGGGGTGAGCGTAGGGCCGCACTTCAAGGGCGCTGTCGTTGGCACACGCAAAGTTCACACGGATGTGAATGCCACTATGCATGACGTATACCACATTGGCTCCAACACGAAGGCTATGACGGCCACAGTAATTGCGGTCTTGGTTGAAGAGGGCATTCTGTCGTGGCAAACGACCTTGGGTGAAGTCCTAACAGACTACTCGATGCTTGAAGTATATCGAAATGTCACCATCGAACTTCTCACGTCTCACCGCAGCGGCATCACCGATGATTCGGCGCAGGACGAAACTTTCTTCACCTCCCTAACCAACGTTTCCGCTCCCTTGGGCAGATCAAGGATGGCCAAGCAGACTTTATCATCCCCGTCCAACAGCACCCAAGGCATCTGGGTCTATGCAAACATGAATTATGTCCTCGCCGGCCTCATTATCGACGTCACAACGGGCCAGACCGTCGAAGATATCATGTACAGCAAACTATTCAAACCGCTATCCATGTTTTCAGCCGGCTGGGGTTCGACTCCACAGAGCTCCATCACCTCTATCGATAATCCGTGGGGCCACATCATGACGGCCGACGGGCCCCAAGCCGTTGGCGAAGGCGAAGACAACCGATACCGAGACCTGCCGGCCGGGCTCAGCACCGCTGGGCTCCTGCACATGACGATCCAAGACTGGAACAAATTCCTCACTATGCACCTCCAAGCAGCGAAAGGACGGCCCCCAAAGACCGTCAAATTATCGGTGAAGGGGTTCCAAAAGCTCCACACGTCTGCCCCAGGTCCACCGCCGGAGGAGTTTCCTGGCTTTGGCTACACGTATGGTGGCCTCGCCCGCGGCGAGGATGCTTCGGTGCCCGGCCAATATATGTTGGCTCACTGTGGCAGCAACGACAGGAATTTCGCTTGCGTGAACATCATCACCACTAACAGCACCATCTTCACCTCGTTCACAAACGAAGGTGGCAGTGCCGCAAACAATGTCACGATTGAGCTTCTGGCTAGCCTGCGAAACGGCACAATGCTATTTTGATTCGATTCGACCATCTGTCCACTGGGCAGCGTTGTGAGCTGCAGCGGGCTTTGTTAGGTGTTGCTCATTCCCTTTTTTGTAGACTATTCTGTTTCTATATATCTTAATTCAGGAGGCAAAATAGACTTTTCATTACGCTGACTCCCCTAGGTGCTTGAATATCCGTCACTGTGAGATTTGCGGTACGGAGATGCCAATATCTTTAACGCTGACCCTTTTCGGCTGCATTTGTTTCTTGTGATGTTATTCCACCATCTTTGTAAGTAAGACTGGGCGAGTTCTTCGGGACCTGCATCAGCCAGTGTAGAATGATTGCCATGGCCATGTTGAACATGATAAACACCCACATCAACCCCCAGTCTCGCCATCTGTTGACGTAATTAACCCCAAGGGAAGGTAGAATTGCATTGGAAGTCGACAGAGTGCAGTACCGACAGATGTCAGCCACATCAGGATTCAAAAGAGTCCACCCGCAGCAGCAATACAGTCAAACATGTATTCATTACAGGTGGTATTGCCGGCGGGCGCAAAATCTAGGAGCTCTGCTTCTGAACATGTTACCGGGACCTTGGCTAGGCCAACTCCTAAAGGCCATCCACTACTCGATAGGTAAAGCGATTAGTTCGATAGGCGAAAAGCCAGAAGCCAGACATTGCCTACGGACCAGACAGGATGCCCAGAACAAGAGTATTATCGCGGCAGAAACGTTCCCGATTTTGCATGCAGTTTCAAGCTTGTAATTCTAGCGATAATGAGATGCGCAAAGGTTGAAGATATACGCATGAACATCCATATAGCGAGGAAAGCGAGTGTTCCACGATACTGCTCAGCATTTGAGAGTCGAGCAATGGCGTTTACATAGTCCGATGGGGAACCACCAAGAGATGAAGACATTTATGGCCATCAACTGCGCAAGTACGTTAGCTTACTATCTAGCCATGGTTGAAAAATACGTAGACAAACCGTGTTCCAGGGAATTTCAACTCCTCTATTAGAAACTGTAATCGAGTTGCTGTACTCGGTCACAATCAATACAACACCTGTCTTGGGCTTGAGGAAGGTGCTGTGGCCTCTAAGGTCCAGAAGGGCCAGACGCCGTTTCGTAATTAAGAGTGTATCGGAGTGTCAGGCGATGGCTAGAGGAACAATACCTACGTACGGAAGTGGCAACGGCCATCCTCCATACTCGTTCATTTGACATCTTATCACGCGAGCAAGCGCAGTCAGACCTGTTTCAATGCGAGCACGATTGCAGATTTTCACTCGATACAATTGTCCTGATATCCGGTGGCAGTGACAGGCAGTGGCGATGCTTTGGAGAAGATCAGCGAAACCTTCCACTCATCCCCAAAATTCAATGCAATCATAAATACGAGAAAGTGGCTCAAATGGCAGATTCACGAGCTTTCAGTGGTTCACCGACTCGCTTCATCAGGCTGAAAAACAGGGGCGTAAACCACCACGGCTTGAGGCCGAGTGGCGTGGGGCGCAGTCTGGACCGAGATCGCGGGCTTAGCCTGGCGCCCAAAGTTCTTGTCTCTGCCCTGGTCCGTCGAAGCGCCCATTGGTGAGGCTGTCAAGGACTTCGGGTTGAGACTATTGACGGTAAATGCCAACTTCAAGCATTTTGGCACTCGCTTGGAGGCAGAGGGTCTATCAGCTCTTCACCCTTTTACCCCCAAATCCAAGGATTAATAACGACGATGAAAGGTCTACGCGAGTTCCTCTGTATGCGTGCCGCGATGTCGACCTTTTCCCTTTCCTGTCCACGCTGGTGTGATTTTTCTGCGGTAAGTGCCTTCGTTCTCAATATACTATCGCTTTTCAGTCGGAACCTCTGAGACGCCAATATGATTTCATTCATCTTTCTCCTGCTGGCTTTCGCTTTGTTGCAGGTTGTCTTTGGTACGGATCCTGCTATCTTCATACATACTGGAGACCGTCGTCTTTTTCAGATGTTGCATTTCGCGGCGAGGCTATTTTCGATGTTGGAGTACCCTGGTTAACTTGAAATGTAGCGCAATGTGATGGGCCTTCCATAACCATTAGCAGCACAGCGGACGCCACAGCCATCTCAAATTGTGGAAACTATAATGGCGACATCATCATCGCAGACAGTACTTCTGGGGCTCTAGCGCTCGCCGGAATTTCACATTTGAAGGGTGACCTCACATGCAATAACGCGACAAAGCTGGACGAAATTTCCTTCGCTGGGCTTGTTACCATCAGTGGTAGCTTCATTCTCAAAGGATTGCCTGTCCTCTCTGGGTTGAAATTCGACTCGCTTATGGAGGTCGCTGGCGACATCCTTTGGGCTGACTTACCTGCTCTGCAAGGCCTGGACTTCGCAACTGGTATCGTGACTGCAGACCGGGTCTCGATTTCCAACACAGCTCTAAGAGAGCTCTCTGGCTTAGAATTGACCACGTGCAATGCTCTCGAGGTTTCCAACAACCCAGATCTGGCAGCAGTCAACTTCAATGATCTCACAAACACAACCAACTCGATCTCGATCTCCGCCAACAGCCCCAGTCTCGAAGTTAACTTGCAACGCCTCACTATTTCGCGTGGTATCACTTTGCAGAATGCCAACACGTTGGATGTACCATTGCTAGAAACCCTTACCGGGACCTTGAACCTCTCAGAAAACAGTTTTGGAAGCTTTTCGGCGCCAAGCCTTACCCTGGCGGTGGATATGTTCATCACAGGCAACCCTCTGCTTAGCAGTCTCATGTTCCAGCTCCTACCAGGAATCAGTGGTGACCTGATCATCACCAACAACAGTCGCTTGGGGGCGATCGCTTTCCCCGATCTGCAGCGAGTTGCTGGGAACGTCAACGTGACTGGGCAGTTCTCAAGGTAAGGGATACGCTGCGCCCCGGTATTGCATGGCTACTGACATCCTTCCAGAGCCGATTTCCCTGTCATTTCCAGTATCCAAGGCGACGCGATTATAGAAACCAGTATTGACAATAGCACTATATGCGAACAATTCAACCGCACGGGTGACGGGAGTTGCACCACAGGCACAGAACCGCCAGAGAGTGTCTCCATTGATACCTCAACTAATAGCACAAGCTCCGGTGGCAGTAACACAACGGACCCTCCTTCGAGTGGGGGCAATGGAAACACGAGTAGCTCTGATAGCTCGAGCAGTGGCATTTCAGGAGCCACAATTGGAGGTATTGTCGCTGGCGTTACTGTGTTGATCCTGCTGGGGGCCGGATGTTGGTGGTGGTGGAGTAAAAGAAGAAAAAGCCAGAAACCCAACCGTGGAGAGAACCTCGAGGACTCGACGCCAGAGCTTCCCATAGGAGGGCACCATGAAAAGCCCGAACTTCAAGGCTCAGAAAGGATTCGGCACCAAGATCCATCACTGTATGAATTGAAGGACAATCCGGTGAAGAGACATCCTGCCGAGCTTGGATGAGACAATCAAATCGCTGAGATGGAGGGAAGCAGTGTTGCTCAGATGGTCGGCGATGGTCGGCGATGATACCTTGCAATGTAATGAAAATTTGCGACCGCGATCATTGGACATCCTTATTGTGCTTTTACCGCTCGAACTATACTTGATTCAGTGTCATCCAATATCTTAATCTTGTCCCTTGAAAGCAACAAAGGCGTTTTACATGTCTGCGCCGAGAAACACCCCAGAAAATGTTGCCCAGGCCAAAATTGGGGCTCCGCAGCTGTGAACCTCGGCATCTCTTCAGGGTCCAAAAGTTGGTGCGGAGATGGTCGCAGTAGCTGACATGAGTTCTCGTGGGTGTTGGCTAACTAGATATTTTCCTATTGCCAACCATTGCTGCTGTTCTCTGAAGTCTTGTTGATGTGGTCTTAAGTGATCGTAGGACAGAGTAGTATCTGCAATTTCAAGACATAACCCGACAGGAGAACCATATAATGTCGTCACAAGAACAGGAAGCTCCGTGGAAAGACATCGCAAGGCGAAAGCAGGCCGACCGAGCGTCTCGGATTCCTTTGAAGTGGCAGATTCCAGCAACCGCAGTGCCTAAAGATCCACCTCAAGCTAAGGATGGGCGTCAGAACGTAATCAATGTGCCCCGACAGTTCCTCTCAAAAGCAGAAATCTCAATCACTGAAGGGTACACCGTTCCCAGCTTGCTGGCAGCCATAGCCTCACGCACGCTGTCAGCTCAAGAGGTCGCCGAGGCGTTTTCACATCGAGCGGCTATTGCTCATCAGTTGACGAATTGCCTGACGGAGCCGTTGTTCGATAGGGCAATTCAAAGGGCACAGAAGCTGGATAAATATTTTGAAGAGAACGGAAAGCCCTTTGGACCGCTACATGGGTTGCCCGTCTCTGTGAAAGACACGTTCGATATTGCTGGCGTAGACACCTCAATCGGTCTCGCGTCTCTTTGTTATAAGCCTGCTAAAGCCAATGCTCCTCTAGTCGACCTTCTCCTCTCTCTGGGTTGCATCATTGTGGCAAAGACAAACATTCCGCAGACGCTGGCGTCCCTCGATTCGATAAACAATGTCTTTGGTCGCACGATGAACCCGATCAACCGTTTGACCACTGCTGGTGGGTCATCCGGAGGTGAGGGCGTCCTTGTCGCGATGAGGGGCTCGATGATTGGCATTGGTACAGATATTGGTGGGAGTATCCGTATCCCTGCGATGTGCAACGGCATATATGGATTTAAACCCAGTAATGGTCGACTACCGTACGGTGGGCAGGCGCTGACTGGGAATGGGATGAGCCGAACAAGCATCCAAGCTGTTGCAGGACCCATCGGCCGAAGTGTCGAAGATATGGATGCGCTACTGAAAGAAGTTATGCCACGGGCGAACTTCTGGGGCGAAGATTGTTACCCAACGCCATGGTCCTCATATCGCAATCTGAAGGCCAACGGAAGTGGCCAAGCTGGCGAACTTGTCATTGGTATCCTTCGCAGTGACGGCAACTGTGCCATCCTACCACCGATCTCTAAGCTCCTGGATGAAGTCTCGTCCGCACTACAGAGCAGACCGAACATCAAGGTCGTGGAACTGGCAACACCCAAAGCGTGGACGAAATCTCAGTCTATAATGAGCAAGCTGATGGGCGTTGATGGTGGCACTGTGATGGCAGATCTGATCTCTTCGACTGGGGAGCCCCTCGTCCCATGGATGTCGACCCGTTTCCGCAAGGGCAAGCCTCAGCCTTTGACTCGTGTGGCTGAGCTGCAGGCCCAGCGTGAGATCTTGGAGCGCGAAATGCTCCGGATCTGGACCGAGGATGATGCTGAAGGCCGTCGGAGCCAGAAATTGGACGCCATCATTTGTCCGCTCGCGCCTCATCCTGTGCCCCCAATCGAGGGATACAATGCTGTTGGCATGACTAGCTCATGGGTTCTTTTCGATTACCCTGCCGGCACCCTCCCTGTACGTTCACTTAGCGAAGGCGATTTGGAGTTGGGCAAGCCGCAGGGCGGAAAAGCACTGAGCTCCTGGGATGAAAAGAACCGCGAGCTCTGGGACGAAAGCAAAATCGATCGACGCGTATACCTAGGCACCCCGTTAAGTGTCCAGGTCGTCGTGCCGCGGCTCCAAGACGAAAAGTTGATCGAGGTTATGGGCTGGGTCGACAATGTTGTAAATCGCAAGACTACCCAACGTGATGGCAAGCCCAAGCTCTAGCTCCAGTACCATTGCTACCTACAAAAACTGGGATGTTGTGATGAACATTGTATTAGTTGTGCCTGTGTAACGAATCAAAAAGCTCGCTCTGCAAATTCATACGCACAATTTTGCTTTGATCCTGTATGTCTGCCCTGCTGGAGCTCTGAGGAGAAATGCCTCGATTATTATTGATCCCTTGCTTCGACCTCGAGAATGTTCAAAATCTCATGCTTGGTCAAGACTCAAGTGACCGTCACTGCTCCTTGTCGAGCCGCTTTTACCGAGAATGAAACCCTACAATGACCAGCCATTCAGACTTCTATGGACGCGTTCATAAGCCATAGAATGGATCAAGCGGTTTCAACTCTCTTTCTCAAGTCATTCCCCGTATCGAGCGATAGCCCATTCTTCCTATTTGTCATATCCGAGCTTTCGCCGCCTCCACCGTGGCTGTCCTTCTTCCCATGTTGTTTCCGGTCGGTCGGGTACGTACTAGCCTTCTTAACAAGCTTCTCATGCTTCCCGGGTTGCAGTGTGTGGAAAATCGTGTTGATCTCGGGCCAGAGCCTCAGTATATCATGCTCAAAAGCACCCAGTGGTTCCTCTGGAATTTCGATAGTGATTGTCTCTTCACCCGTTGAAGTACAATTCCTCACTTTCACCATACCATTTGCCAGCACCTCTTCCGCAGTGACATTTTTCTTCCATACCACGTCCTTCATCTGGCCGACCTGCCCTGGCGCATTCATTGCGATAGGTGTATCCGGGTTTGTCTCAATACCGTGCATGACCCAGCCCTGCATTGCTTGGGACTCGTAAGTACCTTTGTCATCGTAACCGAGACCGTGCTTGCCCATTCGGATCCGTACAGAGGAATGCATAGTCTCTTCTGTGCGAGCCAGACGTGGTCGCTTATGCTCTTCATGTCCAAACCAGCGAGCAACATGGTGGAATAGCTTCCACATGATCCAGAGAACAGTGCCATGTTGAGATGCGAGTTCCTGTTCGCGATATTCAAGCGGGGTTCTGACTCGGCTTCCTCCCATTCGGAAAAAGAAACTCATACTGTTATGAATTTTCCCCAGTCCCCAAGGCCGTGTCGTCCCGTGTGTTGGGGCACGAGAGATGCTTGTTCTCTTCGTTATCGCGCCATTACTGGGTGGCGGCGCAAGTAGTGCTGCGGTGGGCCTGATACAATTCATGATGTAGTCTGTGTCGATGGTCAACAATTTGTATTGTTCAAACAGACTAACCATCCATGCCAATGTCAAATTTGCGAGCGCCGCGTCGTCGTAGCTCCCACCAATGTCACTGTGCACGCCAGGGAACCATGTTTGCTTGAGAACTTTAAGATCATGGTGCTCGGTATGTGGCCAATCCCAGATCGTCGGGCTATATGCGCGACGGTGCTCATCTAGTGCAAGGGCTTGGAAGGCATACTCAATGTTCGACTCGACCCGCGTGTCCACAAAGGCAAAATCCTTAGATGGTGGCTGCGGCAGCAGCCCGATCATGGGAATTCCCAAACCACCCACAGTATCCCAAACCGCGACACACTTGATCTTGATGTTGTGCCTGCTCAGACCTCTTTTCTTCATTTCGTCCCGATATTTATGATCCGTAACAGGCGGCTTGTGACCTGGAAATGGAATCTGAGGCCACTCGGTCTTGTACGGCGGTTGCTGCTGCTGAAACTCCCAGTCTTCAAAGACCTGAGTGAAGAACTCTAGCCCTGTCGCCGTCAACAGACCTACGGCACTGATGAGGCTGGAAATACTTCGAGCCGTGAAGGCACCTCTCGAGAACCCTAGCAAGAAGATCTCATCACCATCGTTGTAGTTCAGGCACACAAAGCTGTATGCTTCACGGATGTGCTCCGATAGTCCAGCCCCGGTCGCACCGCCAATATACTTATTGTAGAGGGATTTTGAGCCCGTCCCAACTCCATTGACGTAGCAGATGAGCTGGTGGATGGGCTGTGGAGGCGAGACGTTGGTGTCGAGGCCCGATGGAGGTATCGCACGTGCGATGCGTGTCACATTGCTTGGGACCTGGTAGTCACCGTCGCTATCCATCCAGGTCCCATCGCAGCAGACAACGATGCGCTTTTTCGGCACTTGAGGCTTTGGATTTGTTGAGCTCGCCATCATGGCCAGAGATTGCAAACCCAGGTTCCGAATCGTTCAACTCGTCGACAAGAACCACAAAAGTTCAAGATAAATAGCCAGATATTAATTGTAGTTATTTGCTGGCGGGGTAGGTGCTCAAAGTTCGTGGTGAAATTCGTTCAGCCAAGGGGCTCCACGAGACGGTCCTCGCAATTTATGTTGAAGAGACTGACCAGTGCAATTTCACAGCCTCGCTGGAACTGCAACAAACTCCCTCAATGATGGAGATGAAGAATGAAAAGCCGGCCGGCTTGTCTGTTCACCTGTCGCTGTGAAAGCGCGACAGCAGTGACACCAAACGCAATGATCGCTGAAAGAGGACCAAGGAAAGGTAAAGGTGTCAAATTAAGTCAACCGCTCATCACCAGAACTGCACTGAAATGGAATACGAGGTAGAATGACCAAAAGAAGCTGCGTCGGGTTGGCTGGTTGGGCAGCTCTCACATTCTTTTTCTTTCAGCCGACAGGCATAGCCAGCCACCGACAGGAGGAAGAGATGAGGAGTCTAAGGACTGGGTGTTCTTTTGCTCGTGTTTAACAGCCCAGACGACGGACTCCCAAGGCGCCCACGTCCTGCAACAGCTAAGCCAAGACGTCAGCCCCAGCCTTACCGGCGAGACAGACGGGAACAAGGGGCGGGCCTGAGCGATCATTTCCCCACTTCTTGCTGGCTAGTCACCCGCCAGTGCTGAGTGCTGAGTGCTGATTCCTGACACGCTGCAGCCTGCCGGAGGGCTGCTTGGAGGAGCGGTACCAATTACTATTGGTAATGGAGGTTCAGAAATGCCCCAAAACTCGCAAAGAACCCCCGAGTACTTGGTGGGGAAGCGATTGTATAGTCTTTTGGGTGAGACCCAAAGATCTCCAACTAATGATTTTTATTTCTTTTTTTGGTATATGTCTAATATTTAACACTGGCCATTCTCTCCAGCATCATGGTGACTTGATATGTACAGATAATGTTAGTGCTGTGGGCATCATCGTACGGCGTGCATGCATTTACCCTTTCGGTTGTGATGGAATCACCCATTTATCCTGGCGAGGCCCAAAGGTTTTACCGTTGACTTGCGGTCCTGGTCCGACGCTGGCAATTCTCTTTGGCGTTGGCAAAAGAGCTTCTCATCTTCGCGGAATTCCCGTCACGTCACGGTTGAGACACCCCGGCCAATGAGCGCACTGTTGCTCTGATGCTTATTGTGCTGTCTCTGGTTAGTCTCTTGAGTGGGCTTGTCACCTCATTGCAATCTCTGTACCGCCATGCCGCAAGAATGGTCACGTCTCTTTTTGCTTGATTTTGCAATTTTGCCTTTTTTTTGGTGTTTCGTTGTAACAAGAGTTGGGATGGGCATTGAAATTCTTGTTGGAGAAGTCCGACACGTCATCGATAACCTTGAATGTCAATAGCTCTCGAGGGGCGTGAACTTTCATGCGAGTGCGAATCGAGGCCAAGCTGCTTGTCTGTGTGTATCCATTTCATACAGGAGCAGTGGCGGGTGTCGGCGTCACAGACGAGGTCATCAATCGCTGGCGTTTGACTGCACTACCATTGGTTTCGACATTCTAATTCACGGTTAGTGTATGATGATACGAAAGTACGATGAGCGGAGGAAAGCGTACATCGACCTCATTGATACTGCGACGAGGAATATTCTCTGGTCTAGGTGCCTTGACCGCCTTCTTCACTGGCTTGGAGGGTCGAAGCTCACCAAGTTGTGGATCGAATAAGTCTTCAGGTAGTTCCCAACTGCGATTGTTAGCGTTGGATCCATGTTGAAATAGCTGCGGGCGCTCACCTCTTGAAGGATGCAAGACTCAGTGTATGTAATTCTTTGACGTAGGTTGGCGAACCTTCACAAACATCCCTGAAGGCTGAAAAGGCTGGAACCAAGTTCAAACTTCCTTTGGGGATGGTGTCAATGCCAATGTAGAAAGTATATGTGTAAAGACTATGTGCATTTCCATCCACTTCTGCTTTAGCGTTTTCAGCGGCGGGTATAGCGGCGCCTTCACCGCCGGCAGTCACCAACTCGGGGTCATTTGTTTCCACAGTCTTTGTCTCTTCGATTTTGTACTTCATGCTGCCTTTTTGCGCCTCTCGAAGTTGGGATTCATTTTCGCACTTGTGAACTCTCTTGAACCCTTTTGTAAATGGTCTGGCGAGCTTGATATCGGAGATTAGCTCCAACTGCATGACAAAGAGACGAATTTTGGATTCAACAGCACCTGCCCAAGCCTTGGCTGCATCGGGATTCGAGGAGCTAGCAGTGACGGCGAGATAGTATTTATGGTCGGCAGTGAAGAAGGTGTGTTTCTTGAAGAGATCACTCCACGAAGCCTTTCCCGCAAAGATCTTGTTTGTGATCTGACCGCCTCTCTCTAGCTCACGCAAAATAATAGTTTTGCCCGATTTTGAGATGTTGTAGGTTGCACACATGCTTGGGAAGGCTGGGGTGATAATGGGCATGATATTCTTGCGGTCACTCGTATTGATAGCGGGGTTCCAAACTCGAAACCTTGACTTCTCCTCTGCAGTCCTGCCCTGTTCAATGTCTTTCAACATGACTGGAGTTGGCCATTTCCAGTCCTTGATCACGAAGAAGAACTTATCGACAATTGTAGCTCCGACTGCATGCGGATACAATTGACAGACACGAGCAACAAGCATAGCCCAAGCCACACCACCGGGATAACCAACGATATTGGCATAGATCGCCCTTCTCTGGGCCCACAATTTGATTGCTCGCAGAGCCGTTCGGAAGGTCTTTTGTTCGGGAACCAATTTCAAAATCTCATCAGTGACTCGCTAAGAACCAGTCAGTATTGTCTCTAGTTGTTGATGCTCGTGAAAACTTACTGGACCAGTGACGGCTCGGACAGTTCGCTCGTCGATGCCTGTAAGGAGGCTGTTGTCGTTCAAAGTTAAATCCTTCGGAATGGTTGAAAGGGAGGAAATCGAGGCAAAGATCAAATCGATCTCGATGCCATTCAGGACCAGCTTGATGATGGGAACAAAGGCTTCGGGCACGGCTGTCAACGAGGTGATGGCTCCTGGACCAGCTAGCCGTTCGAGAACTCCAGGATACATCTCAAAGAAGTCCTCACGAGTGACATGTCGCGGGGCCACTGCCAGCGTGTCGATATCAGAGCCTGATTGGTTTAGTCAGTCACAATGCCTTCGGATTGAAAGAGCATATTCTTCATACCTGGACCGAACACGCCCAACCGGTAACTCCCATAATGAAAGATCTTGCCACCAAACTGTTCAATTTGCGCGGGTGGGAGTCGTTGTTTCCGACTGACTTCTCGCACGAATTCCTGAGTGACCCGATTCAAAAGGTGGAGAGTCGCGATTCGTTTCTTAGTCTCATCTTGCGCCTCATAGTTGTTCTCCCTCTTAAGTTCTTCTATCAAGTCTGCGGTCTTCTCGTTGTCTAACGGTTCAGGCAGGGCAGTGGAAATCGGCGGGCTGACGCCATACTGTTTAGTGGACGACGTAGCCATGGTGCTCACTCGTCACGATCGAGAGTGACAGGAAGTGGTTGGGCAAGGGGCTGCTCAGCAGATGGTGAAAACAGGCAGCCAGGTTGAAGGGATTGGTGGGATTACAAGACGGAAAGGAAGGGAAAAGAAGGCAAAGACATGATCCCCAAACTCCAAAAATGAGAGAAAAGATCAAGTGAGGATGGTAAGCAAGGCAAGAGATGAAAGTTGGGCGAAGAAGAAGCTGAAGTCAAATAAGTCAGAGTGAAGCTGAAATTCACCCTGCTGGTGCCAGAGCATATGGACAAGACACAAGACACAAGACACGCTTGATGATGCGCAGGAGGGCGTCACTGTCGCTTTTGTCCCTGCCACCGCGCACCTTGTTCGGTTAGTACAACTACACCGGGCTAGGCGGTTTAGCAGAGTCGTTTTGACCAAATGGGGTAAGCCCAAATAATTGCCAAGGCACTGGCCCAAACAAGAATCGTCCAACACAACCATAATTACCTCGGGATTACAGTAACCATCATTATTAAACACAGTCAACACCAGACTCAAACCTTTGGTCTGGCAACTAGAGAATGTTTCTTGTTCAACTGTGGCGCCTCATTGAGCAACCTTGTAAGTCTCTCATCGAGCCACTTTACGTCGTCTTGATTCCCGGGTGGTCCCCCTGCCCAGTGGCCCCAAATGGATGGGTAAACATCCAGACTCCCGATCCCAGGCGACATGTTCTCTACTTCGTACTCAGAGTCTTCTGGCCTGTAGAAGAAGTCAGTCAATCTCCTTGCAACCTGGACAAGGATACACTGACGGAAAGTACAAATCTGTCTTGCTGGGGAGGACGAGGGTTTTTGCCTTGATACTTGCCATTGCCTTCTCAAAGTTGCCATTGTACGGCTCTTGTAGACTGACATCTCCAGCTTGCCAGGTATGCAACATGACCAGAAGGTTTTCTGGGTCTTTACTGAGTGCCCATGCCTCCCAGAATGTGACCATGAAATCTTCAAGGTCTTTGGCGCCATAATTCTTCTCATGAAGCCTATGTCGATAGAATGCCTGACTAAATCCCCAACCAGCATACCCTCTGCCAAACGCCTTCAATCCAACGGTTTTTTCTTCTTCGCTCCAGGTCCGTTTCTCCGAGCCTTTAGTCTCGGCTCTCCCATATGTACTTCCGGCAGACGAGACTCCTTTAGCGGCTAAGAGGGCAGACTTGACTCCTTCAAGGAAGACCTGATTATGGATGGAGGTCTTCGCCGAGCCACAGAATGGAACGGCGATATCCATGAAATCTGGATATTGTGTCGCCCACTGAAAAGACTGAGCAGCACCCATGGACCATCCGGTAACCATACGCAGATGGCAGATGTTCAGCTTCTGAGTCAACAACTGATGTTGAGCCTTGACATTGTCGTAGAATGTCACATCTGGGAACGGCGATATTTCTGAATTGCTTGGAGAGATCGACTGGCCATTTCCAAACAGAGCGGTTATGATGATGAAGTAATTCTTCGGGTTCAGCGCCTTGTCTTCACCTATCAACCACTCATTGTCTGCTATGGCACCGGAATACCATGAAGGGTACAGGATTGCTGGAGAACCACTATTCCCAAACGTCTTGTATGCAATCCAAGCCCCCTGCAAAACACCACCGCCTTGCAATTTGAAGTCACCCAAGTCGTATTTCTCGTAGTCAGGCATCATTTGATATGGCTTTAATAGCGTCAGGAATTCAGCAAGAACTTCAGAGCCAGATATCCATTTGGCCGGCCACAGGAGGTCTGGGAGAGTTGATGAGATGTCTGACCCCGCAAATGTCGGGCATCTCCACCAAAACAGTGTTCCGTTGTTGACTGGACAGCATACCGTCTAGCCTACAACGCTGATCTGCGGCTCGATTTACTGAGACACACACACACACACACACACACAACAAGGAGAGCTTGGACCCAGCTCTGGTGGCTTGCATTGATAGTCACTGGATGGTGTAGTGTGGGTGACAACCAGCACCAGCTTGATAGTTAGAGAGAAAAGCCGCCGGAGAGAGTTGCCCTGCAACTTAGAAGTCAAAGTCGTCTACCTATCTAATCCTTATGTAAGGTCCAGATGGGCGCCCAATAACTGCGGGGGGAGTTTACTGATCAACACTCCGCCTCATTGTCTCGAATTTGAATCTGAATAAACTCTGCTATAGAGTCCCTCTAGCATTTCCCTTCTGAGTCGCTATAGTTTCGTGCTTGAGTAAATACTTACTAGTCCATGTCACCACAGTCGTCTGAGCCTCCAAAGGCTCAGGAAAAGTATGGTGCTGAAACTACTGTCAAGCGAAATCCACACCCGGATTTTATAAAGGTACAAGCATCTCGACCAGATTGGGATGAATCCCGGCAATGGCATCTCACTAAAACTAGAAATCCTAGCTGGACTTACGGCTCTGGAGCAAGTGAAAAATCTAGTATCAACAAATCCCACGTATCTATTGACCCATATGCTAAAGGGCGGCCTCCAGTATATAATTACAAGCTCCTCATATCTGGTATCGTCCCAAGGCCGATCGGATTTCTCTCAACCACTTCTAAAGATGGCTCATCAACGAACCTGGCGCCTTTCTCATATACCCAGGTCTTCAACCACGACCCTCCGATTTTCGCTGTAGGGTTTACCGGTGGTCTTGAGGACGCAAAAGATACACTGAGAAATCTGGTGGATACGGATGAGGTTGTCATCAACATTATCAGTGACCACTACCTCGAAGCTGCTAACGCATGTGCCATCGACCTTCCGTACGGCCAGTCAGAATGGGTTGCTTCAGGACTTACACCTGTCGAGAGCAAAGTTGTCACACCTTGTCGTGTTAAGGAAGCGGTTTTTAGCATAGAAGGCAAACTGTTGAACACCCAGGAATTCGTGTCCCGAACATATCCTGGCAAGAAGACTGGGGTCCTGGCCGTTATCGAAGGAGTACACTTTTGGGTCCGGGAGGACGCCATCAACGAAGAACAAAATCTCATCGATCCTGCCATCTTGCGGCCGATTAGCAGGTTAGGTGGCATCACCTATGCCAGGGTGACCGATGGCTTCGAGATCCTACGACCAGTACTGAAGCGAGAGCTCGAGGAAGGGAGAATCGGAGATGAGCTACTCAAGCCGAAGGTAGACGGGCAATCATTCGCATGTTCTTGCCATCCAGCTGATGAAGGTAGATATAGATATATATCGAGTCGAAGGGGGCCATCTTTGCTGCGATACTACGGCCACTTCGAGAAGGTCGAGAATGGTGGACTACCTAGGACCGTAAGGACGGGGCATGGAGCACCTGCAGCATAGAACAGAGTCTAGACCCCAGGCATCTGTGGTTCCTAGTTGGCTAAGTTATATACAAGGCTAGATCTCAAGTTAGTGAAGGCAAGATTATCCGTTGTTGTTGATCTCTGCACTGTAAGCCTAATTGGCTTGGGCTCACCTCTCCCAGCGAGCGAAGACCGGGAACAAGGGAGCCCGAAAAAGGAAATTCCGGTGAACAAGGCTTCAGGCGGGCGCTTGGGCTTGAGCCCTGGTGAACCTTGGGGTTGCGCATGCTAATCAAGGCTCATGGGACTCATGGACTCATGGGCTCATGGCTCAGGCTGGTGGCTGGTGGCTGGTGGCTGGTCGCTGGGGGAGCTTCTCCACCTCCTCCGCCTCGCCCACACAGTCCGCCAGGGCCCAGCACTGAGCAGTCCTGCTTCTCACACCACCCGAGGGACCTTAAAATGCTGCTAAGTATTGACCCCCCGCAAATGGCACAGTGGAGAGATCAAATGGTTCGAAGATCTCTGCTCATGCATGGATCTCTTCCTGCTAAGCAAACTGACCGGGCTGAATCTTACTCAATTCATTAAGGTCGATCAGGCTTTTGTACTTGAAGGAATAGTACGACTTCACAAGCCTGGTCGTTGATTTATTCCTTCCTAGCGCAATATTCATTTAGGTGCTTCGCACAGCATCACCTTCAGCCTACCCATTCCGAACTATCTCGCAGCAATCTTTATGCGACTGGACCTAGTAATCCGAGAGATACAATGATAGCGGTGAAAGCTAGCATCGCAAAGTCGCTTCGTGAAGCATGAGCTTGACCAGCGCAAATCCGAACCCGACATTGCCCAAGATCCCAGCTCCTCGTCAAATACGATTTGTTGCAACTGATGGTCAACCACATACGAAGAGGAGGCGTATAAATGCAGCTTGCCTAACATGCCGTAAGAGAAAGACCCGCTGCTCGGGAGAGCGTCCGGAGTGTAAGACGTGTACAGAGAATGGTCATCTTTGCTCAGGGTATGCTGGACGGTCCAGTAGGAAAGAAAACGAGAGAGATGAGGACGGCGAAGATGAGGCCGACTCGGGCACATCTACGCCTCGAAAACATCACAAAGACGTTGACAGCACAATCTCTCCTATACTCAATATGGAAACCCCCAATCCCAGCGGATTCCATTTCACACCTCAAGCTGTCGAGCGAGACGAATTTGCAGAGAACAAGAGCCCTGCAAGCAACTATACTGCCAGCAGTCTGACATCCACTCGAAATCGGGTTCCCTATTTCCGTTACTTTGGTCCCACAGCTATTGTTCCAGGATTCAAGCAAATGGTTGTACAGGTCAAGGATCATCGAAGGGGTTTGCCCTCGGTGTCAGGTGAATCGCCTGCGTCAGGTCCTCAATTGGAAACAACGTCGACCCTAGGCCAAGAAATGATGCCCGTCGAGATACCTTTCTATGACGCGACCGACCCAGGCCCAAATGCTCCTCTGATCACTCAGCTTTGTGAATCATTTTTCACCCACCTCGGATGCAATTATTCATTTCTACAACGCGACCGATTTCTCAAAGATCTTGAAGAGAAAAGGGTGGATGCGATTTTAGTGGATGCTGTGTGTGCCGTCGCAGCACGCTTCTCTGCCAGTCCCATTCTGTGGACATCAAATGACTCGTCTATCCCTCGAGATCCTGAAAATAACGTCCGGAGGGCTTTCCGCGGCCACCCTTTTGCGCAGCGAGCCATGTCTTCTGTCGTCGACACATTTTCGTGCCCCACGATTGCAGTGGCCCAAGCATGTTTATTGCTTGCATACGAGGAGTTCGGGACCGACCATGACAGTGGTTTATGGATGTATTTGGGAACAGCGATTCGTATGGCTCAAGATTTGGGCATCCAGAAGCTCGAAGGGATGCAGCTCGAGGGCCGAATTGGACCAACCCCAAAGACCGCAAAGCATGGCCAAGCAGGGAAGGCCGAAGAGCAACGGAGATTTGAACAACAAGAGACGATCTCTCGCAACTTTGCGAAGGGAGGTAGTGCGCAACTCGATGATCGAAGGGCCAGTGAACGAGAACGCATTGATACGTTTTGGGCAATATTCTTCCTTGATCGAGCTGTATCTTCAGGCGTTGGCCGCCCTGTAACCCTCCGAGACAAGGACATTGAGATATCTTTCCCCTACCGGCCCGATGAGCAACTTATCGATGGGTACCCGGACCCGTTTCCAGCAATGATAAAGATCGTACATATGTATGGACGAGTTGCCGATGTGTTGAACAACCTGAAGGAGGTCAGCCAAGTAACTCCAGAAATACTGAAAAGGCTCGCAAGTATGGAGAAAGATCTAACAGGTGAGTTCAATTTTGCTTTAACCTCTGATTCCGCTAATCCACGAAGGCATTTACCAACGACTTTCACCGAAATTACATTTCAATGCTACCAATTTCCAACACTATGTAAAAGCTGGCCATGGAACTAATTTTATTCTATTGCACTTCTGGTTCCACACTTTAATTGTGTTACTACATCAGCCAACTCTTCTCCACTCGTTTGAAGGGAGAATCCAGCAACTCTTCCCGGATAGCCGAGAGTTATCCATGTCTTCGGCCAAGACGATCGCAGACATACTCGCGTTTGCTGAATTGATCGATGTGAAGAGCTTTATAGGCAATCCTTTCACGAGTCAACCAATGTATGTTGCTGCATGTGCATTTTTAGCCGAGGCTGCTGCCCATACATCTCAACCCCCTTCTCGAGCGACATCTCCACCACCAACTGGCAATCCCAAAATCAAAAGCGAACACATGTCCGAACGGACGGTTTCAGAGCAGAAAGCAGCCTCTGCTCGTCATACACTGTTGGCGACAGCAGCGAATCAGAATTACCAAAGATGCTACAAGGCTTTGAAGACTCTGGACTCTTACTGGGCAGGATGCAGATACATCTTGACAGCTCTTGACCAGAAGGCGAAGGGTTTGATGGACCCCATTCTATTTACAGCGGAAGATCTTGATGGAGAAATGCCATCGACCGAGCCTTCCTTTACCACTCCAGGCTGGAGGAGGAGTACTTCTTTAAATGCCTCGCTTGGCGCGTATGGAGGCGCATTCAACCGACTTCAAGGTCTTAGAGCCCTGGAAGGAGGCATGACGTTTTCACCAAAAATGGACTTAAGCCAGGTTATTGGTTGGTCACTGACAGGCACTGCAAATTCCCCAGCGCCAAATTTAAGTGTTCTTTATCCCAATGCTGGCGGTGAAGAGGGTGGAATGGTTGCCACAGGACTTCAGGATCGTGATATTGCGGTTAGGAACCCACACTTTGCGACTGGGCTTATGACGGGTCAAAGTGTCAATATTCACAGCCTTCAAGACACGACTTCTCCAACCATGATTCCGGGTGGTTTTGAGAGCTCGAAAATGACACAACCTAGCAACAGGTTATCAAATCTACCTTACGATCCCGTGTCTACAGCGGAGGCAGATCTTCTGCTTGGGTTACATTCTCCCTACGCGAGTGATTCCACTAGCCAATCGATGATGGTCCAAGGGTCTGCTGCACAGGGTCAAAACACAAATCCTTACAACTACTTATCTTCACAAACAACACCATCCAGCTTACAACAACAACAACCCTTTATGGATTTTCAGAATCAATCGTACAATAACATGCTGATCGAGTCTCAGGATATTGATATGAGCGGCCAACAGCTCAATTTCAATTTCCCGGGTGGTGACATGATACCATGGCTAGAATATCTACCGCAGGATGTACTGAATTACTTTGGGGAACCACAAGGCGATGAGGATGGAGTTATGCCCCAAGGATCAGCTCAACCTGGTTGAGAGAATTTTGGGGACAAAATTCCGATTGGTGTAACGGCGGCATGAATCTCTTCTACACCTGGACCTGGCGGCTGCTCCCTCGCTGACACGCAGGACTCTTTCTCAAATCCAGGGAAGAATTGATTGCCAGTGAGAGAACTCTGCTATACCTCTCCTACGAGGTATCGATCTGAGTCAAGTGCACACTATATACCGTTCCGCCTCTACTGCAGAGTTCGCTTCCAGTGTTTCTGGAAGCCCTCGGAGCTCGTCTCCCGACGCTCCCATAGCCATGATGGCTACCTTACATCTTGAGTAATCGCAGTTTGTAGCTCGGCCGTCTGCCGGACCTAGCTACATGACAATGCTACCTCACCTTGCACTATTCTCTTGTGCTGCGATTAATTATCGTGGTTGATGACCTAATTCAGCAGCCCATCCCTGCACAAGAGACCAAGTGGGTTATGATCGTCGTTGGGATACTTTCCCCCACAGACGATCGACTTGTTAGAGACGGGGTAGAAGCCACAAATTTTCATTGTTTACCCATGGGGTGGACGTCCCTATGAATGTTCCACTGAAGAACGTACATTAAACCTCATCTGTGACCAATATCACGTTCTATAAATAAGACCAGGACCTACACATCGACCTAGTTCCTTTTGTGACTCTTTGATCTCTGAGAATTCTTCTCCTCTTGAATACTTTCCCTTCCGGCGCCGCACAACAGTATTGCAGGATAAGCTCGCGGATTCGTCAATCGTTCATCATCAGTCGTCAATCGTCACCCGTTCAAGATATGATCTCGCTTCTCGCCCTTCTGCAGCTCTTGGCCGTCTCGTCAGCGCTTTATATTCGCTCTCCTGGTTACGGTACACCAGGCTGTGGTACCTCACACAGCTCCCTCCTCGGCGCAAACTCTACATCTTGGACCATACCTTCCTCTGGTAGTGAACGAAAATTCCTCGTTCATGTGCCATCGACCTACAATGCCCATAAACCAACCGGCGTAATATTCTCCTACCATGGCAACTCTCGCAATGCGCAGTACCAAGAAACACTCTCGCAATTCTCCGACCCAAGTTTTAATCCTGACCACATTGCTATTTACCCTCAAGGCCTCAACAACTCATGGCAAGGCCCTTCTTATGCCGTTGCAGGCGTAAATGATTTCCAGTTCACGACAGATGTGATCGCACATCTGAGCGATAATTTCTGTATTGATAAATCTCGCATCTATGCTTCTGGGAAGTCCAATGGCGGTGGTTTTGTTGGGACGTTGGCATGTTCCCCGGAAGGTGGTGCCTTCGCAGCTTTCGCGCCCGTTTCCGGTGCGTTTTACACCGACAACCCAGACACATATACACAATGCAGTCCTACTCGAAACGAGATTCCCATTCTAGAATTCCATGGTGGAAACGACTCGACAATCCCTTACACGGGAGGCAAAGGCAAAGGTGGGCTCTTGCCGGACATCGACCAGTGGCTGGGTTGGTGGGCCGAGAGAGACGGTCTCTCTGACAAGAAGGTCTTGTCCGAATATGGGGGTCAGGTCAAGCACACTGTGTATGGGGCTGGAGAATATACTGGGCTTGTCCAAGGATATAAGGTCGAAAACCTTGGCCATGACTGGCCGAGCGCGAAGCCCAATCTTGACTCTGATACACCCACTGTGGTTGAGGCGACCGCCGTGATCATGGAGTTCTTTAAACAGTGGAAGCTGCGGCCATAGTTCGTCCAAGGCGACAAGTTATACGTGTTCACAGTTCCTATCTGCGAGCGGACACTTCTACGTCAAAGCTATTATAGCTATGCAATAATAGACTAAATCATTCGTTTAGAGTCTGCTGAGAGATTATTAAATCTTGTTTAAGAGTATTAGTAGGGAGGCCAATTACCTGTGTGCGGTGTCCGTCACAATTATACAAGGCTGAGGAACGCAGTAATGAACATAAGGGAACGGGATAACTACCAGCCTAAGCCATCACGTGACTTTTACTGGTAGGATATAACCAAAACAACCTCGAAACCGCCCAAGAATCCTCGCGAAAGTTTCCTCCACGAGCTGGGGTTTTTTCGTTTGGTGAGGTGGCCGAGCGGTCTATGGCGCAAGTTTCAGGTAACTGGAACATGAGCTTCTATGGTTTAAAAGCTAGAATACTTGTGGAGAAATCCTCGTGGGTTCGAATCCCACCCTCATCAACTTTTTTTTTTGGACCTTTACGACCATTAAGTATTGTCGGTGGCGGAAGTGTGTGTGTTTAGGGCTAGCTACTCGCGGATGGCGCACCCATTTGATCAAGAAGAACACCGCTTATTCTCAAGCCTAACTAGATAGCAAGCAGCTTGGTTACGGAGTACGCGAAATAACTCAAACCTAAATTCTCGTAAGGGGTGGACCAGGCAATATACATTAAATAATAATTAAATAAACATCATCATCAACGGACTCCAGGATCTGTCATCCATAAGTGCAGTGTAGAGATGACTTTCGGGCGCAAACATGCCACTCTCATCAACTCTGGCAGCGAAGCTCTCATCACGTGTCAATAATGATGATAGGCGTCGGCCTCTATCGAAGCCGATCGCGCCTCTTGGAGCAAGATCACCAAAGCCAAGCTTTGGGATTTCGCCTCCCGCAAGCCAGCCTTCATTAAGTACCCGCCACTTGCAAGGCGGAGGACTCCAGGCAACCAACAAACAGGTGCCGTCTTTCGAGGTCGAGAACGCGTGGCAGTTGACTCGCCTTGATTCATTGTGAAGGTGTGGCGCATTGCCTCCTTCTGGCAGCTTCGAGCTGTGTCTCGTGTTGGTGGTGATGCGTAAGCTGATTCGTTGTTTCACACACTTAAGATACGTATGAAATGTGTTTGCCTGGTAGCGGGGTAATGCGTGGATGGCGATTGTTGTAGCCTGTAGGCTTATAAGATCTTCTTCGTTCGGTGCTGTGGCTTAGTTGTCTTACATCTTGTCTTGATCTCACTTCATTATCACTCCTCTTTCACTCCTTCGGATCCATCACCTATAAACCGACCTGTTACTCTGACATCATCCTCAGAGAGTAAGTCTATTTTATCATCACCACCATAACCACCAAAAAACTCTGGCGGATTGAGAAGCCACTGAAAAATGCCTCCAATCTACTATCTCAACCCACCACCGAATCCCTTCTGGGACTTCGTTGCCAGCCTGGAAGACCATCCATTCTTTGGTCCTCGCGGACGCCCTGTGCCCCCCACTCCACCACCGCAACCACCTCGATCAGGCACTCAGGAGCAACCCACCCCAGGCCCGAGTGAGAAAACAAAGGGCAAGCAAACCGAAGCGGCCAGCGCTGATGACCCGCCAGAGGTTGACCCTTCCACTCTCCGAGGCGAAGGCGCCAAGGAAGTACCATTCCGTGGCCGTGGCCGCTTCGGAAATGCCTTCAACAACGACAAGGACGACAAGGAGAAGGACGACGGCAGCGACGGAGATAAGTGTCGGAGACGGGGCGGCCCTGGTTGTCACGGAAAACGAGGCTGGCACCGAGGAGGGCCTGGCGCATTTGGCCCCCCTCCATTTGCATTCGGGCCACCTTGGGCCCGACACGGCCATCCAGGACCAGGAGACTTCCCTGAAGGTAGAGGTGGCCCTTGGGGGCGTGGATGGGGTCCTCGCGGTCGAGGCGGCCCTCACCATCATCACCACCATGGCCGCCACGGGCACGACTCACCATCGCCACCACGTGGAGGCTTTGATTTGAGCACCTTCTTGAACAATTTGGGCGAGCGCATCGGCATCGACTTGAGTGCTGCAGCAGAAGGACTTGGCCTTGAGGTCGACCGCTTCAAGTCTGGCCGCACAGGCGCCGATGTCGACTTCGAACCACGAACCGATATCTTTGAAAACACCGAAAAATACACCATCCACCTGTCCCTCCCTGGAGCCAAGAAGTCAGACGTTGGTGTTGACTGGGATGGAGAACAGTCTGTCTTGCGCATCGCTGGTGTGGTCCACCGCCCAGGCGTCGACGAGGCAATGATGCGTCAACTGTCGGTCGACGGCCGCAAGCGCGAAACAGGCGTCTTTGAGAAAACCATCCGCCTCGGCACCAGGAAGGATCCTGCCAGTGTCGATATTGCAGGCATCACGGCCAAGATGGTGGACGGTGTGCTCGTCATCGTCGTCCCCAAGGTCGAAAGACACTTCGAGAAGAAGGAAGTCCGCGTGGACGGCTCACCTGAGCTCCCAGTCGAACAACCCGAAGACGCGTACATGCACGAAGATGACCTCCTTTTCGACGCCGAGGAGGGCAGAGAAGAAGGCGCCACACATGCTGAATCCACCGTCCCGCATCCTCCAACACCCCCTAAAGCCTCCTTCGGCGGCGAGTCGACCGCCGCCCCCGCATCCAAGGCGAAGCGGCATGAAGCTGAGCAGGAGCGCGCCAGATCCGAGACCGTCGATTTCGAACATCCTAACACGACGGTAGAGACTTTGCCCAAGTACGAAAAGGAGGATAGCTTGAGCCATAACCCCTCGCACGAGGAGGATATGAGTGATTGGGAAAAGCCTGGATCCGAGGATGAGGGCGACTACGTCAAGATCAACGTCGACTGAGAAAAACAAGAGAATTGCAACGCCTCCTTGCTCTTACCATAATGTGCCTCCGGCGTTCTAAAAAGGAGCCGGGCCGGGGGGGGGGGCTGTTGCATATCATTCTTTAGCGAGTCGATGTTGCTTCTTGGTGTTCGGCGCTTGTGCTTGTTTTTTTCAAACACCTACGACAAAGTTCTATAATGGCCCGTTGATTACTTAGCATATCATTAGCAGTTCAATGTCTACCATCGTTTGTAGACGAAAACAGAATTTATACACTGCAACTTATCTGAGTTGCGTCTCCAAAAATTCGAACTTCGAACTTAATGTCTCATGTGTTGTCATTTCCCCTCTATGTGCTCATGGTACCCGTGGTAAGGTGTTTCTCTTGAGCTGGGCCATGACGGCTTCCTGAACACCAAGAACGAATCCCGTTTGGAATTCGCGTCTCCAATCACATGGGAGTGTCCCTCAATTCCCACCACGTCAATTCTTCAATTCAACCTTCATCTTCATCCCATCCATCACCACAGACGTGACGCTATGTTTGCTCCAAATCTCCCTTTCAGGATCGTCCGACCCATCACCTTGCACGATCCCAGCCGCTTTCCTACCAGAGTATCCTACCTTGTGGAAATCAAAACCTCTAACCAGAGCACAGAGCGCAACCTTGGCTTCCAGAAGAGCCAATTCCTGACCAATACAGTTCCTAGGGCCGCGCTCGAAGGGTCGCCACGCGCCTGTAGGTAACTTGGCTACGTATTCTTCGTCAAGCCACCGCTCAGGACGGAAGACATCCGCATCGTCACCCCAAATTGCTGGATTCCGCTGGATGAGGTGCTGGCAGATATAGATTCTTAGGCCGTTCAGCATCACCTCTCTCGTTTCTGTCGAGCCTGCCGATTCTGGAAGTGATATGGTAAATGTAGTCGGATTCTCGGGCGACATATCGGGGATTCGCCGCGCCGTCCCAGCGGGTGGGTGCAATCTTAGGGTCTCGCGGACGAATGCCACCGTGTATGGCAGTTTCATCCCGATTATCGCTTCTGCGTCCTTGCGGCCTTCATCGTCCTCTCTTCCAAGAGCGTCTAGAGCGTTGAACGGATCGGCCGTAGCTCCAAATACTTTATCGTGTTCATCGATCAACTTCTTCACGATCGCGCTGTGGTGAACCGAAAACGAGGACTTGGAAAGTTCGAAGCACATCCATTGTATCAATGTGGCGGTTGTATCTTGACCAGCGAAGAGGAATGACTTGATTTGCGACACAGAGTTGCGAATGAGCTCGGGTGTAGGTTGAAGTCCTGACAACGCAAGGCGCGTTATTGATTTGGGATACAGTGTACTTGGCTTCTCCTCAGCCGTAGCAGCACCATCTCCACCCAAAGATCGCTCTGTTTCAATTTGTTGCTTGATAACCTTGGTCAGTTCATGGTTGAATACTTGTTCGTAGAACCAAGCTTTGAGTGGGCGGATAGGATCGAAGAACGTTAGCGGATTGAATCCCTGGCCGGTTTTGAACACCAAATTTGATAAATTTCTCGAAGCTGTGAGCAGTCCTAACAGGCCTTTGTGGCCTTGGCCTTCCGGCGTGGTTTGAGATTGAAAATCTTTCTCAATGGTGAGTTGTGTAATGATGTCAGTGGTGAGATCTTGAGTGTAGTCTCTGAGTTCAAACACCTCATTAGCTTTCGCTGCAGCCTTTAATCTGTCGACGAAGATCCTGGTCTTGGAAATGATCAATGGAGACAAGGAATGCAAATGTGTAGGTGCAAATCCTCGATTGAATCGCTTTCGAAGATTCTTCCACTCCTCACCCTCCAAAATAATGAGAGATTCGCGCCCAATTAGGCGGTTCAGGGTGCTGAGAGTGTCACTTTTCAAGGCTGAATACTTGAATTGTGGACTTGGCTGGACAATAGCTTCTGCGACGGTTGGATCGGCGATAATGAAGAAGACGTTATCAATGGGATTTAGATCCATGATAAATGCAGAAGGTCGGTCAAGTTGATTCCAAACCTCCTCAAATCCATAATCTGGGTGTCGATTGGTGGCGGGATTAACTTTCTCGCCGACGTTGATCAGATTTCCCCAAAGAGGATGACGTGGCAGACTTGGGATATCCTTGTAGTTTTGTCGTACTCGGTAGGTGTGAATGAGACGGCGGGCAAGGCGGACGACATAGTAGAAGCCTATTATAAAGGCTACCGTGAAGACAGGACTGCCTCTGAGTGTCTCGTCGGGTGCCAGCATTGTAAACGGGCTCTCGTCGTTTACGAGCCTTCCAGAATTGGTCTTAACCACAGTGTCCCAGTGTTACAACCTAGATCTCAGCCTTAGCTCCCGGTGACAAGGACTTCTGGCGTTTGAGGTCTCTATGACTTGCAGAATAATAAGACCCAGAAACTGTGAAAGAGGCGGGCAATGGTCGATCAATCATCAGGCTGCGGTAGCGACAGTGGGGGGAATGAAGATGCAACTCTTGGATTCACAGGATATTGAACCAAAGCTTGTCCACGAAGAGGGTTTGTGTTTGACTAAGTAGCTAACTGACCGAGTATTCCTTATATAGAAATCAGTCAAGGACGGTCGGCAAGAAAAGGTTGAGTGAGGGTCGTGCGTGCAGCTATAATTGGTTGATAAGTCGAACCTCGCACCATGAGCCTTAAATAGCAGTATGACAGTAGGAAGGAGATGGCTTGGTTAGTTAATATGTACTAAGGTGGTTCCTGTACACACTCTCACTGACATCATTAGAGCTATTTCGACCCAGTCAACCCACAAGAATGTTAGCAGTGGGATAGCCTCTTAACTAAATTAGGCATCCAGCCTAATCAGACTACTAGTATCAGAACGACATGGGTACTCGAGAAGGAGCATCCTCTCCTCGCTTAGCCGGGAACAATCTATACAAGGTACGGAGAACGAGCACAGATGTACATATCTATTAGACGGCAAGGCGACCCAGATCTGTCCTTGGATGTAAGGTGATCGTTAAACGAAACGCTGAATCTGCATCGCCGAGCAGGCGGCCCTAATCAGCCAGGGCTCAGGGCTGAAGATGCCCCAGTGCCCTCGAAGGCAGCCGGCCTATGAGAAAGGAACCATGAGTCGCACTCGGTTTCGGCTTCGGCTTCGTCGGGCAAGTTGAGGTGTATCGTACTTTTTAAGAGTGATTAGGGAGGTTTAGCTAAGAACTTGCTCCGTACGGAGTACTTGATTAGCAGGAGCGATATGAGCACTGTTTCCCCACTATCTCAGACCGAAGAGTACCCCCAGTAACCCCATTAACAACGAGCCCCTTGCGCTGGTTGGGTGTCGCTTTGGGTTGTTTTGAGGCCAGGCAGTCATGTCCTCAGTCCCCTCACTATGTAATCACATATCTGATATCAGAAGACGAGCAAGCCTCGTCAAGTTGGTGCTCAGTACACCTAGACCATCTGCGAATATAACTTTACGAAAATTGCAACATGCAAAAGGCGGTTCCCTATTTAATCAACTGTTGTATAACCATTATTATTCCATCTATACCATCAATCCCTCGAAATCTCGTCGACAGAACTGAGCTTCTGGCGGCAGTACTGCAAAGGCTGGCAGCTCTCCTCCAAAATCAACTTTCCACTGTCTGCATCCTTCCCAATCAGAACAAATTATGCTCAATCTATGCAATGCTTCAACGCAAAGGTCGCATTGCCATTAGAATGACAGGATCTTTTAGTCGTCCGCCAGGTTACAATATTTCCCAGAGGCATGACAGGAGGAATCCTCGGGCGGCGCCCGGCTAGGGGCGGTTCCTTTCGGAAACTTGAACTCTAACTAAGTCAGAGAGGCTGCATCGATCTGCAGCTTCGGAGTTGCTTCCCGATCGACATCCATAAATTTTCTGTACGAGGGGGGGTATTCATCTTGCTTTGCCGCTTCTCCAGCAATGGGTTCATTGCCCCGTAGCAAACCGTCAAAACCCCATGGTGAAAGAACCCATGACAAGATTAGTCCTAGGAAGATGACCAAGACTTCTTCGCTGATCGTCCCCATTTTTTTTAAATCAAAACTATTACACTACACTTTCGTCATTTTTTCCATGAGCGTCCGTCCTCTGGACGCTCGTTGTCCGCTATGTGGAGATTCTTCTGTTTCACACAGCGAGAACAACGCATGGTTTGACAATCGGCACGCTTCGCCGAGAGGTTACATCTTATCATGAATTGGCTTGTTGCTTACCATTTCTTGGCCAAAGTTTTGTGAGCGCCGGGAGCATGGCAGCAGGGCATCGGCCATACGGCGGATCGCCTGTGGTCTCTATAAAGGCTCGGATTCCTTGACTAGGAAAAATCACAGAAACACACTCGATCGTCGACTGCAAGCACATAACCAGGCCGGTGATCACGATGAAGCGAGACGAGGAGTTTCAAGCTACCGAAAACATCGACAGCAGCCAGTCGAGAGCCATGGATGAGAAAGCCATCACGGGTGAGGCCATGCTGGTAGCTGTACCAGGGGGCCAGACCCAACGTGGACTGAAAAGTCGACATATTCAATTCCTGTAAGCCAATATCGACCCTACCGGAGATGCCTCGAGCTGAAGATTCGGGCACAGTGCATTGGGAGGCGCAATAGGGACAGGGCTCTTTGTTGGTTCTGGGTCAATCTTGCACATAGTTGGCCCGGCGCCACTGTTCATGGCGTATCTGTCGAACATGTTCATCGTGTGGGTCGTCATGAACGTCCTCGCCGAAATCACTACCTATCTGCCGATGAAGGGCATCACAATTCCGTACTTTGTTTCGCGCTTCGTCGACCCAAGTCTTGGTTTTGCGGCAGGGTGGAACTATTGGTATGCATATGCGATCCTCGTTGCCGCAGAGGCTTCCGCCGGCTCCATCCTTCTCGGCTACTGGGCTCCCAACGTCAACGTCGCGGCTTGGATCACAATCTTCCTGATTCTCGTGCTCTTCCTGAACGTCATTGCGGTCTCGTTCTTCGGAGAAGCCGAGTTCTGGTTCGCGTCCATCAAACTCATCACCATCATCGGGTTGATCATCATTGGAATCGTCTTGTTCTTCGGAGGCGGTCCAACTCACGACCGTTTGGGTTTCCGCTACTGGAAGGACCCGGGCACCTTCAAGGAATACCTCGTCCCAGGCGCCACTGGGCGCTTCCTCGCATACTGGACGGCATTTGTTCGAGCTGGATTTGCTTTTATCACTTCTCCTGAGCTGATCGCGCTTGCCGCTGGCGAAACCATCGCGCCGCGCCGCAACATCCCCAAAGCCGCTCGGAGATTCGTCTGGCGGTTGATGATCTTCTACGGGCTCGGGTCACTGATTATCGGCGTTACCGTCTCCTCTGACAACCCGCGCCTGCTATCGCCGGATTCCAACGCCAACGCCAGCCCCTTCGTCATCGGCATTCAGGAGGCTGGAATCCAGGGCCTCAACCACGTCATCAACGCGGCGATCTTGACCTCCGCCTGGTCCGCTGGCAATGCCTTCTTGTATTCTGGGTCTCGAGTGCTCTACGGGCTCGCACTGACGAACCAAGCACCCGCCATATTCAGCAAGACCAGCAGACGAGGCGTACCCTACATGGCAGTACTTGCGACCTGGGTACCGGGCCTCCTTGCATATCTCAACGTATCCAACTCAGGCGCGACCGTGTTCAACTGGTTTGTCAACATCTCTACCATAAGTGGCTACATAGCCTGGGTCATCTGCCTGATCACGTACATCCGCTTCCACAAGGCTCTGCGCTTGCAGAACATGCTGGACACCCTGCCGTTCCGAACGCCCCTGCAGCCCTACGCCGCACAGTTCGTGCTGGGGCTTCTCAGCATCCTGACCCTGACCAACGGCTTCCAGGTCTTCTTCCCCTCGCAGTGGTCCGTCTCGAGCTTCCTGGCCGCTTACATCACGCTGCCCATCGTGCTGGCCCTCTATGTCGGCCATAAACTCTGGTTCCGCACCCCGTTCGCCATCAAGGGCCAGGATATCGACGTCGTCACTGGTAAAAGAGAGATGGATGAGTTTTGCGCCTTGGATGAGGAGCCAATTCCTAAGAACTGGATCCAGAAGGTCTGGTTCTGGATCGCTTGAGTTCTGTTACATAGTAAATGGTACTCGTTGAAAGGGCGTACATACAGCTTGGGGAAGACGTTTCCTTTCTTCCTAGAAGCCGTGTCGTCTGCGTATCTACACATGCATAATATCATGTCAATCAGGCATTTACATATGAAACCACTGAGCTTCAACCTGCAATCTTCGCCAACCTGTAAAATACCCCTCCGAATAGTTAGACTTATTGACGAAGTTATCGTTTGAGGTATCTTGCTTCACATCTACAGTCGTGTGGTTAGTATTAAATCCGTTTCTCTTTGCCTCGATCTATCGCGTATATTGTTGGATGTCCACTAGGTGCATCCTATAGGCTATACCAAAGACAGAAATGATATAAGCAAAGTAATTGCTTGGTTTGAGCTTGGGAAGGCTTAGCAGGGACCTGCTCGACAGTATTCAAACGAGTACATATAGAGGCGAGCAGATCTATTTGTTCAAGACACGTTTTCTTGGTGACAACGGCTGCTTAAATATCTAAGCCCAATATTGTCCATAGGGGATCTCTAACGCTTCATCCTCCTAATCTCCAGCCAACGCAAGGGCGGAAATACCACAGCGGCCCAAACGAAGCCAACGTAATTTCCCATGTCTGCTCCATATTCACCAACCAATGCAGCGATAGGACCAATGTACCATACCTGGGCCATGCAAAGAATGGCGCCCGCCCAACCCACCAGAAATGCAATCAACGCTGCCAACCCCATAGGCAACTTCTGCCTATCGTTCCAGATATACCAGTCATAACTAATGGTCTTCGCTCTTCTGAAAATCAAGAACTCTTCAAGCAATATTGCCACCCATATTGCCACCCAGTAGCCCATTAAAGCTAGGAAATTGGTGAAAATAACGGCCAAGCTGTTTCGACCTGCCAAGGCGCACACTGTATATATAACCACGCCAGTCGTATTCCAAATGACTCGAGGGACATTGGCGAGGTGGCGACCCAGCATTTGAAAGTCAACTCCAGAGGAATATGTGGGAGGGATCATATTCGCGATTCCTCCCAAAGCCGCAATCACTGCGCAGAACTTACCGAAAGTTCCTAATGGGGAGTACGCCTCAACAAGTAGTGCGCCAGAGCCGGAGCCTCCCTGTGAGTTGGTCCAAGCATCCATGTAATTCTGCGAGGAATGGATACTAGAGGCTATACCAGCTCCCAAGACAAATGCGAAAGTGAAAGACAGCACAAGCCCCACGAGTGTCATTGCGAAAATGAGCCACCGAGAGGTCGACTGAGGCCAATAGACGAAAAAGTCCATCCCGAGACCAGAGTAGGTTATCGCAGCAGACACACATATAGAGAAGAATGACAGACGATTGCCAGCGACAGTACGACTGTCGCCTTCACTCGGTGTGATCAGGTCAAAATGCTTCGCGGAAACTCCAAAGAGAATCGAGTACACAACGAGCTGAGGAAGCCATGCGAACCGCTCATAGTAGTGAAACACGGAAATACCGAAACAAGTTACAGCCCAGGTAATTAGTGAGACAATAATGATACCCACAACGACGGACATTGAACCATTAGGGGATACCGCCGAAAGGACCTGCCCGCTAATGATGGCTACAAGCAGAGCGTAACCCAGCATAACGATTATATTCAGAACCACAATCAGCTTGCTCGGGTACCAGCCCATGGCATAACGACCCCAGACCATTGTGCGGAGGCCGCTGACGGGACCCCAGGTTGCAATCCAGGCCACAGGGATGGAGCCCAACAAAGCACCAAGTGAGGCGCAGACGGAGGAGTCCGTGAAGGAAAGTTCGTAGACGGCAGGTCCCAGCATGCCGAGTGTGACGTTGTTGATAGCCAAGTTGATGGAGGTCCAGAGCACGAAGACCTGGAGATATGCCAGCCATGTTATGCGATGTTTCTCATGGTCCTCCACTCGTTGTATCCCACGAGTCTCGATGTTGTACTTTAACAACGCACGTTCGAAGGATCGGAGTCGAGAACTCCAGAGCGACGAGTCGGGACGCCTGTCATGGTCATATGGGAAATTGTGAGTCGAAGAAAGGGTTTGCGACAGCGGTTGATCCTGGGCTTTTGCGGCATCGAGGCGGCCTGCCTGTGTGGCCATGAGTGCGGGCAGAGTGAAGTGGGAAACGTGTAAAGACTAGATCGTTGGGGTCAGCACCAATCTTGTTTGCAGGAGGGGCAAACAGTTTGACATGCACAAAACCGAGGTCTGAGTCTTGAAAATGCAGGAGCCTAGGTTGGTCGGCTGCTATGGCATATTCTGCACCATGCACACGTTGAGGAATCGTGCGGTCTTGTGTAGCTAACCGGACGAACAGGTGTTCATGCAAAGCGAAGCTTCTCACCTATGAAGGGCGTCGTATGCTAAGATTATTGGAAGATCGTAGGCTTGCCGTAGTCACAAATGAAACCGGCTAAACATGACAGACCAGAGAAGGTAATCAATTGGCTTGGAAGAGGCGGTGGAGTCGTACTTCCAGTCCGGCTTCAAACGAGTTTTGTGTTACTCAAGTGCAGGGCGAGGCTGTGAGTCAGTGGAACAGTATGGGACCAGAGGCTCGAAGCAGGAGGGTACTAGTAGTGAGCAGAGGCAAATGATGAGAACCAGCGAGCGATTTGGTATAGACCGACCATCAACGCAGGATGGAAGAGGCAAGGGTGGGGACTGGGGAGTCACAAAAAGTCATACATGGAGATAGTGGTGGATGTAGTCAATACATGTGTCTCTAGTCATCATTTCAAGAGACCTCAGATTTAAGAGATGTGGTATTGGCTGGATAGTGCCGAACACACGAAGTGAAGAGGAAAAATTGGACGGGGATATCCTTCCAGAAGCAGAAAATTAGACGGCGAGAAATTCATAGAGGGGCAAAAGAGAAGAAATAGAAGAAGAAAAAGACTTTTCTCTACCCGCCACCAAGCTAGCCGTTCCTTCCCGATCCTGAATAATCAAAGCCCATTTGCAAAAGTGGCAGTCGCGACCGTGTCCAAACGCAGGGTCCCGAGGACGAGCACTCCGGCCTTCTCCTACAGTACCAATACATATACGAGCACGCGCCTTCGTTCGCTCAGTCGCCGGCCTCAAGAGCTTAAAGGAAGGCACGGCGACGGAACAGATTGTCTGGCGGATGGATCTTCGATCTGATCCCTAATAGACCCTGCAGCTCACTAGCCGTGAAACAAGTTAGCCCCTTTGTAGCGGTAGTGCTTGATATACGGAGTAGATGGCCTCAACCCTCCCTTCGCCCCCAGTCACCGCTCCAAATCCAGCAAGGACCTGCTTGGAAAGGTATGACTTACATTTCAAGGCCCAGGGCATGTCATGCATGGCTCAATCCCCCCCAGTACAGTAGTAGCACGTTCCACCCAACATCGTTTGCATGGCCTTTTCAATACCAACAGACCCACGCTGTTCTGTCAATCACGTTCACACATTGCAACCTCGACCCTTCAACTAGTTGTTTCAACCTACTAGTCACCGGTGGTAGGACTCCTGGACAATGCGACACGAAGCGGGAATGCCCGTGTGATTGGCATGCAACATCATCCGCATGGTTGACAGATTGCTTTCTGACGAGCCCCTCTCGAACCAACCACCGTCGAAGATAACATGAACCAGAGGGGTGGAAAACAACCAGCAATTTTTCACCGAGTTCAAGAGATCGCTGTTGGGGGGGAGGGAGGTTTGTTCCATTCCTCGAGAGGTTCGAGGCACGGGTTCTGTGGTAGTTCAGGGAATTGACATGTTCCAACTCGGTTCCTCCCGTGTCCTGCCTCTCAGACGAGCGCTGACACACTCAGTTGTGTCTTGTTTGTCTCGCAACCTCAGCTTGGACTCTGCTCCATTGCCCGCCCTTTAGTGACGATGCTACCATGAGCTAGTTACTGGTCCTTTGACCATACAATCTAAACCGTCGTCGTTGTATCCTCCGCATAGCAAGAAAAGATTCGTCGTCGCATTAGTCCGGTTGACCATATTTCCGGGTCCAAGTTTGGCGGACCGATTCGCCCGACCCGACGCCGGCGCTTCGATGTTAGTGGTATCTTACACGATCATTGATCCAGCTTCAGCCATTTTTGAAATGCTCTTTGGCATACTGTTCGCACGCCTGAAAGAAAAATTGTGTCAATCGAACAAGTCTGTTGCGGAGCGTCATACGACCGACCTTTGCTGGCTTGCCCAACTTCGCGCCAATCGCTTTCCACTTATTCGCTTCATACTCTTTAATCGCCTCGCGGAGTGCCGCCGACTACACACAGGGTCAGGGGAAAGGACTGAACTTCAAGAGGAAGGCACATATCAATACCTCATCTTCTGCAAATTCGGCGTAATGCATGTCCTGGATGTGGTGTGAGCGAGGAGAGCAAGGTTGTTTCTCGTGTTCACTTGCCTTGTACCAATGCTTCTTCACACTTCCCTCGGTACGAGCAGGAAAAGCCTATGATTGTTGAGTATCTAGATAGGTGATAAGACAGCAAGCAGTGGGGAATCTGACCTTCGCGATCTCACTCCAACTATGGCCGCTGTCGCGCATTTGCTTCAGTCTCTGTTCCTCCTGAGCCGTCCACGGGGTGTTGGTGCGGCCTCGCTTCCTGCCTGCTTCGTCCGTGAGCGATCCGAGTATCGTGCCGCTGCCCTGGTCGCCGGCCGGCGTGATCCCAGGTGGCAGGGTGTTCAGCTTGGGACTGTGAGAAGCTCGTCGTTTACGGGGGTTGTGAGGACTTGCTGGAGGTGCCAGGTGATCAGCATTAGGCTTTGGTGCCAATGGAGCCTGGGTTGGTATTTCTTTGTTATCCGTGGGGGACGACGTTGTAGTTACTGTCGACTTCTGACGCTTCTGAGGCGAAGGTGACCTGATCAAGTTGTGAACGGTGTTAGAGCTTCTGGTTTGACCGAGAGAAAGGACACTTTGCAACAATTCCAAGAAATCTGGTATAGAAAGCAGAAACCATGGCGTCGTATGGATGAACGAGCCTTGTCTCTTGGTCTCGGTTTGTTTTGGAATGTACCACTGTAGGGGGAAAAAAAAAGAAGAACTTACGACATGATGACGATTATGTAGCTGGTCAAGAGAGGTTGGAGTCAGTCGTATATGCCGTCGGCATGATCAGCAACGGTCCAGGAAGAGCCCTTGGGCGAGACCAGCCACGCGAGCGGCGGTTTTCAACGGAGGTCGGCGGAGTATTAGGATCAAGGCACCAGACGTGACACAACGGCGGAGGATGGTGTTCGGTGAAGCCTTGGAGAAAGGTCTTTTTGGTTGTGGCGGACAGGCTGGCTACAGACCTGCCAGAACCAGGAATATATTTGTTGCGCAAAACAATCAAGGTGTTACCAACTCGGTGCCAGGCCTAGAGGCACAATCCCAGTCAATGATAATGGGACAGAATGTGAGGGTTCGCGTAAGGTCGAGGTGAAACTCTTGAGTCTCGCGAATAGTGCCACGAGCAACAGCGCGCAAGGTCGACCCGATACTCTAATTACACTCGGCCTTTGACCGGGGGCTCAGCACGACACAGCACGACACAGGCAAGATCTGAACAGGCCAAGATCTGATACTTTAGCTTCTAGTTGATCGCGACGGGGAGGGTGGTGACAAGTATATCTAGGTTTCAGTGTAGGTTCAGAAAAGGGTGGACGGCTGGTGGCAAGAAGCCGGAGCAGATGGAGACAGATTTGGAATGGAAGATCAAGACGAGTAAAAGGGTCAACAACGTGCACATCCAGAGACCACTGAACCATGAGGTAGCAGGACCAGAGCTGGGGACATGGATTGGATTGGCCTGACAAGGAAGACTGGTCATATTGTGTTTTGGTACGAGTACATCTTGGATCCAAACAGGCGTCTGCGAAGGACTTTTTTGGTCTCTGCTTGGAGCTGGAGGCTTGCCAAAGGACCAGACGAAGGAATATCGAGGCACATGCCACGGACTAGTCGTGGCAGGGCTTAGAATGCAGAATGACCAGTGGCGGAGAGGGCCACGAGAAGAGGAGAGGGCGGCGGAGGTGGCTACACAACCAGATACGGGTACGGGATGTGAGTTGCTGGAGATGCTCATAGGCCAGCGGTCTTTTCAGAAGAGGTCAGAAGGTCAGCAACGATCAAGTAAGGAGATACTTTGTGACGAGTACTTGGTGCAACAAGACCAGGTAGCGAGGTAGCGACGAGGTAGCGGAGCATGCATCTGAAGGAATGTGGATGGTGTGAGTGGCAGAGATCAGGGACTGCGGGGTAAGGAGGGAGTTTGCTAGTCAGTTTAGTGTAGTTAACAGTTGCTCGGGATGGTTAGAGGCAAGCCATTGACAGCAAGCCTCATCAGGGAGGAGCGACACGAGGGACGGAGTGCTGGTGGCCACGATAAGCCTAGTCCAGTCCCGCTGGGGAGCTCGAGCTCCTCAAAGGGGATCGTCGATATGCCCATCATTACCAGGGCAGGGGAGGGGAGGGAGGGGAACAGGCGCGAGAGAGAGAAAAGCACGGCACTACCGAGGACTCTGTACGTACCACCTGGTACTCGTACCGGTGGGCAGTTGGCAGCGTTGACCATCCTGATACCAAGACAAAACTAACGTCAACTTTTACCTGACAGAGAGACCAGGGGAAAAGAGGGGAACGCACCCGCACGAGATGGAGACCGAGAGGGTAGGAACTGGAGATGAATTCGAACCAGACAAGAGCGACCCTTTGACTCTCAGCTCGCCAGACGGGAGCCGGTCAATTCCATACATGCAAACACGGCTTTGGATCAATTCGAGACACGTTGGCTTGCCAATGTCCTGGGTCCTCATCCTTAAGCACGCAGGACGGAGTACCACCGAGGTACCCGTAGAGCCGTACTCGGAGTACGGAGTACTTGTACAGGTGTTGAGCTAGTGGTTACAAGAATACTCGCATCGTTACTAGTACAGAGTAGCTTCGATTCACGGATACTCTTTCCATCTCCTTGTCCATGCCCGCTTCATCTTCAACAGGTTGCCGGAGTCACCATTTCGGGACAGTCCGGGGCCTGCTACCTCTACAGGGCGCTTGACGGGTATTATTACGGAGCATGGTGTATTCGGTACCGACCATTGCAGTTCCTTGTATTTTTATCTCACATGCATACCCAAAACCGCCTACCTGCTTAGTACCTACTTAGAACCTAGGTAGGCAAGTAGGTAGGTACTGTAGTACTCGTGTACGGAGTAGATGTACAAATCACAGGACCTTGGCTGAGACCAAACCGAGCTGCCGAAGTCACCATACCTACGGGCCTGGGTCTGGGTCCAGCAGAGCTTGTTGACCCTTACTTCCAAGCACTCCGTAGAGAGGAGTACACCGTACTGGCGATAAACATAGCACACATGGTTCTTGGACGAGGTTCCGGGTTGGAAATTGCAGGCTCATGGTACTCGGTACATGCCAGTACTATTCCCCACTAGTCAGTCATGGCCACCATTGACAAGGATACGTAAGTGTCTAACAGCATCATCGGCAACAAAAGAGGCAGCTCCCAAGCTGAGCGAGCACTTGGTCCAGCAGGGTTACGGATGCCTCGTAAGTTCCTAAAATAGTCGTAGGTCGCTTGGACCTGGAGGCGACTTTGCATCCGCTTCAACTTTGGTGCCAGCTTGCATGTTGCATGCAGTATGAGTTACGGAGTACTTGGCCAGTACGTTGGGAAAACCTGAATGCTAGCAATGATCAACAGTAGTAGGTGTAGCTAGGAGTAACTCGGCTAACTATCTAACCTAGTGAGGTATTGGAGACCTGGCTGTACGAGTATGGATACATGCACCAGGTGACCACCTCAACCATCCAACTACTAGTTACTAGTGAGTAGCTCAACCCCTCCTACGAGGTACTCCGTACTCCGTACTGAAAGACAACCAGCCTGGCAATGGTGACGTGAGTGTCACGGCAGACCGGAGAGTCGTCCATCTGATAGGCTATCCGCTACTGCTGTTTCCAATCACTTGCATACATACTCCCTACTTGAAGAAACGTGGAAGGCGGGCGGGGGTACGGCGACTGCCAGTGGGAGCCTGGGAGGGCACGGGAGACGGAGGACGGAGGATGAGGTACGGGTGGGATTTGGGGTTGGAACGGGGAGTCGTTGGCGAAACAAGACCCAAAGGCCCCTCGGCCCCTCCCTCGCCTCTCCTGTCACTCTTGCGTCACTTCGAACTCGATGTCCCGAGTACCCCACGAGTCCTCACCCTCACCACGCACCTAGCCAGACGTGTCCTGTCGACCATCCACATTCCTGACCACACCTAGGGCACATGAACTTCCTGCTGATATCCAGCAAAATGTGGCTCATCCCATTTACAAGAGGTCCCCATTTCAGGGTCAGGAGGGTAGGTAGCCCGTCTCTGTGCGACCTTGTAACTGGTACCCAGTAGTACTAGTGACAGTACTAGTGACTACGGGGTATGGGTACCTCCTTCTGGTCCTGGGAGAATCTAGCATACCTACTCCGTACTCTTTCCCTGGATGTGACTTCCTCCAGGCCAAGGTTATCAACATTCACGCGCAGTCCGTACCTCATATGTCTCGCCTCCTCGCCTCTGCCACCTTATACAAGAGGTCGCTTGCGGCGGCGACCAAATTGCATAGATCTAACATGGTTAACTCGTCTTGCCTTTCTCTTAGCTTGTCTACAGCGTCATAATCAGTCAATGCCCTTCATCGTCAGAGCACCCTCCCACGGCTGATCTTAGTCTGGTTGTTTCCAGGTCATCACGGAGTACCTTCCACTCACGGCCTGGCGTCCTCTCCCAACTCGACAAATGCTCCAGTCTAGTCGGTGCTGATCCAGGCCAGGGTGGCAGTACTAAGCCTTATTTACAGCCAAGGCAACCATGTGATCTTGATCCTGAACTCCATATCCGGTTTGAATATTAATATTTGGTTCATGACTAGTCACTCCTCCCGAGCAACATCTGTTGTAGGTCCTCCCTACTCGGTACCTAGGTAGGTTTTCAGAGCGGGGTAGCGCCAATATGTCGCCAAGAGGCTCTATCCGAATGATATCGTCGATCGATTGTTTGCTGGTATCTAGCTGAGATCATTCGTGGGAAGATCCAGTGGGAATGCCGATCATCTGGCATTTCAGCTAACAGCAGCCAAACCAGCCATAACAGCAGCCTCGTCCGTCATAGCGGAAAAGTAACTCTTTCCCACCGATGATCGTGAATATGTACTCCGTACACGCTACACACACTTGGTTTCATCAAACGTCACGATCGCTGTTTTCCACGAGGTATTCCATCGGCCGACGGGCCATTCCGAGCATCGGCATACTTACGCTTGGGTCGCGGCACTCTTACTTTCCGAGTGGTACTCAGTACCTGGGGGCGACAGGCTTGTCGCCGTCGGTATAGGGACCTCATTGGGAATAGCTTTCCTCCCTCCAGCGAACTCGCCGTCGATTCCGGTTGACCGGGATGTTCCGCATCCTCGGCTCGTTTATTACTCGTAGTTAGTGTTGATCGCCCTGTGCCCAACGCTGACTCACGAGTCACGACATGGCTTCATGTGGGAAGCAACTGACGAAGAACTCAAACCACCACATCCTTGGCTGGAATCAAAATGCGTTGACGATCGGTAAATGGTCTGTCTGACGGTCCCGTGTCTTCAGGTTTGCTCGCCGCCGGATGAGCTTCACAATCACCCTACCGCGGCCGAGTTGTGATCGATCCTCCACCAAGTCCACCTCCGCGCAACTAGGATCGCTCATCGCAAGTACTAAAGCTCGAGCATAGTTGATCACTTGCTCACGTCCAGTGATGAAAGCCTCACGGTCGCACCATTCTCCAAGGAATGAATCTCTCCACGACTCGGCTCGACAGCGCAATTCGAGACTATTCCATTCGCCTGCCTGGGCAGTATCCAAACAGAGGTCTTCGGGATAATGGTGCATCAACATATCACAATCCAGCTGCCAGATCCAGTTCTTGAGGTATAAACCCGAAGGGTGACCGCCAGTGATCCTCAGTGGCAGTTTTCCAGCGAATCCACTGGATAGGATGTGGAAGGTCGTATTGGCATATAAAATCGGCCGAGCCTCGTCGAGAATAGCCCTGCTTACTCGCAGCAGTTGAGATGACCTCTGAACAGGATTCCGTAATTTGCTGCCTTGCGGAATCAAACATGAATTGTCATCCTCATTCTTGGCTTCCATAATTGTCTTGCCAGAACCAAACACAAATTGATAGATATCAACGCGGATCTCGCACGGGAGTGAGAGAAATTCGAATGCCATCGAGCCGAGTTCTTCGAGTGAAGTCCAGGGGAATTCAAAAATTGGGCTTCTCTGGCCAGATATTCTAACCCAGCAGGCAAAGTGACAGGTTCAATTGCACAGCGACAAGATCCCGAATATGAAAGTCTGGGTCTGCATTTGCCTTTATGCTGAGAGAAAGGATGTCCTACTTTGAATATTACTGTGGGCTTGCTTGCTTGAAACTTATATAGCAAGACAATAAGGTATCTTGAACGAGCCTGCCTTGGGTTGTTGGTAGCTCATCATTTTTCTCAGCCTTACGTAAGGAAGGAAGCTAAAAGAAATTCGTTTCGGGACATGCTCTGACAAGCTTTTGTTCTTCGCCAGATAGGAAATCTTTTTACGACACTCGAGACGGTCAGACGGGCATTAGCCAGCGAGCCGACTCCCTTTTGCTGATTTAGCCTTTGGAAAATGATAACCCAATGTGGGCTCTCTCCTCTGTTCGTCCAGTTCTCACCGATTCTCGGTCAAGGGCTGAAAGATAAGCAAAAAAGATCTGGACGAGAAGATGCGGACGGGGACCGGCCCCCGGGACTTGGGATTGGACGCCTCCCTTATTACCCTGTGGGGGACGTAAATTTGTACCGAATTGCTCGGCAACGCGGTGGCTGTCTGGGCTCCTTTGTTATTAGTGGCTTCGGAACGACGAGATATGTAGCTTACGAACTGTAGATAATCTACACCGAAAGTTGGACGCAACCCAAGGGTCTCAAAAACAATTGATCACGACTGAGTCCGTTCTACGCCCTCCTACAGGAGCAGCACCGCCTCTCAAAGAGCCCAACGTCGCATTGTTCTATCTGACAAAGTCGGCCGCCGCTGCAGCGGCGATTCCGTAGCCATACGTTTGAAAGAGGAAACCCTAGACGCCTTACGTGAGAATGCTTGCGACAAGGGCCTCGAGGAGGCTTCGCTTACGATTCGACTGAGTCAATACCGAATTTCGTTTCCTGCAAGATCCATCAAGGCGTCGTATTGGCATGCAGCCACGGGGTTCAGCCGCACCGTTCGCCGCCTGTCGACTGTCAGGTTCTCAGCTAGCGTTGAATGGGAACATGTTTCACGCAAACTATTTATGCCACTTTTTGTTCGGTATCGAGCCAAGTCGATTTCTAGGTACGGGCATACAAAGGGCATGACTTAAATTTCGTCTTGTATTGCTGCGAGATGCAAGATCCCACTATGCCTCGTTATTATCGTGGTGCTAACTTTGAAGGGGAGTTCAAACAGAAATGTGCTTCGCTCCGCGCTTTTAAAATTCATGGCCTTGGCTGAAAACGAGAAAGATATATCACTGCACATGGTTCCGTTACCGACCTGGGCTCTGAGGCGAGATTTCATGCACAGTAACATCACTCGTCGTATCTGACCCAACAGAAGATGCACTCCTCGTGGCCGACGAGTTGTCACTCTGTAGAAACGAATGAAAGTCCTCATTGATCGATGGATTGTCTGGTCCTGTATCATCTGACAGGATTTGGGTCGATGGGCTCTCCAATCTGATGGAGGTGGTAATGGTTTCGGTTGAATATGCAACGGCGGTGGCTGTGACAGTTGTTGTGGTGAGTACTTCTGTTACCCGCACCGCAGGAAGGTGACCTTGATTCACTGTTTCTGTTTGCTTCTTGCCCGCCAAAGCAAAGAATAAGACCAGAAAGCTCAATACCCCAACGAGAATGTTGTTGCGGTCTTGGGCAAATCTATGCATACTTTGAGCCAGAAGTTGTTGAAAATCAGGCTCCTCATGCCTCGGAATGGGCATCTCTTGAGGGGTCGTTGCAATGTTTATGTGTGGAAGTTCGTCGTAGAAGCCATCAATTTCAGCTTGGTTCCTTGGGCGGCCAGATGTGCCATACACCTCCCGATCACGAGTGTCAAGCCCTGCCTCGTCGTCTAGGGGATCGCCTTCCGGATCAGGCTGAATGATGTTTGGCGGCAGCTGTGAAGACCCAAGTTCAATCATTTTGGATTCCAGATCTCTGCGAATGGATTCGGGCAATCTGATTCGAATTTCTACATCCACCTTTTCCATCTCTTGCCACGCGGCTTCCCAGGCTCCAGCTCTCATTAGTCCATTGGCAGCATACACCTTCACCTCCCATCTGCAGTTGTCAGTCCTAGGGCGTAGCTGGCTTCCACAATCAACGCATTTCGCTCCGTCTGTTTTGTGACAGCTGGAATCCGCATCGTCATCTGTAACGCTTCCACTTTCAAACCCACTGTCACCATTGCTTGTATCCCGGTGAAAGAAATGATTGTGTCGGATCCGGGGTCCTTCAAGATCTAATGTTTCCAAGAGTCTCTCCTCAAGGAGCTCGTAATCCTCGCGAGGATGAGGGATCAATATTCCCCGAGATTTAACTTCCAGATCATCAACCAACTTTTCTCTCAGCGTATCCCATCGCTTTCTGTATTCTTGCGGCAGCAATTCTACTAAGATTGGATCGTCCTCGGTCGATAGGTGGGACAGCAATGTAGGGGGCAGTAGAGTACAATGAAGTAGAACAAGAGGAAATTCTTTTCGCAGATTGCTACTAGGCTTCTGAGGTGACCCACGGTGAGACCGAGTTGACCGCTTGGTGGGAGATGTACTCGTGGAATAGGAGCTGCGTTGACTGAAAGAGGACATTTGTGAACCGCTCCGTCGGTGGTGTCGTAGCAAACTTTGGCTCTCGCTCATGACTTCATCTCGCATCTGGAGAGCTCTTACGCTGCTAGGGTGACGGAAAGCAGAATGATATTCCCTTGCACTTCGGGGCGAACCGGTCTTGTACCCCAATCCATCAGACCTCTCGAATGAATGTGACGCTGAGGACGACTCGTGTCCGGTTGGGGTCCTGGGCCCTTCATGGCAGATGTCTCTCGACGAGGGCAGCGGCAGCCGAGGTGCGATCGAAGATGCTGGAAACGAGGATATCGACGAACAACCTGATATGCGACGGTCGGCGTCTAACAAATCGACCTCTTCCGTAGCCTCGAGGGCTAATGGCTGCTCTAATTCAACTTCTAAGTTGCACTCATCTTCAGCTGACCCCGAAAAATTGTAGTCGTGTGCCCCTTGAGCAGCATCCCTGAGTGGAGGAGCGGGCGGAGAGGAAAAGGGTTGCTGTCGCAAGGAAAGCGGAGAGGATTGTTGGAAGGCAAAAGAGTCGCTCTCCGTCGAAGGAGACGCCAGTGACATTCTGACAACTATCGGCTACGTCAATTGAGAATGGTCGTTGCGCAAAGCACAGACAAGATAGTAATAAGGTGAACTGGTCGATGGTGATCTCATCTGGGTATCCGGGCTGTAGTGTTGATACAAACCGCCAAGCCAGGTCGTGCAGGGCAACCATCCCATCACTGAGCGCGCGATGCGTGCATTGTCTTCAAGCCGCAACGCGTTTATCGGTTTAATTAGAAGTAGTTAACTCGTATCCATGAGAGTTTAAGAAAGCATAACAATTGTCCCAATTTTCTTGAATTGTTAGAAGAGTTCTCGCAGTCATCGAACGAGGCTACGTCGCTCAAAATCTTGCCTAAGGCGGGGTACCAGGTATCTAGTAGATATATCTGAAGTTGGGATTCTCGCGGTCTGTCAAGTCTTCAAACGCGTGCACATATTGCTTATCATCAGCCTCATGAATACCAGCCGCCGCCAACTCATCCTTCTTGCGGTTCTGTCGTCTCAAGTGCCAGCGAAGGAAAATAATGACAATGACCAACAGCACATAGCATCCCATGTGTGTCGCAAAGGCGATGAAGTAGCGAGGAGCATCCCATGATAGGAAAACTTGAGGGCCTGAGGATTGAAGATTAGCTGTCATTCACGATTGTGAGTATAGGAGCTGGGTACCCACCGATTGCATTTCCTGTGCACCAAGAGACAAAATTGATGGTTACAACGATACTCTTCTTGGTCTGTCCGCCAACATTGCGAGAGAGGATACTCATGGACAAAGTTTGCGCAGCCCAGAAGGACAGTACAATATAGTAGCTGATAAGCAATCCCACCTTAGTTCCGGTGTTGTGATTCTTGACGCTCATGAGAACGATCGTTCCGACAAAGGACGGAATGACGAAGAAAGCCATCACTAGGCAATTCTGGTGAGTACGTTTGACGAGCCATGTTGAGCTGAGCAGAATCGCGATAATCACAACACCAAGTACCATGGCAAGTAATTGGGTCTGAAGCACTGTAAAATTGAAGCCTGGACATTGTCAGATTGATCCATTTCATCTCTCTCACATGGTTCCTACCAGTGATAATAATGTTCGCGAAAGCACCCAACCCGGAAGTTGGAAGTGTAGTGCATATGGCAATGAGGCTGTAGCACCTGTGAACCGCGTTAGTGGCTCCTGTGCTGAGTGTGTCAGGAACACTAAACTCACCAAGTTTGGGGATCCAGAAAGGCTTCTTTGACTTGCTCGGGTCTGAATCTCTTGTTCTGCAGACCAGTTTGGTTGCTCCTCACACGTTCGACCATTAGTCTCTTGTCTTCTTCCGAAAAGCACTTTGCTTTCATTGGTGAATCTGGCATCCAATATCCGACGAAAAGACCCCAGAGAACGGAGAACGACCCATAGGTGATGAAAAGAGCTTGCCACGATTTCAACGGGCCAGAATCAATTTGGGTAAACGCATAGGCGAGGAGGCCACCAACGATTTGCTGTCCTCCATTCATCATATACCAATATGTGACGGTCTCCGCTTGCTCTTCTCGTTTATACCACATACTGCTGAGGAGCAAAAAGCTTGGCTGACAGACAGCTTCGAAAATACCCAGCAAAGTCCTTAATACCAGGATAGTGGTGAAGTTGGTTGCGACTGAGTGGCATGCCAAAACCGTTCCCCAGAGCACGATGCTTAGGGAGAGGTATTTTGCTATTGGCACCCTTTGAATAGTCCAATTTGTGGGATATTCAACAACCAAGACTGCGATATATATACAGGTGGTCAACCAAGAGTACTGGTCACGATTAGCCATTTGCTCTCAACCTCCTCCACCTTGCAGCCTCACCTTTTGACCATCAAGAAGGCCTAGATCCTTTCTGATGCCTAGAAATCATCAGCACTCCAGGACAACTTACTAAGTTGAGAATGCCATACCCATGATTGCGGCGAAAGAGAGAGTGCCCTTGTCTAGAGCCTGCAGAAAGTAGGTGGGTATCATGATAGCGAGAACTCGCCTATCGATCATTCTCTTTAACCGTTTGTTTTCTGCTGCTGAGATTTCGATGCGCTCTTGATTGGCATATTTAGCGACATCTTTGTCCATACGATCATAGTCAACGAAATCTTTCCGGATCTCGCTACCTCCAGAAAGTACCCGTTCAACTTGGGACACATCTTTCTTCTCGACAGGGACTCGAGCCCCATTTGTGGATTGAGGGCCTTCCGTATTGATGTGGTCGAGGCCAGCCATGCCGTTATAATTTATGTGGCGGATTGCGAACTTCTCACACTTGTTATGGTGCCAAATGAATCAAATCGTTGCCGGAGTGAGTGGCCTCTAACGTGGAGTAATCGTCTTATATTAATCCTCCTCTCGCTGTCAACCGGCTTGAAGATCGCTCCTGCTCGGTCCATGAGCTACCGAGAGAGTTCATCTAAGCAACACTAACCAAGATGAAATTTGGGCTTGAAACTGGAGTGCAGTGAACGTTCATTCCTCTGGAATTTACCCCAGAAGGAATGCACTGCGTCAAAAAAAGGCAAGTCTGAGTGCCCCCACCTTTCGCCTCCAGACTGTGCTATACCAAATATAGGAGGCAGAGTCGGGTGGGGGTGTTTGGGGGTAATATCAACTTGCCTTGGCGGCTCATCACCGACCTAAGTAATGTGCCACTTCGGTCGATCTCGGTGCATCTCGCAGCGCTTTGAAGAGGTTTCAATCGTTTGATACCTGCATAAAAGGGTTTGTTAGTGGTTAACGGAGGGCGGCGAGGAGGAAATGATTTGTGACGAGCCGCAATGCCATCGCCATTGAGCATAGAGGGACTGAGCGCCCAAAGCATTCATGAAAGCATCGATCGCTTGATCGACAACCTCATTAACATAAAAGATGATACAGGCCACTTTCTGTTAAAACTGCCTGATGGTCGGATAATCGATACCAAAGGATGGAACGACTGGGAGTGGACTCATGGCATTGGCCTCTACGGCCTATATCAATATCATGACCTCACGTCTTCGCCATTCGCACTGAAGGTCATTCAAGATTGGTTTGACGCTAGGTTGGCCGAGGGTACGACCAAGAATATAAATACCATGGCAGTGTTCTTGACGCTGGCGTACGTCTATGAGGAGACTGGTAACCGAAGTTATATTCCTTGGCTAGACTCCTGGGCTGAATGGGCCATGTACGAGTTGCCAAAGACGCGCTTTGGTGGCTTTCAACATATGACCTACCTCGAATGGAACGACAATCAGCTTTGGGACGACACGCTGATGATGACCGTCATGCCACTGGCCAAGATTGGTTTATTGTTAAATCGGCCACAATATGTTGAAGAAGCAAAACGACAGTTTTTGCTTCACATCCAGTACCTCTTTGATCCACAGACAGGACTATTCTTCCACGGTTGGCAATTTGACGACAAGGCGCCTGGAAGCCTCGGTCATAATTTTGCCAGGGCAAGATGGGCTCGGGGCAATTCCTGGTTGACGATAGCTATCCCCGATTTCATCGAGCTCCTGAACCTTCCTCCAGACGACGGCCTGACACTCTATCTTGTGAATGTTCTGGAAGCACAATGCAGTGCCCTGCGTTCGCTCCAGACACAAGATGGGATGTGGCGAACTTTGCTTGATGTGTCTGAAGAAGAGGGAAGTTACCTAGAAGCCTCGGCGACGGCTGGCTTTGCTTATGGTCTGTTAAAATCGATAAGGAAGCGCTATATCTCCAAAGACTATACACACGCCGCACTAAAAGCCGTAAAGGCCGTTCTGCAAAGGATTAACAAGGACGGGGAGTTGCTAGATGTCAGTTTCGGTACGGGCATAGGCAAAGACTTGCAACACTATAAGGACATAGAAAGGACAAGCATGCCTTATGGACAGGCAATGGCCATGATTGCCTTGGTTGAGTTCCTCAAGATGTACATTTGAGAGGTCCAAGTTTGTTTGCATTTTTGTAAATAAAGATCTTAGAGGGGGAAATATAGTCCGGCATCAGGTGTAAGCCTAGCCTCCCTCAACAGGCTTATGATACTCGTTCAATTGTACTAAAACAATCTGTAAACAATCAGAGGATGACTGAAAACACAGGCATGGAATTGATCAAGGTGAAGCTACAGTGAAGAAAGGCGAGGTGTCAATGGGATTTAACGGTTAAAACCCGCCCTGGATACTATGCACCACCCTCAATACCCCAAGACTCCAAGGGTTTTAGCAGGATGCACTGGGCAATGGCACTATCACTTCCCGAGACCCAAGACAATCCAGGCGCTATCCAGTGTGACGGTTTCAGGCTGTAGTTCTTGGAACTGGAAATTCAATGTGTGAGGCCTGCCGCCCCTGCGAAGGCGAGCAGCATGTTGACGAAACGAATTTCTCGATTTCATACGCCTCTACAACAGAATACAGCGCGCCTTCGGCCCCCATCGAGAGTCATGGAGTACCAAGTCCTTTCGATTTCTACCGGACTTTACAACCTTCCTCGCGAAAGCAAGGATCCGCCATCGGTCGTGATGACGGCTCCATTAATATGACTAGAAGCCCTGCTGGCTAAGAACACAACCAACCCAGCGATATCCTCCGGCTGGCCAAGTCGTTTGTTCGGAACTTCAGCTGCAAGGGCCTCTGTGCCCCCTTGAAGTTCCATTAATCCTGATGCCATCTTCGTTGGATAGAATCCCGGGGCCACGGCATTGGTGAGGATGCCTCTTGGGCCCAATTCGACGGCGAGGTTCTTTGCCAAATGAATAACGGCAGCCTTTGATGCCGAGTATGCGAAAGTGGCGTTCTCACCAAGTGTCCCCACACCCAAGCCAGCGACGCTCGCGGTTACAATGATTCGGCTTGGATCTTGAATGCTGGCTCGCTTCTGTAATAGAGGGGCAAACTTTTGTGCAGAATAAAAGACGCTCTTGACATTCAGGTCCATGACTTTGCTAAAAGCATTGTCAGGGTGTGTGTCGAAGGGGGCACCCCAGGTGGCTCCAGCGTTCGCAAAGAGGATATCGACGTGATCAGTAGTCTTTGAGACCTCGGCAACCAGGCGCTCGATCTCAGACACCTTGGAGGAATCGGCAGGGACAGAGATTGCGACAGCGCCAGGGCGTTTGTTTGGGAGGGCGTTTAGTGCTGCGACGGCCTCGTCACACGCTTTGGCCTTTCGAGAAGTGATGTAGACCTTGCTCGCTCCTGCTTGGAGAAACCTGATGTCTGAGTCAGTACAGCCGTTGGTGAGGATTGAACGCGCCTCCGCCAAAGCCTACCCTGATGCCACATGAAGACCTAGCCCTCGACTTCCACCAGTCACAACGGCGACCTTTCCCTCCAAGCTGAAGATGTTTCCAAAGTCACGGAGTTCGACATCCGCTTGTGCACTGCCCATTTTCGCGAGGGACAAAGTTGTTTGTTTCGAGGGAGTCTCAATACACAGAATATAAAGGCGTGTGAATGCGAGAATGACACTCAAGCTCCGAAGTTATAGAAGGTATGTTTACCAGTTGTCGATTTATTGATTATGATCAGACCCAGAGGATCTTTCGGACCTCCCAGATCGGTCGCCCCAAATCTTAAAGGCCGAGGCATCTCTGGGTCCGCAGATACCGGTGGAAGGATCTCCATATGGTATAGCGTTGGAATGACACCGCGCTTACCTTATCGCCGAATGACGCCTTTTCTAGCTTAGTCACGTCTTACCGCGATTTCGGTTTTCACTTTGATTTCAATAATCGTATGGTCCGCCCCGGAATGCCTGGCACCCGCTGATATTAGCTCCGAGGCATGTCACCTTCTATATACCGAAAGGCACATTTTCATTGTGATCCAACAGCATATTCGAAATAAGGCTTGAGGCTGAAGAGCCAAATCAATGCTTGCCTACTCAGTTGTGGATCAGTCAACCGACTTACATATCTACTTGTTAAGGTGGCTTTTAACCATCTCAAAAGCCCAATGCCCAAGTTAGAGATATATCCCAGTAAGATTAATGAACAGTACTAGGGATCTCGCCGTTTGTATTCGTTCGTTCACCACAAGGACTTGGGCTTGTTCTGCCTGATCCGGGAGTTGATGAGAAGTACCTCTAAGGCCACTTAAGGCTAAGCGAGCCACTTTCTGACATCTAACCATGGTTATACACCACATATAAGAGTCTTTGACTTCGGATTGAACTTTAGTCTTTGTGTTCGAAAATGTTACATTTACAGCGACAATGGCAAATACTGACGAGGCTCAATTCGAGATCGACCCCGAGCTCAAAGCGGTACGGAACAATCATAGCATTAACGAAGGAGATGCATTTATTGACGGTCAGCATTTTTAGATCTGGAAGAAACGCGGCATCCCGAAAATCTTCTTTCCGAAAGTTGACAACATGGATGAGTGATGTTGTCTACATGCCCTAGGGAATCAGCGATTCACGAAGAGCGCCTTCGTTCGAGAATCTCTAGGCGACAATGTTGCTGAGCGTTGTGAGGAAGAAGATGGGCACGTGGTCGTTAGAGATGGTACGCCAATCAAACTGAGAGTCTATCGACCCAAACCAATAGATACTGGACTTCCAGTCATGATTTACTCCCACAGCGTGGCTGATGCCTTGGAGGTCTGGAAACTGAAGAATTCATCTATCGGCTTCTGGTGACGAAACTGAATATCATTATCATCAGCATTGCTTACCGACTAGCGCCTGAGTTCCTGTATCCAACAGAAATTAATGATATTTACGACGCCATTAAATGGGTATTTATCTCCCGTGTCGTCACACAGTAGTATCTTGACCAGCTTGCTGACTTTAAGACAAGGCTGCTGTGAGCGCAAGCACTGTAGGTGGAGACCTTTCAAAAGGATTCCTCACGGGAGGTGTCTCTCGATGTGGAAACTACACCGATATAGCCACTATTCTTGCAAGAGTCGATGGGCTAGAGCCGGCATTGACGGGTCATTTATACATCTGGACCGGCATCCCCCATCGGTTCGAGGGTGAGAACGGGAATGCCATCGATCTGTTCCCAGACCAACTGGCGCACGGCAGCTGGGAGACATACAAGCACGGCCCGGTCGCATCACGTGAAGTGAGCAAGTTCTATGCAGGTTGAGTCTCTCCATTCACGGTTTGATTATCGTGCCTGGAGAAAGGCTGACAATGGGGCTCACACAGATATCGCAAAATGCGATCCATGTGATCCGCTATTTTCCCCTCTACATCTGACCGATTTCTCCGACTTGGGGCCCATCTTTTCCTAAGTCGCGGGAATGGATATCTAGAAAGACAGCGCGCTCTTCTATTGCGACAATATGGAGAAGGCAGGTGGGAAAGTTAGATTGGATGTATATCCCGGACTACCCCATACTTGGTGGTCAATGTACCCTCAACTCTCGGTCAACAAGGAATGGGCCAACGACCTGCTGAACGGAGTCGAGTGGCTCCTGAGGAATAATGAACAGAGGAATACAACGTAGAAACTCTGAGAAGCAATCATCGGCCCAAGATTGATAGTAGATGCAATACCCGGTGGGAAGTGCATGGGCAGGGTTTCACGACGTCAGTAATGTTTGTTTGCCTCATTCCTGCAAACCTTTGCACAGGAGGTTTCTTGAACCGAACATTGGAAACACATGGATACTACACCATGGTCAATTAAGACCTAGAGACCACCTTTAGGCACGTACATAAATTTCAACTCACTGATTCATCAACATCATTGCATGATCGCTTGCATTTCCGACATTGTTTGGCACCAGGCGCTCGAGATGTGCAACATAAACCAGTACGGGAAGGCGTGCCCCGTGTTTGCCTCTCTCTCGTTGCTGTCACCTACCACCACATGCGAAGACGAGGCTTCATTTTCTAAACGAGCCTATCCCACCAAAACTCGTTTGTTCCAATTTTTGGCGTCTGCTATGATTGGTTTGTTGTTATTTTCTGGACCTCATCACATCCTCGTCTCAATTTCTTCCAGTTGTTTCACATGTCTCTCTTATTCACCCATTACTTCACCATCAAAGCCAAAGCCATAGGCGGTGGGTTGAATCTTTTAAATAAATCTTCTTGAGTCTTTTTTCTTACCTCTCGTTACAAGTCCCTCTGTCGTCCTGGCCATCTCTTTGAATCAGTTTGCGGTCGAAAGAATTTTGGTTATCTATACCTTTTGGATGCAGACAGAGGCCTCAAATGAAGCAGAACAAAATGTCTTCCCGAATCTCATCTCTGTTTTTGTTGGCCTTGCTGGTGGCAGCCACAATGTTTCCCACTGCAGCCTCTCTGAGGCAACAAACCCCCTCTACCATAGGCACCCCAACCTCGACGCAGTCGCTCAGCGATACCCACGCTGTCGCCTGTGTGACTGGTGGTGGAGACTGGCATATGGACCCACTGATAGCAGAGCGTCTGAGCACCTCGTTTTGCACACGCCTTCTTCGACCCGAAGTCTTTCCCCAGCCAGGCATTCGCGCCGAAGGATCAGGCTACCCCAGCGACCTCGGCATTGTTGACGATGGCGATGGAAAGTCCAGGAGAATGTCAGGAGTTGATCAAAAGAGAGTCTTCCGGCTCCGCGACATAGCCACGGACTCCGAGGCCGATATCTCCGCGATCATCAACACAACGTTAATCGAGATTTCCGGCGCCGTTGCAGAGTTCATGTTCTACCGGTCGAAAACCGAGACCATCTTGAACACTGAATACGTGCGCGGCACGGACGAGCAGTGCGCTCGAGACGACTGTGCGGAGGGTTTCCGCCGCGCTGTCAACACATGCAAGTTCAACTCACACCACATTGGCGGGTTTGCGGCGTACCTCACTGATTGCGGCCTGTACAGCATCCTGGTGCAAAATTGCTCCAGTAACTATGTCGATCGAGACTGCAATACTTGGCACGAAAGGTGGCCCGATGTAGGATTGAAGGAGAACATGACGCTGGTGTGGAATATCACACATGGTATAGGAGTGAATGGATCTGGGAGCGGGAAGGCTGTGGAGGATGAAGAAGGAGAGCATATTCCTGACCTGCGCGGTATTGCGGAGCGGTTTGCCTACGTGAAGGATAATCTGCCCAGTGGTGGGTTTTGGGTGGATGAGTGGAAGTGAGGAAAAGCGGTGTCAGGGACATACATACATCTCTTGCTCGTGAGCCTCATTACTGCGCAAGTGCCGATATTTACCAAGGGTTTAGCTTGCAAGCGCATTATCTCGACTTCATCTCATTAGTTGCAGCGGCGCTGCTTACAAGTCACACGCTCAAGAACAAGCTTGGATATTGACTTGGCTGGAATATGAATCATAGCTTGCAATTTCTGTGAACTTGCGCACTTTTGCTTTTGAGACATTCAAGCAACATCAAACATAGGAGAATGAGTCCCTGCGCGTGTTGCTTGCTCAATGACTCTTCCAGGGTGTGCAGAAGATCCGATGCACACGCTGGACTCTTGGTATGTTGTACGCTGTGATGAAGCTCTCAAGATGCCTGCTCGAGAGTACAGAGTGAATGGCCGTTCCTCGCGAACGGCGACGCAGGGCTGTTGGACTGTCCTTTGCGGTCAATATGAAGGCCAGAGGGTGGACAGTCGTTTGAGTTGAGTTGGGCCAAGTGGTGCAATCTAGGGACGATATAGATCAAGTCATATGTGAACACTAATAATATTCCACGCCGTGAAGGGAAGCCTCCCCCTCCAGCCACTGGCTCCTCCATGAAGTGTGCTAGCATTATTAGCTCGGAAGCTAATAACTCAACGCTAAACCTTTAGTCAGGCCACCTCCAATCACGGAAACCCGTCCCGGTCTTCCAACTTTAGATTCGATCGAAGAATGGATGTTGGACAGCTAAGGTTTCATTACTGCCAATAACGGCGAACAACTACTGAGATCTTTGTAGTAAAACACGAAGCTACTCGCCTCGAGAAGGTTCGGAATTTGAGGCGCATTGTGTTGATTCTAGCAACAACTCTGCTCGAAATGAAACTCTTCAGCCTTGCCGACTGGACTTGGCGGCCACCACTACCACCAGCTTTGCAATGTGTCCTCGCCGTGCCAGTGGCTGTATTGGCAATTTCACTTCTGATATGGATCGCCACGACGATAAGATTTCGAATCACAATCTCACGGATTCGATCGCGGGCCCAGAAGATGAAAATGCCGCCGGGCACAAAACAGCAATTAAAACCTCTGGCACCTCCAATGCTTCCGTATGCTCTGCCTTGGCTGGGCCATGCCATGGAATTCCTTTCAGAGGAGCCAGGGTCCTTCTGGCGGATGCTTCGCGATAAGCTGCGTGCCACGGGCACAGAGGTCGACATCTGCACAATCCTGTTGGGCGGTCAGAAAGCGCACGTGATCAGTTCCGCCGCGGCGGTGCAGGCGTTGTTTAAGGACAAGTCTGTGTCGAGAGAGCTATTCAACCACCAACTGGCGAGAAACTCTCTCGGTACCTCGCAAGCTGATGCGGAGAGGATGTGGCCCTCTGCTGCCGCCATTGCCAAAGGGGCCGAGAAGGACCGAAAGTTGAGTATGGAGGCACTGAACCATGAGTATCTGCTCAGTCAGGCAGCTGTGAGTGCATTGACGAGCAAGTTCACGGAATGTTTCAATGCCTCGCTCCAGGCGGCGGAACTTGACAGTGAATGGACAACGGTAGACCTACTCTCTTGGTTGAAAACAAAAATGTTTGATGCTTCTACTACTGCGGTTTTGGGTACAAAGATACTAGAAATGAATCCTGATCTTGTGGAGCAGTACTGGCATTACGATGCTGGATTTCTGCCGCGGTTCTATGGGTTGCCAAAGTGGCTCAAACCAGAGGCATATAGGGGCATGGAAGAGATGATAGCTCGAACAGAAGGATGGGTGAAGCACGTCCTTGACCAATGTGATCAAAACCCCCCTGAAGAGCCGGAGTGGGAACCAATGTTTGGAGCAAAGCTAGTGCGAGCAAGACATCGATTCTACGAGAGAGAAGGCGTAACATTGAGAGGCAAGGCGGCATTTGATTTGGGGCTTTTGTTTGGGTAAGTGACAAGTTCCCTTCTCGTTGGTGTTTGATTTCCAGGTCAAAGTCTGATTGATAGTCAGTCTTTCTGCCAATGCCATACCAATTACGGGTTGGATTTTAATTCACCTACTTTCGCCCTTGACGCCCAAGGATGTCCTACCAAGGATTCTGAGAGAAGTGAAAGACGCTCGGCGACATGACGGCGAAATTGACGTCACGAGGTTGCTTTCACAGCCATTGCTGAACTCTGTTCTCCACGAAACTCTACGGCATTATGTTGATTCATTAGTCACTCGACAATTGGCTTCAGATACAATTCTAGACGGATATCTGCTAAGAAAGGATGATTTGATTATGGCGCCAAGCTGGTTGAGTCAGCATGATTCTGTTTTCTGGGAGGAGGAGCAAAGGGCCTCGGTCAACACTTGGTGCGCCGAAAGATTTCTGAGGCATAATGCGATGACGGGCAAGGATGAATTCAGTAGTTCATGGACGAGCGGAAAATTCTTCCCATTCGGTGGAGGTGGATATATCTGCCCCGGCCGAGTGTTTGCCAAACAAGAGATCCTCATTGCACTGGCCATGTTGCTTATGCAGTTTGAGATCAAGTTTGTCGAGTACCTAGGGACAGACAAAACAGGGACTACGGTGGGGTTGGGAACTCAACCATCTGGGTTCCCGAGAGTGAAGCGGCAATATGCTGGTAACGGAACACTGCTCATGGATGGCGATATTAGAGTGCAATTGAGGAGATTATGATCATCCCTTGTGATATTGTCTGACTCTTCTTGCTGTACTGTCATCACATCAGGCAGCGCAACTCAATATCCGCCTCAGCACTTAAGTCAAGCTATATCCCTCGCACACTACGAAGTACTCCGTCCTCCGTCCTGTGTCAAGAAGTGTCGGAAGAAGTGCCTTGTGCACCAAGCCAGAGACGACGGTCGTCATTAACCTGACAGGGCAACCAGGTCAAGAATAGAGGTTGCTGCGCGGGAGTAACCCCATGGAAGATCATTGCCTCCTACTCTGGCCCCTAGGATTTGGACAGGCGCCAGGGCTTACTTTCTGGAGGCTGGAGAAAAGGGTGAAACAAGGAGCAGTTGCTAGCTGGCGATCTATGTACAGGAAAAGAAAGTAGCCGCAGAAAGTTGTCGTCATGTTGCCAAAAGCGTGGACAGGTAAACCTAAATGGTTAGGAGTACGATCGGCGAGAAGCAGCCTGGAATAAATTTCAAACAATGGGGGCGTTGCACAAGTCGATGGTGGTTTGGTATATGAAGGTCTATTCAGGGAATTGATGGTTGCACCTGATATATGTACGGATTACTTTGTGCTTTGCTGGGGAAGAAAATTGTATGCAGGGTCTGGAAAAGAGATCCGAAGCAGGCTAAGCCCCTGAAGTGGCCTGTGGCCTGACGGCTCGCTCGGAGCATTCTCTGTTGCTTGAAGCTCAAACCTGCAATGCAGGGCAAACGGCAGCCGAGCGATTCACGGGTCGAGTACTCCGTAACAAGACCCTTTCTGGAAGGGGATGAGTCGTTGACTCTTTGGCTTGTGAGGTTTGGGGCTTGCTTATTCCTTCCCACAGCCATCGTCACAGCCTCAGCCTGGGCAAAAGTGCCACGCGGCAAGGGCTCACATATCACTCCCTCGTACTTTGAATAAGTAGATTGCGTGATGTCGGTTGTAATATACGCATGTCTCTACAGAGGACTGAGGACTGAGGACAGACGTAGACATGGTTGTCGAGGGGCACCCCACGCTTCCGAACAACGATAATAATCACTTCGTCTCGACGGGTCAACGGCCAATGCGCCGGTCGCCAGTGTGAGAAGGCCCAGCGCCCAGCCCTTTGCCTGCAGTAGAGGCCGAAGATCATACTGAGTTTTACACTGGCATCCCGCCTCCACCCAGCCATGGCATTAGACGGAGGGAGGTTAGGTCACTGGGGCCATCTTTGACTGGCGAGAGACGTGCCCCTAGTCAGGATCCTCTGTACCGCGAGCGAGTAGTAAGTGAGGCTGTCTTTGTGTCCTATGCCTATAGCAGTCAGGACACACCTACCTGGACGCGCTGTGGATGGTTGTTGCTGATGACTGGACAGTGGTTCCCGTCAAAGTACGTAGTACGGAGTACGGAGTCCTAGGTAGTGAGTAAGAAGTAAGGCCTTGCTGGTCACTGGAACTTTTGCAGATCCTGCCACAACGAGGACGTCATCGCGCATCAAACTTACCGGGGCCTAATGGGTGCTCTTGGTGCCACCCTACCCCAGCTAGTGGAGCGGTACAAGGCCCAAGGCACCCCCAAGACTCCCTAACAGCCCCCAAGGCCTCTTTGATTTGCTGCCTAAATTGCCGTTGGTTGCCGCTCAATCCACAATCCAATCTGATGGAACTCGCGGCAACCCACGTTGAGCCAACCATCGTTTGGCAGGGGAGACGCGCCCAGACACCCAATTCAGTTGGACATCTTCGTCGCGAAAGCCTTGCCTTGCCGCCTTTCACCGTCACCGCCACCGTCACCGTCACCATCACCATCACCATTACCATCAGCCAGCAGCGACCATCTCAATAATTGAGGTGAGTTGCATGTTGAAACTCATCCTTTATCGTTCTTCTCGACAACCGTTCACCAACTCTTATCTCTCGACTGAGTGAAACCTCTTCTCCAGTGCAGACCGTCTCATCCAATGCTAAACACAACCCACTCTGCCCTCTGTCGATCATCGTCCTCCTTGACCACCAGGCTCCACCAGACTCTGAACCGCTTCCTCTCTGGCTGGAGGCCGACTGTGACCGGCCACTCGTCTTTCGACTCTGGGCCCGTACCTACTTGCCAATCTTGCTTTGTTTCCGGCTGATCAACGTCGACCCAAGCAGTACACAACCTCCTCTGAACCCTCCCTCCCTCCTCCGAAGAGCGCCCTCTTACTCAGACACCTCCCCCTACGGTTCTGCCTACCCTTCCTCTCCAACGCTCTTGCCAAGCTCTACCCTATCCAGCTTTTCACACCCGCTCTTCTACTCCCCAGCAACAACAACATCCCTCTTCCCGCCCCGATCTCACTTGCCGGCCTAGCTTATACTCCTTCAGCTAGTGCTCAACGTTGAATGTCTTAACGACTTTCCTGTGACCACGAAGACACTGGTTGTTGGTCGGTGCGCGGCGCCTTCAGTCCAAGAATTCGGCCAATGCGTTCTTCGGCTACCCCAGAGCTTCGGTTGAAAAGTATTGGGAAACAATCAGACAAACCTTGCAGAAAACAGCTGCCAGCAAATGTTCGGTTCCCCATCATCGTCCAAGGCTACGGCTTCATTTCCACAGCCAGTGCCTATGACTGTGGATCAGTCAACGGATTCTGCCGACCACCCTACAATTTCTCCCTCGATATCAAGTGGTTCATCCTCCTCTTCCGAGTCCGAGTGCTCTGCCCAAGCCCAAACCTCACGGCATAACTCGAGACGTTCACGGATGGACAGGCCAAGGTTGGGAGATCGCCAGAGGTCAAACACAATTATAGTCCCAAAAGGCCGCGACGTGGTCCAAACCGAAAAGCCAGCTTATCCCCCCGATGATGCAAGGGCCATGAGTCCCCGGCGCAACAGTGAAGATATCGAGCGACTAGAGCGTGGCGTGCGAGAGAGCCTAAAAGAGTTCGTTCCTGCGATCCCTCCTTTACTACATACTGACTTTGATCATAGACAAGCTCGAAATCTCCAGTCCTCGCTCGCCGCGTTAGCCGAGAAGATCGATGAAGTTAAATCGGATCACGACAAACTAGAAAATGAGAACCGTTTCCTACAAGACTATATCGGTGGTCTTACTCGAACAATGTCAAAAGACAATCTTGGTCGAAGCGCGAGCACCAGTGGGAAGAAAGGCAGACGATGAATGAATCTTTGACGACTTTAAGACATCCTTTCAATCATTTCTTGGCCAGTACACGTCGGCCATATTTGCATCAAAGCGTGGCGACAGGATGAAACCAGAGTAGTTTCGGTTCAAGGCAGAGCCAGTTCAGGGAGGCTACCTTGAAATACCTTTTGTGTCGGTCTTCCCCCCAACGTTATGATACCCACGCCTTCGCTTGACAGGATCAGTGGTGGCGCTACTGCAAAGAGAAGTATAGAGATTTGTTATTGATTGGACGATACTTTCCCCATTCATCTTGGTGGGAAACATGGCATCACCCTTGTACCTGATCCGACCCTCGAGATCCTATGTTACCGGATCTGAACTGGTGCTTATCTTACGGGGCCGGTTGACGGTCTGGATTTTCTCATGGCCAAGTCGAGGATCTCATTGTCAGGACCTCGCTCTTCCAAGAGGATCTTCGTGTACAATACAAATGAGATGGTCCCTGGATAGAGGCTAAATGCCTCTGGAGTTAACGATTGATTGCAAAAGGAACGATTAACCTTTTATAATGAGCCCAGATGGTTTTGGTTGAGCAGTCAATCCATTGTGATGACACTGTTGTGTATAGGAGATACCCAAACGGGAACAAACTCGCATTTCTTTCCATCTGTGTCGCACACATATGTGGACTAGATGCAATATGAAAACTCATTTATTTGGACACCGTAAAAGTGTATAGGTGCATATTGCTTGCAAAGTTTCGGTGGTCCCTTGCATTATCTTGCATTCTTCCTGCGATACTTGCCCTTTCTGGTGAACGTGAACTAACCCTCCTGAAAAATTGTCTACTCTTTCGTTATTCTTGTCGCGCCTGTGCCTACCTTTGATCAAAACATATAAAGTACGCCAGCGAGAGCATCATGGCTGAACATCTGCAACAGCCACGCCTAAGGTCTGATCTGCCTGTCCGTAATACAGAAACCACTGTCCTTTGAATTGGACAAGTCCCTCGGCGAAGACCACTAGGTCAACTTGCCCTCGTTCCTCCTCTGGCGTTGATGGGACCAGGAATGGCGTTTCCAGGCGTGCTAGCGGCCGCTGCTTCCGCGCTTGTTGCTGGGTAGGTGGCCGTTCATGGTGGAGATGTTGGTGTTGGTATTGTTGCTGGAGACTTTGGGTACCTTCTCCCTCTCTACCTTGAGGCTCAAATGGGTTCGATGGGTCGATAAGCATTTGGCCCACCGAGTATTGCGTCGTTCGGTACTCTTCCGCGCCGGTGGTCATGGCATTGTAGATCTGAAGGATGGCCTTCGGGTCAGTAGAGGAGTCTAGACCTGACATTGGCAGATCATGCTTAAATGGCGCTGCTGCTGCTGCTGCTGCTGCTGCTGCTTGCTGTTCGATAGAATCGAAGGGTGTGGTCCGAGACTTACTAGTAACCATCTGCCGTCTCTCGTTCTAACAGGCGCTGGCCCGGGCTCAATCAGTCCGTTCTCCCATGGATAGGCAGGTCTGGCAAACGGCTTGGAATTCGGCGTCCAGTGCAGGAGATCAGTCGATGTGGCGTGATAGAACAGGCTGTCGCCGAAGTACATATGATACATACCATCCGCCGTTGGCTCGGTAATAATGGCGGCACCTTTGAGTGTTAATCACGGGGCCACGTCAAGACAGATCACTTTGATGGGTACGTACTTTTAGTATGGTTGACTCTCAAGATATGCTCGCCCTGCTCGGAGAGGGCGACGTCTTCGAACCCCGGGAAGGTAGGCGGGTACTTGGTCCAATGCAGCAAATCCTCACTGGTTGCGATGCACAGTTGTGGCGTGTTGAGGTCGTACCCCGTGTACGTCAGGTAGAAGGTGCCATTCACGCGGACAATCCTAGGATCCTCCGTGCCACCCCCAGCTTCCCAGGGCTCCGTAGGATAGATAATGGGATCATCGAGGCGCGTGAAGTTATACCCATCGTTTGACCAGGCGAGTCCTATTGACGAGGTCCTCTCTGAATCCTGTGCCCGGTAGAGCAGGAAGATCGTCGAGTTGAGCACGATCGCGGTAGGGTTGTAGACGTACGCGGACTCCCACTTGTTGGATGGGTTCGGGGTCAAGATGGGGTTATTGTGATGCTTGATGAACGGGAGGATGGGGAAGATGGGGAAGATGTGGTTAGGGTCACCTTGGATTGTGTCCTTTGTGATGGTGAAGGGAAGGGAGCGCGATGAATGCGTTCCGAGACTCGTAGAAGCGTGTACCAGTGTGAGTAGCGTGCAAATGAAATGGGTGGTGTTCCGCATCTTTTTGAAATTTAGCAATGTACTTCCAACTTGGGCAGTTTGCTCGATGTGCAATAGTGATTCCAAATGCGGCCTTCATGCCTAAACTATTAGATCCTCGTGAGGGTACTTGATATGTAGACAGACAGTGTCGCTTACAGAAAGTCAACCAAGCACGGCCGCCCCGGTTTCACGAGCCTGGGTCCTTTTAACGACGTTGCTGGGCACCTGCAGTGTCTATCGATCATCTGTTCAAGAGACTTTCCCACGGTTTCCAATATGGAAGACGACTCAGGACTTCAGATGCTTCGGGCAATATGCAATCAACAGCAAGTATTCGCTACCGCGTACATGCATCCCGGGGAATCCATAATTGCGGTTTATAGCTTGTAAGCTGACGGCCTCCCGCTACTTCGGTTGTTGCCATGTTGGTGGTAGACTTACCTTTCCCACTCGTAATTTCAACGCGATACAGGTATTAACAAATACTTTGTCCTCTGCAGGTGCTGTCTCGTTTCGTCATGTAATCCTGTAGTAATTATACGGTACTCTCGACTGTGACACTTTTCTTGCCACTTCTCCACTATCCGTGCTCACGACTTGCCTACTTGACTACCTAGCAGGCACCAGGCACCTAGCACTAAGAAGACCACGGCTTTAGGAACCTCTCCAGCTTCCTGGTGTCTGTGTTGCACAGGGACTAGAAGTCTTCAATGCCCATCTGTCAGGATGTTATCGTTTGTTTGATTGAAGCAACCATACGGAGTATAGTGCTCGACTTTAGTGAACGATGGTAACCCTCAATCCTGCTTCATGCCTCTAGCATCTGATCCTCGCCTGAGTACACTAAGCACCCACATGTCAACCACCTACCCACAGCACCACCGCACATCAATTAAGGGAGTGTTTCTGCGCCCTCCAAGCTAAGTTTTCCGCTTGCATATCTAAACTTGCTTCGACTCCTCGACCTTCTCGGAAGCAGAGGGAACGTGCTCTTCACTTCCATGGCCACTGGCATTGGCCCGATCGAGACCAAGCTCAGCATTGATCTGGGCCATGCGCTCCTGGTCAGCAGCTGCGACGCCGCTTGAGCCGAACACAAGGTCCATTTCCTCAAGCGTCAATTGCTTGGTTTCGGGAACTGTGGGTTGTGTCAGAATTCCGTCACATATACCTTAGTTTGCTCGGCCGGTAGGGGTGTCTTACCGTAAAACCACACAAAGGCGGCTCCAATTGTGATAAGTATCCCGAAAAGGATAAAGGTCCCGTATCTCATATGAACGATCATATCCGGGGTAACTTGACCAACGATAAAGTTGTTCATCCAGTTCGAACTGGCTCCTAGTGCAATGCCATAAGGTCTTGCACTGAGAGGCCACACCTCAGCAACCACGATCCAAGCGCTGTTATGGCCTCGGTGAGCATTGTGCCAGATTTGGAGTTCGACCGCTGATGCTGAACTTACCAAGGACCCCATGACCAACCGAAGTGGACGACAAACAGCCAAACTATTCAGATCAGCCTTATACTTCATCACACAGAGACAACTTCTTACCCATGACAATTGCAGCCCAGCCAGCAGCTTTATGAGTTGGCCATTGGTGCTCATTCTTGGCAAAGATGACCGCAATGATGAAGTGGCACAACCCCATACCCAAAGCTCCGAGCGCGAGTGCCGGCTTACGTCCAATGCGATCGATATACAGGATAGAGGGAATTGTGGCAAGCAGCATGGCCACACCAACAACACCCGTGGCCAGAAGCGAAGTCGTGTTATTGGAGAGACCAAGGGCGCCAAAGATCTACAACAATCAGCTTGTTCCTATTTTCACGAGGGAAACGAACCTGTGGTGCGTAATATAGGACAGCATTAATTCCAGTCCATTGCTATTGCGTGTCAGTCAAGGCTGTCCAGGAACGCGCCGCTTTGACTCACCTGGAAAAACATGGTCACGGTGGCAACAATAACTCGACGAAACATCGGCATAGTCTTGAAAAGCGAGCCGATAGCCACGAACTGCAACTTAGCAATATTCCAGGCAGTAGGTTCTACAAGATGGGGGAAATTGGCTTCAACCGTCCTCTTCTCGAACATCGATTGAGCTTTGATCTCAAGGTACTCAATTTCAATCAGTTCATGGCCAATTGGCATTGATCTCAACGTGGCGAGCGTCCTGCGCGCTTCTTCCTCGCGGCCATGATGAATGAGCCATCGCGGGGTAAAGGGCATGAAGATCATTCCGACCAACAATACGAGAGCGGGCGCAAGCTGCAGGGCCAGAGGAACGAGCCAGGCGGCGTCGGATTGACCTTTACCAGTCCCACCAATGTAATTGGTGCCGTAGTCCTGGATATGTCAGCCCGGTCTTTGTTGTATGAGATTTGGCACGTACAATCCAGAAGCTGATCATGATTCCAAATTCGATAGCAAATTGTTGAACACCAATGAGGAGGCCTCGCAATTCGGGAGGTGAACATTCTGCGACGTACATCGGTACAATCATGGACAGTGAGCCTACACCCATACCTACACCCAACGTTAGAGAGACCTCTGCCGGTTTGTAAAGCTGACACCTACCGACAACAAAGCGACCACCAAGGATTGCGGAATGCCCTGCGGACGTTGCTGTGCACTGTACGATGACACCAAGGATGAAGATGCAAGTATTGACGATGATAGCATATTTTCGCGAGATCAGCTCGGCAAGAAAACCAGAGTACATTGTCCCAGTCCAGGCCCCGAGCTCAAGGATCGATGTGAGCCAACCCTTCTTGGTCGAATTGGTAGTATAGTCGCCCATGTGGTTGTTGAAAGATGTCATTGTCCTATTCAGTGGTCAGCAAGAGCCTCGAACACTGTTGCCTCCTCCATCGGTGGGATTTCGAGCATGAACGGAAACATACAGAACACCACTGAAAACACCTTGGTTGTATCCATAGAGCAAGCCACCGATACAGGCGAAACACGCAATCCCGAACACACGAACATTTTTCATGAGCGCCTGCGGCCCGGCCTTGCCAGCAAGGGCAAGACGACGTTGGAGCGCAGCATCGCTGAATTGGGAGGTCTTCTGTGCAGCAACCATCTTGCAAGTATGATGCAGATGTCTGTCTACAATTGAGATACACTACAACATGGAAACAACGTTGAAAGAAAGCGAGAGGTGATTTAATTGATTTCCTTTCATGGACACAGTCATGCAACCCCAGCTTCAGGCTAATTCTGGAGGGTTGAAGAACATGACCTGCAAAACGCAGCAACTGAGAAGGCGAGCCATGCAGGATCGAGGCCATATCATTGGAGACCAGCAGCGATCCCTGTATTTGATTCATTTTCCGACGGGAGGAGAGCGAAAGGTATCCAAAGCCTGGCGAAGCATTTACAAGCATATTTGGGATCGGCAGATAGCTTCCGTCCTAAAGAAAGGCTGGTCCACAGCCTTAGAGGCTAGGCGCCATACGGATATACGGAAATAATGACTAACTTCTATCGAACATTCCACGGCATGAAGAGGGGTTCGGAGTGCTTCGAAGTGCCGTTATTGACCATGTAATCATGAGAGGCTGATACCCCCTGTTTCCTCCTCATTATTGACACCTCCGCCTCCACATTTTTAGTCGATTTAGCCTAATACCCGACCACTCCCGGGCCTTCTGGTGATCATACTCCTACTGCCTATCTCCATATTTTACCTGCTCGCTTGCCATATTACTACAAGTGCCAACTACATCTCACCACCGGCCAAAACACTGTTTTTCACTGGAAGATTTCCTGTTTCGGCAGAAGACTGGCCCTGGTTGATGATCTGGACTAATCATGTCCTACCGCCATTCCTTCTCTGGGTCGTTCCACCGCCTTCAGCACGTCATAAATGCCAGGGTGTGTGCGTGGGTTGCCGTGCCAAAATCAGTCCACACTGCCACAGCATAAGCTTCTGCTATGCGACGATCCCGAAATGATCCATGCGCTTAAGTGTCACGTGTGCAACGTCGGATTGCGTTGGGGGATACGTATCCGAGTCTGTTTGTTTTGTATCTCAAGGTTCATGTGGTGGAGATACAAACCCACCCTGCAACCTTCCTAAAAGGTATACATAGGCAGAACGGCGAACTCCCGTGCAGCTACAAAGGAATGTTGGAATAGCCGTCTCCATCCTCATCAAGGGCCTCGCCTCGCCTTGCCTCCTCTCCATGCCTATGCCCGGCAAAAATGGTTCCGATGATCGACACTCTTATGCTCATCGTGTGCATGAAAACAACTCGAAAACGAGTCTGTAACCCATATTCGAGCATTGAAAACTCCACACGCGGAGTACAAACAATGCAGATGCAGAGTATGACGACGAGATGTCGTTGAAATGAGCCTGTGACCATGGTTAAATGCGACGCGTTCCCAGGACGGTCGGATGGTTGTGTTCGAATACTTTCTGCCTCCTTTTTCTTGCATAACAGCTGTCATCATGACCGCTCTTTGGAAAGGACTGCTATTCTCGGCTTTTGCTGCTGGCGTTGCTGCTGCTGAGTTTCCAGATTGCAGAAATGGCCCTCTCGCAAACAATACTGTCTGTGATACAGATGCATCGGTTGCAGATCGAGCAAAAGCACTGGTAGCAGTTTTGACCATCGACGAAAAGTTCAACCTGACCGGGAACACCTCTCCAGGAGTGCCCCGATTGGGGCTTCCAGCATATCAGTGGTGGCGTAAGTTTTCTGTATACCATAGCAGATGATCCTCTGGCAATTACTGATTCCTGGCACTGTTTAGAGGAGGCACTGCACGGAGTAGCGAGTAGCCCTGGGGTGAACTTCAGCGTATCAGGAGACTTCTCGCATGCTACCTCATTCCCGCAGCCCATCACAATGGGAGCAGCTTTCGACGACGCACTCATCAACGCTGTAGCAACTGTCGTTAGCACAGAAGCACGCGCTTTCAACAACGTCAACCGATCAGGCCTGGACTTCTGGACACCGAATATCAATCCATACAAGTGAGTGGGGGCTTTCCTAGTTCCCAAAGTTCATGGGATCCTCCGTATCATTTTTGAGTGCTCAAGAGCATTGACTGTACCATTCGTTCTCTGTGATTCTCTTCTCGTGTGTTCTGGAATAGTCTGATACTGACCACTGATCTGGCAGAGATCCACGATGGGGTCGCGGGCAGGAAACCCCCGGCGAAGATCCGTTTCACTTGAAGTCTTACGTGGCTGCTCTAATCGATGGACTTCAAGGAGGCTTCGATCCACCAATCAAGAAGGTGATAGCCACTTGCAAGCATTTTGTGGCGTACGATCTCGAGGTCTGGGAGGATACAGACCGATACAGCTTTGATGCAATTGTATCAGCTCAAGACCTGGCAGAATACTACTTTCAACCATTCCAAACTTGCGCCCGGGATGCTGCCGTTGGGTAAGTCAGTGTGCAACCCATCACCAATCACTACTGAAACAGCCAGATCGATTATGTGTTCATATAATGCCCTCAATGGCGTACCTACGTGTGCTGATCCATATATCCTACAAACCATTCTGAGAGACCATTGGAACTGGACAGGAGATGGCTACTATGTGACTTCCGATTGTGATGCCATTCAAAACATCTATGCGCCACATTACTATACTCCGACACGAGAGCAGGCGGTTGCAGATGCACTGATCGCTGGGACGGATCTGAACTGTGTAAGTCAGACTGCTGATGCCTATGTGGGCAACTGGGTTGATCTGTCGAAAGGGAACTTATTATCAGACTCACCTTCCAGATGCCTATGATCAAGGTTTGTTCAACGAAACCGTGATCGATCAGACCATCACGCGGCTTTACTCTGGCCTTATCAAATTGGGATATTTCGACCCCCCATCTACTACTCCATATCGTTCTCTTGGATGGGCCAACGTTTCGACGCCTGATGCCGAGGCCCTGGCCCTCAGAGCTGCCGAAGAAGGCATGGTACTGCTCAAGAATAACGGCTTCTTACCACTATCTTTGCCCGCCGATCGGAACACCACCATCGCTGTCCTTGGTGGATGGGCAAATGCGACAACTAGGATGCAAGGGAACTATTTTGGTGTAGCTCCATACCTCCATGCGCCATTGTATGCAGCTCAACAGCTCCCTAATGTCAACGTCAAGTATGGCGGTGGGTTTGGGGTTCCGACAACTGACGGTTGGGACGAATTACTCACTGCTGCTGAAGCGGCTGACATTATTGTCGTGGCAGACGGTATTAGTACCAGCGACGAATCTGAGAGTAAAGATCGATATAAGATCGGTTGGCCTCCTGCATCGATTGACGTTATTAACCAGTTCGCGGCGATGGGCAAACCAGTTATCCTCGCGCAATTTGGTACGCAGCTCGATAACAGTCCATTCTTGAGACACCCAAACATTTCTGCAATTATATGGGGTGGTTACCCTGGCATGGCCGGCGGTGATGCTCTCTTCAACATCATTACCGGGAAGACGAGTCCTGCTGGACGACTTCCAATCACTCAATATCCTGCTGAATACGTCGAACAAGTTCCCCTTACGGACATGAATCTCAGGCCTAATTCGACATCGGGAAATCCTGGCAGAACTTACAAGTGGTATGATAACGCCGTCGTTCCGTTTGGCTACGGACTGCACTATACGAATTTCAGCACCTCAATTATTGAGCCAAGTCAGTCCAGCTATGATATCTCGTCGTTGATTGCCAATTGTAGTGGTGGGGTCTCCCAATATCTTGACCTCTGCCCCTTTGCATCCATACAGGTCAATGTGACCAACAGCGGTGAAGTTGCATCGGATTTTGTTACGCTAGGATTCATCGCAGGACAATACGGTCCCGCCCCTTACCCCATCAAACAACTTGTGGCTTACCAGCGGTTGTTCGATATTTCTGGCGGAGGAAGCTCGACAGCAACACTGAACCTGACACTTGGAAGTCTCTCGAGATATGACGAGGACGGCAGCCAAGTGTTGTACCCAGGAGAATATAGCTTGCTGGTCGATGTACCTACACAATCCGTCTTGCATTTCACCTTGACTGGTGCTCAGGCAGTGTTGGACCAATGGCCTCAGAACCCAGGCATTTGAGACTAGTTAGTAAATTGATGTTGGAAGTCCAGGTCATGGAAACGCGAATAATATGCCTAGGAAAAGGCGTGCTGTGCGTAGCACAAGCTATCTGTACTCCTCCGGGCAAGAATACAATGATACTCAAACTATTGATGCAACTCAACTTTACTTACGGCAGTCTGCCTTGACTCGGCGCAAACGAAACTGCGAATTCCGACAGAAGTTTAAAACTACTGTACATCACAGCAATTGGCAACAATTCATGATTGGTAGATTTACACAGCCACAATCGGCCCACGAGTATCCGTATATTAAGACTGCGGGTCTTGTCCAAGACCCTAGAATGTCAACTCTGTCTTCTCGTCAACATTGTTCTACTGATCGATACCCCGCGATCGATCACATGGCCAAATAATTGCTAACTTGTCATTATTTTTGAGGAATTCAGCGCCCACGTTGCTTCGCACTATATCTTGAGTTCAGCACTATAACCTTTAGTTCGACAAGCAAACAAACGGCGCGCTCTAGGATCAAGGATTATCCTCTTGGTGCATGATCTTGAAGATTCGAATTATTTGGCTTCTTACATCACCAAATCCGCGATTCCCAGAGAGGTCAATCGTCCGGATCCTAAAAGACTTAAACTACAAAACTGAAGCGAGCACAACCCCCATCTCATTACACAATGCAAGCCTAGTCGGAAACCTTGCTCGTTGTCCCCGCTGCCACAAGATTCGTGGACAAAGGTTTCCCCCATTGGTCGTATTGGAAGCCGTTTTCAAAGCCAAAGAATCGATACCACGACGTCACCCTCACGACGTGTCAACTTTGCTTCGCCGTTGCATCCTACCCTGGTCCTGGTTCTCTACCATCACTGTGGCTGGGCGCAGGTGAAGACTTCGAACGAGCGTTGGGGCGGTATGCCACGACTTCTCCCTGGAGGCACTGCACCGACACATCATACTGCGGGCCAACGCCGCTAGGGCTGGTGGTTCAAGGACAGGACCACATCCCCAAATCATATCGCTACCTACGAGTACGTCAGCTTTGCAAGTTGCCTTCTTCAGCCAGCTTAGTTTTGCTCTGGCCATTAAGAGCTTCCCATTGCCCCGGTTGCTGAAGCCAAGATACAAGGCACGTTTCTGAACCAGCCATTACGCACCGTCACGTGGGGCTACCTGTCTGCCAATTGGCTCAGCCTTGCCTTGACGTCGTCGCTGTGGGCATTTTCACCCTTGCGTGTCAGTGAGTAGTGATCTCCATTGAGACTGTCTGACCCAAAGGTAGTCGGTCGGTGAGGCGCCCTTATTTCAAGCCGTCGAAAATGGGCCTGTTCAGCTCGCTCAAGGGCAAACTCGATGTTGGCGTCGACGACCCGGCCCAGCAACCAAGCCGAGAAAACTCAGCTCATGACGGCTGGTCGGCTACGCAGGAAAAGCGTCGTTTATTCGGCCGTGGAGGGAATACACAATCATCGAAGAGCGAGCAATACGTCCCGCCATCTGGCCCACCACCGTCTCACCGCACCCAGGGAAAGGGAGAGGGGACTGCAGGGTTTTCGCCCCCTCCAGGGCCGCCGCCGTCACATTCAAAGCACGAACAAGATACATACGCTCCGCCGCCTGGTCCGCCGCCGTCACAATCCACGAACCCGCCGCCGTACCATGACTGGACCGTAATCCCAGACACGGCTCTTCTCCCACCACCACCCGCGCTGCCACAAGACTACTCACCCACGAACAATGCAAGTTACGACTCGGCTGAAAGGGCACACGCCTGGTGTGCCAGCAACCCGTTGTACACGCCGTCAATCCCGAGCTCTGAGCTCTACGCGCTCGCCACCGCCGGACTCCTCAGCCTAGAGGCGCCTCCACCGCAACTCTGGACCGGATCCCAACTCCGCCAGGCCTCACCGAGTAGCTATCACGTCAAGACAGTCAAGAAACAACAAGACGCGATCATCCTCTCTACCATCCCCCTCTACTTCGCGGCCAAGGACCATCCATTCTTGACCGAGCGCCCCAAGACAATCTACTTCGAGATCCGGATCGTCAACATCGCGGATGCAAACTCCGGCATCGCCCTCGGTTTCGCAGGCAAGCCGTACCCGCCGTGGCGGCTGCCTGGCTGGCACCGTGCGAGCCTCGGCGTGCACGGCGACGATGGGCGACGCTTCGTACACGACCCCTGGGGCGGTCGGGATTTCGTGGCGGCGTTTCAAGCAGGCGAGACGATTGGGATCGGTATGACGTTTTCGACCGAGGAGTTGAGGTTGCCGGGGGCGGAGGGCCGCGTTAAGACTCGGGTGTTTGTCACACGGGGCGGGAAGAGGGCGGATCGTGACGGCTGGGATGTCGACGAGGAGCGTGACGAGAGAGATGAAGGCGTCGATGGCCTCATGGGTGAGGCTGACCTTTATCCTGCGATCGGCGTCTTCGGAGGCGTCGAATTCGAGATTAACCTCGGCAGGGAGGGCTGGTTGTGGCGGCCGAGAGACTAGGTGACCAGTCCGTAATTTCGCTAGCCAGCATGGCCTGTCTACTATCTGCGGGTGTGAGACTGTGAGACCAGGTCGCAGGAACTGCACCGCTGGGCTGCCGCGACAGAAGCCGGAACTTTCGGTGTCTGTCATGACTTGTGCTTGCTTGAGGGGAGATTGCCAGCCGTCTCATTTGGCGACACACCGCGCGCTGTCAGACTCTTTTAGGGTTATGGATAGAAAGGCACTGTTGACTATACCCTACTGAGGTCCGGCACTGACTGGCTGACTACATGGTCATGGCATGATCTCTACAGCCGATGTGGAATACTGCAGGAGCGTGAACAGAATATATAACACTGTGAGAGGAGGCGATTCTACCTACCCTCGGTATATCGTAGAGAGGAATCCAACCCATGGGATTTCGTGCAATGCACTAATGTTGAGTTTTGTTTGTCATGGGATCAATGCATGATGTATCCTTCCTGTTGCCCTGAGCTTTGGTTGCTGCGTCGCACTTGACACACGAAGCTGTGGATGGAAACAGCAGAACCTTGCAATCCATTCTGCCTCGTGCGGAAGTCGATCACCATAGTCATGCCGGAAAGAGATTGGCGGCACGCTCTGATCGAGGTGTCTGACGCCTTGCCCCATGCTAACGTCGACACGTCTTTCGAGTACAGATGACCTACCACAGGTCTGAAAGCCGACTGGCCCATGGAGAATGGTGTTACATCTGCCGCGGAGCATGGGACGCAGGCAAGGAGAGTACGTGAGATTTTCTTGTCGTGTTTGACCTACGGAGACAACATTTCGTTAACCTTTATTTCGTCTTGCAGACCTGCGCCCCCATTGTAGATGGCACTGGATTCTGGTTGCAGTCGACTTGAGGCAGATCAAATATGCATCGATAGTCAGTCATGATAGCGGGTGGTTAGCTTTTCGAAGCTCTGCACTGGTCTTTCCGTGTGAGAAATTTGTGCAACGATGTCCGTGCTAATTAGCCCGATCGCAAACCTCTATTCAACATCACATCGATATACGTGACGAACATCCATGATTAAAGTTTTAGATCGAAGCTCTTATCTGGCATTTGGAGGTCTCACAATATCGCCGGCCAACGCAGGGCCTTTTAAAAGTCCCACTCACATCTCTGCCTATAGTCATCTTGGAAATCTTCAGCGGGATCGAGCAAGCGTAGTCCCTTGAGTCTGATTCTGTGAATGCAGGTCCATGCCCTCGGAGCCCAGGCCACTCAATTCTTGCAATCTCAACGGGTCCCATGTTTGTCGGTGGTGTGAATAAGGTCCCAAGCATGGCAGCGGAGCGGCATCGGGAGGCGCCTAGTCTCCGGCTCAGAAACTATATCACAATCGCGTGTGAACCAGTTGCGCAAGGAGGATAAATCTTACACCTTCTGGTTTGCAGAGCTGGCTTATCAGGCCACCTTGCTCGAGTGCTGTAGACTCTTTCATGATATGTATTCTAATTAGAGGTGATGGTGTGTGAGCAGTGAGCGGCATAGGGGTGTACTGAGGGAGAATCTCGGACGCTTAGGTGTGGGATAGTTTCGTCTTGCTTAAAGGATCCCCAGGTTGTCTGAGGCATAGATGGGCACCTACGTCCCCGGTTATCGTGGTGATTCAACCCACCGAGCATCTTCTGTAGTGATACATCTTGCCTTGTGTTTCAAAACAATATATGAACCGATCGAATAATGACGTCGCTCGATGACAAAATGGAGGGAAATACAGGAAGTTGGACTCGCGGGTTGAAAGCTGGATAGGAAATACATCAGCTAATGGTCCAAGGACATGTATATCAAGATTCCGATGTTTGCAGCCATGTTTCCTTTAGATAAGTCTAGATCTAGAAACGTATCCGCTCTGGGAAGGGGTGCTGCTCGCTGTAGGCGAAGGTATGTTGATGTTGTGCAGATCGATCTCTAAGCGGCTCCTCTACCTAGGTCCTAGATTATGCAGATAGTAAATGCGTGTTGCCCTCAAACTTGAAATACTTTCCATTTTTGAAGGGGCAGAAATTTGAAGGGAGGGAGTCATCGAAATGAGTAAATCAAAGCAGATAGGGATGTTTCTGAATGAATAATGACAAAGATCTGTCCCAGCGGAATGAAAAGAAATCATGAATCGGGAGGAGACTGCGCTTTCGAGGGGAAGAACGTATGATGGACATGCGCGACAAGGAGGCTGCAGCTAGTGATAGCCTCCGCGTAATAAATAAAATCGGTGAAAGTGTCGGGAATGGTATGGACCTCGTCCCGGCGTGCATAGGGGCGCGTCAATCCTACAGAAGCAATAAAGAAGTAACCATTAAGCCACCTAGTGTTCTTAAAGCCAAACTAATGAATCTTCTCCAATGAGCAGCTGTAGTGAAGTGAAAGATGTTCAGGGTACGTTGTTACTCCTGCTTCCTGCAGGTGGTGCGGGATACGGGCATCGTTGCAGCTGCATGGTACCCATTGCTTTGGAATCTCTCGCAGCAAAGCGTCATCATCCAATTGCAGATGATGAAAATTTCACAGAGAAGGGTTAGTGCTCGACGAAAATCGCGGGCGTGTTTAGGTGTGGTGGCAAGAGCAAGTATAATTTGCCTCAGCCAAATGACTGCCAAGAGGATGTTCTGTTGAAGGGACGTTGTCATTCTTCGTTGCCATTTGGCCGGTAGCTCAATGGTGTGGTAGGCAATTCACCAGTCAGAAGTCGAGCATGGGAAGCATTCAGTTCTGTCGAGGCTCCCAGGCTATGGTTGCACAGCTAGGATCTAGAACCGCTTGCTGCAATGGACGTAGTCATCCGGGATCTATCCAAGACTCAATGACCTGCATGACATGCACTGACTGCAAGGTCGATCTTGTGCAACGGAGCACAACACGCTGCAGGAACGAGAGCTGGCACCCCAGAGATATGCCACCATGTTTGGTTAAGGGAACGGTGCAACATGTGACTCAGTGGGAATCTCGAACGGGTTTCCCAGTAGAACCATTGTATAGCTTGCAAAGTTCTAACCTGTCTTATTAGCACCGTGCTAATACAAGCATTGGCAGTGCCATCGCCAGGGCGCGACGCTGTTGCAGATCGTCAAGTTCGTATCTGCGGGTTACACAACGGCGAAACCCCAAGATGGCGGGGTATGTCAGCGAGCAGCGCTACACTCAGTCGGCATGAAGTCGAGTCCTGAATACGTGTCCTATCCAAGACAACATTTCTGTTATTCGGAGCCATATTGAGCAGTGTACAGTTGGGGCGTTATACCATTCTGAGGTCCGATCAGAATTAAATAAAGTTATATCACATAAGAGGCGGTGACAGGGCCTGTGCGAATATTTCAAGCGTCGAGGCACTAAAAGGATGGGTTGTCAGTTGATCGCGCTTCGGGCCGTAGGGGATGCACGTTTATCGAGATTGAAGCCTTGTACGGAGTACCGAGTCCTCTTCTACTTCACCGCCAGTCTTGCGTCAAACCACGAGGGGATCTAGGGGCGAGAGCAATGGCGGTGAAGATGTCAAACCATGCACATCATTCCCCGTTTGCATGAACCATGGATTGTCGATCTCCCGGTGAGCGCATGGCTGAATCATTGAATTTTGAAGATGGCAATTGATGTGTCGCATTTAAGCATCAGAAATGCGCTGGGAGAATTGTCGCCGTTGTGGGTTGTGTCCAGCACCAGGAGTCCGAAAATTGTGGGAAGAACGATAATCGTAACAATCCCGCTTTCCACAGCGTCCGCGAGTTACATCACTGCCAAGATTTACGGATGAACTTAGGCCACGCAAATGCACTGCATGTTTTCTTGTGTCGGGCAAACAATAATATTTTGTCGTTAGCATGCATCCCACCCTCTCTCCCACTTTGGAAGAATGATGCAAGTACGGAGACAACGCACTTGCTTTCTTCTGTGAGGGGGCGTGGTGCGCCTTGCTGGCAGATCGCTCAGGAACCGTTGGATAGCCCACGATGCACCTTGTTTAGGCGCGTGAATAACAGTCATGCATTGCTATGCACCCAGACGCACTGGCTTCGGGGGGAATAATGGCCCTGGCTTCCGGAGAACACGATCTATCTGTATCTTCATTCGTAGTCCATCAACGTCCTGCCTCTTGAGAGCGCAATCTCCGCCTACAGAATGTCTTGTGATTCACAAGAGGCGAATTGCCGGGTGCAGTCATCAAGCACTGGGCAGATCGGGCATGTCAAGCTCGTTAACATGATGACCAGGACATTGGAAAGAGGATCTGAGAAAGGCGGACTGTGCTGGTAACGATTGAGAGAAAATCTCCACGGTCTGCAGAAGTGGTCACAAGAGCAGTCGATCAAGAAAGTAGAAAGTCGCGCAGTACTGTCAAGTGATCATGCATTGTACATCAGCCAGGTTTGAAGACTTGATATTCGTTTCATCAACAAGAATGGTTCGAGGCGCCGGGGGGTACATCTGGGTAGTCGATGTGAGTGATGGAGCTACGTTCAGCCTGCTTCAATACGCCCGACATTGCTCGCCAATGCTGACTTCCTGCCAATTGTGCCTTGACAAGGCATGACTGCATCAACGTACTTGGAGCAGTGTTTGCAGAATTGCTACCTGCAATGTACAATGCCGGATTGGTCCAGTGGCAATATCCCGCATCAGCTGGCTGAACGGAGTGCTCGATATCTTGAAAGCAATAATGCCAACTATAGTGAGTGGTTAAGCGAGATTCGATTCTACTAGAATGCATGACGATAGACTTGAGCGTAGACCTAACAGGCCCCCCTGGAGGGCACACGACTCAGCAGTAAGGATTGAAGAAAGCGTGGGATATCCGCGTTCAAAACCGATCTTTTCACAGTTGATAGGCGATGCGGGTCAGAAGATGACAAGCACAACCATCAGCTCTTGGTTAGTGCGCTGAGTTGTCTTGCACTCGACCCAAACAATTCATAGCTGCATTTGGCGAGTCAACATGAGCGCAGAAGGTCCCAGGTCGTTCCTACAGACCTGCTATCATTATTCAGATGGTTTAATTGCCTAGGGGTATGATGTCGATGTGCGAGTACTGCGGTTTGCACATGCCTCGACCAGTTCGTTTCCGAAACCTGTTCGTCAAGCATCGCGAAATGTTGTAGGAATCAGGAACCATGCCTTGTGCTAGGCTCGAGCTAGCTTCGAGCTAGCTACCGAGCCTTCCAGAGAGACATGTGATAGTTCCAATTAGCATTCACAGAAGAAGAAGAAGCAGTTGAATTGGCCGCCCGCGACAGTCTGAGTCAAGCTGCATGCAGCAAGCTGGGGATGGATTTTTGATGGTTTCGCTGTTGCTACGCGAGAGGTTGTCTTGCTGTGGGGTGGGAAGCCGCTTGAGACGCTAGGATGAACGCCACCATGCGCCCTTATGCAAGTCTTCTGTGGACCTTCCAAGCAGGACCCCTCCCTCATCTGAGGATTGTACAAGGATGTGCCTGCTCACACCATGCACCCATCTTAACATACTTGTGGATTGTGGCATTGGGGCAAGCAAGTCCACTTGTCCCCCACTTCGAAACGAGATGAACTTTGCATGGCCGGCAAGCCTCGCTGTTGCAGCAGGAATGGCAGGGCATTCTCAAAAAAAGACGTGGTCTGATGAATCCCCAGGGGCTATGATTGCAATACGAGGTACCCAGGATTTACGAGTAGCCAGGTGTGGCTCTGGGAACATGAGCAGTCGAATAAACGATTTCGGTAGCGCCATGTTATCTAATAACACGCAAGTGCAAGCTGGCATCTATCAGTGGATCTCGAAAGTTAAAAGGACTTGGAGGGTGAAAGTGGCGTTTGGCCAAACCTACTTCCATGTCCAGTTTCGACACCAGTGCTGTTTTTGGGACGGGAGAATAAATGCAGCAGAAAATAGATGATTTCAAGAGCAGTTCCTGACGATTACCTCTTCCACTTCCTAGTGTCCATGTCCGAAATTCAACCAGGATGTCGGGGGCCGATCGGCGAGGTGGGTTGGCGTGTAACGCTTCGATAGGGCCCATGAGGTGTGAGGAGGAACAACAATCTTGTCAGCCCGGGCTTCGGCGCAGAGTATCCAGGAACAGTTCGGCAAGGACGGGGCGTATGAAAATCTGCACAGATGGTCAGCAAAAAGAAGGGTAGCTCATGCGAACGTTTGCGAGAACCGAAACGAATCCCGGTTAGGCTTGTAGTCGATTTGCCATGGGTGTAGGTACTGGAAGCAAACCGTCCTCTGTCCATTAACTATTTTGTATGAGTGAGCAGCGTTTCCAGCGTGCAGGTGCGGCCAACGGGGATGGCTGGGCAAGGGACATGGTTGAGATAGCCCCCCGAAATGATAGATCGCTGGGCTATTCAGATAGAGGTTGCGGGTGATTCCGTGCTGAGTGGCATTGCGCCATCTGGGGGGGCGGGTCTGAAAGGCACAGACCCTCCGGTGATGCACAGTTCCATTCTGGGCTGGACCCTTGCCTAGGCTGGTGCAGCTGATCGCGAGAAGTGCGAGGAGGAGTAGGAGGGGCAGGCCAGAGCGGGCACGGGCAGAAACTGAGTTTTTAGATCTCGCTCGTGGCTTCGACTATTCAGGCTGCTTTGGGGGTGAGGAGCCCCTCGGCGCTGCTCAGTCCTCACTAGTTAGCAAATCTGGTCATGCCATGGTTGAAGAATCTGGAGAAATGGACTGTCTAGTGACCCCGACCTTCGACACCAAGTGTAGTTCCTCCCAGCGCAGATCGATTAGCTTTTGATCTGCCTGAGGATTCGAGGAGGTGCAGCATCAAGTGCTTGCTGAGCCTCCGGAAGATCGAGCCTCTTTGTCCTAGTTCGCCAGCAAGCGAAAGAGTTGGCGGATTGGTGCAACGCAAATGGAACGGAGACACACGCTGGGCAAAACGATGAGCGAAATCGACAAAGGTTTGGCGAAGATGTGGGGCGGAAGGCGGGTGAGCCGTGAGAGACGAGCAGACTCAGGACGCAATGGTGTGGAAAGGTCGTGTCAAGACTCAAGACTCAAGAGGAGCAGAGACTAGAAACAGGTGGACTGCACTGGTCTTTAGGCCAATTGCAATTGACTTGCTGCGAACCACTTGAATCGAAGCCCTATGGCGATTCGAGCTTAGCATGTGCTGCACCCAAGTATGATGGCTTCGATTTGGACGAATTGGTAGAGAGGGACAGTTTGTTTGCGACGTAGTCTGATGCGAAGGAGACGACTAGTGGGGCAGTAGACCACGAAAACTCTTGAGCCCAGTGGAGCAGTTTACGTTTCCATTAGGGCGGCAGTCATCAAGGAACAGAGAATTGAACCGGCAACCTCCAACTCGTGCTTCTGCTGAGGGTTCAGGCAAAGCAGCGAAACTGTTGAGAGGGACCGCCAACGGGCGAGGGGCCAGGTCGCCACTGGCCCCTCTCCAGAGATCTTGCCGGTGAGTGGGTGTGTCGTAACGGCCAGTGACACCAACAACAACGGTGAATTACTGTGTCGACATGGACTCAGGGACTGGGCAGGCTGGAGGCTCCCCGGTGTGCCGCTTGGGAACAGTCAGCGGACGGAGTACCGAGTACGTGCAGCAAAGCGATCATGACAACATGGACAGGGTGCGCGATCTCAATTTAAGTTTGGCGCCCCGGCAGAACAGGCTGTGTGAGGCCTGTCAGCGCCTGGATGGACGCCGCAACGCCGCAGCCAAAAAGAGCCAACCTCAGGGTCATCTGCTTGAAACACCGTCTTATTGTTTGCAGCTGATTTCCGTAGCGTTTCCAATCGGAGCATCCTGATGACGGGATCGCCACTGTAGGAACACACGTACGTACCCCATCGCAGTTGTGATTATCACTGTGGCACTGAAACAGAGGACAACGAGGCCAGTCGCCGTGGTGGGGGTTGTGGGTGTTGAGATTCTTGATGGGGATGCAGAGCCCTGTACTTGTAGGAGGAGAAGATCCAGCCGCGGCCAAAAAGCAGGAATCTGGGCTCTGGGCTCTGGGCTCTGGGCTCTGGGCGAGAATGCCATGCCTATTTGTTCCTTGAGTAGCCGCTGGAGGACCTGCAATTGCGCTTGATCTGACACGAGACCAGCAAACCAGTGTCTTCCCAGGTGGTGTCTTCTCAGGTGGATCGCCAGCCTACAGTAGTCCTCCCTCGTCGGCTGGTGTGAGATCGGACTCGGGCTCCCTGCCCGCCCCTAGATCACAAGCATTTCCCGTTATGGTTGAGCTTGACTTTCATCCCTCAGGCGGGTGGAGGTCAGCGAGGTGTTCGCTGTAGTGAGTCGAGCCTGTAGCGCTCCCATCGGTGCGCGAGTCGGCGGCAGGACAGAGTAATCCAGCCACGAGATTGCCTGGCTCGCCAATAACCATGAAGAATCCGCATTTGGTTGAAAGCACTAAGTTAGGCGCTGATCTATTGGGACCGAGGGCTGATGGTTTGGTTTACTGACATCTCGATGGGTGGCGGGGCGTCGTCCGTGTTCTGGATGGTCTCGTAGCTGCAGTAATCTTGGATGAATCCACTGGTCAGAATTGGACGCATCTTGCTATCATGTATGTACGGAGTATGGAGTAGTTTACAGAAACCACTACCTCAGGTACTCGGTACCTAGTACCTTGAGCATTATCTCGTACCAAGGCCCCGAGTTTGTCCTTGGACGTTCTCCCATCCGGAGTGTCTAGTTTAGGTGGGTAACAATGGGCAACAGCTTGGGCGACCTGGGGTCAAGCCATCATTGCTACCGTACCGAGTGGCCAGACGGCTTGTTGCTTTTGCCCATCCATTGTCCATCCATTGTCACGTTCACGTTCACAGTCAGGATCATGTCATGCGTCTTCTCTTACCCCTCCATCGTCGACCGTCGGCCATGCTCCATCCACCATCCATCCACCATATATTGCCTCGCCGCACTTGCACTTGCACTTGCAGTAGGCGACCTGCACCAACGATGCCCACAAAAAGACATAATTTTCCTCATCCTCTTGAGCTCCCTTGCTCACATTAACTTGAATCGCATCGGTGGCGGCTCCATCCACACACACACACATACACACACACACATGCTGCATGCCCTAAGCCTGTTTACTACTGCAGCGCGTGCTCATTTATTTGCCTTCTGCATGCGATGTCCGTCCATGTTCCTTTCTGCCCTGGTTCGCCCCGTCCATCCATCCTGCTCCTGCTCCGGTGCAAGGTGTTGGAGACAGGACTCCCAGTTCCCATTCCCATCTCGCATCTCCCACCACCTCCCCGCTAGTCAGGAGGCGAGTAGTAAGCTTGAGAAATGATCCCTCCCCTCCCCCCCCCTCCAACCCTCGTCTCGTATGCAGAAACGCCCTTGCGGCAAGAAAACCTCAACATAATCCCTGTCTCATTCCTCATCCAATCATGCACCCCTGGCGACAAACAAACCAACCCATGCGGCTAACGATTTTGACGCTCACCACAAGCAAAGGTGGTTCTTCTTTTTCTGGGGTGGTTAAGCCGAAACGTCCCTCGTTCTGCAAACACACCTGCTCTTGCTGTATCCTGCAATCTGCACTCTTGCTGCACTCTGCACTCTGCATGTTGCAATTCCCATGCCACTTTTAGTTTGCTGCGAGCGCCTACCCTGACCCTCTCGTGCATCTACGGGCTACGGGCGTCATTTGCAATTCACTCACTCACTCCCTCACCACTCATCTCAAGGTCACAGCTTCCCTTCTTGGCCCTCCACTTTCCCCCATATTTCACCAACGTACTTGTACTACTCCATAGCCTCTCTCTCTCTCGCTTTCTTGTCACCTCAACAGTTCACCCTCCATGTCACTCCAATAGCCGCCGTCTCGGTCGTCCTTGTCTTGCTTTTCCGCTTTGGTTGCCCGAGTGGTTCTACCACTCTTACAGTCGTTATTGTTTGCCCGGTCTTGGACTTGATATCACTCGACCCACCATGGAGGCACATGCCTGGTTCCAGGTCTTTGTCGTCTACTTGTAAGTTCAAAGCCGAGGCCCCAGCCTGTCCGCCTCTAATCCCAACCTAGCATCTGGCGCTACTTTCGTCTGGTGGTCAATCTGTGGTCTTTCTGGACTTTCAAACCCATCCCCATCCCAGAGAACCCCTCCTTGAGTCCCAAGGATGTCACCGTCATCTTGCCCACCCTGGATGGTGAGGGAGAGGAGCTCGAACGCACGATCGCCTCCATTCTCGAAAACGAGCCCAAGGAAATCATTCTGGTCACTATCGACGAGAACCTGCACAAAGCAGAGAGAACCATGTCCAACATGCCCGCTGCACAATATGAGCGCATTCGCTGTATGTCGGTCAAGCAGGCAAACAAGAGGCGTCAGATGGCCCGAGCTATACCTGAGGTAACCACCCAGATCATCGTCTTTGCTGACGATGATGTGACCTGGCCAATTCGAACCTTGGAATGGATGCTGGCACCGTTTGAGGACAAGAAGTACGGCGGAGTGGTCACCTGCCAGAGGTTGAGAAGGGCCGACAATCCCACCTTCTCGCAACGAATCTATGGCTTTTTGGGTGCTCTGTACCTGGAACGCCGAAACTTCGACTGTGCAGCGACCACCCATATGGATGGTGGCATGCCGTGTCTTTCAGGACGCACCTGTGCCTACCGCACTTCCATACTGCAAGATGTCAACTTCACCAATGGTTTCACCAACGAGAAGTGGTGGTTCGGACAGTATCAGCTGAACGCAGATGATGACAATTTCTTGACTCGGTGGATGGTGAATCATGGTCACGAGACCTACATGCAATATCACCCCGACTGCGAGGTTCAGACAACGTTGGAGAACAATCCTAAATTCCTCAAACAATGTTTACGGTGGGCACGTAGCAATTGGCGGAGCAACATGACGAGCTTGTTTGCTGAACGGAATATCTGGTTGTAAGTTTTGGCTCCCATCCCTTGTTCATCCCTTGGTCTTGGCACTGACTAATAACTGTTGCCTCAAACAGCCAGCAGCCATGGAGCACTTATGCCGTTCATATGACAACGCTAATGCCTCCTGCCCTGGTTGGGGATGCCTTCCTGTGGTTCTTTCTGTTGAACGCAACCTCCGACTGGCCTGTTGAACAAGCTCAACGAGCCATTTACTCTTTTGCTGCGTGGATGATCTTTTCCAAGTTCATCAAACTCATCACCCATTTCGTCCGGTATCCTATCGATATCTTCCTCTGGCCGGTTTCCATCCTCTTCGGTTGGTTTCACGGCGCCATTAAAATCTATGCTTGCATCACCCTCAGTGAGGTAAGTCTCCCGTCATCTGAAACTATCCGCATGGAACTCAGCTAACCGCGTTTGACAGACTACCTGGGGCAGTCGTGCCAACGCTGATGCCAGCGACTCTGGAAGAATGATCAAGCAAAAGAAAACTCACGATTACTTTGATGCCATGGACGAGAAGTTGCATGAAAAGCTTCTCCCTGATGATGAGATGAAAATTTACGCATATCATGAAGTGAAACGTTCTCAAGCCCTCCCAGCATAGCCTTATTTTTTTGTTATTAACGGCATCATCTTCACTCTTCTTACTTCTCCTTCGCTGCCTGCGAGGCAGACATTAATTTCTCATTTCAGTTCCAAGGTCGAAGGAGCACATCTTTTCGACTCTTCAAAAGCATCACTTTCACTCAAAACGTCGGAGAGGATATCTCGAAAATTGGAATGATACGGATTATGGATGGGAATTTGGGAGGCCTCCTTCTCAATCTGGCTTGCCTCTTGGCAACCAGGTTGCAAAAAGCTTATCCGACCTCTTGTGTCCCATCGTTTGATCAGATCATGCTTTACTGCTCTATCTTCTGCTTAGAGACAAAGACTGTCTTCGTCCACATGGACCTTTTTTCGGCCGGGCGATTGGCCATTCAGTATGACCGGGCTTGTGGGATTTTTCTTCTGGAAGATGCATAGCAAGATCGGAGATCGGTTGCTTGGGAGCAAGTATATAAATAGCGAACAGATGTTTCTTGGCGCGTTTTGATGGCGTTCTTATTTCTTATGATTGACGATATGATGGATGGGACGAGCATTTGCAAAAGGGAATGGATGGGAAGATGGGCAGATGAATGATTGAGACCAGTTGTCATGGGTTGGTGAACTTGCAAGCAGTGTTTGCGCATTTTGGCATCTTCGGTCATGCTTGATCGCCAATCATGACCATGAACCCTCGAAGTTTTCTTTCTACGTACTGAGATTTTTCTGTCAACAGAGGCACAAGAGTTTGAGAGCAAGGACACAACAGGACAGGGGTCTCTCACGTGATTTTGACACCTACAGTTAATTTTCACCTTCTAGCGTCACTTTTGGACGTTCTGACAAAGATATTTACGTTGCTTGTTATCGCTTTGGGAGGCTAGCTTTGAACTGCTTGAAATCCTAAAAATGCTCATTGAAAACCAAACACAGATCCTGATCCATCCGCGAGTCGTCTTTCCGTCTTAGGATTACCACTGCCCTCAAAGAGTTCTAGTTTGATACGTTCTAAGTGACAATGCGGGTAGCTCGCATTTTGCATCGGGTCATGATTCTTGTACACGATGGGTGAGCTTCTGACGGAGGACTCCTCTGGGGTATCACGCGGTCCGTATCCGTACGCCGGCAGAAAATTGAGGAAAGAAACGAGGAACGCCGAAGAACAAAAAGTCACATCGGAGAATCAGGGAGCTCTCTTCCCTGGCCGACTATGATGCGCGCCACTTCGTCCGCCCAGGGGTGATGTCTAAGACAATAAGCGCGGTCGCCGTCCGCATCTTAGTGCTAGAGTGGACCCTCGGGGCATAGTTTCTTCCCCCCCCCCCAAGGAAGGATTTTCCTGTAGGTGATGGATCATCTGATGCTCTGTTCCGTCACCGGGGCATGCCCGAGCAGCAAGTGCTATCACAATTCTTCCAGTGGTGTATGGGGAAGGGAGAAGGCGGGAGTGAGAGAGATCCGATATAGATGGCTGGACTAAGCACTCTGGTATGATGGAGAACATAACGGAATCCTGAGATCCAACGAATCGGACAGCAAAAGGGGTAGGTATGGTAGCTAGTTTGCGAAAATCCTTCGTCCTTCAGGGATTTGGAGGTATTAATCTCCCAGGTTCATCAGCTATTGTAAAGCTTGGTATAAGGAAATAAGCACAAACTGTGATTCAAAGGGGTGGGTAACAAAGTCAAACACGCTTACCGCGTCATCTCTTGGGTTGTCCCAACCTTCAGCCTTGCCCACAATGTCAATGGCGGCCAGGTTCAGTACCATTCTCTAAAGCTTAGGGATCGGTGTAGTGTCTAGTCAAACAGTAACCCAAGAAGATATTGCTGTGGAACTGGACGCAGCACAGGACAGGCCAGAATTTGTGTGAGTGTCTTGTCTTACAACAGCTCGACCAACTCTCCTACCGTGCTTTGCTGCTTTCTGTCTGTCATGTCGCTGCCGGGGCTGCAGCCATGCCACGAACTATCCATGCCCATGTCCTGGGTCTATAAGAGTCATCTTCATTGCATGACGAGTATGTTGTGTATCGTTACACTGCAGAAGGAACGTGATGCCGGTAGCCGCATTATTCGAAGACGGATGATCGTGTTCAAAGATGTGAAGTCGGGCAGAGGGAACCCACCAATCATGGCAAGCTCGTTAAACGCGGCAGTTGTGTTGTATATTACATACACCCGTTGACAGCGGCGTTCATGCAAGCCATTCGACGAAGCTACCGACACGAGCACGACCGTGGCGCCAGAAAGTGTTTGCAACCGGAGACGATTCAGGTTTCATGCAGGGTCCGGCCCACAGAGCTCTTGCCAGGATGATGTATCAAATATGGAATGGCCCTGAACGAGGACAAGTGTTGATATGTGACGTGTATCGTGCGGTGGAACCCAAAATATTTCTCGAGTATGTTGTATTGGGTACTTCTGCCTCTTAAGGTGCATAGTGCTTCTGGAGACGGTTTAGACTCGAAAACAACTTGCACCAAACAGGGGCATGCACTGAGATAAGTTTGAAGCAGTAATAATTAGCCACATTGATTCTCAAACTCTTGATCATGACCATGAGGTTTTTGGGATCTAAGCCAAAGGTGGACGATGAATGGGCAGAGACAGGCTCCTTGGTCAAGTCGTGGCATGTGACGTGGCTTGCAGGCTGCAGTGTGATAGAAGCAGCTTACCATTCGGATCTATGTGGTCCTCTGCTCTTGTAGGAATCAGGTATAGTGAGCTGACTTGCGGTGAGGAACAATTTTCCTTTTTCCCCCTCCACAGACTTTTTCATACACAAGCCACACACTTGCAGATGCAGAACGTTATAAACGAGCAAATGATGGGGTTTGGACGCTTAGAATCAGAAGCAGATGGGGAACTAGAGCAGGTATACCCTGGTCCGAGGAGATTAGACTGACCCTCGGGCCTCGAACTCCAGGGGACGGAACGCCAATGCGAGTCGCTGGAAAAGGATGGAGAGGATGGTAAGAATGGATCGTGTGTCGTGTATGGCGTGTTTGGCATTTTGGTGTGCATCATAGGGCCCTCTGCTATTGGGTATGCGGAGTAGTCGATTGGAATCTCCAATGAATTCAGTTAGTGCTGCCACCCAATTTCAACTGCAACACACCAAAAGGAGATATCAACCCGATTTTCTGATGACGCAGAACGAAACAGCTCTTAAAGAGACAAAGGGTGCTAGCTGAATGTCTTGTCGCAGAACCCTTGGGTGGGAACCAGATCAAGGGTGACCAGAAAACGCAATGACATTATCGCTCATGTCGTTCAACATCGCAAGCAAGGATTGCCGCCTACATGCAGCCTTCACAGACTGAGCGCTCGCCTACTGAGTTCCCTCTAGAGAATCAACAGGGGATCGGACAGGTACTCGTAGCTCTTGCGGGACGGCTCGGGGCTGGTGCCTTCAACAAGCTGGCGTTATTCTCTGCAGCTTTCGCGATCCAGCCCTAGCCAGGGTATTCCTAGGCACGAAAATTCTCGAATCTCGATCGAGGTTGGGATGCCTTAGGAATACTTAGGAGTATCTGTTGTGTAACCTGAACGTGCTCTGAATTACTCTAGACTTGATAAGGCGTAAACCATTGCTGACACGACAGGAGCCGGGAGTCGTCAGCCCCGAGTTAGGCACCGCACAAGAGTACAGAGCCCTACCATTGCTGATGGCGGACCGACTCATGTCAAATCTGGTCGATCTGATCTCCAAGTTAGCTCAGCTGTTCATCTTGTGTCACGTGAGAAGGAAGACGGCCAGTTTCGCGGATACTTGGGTTGTTACACCAGCAGCTGCATCGAGTCCTCTGAGACTCGTTTGACTCTGAAGGAAGACAAAATCACCTGAAAGCAGACTAATGCGGACCGTTTTCTAGCGCCTCTCAACGTCTGCTCAGGTACGCTCGGAGGTCAGGCACTATTGCAGCTGCTGGTTGAAAGTATATCAAAAGTCTTGCAAGGTTCCGTACCTGCTTCACTCTGACTTGAACCTGCATGAAGACGAGACAGCCACTAACTTGGACCTGGCGCCTCCTATTCTGCATTATTCGCTTACTGGAAGATGCATCTTCTTGCAGGGACAGGACAACCTGCGCTGGCCACCGAAGATGTCTCCCCGTAGGGCATCATTTGTCCCCGAGCCTACATCATCGGAATTCCACCCGACGGAGTCAGCGTGCGGAACGCGAACTAGATGTCCCTCTTACCAGGACTCTCGCCGTAAGAATCGATGCTGCTTGGATTGATGCAATGGACAACTCCCGAATCTTAAGGAAGAGGAAGGTTCAGTTTTGGGATTTCGGAGTCGTGGGATGTCGCGACGATCCTGTGCCAAGGCTGGCTGTGCGACTTGCGTCACACTCGAAGCCTCGAGGCCGTGTGATTGTTACTTAAAGTGTATGTCACTCCTAGATTATGCACACCTGCTCAAATGTCCGATGGATTGCCATCGTGACAAGGCATGGCAGCAGGGTGCTGAATTCGCCTCAAGCCTATCTTCTCTTGATTGACTGTTGCTGTCTCGAGGGCGGTTGCCCACTGTCCAAGTCCCGTTCTACCTGGCCTGCAAACAGTGCTATACATGAATTACTACCGGGTCGGCATGTTCATTGCCACCAGTACTTCAATGTGGTCTGCTTGATTTCCTGCGGTAGAGGCTGGGAGACCGTGCATGCGGAAGCGTCACCACGACCCTTGCAACATGTCCACTCATAGCCTTCCTGTGAGGGCTCATCATCAACGGTCTCATTGTGGTGTTTGATGAATTTCCAGAATCCGGAGTCCATATCGACCTGCTTGGCACCTTTCGAGGTCTATCATTAGGTCTTTTTAGCTATGTCTAGCTATGGCAGTCTCACCACAACTGGTTGAATAAAATCGTGTTACCGGGATGGTGGACACAAATCTTCCCATGGTTCTCCTCGACCGCATATTCCTTACTGCATTGCTTGCAGATTTCATATCTCTTGCCTTTCTTCTTGTTCTCGGAGGTACTACGATCCTCTTATTGAACAAGCAGTGCTTTATTGGCGAGTTCTCTGGCTACTGGGTTCTCTTCTACCATCTCCAGAAGGGCAATCCTCACGGGACCATTCGTGGCTTCTCTAATCGCATCTTCCACAGTATGATCCACACTGTGACCCAGGTCTGTTTTGGGAGCGTCTCTTTTGGGAGCTTCTCTTTCCGCAAACGTGGTGATCTCAGCGGTTGGCATGATCGATCAATAGTTATGACACGAATGGTTCCTTTTACGAGTTGCCAATTTCGCTGTCGAGAATGTTGTTCTGGATTACATGGCACTTACGGCAAAGGGGAATCCATAGATGGGAAGGTGCTTGGACCTCCTCGCCTTATTGAGCTGCTTCGCTTAGGTACCGATTACGCTAACATTCCCACTTTAGGACAGTTCGTGTTTCTTTGAACTTCCATCGCTTAAGATACCCTGAGGCTCCTGGTGTTTCAGCCTTGCTTCGTGAGCATTCAGCTTTGTCCATTTCGGAGCACCATATGGGCCAGGTTGCTTCCTGAGTGCTTGGGATTTTAGACTTGGCGCTTTGATGTTGATAGAACTTCCTGTCATACTTGCGTAGTATCTTCGGGATAGATAAGGCGCCTAGGCAGCGTGACGTCTCCCCTGTGGGGCATGGGTCTGCCCTTCTCCCTCCTGTTACATGAACAACGCCAGAAAGTCGCGAGGAAACTCATTAAGAAACCGTTCGACATATGCAAAGGAAAGTTTTCATTCAGAGCATTCGTCATCAATGTTTGCTTTGAACCGCTCGCAATCAGACTCAATTTGGGGCCTATATCATAGCAAGCGAGTTCAAAACCCTTCAAGCCACCCGAAGCCAACCTCACTGACATGCATGCATCCATAACTTCCACTCAACTAGGCTAGATAAATGTATACCATTCTCTCGTTTTAGCTGTGGCTTTCCGAGAAAGAGCAGGTCCCCCAAGAACAACAAGAACTGACTTCGAAACATGGGGGAGTGTTTATGATAAGAGCGCCTGCCAAATATGCAGTACTTGAGACAAAACACTCTACGCGAAGTTTTGCAGAGTAATGTTACAGCTTTTGGAAGTGGCAGTATCAAGTTTGCAGCCCATGAGAGTAGAACCCGAGAGGAGCTCATATCAGCTCACTAGCAAGGATCGCTCCCTATGACGTTCAATAGCACTTGTGACATTGGACCGAGCTCATTGCCATCGCCTCAGGCGCTGGTCTCTCTCCGCTGTGGGAGTACTACATCTTGATGAGGCAGTGCCGCTTACTGCACAGGTCAGGTTCATAGGCCAGAGATCGAGGGAAAATCATTGCAATCAAACCTCACCCTATCGTATCAGAAGATCTTCACAATGAAGTAGGTGCTATGCAGAGGGTTCTCAAAGTGATTTTCGGGTTGACGAGCGCTAGTGACGACGAGTCGTGTGCGGCTCGATATACATGTTGTTAGGAGTGGCACCCTGGGCACAGATGGAAGAGACTGACATCAGTTCTGCCGTTGCCAGGCCGCAAACTGAAGGCCCCTTGGAGAGCAAAGCCGAAATACTCGCCATTGGCTCCGGCTCATGTCGCAGCACGAGAAATGACTGTTCATCAGTAAACACGTTTCTCGAACCATCGAAGAATGATTTTGCTGCGGTTAGACGAGGAGAAGAAGAATCGGCAAAGTTGCATACCACCAGGAAGGAGCAAAACTTGCCCCTCACACAAGACCCCGGCTCTGGTAGAATAGGAGAAAGAAGAAGAGCGAGATGCTGAGGTTCCAGGTGCTTTGCATAGGTCTTCTAGCTAAGAAATAAAGAGTAGGCGACAGGTTGGGGAGATTTTGGTCTTGAAGAGATGAATGAGTTGCGCCTTGGGGGAAGTTGAGATGCGGAGAAGAACAAGTGCAGGCCAATGAAAGGATAAGAGTGACCGGTAAAGGTAGCAGTCCAAGACAGAAGCTATGGAAATAGTAGTCGAGGTATTTTGCGACGATTAGGAACCCGGGTGGCCCGGGATTCTCTCATCGGCCTCATGAGGAGACTAAGCAAACTGTTCATCAGTTGACGGTGTAAAGGATGTGCTAAGTTGTACAATCTCCTCCTCTGAAATGAGGGAGAGATCGAAGCGCCTGCGTGATTAGCCAATGTATTCAGAGAGATATGTTGGTGTACAGAGTGATATTAATTCTCCGCGTTGGGCTTCAAGTGGGCGATCTTCAGCCATCCTCCAATAAACCACCCACGAAGATGGCGGGGTGAACAACGAGAGAATATGAGGCAAATCGGATGCTGATGGCATGTTTCAAAACTGTGTATTAGCCACTCATAAATGCATACATCGATCGAATAGTCAATTGAAGATCGTCCGAGATATGGGAAACTTAGAAAGGTCGAAGCAGGTAGAAATGCCGTGATGGAAATCCATAACGTGAGTTATTGAGAGCAATAGCCTCTCATCGCGGTGCTTATGTACAACTGTCCTCAATAATTTCACTCTGGTACAAACTTAAAGTTTCTTTTCTGTTTATCTGTACCAGTACTCAGGCTTGACAAAGTCTGCCATCGTCTTGGGCTCTTCGTATCCGTGGTGACCATGGCCATGATCATGCGGGTCGTCCGCTGGGCCGACGTAGTCCATTCTGTAGACACTGCCGCACTCGTCGCAACGCTCGAAAGGTCGATCACGTGATAGCTAAATTGAAAGGTGAGTGGGAAAGTAACAAGGCTCCGTCACTGGGATATTAACACGTACAACACACCACCTCACAACGTGAGAATCTGCAGGAGACCCCGTACAGCCCGCCTGAATCTCCTCGCCTGCAGACTTGATCACAATAGGGTTCTCGAAGGTTCCTGCACAGGGGCAGGGTTAGTGGACATATTCCTTCAACTCAATCGTTCGGACGTGGATCATTCTTCTAGCCGAAATCACAAAACGCACCTGTCCTGTCTGATGGAAGTGGCGACATGTCGAAAATATCAATACCCTGCATCTTCCCGAGAATTTCCAAACGTTCTAGACCTGTTGCTTGTTCGAGATCGGTGGGAACAGTACCAGGTTCGGCACCCGGGGGGAGGAGGTCCTTGTCGGATTTGATTTCTGCAATTCTAGGTCTCAGCCTGATCCGAAACCATCTGGAGTCTCTCACGAGCCAAAATTGCTAGGTATTACACCTTCGCAGCTGGCTGTGATTGGAGGGAACGCTCACCCTCAAAAGGCAGTAATTGGCCCTTTGATTCACCCGGTTTAGGGTCCCATTTTTCTCCTATTTATCCCAGCGTGTCAGCGACGTAGAGGCTGTAGCTCTGAACCATTACAAAGAGGTGGTTCGGAGCTCTGAAGAGGGTAATTGACGTACGGCGAGCTTGGACAGTTGAGAAAGCTCTAGGGGCAATTCGAGCTGATTTGAAAGGCACACGTCTGGCCAGAGAGAAGGCTACGCGTGCTACCGACATGGTGCAACAGTTTGTGAGGATTGGTCAAGTTGTTGTTGAGCAGTGAGGAAAGAAAAAGGGAGAGTGAGGTCCAAGTCCAAGTTGTCGAAACTGCGCCGGAAGTAAAGCGAGTGGTCTGATGCGTGATTGGCGTGACCTCCAATCATTGCCGCTAACCTTGGTGAGCTCCAAGTCTTGGCACCAGATACAAATAAAACCTCCTGGTGACAACATGCTACTAATTACTGTAGATACTCCGCACTACGAGTACTACTACTGCGTAGCATTCTCCCTAGCATTCAAGTTCGGTCAGGAACTCGGGTACCTTCGAATTTGGTACCACTAATATAATTAATTATTCAATTCTTACCTCGAAGATAACTCCATGAAATAAGGTAGCTATTACTTAGGTTCTCAAGAAGCCACGGAGGACGCCGCTTTTGATTTGGTGTCCTGTTGGAAACTGGCGGGTGAGGTTTCAAGTGATTTTGCACTATCGCTTATCTCAAGTTCTGTACTGAGTCCTTCCCCATAGCTCTAAATCTCCTCGAAGGCTTCGGTTGACGCGCTGCTACTTGTCTTTACTGCTCATTGCTTCGCTGGATTACTAAGGCCATTTCGAGGAGTACATTTTCAACCTAGAACATTCAGGCTCTTTCGCCTGGGACCAAAATCCGTATGTGACTGACTAAGCCGCCAAGAAATTTCTAGAAGGCTGCTTTCCACGTGACAGTCGCGAACTTGCCTCGAACATTCCTGAGTTCTTCGGTTCGCTAAACCTCAACTTCGTCAGTTAAACTCAGACCTCTACCTACCTGTAACAGCATCCGACTTGCGTCCTCAGCGGCTCTCGAGAGGTGTGTAATCGCATACTCGCACCACAGCAGCATATTTTTCGTGCGAGCTCTTCATTGAAGATGGCCAATTACCTCGCGTCCATCTTTGGCACAGAACAAGACAAGGTATGTGAATCAACTACGCGATCTTGACTTTTCATTATACTGACAAAAATGGCAGGTCAACTGCTCCTTCTATTACAAAATTGGGGCCTGCAGACACGGCGATCGTTGCTCACGGAAACATGTCAAGCCCTCATACAGCCAGACCATCCTCCTCCCGAACCTCTACCAGAATCCAGCCTATGACCAAAAAAACAAAATGAATCCTTCACAGCTGCAAAACCATTTCGATGCGTTCTACGAAGACTTCTGGTGTGAGATGTGCAAGTATGGAGAGATTGAAGAAGTTGTCGTCTGCGATAACAATAATGACCATCTCATCGGTAATGTCTACGCGCGATTCAAGTACGAAGATTCTGCCCAGGCGGCTTGCGATGCCCTCAACAACCGTTGGTACGCTGCCAGGCCAATTTATTGCGAGTTATCCCCAGTCACGGATTTCCGGGAGGCATGTTGCCGATTGAACTCTGGTGAAGGCTGTGTAAGAGGCGGATTTTGCAATTTCATACATCGAAAGGAACCTAGCCCCGATCTAGAGCGCGAACTAGAACTCAGCACCAAGAAATGGTTGAAAGAGAGAGGGAGGGATGATCGCAGCGTTACTCGAAGCCCCAGTCCAGAGCCTACTCGAAAACGATATTAGATGAATGAATGTGAAGATGCATTGATGGAGGGTCTCGATTGCAATGATTCATTGTCCATTGAAACTTCTCGGGGGAGATTTGCGGGATGAGGACACGACGTGTCTCCAACTATTACCACCTGACGCCGAAAACAGATAAAGCAACTTCCATCTCTCAAAATTTCAAACCCGTGAGATCTTTCTGGCCCCAGAGATCGACCCATTGTCCCTCAAAGTCGAAAGGCTGGCCGGACGGCAAGAGGAAACTGTCTGAATAGTGGAGAAAGCCATGCCTCTTCTCATGAGAGCAACCACAGTCGCCAGAGCGAGGAAAGAACGGGACTCACGACCAGACCAAGTCTTCAAAAACAGGGGTAGCGTCGTCGCGCATCGAGGCGTCGAAAACACGTCGTCACACGCACCCTGGAAGACCTATCCTGGCACCCATTTCCTTCTGATCTTCCTTGGACCAGCGTAGGATGGCCAATCACCGGAGCATTGTAAACTGACTTTGCGTCCTATCAGCACGACATCGTTGAGCATGCTACATGGCGCCTGCTCAAGCTCCAAATCTCTAAGCACCCACCATCGAAGGCTCTGAGCGAATTACAAGGAAGGCCGGTGAGAAAGGTTTACAAAGCCCCAGTCTTGCATCATTAAGCGTGCATGCAAAGTCAATATTGGTGTGGACCAAATTTTTTGGGCAGAATCGGGGTTGAGCAACATCAACACGTGGATTGAAAGTGGTGCTAGAACGAGAACGTTGTCTTACCATCCAGGAACATGGATCAAACTGAGAAATTTATTCTTTGCCTGTCTTTCCCTGCCTCTGAATTCTATATCGTGCATATTCCGTCTCAGGCTTTGCAGCCATCAGTCTCGGATGAAACAGTACGTTAAAGTTCGTAGCTCACACCTGTAAACTACCGTATAGGCTCGGATCACATGAACCCACGCGGCGACAACATCCGCATGATTTCTGTCAGATCTGTCCGCCCAACCAAGCCCCGTTCTGACATACATGGCGTGCGTTTGACAGGGCAACTAGTGCAATGCTGGAAAGGGTTCGGCTATGAGTAAGGTTAGATTTGGGTTTGGGTTTGGGTTTGGGTTTGGGTCTGACATTGTTGTGACTTGGACACGGGTAAATCCTTGCACGAGCCACTTCGACCAACATCAGCACCACTGGTACCACTACCTCACCTCTTCTCCTTTACGCGGTAGTTCGATTTCACCAGATACAGACCACGACGGAACGGGTACACTGGAATTCTGTGATATATCAATGTAGAATTGTATGTCCATGACATCTGATGAATTTCAAACAATCTAGTTCAGTCTATAAAGTGACCAAGCGGGAAAGTCGGTAAGAACGCAACTGAGGGAGCTAGAAAGTGCTCGATCTCAGCATACATGCATACATTATCGACCACCGTTTCGGTGTCGGTGTGACCATGATCTCGTATGTCTCGTGAAATGGGAAGAGCGGTCTCGTAGGGTAGTGTGCTCTTGCTGCGAGGCCAAAGGTTTGGCGAGTGCCAGCATTTTTCTGAACTTGTGGGAGTGGTGTAAGTCGCCGGAGAGTATCGAGAAAGATAGGCAAAGTTCTGTAAGGGCTAGGACGAAAGCCTTGGACATGAGCGCTGCTTCATGTTGATGCGGAAAGGTGAGATTTTGAGCTAAGACAGACAGTGATTGATATAGCCAGTGGCTAATCTGAAGAGTCGTGGACTGTACTGCTGTATTCTTAGTATCCAGTTGGGGTTATATATAAGTATTTTCAAGTTCTGCGCCGTAGGCGAGCGACTTGTTATCTGTCCGTTATATCCAGAGTTGATAAGGATCGGAGAATTCAATCAGACTTTTCTTTAAATGGTCCTACTTTGAGGAACCACAGCACGATGAGAATGATTGCGGCAATAATTATCAGGAAACCAAAAGTAATGACCCAGCCGAGGATCCGAGTTTGGCGTTGCTTCTTGCGGTTTCTTTCCAGCCACGTATCACTGGTTACAAGGTCAGTGAATACGTGTTGATACCTGGGCTTGGCCACATACCTGTGCTTCACTCCTGACTTTGGGTCCAAGGATGATGTCGATCGAGCGTCTGAGATGGTACCCTTTTCTTCATCCAGATGGACGGCCATCGAGAACCGTTTCCAGAATGCTGGATCGCGAACCACGGCCATCTTGCGGATAGGTGTCTTCCCTAGATACTGGCTTTTGTTGGCGCGAGAGAGGAAGAGAGTTGCGTCCAAACTCGTGAGCTGTCGAGAACGTTAGTGGAGCTGTTGAAAGAGGGCGTTGCAAAGTGTTTCAATTCGCCAGGGGACATTCGTCGAGAAGTGGCCGAGGCAAATACTAAAAGAGTGGACGATGCTGAAGCACGAACGAGTGAGTGCAGCAGATCTGAAAGCAGTGTCGCAAAGTCAACGAAAAACAGAAGGAAACGGGTAGGAACGTAGGCGGCGATCTATTCGTGCATGCCCAAGCTGACACCCAGGAAGGATTCAGAAAGTAGGAAGGAACGAGGTCCGGGTATAGAAGGTTCGAAGCATTGGCCAAATTGGGCTGGATTTGGGGAGCATTGGCACAATTTCCAAAGCCTAGGTAACAGGATCTCCGGAAACCCTGGACCATGGATTTTGATGCCTTTTGGAGCCTCACATGTGAAAGCCACCGTTTAGACTGTCGCGTGTCCGCCCGTCAACCCTACCTATAGCACGTTCTGGCCAGGCCTGTGGAAGGTTTCCCAACGGCACGACGCGATGGTTGCCGTTTGGAACGGCCGGCGTTGCGGTAACAATCTCGGCAGGCGCCAATCATGATAGTGGAGGCGGATGTGAAGACTACAATAGCAGATCCATCTGGTGCCAGTCTGCCAGATTAGGTGGCTAAGTGAGAGCGAGGAGGAGATAATCCAAGAATGAAGACCAGACTATTGATTGGCATGACAGGCTAGATGGCTCGATATGGAGAAGAATAAGAAACAGGAGTGGCCTCAGAAAGTGATTAGTGGGGTTGGTGGATGAAGGATGGGAAATTAGATTGCAATCGAACTGTGAGGCTCAATCACCGTTGCTGTTATTTTTTAGCCAATAAGAAGGAGGGAAATCACAGCCTGGTGCCAAGCTCAACCCCTGCGATTCTTGGCAAGACTTCAAGTTCAACATTCATTCCGCCTTTTCGGTCTGATCATTATTCACAGCGACAGCCAAACCTGGCTTCCAAAACCCTCCTGGTTGCTGGGCTCAGTAGTGAAGTGTTAATAAGCGGACCGACTCCGTAGGTGTTGCTGTGATGCTTAGAACTTGGTATGTACGTGTGTGTAGAGTACTAGCTTTCTGATACATGATCCCAAATCCCTTCTACCGCATTGACAGGTGGACACAAACTATCGAGCACCTCGTACCCAGCGGTGGACGAAGACGTTCTGCAGAAGACACGAAACGGCATATTTACAGTCCTACAGGGTCATGATCAAAATAGCTGAACGAGCATGGCGCCCTCTATGGGATAAATGGTTCTTCGCATGATTCGATAGATACGAGCCACGAGGCTCGGCATACACCTTGGCAAAAACGTCTTTTCCTAGTGGCTTCCCTCCAAGACTGACGGAGTCCCGAGTCGAATTGCTGCACTCCGAGCATAGTTGGAGATAATAGATGTCCACGCAATTTGAAACACGTCACTCGGTATAATTATCACAACGGGATAAGAGGACGGAACCTTTTGCATAATCTTTTATTAGACAGGACATGATGTGATTGCATCTACGAATATGTATCTGGGCCGTAGCACTTTCAACATCAGCTCGTTCCCTTTGGATGGAAGGACACCAATTCCCAAGAAGTTGCTTGCTTTTCTTCGGTCGTGGGTTCAATGCGAGGGCTGCTTCCACTGTCAAACTTGACTCCCTTGGCATTATGCCTTCTCTGACTCTTTCGCTGGAACATGCTCGACTGTTGCCTCTACCTTTTCAGTCATCAACTCTCTCACCCCTTTCAAGAAGAACACTGCTACCAACGCCAGAACTACAAATGGGATAACACTTGTCCATGCCAATCTGTATGCATGTGCATATGCCCAGTGGCTTGCATCGAAGACTTTAGCTTCGATTGCTGGGTTCAAGCCTGGCACAGCAGAAAATCCAGCCCCAGTGGCGAGTGCCTCCAATAAGTCCGGAACAGATGACTCTGGGAGGCCTGCCGCGACCGCTGCGTTCCCAACCTCTGTAGGGTACGACTTGAGTTTTCCGTTGATGATTGCATCCAAAACCTGTTTACTTCGTCAGCTTTTCTGATGTATGAAACTTGTTGGAAGAACGATACTCACTGCAGAGCCAAAAGCTCCACCGATCGCACGAGCAGAGAACCCGAGTCCGGTTGCGGTTGATAGAAATGCATGTGGCGCAGTGAACTGAACCAGTGCTACAAGCAGCGTCAATGGACCACACTGACCAACGCCAGAAAGAACGTTGAATCCAATTTGCGCGTTGTCCATGCTTGGTGTAATCACTGCATAGCAAATTGTACTAAGAAATTTGTTAGACTTGCGATCAACTCCAAAAGGACATGAATCAACCCACACAACCAGGAAGACCGAAAACGTCACGATTAACGGCGACTTCAAATCCTTATACTTAGTCGCGTACAGCCTAGTTGGATCTTGTCAGAAACGGCCGCTCAAATATGAGCCTCGCAAATCTTACGTAATTGGTATTGATCCGACCAGTGTGACCAAGTTGTAAGACAATTGTCGAACAGAAATGCTCCAAGCGTTGTTCTCAAATCCAAGGTTAAGCACAATTTGAGGAGTAACCGAGTTCACGGCGCTGTAGAAGAGCCAGCCTTCGACAGCGAATGCGAACACTGAGAGCGCGAAATTCGGCGAGCCTCTGAAGAAGACATGTGCTACAAGGCCATCAGATCGCCCTTTCCACTCTACACAAGGACATTTGAGTTAGCTGTGGTAAGGGAAACTCGTATAGCGTTGTAAGTCAAACTCACCATATCCACAGAACATTACCAAAAACGCAAAGCCAATACCCAATGGAGCTGCGACATGGGCATCTGACCAGGAATACGCACCGCCAGCCCAATCCAGCGCTAGCAGGAGCATTGTTGTGGCAATGATGAACAGAACAGATCCTATTGGGTCGCAGGCCCAGATGACATCCTTCAGAGATAATTTCCCGTAATCAGAACGTCGTGGGGGATGATAAAAGAAAACGAGACCGAGGAATGTGGCCATGTGAAAAGCAGCCTGGATCCAAAAGATATCCCGCCAGCCCGACGGACTGGCATTCGTGACACCACCTGAACCAAGACCTCCAATTCTACACTTCGGGTCAGCCATGTTGCGACACAGAAACGGTTCTAGCTTACAAGCCGCCAATAGCACCTCCCATAAAAGCAAACCCATTTGCGAGGGCTCGGTATTTCAGAGGTAGAACTTCGCTTGGAATGGCTTGGACAATAGAGATTGTGCTCAGCGTCACACCGATCAAAATTCCACCTCCGATCAACATGGACATTGAGGTCGCCTTGGCTGAAATGACCGCACCGGCAAAAGCAATCAGCGGTGGGATCGAAGCGAGCCACTTTCGATCTACCACGTCGCTAAGCCGTCCCACAATCGGAGAGAGGACGCTTTGCATCAGGAGGGGCCCCTCTGAAGCAAAAATATCAGCATTTGACAATGGGAAAAAAGTATTGGGTACGAACGAATGATCCAACCAGCAATTGCACCGTCACCTAGATCTCGAATGATGAATGCAATAACCGAGCCAGCGGCAACAACGACAAAGACCTGAGCCATGATGGCAAAACATGTCACAAACACAACCAGCCATGACCTCCAGCTCAGGTTGATGTGTTCAGCCTCGTTCAGCTCCTGGACATGCTGCATAGGAGCTTCAAATTCTGCCCCTCTGTGACGATCTTGAACGCGAGGGGCATTTTCGATTGCCTCTGTTTGAGTAGGGCTTGGTTCCTTCTCGGTAGACATGCTACTGCAGGAAGATTTGGGTTGCAGGCAACCACAGGATTGGACTATCTCCGTATAACGAAAGCGAGAGTGCGCGGCAAAACGGCCAGCCTCCTCAGGTCGCGGACTTGTGGGTATATATTGCAGCATCCAAGTTGGCATGCCCCCTGTTCAGCGTTAGGCGAGGGTATCAAAATGTGCGGTGCGCCTCGGCAGTTGACCCTCCGTCTGAACCTAGCAACTCTTCGCATTGCCGAAATCCCACCTGCCATGTGCTGGTAAGTCCAGTGGATACTTCAGATGGTAACAAATCCGTCGAGTGTCCTCTTTTTCGGCACATATGCTCACAGAAGTTTGACATGTCTTTGGTCCATTTCCGGCGTGCAAATTGGAGAAGCACACTCTCGGCACTTGCAATGACAGTGGCATCGTTCCCTTGGCATAAGCCTATTCGAAAAGAAGCTTCTCTTGATGAGCCAAAAAATGTGTTAGGTCCGCATAGCGAGGTCACGAGGCGGCTTGAGGAGTCAGTTAGGGTCAAGTCTGGAGAAGACCCATAGGTTAAGCTTTCAGTCATTCCTACCTAGGCATCCGTATACACAAATTCGCTGGGTTTTTTCCGCTTTTACTAATCCTATGCGGGGAAGTGCTTTGCGAACCATCATCTGGAATTCACCCCCTCACTTTCAAAGCATGCCTTTGCTCTGAAGAAAGAAGCAACAGGGACAAGTGGTAATCTACACCGCTGTCATCGGTTCTCCACATCGCCCACACGTGCCAACACGATGCTCCACGCCTTACCGCATGTGAGGCTGTGCGGCAAGGCTGTATCCCCTTGTGGGTTGCCCCTTAAAGAGCACCAACCTTTGTCGCACGGCACATAACGTGTCTAGTGCAGTCAACTAATGATCCTGTTCGGCAACTGATCCGAACGACTTTAGCTGTCTATGAAGTTCGGATCTGTCGACTTTAAATTCGCCAGGCTTGCTCACCGCTCACTTCCTCCAAAGAGCGCCCCCGAAAGGCCTTGATGATCCAATGAACCAACTATCTCTATCTGTACATGATCTTACCAGTCACTGATCATTCTAGGCTTACCTCTGGTGAACACGTTGAATCATTGGGGGCAAACACCACGACTGTCGAAAACGATTCATACCTGGAAAGTGTGGTGTTGGGCTTTTTTCCCCCCATCAAGGGGTTTACCACCATTGAATTTGGCGAACCGATAGCACTGGACATACGCCGGGAGAATAAGACGATGGTGAAACAGCCGAACTTGAAGACATTATTAGTCTCTTTGTGAATTTTGCCTAGGGTAAAGCGTAAAATTGGTTATTTGGGAGAACGCCGTCGTCATTTACGGCTTTTTCTGATGTTCGCTTCTTAGACGGCAAGTAGAACAAAGGTATTCATCGGGATGGAGTGCGCTTGGAGCACAGCGCATAGTTGTGGTCTATGAGTCGGTAGCGTGTCGTTTTGGGCTCTCACAGTGTAAATTTGAAGCCTCGGCAGGTTTCAGGGCGACACCTGTGATGTGAGGCAGAGTAGATCAGCACGTTGGGATATGGTTCACACCACGTATTCGTATTTGTATACGGAAGCCAGATCAGTATGTCTAAGTTGTAAAAGTATAATTCATCCTGCGATATCTGTGTCTCTTGCTACAACCTGAGAGACAATGACAACTATACACAACTACAGCCCTTAGTGTTTCTAGTTACCCTCTTCTCATTTCCTGCTCCCTAGAACTTCTAGTAAAGCAATGGCGCTCGCACCGTCTACTTGGCGCCTTCTTGGTCTGAGCGTCGCAACCGGATACATCGGTCTGGGAACGTTCACATTGTCGGCTCCAGTCTTAGCTGGAAAAGCGTTGGGTGTTTACCCGTCAGCTTCGGAATCTGCTGGCAGTGCGCTGATTTCAAAAAAGCACCATCAACAAGCGTGCGCATCTATGGGCCTCCTCGCGGCACGGGACCTCAGTATCGGACTTGCACTATTCGCATTCGACTACCAGAACGCACCGCACGCTATGGGCACACTCATACTCAGCGGGATGGTGCTGTGTGCAGCAGACGTGTACCATGTGTTCATGCTGAGAGGGTGGGAGTGGGCGAGTTTGCTGGGCGTGGGAGCTGCTTCCTGGTGTGCTATCGGCATTGGACTGATCGGGATGTGAGAGGCGGTCAACGAGGATAAAGGCAGAGAGCAGATTTGAATCATGGCATGGGCACATGGATGGCCGAGTCTCAACTCCATTTGTGTAAGTTAATAGCCGTCCTTTGCGCGGGACTCTACGGAAAAGCGGTACTCTCCTGCAGTGAGCAGTACTACTCAACTCCCTAAGACTCCAGTATTGATCCCTTCACACTATCCGTTGATTCAACGAACTTGAGACCATTGATGATGGGAATTGGCATGCCGCTTTTACATGGTCACGCCCTGTGACGGCGCGTTCCGGCAAAACGGCGAGCAAGGCACCCCTCATCCTGTCGGCAACCTCCCCGCAGCCACGGTCACAGTTTATGGTCCAACCCTCACCTCGTTCTGAACAATTTTCGTATCTGATGGTCTTGTTGATCACGACATTGCCTTCCTCGATTCGGCCCACTTACCCACTACCGTCTAGGATGTAACGTAGGGTCGTCATATCTATCCAGCACTATCTCTATTCGGTTGCAAACTTACTGAACCTAACTCCTCCCTGCAAGCACCCAGAATTATATCAACGGTCATGGCCACAAATGGCTTCTCTGCAGGTATAGAATCTGCCGACATCGACAAACTGCCGTCTGCACCCGCTAATCCTCAAAACATCAATGCCTTCCATGACCTCGACCTCAATACTCTTTCCGCCGCAACTCAAGCAATCCACGCGGATGACCCTCTAAACATCCTTGACGATGTCGCCCCAGCCATCCATGTTAGTACCACCTTCCGTTATGATAACGACCCTGCCCACCTCTTTCCCACCCACGAGCGCGATGCCTCCAAGGATGATCCGACAAAGCATGTCTACTCGCGACACACCACTCATAGCACCACCCGACTGGAAGCGATCTTGACAGTCTTGCTCAAAAACCCCAGTCTGACATATTCATCGGGCCTTGCCGCCTTCAATGCCTTGATAACCTTTCTGAACCCTAAGCGGGTGGCCATCACCGCAGGTTATCACGGTTGCCATGGAGTGTTGAGGCTGCATGAAAGATTGTCTGGGCTGAAGGTGGTTCCGTTAGATGTCAATCCCGATGAAATCCAGAAGGGTGATCTAGTCCATATCGAGACACCTATCAATCCCACTGGGTTGGCCTTCAATATCCAACATTATGCCGACATTGCACACTCCAGAGGAGCATATCTCAGCGTCGATGCAACCTTTGGCCCGCCTCCCCTGCAAGATCCTTTCAAACACGGTGCGGATATTGTTATGCATTCGGGAACGAAATATATTGGCGGGCACTCTGATCTGCTTTGTGGCATTTTGTCGGTGAAAGAAAGAGCGTGGATACCGCAGTTGGTGGCTGATCGTTTGTTCCTTGGATCCGTGATGGGCGGTCTGGAAGGCTGGTTAGGTGTGAGAAGTCTGCGGACGCTTGAACTTCGGGTTATGAAGCAAAGCGAAAATGCGCGAAGGATAGTAGATGCATTGGATGGTGCGTTGACAGGCCACACGGTTGGTACGGGACTCTCACAGTCCGATACCGATATCATTCGGTCAGTCCTCAAGAAAGTCTATCATGCTAGTCTGCAGACTCAGGACTACAAGACCTGGCTGAAGAAACAGATGCCCAATGGCTACGGACCAGTCTTTTCAATCACCATGAAGTCTCCAGAACTCGCAAAGAGATTGCCAAGCAAATTGAACCTGTTTCATCATGCCACAAGCTTGGGTGGAGTCGAGAGCTTGATTGAGTGGCGTACCATGACAGATGACACAGTGGACAAGGATCTTTTGCGTATCAGCATTGGCATTGAGGATGATAGAGATCTGCTTGACGACCTCATACAGGCTTTCAAAGCATTGTCGGCAGAGGGCATCTCCTGAAACAAATACATATAGAGTGTAGATTACGCCGCAGATCAATAATGGTAAGCTCAATTAAAGCGCGACGGTCTTTGATCGTAGGGGCTGATGCCAGAGCTCGCAGCACTTTGTGGGGTTGCAGTCTCTCCGCCGGAAGGCTCTGGAGTGGGCTCGTCGCGGTGTGTTCGCAGCGCACTCCCCTCCTCCCGAAAGTGCTTCCGCAGCGTGCCACTTGAATGTTCCTTTTTCAATTCATGAGGCTCCGGCATCTCCATGACTGCGGGCGGGGGATGGACTGGTCGAATAGGTGTAGGTGCAAATATTTCTGGGGTCAGGGGCGAGGCTGTCGAGCTTGCAGGCGTGTGCACCCCTCCCCATAGCTGCAGTGACATCTCAAACTCTTTATCAAGATCAGATCTGCCGACCGGGGTGGTTGGCGTGAGGCCTGTTTGTATACGCTGTAGCGCTCGTGGCTTCAAAATATCTGGTGGTGTTTGCCTAGGACCGTGGCTGGGCAGACCAGGACCGCCATTGGAGGGCTGGTGGGGCGATCGGTTTGGGGAGTAAACTGGATCGTTTGCCTGAGTCCGATTGCGCATAGGTGACACCGATCTAGCTCTGGCTCTCGCCTTGGAAATCTCAACAGGTGGTGCAGGGGCATCATCACCCCCAATGCCGATGATCACCGGAGGGGCCTCGATGAATGTCACACTGAGACCTCTTGACCTCCGTTTTCCCTTAGCGAGAGAACTGACAGACTGGCTGCGACTCTGGTATTCTGGACGTAGGAAGTCATTGGTAGGGGTACTCTCGGAATTGGAGGTGCCAATCGGCAGTGCCCCTGGGTATCTCTGGGAATTGGAAACGTCGATCCGGGGGACGTTGAGTCTTCTCGGGGATTGCTTTGGTTGTGTGAATGAGGCCGAGTCTGAAGTTGAGGGTCTGGGAGAGTGAGGATTTGATGGAGTAGGATGATAAGGGAGTGCATCTCCTCGGGAAGGCGCAGTATTGTTCAGACTCGACATGGAGGTACGACCAGCAGCGAGGAAATCATTGACATCGTCGCTCAAGATATGGTCCTCATCGTTCTTATCCCCATGCTTCTTAAACTTGCTCTTAGTCCGGGCGAGGGCTCCCTTGAACCGATCTCGTTTGGAAGTTTTATGAGGGGTTTCTTGGGAGGCGTCATCGGCCTTGTCGTCCTCGTCCATCGTCTTGACAGCACCATGCCGTAGGGAGCATGGTCGGGATGGAAGGAGAAGAGATGTAGGGGTTGAGAAAGGGCAACGCAGACAGGCGAGCGCAGGGCAGGCTGAAACGAGTGGATCAAGGCTGGCGGAGGGGTCAGCGACTTAGAGATGGCGATGCGAGTGATGGTTCCTCCGTACAGTTGGCGACTGGAATTTGCCTGTGGCGATGTGTTGGGCCCTCCTTGGCTGAGATTCAGTGCATTGACTCTGGAAGGCGGACAGATCAGAGTGGTAACAATGCCGATGCCGGGGTTAGTGCTAGTGGCGGTGCTGTGCAGCACCGGAGCTGAAAACCAACAGGAAGGAAATGATACACGAGCCCGCTCCGTCTATGTCTGTGACTAACGTCAAACAGGACGAGCTGAACACCGAGAGTGATTGTACGAGGGAGAAAAGCTGAGACTCATTTGGGGAGGGAGAGTGAATGAGCACGCGGGCCTGATGGCGGTTCCAAGTGGGACTAGACAAAACCCCGCAAGGTGCCCAATCGAAGGGTCTAAGGCTGACCAATTGGCCAACCTAACCACAAATCTCGACCTTTGATCCGGAGCTAGAAATCAGTAATTACTATATAACTCGTAAAAGCGGGCCAAACGACGAACGCACCCAGCACGCTGAGTTTGAAGCTTATGTTAGGTACGGGGCAATGTAGGTATCAACAATAACTTGTACTTCGTAACATACTCCGTACGCGAAGGTAAAGCTGAATTTCGATCTAGTTCATACAGTAGGACATAGGGGTGCTTGCCAAGTACGAGACGAGTTCGACTGTCCGTCCCGTGACTGCAAGGGGTCACGTGCCTCGGCCGTGCTAGAAACATTCTCGTCGTCTCCGGATATACTGCCCCACAGTGGTTGCACCTGGCTGTCCATGTGATCCACTCTAATCCACTATCTCTTGCCCGGTCCCGCGTTGAACCTCGGCTCAACCTCTATCAAGCCTGACTAAAGACTGTGCTGATGACAGCTTGAGAGATTCTCAAGCACACTCTTGCCATCTTTTCATTCTTTCATTCTTTCATGATAAGTCAACTCTGTGGACTTTTCGATTTGATTGTGGGCTTCTTGAGACAAGCGGCACCGTTTGGTTCATTGTCGGTTTCAATCACTCCGTTCTCCTTAGCTCGACTCTCATCCAGCAACTAATCAAAACACCCGCTGCAAACAATGGCAGACGGGAAACCCAAGACGCATTTCTACCAAAATCTCAACATCCAGCACCTCCCCATCAAAGAGCGAGTCGTTGCTCTACAAAAAGAGATTTCCCAGGACCCCGACTATCAAGGCTTTGACTACCTCACTCTCAAAGATGGATTTCAACTCCTAGAAGCTGTGCCGAACAGAACAGTATGGGAAGCAGTCATCACCTCTCGCCTTTGCAATAAATCCGGCAACCTTCACGGCGGTGCTGCTGCTACCCTAATGGATAATTTGACTTCCACAGCTCTAGTCACAATATCCAAACCGGGCTTCCTCGATGCCGGCCATGTCAGTCGGACGATCACTATGTCGTATCTACGGCCCGTTCCCAAAGGTTCCACCGTCCGAATTGAATGTGAAGTCCAGGCCGCAGGGAGGAATACAGCGAACCTCTTGGGAAGGATGTTTGTCAATGGGAAGCTGGCCGTCACTTGTGTACACGACAAGGCTGTTTTTTCGTCACGCTCAAAGCTGTAGAAACGAGAATGGATGGCATACTGCATTTGGTGGCAGCATTGTAGATATATATATGTGAGGAAGGCTGTGTGTAGACAGATGGGGAACCTGATTAGACATACTGATACCCATTAGACTTCCAGGAGAATTAGACGTGCAAGCAATAATATCATTCTTGAATATTTTGCAACGAGCAAGGCATTTTCTCGTCCAAAAACAGGATACATTTGGTACTATCTAGGATTATCATTTATCATCCGGGTGAGCACCTGGAGGAAAAGACGTAAAACATAGCTCTAAGTAGTTGGTCTTCTGTTTGATGTAACCACTGGAAGGGAAACACTAAATGTAAGCGCTTCTGCGGCTACAACGCTGTCCTAGGCTAGATTCTACACTCGATGTAGCGACGTCTTCAACCAATTGATCTAGTATGGTTATTCTTAAGACGAATAAGTCCATCTAAGGCAACATCGGGGCACCCATTTCGCGAACGGAGTCTATCTAAGAAGGCTCATAGCCATTTGTACGTCATCTAATTGAGCACCGCATCTGGATCTCAAAGTGCACTTGCATGAGATCGACCAAGGGGCCGCTCAATCGTTTCACTTATTGAGGACCTGGATTGTTAATACTACAAATGATATCTTGATGAACAGACTCCTGCCGAGACTTGAAATCGTAGTCAATCGTCGAGGCTGTGTTTCAATGAGCTTGTCGTTTCCGTTTGGTCCCTCCATATTCTTGAGGCGATGGCTAGGTACAAACACCTCCGTTTCAACGGTCATAATTGGCAAAATCCTAAGTGCTATAAAAGCTAGCGTGTTCGCGACTCTCTCACTATAGAGAAGTCAATTTTCAAACCAGTGCCCAGGAAATTAACACGGTGTGCTTCTTTCCAAGAAAGAACAACATGTCCGGGTATGGATGGGGACATAATAGAACCGAAAAACCAAGCAGTGGGGAAATTGGAGGTCAAGGTGATCCCTACCACAACGATAGAGCTAGAGATGATCCCAGCAGACGTGGCGGATTGTCTCGTGTACACCCTCAGGTAAAGATTATGTCGTCGGTCGAGATACATAACAACACTGACAAGATTATCAGACCAAGCCAGGGAACCAACACAGTGAAAAAAAAAATGTCGACATCTGTATTCAGAAATGCGGGGAATGTGGTGAGCTTTACCATATTGATGTGTGCAGGAATTGGTGCTGTCGACATCCTCACCAACTAGCTTCAGAGATATCTATTCGGAAGATAGAAGCTGCTATTGCAAATTCCGGGGTCCAGAATCAGAACCTTAACCAACAGCCGTACAAAGTTTTCCAAAATGGGCACATATGCACAGAAAAGTGCCGCCCTCAGCTCACGTCCATCTCAAACATGAACATGGAGAGCTTTAACGGACGATGCACTCATTCTTGTCAGCCATGTTCGGTCCCTTGTACATTCAACGAATGTCAGCATAAATTTATCCTCAAGTTCTTCCCTGAATTTCACAGGAGCTGCAAACATTGTCCAGGAAGATTAGTGAAAGCACAAGCATAGGACCTTCACACCGAAGTATTCAAGCGAGGTTTTGAGGGTTTGCAACTGCTTTTGAGAACAAAAGCCCACCTCACCACGCTGGCGCTATTGAATTAGAGCAAATGTGCCTATATTTCGATGTACTTAGTATCAACGAATAGTTTTGTAACAGTAGCTAAGTATGAGTTCAACACAGGTTAGGCGTACAGGAATGCTTACGTTGCACGTCGAGTTAGGCCATTTCGCCGCCTTGGTGTAACTGACTGTGCGACATCTTGTCCTAACCAACGTGGTATTTATATCAGCCTTCGCTTCTGATCAATGGCGAAGCATCTTGTACTTCTCACATTCAGGCGCATATAGGAGGTTTCTCATTTTGAGATATATCAAATGCCCGAAGTCCAAAAGGACGTTGAATCCGGGAACAGTACTTCTCAGAGACTGACAATCATCGGTATGTCGGCTTTGAGAGCTGAATTTGAAGGAGTACACTGACTTAGTACTAGGAAAAGCACTCCGAGCCTTCAAGTCCCTCCTTGACGACCGCAGCGACACTCTAGACGAGGATCGATGGTATCTCGATTCTAAAGTCCGCTCAAGTAAGTATTGGCTGACTTTGGCCGACTTACTTACAATATTTCGGCAGTGGTAACCGAAAGTAGTACAAGCGACTGTATCAGGGTGGCCACGTACTGCAGCGTTTGTGGACAGTGATTCCAAGTTCCGCATATTCAGGCGTTTTGGGTTTCTTAGAACCCGACTCCTATTATATCACCAAGATATTCTCAGCGAGATGGAAAATCGGTTAAACCAGATCGATGGTGATGATGACTCGAGAGTAACCACAAGACCCTATCTCGGAAGTAGGCAAGCAGACGATGCTAGATATTATCCACAACGAAAGACACTCTTCAGTGAGCTCGGGGGAAGGCTCAAAATATATGGTGGGGCGTGCCTCCCTCCTTCTTGAAGTTAAGTCCAGATTTCGCAACAGTACTGAATGCTGTGTAGATGAGCTCCTGAAAAGCTCCGCAGAGATCTACCGTTTGGAAAATGCACCCGAGCATCACCGACAGTACGTCGCAAACCTGCTCTGGAATGACGGGAGTCTGGACGTGCGGGACAGGGAGTATATCCAACACAAGGATGATTTGGTCTACTTCCAGGGCGATACAGAAGACAGCTGGGTGCATCTTTTCGTCAGCAAAATCTTGAATTGCTTTGGTCCAGCGGTGGAGGTGCGTACTTTCTGCATACAATACGAGAAAGACCTGTCCATCACTGACTTTCCAGAAAATCTTTCGTACAGAAGTACAGGAAAGAGAACTGCTTGGTAACACTCTGAGCATCGAGTTGTTCGAGAAGCGGCGTTTCGACGCCTTCGTCAACTTCCTGTTCACACTGGCGGTCGTAGCATCGGTTATGGGGCCCGTCATGTTGTTGTACTTTCTCAGAAACCGCAATGGATATATTCAGAACACAACGGCAATGGGTTGTACCGCTGCTTTCGCACTATTGTGTGCAACTGCTACCAATGCAAAAAGGCATGAAGTCATCGCTGTCACAGCAGCGTAGGTTTTCTCCGCTGAAACTCAGATAGGATGGCTAACATTTGCTAGGTACTGCGGAGTACTCGTTGTCTTCACTAGCCAGAATGCCACAGGGGCACGCAATTGAGATACGAACGCCAAGTTAGTCACTTGGCAAGGCTACGCTCATTAAGGGGGAAGATCATTTTTTGGGAACCACATGGAATGGCAATAATACTAGTACTCAGTAGTGCAAACGAATGCCTGCAAGCCACATGTTAATGAGAATTTACGAGAAGTATAGAAATGAGTTCGGGATTTACTCTGTCATCTACTTCCGCAAGTTGAATGGTTGTCGCTCCTAGGAACGGTACCCTGCCCGCTGCTGGCAAGCATCTTCAAGCATGAAACCGACAACGATGACCGAAAATAGAACTCGGTTGATGTTACTTTTTACCTTGAATATCAAGATAAGAGTAGGCATGTAGGACTATGTCCTTCTCTTCAAATTATTATACTTCACTGAGCACTGTAACAACCTCATAGTCGGGTCACTGCCGCATGCCTCCAAACCGAGCGTTCATTATCCCTCTCGATCCGCATGTTGACCTTTTCTAAGTATTCAGCACGATATGACTAGTCCCACGTGTGATATTACGAATTCTAATCATGACTAGTGGTCGGATCCCAGGCGCATGGCGCGTACGAGTCGGGGAAGTGAAGACTCTTCATATCGTCGGCGTCAAGCTCGAAGTCATAGATATCGGCGTTTTGATCAATTCTCGCAGGTGTGACACTCTTCGGCAAGGGTACGTATCCTTTTTGTAAGCTCCATCGGAGTAGAATCTGAGCCCACGTCTTTCCATGTTTCTTCCCTAAGGTTTTCAGGATCTCTTCGTTAGCGCGCTCCCCACGAACAATTGGGCAATATGCCTCGATGACCACATTCCTCTTTTGTGACCATTTGACAATGTCATCGCGAGGGAGCCATGGATGTATCTCCCACTGGCCGACATCAATATGGCTACCATCCTGTGAGGATTTTATGTACTCCTCAAGCTCGTCTAGGTGATGAACGCCGTAGTTAGAAACCCCGATCGAGCGTATTTTGCCCTCTTTCTGTGCCTCCACTAGCGCTTTCCACGATCCTAGACGAGCTTCTTTGCCACCATATGGTGAGTGGATCAGATAGAGGTCGATATAGCTTAGACCAGTTTCCGAGAATGAAGACTCAATTGCGTTCTTTGTGTTGTCGTAACCCATGGCTTTAGGCGGGACTTTGCTCGTGAAGAAGATGTCCTCTCGCTTCAGACCAGATTTCGCCATGGCATCAGCACATGGCCGCTCGTTGCGATATGCACGGGCAGAGTCGATGTGACGATAACCTGCCTTTAGGGCGTGAAGGCTAACTTCTTCACAGACATCTGCAGGAGTCTGGTACACGCCATAGCCGAGAACAGGAATGCTGTGCCCTGAGTTCAGTTTGTAAGTGGTCTTAATGTTGAATTTGGATGGTACTCGGGAAGCCATGGCTCTATACCACTTGGGGAGTATGCTACGCTGGATTGCAATTTGTTTAGTGATGCAGAAGATGGTCTTTCGAGCTTCGTGGCCGTGCATATCAAGACAAGTCCAAAGCTTTTGGGAAATTGGAACTGGGGGCTTGAGTGGTTGACATACTTTATCGGGTTTAAGCCAAGCATTACTTAACTACGCCCGACTCAGGGTGAGGGACTCCGTATGCTTAATTAACGCCGACCCCGCCGTGACGTATTCAATGGTTGCCTATTTGGGACCAGATCTACCAACAACCCATTTTGTGCTTCTCTGACAGGACTGCAAGTCCCCACCGTCCACAAAGATAGTGTTCAAGGTTCTTATCCGAATTTTAAACTCGGGCGAATTAAAATGATGTTTGCGTTGTTCTGAGAGTTGCAGAAAGCTTCAAAGAGCATATTACCCTCCGGCGAGATATGTTGAAATAATCAGTCTTCCTTCCGAGCGATAAAGCACGATTTGGCTAGTGTCAGGTGAGCCCGGACAGTTTTGGGGAACAATGGATTTCGGAGCCTCAATAAATCAATTGCGAGGTGTTCGATACTTCCTGAATGCCAGGGCGATACATAAAATGACTCCGCCCAACAGACCGATCACTCGATGGCTTTTCATTTTTTGGATGCAATCCTCCTCCAACTAAACTTTGTCGCGTATAAATCGGTACCAAGGCATGGTGCAAAGAACATTTTACCGCTGATGGAGCACTGGATCGTCCCGGCCGCAACCGCAAGCCACATTATGAAACATACCACAGTGAAGACCTAGTTCATCAGATCCACGATTAGTGGAGTGTTCGTGAAAGGGCAGAGAGAACCAACAGGGTGTGTACGCGCTTACACATGAGAGGACTTTGAAAAATCGGGATTCCAACTCTTCGCCGATCGTCATCGTCAACAAAGTGAATACACCGACAGGAAAGATAAAACCCCACCAACCCATATTGAATGGAAAGCGCCCAAATGTGGTAATCATTATGAGGGCCACAATGAGCCAGACTGTTGCGAAACCCCACAAAATCATGCCCGCAAGGACACTGACAATGTAGAAAACGTCGCCAGCGCGGCTCACATGAGGAAGGGTGTTAGTGGAAGGGAAGAGGCTTTTGGCAAGTTTCCCAAGCATTATGATACTGTGATTGATTAGTAACTAGCTGCTAATGGTCAAATTTATCTGAATATTTAGACTTACGAAAATCCTGAGAGACCTAGTGGTCCAATTGGAAGAAGAAGGGACACAACGACCTCCCTTTGGACTGGTTTGTGGACAGTCAGACGGAGGACGTATAATGTCAATATGATCCACGACAGAGGCGAGCCGATGCCCCAGAATATATAACTTATGGTCAGAGTCCACAGCTGATGATTTTGGTTAGGAAGCACTCTCGCAACCAGGCCTCCTGACGTTGCTGCAATCACAACTGCCACGATCGGAATGAGGTATAGTGCTGTCATCTCCTCTAACTCTCTTCTCCTATACGACATTCTGTGGCTATATTAGAGAATGCTCATGGGCAATTTGGGAAGAAAATTGAAGTAGATTATCAGAGATTTATAATCTGGATCCATGGAAAGCTTAGACAGACTTACATGACCCAAGTCAAGTGGAAACATGTTGTGAGCGCCAGAACACTGATCATCCACCATAAAACCCAGGCCAAGATAGCCATGCCGTGACCCCATATAGGCACACAGACTAGTACCGTCATGTTCATAAGGGTCGCCAGTCCCACGGGAAATGTCGCTAGGAACAGACTTTGATGTGGATGGCGAAGAACAACAGGGAAAATCTTTGGATAGAAGAGATAGCGCAAGAAGGTGATAATGCTGAAGAGGACGAAGAGGGCGAGGTTTAAAACGAAGAAGATCACGGAAATGATTTGCAACCAATTACCGTTATATGGGAGCTCGTGGAACTGTATCGACAATACTCCGGTGCTCATTGTAATGATGAACCAACTATGCTCATCGGATCAGTATCGATAACTAGAACCCTCCAAAATTTGGTTACGGCAGACTAAAGGGCTTACGAGGGTGTAACGTTTATGATTATTCTGTGAAATCCACATGGAGCCAGGATTTCCGACTCGGTAGCGAACACCTTCCCCTCTTTCAAGTCTTGCTCATTTAGGCAGTTTGCAGATTCGAGGTCTTCAGCACGAGGGCAAGATGTTGCCGCAGTGGCGTTGGCATCATATCTGCTCGCCATTTGTGTATCGAGGATCTGCCTAGGCTGAGATGAGCGGTAGATTCAAAACCTTCACTCATGCGATCGATAAGACGGTTGTCGAGTCGCGAAATAGAGTGCCGGTAAGGAGAAATCATCGAGGCATCCGTCGGTGTGATAGGGTCTGAATGGACTTTATACTATTCATTAAAGCTAGTCTAGTGTTAAGGTGCAGATGGACCTGGGTCACCCAAGGTCACAAAAGTCGATTTCTTAATAATCGTGGGAGCGAGATCGGCAAATTGCTCAGCCTATCGCTCAGTAGGGATGCTCTTCTAGCTAACTAGAAAAGCACTGAACAGGCTTCGGATGAATAAACTTACCATATCAAGCACGAACAAGTGACTTGGGGCACGTGGCGACGCAATCGGCGAGGATAAAAGAATCATACTGATACTGGCATATCAAAGGTAATTTCCAATAGACTCGTGTTAGCTAGAAGTGACTTTCGAGACACTGGCCTACAAGGCTATGCCAGGGACTTGTACCGAGTATCTAAGTTCGAAGCTAGGCCGCAAATACACCTAGATAGCTCTCGCTCTGAGTGGCTTACTTCTCGTGTTGTTCGGAAATGGATTGTCATGGCCCTATCAGATTCCTAGGATTCCGATGAAGTTCGCAACTGTATACGAGATACTGGTCCCTTATGGAGTCTGGATTACATGATCCTATGATCAAAATTGCCCGCGCTTAATACGCCTCCTGTTTCGAGACTTGTACGTCTGCCGTTTCCATCTAGATAGTGACTCAGCAGCTCTAAGCTGATCTAGGTCCGTAGTAGCAAAATAGGGATCGTCGAGAGCGGAAGATCGCCCTCTCCTGTACCTGGCCAATGTCCAAGGAAACACGGAGGGGTGCTGAAACTCATCAAAACAGGAAGCAGTTCCAGAAGGCCATTGATTTTTTGGTGCTTTTCCAAGCTTGAGGCTGGCCCTGTCCGCCGTTACTGGCTACCAATTAATTCTGTCTCGCGAGTTTGCTTTCTTCCCAAAGCTACAAGCAGCCCTTGCAACTTGGGGTAGGAGGCATCAAGGCTAAACAAAGATTGCCGAGATCTACTGCCATCCAAGATGCATGCTAGAGGATATGAGACGAAGGTGAAAAGGTGAGGTTGATACAAACTGCCAATAAAGATCCTGATTTGGCTACTAGGGTCTGCTCTCTTTAAGAGCGGTCTAACAAGTGGTGATCCCAGAGGCTTCCCTCGATATAATATCTTAAATATATAGAGTTGGTTCTGTTCCGAAACTACCTCGTTCCAGGGGTAGACTTCGCATAGCTCTGGCAAACGTTGAGATCGTGGTGACGAACCGTGGACGTTCCCCTTATGGCTGGATATAAAAGTGCCGAAGAAGCATTTCCAAGTCGGCAGAAGAGGGTATTCATCAAGTAGCCTTGTGAAATCGGCGGCCACCAGAGCCGCTTTCAAATCGGCTGCGAGGTGCTGGTATAGTGGAAAGGTTTTTGACAGCTGATGAAGAGACGCAGCCCGTCCTGGTGGATGAGCCTTCGTTCATTAGAAAATTTGACTCTAATTTACGGGCTCACTGATGCCAATACATGGATTTGGTATAACGTTGCAGTTGTCATTCAATTTAAAGGGCTCTCACAACGTGTTTGCGTGTGTTCTTTTCCCAACCTCATCATTTTCCACTATCTGCCAAGGTTATCAGAGCGCCGTGGATCGAAGGGTTCTGCAGATAATGGCCTCGATGCACGCACGTTTGCGAATCGACTTGTGGCGCCGAGGGCGGACATGGCGAAAAGGAAATACAAATTGTTCGCACTAGCTGAGAAGAGCCATCGAACATGGTCTTTAGCTACTGAATATAGAGAGCAGACTTTAGCAACAAAAGTATTGACCACTGAAAACCCGGCGGTTCATTCAGTGAGTAAGCATTCGCAGCGTCACTTTTCACCGAGCAGGACGGAGGGTCTTACCGAAACCACAACGATTCTCGTCATATTCGGGTTCTTGACGTCATCGAAGGACTAAATAGACCGATGCTATCGATTCTAGTTGCATAAATGGGTGAGTGCGGCGACTGCGCCCTGCTGCAGACATGTTTCAAGTCACAAGAGTCAGAGGTAGCTTGCTAGGTACTTTCCAGACTCTCTAGACCGCAATCCCTACGAAACGTATTCTTCGAACGGTCTTTAAATCACTGAGAGACGCCGATGTTGGTCTTAACGGTCTCAGCAGTTGGTTTTGCATCCGGCCTGCCTGCATGATCGAGTTACCGATGCCCGACCTCAGTCTCTGGTCCCTTTAGGACCGCTTGCGAGCCTGGAGCGTCCGTTGCACATACGAACCAATGGCTTCCCGACGAGGACCAAGTGTTTCATGGACCAGGTCTGTGATGTATTGGTTGGTAAAAAAATGAAATTGATGGGACTTTACGGATGGAGAAGCTTCGAAGGGGGTCGGAAAGGGTTGAACTTCCGTCGGTGGACAGATGATCTGTTCTGGACTTGCAGTCATGCTGCGCAATATTAATCTTCACAGTCGCACACACCCGAACTCTGCTTCATCGTAAATCTGCGAAACGCTGTTTCTCATGAATAACACCGAACTCCAGTCAATTATGAGTTTACGAACGACATGAAAGCTTGTTTTGGTGTATTGGCCAGAACCTGGGACTTGCCACCAATCTTTGCTAGTAGAATCTGAGACAGTGATCATTGTTGAATATGAAGTATATGGGTACTGGTTCGTCCCTGAATTACGAAATAAGGAGTTAAGAGCTCCTGCAAGCTGCTGCAAGAGGTTTAAAGCGGAGATCACTCCTTGATCTTAACCGCTCAGGACCCTTATTCATGTTATTGGTCATCTTATTAGGCTTTTATGTCACTAATTCCAGAGGGGATTTGTCGGGCTGAACAAAGGAACGTTCCGAACTTTGCTGTGACCTTGGCGCTCGTCTCTGACTTCAATAGGTGACTCCTTAACTGTCTTTCCTTCTTGCTGAAGAATAGAGCATTCTACAAGCACAGGGCGTGGATCGGTATTAGGGTTGCAGGCAGTATATCAAATATCTATTTGACCTATTCACCTTCGGATAACAATTTTCCCGCCAGCGTTGTGACTATCCAGTAGCTCATGTGCTTTCACAATGTCCTTCACCTCGAAAACGTGCGTTGGCTTTGCATTCCAGGTTCTTCTTTCCGTCTTCTCGGCGATCTCCTGCAAGGGAATTCTGCCCATAGGAAAGTCGGGTGTTCCGAGGTTCTTGCTATGAAACAGACTGAAATGCACACCACTGTCCATGTCAATCATGGGGTTGAAATCCTTCAATGGTGCGAGCCCTCCAAGCCAACCAGCTTGAAGAATCCTTCCACCAGTGCGGGTAATCCGTATGGAGTCCAGCAGCACCCTGTTTCCAATCAAATTCAGGGTTTTGTCGAATTTCTTGGTTGAGAATTGAGGGGAGAGAACTTCTTCTTCGAGAACAGCGTTCTCGGCTCCCATGGTTTTAAGCATCTCAAACCGCTCCGTTCGTCGAGTCGTGGCTGTGACTCGGGCACCAGCACTGACGGCCAAGTTCAACGAGGCCTGGCCAATCGTGCTTGTGGCTCCACGGATCAGGATGCGGTCCCCAGCTTTGATATCTAGGATGGTATGGATACAAGTGTAAGCCGTAGAATAAACCTCTGGCAGTGCAGCAAGTTCTTCCCAAGACAAACTGGTGTTGATGGAGACGACATTGTCAATTGGGACGTTCACAAATTCGCCGTATCCGCCTGGCCGATTTCGGCCCATGCCACCCATTACACCGATGACCGTGCTGCCGACCTCGAATCTGCCAGAAGGGTCGGCTTCAACGACGCCAGCACATTCCAGTCCCGATACTGGGTTCCACTCATCCCATTCACCCTTGCGCATGTGCATTTCTGCATGGTTGAGCCCAAATGCCCGTACGTGAATGAGAACCTCTCCATTTACCGGGTTTGGCTTCGCAAGTGTGCGGTCTTGAAGAACAGAAGGGCCACCGAACTTGGAGATGACGATCGCCTGCATTGTCTCGGACATGTCTCGGAACAGGTTTTGGTTCTTTTCTCGTAAACAAAAAGGAGATAGGTATCCGACGAAAGGTGGCACTAACTACGATATTGCTTTTGATAAGCAAATGCTGGATGTTTCTTCCTTCACAGTATTCTGGGAGGTTGGAACATATTTGTAGACTCGTTCAACACTTAAATAACGCTCCATTTGTCAAGGTAGATCCTGTCATGCCTACTTGAACCAAAGGTAAGTGAGCAGCAGTGGTGATCGTGAATTCTCGATGATCTCATCTATGTCCAGTATACCGCACAATTCGTGCATTCAATTTGATGAAACATGACGCTGGATGTTGCCAAAAGCGGTGCTAGCAAGAACACTGGGCAGGGGAAGCCCCAGGAATGCAACTGAACTTTTAAAACAGCGACACAATCTCGACGCCGCTTTTAAGTATAGGGCACCCTCCTCTTCTCCGCTTTAGTCATCTCGACCGTCCCAAAATAGCTAGCTAATAGTAGACCGGGCGAGAGTGAGGGGTTTGCAAAAGCGGCAGGGTGAGAGGATGAGGTATGTACTTTGTTACGGTTTCCGGCCTTGATTTGCAGCGTTGACTTAATTGGAAGGTGTCATTCTTCCCTCATGGGAACTGACGCGTCCGATCCTGCAAACAAGATGACAAGGCTATTACTCAGCCGAACATTGTGGTATGATGAAACAATATGTAGTACAGGAAGGTTGGCCGGTAACTTTGAACGAGGATACTGAGCAATCTTGCGGCCCCACCTCCGATGATTGCTGCCTGGTAGAAATGCTTAAGGTGCATAATACGCAGAGGGAATAGATGAGCTGCACCATTTGCAATCTTCAATCAACTTCCAGATGGTGAGTTATCTCGCCACTCCTCGTTGCTGTTTAGTACCTTCTTTCCCGGCTCGTCAAGGATCGGGGCATCGTCATCGTCATCGTCCGATGCAAATGTGTCTTCGTCGAGGATGGGGTCACTTTCTAAACTGTCGGATTGCTGACCAGGCCTGTTTTGCCGATCATGAGCTTGTAGTGTGTCATCAGCTGAGATTGAAATTCCACGAGGGCCCCATCGATTGGTTTTAGCGGCTGGTGTGTGCCCATTTGGGGCCGCATTGCCAGACTCAGGATCGGCTTCCTCATCAGATGTTTGTCGGGTATGATTGATAACTCTGTTGACCAGCCACCCCTTCCTCAGATCATCAGCGTCCACCACACCCCCGGCTCTCAGTTTCACACGTTGTCTGGTCCAATACACCCATGCAAAATCGACATAGAACGCGGTCTGAATGATCCCGAAGATGATCGATATTGGGTCAGGCTTCGAAGGTGTAAAGAACCGATAGATCCAATTGAGAAGATAGAATGCCCGGTAAGAACCCAACGTGACAAGGTAGAAAGAATCAATGACGGTAGGAACGGTCGTCTGTCGCAGGAGGATCAACTGCGGGAGGACGCAGACGGACTCCAGTATGATGGAGAACGTCCAGAGAATCTCAGAAAGGTTGGATCCACTCCAACCATTGAATATCAGAGAAACCAATGGAGCCAGAACAAAAGATGCTGCAGCGGCGTATGCACCCCATCTCCATGCCTTCTCCCGCTCGCGTGTTCTTGCATAAACTCGAGTCATCAAGATGATGATGTAGATTGAAGTCCATATGTAAAAGTTCTTGAGAATAAAGTTCCACCATGACGATGCTGGGTTCACCCAGAACAGGTCAAGATATCGAGTTAGAAAGACGGCGATGTAGAGAAGCTGAGTCAGGAGGGAGACACCTGCGCTCGGTTAGCCTCAAATCCGTCCTTCCCGCATAGCTAATGAGCTTACCTTCGGCGCTTTTATTGGAATGTATGGCATATATCAAGATGCATTTGGACGCGGTATGGGACACGTCGCCCAGAATGCGGAAGACGTTCATTGACATGGTCACTACTGTTCAACAGACATCACTTAAGGCTAAGTTGAGGCCTTGCACGGACGGAATTCTGAAGGGATGAACGTGGTCGTTGGTTATGTGGCGTTCGAAAGCTCAGTTCAGGCAGAGTGCGGTGGGCTCTATAGGTGGCAAAGACGGTCAGGCAGAGGTCAATTTTAAGTGCGGCCTGTTGAGGAGTGAACCAAAGAGATGAATATTAATATGGCGCAGCCTGCGACTCGGGGTGCATCAGCGTTCCATTTTAGGTTAAGCCTTGGCACTGCACGACACACTTCTTCTTTCGGTTAGGAGCGATAATCAATATTAGCCTAGAACAATCCCCCATGTGTGTTCGAGATCCAACGTCGAAGTGACAATCATATATACATATACATATATATATATATATTATATGCCCCGAACTGACCTGCAACGATTACCACATTCGTTTGGGAAAGGGAGCATGGCCGCTTTAATCGTGCACGTGAGGGAGCAGCGAGAGAGCGTCGGGCGGGCATGAGGGAGCTGCAAGGGAGCTGCAAGGGAGCAAGCCAAAGGAGTGCCGAAATGAATAGGTCATGAACCCAAAATAGGTATATAATAGGAATCCATTTCTGACCTTGGAACCTAAATGACCTTTCGATGAATTCTACAGAGGACCATGGTACAAAAGTGTAGGAAACAGCCTACAAAGGCACCCGCTTAGCATTTTCAGGGTCTAGCAAATGCCCACTGCCAACAACCTTGTCCTTCCCTTTCTGTCTGCCATTCACAGACATTTCATAGGTAGTGCAGTCAGCCTCCAGCACTCGGGACACGCAATAACGAAGCCTCTTCTATCCGACTCGTGATCAAAGGGGAAAGGAGCTAATCGATATCCCGACGTTGTGAAATGTCTTGCGTGGTAAATATGGGGCTTCAAATGATTCGGTATCAGCAAAGGTGAAGCCGCAATTGAAAATATCTGTAATTATAGTACCGAGCATCTCGCTATCTTTCTCGTTCTTCTCATCACACCGCTTCAGTGATTAACCATAGGAACACTGTACCGTGCTCCGAAGCTGATGATGGATCTTACTCGGCTAACTTCCTTCCCCATTGAGTTCAGTATTCGGCCCTTGATGGCTGCTTGCGCAATTTGATATCGCGCCCCCTTCATATCCAATCTAGGGACTTAAGTCTAGCTGGTTAGAGTAGTCGTTGCTCCTACTAGTCAGGAGACATCTTTGTGAGCTATTAGGACTAATTCTTCTGAATGCCCTGCATTTAATGTATCACGATGGTGGCTTCGTAACCGCCTTTCGCTGGATAGCATGTGAAGATTGGAACACTTGATGCACAGGTACTGTGGATAGCTCATGAGACGACATGTTCTAGCTGAATACGGATGGATTGAGTCATGTTGCAGGAACATGCGGGATGCTCGGTTAAAAGAAAGAGCCTTACCACACTCCCAAAACATCTCAGTGCATGCATCGCGCGAGATTGGGTACGCTGTTCCACGCGGACATTTCAAGCTCGCATTCGCGGAAGCGCCTTGTGTTGTGATATATGGTTAACGCGGAAGGCCTCAAGACAGCCATAGAAATTGTGAGTAGAAGACTTGAAGAACTCCAGCCCGATTCCACCTCTGTCGCTACCGGACTCATCCATCCATCCGTTCATTCAGAAAGGGCATTTATCCAGAGCCTGATTGGAAAGTTTCATCCAAATTCCGGGCCAATTCCCCACAGAACAAGCAGCTAAGAGGGACGTCTTCATTCATTGCCGTTATCTCTGCCGGCTCATCTTACTTTACTGTCGGTGACGAATGGACTCGGCGATTCACTCGGGCTTGAGTGGTTATCTTCATTCTTTGACGCCTGTGCTGGGAGGTGCATGGTCGATATTGTCAACATCCACTGGTATGGCTCGGCAGCCGACATGTCGAGTTCCAACACCGACTGTACTTACGCTCCACAGACAGACCGTCGCCGTAAACATTTCCTGCAATCATTACTGACAGAATCCGAAAAAGAGCGAACCTGTCTTAAAAAGGCGAACAAGGAGCTTGCGCAAATCTTGAAAAACCTAGTACAAGATCAGACTACTGAACATGAAGGACGCTCCAATGTAGATGAGATATTAGCGAAGGTGGGTGCCTGGAACTGAATCGGGGTTATCGATCGCTGACACTATTCACCAAGTATTCCCTTCCCGGTGAAGGATATAGCACTTCACATATAGCGCCGGATCAGAAAATGATCAAATGTCTGTAGCATCAGATAATAGCGATGAAGCAAAAAAGACGAAGAGGTGGACGATACCACATGCCAGGGGTTCCGAGATCGCCTTAAGAGCGAGGCGAGCCAAAAAAGGCGAAGAGGTAGAAGATACCACACGCCAAGCGTCCCCTGGTTACATAGGTGAAATCACGCATAGATTCGACCTAGCCGAGGGGAATGGACTGACAGGCTTCATCCGGAAATCGTCCGAAATCTCATGGATGCATCGAATGTACGAATATGTTTGGAAATCCTCGCCGATCGGGGATGCTATCGTTCAAGCTAGAGTTGAGGTAAACATTCCCGCCACAGAGAAGGTATCTTATTTTGTGGACGAAACCACACTTTTATCAGTCGACGAGGACTATATCAACCCCTTTGAGTGGCCTTAGTTTGATATGGCGCTGATTTTGGCGGAAGCAGTGTTCTGTGCAATGAACGGCGCGTTCTGTTTCGTGGACCGCGAACAATTCCTCCGTAAATTAGCCAACTTCGAGCGAGAGGAAAACATGCCATCTTGGAGCGAACGGGGATGGCTCTCTGTTGCAAACCTAGTTTGGGCTGTGGGTTCTAGATGGCTGATGCTGACGAGTATGGATTCCTCCAGTGTCTGTCATGAGGAAAGCCATCTTATATACTACGCCAGGTCTAGAGCGTTCGGCCTGGATCACAGGGTTGTCTTTGACCACCCAGACCTTGAACAAGTTCAAGCAATGGGGTTACTTGCATCTTTTTTACTTGTGAACAACTCTATATCTAGGTTAGTCGAATATTATGGCTTCTTCGACAAAGGTACTTACACAAAGACAGAGCTTGGACACTTTTAGGCGCCGCAGTCCGCCACGCCTTTTCACTAGGCTTGCACCTGAGAGTAAGTGACGTTTCAATCAATGAGGCAGAGCGAACAAATAGGGCAGAGACTTGGTTTACACTTTGCACGCTAGAAGTTCTCCTTGCAGACATTACAGGAAGGCCTATGTCAGTGCCGTTTGCGGATGCGATGGTATCAACTGACCTACTAGGATTGCAAGAATCGGAGGATTTAGTCTCCACTTATTCCCGTGGCCTATGGCTCGACTTCATTGACTCTCAAGAAAACTCATTACATGAAAAGCCTGAAAGCGCTCTGAGACTACGGTCACTTAGTGGCGCAGGACGTCATCCCTGTTCATTATACCTTTCGCATCGAATTATTCTCTCCCGAATTAGTGATCGGATCACTACCAACCTATCCTCCGGTCTACAAAATAAACCATGGTCAAGCTTCCAAGGGCAGGTCGACAAGTTTCACAAGGAAGTACTGCAATGGTCTGAAGGCCTACCTGATGACTTTAAAATCGACGAAACCTTGCCAATCGGTGCCAATACCTGTGCGAGGCTGGAACTAAACGCATATTATCAAAGCGTGTTGATGATACTCCACCGACCGGGTGTGTGTGATATCCGCATCGGACAAGAAAGCGTTGGTTCTAAGGCGTGGAATTCAAATTGTGCGAAGATTTGTGTGTGTGCGGCCATGGCATTGATGGACCTTATGCCGGGTGACCCTTGGGAGTGCGAGATCTACGATGTACTCCCGTGGTGGACTCTTCTACACTACTTGTGCCAAGCTACAGCGGTCCTCATGTTGGAACTTTGCCTCGAAGCCCAGCACGTGCTTGATGCGAAGCCTGATATCACTAGTCGGCTAAGGAAAGCTGTAGCATACCTACACCGCTTAGGCTACGTCTCGAAATATGAGTGCTGTGCATCATTCTGGGCACGGGATATCTAAGATTAGGACGGATCCCTAACGGTATCAAGATCCAACAACTTCGTGAAACAGGAATTTTAACCTTCATCACTTGACGGACCAAGAAGTCATATAAGTATTCTCTCGATCTCCCTGCAGTCTAAGATTCTGTAAAGATCTGTTCGATTGTCAGGTCTTCCACAAAGACACCAACCCGATTTCAACGTTCAGCTTTCTAATGAGAGGTTCAACTTACGATTCCAAGCGCTACCTATAGTAACAAAACGGCGGGCATAAATGGAAAATGCTAAAGTCCCAGCCACTAGAGCATCCTAAGCGCCGAAGTCGCGCCACCGGCATGGCCTGCTTACTCCTAAAAGCACTTCTGCGCCAGAAGATGCGAGGATCGTGGCGGACAAAGAGCGGATTACGAATGGCCAAGGAACAAGGTAGCATGACCCCGATCGTCGAAATCTCGGACGGAGAAGAAGGTTTGCCTCTCAAACCAAGCCCGCATTCGACGTAGGAGCGCAGGACCGTCGTCAGTCTAATAGCGAGGGCGATGAGGGTGTCCAGAGCGACGAGAGCGACGACGTGGGAGAGTGGAAAGGATTCTTAGCGCCAAAGGGACTCCCACCTTGGCGTCAACATTTCCCTCTTCGAATTTTGGTAGGATCGATAGTGCGTGAAGAGATGAGCCGACAGAAGCCATGGCCGGACACTGCTTCCTACCAGAACAACAAGATGGCTTGATCCACTAATTGTGACGCTTCGTTATTATATGTTTCAGCAAGGCGGCCTGAACATAGTTGTCGCGAATTTTCAACTTTGATGGAAGCGATGAACGAGTGATGGCTATGACTAATAGTGACGATGGATGGGGCGGATGCAGGCAGAGTGGAGAGCAGTCGACCAAGGAAGGGATAGAAACGTGGTATGGGGCGTACACGTCTACTCGTCGTATAGGGCGAACAAGATCATTCAGGAAATGCAAATAAACAAAATCTTCTGGTATTGTGGAGGGAAATCTCAATTATTGCGGTATACCAATTGTGGTATATGAAGTTGCCGTGTTATCATACATTCAGGGAGGAACCGACGCGGAGAGTAAGCCCACGCGTGACTCTGCAACTGCTGCAATAAACATCTGCGTTCACATCCAACGCATGCCGTCGTCACGCCGGCCTCGTCTATTCCCCAAGGAATGTAGATTTAGGAGCTGCTGGTGGCGGATCCTCCCTTTCTGCCAGCCTCTCTCGCCGTGTCACTGCCAGGTTCGAATGAGCCGCTGGATGCCTGACCTCCCTTGGAGGCAATCTCGCGCTATAGACAACTATGTGAGCGCTGCATTATGGATGACAAAAGGACGCTGAGTGTGGATTAGACACGGAGCGGGATGTTTTGACATACCTGCTTGTCGGTATCCATAGAGGCAAAACCGCTGTTATGGCTTGCTTGACCGCCCTTGCTCGCGATTTCCTGAACCTCCTCCTTGGGGCGGTTGGCGAAGTTTCCTGGGTTGTCGTTGCTAGACATATTGATGGATTTGTTGTTTGGATATATTCTTGTGTGATTTTCATCTATGTGTCACTTCTTGAGTCTGGGATGTTTTGATGGATCTAGGACAGCAGTTTGGTCAAGGCATAATAAAGCTTATAGAAGCACGGGTGACGTGTGAAACCCTTGGGCGAAAGGTATGGCATCACTATGACTTCATGGCTGCCTGCTAAGCTGTATGTGAATTCGAAAGGTACGTGCTAACGTATTCGGATTTCTCGCCCGGATATCATGTGCAGCTTAGCCGGTAGCGGACGAGGTGCCTTGAGTGTGCAGCCAGGCAAGATCTGCAGCATGATGCGATGCTGCTGCAGCCCTGCGAGGTACAGTTAGGAACACCAATTATTGAAAGATGAGCTTCCAATTCAGGCAATCTTCGAGACGATCGCGCTCACGCAAGAGGGCCTATTACGCGTGTACGACCAAGGACTTTGAGGGAGCAAGAAACCTGTCCAGTCGCAGTAGGAGCAGCAACACTGCAGACGACCTTTTGCAGACCGCAAAAACGGCGCGAGGTCTGCTTGAAAGATACTGGGACAGCGTAACAACCGCCGGTGTGCTAACCTGACAGCTCGCCGTAACGAAGCGTAAGGGAACTCGCAGTTCCTTTGGACTACCTTAATCACTCCTAAGCGGTCTTTAGATGTCCCGATATAGTTGTCAGGACTCTACAAAAATCGGTATAATGCTTAGAAGTAGACTGCAGGGTAACTTGTAGGTTATTTCGACCGGTATTTCATCCCAAGGAGTAATGCTATTCAAGTTATGTACCCATCTGATAACTGTATACCGCCATGACATACCTTTTAGCGCCCAATGGACTACCATTGTCCTTTCATCATCTGAATCAATCCCACGTCTGGCAGAACACCCCGACCACAATTCCGAACCTTGCAGAAAACCCCGTCACTGCGCTTCAGCCTAGGTGCCTTTCATGTGAGACGCTAGTGTGATGTCATCCAACCAGGGCGGGTCCGGCATTTATAAAGATAAGCTTGAAAGAAGGCCGGTGTTTTCGAACTTGCTCTTGCTCGTCCGAAAACGACAGAGTTCCAAGAAAATCCACGTATACAAGTAATTTGGGAGTTTCTAGAGCGCTGGTTTAGTCATGGGTTGAATGTTGTCTCCAGAGTCAGCAGATTTTTTAAGGCCTGGAGTAACCTCAGACAACCTTGGGAACAACTTACGCGCCAACTGTAGAAGTGACCAAGTTCCACTAGTCCGGATTACTAGCCAGGAGGTTGCGGAGAAGTGCTCGTAGGCTCCACCCATAAACTGGTTTCTATACTCGGATGGCTATGTTTGCCGATAGAAGCTGATCGGCAACTACAAGAGGAGATGTGACTGCTTATATCCAAAGATGGGAGGTTGAGTTAAAGAGGCGGTTTGATATTGGTCCCTAACCCCTAATAAGTAAGTCAAAGCGAACCACATTCTTCGCCAATCACAGGTGGTCAAACCCCGAGCTTGGTGCTAGTCTGGTTCTAAGGGCATGCATGGATACTGGAAATTTCAACATACATATTGTGCAACGTGTCGGCTACGTACAGGGCCTCCTCTCTCAAGATTTGACTTAGCAGAGTCACATAGAAAGGATGAAGCCTTACAAGGCGAAGTTTTGCTACTGACTGTAGTTTTAGCTCTGTAAGGCAATATCTAAGAATGTAATGACTCCCTAAAGTCGCAGATTATATGTCAATCTACGGACGCAAATTGAGCTGGATATAGTGGACATAAGATTAGCAAGAAGTTTGTTCTCCTGTTATTCTGATCCACCTCCACTGTAATGTCAATCAAGCGCCGAGGAGACGTGTCGTGCCAGTGCGGTATATGTGTTCGCCGATGGCTTGTGGACAGAGGATTATCAACCTGTCGGTAAGCCGTTGGTGCAACATGAGAAGTTCGGGGAGTGGGCCTGGTGAATAAGGCGGTGCAGCTCCCTACGGGTTGATCGGAATGAGTCAATTAAATGTATTTTTCTGTTGCTGGCAAATTGACCAATAAGGCATTGAGTTGTGAACCCACTCCCTTCTTAGTATAAGAGCCATATTTCGTGACTCTGGTTGTTTCCCACTGACTTTATCCATGTACACTGGTTTTCCCATTCTCTTAACGATAATATTAAGCAATGTCTTCTGCAATAAACGGACCGCATCCCCAGATCTCCAATTCCCAGGACAGTATCACGACCACTGGAGTTCGGGAACAGGAAGCCAACGAGAACAACAAAGCTGTATCACTGGAAGTAGTACCCGGCAGGACAACTTCGATTGTCGTGGAAGATGCGCTTAATTGCCCTGACCAAGGCAGAAGCCACGATGGCGGCTATGGTTGGGTTTGCGTCGCCAGCATGTTTTTCATTAGCGCAAACACTTGGGGTGTGAATGGTGTAAGTACTACCTTGCACTTTGGTTAGACCTTATCATGTCTGACCTCGACTTTAGGCTTTTGGAGTTTACCTTGCCTATTATTTCCAAAAAGATACTTTCCCTGGCACTACCGAAACATCGTACGCCTTTATCGGGGGTCTGGCGATGTCACAAGTGACATTCATCGCCCCCTTGGTTACATTCGTTGGCCGGAAGCTTGGCACTCGCACCACTCTTTCGATTGGAATCATCCTTGAATCGGCTGCACTTCTGGCCTCAAGCTTCGCCACAAAAGCCTGGCATCTCTTTCTCGCCCAGGGTATTTGTTTTGGATGGGGCTGCAGCTTTTTGTACGTTGGCTCTGTGGGGATTGTGCCTCAATGGTTCGACAGGAGACGCTCATTTGCAACCGCTATCGCTGCTGCAGGCTCTGGTGTCGGCGGTCTGGCATATAGTCTCGGGACTGAGGCCATGATCCGTGACATCAACCTCGCATGGGCGTTCCGTATAACAGCAATAATATCAGGAGTCATGAATGTTGCCTGTACACTCCTTATGCGAGACAGGAACAAACACATAATACCCAATCAAAAGGCGTTTGATGTCCAGCTACTTAAGCGGTATGAGTTCTTACTCATCCTAACATGGGCGTTTTTCAGCACATTTGGCTTCACGCTGATACTATTCACACTACCAGATAATGCCTTGCAGATCGGCTTGACCTTGCATCAAGGCGCTATAGCTGCGGCATTGGTCAACCTAGGAATGGTTGTCGGTCGACCGTTGATTGGATACATCAGCGATGACATAGGAAGGATCAACGTGGTGACGGCAGCAACATTTTTATGCTCCTTATTCTCACTTTGTATATGGACTTCTGCGACTACGTACTCGGTGCTGCTAGTCTTTGCTTTTCTCGGCGGCACCGTCTGTGGTACGTTTTGGGCTGTCGGTACCCCTACTCTCCCTGACTGCAGGCTCAAGTTCATACTGATGACCGCTACAGATGCTCGCGCCGTTGCTAGCGGATGTACTGGGCCTTAAGCTGCTTCCTGCCTCATTGTCCATTGTTTGGTTCACGATAGTGGTTCCCACAACATGTAAGTATCACTCATTGTCTTAATCTACGACACTAATACCTGTAAACTAGTCGGAGAACCAATAGCATTAAAACTTCGCCGAACTGGAGCTCCAAAATATCTATCAGTTCAGCTCTTCGCCGGATTTCTGTTCCTTGCAGCCACTATCTGTATGGTAGTCTTGCGGTCTTGGGCAATGGTTAACGTAAGTAAGAACTTGGAACCAAGAGAACCCTCGGATAAAGCACCAGTCAACAAAGCCAGTTATATAACCATAAGATGGGCACGTGTTTATCTCGAGAAACTTTAGCAAGCATTGGAATTGCCCAGGGTCTGATCCTCCAACTCGGACGAATTACTTCACTTACGTGTAATACGACATGACCATGACACCTAGACAGACGGTGGTGGGCATATCTTTTCAAAATTTGAGGTCGCCATCAGTCGGGCCACACATCCGAAAAGATTTTGCTTTGCGACATCGGCCAGACCAACATTGACCATAGTAGATTCGTGGTCGAGAGTGGCTCCCAACATACTCTTTCGGTCCAAACCCAGTTCCTATGTTCAATCCTGAGGTTGGCTCGAGAATAACGAACAGCAAAGGTGTGCAGTGGACATTCTCAAGTGCGGTATACGTCCCCTTTTGGTTCTGAAGGGGGTGAAGTAGTTACAGGTAGAAAGCAGAATGCGAACTTGGATAAGGTGAAGTCAATATCGAAGACAGAGCAGTTAATTATAAGTCGGGAATATAGCAGCGTGTGCAGACTAATTGCCAGTTAGATCAGGGCTGCTCCACAAGGTGTAAGTCCTGCAAATTTTAGTTCTGCGCTTGAGGGGCTAGATAGTGCTAGATGGGCGAAGTGAAGAAGAAAAAGAAATAATTTAAACTCGTCCATTCTATTCATTTCTTTAGGAATACTGTAACCTTTAGGTAGCAAGACTCTGAATAACACGGCTATCTAATAGAATAGAACAGTAAACCTGTAATTGCAGGCTCGCACTTCTCATCTCAAGAGCTGACAAGGGAGTTTTGAGTTCTATATCTACCTACGGTTTTCTAGGGTCTCGATTCCGCGAACCCGACTTTGGGGTAATCTTGCCTAGTAGTTAAATGACGTCTTGACACTATTTATACATCAATTTAGTGCAAATCATGATTGTATTACTGTGGTGGCAAAAAAAACTACTGTTTCATTACTAGGGTGTTTCATTAGGTGGTGCCTAGACTTAGCGCCTATAAGACTAGAGCCCGAACGGGACCCTCACCAGCACGTGAGAGAGAGTGTATATATGGTAGGAGCGAGCTAGAGCCGTGAGGGAGCAGGAGAGAGTGGAAGGGGAGCGCGAAAGAGAGGAAGAGAGCAGAAAGGAGCGGACAAGGCAGCGAACCGACTAAATAGTCGTTAGCGGGAGAGCAAAGCAGCGAGGGATGAGTCAGCGGGAGACAGGTGAAGGACGACGGTTCGGGGATTATATATATATATATATAGAAACCTATGGACTATCGCCTTTCGGGGCTCTTTCGCTGACTAATACCTCGCCGCATTACTCCCGCGCTAACCGCTATATAATTATTAATGCCAAGCGATTGTAAAGACCGTGGTCTATAATATCGCTTCGCCGCATCCGAACTAGCTCCGAGAGCTATTCGAACGCTATCCGAAGCGAACCCGGAGCGCCTAGGCGCTAATCTAGTACGTACTTAGGATACTATATAGTCTAACGAGTCCCTCGTACCGTCTTAGGAATAATTATATCCCCTTTCTATTATATCTAGTAGTAACGATCTACGATAGCCCTTAGGGAGACCTCTAGACTAGGGCCTTTACGGGCTCCGAAGTATCTCTAGGCACGAGGGACTAGAGTTAACTTTATTAAAGTATTATCGAAATCTTAAGAGACGCTAGGAGTATATTTCTTTATCGCTTTTTATCGATAGGAGAAAGAATTACTTACTATAACCTTATCTTCTACGAAGGACGATAATTCCTTAACCCTTCGGAGGTAAAAAGAAGTAAGAAACGCTTAATAAACGGCTTTAAGCGGAGTTTCTCTCTCTTAGTAGCTAGACTATAGTAATCCGACCGAAGGCTAGTCTCGACTATACCGCGGAATTCTTTTAGAACTACTACGCGGCCTTTACTACCTCCTCTATAAAGGTTTATATTAAATCTATAGGCTACTAGATTTAAGAACGACTATAATCTAGATCCTCTAGAGGTAGAATCGGAGTATAGCGGATTTACTATACGTAAAAATTTATTTATCGGAGACTCCCGATAGTACTAAGCTAACCCCTAAACGACTCTTCTATACCCTACGAGGTCGAAACCTATACTATTTTACGATAACTATAGTTATTCTCGCTACGCTCCGGTAGCGAAGACTATTCGAAGTCTTATTAATACCCTTTCGGTAGCGTTAGAAGGTAGCGAGGAGTATCCTCGGACCTCGAAATTTAAAACCTAAGATACTCCGAGAGTAGTAACTTTCGATCTAGACTATAGTATAGAAGAAGTATATACGAGGCGGTAGTAGTCGACGAGTACTCTCGACTCTATAGGAGTAGTAGTTCTCTTACTACCTAAGTAAAAAACTAATACTAATAACTTAACTAGCGACTAAAAAGGTTCGAAGGAGATCCGAAGAAGGAGGGAGAGGAGCTATACGGCTATTCGAAATAGCTATAGTTAGTATAGTATAAGGGGATTATTACTCGTATTTAATATTCTAGCTATAGTAGCGCCCTCGCTAGTCGAGGTTAATAGCTCCTATATAAATCGAAGTAAACTTCGGAGTAACTCCGTTACTCTTCCTAAGAACCTCTTCTAAAGTATAACCTATTAAGACTAAGCGATACTCTATTAACGCCTAGTTACGTAATTAGGCTTATATAAGCTAGGATTACGTAGTATCTATTAGGTAAGGCTATACTTAAGCCTTACGGAAGATTCTATAAAACGCTATTCTATTCTATAGGATTAGAAATTACTTAACTTAATTTCTAAGTATTCTAGGAGTTAACTCGTATTTACGAATGCTCGGTA